ATGCAGAGTTTGCATACAACACCGCCAAGTCGAGCACAACTGGCTTGAGCCCCTTTGAGGCGCTCTACGGATTCCAGCCTGATGTTCCCACCTCCTTGACACTGACCGAGTCCACGGCTGGATTGCCTCCCAAACCAAGTGCCTTTGTCAAAGATCATCAAGTCCGACACAAGATGATCGCCGACGCGCTCACGGATGCGCAACAAGTGATGGCGAAGTACTACGACCGCCGACACCAGGATGTCTCCTTTGAAGTTGGAGACCTTGTCTACCTGGACGCCGACAACATCAAGGTCCCCGAAGCCCAGTCAAAGAAGTTGTTGCCCAAGTACCGAGGACCGTTCAAGATAGCGGCCCGACCCAGTCCCCTCAACTACCTGTTGGACTTGCCACCTGGAAGCAAGCTCCATCCTGTCTTCCATGTGTCCAAGCTGCGTCGCCACACGACCCGCAGTCCAGCACAGTTCCCCGACGCCGACGAAGGTGTCCCGGACGACGCACCACTGGAAGACGACCTCGGACAATACTATACTCAAGAATATGAAGTCGAAAGGATCGTGAGGCACAAGAAAGTGGCTGATGGGTCACTTCGGTTTTATGTCAAGTGGGTTGGTTACCCACACTCGGGCAACACATGGCAAACACTGGAGGACTTGTCCCATGCACCCGAGGAGCTGAGTAAATACGGTAAACACCTCGAGGAGCCCCAAATAAAGAGCACACGCAGGGCTCCTCGCAGGAAGCCTTCTTAAGTGTGGGAGTGTAGGAGATGGTATCTCCGACGCTGTGCTGCGCGTACTGCGCGTACTGCGCGGCGCAGTGGGTCGTGACCTGTGCTGCGCTTTGCGTTTTCACGCACCGCAGGCAGGCCACCGCAGGGTATACCTGCGGGTTGCCCCCGTTCCCCCCGTTTGTCTGGAGTTCGGTTTTATCGTGAATAAACGTAAGTGCTCCCCGAGCTCACCCGTCCGCTAGAGTAGCCTAGCACCGCCCTGTTCTGCCCCGTCCTGTCTTGTCTTGTACCCCCTCCCTCCCCGTCTTGCCCCAACGTCCCAGTAGTGGACGTTACAGCGGCACTGGTTGACGAAGGGGCGGAACTTTGACCTGGTGCCGTCGAACTTGTCCGGGGTCGGCATGTGGGGGAGCTGCGGGGCGGCGGAAGAGTGTGTGGTCCGGAGGAGAACCAGTTCCTCCTGGAGGGCAACGATTTGGGCCTGGAGTTGGTCCATGTGGGATATGGGGGCGGGGGGGAGAGTGCAGAGAAGACAACAGAGAATAGAAGGATGAGGGCAGCAACGAAGCCTCAGCCAAGCAGGTGGTCAGACAGAGAGAGGGAGTTCGAACAATATGTGAGGACCACGACAAGCAACGACACTGGACGACCAGGTGCTTGGCGAACAACGATAAGCTATATTACGACTTATCAGATAACAACAAGTGTTGTTCGAACTGCAGATACAAAATGGGTGCAAGAAAGGAGGGGCTTTATAGCCAAGAGGGAAACCGAAGGGCGAAAGTGGGCGAGAAGGGTGGAGCGACAAACGATGGACGAGAAGGGGGTGCGAGGGAGGCGGAGCATCCAGCGAGAGGGGCGAAGCACAGCGCAGTCGGAGGCGAAGTAAGAGTCATCGGCGCCAGCCAATCAGGGAATACACGCCAAGACAAACAAACATGACTCACGGTGCATCACGCGCAGCAGTCCACACGTGTTCCCAACGTGCATGATCATCACACTTGTCCAGGAAGGACAAGACTCGTAAGGAGGGAGGTGACTCCGGTAGCTCCCCAAACCTGCACACACTCCTGCCACCCCAGCTCTTTGTTTCCGCCCTCCGAGCCGTTCCTGTCGCTCCGGAGACCCATGACATCACTGCCATGATCAAGTTGAAACTCAGGAACGACCCCACCTTTGAACCCATCCTGTCCCAGCTTGCCAAGGACCCCAGTTCTCGTCCAGGGTACTCCGTGGATGGAGAGCTGCTCCTGTTCGAAGGCCTTGTTTGTGTCCCAGATGCCCCTGAACTCAAGCGAGCGATCCTTCAAGAGTGTCACGACTCGGCTTCTGCTGGCCACTTCGGGATTGCCAAGACCTATGAGTTGGTCTCCCGCACCTTCCACTGGCCATCAATGCGCAAGTACATCAAAGATTACGTCTCTGGGTGCGAAACTTGCCAACGAAATAAGCATTGACGACACAAGCCCTTCGGTCTCTTGTCTCCTCTCCCCGTCCCTGATCGACCGTGGTCCTCGGTCGACTTTATCACTCAGCTTCCCGAGTCTTCCGGTCACACCGTCATTTGTGTTTTCGTTGACTGGTTCGCCAAGATGGCTCACTTCATCCCTTCTTCCAATGTGGCCACAGCCAAGGCCACCGCCAAGATGTTCTCTGACCGCGTATTCTGCCAACACGGCCTCCCGGACGACATCGTCTCCGACCGGGGCTCAACCTTTACGTCCAAGTTCGTCAAGGCCCTCCTCGATTTACTCAAGGTCAACCATAAGATGTCAACCGCCTTCCAGCCCCAAACAGATGGACAAACTGAACGAGTCAATTCCGTACTTGAACAGTACCTTCGATGTTATGTTAACTTCCAACAGGATGATTGGTCAACCCTCCTCCCTCACGCGGAATTTACGTACAACAATACCAGTCAAGCAACTATCGGATGTTCGCCATTTTTTGCCAACACCGGCGTCAACCCCAAATTCTCGATCACGATTCCCCGCGTCACCAAGACCACAAGTCTCGCAGGAGATCCGGTACAGGAGATCCAAGCCTTACATGAGGAACTCAAATTCAACATCCAGCTCGCACAGGAATCCCACGCCAAGTACTTCCATGCCAACCGAAGTCTGGGCCCTGCTTCAGCGTTGGTAGCCGAGTCTGGCTCTCGGCAAGGAATATCAAGACCTCACGACCAGCCGCCAAATTGGACAATCTCAAACTTGGCCCGTTCAATATCCTCGCCAAGGTCGGGCCAAGATCATTCAAGTTGGACTTACCTGCGTCCATGAAGGTCCACCCCGTTTTCCACATGTCGCTCCTGGAACTGGCTCCGGATGACAAGATACCCGGTCGGGCCCCTGCCAGACCTCCTCCGGTTCTCGTCAAAGGCAATGAAGAATGGGAAGTTGAGCGAATTTTGGACTCGAGGGTGTTCAGGGGTAAGCTTCAGTACTTCGTTCACTGGAAGGGGTACACGGAGATGGATCGCACGTGAGAACCCGCGGACAACCTCGAACATGCGGGACAACCTGTCAAACTCTTTCACAGGAGCTACCCCAGCAAACCTGGCCCTCTCGGACTACTGTCGCTGAGAGGGAGATAATGTCATGGACTACATCGATGTTCCCCTCCTCGCTCGGCCGGGACGCGTACCTAACGCTGAAGCCAGGTGACTCGGGAAAGAACCCGGGTTACTTCCGAGCCCGTGGTTGCAACAGCGCCGAACTGAGGCGGGATCACGCCGATATCTGCTCGCCTGCCTATGCTGAGGCTGGGCGCAGGCTTATAAACCCGGCAGACGTGCCTCTCCATTTGAACACTCATTGCCTCTTGTATTTTCATCTTGTGTTTCTCGTTTCGAATGTATTTAGAGTTTTCGTTTTCGCTTCTCTCCCGCTCTCGAGTTTTGACTGAAAGTAAGTGAGGCGGTCTAAGCCGAATCTATGCAATTGTTCAAAGGTTGGGTCAACGGTCAACTACCATCCCCCCCGTCTGAAGGTGGGGATTCTTTTTGTTTCAGTGTCCCAGACAAAATTGGGATCGTTGACTCTTGTCAGGAACGGGGCGTGGGAAACAAGCGTCAGCAAACCGGGTGGGCTCTTGACGGTGAAGACAGGGCGTGGGAATCGGAACGAGGGCAAGAACGAGGAGCAGGGGCAGGGAGCAAGGGCAAGGTACGAGAGAGTGATGATCTTATATTCAGAAAGGTGATAAGATAATTCACTGGGTGTGCTTTCCCTCTGGCCCCTGAGCTCCTCTATTTATACTTCGACCATCTAATCTATCATGTCATCGAGCTCAGCCACAGGATAAGCCACGCTGTGATCAAACAAAGTAAATGAATGAACTAATCTAACGAATGATGCAAGAGGGGCTCGATCACTATCAACCACCATGTCCATGGGGGCCATGACCAACTACCGCGCCACACCCCCAATCATGGCACGCGTCCATAACAACTCTGGTCCAGGAGTGTCGGGGTATGGGAAATAATGGGATGATGACAACGGTGGAGACATGGCCCAAGCACGATACAAGTGCTCCTTCGCGCCTTTGTCAGTTGTCGTCTGTCCTATTCTTTTGGCAGAATAGTATTGTACCCAGTATATTTTTTGAGACGCCATTGCCTGTAGTTCTTCAAACCTTACTGGGATCATTTCAAACGCCTGTGTGTTGCATTTGAATGAATCCCAGCAGGCTTAGCTTGCAGTATATCCAGCCCTCGGTGATTCTTTCATCATCCTCGTTGTTTCACAAGACGTATTATCTCAAGTTGCTCCATAGCATCTTACGCTTTCTATTCCTACTCGCCCTCATTGCAGCTTCTTGGGGCCTGGCATATTGTCTGTTCGCCTGGACCGCCCTCATCGGATTCTGATTATTGTCCGCTATGCAGTATGCGCGGCCTGTCGCTCTCTATTTTTTGGATCCGAGAATCATGATTTCGGGTGACCATTCAGTCAATCTGGACATCCATATATTCGGTACTGGATGCTCATCCTGGCCTCCCTGCATCATTCGTGAGAACTGGTCTTTTCTTTGTCTTTTTCAGCGAGATTTGGCTTGTCCCAGCTGAGTTCGGGGTCGGGATGAACCAGACACCCGGAGATTTTCGGATGAGCATGCCATAAACGGTATTGCTGGCCAAGGAAATCCATTCGGCTCTCTCATGAGTACCAAATTTTCTCCATGACCGGCCGTGGCGTACTCCCTGGTCTGCACTTCAGTCACAATATATTATCCCAGCACCCCCACATTTTTTCCGATATGGATTGCAACCGAGGCTGCTATTCCACTAATATACACCCACTTCACGGCGAGCTACGACAAGCAAAGTGTTGCGATATCTGGCATCCAAAACAGAACTTTCGCCTCATTCGGTCAGCCGATATGGGTTCCTTGACCTCAAATGGCCTGATTGCTAAACCCATTGGTGCTATTCTTGCTTCTCACTCGCTGCGCTCACTCATGCTCATTTCATTGTCGTGTCTTGTTCCGATGTGCAAATGTTGGAGAGTACCAAGGACCACTCTGGCCACGAAGGTGGCGCTGGCAAATACGGGAATCAAACGTATGACCACATTCAGAGAAACACCCACAATGCTTCGGTCCCTCGTTGTCCGCAGTACATTGCAAGAATGCGATCATGCGCATGTGTTCAAGGGAGTGAGTTGCAACGACTACTATCGATCGCTATTGTGGGGCTAGTCCCTTTCTGTAATGATGCTAAGCATTGTCTGAATTAACTTACATGGTTGGGGAAAATGTGATGGAATAGCATGAGCCCCAGGCATCATGCAAGGTGCTAAATAAGCATCCCACTGAGACCTATGTCCAGATCAAGCTTTGAGGTCAGTCGCTTCGTTCCAAGCCAACTTAATTGGGGAATTGGGACGCATACATTTCACCTCTCTACAAGCTTCCTCAAGTCAGGCTAATATCGCTACCTGACATTTACTAATTGCTCCCAAATATTGGCTATGGATTTACCTGACATATATCAAGTCGCTAAGAGTGTTGAATCCTTGGTCCGGGCCATGGGACGGTCTTTTCGACTGAATCGCGACTCCGAGCTTTTCAGAATCAGCAGATTCTCCGACATGACGAGTCATGCGAGTGGTCGATTGAGGTGTGACTTTGGTCGGCTTCGGCCGCCGGGAGGGACACGGGGTTGCTTGGAAACATTGCCTCTTCTCAGACTGCTCAACTTGTGCGAAATACTCAGCGTCTTCTTCAGGGAACACGCCACCTGTATCATCATTGAGACCCGGAGTATAACGACATTGTAGGGTTATTCCCCCAAAGAGTATCCACAGCCAACAAAGTAGCCCGAGTCATTTTGCTTGGGGAGGGAGCATGGACACAAGACTCACCACTTCGCTTCATCTTATCGCGACGAATCTTGCGGAGGAGGGTCAACAGCGTAATGATTTGGCTTCGGTGACTTGGTTGGTGCTGGTTGGTATTTGGATTCGCAGATTCGATACCGCGATCATTCCCACCATCCAGCTTATGGCCACTCCCAGTCCTTCCACTGCTTGCTTTTGGCAAGCCCATATCCCCATGATGAGAATAGTTGGTGATTGTTGAGCTATGCAACTCCCTCTCGAACTGGGTATTGGCCATTCGTTTGGTAGTCAGGGATAACTAGCTCGATTAGGCATTCAAAGTGGTCACAGTGCGGCATGTTTGCCAGGTATCCACCATGCCCAGAAGAGTGCCGCAGCAATGTGATCTACGAATACACACCTACCGGAAGGCGTGATGCAGTCGTGGCCGAGACAGCCGAGAGAGACTCTTGATAGGTGCTGATGATCTGGGGATCTCGTGAATTTCGACGAAGCAACTTTGACCGACGCTTCCATTTCTTCTTGGGCCATTCCGACATCACTCGAGATGTTAGCCCAAATCCGGATGATCCCGCTGTTTTGTGGATGGCAATTGCGGCAGCATTGCATTTGCAGCAACCGCCAATTGGAACAATAACAGCAACAGCTTCGAGAGCAAATGTGCCTCGATCGCGAACCGACCTTTTTCCTCGCCAAGCGTGAGAGCTTACGATGAACAATATCGATGGTCCAATCTGGCGAATTCTCTAAGGTGCTACTTGACTCTCGACTGACTGCCCGATGACGTTCGCGGGGCAATGCTCGTTTGTCCTGGGGTAACGAGCTCATCAAGCCGCGGACCCTTGGGCTCGACAGCTTGATCGCAATCGCTTCTCTGTGGAGCCGGAGACCATCCTGGAAAGATCTGGAGGCCAGGGCCCCCAATATCTCACTGGGCTGTGCTTCTCGGATTGCCGGAGAGGATTGGACCGCTGGCATGGACACCGTGGTGTTGAACAACATCAACCGCCAATCTCGATGATGGCCGTCGGCCGATTTGCGATCGTGTGGAGCGAGAGTGTGTGTGTGGTCCAATCGGACCCAACCCCAGGGAAACAGCCAGATCAATACCGCAAGCATCCTCTCATGAGGTGTTTTATAGCGTTTCCAAAATGAAATGGGGACACCCGTTATTAACCAAGACGGTGTTTTATCTGGAACCTGAATGCACCCACCCACTCATCGCATTCATGGCCGAGCACAGCACCATCTTGATATCGAGATATCATTGAGCTGTCCAGAGAGTCGAGTGGATGCACCACACTCACACATCGAGACATCAATGCCTCACGGAACATGATCTCGGCATGCCAGTCGATCATCGCCACAGGAGATCGACCGAGTGTATTCAAGACCATGCTTCCCAAACCAACCAAAACCACTCGATTGCCAACGAAGACAGGAGTGCAATCTCACGGCTTGCTCACTGGGCCTACACTCAGTCAGCGGGTTTCAGACCTCTGAAGCCAGGAAGGAACTGTCCCGTTTCTTTCTGGATAGACTGTATACACCTCGAGCATTTCTACCACCACCACCACCCCCACCAGGGCAAGGATGACCTGGACAGAGCTCTCAGGACTCGCACACGATGGAGTGGATGCCATTAGTGAGCCACAACATGGTAGACCACCTCCTGTTCGGACGATACTACGCCGTTACTGGATTATGAACAAAGACAGGAGCACCATCACAAACGCCAGGGATTCGGAAACCGTGATCGGCCTCTGAAATTGCGAATCAAGTATGCGATGAACAGCCAATTGTATGACGAATGGGCATGTATTGTTTACCCGAAAGGGTGCCCTTGGTCACCTATACAGGGGTCCTCTTCTCTGTGAGCGATCAGCAGCGTCGCTAATCCATCCAATCGCTCAAAAAAACAGTCACAGATGCGGCGTCTGAGATCCGAAATCATCTGGAGGCGTGTTCTGTGTCGCCCATGAGAATCCCGCTCTTATTCCCATTCGATCGTGGCTGGGGGTTTCGAGCTGGATAACAGACAGTCATGTTAGGTCACGACAGGAAAGCCAGCCTCTTGAACCATTGGGCTGCAAATTTAATCCCATCTGTCGAACCGACTTGGGCGTCTCGGCGAGCAATCGATGGGATATCGATGTTCAACGCTTTCCTACCTGACATCGTACACCACGCGGTTAACACCTTGAACTTCGTTGATGATTCGACTGCTAATGCGCTTCAGGACATCGTATGGGAACTCGAACCAATCTGCAGTCATAAAGTCCCGAGTCTCAACGGCGCGGAGTGCAATAACCTGCTCGTACGTTCTCTTGTCGCCCATGACACCGACAGAGCGAACCGGCAGAAGAGCGGCGTAGGCTGACAGAATCGCAATGTATACGGAGTCAGCAGGCAATCGTGGACGCCTCTCTGCACCCATCTTGTCGGGTCACAGTGTCCCACAACATGCCGCTCATCTTCAGCTGGCACTTTCATACCCTGGGAAATCTTGCGGTAAAGGCCGGCCTTTTTGATCTCATCAATATAGATATAGTCTGCTTGTCGAGCAATTGCGACTTGAGAAGGGGTCACTTCACCAAGAATGCGAATGGCAATGCCAGGCCCGGGGAACGGGTGGCGCCAGACCAATTCGTCGTCGATCTCGAGCACCTTGCCGAGGGCGCGAACTTCGTCTTTGAAAAGCTCGCGCAGAGGCTCAATCAGCTTGAGCTTCATGTCATCCAATAGGCCACCGACGTTCTGATGGGGTTGATGGGCAGACACAACAAGCATAAGTTCATGTGTGCGCCTTCCGTCGCCAACCCATTCCCGATTACAGATCCAATGAGCTACAACGAATCGAGCTCCTCTTTTCATGGGGGGAGGGAATTGTACAATGCTCCGATGCCCTTATCAAAACGATATGGGTGTCCTCATCTGCGGCCCCAAACAGCGAGGACGTATCATGAAGACTACTTGATACAGGACAGTCCCGGTTCGCCATGCTGCCTTGCCTACACGATACTCACATGGTGAGTCTTGATGGTGGCGCTAGGACCCTTGAACGAGATACTCTCGATGACATCGGGATACAATGTGCCCTGCAGAAGGAACTCAATTTTTCCCTTTCCTTGGTGCTCGACCTCCTGTTCGATGCGATGGGCCTCAGACTCAAATACTTCGATGAAGGTGTTTCCGATAATCTTGCGTTTAGACTCGGGATCGGTGATCTGCCATGGTCGATGGTATTGATAAGTCCCTTGTTCTGGTGCAAGCTGGGCCAGTGTCTACTTCTCTCGGATCCGACAAGACCCATCCGCACGAGTGCCAAAGCATATGTACATACACCCTTGAGGCGGCCAAGGAACAGATCCGACGCCTGGGCGACTGTGAGGTTGATCTTCAACTTTTCTTCAAGAATCATTTTGGTATCTTGGCATTCATTCAATCGCATAACACCGTTGTCGACCAAGATAGCGTGGAATCTGAAAATAAGCCGAAGCCGAGACGGCCATGCGTCAGCCTCTTCACCGGTATACACGCTCGGCAGCAACGGCACCAACCCATACTTGAAGACCCATCGCAGCAATAGCTCGTGATCTGGGCCTCCTTTATTGTCCCATGGCCACTTTGTCGTCGAGTGAGACTCAGTCCGTTCCAAATTCATCGCGGAGGGACTTACCGGTCTCCGATGGCCATGCTCATGAGCTTAGCGGCAATCGTGCTATCGACGCCGCCAGAGACCGCACCGACAACTTGGGCGGTAGGGCCAACGATGTTTCGGATGCGCTGGATTTCCTTTTCAATAAAATCAGACTGATCAAACAGTAGTGGTGTAAGAATCGATCCTTGTCGACAAACAAACGCCGTCGGTCAAATAACAGACACAGAGCACAGGGAAAAAAGGTCAAGATCGTACAGAAAATCAAAGGCAAGGCGGCTGGACAAGGTGACGCTCGGTCTTCCTCCCACCCCCAGCTTCGGTGACATTGCCGTGTACCATACCATAGTCCAGTTGCTCGAAGCGTTGCAAATACCAATGACAAAGTTCTTCAAGAGCTGAGAGCCCAGAGGGGTGTGAGTAACTTCGGGGTGGAACTGAATGCCGTAAATGCGCTCGGCCTCGCAGTCGATGGCCGTGAAGGGTGAAGTGGATGTGTTGGCAACGGCGCGGAACCCAGAGGGCACCTTGGCCAGTTGGTCGCCGTGGGACATCCAAACCTACGTATTCAGAGTATAATCACAATCAGTCACAGCGCAGCCCATGCACCGGCAGTACAGAGCTGCTCGATGCAGGTGAATATGATTTCGACCAAGCACATGCCTCATTCTGTCCAAAGCCTTCGCCCAACCATGATGTCACTTCTTACCTTCAACTTGGCAGGGAGGCCAGCAAAGAGCTTGCTATCTGAGGCCTGGACGCTGATTTCGGCGTGGCCATATTCGCGCTTGTCGCATGGAAGAACCTGTCCACCGCGAGTATGGGCTATTTCCTGCACGAGAAAAGCATGTGGTTATCGGCGTTAGTTACTGGGTCATCGATACGTATCCAACACGCAACCAGCACGTATCCGACACGGCAGGGCCTCATGATCGAACGCGCGATGCTTATCGTGTGAGGATAGCATCGGAGTAACCCGCCGAAATGCAGTATGGGGGGGCGGCGACGTACTTGGAGGCCGTAACAAATGCCTAGCTTAGGAATGTCCAGGCTCCAATAGGCAGGGTCCATATGCGGGGCGTCGTGATCATAGACCGAGTACGGGCTTCCGGAAAGAATCAGACCTGGTCGGTGGATATTCGCAATTAAGGCCCGGAAATGAGCCACCAGAGCAGTTAGATTTCCACGCCCATCCACATTGAAGAGAAGCATCCGGGTCTCAGTTGGCCTCTCGATCTTTGGGTGCCGTGAAACGTCGCTTGGACCACGCACTCTCAGCGATGGCATCCAGTGGAGGCCTCGGGTCACTCGGTAATAGGCAAATCGCCGATCTCGTGGCAGAGCAAGCGAGTGGAGCGCGGCGCTGCCAGTGCCATCGAGTTCAATAATACACCCACCCTTGGGCTTGAATTTGATTTCGGAGAGCTTGGTAGTGCACGCAAGCAGCTCGCAGTACACGCCGAGCTCGCGGATGCGGCGAGCAATCAGATGGGTGTACTGCGATCCAAAGTCGAGGATCAGGATGGTGTCGTAGATCTGCGAGACTTCGGTTGTGGGGCTCATCGTTGGCAGGCGGCGTTGGCGGGGCGACGGAGGAGCTGGATGTGCACGGCGTGGTTCCGATCGGTGGGAGAGCCAGTGAGGCGGGCGTCGCTGGTGGGATTTGAGGACGCCTCGCAGCCCCCCCAAAAAAAAAATCGTCGGGGCTTTTTGGCCGCCGCGTCACCTGATGCGCAGCACCGGGACCGGCTGCTCCGACAAGGCAGGCCTGCGAGCCCGATGCACTGCGCAGACGCACAGACCGGCAACTTGGACAGGGCGCCGACCGCGGCGATAAGGCCCCGTCGCTGCAATCTCGCCGCCTCGTCCTGGATCTTCTCCGCGTCCCTCCTCCCCCTCTCCGGCAGCCTCTTCCTCGCCGGCTTCATCGCACCCTGCCCGATCTCCGGCTCTCGTCATCATGGTCAACATTGCTATCGTCGGTCCCGGCTTGGTCGGCGCCGAGCTCATCTCGCAGCTCCGTGCCTACAACCAGCTTGCCCACTCAGCCAAACTCCCGGTCATTGCCATCAGCAACTCCAAAAAGATGCTTCTGACGACCCCTGCCAAGTGTGCGACCGCCTTGACGGGCGACTGGACCGTCGCCCCCGATGTGGTCGCTGCCGATCTTACCAGGGTTGCCCAGCATGCTGTCCAGCACCAGCCCTGCGTGATTGTCGATTGCACCTCCAGCGATTCGGTCGCGGCTCTCTACCCGTCGTGGCTCAAGCTGGGGCTCCATGTCGTTACCCCCAACAAGAAAGGGTTCTCGGGCAGTCTGAGTTTGTTCAAGGAGATCAAGGCTCTGACGGCTCCTAAGGCTGGCCACCGCTATCCGCTCGCCTACCACGAGGCGACTGTTGGGTAGGTATTGGCGATAGTTGACTCCAGCCAGTTCGCTGACGATCAGAACTGAGTCGATGAGCGGGCGGGCATCTCGTGGTGCCACGGTGGATGAGGAATTATAATGGAAACAAGGCAGTGCAAACCCAGCACGTTCGGGTGATGTCGGCTGAATCTTCTCCGCTCCCATCCGTCAGTGCCGGCCTGCCCATTATCAGCACTCTCACCGACTTGATTAGCACCGGAGATCATATTGAGAAAATCGAAGGCATCTTCTCGGGAACTCTGTCCTATATCTTCAACAACTTCTCGACCACGGGTGATGCTTCTACCCCAAAGTTCTCGGAAATTGTTGCAATTGCGAAGGCAAAGGGTTATACGGTCAGTACTCCGTGCCGATGCGATGCGAGTTGACTCTGTTCAATGGGCTGTCGATTGAAGGGTTTTGTCAGCTTGTGGACGGCAAGTCTGTTGGTCCACGATGACCTCAAACACTGGATTGTCTTCGTACTCCCATGGTGGCCACCATCGTGATTGCCCCCCCCCAGAAATTAAACCAGCGGCGACGGCCATCATTTGGATGCGATGTGCTATGGGATCAGCATCCGCGACCGACGAAGCAAAGTACCCCAATATGCTATGCTGACACGCGCCTTCTCGTCATTGCGACTTTGGTCGGAACCAGGAGCCAGATCCGAGAGATGACCTGAACGGTATGGATGTGGCCCGCAAAGTTGTCATCCTCGGCCGTGTTGCCGGCCAGGAGCTTTCTTTGGAATCTCTGGAAGTGGAAAACATTGTTCCACCTGAGCTTCGATCCATTTCCACATCGGAGGAGTTCATGGAGAAGCTACCTCTCTTTGACGACCACTTTGCCGCGCTCAACCAAAGTGCGCGCGAAAGTGGCTCTGTCCTCAGATTGGTGGGAACCGTTATCCCAGGCGGACAGAGCTCTGTCAAGTTGGTGAGGTAGGACCCACACACGATATCACTGCACAGGGACTCCGATCCGACCGTTAGGACGCATCTCCGTGGCGCATGGCGCAGATGCTAAAAAATCTACTCCTCAACCGGTCGATATATCCAGATACGATGCCTCCCACCCGTTCGCCTCGCTGAAGGGTAGCGACAACATCATTGCCTTCACCACCAAGCGATTCCCCAGCCCCCTCATCGTTCAGGGCTCAGGCGCGGGCGCGGCAGTCACGGCGCACGGCATTTTCTCAGACATTCTCAGAATCAATGCCATCACTAGCTATGCGCTCTAAGATGATCTGCGGTAGATATCGATGGGCACCGTCGGAGGCAGCGGCCAGCTGCAAATACGGAATACAATCCGATCGAGCATTGCCTCGGAGATCCTCTCTGCGACACCACTGGCACCAAGACCCAACCCCACGGCGAGGCTGCTCTGAGGACGGACCACAGTGACTGTGTGGCTGTGTGTGTGGCTGTGTGTGTGTGTGTGGCCGCATCGATGCGTGGGCGATAAGCTCCACGTGATTTAATCTTAATGAATTCATTGTGTGCGCAGCTGCACAGAACGAGCCCGCTGTGTCTGTGTGCGTCCAAACCAGACCCCCGCGGCGCTGGTGCCACATAACCAAACACAGATGCCTGCCTCATTCGCAGCCAGCAAAAATCAAATCCGCGCCTGGGAATCTCGGTGGTGGCCGTCGTTCATCGCCAAGATCCTCATTTTCTCCTGTCGGCGGCTGCCTCTGCTTACCGAAAAGCCCTAGCGCCATGTTCGCCCGATCCGCCTTTGCTCGCCTGCCTGCCCGTTCCAAGGTATGCTGCCGTCCCTTCCCCGATGTCCAGCCGCCAGTCGCTGGCCGCGCTGGCCGCCGCTTAGCTTGGGCAGCACAGCAGACCCCTCGCCGTGGTGCTTCGACACCACCCTCGCTTCCATTCCCGCCGGATGCATCGCTTCGTTTCCCCGACCAACCCTCTATTTACGATCTGTGGAACTTCAGTAACTTGCTCACGTCGAAGCAGCCTGCTTGTTGGTGGGCTGCTCGACCACCCATGTCACAATCTGCCAACTCATCCATCGCTTTCTTTATCCTCGGGCAACAGGCTGTGTCGTCCCAGCTCCGTTCGCTTGCCACGGCAAACACCAGCAACGCCGAGGGAACCTTCACCCCCGTAAGCCACTTCCCCTCCCCCAGCTTTTCATCTGCGCTGTGAGCCATTACTGCCGAGTCGATAATCCTCAACGTCCTCGCCAACAAGTCCGTCGTAGCCTTGGATGGACGCCGGGATCACACCGAGGCTCGTCAGGCTCGCTAACGTTGCTCTCTGGCTCTCCCATCCCCCAGGACGGAAAGCGTGTTGTCACCCTCATCCCCGGTGACGGTATCGGCCCCGAGATCTCCAAGTCGGTTCAGCGAATCTTTGCAGCGGACAATGTAAGAATCCGACATTAACGTGGCGTGCTGGGATACTTGGCCTTTTTCTGCTTGGGAACTAAACCGAATCACTCGCTCTGCAGGTGCCCATCACTTGGGAAGAAGTCAGTGTCACTCCCGTTCTCAAGGACGGCAAAACCGCCATTCCCGATGAGGCGCTCCACTCCATCAACCGCAACAAGCTTGCCCTCAAAGGTATGACCATGTTGCATTTACCAATGTCCGTTGTCGGGATGTCCTTTGTCTGACTGAACATCTTCGCTGCTTGTTTGCAGGTCCTCTTGCCACCCCTGTCGGAAAGGGCCACGTCTCCCTGAACTTGACCCTCCGAAGGTGAGATGCCGGGCAGATGCCCGGCATTCGGCAGCCACTTGCATGCAGCGCAGACACACATCCGTCTGTGCGTCAATGTTGGATCGATACTAATCCGACTCGCCGGTCCAATCGCACGCCCTTAGAACCTTTGACCTCTTTGCCAATGTTCGCCCTTGCCAGTCCATTGTTGGATATAAGACTCCCTTCGACAACGTCAACTCGGTTCTCATCCGCGAAAACACCGAGGGCGAGTACTCGGGTATCGAGCACCAGGTACTTTGGACTCTGCTTTTTCGGCCCGCTATCTTGAGTTGCGTGGTGGCTCTGGTGGCTCACCCATTTACCCAATACCTCTCTGTCGGTTGGCATGGCATGGCATTGCGTTGCGGCGCTGCTGCCATAGGTTGTTCCCGGTGTTGTCCAGTCCATCAAGCTGATCACCCAGAAGGCCTCGGAGCGCTGTGTGCGGTATGCCTTTGAGTATGCGCGCACTACCGGCCGAAAATCCGTCACTATCGTTCACAAGGCCAACATCCAGTACGTATCTGTGGTCCCTCGCTCGCAGTTTCCAAGCCCGCTACAGTCGACACATCCATTTAACTTTGGTGCTTTGTCTGCTCGAACGCACAATCCTCGGTCTCGCCAGGCGACTGTCCGACGGCCTTTTCCTCTCCACCGCCCAGGAAGTTGCCAAGGACTACCCCGACATCAAGTTCGAGGAGATTCTCTTGGACCGTGTCTGCCTCAAGGTACGACGGATACGCAGCTAAGCGATATATGAGGGGCGGAGCTGGTAGTCGGGCCTGTCGTATTTTGTATTCCTACTGGTGCTGACTGTCGACCAGCGGAAGTCCCAGCCAACCCCCGTTATGACATCAATGGTTAAGCCGCTTCGTGTCTGAACGACCCTATCTCTACTCTCCAACTACGCAGATCGTCCAAGACCCCACCCAGTACTCTGATACTGTCATGGCCATGCCTAACCTCTACGGTGACATTCTCTCGGATCTCTGCGCCGGCCTTATTGGCGGTCTTGGCCTCACTCCCTCTGGAAACATCGGACTGAAGGCCAGCATCTTCGAGAGTGTAAGCTCAGCTTCTTGCATTTGAAGTGGCACGCTTTTTGGGTCTGCGCTTCATTCCAACTCACCATCGCCTTTGTTTTAACGCATTCCTCCAGGTCCACGGAACCGCTCCCGATATTGCTGGCAAGGATCTGGCCAACCCCACCGCTCTCCTTCTCTCTGCCACCATGATGCTCCGTCATATGAAGCTCGAGGAGCACGCTGACCGCATCCAGAAGGCCGTCCTCAGCACCATCGCCGAGGGCAAGGTTCTCACAGGCGATCTTGGCGGCCGATCCACCAACACTCAGTTCACTGACGAAGTCATCCGCCATCTCTAATTTCGACTCGAGGCTTTCCGCGTGTAGTTACACAGCCGGAACGAGCAATATGATCCCGTAGACTGAGAAATACATCTCTATTCGCTCAACAATCGTTATTTGGCTCCCTGACCAGCATATATGTGTGGTGTTACTGCGACGGCATCCGTGCCTTGTAATGCGACAGACTCGATCGGTCCCAAAGGCATTACTGTTCCCGGAAAGTGCTGATTGCACTGTATTCAGGGGGAAATGGGACACTTTCCCAAAACCCATATGTCAGCGTAGTATGGGATGACATGCGTCTAACTATGCCATAAGAAATGCAAACAGATCATCTCGGCAGCCTCCGAGTGAAGACCACCGGTCGTAGTGCAGCGATGCGGAAATTGAGGGTGTTGTGCTTGGCCATGATTGCGATGAGTGGGTGGGTATATTCAGGTCACAGAAAAAAACACTGTCATGGCTCAAAATGGGGGGGTATCCCATTTTATTGTGGAAACGCTGTAATCCCTGATCTCACAGCACAGCTCGCGGAACTGGTAAGTCGCCCAGCAACAAAGCCTTCATCGGTTGTGGCATGCTCAAGACAAAAGTGTATTCAGGGTCTGAAGTGAGTGACTCCGTGCAAAGGAAGCTGTCCTGGCGAAACCCCGAACCGGGCACATGGTGCTTCAGCAACCAATGGGATCCTGGCCCGGGTGGTCGGAGCGGAACGTCGAGGCTTTCGGGCCTTGGTGCTATTCTTCCTTTTGGAAGGTCGCAGACTCCTGAGGCTTGGCCCGAACCAGAGGCTGGGAAGCACCCGACTTGGATCGTGCGGCTGGCTCGCCACAGCCAGATGAGTCAGGAACTTGTCGGTGCCTCAGCCATACCTTGAAGGTCATGATTGTCCAGGCCGTGTTCAAGAGACCCAGAAGCCAGAACATGAGAAAGCCAGGAACCGACACGGCCAGAGGCTGCGTCATCAACTCAGAAACAATGGCATAGAATCCGTTGCCAAGTTGTGGCAGAAGAAAGAAGAGGTACGGGAAAATCCAGGCCCGAAATAGCAGAAAGCTAAGAGCCCGTAGTAGTAGGAGAAGGGAGTAGGTCGACGTCTTTGCTGTGGATTCTGCCTGCCCTGCAGTTGCTTGAGAGAGGTGCGACCCGGAATTGATCAACGGTGCTTCTGCGGACTGGGACGACATTGAAATTCGCAAATGATACTGCCCCGACGACTCGGCTTCCGTCGAGATGCGGGATGAATCGAGTGACGCTGCTGAGCTGGTTTCATCAGCCAGCGGAGCCACGGCGGGATTCCAGACGAACTGATAGAACCATAGGCAGTTCTGGAAGATTGCCGTCAGCTCCGATACCATGTAGTAGGTGGATATGATGGCACAAGCTCGATAGTGTGGCATCAGAAGACAACAGTAAAAGGTCTTGACATGCCGTTTGCGATCCGCCCAGAGGCAGCCGCCAACCAGCCGGTACAAGCAAGCGTTAAGAAGCAGTCGGCAGCTCTCACGAATCCAGTCCCAGGAGAGGGATGCTTGCTTATCCACGAACAGAGTCGCCACATGCAATGATCGATTCTCAGACTGTCGCCTCCACTCACGGAGAGCCCAAGGGAAGCGCTTGATCTTCCCACAACTCATGAAGACCGAGCCCCTTACCATATAATGATGAAGCCACATAGTCCAATGGGAAGCTTGTTGCAGATACATGGTTCCCATGTCGTACAACGTATATCCGGCCAAGTGCGGATAGATCCAATCGAGCAGGGGCGGATACGTGGTGAAGATATTCGCATTCCGGAAGGCGCCAGAGAGGACCAAGTAACCCGCCAGCGAGCCAGTAGCAAGTGCGTGGATGGACGAGCAAACCCTGCGATCATCGGCCCGTCGGATGTCAGCGCACAGAGGCATGCCTGTGGCCAAGCATTCCCTCTCGCCCCAACTTTGGTAATGTAAGCCTCTCCTTCGCTCCCCCACATGGCAAGTACTAGGAATCGCCGAGATATCGCCACTTACTTCTCTGCGGTAAAAATTTGATTGCGATGCGAAAGCGAACGATAAGTCGCCAGAGGCACAAACCACTCAAGATTGGCAGCGACCGCGACCTTGACGATGCCAACGTGAACGGCTGAATAGGCGATCGTGAAGAGCAAACCACGGAAGAGACATGTCCAAAACATGAGAGTAGCTTGGTGACGAATCGATGGTGGATCTGCTGCCAGCAGGAGAAATCACAGTCAACAGGCTAGCCAGGCCGATGGAGATATGCAGACAATCATGTGGAAACGCAGGGCCACCAGTTGAGCATCTGGAGGGAAAAAAGCTCGTGGGATTCGGGGTGGAGCACAGCGACAAAATCCTGCGCCGGCACGTTGATACGACTGACGCGATCACGACGAAATCAAGCCCAGGTCAGAGCTATAAGCTGAGTGCATATCAGGACAGAATAAATCAAGTCTGACAATATAAGGAACGATAAAACAAGCTAAGCAATCCAGCGCAATGCAATCCAGCGCAATGTCATGAACGGCAATACAACGCAGTGCAATGCGGGCAATGCAGGCAATGTCATGAAGGGCAGCAGAATATAATGCAATGCATGCATGCGAAAGCACTCTGGCGGTCGAAATGAGACGCTCTGGTGGTTAAGAAAGCAAGCAGGACAAAGGGGTATCGACTCGCCAATAAACATGATGGCGGATTCTGCGGCTGGATGAGTGGGGATATTGGCTGCCCGGCCTGGAAGCTGCGAACCAGCCGCAGTCTGCAAACATCAGCAACGAGCAAAATCCGACCTGGCGATCAATATGCCTGACGCAAGAGCTGATGAATGGGAGCAGGTGGACGGCAAGATGGGACTGTGAGGCCAGCCGGCCAGCCAAGCCAACAATCTCAACCTGCCGACCAGCACACGCCTCCCGACCGCGTGCTCGGCCGCCGCGCGGCCTTCTCGGCAGGCCCGCAGCGCACACAGGATCCGCCAGCATCCTCCTCGCGAGGCGTCTTGGTCCTGGTCTTGGTCTTGGTCTTGGTCGTGGTGGAGCGGCAATTGTATGCCCAGGGCTCGTTTGGGGCTGGACCTGCTTGGGTCGGGCCTCTTGGCCGAGTCTCATCGGGCAGTGTCCTTTGGCGAGCCTCATTTGGCGAGCCGGGTGTGACTTTCACATGACTGAGCCGCAGCCTTGCGGAGTGTCGGCTTGGCATGTCCTGCGCTTGGGCTTGCGCTCGGTCGATCTCCTCTCGCCTGTTGCTGATCTGCTGCTGCTGACGGCCCTTCGTCCCTGACCATTGGCGTGCTCGATAGACTCTCCTCCATCTCCGTTCGAGTGTCTGTGTTCGCCGGCCCCATCCACCGCCTCAGGCTGACTGTGTCCGTCCCTGCCAGTGCTGTTGAGCTGCTCAAGAAACCAAAGCCATCGCCAACATGTTCAAGATCCGCCCGTCTCTGCTCTTCCCGGCATCGATCGTTCCGGCTCTTGCACGCCGACTCATTCCGAACCCTGCTGTCCGAGCAACTGCTCGGCTCGCTGTTTCTAGTGTATCGCAGCTCCAGCCGCGTGCCTTCACAGTCGGCGACCGCCCGCAGCATGACTCCATGGCAAGACCCTCGCCAAAGCTTGGGCAGCTTGTTCCGGCCCAGCGGCTTCGAGGAGCTCCCGCAAGCATCTTTTCCCACACCGTCAACCCGTCAATCTTGCACCGATCGGAGCTTGACGCCAAGCTTGTTATAAGGCGTCTATTCCACATGGCTCGCCCCGTCGAAATGGCGCAAGTGCCCGAGCCGGCCGGATCCAGCTCCGCATCGAACTCTGGATCTGCTAATGAGCGCAAGGAGCCGCGCGATATCAAGACGCTGATGCGAGAATACGGCTTGCTGGCGATCGGGGTGTACTTCACCTTCTCAACGATTCTGTTCATCTCGTGCTTCATTTCGATCAACTTCCTGGGCGTTGATGCAGCCATGGTGCAGTCGATCTTTGACAAAATCAAGAGCACATTGGGTCTCCACGTCGAGACTCCCGAAGAGCGGCAGTTGCGGGTCGAGAAGGAGCGCGACGAGGAGGCCACCGGCATCAAGGCCATCGTCTCGGCCTGGATCAAGAACCCGGCGATTCTGACACTCGCTGGCAATGTTTTGCTGGCTATGGCCATGACCAAGCTCTTCATCCCTCTCAAGGTCCCCCTGGTGGCCTTTGTGACGCCGATCGTGGCCCGCAGACTGAGGGCAATGGGCTACCACATTGGGCAAAAGGGAGGATTGGCCGACGCGGCCAAAACCGTGCGCGAGAAGATGCACCACCGCCAATGAGCAGCAAGCCGAGGTTTTCCGAAGCCTGCACAATCGCCCATCCAGTCCCAGGATGGCCATGATCGGCCTGGACCACCGCCAAGGACATCCGGGCAACAAATCTCGATATGATATGCATCCACCAATACAGTCTATCCAGAAAGAAACGGGACACTTCCACTTCCTGGCTTCAGATGTCTGAACCCCACTGACTGACTGTAGGCCCCAGTGAGCAGGCCATGGGATTGTTTCCCGTCTTGGTTGGCAATCGAGTGGTTTTGGTTGGTTTGGGAAGCATGGTCTTGAATACACTCGGTCGATCTCCTGTGGCGATGATCGACTGGCATGCCGAGATCATGTTCCGTGAGGCATTGATGTCTCGATGTGTGAGTGTGGTGCATCCACTCGACTCTCTGGACAGCTCAATGATATCTCGATATCAAGATGGTGCTGTGCTCGGCCATGAATGCGATGAGTGGGTGGGTGCATTCAGGTTCCAGATAAAACACCGTCTTGGTTAATAACGGGTGTCCCCATTTCATTTTGGAAACGCTATAAAACACCTCATGAGAGGATGCTTGCGGTATTGATCTGGCTGTTTCCCTGGGGTTGGGTCCGATTGGACCACACACACACTCTCGCTCCACACGATCGCAAATCGGCCGACGGCCATCATCGAGATTGGCCGACCACGAGAGCTGTCGCGTGGCGATTCGGCCTGGGCGGCTGGTGCGCCGATCTCCGCCAACAGGGCGGGCTGTCGCTCGGATTGCGCACGCGCGCGACCCTGCCATCCGCCTTGCAACTGGCGCGCTGTATTACACCGACGCGCACAGACCCGTCGGTGGCGCGTTGATCTTTCCTTTTGCAGGGCCTGGTGCGATGGCGCATTGCTGCATTGTTGCTGTTGCAGTTCGAGGGTTAGGTTCGGGATCCAACCCGACATCCGACATCCGACATCCGACATCCGACATCCGACATCCGACATCCGACATCCGACATCCGACATCCGACATCCGACATCCGACATCCGACATCCGACATCCGACATCCGACATCCGACATCCGACATCCGACATCCGACATCCAACATCCAACGTCCGACCCAGCATTGAAATTGGAAACCCTCGGCGCTTGGCGATGCTGCAGCCGCGCTGCGCTATTCCTGCACTCCCTGTCTGCTCTGTCCGGCGCTGCGTCGCCTTGTCAGGCCCCCGCTTTGTGCGTCCGTTGCCCCGTCGCCGGCTTGTCGATGGCCGTCCCACCTGCCATTTCGGTCCCTCGTACCCTTTGTGCTGCCTCGGCGTCGTCTTTGTCTTTCTCGCCTTCTCTGGAGGCTTCTCTGGCTGGCGACTCGCGATCGCAATCGCCCTCTGCTTGCGCTCTCCCCCCCCTTTGCCCACTTGGCTTTCGTCAACAGCCTTCGTCGGTCTGCTGGTCTGGATTGTCTGTCCCCTTCTGCTGATATCCCGCAGCGTCTGTCCACGATGAACCGAGCCCAGCCGCAGCCGCAGCAACAGCAACAGCAGCTGCACCCGCAGGTATGTCGGCCGCTCTCCCCCTGGCCCTCAGGCGCCTGGCCAGCGATCACCGAGGCGCCTAGTTTTCTCGGATTTGCGCCCCTGTTCACCTGTGTCCGCCGATTACGACGTTGAGCACAGCACCGAAGGACCAGGGCCACGTCGTCATGATGCCGGGCGTGATCCTCTGTAGCATTCGCCTTGACATCCCCGGTCGGATCGGAGAGTCCCTCCCGTCGTCGAGCCTCCCACATTTCCGGAATCTTCTCGCATTGCTCTGAACGTGATGCTCGGCACCCTTCCTCGTCTTGCTCGACATCCTAACAATTTCTTCCTTGGGTTTTCGTCCTTTTAGCACTATCAGGGCTACCGCCCCCCTCCCACCGGGTACCAGCAACAGGTCCCGATGCAACAGCATCAGCAGCAGCAACAACAGCCTCAACACAGGTTTTCGATGGATGATGCCGATTCGGTTTCGGACCAGTCCATAAACGATCACATCGAAGAGGCTACGACTCGTCCTCTTCACAGCGAGCCTCAGTACTCCTCCCGAATGTCTTCCATCAACGGGTATGGTATGGCGGGTACCCCTCAGGCCGCTGGTGCCAGACAAATGGGCCATCCGCAGCAGCAGTATTACCAGCAGCAAAGTCAGTACCCTGCACAGCCCTCGCAGCTGCAAAATCCTGTTCAGGCGCAATATCAGTACCAGCAGCCGCAACAGCCGCAACAGCCACAACAGCTGCAGCACCAACAGCAGCCTCTGCAACAGCAGCCCTTCCAGCACCCAGGCCAGCCCCCGCAGCAGCTTGGTGGTCCAAAGCAGGCCGGCGGCGTTAGCCACCCTGCTCGACAGAACTCGTACCCACCGCCCCAGGCTCAGAATCCCGGTCCATTTCGGGGTGCATCGTATCCTCCCGTGGTTGGCGCTGGCCAGCCTCCCAGCGGTATGGGCCAGCCCATGAACCCACCCGGCAGTGGTGCATATGGGGCCGAGGCCAATCCCCCCACACGATTCACCTCGCCGGCGCCCCAGAGTGGCTTCGTCGTACCTCCCCGAGGCATGCAGTCGCAGCAGCCCCGTAATCTTCCGTCCCAGGAAAACGTTGCCGCCGCCAACACACAGGAGACCAAGAAGAAACGAGGCACTGGTCTCTTCAATTTTGTTCTCAAGAAGGATAAAAAGAGCCAGGACAAGAAGCCTGCCAAGCCGGACGAATCGTCGACCACGACTCGCCAGCCGCCCACTTGGTCGATGCTGAAAGCAGACTCGCTGTCGCCGACAAACGACAAGCGCTCCTCCACCCAGATGCTTGCAGATTTCTTCAACACCGAGGCCCCCAATCTCGACGATCCTGTCTTCAAGCGAAAGCCCGACCCGCCCCAACGCCTCTCTGCTCAGCAGCATGCGTATCAATTCCCATCACGTGAACAAGGCGACCAGGACGGACCTCCGCCAAGAACGCTCTCCAACGGCAACGGCAACGGCAACGGCAACGGCAACGGCAACGGCCATGCCTACGAACAAGGTCCCGACGACTATTTCCCTGAAGATGAAGAATACTACGAGGACGACGATGAAGAGTCTGTCATGGACGGAACCCTCTTGCGCAATACCCAGCTGAACGCCGAGATTGATCCTGGCCAAACTGGCGACTCCCTCCCCAGACCAAACAGACGCAAGAGCAAACTGGTCAAGTTTGCATCTATGCATGAGGAGATTACATACGAAGTCGAAGACGACGAAGATGAGTACGGTGAATACGACGAAGAGTATTACGAGGACTACTATCCCGACGAAGCCGAGCCCTCAGATCAGGAGCCCGAGCCTTCACCTCAGCCCGAGCCAGAAAAGGCGCCAATGCAACCTCTGAAGCAGCGCATGTCCTCCCTGTCGTTCACGCCTGTTGCTGCACAGGTGCCAGGTACTCAAGGCCCGGCTCAGCAACAGCAACAACAGCAGCAGCAACAACAACAGCAGCAGCAGCAGCAGCAGCAGCAGCAGCAGCAGCAGCAGCAGCAGCAGCAACAGCAGTCCACATCAACCCCTCCTCCTCCTCCTCCTCCGGTTGCTCCTTTGGCTACAACCCCGCCCCGGACTGACAGTAGCACGGCGCCAAGCGATCGTGCAGTTCCCGTGCCTCTCAACCCACGAACGATCTCCAAGGCATCGGCACCAAAGCCCGTGACAGCAGCCGTGGTGTTGGCCACTCCGCCCGTTACATCCAGCGAGGTGGTGTCAAAGTCGACTGGCACTGATCCATATGAATCCACAGCAGGCCAGGATGCCGCCGTCGGGCCAGCCACCACCGCATCACTGGACTTGCTGCCCGCAGTCGTGCCTTCCGACTTTTCTCTGGATCTGGGCTCCAGCTTTGGCCTCCAGCCCTCAAGGTCTCCCCAGCCACAACAACCGAACCAATCTATCTCAGTTTCCGGCGCGACCACCATCACCGGTAACAAGCGAAACAGCTCGCTGAATGCTGGCGGCCAAGCTGGCGGCAACTTGCTCTCACCACCCGGAACTCCGGTGGAGCGCAACAGCCTCCAGGTCTCTGGTGACCGGACAAGTTTCCTGCTGATTCCCGGTGACCGCACTAGTATCAACGGCATCGCAGCCTTGTCCAACGTTGATGCGCCCAAGCCACGCCGCAAGGTCCGTCACGTCCAGATTCAGACTCGAGGCGCCACACTGAAGGAGGCCGAGTGTCAAACATCACCGACCGGGCCAAGTGAAGAGGAGCTAGCGAGGGTACGCGAAGAACAAGAGGCGGCCACAGCTGCTGCGGTCGATACGATTGAGTCGCTCGCCGCCCAGCTGGAAGATGAGCGTATGCGGTGCAAGCATCTGGAGGACGAGCGTGACGATTTGATTCAGCATCGCCAAGAGCTTCAGGCGGAGCGGATTGAGATCCTCTCCCAGAAAGATGATCTTCAGTCGCAAAACAACGATCTCGAGCAGCAAAACCTGGACCTGATCCGCAAGAATCAGGAGCTTCAAAAACAGAGCGAACAGCACCAGCAGACGCTAGCCGCCATGGCTGAGGATTTCACCAATCTGTCGCGCGAGCTGGAGGCTCTTCGACAAGAGAAAGAGGAGATGATTGCCGCAAACGAGGTCAACAAAAGCAAGTTCGATCGCCTCTCGGCCCAGGCTTTCAAAAAGATCAAAGAATTGCTCGCGGAGAAGCAAATGTACGAAATCGAGATCACGAGTCTCCGAGAACAGGTAAGCATAGCCGTCATAGTGCCGACACAGGCTTTGAAGTCCTGGTCGTATTAGATTGTGGTTCGTGCCTGCCGTCGCATGCCCTCCTCCACCGGCCATTTTTCGGGCAAGAATCGGGACTAAGTGTGGATACTGTGGACATGTAGGTCGAGATGTTGGACCAGGCCCACAACCAGCTGCTGGATTACGGTGAAGACGAGCTTCCTGAAGATGGCAACGGTTACAGCGGCCAGTACGATCAGTCGCTGTATGACCAGCAGTACGACCAGCAGTACGATCAGCAGTACGATCCGCAGTATGATCAGCAATACGGCGGCCCGCACGACCACCCGGGGCAGTATCAGCAACACTATGAGCAGCCGCCACAACATCACCCCGATCATCCAGCAGCCGCCCAGTCGTGAAGTGCCGATCGGCGCGGCCAAGGTCGACCCAAGTTGACTCAGAAAGCATCCTGTAAAGTCGCAGCAGCATGTCCAGCGACGGAACTTTTGCGGCGGCTCTGCCTTCATCCCTCTCGACGCGACCTCTTGATTGATATGACGTCATAGATTGGCACCAAATTTATCGTGGCAGCCACAACAGTACTGATTTAGTTATTCTTGCCTCTCTGCCGTTGCCCCTCCGATTACTATCATTATTGCTGCTGTTTCGACCGCTGAGCACAGTCTCGCCTTCGTCGATTGTCTAATTGAGATGGTTCGCATCCCCGGCCTTTATCTTTCATCTGCGCTTGGATTGCTCGGCGCTTGGATTGCTCGGCGCCTTGCATTGATCTCTTACTCTCCTTTGATCCCTTTCCTTTCTTTTCTTTTCCTTTCCTTTCTTTGCGTTGATCATGTCTCCTGTCTCTGGGCAGTTTTGAGTATTCTTCCTTCCTCATTCTGTTTTGCCCCTCCCCGTCTTTGTGTCCGAATGTCTCCCGAGATCTCGTGGTGCTTGGCTGAGCATACTCGTTCTGTCACAGTTGAATATGATCGTCCGGTATACACTATACTCTGAAACAGGACGCTGTTCCATGCCAATCCATCATCCATGCCCGACAGGCCGTCCTGCAACAGTGAATCGGCCAAGCTCTGGTTCGATTGCGATATGGATCCAGCCAGTCCAGCCAGTCCAGCCAGTCCAGCCAGCAGCCTGCGCCACAGCCAAGCCATCCCTGTGCGACGCTCTTTTTTTCTTCCTGTCGCTGGCCCTCGGGCGGCCCTGCTGGTGCAATAAAGCCCTGTGAGGGCTGCATCCCTCTTTCTTCCCCCTCTCTGTCTGCAACGTCCATTCCTCGTTTAGGTAATAAACCCCGATCAGTCTGGGTGCAGGCCAGCGGCCGGCCTGGGCGACCTGATGCCTGTGTGCCTTCTTGCGTCCTATTCTTTCCTCGCACAACCCCTGCGTCCACCACAGCCGGCCCTGCGATTGTTGGCATCTCCATGCGGCTTGAATCGTGCGGCTTACTTGGTCACCCGCACTTTTGGTGTTGGCTTGGCCTGGCTTGGCTTGGCCTGGCTTGCCTTGGCCCGGGCTGTGCGTCAAAGCACCGTTTTGGTAATTGTTTCAACGATCGAGTGTCGTCGTTCCGTTCACGGAGCAGTAGTTCCCTGTTGGCACCGCAAGCTGCGAATCGCGAGCCAGCCACTGGCCAACGACCGGTGGTCGTTTCAGGGAAATGACGGATGAAGATCGCTGCTGTCGGTCTTGCGCTTCCCCTGAAGCAGCAGTGGCTGCAGACGCTAGTGCTGGGCTGTCCCGACCCATCTTCAGGCTGCCTCGACGACACCTTCGATGGAGGGTCGGGACTCTGAGTGTGCAACGATGACGATCGAAGAAGATCGACTGACCTGCTGCCACCAGAGCCGCATGGGCGGCAGCCTATGCCGATCTGCATCACCCAAAAACTGCTTCATGAATCGGAACATGGCCGGCGCCGAATCTGCTTCCTTGGAAGCAGACAGAGACAGCGACGCCCTTTTGGCTACTCTCAAGCCAGGATGTGCATCGTTGTCTCTGGACGCCGGCCAGGCGACACTCATGATGGGCAGTCCCGCATGGCCTCCTGCCCGTCAGGAGCTGTGTGTGGGCTTCCGCTGAATCGCTTTGGCGATCCCCTCTTTTTTTTTTTGGGCAGAGCACACAGTCTTGGCCTCGTTGCCATCGCTCGTGCGTTCAAAGAAAGAGAGGTCGATTCTCAAGGACGACACTCGCTGCGAAGCTTGTTGGGTGATGCTGCTCGGTCTGCATCTCGGCTAACGATAGCATCGTTGTTCTGTAGACTCAAGTCAGCTTCATTCGAAATGGTCCGCATCTCTGTTCTCGTAAGTGTACTCTGATCTTGCTCATCTCGCCTATTGCCAATTCGGGTGCGGCTGCGTTGCATGGGCGGCGATTGACTCTACCCACATATCCTATTCTCAGAACGACTGCCTGAAGAGCATTGTCAACGCTGAGCGCCGTGGCAAGCGCCAGGTTCTGATCCGCCCCAGCTCCAAGGTCATCATCAAGTTCCTCTCCGTTATGCAGAAGCATGGTGAGTAAAATCAACCGGGAGGTCACTGCGTACATGCGTGTCTATCACGTAACTTCGAAGTATAACTGGACAGCTGTCGGAGCAGTTTGCGCTGGTCAATCGACTCTGTTTTTTAAGTCTTCGATAGAAGGAAGCAGCGGACTTACAACCCTCGACCCTGCACCTGGTGCATTCCTCACGGGTCCTGGGCTTTAATTCGTTGCGACATTATTCATGGATGCTGGAGATCGAGCGAGTGCATAAACGTGTGTTTGGGCGCGGGTAGAGGGGAATGTGTAATGCGCCAAGAGGCGAGTCCTGCCAGACCTGTGTGCTAACAGTCCCGAAACCCTCTCCCTTCAGGTTACATCGGCGAGTTTGAGATTGTTGATGATCACCGCTCTGGCAAGATCGTCGTCCAGCTCGTTGGCCGTATCAACAAGTGCGGTGTCATCTCCCCCCGCTTCAACATCAAGCTGGCTGATCTCGAGAAGTGGGTCTCGTACCTCCTCCCCTCGCGCCAGTTCGGCTTCATTGTCCTGACCACCTCCGCTGGCATCATGGACCACGAGGAGGCCCGTCGCAAGCACACCGGTGGCAAGATCCTCGGATTCTTCTACTAAGTGGGGGAGCCGTCCTCTGGCTGTATATGGGAGCATGGGCCCAGCTTGGATGGTTTGTGATTCCAATACAGTACACTCACTCCTCAGTCAATCGAGTTCAATGCTCTGGGTGGATTAGATTGTGGTGATGCTCCGCTCGGATGGGGTGTGATAGTCGGATGATCGTTTGCTCCGCAGCCGGAAGATGCCCATCCAGCCGGCCCCCAAGAGAGCGATCCAGCCCGTTGAGAATGAGAAGCGCATCACAGCCCCATCCGTCACCATCCAGCCCGATCCACCATGATCTGTCGCGATCCAACCCGATGCAGCTCGCCGAGAGACGGCCGACGGCCATCCCGCCCAACTCCGACAGATTACGTAACACACTTTTTTTTTGGTCGAGGGCCGCGGCCTCGCCAGCCATCGATCCCGGTCCTCACGCCATCGAACTCGACTCCCCGCTCATCTGCAATTCGAGCCCTCCCTCCTGGCAATCCACACCTTTCAGAGCAGCATGTCGCTCCAGGTCTCAAACCCAAATAATGTTAAAATATACTCGGTGACGAGTGGCGCCCGCAGCGCCATACCGGACTGGCTGGCAAGGCGGAATGCCAAGAGTTTGAAATATGACCAAGGTGAGTGGGCTGAGACAACACCCTCCCCCAACCAACCGGCCGGCCGGCCAAAGCCAAGCGAACGCCATGTCGCGAACAGCTTTTGCTCCAGAGCATGTGCCTTGTGCCTTTTACCTCACATCTGGCCCAGAACCAACGGCAAAGTGCGCGAGGCCATCTTGAAGTGTGGCACACTCCAAACGATGCTTCATGCTCCTGGAGCCGATCCAAGTTGTTGATCCAATTCTCCGTATCGTGGTGGCCAACTCGGTGGCGCTTGGTGGGGTTTGCATTCATCGATAGAGTGGAGAAATCGAGTCGAGCTTATCCAGGACTTCAAGTTTCCCGAAGCATCCTTGAAGCTGAAGACCACCCGCGACGGGAACTTTATCATGGCAACAGGGGTTTATAAGCCCCAGATGCGCATCTACGATCTCTCTGAGCTGAGCATGAAGTTTGACCGGCACACCGAGTGCGAGAACATTCAATTCGAAGTACGACTCCAGAGCAGTTCGTCGACACATTCCTCTTGCGACCGCCTTGTCTGTCTGGCACGATTGGGCAGCGGGAGTGAGGCATCGCAGCGCACCGCGGCGCTTCATACAGCCCAGCGTAGCGAATCGTGCCGATCTGTCACATTCGGGACGGTCTTGAGGAATGTCTTTGTCATAGGCCTTCGGCAGGATCTCGTTGCGACGACATATATCCTTGATACGAACTTGCTCAGATGGCCAACGCTTTCGGCTCACACTGCCCTTGCCAAAACATTATCTGTGATAGATTCTTTCGGATGACTGGACCAAATCCGTACATCTCCAAACGGATCGTTCGATTGAAATTCACTCCCAGTTTGGACTTCATTTTAAAACAAGAGTCCCAAAGGTCTGTACATCGTATCGGAGTGGGTGACTGGCTCACGATCGTTCGCGACATTAACACAAACACTCACTGCGCAACCCTGGTGCGTATGTCGTTTCAGTTCGGGCGAGACTTGGCTTATCATTTTCCAAGTTGTGATTTGATGGTTGTTGGCGCAAGCAATGAAGTCTGGAGACTGAATCTTGATCAAGGCCGTTTCTTGAATTCGTTCAGCACCGATCTTCCTGCCATAAATGTGAGTGCTCGGAGTGCAGTCGTCGCATGGGTGCGGTCAAAAGCTCGATGGAGGTCAGCAACATCCGGGTCTGCCCAGTGTGCCTTGATTCATCACAGGCGCAGCCCTTGAATCACTCGCAGCCCCTCTGGTTATCGATTGCTTGAGCCGCCCCTCTCGCCACAAGGCTCACGCCTCCGCCCGGCGCACTCCTATTCAGCAGAGCAAGTCATAGACTGTCCTCTTGTATGGCGCACATTGCTTACCCTGGCCAAATCGATGCTTTTAGGTCACCGCAATCAACAACGCGCATCAGCTCTTTGGATTTGGTGGCGAAAACGGAAAATGCGAGTTCTGGCACCCAACAGATCGTGTCCGGATAGGCATCCTGGATGTCTCGGATCATCTTGTCAAGGGCGACGCCGCTTTGGAGTCGTTCCCCGAAATCACGTCGCTTGCGTTCCACAGCGACGGACTGACGTTCGCGGTTGGAACTGCAAGTGGCCATATTGTTACCTATGACCTCCGGAACCCAGCTCCTCTCATGATCAAGGATCATCAGTACGGGTATCCCATCAAGAAAATTCACTTCCACTCCAGTGGCAATGTCCTGAGTGCAGATACCAAGATTGTCAAGATTTGGAACAAAGACGATGTAAGCATTGCCAAAGGCTTTAACTACGCCGCGGCCTTGCCATTTGGCCTGTGCGTGTCGTCGTGGCTGCGATGCTTCTCGGGTCGAGTGCTGTCGATGCAAGCACTGACAGTTGCTATGTCTGTCTCGGTCTTCTCCGTCTCCACAGGGCAAAATTTTCACCAGTATTGAGCCGCCCACCGACATCAACGACATGTGTGTGTATGGAGACTCCGGTCTTGTTATGCTCGCAAACGAAGGCGTCGACATCCAGACCTATTACATCCCTCAACTTGGACTGGCACCGAGATGGTGCCCCTTCCTGGATAACTTGACGGTAGGATATGAACCGCTCAAGTGGTTTCACCAGAGCCACCTTGATGCCGCCGATTTCTCGTATATATTTGCTGACAGCCAACAAAAGTACTGCTATCATTGCATGTCGATCATCGGAAGCAATACCCCCCCTTCTCATACATTCTTCTTTGAACCTGCCACGACTATGTACACCAACAGGAAGAAATGGAGGAAAACCCCAACACAACAATCTACGATGATTACAAATTCGTTACGCGCAAAGAGCTAACACGGTAGGTTCTCGTCAGGATCTGGCCTCGGTGCATATATGGCTGTCTCCAGCAATCGGAGATCTCCCTCAGGCTTGATGCAAGCAACTTTGCTCCCAAATGGATTATACGATACACTGACTCTTGGCCCTACTCCATCCCGGCCACCATCTTCGTCGTCGGCATCACCACAACCACTTGTCCCAGACTCGGCCTCGAGCATCTGATTGGAACGAACGTGCTCAAGGCATATCTTCATGGATTCTTCGTCGATCTCCGGCTCTACGACAAGGCCAAGGCTATCGCTAACCCGTTCGAATACGATGAATACAAGAGCCGAATGGTCCGTGAAAAGATTGAGAAGCAGCGCGAGTCTCGCATTCGTGCCACCAAGAAACTACCCAAGCTCAATCGCAACCTGGCGACCCGACTGCTCGAGGGACAGAAGAAAAACGAAGACAGCACGTCCGAAGGGGCTGGCTTGCCGGAGGCCCTGGTGGACGATCGGTTCGGTGGCTTGTTCACTGATCCTGACTTTGAGGTTGACGAAGGCACCGACGAATACCGACTCCGCCATCCTAGCGAGGTAAATGTGCTGGCGATCCCGATGAACCTCGAGTGTTTTTGACCATACTGCGTGTTCATGGACGTGGTTGCGAGTAAAGGTGGGGCCAGCGGCTGGGGCTGTGGCTGTGGCTGTGGCTTGAAGCCGCTGCTTATGGGTTATAAGAGTCTATTTGACGACGATGCCTTTGGTGACGATGTTTTTGAAGACGGTGCATTTGACTAACCGTTCGAATGGCTTGTTCCCTTCTACACACATCAAGTCTCAAAACAAGACCAATCACTTCGAGAGGGTGGAGAGCGATCAAGAATCTGACGATGATCAAGTCGGCTTTGAGTATGAGTACGATCAATCAGAAGGCAGCGGTAGCGACGATAATGGCGATGGTGACAGCTCACGGGTGATCAAGACCAAAGCCGATCCTATTATCCGATCCAAGGCACCGGTCCAGAAGAGCAGTGGCCCGTCTTTCTACGAGCTCAAGGATGGCACATCCATGACTAGAATCGGCGATAGTAAGGCCCTCGCCCAGCTGGAGCTCAAGCGCCAGCAGACTTTGGAGGAGCGCGTCGGTTCTGAGAACTCTAGCACTCGCAACTTCAGTAGTGGCCGGAAAACTGGAAACCTCTCCATGTCGTTCAAGTCGGGAATGAGGCGAAATCCGGTAAGGGATATTTGGTTGCTGTGCTTTCGCTCGGCGCTGTTTTTGAGACAATTTGTCTCGGGCAGCAGATGCTTGTGTATGCCCTGCACATCGACTAGAAAGCTCTCAGCGGCCACTGGTGCACTGGTTCGACCGGTGCAGGCACGAATCTAACATTCCACTTATCAACCTGTGCAATGGCTAATTGATACAGGATTCTAGCGACCGCATCGACCGCGATGCTCCAAGTGCTCGGGAGCGCAGAGGCGTGGGAGACTTGAGTCTTCCCAGATCAGAAGGCGGTAGAGGTGGTCGTGGCGGTCGAGGTAGTCGTGGTGGTCGTGGCGGTCGAGGTGGTCGTGGCGATCGAGGTGGTCGAGGTGGTCGAGGTGGTCGGGGTGGTCGAGGTGGTCGGGGTGGTCGTGGCGGCAGAGGCTCACGCATGTAGGCGGCATACCTGCTTCAGCCAAAAGGAAGGGACGATCCATCTCTTGCGCTCATGAAGGCTGTGCGCAACCCTCCGTCTGGAAATGCCAGGCTTCATAAATGCAATATCCGCAAAACATGGTCATCGCCACAGGAGATCCACCGGGGACGTTTTACAGCGTACCATGTTTTGGGTCAGGGTTGTCGTTGATATCTGGACCTGAGTGCACCCATCGTTACCATAACGAAACGGTGTGCTCACAGTGCTTGGAAGCAAGGCGACTCGAGAAGGCCGAGCATCTTGATATTGAGGAACTATAAAGCTGTCCAAGGAGTCGAACGCATCCACCGACGCCCCACATTGCGACATCAATGCCAGTCGATTGTCGCCACGGGTGTATTTACAGCGTTTCCACAATGAAATGGGATACCCCCCATTTTGAGCCATGACAGTGTTTTTTTCTGGAACCTGAATACACCCACCCAATCATCGCAATCATGGCCAAGCACGGCACCCTCGATTTCCGCATCGCTGCACTACGACCGGTGGTCTTCACTCGGAGGCTGCCGAGATGATCTGTTTGCATTTCTTATGGCATAGTTAGGCGCATGCCATCGCATACTACGCCGACATATGGGTTTTGGGAAAGTGTCCCATTTCCCCCTGAATATAGTGTAAGACAATGCTTCCCAAACCAAGCAAACCAAGCGATTGCCAGCCAAGATCGGAAAGATTCACCAGGACTGCCCACCGGGGCCTCTGATGCCAGAGAAAGGAATACCGCTCTGCTTCGTTCCGGATTGACCGCAATGGTCGCGTTCGTCAGCATCTGCTGGAAAGCCTCGACTGCCGCCCACCCCGGGAATAGTAACACGACTCGGATCATGTGGCCCCTAATTACTGTTGTGATAATGGGTGCCCTCCCGCCATTCGTCTACGCCTGTAGCTGTATTCACGACTCCTGAAATGACCCAAATCGTACCCAAGAGCAATCAGCGCCGTCAGTTGGCTCAGACGAAGCCGTATCGACCAAACTAGCTCCTCGTGCAACCCGGTCTTCGACATGGGCGTTAGCTCGAAAGATCGCTGCCCCGATACCGTGCCGCATGTGCACTAATTTGGGCAAATCTCGAACTCAAGGAGATGCTCTAAGTCAGCAAAGTCAAAGGAATACGGACGTCATTGATTGCGAACACTGAGCCACGCTCGAGTATCTCGTCTGGTTCTTGCCAGAAGTTTCGTTATCTCATGGATAGCCACTGGTCTGTGCCAGCCATGCACACCACACATCTATGGGATCACCATATTGCCACTGGACGGCAACGCCTGCACAACCGCAATACAGGAGCTGGACTGCCTATTGTAACTCCGCAAGACCTCTGCCTTGTAGCAGGTATGCTAGTCTCGTACCTTATCGAGTGCTATTGGTGGTATCTCAGGCTGGTCATGCTTGGGAGACGGATTGGACGGTGGATTCAGGGGCCTTTTGGATTTTGCCGACGCTCTGGTTGACAGGCTTCCGAGTCCATTGACGCTGTCGGACAAATCGCAATAAGCTTGTCAGTCGTTGGCAAATCTCCAGCTCAGTTTCCATTTCTAAGTGCCCAGCAAAATCGAGCAGATTCTGGGCATGGATCCGGCGAGCCTAGAAAAAGCCGGCACCGCAGACCAATCGCCAGTTCGGTCTCAACTACGCCGCCACGACTTCGGCGTGAGTTCGGCTCGTTGCCATATAATGCTGGGCGGAGGGCACCTACTCTCGATTGACTGCAGGCTTAACGGGGCTCTTGGGCCGTCTGTCGTTGGCGATGGTAATTGTAAAATTGTTCACAAGTGTCGCCGCTACCTGGTCACGAGCGATATCCTTTCGGTCCTTCGAGCGGGTATTGGCTTGAGGCTATCAATTGAACACGCTTGATTTTAGTAAGGTGGGAGGCGTTCTGGAGCCCAGGCGTCCTTGAATCCAGGCGTCCTTGAATCAGCCGCGCGTGCTTGAGGACGCATCATGTTTGAAGACTCGAGCAGAATTCACTCCTGGATATCTTGGTGGTCTTGTGCAGCATTTCGAAGGAGCTCCACAAGCGGCTCAGATGATGACTCACAGACCTTTTGGGGTGTTCTTTGCAGAGCCTTGGAGATGGCCTTGCCCTGAACTGGGGCTGTCCGCTTGAATCCGGGAGAAGACTTGACTCGGGCCAAGCCGGTCTTTGGGCTCTTGCGCTGCGCTGCGGGAGAACCCGGGCTAGGCTTGCCTCCTCGCTTTCCCTGTCCCTGCTTGCCGGGAGTTTTGACAGGGGGTTTGCCCGCGACGCGGGATTTTTTCTTGGACTTGATAATCTCATCTGAGCGGTTGAACGAGCGATGCAGAGATAGCAAGTCGTTGCCGAGCGCCGGCAGATATTCCGACAGCGAGCTAGAGTCAACAATGGCTGGGAGAGCGTGCATGGACAGTTGGGAGCCACGGGCTTGCTCGGTGCAGAAGGACAGGCGGGACCCGAGAGCCCCGGCGAGAGCAAGCAGCATCGGCCGTGCACATACCGAGCGAGCGATCGATATCCATTGGCGACGCCATGGCGGTGTGCAACACGAAGAGCAGGCCAGGGTGCCTTGGGCGACAGATCAGATCAAGGCAAGGGCGGCCGCCCCCCGGCCTGCACCGAGGCGCCTGGATCCATGGTCCCGTGCCAGCCACGCCGCACCGTCCCGTGCCCATCCACACCCGGGCACGTGTCCCGGCCGTCGGCATGTGGCTTGGCTTTTTTTTCTTCCGCCAGCCGGCCGTTCTATTGGCTGCATTTTTTTTATTTTGCGCATCACGCCGTGTCAAACTCAGCCCGGCTCCCCCATAAAACGCCCGTCGCTTCTTCGCCGCACCAAGTGCACTCCACTTGCCGGCCTCTCGTCTCGTCACCCCAGTGCCTCTCGCCTGCTCTCCAGGTGGGTCCATGCCCCGCTCCTTTCGTCATGCGACTCGTTCTCGTCCGCCCGGCCATGGGCCACAGGGCATATGTTCACGAATAGCATGGTGTCGGAATCCTGAGCCTGTCGATCCATCGTCCCCCCCATATCCTGGCTAACGGCTCGAACGCCATTCTCGCATCCCTGCGACCGCATCGACGCCCGCCGACATTCAATTGATTCGCGCCCCGTTGCATCGGCATCTGTATCGACGGATGCATCGGAATCGGAATCGGAATCGGCGTCATCATACTCCTATCTCAGACTCGTCCGCCATTATCCTTCGCCATGGCCTCCAACTCCATCAAAATCTTCACTGGTAATGATGGCACATCGAAGCGCGGTGCTATGGAACCGTCTACTATTGTGATTCTCGCGTAGCAGCAGCCTCTCAGCGTCTTGCGGACACATCTAGCATGTCTGGGTACGCTCGCTCTAGTGGCATCATCTGATCAAGGCTGTATTCTATCCCGCCCCTCCCAACATCAGGAAACTCACACATTGAGTTTGCCCGGGCTGTTGCCAAGTAATATCCACATTGATCTCGCCTCTTCAGCTCTTCTCACGCTCTTCTCAATGAAGCCGTGTCGATAGCGGGTTCTCCCTCGACACGTTTGCCCTCTCAGTACCTTCCCCCAAGCCCGATGCGCCTCCACCCGATCCTTCTCATTGTCACCAAACACATCCTCCCTCTTGGCCTTCCAGTCCCCTGTTCTCTCTTTGTGCAGAGTCTGCAGTCACGTTTGAGCGAAATGTGCATGCATGCCCTTATCCCTCACCTTACTCCTCCTCCCATCACAACGAGCAAAATCTGACCCTTGTCGGCACCGTTATCTACATTGCCATCCTCTGCTTCTCCCCATTTATCTGCTTCGTTTTACTCTCCCTGCCCACAACGGTCTTTCGTTCGTCGCTCTTGGGCGAACGTCGCCTTCATATTATTCATCAACGACATACCTTTTCTTTCGCCCAGGCGACTTGGCTTGGAGCTCGCCAAGGGTGTCGTCCTGAAGTACTCCAACCAGGAAACCTCAGTCACGATTGGCGAGTCAGGTAAATGTTCAATTCTTGGCCTGTTGTTTTTGCGCCTGGATGATCTTTCGCGGCACTTGCACGCCAACAAGGATAAGGTCGAATCAGAGTCTGCTGTCGGTCTCTGCGGCCATCCGCTGCGGTTATCGCCGTCGCTCCCCTCGAAAGCCCTTTCTAAAGGGAGCCAGATGTGCCGACGAGCATGTGGTGCCATCGTACATCAACAACGACTCAACATTGAGCCTTTGTTCCACGGCATGCGGTGTCCATGGAAAGCCCTGCATCCGTTTCTGCTTCTTTTTACTCACCTACTCGCTCCTCTGTCATTAGTTCGTGACGAGGATGTTTTCATCATCCAGTCTGGTTGTGGCGAGATCAACGACCATCTGATGGAGCTTCTCATCATGATCAACGCCTGCAAGACCGCCTCGGCCCGCCGCATCACCGCCGTCATCCCTTGTTTCCCTTACGCCCGCCAAGACAAAAAGGACAAGTCGCGTGCCCCGATTACCGCCAAGCTTGTTGCCAACATGCTTACCGTCGCCGGTGCCAACCATGTCATCACCATGGACCTGCACGCCTCGCAGATCCAGGGCTTCTTCAACATCCCTGTTGACAATCTGTATGCCGAGCCCAGCACTCTGAAATACATCACGGAAAGCATCCCGGACTACAAGAACATTGTGATTGTCAGTCCAGATGCCGGTGGCGCCAAAAGGTATGGTTTGCGCTGCACTGGTGCCATCTGCCGACTATCCACCCTGCTGCAATGCCGTCATCGATCGTAGCGGCCGAACGGCTCAGGGCGTTTTACTTATCCGTCCGACTTGGCATCGTCCACGACTCACAGAGCAACCAGCATTGCCGACAAGCTCGATGTCGAGTTTGCCCTTATCCACAAGGAGCGAAAGAAGGCCAACGAGGTTTCCCGCATGGTCCTCGTCGGGGATGTCTCTGGTCGCGCTTGCGTTCTCGTCGACGACATGGCCGACACTTGCGGTACTCTGGGGAAGGCTGCTGATGTTCTTCTGGACAACGGTGCCACCAAGGTCTATGCCCTTGTCACACACGGAGGTATGTACGCTGCGTTCCGTCAATGCCCTCCTCGCTGCCGTTCGGCACTGTCGAAGCTGCTCTTCCCACAGCCTACCATGTGCGCATGACCAAAGTGGACGCTGCTGACCATTGACTGGGCCCTCTGGCTGTCTTTCCGTCTTGCCCTCGGCAGTCCTTTCTGGAAAGGCCATCAGTGTGATCAACCAGTCCCGGCTAGAGAAGGTCGTCGTGGTAAGTTCCAGTGGAATGGTGGCTATCGTGGCTGGACTTACACTGCGTGGAATAGCCACTCCAAACCCGATACTGGATATGAATGCATGGCCCCAATCCAATGGACAGCGCGCTACTTCCCTGAGGCGGCTCGCCTCGCTCACCGACGCCGGTGTTGCACACCCCCGCCTTTGCCACCATGATGACAGCCCCTGACCCACCCCTCCCTTGACTTTGTTCCAGACCAACACCATTCCCCACGACGACAAGAAAATGATGTGTCCTGGCAAGCTGGAAACAATCGACGTCACCTCCACCTTTGCCGAGGCCATCCGCCGCACCCACAACGGCGAGAGCGTCAGCTACCTCTTCCACACCGTCCCCTCGAACTAGTAGCCTGTCCCGATCCGCCCAACCCCTCCGATTCATCCGGTTCATCCATCTATCCATCCGTCCGAACCAAATGTCCTGCCCACTCCACTGCTCCCTCGCGCGCCATCTCCTCCGTAATCTACTTATCATCTGTGCCTTCTGTTCCTCTGGGAGCGCAGTCCTGCCTATTGATCATCATCACCTTTGCGCCGGGTGCGGCCGGCTGCCGAGCGCTGTCCTCCCTCCACCAATACACCACTCTATATACAGCTAGTTCCAGACTCTGTTCCCCGGCTCCCGGCGATATTCAGGGCCACGTTGATGCTCCGGGATGCTCTGGGCGGAATTGGCGGCCATGGTGTTGCTTTGCGCCCTTTGTCGATTCATGCGCGGACGCGTTGGCGAACAGACACGCGCATGGAGTTGCAAATACAGCCCCCAAAACGAGATAGGACGCCTCAACATGCGGACGGGCGGCCTGTGTGGGTTGGTTGCTGCGATCGACTCGGCCGATGAGATGCCGGCCGATGAGATATCGGCCCCGTGGAGTCCGTCTGTGACTCCACCTCTGCGGCCGACACCCAAGAAGGGCTGACCGACTGGGCCGCTTTTGGCTGGGTGGGAGATCCAACTTTGGCGCTCTTGTGTCCAAGTGACAATGTGTCTCGCTGCTCCCCCAACACGTCGTCGACCTCAAGGCGCCCATAAAAGGCAAGTGGCCAGCGCAGCCATGGCCGCACTCTGGCCACCGCGGATCGCTGCACCAAAACCGCCCGCCGAGCACACCTTTCTCCCCCCAGCGACCTCGTACCATAGCACCACCACCCCGCAAGTCGCCAGCAGCCCGGCAACTGGCTTTCAACGGGAACATCTGCAGTATCCCTCTGATTTGCTGAAGAACGCATCCACCTCTGAAAAGTAATTCCGTCTCCCGTCCGAGCCCACCGGGCAAGGCTTTGGCTTTCTGCCTTCTGGTGTCTGAGCCCAGCCTTTGCATTCCCCGCTCGTCATGGTGTCGATTGGATTCGATTTGCATGGACGAGCCATGCGGCGTCCGCGGCTGCCAGCCACAGCAACGGGATGGCCTGACGGCTGGAGACGCACTGTGGGAGTCCTTTTCGCTTGGCGTGGTCGTGCCCAGCACAGTCGATATTGAGCTTGACCCCCCAAGTATCCAGGCCGACCACACCCCCTTTTCTTCTTGCTGCTGTTCTCCGTCACTTGCGCCTTTGTCTCTGCCACCAGAAGGCTAACTTGACGCTCTCCACCACTCTTTGTCCGCCCAACTTCCTGCCCAACTTCTTGCCCAAACTTCCTGTCCGTCACTCTCGCTTGCGGGGATCCCACTTGCCTCCCGACCTCATCCGGATCTATCCCAACGCTACGGAATCGACGTTGCCGTCTCCCGCCACCAGACCCAATCCCATGATTCCTGATACCGTCCAGCCAGCTTCGTCGACACGAGCGGACAGTCCCTCGTCGCCAGCCTCTCCCAACAAAAGCAAGATCCCTGTTCCCATTGGTGATAACGAAAAGGCGAAGGCAGCCCTGGAGTTTGAACGCAAGAAGCGAGAGGCCCAGCTCCAGAAGCAGCGTGAACAGGAAGACCTCATTCGTCGTCAGGAGGCCGAAGCCTTCGAAAAGGCCCGTGTTTTGAAAGAAGCCGTCGAGCGTGGCGAACGTGAGCGCAAGCAGCTCGAAGAAACCAAGCGCAAGGAAGAAGAGAGACTGCGAGAGGAGAAGCTCAAGGCTCAATTTCAAGTTACCTCGGCGTTTGAGCGACAAAAGCAGGAGCAGCTGCGCCTCGTCGAGCAAGAAAAGGAGCGCGAGCTCAAAGAGCGAGAGAATGAGGCTTTCAAGAAGCTCGAGGCTCTGAGAGAAAAGAAGCTGCGCGAAGAACAAGAGCGGAAGCATGTCGAGGAAACCAAGCGTGCCGACGAAGAGCGTGCCCGTGCTGAGCGTCTCAAGAAGCAGGAGGAAGCCATGCACCGCTTTGAGGAAGAGCGACGCATCAAGGTAATCGCCGTTTGTCTTTGGAGAGGGTACCAGGTGTACAAACAGCAAATCGCTTGCTTATGGAGGCATAGAGTGTGCGGAATGCCAAGTCGCTATGCCACCACCTTCCGTGAACCGACACTGGCTCGCTTGCGATCGCCGACACTGCGTATCGCCATCGCATCTTTGCCCCAACTCGCATCCGACTCCCATCGCCGTATCTATCGAGCTTTGCTATCTCACCCGGTTGTGCTGCATCGGCCATTCCCTCGTTACTCGTGCGCATTAGTTCATCTTTGTGTTTACAGCCCCGCCCGGCGTAATGACGGCCGCCATTCGGTTGTCTCGCGCGGTCAAAGGTCTGAGCTAACTCCTACCGTTCTGTCCTTCGTCACGCGGCGTGTTAGGCCATGAGTCCCGCTGATCGTGAAGCTTATTTGGAGCAGAAGCGTGCTAAAGAGGAGGCTGCTCGACTCGCTGCCGAAGCCGAGGCCCGCCGTCTGGAGGAAGAGCGTCTCGCTCGCGAGGAAGCCGAGCGTAAAATCCGTGAAGCCGAGGAGCGCCGTCTGGAGCAAGAGCGTCTCGCTCGTGAAGCCGAAGAGCGTCGCATCCGTGAAGAAGAAGAGCGTCGCCTTGAGCAGGAGCGTTTGGCCCGCGAAGCTGCCGAGGCCAAGGCGGCCGAAGAGGCCCGTCAACTTCGCGAGGCCGAAGCGGCCCGCCGCGCCGAGGAAGAGCGGGCCAAGCGCGCCGCCCAGGAACAGGCCGATGCTCTCCGTCAGGCCCAGGAGCGCGTTGCTGCCATGGCCGCCCAGGCCAGAGCCGAGCAGCAGGCTGCCGACAGACAAAGGGCCATAGCCCACCAAGAAGAGCAAGAGCGTCGCCGCCATGAAGCCGAGAGGCAGGAGCGCGAGCGTAAGGCCGCGGAGGATTATGCTTCGCGTCTTATGGACGAAGCCAAGCAGCGTGTCCAAGACACGTCAAGCCAGGGCCTCAAGGTCAACACGGGTGCGACCGATAAGGATCTACGAAAGGACATCGAGAGCATGATCAACTCGGACTTTTTCTCCTCGGGATCCTCGGTCGAGAAGGATCTGCCGATCAGCCCAGTCACTGCCTCCCCTTCAAGCATTCTCAAGGACCCCTCCCGCGAATCCAAGCCGGCGTCAGTTGCCGAGGAAAAGAAAAAGTATGTTTCGCTTGTCGCGGACAGTCGTGATGCATGATTGGCCAGCGACTCGGGATCTGGGGCTTTATATGTTGGCGATTCGACCGTCGATGCGGCATGCAGTCCAGGGCTCAGCCGTCGAGGCGACGTGCAGTCCGGAGCCTGCCGTACATGAATCTTGCCCACCACTGCAGGCGGCGGTGTATCGGCCGGTATTGGTTTTGTGTTTGGATGTGGGGTGCACTGCGGGCCGTCCTTCATGCGCGAGGCCTAACCTGTATCATGACCTTGCTCTTCATGCGTGTCGCATTGGGAATATCACAAGGCCCTTTGGTTTCTTCAAGAAAATGCTCAAGCGCTAGTGTCAAAGCTACGTAGATTCACCCAGATCGTCGGCATCTCCCGCTTGTAACCCTAGAGCATGGTATCCCACCGAAACGACCCTCTGTCAAGTGCCCAATTTGCCTGTTTGCCTGTTTGCCTGTTTGCCTGTCTGCTTGCTTGCCTGCTGTTCTGCTGTTCTGCTATTATGCTGTTCTGCTATTATGCTTGCTGCTATTATGCTTGCTGTTCTGCTTGCTGCTCTGCGTGCTGCTCTGCAATCGACCGTGTTTTCTGTTCCCAAAGTCGAGCGCACGCCACCGAGCTTGTGAATGGATTCGCCAAGTACCTTGCTTCACATTCCCATCGTTGGCCAATGTCAGTTCATTTATGTGTTCCGTTGGGTGTTGCGTCTCTTTCGTGATGTCCGCTGATATTGATGGCTGGTGAGGAGTTAGAAATGATCAATGCCCAGCAGCCACGAAGCGAAGCGGAACCGTCTTGTTTTGAGCGCCAGCGATCGTCAAGTCCACGTTCCCATTCATAAGCACCAAGGGCTATCTTCATCCATCCATCCATTCACACACCTCGAGATCACCACGGGTGCGAAAAGCCTTTGGAAAGAAAGCGCCATCAGCACGACCCAGAACACCGCCCAATCATCGTTCATTGAGACCAGCCCCATGTATTCAGGATGATCCTTTCCAAGAGGAGCTTGCCGCGAACAGACGACGGTGGCTCATCGACTCGCTTCCATGCATGAGCATCAGTAATCAGGATAATGATTGGCTTGTCGAATCCGGGGCGTCATGCTTTCTCTCGGAAGAGCTGCATATTTCTTCTGCTGCATGTCCGAGAGGCTTCGACAAGCTCTCGGTTAGCTCAGCCGCAACGGATTTGCTCTGGGCACATATAACAGAGAGCAGGCCAGCACATGCGCCGTGTCAGGATCGTTGTATACCCGGCCAGCATGCATTTGAATGTTGTTGAACCATGACATACCTCGAACTCGACAATCTCAGCTTCGAGCTTTGAAATTTCTTCGGATTTCTGAGTCGTGGTTGGGTATCATTGGACGTCAGTGCTCTCCCTGCCAACCTATATTAGGCCTCGGTTGCCGTGTGTCATGCGGAGATGCGCACAGGCCTGGATCGGCCGCGCCCACGCACCTGGCTGAATGCATAGATGGCTCGTGCAAACATTTCCTCGGCCACGAGACTGTATGGATGTCCAAGGCCGTTGTACATGCGACAATTTTCGACCACAATCTTGAGCTGCTCGATACATTCGTTGACTGTCTTGTACCTAAATGCACGGATGTCCTGGATCCCATGACAGAACTCACTGCAATCAATACTATAGTCGGTTTGCCGTTGCAAGGACGGCGACTGGCGGCATGCTGAACGCCAACATCCGCCGCCCTCGCCCGAGTTGGTTGATCGGTCTCAAGCTCCAGTATTTTTTGCTTACTTCACGAATTTGCTCCAGCGTCTTGGGATTCCGAATGACATCATAGTAGTCTGGCGCCGCGCTGACGGGCACCGGGACGCAAAAGATATAGTACGTATCGATGCCGATCAACTCCGCAATCGCTGCCTCCATGATGGCGGCCAGATCGACGATTGGGCTCCCCCGCCGTCGGGGCTTTGATTGCGCCGATATCAGTGGCGGGACTGCCGGCTCTGCAAGCTGAGGCTCCTTCTTCCGCTTCTTACTACCGGCTCCCGAGCTGGCCGAGACCTTCAAGGTGGCAGGCGACGGATTGCCGCTGTACCGCGTCAAGCATCAGCGTTAGCTTCGCTCGCTCGGACTCAGGACTATTGCTTCCATCGTTAGAATGGGGGGGGGGCGCTGTGGGACCTGGCTTTCCTCGCCAAGCATCTGCTAACCTGTTCGCGGCTTCCTTGTTCGCATCCGCCGTTGCGAGTCTCCGCTTGCCCTTGGCTTCTTTGGCGTCCTTGACCTCCTTGACCTCCTTGCCGTGGTCATGTTTCATTTTCTTTACAAGATCTTGCAATCTGAAAGGGCAGCCTGTCTGTCAACATCCATCCACGACTACAACATATGCGCAGCCTTGCACTTCGAGAGTCGCCTGTCTCTCATTCACCACAGACCATTAATGCACGGGAATCTGCGCACACACGTCAAGAGTACTCACAGTTGCTTTCGCTTCTTTCGCACATCTTCAGGCCTGTTGTTTGCGACAGCATCGCCGCTGAAACATGACCGTGAGTTTGTACGGAGCTTGTACACATGCCGTGCTTGTCTCCTGAAGCCAGGTCGTCTCCAAGAAGCTGCATCTGAGGTGGATGTGCACTCACCCTTGCGCCATTTGACTTTCAATAAGGTCCCGCTGCCGCAAATATGCCTTCTTCACCGCCGGGTCGCTGATCACCTCGGACTTCCACACGAGCTCGCCATTTTCTCGTATTAGACGCTTGATGATCAGGAGCTTGTTTTGAGCGTGGTCCTTGTTGGTCACAGGGCGACTCGTTTTTGAAGTCATGCTCTCTGCCACCGAATAGGCCTTGCCTTCGTTGTATCCATATCCTGCAATTCCTTAAAAAACGAGTTTGTTAGATCAAGCCTGTCACAGAGAGAGGTAGATCGGTGCGCCTCGCTGTCTGACGGGAAAGATTCCCCATCGTCCATTCACAAATACATCGCCATATCGCCAGATACGTACCGGTTCCGTAATGCAGCAGGGGTGGCGGGGAGTGCGGAGCCGGCGACGCAGCAACAGCGCCAGAGCCAAAGTAGAGCTTGCGTTCCTTCTCTTCGTCCATCTCACGTTGCTATGGTGGTTATGGGGGCAGTCGCGGACAGGTGGTGGCACGGTCAGCGCACATCTTTACCGGAATGCTCGTCTTGTATGGATGCATTACACGCGCAAACCTGCCTTCTGCTGCACTTTCATTTTCGATATCTCTTCATCGTCGTCCTCTATCGGGAGTGTTGAACTCAACGCCTTGAGTTGGGCATTCCAGATACGATTGATCTTGAAGCATGGCAGAAATCTTACGTATAAGTATCGAGCCAGTTCGTCATATTGGCCACTCCAGTGTTGCAGCGGTGCAATGAGGGTAGGGTGCCACGCTTACTTCTTCTTTGTAGACCTCTTGTTGCTCCGATATCGAGAACTTGTGGTAGTTTTTGGCCTTGGAGAGCTCCAGGATGGCTGGCACGGCCCATTTGGAGCCAATATACCGGTTATCACTACGTCGCCCTCACGACCTCTCCAAAGTGTAAAGGACAACGACTCTCACCGGCTCGTTCCTCAGGCGTATCAGATGACCGAAAGAACATTTCCTTCATCGATGCTCTTATAAAGCTGAATCCCTCTTCACGCCCAGTTGGGTCGCCCGGGCCATAGATCTTGAGCATGCCCTTGCCCTGAGTGTCAAGGGGTCAATGGCCCACAGTCAGTGCGGGTTGTCCGGCAGGATACAGGCCCGTTGACTTTACCCACCTGTGTAGCCATCACAAAATTTCTGGTAATAGTCCACGGCGCCAAACGAATCTCGATATCCTCTTCATTATACTCCTTCTCCTCCTCTGCGAAAGTGGTTATGATGTCATGCGTATCGTAGCCAGCGTCCCGGAGCCGTTGTTCGCCGGCCAGCATGCTTTCGTATAGGCACACCTAAATGATGGGTGGTAAAGAGTACGTGGTTCGGAATAAGCGCCTCCTCAGCAATGCAGACCCTCCATAGTATCGAGTGCATCCGCCGCCGTCACAATCATCGCACGCATCGATATACCCGCATCGATAAACATGCATCAGCGCCGCGTGAACCAACCATTTCCGGGGTGAGCATCTTGCGCATTTCTTCTTCTGTCGGCAGAACCGGGGGCGGCCCATTTGGAATGGCCTTCAGTTTCCACCAACCCGTGTTCTCTCCCTTGCGCTGGAACTGTGCAAACTCCTACATAAATCCGTGTTTGATTGGAATGGTGCCCGGTATGAGGAATGGGTGGACCAACAAACCCTCTGGCAGCACGACAGTCGAGAGGTGGGGAAAATCCACCAACTAAGCAGCCTGTGCACTCAAGCTGACATACCTTGAGACGCTGTCGTATCTGCACTTCCGAGTGGCCCGGGAACGCCTTCATGAGCTTTTCAAAGTTGAGCCGTCGAGCCGGATCTTTTCGCATCAGGCGGTAGGCAGCAACTTGCAGGCGTCCCTTGATGGTTGCCGTAATTTTGCGCGACTGCGGCCGTGGCACATCGATCAGGGGGAATAACTGCCCGATCGTAAAGATCATGGGGATATCGCGGATGTAGTATTTGGTCTGCCCCTTGTATCTCTGCCTGTCCGATGTCCGATGAAACATCGTGCTGTCAGTACTTCGAATCAACGAACCTCTTGAATGCATTTAGCGACCTCATCATTTGAGCGACGGCCATTACACACGAAATCGTCTTGTCCGTGCAGGGTAAGGGAAATGAGTCACGTCGTCTGCAGCGATGTCGATCCTGCTCACCGGATAACCAAATAATCCGTCTCGGCCAGGACTTGCTTAAAGCATGGCCCGCGGACCATATTGTTGCTGATTGCCTGCAAAATCTGGCCAGGGACGACGTCGCCGAATCCATGAAATGGCGATGCATCCACCTGCTCGAGACAGTATGGTTCACCCACTTCCAGATTAGGCACAAACGCGTCCTTGTCGTCGAGCTTGCGGTAGTAATCGTAGATCAAGGTCGCCATGCCCGTGTTGCTGATAATTGGCGGATATTCCTCCTATATGGACATGTGAGTGGACCAGGAGGGAAAGAAAATGAGTTGACACCCGCGCTTTGAGCATCGATCCATAGTCGGCCTTGAAAAATCACCTTGTCTGCACACCGCAGCCCGCGTAATCAAGCCCGCACTCTTCTCCCAAACGAGCCAAAGCCAACGAAGCTTACGCAGTACTCGAACAGGATAAACTTGGAGGTATCCTTGAGCGTTATATCTTTGGTGCTCTTCAAGAGTTCGCTCATGTCTTTTCCCTTGAATTTTTTCTTCTTGGAGCTTTTGACTCGTGAGAAACGGATGTCTTCGTTCACAGGGAAGCGGAGAGATGGACGATGGAACGATCGCAGATCCTTCACAGCGAGGTAGGGCTTGAACTGTCCAGAGAAAGAAACATCAAAGTATCAGTGAGTACGAGATCGGCCGCCGAGTCACTGGTCTCCGAGTCGCTACGGAGAGATATCCATGTCAGAAATACGCACGTGCGGCGGCTGGATGCGAATCGCTGGCAGTGAATGCTGAAGGGTGACGGGTCCGAATGTCTGGCGTGTGCGCCCTGCCTTCAAGCTTTTGTCGATTTCATAGTAGTGATCATCCGAGATGTTGAATCGGTCGATCGAGGGCCGGATCGTTCCAGTATTTGCTGGGGCAATTTCACCAGTGGGTATCGACTCTGGATGGAATGAGGGGGCTGTCTGGTCGCTCTGAAAGGTCAGTGCAGAGCAATCCAGTTAACTCAATCCCACACAAGACGTGGGTGCCATCCTTGAGTCGATCTGCTGTGCATGAGCCGTCGGATACATCATCAAACGGACGCCACCGGCGTCAACGCACCTTGCCAAAATGGGGGTGCCTCGATGCTGACCAGGAGGTGGCTTCGGTCCGGCAGAGCGAGACAGGCAGAGTTCGAGTTGGGACGATGGATGCATAGAATGTGTTTGATATGTGGGAATAGGAAAGTGTATCGATAAGAAGATCGGCGCGAGCGTTGGTGGATCAGACAAACCTGCCGCTGGCAATCTCACATCACCGAATCATGTTTGTAGATGCCATACTCTGCATGGGCTGTCGTTCCGAGCTCGGCCACAGCGGCCATCTGCAGAGCGCGAGATATAGATGTGGGGCTCACCGGTCGTCAGGGAGACTAAGGGCTCCATTGTCAAGACCATGGGGTCGTCGATCAGCCGAGCGTCGGCCGTGCCCGCCAATCCAGGGACCGTTTCGCTGCCGTCAATGTCCCAGATAATCTCATCTGCCCAGTCGCTGCGATCATTCTCCAAGTTTGAATTTCGGTACAAAAATGGAGGTTTGGCGGGCTTGCTTGGCTCTGGGAGCGCCGGCGGAATGTCCCACACGATTTCGTCTTCCCAGCTGTCGAGGACAATCGGCATCATATCTGGAGACCAAGTTTCGTAGACCAGGGGCTTGCTCGTCGGACTCGACTCTGAACGCAAGGTGGGATTTGCATCGTGTGACGGAACAGGATCTGCCGGCTCGCAAGGAGGCCACCGGATGCATTCCTCCTCGGGGGGTGCAATGTTCATCTTCAAGAACTCGATGCGATCGTCGGAGCTCGAAAGATAGAACTCAGATTTGGTATCTGGATTGGGGCAGGACAGTAAGTCAAATCAACCGACGCCCGGCGGCAGAGCTCAGTCAAAGATCGAGGGGCGGTCGATCTTCAAGCGTCTCCACTCGGGATGCACTTACCTTTGACTGTGACCCGAGCTACTCGCGGAACTCTCTGGATCTTGGAAGCGAACCATTCGGAGAAGCGCAAGGTCCCTCCGGAAACATATCCAGGAAAGTATCGAGCGAGCTTGGCCATCCGCTCCTCTGGGGTTTCAGGCACACACGGCAAGGGTGGTCCGCCGTCGTCCTGGCTGATCCCGTCGCCAGCCAAGCCCGACCCATCCTTCCGCTGGCCTGGACGTGCTAAGGATATGGCGGTACCGTCCTCGACCTCATAGTTATCGTCTTCGTCGTAATCATCCGTGCTCTTGCGGGAGAACATCGAGTCTCGCGATGTCAGAAACGAGCCCGTCATCGTTGGCCGCACAAATGCTGCCTGTGTCGGTAGCGAGCTCAAGCTTGACGGAAGTGGGGGCGCTTCGGGCGCAACCTCGGCCATCTCGTTGATCTCGCTGTAGTCGATCGCATCTTTATTCGGAACCGTGGGGAGATCTGCAGGCTCTTCGATCGACACAGTGGCTCCCTCGGAGGACGATGCCGTTGAGGCCTGGGCCAGGAGATCCAGCGCTCCTTCGAGATGCTCGCCCAAGAACACATTGCCAGCGAGCGTGCGCTTGAGCTCGTCGTCCAGCTGCTCGTCGTCGATCCGGCCGTTTTCGTCGACATTCCCGAACAGAAACCCGCTTAGAGACATGTCTGTGCACGATGATCTTGGGCGCTGTCCTGCGGGGCTGAACTGCTGGCGCCGCCGAGCGCTGGTGTGAGGCTGGATGTGCGTCTGGACGGCGGGACTTGGACTCGATCATGTGAACGCCCCCTGCGCCACCGCCAGTCCAACGGCCACAACCAGCCCAGACCAAGAGCGCGGCAAACGAGGGCCGGGAGGACGCCGACAAACGAGGGTGCTCAGTTTTTCTTGCGTGCACTCATCACGCTTTGTTCCTACAAGCACTTTGCTCGATGTTGGGCGGTTCTCTACAGGCTGCGGATCCAGCAATCGTATCTATGGGCAGCGACGCAAGCTTCCAAGCTTTGCGGGATGAAGCAGCATATATTGTAAGGGCGCAACAGGGCGCCAAAGTCATGTATCCTGCTTCGTTTCGCTTGCAATTCCGGAAAACGCACGGGATTGCTTAGATTATCAATTTGTGCGCATCACGGTCGCCGTCGTTCACCGACCGTCACTTGTTCGCGATGCGCACCAAGTCAGCAATAAGCTCGAGGAAGGTTGCGGAGCTCCAGGCCTGAGTCTCGCATGAGCCGAAGCAGTGCTCGCCTTCGGCGTTGGTCAGCTCTGGCAGTCCTACGAAGCGGGCTGTCTGTGTTTCCAGTATGTGGAGCTTGTGTACATACAGGGTCTTCTGGATCAAAGCGAGAGTGCGGGCGACCTGGGAAGCATTGATGAAAGTGCAAGAGCATCAGCAAGTCAACTTGCTGCAGTGAACTCACTTTGGAATGCATCACTGCATCCTCTAGTCTTCCGGCTCCTGCGTTTGATTGCTTTGTCTCATCGCCACGTGAGCATCCTCTAGATCTCCCATGAAGCATCCTCTGGATCTCCGCATGAAGCATCCTCTGGATCTCCGCATGAAGCCGAATCGCACCACTAATTCACTGTTTGGTGTGTTTCCGAGCGGCCCATACCTCTTCGCTGCTTGCAGACGAGAATTGCACATGTGCGCGGAGGAAGTATCCCATGATCCACACCCATTCGGGTCCTTGATGGTAATTGTATCCATGGGCCACTTTGGGGTCCGCGGAGTCGTTTCCGTTATCATAGTGGCCTCTGTAGTTCCAGTCAGCGGGATCGAGCGTCTTCATACCTGGTAAGCCACATTATGGGACGCATTAGGACAAGATGAGTGATCATCGGAGTGGGGTGAGCAAGGTAGGCATATCTCTCTGAGCTGTTTCTATCAGCTTACCACACGGGCCATTGAGGGCTTTCAAAGCAATATCCAGGGCGTTGCGGGCGTATGTGTCTGTAAATAGCTCGGGCGCCTGCAGCAGATCTGTAAGTTTCGAGCACATGAAATTCGACGCCTGCAGCCAGGCGGCTCGACTCGTGCTTTTCAACAATCGCTGTCTCAATCATCGATTCAGGACGACACTCACCACGGCCATGGCAACAAACATGTTTGGCCTGAGTTGATAGTCCATGAACGGAATCGAAGACCCGACGGTGTCTTTGTAGATGCCTCGGCGGTTAACCAGCTCTGGGCGCTGGATATCGTATTTGGGGTCATCCTTGGGGTCTGTTGCCACAAAAGCACCAGGTATAAGGCGTGCGGTAGCAAAACAGCATACATATATATGCGCTACGACTCCATGCGTGTCACGGAGCACCCCGCCCTCAAAGAGCTCTATCGACGTGGGGTCTTGATCGAGCTTGGCTTCGCAGCTGGCCCAGATAACGCCATATACCGCAAGCGGAACCAAGGACCTACCAAGTGGCACATAAAACGACTTTTCGAAAGACTTTTGGATCATTTGGTTCCAGTCTGAATAGCTGATTTGGAATGACTTTTGCCCTACAGAGACATAGAGCGCGGGGTGCATAAGTAACAGTCGTCTCCGCCCCTATGGTTCAGCAGGCTCGTTCGCCACGGTAAGTCTCTCCGCCACTCCTGGAGCTCGTGGTGGCGGCATCGGAGATTGCGCTACCAATACTCACCGCGGGTGACTTCAAAGCCCGGCCATTTCCAGTGGTGAGGCGCATGGGTGAGAACTTCGCTGGACACCCAGCGCAGAGTGGCCTTGAGCAATCCCGCAATTTCGACGTCGCAACCATCGCGCGGCGTTGCAGGCAGCCCTTTGGTACCGGCCTTTTCGCTGTCGCCCATCTTGTCCATCCAGCTGCCGCAGTTGTAGCGGTTTCCGCCAAAGATCAACCCAGTGTGGATAGGGTCGTCAAAATGGGTCGAGATGCTGATGTTGAATCCCTCGCTAGTCATGGCATGATCCAAGTTCGGGCCGGCGTTCCACTCCGTGAAATGGATGCCGTTGGCATGGCGCTCCAAAATCTCGTGGCAGAGCTCAGCAATCGTGGATTTATACTTGTACGTGCGCGGGTCCTGAAGCTCGGTATACTGATCGCCATCGTCATCCGAGTCGCCGAGACTCGCCTTCAAGAAGGCACTTGGATCATCAGAGCGATACCGTTTCTTGGGGGGGAAGCGTCTTGCGACCACCGTTCCAAGGAACTCCAGTCCTTCCGGAGCCATCTGGCAGTATCGCTGCACGCAATAAAGCCACCACCAGACCGCATCGCGGGCGTTGTACCGAGGACGCAGGCCTTGATCCAAGAGATTTGGAATCAAGCCATGGCGCAGCGTAGAACCAAAACCAATCAAATGATCCTTAGCCTCCAAGAAATGGCCGGTGGTAAGCAGCAATCCGGGAATGGAGATGAAAACATCGCGTCCCCAGCATCGCATATGGTGGGTCGAGAAATGAGGCAGGCCGGCAGCCAGGCAGGCTGCCTTGAGGCCGTCGGGGAAGGACTTGGTGCGAGTTGGGTAAATATACGGATACAGCCCCGTGGATTTGACGCTGCCGTAGAGCTGGTAGGTGGTCATGATCAGACTTTGGGCAAGCGTCTCCAGCGATGAGACACGACGAGTCGAGAGGTCGGGACAGGCGAACTGAATCGCCTTCGAGGCTTTGGCGATCGCAGTGTATCGAAGACCCTGGTAGGCCAGCAAAACCACAAGCGCAAAGTACTTGGGGACGAGCGAATTGGTGATCTGGCGGATCAGCCCGAAGCGTTCGGCGAGCCAGTTTTTGATCAACTTCAGCTTGGGGTAGTACGTGAGGTATCTGAAAACAATACAGGTGCAGCGGGATGGTACGCGCCAACGGTCAGTTCTATGGCAACACAGCTTGGATGTTGGGCGGGGGAGCCAGATGCGCGTAGAGCTGGATTCACCCGCGGGTATATACAGATCCTCGATGAAGCTTACTTATCCAGGCGATGGGAGATGTAATCCATCATCCAGTGTCCTGAGCGCAAATTGTTGTTGATTGGATGTCCCAGATCGTTGTTTCGCAAAGCAGGAAGGAGGCTTGAGACAAAGCCCTGCAGGCCGCAGTACGCAAACGGGCCATAGCCTGGTACGTCGTAGACACCGTCGCCTGTTTACATTCAAACGTGTGGAAAGACAAGCACAAGAATCAGCCATCGTATGCTGTAACCTTTGGCTCCATCGATCAACAGCCAAAGGAAACAGGCGGTAATGGGTTGCAGTCGCGGCAGCCATACCGATGGTGTCCACCTCCTCCTGAGCGGCTCGGTAAAGAACTACGTTGATTTCTTCGATGTCAAGATCCTGGGTGGCCTCGAAGAGTCCGGGCGGCCAACTTGACACATCCGATGTGAACCACAACTGGCCGGCTGTCCACACATCCCAGCCCATCTTGACCATGAATTCGACGCCGAGGTTGGAGTCGTCGAGACCGAGCAGGTCCCATAGGGATTCAAAAACGCCGAGGTTATCGTTCGAGTCCCCTCCGATCGGCTCCGTGCTAAGCTCCAACTCCTCATCCTCGTCAAGGCCAGTTCCGTGCACCCATGTGCGGAACAAGACGATAGATCCAGGCACAAAGCGCTCGGGGTCCACGGTGATCACAGTGTTGAAGTCGTTCTTGTATCCGTTCTGCTCTTCGCTGGCATGGGCAAACTGAGATATGCTAGCGGAAAAGTCCAGTGTCGATGGAAGACCTGTGATCATGCCAAACGTGCGCGATCGACGGCGGAGCGATAAACTAGCGAGATTGACGCCACTGCCTGCTTCGGGCGTCTTCACTTTGACGCTCTGACCGAGATGGTGATAGAGTTGGGAAGGTGACTGCGGTGGCGAAAGGGTATCGGGCTCGTCCTTGTGTTGGTATGCCGAAGATTGCCCGTGGTCTCCTCGGGTCTCGACCTTGAGCGAGGCCGACTCAACAACGCGAACGCTCTGATTCGCCAAAACAATCTTGGAGTGCTCTTGTGAGACCGCAATCGGACAACAGAAAAGAGTCAGTCGGAGGTCGCGAGCCGCGACACCGCATCGACTACAGAATGCGCGCACGTACGGGCGGGGCTTTGATTGCCTCTCTGGAAGGCGGAGCGAGCGATCAAGAAGTATCCATCGTGTGTGATCGGATGAACACGGTGCACCGTGATAAACTAGAAATCCCGAGCCGATACTGATTAATAGAGTCGCCAAGCCCTATCCGACGAAGCGGCATGAGCGCTCCGCACCGATACACCTCCAGCACCATGCGAGCCCTTTGGCCAAAGCCACAGCCGCAACAATACTTTGCGGCACGTCCATTGGGAGCCCATCGGCGCAAACTCTACGGCAACCGAAGCAACTCACGAGGATCATATATACTCATGCACTGCCGATCGCAACTCACATCGTTCTCTTGATGGACATGGATTTCAGAGTAGCCCTCACGTGCCATCTTGGTATGCAAGATGGAAAGGATAGATTTTGCTGCCATCAGAGCATCGCGTTAATACGATAGCGTGTCGTTGGAGGGCCCTCAGGCAGCATTGCATTGCACCGCACGTCGAGTCGAGTGCTTACCAGGAATGATGCCTTCGCCGGCATCTGGGACGCGATATTTGCGGGTCTCATGAACAACATTCAGCAGCTCGGGAACCAGCTCGTCGTAGCCCTTCACGCTGCCAACAGCACAGGTTGACATGGCAACAACGGCGGCGTTGGGCAGGGAGTCTTCCGCAGTTCGCTTCTGATGTGGGGTGTCGTTGTCATGGGTGCAGTCCATGAACAAAGCGTGCGGGGTCGATCCCTTGACGCTGACGATCAGATCCTGGTCGGTCAGTGGCTTGAATAGATCCGAGTTGATTTCATGGCCGATCATATCCAGGGGCAGATATTCGGGCGGGACAGTGAATGATCCTACGGTGGCCGGCAACCGTACATGGTGAATAACGGATCGGCCACAGGGAACAAGCAGCGAGGGATTCATAGTGTAGAACAAGCGCTTGGCAACCGACTATCAGCGCGACGAAGGGCGCCTCGCTCAGGACGCAGTATCCGACGCTCGAGAGGGATCCAGGTACACAGGACTCACTGGCCAGCAACGCATATCCGTTCGGCGCAGGAGCCAAGCTCACGGAATCAAATCTTTTACGGCACTATGAATACCCTCTGTCCCCTGCTTGTGCAGAGGTGAGGTAACCTACCGATGGGCTCTCCGCCGTATCGATGTACAAGGCGGCTAAGCTCGGCGACGTTCCAAGCGCTCATGGCCTCTCGGATGAGAGAGTTGATGCCGAGCTTACTGACAAAGTGAATATCCTTTTCTTCAGATCCCGTGAAGAGCTCGGCAAAGACGTAGAGATCCGGACGGACCTGGCGGGCCACGTCGAGCAAGTACGATCCAACTTCTATAGGGGTTGAATGGCAGTTGTCGATACGGAATCCGTCAAACAAACGAGCCATCTTGCGAGTGTATGCCGCCTGGTGTTCCCATAGCCATGGATTGTCCTCCTGGTAGAGATCGGCAAAAGGAATCACAGAGATGGAGGAAATCAGGCGATTGCTATAGGCTGGGCTTGGGAGTCCATCCAAGCATATGTCATTCGGGTCCAAGGCCGACATGTGATCAAATGCACGCATGTATGCAATGCTTTCATCTACTTCTCGCCCAAAAACTGATCTCGGTAGTCTCGGCAGGGGGTCGAACAGCACGGATGCAAGACTCGCTTGAGTCTCATTCAAGTTACCGGTCGACTGCCATAGCGCAGCTTGACACAGTCACCCCATGCAATGACTTCGCGCCGCAGATAAGCCTTGGAGTTGGGGCCGGCGAAATTGACGAGAGGATCTGCATTCCAGATCCAGCCGTTGTTGGCTAGCTTCATTTCGTCGGGATGGAGGGTTTGAGTCTTGGAGTTGACGGGGAGACGCGTAAAGTACGTGTCCACCAAAGGGTTTCTGTATCAGATAAATCGACAGGGGTCAGAGTTGCCCGTTGCACTTGCTGGGCAGGAGATATGGTTGCTATTCAAGTCGGGTGGGTGTTTCGCTGTACTCCAGCAATGCGCAGCTCAGAGTCCTTGACAAGCTCCATGCCAAAGCAAGCTGCTTGATCGCATCGCCCTTCGAGAGGCGACGCCAACGACCGCGACTTACTCTCTCGAGATTGGACCCAAGCGGGGGCCGTGATCTTGTACACGAAGGTACCGTGCTCGGGTGGTAACCTGCTCGTCAATCGAAGCAACATCACTGTCGCACTCCTGATAGTAAATGAGATTGATCTCGTTCAAGATCGACTCGTATTCCTTGACGGGAGGATTGTTGGAAATATGTTTTCCGTGATCACGGCACCATTTCTGCAAAAACGGAATGACTCTGTCGACTTGCAGGATCTTGCTGAAGCGTAGGCCGTTCTTTGGATCGCAAAGTGCATCTCGACGGAGGACCTCGGCCTTGTCCTTGAGGGACAGATTGTGAGTGTTGGTGTCGGCGTAAGGCCCGTAGTTGCTTTCTTCAGACTTGGGCCAGGCGTTGACAAGCTCGCTAACTGAGTTAGCGACATCAACAACGTAAAATTCCCACAAGCGCACGCCAGGGAGAACCTTGGTCTTGAAGACATTCATGATCTGGGCAAGCTGTTCCTCGGTTCGGAGATCAGGACTGAGGTCATATACGGGAGCGAGATTGGCTGAGAACTTCATCAGAGCCTCGTCAAGCTCGTATGCTGGGCGCAGATGCGGCGCTGTTTTGAGGTTGTAGCCTGGTGCGTGTTTCATGGTGGACCGCAATAATTAGCGACGTGTGTCAAATGGAGGTGTGCTGGACACAACCCTGCGCAAAACCAAATGATGTACGAACGTCTCGTGATATACTGGTCAACCCCCCCATCAACAGACTCCTCTCTGGGTACCTGCTTCGGGATGCTCCTCGAGCCAAGGGCTATTGCACGCCGTGTGGTTCCAGACCACGTCGGTGACGCTCAAGATCGAGTATTCGTTGCGAATCTTGTCCAGGAAATAAGCAAGAACCTGCTCGCGGTCGTCTTCCGGGAGCTCGTCGTCAAACATGTCGGCAGAGAGCGAGAGCTGGTCGTAGATGGCATACGGCGAGTTGGAGATGCCTCGAGTGTTCAGTGGCGCAAAGTGGACCATGTTGTAGCCCATCTCGGAGAAGCGTTCAAAGAAGGCAGGCCAGCGCGAGATGGTGGGCAGCCACTTGGGAATCACTGTCAGGATGACGATACCATCCAGGGGAAGCAGGATCTTGTGCATCGTGTCGACTTTTGGGTCAACGATGGCATCGTTGCGGACGTAGAGGCGTGGGTCCACCACGATGCTTCCGTGGCGGCTGGCCTGGACCACCAGGCCGGTCTCGGGGCTTTGGTATTCGGTGAAATACTCGTAGGCTCCGGGCTTGGAGATGACGACATCACAGTAGGAATCCGCGAGCAAGTTGGTTGTATAGCTGGGGATTCAGAGCGGCGCAGCGATCGACGGCGTGAACAAGTAGCATAGATATGTGTAGATGTGGTTGTGAGTGTTTACTGATGGCACAAGCGCATTTCACTCGACCATGACTCGGTTCGTTGCAGAGTAAACCATAGATACAACAGCAGAGTTGTGTGGAGTGCAACAGACGGGGCAATCAGCAGCCCCAGCCTGACAGAGAAAGACTCGGAAGCAGCAGCCGCCACAGGAATGCTGGCGATGCAGCCCGGGCTCATGCACGGTCGGTAGACACCTACGGAATTGAGTGGAAGAACTGGCGCTGGAAGGCTTGTCTGGTTGTCATATTCGAATAAACACAGCTATCAGTGCCTGGTAAACGCAGCTGTCTTTTTGAAGAGGGCCAGAGGCGCGTCCGCATTGGTTTTCATGAGAGTGACATACCCGTCAATCGGATAGTTCGTGCGAAGGACAGGCTTGTTTGAAGCAGCGACAGTTCCGGCAGTCAAGATCAACCGGAAGATGTATGGGGTTTCATTCGTCGGAGGCGGCAGACGGGTAAACTGGGATGATACGAAGAGATCAGAACGAGCACCCGGTGGCATCGACGGGACAGACACCAAACAGAGACAGCCGACAGCCGACGTCGTTGCTGTCCGATGGCTTTTCCACCGCTGGAAAGCGGATGGTTCGCCACTCGGCCACAGACGGGCGGTAAACCCACTGAAACAGAACCGCTGTCGCGAACGTCGATTTCACCAAACATATCTCGGGCGACAACTCAAAGCGACCTCACTGGCGTTCCCACTCAGTTGCGGGGGGAGGGAGCTGCCGCACGGGGCACACGGGTCGAAGCATACTCCAGCACATGTGAACTCACCCGCTTGCTGAACTCGGGCGACCCATCCAACTCCAGTCTCTGGGCAAAGACAAGGGGCATGCTTGGCAAAGGACGCAACCACAGGGATCAGCAGGACGGTGGGATTGTCAGCGACGGCGGCTTGATCAACTATCGGGACAAGGATTGAGGGCGATCAGCGGCAGACGGCAGGAACGGCGACGGCGCAGTGGCGTGAGGGTGGCAAGCTGAAGATGGTGGAGGGCAGCGAGCCGAAGATGGTGGAGGAAGGCGGTGGCTCGGCGCGGGAAGAACGCCAGACGCAAGAATACAGATGGCGAGAGGGCGGTTTTATATCCCGAGACGATATGTGTTGCTTGCGTGGCTTGCTGACGTCGATCGGCGCTCGGACCCCAACGGCATTTGCTCGCCGGGGTCATCCAGCGATTGTGCACTTGCTTCCTCGCTCATCCGAGGTGTGTCCTCTTGCCATGACGGCATCTGCAGCAACTCGCGGGTCGGTCCTCGTTGTGCCTGCACGCCATGCGACTCCCAGAAGATAATCTGACCCACTTGGTCGTTGTTGGCCGGATGATATGATCGAACGACGACGTGTTGAGTCTGAGAGAAATGGTGTGTCCCATTGGTTTTGCAACCCGCCGTATCAGCTTCAGCCGCCCCCCCCCCGTCGCCGATACCAGCCGTCGCCAATCTTGCATCTCGGGCAGCCCAGGATCATACGCGTTGCACCATACTGACTCCCCCCCCCGGTACCAATCACAACCAGCACACCTTGCTCAGGCCCAGCGGGATGCAACGTCGATGCGTCTCGCAATCAATGACGCCGACCCCTCCGCGGATGACCCATTGTTGCCTCGGGTGTGCTCCGGTGTCTCGCGGCGGTGTGCTCTGGTGTCTCGCAGCAAAGGCCCAGACACCGCCTGTGCTATCCCCAGTGGCCAGCCGCATGTTGGCTGGCGCCTCTGTGGCAGGGCTGGCTCGAGCCATGCGCAGCGCGTCTGCCGTTCGAGTTTTTTGTTTTTTTGTTTTTTTGTGTCTCGCAGGCGGACGACCAAGCGGGACGCATTCAGGCAAACCCGCGGCCTTCGGCACGATAGTGGCATATCGCCAGCACCCGAGGACATAGAGGCACCCTCACAGCGAGCAGCGACAGCCACCCCGTGCCAGATATCTGACTCCGCGGCACAGCGACAGGTGCGTCGTATTGAGGCTGCCTTAGATCCCGGAACAGGCTGTGATCCGTTTCAGCCGCTGCCCGTGGATCGAGATGCTCTTCCATCCTAACCCGCACATTGCCTTCGGCTCATGGACCGTTCCCGTACACGGGTAACTGGCCGCTGCAATTGTCGCCCCCCCCCACTTTTACCGTCGCCAAAGCCATCAACGCAGCTTCGTCACCTGTCTTTGCCTTGCGGAACATTTGCCAACATGGCCTTCCAGACAGCCGAGAGCATCCGATCGTCGTTCGCTCGCCAGAGCAAGCAGCACCGTAAGGCGCTGAAGCACCCACTACTTGCGCGCCGAATTCAGTTCAAAAAGTCGACACTGACTCAGTTCCGATCCTCCGAGTCGTCGACAACCACGCGCTCGTCCGAACCTACTATCGAGGAGTCGGATCAGCCGCCGCCTCCACCTGTTCCGCCTCAGAACAGGCTGTTCCCTCCAAGCGCTCTCTCCTTCGAATGGGACTCGATCTTCCCGATTGGCCCCGGCCTCAACAACCTCGGCAATACCTGTTTCCTCAACTCGGTGCTGCAGTGTCTCACCTACACAGCGCCGCTCGCCAACTATCTTATGACGGGACATCACATGAAAACCTGCAAGAACACAGCCTTCTGCCTGCTGTGTATCCTCGAAAACCACATCCAGACCTGTTTCGGCGGCAAGCCCAAGTCCGTGGTCAGCCCAAACGCGATCGTCAAGAGGCTCAAGAGCGTTGCCAAGCACATGCGCGTCGGTCGTCAGGAGGATGCACACGAGTTCCTGCGCTACTTTATCGACGGCATCCAAAAAAGCAGCCTGTTTGGATACGAAAAGTATGTCTTTAAGACGTATTGCGACACCGTCGCCGATGCTGGCGCTCGTAGCATAAAGACATCGGACTTGATCTCGCTGACATTTGCTCAACATCGCACAGGCTCGATAACCGTCTGAAGGAAACTACGCTGGTCTACCAGATCTTTGGCGGTCATATCCTCAGCCAAGTCGAGTGCCTGTCATGCCACTACAAATCCAACACATACGATTTGATTTTGGATCTGAGTCTGGAAATCAAGCACTGTGACACGCTTGAAAAGGCGTTCAGTCACTATTCCAAACCCGAGAGGCTCTACAAGAGCAACCAGTACAAGTGCGCCCGGTACGGTTGGTGATGTGAAGCAGCAGCGATGATTTGGTCACTAAGTCATCCGTGAGAAAGTCTGCGGCGGCCACAGTCTTGTACGGTGGCCCGGTGACTTTTATTGGCAGGAATTGGGCTACAGCCCAACAATGCACACATTCAAATGTTGCCAAACGCGCCAAACATCTTGCCCACCACGGTGCCTTTGCCACCGCCTCGCCTCCCTCGTAGTGCCTTCTTTGCGCTAACCGGCCTGGCCACCACGGCTCCTGATCGCAGCGCAGATGCAAGAAATACGTCGATGCCCAGAAGCGTCTCACGATCCATGACCCACCGCCGGTGCTGACTGTTCAACTGAAGCGCTTTGATTTCCTGCGCTCTGGAATGAAGATAAACAAGCCAATTGCCTTTGATGAATATTTGGATCTGAAGCCGTACATGACTGTCGGACAGGTGAGTCCCAGCGGGGGCCGAGTGGCTTCATTTGTTCATCATCGCCATTACTCCGTAAAGACCAGGGCCCGCTACTTGTCACGGTGCGGTGGATTGATTCGAGGGACACAATGCAGGCGTGCCAACGCCCGCCGGGCCCAGCACTGGCGCTGAATCGGAATGCAATTATTGGCAGCGCTTTGGATGACCGCTGGTCTGTTTGGTCCGCTTCCAAAGCTAATTCAGATGCTCCGTTTTGTCCACAGAGCACCCCCTCGCGCTACGAGCTGTACGCTGTGTTGGTTCACGCGGGCGGGTCATGTAACTCAGGCCACTATTATTCCTTTGTGCGCTCTTCAGCAAACACGTGGTATTCCATGAACGACAGCGAGGTTCGTGTATCCGCAGATGTGACTGTCGCCGCGCTATGGCCCGTTTCTTTGCACGCCAGTCTCTTCATGTTTTACTCAAACGATCCATGCATTGTCCTTTGCTAGGTGCGACAAGTTAGTGTTGGCACGGTTTTGAAGCAATCGGCGTATATTCTGTTCTATCGACTGATACAGTCCCCCAGCAACACAAAGAAAGAGGTACGGGCTTGGCTCGGCTGCGAGCGCTATGCAATTTGGCCAGGCATACGCCGAGACTGCAACTGAGCCATGGTGCTTGGCAGCCTCATACAGCGTCCTGCAGTATCGTTGCTTGGGATTCAGTCCTTTTCCACTTGCTGACGGCAATCGAAGCACTACCCGGATAAACTAACACTCTGGTGACCGATAGAACGCCCAGGTCTCTGCTGAAGCCAAACTCAATGGCAAGAAAAATGACCAAGCCAGTCCGATCGGTCCGTCGAGCCGCAAGCGCCCACTCGCGTCCAAGGAAAACAAGCCTTCCACAACCCCCAAGCCCTCGGGCGACGACATCGGAAGCGTTGTTTCCCGAGACGACATACGGGCCAAGTTGAATCGCAAGAAGCTGGAGAAGCTCGAGCGTCTCAAAAAACGCGCCGAGGACGTAGAAAACTACGTCCAGAGCCAACAGGCCACCAGCGCTCCATCGTCTGCCAAATCTTCGCAGCAAAGCTCCTGGTTAACCAGCAATGTGCAATCGGTCGTGAATGGTGAGGCTGACCACGACGCAAATGAAGATACGGACAATCTGCCGTCGAAGCCAAGTGGCTCTCCCCTGAAAGAAAAGAAGATCAAGCTGAGTGGCAAATGGATCGTCCAAAGCGACGTTGCAGGCCTCAGCGGAACTGATGGTGGAAACCGACAGACGAATCCATCCAGACACGGATGGAGCGTTAAAAGCCTCGCCGCAGGCGATGTCGAAAGCAAATTCGAGACGCGCCCCTTTGTATCCAACGGCATTCCGTTTACCGCACCGACAAGTCAGAACACAGCGAGTCAGTTCGATGGCCTCGAAGGTAAAGACGGTCGGGTAGCAAGCCATAGATTTGTTGAATGGGGTGGCGGATGCGATTGTCGGGCATTGTGGGTAATGCAGAGTGGCTACCACATAGCCTTGCTCTTGCGTCGGCCCGAGTGCATAAGTGTGCTCTGTTGGAGCGAGCTGGATGTGCTTAGAGAGATGGGGCTGTACAGGCCCGCACCCGACGATACAATACCTGAGATCTCATCTATTCTTGTCTCCCGCAGTGCAAGCATGGGATAGCGTCACGGCCAAACAAGCCAGCGAGCGCGAGCGCATCATCAGCGGGATTGGTCCCAAAAAGGGGCACAAGCGGCCAGCCCTCTGGGACTTGGACTACGAGAAGGGCCGAGTCAAGAAGGTTGGGAGAAAGGCCAAGTGGTCTGCGTCCTACCAGGGCAATTAGAGCTGCGCGATAATCACCTGAACGACGAATGCCATTGATCTCGGGAGAATCGTACGGGGTCGCCTCCATGCGGGTGCGGATGAACGCAGTGGGTGTCGGGTATTGGCAGCATACCCAAAATACAACGACAGTAGAGCGGAACTCTCTTGGGGAATGCTCTGTCCTGCGACAGAATCCGGCTTTTGCCCGACACATTGTTGGATGCAGCGATGCCCCTCCTCTTGCATCGCACTGCGGTGCAACAATGGGAGTCGCCCAGCAAGCAGCATCAGCAGCATCAGCAGCATCAGCAGCATCAGCAGCATCAGCAGCATCAGCAGCATCAGCAGCATCAGCAGCATCAGCGGAGCTTCCTCAGGGCTTACTGTGCCAGAATCACACCGTTGGCAAGTCAAACAGCGTAATCTGTGCCCAAGGCCATTGTGCAGCGACGCCGCCGAAACCGTTGTTTGACGCTGGTTTTGCTCGATGTTTGGGGATTTGTCGTCCGCCGCACTCGCCAGCGTATGATGCTCTATATTCGAAACAAATAATTGGCCCCATATCTGTTATTGCTGTTGTTGCTGTTGCGACTGTGGTTGATCGAGTTACATAATCATCAAGCGCCGTCCTCGCTCGCCGCTGTCACATCCACCATGTCCTCGCATGACCACATCACCGCATCTCCACATCACCATATCGCCTCGGTATGTGCAGCTCTCCCGCCTTGCGCTCCGTTGGCACCCTCGGCTGCGTCGTTGTCGTTGCCCTCCATGCACTGCATCCGGCAGCCAGCCAGCCAACCAGCCAGGGCCGATCTCGCCTGCGCAGCACCCTTCGCCGCCTTGCCCGAACGCATCTTTGCCTCGTCCATCCGCTCGCTCTTGGATCCATCGCTGCTGCCATTCCGGACTGGCTCCTCCCCTCTCCCAAGGCACTGTGGCTCCGAGCGAATGTCTACTCTATGCACCCTGTGACCGTGAACTGGCCTTTCGTTTCCATACGCACTGTCGTGGCTGCCTTCCACTCGCTCCCTCTGCCTTTCTGCCTGACAAGATCCTGCCCTCTCCGTTCGGCATCTCGAAGCCCAAAGCCACTGCCCATCGCCTTGGCCCACCTGCCTCCAGCAACGCCGTTTATCCTGTGCCGATCCGTGGAGCCCCTCCAGCTGCTCGTATTCCTGGGCCCTTATCCCGCTGACCTGAACATTGTGGCGTCCGGCTCTTCCTCCCTCCACAACGTCCCTCCACGCTCGTCGCCTCCCTCCCTCCTGGATTCCTGAGCTCTGTTTATATCCTCCCCCCAATGACAGCTCCCGATAACGCCTCGGTCTTTGACGACTTTTCCTCAGACACGGATCTCACGTCCGTTGGCGACGACGATGACGATTCGGATCAGTCCTCCAATTCCTCCCCTTCCTTGTCCCCACAGCGGGCACCCGAATCGCATCCTTCCCCAACTAGCCCTCCCTCCCCAACCTCCTTCGAGCCGCAGGCCGTGTCCTCTGTGTCTCTTGCATCGGCCGTCCCCGATCCCACAGAAGACGATCCTCCACCAAATGTATCGTATGCACTCCCCGGCTTGGCCAGCCGTAACCCTGGTCGCGGTCTCGATTGCTCCCCAGCTTCCGACATGAACTCCTCTGAGGACCCGGCTTTCCCATCCGACGATAACTCTTCAGACGACGACGACTCCCAAATGCAGCTGATTCCCATGTGCGAGGATCCATCCCCAAGCCACCTCAGCGAGGTGCATCGGCCAAGCTTTCGCAACTCGGCCTTGTTCAGCAACGTTCCGTTGGAAGACAATGACGACTTTACCGAAGAGGGCGAGGCCCGCGAGTCAGGTCTCCAAGACACCGAAGATCTCTCTGACGTCCCGCCAAGCTCCGAGTCGGACTCGGATCGAGAATCGAGTCATCTGTCGGAACTCGATCACCCCGACTTGGCCGAGCCGCTATCGCAGATCGTAGGGCCATACTCTTCGAGCCATTTGCGAGAGGCGTCCTCAACCCACACCGAGGCTCGAGATCCGCCTGCTCGTTCTGGGGCGGGTTCGCCGCGGGATGCTGGTCAGCCCTCAGACCACACCTTGGACGACTCACCGGATCATTCCTTGGACCACCATGAGCTCTATGGCTCGGCGGCTTCCTCCGAGCAGACGCCTGGCCGACCGGACCTCACCAGCCCATCAATGCACAAAGGCAACCGATACACCAGCGATGCCCTCTCGGCAGCAGTTCTGACACACTTTGAAAATGCTCCTCGGCCTCAGTCGGCGTCGTCAACGCAAATGTCGCTGACGCCAGTCGAATCCGAGTCCGAGGAGCCCACCGACGACAATGGTGACGAAGAGGATGACGAAGACGATGACGATGACCGGGACGACGAGGACGCTGCCGCTCCGCCTGCAGGCAATTCGCGTTCCTTGGGTCCAGGCATGCGCACACGCCAAACGGCGGCACAAAGCGGGGTCGGAACGGCCTTATCGCCAAGTCAAGGCGAGAGCGATGTGGACCACGAAGAAGAGTCTCTGCATGGCGAGCCTGAAGATGGTATGTGCTGCAAGCCTATCGTATCTGGCCAGCCTCGGAGTCGTGAAGACCGATGCGGGCCAGCCATTTTGCTGCCAAATGTCGCGATGGCGGATTGGCCGGCGATTCCGCTTGTGAGACATCTGGATCGTCCATGCGGCTCTCTATCAGAGCGTACGGAGAACTGCACGCTGACCCTTTGTGGCTTTGATCTCCTTCAGACACCGACCTGGAGGCCCTTCGGCAAGAGGCGATCAAGGAGCTCACTCGAATAGAGGAGTATTTTGTTCTCTTTAGAGAGAAGTATGTGCCTTTGAAGCACTTGCATTCGCATCGTTTCGAGTGTACCGATCGCCCCGTCCTCTATTTGTGTGTGCGAGGCTTGGTTTTATTGCCATTGCGATGAGCATCCCACAGTGCCGTTCTTGCATGACATCCATGAGCTCCGGTTGGCACCGCCGGGGTTTACTGCTGCTGGTCTTGCCACTATTTGGGTGAGGCGTAAAGGTGGGCCCAGCAACCCGCACGCGGCGAGCTAACTGACCCAATCTGCCTTCCAACGTCTCTGGCCTACTGCAAAAGATGGTATCGGGAACAGATGGATCATCTCGAGCGTGAATATGCCGAGGTCGAAAGTGGTAAGCAAGAGAATCCTTGGCGCATATTGCATACATCGCCTTGATCGCCAGCACTGCCTGCATCGGTCGGATGGGCTCGCCCGACTGCAACTTACCTCCATATTGTAACGGTATCCCAGGCGAGCATCCGCAACTCATCAAAGACCTGAAGCTCCTGGAATCTCATCGAGAGAATCGAATGATGGTCGCCAAAGCCCAACAGGACCAGATTCAGCTCTCCACCGAAAAACAGTATCAATGTGCCATAGTTCAAGCCGATTGCACTTTCAATGTGAGACTGCTACGCTGTCATCGTCACTCCCTTCAAGGATCCGAGTGACATGTGGTCATCTTGCCAGTTACCAAATTCTGTGTTGACGCTATTGTGCTGCTCCATGTACTACTAGTATTACCGAGCTCGGACACGACAGGAACTGATACACGACATCATGCTACGGAAGCACATACTGCATCAAGACAAGCGAAAACTAGACTGCCCGGATTCAGGTACGGTGGAGCATTTTTCTCTGACTATGGGCTCCAGCGTCCCGGCATTCAGCTGAATGTGGATGTAGCCGGTGGCAGGGGCTGCTATCGCGCCCCTGAGGAGCTGGCGTCGCGTTGACATGTCCTGGCTTTCGTTTTTGCGCTCCAATAGTTTCGTTTTCCTGGTCTGCACCCGACCGATCGTTGCTCAACAAAAGGCGGAAAACCATCAAGGCTGAGCTTTCGGAATTGATGACCATCCGCGAGCAAGGTGGATTTCCTGCCTGCGGCATTCCCGGACTCTCCAAGGCTGATATCCAAGAGGACCTCGAGGCGCTTGGGATCTTGCGGCCATCTGGTAACTATGGGCTGCACCTGACCACTGGCGCCGTGCCAATCCTGTGCCAGCAGAGAACCAAGGCTGCCCGTCCGCCGATGCCCCAGGGCGGACGCTGTGCAGCTGCGAGATGGCTGATCCGCGCAATGCCTTTGGTAATCCAGAACGAGACCGGACCAACCCACGATCGAATCGGTCAAAAGGAGCGACGACAGAGAAGGAGGCCGACTCGGGGGTGAAGTATGCCAACGGTAGTGGCCCAGCAGCACTGGGGCCACTCGTGGCAGCGCCGGTTCGGATCGAAGGCGAAATCCTTCTCATCAATGAAAGCCAGTATCGCAAAGGCGACCGTGTAAACATCCAGGACTCCAATACCACCAAGTTCCTTGCCAAGCTCGTTGCGGTTAACGACGCCGAGCTCACGTTTCAGCGGACAGACGGATCAAGGACTCGGATTCCACTTACGAGTCTCATCGATGGGAAGACGACGCTGACCCCAAAGATATGACGATATGCTCGTACACTCCCGCTCTCCTCAACACTGCCTATCCCGAAGGCGACAGAACCTGCACCATCACAAGCGGCCCAGATTTCGCCTCCGCTGCTTGTGCCTTGCGCCTTTGGTAAGGCCGAAGCTGCCTGCTGGTCCTTGCGGTTGCCGCATACCCGAATATGAGGGCTTATGGAAGCGACATGGGGCCTTGGTGATACATCCTCTGATCGAAAGGATGCAATCGAAAACAGGATTCATGGCTATCGCATGGCTTGTCGGCGAAGGTCTGAATACACATTCTCTTGCCCATGAAGACCATCCACAGTAGCCTCGGAGCTTTTATCGCTGGGCTATCCCGTTTGAGTTGATGACACACGCACAACGAGATGGAGATCGATCCGAGACCGAGCGTCAAAGGATCGAGTTCGCTGCCGCCGACCGAGAGCAAACCGCCAGTGATCTGCCTCTCGGCAACGATGGATGCGTGGCCGGCCAGATGGAGGATGCTGAGAGCACAGGCTGATGGCGAGATCGAGTGGCTGCATCGGGCCCATTTGCCCGTCACGTTCGACACCGTTCCACAGCCGCGAATGGAGCCGCATATTCCAGAGGCAGGGGTCGACATCGGCGGACAGGCGCTGGTGGGTGTGGTGCCCCTCTGGCGAGCCCACGAGGAGCCGCGATGACCACGGCAAGCAGACGTGGACTTGGCAGGCGCAGGCCTCGCGAACGGAGCGAAACAAATCTGAGGCCAGGAGGGCTGAATCAGCAACAAATGATAGGTCGAGCGTCGCTTGGCCAACATCGAAGGGCTGGATAGACAAGGTCACGAGTTGTGCTGTGGTTGGAAAGGCATCACAACAACAATGGGCACCTGGGCAAACAGAAATGGACGAGCAGACCTGGGAGACAAGCAGATCGAGTGGTCAGAAGCCCTGTGGGAGCACCGACCCCAGCAAGGGCGCACGAGAAGGACGGGCCGAGCCAGCCAAAACGAGAAAGACCGACACGGCCAGGCACAGCAGCCGCGCCGCCTGCACACGCGGCGCGCAACCGACGCCGCTCGGGGCGCGCCTCTTGTGGAACACGCGCCACCCGACGCGCATTGCTGGGTCGGGGTTGGTGTCACGTCGGCCGCGCGCTTGCTGCTGGGTTGGTTGGCGGATCGGCCAGCCAGTGGGTCTTGCCTGGGAGTCTGTGTCGGCCCGGCTGGTCTGCCCGGGTGGTCTGCATCGGTGTCGGCTTGTCGGATTTGTCTGGTCTGGGCGAGAGAGGAGACTCCCTCTGGGATGGGCTTGGCCGGTGTGTATGGTGGAGGAGCGGTTGCATCGTGTCGACTGGTCCAGCGCCCCCCCTTGCTGGGTGTCTCTTTGATTGCTCTGGCTCGTCCTTTCATTTTCAGCAACTTTGTTGTCCATGTTTCTTTGGGGCTGCGGCTGGCGGCAAAAGGGTGTCCCGTCGACAGCGTCCCACATCGGCAGCGGACTGCATGAGGAGCAGGAGCAACCAAGGTTGAGGCTTGAATGCAAGGTTGGTTGCAGCAGCAAGGTGTTGCTACGGAGGCAGCGCTGTCGTTCCTGTTTGGCTTGCGATTCCGTCAATGTCGGTTGGTGATGGAGATGCTGAGCGATACAACGATTGCTGAAGATCCCAGAGGCAAAGGAGCAACCCACACGCGAGGCGCACACAATTCGCAATGGCCTTGTGGGCTCGTGGGAATGGGGACACAGCCGGCCAGCCCCCCGGCGCTCATCGCACCGCCCGCATGACCGGCTCTGTCCCGGCCCATCTCCGTTGCCTCCGTTGCCTCCAGTGCCGCCCGACTCCTGCCCCACCGAGCCACCCACCGAGCCGCCCATAAAGCCCTCGCCTCGCCCGCATCGCCCTGCATCTGCATCCGCCGTCCTCTCCCCGACCCCGGTCCTGCTCGCTTCATCACAACAATGGTCTCCTGGAGCGTCTCCAAGCTTGTCGCCCTTGCCCTGGCTCCCAGCGCCGTCCTCGGCAACATCATCCTCCAGCAGGCTCAGCGCGAGCAGTACGAGGCTCAGCTGCGAGAGTAAGTCGATCAGGAAAGACCCAGCCCCAGCCGGCGGTGGGCTGCAATGGCCAGTCTGCAGCGAGACGCTCGTTCGCGGTGCTGTTTGTTCTGCTCGACAGGCCACTCGACAGGCCACTCGACAGGCCACTCGACATGTGCACTTCATACTGCCGGCATGCACTCGACACGCTGCTGACCCAACACTCCGCTCCCTCTTGTCGTGCACTCCAGTCTCCTCTCTGGTGGTCCTGCCACTGACTCGTTCATCGGCAACGAGCCCCTGTGGATCGACCAGGTATCGATCCGAATCCTTGGCAGCCTTGACCAGCTGCATCGGCCTTGACCAGCTGCATCGGCCCATTTGCAGCAACGGCTCGGCACCGGACTGACCTGGCTCCCTTCTCGCTTCGCAGAGCCTCGACCACTTTGACTCCTCCAACAACCAGACTTTCCGCCAGAAGTACTATGTCAACGACCAGTTCTACAAACCCGGCGGCCCCGTCTGGTTCTTTGTTGGCGGCGAGTCTGCTCTCGACCCTTACTGGACCACTTCCAACCGCACCCTCCAGTACACCATGGCCCAGCAGACCAACGGTCTGATTGTCGCTCTCGAGCACCGCTACTACGGTAAGGCGAGCCAAGAGTCTCACCATGATGCCACCATGCCACCATGCCACCATGCCACCATGCCACCATGCCACCATGCCACCATGCCACCATGCCACCATACCGCCATGCCATCCACTGACCCGCTCACCCATCCGCTTGCAGGCGACTCCAACCCCTTCAGCGACTACTCCAGCGAGCACCTCCGCTTCCTCGCCTCGGAGCAGGCCGTCGAGGACGCCGCCATCTTTGCCAAGAACTACACTGCCTCCAACAACCTCCCCTCGTGCACCAAGTGGATTCCCGTTGGTGGCTCGTACCCCGGCAACCTGGCTGCCTGGTTCCGTGAGATCCACCCCGAAGTCTTCTGGGCCGCCCACTCGTCGTCCGGCCCCCTGACCGCCAAGGCCGATTTCTGGGAGTACTCGTACGCCGTCCGTGAGGGCATTCCCAAGATCGCCGGTGGTTCGCAGACCTGCACCGACAACATCATCCGCGCCACCAGCCTCTTCGACCAGGCCATCAAGAAGGATCCCACTGGCACTCGCCAGTACCTCGGCTTCGGCAACGTCGATCTCGATGGTGATGTCGGTGGCTATCTTCCCAGTAACACCCTCGCCGGCTCTATCCAGTACGGACCTGTCGGCCAGAACTTCAACACCAGTGTCAGCGAAATTGACTTCCTCTGCTCTGGCAAGTACTTCCCCTCCTTCGCCGATCCCAACGCCACCGATGACCAGATCTGGGCCGATCTCCAAACCTACACCTTTGCTACCCTCGAAAGCTTTGGTGTCACTCCCAACAATGATACCGAGCTCTACTCGGTTCAAACCAAGTCCCTCCAGGACCCCGCCAGCAGCGTAAGTAACCCACCTGGCAAACGAGCCACGCCGAATATCTGTCACCTGTGTTGCCACCTCTGTGGCCAACTGTGTTGTCACCTGTGTTGTCACCTGTGTTGCCATCTGTGTTGTCACTTGTGTTGCGACCAACGCTAATTGCCACCATATTTCGAAACCCGCAGAGCCGTCTCTGGTACTGGCAGACCTGCAAGGAGTTTGGCTACTTCCAGAACGCCGAGCACGTTGACGCCCCGATCTACTCCAAGACCATCGATCTGACCTACCAGCAGATTGGCTGCGGTATCGTCTTTGGCGATGCCAACTCTGTCCCCGACACCACCAAGACCAACGACCTCTACAAGGCCACTGATATCAAGACCGACCGCATTGTCTTTGTCAACGGTGCCATCGACCCCTGGCACTGGCTTGGCATCTTCAACCGCACCTCGACCCCTGCCCAGCCCACGTTCTTCCACGACCAGTTCCACTGCGGCGATCTGTTTGTCCCTCTCCGCAGCGACACTCCCCTCCTCCGCCAGGTCAAGCTCGGCGTCCAGGCCACCTGGCTCGAGATCCTCAAGGCCGACACCTGCCCCTCTGAGGTCAACGTAAGTGATTTGCTTTTGGATACACCCTCGCCACAAGTGCGGTGTGCGATGTGCGATGTGCGATGCGCGATGTGCGATGTGCGGTGTGCAGTACTCAGTGCGGATGTCGCTGACCATATCTTTGATTGCTGTTTGGTCCAACAGAAGCCTTACAAGTGTGTCCCCATCAAGAACTAAATGCCTGCCACAACTCGGTGCCTGATTCTGGTTGACTCTGGTGCCCAACTCCCGCTCCACCGAGGGAGATTCTCGTAGATTCTAGAGTCGTCGCCTGCCTGTCTCTTGTTCTCTCGCTCTCTCGCTCTCTCGCTCTCGCCGTCCATCCGCTTCGTCCACCTTCCCCGTCCTCGGATTCTATGTTCCTCCTCCTCCCTCCGCCTCCTCCCTCCACCCGCCAGCCGAGTGCTATGACCCAACCGTGCTCCATCTATTTTGTAATTCCAAAGAGCTGTCTATGAAAGTATATATTGATAGCTGGCAATTCTTGTTCTCCAAACTCTTGGCGGACAATGTGTTGAGAAACCAATGGAGAAATACCTTTCTCTTCTCAGACTCAACACGCCGTCATTCGATCATATCACACACCCGGCCAAGTGGATCTCATCATTTCCCTGTGTGTATCTCATAATCGTGGAGACGGTCTCCCCCTGTTGCTCGCTCTGTGGGATTGCCGGGATCGGGTATGGGAGTCGGGTCTCGTTTCAGCATGAGCCGTTCTGGGGGGTCAAGTGTCGAGCCGATCACGGGCGTGCCTCCCTGGTCTGCGAGTTTGATCTCCGTCTTTCTATCCGTCGAGCCCTCCCCCCAACGTATTATCGGCCGCCGGCCTGAGCTCCCAACACGCCATGGCTCAGCGAACACCCAAGGACAAGCCGACCAAGGCCGGGGAGGATGTCGTTTCTCTCCGAGCCGTCGAAATCCAACCACACATGTCCGAGGAAGCGCCCGATCGTGATTCTGGCTCTCCCCAGTGCCGAACCACCAGCACCGGAGACTGGCCCTTCGCTCGGGTCGGCCACCAGAGCCAGCTCTTCACTCGGCCCAAGCGTAGCTCGATTTCTGAATTCAGAAGCCGTGCTGTCTTGGTTCTCCTCTGGGGCAACGGTGACTTTGAAGACAAAACGAGTCCGAGCATTGACTTGTTTGATTTTGGTGGGTCATTGCCGCCGTCGTCCTGATCTGCAGCCCAGATCCAATCCAGCATCGCTGTGCTTGGGCCACACCAGCCCCCAGACGATTGCTGCCCTGCTCTCCTGCTTTCCTGCTGCCCTGCTGCCCTGCATGGTCCACCCGTTCTTTTCGGCCTTCCATCGACCGCCATGACTCTCTTATCCATCTAATCACTGATCCACAGAAACCAACTCCTGGAAAGCTAAAAAGCCCGGGCTGGAGCCCAAGGCCTTCGGCAAGGATATCATCCACCCTGTACTGTCGTATGCGTCTGCCATCGTCGAGGATCCCCCCATCAGAGGGCACCATCTGTATGTATTTGGCGGATGCCATCCGTGCAATGCAGACGATGACTTGTTTGTCAACCAGGTAGGGCCTCCAAGAGTGCGTTGCGTCAGAGCCATACAACCCGCCTCCCCCCCCTCCACACACCTCTCCCGGAGGCTGATCCTTTTCGCATCCGGCTGGCGCCCCAGCTCTTCAGCTGCGATCCAATCCAAGGCACAGCCGCTATCGTGGGACTCAAGAACCCCAAGCTTGATATCGCCAACATCCCGACACCCCGCATCTCCGCGACGCTCACGCATGTTCCAGCCGCCAACCCGAGCAGAGATGGTCCCGGCGTCCTCGTGCTGTTTGGCGGATTCGGGGAGCTGCATACGCCCCTGAACGACGTTTATGTTTTTAATCTAAGCCTCTCGGTTTGGAAGCGAGTCCATCCCAAGGGCAGCGCCCCGAAAGGCCGCGAGGGCCATTCGGCTGTTTGGGTTCCGTCACAGCGGCGTATTTTGTTCTACGGTGGCTGCGACTCGAAGCGAAGACTGAACAGCCTGGTCTATCTGGATGTTGGTATGGACAATTGATTGATTGATCGATCGATCGATCTCGCCGCATGCATGTTCATCTGCCTTGCTGGGGTCGGATTTGTTCTGCTTCTGAACCGGCTTGGGTTGCTCTGCTCGTCGAGTCCAGTGCCCTTGGCTGCCTGATCACCATCTCGCATCAGGAGCGGGCTCATTCATCCAACTTACTTTGCTCGATCCGCTCCATTTGAATCCTGCGACACGCGATCCATACCATTTATGACCGCACTCTCTTGGATCGACTTTCTTGGGGATCGGTTGCTTAACCTTACGACTCCCGATCGCAGACAATTGGACGTGGATCCATGTCTCCGTCGATGGGCATCCGCCTGGACATTCGCTGCATACTGCCTGTTTATATGGCAACAAGATGATCGTCTATGGTGGACGATCTGGCCGCGTCACGCCTGCCAACAACTCGATTTGCTGCTCAAAGCTGTGGATCTATGATATCGGTAAGAGCGAATGAAGTGTATGGTGGCTGCCTGGAGGCTTGGTTTTTCAAGGCTGTGACAACATCCTTCGGACCCCGGGGCGAGTGGGCTTATCAATACGAGTGCTATTTGACCTTACGTACCGGATCAGATCGAAACTCATGGTCGTGGATGCTGACAAGCCCCAAGATTCCGGCTCGCGCAGGCCACTCGGCTTCAGTCGTAAGTACAAGCCAAAGGCCGTTGAGTGGGGGCACTCCGCCTGTTCGCTCCACCTACCACCACGGCGTCGTAATCTAGCCTGCTCTCATGCGACTCTTCTCGTCCGAGACGCCCTGTTGGCCCGTAGCCCCTCTCTTGGAGCGGTATTTTGCTCTTATGATCTATTCCGCACATACCAACTGCACCGTGATGACGCTAACAAGTCTCCTTGGCCTGAATTGCGCCTTGTCCAGCACGGAAACCATCTGCTTGTCTTTGGCGGACTCACGGACGTACCCAAAAAGCAGCCTCCACGGATCCTGAATGACTTTTGGTCCATCGAGCTGGAGCCATCTCTCCTCCGGCCAGGTCCGATCTTCCTGAATAACAACGCTCTCGAAATTGTACTGCAGAAGTATCCAAAGCGACAAGTGGAGATTCAGCATGCGCCCCTGCCATTTATCTCGGTTCGATGGTCCGACTACCACCAGCTTTCGCCGCAAGATCACACCTATCGCCTCCTGATCCGCAAGGTCCTCGGCCAAAAATCAAACCCGAGCTTACTGATCTCAGAGTATAACGCCAAGTTCACGGGTTCGCTGAGGGAACTCGGTCGACACCGATGGATGCTGGCATACGAAGGAAGCGAGCAAATGGCCATCTTCAATCAAGCCTACATTCTTGGCGATGAAAAGTACAAGAAACGCGAAGCTGCTCCGCTCGAATACGGCACGCGGTATGAGCTCTGCGTTGCCTTGGTGCAGCACAATAATCTATCGCCACCCAAATTGATGAGCCAGTATTTTTACTGCTGCACGGCCCTCAAAAGTAAGCGACCGAGGAATCATCTAGCACTTGGTTTTCATCAGGGTTGCAACTGTACTGGCGTCGATGGCCGTAGCGTTGTCATGGATACTAGTGATATGCTCTGTCATTCTAATATTGACTGTTGTCTTGTTTCGGTCTTTCGCTCCTTTGTTCTTTCACTCACTCATGCCTTCGCTCTTTCTTGCTTGCGCTTCCCTGGGGGGGGGGTAACTCGTGGCGCTCCTTTTTGCATCATATTCGTACGGCTTCAACCGTGTATCTCGTCTCCTGCTTCAGTTCCAATGTCGCCAAACAAGATCACGGCCACGTTGGTGCCAGAGACCGAAAGCCAGCCCCCTCGGATCGATCTGGATTGGATACCGCCAATGAACATTGACCAGTTCAAGGGGTACACATATCGAGTGGAGGTCATGGTGATTGTCGAATGCCCTGGACTCGTCAAGGACGAAAGCGTGGTCGCGAACACGCCAGACCTTCGACCCATGAAGCGCCGTAAGGGCAAGTATGTGCCTCTGGACGATATCACGTCGTGGAATACCCCATTGGGCCCCGGCCAACTGGACTATGGCTGGCTAGCCGTATCTCGGGTCAAGGTGCCAAACGCGCGCCTGGACCTGAGTCATATACTCAACACAATCTCAAAAGCATTCTCCAACGGAAGTGAGCACCCGAGGCCAGCAGACGGTCGCAAGAGTGGCCATAAACTCGATCCGGCTGCCCATGAATCGATGCCACTCGAGTCGCAGACATCCTTCGGCGCCCAATCGCCTTCCAAGCACTTCGCGCCCGAGTCGTCAGAGGAAACTATTCAGTCCATGGCAGCAGAACCCATCGTGCTATCCCAGGAGACACCAAGCGAATCGTCTTTTGTCACGGCCGATACGAATGGTCCAGCAATCACAGACTTCCACCTGACCGGCCCTTGGTTTCCAAGCGATGCCAAAACGCTTTGGTTCTTCAGCGTCGCTGTTGAAGTGCCTGGTCTTGATAGTGTCGACGCTGAGGACATGGCCATGGAAATGATTACCATCCTTCACAGTCCTCGACTTGGACGAGAGATACTTGATGACCCCAAGGATCCTGTCTATGGCACTGTAGCCACAGCCACGCCCAAGAGAAAGCGACCCGGAGATTCTGACGCAAGCACCCGATCGAAGAGCGACAGTGACGACGATTATGAGTATGTCAACAGCGATACCGGTAGCTCCTGGAGCTACAAAACCGCTAGCGTTGGCGACAGTGAAGTGAATTTGAGCCATGATGTCGAGGAACTGCCCGACAGGCCCGCCAAGAGAGCCAGAACGCTCACCACCACAATCCCGATGATCGAGCTTCCTGTGCCGTGGCACCATTCTAGCAGCCTCGTCCTCGACTATTCATCTGCCTTCTCGTCTCCGAGCGCCCCCAAAACCAGTGTCAAACGCGAGCTTGATGATGAGTCCGAGTCCAGGCAGCTCACGCTTGCGGCAACCGCGGCGACACCTTCAAAGCGCCGATCCACTCGCAGACAATCGCACGACTGGGTCGATCATGAAGATGTTGTTCAAGTGCCAGAGATCTTTTATCCGACCGAGCCAGCGCCGCAGGACCAAGCGCATCCCATCTTCCACCTTGAGTACGGCAAGAAAATGCTGCTCTATAGCGTCCAGGAGGAAGAGTACTTTCCCGTCCGAATCTTGTTTTACCAGCGAACGGCGCACGGCTGGGGCGTGTTCGTCCACTACATAGGATGGAATAGCTCGTGGGATGAGCTCATTCCGCTTAACAGCGTGACGGTCAAGCACTTTGTCGAGTACACCAACGAAGCTATCGAAAAGTATAAGGTGCGCGTCCGAGGTGAACTATCCCAGCTCATATTCAATCAAGCGCCGTACTACCAGCTGAAGCCGTCCGAGTATACCAAGAGAGACCACCCAGGCATAGTTGTTCGGCCGGCGATCTGATGCAGACCGAGCAAAGAACATTCTCGGATGTGGGTGTGCATTCGGCCACAGGAAAATGAATAAACCGGGTTCAACAGGCTTGTTCTTGATGGGGCCCTGATTGCCCTGCGCACCACGATTGTGTCCCTGGCTTTACGGATGCCGAAATTCTAGTTTCAGGGGGTGAGCCGCTGGTCCTCTGTTTGTGGAGCGGTGCAAATCCATTTCGGTGGGTCCCATGCCGGCGGCCCTGTGTCGGTGGTGGTGGTGGCGAGATTGTCCGAGCTCACCAGGCTGATCACATACGAGGGACACCTCAGACGGATGTACATTTATTATCCAGAGACTGTCGGCCATCAGCCTCGCCCGGTAGAAAATAAGGGTGTCCTCGTTCGATCGGACAAACACGGCATAGTCGGATCTAATCATTTCCCTATGTGAGGGAGATGCATGGAATCTGTCTGCCTCGTGGAGTCAGTCCGTCGATGACTCCAATATCTGCGGTCGATATCTCATCGACAGAGTCCACCACAACAGTCAAGGCGGGCCACGCCATGCTCGACTCCCCAGGGACAGATAAGTTTGTTACTTCGAGCCTCGTGGGGATTGTGGTGTCGAGACGGCAGCTGCCTGAGATGAATCCTTCACCGCCGTTGATCCGAGGACACGCAAGTCATCCGTGTGAAGGTGTCTCGTTTCAAATTCAGCCAAGCGGCCGGGCTCATCCATCCTGCCACGGGTACTGCCGATGCCACCACGGGTACTGCAGCGTCCGGATCCCAACTTCCTTGCTGGACGAGGTATCCCACCCACGTTTATTCTGTGGTTCCTTCATTCCTGTCTTTTCTTTCTGAGTGGGAGAGGAAGAAAGATGGAGATGGAGGGAGGGGGACAAAAGGAACCGGAGACATGTATATGGCCGACATGGCCACCACGACCTGGAAGTTCAACGAAAGCACGAGCCGGGGGAGCGGCAACGACGAGCGGGAGATGGTGGCGAGCCCGTGAATCTCAACGAAGCGCGAATGCTGTACGCTCTGATTTGTTCCTGCGACAGATTTACGTTGAAAGCGAATGCATGTGCAATTTCAGGATCCCGAGCGAGCGAGAGAGCGAAAGCCACTCATGTTCTCATGGACAAAGTGCGCTGGTGTATTATGCAAACGCTGCGATGACAACGAACGATGACAACAAGACTTGGCTTTAGCCAAGAACAGCAAAGGTATCCATGATCTAGCGGGGGGGTATCGTAATTGCTGGATGGACATGGACGCACAGCCCGGGGAAGCGGGATGGTCGTGAGCGAGGAAATTGGCCGGGAGAGCGAGACACAGGCCGCAATGGGCGGATGGGCGGATGGGCGGACGGGATGGGCCGCAGGAGGCCAAGCGCCAGGCAAGAAAAGCGGCAGACACAAGGAGCTCGCAGCCCACCCAACAGATGCAAACGGAAGCAGACAGGAGACGGCAACAAGATGAGATGGAAGGAGAGGAGACGGAGGGAGAGAGGGAGATGGAGAGAGAGAGGGAGATGGAAGGAGAGGAACAAGCGGAGGACCGACTGTGTTGTCGTTATCGATGTAGTTGTCAACGTCGATGTCAAAGTTCATCCCGCCGGTCCACACGTCCAGGGACAGAGATCCGTCCGGTGGTGTCTGTTGTGGCGATTTCGGTGGGGGGATGCCGTCGCCGCTGTCCGCAAACGGGGCGGTCCTCTGCACAGCACATTCGACCGGAGAGGGCATGGACTGTGCCCTGCTGCCGAGAGGGTGAGGGGGATCAACAGGCAATGTTGGTGAGCGAGCGACGTGGGTTTTGGGGATGCGGCGTTGCCAATACGGGAGGCTCATGGGCAAACGGACATGTCCTCCCCGAAGAAACACAAAGCCGGTGCCACCCCGGCTGGACACTTGTTTGGCGAAAAGTCTGGGGCGAGCGGCGGCCGCTCTTGCTGGATCATCGTGCCGCATATTTCAGCATCGCGCTGGGTCTTGGATCTCTCTTGGTGCGTCCTGGATCTCTCTTACTGCATCCTGGTGCATCCTGGTGCATCTTGCGTCGCTCTTGCGTCTCGCCCATCTGTCCCCGGCAAAGCGCCAAGGTGGGTCCAACAAGCGACGAGCGAGGGATGGGGGCGGCACAAGGCCTGTGCAGTGAGATCGCGCAGGTGTCAAAGGACCAGCCCCGCCTTCAACCACAATGTCAACTCCACCTTCAACTCCAACTTCAACTTCAACTTCAATATCAATTTCAACTTCAACTTCAATATCAACTTCCATATCAACTCCAACTCCAATCCCAGTTTCGCCGCCAACTCCAGCATTGACTCCCAACACCCCAGCAACCCCAGCGGCAGACTAGCCGGCCCTCCGCCTCTGAAAGCGAAAAGTGCACCAGCGCCCTGATCCCACCAAGCCCGCCGAACCCCTCGGTGCTCCCACCGCATCCCCGACGGTCCTCCCGCATCGGCGATCGGTCTGTCCTGCCTCGGCTGCCTTGGTCTGCCTCGATCTGCCTCCTTTGGCTCTTTGGCTCTTTGGCTCCTCCCACTCGGTCCCGCCTACCCCACTCTTATTTTCTCCTTGGCTTCTCCGTACAGCCTCCGCTGTCCAGCTCGGTACTAACCTTGATATCTGCGCTCTCCTGCTCTGGCTCCTCTCTCTCTCTCTGGTCATTCATCCGGTCGTTCACCCGGTCATCCGATCGTTCATCCGGTCGTTCATCCGATCGTTCATCCCACACTGCTGGATACGCCTGTGCCAGACCGCCAGTCCCACCCCTATCCGAGCTGCTTGCCGCTCCATCGGCTCCTCCATCGGCTCCTCCATCGGCTCCTCCATCGGCTCCTCCATCGGCTCCTCCATCCGTCCTCCATCCGTCCTCTGTCTGCACCCGATCGTGCTTTGCCTGCTATCCGCCGTTCCGTCCACTCCATCCCCAACTCGCTCGGACTCTGTCGCCGCCCAATCCCTTCGGCCTCTCTGCCTCTCTGTCGCCCCCACCCGCGTCTCGTCCTTGTCCGACGCTCGCCAGCGCCAGCAGCGCCCATCCGCATCGCCTGGTGCAGTTCGCACTCCTCTCCCTCCCTGCCGCATCGTCGAGCAGTCCGTCGAATCCCCTGTTTGCTTATCCGCTCGTCCGCCGGCGGTCACCGGCGTGGTCCCAGTCCCAAATCATACCCCCCGCTGTCTCCTGATCACACATGCTCAAGAATCCGATCCCGAAACCGGCCTCCAATGCCAGTTGCGAGGAGGTGGCCTCGCCTGTGCATCCTGCTCCCTCAGCCGTTTCATTATCGAGCCAGGACACCCCCTTTCTCTCCGTCCCAGCCGAAGCCAGGTGAGCGCCGGCCATCGGACTATATGCATACCTGTGCTTTTCACCACCGCCGTGATTCTCGCTCTTGGTACCGTCGGCTTTCCGGGCCAGATTGCCCTTGTGGGGTTGCTCATCCACACATACATCCCAAGCGATCCCCCGCTTTTCCCTCGCCCGTGGCTCTCGATGGCTTGGTTCCCCGAGTCGGGATCTGACGTGCCTCTCCTTTTCAACCTGCTTGTGCCGTCCTCTTCAGGGCCATCGAGCTGGAGCCCCGCAACAGATCGTCTCCGCAGAAGCTCCTAGTTCTTTCCAGCACTCCCATCATTCTTGGACGCAAGCACAGCGTCAAAATCACACCAACAAATGGCTTCTTTGATTGCAAAGTCCTCAGTCGGCAGCACGCCAAGCTGTGGATTGCCAACGGACAGGTATGGTGGTGACCGCCGCTCTCTGGCTGTCCGCTACATCTTCCCAGGAGGCTTGATTTGGTTGGTTTCTCTGAGCGGCTCGACAGGCACGACCGGGCTCGACCAGGCCAGCCACTTGCCCTGGCCCATCCCTTCAACTCATTCTATCACCTCTATCGCCTCGGTTCTCTATCCCTCTGGTCAATCATAGGTCTGGATTCAGGACCTGGGCTCGTCCAACGGCACCTTTGTCAACAACACTAGGCTCGAGGAACAGGAAGTGTCCCTTTGCCATATGGACATTCTGGAGCTGGGCATCGATGTGCAAGATGTGGATGGAACAGGTAATGATCGCCTTCAATCTCCGCTGCGCTCACTGCTGCCGATGCTGACAGCGTACGTCCCCCGGCCGGACCGAGTGCCTGAGGCTGACTGTTGCTCTTTGCCGTATATCTCGATTGCTCTGACTCGTCATCTCTGCGGTCTTTGTCCCTGTAGCGTTATTTGAGCGGCTCGAGTTCACCGTTCTGTTCAGCGATGTTGTTCCTGGGGCCGTGTCGCAAAAGTCGTAAGTAGAGCCTGCGAGAGCTGCATTTGCTCCGGCGCATGGAGGAGCCTCACGAACCCACGAGCTGGCGCCAGCTGGACTTGGTCCGGGCCAATCCGACGCAATGTGATGTGATGTGATGTGATGTGATGCGATGTGATGTGATGCGATCTGGCCGCATCATTTCCATTCGCGCTTGACCGCCATCCACCCTCCGTTTCTGACATACAGTCTCACCCTGACTTGACGTCATGGCGTTCTGCTCCGTGTTTGTCTGTCCATCTCTCTGCCCGCTCCTCTGCCCGGCACACCCCGCAGATCCCGAGCGACATTCGACACCCTTATGAAAGTAAGAGGCGTAACACCCGACGTTAAGAGCACGCTGAGCTATACGAGCAGCCCCCGCACGGCTGGCTCGCCAGTCACATCGTTTTCCCTCAGCACCGTCGACTCGGAGCACGTCCGAGCCGTGCTCAGCCGCTGTGACTCGCTGCTTCGAGAGAGCGAGCCCACCATGCGGGAAATCGAGTGGCTCCATCGCGAAAAGGAGCGCTTGAATCAGAAATACCCCCTCCACCACTTCCATGGTCTTGGCCAGGGCCACTTTGCCGACGACGATGATCACCGCGGTATGCGGTCATCAATGAAGGATGTCTTCAAACGTATCTCGACCAAGGTTCAGCATGCCTTTCCCCAGATGAATGGCCGAGATCCGGCCATCCCCACGCCATATTCGACCATGCACTCGAATCTGAGCTTCAACGATTCGCTCGACACCTTCACGGGCGACTCAACATACAATCTACCCCTCTCATCGTCCTCGGCTGGTCCGTTGCACATCAAGCGGAGCCGGACGATCCTGTCGAAATGGTGGAAGGACGAGTCGTAGCGTCGCCAAGACCCGTGTATGCGAGGAAACGGGACCCGGTCCTTGCTATTGGGGAGGTCGGGAGGTCGGATTGACTGGAGGACGAGCCAAGCGCATATGCCTGGGCTACCCCTCAACTCTCTGCCTTTCTGTTCTCTTTTTGGATGCTCTTCATGTTGCCTGTGAGCAGCGGCTCATTGCCCGCTCGCCTCTATAAGCTTGCCATTTCTATTTATTTCATATCAGTTTCTGTTCTCGCTCAAGAGGCAGCCCTTGCCCTCGAATATGTGTGTGTGTATTTGATAGCCCATATCGTTGCAGCGACGATTCTATCCCAGCCCAATCTAATCAAATCGCTTGGCCTCGCCTCGCTTTGATCCGGCCCGACCGAATCCAACTCCAACCCCAACTCCAACTCCAATCCAACTCCAATCCAACTCGTTTCTCCTCTCTTGCTCAGAGTATTTCATCCGAGTCCTTGATGGATTCTTTTTCAATGGACGCTGCTATCCCGTTTGTACAGTTTGCCCCACATCCTAGAGAACAAGATTTGAGCCAGATGCCGCCCTCAAAAGAGTGACCAAGGAGATGAGGTGTCCACGACCGTTCCGAGCCACGACTTGCACCAAGTCAGGCTATTGCTCACGTCACCCATATCACCCACATCACCATATCACTCATATCACCCACATCACCATATCACTCATATCACCCACATCGTATGCGACTGCTGTTTGCACCGCACCCCGTTGTCGTCGAGCAGCACAGCCGCAGCGGGCCATGTGATCTGTGCGCGCATGGCGTTCCATATGCGGCGAGTGACGGACGCGCGCGGGCCAATCAGCGCTGCTCTCGCTGCATCGCCGAGAGCGCCAGGCGACGAGAAGCCCCACAAGCAGCACGGTTGCAGACAGCTGTGGTGCCATCCTCTCAAGGCGGTCTCGCCTCGCCGCCGCGCCTCGCCTCGCCTCGCATCGCATCGGCTTGGGCCATCGGGGTCTTGTCGCAGCCGGGTCTCTCCTGCCGTCGTTCTCCTGTTTCTGCAAGTCCAAGCACCTCCTCCCCAGGCACGAGCTTTCGCCATCGACCCGCCCGTGGATTTGCCGCCTGCACGAGCACATCTGCCTATCTTGGATTATCTGTGGCTGACATCGCAGCTGGGGCCGTCGGCCTCGTGGCGGAGAGAACAGTTCGCTTACGATGGTAACTCGACCGCCGGTGCTTGTGTCTGTTGGGAGAGGAAGGGCTTCGCGAGTGCCTGCTGGCTGACGCGGGCGTGCCCATGCATCCGGGAACTCTGGGCGGCCGATCACGACCGAGATAGGTCTTTGGTTCGATACGCCGTTCCATCGATCGACTCTCTCGCCGCACCGCCATGATGGACACTAACACCCTCTCGACTCCTGCCATGGCCGTTCGACTGTGGCTGCTACAGGTCCGCCCATCCCTGTTCACGTCGATAGCATCCTCTTGTCGTCGGTTATCAAGCGCCTGATCGAAAAGGTGTGCATGCGGACTGTACTTGTGCATGCGTTTGGCTGTGGCTGCATCTGGGAACGCTACGATTGCATCGCGGCGGCCTAGATGACGACGACTGGTTCCTCGGGAATCACTCTCGCGCCGCTCTGTGAGGACCGATTTCATCGAGGCAATGCCGTCGATCACCCTGTCAAGGCTCGGTCCTGCTGCAGCTGCCGTTGCAACCTTCGTCGTGTCGGGATGGTGACCCAGGCCTCCAATAAGGCCGCAGTGGCGGCAGTGACCGGCTCGTCGTTCTCATGTTGCTTTCTCCTTGCGGTAACCGCTGCCCCTTCGACATGTCCCTGCAGTTGCCATGCTCCTCCAACATGCCCCTGTCGTATCTGGAGCACGATCCTGTCGTCAAAAGCAACATCGAAACGATCTACGAGATTTCTGCATCTGGCCGATACCAGGAGGTCATCATCCGGCTGGTACGTGGTGCCCTTGTCACCGGACACTCCAGTCCATGGCGATTCGACAGCATGGTCCATTATGACCGCCTCTTAGATGTCCATATTGTGTTGTGTCCATGGTTGTCAGCCCCCGGCAGGCTGGGGCTCATGACCATTGTCAGTGGATGGCCCACTCCTCATGTGGCACCACAAGTCTAACGCACTATCGAAACTCCTCTTCCGGCATACCAGCTGCACCCTCCGATCTTTGAGGACTTTTCCGGGACCATTGAGTTGCTCCAGTCCAAGCTCTTTCTTTTGCGGCTTGTGGGCAACGTCATGTCGATGCACTGGAAGTCGCTCCGCAACACCTCCCGATCAAAGGAGTTCCCCGAGGCCGGATACCGATATGACTCGGCCTCGTACACCTTCAGCGACCGCAGCACTGATGGCTCGGTGACGCCTGCCTTTGAGAAGAGCTTTGCTGCCGAGCTCAGCTCCAACTTTATCGATCCCAAGCCGTTCTTTGACCCCCCATCCATGGACGAGACATTTGTCAAGTGGGCCTTTGTCCTGGCTCTGAAGGCCTTCCAGTCGGGCTCCGCGATGGCACCCTCGAACACGCCCAGCGCAACCATGATCTCCCCGCTGGTTTCCTTTCAAGCCTTCCACGACTTCATCACGGTTGAGCGGGTGCCGGCTTTTGTGGAGCGCAGCCTGACCCCTGTCGACAAGTCTTTGTCAATTCTGTCCCCTCTCGAGGTCTTTTGCGACTCCAAGCTCATCAACCCTTTCCACGGCCTCTTCTCGCCCACCAAGGACTCGGAATTCGAGACTCAGCCGACAGAGGCCATCGTCTCGGCTTACTCCACGGCCGACCTCCAGCGCGAGATCTTCAAGGCTTCGGCCCGTCTGCTGTACTACTTTTCCTCGTCCAACTTTGGCCTGATCTTCACTCGCTTCAAGGCCAAGCTGCTTTCCTTCCAGGGCAGCAGCTCCGAGAACATTGCCGATCCCGAGATCTTTGAGTTCCGAATGCTGGAGTGGTTCAACTTTGATCGATATCGCCTCGGTCTATTCATTTCCGGTATGCTGCGCCGCGCTGTACTTTCCCGGCGTGACGTTGGCACCCGTGCCTACTATTGTGTCGGATGCACCCCTGCTTGGCACTCGCGGCGTGCTTTGCTCCGGTTGCTGCCTCACTAACTACTTCTGCTGGCGCTGCGTGTCTTGCTCGTTATCTAGAAATCCACCAGTTCTTCCCCAGCCTATCCAACTTTGCACAGGGTCTTGCCTCGTCGCTGCTCACCCGTGCCGTCATGAACTGGATCGACGCCTATCCCGGCGAGTACAACGCCCTCTACCGAACAAAGGGCCGGTTTGAAGGCGCCCCCGATCTCATGTTCGATCTGCTTGGCCAGGCCGCCGAAAGCACCGGTCGCAAGGCTGTCTTCTGGCCCTCCATGTCGGCACTGCTGTGTCTCTGCCCAGAGACCTTTGTGGACATGGCCAAGACGACCCTGACGGCCGAGACGTCCTTCAACCGCGTGCACTGCACCAATGCCCAAGGCGTCTATCTCACCCCCACCGATCGACGTCGATACTTTTTTGACGATCTCAAGTTTGGCATTCGTTCGACGATCCTCTATGAGTCCGCGGCCTTTTGCATCTCAACCCTGCTCAGGGGCGCCACGGTCCTCTCGGATCACGACCAACAGCTCTGTCACAACCTCGTCAACATCTTTGACGAGGATTGCCGGGCCCACGTCTTCAATCCGAAGGTCCTGTCCTACAACCCGCTCGGGTCGGACTCGGACATCTTTGACCTGACCATCCCGGCCAGTATCCTCGTCAGCTTTTACCGCCTCAACACAACGCACACCCTCAACTATTACGTGCCGTTGCTGCTCGAGCAGCACACCTCGACGTTTGCGCCCAAGATGGCGTTTATCCGGATGTGCCATGATCTGGTCATGGAGGTGAGCTGTATGACATTTGGAGTGGGAGGAAGAGGCGGTTGGCGCATGCACGCGAAGCGATTGCCGCACCAATGTGGCTGCAGCTGTGTTGGAATTGTGATAGTTGGACTAGGGCTTGTGCGATCGATCTGACCTGTGCGATATTCTTTGTTGACTCGTCGACCAGCCAAACCGCCATCCAAGCATATGCAGTCTCGACGCCTCGTTGGGTGCACCACTCCGTCGCTTGCTCACGGTAAGCAGCGAGCCAATCGCCGATCCGCTCGTCCAATGCACACTCGCCCACTCACTCACTCACCCACTCACTCACTCACTCACCCACTCACTCACTCGCCCACTCACTCACTCGCCCACTCACTCACTCGCTCGCTCATGCATGGCTACCGTGTCCAGGAAAACATTCGCCTGACCAGGTCACAGGTCACCATTGTCAATGCTGTCGGCTTGCCCAAGACCTCCGTCTGGCCCTGGGCAGAATGCCACCCCATCATCTTCCCTGGCCTCAACCAAGCTCCCAAGACTGGCCGGGCTACCCCGGGTGGCAACAAAGAGGGCTCCGGACCGGTGCCTGCAGTTGCTCCCAAGAAACCTGTGTTCAATAAGGAGCGCAAGGCCAATGCCTCTGGGCAAGTCAGCGCCCCGGTCGTCGAGCAGTATGATAGCTATCCCCATCTGGAGATGACAACTCGAATCCTGCGTATCTTTGTGAAGTGCCCGATGCTGGTATTCAGTGTAAGTTCAGAGAGCGGCCAGTGCTTGGGCAGATGCTCCGTGATGCGCTTGCTCGTCGCAGGGTATGTGTGACTTGTGAGCTGCGACTCGAGCTCTGTGGCCACAGCTAATGCTTTCGGAAATCTTTGCCTTCAATGCTGCCTGCAGCAACGGGATGGTCAATACATCAGCTTTGACGACTTCAGGGGCTTTGTCGCCACCGTGTGTCTTGGTGTCTTGGACATGAATCGCGTCATCCGCACCGAAGCTTCCAAGCTACTCTCCATCATGGTTGAGCCCAAGTGGATCAGCTACTGGGATGAAAGCCGCAACCTGCAAAATCTCCCTGAAGCCGAGGCTGTCGCCAAGCGGATGCGACACTACTGGATTCTAACTTCGACCATCCTTGGCATCATCGCCCGACACCTTATCGAGTTCCGTGGCGATGTCTTGGATCCCACCATGACCGGCATCGTGATCGCAAAGAACGCACACAGCCTGATCCACACGATTCTGACCAAGCGCAACGTCTACCTCAAGCAGATCAAGAAGGAGTATGCCACCATCGGCTACGGCAGCGTCGAGCACCTCGCGGCCAGCAATTGCCTTGAGACCCTCTATCTACTGACACTGGCGCACTGCGAGCCTGATGTGGCTCAGAGCGCCATCAAGGGCATTGGCTTGTGTATCGAAGAGCTCGAGTACATCCAGGTGATCTCGGACGGCTATCTGACACAACCATACAACGGACTGGGCTTTGTCGATAACCTCTCGACCTACAAAGACCTTGTCGAGGAGCTCGGGCAGGAAGCAGTCATTGGCCAAAAGGCTCTCCAGAAGCGTATCCGTACCATCATCAAGAACATCAGCCACTCGACCATGGCTACGACCTGGGCCTTCAGCGAAATGTACAAACGCTGGAGAATCCTGACCGGCATGCTCGTCCACAAAGTCTCCGGGCCGGACAAGCCTGCGGTCCCAAACATGCTCGCGGTGGCTCCTTCTGCGCCTGGCCCCCAGGGCCAAGGCAAGGAGCAGCCCGTGGCGCCTTCCAAGCCCACACCGTCGATCACTATCGAGGGGATCGTTGTGCCGCTGGCACTTGCCGAGGCCAGCCCGGCCATGAACGAGTTCTTGGCAGCAGAGTTCCAGCGCCGCCTGGGCAAGCCCGCCGCGCGATTCTCTGGCACAGATCCAGAGTATCTCGAGGACAACGGCCAGTGGGTCAACTACACCGGATTCTTGTGCACGATCGGACACACCCTAACGTCCGGCTGGGGTCTGCTTACGCTGGATTCGATCGTCCCGCTCATCTTCCGCAGCGAGAATCAACCTCCTCTTCCCATCGCTCCGCCGCGAAAGCACTTTGGTGGTCTCAAGGAAGGTATCAAAGAAACCTTCCGCGAAGGATTCAAAGAGTTCAAATCCAACGTCGCTTCGGTTGCAACGAGCGAACCCCTCGAGCCTGCTCCGAACTTGCAGGCCGCGTCGCAGCTTGGCGGTCAGATCCCCGGTTCGCCCGAGGGCTGGGTGATTACCGAGCTTGATCTCCAGGTCATGACGAATGCGGCTATCCCTTCGCTGATTCCGATCCTGTCGGGTCGCTTCAACACCGAGAAGCTGGCAACGGTCCTGACTAACAACGAGATCTTTGAGAACGGAAACGTCACCCTCAGTGGGCGCCTCCTCGTCGAGCGCTTTGTCACCGATATGACCGAGCTGCTTGTCTGCGACAGCAAGTATGTCCGAGGCATTGCCCGAGAGCATGTTGGCGGAAGCTTCTCGCACTCGCTCTGTGGTAAGTACCGTGACTCGGTCGAATGTGCACCCAGACTTCCCGCGATTCGTCGCGTAGTCGTCGGTGCGTCGGTGCGTCGGGGCTGAGGCGGCAGGCCACGGCTCTAAGGTGCCTTTAGGTTGAACTAGTGGCGCTGTGTAGAGTCTGCCTCTGCACCGACGTGCTGCATACAACATACTAGCTGCAGGCTGCTCACCGTCTATTTGCTCTGTTTTGTTCTTGTGCATTGGCGTTGGTCACACCAGCCATCTTTGTCAACCAGATCGGACTGATCAACAACTACTATCTGGCCGACAACGCCGCCTCCGAGGACTACGTTACCGGCGAACGCGCCTTGGTTTTTGTCGAGGCCTCGATTGTGGCTCTCAAAACCATCTTTGAGCGCTCAGAAGAGTTTGGCCGGATGAACAACCTCGTCAACTTTGACTTTGGGCAGCTCATCACCTTCTTTGTGCCATATCTCGACCGACTGCACACCAAGAGCAGCCAGGCCGTTGCTCTCCGCGTCAAGTGCAGACTGGCCCAGGCCGTTGAGCAGCTCGTGACCCACAAGTACTGCCTGGGTCTGAGACAAGAGATCAAGTTCAGAAACGCAATGACGCGCGTCTTTATTGACTGGAACTCGGACTACTCGCTGCTGAACGAGGTGTGTTCCGCTTTGATTGTGCATTGAGCAAACTCGCCCGTCTCCGTGCTAGCCTCTCTAGGCATCTGGTGTGACCTCGGCGCTCACTGAGTCCCTGTCCTCACCATTGCCCGTCCCTTCCAAAGCCCAATGTGTATGCCAAGAGCCACGAATCACACAACGACGATGGTGCGAATGAACGGACCGACATCGATAAGGCGCCCTACACCGAGCCAACGACAGTCTACTCGAAGCAGCATCGAGAGCTCGATACAGCCTGCCTCAAGGCCATGGTCGTGCTGTTGCGACATCTTCCGCTGCAGCCCGTTGCTAGGCCCGGCGCATCCATGACCAGTATCTCGAGCGATGAGACTAAGACCAAGATCTTCTCGAGCCATCTCGGCTTCTTCCTGCACGTCATCACCACATGCAACCGTGTGCTCGAAGTAAGTGCCCCCCCCCCAGACTGTATTGTCTGCTATGCGTTGTCGAGCAATAGACGCGCGGGGCTTTGGTTTGCATGTTCTGCAGTCCCTTTGGGAAGCCTGGCTGCTTGTGGATGCTGAACACGGGTGGACAGCGCATTCACTAGTCGACCAATCGAATCAGGAGGAGTGTTGTCCTCGTTGTCACCGTGTGCCGCACTCCTGCCCACCTTCGCTGTGCCTTTCTCACCCATGTCGGATTGATTGCGGGTCCAACCTCGTCCTATCATCTAGAGCCTGCCAGCAAGATCTCCGCAAGATGACTACGAGGACAAACCAGCCTATCAGCACGTGGCACCTATGCGCGACTCGGCCGTGTTGTGTCTGTCGCATCTGCTCTCGGCCAACATCGAAATCGGCCTCAAGTACTCGCTTCCGCTGGCGTACCACCGCGACCTCAATATCCGCATGACCTTTATCCAGGTCCTGACGACCATGCTCCAGGACGGAACTCAAAAGTTCTCTGGTCTCGGCGAGCAGGCCAGTTTGATCCGCGATCGTTACAAGATGCTGCTCGAGCTGATTCTTGATTCGGAGCTGACCATCGTTCTGGGGCTCTGTCAAGTGTCCAACGTCACCGAAGTCGAGGACCTGGCCCAGACGCTCATGAATGTCTTCTCGGTCCGAGGCGAAGAGCTCCCGCTGCTGAAGGCTGTGATCACTCAAGACTTGTCCAAGACAGGTGCGTTGTCTAGTCTTGAGGTCGAGTGAATCTCTCACCCTGCAAGCCCACCGCTCAAATACTTTACTCGCGGGCTGCGCGCGAGCAGCTCCAGACTTGGTGTGGGACAGTGCTGTGTGTGTCCGCCTTTCCGCTGCTGACAACATCCTCACTATACCCTCCGGCCTTGATCTGGTAGACTCGCCCCATGGTTTCTTCCGCTCCAACTCGGTCGCCACGCGTCTGTGGACTATTTTCGCGCGCAGTGTTGGTGCAGAATACCTTCAGCTCGCGATCCAGCCCATCCTCCTCGACCTCGTCGCCCGCAACCCGCCTCTTGAGATCGAGCTCGAGAAGGCCGGCTCGGCCGAAATCCAGCGGGCCAATATCGAGAACATCAAGGAAATCACCGAGCAGCTCCTGGACTCGATCATCCGCCACATCAACAGCATCCCGCCAAAGTTCCGCGAGATCTGCGCACACGTCTCAGCAGCGCTCCAGAAAAAGTTCCCGGACTATCCATATGTGGCTGTCGGCACCTTCCTCTTCCTGCGGTTCTTCTGCCCCGCGATTGTGGCGCCCGAGTCCCACAATCTTGTCCAGACGATCAGCCAGCGCGAGCTGCGCCGTGGCTTGGTATTGATCACCAAGGCTCTCCAGCACCTGGCTAACTACGCCATGTTTGGCGTGAGCAATAAAGAGAATTCGATCGGCATACTGGACGAGATCCTCAAGAGCAACATCGGCAAGGTCACCTGGTACCTCAAGGAGCTTTCGGTATGGTGCTGGCCTTGACTGCACATAGCTGTCTGTCTGTCTGTCTGTCTGTCTATCTGCCCTTCTTTTTCACTCGGCGCTGCCCAGAACGCCCTGATCACAGACCAAGTGCCGGATATATTTGGGCATATGCCGGCGTGTTTCTGATGTGGAGTAAGGGGCGAGAGAGGAACGCTGCCGCTGCTGACGATTCTCGGTCTATCCACCGCCATCAACGCACTACCCCAGTCCTGGTCCGGCGCGACGCACGAGCCTTTGCCAGCTCCTAACCGAATGATCAAGTTCCCCGACTACGACTTGTTTGCTCTGCAACGACAGCTGGCCGTCAACATCGAACGCATGGAAGCGACGCTTGCGCAGAACTCTGTCAATCCCGTCCTGCGCCGCCGACGCAGTACCATCGGTCTGCAGCAGCCTGGTAATGCTCCTCGACGCAGCTCGCAGGGTGCCATTGACGTTTCAGGCAGCGACGAGCGTCTTGATGCGCACATGCAGAAGCGGTGGTACTACCAGCAACTCTCAACAATCCTCGCCCAGCTCGACGGAGCCGTCTCCCCGGGCACTACCCTGGACAATGCCCTTATGACCTCGACTGTGTATACGACTTCGGTGCCCTTGAACGGTGCCCTGGAGGTGAGCGACCACCGGCCGACGCGCGACCCAGATCCCGAACGGCGACTTTCATATTGGATCGTCTTGCATTACGGCGGGCCTCCCCACACGCTCTGTTATTGACCGCACTGCTTGATCACTGCCTCTGACCCTGCAGCGTGCTATCTACGAAGGCGGGCGCTCCAAGGTAAGCTCGCTTGCCGTGCATGCAGGGCTATGGCGTTGCTGCTGCTATTGCTGCCGTTGGCATATCAACCCTGCTTGCGTTCGACGTTGCTGACGCTCGTTCCCCTCCCCCAGTCCGGACGTCCCGTTCTGTACATCATCGCAAAGCGCTGCGACCTCAGTGATCCCGAAGGAATTATTCATGCACTCAACGTGGAGCTGCAGCCGCTGACGAGCTTGCCCTTTGACATTCTGCTCGATCTATCGGGCTTCAATACGTCCTCGTCGGACCGGAGCGAGGCACTCCTCTACCAGCTCACCAATATGCTTTCATACGAAGTCGACCTGAACTGCCAGCAGATCATCATCTACAACATGAACAGCCGTGCCTACCAGCTGCACATGGCAACATCGCACTTTATCCACCCAAAGGTTGTCTCGCGACTGGTGTACTGCTCCGGACTCGCGGAGCTTGAGGAGTACATCGAACCTGCGCACATGAAAATGCCCCGCGATACCTTTGTGGAGGTCAAGCCATCCAAATTCAACTTCACGACTATGGTGTACAGTGCCTCGTCGCATAACATCGGCAGCTTCATCTTGACCGCCACGGACGAGCATATTGTCCTGACAGGCACCAAGAAGCAACCTGTTTTCGACTCGACCGTCACTGTCTGCAACATCATCGACTTTAGAGATGTTGTCGAGATTGGTCGTGTTGGCAGCAGCCGCACGAGCGAAAGCGAATTCCAAATCAGCTATGTGTACCAGCAGCAGTCCGTCCGCGGCATCTCGCACCGTCAAACCTTCACCGAGTCCTTTTCGTCGTCCCAGCGCGAGCTGATTGTGCGCTCCCTGCGTGCGGCCAAGTCACGGTTCGACATTGCCAATCCTGTCGACCATCGTCTGACGCCTTCTCGCCAGCTGCGGCCCCAGGATGTGCCCGCCGTCTTCCTCAACATTTCACTCATGAACCTCGGAAGCCGTAACTCTCTTCTCAAGTGGATCAGCTACGACCTGCTGTGCAAGACAACTCAGGCTTACGGACTGTCGATTGAAGGACTACTCGTCTCGCCAGGTTTGTTGTGTACATTCTCTCGGTGGAGAGGCGCCTGGGGGAAGCTGCGGCCTCTGCAATGCACGTCGCTATGCTGTATGGCATTGGACGGCATTTACCATGCAGTCATCAGCACTGCCGCTCTCGTTGTCGTAAGTCATCGCTGACTCTGAAATCGCGGTATGCTTTTCCCATATTCCATGTGCCGCCAACCATATGCGCCAACCCATCGACCATCAAACATCAAACATCAAACATCAAACATCAAACATCAAACATCAAACTACGTCGGGAACGGACTTGCTCTCGTGCGCGCAAACTGCATCGACATCTCCACGCTACCATGTATACTCGGCCGTGACTCTGTGACTTGGATATAGATCTTTGCCTGCCAACCAACGTGCGCGATTTCCTCTTCAATATCAGCAAGTCCATTGCCGACAAGGACAACTCGATTGCCTTGGATATTGTGGCAGAGGCTCTCACGGCCTTCCAGCAGGTTGGCACGCGCATCAAGTACCACATCCTGGCCTACATCAAACCCTGGCTCACCGCCTTTGGAGAGATCATCCCGCCCACCGCCACGCTGCCGGACTTTAGGGCTGTCGACGAAGATCTGAATGTTGTCAAGGCCTGCGATATCTTCAGAATCATGGTCGAACTCAGCATGGTCGAGATCGATGTGAGTGATGCGGATGACTACAGTGCGGTACACGGGGCCGACTGTGGATCGATGCATGCGTGAGGGGGGGGGCAGAGGCTGCCTCTCCATCGCTTGGGCGGCATAAGAGCTGTCAGTGCTCCTGCTGTTGGGAAGGCCGCAAGTTTCTTCCGTTGGTCTTCGAAGATGACGTTCTTTCTACGACTTTGGCTCCTGCTTTTGTTGTCGTAGCTATTTCGCATAGCCATCTTGTCGCTTCCCTTTGTACCTCGTCTTTGTGGCTAGAGCCTTCACCGACTCACCAGCCGTTACGATGCTCCCACACAGATGATGCCGGAGATTGTTCATGGGTTCTGGGCCCCCTTCGCATCGGTAGAAGAGATCCTGCCGCTGCTGATCGATGTCGTCCTCGAAGACTCGCTGCGAAGCGGGCCGTTCTCGCCGCGCACCAACACCCTGACGATGATCATCATGGAGGTGTCGGTCAAGAACAAGCCCCTGGTCTTTGGCCGGATCCTCGGCCGGATTCGCAAAGCCCTCCAGTACAGCTCGACAACCCCGGCGCGCTGCCTTGTGGATCATCCAGTCTTTGCCGAGATCATGACGCTGTCGCGGTACATCCTGAACCTGTCCTTCAACGATTCCCACATGGCACGACAGTACCTGCCGGATCTGTTCCACATTGTTACCTGCTTGCTCGGGCTGGGCCCACCACTGTTCCGATCGACAATCCATGGCATTGCGGTCAACGTCGTGCAGTCGCTCTGCACCTCGACTGGCCACGCCCATCCAAACGGGCCCCAGCTCTTCCAGATCCTGAAGGACTTTTCCGAGTCCAAGCTGCTGACGGCCTTTGCGCTTTCGGGCTACAACCACCTCCAGTACCAGCTTGGAAGCACGAGCGTGACGGTGAACTTTACAGCCAATACGCGCACGGGCCTAGGCTCGTCCGACAACCTCATGGACGTCAGCCGCGAAGTGTTGCTGACCAACCTCGAGGATGTCTTCCAAACGCTGCTCTCTGCCCTTAACCTGGCGGCCAAGGATGCCCGTAAGTGACGTAATTGCGAGTGTCCCCTCAAGGGAGGGCACAGCAGCAGGTGTTTAGTGCTTGGCTCGTGGCGTGCGATGACAGTGGCTTTATGAGCGATTGCCATCGCCATCGCCATCGCCATTGCCATCGCCTTTCGTGATGGAGATGCTGACGCATCCCCGTCTCTGTTCACTTGTACAATCACCCGCAGGCCAAGCCGCCATGTGGAAGTCTCGATGGATGTCGCTCGTTTCAGGAACAGCCTTTGTGTTCAATCCTGCGCTGCAACCGCGGACCTTTGTTGCGCTCGGATGCCTGGCTGGGCGCGACACGGACGATGACTTGCTGTATCAAATCCTCGTGGCCTTCCGCGGGTCGCTCACGCTGTACGAGGAGTTTGACGTCACTCTGCTGGTGTCGTGCTTCATGTGCATGGGCAACATTGTGCGGCTGCTGAGCAGGAACTCGAGATATCTCAAAGTGCTCTTCTGGATTGTGCTGTCGGCAGTGATGATCTCGCATCCGCCAGTGTTCCAGGCTGCGGCATCGGTGCTGCAGATCCTCGTGCGCAAGCTCGATGAGTCTGGCGCATTCGACCATGCACCTATGGCCGACGTTCTTTTGGATGCCAAGATCCCGGCAGAGGAGTACTTTGACAAGATCGAGGCTGCATATGGAATCAGCTTCCGAAGCGACTTTGGGTTTGCTCTGACCACCGTTCTGCTCAAGGGTCTCAAGCACCCGGCAACGAAGGCAACGACGACGCTTCTTTTCACGACGCTGCTGGAGGTGCACACCCGCAATGCCCAGCTTCACACCTTCTCGCCTGAAGGCGCAGCCGTCATGATTGAGACGGATCGGCTCTACTACATGCTCCCGCTGCTTCCATTTACGGAGAATCTCAAGATACTCCTTCTGTCTGCCGGCATTCTGGACTCCAACAGCATCGACGATGCCGGGGTGTTCGCTGCTGCCCCCTCTGATGGAGAAGGCGGCAAGGACGCTCCCCGCAAGCTACGATACCAAGGTATCCTCAAGGCCGTCCAGTTTACCGAGCCCAAGTCGATGATGCTGACGCTGGCTCTACTGATGACGATGCTGGACAATGCCGAGTACGACTCGGAGACACTCTGCATCTTGGAAGCCCTCGCCGAGTGCGCCAAGTTCATGCCTGGCATCCTGTCGCTCCTGTAAGTCGAGTCGCTCGCGGTGCGGAATAGGGGGAGGGCCTTTCTCAGAAGCGAGGGCGGCAGCGAACTTCATCGACTGACTCCCCACGACAATCTGTATGCTGGCACCCCAGACACGACCACTTGATCCCAAGAGCAGTCCAGGTGATTTCGACTTCCAAGAACGTCAAGGTGGTCGAAGTTGCACAGTCGATCCTGATTGTTCTGATGCGGCATCCGCAGTTCGGCATGATCAACCACGGTAACATTGGTGGGGGATTCGAGCAAGCCTCCCTGGGCGCCGCAGCCCCGTCCATCACAACGACCCTCGGCGCGCTCCCGGACGAATTCCCGCCGGCAACGTATCTCGCGAAGCTCGGCTTCCCGGGCTTGCTGGAGTGCGGCAGTTTCCAGTCCGTCCACAAGAAGAAACGGGCCCAGCTCGTGCAGCTGGTGCTGTGGCTGACCGAGTTCTGGATCTGAACGGTCCCTGTGCGTTGCGCTACACTGCACCGCGCTGCGGCATCGATAGCGAGTGTCTCTCGTGCTTGCTTTCTCTCTCTCTCTCCTCTCCATCTCCATCTCCACCTCTATCTCCGTCTCTGTCTACCTGTCTTTCAGCCCGGCTGCTGCCAAACTCTTCTTTGAATCAATAAAATAAGGCGGACGCTCAGCACTCTGAGCACACAGCGCCCGGGTCAACCAGATCAAGCACGCTTGCCATCATGAGCACGACGGCGTCTCGGTGATGACATCCGCGCACGTCGCTTGCCCTTGCTGGGTGCCGTGTACCGCCCGCCACCACAACCCGCCAGCAAGGCCGGGCTTGTGCGCACAAGCTTGCTCCATTCAGGATCCGGCGCTGCCGAGTGGTGCTGCAGGGTGGTACTGCGGGCCGCCCACACCCCGAACAAGCCCGGCACAGGCATTGGCACGCTGGCATCAGGGCTCCTTGGGCCGGCCTTGTGCGCGCCACGGCCGGCCACTCGCGGCGGCCCATGCCGACGCCGGTGTTTTTGTTTGTGCCAGGCAGTTCGAAGGAATGCGCTCGTGGCGACAGCGACGGGCCCATGCATGGTCGGTCGCAATGCGCATCCATTCTCCAAGTCACACTCTAACATCAACGCACCAACATCAACGCACTGACATCAACACACTAGCATCAACACATTGCCACATTAGAATGTTAGCTCATTGACACACCAGCGCAGAGCGCTCAGTCGCCCCACCTGCGCCTCACATGCCCTTGCCCCGCTGCCGCTCAGCGCCGTCCCATGCCACTCTGCGAACCAACGGCAGCTGCCACCCCCACAAGGAGCCCAACAGCGGCCTCTCTGTTTGCTTGTCGCCGACACAAAGCCCCGGCTGCCGCGAGCGCGACCAAGCTGCTCTGGGAAAGCTGCGAGTGCGAACCGCCGCCGCAACATGTCTCGCACGACACCCACAGACATGTTCCTGCCCGGCGTCTGCGGATATGTCCTGCCCGACGAGCGACGTCTCTCGTCAATATGGGCGGCTGCTTGCTTGGCAGAGCGATGCAGAGCGATGCAGAGCGATGCAGAGCGATGCAGGGCGGTGCAGTCGCGCGGACGGCCCTCGGCCCCTCGGGGTGTTGCGCGCGGGGGCGCTGGGCCGGCTGGGCAGTCTTTCGATGCCTGTGTTCCATTGCAGGCCCGCCTGCCCGAGCAAATTGGGCGTGCGGGCGCCCATACACGGCCGGCCAAGGGACACCCGCTGCTTGTTGCTGCACTTGGATGCTCGCCCCACTCGTGGCTGCGTTGATATCCTTGGCCATCGTCTCGATATCCCGCTCGTCCCGATACTTCTCTTTCGTCACTTTCACGTCCCCCTCCCCGCTTACCTCCCCCCTCGCCTGTTTGCTCGTCCACGGATCCGCTCTTGGATAAAGACGGTCGCCGCCACCCCTGTCCTGTTGTTCCTCTCGCCTTGCCTCGCCTCGCCTGGCTGTCCGCCGCCCTTCCCCCCGATACCCACGCCGCAACCGCTCCCTTCTGCTGTAAGCCTCCCCCGTCCGAACCTGAGAGGCTGGCCATGGTTTTGCAGAGAGCCCTGCATGAGGGCCCTGCCGACGGTTGCCATTCTCGCCCCCAGCCTCGTCCAGAATCGTCTTCAGTCTCACTAACATGTCCGGCGGCCATCTGGGCTGTACTGTGTGATTTCCAGCAACATATCCGCTCTGCCAGCATGGCTGTTCGGCTCCTCCTGCTCTGCCTGGCTCTGGTCTGCGGCTTCGGCACTGCTTTTGCATCGGCCGCCTCCTCTTCCTCGTCGCAGACAAGCTGCTTCCCCGTGGATAGGTCCGACCCTCTCGTTGCACTTGTTCCGGTCTTCTAATATCGATGGTGGCCTCCAGGCGCAAGTGCGAGCAGTGTTTTGGGCTGCACTTCCCGCACGGTTTGTCGATAATCTGATCATCCTGGCTAACATGCGCTATCACCGATTCGCTTCTCGCTTGTCTATCTCGCAACGACCGGCCGATATTCCTACGATCGGATTCCTGTCGTTTTGGCTCCGTTTTCGCGACCTTCCGCTCTTCCCGTGCTGCCATAACTGCCATCCTGTCAACTTCCAACTCTGGCATGGCCATCACCCTGTCATGCCTCCACCCACCTCGGGCCCTTGCCTTGCTTCCTTTCACCACCCCTCTGCACAACCAACTCCGGAACCAACGGCGATGTTGCGCAGACTCTGCAAGCGGTTTCCGGGTGCGCATGTGCATCCCGACGTTGTCGCTCATCGAATGGGCATCTCTCCGCACTCCGACGTCCAGGCCAAGTTGGCGGCATTTCTCTCGTCCATCCAGCAAAACGGACTCTCAAATTTACCAGGCCATGGTTCTCCCAGCGACCGTGGTCTATCCCTGACCGAGCGCTCCAAACTCCTACAGACCTGGATGGCCAGCCACTGCACCGGCGAGCTGCACAATATCGATCCAGTAAGAATACCGCCAACGCAGCTAGCAATCCACAGCGTGCACTGTCTCCCTCGATCATTTTAACGTCTCCCTGTCTGGGTTGGACAATTTACATCCTCACCTCACCCCGGGTTCCTTGTTTGCTGGACTCACCCGCTTCTGTCATTTTGTGTCGCCAAGACCCGTCTGGACAGCCAGCGAAGCCTGATCGGCGAACTGGTCTGCTTTGACTTGATTCGTGCTTCGGCTGAAAGACAGCTATGTCCTTCGGGCCCACAATCCAGCTTTTCGCTCCAATGCACCCGCAAGTTCAACACTCTCATCACCACGGTCATCAACGAGGAAGGCAGCTGCATGGTGCTGTCGGATCAGCCCAACGAGACCATCTCCGATCCAGCTACCACCAAGACAGCGGGCACTGACCTCTGTGGTATGAGACGACGCTCTCCTCCGTACAATTGCCCCGCATCGATCGGATTGCCAACAAGCAGCACGCATATCGCCATGCTTATCACAGCGATCAATGGCTTGCTTGGCGCTTGGTAGTACATGTGGTGGGCTCTGCTTGCCTCTGACCAGATTATACCCTTCCTTTGACCAGGCTATCTGGACAAGTACTTGAATCCGCCGCCGCTCCAGATCGTGCGACGGCAAAATCCCACACGGGTCCTGGCTGCTTCACCCTCGCCCTCTGCCACAAGCGACGGCGACGACATGGTCATTACAATCCTGATTGCCGGCGTGTCGTTTGTTCTGGTGCTCCTCATTCTCATCAGCACCATATGCTACGTGAGCTACCGCCGCATCAAGAGGGAGCTGGATGACCTGCAGTCCGCCAATGCTGCCGTTGAGCTGGAGCTTCACGAGACACGATCCAAGCCAGCCGTGTCGACGTTCGCCAAAAAGTGGGTGGTCAACAAGCCCTATCGAGCGGCCCGAGGCGATGAGATGGATTTACGAGTCGGTGACATTGTCACCCTGCTGAGTGTTTTTAACGATGGCTGGGGACATGTAAGTACCCACACGGCAGCCCTTCTGACCCAACTCTTGGCTGAAACCTCGGATGTACTGGCATAAGGCGGCGTGGGATCTCCTCGGAAGCCAAGTTGCACGCAGCCCCAACTGGCCGCCGATACACAACCGATCCCAGCCAACGCTCCCGCCGTTCAGGGTCTCACTCATCGCTGGTTTGCAACGTTCATTTCTCTGTCTCTAGGGACACAACGAAACGACAAATGTCGTCGGCACTCTGCCCCTGTCCTCACTCGTCCCGCAAAAGGTGATCAAGCGGGAGCCCGTAGATTCCAGCATTAGCGGATCAAGCAGTCGAAAGAGCATGAGCCATCGAAGCTCCCTTGGCACACAGGCCAGTCTCACGGGTGGGAATGGCCACCGTCCCAGTTTGAGCATCACGGGCAAGTCTCCTTCCTCCACAAAATCAATTCTGTCGGCGTAGCTGTAGATGCAGCAGAAGTAGTACAAGCAGTGTCGTTGACGACTAGGGAGAGCGCTTCGATGGCAAATCAGTCGTATGGGGAACCTGTTCTCACGGAGGAGGGCAAACGTTGCGATAAGCAGAGCCTGCTGGATGAGAGCTGTGGCGACCCACCTCGCGTTTCTCGCTTCAACCTCTCGGCGACGTGACAGCTCAACCGTTGTTTGCCTTTGATCACATTCCGCCGTCCTTCTCTTTATTTCACAACCTTCCTCAACTTCAGCATCAGAGTCGCTGCCGAGGAGCGAGTCTGCCAAATGAGCATCGATGACTTCTTCGGTAGAAGCAGCAGAGGTCTCCCCTCCCTTTCGCCCTGACTTCACTTAGCCCCATCCTGAAGCGATGATGCTTCCGCCGTTATTCGGATCGCCCGTGTTTCCTGTGTCGACAATGACTTTCCAGCAACGGCAAAGACGCCCTAGTTGTACATGTATTCGTCCTGCTTCTGTTAACATATTTCTTCCTGGCACGCTATCTGCACTGTCACCCCTTGTTCACTTGACTCTGGTTTGTGAACAACCGACCACACCTGATTCTATGTACAAATAGAGCCTGTCTTTCCTTCCAACTAGTTGAGCTGTTTTTCTTGTTCACTTTGTAGCAGGACGGTGCCGTGGGATGATAATTTCAGTTTCCAAATACACATACATGTGTATCCGACCACCTATCTCTGTGGTTTACAGATCAAGGAGCTGAGCAGGCTCGAGGATATTGGACATCGATCTCTGTGTCAGTAATTGCTTCAGTCGCGGGAAGTGAAGCCGCCTAGGGCCGTCAGAGCATTGGCATAGAAGGAGACATCTATTACATAGACAGCTCTTTGGAATTACAAAATAGATGGAGCACGGTTGGGTCATAGCACTCGGCTGGCGGGTGGAGGGAGGAGGTGGAGGGAGGAGGAGGAACATAGAATCCGAGGACGGGGAAGGTGGACGAAGCGGATGGACGGCGAGAGCGAGAGAGCGAGAGAGCGAGAGAACAAGAGACAGGCAGGCGACGACTCTAGAATCTACGAGAATCTCCCTCGGTGGAGCGGGAGTTGGGCACCAGAGTCAACCAGAATCAGGCACCGAGTTGTGGCAGGCATTTAGTTCTTGATGGGGACACACTTGTAAGGCTTCTGTTGGACCAAACAGCAATCAAAGATATGGTCAGCGACATCCGCACTGAGTACTGCACACCGCACATCGCACATCGCGCATCGCACATCGCACATCGCACACCGCACTTGTGGCGAGGGTGTATCCAAAAGCAAATCACTTACGTTGACCTCAGAGGGGCAGGTGTCGGCCTTGAGGATCTCGAGCCAGGTGGCCTGGACGCCGAGCTTGACCTGGCGGAGGAGGGGAGTGTCGCTGCGGAGAGGGACAAACAGATCGCCGCAGTGGAACTGGTCGTGGAAGAACGTGGGCTGGGCAGGGGTCGAGGTGCGGTTGAAGATGCCAAGCCAGTGCCAGGGGTCGATGGCACCGTTGACAAAGACAATGCGGTCGGTCTTGATGTCAGTGGCCTTGTAGAGGTCGTTGGTCTTGGTGGTGTCGGGGACAGAGTTGGCATCGCCAAAGACGATACCGCAGCCAATCTGCTGGTAGGTCAGGTCGATGGTCTTGGAGTAGATCGGGGCGTCAACGTGCTCGGCGTTCTGGAAGTAGCCAAACTCCTTGCAGGTCTGCCAGTACCAGAGACGGCTCTGCGGATTTCGAAATATGGTGGCAATTAGCGTTGGTCGCAACACAAGTGACAACACAGATGGCAACACAGGTGACAACACAGGTGACAACACAGTTGGCCACAGAGGTGGCAACACAGGTGACAGATATTCGGCGTGGCTCGTTTGCCAGGTGGGTTACTTACGCTGCTGGCGGGGTCCTGGAGGGACTTGGTTTGAACAGCGACGAGTTGAGTGTTGTTGTTGGGAGTGACACCCATGTTCTCCAAGTTGGCAAAGGAATAAGCCTGGAGATCGGCCCAGATCTGGTCATCGGTGGCCTTGGGATCGGCGAAGGAGGGGAAGTACTTGCCGGAGCAGAGGAAGTCGACGTTGCTCACACTGGTGTTGAAGTTCTGGCCGACAGGTCCGTACTGGATAGAGCCGGCGAGGGTGTTACTGGGAAGATAGCCACCGACATCACCATCGAGATCGACGTTGCCGAAGCCGAGGTACTGGCGAGTGCCAGTGGGATCCTTCTTGATGGCCTGGTCGAAGAGGCTGGTGGCGCGGATGATGTTGTCGGTGCAGGTCTGCGAACCACCGGCGATCTTGGGAATGCCCTCACGGACGGCGTACGAGTACTCCCAGAAGTCGGCCTTGGCGGTCAGGGGGCCGGACGACGAGTGGGCGGCCCAGAAGACTTCGGGGTGGATCTCACGGAACCAGGCAGCCAGGTTGCCGGGGTACGAGCCACCAACGGGAATCCACTTGGTGCACGAGGGGAGGTTGTTGGAGGCAGTGTAGTTCTTGGCAAAGATGGCGGCGTCCTCGACGGCCTGCTCCGAGGCGAGGAAGCGGAGGTGCTCGCTGGAGTAGTCGCTGAAGGGGTTGGAGTCGCCTGCAAGCGGATGGGTGAGCGGGTCAGTGGATGGCATGGCGGCATGGTGGCATCATGGCATCATGGTGAGACTCTTGGCTCGCCTTACCGTAGTAGCGGTGCTCGAGAGCGACAATCAGACCGTTGGTCTGCTGGGCCATGGTGTACTGGAGGGTGCGGTTGGAAGTGGTCCAGTAAGGGTCGAGAGCAGACTCGCCGCCAACAAAGAACCAGACGGGGCCGCCGGGTTTGTAGAACTGGTCGTTGACATAGTACTTCTGGCGGAAAGTCTGGTTGTTGGAGGAGTCAAAGTGGTCGAGGCTCTGCGAAGCGAGAAGGGAGCCAGGTCAGTCCGGTGCCGAGCCGTTGCTGCAAATGGGCCGATGCAGCTGGTCAAGGCCGATGCAGCTGGTCAAGGCCGATGCAGTTGGTCGAGGCTGCCAAGGATTCGGATCGATACCTGGTCGATCCACAGGGGCTCGTTGCCGATGAACGAGTCAGTGGCAGGACCACCAGAGAGGAGACTGGAGTGCACGACAAGAGGGAGCGGAGTGTTGGGTCAGCAGCGTGTCGAGTGCATGCCGGCAGTATGAAGTGCACATGTCGAGTGGCCTGTCGAGTGGCCTGTCGAGCAGAACAAACAGCACCGCGAACGAGCGTCTCGCTGCAGACTGGCCATTGCAGCCCACCGCCGGCTGGGGCTGGGTCTTTCCTGATCGACTTACTCTCGCAGCTGAGCCTCGTACTGCTCGCGCTGAGCCTGCTGGAGGATGATGTTGCCGAGGACGGCGCTGGGAGCCAGGGCAAGGGCGACAAGCTTGGAGACGCTCCAGGAGACCATTGTTGTGATGAAGCGAGCAGGACCGGGGTCGAGGAGAGGACGGCGGATGCAGATGCAGGGCGATGCGGGCGAGGCGAGGGCTTTATGGGCGGCTCGGTGGGTGGCTCGGTGGGGCAGGAGTCGGGCGGCACTGGAGGCAACGGGGGCAACGGAGATGGGCCGGGACAGAGCCGGTCATGCGGGCGGTGCGATGAGCGCCGGGGGGCTGGCCGGCTGTGTCCCCATTCCCACGAGCCCACAAGGCCATTGCGAATCTCGGCTCCGCCCCCCTTGCCAGCGCCGTCCATGGATGCGTTCGACTTTCGCGGTTTCCCATGAGGAGCCGCGCTTCCTCCTGGCCGAGAGGCAAGCCCACCGTTCCATGGACGCGAGCCCAGTCCAGCCCGGTCAGCTGAGCCGCCCAACCCGTGCCTTCCCGCGGCCTCATTGGCCAGCCCGGCATCCACACAGTCTCTGTTTGCCCCCCGTTGTCCATCGCACAGGGGCATTGTTGTGCCTGTGGGGCGTCGCCGTTGTGATCCCGTGGCGCAGCGGCTTGGTCATGTGTCATGCTGCATAAGCGCCTTGGCGCTGTGGGACTTGCAAAGCGCTGTACTTTCTGTGTCGCCCAGCGGACCGCTCAGCCTATCGAGCGTTATCTGCGAGGACCAGCCTCTCTCCTGCAAGTGAGCATCCGCAGCGACCTCTGCCTCTCGAGACGGCCGTCCTCAGGGATCGGTCTCGTTCGGCCTCGGCGGTCGACCCCACCGCACGCCTGGCCTCCACTGGCCGTTGTTGAGCGGAGTTGCCTTTCATCTGAATCGCCGGGATCTCGACTGTGTTTGTCCCAACTCATTTGTGTCGCAGCTTGCGGAACAGGTGGCACAGACCCGCCGGTTTCCTCTGTCAGGGTGCCCCACGGCCTTGTGCACCATCCATCTTGGGCCGCCATGACCCGGCATCGTGGGCGGCTGCACCAGCCCGTCCTTGCTGCCCTCTCGCTCGGTGGCCACGGCCTCTCAGCGGTCTTGATTGTCCCGTCCCAAACCCATCGCGGTCGTACGATCTAGACACCGCAGTCCCGGCTCCGAGAGACATGGGTGGGCTTGTCTCTGCGTTCTCAGAAGCGGTCGCTTCCTCTGGTCGATGGGCTCGGCTGCCCCATTTACTGTCGCCACTCTCAAATATTAGGTCAGCTCGATGGCACCCGCCAAAACACAGCCCAGGCTGCTGATCGCTATGACCGCTGTGCGGATGCGTATTTCCCTGGTGGAGCCCATCTCAATCGCTCCCAGGACAGCCATAGCGTTTTGCATTCTTCATCACACATATGTGGCATGGTCGCATGTGCGATTTCTTGTTTTATTGTTATCACGCGGATCTGCACTCATCTGAGCAAATGGGCTTCCGTGGAATAGCCCGACATTCAGAGTCTGGCAATAATAATAGAGAGCTTGGAACTGTATGCCACGGGAACTGATCCAACTAGTTGCCGCAAACTGCGTACTATAGTCTGCGCGGCTGTTTCGATATTAGGACGACGACTGCGGGCCAGGTAATTGTGAGATTAGTGGACCATTCCTCAACAGAAGCGGTGCAAGCGGGTGGCCACTGCTCAACTGTCCTCGACTATTCTGATGCCACCGCAGGTCTGTGGATGCACATGCCCAACCCTGCATTCTCGACCCCTTCTCACCTTGACTTGCGACGGGCAAGTGTCGCCAGAGAGGATGTTGATCCACGTTGCCATAATTTGGCCCTTGATCTGGATCAGGAGAGGGCTATCGGTTTGGAGAGGGACAAACAGATCGCCGCAGTGGAACTGGTCGTGGAAGAACGTGGGCTGGGCAGGGGTCGAGGTGCGGTTGAAGATGCCAAGCCAGTGCCAGGGGTCGATGGCACCGTTGACAAAGACAATGCGGTCGGTCTTGATGTCAGTGGCCTTGTAGAGGGCATTGGTGTCCTGGGTGTCGGGCCAGTCGTAGCCTTCAAAGAGAATATCGCAAGCTTGTGTATAGTAGTCGACGTTGATGGTCCTGGAGTAGATTGGCTGGCGGATATGCTCGGCATCTTGGAAGTAGCCAAACTCATTGCAGGTTTGCCAGTACCAGAGGCGACCCTGCAAGCGCATCGGTGTTTCAGCAAGAGCTCTGGAAGCAAGTTGGACAGCCAAGCTACTACTCTGTTGGAGCCGCTCCCATATTCTCACTTACGCTGTTGCTTGGGTCCTGGAGCGACAGAGTCTCCAATGTAAGGAGCTGGGTGTCGTTGTTTGGCGTTATGCCATAGTTCGCCAATGTTGCCAAAACATAGGCCTGGAGGTCCGACCAAAGCTGGCTGTCGGTGGCCTTGGGATCGGCGAAGGAGGGGAAGTATTTGCCGGAGCAAGCAGCATCGATCTGGGTGACAGTGGCGTTGAACTGCTGACCGACAGGTCCGTACTGGATAGAGCCAGCCAACGCCGTCGACGGGAGGAAGCTGCCCACATCGCCGTCCAGCTCCATGGTACCAAGCCCGAGATACAGGCGAGTGCCTTCAGGGTCGTTCACAATGGCCTTGTCGAACAAGGTCGTGAGTCGAGCGAGATTGTCGGCACAAACTTGCGATCCTCCGGCAATCTTGGGGATACCCTGATGCACTGCGTACGAGTACTCCCAAAAGTCGATCTTGGCAGTGAGCGGGGCAGACGATGAGTGGGCAGCCCAGAAAATTTCTGGATGAATCTCACGGAACCAGGCAGCCAGGTTGCCGGGGTACGAGCCACCAACGGGAATCCACTTGGTGCACGAGGGGAGGTTGTTGGAGGTGGTGAAGTTTCGAGCAAATGTGGCGGCATCCTCGACGGCCTGCTCCGAGGCGAGGAAGCGGAGGTTTTGGGTTGCATAGTCGCTGAAGGGGTTGGAGTCGCCTGCAAGCGGATGGGTGAGCGGGTCAGTGGATGGCATGGTGGCATGGTGGTATGGTGGTATGGTGGTATGGTGGTATGGTGGTATGGTGGTATGGTGGTATGGTGAGACTCTTGGCTCGCCTTACCGTAGTAGCGGTGCTCGAGAGCGACAATCAGACCATTGGTCTGCTTGGCCAGGGCATACTGCATCGTATAGGGTGATGTCGCCCAGTAAGGATCAAGAGCTTGCTCTCCTCCTACATAGACTATCGCGGATATCAGTACCATCGATACTTGGCCTCAGAGCCTGCCTAGCGGTATACTCATGCACAACTGAGTCGAGATGGATACTCACACCAGACCGGACCGCCAGGTTTGTAAAACTACAGGAGACATGTCAGATTGGGAATGTGAGATGATCTGCTATTGGTGACGGCGAGCCTTTCAGCGTCAAGTTGCAGATCAGCGATAGCATACAGCACCGCACGTTCCAATCTTACCTGGTTGTTAACAAAGTATTTCTGGAGGAATGTTTTTTTGTTGCGCTTGGAGAAATGGTCGAGCGGCTGCCGAAGGTATCGGTAGAGTATTGCATAAGAGGCAACACCATGTCAGCAAGTGAAACGCTACCCGGCCCCATTCGGTCCGTCAGGAAGCATCAGCGTCGAGGTATACCTGCTCAATCCATTGCGCGGCCGAGCTGCTCGTAACCGAGGCAAGCGCAGGTACGCTGGCCAAGATCCTAACAGTCGAATACAATGGAGCACGCAGCGGTGAGCCGTTGGATGTGGATGGACAGTGCTCCCGGCAGCGATGACGAATGCGTGCACGAGTCCTGGATGCCATTACTCACTCGCGCAGATACTGCTGATACTGCTCCTTGTGGATCTGTTGGTGGACAAAGCCGCCGATAACAGCCGAGGGAAGGAGAGCCAGGGTGGCAAGCTTGATAACGCTCCACGCAAGCATACTGAGGTTCTTTTGGAGGAGATGAGTCAAATGAAGTGAAGTGGAGTGGATGAGGTGGACATTGGGCGAGGTGGGGCGCCTTTTATCGGCGAGGCTCCAGATCCATGTCAATGGGCCGGTGGTGATTGGGTGAGTTTCTTTGTTGGGTGACAAGGCAGGGTGCCTGGACTGCAGTCAATGCCTCGGCGCAGAAGACGAGCCCAACTTTGATCCGGCGGCCACCCCGCTCGTTCTCCTCGTTTCCAGAAATGCCGCCAACGCAACGTTTGCTTGGGCCAGGCAGTAATGCAAGAGCAGATCATCAACATGCATATCGAAGGACGCAGTATTTGGTCGCTGGGTCTGCCTCCGCCCATCATGCCATTGTCAGGCAGCAAGTACGCTGTTCATTGTCATGATATCCAGCACTCGTCTCCTTACCCTGTTCTATTGTATCTTGTTCGCCTGCCTGTCACCGGCGCATTGTGCATTGAATCTGCCTCGAAACAATCGGTGGCACTGCTGATCTCAGCCAGCGCCTGTCTGCTCCTGGCTCTTGTTCCATTGGCGCATCTACCTTCTCCCTTCTTTCTTTGAAGATGGTTTCACTCCAAGCTTGTCTACCGCCTTCCACGACTCCCTTCTTCGTTGCTTTCGAGCCTGTTTCGCTCGCTACATTTTTCTTTCCTGGCTGCTTGGGTCCAAGATGTAGTTTCTTCCAGTGTGATCTACCCACAACCTTGACCCCTCTCGCCTGACACGTCTCTCTTCAAGCTACAGCTCTGGTTGGTCAAATGCATTTCCACGGCTATCCAGCAGAGAGTTGGAGCTCTATTTCTCATTGGTGAAGAATCATCTCCTTCCGGAAACTGGGTTGGCAGCGTTGTCGCTCACTGCGCTCCGTGGCTCTTGCTGACAGTGTTGCCGCCCACCTTCGTCTGAAGTCGCTTCGATCGTTCCATAGAAACCCACCCTTAGGTTCAGCCACACCGCTGTCCGTGGAAATTTCTCGCCCACCAAGATGTCGTTCCCGCGGATATCCACACTCCAGATCAGATAGTGCGAGGTCCTCCTCTTGATATCGACCGAATGGACTTGACCGAATGGACTTGACCGAATGGACTTGACCGAATGGACTTGACCGATCACCTCGCCGAACACTGTCGATCATCGCCACAGGAGATCGACCGGGTGTATTCAAGACCATGCTTCCCAAACCAAACCAAAACCACTCGATTGCCAACGAAGACAGGAGTGCAATGCCATGGCCTACCCACTGGGGCCTACAGTCAGTCAGCGGGTTTCAGACATCTGAAGCCAGACAGTGACTGTCCCGTTTCTTTCTGGATAGACTGTAGCTAGGCCAACTGTGTTGTTCTCGGCCAAGTGTATTGTATGATCACAACTCCGGTGCGCTTTGTCTAGAAGAAACTGGCTGTACCATGGTCTATTCGACACGCTGCACGTTTAATTTTAAAGCGCATTATGTATTTAGTGCTCTGCTGCAGACTGGTACATATTCATCTTTGGGGGGGGGCAGCCAGGACACCCAGGGCGTGGCCTCAGTGGACTCTGTCCCGTTCATCTACATGCCACCAAGAGACATGCTGCCGAATTTCAAAGACAAGCAATCCAGAGGGCTCTCGAGATCGTCCCTACTGTGTGACAGATCCGCCTTGCTCGAGGGAGCCTGCTGTCCATACGAAATCAAAAAGTGTATCCACGAGTAGATGGCGCCCACTTGATCTTGATCCACATGGTGCTCTCTGATCTCGAGCCGGAGCGGCCTACTGTGTTCAACCACGATCGAGGAGCCTTGACACCCCATGCGTGTGAAGATCCACTTCTTGCCATCCGTTCGCAGAACAAACACAAATGGGCGCCGCTGCTGCTGCTGAGAAAGCGCCGAGTGGTGGAAGAGCAGCGAGGTTGCTCCCTCGGCCAAGGTGCGTGGGAGCGAGCTGCCGAGCGACTTTTCGCGGCTGATCTCGTCGACTAACAGGAAAGCACTTTCGGGTGCCTGCTGCTCGGGGCGGGACTTGCCGACGGCGTAGTCGATCCGCCCAGAGTACCGCACTATCTTGACGGCCGACTCGCGAACGACACGGAGGGTGGCTTCGAGAGGAGTCCCTTCGTCAAAGCACACAGGCGACGCCGGTATCTTGTCGTTGACTGCTTTGCAGGCGCAGAGCAGAAACAGCGAGATGATCAGCCGGCGGATGCTTTCCAGGCGTATCGTGTGGCATGTGGCATATGCATGCAGCACATCCAGCAGAGCCGACGGCACCGCTGCTTTGGGCATGTGCACGGGCTGCCACTCCTTCTCGCTCAGGACGATGCCAAAGTCCTGCAGAACTGCATCTGTCTTGGTCTCGATGTAGGGGATTTCCAGATCCACGGCTGTGCTGCGTACCACCCGAAACGAGTATCGAGCACCAGCGACCCACTCGTTGCAGGTGTATCCGTCATCGTCGACTTGGAGCAGCACTTCGCTGCTATCGCCGACGATCCAGTAGACATCGAGGAACCCGTGCTGGGTCTTCAGAGACCGGAGCTGTATCCGGCCGCCCTTCAGGAGCAGTGAGAGGGTCTTGAATGGCCGCGTGCCCTGTGCGGTGTGCAGATCGATGATGACTATCGGCGGTTGGCTCACATCCACACCTGCAGCCCGGATTGAGCTACGGCTCGGAAGGATGTCGTCCAGCGGATCGTCCTGTCTGGATGTGATCGACCTCGCTGACTGCACAGAGCGCTCGGCCGGAGCCAGGGGCACGCCTTGGGCCGGCGCTTCTTCTGAGCCGCCAGACAGCGCACTTGGGGCAGAGACGGTGACAATGAGCGGCTGCTCGTAGCTGTTGATCATGGTCTTGTGCTGGCACATCGAAACGAGCGTCTGGACGCTAAAGTCCGGCCGCAGCTCGGTCTCGCCGTTGCAGTGGAATAGTTTGATGCGATGCAGAGCGACGAGGTCCAAGTCTGGGGAGAACTCGCTCTTGATGAGCTTGACGAGATGATATACGTTTCGGCACTCGTGGACATTGATCTCAACCGGCTGTCCGTGGTTGAGCCGGATCCACAGGAACGCCGACTGGGTCATGGGTGCTCGACGGGCGGATATACTGCTGTTGCCGTAGCTGTTGCTGTGGCTGTTGCCGTAGCTGCTGTTGCCGTAGCTGCCGCTGCTTGCAGAAGGCCAGAGAGTCCGCCGGAACGAGGGCGAACGAAATGGGCGGGACAAGCCGCAGCTTGCAGAAAATACCCGAGCGGCCGTGCCACACCCCCGAACGCCGGCCGCATCCATCGGCAACGAGGCATATTCCATCGAGCCCGGCCTGCTCTGCTTGCTCCGGCACCACCAGCTAGGTCTCCTCGGTCCTCCATCAGCCCCCAGCCGACTGCCTCCACCGCCCTCGCCCTTTCCGAAGCGCCATGTCCATCTCACGGGGAATCAAGCGCATGTACTCCAGGCAGAACTTGAGGGGCTCGACTTTTCTCGATTGCCCCGAGCCTCACTACTATGCGTTCGTTGAGACCGACTACGGCTGCATTTCGATGGAGCGGCGTGTGCCCGATGCCAACGAAGTCGTCACATTTCAGTATTCTCCCGTATGTGATTCCAGCCATCGAACGGTCCCTGCTCGTTGGTCGGGTGCGGATGCGACCCATCCCGCGACAGCCGGTGACGCTGTCGTTATTGTCCGTTGAATCGGCGGTCGTCTTCGACTACCCCCATCGCTTATCGTATCCATTGCTCTATGTTGTAGGAGTCGATCGAGATTCAGTGGGAGAACCAGAGATTATCTGTATCTCGGCCGACAAGCGCCTCGGGGTCAGTAGAAAGTGCTTGCAGAGGGGGCAATCCGAGTGTTGCTTGTCACCCGAATCCAGTTCCATCGTATTTGGCGAGATCCCGGGGCGGAGGAGGCTCCTCGAGCCGCTGGGCCGCTCTGGCCCCGACGGAGACTGCAGCTTTCCATCGCTCTGCTGACATCACCACCCTTCTTCGATGATCGATGATCGATGCAGAATGTATTTGTCTGAGGTGCCTCTCGGGCCGGACTCGTCCCTGCAAGTCGTTGGCGAATCCCGAGGCCTGCTCGGGCACAAACTGCGGTACCAGCTCAGGGACGGGAGCTACATCTCCTGGCTCTGCGACCAGCAGCCTTCCGAGTTTGTCCTGCAGCTCAAAACCATGGTTCAGGGCGACGTCAAGAAGGTTTGCATCGGTCACCTTACGCTGGATCGGGAAGCGTCTCCCATCCGTGGAAACTTCAACTTTGGCACTCGTCTTGGCCCGCTGCTCCGGAATAAGGATATTCTTTTTATCTCTGTGGCCACCCTGCTCTGCACCATCGAGGGGGCGACTATCTGAACAGGTGTCCCAGCGCCCTGGGCACCGCTCTGGCCCACAGACATTGATACCACACACGCGGCACAAGTAGAGTTCATTTGCAGACACCGAGCATATCCAGAGCGTAACAGAGCAGCGCTCATTTGTGCTCATTTGCGTTCATTTGGCACGGCCTGCTGTTGGGTTTGGGCACACAGTGTTGAGATACAAAATGCATTTGGTCTGTTGGACGGCTCCGTACAGTGTCGTTTCTTTGCTCGCTGCGTGTTCGGCGCAAGGGATGTCTCTGGTGATGGCGGAACTGCTCAAAGTGCCTGGCAAACCCGAGTCTCCTTAGACAGGCTGGTTGGTCATGGTAGATGGTGGATGGATGTGCTCGTATCCGGGAAAAGCCATCGCCTCCGCTCGGAAAAGCGCAACTCGCTGTATTGTCGGAATATGGCGACTCCAGCCAACTTCCTCGCCGAGCAAGACCCACATCCTCCGCTAACTTCCTTGCCGTCTATCATTTCGCCGCCGTTTTCTTCTGCTTCTTCTTTTGCTCCAGTCGCCGCTGGGCTCCCGATTTTGGCTTGCCGTTGGTGAATGCGCCCTTCTTGGATTTAAGCTGCTTGATCTTGCCCTTGACGGCATGTGTTCCTTCGAACGAGGTCTGTTGAGCGAGCAGCAACACATGACAATCTAGTCGTTAGCGCACCAGACATGGCATCTGCAAGTCTCACCGCCAGCAGCTGTGGGCTCCTCGTCATACCTTCTTCTGGTTCAAGGCGGTTTCCGATTTGCATTTGGTCACTCGCACAGGCCTGTTGCCGATCTTTTCGTTGTTGAGCTGCAGCGCCAGCGAAACGCTGGATCGGTCGTTGAACTGGACGTAGCCGAAGCCTTTGCCGACGTTCGTCTTGCCATCTCGGATAACACGGATATACTCTGATGGTACCAAGGCAAGAGTGGCAACGATAGTCACGAGGGCTTGTGAGTGGGCGTTGAATATGGCACGAGCGCAAGCGGGTTTGGGCCATTTTCTGACCCCAAAGTCGCCGAGAGATTCTAATATCCTCCCCCTGGATCGGCAGGCAGTTCCTTGGTTGTAGCAACTTGGCGCAGCCGATTTGCTCTTTCTCATTTCTATCATCTGCGGCCAATCTGGATTGCCCACTTTCAAGTCACCGCTAGACACACTCTGGGGCGACATACCAATATCCCCAACGTCCTTGACGAACTCCCAGAGTGCCTCATCCGAAACATCAAATGCCAGATTGCCGATGAAGACAGCCCGCTTGGCGTCGTGCTCTTTTTTTGTGTCCTTGGGCTGCACGCGATCGACTCGAATGTGCTTCTCCTCGTAAATGGTGCCGTTGAGGCTCAGGGCCTTCTCGACAGAGTCCTTCGACTTGTAGATGACATAGGCATTCATAGAGTCTCGCTCTGGATGCAGTTGCTTGGTGATGAAGGCTGCCTTCCTCGATATGGGCTTTGAAAAAGCCTAGTGAACAAAAGACAGCACCGGCACTGGGAGTAAGAGCCTGTCCGGGCGACGACTGTTGACCATTTGGCATGTGCCAGGAGGATACTATGGTGCAAACTCCTCTGGCTATACTCACCACCGAGCGGAACCGGATGCTCTCCAAAGGTCCAAACTGTGACATGAACTGCTTGAACTTTTTGACATTGGCCTGCGTTGCGTTGTACATCACGACATCACGACATCACGACATCACGACATCACGACATCACGACATCACGACATCACGACATCACGACATCAGCCATCCCATCGAATCGTGAACGGCACTGCTGCCGGAGGGGATCAGGTCGGGAGCAACGACCCACCTTTTCAGCGACGCTAATATTGAGATTCCCGATAAAGACTGTCCGCGCCAGTCGCTCCGGGTCGTGTGCCGGCAGCAGTTCGTTGGCCGCATCGGCCGGTGACTCTGCCGCAAGCTCGTTGGCTGAGGCGGCTGTTGTTTGCGCACCCTGGATGGCCTTGCCGTCCTTGTTGTTATCGGGTTTGAACTTTTTCTTCTCGTGCTTGGGAGCAGTCTGGCTGGACGAATCGACAGTCTCCGATGCTGCTTGCTCGCCCGACTTTCGCTTTTGCTTTCCCGTTGCAGGCGAGGCAGTTGGTTGCGGGCTTTGCTTCTTTGGGAGTTGCTCGGACTTTTCCTGGCGCATTGAGGGGCATCGGTGGTGTAAGCTGCTATGCGGCACATACCCAGAACGCAACGCGAGCGATAGAGCGCCGGCAACGAGCAGACCCATACATGCTTGACTAGCTGTTTCTTTGCAGCCTTGTCGCTTTTCGGGGCTTCACTTTGCTTGGTCGGGGAGGCTTTTTCGACTTTGACATTCTTGGCGAGGGTCTGTTGAGGCGGCTGCACAGACACACTTGGCTGGCTCGGCAATGTGGACGAGGCAGGTTTGGCGCTGGACTTGAACAGCGAGTCCAAGCTCTTGTCGATCTTGCCCTCCAGGTTGCCGAACACAGACGAAAACAGACTCATTTTGGGCGTGCTGGTCGTCCGATACACTCGAGTATATGGGATCTGTGGGATCTGTGGGATCGCAAGCGGAGGTGTATTCGGGGTCGGCAGGTATCGGCCGCAGGGATGTGTGCGTCCGATCCAGCGAAGAACAAAAAAATGACACCAACAATGAATTTCATTTCGCAGGCACACGCGACTCTGACTAGCCACACATCACACGAGTCCCTGGCTCGCGAGCACCAACTCGTCGCAGAAGCCAAGGGCGGATGCAGAGTCGCCATGGGCAGGGTTGCCGGGCGCAGAGGGATCGGCCGAGTGCAGGTGAAAGTGTGCAGCGCTACTTGATGCGTCGACAGAGCAGTCCAGCAACCGGTCGCTGAACCAGTTGAGGAACTCGGCCTCGAGCAGATCTCGCTCGTACTCGCTCACAAGCGCCGCCGCCTCCAAGGTTTCCTGCCGCAACTCAATAATTCCTTGGTGACTTGTGGCGAGCTCGTGGTGGAGTTGTTGGTGCCGGTGGTCGCTGTACAGCCCTTGAGCCGCTGTTTGGTTATTGGGCCGGGGTAGATGCAAAGTCGCCGGGTGGGCAGCATCAATGGCGTAGTGGGTCCTGAGAAAGGTCGCCACACTACCGTCCCAAACACCATCGGCGTTAGCTCTGGTGGCGAGGCAGCAGCGCTACTCTAAGCGTTTCGGGTGCATTTCTGGAAGAAGCTGTCAGCACAATTAGTCCTGGATTACCTCTTGGTCAAGCGTATGTCATAGAATATCCCTGGCCATTCGGCCGTGCCGAGTCCGTGACATTGCTCTTCATGGAGCCGCGGGCACTCGCCCGACGACAGACCCACCGGCTTGGACACTGCGACGGGCCGTCTCCAAGCCCAAAAGCCATTGGAAAGAACAAGTAGTGCGACCAGGCTGGCCACAACCCAGTTGCTCCAGTCGCTGGTACCAGAAACGGCTTTTTGGACTGGCGGTGTCAATGCCGGCTGGGCAGTGGCTCCCGCACCGGGAGCCGATGGGGCTCCGATGGCCCCACCTCCGCCGCCGTCCGCAGCCGTTTGTACCTCGACTTCCGCTTTCAAGTGATTGACCATGTCTGCGGCAGTGTCGGTTATGCCCTTGACTGCCGCCGATTTGATGATGCCTACAGAGGAGCGGGTCAGTCGACAGATACACATTGCGGCTGGTATCGGGAGTAGCAGGATCGCGTACCTTTCACCATCGGGCTTTTGAACCACTTGACCCCTCCGGTGATCAGGAGCTTGCACGAGTCCTTTGTGACCCAGGTGATGCAGTACCGCATCAACAGAGCGAACGAATCGCCGTAGGGAACTCCGGGCGTTTGGCTCTGCGCATCGATTACATACACTCTGCAGATGACGGCTGTCCGTGAGAATTGTGCTGGCTGAATGAGCACGGCACTACCCTGTCCGGCTTCGTCGCAACATGCTGCTCGATATAGCAAGGCTTACATGCCCTCGTTCCTTGTACTGATCGTTTCCTTCTGATTGACATCCGCCTCCTTAGCCTTAACTGACAAAGGAGGCTCATGCTCGTCAGCAGCAGCCACGGGCCTGGCATCCGAATGCGTTGTCCGATCCGCCGGTCTTCAGGAGTAATCAGTCACAATAGCTGCTACGGAAGTCCACAACCTACCCATCGGGTTGTTCACCGGGACGACTAGAGTAAGGTCGCGAGTCTGAGGCATTGTCGTTGTCCAAGCTGCGGCATTTCGCCCTGGGAGCCAGGCGGTCGAGTATGTGATTATGTGCCAATAGCCAAGTCCAGCCACCGCACGAGCAGCCGAACCGATTCCAGATCATCAATCTGGCATACGGAGATGCGGGAACTCTTTCAAACGTCTCCCTACCTGACTCTCCGCGCTTCTTATTGAAGCGATCCCATAGACTGCTGGAGTCCGGTCCATAGAGCATGTCAAAGAGTCGCTTGGCGGACACGGGCAGGACGATTTCCTGACAGTTGAGCTCTAAATGCTCGGCACAGCCACAGGTAACCTCTGACGTAGGCGCAACAAATCCGGCTGGGAGCCCTGGTCAACAGCAAAAGACATGACAGGCATCACTGAGCCTTGTGGATGCACAAATCATCGATGATCAAGCGGTGCGATGTTGCGCAGCGATGTTGTTGGCGAGCTCCTCACTGGAAACAGCTCGGCCGTGGATGGAAGCAAACATAGGTATTAGATTAGAGCCATCGACAGGGCATCCAAAAGCCTTCGCCACTTCTTGGCCTACCCATCGTCCACGGCGGGTGACTTTGAGAATCCTTCGGCAGCTGGTGCCTCAGCTGGGTCCTTTGCCTCATCCGGGCGGTCCTTTTGCTTCTCTCGTTCGTCGGCCTTCTTTGTACTGAATATAAGGTCGAACAGCTCCTGATTGGTCTTTTTCTAATAAAGCGCCAAGAGAACGTCAGCGTGAATATGGTCATCTGCCAACCATCATTTGTCGTGGATATGTGACTCACCGGGGCATTGCTGGTCTTGTTTGTCCACACAATCCGGAGCGCTTCGTATGTCTTCATGTCGTCCTTCATGATTGTTTTGAAGGTGTACTAGGCAAAACGAGCAGACATTGATGAATGGCGATACTTTGGTCAGTACGAGGGGCGTCACCTCTCGGACAAAGCTGCGATCTGTACACATGCACCAACATACTGTGCCGTCCCCAGTTGTCACGACTATGGAGCTGTAAAAGGGACTATTCTTGCGCACTATCGAGAGAATATCGGATATTTCTATCACGAGCTGCGGATACCGCCGGTTAGCGAGTCAGAAAACGTTAATACGGTCCTGCACGCCGCTGGAAGAGCATTGATGGCCTCTGATAGAGTGCACTAACCACAGTCACGAAGCTTAGAATGTTGGAGTGAAAGCACAGGCGATTTTGTGTCAGGTACAGCTTGCCCTGGACAGCAATGTCCTTCTGGAGTGCACACGACAGTGCTGAGCGGTTCGATGAGTGAGTTCCGTTAGTTCTGCACGATAGCGCAAGAGCTGCGCGACGGATGCCACCACGATATCGCTCGCCACTCGACTGTGCGGCGCTCCATACATCATGCGATGAGGGTGGGCGACTATGCAGCTCGAGTGCTCAACCATATCGCCACGCAGTTACCATCGATCAAGAAATCGGTTTTGGGAACCGATTTCAAGAGATTGTGTAGATCCTGGTTGCGCTTTGTCCAAGAAGGATCTGGATACGCCACCGCTCTGTTGGTTGGGTTCGAGATGCGGTTGACATGGATTCATACAAGAATTTGGTTTAGTCGGCATTGCTTCGTTACCAGCGTCGGCCTCGCGACAATACCAAACCAAACTTACTCGGCATCCGGCACCAGCTCGCCTGAAGAGTCGTCGGATTGATCCGCGCCATCTCCACCGATTCCGTCATCCAGAAGGCTCTCATCGATCGACGCAGCAGCCTCGCGCTGCGGTGATATGGTTTTGAAAAAATCTTGCAGATAGAGCTTCTCCCCATCGTCGTCAATGTCACGCTCGGTCTCGGTAACAACAAGATCGCCAGCAACCGATTTGTCAGAGTTGGCGGCCTGATACTTTGCTGCGTTGAATGTTGCGATCCACTCATTCATGGAGTCCTCGCTTTCAGCTAAAGAAGAGCATATGTGGTGGTAAGAGCCAGAGCAGTGTGTGACCAGACCCATGCGGCGACATGGTGTGTGGAGTCGTGCAGACGCTTCGACAGCCATACTACCTTGCAACACGAACGACCTGATGATCCACCACACATGAATACCATGGCAAAGAATGCATTAGAATATGCAGGGACACGAATGGCCATACACAAACGAGGCTATAGCGACAAGCACACTTCGACATCAGGGCAGATCGGCGATGGAACGGGCATGGTAAAGAGTGATACCCATGTCGCCACAGTTTCAATCGGTGCACCGAGCGGCAGAGTACTGCGCAAGGCCATCTTACTTCTTGGACGTCATCACCTCAAAGCCAAACCGGCGATCCAGTTCCTTGCTCTTGTCCACTCGGATGTTGCACAGCAGAACGTTGAGAGGCACCGCAAACAGGATGGTTCCTCTATGCTTGCCCGACGGACTCGCGACACAGTACCCAAAGAATCCATTGCGAAGCACAAAATACCGACGAGACCAAACCGGCCCGAGGCCAACTTTGGCGCTCTGTCGCTTGTAGAGATATCCTTCCATTTCCGTACCGGGCTTCTTTGGCTGGACGGCCCCGTGGCTGCTCTCCAGCACCGCAGATAGATTCGTCATGGATACGCTGCTTGTAGGCGCGGGAACAATCGAAAGGGACTTTGGCATTTCGTTTATGGAGAGATTGACCCGAACCTTTTGGCATGCCTCCTGCGATTGCAATGTACATGCCACAGAGCGATAGTCAGGACTCATCTGCCGCAGCATTGCAGAAAGTGCTTGGAGGCAATACGCTTACAATCTCAATAGCCTTCCTGGATATTTCCATTTTGGAAATGATGTTTGAGGCGTTGCGCGACTGGTTGATGGAGACAATCAGCGAGGGAGCCGTCTGAGATGGTGCTGCGACTCCGGGCCGATGGGATGCATAAATGCCCTTTGAACCCGACAAGCAGGTTGCGACAGGGGCTCATCAGTACGTTCATCGGCTACCTCGTCAAGGTGATTGCGGAGATGACCCATAGAGGGCTTTAGCCCGCTAAACACCTCAGAGCTGGAATCGTAAAAATCCGAATGTGCATATAGGGCCAATAGGAACTGTGGTGGTGTGATGAAGGACATACGGATTGGTTGGGACACTCGGTAAGACGCGAGCAAATGAACACCCCAGTAAGAAGCGACGGGTGCATCCGAGGCCGACTCTGTCCATTGGAAAGCCTGAAAATACAGCTTCGAGACAGCGTCCGTGACAAAGTTACATGATCCAACGAGAGCAGCTTCATGAAGCTCTTGAACTTGATAATCTTGACGGAATAGTCAATCGATTCGCGGATGTACAGCTTTCGAACCTCGAAGAGTTGAAAGGCATCCTAGGGGTGGAACGAGTTCCGCTGGTGTGTCAGGCACGGCAACTTGGAGGCCCCAAAGCCCCACATTCAAGTGTCGTTCGTACATTGATAATCACCTCGACGGCGGAAAATACAGCGCTACTGTGGCATTGGCTATGTCTGTGGCTCACCCACCTCACGAAAGGCACTCGCCTCCTTTGCCTTCGACACAGCCGAGTACTTTGCGAGAGCCGAGTCGTATCGTTCAGCGAGTCGATCAAATGCTCGCTTCGACTCCTGAGTCCATCAGAGCCAGAATGGGACAGTAAGGTTGAGTCCGGTCGGGCGATGCACAAAGAACTGAGAGGTTAGTGACGATGAGGGCGATCGTTCCAACGAACGACCCACATGCACATACGGCAGCATCATGCTTTTCTGATTCTGCGGGATCTGCCGTGACGACTGCACCTTGATCTCACGAATCTCCTCCCGCAGACACTGCTGGAAGGGATCAATCAGACCCTCGACCATATCGTCGACCTGGACAGCAGATCAAATGGCGTTAGCGACAGCAGGTCCTTATGGGGGGGGGTGAAATCGTTGTTGATGCTGACAGAGTGAGATGAAACGCACCACTTTGGCCTTGAGTGCATATATCGTCTGGAGGGCATCCGAAAGTGTCCGGGCGACTGTGGTGTCTATCGGGGGGGGGGGAGTGTGGTTGAGGAGTTGATACTAGGCTTGCTTCCAGCTCAGCGACATGGATATGCAGAAGCACTGCTACCTAGCATGGATATCTTGCGCTGGGGTATCAGCTTGCTCGCCAAATTGATGGCGCTATCGTTGCCACCTTGATGGACAGCCGTTTGGTGCGTCAGCGTAGCGGAGGGCAGGATCCTGGGAATCACAGCGACCTCGCAGTCGTACTGCAGTGACACTACGGAAAACGGAATCCTCTTACGGATGAGCTCTTCGGCATAAATTCGCAAGGATTTGATGAGGCCCTCCATCCACTTGGCAAGCTCTTCAACTTCGTCGTCGAAGCGGTATACTCTGGCTCGCCATGTTGGTGTATCGTATGCCTAGAGTCCTCAGCGCAGTCCGCATGCGAAACGATTGTCGTGAGTGAGTGGGTTGCTCGTGAGTTGGTGGCCATATGCCAGTCAGCAATGACTTGGCTCAAAGGCGATGGATATACAGCACGTACGGCTGACTCCAGCATATACTGGCACGATGAAAGTGAGATCGAAAGATCCGGAGACGTGAGAATTGGCGATGGCTGCGAAGTGCTGGCCGTTGGCGCCGGCATCTGGAGAGGATAGGCTGGCTGGGATGCCATCCTGGGAAAGCGCGTGGGTTAAGGCGGATGTCGAGCGTCGCTGCTGGATTTTTGCCGTGGGATCAAAGGCCGTGCTGGGATATGGGGGGGGTGCACGGCGCAGGATCAAAGATGATGAGGTGAAGGTTGGAGGGCGGAATGGTCGTGAGACTCCGTTGGCAAGATCTGCTGCGACTTCAGAACAGCACTTGCATCCCAATCAGCCCAGGTGCTGCTTTTGAGAGCACCGATTGGCTTTGTCTACAATACACAGCGCGTTGAATAAACGATGGGACACATCGCCTCGTTCGAACATAACACGGCGTGGTCGGGTCCTATCGCCCGCCTGGCCAACACCGGCCAAGTCGGTCAGCTCATTTCCCTGGGAGATGCATGGAGTCAGTGGGCACGACGGGTACCAGCGAGTCGCTAGAGGATTATATCGGGGTTCGGGTCGATCAAAGCCGTCTGATTCACACAACTCACACAATTCATCTGTGCGTTAAAGTGTCCCGTTTCAAGAAATGAGTTCGCTGGATTCACAGGCCACTGTCCCACCCGAATCAAACATGTCTGCGAAGGCCTGCGTCCAACATCCAAATGAGAACCGCAGGCCCATCTCTGAATTCCACCATCGCCCAGCAAGTTTGTCCAAGAGAATGCGACGTGACTAGACGAGGCACCAAGGTGTTGTATTGTATGATCAACTCTGTCAAAAGCACGATCAACTCTGTCAAAAGCACAATCATCGACAATGCACGTGCTCTCTGCTGAATCGATGGGCACTCTGGAGATTTGTGAAGAGTTGTATTGATGGATGCAAAAGCCATGAAGCAAGCCGAGGAAGGAGAAAAACAGGAAAGAAACGTTGGACAGGCCCAAGTATCATCAATAAATACACAACAGCGCCGCTTTCTCTTGGTCCGGAACCGCATGTTGCCAGTGGAGCCGGCAGCCCTATTTGCCCAGGCGATTAACACGCAAGCAGCACGCTCAGCGGAGCCATCATCGAGATTGCCTGGCTGCACCGAAGCCGGCGCGGATCAGTGGGTCAGATGCAATGATATTCGGGACAGCAGTGTCCGGCGACAGCAGAGGAGGGTCCAATTATTCGTCGTCGCTGTCCTCCTTCTTGGCCTTCTTCTTCTTCTTCTTCTTCTCCTTCTCGCCCGACTCGCCGTCCTCCGACTTTTCCTTCTTCTTCTTCTTCTTCTCGGTCTGGTCGTCGTCGTCTTCGCTCTTGGACTTCTTCTTCTTCTTCTTCTCCTCGACGGGCTCCTCAGCGCTGTCCTCAACCTTGCGCTGCCAACGACAAAGCCGGCCACGGTGGCGGCGCAGCGGATCAGTATCGTCGGAGTGCACATTGCTAGCTATGGCAAGCTTGATTGCTGACCGAGAAGCGATTTACCTTCTTGGGGGCATCCTCCATCGTGACATCCTTGATCAGAGGCTCGGACTTGGAAACCTTGGCGGCGCCGTTGGCATAGTCGGTGTATCCGCTGGTCCAGGAGGCAGGGGTCTGCTCGTTGGGGCGGCCAAACTTGTCCAGCTGTCCGTCCTTGATCAGCTTCTTCTTCTCGCTGGCCTTGGGGCCCAGACCCCATCGTCGGGGGTAGGTGTCGCGCTCCATGATCACACGCTTGATCTTGGCAACCACGCCGTGGTCGCAGGTGGCCATTTCGGCCGTTGACATCTGAGCAATGGCCAAGGCGATAGCCTCGCCCTTGGTGGTCATGAGGACAATCTCCTCGTTGATGTCGACGCCGGACTCGAACCGGAGCAGACCGGGAATCATCAGCTTGGCGCCGTAGCAGATGGCATTGACAGCGCTGTCCTTGACGACAATGCGCTTGTACATGGTGAGCAGGGTTTCGAGGGGACGGATGGCACGGCGAAGGTATGACTCTGAACGCAGCAGGTAGACGGAGACAGGTCGTCAGCAGAGACAGTCATTGACCCAGTGAAGCGGATTCTGCCACGACGCCAGACCATGGACAGCTAGTGATGGCAGTCCGAAGAAACTCACCGTCCTTGGTGTTGTCGTAGACCCACTGAGCATCCAGGATATCGTGCATGGTGACCATGTCATCCTGCAAAACACGCGATCGGGGAGGGGTCAATCTTTGCACACAGGGTGGCGGAAACAGTTGACCGAATGAGCGTATACGCACCTCCTCAGACAGCGCGCCGGATCGGACACGGCGGAGCTCTTGCATATGGCCACCGACTTGAAGCATCAGGCCGAGGTGGACACAGAGGGTACGGATGTAGGTTCCGGCCTCGCACGAGACGTGGAAGATGGCGAGATGGCGGTCGTTATCGAACTCAATCAGCTTGCTCTCATAGATCGAGCGGACACGGAGCTGACGCTTGACGGCCGAAATAATGGGAGGACGCTGGAAGAGCGCACCCGTGAGAGTTTCGAGGGCCTATTGGAAGCAGCAGCAGCGTGCGAGGGTCGGATCAGCAACGCATCGGATGTAAGGTGCAGTCGGCAGCCGGTACGATGGCTGCGAGTTGGCAATCTTGGTCAAGAAAGATCGACAGCACGAACCTGAGAAAGCTTCTTTTCGCTCTCGATGCCATCGTGGAGGCGGAGCACGGCAACGTACTCTTTACCTGCAGGACACATGGTCGAGTTGGTCAGCACCCCGGCGAGTCACGCACGGCACATAATCGAGAGACCATCACCACAGACGAAATGGAAGCGGCGTGCAGCAAAGACGCACCTGCACCCTGCTGAGACTTGACCAGTCGAGTGGCGCGATCGATGCAGACAATCAGACATCCGGTGACCTTGGGATCAAGGGTTCCCGAGTGGCCGGTCTTTTCGACACGGAGGATTCGGCGGATCCAGGCAACGACTTCATGCGACGACGGGTTCGAGGGCTTATCCAGGTTGATGATACCGTATCTGATGTAGTTGTCGAGATCGCGCTTCAGGGGCGAGCATCCGTTGGGGATGGGGGTGTAGTGACCGGTGCGGATGTTCAGCTTGTCATAGTTCTGGATGCACAGTTGAGGAGAGGGTACCGACAGACGACGATCAGAACAAGTGGCTTAAATATCCAGGATATGGCGGACACGCAAATGCCCTCCCCCGCCGAATGCTGAACAGGGCAGAAGGCAGCTCAAGAAGCTGTAGTCGCTGTGATCGCTGCGACGACAGCCAATAGACCGGGAGAAATCCGTGCTGGCGTAAAAAGCTTGCTCCGCAGCCCCTCCCTTCTTTCCAGCAGCATACGATCCATATGCGAATCGTCCTCCAGCGCGAGATTATCCGTTGCATCGATAAAGTGCGCCTCAATATGCAAGATTGCATCGATAGTCCGCGATGGTCCTTGTCCGGGAAGTGCACAAGACTGGCGCGGATCCGATCGAATCGAGACGTATCCAAGCCGATCCCACGAACGCCCGTGCGTAACACTGTCGGATACGCCTTGTAGAGAGCACGGTCTGCCGCTGCCGTTGCCGATCATCCCAAAAGCGATCAGATCCAGGCGGCACAATACCTTCAGCAGAAGCGGCCACTCGGAGGTCTCGAGCGAGGGCTGCGACGAGGAAGGCTTGATGAGGTAGTCCTCCTCCGTCTGTTTCTGGGCTGTTGACTTTTTCTGCTTCTTGTCGGCCGACATGGCGTCTATATGGGTGCTGGCGGAGGGTCTGCAAGAGTGGAACACGGGGAAGAAACCACGGACGGTATTTTGTTCAGAAGGCTGGTTGGCACATGGGATGGCCATCCGAGCGGAATCTCTGGTGCAGCCGACCGCCGATCAACGTTGGTATCCAGAGCGCACACAGAAACGATGCATCGGCAGCAGCCCGGCGGGAGGAACCCAGACGGGGAGATCGGCCTTGCCTTGGGTTCGGAGCAGACCGAGCGGGATAGCACTCTGGGGCTGTTGCGATCAGAAGGGACGAGCGAAAAAGCGTTGCAACGAGCGTGGTTGTGTGTGCCGGCGAACAAAAAAAACTGGCTCGAACCCCAGATGAAATTCATTTTTGTGTATGAACGCAGTTCCGTGTCGGCGCGTTCCGTGTCGGCGCGTGTGTCCGTGGCGCCTGGTGCAGAACGCCACGAGCCCACCAAGCGACCAGAGACGGGCTGACGACGTATTCGCATCAGATGCGGTGTATTGCTGCGGCAGCGCCGGGCGTCGGAGACGGTTGCGGGCATGAGGGCCCAAACAGAGGAATTAGGCGGACACAAGCGCCAGTATCAATTTTGTTGTTCGTCACGGACAGAGAGGTACAATTGGAGGGGGGTAGGAGGAGGAAAACGAGGGAGCGGGAGGGAGGAATCGACGCACGGACATTGCCATGAAAATCATTTAGACTCGCAATTACTTGCGCGTGATCGTGCCAAACCAATTCTTCTTGTCTCGCTTGCCGTCGACGTTGTTCCAGGGCGCCGGGCCGGCTGGTCCGTTGTTGAAGGCATCGTACGACCCGCCGGGGCTTGTCGAGTAAGGGTTGCGGGAAGGAACAGGGGGTTGGCCCCGCTCGGTCGGCGACTGTCCATATCCATGCTGGCCGTGGGGCGGATGCGGGGCCGTGCTGTGCGGGTGGGCATAGCTTGTGCTCCGCTTGCGCAGAGTTGGATAGTCGTCCTGATCCTTGCCACCCGACGAGGAAAGCCCGTATCCCTGAGACAGGGGCGGCGGTGGAGGGGCAACGATGGGAACAGGCGGGGTGGGGCCATGGTAGGTTGAGTCGTTGCGCTGGCGGCGCAAAGAGGCATATCGAGGGGTCAAGTCGTCATAGTCGAGCGAGGGTCGCGGACGTGAATCTGGCTCGTCATCGGACTGGGCAACAGTTTCCTGCAAAAGCAACACGGGATTGTGGTGAGCATTCGATGGCAATGTCAGAAAGCAGCCGAGAAGTAAGCCGTCACAGACAAGCCGTCACAGACAAGCCGTCACAGACAAGCACATCCAGCGGGGTAAAGCGATCGCAGACAGGCACATTGGCATGTCGAGAAACTCCAACAAGCGCAGGGTCACACGACATCCCGGCTCCAGTGCACAGCTCCGCCAACTCGAACGCCAATACTAACGATCAGAACCTTGAGCGGCTTGCCTTCGCCCTCTGGCTGGAGGTACTGGAACTCGGTCGATCGGCGCGTTGGATGGCGACCAACGGTTCCGAACGAGCCGCCGTTCTCGCCATGAGTGACTGGAGCGTGCGTCCGCGGCATTGTTCGAATGACTCCATTGCCATCTCCAATGGTGCCTGGGGGGTTGTGGTTGCGAGAGGGGACTCGGGGTGGAGGCGGGGTGTAGTCATTTTCGCTGATTTCAGCCAGGGGTTTGGGTCCCTCCGAGCGCTGACGACGATGAAGCGAGGGATTTGCGCTGGAATCTGCTTGGGCCTGGTGTCGACCATAGGACCGGTTCTCGTTCTGGACGACAGTCGCTGAGCGCAACGGGCCGCGGTTGTCTGAACGCGATGGAGCCCGTGCCGGGATAGATCGCTCCGGAGATGATGTAGAGGCCATGGAGGGGCCAGACTGAGCAATGGCAACGGGGGCGCTCCGTGGAGGCCGAGGATCGCTGCGGGCCGACTTGGATCGAACGAGGGGTGGTGCCGTGGCAGTCTTGTCTTCCTTGTCAGAGGCCACTCCACGGAGAGTATCCTGGAGGAAGGTGCGGGACAGATTAGTGGGTCAGGTCACCGAAGCGCCGGGGTAAGCGGGCGCATGCTGTCTGGAGCAGGGGAGGTTTCGACAAACATAGCAAGTATCGCAGACGTACAGAGTCCAGCTCTTACGGCCGAGCGACATCATCCTCTCCCAGCCCGAGGAACCTACCAGATGGCTAATGAAGGTGTTGACGGCAATGGTATTGCCAGTCTCGGGAGAGACCTTTTCGACCGTCGCCAAGGAGTTGCCACGAGGAGGTACACACGGATGCGGTTCGCCAAACACGCCACCGGAGGGTGTCTTCTTGCCGGTGCGCTTGCGCTCCCGTTCGTTCGAGGTCGTGCTTCCATCGCCCTCGGTGCTCTGCGACTCGCGGTTGCTCGATGAGTCCTCCACTCGCATCTTGGCCGCGGGGGGCGATACGGACTCTGTTACGACCGGCTGTGGAGTAGGTCGACGGGCGGCGCTGGCACCACTGCTCTTGGACCGACTCAGATTTGTGGCTTGTCGAGGCATCGGAGGCACCTCCGACGAGCTTCCGCCGACCGGAAGAGCCACGGGAGTCCGACTACGCGGAGGGATATCGGGGCGCTGTGCCGATGGACGAGGGAGGGACGCAAACCCTTTGGGATCGAACTCGAGGTCATCAAAGGGTCTGAAGATATCATCCAGGTTGCCTTTCGGGGTTTCGGGGCGGTTCGAACGGCGCTCGACACTGCGATCCAAGCGGCGCTCGACGCTGCGTTCGGGGCGGCGCTGATCGCCGTGTCTGCGGCCGGTAAGCTCGCGCTCGGGTTTGCCGGAGGCATTGTCTCGTCCGAGACGCTCAGAGTACTCAACACGACCCCGCTTTTCGAGGACATCGAAGCCAGAGCCGGGTATCTCGAGCTTGGGCCGGGACTCGGGCGGGACGGACTTTTCGCGCCGGATGTCCGAGCCATCTGCAGCCTCGCGCTGTCGCCGGCGTCTATCGTCTTCGTCTTTGCGGCGCTTGGCTTCTTCTTCCTGGAGGCGCCGCTCCTCGTCTCTACGACGCCTATCTTCCTCGTCGCGCTTGCGCTGCTCTTCGGCTTCCTGTCGGGCTTTCTCTTCCTTGAGGCGGACCTCTTGTTCGAGTCGCTTTCGCTCTTCCATAATCTGGGTAAGCTCTTCCTGGTGCTTGAGCTCGTTCTGGCGGAGGCGCTCCTCCAGCTCGTCCTGGCGCTTGCGGGCTTCCATCTCCAACCGCTTTTGGAGATCCTCGATCTCTTGCTGTCTACGCTGTTCCTCCAGACGCTGTCGTTCTTTTTCTTCTTGCAGGCGCTGTTCCTCTTCCTCGCGGGCCTTGCGCTCCAGTTCAATTCTTTTCTCGAGCTCTTCTTTCTCCTGGCGAAGGCGCTCCTCCTGGCGTTTCTGCTCGTCCAGTATCTGTTGCTTCTCCTCTTCTTCGCGACGGATACGCTCTTCGAGGAGACGTCGCTCTTCTTGAATGCGCTCGATCTCTTGCTTGCGCTTGACTTCAGCCAGTCGCAGAATCTCAAGCTCCTCCTCGTGTCGGCGACGGATCTCCTCTTCTTGCTGTCGGATCACCTCCAGCTCTTCGCGCTGGCGCTGCTCTTCCTTGAGCCGTCGTTTTTCTTCTTCCTCGAGGCGCTTGCGCTCGGCTTCGACCTTTCGGATGCGTTCTTCTTCTTCAAGTTTGCGCTTCAGCTCGGCTTCTTCTCGGCGCTTCAGTTCGGCTGCTTCTTCTTGCTTCCTTCGAAGCTCGGCGGCTTCTTGGAGACGCTTGCGTTCGGCTTCCTCCTCTTCGAGGCGCCTGCGCTCGGCTTCTTGTTCTTCTTGCTGGCGCTTCCGCTCGAGTGCAATGCGTCGCTGCTCTTCTTCGTATTCACGGCGCTCTTGCTCTTGGCGCAGGCGTTCTTCTTCCTCCAGAGCTCGCTGGCGCTCAAGCTGCTTTCGGCGGCGCTCTTCCTCTTCGCGACGATGCTTGGCCTCACGCTCTTCGCGACGGCGCTTCTCGTTGAGCTCTTCCTGACGCTTGCGTTCGGCCTCGCGGGCCTTTTCTTCTTCAACAAGACGTCGCTTCTCGGCCTCTTCCTCTTCTTGGAGCTTGCGGAGGCGCTCTTCCTCTTGGATGATTTTGAGGAGGCGCTCCTGCTCTTCCTGGCGACGCTTGGCCTCGCGCTCCTCAAGACGCTGGGCCTCGGCCTCTTCCTCGCGCTTGATTTTCTCTATTCGCATGCGCTCGCGCTCTTCTTGAATCTGCAGATCATGCAGACGCTGCCGCTCCAGCTCTTGCTCGCGCAGACGGGCCTCTTCTTGGCGCCTTTGCTCCTCGCGGCGGCTTTCTTCTTCGAGAGCCTTGGCCAGTTCGAGCTCGTGCTCCTGGCGGACACGGGCTTCCTCCACCTCTCGCCGGCGCTTGAGCTCCTCTGGGGTGAGCTTTGCTGGCGGGGTTGGTGGCGGGGCAGGAGCAACGTTCTCGGGTGTGCTTGGGGCCGATGGAGACGTGGGCGAGAGCGACTTCATGAGCTCCTCGAGCTCCAAAAGCTGCTGCTCCAGCTTTCGGATGTCGACATCGCTCACAGATCCGTTGCTCTGCTCGAGACGAGCCAGCTCCGCCGCAATCTGATCGAGAGCGCCCATGTCCGAGGTTGAATCTGCGGTGGCCTTTTCCTTGAGCCCCTGGATCATCTTGACGATGTCGGCAGCCGAGGGCAGGGACGAGTCCGGTCGAACACGGACAGTGGGTTTTCGCAGCAGAGTGTCGATTCGGCTCTGGGTGTCGGGCGAGGAGCTAAGGGTGGGAATGAAGAGCGAGGGATCCGAGGGCTTTGTGATGGGAATAGGCTTGCTGCTCAGCATGTCCTCGGCCGGCGGCTTCTTGACGGACTTTGATCGGCTCAGGGTCGTCGAGTCGACACCGGCGCTCTTGAGGGCGTCTTCGGTGAGCTTGGCGAGCAAATCGGCGTGGGCATCGCGGTCGCGGGTGATGGTCACGGAGCGACCCAGGGTGCCGGTGGCGGGGAGCGTTGGCTTGCGGCTGAGACTATCAAATTTGGTTGAGCTGGAGGCCAAAGGCGAGGGCCTGGCCTTGAAGGTCGGTGGCTGGGACGGCATAATCATGGGCGAGCCGCCGCTGGCAAAGGGGTCGCTGGGGATGGCGAGAGGGGCATGTGCCAGCATGGGCGATGAGCCGTTGAAGGGCAAGTCGGGCGTTCTGGGATGCCGCAGATCCTCGCCGGGGGCGAGGTTGTGGAGCATCGGCGACGAGGCAGAGAAAGGATCTGGGGTTGAGGGCTTTTGGGAAGACGCATCCGAGGCGCTTCCCCACAAATTCCACGAAGCCATGGATGGCGCGGATATGGGTCAACTGCGGGAGCTTGCTGACGCAGAGCGATTACGGTGTTGCCGACGGCATATCGGTGGGTGTTCGTGGACGTTGCAAAACCGGGTCATGGATGATGGATATAGAGCAAGCCGATTGTGTCGTTACAGGACCCGGCGACATCAAGCCAAGCCGGAAGAACGTCGAGACAACGACAGCGATGCAGGCGAGAAAGAGTGAGAAAGAGCGGGGGAGTGGGAGAGCGAAAGACGCATGGTTAGCAGGCGAGGCAGGCGAGTGACGAGCCAATCATGATCCAAAAGACAGGAGCAGCAGCAGGCAAAGGCAGGCACATCAGCCCGGGAAGCACAAGCGCAGATTTGCATCGAGCCAGGAAGCACAAGAGCAGATTTGCATCGATCCTGGAAGCACAAAAGCAGACCGTCGCCCGAGCCGACATGTCGCATCGGCGAGGGGCACACAGCCGGATGCCGCCTGAATCCGCCAGGCGCCATCAAGCACCGTCGAGCATCGTCGAGCATCGTCGAGCATCATCGAGGGTTCAGCCAACATCGCCGACCTTTGCCGTCACCCGGCGAGGCACCGTTTGGAGCTCCAATTGGAGCTCCAACACCGACCTCGGCAGACACTTACGTTGACGCTTTTGGTGCTTGTGCTGCTGGGCGCGGCAGCTCAGGGCGATGGATTAGCGCCGGGGCAGGAGTCGCTGACAGAGAGGCAGCGGATGCAGGCCGACAGGCAGGCGGTGGCAGAATCTGCCCGAGAGAGATGCAGAGGCAAGAGCAGAGCAGAGCAGACCCGGGGCGAGCAGGAGAGCAGGAGAAAGCAGCGCTGTGGGTGTGCGTCCACGGCGGGTGGGCCAGCGCGAAGGAGCAAAGAGCCTGTACACCAACTGCAAAGGCGAATCCTGGCCTTGCGGGGGGAGAGACGGAGCCGTTCTCGGCTGCTCTCGGCCTGCTCTCGGCTGCTCTCGGCTGCTCTCGGCTGCTCTCGGTGGCCTTGGTCTCGCAGCAGAATCGTTGGCGACACAGGCTGTGTAACACTTGTCCCCCAGGCTATTCTTGGACAGCAAAGTCGTGCGCGGGGCTGGTTGCGCTGCCTTTTGGGCGAGGGCGGGTGGGCAACAGGCGGTGGCCACGCCGCCGACAATATCGATGATCGCCGGAGGATCGCTGGAGGACCGCTGGAAGACGCCAGAGGGTTGCTGCAGGTCGACACAGGCCAACGCAGGCCCGTGGTGCTGAACGCAGGCACCTGCTTGCACTGCATCTCCACACCACGGCGAAACCGCACTCAGCAGTCGCGCTCTCCCGGCGCCGTTGTTCAATCGAACCATGGCAATCTGCAGAGCCGCCCCCACGGAGCCTCCGGGGTCATGTCCTCCTTGCTGCGGCTCTCTCGCTCGGCTGCTCTTGGCCAGCTCGGTCGGTCATCCGGTCGGTCGTGACCTGGGTGCGACCGGCCTGGCTGGGCCAATGGCCAGGCGCCAACTGCTCTTTGGAGGTGCAGGTCCATCGCTCGGCACTTGATTATCCCTTTCCCAGCCACTTGATCTCTGTCCCAGCCCTTCTGTCCTCGGCCGTCCCGTGGTCTGTCAAGGCCGCGCTCCACCCCGCCACCTGTATCCGCGGGCTGTCTCCAGATCCGTTCCCACCACCCGCAGAGAGATGTGCAATGTCCCTTGTATTGGCCGTGCTCATGAGAAGGCACCGAGGCGCTGCTACTCCAGATCCATCAAGTCCTCCCCGGTGTTGGCTTGCGGGTTCCTGCGCCCGGCTGATCGAGCCTGGCCCAACTCAAGTCCGCTTCTCTGTCGCTTGAAGCCTTGTCGCGAGCTACTGCCACCGCCGGCCCGCTGCACTTCGGCTCTCAGGAAAGCGCTGCTGCTGAGGCCTGCTGCCGAGCTGAAGACTGGCTGGCGAGAGTAGTACTGGTTGTAATCCATGCGTGTCGCCAGATCGGCCAGGGACGCCGTCTCGAGGGTGGCGACGTACTTGAGCGTCTTGAGGAGTTCGCGGATTTGCGCCATCGTCTGAGTCTCGTACTTTTCCAAGGTCGCAAGCGTGCTGGATCGACTCGAAAAGGTTCCCTTGGGCGGGGGAGGGAGCTCGGTCTCGCCCTCGCGTGTGCCCGATCCGTGCCGAAGCATCATGTACCATTTGCAAAACTCGGTGAAGGAGACGCAGGTTTCCATAAACTCGCTGAAAATCTGTAGACATCGGGCGAGAAGGACACCAGATCGGGGTTAGAGCATCAATGCGAATGCGGTCGATCCATGCCCAAAGGCAGCAAACACACCATCCGGGCCCCGGCGCATCGGGCGGCGGTTGGTGAATCCAACTTTATCTCCTGACACCAGCTCCCGCCCATCCGGAGAAGTCTCTACATCTCGTTCGAGACATCCATAGGGCGATGCACCGCCCAAGCGACGTGCCACCACTGCCATCCCCGCGCTTACAAACCTTGACAAGACTCTGGTTAGTCAGCGTGCACTCCTTCAGGCAGGTATCCAAAAAGTCCATGTGGAGCTTCAAGACTTCGTCGACCGTCGTCGCCTGCACATAGCCAGCGACAGACCAAGTCAAGTTAGGAGTGCAGTTCTGGTGTGTCGATGGCATTCGCACTCGTCATCCTCGGCATTGCTTGGCTGTACCACAACCCATGCCAATTGGATCCCAGCAATCTACAGGACAACCCCTCCATTTGCGCAACCGACAACGCCCTCGATGCCTACCTTCTTGATGGTCTTCTCGAGATTGAGCCACTGCGGCTCCAGCACCTCGAAACAGCTATAGTAGAGTACTTGCTGGACACAGTGGACCATCTTGGTTCTCAGGGCCCCGAGCCGTGCCATGAACAGCATGCTCTCTTCCCGGCTCTCGGCGCTTTCGCTAGAGTCATTCTCGGCGGCTGCAGCGCGACTGGGGCGCGATTTTGCTCTGGAGATGCGGTGGAAGGAGGTTTGATCGAACCACAGTCCGCACAGCAAGCGCTCGACATACTTGCAGTGGAACAGATGCCGGAAGATGAGCTGGTACTTGATCAGATACTTTTTGCCGAGCACCAGCGAAAGCGGAAACCGAACCGTGTATCCGAGCATGAACGACTCGATGCCTATGTGCAATCGCGGCAGCAGACGAATCGCGTGGAAGTAAGTGTCCGGGGTGATTTGTCCTTCACTTGCCCAGGCTCATACAGGCTCGGCCCTGCCCGTCTCTGCAGCCGTTTGTCGGTGCATTCGTTCTCTGTGAACGAGAAAACATCCCCATGCACTTACCAGAGAGCTGCTGATCGCTCTTGAGATTGGCCCGCTGGATTCGCTCGTGCTGCCCCTCCATGAACTGCTCGCGGCTGTTGGCCCCCGTGATCGTGCTGACCGTCAGCAGATGCTCTGCGAGAGAAATGGTGCTCAACTCAATCACAACATCATCCTTGTATGGGTCCGACGAGGATGCTGAGCTCGGGTTGCGCAGGACGAGTTCCAGTAGGCTCGAGACCTTCTCGACCCCGACCTTGTTCGAAGGCTTCGAAAGCTCGGGCAGTGCCAGGTCGAAGAAATGCGTGAGCCAGTCGGACTGATCGAGGAAAAAGTAGTGCTTGAGGGAGCTATTGACGATAATGGTTGGTGTGTTTAGGAGAGCAAAACATCAGCGATTGCCATGATCACAGAGCATGCGAGTTTCGCTTTTGGTTATCGCCGTGGGCCAGCATAGACCCTGGCGCGCTTACCTGAGCCTGGGGATCAGCTCCTGCTCCTGAACAAGCATGCACAACAGAGTCTCGTTGGCGAACCGATATGCCAGGTCAATGTCATCGGCCCATCTGCATCGAATCGATCGTAGAGTCTGCATTAGGCCGGGCTCGACCGTTCATCAAAGACAAGCACTGCCGCGAAGCTCATCGTGTGTAATCCCAAAACCCAGATCGCTCGTTGGTCACGTAGACTACGATAATGTGAAGAATCCACATAGACATGGTCCCTTACCTGCCGCCCTCGATTGCCCGGGACACGTCGCCTGAAACCATGCCGCTGGACGAGCCTCCGTTCTTGGACTCTTGATACTTTTTCGTTTCCTCCCGCCACCGCTGCTCGAGAAAGTGCGTTCCGTTCGAGGTAGTGGCGCACTCGCGAACCACGTTCAGGTATTTGCCCGCAAGCAGGATCTTCTCCTTGAAGGGGTCCAGAAAGTTGGGAACGGCGTCCATGCGCAGGACGTAGCGTTGGTCCCAGTACAGATCGTTGAAATCGTCCTTGAGCTGCTCCTTGCTCATGCCGCGTTGCTCCTGAATCATGAACTCGTCGTAGGGGTCGCAGATCTCGCCGCGGTTGATCCATTGCCGCAGCATCTCAAAGTAGGGCACGGCGGACTCGCTGAGGAGATGCGAGTACAGCAGCTTGGTCGAGTTGTCGCTGCGATCACCACGCGTCGGGGTTGGCCAAGATTAGAAGCTGCAGAGTCACGCAAGCTTTCAGACTGCGTGCGGCTTCGCAAACGACCTGCGATGAAACCTACCCACTGAGGGAAAGCATGCGATCCGCTATAACTCCCAGCAGAACGCCTCCACCGCGGGTTGAGGAGTGTAGCTCATGAAACAACGCCATGGTTGTCACGTCGTCGCGGCCAACGCTCTCGGTCAACAGAATTGCCTCGATCAGGGATGAGAGCGTTGTCATTGTTTGCAGTGTGGGGCTAACATGGAACCAGAGCTGATGCAGGCCAAACTCTGGGGATTGATGCGCTTCGTGCTCGAGCTGGGCCAGCAAGATCATGTATTCCTTTGAACGGGAGAGCGACGACAGGCCAGATGAGTCGCAAAGCATCGGCAGAGTTAGACAGCGATATGGATCCCACCACGGAGCTGTGGTGCGCTGCGAATCAAGTCCTGACAGAGCAATCGCCAAGTCAGCAGAGCCGTACCTTTGTCAAGCTCTTCATGGCTCGACATAGAGCGTGGTTGACCCGACCGTACTCGAACCTCGAGTGCGTTTCAATAAAGTGCTCAATGATAACAAACGACCGCGCGAGCGGGAATATTCGGATTACCAGATCAGAAAGCGATATATCTACAACAGAAAGCACAAGTGTGTGTGTCAGGGCTTGGCATACTGCGGGCCATGAAACCGGGCAAGAAACAAACGGGTCGCTTTGCAGCCCGGTGGCATGCAGCCACATCGGCAAAACGTCGAGATTACCGAGAGAAGGATCAACGACAAACTCGCACTGGTATGGAGAGACTGATTCGGCCCTGGTGATGTACTTTCCGTCGATGCCCTGTGTGCCAGAATATCAAACAGCCCACGGTCATCAGCATGCACAGGGTAGGCGGCACAATACCGAGTGCATGCTCTGTGGCTCGGAATAGCAATGCTCCAGAGACCCGAGTCGAAGGCAAGCACGCACCATTAGCACAAATAAGATGTCTTCGATGATCCAGGTTTGCTGTTGGGCAATGGGCTGCGAGCCGATTGGGGGATGGGCCGACCTCGGAGATGCCATCGAGAGCTACAGAGGGTGCATTAGCCAATCCGAATCGGCACAATCTAACAGCGATACCCTATACTGTCCATCGTACACTGTGGTGCCTTGCACGCTGCATGTGTGGTGACCACACACAATTGAGTTGCATCCGTTATCCCAGGCGCCTGAACTGCGCCCGCAATTGCGCAGCGGCCTTGGTTGTCGCTTGTATCATGTCTGCCGCAGACCAAGTCGAGGACGATGCTACCATACCGTTTCAAGCCTTGGACGAGACTTTAGTGGCGACTGAAGAGTCCTGAACCGATCGTCGCTTTGATTTCGCGGCTTTGACGAGCCTGTGGATCAGTCGAGAGCAGCTCGTAAGTCAGGATGTCAAATAAGACGCAATACAGACGCCATGTAGCCTCAACTGTGGTTTCAAGTCGACCAGCACAGTGCACAACAATAGACAGTTCGTCAGGTGCCTTTCTGCCCGATAGCAGGAGATGCGGTTGGGAGCACTACGATGCTTTGCCACCACCAGCTCTCCGATTCGTGACCGTACCAACACGACTGCCAAACATCTTGGATGATGCCGATGTTCGTCCGGATGCTGTGTTGGCCAGCGTAGCGCCGTCAAAAGTGGGACTTGGTGTGCGTCGAATATGGGTCTCGCTGAAGCGACCGGTCAGCCGCTGTGCCAACCAAGCAGACAATAAAGCCAAGGTTATTTCGCCGCTGCTGTACGATCCGGCCAAGCGATGTGATCGAGAGCAGAGCCCACCTTGTCTTTCACATCGTGGATGTCACCGACACTCTGGGATTTGGACACAGTTGCCTCGCCAAAGCCGAATCGGATTGAGGGCGCAGTGCCAGGGCGGCTGCTGGTCGGGCCGGAGCTGGTGCTCAGGGGCGAGAATGATACTGTCGGCGAGACCAGAGTCGAGGTAGCCGAGGGGTTTGTTGCTGCGGTATGGATGCGGAGGCTGCCCTCGAAGGACTTTTTGGGCCGCGGCGTTGCCTCGCCCGAGGCCAGCGGGGGCGGGAGAGCATTGCCGACAGAGCCGTAGTGAAGCTGCTTGGCGATCCGGGAGGGAGACCCCGGGATGCTCTTGCTGGCGAGCTGCTCTTTGTAGAGGAGAGTGCTGGGGTCAATGACGGGCAGCACCGCCCGGGCATTGACGCCCGCAGCAACATCGGGATCTTCATGGACGGCCAGGAGGAACTGCAGAAAGGGATCGAGCTCTCGGATCTGCTTTGTCTTGAGGCGCTCATAGGCCAGCTTGAAGTTATCAGCCCACTCGGGATGCACATCCGATGGGTCCTCGCTGTTCTCGTCCGAGACCTGCAGCTGGGCAACGTTCGAGGCGATCTTTTCGACGGTCGAGAAAGCCGAGGTGGGTGTTGTTCGGGACGGGGTCGTTGGGGCCGTGGGCTTGGACAGAAAATCGAGATAGTACTGGCGACGGCCCTGATCCCCGTCCAAGTGGGCAATCAGATCGGCGAGCAGGGCACCCAATCGAAACTGCGAGTTCATGGTGTGGACGAGACGGGCGTTTGGGATGTCAGATGGACGGACTCGGAGTCGGATTCGATCTGCTGGCTGGTCGGGCCCTCGGCTGCGAAAGATGCGTCTGGGAGCCGGGAGAAATGATATCGATGAGGGTTTCGAGCGGACGGATGGAGGTCCAGGCGTAGACGACTGCTTGGGCGGCGGCGAGAACCCCGCTGCTTGGAGGAAGAGCAGATCCAGAACCAAGGGCGACGGCGATCGATGCAACAGGACCGGCTCCAAAGAACGCGCCAGCCCTCGGCGAGAAGGGCGGCAGGCAGTCTCGCTGGCTCTCGCTCATGCTGCGACCGAAATGGGGGATTCGAGGCTTGATTTCATGGCCGATGCCCGGGCGAATCCGCCGAGAGTGGCCGGAAGCATTCCCAAGGTCGACAGCCCAGATGCGATGCACATGCAGCACGGACTTGACCCCATAAACCTCTCCGCCCGCAGCCCAACTCTCCATGGATGTCCCGCCCAGTCAAGTGGCCAAATGGGAAGCGGCTCTCATTGGAGATGAACATGGCTTTGGTGTGTATTGCTTGGTATGTATTACAGGCAATCCAATAAAAAACGGGACACCCGGGTTTTTGACCATTCATCGAATAGTTTGTTACCCAATGTGATCGCACGCTGGCCATGACCATTCGCCACACATCCGACTTTCGCACCGCCGCATTGCGATGCTACGCCCTCATCCATAGCCTGCGTAAGGTCGCCTCCATCTTCAGTGTGTCCAAGAGCACCATCCATCGATGGCACCGAGGATGCAAGCTGGATGACCCATCCCGGGTCCCAGCTCGCAGATCCACTTTCTTCGAGCAGGCATGTCCAGTCATTCGCACCCTGATTGAACAGGACCCGTTCCAGACTGGTCCTGTGTTGCGATGCAAGCTCGAGTCCATCCTCCAGAGGAAAGTATCACTCTCACTCTGCCATACTGCCATCCACCGAGCAGGTCTCTCACACAAGAGGGCAACACACCTCTACAAGTCCAAGCGACTGGATGAGCGAGTGGCACAGTTCAGGGACCAGGTCCGCTCCATCGACCCGCGGCGATTCGTTTTTGTCGATGAGACAGGGATCAGGAGATCCATTTTCCCTCTTTACGGATACTCGCCGAAGGGTGCTCCGCTTCGCCAGCGCAATCACATGAAACACAAGTCTGTCTCGGCTGCATTTGCTATCAACCACTCTGGTGTGCTGCATCGCATGTACATCCCCACATCATTCAAGACACACTCGATGGTCGAGTTCTTTGAGCGAGCGAGCTTCCCAGACGACTCTGTGATTGTGATGGACAATGTCAGCATGCACAAGACAAGGGCTGTCCTGGACTGCATCGAGCGCCGAGGATGGTCAGTGATCTTCACCCCACCTGCTTCACCCGACTTCAATCCCATCGAGAACTTCTTTGGGATTGTGAAGCATCAGTACAGGAAGGCAGCAGCGCTGAATGCGTCCGAGGGGTTCAGAGTCGGGATGGTGACCCTGTTTGAGTCTGCCGTTCGGAGGGTGCTTCCAGATGTCTTCCCACGGCTGATTGAGCGAGCGATGCGCTTCTGGGGTTGAGTTCCCTCCAATCAAGCCGCCATTTTCGCGTTCACATCCCTGGCTTGAACCTCTCGGCGATTTTTGAACAGGGTCGCTTCCCCAACCAGCCCGCAAAGACGGGCTCCTGCTCTCGGGTATAAATGCCACACCTTCGTCCTGCTGCTTTCTTCCCTCATCTCGCCTTGATCTGATCATCGCGCTATTGTACGATAAAAAAGTCTCTGCTCTGACCAGTACCACTGGCAGGCATCCAGCATCCTCTGCCCCCATGCCTCCGAAGCGCAAGGGTACCGGTGATGGCCAGCCTCGGCCACCCAGGCCCAAGAAAGCCAAGTCACAGTCGGAGCCTGTCTCTGGTTCGTATTCTGATCCCACGCATGCTTGTTTCTCTGTTGCTCCGTCGCTCACCACCACTGCTTCTGCAGATCCAATGGATGTCGATCCCACCGAGCCTGGTCCATCTACTTCCTCTGGTACTGTCAAGCGATGTCGCCAGTGCGATGGCACCGATCACGAACGTTGCAACACCAGCAAATGTCCAAAATACCGGCCCCTCAAGAGTTCTGTCGTCCCACTCGTGGATGGAAGGTCATCCGCCCCTCAATACAGCTGCTTCAAGCAGACGATGGATGGCTGTTGTCTCAATCCCGCTCTCCGCGACAAGATCCAGGCCACCGTCGAGGCCATGACCCAGATCCAGTTCGAGGCATCCAGGCTGCTCAACCTGCACATCCTCCGGTGCATCGAGCAGGATCTTCCCGTCCCCGTCATCTCCAAGGCCACCCCTGCTTTCGTTCGCCAATGCTTCAAGATCGTCCAGGACGGTGCCCTCTCCCCGACCGGGGACAATGAGAAATACAACGAGCATCTGGTCGCTTCCTTTCGCGACTACCAGATCACTCGGCACGCAGACCTGCCTCCGGCCCCTCGTCTGCCTGATGGTGCTCACAGTCAGCTTCTCACCCTGGCTGTCAATGCCTATGCCACCAACTGCACCACCCACCTCGACCTGGCCTACTGGCGACTCCTTCGCCGCTTCTGCGCTGCCGTCTTCCCAGCCAACAAGCACAAGCACGAAGCCATCGAGGCCTGTCTCGAGCTCTTCGAGAAACCAGGGCAGACTCCACCCAAGGCCGATCTCGAGTTCCTCTATCCCGAGTTTGGCCACATCCTGGACGAGTTTCGGTACAGCAGCGACCAGGACCGCTTCCGGGCCCTCCATCGCCTCTCACACCATGTGAGAATCCTCGCCCGAGACAAGATGGTCGACAATGTCCACAAGTGGATCGACTGTGACATGCCCGCCCTCCGAGTCACCGAGCTGCAGCGCCAGGCCAAGCTGGACGAGCTCACTACCCAAGGCATTCCCTCCGACGACAAGAGGTTTACCACGGCCAAGTCTGAGCTCGGCACCACCAAGGCCAAGATCAACCAGCTGGCATCCAGGATCAACTGGGCACTCAAGCAGCTCGCCGTCGACACTCCTCCGGCCGTGTGCACGATGGTCCCTCTCTGTACTGCAAGGGCCAAGTATGTCAAGATCGACACGGTCACTCTTTGGCAACTCCTGGGTCCAAAGAAGCGCCTTGAACTCACCAGGGACAAGCTCAAGGAAGAAGGTGAGGACGGTGTCAACAACCAGGATCGTCTCTGGCGCAGTTGCTTCAAGCTGCGTAGTTCCCTCTTCCAAGAGCGAGACGTGAACAAGAAGCTGTTCAACTACGAGATCAGCACCGATGGTATCGGATGCACCATCGGCCTCGTCAAGTTTCTGCGTCGAACCGATCGCACCGAGACCTCCGAGCCTCCTCCGACTGCCGAGCAGCGTATCCAGACCCACATCGGCGACCCAGACCCCGATCGCACCACTTGGATTGGCATCGATCCTGGAGTCGGCTCCATCTTCACGGCGGTCATCCAAGCACCGGGCCACCAAGACGAGGTGGTCTCGTTCTCCAATGGCCACTACCAGCACATGTGTGGCCATACGTCCAACACAAGGTGGCACAACACCATGAAGTATCGACTCAGCATCGAGACCTGGATGTCGACCACCCCCTCGCCCAAGGTGTCGTCCTCGGAGGCTTTCAAGGTCCATCTCACCCATGTCCTGCGACCGGAGCTGCGAGTGCAGCTCGACTTCCACCTTGGCAAGAAGGCCCGTCACCATCGCTTCACGGGCTACAAGAGGCGCCAAGTGGCCGTCGACAGGATGTGCAAGGCCGTCCTGAAGCACGCCCCGATACGGACCGATGTGGTCATCGCCTTTGGCAATGCATCATGGCGACAGGGCAAGGGCTATGCATCCAGCCCTCGGAGGCAGCGGTTCGCTCGGTACTTTGAGCAATTCGAGCACCACCGACGCCGTCCCAATCACCCTCATGGAAGCGTCAAGGTGGCCTCGACGAACGAGTTCAACACCTCGCAAGTGTGCTCCAAGTGCCTGGAGCCAGTTCGGTTGGAAGGACTCGATGCGCCCAGTGTTGCGAATTCCCACTTTGTCAGGAGCTGCAAGAATCCCAGCTGCCGGACAGTGTGGAATCGCGACGTCAATGCGGCGCGCAACATGATCACAGTGTGCAGGTCGATTGTGGAGATCGGAGAGCGACCGGCGGTCTTCACTCGGAGGCTGCCAAAGTGATCTGTTTTATTTCTTGTGGCTTTGCTTGACGCAAGCACAGCACATACTACATGTTCATGGAAACGGCTATATTGTCCCGTTTTTTTCTGAATAAAGTGTACTGCCGTCCCAATCAATGGACCCATCCGCTCGAATCCCCTGGATCCACTCCGTCAGCTCGAGTCGCTCGAGTAGCCATGGTGCTTGTGCTTGGAAAACTTCTTGCCGACCTTTCCGAGTGCCAGCGCACCGAGCCCGCCAGCCGCCGCTCCAGCCATGAGCCCGTGCATGTTGCCACCGCTGTTTCCGTGCGAGCCGTGGTGGGGACTATGCGGATTGTGGTGCGGATTGTGGTGCGGATTGTGGTGCGGATTGTAGTGCGGATCATAATGCGAGCCAGAATAGTGCGCCGAGTGATGACCGCTGTGACTGCCGCCGCCGAACAGGCCGCCGAGCGCTCCAAGGGACCCACCAGAGCCGCTGCTTCCGTGTCCGTGGCTTCCCGAGCCAGCCAGGCCAGCTATCGTACCGAGCAGTCCGGCTTTTCCGCCGAGACCAAGAAATCGGTCCCCTGTTGCGCCAGCAGGAGCAGCTGAGGGGAGGGCAGTATTGACGGGAGCATACTGTGGATAAACTGCTGGCGGGACACCGGGTTGGGTTCCCTGGTGCATCGGTGTTGAGTATCTAGCCCCTGGATCGGCCGGAGGAAAGTATGCCTGAGATCTGGGATCTTCCCATTGGACATGACCCGAGGGAACATGGACGAAAAAGATGCGGCCCGAGGCAGGGTCGTGCTGGATGATCCAGCCCTGGGGCAACGGAATCTGGTTGACAAGCGGATCCATGGTTGGTGCTGTGATTCAAATCGATGTTGGGGGGGAGGAGGGAGGCGAGCGTGGGAATCCCCTGGACGAGATGCGTGATTATATCACAGGGTGAGGCTCAAACTCAAAGCGAGCATCCGCCAACTCAATACCAGGCGGCGCGGCTCGGGTGACCTGGCGAGCTCGATCCCAGTCGCTTGCATCATGGCGCCCAAGCACCAGCGGTATGACTCGGTCTGTCTGCGTCAGCTGGCTCGCATCCAACCTTGATCGCCGTGCAGCCATATCGATGGAGTCCGGGAGACAAGCCTTTCCTCTCAAGCGAGCGCCCGCTCGGGTCTACCAGGGCTCCAAGCGAGACCGCCAATCGCTTGATACCGGCGGAACGTCCGGTGGCCTTGAGTCGCAGTCGCTGGAAGGCCAAGGTTTGTGCGTGACTGCTCTGCGGTCCCATACTCCAACCTACCGACTGGCCTGACTAAGCAGAGGAACAACTTACTGCACATACACAGGAGGCTTCAGAGACACTCGCATTGCCCGCATCTCCTACACCCGCCACGGACCGGATCGGCCTGCAGCCGCTCGGGCAAGCTTGAGTCAGGCCGGGTCGAAACTCAAGCACGTCTCAAGGAGCGTGCGCAACAACGAAAACAACGTCCCTGCTACGAGTCTTCGGGATGGGAAGCAGCGATCCAGCAGAGGCACCGCACGACAGAACACTCGGGGTCAGTGCGTGTTGGCGCTGCTGGCCCGGATGAGGCCCTCCGATGGATCTGCATAAGGCTGACGCATCGCTCATCGGGTTGCTCTCAGTCCCGTTGGCTCCAGTGGCGGTCTCAGAGAATCGGCTTTCGGCATACAGTCCCCAAACCCCCAGTACAATCGATTCCAAAGACCAAAGCCGCCGCGATATAGGCAGGCCACAAAGCTCAGGCACCCTCCGCGCGCTGCTAAGTGTAGGGAACTATCGATGCCGATGGGCACAGCCCGATTGATTGCTGCAGCGGATATCAACCACACACTAAACTGGCTTCTGCGGCAACAGCGGGTGTCCGACGACGAGCTGGACGATGCCCCGGTGCGACGAGATCTCCGGGCCTTTCCGTAGTGCCTAGCCATCGCGATGCGCACGCAACTACCAAAACGAAGCACACACAGCCAGCAAAAGCAGCACCCCGGTTTGCGCTCCGTGCCATCCTGACCCGGGAGTGGGATGCGACCGGCCCCAAGAGTGTTCCAAGCCTGAATGGTGACATATCGACCAGGCAGCTAGAGCATGCCGCGACTATGGCACAAAGTGAGAATGGATCGGTTGCTCTTCCCGCGCCTCGGCCATTCCCGGCTCAGCAAGACATTCGCCGGGAAACAACAGGTCAGCGCGGGTTGATTTCTGGAGGACAGAGAGGGATCTGCGCGAGATGCCCTATTTATTGGTGCGAGCTGCCAAGCCACAGATCACGTGGGGCCAAGCCACTCACGCGGTGTTGGCCATCCACATGAATGCCCTCTGTTGGGCAGGCAGCACGCGAAGCGCCGACGACATCGGAGTGTGAACAACATCGGAATATGAGCGACATGAGAAATGCAGCATGAGAGACGAGGTCATGGCGCAATCGGAAGGGCGGGTGTGGAAGAGCACAGCGTTTGTCAGTGCTATGGCAAGCCAAGGTTGACGGGAGATGCCGCACCTCGCGAGCCAGCAAAATTACATCCCAGACTCTGCTGTCCAGGCATTGCACACCCGGCGGGAGAGGAAGTGCAACCCTACCTTGATAGGCGACACTGTGTTGGTTGCGCCAAGGCCAAAGGCACGGGCGCCCCTGACAACCTCGCATTCGTCGCCAAAGAGCTTGCCGATCCGATCCACCGCTAGGAGCATCGCAAGGTCAGGGACGTATCGCTCCTGGGCATACGGGAGGAGTGCGTGGATACGTCCTGCACATATCCAGAGCGTAGGTTGGTAATCTGGGGTGGGGAGATCTGAGGCCCGCGAATCATGTCGTTCGAGTGTTCGGTGCGGGCTGCGTGTCCATCAATGCGTCGTATTGGTCGCTGCCATACATACCAATATCCTGACCAGTCTGGACACCATCCTTGATGGTGCGATAGAGCGATTGGGCGTCGGAGAATCCAAGATTGAGACCCTGTCCGGCCTGAGGGTGGATTGTATGGGCGGCATCGCTGGCAAGACCGGTGCGGGGTCGGCATCAGATGTAAGTCCTGGTGTGTTCGTCGAGAGTACCACGGCCGGCCAGTGCCGCCCAGTGCCGCTCTTGCGACCTGCATGGAGCGCAAGACAGGAGACTTACCCAATCAGAGCGACTCGATCGTCGACATAGCGCACAGAGTTGCGCAGCTTCAGAGGAAAGCCGGCTCGGCTCTTCTCGGCAACGCTCACGATCCGGGGCGGGAGCTTGCCCTCGGTATGCGATGCCCGGTTATCGAGCGAGGCCTGCGCTCGCTCACGGCCCCACCAAGCCTCGGCCTCAAAGTCGCACGTTGTCTTGCCGTCCGGTTGGATCTGCGAGATCAAGAACTGGATATCTTGCAGCGGGTTGTGGAAGGCCGCGTTGACGAGCTCGAGAAACTCGCGCGGGGGGAGCGCAATGATGCGGTTGGCAAGATCTGGTGCAATCGACCAGACCAGCGAGCTGTAGCCAGGCCCCAGCTGGCCGTCCCCGACGAGAGAGCCGTCGACCACAGAGGCATCCAGGGGGAATGGAGCGGATATACGCTATCAACACAAGGGCGATAGGTGTGTCGCTATCCCAAGGGCCATCGGCAGCACCAGATCGCACAGACGGATGCTCACAGGTCCCTGGAGACTCGACTTACCGGCAGAAGCGCAATTGGCCCGGTCGGCATGTAACGCTGCCATGCCGTCTCGTTGGCATCTGTGTGGTCCTCGAGCTCGAGAGTGGCGACGACGCCTTTCTGATTGTAGTCCCAGCCGATGGACTCGATCTGGGCAAACTCACGGACCTTGGAGTTGCCACCATCTGCACCAACCAGCAGTCTGGCCCAAAGTGTTGTGCCGTCGTCCAGCTGCACCTGGGGCCATGCATCGACCGCGGCGCCATCGCCTTCGGAAGCAGCCTTGGATATCGATGCCACCTTGCGCTGGTTGAAGAGCGTGATGGCGGACGAATGGTCGGTAATAACCGAGGCCAAGGCTGCCTGGATATGGTTGTTTTCGACGATCCAGGCAATCTGCTCGAGGCCGGCCTCCTTGGAGTCAAAGTTCACCAGGCCAGAGCTGTTGGAATCCCAGATCTGTATGTTTGCGAGGCAAGGCGAATCAGCCGTCAGCGTTCGCTCTCGTCTTCCGCCGATGCAGGGCAATGAAAGTGTTGTCGGTGGTCATTGAGGACGTGAGCGCTCCGCATACCTGCATCTTGGAGAAGCGATGACGCCGGGCAGGGTCAATGGCCTCCCAGGCCCCGACCTCGGCCAGAAAGCGCTGGGACGCTGGTGTGATGGAGCTGACTCGGTTCGAGCGCACGTTGGGATCGTCCGACGGCCGCTTCAGCAGATCACCGGCCTCGATCAGGGCAATCTTGAGCGACTGGGTGTAAGGCGACGTGGCCAGGGCACAGGCAAGTGAGCTGCCGACGTTGCCGCCACCGACAATGCAGATATCGTAGTACTTGTCGATGCTACCTGGAGCAGCGGCAGTTGCGAGGCCGCGGGAGCCATGCCGGGTCCGAGCGACCAGCGTAAGCTGGGGTGGACCGACATGATCCCAGCGAACCAGCGAATGGCCGCGCTGGGTGAGATACGGGGACGAAGCCAGGCGTAGTGCAGAGCGCATGTGCGGTGATCCAGTAGGGTGTTTCCGGTGCCGAGGGAGTGTGCTGGAGCTGCAAGCCTGGAATCAGCGGGCAGCAGGTCGAGACGAGGCGACGATGGCCAGCTGGAAGACGGAGAGAGAGCCGATTCTTGAGCTGTGCATCCAACGCGATGGGCGGTGATTCATCTCCCGCAATCCATCCGCAGCAGCCACTCGCGACGAAAGACCTGTGATGGACACCGCCGTAGCATAGGCGGAGACATTCGAGTTGCGAGAGCCTCTTGTATTCAGAATACGCCATGAAGGCACTGCGGGTCAGGGCCGATCGGCAAACGGACAGAGAGGCAAAAACGCCGATCGAGCCAAGGCATCCATTGGCAAACCAGTAACTTGACAGGCAGTCCGCAGTGGCAAATATCCGGCGGCCGCAAAGGAGAGATCGCAAACTTGGGAGGGCGGTGGTGCCAGAACGAAAGTACAAGAGCGAAAAGTGCAAAACAGAGAGAGCTCGAGAGTGATACGACAAGAGTACATACATATAGACAGATACGGGAAGCCCAACACGAGCAGCCGAATTACCAGATACTTCACTCGGTGCGCTCGAACCAGGCCTGCACCCGCTTGACCAGGCCGGCTCCGACCGACGGGGACTCGCGTCGACGAGCAGAGTGCCTTGTTCCTTGGATGATCGATCGCCCCGACCGAGTGCGCTTCAGCGTGGGCGGAGGTGGGTCAAGAGCGACGAGTAGCTCCTGGGCCTCCTCCAGGAACACTGTGCCGTCCTCGGGCGGCCTCTGGAGCGGATAGACCTTGCCACGGGTGCCACCTTCGAGCTGCAGTGTTCTCATGCGATGGATCCAGTCCTGGTTGTCACAGATCTCGGATTGCAGAGCCTGGATCCAGGCAGCCTTTTCATCCGCATCCATGTCGATTTGAGAGGCCAGGGCCTGTTCTTTCAGAATCCTGAACAGGAAGAGGGCATTGTTGGTCATGTCGCGATGGAGCACCCGGCAGGCCAGGATCTTGATGTGTCTGGGATAGAACCGGATGCCGCGCTCGACATAGACGTTATGAAGCTGATGGAGCTCGCGATGGGCAACGGCACGACTGATGGCATCGTCGAAGCAAGCCTGGGTGAAGACGTGCTCTGGCCCGTAGATTCGCAGGACCCATCGCCACACAGGACAGGGCTGAAGTCGATATGAAGTCGATATGAAGACGATGCGACGGAAGCAGAGGCAGAAGCAGAAGCAGAAGCAGAGACAGACAAGAGGCAGCATATGTAAGCGATTGTGGCTCGATGGATCTGGGCGACATTTGGAAGGACTACATCTCAAGCAGAGCGCATCATTGCAGAACGGCTTCAGCCTGTCGCTGGCAGTGTCATGGCCAATCAACGCCTGAAGGCGCAACAGCAAACAGGATCCGAGACTTACGTCGACTTTCATGTAGCAGCGTGTCGCAGGGAACTCCTTGTCAGAGTACTGCGGGTCACACTTGGTCAGGAGGATGTACCTCATGTCGTCCTCGGTGATTTCAAAGCGCTGGTAAAGATAGTCGATCGGCTCGAGACTGAAACTCCAGCCGCGTATCATCGGGCCCATCATGTCCCGCAGGGCTTCGACGGCGATGCGGCCGAGCTTGGCTGAGGAGCACTGCTCCTTCAGAACATTGAGGGTGCGGTCGCGGGCAATCTGCAGGCCCTTCTTGATGGCCTCGTCGGTAAGGCTGAAGCCCACGGCCAAGTACTGCGACAGCATCGAGTTCGAAAAGTCGGGCCTCCAAAAGACCCGCTCCAGGACGAGGTCGTTCACCTGCGCGAGCTTGAGGCCGTTGCGCTTCATGACCTCGACTAGACCAAGGTCGACTAGCGACACTTTGTAGACGATTTCTTCGACCGACGCGCTGAGATTACCGAGCGGCACAAACCCGTACTCGGTTATCAACCGCCGCACATCGGTCACCGCGACCGAGGGATGGGAGTTGGTGCCAAGCAGGGCGCTTTCGAATCGACGGAGATCCTGCGAGAGAGGGGGTGGTTGTGTCAGCACAAACGCGAATGCGATGTTATAATCGGTATCAGGCCCGAGCAGAGACCGGGCTCGGAAAGTATTCGGGGCGGAGCGAGGTCAAGCGACGATACAGACACCACGCAGATATGCATATAGCGTTGCTGATGCGGATCGCTCTCGTATCGGTGATACTGCCGTGCGTTTATGAGGCGCCAGGATGCTGTGCCGTGTCTCACCCAGCCCAACACTTACGTCTTCATTGTAGTCCATGTCGTCGCCGAAGCGCCGGTAGCCTTCAGTGAGGAAGAACATCAACAACCTCGGCGGGATGTAGTTTCGCCGCCTCCGGTCGTGGCGATGGGCCTGGTTCCGTGCCGGGAATCAACGGCCACGATGAGGCAGACGGAAACCATCGTCAGGGCCAACGACATCTGGGCAACGGATGTGCCGACGGGATCCAGCATACTTCGGGCGCTTACCTCTTTATCCACAGCCTGTACGAGGAAGCGGGGAATGGTTGCGCCTAGCGAGAGCATGGCTTGCGGGACCCCAGTGGTGGCCAGGATAGGCCGGTCGTATTTGAAGGCATAGTAGAGGGACAGCACCGATTCCTTGTGCTTGATCATGAGAAATCGAGCACGGGCGTGCGGGTCCTTGGAAAGCTCAAGCCAGCGCCGGCAGACGAGAGCAAAGGCCAGGGGCGAATCGGGCGCGATCTGGGCAAAGATCTCGATCCAGATCTCATAAGGCAGGTAGAAGAGCCATGAGGAGGACTGCGGCGAGGCAGATGGCAGCGACTCGAGGCAAAACTCCGAGGGAGGCATGCCCTCTCGGGACTCCTTTACATCCATGTTCGATGCCGGGGAGTCGGCGCGTGCGGAATAGATATGGGCGGGGCGGTGGGGAGTATGGACAGGCATGTATGCGATGTCGGTGGTAAGAGGATCATGGAAAGCGCCAGGAGGCTCTGCTGAAACGGGCGAGTCGGGGCTCGGGGCAACTGTGGATGCGACGACTGTGGCCTTCTCGGTGGATGTAGGAGGAGATTCGTCCAGGAAGAGATACAGTGGCGGAAGAAGATGGCGAGACAGAGCAACGGCAGGGTATGAGGAGACGACCTCGGAATCGGACAGCTCGTCGCGGTTATCGTTATCAATCTCGGGGACAGTCGACATGCTGTTGGTGGAGCAGACGCCCGGGAGGAAGTAACTTGGGAGGCAACGTACAGGAAGAGCAACGGGCTTGTGCCGACGGCAGGAGCTTGAGGCTTGAGGCTTGAAGTTTGAAGTTTGAGGTTTGAAGCGTGAGATTTGAGGCTTGATACTGGCAGCGAAAGCTCGTAGAGTCGGTTGAAAATTTGGGACAATGAGAGTCGGACGGTCTGGAGACGGTTTGCGACGGGTAATCGGGTGAGGTCCTGGAGATATCGGTTGACTAACTTGGGGGCTGGGAAGGTATTGGGCACGATAGCGAGGCAAGCGGGTCAGGTCAATGGTCCTGGGATGTATTCGGACATGGATGCGGCATCGCTGAGCAGTGATAAGATGTAATCCCTGGAAGCACGGCCGGAGCCGCCATCGCATATCAGACCAAGGACTCGTGGGCCAGGACAGATGGCGGACATACCAAGGGTGCCTGGTCAGGGAGCGGATCGAGGCGCCCGAACGATGAGGATCGGCGGAGGCTGAAAAGAGGTCGGGAGCGGTGCAATGTCGGGCGGAAGGCACCGGCCGAGCGGGAGAAGGGCTCAAGAGAGTTCTTTTGTATGCCGAGACAGGGAGCCAAGACGCCGACGGCGGAGAGCAGAGCAATATGAGGACACCGGGCGGTGGGCGAGGAAGCAAGGTGCTTTGCGGGAGACGAGGCAGCAGCCAAGCTGGCAGGGCGGGATGGGAGGTAGTCGCGGCAGATGGCGGGAGCGGCTGCGAAGAGGGGAGATGGGAGACGGAGGGGGGGGGATGACGAGACGGAGTCGCTGAGCTGTGTCGGCCCGGAGGAGAGGAGACTGTTGCACTTGGAGCTGAACGGGCGGGATCGATGGGGCAGATGGAATGGAGACTCTTGGGGTGGAGTGAAGTGGAGCGGCCTCGGAGCAACGGGATGGTGGTCCGATACTTATGGGGGGGGGCAGCGCGATCAGCGGTTGGCCTTGTGGCCGAGCGGGCGACATGGTGTCTCGGCGGCTGGCCGGGGATGTTGCTCTGGCTGGCGATGGAAGGGCTGCCCTGGGATGCAGCGACCGTCCCGGGCGGTGCTCTCCCCGCGGGTACTGCAGGGTGGTGATGTCGGCTCATAGCTTGCCTGCATCTTCGTCGGGTGTCGGTCATGGTTTGTGGGTGGTGCTCTCAGAGGCCAAAGAGAGCTTCCTTCGGGTCTCAGCGGCCATCGTGAAGGGATCATGATCCGTCCAGGTTGTCCGAACATGCGGCGGCGTGATCAGCCCAGCTGGCCATCAGCTGCACGCCCGTCCCCCCCCTCCCAAACCTGCTGAGGCACCAAGACGAGCAAGCGCACACCTTGCCTCCCGGGTGTGCCGCCGGTGTTGGGAAACGGAAATGCGTGCAATGTTGGCAAGACCAAGCAGGCGATTGCGCCACCAACCGGTCGGCCTTGTATTGAGGACCAGAGCTACAGCGCCGCCCTCTTGGACGAGCTGCAAAGTGTGGGAACGGATTACATTCCAAGGAATACGTACAATAAGAACAGATAGATGGCCCGTGGATTACTCGGACGCGCAGACACTCTTTGCAGTATCTGAGCGTTGCGAGCTAGGCTCAGAAGGCCGTCCCGAGCGAGTACAACATTGGCTTAGAGGAGCATGACCAGCAGGCCAGTGACGGCGGCGAGCACCAGCGAGGAAGCAGAGAGTCTCATCGAGTCGCTCGAGAAGGCCGAAGGGGGGTTGGGGTTGTTGAATCCAGCGGGGTTGGCAGGACTGTGGCAGAGGAGGAGGCAAGATGTCAGCGTTCGTATATCACCGGCCACAGCAGTCCAGCAAGCATCGCCATGCACCTACTGCGGAACTCGCACACCACGGAGCTCGACCTACCCGATGGCAAAGACGTCCGAGACGACGACATATGCCGGGAAACTAGGGGTGTTGGTCTTGTTGGCAGTGAGGCGGAGCCGGTATCGGTTGTTGGCATACTTGGGATCGATTCTCCACTCAGTGGCGTTGGTGTTGATGCCAGTGGAGTTGTCGGCGAAAAAGACGTTGCTTCCCGAGGCAATGACGGTGAGGGTTTGGTTGGTGCTGGCGCTGAGAAGCTCGTAGGTGACTGTGTCGGGGATCGAGACGGTATTGGGGTCCAGAGTCCAGCGGATGTTGTAGGACGAGTTGGCGAGCCACACCGATCCGGGCTGGGGCGCGATCAGCGAAAGAGCACCTGAGCAGAAGCAGGCGTATTAGCGCGCAGGCCTGGTTTCACGGCTTTCCGACTAGGAGAGACTAGATCCGCGGACAGTGCTTGTCGTGGCGAAGCCTACCGGTGGAGGGAACGGGCTGAACATTCTTGATCAAGAAGGTCACACTGTAGCCCCAAAAGACATCGTTCTGGACTTGGACGAGAGCAAAGAAGGTATAGTAGTCTGTGGGGAACCGGAAGGGATTGCTGAGATAGAAGACGCCGCTTTGCAGGTAGTTCTGCAGGTAATAGAGGTGTAAGAGAGAGTCAGATGGGCTGTTGGCAATCGGGAGAGGGTACACGGATATTCTGGCAGAAGTGCATGTGCAGAGCTGCGATCTGTACGTACGGGTACTTGGGCGGCAGCCTCTGCAGTCAGATCATACTGCGCAAAGCCCGAGGTGCCGCGCTTGCCCTTGATCAAGATGAAAGTGTCAAGACCGGTTTTCCCTCCGTAGATTTGGGTTGCATCGCTAGGGAGGAGCAAGCCTTGGGAGTTGTAGCAGCTGCCGTAGTTCTTGGTAGGGTCGACAAGCTGGGCTTTATTCACGACTCCGTAGCAAGAGTTGGAGTTGACCTGGATGATGAGAGGGGTTTGAGCACCCTGTCCGTTCGGAGGCGCAAATTTGGCGGTGTAGGTGTTGAGATCCACAGTGTCCTTTGTGGTGGGGTCGTTGAAGTAGGCGACGGTAATATACATCTGGGGGCCTGCGGTCCGATGAAGAGTGCGTGCGGTGGCGGGGGTCAGACGCGGCATATCGAGCCATCCCCATCCCGACCAAGCGCCAGGCCGGATCTCGATGAGCGAGGAATATAGAGATGTGGAGCAAGGGCGGTCGAGGGATCGACGCACGATGGCTAGCGACTTGATTGTGTGGATCGATCACATCAAGTGGCTCTGGAAAATCTAACAATACCTGCAATTGTTGACGGGTTATCCGTATGGCCCTGTGACAGATCGGCGTTGTTCACGGGTGGAAGGGTGGTGATGACAGGGACCGAGGCACTCGGGACGGCGGCCGAAGCTGTGGCTGAGCCCGTAACGGATGCTGAGCCCGTGACGGATGCAGAGCCAGTGACGGACGCAGAACCGGTGACAGAGGCAGCCGAGGTCGCTGAAGTGGCAGCCGCAACCGAAGTGGGCGGCACAACGGGGTTGGTGGGCAGGTTGCCTGTGATGCTCGCAAAGGACAGGATCTGGGCACTTGATAGCGAGGCAAAGCCAAGCGACATAATCAGGGCGGCGGCACGCATGGTGTGCAGATATAGGATGGTTCAAAGAGCGGGGCGCTGGGTGACTGGGTGTGTCTGGGTGTGTCTGGGTCAGGAAATGTCCAGGCGATGGACGAGCGGGACCGGGGGCAATCCGAGAATGTCCGCTGGAGGGGCAAGGGCAGAAGCGCCAGCGATTAGGCTATGCCCGAGTGATCAGGGAGGCAAGAGCATGCACGGAGCAGGCGCAAGCGGCGGGATGCAGCAGCGATCGGCTCTGCAGACGACGGGCCAGGGAGGATCGCTGGGAGGAACAGACCGAACCTGCAAGCAACGGCGGCGGCGATAGATATGGGGAAGGAGACGGAGGAGATGGAGGCGAAGAGAAGAGCGAGGCGCGGGAGGTTTTATCGCGGACGCAAGGGTGGCGGTGAGGCGGCGGCGGTGACTGCCTGTGTGCTGCGCTTGCGCTGTCTGAGTGGGCTGCGGCTGCTTGTGCAGCTCGTGCTGTTGCGGCGCTGTGTTGCAGTCGACTGCATCTGCTGCGTGTCTGTGCTGGCGCTGGGGTGTGGCTGTGCTGCTCCACTGGACTGTGGGCTCGTTGTGCGGGCGCTGTATGGACGGCCGTGCTGTGCGCCCCGATACGCGCTCAGTGCCACCCTTGTGCCGCGACAGCTGTCGGGCCACTGCTCCACTGTTTCAGCGCAAGGCATCGCCTCCAAGCAGGCCAGCCGCGCTGCGGCTGGCTGCATCGTGGCTGGCTGCACCGCGCTTGTGTGACCACAGCCACGCCACTCCGGCTCGAGCCGATTTGAAATGTCTCCGACATCGCACCAGACCGACTTGCGACATCAATCGTCTGTCATCCATCTTCTATCGTCTATCGTCTATCATCCATCTTCTATCGTCTATCATTTATCATCGTCTATCACCTTCGCCTTCGCCGTCGCCTTCGCTGTCGCCTCCTCGATCCTCCCCGCCTCGCGCCATGGCCACCTCGTCCACAACTACGATCGTCGACATCCCCGACCTCGTCCTGCTTGAACTCACGGAGCATCTCGATCTCGTTCAAACTGTTCGGCTCTCGGGCACCTGCCGTCTGTTCCGTCGCTCCTTGGCCCACACCATCCATCAGTCCATCACACAGTCGGCCCTGTTCCTCCATCTCCTCGGCTCCGTTGATCTGCTCGCGCTCCCAGCGTCGCCGTCCGATGAGCCGCTTTCCGACGTTGTCTCATGGTTTCATCTGCATCGCTCTCTTCTGAAGCAGCTCTACGCACATCTTCATGCTCGCGGCATGCACTCGACACCGACATCACTTCCTTTCGGTCACGAATCCTGGACACGCTCTCGGTTCTCCATCCTCGACCATGTCACTCCGCGTCTGCACCTCTGGCAGCATCAGATCTTTGCTGCCGTCGGCGCCCCCTACGAACGCTACATCCGCGACATTGCTCTCTACAAGCGCACGACTCCCCAGCCGGCCCTGGTCCACGAGCAATCGCACGGTCAAGTGTCCGAGCCCTCACCCAATCCCGATTCGTTGCCCTTCCAGCCGGCTCTCTTTCCCATTCCCGTTCCCGAGGACGAGTACCACTCCTCGGCCGTGGACGATCTCGAAACCCAAATCAGAGAGAGCTGGGATCTCTTTGACGACGTCGACCGGGTCCAGACCGTCGGCCCGCAGCCGGGTCTGGCTCTGAGTCAGTCCGAAGCCAACCTTGATGCGAGTCTGCGGCTGGCTTGGACCACTCTGGCCCGAGAACTGCAAGGGCATCCGTATAGTCCCGGCATTCCAACCCAATTTTCCATCCGCCCTTGCCAAGCATCCAACTGCCTTGGCCGTGTTGGAAACTACCGCTTTTCGCCCCTTGCGCAGATGTTCCTGCCGCCAGGCGGCGTTGTCTCCATCAAAACCCCATTTATCGCGGGACTGCGGTACTTCATGTCGACTTGGATCCTGGCACTGCTCTATCCGCACATTAAATCCAAGAATGGTCTGCTGTATCACAACCCACAGCGATTCTTCCAGGTCATCAAGGCTACGATGGACTCCCTCGATCTCGATGGATTCATTCAAGCGGTTGACGACGAGCTCGGCCTCATGTCCATCGTCGATCGCGAGCTTGTCGAGCTGGTCAACGAGCTGGCAGCTTCTCAACCCGAGCTGCTCGCCAAAACCACCTCTGGGCTCACCCCGCGGACGCTTCCAACCACCCAAGCGGTCCTGCAGAAGCTGCAGCACGAGTTGGCCGTTGCCTCAGGCCTGGATCCCGAGACAGCCGGTGAGCTTGTTCAAGTCTCGCCCGAGCTGCTGAAGAACTGGTCCGAGACTACATTTGGCGACTTGCGCAACTGCCACCAAGCTGGGCTCGAGTCTTGCTTTGCCATCTATAGCATGGCCATTTTATCTTTCATGGGCAACCTCGAAGGCGCTCGGCCCAAGCCGGAGCACGACATCGAGTGGATGGAAGATGCTCTCATCGAGCGCGGTGAACGGGCCGTGATCTCGTTTGTGCGTTTGAGCGAATCAGACAGCATTGTCGTGCCCTCGTTCATCGCCTCGGATCACAGCGACGGAGACGGGACCCTCGAGGGCGACATTTACGACCCAAACGCCAATTTGGCTTTTATCGGCCGGCGAGGCGCCATCGTGGTGACATGTCGTGTGCAGGTTCCATCGCTTGTTCGTCGGTGATGGCATCGGCATGTCTCAGTCGCCGGTCGATGCGTCACACTCGATATTGGCCAGCCGACAACAGGCCAATCGCCCGAAGATCGAGAATGAACCAGGTCGATGGTATAGAATTCAAGAGTATCATCTGGCTCGACGTGGCATGAACCTCGAATACACACACCGGTCGTCATAACTGGAGAATCCAATAATAAACGGGACGCCCCGGATTTTGGGCGTTGGACAAATAGTTTTTTGCTTCAAAACATCGCGAGCTGGGTACGCAATTACGGATTGGTACTGTGTATTTGTGCTGCCGTCCTATCCAGGTTCCAAATGAGTGGAACCGTTAGTCGCGGGGGCGGTAGAGGTCCATTCCGATGATGTCAGCGATGTATCCAATGCCAACCCATGTTGGCGTCACAAACCAGGTGGACGGATACGATCGGAGTGCAATGACAAACATGGCATTTGGGATCGAGATGTCCAGGTAGCCGAGCGATGCTGCGACGGGGTGGCGGATCGGCGGACATGGTGAGTGGTGGAGGATAGGGTAGTGGCGCAATACAGCCACCGTCAAGCACAGGGCATCTCGAGATGGCCAGATACGGAGGTGTACACCCTCTCTTGTGGTCAAGATCAGATAACCCACCAAGCTGCTCAAGAATCAGATCCACATTGAGCTCCTTGAAGCGTAGCACCCAACCCTTCCAGTAGTGTCGCGACGGCACTGTAGTCGACATGGCAGCATCGAGGTTGATCAAGAGCGACTTTGCCTGATTCATATTGTCCTGATGGTCGCTGTAGAAGGCGTCCAAGTACGACTGAAAGTACTTGCAGCCCTCAATGTGGAAGTTGGTGGTGGGAATGAAGAGTACGTGGCGCCGATATAATTGGATGTACTCCATCAAACTGGAGAGTTGCTCGGCATCGGTCTTGAGCGGCTGGTAGAGGAGAGAGCTGAGTGACTCTGGGGTCGAGTCTGGAGCGTTTCGATTGTTCCGGTCGATGAGGGGATCGTTGGAATCACACAGATCAGACAGGTTTCAAGGACTGTGAGCATCGCAAGTACCCCCAGGCGACCACTGGCGAAGGTGGCTCGGAGCTTTCTCCAGCAAGCGCCATAGCGATCCTCATTCTTGGAACGAGCAGTTCGGCTGTCCCCAGGCCAGTTATCTTTGAATATCGAGGCGAGAATAGGCGTCACGGAGTCTCGCTCAAACAACTTACAGAAGCACGGGATGCTTCCCGGAGCCTGTACCGATGTTTCTGATAGGAACGGGAACCAGTACTCGCTATTGGTGAGGTCCCAACAAAAGAAGCTCCTGTGTGGGTTTGGAGGCAAACGGGGTCAGTAGTCAAGCGACGGCCCTGCACCGGTCCCGTCTGGTGTTCATACTCGGTAGAGAGGCCCACCTCCATCAGCCATGGCCAGCCCGACATCCATTTCCAGCCATGCATCGCCCACCTGGCAACCAAATCGGACTGCTGGATGTTGAAGTAGATGTTTTCATGGTTGAACAGAGTTTCGATCCGTTGCATTCCAAAGTCCTTGGCAGTCACATCGGTATGAATGTGGCCTGCAGATAAAGTTGATGCATTAGCACCACCTCTCTTCGTTGCGAGGGGTGATTCTGGTCCATTTTTGGTGGTGGGGTGGGGGTCGTGCGCTATCTTCAAGTTCCCACTTGCTCCACAGCTTGCTGTGCATTATCCCAAAAATGCAATGCTGCCCCAATGCTTCCAAACGAGCTCTGTGGGGAGGGGGCCAACCTGTGATCGGGTCGTAGAATCGAATATCCAGATCCATGTTGGCCGAGCGTATCTCAGATGCAGCCGCACGATAGTGGAGCTTGCTGCGGTCAAACGTGACAGATTCGTTCTCGTTGATCTTGTATCGTATCGTGCCTCGAAGCGAGTCGTTGCGCGCAACCCAGTCCTCACGGGGAGCGGGATCGATCGTGACCACATATGCATACGGCCGCTTCTTGGCTGTCATAGCGTGGATTGGAGTGCGTAAGTAACTTTCGGGGTGCGCCAAGCACAGTGGGACGTCCAGCCTCCTCGCCCTCATTTGAGAGTTTATCTCAGGCTGAAGATGATCTGGGGCACACGTTGCCGCCAAGTGTTGACCCACCCTTGCCCAGTGCGACAAAGGCATTCTTTCCCATGCCAATGAGCAGACCACAGAGTAGTACAGCATGCTCCATTAGGTTTCCGCGCTTCCTGATAATCATGGTCGAGGGCGAGTTGATGCGTTCGTGTATGTTCAGACAGGCCATCGCCGGTGCATTGAGTTGAGTCCTCCATCCAGCGATAGAGTTCCAAGGCGGGGGCTCGGATCGGTCCAGGTTCTCGGTTTCCGCGATCGAGAGGAGCGACTGGTACGACTGACTGACGGGCGACGATGGCACACGCCGCGACTCGTAAGGGATGGCGGCGACGGCTCGGGCTGCCAGTTCCGGGTCTTTGGAGTGAAAGTCGAGTCGGTGTACCAGCGCTGACAGAAACCGAAAGTTGTTGGTTTCGTCCAGGGCGATGGTATTGAAGATGCGCCTTCGAAAGGGCTTTCTCAGCGATTGGTAAATCTCGTTGTAGTGCTCCCATATGCTTTGGTTGTACTGTATCAGCCGGGTGAGGTGTAGGGCAGTGCGGCTCAAGTGAGTTTGGGTCCATCCGGTCAAAGCCGACAGATTAATACCGCCTACTCAGTGCGGGAGTAGATCATGCGTGTCTTCATATACAAGCGCAGGGTCTCGCCACGAAAGGGCATCTGGAGTGGCCACATACCATCAGATCTTTGAAGCCCGCTGCCGTGGGGGAGGGTAAATCAAATGTATATCAGCATACTAGTGGGGACTTCAAGCTGGCATGCGGGAGCAAACGAAACTATCGACTCAACAGCATCTTACCGTACTCCTGCTCATCCCTCTAGGATGTTGTCAGGCAAATGTTGGCCGAGCACGTTAAAGCGGCCCCACGGATCGGCTCTGAATCGACAGAGCAGCGGCAGTGCGAACACAACTTACGGCACTTGATCGGGTGGTACTATCGTGGGTGAGGTTGTCCTGCATCTGTTCGTTGTACTTCATTGACCAGACTGGTGGCGATCAATACAAACAAGCAGTCTCGTCAGATCCACAACCAACCGCACCTCCACGACCAGGCCGTGCAAAATGCCCCGCGATGCTGAGTTGCAGTGACAGCGACATCAGACACTTTCTATGCGAGTGTCGTATTTTACGCATGATTGATAACTTGTGCGTTGCACGGTCTGCCCCCGCCGTCTTCCCGGGGAGGCACGACGGAATCGAAAGCAACTAGCGCTCACACAAACCATGACCGCGCCACTTACCTTCCTCGGGATGGATATAGGCATCCATGACCTTGGCCCAGGCCCACTTTTCCTGTGTCAGATCTGTCAAGGACACTCCGAGCTTGGGCAGTTCCGAGTACGATGTGGCGCCGTCTGTGCTGATCAGTCCCAGGTCCATCGAGAGGGGCTTTCGAACGGAGAGGAACACCTTGAGGAGCGGGACGCAGGCGTAGCCCATAAACTCCTTGTTCCTGACCACATGCCATTCCGCCACACGCGGTATCGATTGTGTCGAAACATCGTTTTTGGATCGTACCAGATATACGACGCCCACACAGTGAGTCACACGCACAATGTCAGCAAACACTGCAGCAATCCTATGGATGCACTAGATTTGACTTCCGTACTGTATGATGCCCGAGTTGTTCAGGTCCCAGAGCGAAAACTCAATGTTCTGGCGCTCGACCCATTGCTGGATGTCATGGACTTCGCCGGGCGGGATTGTGATGTCAAAGACCAGGTCTTGGTTCCAATCCATCTTCTTCTGCCTCGCGAACGGATGAGTCCCCAGGGCGTTAGTTGGGGTGGAAGAGATTGCTACCTTGCACCAAGTATATGTGAAGACACGCATACTATGCAGGTGATACTCAACTGCGTCGATCAATGCTGTGGTTTCCCGCGTGATTCCAGCACACGTCACTCGAATCATTGGATCGACGCCATGAAAGTCGATACCGCGGTGCTTCCGAATCTTGAGCCTGTCAAGCCAGCGACCGATGCAAGGGCCAAATGTGGGTGAGCAACGCAAGCTAGGCAGCTGGCTGCCTTAATATCTCTTTGAAATCCAGTCCCTGGCGCTGCTGCGGCACATCGCAACGGACGGCTGAAAATGGACTCACCCCGACACCATCTCCAGGCCGCGCACCGACACGATCCGGACAATCATCTTGCGACGCAGAATATTGAGATCCTCGATGATGCCCGTCTCCTGAATCTTGGTCGTCACCGACTCGGTCTTGGTGAAGAAAAACTCGGGATCGTCCAGATACATGGATACGTAGTAGTCATCCAGCGTCGGATATGTGGCTGTGAATTCACACGCAGCCCTGACCGACTGATCGCCCCCGGGTCCGCGACGAGGTACGATGGTTAATTGACGTCATTCACAATGGTGAGGCCGGAATCGGGGATGATCAAGGATGCAGCCACTCCACAACTGCAGCGCTATCTACGCCGCCAGTAAGCAGTATTGCTGGCTGGTGCGCCCCGACGCCGCCGGACGATCAAGAATAGCACAGGGCTCGCCGTCGCAGTACATCACGCTGCCCCGAAACTAGTACTCAGCCAGCTTACCGGCTGTGGGATGCTGCTTCGGTTCGGCAAGGTGTCCCAGACCCGCATTTCGTTCCACACATGGATGTTGATTGCGTGCTTCGTGGCAATTTCGTCTTGGACAAAGTAGTACTCGGCGGCGCGCTCTCGTCGCTGAGTGAGCGAGGACTGGTAGTCGGCCAGGAACTCAAGAAAGTCCTCAAAGTCCAGCGATCCAGTGCAACTCGTGTCGTACTGGTAGAAGAGCATCGTCAACTCCTCGGTCGTCATGGAGGGCCCGATTCTTGGCTTTGGGATGTCGAGTGGCAGGATAGAGTCAAAAGATCAACGAAACTCAGGAAGACAGTCGCGGAGCGAGAGGACAGGCACACGAGGATGAGTGCTGGTACTCATCCGGATGCCAGCATCAACAACCATCGTTGCTGGAGGGTGTACCATCATGGTCTTGAGCTCACTGATGGTGAGGCGCCGATAGAACTTGACAACTTGCTCTTCGCTCTCTGAGGCAAACGGATCTTTGCTTTGCTCGTTGCTGAGGCCGCCCATCGACGTGGACGCCATACGGTCGACGATGCAGAGCGAGTTCCTGGAGGTGAGGCCGCCCTCGACATTGGAGAGATATGCTTCCGTGCGGGCCTCCTGCGTGTACTGGTTGAAGAGGAGCTGGAAGCGGCGCACTTGATACTCTGTGAACTGTGACATTTCACGGCGAAGATACGCAGCACAGGAGCCAAGGGCAGATCAAGCGCTTGGAGCCGCCCTGGGATCGCCGGTCGATAGGAAGACCAAGGCTCGGCGCCATTTCCAACGAAATGGAGTTGCCGTGGCGCCATTCTATTGTTCGGCTTTGACGCCTTGGCGGGACTCTAGACATTCAGTATCGAGGCAATGCACTCAGTCGCATGAATCGGCTACTATGGTGGTTGTCTTCGCGGTCGCATTGTTCGGGCTTGTCGATGCAGCCGCTTTCATGCGCTGGTGCTATGGTGGGTGCGGGATACCAGGGTGGCCCTTGCGCTCGCTTCGGGCCTTGGCGGTCCAATCGGCCAACCCCGTCCGGTCCAAAGGCCCGCTGGCTCTTCCGGACTTGCAATGCCATTTCTCGCCTCATCTCGAGACCTCTGGCCATCACCACCGTTGCCATTGCCATCGCCATCACTCGTCGCTGCGATCTAATTGCTGGTTCCTAGCGCCCTCGCACATCCTCTGCATCGCCATCATGTCTTCCGTCGACGTCCCCGACGACGTCAAGTTCGTAGGGCCGTACCTGCAGCGCTCGCTCGAGCTCAAGGCCATCGACCCCATCGTATCGTACTACTGTATGTCGGCCGCGCTCGATGCAGCAACCCTCTCCGTGTATACATTTTGACGACCCGATCCCTTCGTCTTGCCACTGCCACTCCTCACGAATCCAACTCGCTTTCGCAGGCGCCTATTATGCCGCCAAACTTGCCGTCCAAGCCGGCTCCAAGAACAAGGACAGCCAAGTGTTTCTGATAAACCTCCTGGACTCGCTCGAGCGGGTGAGTCGCCCATATTCGCTCGGCAATATCCCCGGAGATCTTTCGCGATTGAGGTCTGCGAGGCCTCCGAGCGTACGCTTTCGTGGCGTATACCGGTATCATCTTGCTCAACCCTGTTCCTGTCGCTGCCTCATGCCACCACAGGATAAGAAGGATATGGCCGGAAACGAAGCGCTGACCAACGACACTGTCGGCTATGCGCACGTTGAATCGTTTGCCCTCAAGATCTTCAAGAAGGCCGACGACGAAGACCGTGCCGGACGAGCATCCAAGTACGATCTTCGTTCGCGACGGACCTGGTGTCTCGGTTGCTGCATGCGTCTCCGCTTCGACTCAAGCATGGGAGGTGTGTGGCTCGCTGGTGCAGCAACCCGGCGGAGCGGTGTATTGTCGTCTCATTTGCGTCTGCGGCTCCCTTCACTCACAGGAAAACCGCCAAGACTTTCCTGGCTGCGTCGCTGTTCTTCGATGTCCTCAAAGTGTTTGGCGAGATTGACGAGGATGTAAGTTGGAGGACACAGAGGATGAGGGGCAGACTACCGGGAGTGGCATCATGGGATGGTGTCGCCTGAACCTATCCGGCTATGCTCTCTCCAGGTCACGGAAAAGATCAAGTATTCAAAGTTCAAGGCCGCCGATATCACCAAGGCCCTCAAGGAAGGCCGTCAGCCAACACCGGGGCCACCTGGTGGCGACCCTGCCGACCAGCCCACGGCCCCGGCCGATGCAAGCAGCTCTAGCGATCCATTTGGATTCGGCGGTGGTCCTCCTGCGGTTGTCACCTCGCCGGCAGCATCGTTTCCCGCTGCCTTGACGGGCTCCGTGCCCATCAACCCCACACCAGCCTTCCAGCCCCGCAGCGATGCTGCCCCGTTCGATTCGGCACCTTTGTCCAGCATCACTCCCCCATCAGCTCCGTCTCCGCCGAGTCTCTCGGGGTTGAATCTGCATTCGAACGACGCTGTCGGCCATGGGTCTCCCTTTGCTCACGGAGGCTTCCCAGCAGCACCCGCACCGCAGTCCTTCAGCTATACGCCGAGCGCCCCTCCTCCAGCATCGGTCTTCCCGAGCATCCCCTCAGGCAATCCGCTGGGCCACACACCCAGCCCTCTTCCCTCCGCCTACCCCGTTGCTTCGGCGCCCCAGCCTGTTGCTGCCGTCGCAAGTCCCGCGAGGCACTCCAGCCTGTCGAGCGCCTTCGAGGTCGACTACAAGGCCATTTCAAACGCCCAGAAACTGTCAAAGTACGCCATCAGCGCGCTGCAGTACGAGGATATCAACACTGCCATCGAGAACCTTGAGAAGGCCCTGGCCATCCTCCGACCGATGAGAAAGTAAAGCGCACGAGCACGGACCTAATGCATCCCTCACAAGCGAAATGAGACACTCCTGGATCCCAGAGAGAGTGTGTGTCTGCTCTGGCCTGGTTCGTGAATATACGTGTGCCCATGCAGATTTTTGGGACGGAGAGCCGCAGCGGTGCCGGCGGCGATAACGGTGTTCGAAGCAAAACTCAATATATTCTGAAGAACGAAGCACACGTTCGGAGCATTTCTTTCTCAGCCAGAGTGTCAGGGAGGGTAAGCATGGCAAATTCATGGCAAATTCATGGCAAATTCATGGCGGTTTCATGGTACCGAAAACACAAAGGACTGGGACGAATGGAACTGAGACAAGTGTCACGCACGAGTACAAAGTGCTGCTCAGCTTAGACCCAGCGCCGGCGATGCAGCAAGCTGAGCGAGCGCAACTACAGCTTGCTTCCGAACTGCTCTTCTGTGACGCCCTTGCCCATTGCCGCAGTCGAAACCACACCGCCTTGGACGGTCTTGACTGTAGGCGACACCAGAAACGGGAGAGTCAGCAACGAGTCAGCAACAAGGCATCACCGGTTTGCGGAGTGGGTTTCACATAAGCACTGAGCTGTGGTGCATCCGGCCGATAACTTACTGAGACTGTCGGCATACTCGGCACCGGACCATTTCTGGTGGGCGAGGGTCTCGACTCCGTTCTCGCGCTCCTGGCGCTGGATCATCTGTACATAGGCGAGCATGCCGTTTCTGGCGTACTCCCGAGCAAATGTGTCGACGATCAGGGCATCCGAGTGGAACTGCAGTGTAGAAAGTAAATGGGAGAATCAGCACGAATGTCTTGGCAAGAGGCGGTTGACGCACACAGACGAGTTTCATCCCAGAAACCAGCCGCATCGGGACGGTTTCAAGCATACTTACTCCTGCAAGCGTAATGAACTGCCAGACAAATCCGAGGGAGCCGAGGTCGGCAATGAAGCTGCGGATCTGCTGGTCCGACATGCCAGCAGAGTCCCAGTTGAAGGAGGGCGACAGGTTGTAGGCAAGCATGGTGTTGGGTCGTTCGGCAAATACGCCCGCAGCAAACTCCTTGGCCTGGGCGAAAATGGGCGACTTGGTCTCCATCCAGAGCAGGTCGGCATATGGGGCATAGGCGACGGCGCGCATCACGCAGCACTGGGTCGAGGCTTGGTAGCGGTAGTAGCCCTCGCGGACACGGGCATGCTCGGCATTCCAGTAGGGGTCAAAGCCAAGAGAGACGGCGAGGGCGTGCGCCTCGGTCTGGGACAGCTTGCGGTACTTTTGGTTCCACTCGGCAACCAGGCCGTCCTTGCGAGGGTGGCTAGAGGTGCGAATGGCGTGAACAACGGCCTCGCCATAGGTCATCAGGCCGGCGTCCTGGACCCACTTGTCTTCGACCTTCTGCAGCTCATCGCCGCGCACCCCGCGCCTCTCGGCCTCGTCCATGGCGGCAGCGAGGGAAGGCAGACGGGCATTGGTGGCTCCAATGATGAAGGGATGGTCGCGGCGATCGATGTTCGAGGTGATGAGGGTGGCGGCCTCGGCGTCGGTACGGGCGACGATGATGTTCTCGACGCCCATGATGTCGTACTGGAGGCGGACGGCCACCAGGCGGTTGATGTGCTCCTGGACAGGCACGAGCACTTTGCCGGCCATGTGGCCGCACTTTTTGGTTCCGGGAGCCTGGTCTTCCAGATGCATACCGGCAGCGCCGCGCTCCACCATCATCTTGGCGAGCTTCATGGTGGCAGTGATGCCGCCGTGGCCAGTGTCGCCGTCGGCGATGATGGGGCGCAGATAGTCGACATACTTGAGCTTGGCACGCTCCTGTGGGCTGCGGGTGAAGCGGTCCTCGCGCTGTCGGCGGTCATGGAAGTTCTGGGCCATGAACAACTGCTCGACCTTGTTGGGGACAGTGTCCTGCAACGGACCGGGAACAACAGCGGATATGAGCAAGCAGCCGAGAATGGGCACGCGCAGAACGAGCACACGCAGGTGAAGAGGGCCGCGAATGGATGTGCAGACGACACGAATCTCACCATCGGGTAGTCAGCGAGATCCGGGCCGGGCTCGTTGCTGGTGGAGGCAGTAGACGAGCACTGCCAGCCAGAGACATACACGGTCTCGAGGTATTTTGCCATCTGGGTGACCTGGACGGTATCGAGGGCACCAAAGGTGTGCGAGGCGGTTCGGTTGGCCTTGTGCTTCATCAAGACCGACCAGAGCTTCTTGGCCTGGTCGTTGGAGGCATAAGACTGGTGCAGAGTGCCTCTCTTTGCGACGACTGCGAGCGACAGAGCGACACGAGTCAGCACGACTTGCGGCAGAGGCAAGAACACGAGTTTCGAGCGATCGCGATCCAAGGCCGAGCGAGCAATGCACAGATGGAAACGCTGGCGAAAACGTACCCTCTTCGGCCGTGTAGGGCCGCTTGACTTGCGCAAACCGCGGCGAGGACCACCACTGCGTCATCTGGGCGACCTCCTGGTCAAAGTACTGCTGCTCTTGACGAAGAAAGTCGTTGGACATGGCTGGAGAGGGCTGGAGAAGACTCGATGACGGTGTGCTCGGTGGTGTGCTGGGGGGGCTTCAGGTATGCTTGGGGGTGCAGCTGTCGCAGCGACAGGCCGAGACTGCAGGGGCAGCGGGCTATATAGTCGCTGTCGCCAGGTTTATTCAGCGCCCGTCACATGGAAGGCCAGGTCAGCGCTGGGTCGCCGCTGGGTCATCGGGTCGGAGTTGCCTTCCGATAAGCTGAGTCAGACAAGGGCTGCGCACGGTCAATTCACGTGGCGGCGGGAGACAGCCATCCTGCGGCCACACGGCAGCCAGAGTGCGGCCGGGCAGCAGCCAGGGTGTGGCTGCTCAGCAGGCCGTGTCCTTGCCGCGCCACACCCTGCTGGCGACAAGCGCATGTGTCTGTGCCGGCCTGCTCCCACATGGCTGTGTCGTCCCGGCCGCGACACCAGGCGCTGCCGGCTTCAGCCCGAGGCGCCGGTCGTCAGCAGTGTCTTTGTGAGGATCTCGTACATGATCCGCCGCCGGACGACGGGCATGTCGCCCTGGCTAAACGTAAAGGCTTTCTCCCGCGAGGTGTACTCGGCAAACATGCATGTGAAAACCCCGCAGTCGTATCCGTTCTCCTGATGCGGTATGTCCTGTGAGGTCGAGCCCGCGGGGTTGCGTCAGTACACGCAACAAACATCATCCCGGCAGCGCCGAGCGCGGGGAGGCTTGTCCTGGCCATGCGAAACATACCCTGGGGGTGTGGTTGACCCAGTCGGTGAGATCGAAGGGTGTTTTCTTCTTCTCCATCGACTCCTCCTGGAGGTAGCTTCTCAGCAGCTGGTGCAGAGCAGACGCATCAGAGAGTCACTCAGACAAGCGCATCTGGCGCCGTTGTCTCGATCGGGGCAGTCGGTGCGAGCGTATGGCATCGGCCTTAGAGTCCGATGCCGCGCCGTGGTCGGCCGGACTCTACTTTCTCCCGGTGGTGTGCTGGCCCTTACCTTCATGGCCGAGGCATTGGTTCCTCCGAGTGAGTCGTAGTACTCGATCTGCTTCTTCTTGAAGCTGCCGGATACATCATGGATAGCATTCAGACATTGTTGGCCGACCGACCATCTGCTGGAGTGCGCCGCCAATCGATCGCCATGCTGCCCTCGCCATCACTCTGTAGTGCTGGCAGTTTGCTCGCTCATGGCGCTCGGGTATCCATGCTTGACATTCGAGTGTATATCGCCCCTGCTGACGTGACTTACTTGATCACCGAGCAACACCAGTGCGAGTTCCCAACATGGACCGGGACGATCACGTAGTCGTACGTGAACAGATCGATCTATCGGGTCCGGAACAATACACCGTCAGTACGATCTGCAGAACCTGTACCAGACCGACATAAGCCCAGACAACCGCAGCGATCGGTCCTCTTGCCTTCTTGGTCCACCGACGAACGCCCTTGTAGTAGCCCATATCTTGCAGCGTCTTCAGAAAGAAGGTGCTGAACCAGTGAACCTTTGGATAGCCCGCGCATGTCTTTGATCGGTCCATGATCAGTTCTCCATAAAAGTTGATCACCTGGCGAGGGCGAGATAGTGGTCGGTGATGCGTGAGCGCGGCTTAGTTCAAGTAATGGGCTGCATATCTCGTTGGCGGCACGGTGGAGGCCCACCTCGTCGTTAAGCCACGCGCGATCGCTCAGGGTCTTCAGATCGCTGGCTTTCACGGGTATCTTGAACGCTTCCACAACCACCTGGTTGCCTCGGCGGAGGGCGTCCTGGACCTAAGGCGTCGGGACAGTCTTCGTGTAAGTATATGGGATCCATCACCATCATCATCACGCGACGCTCTTCGCGGCAGGAATCACTTGGATCGAGCATCGTGAACAGCCCCGCTCTGGCAACATACCATGTTGGATTGCTCGGCAGTCAGCGGCTTGATGACATCCTGCTCGCACAGCGACTCGAGTCGCAAGGCGCTGATCTAGATGTGACCATGGTATCGTCAGGATGTGGCCTCTGTTGGCGGCTGCTTTTCGCTGAGCCCTTGTGGCCCCCCGCCTGCGACACTGTACCTGCTCTTCGATGTCGCGATCGTCACGTAGCAGACTATCCAAAGCCGGCGTCCTGATGCCGAGGGCAATTTTGTTGCTGCGGTGTGTCGGGCATTTGTGAGTTAGCATGAAAGGCTCGTGCTTGCGCCAGGACTTGCATCTCTAAGAGCAGTAGCTGTAGCTATGGCTGCATGGATGGCATATACCTCTCCTCCAGCTCCTGGCGCGATTGCTCGAGATACTGTCTGAGGTTCTGCGGTTCCTTGGGCCGTATGGATCTGTTTTGGGCCGGAGTATATGGTCGACAAGGACCGTTTAGTATCCATCGATGCAGCAAAGTCCTTCTGCATCGTTCGTGTTCAAGGGCAGCAGCGCGGAGGCGCTTCGAGGGCGACGACAGCCAGTCGAATAGACCAATATTGCCCATGCGAAGCCTCGGCCCCGACTCACCCTGTGTCTGCGGATTCGGCTCCATCCAAACCCAGAGCCTCCGGCCCGCTTTGCCTCAGCCGTCGTAGTTGATATTCAAACAGGCCTGAGGCGAACAAAGAGCGCATAGTCAGGAACCCACACATGCGACTCTATTGGCTCGTTCCATGTCGTTGCGAACAGCGAGGATGGGCGACACTCACTCTGTTTGTCGGACATGGCAAGTCGGTAGAGCCCAAGGGTGGTCATGCTTCCAGGAACTACAAGGAAGGTGCCGCCGAGGCATTTGATATAGTAGCCAAGGGATTTAAACGTAGATATTGGATCAGTAACGCCGCTCGGCCCTGACGGTTCTTGGCAGATAATCGAGGCGACAACGGCATAGAGGATGGCGAAGGAAACGACATGGCCCAAGGAAGCATGAAGATTCAAATAGCAAAGCTGGTAAGATAAATTTCACAGCACGCTGGATCGGACGTTATAAAGCTGAGGCCGAGGGAGGAGACAAGCATGGACAAGAGCGGCTCGCAGGCGAACAGCGTCTCACCCACTCGGGCCATGAGAGAATCAGCGGAGCGAGAATAAAGGGGGGGGGACGGCACTCCTCTGCACATTGAAACGGGGCGATGCATGCCTATTCGCACACTTACGAGATGACCGTCGGAGACCGGTGTCGATTCGCTGGTGTGTTCGAGCCTCAAACTTGGCTTCGCGGGATTTGCTTAGCTGTGGGGTGGATGATGTTTGGGGAGATCAGATCGAGGATGGTGGATTATTGGAGGGTTCCAGATGGAACGCATTTGCGATCGCCGAGATCGAGTCTGAAGGAGCAAGGAAGCGCCGCCCGGGAAAGAGTCTGGGGGTATGCTGCTCGTTTGACGCATGCCCGCTCGTTCGCTCGTTCGCTCACTCACTCACCATCGTTCGAGCAGCGGTCTTGCGAGGCGTGGACAACGACAGCGACCTGAGGATGAACAGCAGCGAGCAAAGCCAGGCCAGCGTCAGCAATTGAGTATAGGAGAGAATGCATATCGAAGCACGGACTGAGGCGAGTCCGGAGCCTCACAGCTGCTACCACCTGTCACTCATGCCTCATGGAGAGGGCTGAGCCATCCGCCAGAGAAAAAGAAAAAGAAAAGCAGGAGTAGATCGGAGACAACTCACGCCGAGCTTGTTTGGGATGCTGGAGTTTGAGGCCGTGGTGTCGGTGAGGATTGGCGAGTGGAGCGGCCGGAAAGAAACACATTCTGGTCGACATCCTCGGTCGGCCGTGACTGCAAAGAGCTGGTTCGTTCCCGAAGACCATGGTCGACAGGGTAGTGTCCGACGATTGTCGAATGGCTGCTTTCGCCAAGGCTATCGTCGTCGTCTGAGATGACGATGACATCCTCGGGCTGGATAGAGGGGCTTGACTCGACGACGACGGGCTCGTCCGAGTCCGAGTCGCTTATCAAGATTGGCGACGGCGACGGCGACGGCGACGGCGACGGAGACTGAGGCAATGAGGACGCAGCGGCTGCAGCAGTGTCTGCTGGCTGCACATTCTGGCTCTTCGTTGCTTGTCGGGGAGCAGGCTTTCTCGTGGCGACGATGGCCGGCGGGAAGTATGGGCTGATGATCGATCCAAGCGAGCCCATGGCAATATGTGTCGCTGTCCTGCAGAGTTTGATGGGAGTCTCGATGAGGCCGGTGATGATTGCCTCGAGCCTGCCTCGGCTTGATGAAGGTGCATGGCTTCGCTTGGTAGGTGTTTGCGGCTCGGACAGATCGGCCATGGAGATGGTTCGTTTGCGGGGGTTGTGCGATCGGAGCCCGCTTGTGTCGGCTGGGCCGGGCCGCAGCTGGCTCTGGCTGCTCATGCGTGGTCCGGGATGTGTTCTGACGGCGATGCTTTTGCGTTCTCTGCGGCTCGGGCGGATGAGGGCAAGCAGACGGCGCAAGCGGATGGGCAGAAACCGCAGGTCGCGCGGCGATGGTTGGGAACGAAGGACAGCGCCACGACAGAGCCGCGCGAGCCAGCAACTTCGATCAGGATCCGACCTCGCCCAAACGTGCGAGAGAACAGAGCGCTTCTGGGAGGGGGCCAGCCGGTCCTCAAGCCGGACGACCCCTGCCGAATCCCACTCCACAGTTGCAATGTTTAGCGCTGGAGCGTTCAAGAGCTGTATTTCGCATTGGTGGGAGGGGAGGGGAGGGGACATGGAGGGGGCAAGGGGAGACTATTCGAATGTCGCTGAGAGCTTGTCGGGGAGCATCAAGCATCAGAATGAGGGCTCGGCGCAAGTCCAAGGCCGAAGGAGCTCAGGCATAGTTTGCGCGGATCCGCTCCTGGATCAGTCGCAGGCTCGCCACAACCTCGACATCGGCTACATTCATTAAATACACAGCAATCGCTTCGTCCACCGACTTGGCTGGGAACTGATCCTTGCTGTCGCCGGCAGCGATGCGGTCGAGCCACTTCGTCAACAGGTACCCAATGTCGCGGATGAGAACGGTCTGGGCCGTGGGATCAGTCCAGGGATCCGCCTGTGTCGACCCAGGGCCATGGAAACGGGAAGGTGATCGACGAGCAGGAGGGCAGTGTGATGTGATGAAGGAGCGAGCAGTTAGAACAGCGATAGGGTGCGCGTGAGGCAATGCAACACACTTGCACTTGCAGCTGTCCTCATCTCGATATTGCCAACCTGGTTGAGCGGCCCACGAAGAGAAAACACATACCCTGAGGACGAAGATGCTATCGAGGGTTTGGAACAGGGTCTCGTGGGACACCTGCGCGGCCAGCATCATCTCAATCACCCAACCGGGGTCGACCGAGTCTGGATCGTTGATATCCTGGGGGATCGCGAGCGTCTCCAGGAGATTGCAAAGGAATCCTGCGCAAGAGACGGCATGTGCGTCAGTCGCTCGCTGGCGAAAGCTATAGACACATTACACCTTGGATGCTCAAAAGCGATGCCAACAGCGGCCACAACACCACATTGAAACGTACGGAGCGGGAATACGTTCTCGTTGGGGTAGAGTCGGCTGCCCAGGTCGGCGACCTTGGACAGGATGGCACCTTGCCAGTTGCCACCGTTCTCTTGGCGCACTATCACAATCCGATTCCACACAAATGCAGAGCATGTTAATCGGCCAGAGTCAGCTCGAATAGCCTGCCTCAAAAGCAGGAAAGCCAACGCCAAAGCCACGTCAATCCAATCGCTGAAGAAGGCACCAGCAGAAGCGGCCTGAATGCATGTGGCTACTCACGCTTAATGATGATCGCTCGCCAAATATCGCAGACAACTTCGAGGTCCTTGTGGCCGGCGGCGTTCAAGATGAGCAGTCGCAGATCATACAGCTCCAGAGGAGTGGCGTAATCGTCATACATCTGCAAGTAGCACGGTGTTGGTTGCGGGGGGGGGAGGTTAGGGCCAATCCTGCTTGCATCGCAGCCGCGCTTGACATCGCCCAGGCCGTCCAGACTCTTGTTGACAGAGGCACAGCCGGGTCTGGGGACTCCGTGGTAGCAAGATCAGCTCGATGCCACGCCGGTCAGGCCGAGCGGGTCTACGCACCTCCTGGCAGTCCAGCAGCCGATCGTTCAGGAGCTGCAGAGCCTCGTGGCGCTCGGCAAAGCCTCCCATGCCCTGGATCGCCGAGAACAGTTCCATCTGGACCTCGGCGACCTCAAACTTTTCCTCCAGCTTGAAGATCATCTCCGAGTTGCCCGAGCTCTTGGCACAGCCTAGGGCACGGGACAGGTACTCGATGCGCTTGGCCAGATCGAGCTGGGGGTTGAAGTTGCTGCATCGGCGATTCGTGGCAGCGACGGAGGTGTGGTGGTTGTAGTGGAGGGCAAGGCGTGCCCGACAAAAAAAGAGAGAGAAATTGGCCCAAGGAGTGAGGTCAGCTCCACAGTTGCGCGAGGCAGCAGCGTCATCGCACGAGGATTTGTGTGCCCATGCTGTTTCACTAACCGATCAGTTTCGGCCATCAGCTCGAGAATCTTGGCGGCCTTGGCATGCTGTTCGGTGCGGACATAGTACTTCCAAAGCAGATCGGCTTTAACAGTTCCTTCAGGGCCACTGACGGTGGCACCGCGACGCAGATAGCGCTCAAGTTGCTGCGTCTTGATCTGGAGGCGGGGGCGGGAGGGAACGGGAAAGGCATGCATCCGATGATGGTCAGACTGGTTGCAATATCGATTCTGAGGGAAGCTGCTGCGACAAAGACACTGCGACTCTGCGTGAATATCGCAAGCCGCCACACAAGCCTCACCTGCAGCAAATACTCGTGTCGTCCTGTTCTGAAGAACCAGTCGTAGAGGTAGTCATGGAACGAGTTGTCTTGTGTGGCGAGGGCGACCTCCAGGGTGCTGTTGATGCGGTTTTCGGGGTCTGCGGAGCATCGCGGTGAAAAACAGATGGGCACATCCGATAAGCGAACCAAGCCCGTCCGCAGAAATGGCACCGCAAGCTCAAGAGACCTCGGTGGCATAATCGGTCCACTTTCGTCCCGCATCCCACTGCTCCGCCTCTGAAATACCACCGAGCCATTGCCACTTTTGCACTCAACGCACCAGAACTGTCCTCAATATCGACGTTCATATCATTGTCGAATTCGTCAAAGGCCGACTGGATGATGTGCGTGATCTTGCCATAGACATGGAGGCGCTGGTCCAGGTTGCCATCCAGCAATACTGGGAAGTTACGCTGGATGTACTGGAACCACAGCTCGATGGCACCTGCGACAACCGATTCCATTGTTGGCCAGCAAAGTTAGTGCTGAGTTCTGCGGCAGAGCAAAGGATGCGAGACAGATTCCTCTGATGCTTCCAGCCACCAATGCCGATACCCATCGCCGGCTGCCACGCAGTACGTACCCGTGTAGTAGCGCAGCTTGATGTACATATCGCAGACGCTGTCGAGGTCGGAATCGGGGATCTTGTCGACGACGCTGGACAGCAGCTTCAGAGACTCGCCGAGAAGGTGCAGGCTCTCGTTCCTGGAGATCGTGTGGCTCGCCTGGCCTTTGGAGACGCTCTGGATTTTGTCGGCAGCCTGTAGCGGTGACGCCCACGAGAGGACAGGAAACAGGAGAAACCGTCAGTAGAGGATATACGCGGATGCCAGCGACTGGTTATGAAGGCCGAGAGTCAGAAGATACAGGACGTATGCATGCGTGGAGCGGAGACGTGGGGAGAAGGTCGCACCTTGTTGAGAATAAAGTCGTTGACGTTGTAAAAGCTCGGGCAGGTTTCCAGGAGCGTGCTGCAGATGATTTCAATGTCGGTCTGCTGGTCGATCTGGTAGTTGATGAGCCCGCGGATGGCGTGCTTGATCACGGTGAGTCCATTGACGCCCGATATCAGCCCCTGGTAGGTCAGGTTTCCAAGGCTCTGCTTCTCGTCCTTGCTGACGCTGGCGGACACAAGCAGCATTCGCATTAGTTATCCAGCAGGGTGGGGAATCCAGCATGCATTCCGCCCCATCCCGATGGTGCTCGACACTCATGCACCCCCAACTATCAAATGAATCGCAAGGAACTCGCATGCTGTACAAAATGCACGGTGTCTCGGTGGTGCTGTGACGATCGGAGCACACATACGTCTTCATCACGTTCTCGAGATTGTGGTCGTTCAGGAGCAAGATCAGAGTCGTTCCTTCGATACACAGCTTCACAAACTTTGACATCGAGAGCATCATCTCGCGCTCGGCCATGAGAGCCTCGTTGGCACCCAGCAGATCGTTCTGGATGAGCGTGGACTGGTCCCGGTTGGGCATCAGTCCTGGGTACTCGGCCAAGAACCGATGGAGGCTCTGGAGGTTGCGCTGGACCGTCGACAGATCTGCGACCGAGACGTTGGATGAATACGCGATGTTGCTGGGCACGGCGCTCGGGCGCTTCTTGAAGATCTTTTCTTCCCAGATGGGCTTGAGGAGACGCGCAACGTAGAGAGCCAGGCCGTTGTAGCGATCGGAGCGAGGCGTGGAGCTGCCGTGGCGCGGCACGACAGTGCCAAGGCGGTTTGGATCCACCCGCATAGATTGGTTGGGCTCGGGTCCGGCCGGGTGGGGTGTCTTGAGGTCGGCATACAAGTGGGCGGCGGCGGCGGTCACGTTCGAATGTCGCGAGGCCGTTCGCAGGCCATCCATGACGCACGGGTGGGAGCAGGCAATGGCAAGACACATGGCCGCGGCTTGCTCATGCCCACAGTCGGTAAAGAGAGCCGTCAGCAGCTCATGAATGTTGTGCGGGCCCATGGTCTCCATGAGCAGGCGCTGCAGGATGTCGATCGGCCGAAGCTTGACGTAGATCGACACGCCCTCGTTCGTCAAGACCAGGTACTTGCGTTGTGGGTAGGCCATTTGTGTCGCAAACTCGTTCAAGAGCAAGCCTGCATCCTCGGTCGGGCGCAGCTGGAAATCAGCCACGCTGCCCTGAGAATCCATGCCGGCTCCCTCCTTGGCCTTGATGGTGTACTCGAAGAACCGACTGGGCAGCTCATGGATTGCCCAGATCCTGGAGCTGACATTGGTGGTCTTGAACTGCTCGCTCCAGTTCCGTCGGTTGCTCCGTGTGACCACGCCTGGATCGGGACAGACGGTGGTGATCACATCGGCGCTTCCATCGTTGCCGCTGCTGGTCTCGGCAGCCACAAAGACGCCGTTGGAGTACGTCGAGACGTGGTAGTGCGACAACGGGATGGGCGAAGTCGGAAGAGGCGTGGGAGGAGGGCGCACGGCCAACAGCCGAAGCTCGGTGGGACCGCTGTACTTGGAGATGTCCGCGAAGGAATTGACATCGGAACGGGTGGTAAAGTAGAGCCGGACGCCTGGAGGGTTGGTGTGCCAGGGAGAACAGTCGATGGTCAGGATGCAGCTATGGGTCGTGCGAAATACTCGTGCTGATCGACCGACGCAAACTGGTCTGCCAACAACCATCACACAACGAGTACAAGGCAAATGCGGCCGCTCTCTCGCATGACAGCTTGCGATCCCAATGCAAATGTGCCACAGCAGAGCCAGCCGCTATTTGTCGCTAGGAGCGTTTCGGAAGCACAATTGTGAAGCCAATGCGATCCAAAGCCAAGAGAGTTGCCGCCGTACCGGTGGTTGTCACAGCGAGCAGGTGGATTGTTTTCGACTCCGAGGACGAGAGCGGGTGGATTGAAAAGATCTTGAACGACTGCTGGTCCAGCGATGATGAATTGGGGTATTTGTCCAGCAGGCGCTGAGCAGAGAGATAGATATTCGAGCACTTGTATCGCTTGGGGGCCGCAAGTCCGTTGTCGCCGAGATAGGAAACCTGCAAAGGCGTGTGCGGTCAGTATCGCTGGACAGGGAATTGACCAACGGCGCACCGTCTATCGGGCAGGCATAAGAGCACATATGCCTGATGGGAAGAAAGAACGCATCTCTGCTGTGGAATCGGTGCCGGTGGACCCACCTCAATCTGCGACGAGCTCGTGAGGGTGTAGATCAGATTGCGCGAGTCATCGCATGCGATTTTTTCGATCGGATCTGGCGCAAGAGACACACTCAGTTGTTAGGTAATGGTCGCAGTGTTTGGTCCGGAAGGCCCGGAAGAAGGCACGAGCGCACGGATCAGAGCTTGGAGATCAGAGCGGGCCCACGAGACCTACCATCTGACTGATAGCCAAACAGCGTTGGCACAAAGAAGGAGAGCGTCGACTTGGAGTGGTTCAGTTTCCGAAACTTGCGGGTGAACCAGCCCTCTTCAGCCTAGAGACACAGGCAACAACGGCACGATCGTTTTAGCAGCCTGGCTATGTGTGGCGATACGACAGCCCTTGCCGGCGCTGCTGCTGGCAGGGCAATTGCGATCGATCCGCTGGATCATGTTTGTAGCAAGCAGAGCGAAGCAAGTGCTCTCGCAGCTGGATCGAGAGGGGAGGGGATCGAGAATCGGGCCGGCTGGGGCCGATTCGGCTATATGCACCTGGTATTGGAGCTCGTAAAGACAGCCGTTGGCACCGCAGGCGAATATTCGGCCGTGTCGAGTTGCGGTCAGCGCCGTCATCGTGACGCTGTCCGAGGGGGCACTCATCTGGGTCGGATAGATGCTCAGGCCACCGCTGAGGCCCTTGCTGGCATCGCTGTAGGCGACACCGTACAGGGTGATTTCGATCGGGGTCGCAACCACGATGAGATACTCGATTTGCTCGACAAAGACGCCTGTGCAGGGATCGGGCCGGTTAGCTGCCGACTCCATGCCGAGAACATTGCTGCTGCGACGGTTGTTCGATTGCTGGTGGTGGATGCCGGGCCGAGGGGGACTGTGCGGCCGCAGCTGGCGGAGATGTTGTCGGTGGCAAAGCCGGCGGCCGCCAGGAGATTCCAAGACAGACAGATAGCGGGTGACGGCAACGGGCGCAAGGCTTACCAGCGACAGGCTTGGCCAAACACACGCTGGTGATGATCTGATCCTGCTCCTCGCCCAGAACGTAGATTTCGCTCTCGTCTTCGTAGTTCCAGATGTAGAGCTTGGTGTCGATGGTCATCCACGCCCTCCGGAGTTCGGGAAAGAGCCCCATGAAGCTGCGGTACTTGAGGCCTGAGATGCCACCAGGCCGTGGCGGATGAATGCGGTTAGCCGAGCGTCTCTGATGCATTTGGCTCTGTTTCGTTTGACGCTGCGTTGCTATGTAGTGCGGCTCGTCTGTGCGGCTCGTCTATATGGCTCGACGACCAGCGATTGGTAATCCCGGGGGAAGATACACGTCTGACTGCCGGTGAAAGAGGCAGCATACCATCGTATTCATCGTAGAGAATCTTGGGTAGAGGATACGAGACTTCCTTCTCCAGCAGCTTGAATGAGATTTTTTTTTCGAGGCCATAGCCGGTCTTGGCCCGGTCTTCGGCCGGCGGGCTCTCTGCGGGACGGCAGCGAGGCATTAGCGATGGGCGATTCGCGGCGAGTCAGGGATATGATTCGATGCGTTTGTGGCAACGAATCGCTGGATCTGGGTCGGACCTTGCCGACCGTGCTGGTGCGATCTCGAGACTCACTCTTGAGCTGTTCATACAGATCCTCGAATCTGGTGGACATGTGCAGGGGATGGGAGACGGGAGGATGCGGGTGTGGCGGTCATTATCGGGTGCGGCGACATGTTCGAGTCGCTAGAGTCGGCGAAAAGAGAGAGGAGCCGAGGGATCAAGCAGGACTGAGTACCTGTCCTGCCGAAGCTTTTCCTCAAAGTGGAGGATCGCATCCGAGACGTCGCGAACGATGGGCTCGGCATCCGAGAGCGTGGAGGTGCTCTGGACGAGCTGCGGGCGGTACTGTCCGGCCAGCATCTGCATTCAGAGATACGATCGGCGGTATGCGCGGGGTTTGGGCACGGCAGAGGGCAGCCAGCACAGGGGTGTGGATGCAGCGGCTTGAGCGATCGGCGCGAACGCAGGACCGGCACGGACGGATGCCAGATCAATCCCAGGGCAAGAAGAAAAAAAGCGAGAGCGAGGGCCGGCGACAACCCTCGAGGGCCGAGGCGCGGGATGGCGGGGAGGGGAGGCGGGGCGGGGCGGGCAGCCCTGGGGGACGGTAGCCCTAGCGGCGGTGGCGGTGCGGCCATGGGGTGGCTGGCCACACCGCATGACAGGCGAAACGGCACTGCCCGAATACGACACCGGCGCATCGATAAAGCAATGCATCGAAACATCTAGATGTGTCGATGCATCTACGCCAGCAGCACCAGCAGCACCACCAGCAGCACCAGCAGCACCAGCAGCAGCGGATCCCCACAATCGCTGCGGTCCCACCAGTGGCCCGTCCACAAGCGCGGCACCGACGGATCACAAGTCATGGCCCATCATTCCAACGCAAACTTTTTGAACCCGCCGCTCGCCAATCCGCCCCACATCGCCATCTCTTCCTGCATCTGTCCCCCAACCCGTCCGCTCGTCCTCTGGCGACTTGCTCGTCTTCGGACCGGCACCCCTCCATCTGGCCTCATAGTGCTGCTCTTTCCTGTGCCGCCGCCATTCCCGACATCCCCACGAGTGCTGACCTGCTCACCCAACCCAACCCAACCCAACAGCTATGGGTATGTACGCGATAGCTTTGGCTTTGGCTTTGGCTTTTGGCTGATGGGGCACTCCGGACGCTTGCCTGGCTGCTGCACTCCTCGCATGGCTGCTGCACTCCTCGCTTGCTGACTGTCCTGGCCTTAGACTCCATCGTAGGCATCGATATGTCGCCGCTGCCCTCGACCATGCTGGTCACGGCCGCCGTGCTGTTCGCCCTTTCGATCTTCACCGAGGTCATCATCGCCAAGACGTATCTGCACAGCCCCGTCCACCACCAGTTTGCGAATCTGTATGAGCAGCCCTTGGTGCCATATGCGCCACCCACCCCCGTCCACTCTCCATCGGCGGCTCGCAAGCAGCCCCTTCCCATCAAGACCCACAACGCCGTCCCCGCAAAGGCCAGCTCTCCCCTGGTTCGCTCGCCCGAGCCAGCCCCAGCGTCGGTGCAGTCCGCTGCCGTCCCTGCCACCTCGCCCATCTACTACGAAGTGGTCGAGTATCACCCTCCCTCTGGCCAGGAGATTGAGTTGCGTGTCGGCGATGTCGTGACGCTGTCCAAGATCCTGGATCAAGCCATCGCAGAGGTCAGTCGACAGCCAAGCCCGAGTGCAGTCTTGACGGCGATGACCATGACCTGGGTTGCAGATAACTTGTCGACGCCCTCCCCCCTCCCCCAGCTCGCTCATCATGGCAATCTTCGCTTACTGACTCCATGCGCTTCCAGGGTGTCGACCAGACCAGCGGCCAGAGCGGCTTCATTCCCATCTCCAAGATCCAGCACTATTTTCCGCACACCGTCGTCTCGGCAGCCGCCTGATCTCGCCAGCCTATCGCCGATATGCCCGGCTCTCGCAGACAACCGCCGTTGTGCATCCACTCACCACCCAGCTAGCAGCCTTGGTGCCCTTCTCCCTCGACCACTCAACCACCCAGCCATACTTGCCGCGCTCTCAGGCATTACGGGATCCCTCTCGATCCATTTTCCCTCTTATCTCTCAGCCTCTGGCTCCATCACGTTGCCGGCTTCTACCGCTGCAACGCCTTTGCCACCTGCGGGCCCCATACTCTCCTTTATTCGATCGCTGGTTTCGATGCTGTGTTGGCTCGACCATTGTTTCCACTCGACCGCTGTTTTTTACCCGGCCTTTCCCCGTTTGTTTTATGATTTCATCTTTTTGGTGAATACATTCTGTTTGAAACAACAACGCGGCGACGGACATCGAGACGGCTGTGGACTTGGCCATAGCCGGACAAGACAGGCGTGTCCGCTGCGATGCGGTGCAGCTCGGGGTGTCATGTTCGTCGATACATCGTTTCATGGCCAGTGTCGAGCTTTGTCACTTGCTGCCTGCGACTGGCCTCTGGACCTGAGTGTACATCTGCCCGTTGCCACGATGCCTTGTCCCCCATGCGGATCGCTTTCTCTCATTCTCGCCCACTCCCGGCGATCGCAGGGAGCTTGTCAGCCGAGGCGTCATGCGGCGATAGGCCTGGCGGCGGCGTTGCTGCTGCACCATGTTGAAGGAAAAAAATGGGACACATCGTCTCACTCAGACAAACACGGCGTATTCGGATCATATCACGCACACGGCCGCAGGAAAAGCCAGCACGACAAAGCAGCAGGACGGAATCGGCAGATGCAGGCGGGGCGGGCGCTGGCTTGCGGGTCGGTTGGGCCTTGCCGTTGGCTGGGCTGGCGTCCGACGCCTTGGCCCCGTTGCCACCGCATGGTGTCGCGACAGAGCTTGAACCCCGTTGGATGTTCCCACAGATCTTGCATCGACACTTTCCTCCGGCTGGCAGGTCGCTGCTGTGGGGGGGGGGCTGCATTCCTTGCCTGTGTTGCTGCCGGGCTGCCGAGGCTGGGTCTTGCTTGCCCGAAAGGCCCTCCCGTCTGCTCTTGACCGGCTCTCACCGACATCTCCCCTCGGCCTGCGTCCTGTCCTGCTTGCCCGGGTGGCCGTTCTTCCAGTCTGCCCCTGGCTCCTGTCTCCACTTGGTGTGGGAGTCGATACGTCATCGCCAGCCCAGCACAGCTGTCTTCCTGAACATTGTCCTTGATCCATTCATCGCTCTGATCCATTCCTCGTCCTCGATCCATTCGCCACCGTCGACCCACCATCGACCCACCATCGAATCATTCACCACAGCCATCCGTCGCCCATGCGTCCCCTCCCCGCCTGCTCCATCATCTGCGCCCTCGTCTCGGCCGTAATCGCAGAATTCCATGGTCGACCCAGCCCGTCTCCTGGAGCCGAGGTGCCTGCATCCTCCATTCAACCAAGCCCGGTCGTTGCAGCCGAGACATCGGCATCCCATTCCCCAGTTGCGGCCGCGACCACATCCGAGGCATCGGCCTCTTCCGAGTCGTCCGGGTTCTCCCTGCCGCTCTCTGTCATTGTGGTTCTGGCGGTACTGGGAGCGACACTGCTGGTGATCGGCACCCGCTCGCTGATCTACTACGTCTACAAGCCCGTCGTAATCGAGGACCCCGACGACCGACCGAGGCCCAGCACCAGACCCCGTCCTGCATCCGGAGCCAGACCGGGAGACCGACCGCCGCTGGACCATCTCCCGCCCGAGAACGTCTTCAAATCACCCAAGGGCCCAGACACCACTCTCTCGCGCCGCTCGAGCACCCGATCGGAGGTGCTCGTCCACCAGGGTGTCGGCCACAGGATCCTCGCTGTTGCCCCCGGATCGCCGTATTCGGCCGAAACCCAGCTCTCCTTTGGCTCCGAGTCGACCCTGACCTCCGCCAGCGACCGACCCCATCTCTCGCCCAAGGCCGACCTTTCGGCATTCGTCATCCGCAAGCCGCCCGTCACCATCAGCCAAAAGCTCTTTGGCACCCGCAACCCGCCCACCCTCGACCGCAGCGGCCAGTATCCGGCCTTGGCCTCGTCCTCACCCCCGCTCGATCCGTACCAAGCCATGGAGTCTGGTGCTGTCCGCAACCCTCCCCTGTCGACGTTTTCGGATCACATTTATTCGGTCTACGCCAACCAGCCCGGCACCAAGTCCAGCGGCTATGCCCCCGACTTTCGCACCTTTGCCACCGTCCACGACCGGGTCAGCTCCATCGATCGCACCAGCACCATCAAGACCGTCAAGACCCTCAGCACCGAAACCACCCGCCACTCGAGCATCTACATCTACCCGACCATCACCCAGGCCGACCGACGCGAGGGCGGGTTCGACACCGTCAAAACCACGGATCTGCTGGGCCTCTACCAGTCCATGCCGAACCCAAATCGCTCCAACATACCGATCCGCCTCGAGTCCATCGCCGAAACGTCGGCTCCTCTGAATGAGGCGACAACGCCCCAGGCCGAGCAGTACATGCCTATGCCCATGCCCATGCCCTTGTCCCGACAGCCATTGCCACAGCCACTGCAACAGACTGCATCGCCCAGGCAGCAGTATCCGTCGCCGGGACAGCAATCCGGCTTGCCGCCACTTCCGTCGCCATCGTACCAGCGTGCCTTTCCTGATGCAGAGCCCATGACCCCAGAAGAGCGCTCGATGCCCCCACGCGATCCCCCCATGATCCCGATCGACATGGCCCTCACAGATCGGCCTGTGCCCGAGTCACTACTGCTGTCCCGGCTCCAGCCCCAGCCCCGGACAGATCTGGATCCAGAAGAGACACAGATCAAGGACGACGACGCACAGCGCCAGGGTAGCCGGCGACAGCGCCCGCCGCGGTCGACAGCACCCCGACGACTGAACTCGCGCAACCGGGCGGTCCCGTACCGCAAACGCACCTCCGACTCTGATAATGCCCAGCCATCCCCGGAGCTGCCGACCGATGCCGGCAAGAGCCACCGCACTGCACTCCAGATCGAGATCCCACCAAAGTCATACCCTTCTGCTTTCTATTCCCGGACCTCCGCCACCTCACCGATCCCCGTGATCCGACTGCATCCATCCGAGACGTACCAGTAACAAACTCGTGTGCCGGTCGATGGTGAATTTGGGTTGTCGCTTTGCGTCCTGCAGCGCAAGGCACGGCCCTTGCACCGTTGCCTGCCAGCCGGGCTTCTGTTCCACCTGCAGCCATCCAAGCGATGGAAGCGGGCGGCAAGCAGACGAGTGCTCTGCTATCTTGCTTCTGTCCCCTCCCATACATGTCTACGATCGCCACCACCACCGCCTCTATCACTGCTCTGCTTGTAATATAACTACTGGCGATGAAGCGTTGCAATACGGTGACCAACCACATGCCGTGGGGATGAGATGCGCAACACGGGTGTCCAAGAATGTCTTGCTCGGGGCGATATGCAGAGTACTTGCACCCCTCCGATGAGCTCGAGCCTCGACAGGACAGTCACCGTATCGACCTCGATGCCCACATGCATCTCATCGACCCCCCCCCATCTGCCCCTTCAGCCCCGTCCGCCCATCTGGATGCAAAATCCGTCGCCAGCAGATCGCCCCGCACGCGTTGTGTGTTGTGCTGGCGCCCAATCAAGCCCTTGCCTGCAATCTGCTCCGCCCAGCCCGCCCGCTCGTTTGGTCTTTGCCGCCAGATCTCACCCGTGCTGGATTGCTCTTGCTCTTGCCCTGCTCTGCTGCTCTGCTGCCTGGCACGCCCGGCCATAGATAGATCGGTCTCGTAGAGCACTCCTCTCCATCTGCATCTGTGTGTACGCATCCTACTCAACCAATTCACTCCCCTCGCGAACACCCCATCGCCCCTCCGCCCCATCGCGACTGCATTTCCCTCTCCTCTCCCTCCCCCGGCATCCGCATAGCATCGCGCTAAAGTAGCAGATCCACTTGATCGCCGCCCTTCTCTTGCTCCACGCTATTCTTGCATCCTCGCATCCTCGCATCCTCGCCCGCAATCATGTCCAACGCGAACTCGCTCAACTTCAACTTTGCCGTCGGTATCTTGAGCGGCATCGCCATCTCGGCGTCGGTCCAGTATGTCGTGAGCGTCGCCCTCGGCGCCAAGTACGGCTCGACGGTCGGCAGCCGCAGCCTCTCGGTGGTCTCGGGCGGCGCCGGCACCAACAAGAGTGTCGAAGAGACCTTTGCCAAGCTCTCCAAAGAGTTCACCGTGCCGGCCTCGAAGCTGCAGGAGATGGTCCGCCACTTTATCTCGGAGGTGAAAAAGTCGCTGGTGACGGACGGGCAGTCGTCGCTGCTGATGATCCCGACCCACGTCGTCTCGCGGCCCACCGGCAAGGAGCTGGGCTCGTACCTGGCCCTCGACATGGGCGGCACCAACTTTAGGGTCTGCGAGGTGACTCTCGAGGGCCGCGGCCGAGTCCGCATGCGCCAGAAAAAGTATACCATCTCGGACTCGCTCAAGAACGGCCCGGGCAACGAGCTCTTTGACTTTTTCGCCGACGCCGTCGTCAAGTTCCTGCAGGAGGCCGATGCCGACATTTCCCACCACCGCAAGCTCGGCTTTACCTTTTCCTTTGCCGTCGACCAGACCTCGATCAACCGCGGTGAGTTGCCGTCTGTGCGAGCGGAGCGGTTGGTTGGGTGGTTGGGTGGTGCTTGAGTGGATGGGCGAGGGGCGGATGGGTGCGAAGCTGATATGAGCTCTGGGATCTCCCGCGGTGATGATGATGGCTCCTGCTCGCCTTCTCTCTGCCCTCTGGTCGCGACTCGGCTGCAGCATCCGTTCTCTGGCACGATCTTCATCCAGAGAGATAACATTGGCCGGTGGCGCAACACGGGACCGTGGAAATGCAGCGGCCGGGGGACGATGCCTGAGAATCAACATGCGCTGACCCAGTATCGTCATGCCGTGGTGGGAACTGACGCTGGTGTTCGCTTACAGGTACGCTGATGCTCTGGACCAAGGGCTTTACCTGCCCCGGTGTCATCGGCAACGATGTTGTGCAGCTGCTCCAGGAGGCGTTCACCCGCAAGGCAAGTTTGGGTGTGGGGTGCCGAGATACGACCCGGGCGGTTCAGTCGCTGACGACATTGGCGACGGCAACGATCATAGTCCGAGCACACGGATAGATGCTCGTGCGTTTCGAGCCGAGGGCTTGAGATCTGCGGACATTGGTGGGGATTGGATCTGAGCACCATCGTCAGCGCGATATTGGATCCGATTGAATGTGAATATCACCGCTGGTGGGCGATCAGATCCGAGGATCAGATCGCGGCTGTCGTGGCAATGCCGAAGGACATGTTCTGACCCCTCCTGATCTACCCCCCCCCATTTCCGCACATCAGAACCTCAACATCACTGTCAGCGCCCTCGTCAACGATACGGCAGGCACCCTTGCTGCCCACGCCTACACCGATCCCCAGACCCTGATCGGCGTCATCCTCGGCACTGGTACCAACGCCGCCTACGTTGAGAACGTCCACAACGTCAAAAAGTACAAGGGCCCCATCAGCGAGACCTCGAAGGAGATGATCATGAACACCGAGTGGGGCGGCTACGATGAGGAGAGCGTGCTGCCGTTCACCAAGTACGACGTCATGGTCGATCGCCAGTCGGCCAACCCCAACAGCCAGCGTCTCGAGAAGATGATCTCGGGCATGTACCTTGGCGAGGTGACTCGCCTGGTGATCATGGAGCTGATCTCGACCGGCGAGCTGTTCTCGGGCCGCTCGTCGGCCCAGATCCAGAAGCAGTACAGCTTTGAGACCGCCTTTATGTCTCGTATCGAGCGGTAAGCGACAACGGGTGTGTGAGTCGCCTTGGGCAACCGAATACTGGCTGGGCATGATTGTCGAGGCAGAGACCAAAGGGGAGCGATCGGCATTGCCGGGCTCGATCATATGTTTGTAGTTTCGCCTTGCCATTCCCACCCAATCTGACACATTCCTGTCCTCTTCCTTGATAGTGACCATACCCTCGAGCTCTCGGACACCAAGGCCGTCATCGAGGATCTTTTGGGTGTCAAGCCCACCACTCTGGATGACCGCCGCATCGTCAAGCGCATCTGCGAGCTGATCGGCACTCGTTCGGCGCGGCTATCTGCGGCTCTGATTGCTGGTCTTGTCACCAAGGTACGCATGCTGCCCTCATGTGCTTGGGCGATGGTGCTCACGATCTCATGATCTGGCCTGGATGCACTCTGTCGACCACTTTCGCAAGGGAGAACCGCTGCTTCCCACCGTACTCAGCGGCCACGGATAGTGACCATGGACAACGCTCTCCGTGCGATGGCTCGTTTCGTCTGATGTCGTTGCCCTCTGTTTTTGGGTTCCAGATCAACAAGCTCGACGGATGCACTGTCGCCATCGATGGCTCTCTCTTTGAGCACTACCCGCACTACGCCAACCGCATGCGTGACACTCTGCGTGAGCTCCTCGGTCTCACCGCCGAGAACATCATCCTCGACCAAGGTAAGCTGAGATGCACGGAGGGCGAAAGGAGGCATCCTCGGGTGGGTCCAGCACGCGAGGACAAACGGTGGAGCCAACGAGATGCACTGACGATTTCCTGTTGCTCCGCTGCAAAGCCCGTGATGGTTCTGGCCAAGGTGCTGCACTCATCGCCGCTCTCCACGGTTAAGCGGACCCGGCAGTGGGTGGAGGGGCTCGATGGGCAGGACACGAACTCTTGTAGTCTGCTTGCCTCTGTCTCTCAGCCTCAGCCATGTTCCGGCAATTTCTTCTTTTTCTCCATTTCTTTGCATCAAAGTGGACAGCCCCAAAGCAGAGATGTGCGACGATGCAGATCAAACTCTTGGGATTCCGGAGAGAGTGTTGGCACCGACCCACACCAACGAAATACAAAAAATTGCTTTGCGGCTGACGCGACCGGGGTGTGGGATGCTGATGCTGATGCTGGTGCCGCTGTTGTGGGTGCTGGCGTTTGGACAGAAAAATTCTGCGGCCGCCACGATCTCTGCCACAAGCTGCCACGATGCCTGCCACGTTTTTGGTCCCTTGGACGGCGTGGCCGACAAATTGGGCGACAAATCGGCCGCTGGGCCCCGGTCGGCTGGGATGCGCGAGTCAGCCTGGATGGGAATGCGCAATGGGAGCCTGTTGCTGGACTCGTTGGCAAACAGACGACGGATGCAAGGACGGGCAATAGCGTCGATGCACATGAGCATCGACATGGACATGGGCAATGGACACGGGCATGGATATCGACATCGACATGAGCATCGACATGTGCAGGAGCACGGCTCGATAGGCAGGGAGCCGAACGATTGCGAATCGGCAGCCACTGACCAAGGGCCGGGGTGATCACCGTCAGATCGGCCTGAGGACGAACAATCATCGCCAGGAGGCCGCGACGGAGCAAACGACATCACCAGGCAGCGCCAGGAGGACAACGACCTGCAAGGATCCGTCTGTCGCGGCTTGTGCGAGGCAGCAGCACCACTGGGCGACATTCGGGTGACCACGCCCTTGATGCAACAGGGGCGCCAGCAGCACACCCACCCGCGGGCACGCACCAACCAGCACGCCGGGCCTGCACGCGGGGGGCCAGAGTTGCTTGGGTGGCGACATGCCTGGTGGGTTTGCGTGCGCCTGTGCTGCATGGGCGGGGCCTGTGCTGCTGTGTGTTGGGTGTGCAGGCGGCTGGGCCTGGAGGGGAAAGGTGCGAAGGGCAAAGGGACGCAACAAGCGCAGCACCAGCATGTTGCACGGGGTGCAAGCAGACGAGGGGGAAGGCTGCAGCGTGTGTGGACAGGACGGAGCAAGGGGTGTCGCAGGACCGGCCCCGGCTCAGCGCATGCCCAGCAACCACACAGCTGCAGACCGAGTGGCATGCGCCGGGCTGGTCCCATGGCCGACGACGACGTTCCAAACCCAGAGGGAGGCAACAAGGGGAGGGGCGAGCGAGCATATCGCCGATGGCCTTCTGGCAGCCGCCACACAGCCCGTGCAGAGGGACTCCAGGGCAGAGAGAGCTGCATAGGAGGGATGCTGCGATGGGAATTGCAGGAGACGCCGCTGGACTGCAGCATGAGCCGAGCCAAGCGCAGCAGAACAGAAAAGCGCGGGCCAATGTCATGGGACTCATGGAGGACACCGACCAATCACAGCGGCGAGAACGCGTGTTGGGGCACAGCGGCACAGCGACAGAAACAACGTGGGCAGTGGCCGCTGAACCGCAGAGCGTGGCGACCAACAGCGAACAGTGCCGCGACCAACAGCACAGCAGCAACAGTGACGGCGGCGGGACGCGCTGGGGCCATGTTGCACAGAGAATGCCGATTGCGCAGAGAGCAAACATGGGCAGCAAGCACATGGGAGATGCGATACAGCTGGCAGCACCACAGGACAACGGCACAGCACAACCACAGCGCCGCAGCACAGCACGACCGCACGACAACACAGCATGACGCACAGACACTCGCTCGCTCGGCTGCACAGCGCCGGCGCGGCACAGTCCCATTGCCGACAAGGCCTCTCCCCCCCCCGCGCCGCTGGTGAGCTTGCTGAGCGGCCTATCCTTTTCGCGTCCAAACAAACGCCAGCAGCAATGCCCACAGCCGCAAACAAACGGGGGACGGGCGAGCTGGCGCGCACCGTGTGGGTGGAGCCCCGCCAATCGGCCGACGCGCCGCTCCAACAAGGCCGCCGCCACAGCCACGCGTCTTGTCCCACGGCGACTGCCATTCCCGGCGCGGCGCCCGCCCACTCCCGCACTGCGCAAGGCCGCCGGCGCAGCACGTGTCCCTGCGACGCGCGTCGGCCGTGTCACCCTCGGGCGCGTTGTCTGCGTGTTTATGGCATGGCGCGCGCGTCGGCGTGTACACCGCAGAACACAGGCTTTCCCGTCTGCGCCGGTGCGCACCCACACGCGGCCTGTCTGCCCCCCCTTTCGTGTTTGGCCCTTTGGCCTCCTTGCCTCTCCCCCCCGCCTTGGCCGCCAGCCGAGTATATAGCCCGGCCGTTCGTGGGCGGGCATCTTCAGGAGCTCTTTTCTGTTTCTCTGCTGCTTCACCTCGCCCGAGCATAGTCCTCCGCATTTCTTTACCCCCCACCAGTCTCATAGAAAAATCCCTAAAAGAAATGTCTCTTAGAACTGCTGCTGTGGTCGCTGCCCTCGCCCTCGGCGTTCTCGCCGATCCCGCCTACGTGGTAACGTATCGGTCCTGTCTCTCGTCTTGCGGTTCATGTGGCAGTCGTCGCTGGCTTTGCTTCTGGCTTCTGGCTCTAGCTCGTGGCTCCTGGCTCGTGGCTCCTGGCTCGCAGAAGGAATGCCCTCGGGGAGCCCGCGATGCTTTCGGCAACCTCTCTGCGACATGTCACGGACGGCTTCGCCCCTCGGATTCTTCAGCCAGACACTGCGTCCCCCTGGCTTGGTTGGGCTGGTCTTGGTCTCGGGACAAAGCCCTCTCTTTCCATCATTGGGACGACACCTTCAGCACCCTCAGCCAGCGAGCGAGCGAGTCTTTCGAGCAACCCCCTTGCAGGAACACCCGGCGTAGCACACCGCTAACCTGACCTGCGTTTCCTGTCCATCTCCAGCCCCCCATCTACTCTGCCCTCCCCTCTTCCTCGGCTGCTCCCGTCGCCACCTCCACCCCCGTCCTCCCCGTCTACGGCACTCCCTCGGCCACCTCCTCCGTCAAGGCTACCGTCACTGCCACCCCTACCCCTACTCCCACCGACGACTGCGAGGAGTCTGCCACCTCGTCTGTCAAGGCCACCGCCGTCACCACCCCCACCCCCACCGATGACTGCGAGGACGAGACCGCCACTTCCTCCGTCAAGGCCACCGCTACCGCCACTCCCACCCCCGAGGACGACTGCGACGAGGATGTCCCTGAGGATGACTGCGAGGACGACGAGCCCGATGTCGACTGCGAGGACGAAGACTATGTCGACAACTGCGAGGAAGTTCCCGAGGACGAAGTCTGCGAGGATGCCCCCACCCCCAGCTCCTCTGTCAAGGCTACTGCCACCGCCACTCCCACCCCCACTCCCACCGATGACTGCGAGGAGGAGACTGCTACTTCCTCTGTCAAGGCCACCGCTACCGCTACTCCCACCCCTACTGACGACTGCGAGGAGGAGACCGCCACCTCTTCCGTCAAGGCCACCGCCGTTTCCACCCCTGTCTACGGCACCCCCTCGATCTCCTCCTCCATCAAGGCCACCGTCACCGCCACCCCCACTTCCACCGTTCCCTCGTACGGCACTGTCTCCTCTTCCATCAAGGCCACCGTCACCGCTACCCCCACTCCCACTCCCACTGATGACTGCGAGGATGAGACCGCCACCTCGTCTGTCAAGGCCACCGCCACTGCTCTCCCCACCCCTACTCCTACCGACGACTGCGAGGAGGAGGAGCCCACCCCCACCGACGACTGCGAGGACGAGACCGCCACTTCCTCCGTCAAGGCCACTGCTACCGCCACCCCCACTGACGACTGCGACGAAGAGTCTGCCACCTCGTCCGTCAAGGCTACCGCTACCTCCGTTGCCTCGGTCCCCAGCTACCAGTCCTCCTCGGCCTCGGCCGCCCCCACCGCCACTGGATACGCTGCCAAGCAACTCAACGCCCAGAGCGCTGCCTCGGTGAACTCTGCTTCCGTCATGGCTGTTGCTGCTGCTGTTGTCCTGACTGTCGCTAACCTCCTCTAAATAAAGAGCAAGAACAAACATGTGCGTTGATATTCATATTTATTTTTTGATTTTGTTGAAATATATTTTTGGTTGATTTCATAGCCGAAGACAAAGTATATGTGGATGTTGATATTTGCACATTTTGTTTCTTTCTCTTGCTCTCTGAGGTTGCGACGCTTTCTAATCGAATTCCTCTACTTCTTTTCCTTTCCTTCCCCCACCGTCACCCGCCACTCTCTCGCTCCCGGCTCCTGATCTGATCTTGTATCCGTCTGCACGATCGTTTGCTCTCTCTTTCCCCCTCCCCTGCCTTCACTTGTCCTGTGCGTCTTTCTTTTCTTCTCGTTACAATACGTTAGTGATTGTTTCCTTCTCTTTGCTGCGCTTAGACCTACACTGACATGATTTACATAAAAACATTGATCTGTAACTTTTGAAATCTCCTTCTCTTCCCCCCGTCTTGGCGCAGCGACTTTGTAAACTCCCCCTCTCCTCCTCGGACTCTAATTTCTCGAGCCGGCAAGCCCCCCTTCCCCTTCGCACAGCAGCTTGTGTCTCCCGCTTGCTCGCTCGCTTGCTTGCTCCCTTGCCTGCTCATGTTTGGCTCCGTCAGGGTCTCTTAGTCAGTCATGCCGCTTTGTTTTCATGTCATTGATCCCCATTGTAGGTCTTGCCTCTTCTTACTCTTACCCCCCCCCTTCTATCGCTTGAGCCTTCCTTTGAAATGTTCTCTTCCTGCCGACCCGAATCCGAGCCCAAACCCGAACCCGAATCCGAACCCGACCGACCATGTCCCCTCCTCCGCTATTGTTTGCGCTTCGTGTCTGCAGTTCTATAATTCCCACGGCTCTTGTAACCCCCTCTCCCTCTTCCCCTTTCCGAAAGACGCTTCTATGAAAAACTACTACAGGACCTCAATTTGTTTCCGTCATCTGAGTGCGTCTCGTGTTGTGTCCCCTGATCTGGGTTGCCTCTCGCGCTGGTGCCGCCTTTTTGCTCCTGTTTGTTCGCTCTGCTTTCTGCTGGTCATCCAATCCAAGTCCAATATTTCGCTTCTGCTCCATTTCGTGCATGCGTGCTTCCCAATGGGTGAGGGTGGGAGCCATCGGATCCATCTGGGAGAATGTGGGCAACTCCGAAGGGTCTTGCCGCTGCTGCTGGCCCGCCGTCGCTGCTGTCTCGCCGTCGCTGCTGTCTCGCCGTGAGACACGGCGGTCGCTTTGCTGCTTGCCTCAACCGCCGTCGCGACCATCCAGAGTACTTCAACCTCGTGCAGCAACCGCCGTCCTGCTGCTTCCCACAGCCGCGTTCGCTCCCCTGCAAAATGAATCTCGTTCAGCTCGTCTCTGCCGTCTTGGCCTGCCTCTCGCTTGTCCAGGCTCGGCCATGCACGCTTTCCCAGCTCACAGGCAGCAACGGCAACTTTGCCATCACCGGAGGCCCAGGTCGGCTTCGAGTTCCATGATATACACATGGGGTCTCGTATCCTTGCTCGTCTGCAGGCACAGCTTGAAATCACCCCGTCGTTCTGACCGACCTCCCTGCACTCACCCCACAGACCTCAGCACTCCCATCCAGACCGGGACGACCCAGATCATCTCCTTCAACTGGGCCGTGGGCTGTCCTGTGAAAGCCATCAACAGCATCCTGGTCATTCCCGCCTCGCAGGCCGCGGCCAACGGAACCACCCTCGATACGACGCCATCATCCGTTTCGTTTGGCCGTGGACTCACCCACGACCTGGCTGCCTTCCTCAGCACCAGCATTCCCGCAACTGTTCCCAGCGGCCGATACACCTTCCGGGCGATTCTGAGCACCACCACAGGTCCCTGCTCCATCGACAGCACCCCGTTTCAGGTCCTGTCGGTGAGCCTGCCTGGCCCGCTGCCGACCGGCCCTGTGCCCGATCCCAACAGCATCAACTGCCCCGAAAACGCAGATGACCACAATCCGTCTCCCGGGTCTCCCTGCAGCTACAAGGGCATCGTGGTCTGCAGCCCAAGCCACCCAAACCAGTTCTACATATGCAACCAGGACTCGCATGGTTGTCCGGTGTTTACCACACCCTTTTCATGCGGTGTCGGGCTTGAGTGTTCTGCCGATTCCGGGCCTGTCGGCTGCCAATGATGGGCCCGCATCGGCCGCATACAGCGTTCCCAAAACGAAATGAGACACCTCCGTTTTGAGCAAGGATGGTTGTTGGTACCTGAATACACACACCCGCTCATGAAGTCAAGGCAAGGCTTATGCATCCAGTCCCAGGAGACAGCGGTTTGCTCGGTACCTTGAGCAGTGCAGGTCGATTGTGGCGACTGGAGAGCGACCCAATGACTTCACTTGAAGGCTGCCGAGGTGATCTGTTCTATTTACTAGGCTCTGTTGGGTCCATGCCATCTCATGCGGGATAGGGAGGGTGTTCCATTTGCTCATGTGTGCACTGTAGACCTGACCATCCGCTGCCATCGTATCGTCGATCGCCGCGAACAGCACCCTCTCCGTCGTCCTGGTACCAGATCGCAGCAGACGAAACAGCAGCACGCGGGGCACTCATGTCGCTCCATGAGCGCAGCCACGACCACAGAGAAGAAAAAAATTCTCGCTGCTCGTCACAGTCTCCCCTCCCTCCATCGTCGTGGATTCCAACGAGCTCTTTCGCCGCCCGACCGTGCAAACTCAACAGCCGCAGTGTTCTGTCTCGCTTCGAATCAGATCCTGCTCCTCGTCTCCCTCTCTCATTGTCTGGAAACAAGCTGTCCCCCAACCGAGCCGCTTCGAATCGTCTCGCAGATCCCCGTCAACACCATGTCGCTTCGGATGCTCCAAGCAAATCTGAGGCTGCCCAGCGCCTTCATCACGACCCGCCCTCTGGCAGCTGCTGGTACACCTCTGTGGTCGTGCCCCAGTCCGTCGTCGCTCAATCGGGTCCAGAGCCTCCGTCCATACACAACTCTCGGCCGAGGACGGTCGGGTCGCAGCCGGAGGAGCGCCGTCGCTCCTGTCCCAGCAGCGACCGCTGGCTTCGATCTGCACGAGATCCCAGCCGACTTGGCCGCCAGCCAGCCCGGATCATCGCATCGCATCAAGGAAGACTGGTCTAAGAAAATCCTCGCCGAAGCAGTCGAGCTCGACCCCAGCGATGCCCATCCTGCTTCGGGCAATGTCTCCGCGCCAATACCATCCAAGCGAGCATCATCGTCATCATCGCCTGCAGCATCCACGAGACGCCCTGCTGGATCGCTCGAGAGTGAGGATCCCCTATCCGAGGACCAAAAGTACGACTTTGAGGTCGTCGATTTCGACAAATGGACCGAGACTCAGGCGCAAGCCAAAGCTGAGCACATCCCGCATGCCCGCCAAAGTCCAGAAGGTTTGTTCGGCACAAACCGCATCGGCCAGATCCGTATTCCCAAAGAGTTGACGGACGGCATCAACAGCTTGATCCAAGGTAACCATTTTCAGTTGCATCGCTCTCGGATTAATGGACCCAATTGGCACAGATCGTGAAGAGCAGCATGACAACGACGACAACATCGACGATCATTATGATGGTGGTGGATGCGAGTGGACAATCCTGATACCGCCCCCCCCCGTTATTCCATCGCGCTCTCATGATTGCAGATCAGAATCGCAAGCTTCTCAAGGAGGACGCCTACCGCATCTTTGATGCCCTGCGCTCCACGGGCAAGCTCGAGCACAATATGCTTCCCAAGAGTTCTTCCAAGCGTACGTAGCCCGTCGGATGCGGCTTGTCTGCCCACAGCACCCCCCCCCAGCTTCCTGCAAGATGTGTCTCCTGATTCACTTTCGTCACTTTCCATTCACACCGCGATCAATGCAATTCCGTTGTCCACGGGTCCTGCTGTCGCCGATCTGCCCCGCTCCAGACCGCAAGAACGAGCGAATCCCCGAGCCACACATCCTCGAATACGGCTATCGGGAATCGCTCGCCTATGCTGCCGTGCGGCTTCCGCTCAGCTACGCCTCCACCGTCGCCGTCCTGAGCGAGCTCAAGAAGCGCCTGCCTGACTTTGAGCCTCGCTCTGTGCTTGACTTTGGTACAGGTCCTGGCTCGGCTCTGTGGTTTGTATCGAATGCATTCGGCAGCGGTGTGGCGTCGCATCTTTTATTGGCGTCAAATGATGGTGATGATTGATGGGCGGCATCGGCTTGCTTTGAGTATTCGCAGCTTTGTGCCCTCCATGTTCGCTTACCCTGGTTGTGTGTGTGTGTGTGTGTGTGTGTGTGTGTGTGTGTGTGTGTGTGTGTGTGTGTGTGTGTGTGTGTGTGTGTGTGTGTGTGTGTGTGTGTGTGTGTGTGTATCTTCGTTGGCCATCGCTTATACCGTCGACATGTGCCTTCTCTGGTACTGGATAGGGCAACCCGATATGTCTGGCCAAGCACCAAGATCAATGCCCTCGGTGTCGATGTCTCCGAACCCATGCTCCAGACAGCCACGCAGCTCGGAGGTGAGTGCGCACCTATGTTCAAAGGACTATTTTTGGGAAGATTCTCCCTTCCCATACTCCATATCACGTCCTTGGGTCCCACCGCCGAATCATGCTTACTTGATTCGCTCTTGTGTTTATCATACGATTTTCCATCAAGGGTACCTCCAGGAACACATCGACAACTGGTTCTCGTCCCTCAACTTTCGACGATACCTGTCCTTCCGGAAATCGGTAGGGCACATTCGTCGTGGTTGCTTCCGAGCGGATTGGCGCTGGTCACATCCTCACCTCTCACCTCTCGCCTCTCACCTCTCACCTTATCCAGGAAGAGAAGCATGATATGGTCATTGCCGCATTCGCCCTGAGCGACCTGCCGACCGATGCCATCCGCCAGAGTACCCTGCAGAATCTATGGAGTCAAACCGGCGATATCCTCGTCCTCATCGATCGGGGTATACCTGCTGGTGCCGAGTTGATTGCAAAAGCGCGGCAGTATATCCTTGACCTCGAAAACGATGCCTTCGTCGCGGATCAAGACGATATGGACGAGGCAGAGCTTCCCGAGGACGAAGCCGAGTTCGAGTTTCTGGAAGAGGAAAACGGCGAGTCTAAAGAACGCACCGGGGCGTTTGTGGTTGCCCCTGTAAGTTATGCCATTGAAGTATCGGGTCAGGGTAAGGGGGATTAGACACTAGCCGTGCTATAGCACCGCCGAGCTACCCCTCCCATGATGATCGCTTATCGCCGCTCCTTAGTACTTTGCTTCTATCAAGCTTGGTCTCGTCGCAAGTCTCCAAGTAAACGATGTACTTACCATCTTCCTTGGCATATCGTCTCCATCGGCTTATAGTGTCCTCACGACCATAGCTGCCCGATGCTGGAGCAAAAGTCCTGGTGCCATTTCTCGCAGAGTTTGCAGCGAACCCGTCTGATGGTAAGGGCGTATGAGCAACTCCGGTGGTGTCGGTGCCCTGATGTCGATGCCACATCGCGATCTCGCGATTTCGTGTCTCCCCATCACCTCTCTTGCCATATCGCCGAGCTACACTTGTTGTCTGGCTCATGGAGCACTCATGCATTTTGACATATTCACTCCATCTTTCCGCCCGCCAGCTCTCCATCAAAGACGGGAAAATGGGACAGGAGGATATCAAGTACTCGTATGTTGTCATCCGGAGAGGAAAGCGGCCAGTCTCCCCAACTTTGGCAGGTCATTCTCCTGAACCCCACAGTGGTAAGTATTCCCCTCCCACCTCCACCTAATGTGTCTCGATTGCTCCGCTGCCTGGTGCAGTGTCCATATCTACCGCCAATTCACCGTGTTTCCTTCGTTGCGCCCTATCCCACGTCCAGGCAAACCCAGCGCTGCTCCGGATCTCGCCGCAGCTTCCTTCCACTGGCCCAGGCTTGTTGCTCCGCCCATGAAGCGCGATGGACATGTTGTTCTTGACACCTGTGGTGTCTCCGGGGCTCTCGAGCGGTTTGTCATCGGCAAGTCCAAGGGCAAACTCACCTACTACGACGCCCGCAAGTCTCACTGGGGCGACCTGTGGCCCCACAAGCCGACAAGCAAGGTGGTCACTCGTTTGCCCAAGCTCGACGCCCAGCTCTCTGGCCAAGCAAGCAATGCCGATGGCGTGAATGACGAGTCGGATGGGTCTGACGACAGGATCGTGGACATTGCCCGTGAATTCGAGGCCGATTTCAATGAGCCTGCGGGAATCAGCCGGACGCTGCTCAAGAATGACAGCTACTATATGGTCATGAAGGGCGACGAAAAGATCCGCGGCGATATGAAGCACAAGCCAAAGCCCAAGAAATAGAGCCTCGTCGCTTGCGGCGTGTCCTGCATCAACCCATAGAGATGCACTCGAGGAGCACATGATGCGCAGGAAAATACAGGCTGACGGATTGTCCCCACTCAAATACCACCATTGACCGACCTTCATCGGGGTCGCGGTGATGGTGACGAGTCCGTGGCTTCTCACCGACGAACCACTCAAGCATCACAGCGGTAATATCGCGGAAACTCGGGTGGGATGTATTATGACGCCGGCGAGCCAGAGACGCAGAGACAGCGCAGAGGGCCGAGCAAGCAGCCCATGAACTCACCATCCGGTGATTTGCCTCGTCAACTCGAGCCCCATCGGAGCACTAGCCAAACATGAGGCCATAAATTATGCAGCCAACCACAATTCTCCAAAATGGGTGTGGATCGTGGCCCGGAGGACCGGCTGACATGAGGTGCAGAAGGCCCTGCTGCGGTCACCATAGCCCTGGCCGTTGTCTCGACATCGCCGGTTATTTTCTGGGAGGAGGGGGTGGCGGTGGACGCTTTGCCGACTGCGGCGGAGGCGGCGGTCTGTTGACAGAGCCGGTAGACTTTGACATGTATGTTCGTGGAGGCGGAAGGTCGGTGCGGAACGTCCATCGGCCGTCCTCCTCAGTGTTGGAGCTGGAGTTGGGGGCTGCTGCCGGTACTCCTGCAGCAAACGAGCCTTGCTTGGGGAGTATCGGGGCCGGTGCTGGCACAGCCGGACGGAAGCTTGGGACCGGTGGTGACGGACGAGCGACCACAGGAGCCGGCCCAGGCACCGCTGGCTTGGGAGGAGTCGGGGCTGCTGCCGGGACTCTGGGCGGGGGAGGAGGGCCGGCATTCGTCGATACCCTTGGCGGGGGAGGCGGTGCATTCGTTGAGGCTCGCGGAGGAGGAGGAGGAGCCTGTGATGCTCCCACACTCACTCGGGGAGGCGGCGGTGGTCCTTGGCCAGAGCGCCCGGGAAGAGCAGGCGCCTGGGAGGGTCCGCGAGGAGGCTGAGAAGGAGGAGTGAACTTTGGAATTACAGGGGTGTTTTCTTTGTTTGACGGCGAGGCATCTGGAAATCGATGATATCGAGCGAGACATCGAGCGATGCACCGAGAGCGACATTGACAGCGAAGGCGATAAACGGCAATCGTTAGATAGGGCAGAAGCGACGCAGAACCGGCTGGCTCGGTCAGGCAAGTATTGATGCCAGAGACAGGGCTGATCGCCAGCTACACCATCCCAGACCGTTATTATCGACTCGCCGCTGCTTCTACAACGGGGGAAGCCATCGAGCCGTTTAACCACGCAATACGCCCGCAGATGCTGCAACATGACCCAAGAGGCCAATAGCCCAGCATCTTCACAACATACCCGAGCGAGCACCGGCACTCTTCAGCTTGGGGATTCCACCCGCAAACAGCCCGCCAGGTCCAGGTGGGCCGCCGCCTCGAGCAGGGGCCGCGCCAGAGCTACCAGCACTAGCCGCGGGGCCGGATGATTTGCCTGGATGTCGAACCGGAAGGAGGTCAGGCGGTGAGAGAATGTGAGCGGGACGGCACAATCTTTGGCTTTAAGCGCACGCTGGTCTGTCGAGCTCGCCGATACGTCGCAAACGCGATGGGGAGAATAGGTTTGATGGTATGGAGCAGCTCCAGCAACCATCCAGAAGCATATCCAGGACGGCCAAATCCTTGCGCTGTGGATATGGGCATGTGCATCGGCATTACCGCCATCCAGAGCCGGAGCGCTTCTGTCGTTCGTGGTAACTTTTTTCAGCCTTGCTCCCTTCTCGATCGATTTCAGCAGCGCCGAGCGTTCGGTGGTGGCCGCAGGCGCGGCAGCCGGAGCGGGAGGAGGAGGAGGAGGAGGGCCACCCATTGCAGAAGATACGAAAGACAGGCAGCGAGCGCGAGGAAAAGTGCTCTTGGATGAGGGTCGGGCGCGAAGGAGGTTGTTGGATGAGGATGAAGCGCGAGGCCGAGCGACGACGAAGGGATGGTGTTTTGGGCGGGGCGAGGGTGGCGGTGATGTCTTGGCGAACACAGACGGGATGCAGAACTGGCTTGGCGGACGGATGTGGCGAGATGGATGCTGATGGAACGAGACGAGGACGAAGGCAGAGGGTCTGGGAAGACGAGGGACGGACGACGGATTGGAGGCGCTCCATCGGCCGGCAGTGCTGCCGGTAAAGGGCACTGTCGCTTGCGAGAGAGCCACTCTCCCTCCGCCCATATTATGGGAGTCGTTCCAAACGTCGCATTCGAGATGCCAACGGTGCTGGGAGGGGCATTGGGGGTCGCTGGGCAGCATGTTGCAGTATATTCAAGCTCATCTTTCAAACATCGATATTATCCCCGTTATGTAAATCATGGCTGTGGCTATATCGACGATTGAAAGATGGGATCTCCCTCAGAGGACTTGCGGTCGCCTAGCTTCTCAGGCGAGAAATTGCCGAGTGTGCCATTCAGAAGTATCGGCCGGGCCGGCAGAGTGTATTTGATCTTCATATCCTGAAGCGTCCGTTGAACTTCAAAGTAGATCTTTGCTCCGCCGCGATGGTTATGGCCATCCAACGAAGCCGAGGAAACCCAGTCAGCCAAGGCAGTAGCGAACTCAAACCTCAGCCCCACATCGCTTGGTTGTCTCGCTCGCGTCACGGACTCATACGCCCCAGTTCCAGCAGAATGAGTGCCCTTGATTCGAAAGGCAATACAGATCGGTCAAGTCATAGCCATTACCTCCGTCCGGCGTGTCCATCGACGGCCACAATCTTGCCTGTATCAACAGAATCGGTGAAGCATGAGGGAGTGTCCCATAGCCATCCACCGAGCATCACCAACGCATCAGCGTCCAAGGCTTGATGGCCTAGGACTGGCCTTATTTCGTTTTCGGGTTTCAGGCGCCATCTTACCAGTTTCCTTTGTGGGTCATACCCAAACAGACGGTCATGCCGGTCATATCATTGATGCTGATGACACTGACGCTGCAGCCGGGCATCCATTCACGCGGCTTGGATTTTGTGAACTCCTCGATCCTCCTGGCAAGCTCTCGAAGCTGGGTTTCACTGGTGTTGAAGTCTGCAGATTTGAAGTTATGATTGTACACATCCGGTGTATCATATGATCATTGGTGGAGACAGCGGTTTCGGGAAGAATGCAGGCCGGTATCCGAGTGAGTCGCATTGTCAGCAGTGTCTGGCGACGGTGCTCTTCAGCACCTTGCTCGAATAACCAATCAACGGATCCACAACCCACCAACTTGAAACGTTATTCCTTCCCACTGAAACAAATGCCAGTGTAAGTGCCATGATGTTAGTTCGGATTGAGTGACGCCGATGTCTGTGAAGGATATCGCTCCAGATGAACAAAGGGTAGGACTTGCCTGGTCCGGAGATCGGCGGTAGTTGATGATCGGTTTTCCTATCAAGATTGCTGCAGTAGTAGATCGTGTCGACATGTGTGTCAGCAGCGGTGCTCGGGTGCATCGCCCCTACCCCAATGCCACATAAGTGCTCGCTGTGCGGAGACTGCTCCTACAGTTGGGAATATACAGCAGCTGTCCGTCCATGTTGATAAACTTGGTCATCAGAAGCTTGACCTTGAGTACCTTGTACGTTGTTCCATCAATGCACACCAGATCACCTACGAATGTGTGCGGCGGCCCAAGACGCTGTGGGGTGAGCACACGGAAGGACATGGGATCGTGTTGCAGCGACAAGACTCAGCGTATCTGTGCGATCCTGAAAAACGCACAATATGCCGACCGAGGCTGATCCGGCATTCTTACCAACGTCAAAGGTATGCATTACAAAGGTGAACAGTGCTCCTTGGAAGGTGATGTTGGCTGAGGGTCCGAATATGAAACTCAGACTTCCAAGGAGCCCGGCGTACGGGACAATCCCCGAGAGCGATATGCCAAAGATCGCCAATGCAATGACCGATGTCACAATAAAGCAGAAAACCAGCAAGATTCTGTTCAGGGCCCCGACGGACTGCGACAGATCTCGCAGTGAGTTGAAAAGCACACGTCGCTCCCGGTAGATTTGTATGACCGACTCCTTCATTTCTTTCTTCGTAATGTCTCCGTTTTGGTCCTGGTCAAAGATGGAGAAGGCTCGCTCGGCTTCTTCCTTTGTGGCAAAGTATCTGCCGAGAGCGGGTGTGTATCAGTGATCCACGGTCGTTTCTTGATCCAAGTGCTAATGATGAACCGCCGCAGGCTCTTCGACGACTTGGACAGAAAGATTACTGTTCCAGCCCGGCGCTACCAAACTCAGATAGCGAGCCTCTACTTGTCTTCGCCACCCGTTGTGGCGCCCTCCGAGGAACCGGCAAAGTCCTCCCAACAGACACTGTGTACATACGGCTCAAAGTCCAGCAATTGCAGTGTGGCACGCTTCTGATCACCAAGCAATGCCGTGAATATCTTCTTGGCAACCTTGGCGGCGTGCAGATCGCTTCCAGTCTCCATTCTGGAGACAATGACGCCGTGCTGCTCGCCCTCGATTTCCTCTTGCATCGACTGCAACGTCGACGACGAAGCTGTGCTCAACAGCGGGGTATGCTTGTCCCATGGTGCCGGATTGAGGACAAGGGTATCGCCGTTCTCCCTGAAGAACGAGGTCTTCTTGCGCTGCAGAGTGATCTTACGCAGCTTACGTATTTTTTCAATCTCGTTTTCGTCGAATGGGTCCTCCTCCTCCCCGTCATCTTCGTGGTCCGAGTATTGATGTTGTTCGGCGAGTCCATCGGCACCAAGCACGGATCCTTGGTTCAGCCTTTGACCAAGAATAGGGTCTCGCCCCGGAGGAGTGGCCACATCGTCAATGTCCAGTCGGCGCTCCGCTGCAAAGACAACACTTTCTCTTAGAATGCTGCTCGGGCGCCCCTGGTCGTCAGCCAAATGATTTGGCTCGGACTCGGGCCGGCCCCATTGCTTGTTGCGTGCTGGAACAGGATTCTTTTGGATTCCCTTTTTGTCACTGCTGATCACGACTCGCGCTTCCTTCCCGGAAGAGTTTCCCATGAACTGCGGGATCATGATGTCGCTGATTCCTCGCCGGTTGAATCGGTTCTTGATTGATTTTCTCAGGATGTCCAGGACTGCATGAGTTGGACTGTGTCAAGAGGTGGCTGTATCGAGAACACTTCCGTCTTTCCACGCCCCTTATGGGCTGTGCGGCATGCTCGCAACAGGCGATGTGGAATTTGTGCCATCCGCCACATACCCGCCAATGCCTCTTCGGACATTTTGATACGATCTTCGTACGCGGCCCTAGTTAACGGCAGCATCTGGATCAGTATATCATACACCGTGCATGAAACCGCATTCGCGGTGCTCACCTGTGGAAGCTGACGGCTGCTCGGCAGAGTCGTCCAGACCCATGTTGATTGGGCATCGAATTGCAGGTTATGAAAATTAAATGTCGAACACGCAATCATCAGTACCCGATGGGTCGCATCAATAAATCAGTACCCGATGGGTCGCATCAATAATTGAGTCCGATACCTAGCCATTTGACCACCGATACCAACGGGTGCATCTTACCAGCTATATGAACAAAGAGCTTCTCGATGGTGACGGTGACGCTCAGGATGAAGAGCGTGATCAGGATTTGCAGAATGTACCACCACCATTGGATGAGTGGACCAACGAAGCAAAAGCATCCCCAGAACGAAAGGCAGACATATGCCAGCCAAAAGTTCAGTAGAATGTACGTTCGCACTGCGAGAAAGTTCTGATTTTGAAAATAATGGAGCAAGGCGTGGTGATGAGCAGCAGTCGCTGGGTCGGCTACGTTTCGTGTGGCAAGCGATCAATCCGCGCTATGGGAAGCCCAGATAAAGTTGGCTGCATGATATCCAACATGAGGACCAGGGCCCAGAATTGGTTTGCATTGGCCTCCAAGCGGAAGCTTCGCTTTGCCTTCAGCCTCCGCATCACAGCTGTGGTGTGATCTGGCGGCTATCAAGCAACACAAGCTATGCCCCATCCACCAAAGACACGCATGCAAGCCGATGCATCCATCTTACCTCCATACTGGCACGGAAGGAGTCCGAGCATTTTTCTCTTACGGCGTTAACCAACTTCACCAAAGCGTATGGCAGGAGCTCGACGGCGTACCTGCGGCAGCGTGGTCGCGCTGTTAAGAGGTGGGGTCGCATACTCAAGCGGCCACTATATTGGTTGTGGCGCCGCGTTTTCATCGTCGTCCTGCTGCTACAATTCGCGGCAAAATCATACCAGAACAGAATGAAAGCAAACCAGGCGCTTGCGAGCCACAGTGACCTTGGATGAGAACAGCCGAGTGAAAAATGATCCACATTGGGATGAGTACATGAGCGGTGCCTGCCGTCGTGTTGCAGGAGCGCACTTGATACTCCATCCATCGCGATCCATCGCGATCCAACACGGCGATCTACGGGCCGTTGCGCTTTCCTACCATCGAGCCACCTCCGTCAGAGTCGAGTTGGGCTGAGTTGAATAGATTGGCACGAAGATCAACAGCGCCAGTTGGCCCTGTGGCCGTGCCGACACGATAATACCAGGAACGGCAAATACGACCGTGCCGAGGACTAGATATACGAGGAACCGGAGCCACTCAGGAAACCATCTGTTTTTGTGGCTTTGGGCATCCACACTCGGGAGCGATGCCGAGGGGTCGTCTTTCAGGAACCAGTCAAAATCGTCGTCCGGGTCCGACTCGTTTTCAGAGAGGCGGATGGCACCCATGTTGTCTGTGGTCACGTCCAAGACGGGTTTCAGAGTGTGTGCGCCTTTGGGAAAGAGCCTGGCAAGCAAGCCGGACGACCTTCGGTTGAGATAACGAGTCTCCTTGGATGGCGCCTCTTGCGTGAAATGATGGATCTCTCTTCCCGCTGGGATCTTGGCGTCATAAATGACCAGATTGGGCTGTATGTCTCGGCTGGCTTATGGCGGATCCAAACGAAGGCTGATCCAGAATGGAGGGGTCCACATGCTACCTTTGTTCTGCTGACAGGCACCGTTGGAGGCAGGCGAATGTCTGCTGGTGGGGATTGGGGCGTGGGAAAATACCATGGCGGGCATGCTCCACAGAGCCGGGCTGCGTGATTGAGCGTCGACCCACGGCAAGACCAAGGCTCATAGCAGCAGCAGCAGCACTGGGCTTCACACTCAGCAGCAGCAGCGCTTCATACCCAGCAGCAAATGGCGAACGCATCGCTTGATTGTGCTTGAAAGTGTCGACAGCAACATGGACATCGGCCCACAACCAGCACTTGCCCGCCTGCTGATTGGACGGCGCCATGCGCAGCTGAACACACACACACACATCCTTGCGACCAGCCAAAGTCTTTGTGGGCGTGGATGATCTCTGCAACTCCAGCACAAGCCAAGTGTCGACAACCGCCATGGCCGATCCGATCCAACTTACGCTGCAGTTTAGGTACGTCTGGCGCTCTGGTCCTGGCCCTGCGACTGCCCTGGGACTGCCCGGCGCTGCCAGCGGGTGCCCGTTCTGCCCACGCCCGCCTTGGGCCACAGCCGCCGCTGCCGCTGAGCGCCGCATCGCAGATTGCTTATTCTCCCCTCCAACCTCGAACCTTTGTGTGGTTCGGATCTCCGCTCCCCCTCCACTGGGCGGACCCAATGTCGTCATGGATAACAACAAGCGGTGGCATGGAGCTGCTGTTCGATAACCAGAAGTCCGTGGACGTCACCCTGCCAGCGGAATATGTCTCGGGCCAAGCCACGATGAAGGAGCTGATTGCCTACGTTCGTGACAATCTACTGGTTGAGCGGCCCGAGCTCTTCGTCCAAGGCGACTCTGTGTAAGTCAAAGATATGCAGAGATGCATATCCGCATCAATCGGTGGCTGGCAGTGACGTGCGCGGTGGAGTGGATCGGCCCGTATCGACTATCGCGGGGTCATCCGATCGAATATGCCAAATCCCATCCGTTCGAGATCCTCTAGGGACAGGCAACTGACGCTTGGTCGTAAGGATGTGACCCGTCCGCTCGGCGCTCCTGAAACAGTCGCAATGGTATCGGCCCGACTCCCTCCTAACGATCCGCTTGCTTCGATTCGATGACCATGGCTGCCTCGGGCTTCTTCTGGCGCCTTCGATGCATCCGGAATCGCTTTACTTCGGCGCCTCCACGCCGCCAGCCGCCCTGGAATTCTGATCCTGATCAATGAAGCCGACTGGGAGCTTGAGGGCGAGCTCGAGTACGTTCTCCAGAATGGCGACACCATCGTGTTCATCTCGACGCTCCACGGCGGCTAAGCGGCCCCAGCACCGCAAACGAGATGGCCCTGCCTGGGTCCCTGGTGGCTCTGTTCTGGATCTGAATACAGCGACGTCCTTCCGATCTTGTCTATCCAAGAACATCACCGCCTGCCAATACCCCGCATAGCAGATCGCAGTGGACGAATCTCTGCCAGAATCGCGGCGATAGGGCATGATCGCAGCCTGCAGCCATCGCCCAAGCATTCGGCCAGTTGACTAGGACGCACCATTCGCCACTGGAATGGTTGGTGTCGGCGGATTGGCTATTCATGGGTTCATCCACTCTTTCATTCTGCCCGACCTTATAAACGAACAGAGATCCTATGTACATGGGGGTGGATTGAACGACGCGTTCTTGGGGATCTATGCATCAACGTACATGAGCATGCTCATCGCAGAGGGCACATTCGTAAAGCGAGAGTCTTTCGCTGTCGTGCTAGTCCGACGATGAAATCAATCGGCACTTCTTCGGCGGCGTCGAAGCCACCGGAGACAGACGTCGCTTCGACCCTGGCGAGAGCTCGCCAAGGCTCTGTCGACCAGCCGCCGGACCTGGTTTTGGAAAGGGCGACTCGGAGAGACGGTCAAGCAGCGCAGCTTCATTGCCTGGTGGTCTGCTTTCGTCCAGCCATCGGGTACTGCCACTACCGGCGACTGTGTTCGGGGGAATTGATTCCATCTTGCTATTTTCTCGGGGGCTATCTGGTGCCACAGCTCTATCCTCGTGCTTGAGCTGCATTCGGGCAAACAAACAGGGTCAGAAACAGACCCTGATTCTCATCGACTGTGCACGCATGGTGCGGTCGCCTGTTCGGCCCAAGCGGGTTGTTACTCACTCCATGATTTGGCGCCGGTCGCAATCCCAAGGCTGAATACCGCGGAGCTTTTGAGAGTAATGAGTGTGAGGCGATGGATGAGTGGGCTGGCGCAAACAGCGGTCTGGATGCAGGCCGGTTGCGAGTCGATGAGCAGCAGCCAGGGAGAGGCCCACCCACGGCTGTTCTGCCAAACTGAGGCGCCCCCGCAAACGTCTGCTGCATCAACGATACAACTTACTCGCCACTTGGAGATCGATGGAATTCGCGTCACGGGCCCGTCCTGGAGATGCTTGCTGGGCCACAATGGCGCTATTGTGAGCAAACGGCACCTTGTCATCGACGGAGCGCAGCGAGACAGCTTTCCTTGACTGAGTCGCCAGCTCTGTGGATGATCTTTGATCGCTTGAGACGGGCTGCACCTTCTGAATCACGGACTCTCTGCCGACGGGGTATCGATAGAACATCTCAGCCGAGGCCCTATTGCCGTTTGGGTTTGATGAGTCGATGGGTGGATGAAAGGGCAGCCCGGAGTAGCCAGCATGGACAGTGTACTCGGAGTACCATTCCTTGCTCCGGGATATTGTTGTCGGCTGTTGCTCAGTCGCGGTGGTCTTGGGGAGGGCTTTTGAGCGTTGGTCATTGGATCGCAACGACGGGTCGAACGGCTTCTCCGGGAACTGGGAATGAGCGCCATAGGGTGCAGGCGAGCTCGAACATGGGTCGGTGTACGGCCTCCGCCATTCGAGGGAGCTTGCTCCAGGCTCATCCGCACGCAGTCGCTGATGAGGCGGTGCTGCAGTGACGTTGGCCTGGGCAGGCTGCAGAGTTCCTGACGGCATATCGGAGTTATGTTTGGTGCGAACATTGACAGAGGCCAGATGGATCAGTGACTCGGCAACCTCGCGCTCCAGAGACCTGCTCGTGCTGTTCGGCGGTTGGCATGGCGGGACAGTGGCCATTGTGGAAGACTTGTGGCTCGGTTGAGCGGTTTCGTGTACCGGGTTTGGTGTGGTTGTCGCAGAGCTGCAGCCCAGATCCGATTGCGGCGGCTTGTTGGTTGCTTCGTCGTGCGCTGGACAGGGTGTGTCGGGCGGAGTCTCGAGCCCCGATCCGGTTGATTTCGAATCTGGCCAAGTTCCTTCGGACCTATACCCCGACCAATGACGGCCAACTGAGGCCAGGTCCGGATTCTGTGGAATGGCATGCAAGGTTGAAGTTTGTGCAGCAAGGGATGGCTCCTGCTTTGGGAGGCTGAGATTGATTGAGGATCCCGAGTGGTCAATGCTCAAGTCAGGCTCACGGACAGCCATCAGCGCCTCACGCGTATTGGACGACGGCTCAAATCGATCCGGCCGCTCGGTTGTTCGCGAGGAATGCGACACTAGGCTACCCTGGCCATCGGCACCGTGGGTCCGGTGGTTCTGTTGGCTGAACAGAGGTGTGTTCGTTGCATTTCGGGTCTCTTGAGTATCGAATGGCCGAGATTCGATTCGAGGCGCAAGGGGGAGGGGCTGGCTCGTACTCTGTACGGCATGACTACCGCTGGCTGCAGGCGCGCAGGACGGCCTTGCACCGGGTAGAGAGTGCATGGCGGGGGCAAAGTAGTCGATCGAAGATTGGCCAGGGCTATTCGGGATCGTGATAGACTGGCGATAGCCTACTTGAAAAGCCGTCTCGCCCCGACTTGGTGGGCCTCCCAGATTGTCGAAGAGCGAGGTGCGCATCGGAAGTGCTGCGGACGGGTGACCGATTGATCGAGTGGACTTTAGGTTCTGAGGGCTATGTGGAGAGCCAGGGGCCAACGGGAGGAGAAATGCCGGCTTGGGCATGATCTGTGCACAGCAGCGAATTACATCAGCGAGAGCCAGCGACGTGGCGGCTATTAAGCCATCACCAACGACAGCGGCGATGACTATGAAAACAGACCTGAGCTTGCTTGTCGCCTGGCTTTCTTGAGGACTTTTTGGCGGACTGCGAGGACCTGGCCTTTTGCGGCTCGGCTGACGACAAGGTGGTCCCAGGGGCAATCGGACGGCCGGTCGGCATCGATCCGAGCACGGCGACGGGCACAGGTTGGATATGGGGGCTTGATAGTGGACTCGAGCTTGGTGACGATGTTGGCTTTGGTAGGATCTGGATTGGCTTTCGCCCTTGCACAGCATGGCCGATAGCTCTGTTTAGCGGAGCCTTTGCACCTGGCCGTGAGTCTCGTGGGGTGAGTGACGCTTCCGCAGCAGTCGTGACTGGGGCTGTATGGGCATTGGCTTTGGAGGCATCGGCGTCGTCGAAGCTGGAGGAGCTGGATATTGTGGACACGCCTGATGAAACAATGTCTGCGGACACGAGCGCTTGGGGAGTGGCCCGCAGTGGTGTCGGAGATGCAGCTACATCGAATGGAATCAGCGGTGAAGATGGCGCTGACGAGAAGACTGAGAGACGAGGGCTTTGTGCCAAAATTGACGGTTCAGGGTAGGGCAGATTCTCGGCAGGCGCATGCTGAGGAGCCGAGAGGATTGGATGCTCCCGCTGGGCAGATTGCTCGCGAGTGCCTTCCGTGGGTCGGTGTTGCTTTCCACGGCCACTCCGCCTCCGCGACGGACTTGGTGCGGTGGAGAGGTTTGATAGGGACGCATCAGGCGGTGCAGCTAGCCTTGATGATGTCGGGCGATTATTCTCGGCAGCGGCTGAGTCCTGGCGATGCGGCAAACAGACATGGTGTGAGATACGCGATAGTGCAGGAGGAGGAGGTGCGAGTCCGCCACTGGAAACACACCATCGGTTGGACAGGGACTGGGCTTGCAGGGAGTGCAGTGAAGGACAGGTTAGTGGGCTGAATTGGGTCAGCTACCGCAATCGATGGCTTTGACTCCTTCACTGCATCTGCGACAGAGTTTCTGTAGGGCTTGTTCGTCTAGATGAGAGAGATGTTGATTAGCTGCAAGTACGAGGGCGAGTGTGCCCCCAAGATAGAGTATTATGGCTCGCTGCGGAGAGACTGCTGCGGAGAGACTGCTGCGGAGGACAGTATAATGTGCTTCTGGAGCGATAGGGCAGCGTGCTAACTCACCGCATGATGTGTCTCTAGTCTATAGTCCGACGAATCCACCGGTCGTGGCCACACGAGCCCGTTTTCGGGAGCAGGCACCCGCCAGGTAAATCTTAGCCCAGGATTTGACTGAGAGGCACCCCGACAAGTGTGGAGCATTTGGAGCTCTTGGACCAGCCGTGAAAGTGAGGGGATGTCCAGCATGCTTTCGATGCTGTTGGATGGATGCACGGACCCAACATCGATCCATGATTAAGCAGCGGGATGTGTGTGAGCCAAAGCGCGAGCGGCATTACTGGTTCGTTGATGGCAATTGCGCGTATGGGTCTCCGAGCTGCTGTTCTTCGGAACAAGTGCTCGGCTTTTGATCTAGCGGCATCTGGGCTGCGCAAGAACAGCTCTACGATAGGAGCAGCGTCTAATCAGTTGGTATCGTTACCTCGAAGCATCGCCCGAAATATCGTGAACGCCTTGGTTGTCATAGAGCCGATTGAACAGGTCCACATGCTGTCGATACTGCGCGACCTGTTTCTCTCGCAAGCGAACAACATCGTCTGTGCAGAACGGATTATGTCAACATTGCGAGCTGTCGTCCGCGCACATGGAGCGGGTAGGAAACCAATAACCATTGGCACCGGCGCGACATGGACAAGTGTCGTACCATGCAGGGTTCTAGCTTCTCGTTCGATGGCTGGCAGGTCGCCTTGGGACACTCTGCTGAATACTTGGTGCAAGAGCTCCAGCTCATAGCCGCCATGCTTTGTCAGTACGAAGGGCAGCTGCGCTTGAATGATCGGTGGCAAATGCGACAAGTAGGGTTCCGAGACGTTGGGAATCATGATCCGGCATTCGAGACATTGTCGCCACCATGCTATGAAACGCACAGGGCCTATTTGAAGAGCACAGAGTCCAGAGTAAGTCAACTCCATCTCCATTAATACAGCGTGTGAACGGGCTGCGTGCATCAAAGTCTCATTTCGGGATCGTCGCGATCATTGTGTGCATGGCTCTCGATGGTGGCGACATGACCCGCGAGTCGAATCGGCGATCCTGACACCAAGGCTCACCTTGTCTGGTGTAAACGATTCTCCCATCTCTCTCCCATGGGCCGGCCTGGATGAGCTGAGGGGTGTGTTTCCGAGGCTTGTCGCTGTCATCAGGGCTTGCCGAGGCGCCGATGGGGATGTATGGGTGGCTGAGAGAGCAACCGGGACACGGAAACGAGGAGTGGTGCAGCAGGCTGGCGAATTGCACCTCAGGCCGCCATAGGAAAGTGGGCAGCGCCAAGTGGTTCGCCAGAGACGGTCTGTCCGTGAACGGGTTCTGGGGTATCAGCCATGAATGAGCAGACATGGCCGGGTGGGTTTGCACGGAGCCGCGAGCGTCGCCTGGGATTGTGGGTTGGGGTTGGGCTGGCTGCAGGGCGAGATGCATCTTGTTTGGGTCTGAGCCATGGACACGCAGCTGCAGATGCCGAGATTCGCGGTCCATGAGCGAACAGGGGCAAGAGGAATCGCTGGACCAGACCAGACCGGGACAGAGGAGACTGCAGGCCGAGACATCGATGCTGCTGCCCAGAGCGCATCGGCGGGCCAAAAGGAGGATTGTCCTTGCTTGTGCGCCGGTTGCAGCCACGGCCCTGTCCGCGGTTCCAGCCAGCCAGACAGCCAGAAGGCTGTGCCGGCTCGCCGTGCGCGATTTGTGCGGCGCCGCAGTGTGTGTGTGTGTGTGGGCTGTGCGTGCCACCAGCACGGCGCCGCTCCTCGGCGCGTCCCGGTGCGTCTCGGCCAGTCGGATGCGCCCTCGCTGTGCTCTCGCGCGCATTCTGCTCTCGCCTGTCCCTTGTCGGAGGCGCGCTGGCGCAGCTGCGGCACGCCCGCCGCGGATTGGCTGCAGGCGCGCCAATCACGGCCGGCCCCGACCGGCTGACTCTCCTGTGCGCCGCTGGCGATGGAGCCACGTTTGCCCTTCGCGTCGCGGCACCTGCCGCTTTGGGAAGGTCCGATCAGGCGGCGCCGGCGCGGGCTGATTGGCTGCGAGGGCCGAGGGTCGCGCCATCACGTGTGCTCTCTCTGGAACGCCAGGGCCAGACTGCGGTGCTTCCTGCGCAACATCCCGCCAGCGCCATCTCGCTGGCGGCCATGCTGCCCGCCGCCGTGGGTCTTCTCTTCGGCCGGCGCCCCATTCCTATCCAACAGGCCCCTCACCTCGATCTCGCCGGCGTCCACCACACCCGACGCGTTCACACACCCGCACAGCCTTGGCACTGTCGTTCTTGCCCACGAGCCTGTTCTCAGATGCTTCCTGCATTCGAGGATCTGGCCACAAAGGGCAATAGGAACCAGGGCGTTCCGACAAAGGTGCTCGAGACGCTCTTCTTTGCCTTGGCCTTCGATGACACGGAGCCCGCCATCTCTGTTTTCCTGGAAGCCGTCTTCTTCATATGGGAAGACCTGGCATTTATCGGAATCGTGATCGATGCCGACCTCGTCCCAGCACTGGCCGCAGTCCGGTCTGCCCTGGATCCGCTCAACTTTCTCTCTGCAAACTTTGCCCAAATCAACGCTGGCCAGTACCTTATCGCCTTGACGATATTCTTTGTCCTCCAGGCCCTGCTTGTGGTCTGGATTGCGCGTCCCAGTCGCTGGATATCCATCCGAAATGATAAGATAATGCTGGACCGCTCGAGTCCCACGGTTTTCCTTCTCCGTCAAGCACTGGTCGCGACCTCGACGTTCCTCATGGTCGCAATCACCCAGTTTGTGTTCACCCTGCTTGGCTGCTTGATCGTTCAGTTTGGCTCGTCGTCGCGTGCAACGGCCCTGCTGCCTTACATCTCAACCGTCTGCGACCTCAGCAACTCGGGCTACAATTCTCTCGCGATTCAAATAATCGCCTTCGTCTTTGCCATGCCATTGTTTTTCGTTCTGCTTGCGCTCTATCTTCTCGTGGCCATCCGCGCTGATCCGGCCATTCGTTCGAGTCCGCTCACCAAGATGCACTCCCGCTTCGATGCCGTTTACATCCTTGTCCGTCTGCTTATGGTCAGCTTCGCGGCAATAGGGAGAGACATGATCCAAGAGCGCATGATTGCCAATTCATTCGGGGCGTTTGTGATGCTGTGTGCCGTTTTGCGCCTCCATCCGTACTTTTGGCCGGCCGTCAACCAGATACGTGCGGCGCTGTTGACCGGCGCCGTGTTCATGGCACTTGCCGCCTTTGGACTTCAGAGCACTTCCTCCCTCTCCAACTGGGCCGTTATAGGCATCTCTATCGCCGTCGTTGGTGCAGGCTGCGGTACAGGCTATGGGCTTGCACTGCTCTCAGCGCACTACCTGAAGATCATGTTCTGTCAACGCCTGCAGAACAACCAAAAAATCTTCAATCGCTTCTTTGACCACGATGCTGAGCTCTCGAAATCGGCGTCTTGCGTCGGCCAAACAAAACCCGGCCAGTCGGAGCCATCTCCGGATTTGAATTCTAGCAAAAAGAGCGACGCTGAGGTGCGTTCGGGCACACTGCCACGAAAGCCAAAGGAATACGATCCGACTCAGTTGCCTTACGGATTGCAAACTCAGGTGTTCAACCTCTGGACCGATGTCGAGCTCAGCGCTCGCCTGGTTGCCATTGTTGCTGCTCCGGGACTCTTCACGACCGCGCGTCGCTTGAGCACAGAAGAAATCAAGCTTGTCAAGGATCTCTTCCGCAAGGGCTCGCAGGAATACAACCACCCCGGGGTCCTCATCAGCTCTGTCAAGTACGAGCGCCGTCTTAGGATTGGAACGCCTGATTCTATATGGAATCAGATATGCAAGGCCGAGTTTGCTCCCGGCAGCATTGATATGAGACTCCTGGTCAAGGCCGAGGTTGAGATGGCCAAGGAGTCTGGAGGCGAGGTCGGACATGAATACGACAGTAAGCGCGCTGCTTGTAGTTTCGAATATCAGCTTGCACTATAAGCCGAAGAGAGTGGAGCTGCAGAGCAACCAACTTGGATGCGATACGGCTGTCGGATTTCCATATTCGAACACTCTGGAGCGACACTGCTCTTCCTCGATCGATTCGTGCCTGCGTGAGTCTGACTTTCAGTGGCCTTGCTCCGATCATCCAGACTTTTTACAAAACGCAAGGTCCAATCATGTCCTCACATGCCAAGTCGTCATCGACTGCTGGCGCTTTATTCAAAATAACCCCGATCGGTGAGTGCTCCTTCTCAATCAACGAATGTATCGTTTGTTTCCGCGGGGTGCACCATCTGCAGCCAAGTCGCGGAGAGGTTAAAACTGAGAGCATTGCTCACTGAAAATAGTGATCACTGAGTACTGAGCAACTCCAAACATCACCTTAGGCTATACTTGCTTCCTCTGCATGCCGAGAAGCTCGTAAAGATCATCCAAATCACAAGCGAATCGTACAGAAACATCATCCGGCGATGGCCATCGAATACCGAGTGTCAGAAGATGTACATGAGCTTCCTCTCCGCCATGCGAAACGATGGCGTTTTCTCCGAAGAAGATCAAGAAAAGAACGGAAGCCACGATTCATTTCAAGCTAGCGCTTCCAAGTTGCGAATCTCTATGAGCTCTGGCGGATCGCAAACTTATTCGGAAAAACGATCGGTAAAGCTCCATCGCCATTCGAAATTGCCGAGCGAGATTACAGACTTATCGATGACCAGCTTTGGGAGCCGACTCAGCCGCTCCAGCAAGGAATCCGGTCGATCAGAAAAGCGCAGGGCCCTCGAACTCCGAACCGAGCTTGACAATCAAGCAAAATGGAACATCGACGCCTTTTCAACCACCATAAAGCTTGCTGCCATCGGAGGCATCCTGATGCTTTGCCTGAACCTCTATCTGTTGCTATCCTTTCGAGACATGCATACGCAGCAGCTCACAGCCGACTGGGGACTTTGCTATATTGAAGTTGCATCCTCAATCGCATTCATGGGACTGCGGCGCATGATCAACATGGCAAACGGCACCGAGACTGCTGATCTGGCAAAGTTTGATGCCTTTCGCATGCGGGTCGCCGTCTTCTCAAACCATGCCTACAGTGTCGCTCAAAATATCTGGGCTGTATCTGGTCAAGGCAATGGCGAGAAGCAAGAGCTGATTCTCACCACGTATCCGGCGCTTTTCTCGATCCTTCCGACGACCACAAAAATTGTCAGTCGAAACGTCTCCTTCTTCAGCATCATCGCACGCATGTTTAACTTTGCCTCTCGCGTCTCGGATATAAGCCTGGCGGACCAGAAACAAATCCTGAGCTCGGGCTTGGTCGGAAGTTCTGCCTTGGTCAACATGGCGCGATTTGTATTCCACAACGTTGGAAACACCACGAACGCATGGATACCAACTATTGAAAGCGTTCATCAAAGTTGGATCGGTCAAGAACTCATCGAGCGCTCTGACCATTTAGGCTACATATATTTAGTTCTCATATGTAAGGCAAACTGTGTTCTGCAGCGTTCAGTGAAGGACCGGCGAGTTGCCCGACGAGTCGAGGGAACAACAAGGCAACCGCCAGGTGCTTGCCAGGTGCTTGCCAGGTGCTTGCAATGCGGATGCGTCATTATTGAATCACATGGGTTGTTATTGTGCAAAGCCAAATAGTCCTCACAAGCCTTTTAATTCCAAATTTGATCTTATCGAGCAACGAAGGATGTCGCTGTACATTCAGCTAACACATCTATCCATTCTCACTCGACCTCCACTCAACTCGTATCCGGGCCTGGGTGGATGGATGGTCCCGCCTCTGAATATCGTCGGCCGCGGACTCAGTGATATGGATCGCAATCGTGGTATTTTGTCAAGTGATAGTCCAAGGAGGGATTTTCAAGCTGATCAAGCAGCAAAACCGCGCACTAGAGCTGTTCAAGTGCATTCCAAAGTCAATCATCTCCGATCTGATCGTCGCGGCCGAAAAAAACCTGGACGAGCTCGTCGGCACGGATATCCAGGAATCGCTGTCCTCGCTCACAGAAAGCTATGAAAACATGCTCAAAGAAAATGGCACATCCACAGACAAGCCATCGGATACAAAACCTCCGAACCCCGAAGCAGCATCAAGCCTTGAGGGCAGCACAGATTTCAACAGTGCACGAAGAAGAAGTGCCGTTTTCGACCCCACCAACAAGTCGTTGCCTCCGTCTCAGCCCAAGCCCGAGAACACCTCGGAGCAGGCCAAACGCCCCAAAAGTGGAAAGGGCACTGAGGCGCTCCTGAACGCAGGAATCAACAGCAAGGACGATTGGAACAGGCGATATCTGAGCAAGGAGCGGTACAGCCTGTGCGGCCTCATGATTTTCCAAGGCGTCTGCCAGATCGCGCTCTTTGCGGCCATGATCACCGTCGCGCAATATGCCATCACGGATCTAGAGCGGCTTGGGATGGTGTGCACGACCGAAAGCGCAACCTTGAGGAGCCTGTCGCTTGTGTTTGAAGGGCAGTACATGGACAGGTATCTCTGGTCGTCTACCGCCGAGCTGTCGGATAGCCTTGCAAATGCCATCAACAACACGTTTGAGATGCGCAACGAAGTGTTTTCGAGCTGGGTACCCCGATCGACCAGCGAAAATGAAATCCTCTTTGGCACAAGCTGTCTGGCCTACAACACCACCCTTTGCAACTACCGCCAAACGTATCAAGCCGTGAGTCCACAAACCATCGCAACAACCCGTGGCTTGGTGGCGCTCCTGGACCAGGTTTTGATATTGCTCGACCGCGCCAACCAGTCGTTTCCCCAGGACATGGCCACGTTCTCAGCCACTCTGCAAACACTCGATGATATCGCCGTCAACGACCTTATCGATGCCATGTCCGCTCTGCGCGCCAATGTGCTGCAGCAAGGATACGACAATATTTCATTTTACTTCCAAATTATTCTCGGCATCTGGGGTGCTGGGTTCGCCGGATCCATCATCGTGTTCTTTGTGATCCATACCAGCGTTACGTCCATCCAAGCCAACCTCAGCAAAACATGGGAGATATTGAGCCTGATTCCCTCCTCGGTCCACGACAAACTGCCAACGATCGGGTCTTTTATCAACCGCCTCAACCAAAAAACCATTGCCGAAAGAGACCCTATCTCTGTGTTTTACGGATACTGTGTAAGTTGGCTGTAACAGCAATGCCGCGCTCGTCGTGTGAATGATGGATCTGCGCGAGCTCCGGTATACCCGCCCTTTCCGCTCACATTTGTCCACGCTTCCTTTCAGGTCGGCAAAGGCGGCACGCTGATGGTCACCAAACCTTCGCGTCCAGATCCCATAGAACTGCACCAAGACAACTTCAAAGAAGGGCGTCTCTCGGGAATGTCGCTCTGGATGAGAAAGGAGTTCTACCGGAACATTTATCCAACCGGATCCTCCTTTGCCTCCAAACTCAAAATGTTCTATCGTCGCCGACGGCTCGCGCCACTCCGGATTGGAAGCATCCATGCCTGGGCATTGGCCACCGTTGTCGTCATCACAGGCGAACAGTCGGGATGGAATGACGCCCTCGCGGATGGCGGATATGGCTCGCTCATATTGTCGACCCTGGTCGGTGCTCTGAACTACCTATGCGTGGCCCTCTCCTTGGCGGATCTACAAGACGAATGTCCCAGAGCCATTGGCGGGATGTTGCACTATGCACGATCACATGGATTCCATGACGTATTTATCTTTATATCAAAGTGCTCCGAATTGTTCGAGTAAGACTCGCACCTAGTATCTCTTGACAGCACCGGCATAAAGCCTTGATGCCGCGCTATTGCTCACGATATCCACACCCATTTCGTCGCCCAGATACCTGCTCTTCATGGCCTTGATCAACGTCTCAATCGCAGGCTATTTGCAATCGATATTCAACACCAGCAGTACCATGCAGCTCGTCCATTCGGCCTTTCTCGTTATCTGCGCCTTCGGTGCGGTGATGTTCCTCGAGAAGCGAACTTGGATGGCGATATTGGTCATGTGTCTGCTGTCCATTGCCATCCTGGTGGGATACATCGTGATCGGAATGATATATTTCAATCCCACGATGCTCTTTCAAGGATACGCCTCAAATCTATCGAATCTCAGCATCCGCGCGTGGTTTCCGGGAGGAGTATCTGGTCTTGGGCTCTCGCTCATGCCTGGTCTCTGGTGGTACACAGGACTCGAGTCTGCGACTGCCGTCACTCAAGAGATGAAGGAACCGACGAAAAACACCCGTCATGCCCTCCTTGGATCATGGGTGACCCTGTTGCTCTTGGCCATATTCATGACTGTGTTTAGCGTCGGCGTTGTTCCAGGCGCCACCCAGATTGGCCAAGCCTCAACGCCGTCCGTCGCCACCACCTTGGCCCTCTTTGGCAACAGCACAACGAGCAACGTCATCGCAAATCTCTTGCTTCTTCCAGCCAGCATCAGCAATCTCTTGGCCTTGACTTTGGTATGTCTTGGGGGTGGGACTACGGGACTTGTCGTACTCGATGACAGTGCCTATCTAGACGCCAGACTTCCTATGCTGGTACCTGTGCTTGCATGTCGATGCCATCGAGGCTGACTGATTTGGCTTGAGCTTCGTCGTTCGCAATAAGCAGCCATCCTGACTACTGCTACCAACGTCCCTTGGCTTTAGGTTTGCGGCAGGCTGATGTGGGCCATGTCTATGTCGGCGTATTTTCCAAAATGGATCAGCGTCACCGCAAAGGATGAAGACCACTCTGGACATCCTCCGCTCCGGGCGTACGCTCTTGCGCTTACAATCTCGTTTGCGTTGTCTACCTACGTTATCGTTTATGTGAGTTCAAATCCAGAAGTGGGACAGGAAGAAGGGAGACACGGACAGGTGGATGATGTCGCATGCACCTGCTCGTTCAAGGGCAAGCGGATGCACCGACGACACCGAAATGCAGTCATTGTCTCGCTCCTGTTGAGGGAACTCCATACTATTTTTGGTGCTGATGTTCACTTTATTGATCTCCACTGACTGGCGGGCATTTTTTTGCGTAGCAAATACAGACGCAGGAAACGACGACAAACTTTTCTCCCCCCAATGTCATGCTATATGGATCCATTCTGGCCGCGCTGTGTTTCTACATCACCGTCGGGGCCGTGCAGATCAAGAAAGCGATCTTTCCACTGGGGCATCTTGAGTTCAAAAACCGACTCTGGTGCTTCAGTCGTGGCTTCATGCTGGTCAACTACAACGTCCTCGTCCTGTCATGCCAATTGGCTTGGAGCTCAGAGTTTCTCATGAGCTTTTGGACGTTCGTGTTTGTGTTGATCTTGATGCTGCTATACTATTTTGTATGGGCTCACAAGCGCATTATTCCATTCGAGATTTCGTCGAGTCAAACCACGGCCATCTCCAGTCCTGTGCTCAAACGAACGGGTCTGGCCACCGTGTCCGAGAAGAAGAGTCTTTGATAGCTCTCGCCATTGATGCAAATCAGTTATGTCGGGGGAGGGGGTAACAGAAACTCGCTTGAATCATCGCGTTACTAGATCGACTGCTGGCACATACAAACTGCACCGGTGTTGCCGTCGAACAAAGCGGCAATCCTTCAATATATACTCGCCACGATGAGGCTACATATGCGCTGGTTTGGTCCGACTGATATTAGTCGATTGAAAGTGCTGCAGGGCAAGCAAGGTTGAGCGCTATCAAGGTGACTGAAGCACCTGTATCCGATGCAGAGGCATATCTGCACACCATATATCGTGCGAGCAGTTTTAACTACATGCTTTCAGACGACGCATGGCAAGTGTGGAACGGGCTATATTCTGAATAAACGCGGAGCGGTGGTAGAATAGACCGCGGAGTCGATTGCTCTTCAACATGAAGACCTTCAAGGCTGCTAGAACATCGGCTCTGGTGGCACTAGCGAGGTTCGCCGCTCGTGTCTCCCCTCGAGCCGCTCGAGAGGCGATATTCCGGACTGGCTGTTTGCTCGTGTGCCTCTTCTGATTTTCTTTTCCAGCTTCCACTCGCGAACGTATCCGTCTGCACTTCCGGCAAAGAGCTTGCAGTTCTTGTTGCTCGACTCATGCTCCAGCCCGGCCATGCCAAGGACTGCACCTCCTTGTTTGTCAAAGATGTTGAGGAGAGTACCTTGCTCCAAGTCCCATTCTCGAATGGTGCAGTCGGAGCTCCCCGAATACAGCTTTCCGTTGACGACGCACAGCCCCCACACCCAGTCGGCGTGTGATTTGTATACTCGCTTTGGAGTCGACAGCGTGACTTGCTTGGAAGCCGAGGTATCCCATTCTGTGATTATACCCGTTTCGCATCCGGTAAAGACTCGAACACCCGAATCAACGAGATCAGGAACGACGAGGAGACTGATGATCCACGATGTGGGTCCTCCAAAGACCCTCAGAATCGCGCCAGTGTCGACATTCCATTCGCGCACGGTACCGTCGTAGCTACCGGAGAAGAGTCTCAGAGGGTTGTGGATAAGCGACAGGCAGGTGACCCAGTTCCGGTGGCCGTTGAAGCACTTGACTTCCATGCCGGTGCGGCGATCCCACTGGCGGATCTTGTTGTCCCATCCTCCTGAAAACAAATGGTCTTCGTATGCAGCAATGGCGCGAATGGTATTCGTATGGCCAGAGTAGGTCTGAGTCAAGGTTCCGGTCTCGACGTCCCATTCCTTCATCAGGTAGTCCTCGGCACCAGAGTAGAGGCGGTGCTGCGTGTAGTCTTCGCCCCGGAGTGCCTCGACGCTCCAGATCGGTGCGGTGTGGGCAGCGATCTGGCGCATCAGCTCGCCACTCTGCGTGTCCCATTGTCTGACGGTGCCGTCTTCATGTCCGCTGAACAGAATCGCCGGATGGTTGGGGTCGGTCAAGATCGTCACGGAGTTCACAAAGGACTGGGAGACATAACTTTTGATGACTGAGCGAGGGAGCACTGAGGACTCTGTCAAACGGATATGCCAACACAACGGCATGGCGCAATTAATCCGATTGCATTGGTCGAGTCCGTGGCACGAACCCAACCAGCAGAATCACAACAGAGGGCAGAGACAGCCAGCGATGCAGGATCAGCCATGTCGAGTGGTGTCACACTGCCACATGGCAGGCTCGCAGCCAGAATCAAGACAAAGGGAGGGCCAAAGCGTAAGGTGTGATTACCGTCAATCTTGGGCGACTTTCTCTTTGTTTCAGACTTCTGTCGCAGCTTTCTTGAGAGCGAATCATCGCCTTGGAGTTCCTTGGGCTCGGACTTTGTCTCGGGACTCAAGTTTCTCCCAAGATTGAACGATCCAAGGGCATTCTTGATCAGATCCGGCATGCTTGATCCCGGTGCATCTGGAGGTGGGTTTGTGAGCGACCGGACTCGGTTCTTGGTGTTCGCCGAGCGATTGAGGGTCATTATGGTTTTCGGCTGCACATCTGGCGTAATTGAGTCTGTCGAGGTGCTATTTTGCCGATTGGCTTCAGGAGAGATGTCGTCGGAGCTCCCTTTCAAGCTTGCCTTATTATCTGCTGTGAACCGGCGACTGAGTAGACCTTTCTTGGCAGGCGGTGCCGCGGCTCTGGTCTCGGAATCAAAGTTGCTTGTCGAACTGCTGTTTGGGAGGGGGGCGAAACTGTTTGGGAGAGGGGCGGGGCTGTCTCCGGTTTCGTAGACCAGCTCGCTCACCACCACAGTAGGATTGACTAGCTCTGCCTTTGTCCGGGCTGCTTGGTCGAGATACGAACGCAAGCTCTCCTCGTGGAACTGGAGCCGTGAGGTTGGAATGTGTGTGAGAGCAGGGATGGAGGGCGAGCGAGTTCTATCAAGCCAAGGCCGAGCCAGCGAGCATTATGCTGCGTATCTTATGCATTCCCCTCAATCCTACCGTCGCATCGAATGGGAGTGTCTTGGTGGCACTGGTCAGCAGTTGGTGCAGTTGTGAGAGCGCTTCCCGGATTTCTCGGTCAGACAGGGTGACGAGGCTCTCGATCTGAGGCAAGACGCGTGTCAAGTGTTATCCATGGGCACTTCCGAGAGGCGACGGCGCTGAGCATAAGCTGGCACAAGCGCATAGGATTGCAAGCGTGCTCGTGCCAGGTGCGGGCATGAACGGGCAACGCGCCAGCATCAAGAACGCACCTTGCTGAGGCCGTCCTCGGAGCATTTTTCAAGGGTGGCCAGGGCGTTGGCGAGGGACATGGAGCTCAGATCTGCATCCGACATCCCCTTCATCAGGCGCCGGATGATATTTTGGAGATGCAAATCCAGCAGCTGGCACTCTGTCAGGTTACGTTTCATTTGGCTGGTGAGTACGCTGACCCGGTACGAAACCTGCGCAAGCTTTGAGAACTCGTTGAGCACCGAAGGATTCGAGCAGATTGGAAAGATTTCAAGCTCGCCAGAGTTTGGCTGCTGCCCCATCTTGGAAAAGCGCTCCGAATCCACGAGATGATAGCAGAGGGAAAGGTATACCACCCAGGCAGGGTTGTCCGGCGAAACAAGAAGGAAGCCGGAAGAAAGGGGAGCCAAAGCGAAGGAGAGGGCTGAGGAACCTTGGCGAGACTGATCCACGCCTTGGGAATGAGATACGGCACCAGCGCCGCGCTGGTAGTGCGCGGATCAATAGCGAGCACTGAGCAGGCAAGTAAGCTGTGCCTCGGAAGCAATGCAAGCAGTGTGAAATCGCTGGATCTGGACCCATCAGGGCGCCGTGGCGATTGTTCCCACCCTCATTGACGTCAGCCCAGCACAATCAGGGGGCGAGCGGACAACGCGGATTGGCGGGGGCGTTCTTGCCGCGGCTCGAGCCGGAAGGAGCCGGAAGGAGCCGGAAGGAGCCGGATTGGTGGTGTGTGGGTGCATGCTGACACAGACTGGCGTTGCGCAGGCGCGGGTGTTGGGACACGCGCACACCGTGACCGCGGGTGGCCGCGACGCGCTTGTGGACAGCCGAACAGCGCAACACAACACAACACAGCACAACACAACACAACACAACACAACACAACACAACACAACACAACACAACACAACACAACACAACACAACACAACACAACACAACACAACACAACACAACACAACACAACACAACACAACACAACACAACACAACACAACGCGCTGTCCCCATCTGTCCCCGTTTCGATCTCCGTGCGACATTGGTGATACATTGGTGCGTCCATGGCTCGCGCCGCACTCTTCTGTGCGCCCACCTGCTGTGTCGCCGCCGGCACATGTCCTCGCGGCGATCGTCTTTCAGATTTCGCAACAGCGGGTTTTGACCATCCTTCGCATCCACCAAGCTCACAGGGCATATCCAACCGCCCTTATTATCGCCGCGTGCGTCCCCGGGGTTTCCTTCGCCAGATCCGGTCTACCCTGAAGTCTCCAGCCGCCGAGGCCCCTTCTCGCCGAGGACACATTCCTTTTCCGCTCCGTCTCCTCCGATCCTCTGTCGGCCGTGAGATCTTGTCCCAATCCCACTTCGTTTTCGACACTTCCCCTCTCCTCCTTCCACTCTGTATTGCTCGTCTGCTGCCAGCCAAGCGCTGACCCCTCCAGCTGCGCCTGTTTCGCCTCTTTCCGACCACCTCCACCCTGTCCCCCTCCGTTGCTGCTCAATCGCCCATCCCGATGGGAGTGAGTGACCCTGCCATTCTGGTCGCCGACCGCGATGCCACCAAGCCACTAAAGGGCGCCAACCGGCTCCTGGCTCCCACAGCTTCATCTGCCAGCAAACAGCGACAGCCGCCCTCGAAAGCCGGCAGCCAGAAAAAAGGACCCAAGAAGGCTGCCAACGAGGTCCCCGTCGTCGTCACCCCCACCCCCGCCTTTGCAATGAGTCCCATCGCCGACAGCTCCAGGGCCTATGCCAACGTCCTGAAAGTATACAAGTTCCCTCCGGACCCGCCCAAGAAGAAGAAAGGTGAGTCTTGGGGGTGGTCCAGGCACATCGGCTTGTCTGCGCGTTTCGCTTTGCACAGGATCGCCAGTGGACCTATCCGGCGAAAAGGGTGCGCATCGGTGGCCATTCAGTCCTCTAAATGCATTCGTTTGTCGTTGCCAGGCACCAAGGCGAAAAAGAGCCCGCCCAGCACCCTGTCGGCCCCAACGGCCTCGTCTCTGGCCAAGCAGGTCCAGCATAAGACATCGTCGTCGTCGCTGGCCTCGCTGGCCTCGTTGACCTCGCCGCCCCCGTCGAGCTGCGAGAGGCACAATGTGCCCAAGCCTGCTCCCATCAAGACTTCTGTGCCCAGGAAGCAGCCTCCGTCGCAGTCGTCGTCACGCACGCCGTCGCCCAGAAACAGCCAGACGGGCACTCCTATCCGAGGCCCCAGTCCCGTCAGCCCTGCGACCCGACGAGCTAGCCCCAGGCTCAAGGCAGCTTCGCCCACCCCGACCGCTCCTAAGCCCTCGGGCTCGGTCTTTGACCGTCTCGCTACGCCGAGCCAGCCCACTGCCAACCGAAGCCTGCGTCCTCTGTCGTCCGAGTACGGCAAAAAGGAGCCGGTGGTGAAAAAGTCGAGGTCGTTTGAGTTCACCCGGAAGAAGCCCAGCTCCCAGGTACGGCTTCCACTCGCAGGCTCGGTCGGTCCGTCGGCCGGTCCGTCCTGTTCGTGTATTCTTCAGCAACCTTCGCTCACACTCCCCCCTCCCGCAAGCTACTGACTCGCTGTCTCTCTTCCTGCGCTCGCCGACGGAAACGAATCGAATCAAATCATCAGGCCGGCCGTCCTCAGACATCGACCAAGGGCCCTCTTGTGTGCACCCCGGTTGCAGCAAAGTCTATACCGATTACGCCTGTCTCTCCATCGCAGCTGACGCCTCCGGCCTCGCCCCTGCCGCTCCACAAGGAATCTGCGCCGCTCTCGACCACCAGCCCCGTTAGCGAATGCAGCGAGCTCTTCCTCGACAGCGGCCTGCGCACACCCGGCATCGAGAGCGGCTCTGTGGCATCTACAGAGTCGTCCTTCCTTCCCACCACCGAGCTCCTGACTGTTCTGGAGGAGGAGGAGGAGGAAGACGAGGCCAGCCGGGTCCACGCCGCTTTTGGAAGCGACTCGGCCCCGACTCTGACTGTGGCTATGATCAAGCAGAAACTGCCGAGCATCTCTGAGGAAGCTGCCGAGCCAGGCATCGAACACGAGAATCCTACAGCCGAATCAGTTCCCAAGATCCACATCACCACTGTTGCCCTCGAACCTGCTCTACTTGCCCCTGCCACCGAGACTGGCGCTGCCGCCGTCAGAACCCCCACCCTTGCCATCAACACCGATTCTCCTATCTCCCAGGTCAAGTCCGCCAGTCTGCCCGAAACCTCCGCCGCACACGCCGAGCATGTCGAGTCTCAGACCGCCGCCGCCATCGCTGCTATTGCCAAGATCACCGCACGCACCTCGGGTGATGCGAAGCGAAAGTCTGTCTCGTTCTCTGTCCCCGTGGATCCCGAGAGAACCGGCATGCCCAAGAAGTCGTCCTTCCGTCTCTCTGGCGGAAAGAAGGCCTCGAACGAATACCAGCCCCATACCGGCCAAGTCGAGTCCAAGAAGAGCTCGGCCCAGCACGAGCAGGCTTCGCCAAAGTCCCCGCGCCCGCTGAACAAATCCATTCCCTTTATCAACCCCAACCGCCCATGGAGACCTCGGCTTGAATTCTCCCTCAGGGATTTTGAGATTCTCTCGACGCTCGGCACGGGATCGTTTGGCCGCGTGCATCTCGTGCAGTACCGCGCAACTGGAAAGTTCTACGCCATGAAGGTCATGAAGAAATCGCAGATCGTCAAGCTCCGCCAAGTCGAGCACACCCTGAACGAGAAGAACATTCTGGAGCAGTTGGACTTGCCCTTCATCGTCAACATGATTGGCAGCTTCCAGGACCCCGTGAACTTGTACTTTGTGATGGAATACGTCCAAGGTGGCGAGTTGTTCTCGTATCTCCGCCGTGCCGGGGTAAGCAGTCCAACTCCTAGCTTACGCAGCGTTGTCTCACCAGAGGGATGTCGGCAATGTGCGCGGCGGCCGGCATGGATCTGATCTCCCTGCTCAATTCTATCTCCTTCCTTCCGTCAGAAATTCCCGCCACACGTCGCCCAGTTCTACGCGGCCGAGGTCATCCTGGCCTTTGAGTACATCCATGACTTTGACATTGTCTACCGCGATCTGAAGCCCGAGAACCTTCTCCTGGACAACCAGGGCCACCTCAAGATTACCGACTTTGGATTTGCAAAATACGTTCCTGACGTGACGTGGACCCTCTGTGGCACCCCGGACTATCTGGCCCCGGAAATCATCCAGAGCAAGGGGTATGGCAAGGCCGTTGACTGGTGGGCTCTTGGCATCCTGATCTACGAGGTAGGCCCGTCTCCCTTGTCGACTCATACATCTCGATCCGATGCTCCCACCGCCGCTGTCCCGGACACAGCCGTCGATGCTGGCTTCTCTTGACTTGTATGCTCAGCGAGTGGCTTACTTATCACGCCGTGGCCTATCGCCCCACTAGATGATTGCCGGACATCCGCCGTTCTTCGATGACGACCATTTCAAGCTCTACGAAAAGATTCTGGCATGCAAGCTGCGTTTCCCTCCCAATTTCGACCCCAACGCCAAGGACCTGATCAAGCGCCTTCTGCAGCCCGATCTGACCAAGCGACTGGGCAACCTCCGCGGCGGTAGCCAGGACGTCAAAGATCACAAGTGGTTTTCCAACATCGACTGGAACATGCTCAAGCAGCGCCGCGTCATGGCTCCATTCATCCCGATCCTGCGGCACGAAGCCGATACGAGCAACTTTGACGAGTATGCCGAAGACTACGAGCCGTATACCGGTGTCGGCCCGGATGTCCACCGGGACAAGTTTATCGATTTTTGATTTGCTGGGACGGACAAGCGACAAGCCCTCGTTGTCGTCAAACCTGGGTATGGAATGGCGCACTCGTTCCCTGGCCCTCTGCTCAACCCTCCTGGCCAGCCGAATCTCTGGCTTGGGCTGTCGCCGACCATGCCGTGATTGTGTGTATCGTGTCCCCGAGCGTTTGGCTGGCTGGGTGGATGCTGTCCTTTCCTGTGCTTCCACTTTCCCATGCTGTGTTTTTTATTTAATTGCCCGTGCCGGTTGCCCGCATTCTTTACTTTCTCTCCCTCTCCATCTTGAGTACCCTTTCTCCACCATTATCTGTCGATTACTCCGTCTTTCCTCCGAGTCTCGTTCCTTCGACTTCCCTCTCCCGTTCTTTCTTTCGACGTCTCCCGCGTTTTGTGACAGCCCCTTCTTCCGTTTCGCCTTGCCGAACACGAAAGGAAACCTGAAACCAAGTGTTTCTCGGGGATCTGCGCCGGGAGGCGTTGCTTTCCGGAATCACCAGTCACCTGGCCAAGCGCCTTTAATCCCTCCCCCCGCACCTTCCCACACCCTTTGTGACTGTGTATATATTGCTCTTGGTTATGAAATCTTCCCTCCGCCCTCCCCCTCCCTCTCGCCTTTTGTGTCCCGCATCGCTCCTTTTCCTCCATTGATTCTTCCTTTCTTGTTTTTGATCTACCTCTGTCGAAACTTGTTCCTGTGTCTGTCGGGACAAGCCGTAGTACACTCAAACAGAAACACGTTCTGGTCTACAGCTTGACATAGCTTGATATAGCTTGACATAGCTTGACATAGCTTGATACAGCTTGGTATAGCTTGGTACAGCTCCTTTCGCAAGGTGTCTGTCCCATGGAGTCCGTCCAAAACTCCAATATGGGAGAATGGCCATGCGCACAGAGCAGGCTCGGCGGATCCCGCAAGCGACCCACATTCCCACAGCGACAGGATCGCCGTTTGAGGGCGGAGGGCTTTCCGCGAGACTGGGTCTGGCCATCACTCGATCACGTTGATCTGGCCACCTTCCATCGAGCGGTCTATTCTTCACGCGCACACAAACTCTGGGCCGCCGGATCGCTCCTCCTTTGAGCAGCGAAAATCTTCTCCGTCACCCTCATCTCCATCGACATCGTCAGCACTTCGACCCATACTCAGCCGCCGAGGCGCACGCTGCTCCCATCCGATGAATACCAAGTTTCGAATGTGCGAACAGAGCCGGATTGTGCGGCGATGCTGCCTTGCGCTCTGTGTGCTGGCTCAGCCCTTTGTCTCGCTCATGTTCGGCCTGTGCTTGGTGAAGCCAAGCCTGTGTCTCTCCGTTTTGCATGGACCGCCTCAATCTGTTGCTGTTGCTGCTGCTGCTGCTGCTGCTGCCTGCAGATCCGTCCATGTCCTGATCAACGAATCTGTGGCCCTTCGTTTCTGACACAGAAACTCGATGAACCTGAGGGACGCCGACACCGGCAAGCTCGTTTGGGACTCTGGCGACTGGTAAGCAGCCGTAATCATTCCGGCTGAGTGTGATATTGTGTCATTTCACTCACGTTCGCACGCCTTGTGCTTGTGTCCGCTCGCCTGATATCCATAGGGCTGCGTTGCAAGCCAATGCTCAGGGCATCGTTGAAGGTACCGGACAGATGGTCTATCGCCCACACATCCATATACATCTGCATCTGCGACAGGGGAGGAGGCCCTATGCTGGAGGCTGCTGCATCCTCTGCGCCTTCCACTTCTGAACTCACTCTCGTTGACTCAGCACATGTCCCAAAATCGGTGCTGAAATGCAAGGCCGTGGCAAGGGAGCTGGATTTCACAAGCGAGGATCTTATCGATCAGCTCAGAGTCGAGCAGCGCGTGCTTGTCCACGGCGACAGCGTTGAGGGTAAGAGCAATCCTCGGCTATCGAGGCACCTGGTATTGAACAGCGCATTCAAGGTATCGGCCAGCAAGATCTATCCATCCAGCTGCTTGCCTGGCCGACGCCTGTGCCGGGCCTCCGAAGGACGCATCGCCGCTCGCTCGCTCGAGTTGACAGACACGTTCTGGCCCTTCTTGTTTCGCCGCAATGCAGATTGGAACTTTTCCTTTGGATTTGTTATTCCGGGATCGACCAACACCTGGCAGACGGTCCTGAGTGCCGCCGAGGAGAGTGAGATGATTCCGGCTGAGATCCTCAGGCAAGTCGATGGCCTCGCTGGTCTCGTTTCGGGGTTCTATCCCCCATCTGAGATCGCTGGGAATGGGAATGGGAATGGGAATGGGAATGGGATTGGGATTTGGGATTGGGGGCCGATTCGCCGTCTTGTCTTGGCTCGAGTGGTTGTGGATGCACAAGATACGACAAGGGTTTCGCTTTCTGACTCGTACGGGTCACCTTTTATGTCCGGGATCTCGTCCATGGTCTGATGGCGCTGCAGCGGAAACACGATCATCGAGACGGCGTTTTTTGATGGCGATAAGGCGATATGCCGGCTGAGTGTCCGGGTTTACTACGAATGAGAGAGACGACACCCACACTCAGCCCACGGCCGTCATTCAGAGATCCACAAGTCCTGTTGCCCCCCCCCCATATTACCCGCTCACCACCAGTCGCTCGGTCCATTTCAGCGCGATACCAGGTACAGCAAATACAGAGACCTATTGATTTCATCCAAAGCATAGATACACATCCATCACACAGAGCAGAGCAGCGAACGGGGTGATACAGCTGCGGCAACAGTGAGATAGCAGGATGGTGTCGGCGGGGGTAGAGGTGTACTGATATATATCGGGGAGGGAGGGGAGGCAGTTGGTTGGAGTAGAGAGTAGTGTGGCATTGTGGCTTTGTAGGTGATAGCGACATCATCGGCAGCAGGGGCATCATCGACAAAGGGAGCGTCACCACTACCGATTCACCCTCGGGGCTTCGGGGATGGGAGGCCATTTAGGGGGTCTTGCCAGCAAGAAGCGACTCGGCGATGGTGATGATCTCGGTCCACTGGCCCTCGGCATCCTTGACAAAGTTCTGAGGGCTGACCTTGGGCGGGTTGGGAAGAGTGGCAGGGCAGTCGGTGCGGGGGGCGCTGAGCTCGTTGGTGATAAAGTCGAAAGGAGCGGCCCAGGCATCACGGGCGGTCAAGAAGCCGTTCAGGTTGAAGTACTTGTTCAGGGTGGCAGGGAGCGACGAGTGCTCAAACTGCGAGTCGGGAGTGGGGCCGTTCTGCGGGTAGGAGACAACGCGGCCCTTCTTGATCCAGGGGGAGATCATGATCGTGGGAACGCGGACGCCGAGCCGGTCGAAGCGGAAGAAGGTCGAGCTGTTGGAGACATTGTCGGGGCTGGGGACGTTCTTGGTGGGGGGAGGAACGTGGTCCCAGAAACCACCGTGCTCGTCGTAGGTGATGATGAAGAGGGTCTGCTTCCACTGAGGAGAGGCACGGAGGGCCTCATAGACGTTCTTGACGAGGAGCTCGCCCAGGGCGACATCGTGCGGGGGATGGTTGTCGTTGGCATTCACGCCGGGCAGCGAGAGGAGGATAGGGTCGATGTACGAGAAGGCCGGGAGGTTGCCTTCACGAGCGTCGTCATAGAAGCTGGACATGGGGCGGATCTTGAAGAGGATGTCGATGATGTTGCGGACGTCCTTGAAGACCAGCGAGGTGGGGAACTGGCCGTAGTAGTTCTTCCAGGAGACGCTGTTGTCCTGGAGATGGCCAAAGATGGACTTTTGGGGGAAGCCCTCGGCAATCTGCTTGGCGTCGTTGAAGTACATGCCCTGGGAGGTTCCCGAGGTCAGGAAGAGACGGTTGGGGAAGGTGGGGCTGCAGCACAAAGGGCAGTGTGGGGGCGATGTGTGAGAACGAAGCCGATCGTCAGTTGTGTTGGGATGCAAGACAGTTCCCGCCAAGCCAGCACACCCGCCAATCCACTAAACACACTTACCCAGGGACGGCAGCGAACCACTTGTCAAAGACGGCGTATTCGTTAGCCAGGGTAAAGGTGATCGGCAGGGCCGAGGTGTTGTAGCCATCCATGGCCATGTGGAGGATCGAGGGATCGGTGCTGTTCCACTCGATCGAGTTGGCTGTGAAGCAAGGATCCGACTGCAATCAGTCACTGGCGCCTGCCATTGGCAATTCGAAAGAGCGCCGATGCGAACGACCGACCAAACGAGCGGGCGACTCACCATCCACAAAACCGCTCATGGTCGCGGGGTTGGGTCCGGGGTTCATGGTGTTGGCACCGAGACCGTACAGCTCGGTGGTGACGCCGGCAACGGAGTGGTCAGGAGACTGCTGGATGTAAGAAGCGTTGGGCAGAGCATCGATAACCATGCCGTTCTGGGAGAGGACGTTGTGGGCGCCGGCGGGTACACCGTCGACGGCGACATCCTGGCGGGTTTTGGCCCACCAGCCCAAGAGATGGTCGAACGAGCGGTTCTCCATGCTGTGGGGGTTTATGCAGACAGTGATGGAAGTGCTGTGTCAGCGCTCGGCCAGCATCTGTTGCCAAACGGTGCAGATCTTGGACATCAACCGGCCGACTGCAATGTCCGACTTGCTTACCACAGGACGACGACATTCTGAGGATGGGTTGTGATAGAGGAGGGGAGCAGCAGATCGAGTGGTGTGGATTAGATCGTGAGCCCATACATCATGGGAGCCGACAGGTGGGACACACGCCATGACACAGGCCGTCACAATCGACATCGCCGATCGTCACCTTGATTCTGCTGTCGGCGTAGACAGTGGCGCTGCCGGACAGGTACACGGCTCCGAGGGCCAGGACGGGAACGAGAGAGAACTTCATGGCGTCCGAGATTCAGGCGACTTGCTAGAGATCGCGGGGTCGGGCTCCGAGGCTGGGTCTCTGGGTGTGTCGGCCGAAAGGGGAGGCTCCGACCGTCGAGGTATTTATGTTCCAGCCCGGATGGAGGGTCGAGCCCGGTGGGAACGGAAGCATCCTTTGTGGTGGTGGAGGTGGACGAAGGAGGGACATGGCCCGGGCACAGCGAACGATGGTGGATTGGAATCGCACGCGACGGGGAGGGGCCGACAAGACGCCGAGGGAATGCATGCGGGCCAGCAAAGATGCAAGCAGCACTGGCGGTGTACGATTCCGCAAAGGCGCGGGAAAACAGCAAGGCAAGGGGGGGAAGAACCGATTTTCATGTGAAGCACGAGAGCGCCGCTGACACAGCCCCGTAACGGGTGTCTCGCAGCAGCACTTTCGAAGAACAGCACAACCAGTGGAGAGACGTGCGCCGGCCCAGAGCAGAGCCTCGGCAAGATGGAAAGCATGCGGCAGGCGGGGCTGAGAGCCAGCCGGAATGGACCTGGCGACGAGGGAGAAGCATGAAAGCAGGCGCCTGAATGGAGCCAGAGGCGCACGGCCGTAGCACTGCCGAGGGGGACCGACTTGCCACAGCACGGACCCAGAGCGAACCCATGAAACCGGTCATCTGCCGTGTTGGGCACAGGGGTCCCAGCGCCGTTGCTGGAGCTGTGCAGCTGGTGCGCTGGGCAATCGACCGCCACCGACCATGGGATGGACAGGCGCTCAAGCATGCTGTCGACAGGACGCAATTCGTGCTCGGCAGCGATACAGGGCGACCACAATTCGTGCCTGGGAGGGCCGTGGGAGAGCCAAGCTTCGATTCGATCGTCTGCGAACAATGTCACTCGGAATGGGTGCTTCCGACGATGCAAGGCTCTTTTAAAGACACACTCTGAAGATCCCCGCTTTGCTGGTCATGTACGACCTCGGCGAACTGCTGCCCAGCACCAAAGATCGCACCCATCCAAGCACGCATGCGAGCAAACGAAAGCACGCGGCCGGCAACAGCTGGGTGGCTCTCTCAAAGCCACCACCGCGTGCGATCGATGCGCTCGGTGCATATGGACCTTGAGCCAGGTGGCGCATCGCCGGTGCCCCAGTCGTAAATTGCGCTTGGATTGATTGGGAAGAAGCAGTCTTTGTGGGCTACGGAGGCATGCGATTCGCGGATGTCGATCCGCAGGTCGCAGTGGCATCATGAACACGCGGCACTGTTCCCGAGCGACAGGATGGGCAGATTTGTAGAATCCAGTACTGGCTGGTGCTGCTCGCATCTGCGTTGCGGATCAGAGGAACGGTTTGTTGCCCCTGAAAGCGGGGGTTGCTGAGATGACGAACGACGCAACAGCGACCGCCACCGCAGAGCGATCACTGCAGGAAGAATAGACGCCAGAGCCTGCGATCGAGCTTCGTCGAGGTTGGGGAGCAGTTGCGGTCGCCCATAACCGAATCTCCATCGTCGCCACAAACATGACCTGCGTAACAGACATGACCTGCGCCGCCGATTACAAGCAACAGGCTGGTCTCTCGGGAATCGCATGGCTGCATCGCAGAGATCGCAGGTGCTATGGGCTCTTGACGTCAGTGATGATTTGTCATGTATATTTAGGGTCTAGCAGAAGACAAGCATCGACGCTGGCCATAAACACAGGATGGGTTCCGGTTCAATCTGCACACCCTAACAGCTGCGACATGGAGATGGAAGCGAGGCAAAGGAGAAACGAGCAAAGTGAAGAAGAGGAAGAAGAAGAAAAAGTACCAACATAAACGGTAAGATGGAAAGCGGGTGAGAAAATTACAGGCGATCCAAAAAAGGGATACCCTTGATTTTGACCATTGATCAAATAATTATTACCCGATACCATCGCGCGCTGGCCATGACCGTTCGCCAGTGTGTCCAAGAGCACCATTCACCGCTGGCACTCCGAGACCAGCGCAGGTCGATTGTGGAGACCGGAGAGCGACCGGTGGTCTTCACTCGGAGGCTGCCAAAGTGATCTCAGTTATTTCTTATGGCATAGTTGGACGCATGCCATCACAGACTACGCTGGCATATGGGTTGTGGGCAAGTGTCCCATTCCCCCCCCCCTGAGTAAAGTGTAGGGATCAATCAAAAATCGACAAACTGAGACTCATAGACATCCTCGACGTCGCGGCCGTACTCCTCAAAGTCCTCGTCGTAAATGTCAAAGTTAGAGGTGTCGTCGCTGCCCTTGACCGGCGGGATGTACGGAGCCGGGAGCTTGCGCTGGGCAAGACGCTTCCAGTCCAGGTTCATGAACCACTTGTGGTTCTTGATGTCGTTGACGCCACCGTGCAGGTTGCCGTAGCGCTTGCTGAGGTTGATCTGCAGCAGCCGCTTGACCAGGTCCTTGGCGTTGGGCTCGAAGGTGAGCGGGAAACGGATCTTGCCGATGAGGATCTTTTCGTACAGCTTGAACGGATCGTCATCGAAAAAGGGCGGGTGGCCAGCAAGCATCTATCCGATAACGACGGCGATTGTGGAGCGGCAAAAAGAAGAATCCGGGGGTGGTAAGTGGCGATCCTCGCAGGGCTGCGCTGGTTCACACCAGTGCGGGGTGAGCAAGAGCCTACCTCGTAGATCAAGATGCCCAGCGACCACCAGTCGATAGCCTTGCCGTAGCCTTTGCTCAGAATCAGCTCCGGCGCCAAGTACTCCGGGGTGCCGCAAAGTGTCCAGGTCACATTGTCCGGGATGTACTTTGCGAATCCAAAGTCGGTGATTTTGACGTGGCCCTCCGAGTCCAGCAGGATGTTCTCGGGCTTGAGATCGCGATAGACAATGTCATGCTTGTGGATGTATTCAAAGGCCAGGGTGATCTCGGCAGCGTAGAACTTTGCGACGGACGGAGGCAGTTTCTGCGGGCAGATGGATGTGAAGGTAAGCGAATGTCACTGGCAGTCGGACAGGACAGCCGGACGGAGCAATGCAATGCGGTGGCGGCTTTGGCTGCACCCGCGATCGTGGCTGCTCGAGAGAGCAGATCCCAGTCAGGAAATGGCGTGTCGGGCAATACGACAGGCTTCGCACCGGAGCGGCGGCGGCCTTCTTTCTATCAGGGGTGCAGCCGCAGAGCAACCCAGCGGACGGATAGACTTACTCCTGATCGGCGCAGGTAGCTGAAGAGCTCACCGCCCTGGACGTACTCCATGACCAGGTACAGATTGGTGGCATCCTTGAAGGAACCCATCAGGTTGACGAGGAAAGGGTGCCGCAGCTGCTCCATGATCTCCTTCTCGTTCAGGGTGTGCTCGATCTGCCGCAGCCGGACAATCTTTTCTTTGCTGAGGACCTTGATGGCATAGTAGGTGCCAGTCTGCTTGTGCTTGGACAGATGCACTCGGCCAAAGGCACCAGTGCCCAGGGTCCGGTGGAGCTGAAAGTCGGCAAGCGCAAACTTGTTGCGGGTGTCCTCGATGGGGGTGGTGGTGTTGACGAAGGTGTGGGGCCGCTGGATCTCGCGCGGGCTGGGTGTGCGAACGTCCGAGTGGACCTTGGTGCCATCAGGATTCTGTTGGCTTGGCACGGCGGGATAGGCCGGCTTCTGGATGGCGACGGTTGGGGTCTTTGGCAGGGCCGATGTGGGCGGCGGAGTGGGTGCGGCTGGGCGGATAGGGACAGGCCGAGGCAGCGAGCTTGCGCTGCGAACGGAAGCCGAGTCGGCCAGGTGAGCAGAGGTGTCGAGACAGGGCGTTGGCGAGCGGGTGGAGCCCTTGGGCTCGCTGGTGATGGAGACGGCCGAGTCGGCGAGGGTTGGGGTCTGCGAGAGCGAAGCGCCTTTGAAGGCCTTGGAGGCGACGGTTCGCTCGAGGGAGGCCATAAGATCGATTGAGGGTTCGAGGGGTGGGAGCAGCAGCGGATCGTCGCAAGGGGAGGGTGGCCGAGCGAGGGGGGATGTGGGACGGGAGGGCCGAGTGGTGGACTGGGTGGAAGGCTGGGTGGACTGGTTGGTGGACTGGTTGGTGGACTGGCTGGTAAACTGGGCAGGGGACTGGAAGCGAGCAGGACCGGGCGAAGAGGAGGGCACGAAGGAAAGCCGCCTCACAGTCGAGGTGCGACGCAGCCAGCGATTGAGAGTGTTGCCGAACTGGACGCTAAGTCGGTGCGCGGCAGTCTTATTGGGCGAAGGGCTTTCTCGGGGCTTGTGGCTGGGGGTCGCTGGGTCTTTGGCGACGAAGGCAGAACGGAGCCAAGCCAGCATCGGAGCCGAGGCAGACCAAAGGCAGCGCGGAGGGAGGGTTGCCAGACGAAGACCGACAGAGGACGGATCGGGGGGCGGCCTGGGCGACAGGTCGAAGGGCGGGTGTGCTGGGCTCTCGAGGACCAGAGGACATGGGCCACAAGGGCGGCCTGCGACGGACGCAATATATGGGTGTGGTTGGGCATGTTTGGGTGTTTGCGTTCGCGGAAACGCCGTCGGGCGAGCCTGAGCGAGTGCGACATGTCTGGGCGCGATGTATCCACAGCGACAGCCGGGCTGGTGCTGGTGCTGGTGCTGTGGATGCTGATGCTGGTACTGTGGATGTTACGGATGCTGTGGGTGCTGATACTGATGCTGATACTGGTGCTGGTCTTGGTGTTAACGGTGCTCTGCTGGCTATGGACATGGAGTGGGCTTGGTCTGGTTTCTGCTCTCTGCAGCATCCGCAACAAACCGCACAGCACAACGGCAGACACAGCCACAGGCCACACACACGCACGCGTCTGTGTGTCACCGCTCCTGCCTCTCCTGGACTGTGCGACGGTCCACCGGAGCAAACGTGCCCCTGGCTTGTCTGCAGATCGCCCAATCCCTTGCACAGGGCCGTGCCTCGGCCGCAGGCTCATGCTCCCTCCAGGATTGTCCCTCTGGCATTGTCTTCTGCCTCGTCGGCAGGCCCGATCATGGCCCGATCACGGCCCGATAGCCAGCCTGCACCGCAACAATCGACCTCGCGGTTGCTCGCTCGCTCGCTCGCTCCAAGCGCTGCCCAGCCAGCACACACGCCCCGCACTCCAACTGACCTCCTAGCCTCTCCAGCAGACACCCTGCACGCTGCCTCCACCCAGAGTCTCTGCACAAGCCATGCCGCAAGCCCCGCCATTCAACATCCCTGGCGTGTGCAATCGGCCGCCGCTGGCCACGTTCCCGTCCGATGATCTCTTCGCCGACGTGACAAGCGAGAAGAGCCAGACGGCCATCGCAACGACACACACCTTCTCGTCGACCCAGTGGCTGTTGCACTTTCACCAGTCCCTCCACTTGCTGTCTCGCAAAACCGCCCTGGCCAGCTCGCCGGACAGACGCTCCAACCCTGCCACGAAGCCTGGGGCAGACGAGGCTTCCCACGCAGCCAAGGCTGTGACGGCGCTGCGCTGCGTCATTCAGATGGGAACCGTGGGTAGATTTCGATGAGCCTGGTTCTCGGTCGTCATCGCAGAGGATATAGGCGGATACGGTGGGGCGATGAGCAACAGGCCGGCCGGATGAGCAAACAGGCTGGCCCGATGACACTCGCCATATGAAGATGCCGTACCGATAGCGCTGCTCTGACAGCCGGTCCCCGCCTCTCCCACCAGATATTTGTCTGCAACTACGGCAAGTACCGCCTGCCAAGCGGAGAGGAAGTCGAGCTGCCCAGGCGGGCCCTCGCCAACGCCATCTGCCTCACTCAGGTTTTCGACCTAAAAAAGCCCTATTCCACCACGGAGCAGCTCAAGCGGTCCACCAACTTTGGCGATGTCCCGTCGCTGCCCAGTCTCCGATCCCGCGGCTCCATTGTCGGCCGTTCCGACATTTCCCTTGCCAGCAACACGCACGGATCGACCCTGGGACTCGCGGCAGCGCCAGGATCGCTGTCGCCGGGCTCATCAAAGTCGTCCGTGTCCAGCAAGGGCTCAATTCCGAGGACAGCTCGAAGATCATCCTATGACATCCACAACATGAGGTCAACTGAGAACGCCCGGCAGCCACCAGGATCGATCCAGGGCACGAGGCGCCTTGGCAACTCGGTGGGATCGTCGCTGAACTTGCAGACGGCGCGACCCAAGAACGAGGAACCAAAGAATCTGCTCATGACAAGCTCAGTGACCCTCAAGTTCTCGACGCCCTCGCTGAACCAGATCATGGGCCACTCTCAAACCATGCCCAAGATTTATGTCATGGAGGCGGATTGTCTCGAGGGTGAGCATCGAGTGCTTCCTGCACATCTATCTCCCGGGTCATTCCTGCTTACGGCATATGTGCGGCCCTCCTTCGCAGTCGCCATCCGGTTGGCAAGATCCACAGGGCCGAGCCAGCCGTCCTTGTATCGTCGCACCAGTCACTCCCCGGCGGAGGATACCGCAAGGGCAACTATGGTCAGGAAGAGCAGGTTTGCCGCCGATCCAATCTGTGGGAATGCCTGGACGACCCGTACAGCCGCCGCGGCCCGTTGACGCAGTGGAAGTTTCCCCTGCCCGACACAGCGTGCATTATTGCGCCGCACGTCTACGTCTTCCGGGAGAGCGAAAAGAAGGGCTACGGATTCATGGGGGAGCCCTTCAAGTTGACCATTGTCACATCGAGCCCGCCCATCAACCCCCATCCGGAACAGCCGCTGGACCCTCGGGTCGCTCGGTCGCTGTCCAAGAAGATCGAGTCGGCTCTCACCGTCTGCATCCGAGAAAACATACGCGTAGTTGTGCTGGGCTCGTATGGCTGCGGGGCGCACCGCAACCCGCCCAAGGATGTGGCCCGGATCTTCCATCAGCTCATCCAAAAGCTCTCGAAGGACTCGGCAGACACAAACGGCAAGCCGTGCTTTGAGCTTGTGTGCTTTGCGTGTCTGGACGACCCGAGCCGACCAAGCGGCTGCGTGGGCGCCTTTCTGGAAGAGTTTCGGTGTCCGCTCACCACCTGGAAGGACGTGGAGGCAATGGAGCAGCTCGCGAGCGTCGTCGACGATGCCGAGGCAGTAGTCAGACACTCGGAAGCCACGCCGAATTCCGAAAATCGGGGTGGGATGTGAGCCGGGATGTGTGGGATGTGTGGACGATCTGGGAGAGAGAGCACAGCAGCTGTTTGTGACCGTGATGAGGGTATCTCGGAATGTAAGACTTGTCCCGGGAAAACACACCGCAGGACATCCCGTTCGGCGGCAGATCGCGACCGATCCTGGCATCGTCCATGGAGCGGAGCTTGCTGGCTGCGACCTGGCTGCGACCTGGCTGCGCTGATCGGCTGGCGATTGGCTCGCGCCACAGATTGGCGTGCGCGTCGCCACACGAATCCCTGAATCGCCACCGCCAGTCGCTTGCGGGCGGAGCGTGACCCAGCAACGCGGTCCGGTGCCGCCTGTGTGTCACCGGCAAGACGCAAGCAGGGCGGCCAAGGCAGACACAAGGGCCGCGGCAGTGTGGCTGGGTGTTCTGCCACAACGTGCGGGGGAACGTGCTGAGACAGCACACTCGCTCAGCGGCCACGTTGCTGTGGTGCGGGCATCGTCGGCCAGTCGCACAGAGGCAGTCGCACCATGCCGAGCAGCACAACCACAGGGCAGCACAACCACAACTACAACCACAGCGAGCACGCTGCTGGCATCCCCCCTTCGGCAACATGCGTGCCTGGTGTGTCGTCACGTCGCTTGCCTTATCGGGGGTGCCGCGTGCTCCCTCGGCGCGTCCGGGGGCCGGTCACAAACCGGCCACTTGCCTTTTTTTGCCGCTGCTGGGTCGGCACAGTCGCTGTGTCCTTTCCGCTCTTCTGTGCGACACAGCGCAGCCGCGCCCGAGCCAGTGTCGCGGACGCGTCTGTGTGGCTGGCGCTTGCTCGCGCCGGCACCACAAGCTGGGCGGACTGCTGCGGCCCGCAGTCTCTGTCGACAGCGCTGCTGCTGTTTTGGCTGGGCAGCTCGTGCATCACTGCGACTGTGGCAGCATCCCCGCCGCCGCTGTTTCTGTCAACACAATCGCCTCCATCGCCGCGGCCCCTTGTCTCCCGCGATCCAGCCCCGGCGCCTGCCCCAGCCCCTCCCTCCAGGCGGAGGCTTCCCTCGGGTCTTGGTCTGCTCCTGTCTCCCACCGTCTGTCTCCATCATCTTCGGCTCCTGGCCCCTCGCATCGGCCCCAGCAAACCATCCGGACCCGCAGTGCACTTCATCCGTAAGCACACCTTCCCCCCACCCGTCTCCTGGCCGCTGTCTTTGGCGCGGAGGGCAAGCACACCTGCCGCTGTCTTTGCCAGAGCCGTCGCTTGCCAATCCACCGTGGCTGGAAATGCGCCGCCCACGACCTAATCGTTATCGTTCCAGGCCGCACCAATGACCACCGCCGCCAGCTGTATCGACCTCGGCACCACAACCGACTGCAAGGAATTTGCAGGCAAGTTCAGCAATCGCATCGACCAGCGAGCGAGCGAGCGGGACGATCACTTCCCTCTGTCTCGTCACGGGCAGCAGGAAGAACCGCCCCGTCCTACTCTCTTGGCATTTGCCCCCAGCTAACTGGATACTTCGACCTTCCGCCAGGCAACTACATCGTGGCTGCCTCCTCCGCCGATGCCGACAACATGGTTAACCAAGGCATTGGTGCCGCGTGGCAGAGTGCCATGCAGACCCAATTCGCCTGCCCCAACTTTGACGAGACCTCGGTCCGCTACCGGCTGGCCGCCTACTGCGGTCTCCTTGCCGATATCTACACCAACTCGGCCCCCAGCAGTGGTGTGAACTGCCCGCAGAACGCCAACCGTCCCGCTACCGCCCACCAAATCTGTCCCTCGGCCCTCCAAGCATACCTCAGCACCCTGACTGTCCAGTACAACGGCTGCGACCCAAACAACCAGAGCGATGCGCGTGCCCAGGATGTCGCTACGTACCAGCATCTGTTGAGCGATCTGTCATCGACCGATACCCCTGGATGCATCAGCGTCATGAGTCTGGAGCAGAACAACACCGGTGGCCAGGGCGGATGCGGTAAGTCGCTGTGCACGGAGATGGCAGCTCGGTGCCCTTCCAGCAGCTTTTTGCCGTGACACACATGACCTTTTCTCTGGGCACTCTGGCGTGGGGTTCCTGGCTCGATGCTGATGCAGATGCGATCGGCCTCCCGTCGTCCAGGCTTCCACACCACCGACAAGTTTGTCGCCTACTGTACCAGCAACCCCACGGATCCCTGCTGCAACACCAGCAGCGCCTCCTCCAGCATCTCTGCGACTCCCACGGCAACTACTTCCAAGGCCGTTGTGGCTGCCCCGGCTACCACTGCTGCCTCGCGTCCTACCGCTGCTGCTGCTCCCAGCCCGACCCCAACCCAGGCGGCCAGCGGCACCAATATCCCTCTCATCGCCGGTGCTGCTGGAGGAGCCGCCGTCCTCCTGATTGCCACAGTCGTGGGCTTCCTCTTCCTGCGCAGAAGAAAGTCCAAGGCGGCTCAACACGAGGATGTTTATGACTACGGAAGCACTGCTGGCCCCTTCGGTGGCAACGGCGGAGCCGCCGATAACATCCCTGTCGCCGAGACCATGCAGGCCATCTACAACTACGTTCCCAACCTGTCCGACGAGTTGTATATCTGTAAGCACCGTGGCTGCTGTGATGCGCGAGGTGTCTCGTTGGCGACTTCTTTTAACCCTCCGACCCGAGCTCACCGCGCCGAATCGGCCATGAGTGTCGATCTGTCTCCATGGTCGTGCACTCGCGACCAATCGCCGCAACGCACTGAACCCCGTTCTTCCCGACTTGCTTTCCAGACGTTGGAGACACTGTTATCGTCAAGAGCAGCTTCGATGACGGCTGGGCCTTTGGTTTCAACATGACCACCAAGCAGGAGGGTACCTTCCCGCTTGCCTGCCTGGCTCCCTTCAACGCCCAGGGCCAGGCCGAGCCTGGAAACCAGCAGCGCCAGATCAAGCAGCGGGCCTCCTCGCTGTACATTCCCCAGGGCGCCAACTAAGTCCCTCGGGATGGCTGGTCCAGACTCGGAAGCATCCTGCCTCCGCTATTGCTGTGACAATGCCACCCTCGCCCACACCCTCCCCTCGTGCTCGGACTGACAAGCAGTCGCTCGAGCACGACCGCTAGACCCGTGTCATTTCCCTGGTGATTTTGTCAGGTAGATCTGGATAGAGCCTACACCTTTCCGCCGTCTGTTGAGCCGAGTACGCATCTGCCTCTCGTGCTGCATTGGACCTCTTTTCCCATGGCAGCCTCAACGGAACTGGCCCCTTCCCCTACATCCATCTCCCGAATCCTCCCATCCTGTCTACCAATGTTGTTCTTGTCCACTCTTTTCTCGATTTGACTTGCGTGTCTTTTGTTCGTTCTCTCTCTATCGATCTGGCCGTTTGCCCTTCGGTGTTCGCACAGCCGTGTATTTTTTTTTTCAAGTCTTGTTTTGTTCTTCTCCGTGGCCACACCTCCCTGCTTCGCATCCATGTATCCAATCTCCAGGCCCCTCCCTCCAAATATATATCGCGCTGAGATGAAAGGCAGCATCCGCAGCGGGATTGGGGTTGGTCGCCAACGCAGGGCGCCAATTGGCCGGTTCCAACACCCATGTCCGACTGGTATGGCAAGGGGCCCAATGTACTTTCGGCCCAGAGGCGCGGGTTTGGCACACACCTTCCTTCGTCAACATCGCTCGTACATCGCTCGCCCAGCCGGATCCGCTGTTCCTCCGCCAACCAGCATGCCTCATTCGTTTACGGAACAGGCTGCTGGCCCCGACAGCTCCGTCCTCTGTGAAAACGGCATCACGACTCTGGCACAGGTCCGCTCTGCTGCGTGTGGCATGGCCCCCATTCTTCGCATTCTCCCATCTGACACTGCCGCTGCTGCGTCGCCGTGCTTTCTCCCTCTCGCCATCCAGGTTCGAGAGCTTACCACTGAAGAGCTTGTGCGAATCGGGCTCAAGACCGGCAGCGCAATATCGCTGCAGCGACTGGCCCGCTTTGAGCCCTGTAGCCGGCTCCTTGCGTCTCTTGGGCTGGCTCATCTGCGCGACGTCTTTCTTGACCACGACCTGTTCTCGATTGAGGAGGTAGGCACCATAGAATCAGCTCAAGAGCGCTCTTGATATCTGCAGCGTGCGGCAGGCCCACAGCGTTGTCTTTGCTTCCAGCAACTCTGAGACGGAACACAACCAAGCTTGCCTCAAAATCTCACTGCCCTGTTCGCCACAACTTTTCTGCCTCGACAGATCCTCGCCCTCTCTCGTGGCCGACTCAAGCTCCTGGGGCTCAAGACCGGCGAGATTTTGAGGCTTAGGCTTGCGCAAGAACCCGAGGGGCCCAACGACACCAACTGGCAACATGCCCCCGAAAGTGTGCAGCGCTTTCTTGCCGACAGCGGATTCACGGGGCTGTCTTCCCGCTTTGCCCAAGAGTCCGTCGACAACTTGACGCTGGTATGCGACGCCGCCGGTGCTATTGTGGGGGTGACTAGCGGTCAGCGAGCCCATCATGGACACTTGCTCATCCGCTTTCGACACTGGACATTTGACCTGACCTGTGTCCTCCATTCAAAGGTGGGCCTGCTTGAGCGCCAAGACCTGCTCGATCTTGGCCTTGCCAACGACGACGATGTGGCCAAGTTCATCGCCTTCCGGGACTTTTCTCCAACATCGCCGCTGCGGCAAAACGTAGGTTCGCAGCCGCCCATCTCCGAATCGATGCCGTTTGTCGGGCCGGCGATGCGCTAAACGGGGTGGCTCGCTCTGGATCAGCAGAATGCGACTGCCAAGCCGTCACCCGGCGTTCCATCGGAATGCTGACGATTGGCCACATCCTGCCTTTCAGATTCCGGCCAGCCTCATCCAGTTCCTTGAACATGCAAAGTTGGTGCCGATCTGGCGAGTCTTTGCCCGCCATGGACTCATGACTCTCTCGGAGGTAGGCTGGCGCCGCCGTTGGGCTCTCTCTCTCTGTCTCAGCCCACCTGCTCACACCCACACGAGACACCACCGGGCTCTGCCAAAGTTCTCTCGTCTCCCTTGTCAAATTGGCATGGCCACTCTGCATTCCATGCCCATACTGCTTGTTGTGCATGGCAACGTAACACATGCTTCTGCCCATGCAGATCCAGGAGCTGTCCTCGGGCGAGCTCGAGAGAATCGGCTTGAGCCTGGGCCAGGTCAAAAGGTGCCTGAGATCCGTCCGAGAGCTCTGTTTGAAGCAGTTTTTGGAAGAGCACTCCCTCTCCGAGCTTCAGGATCGACTGCTGGCCTACAATCACGACGAAGTCAAGAAGGTGAGATTGCATGAACCACCACCTCGACGACATGGTGCTTTCACACACCGATATTGGCATCAACAACGAAAGCTGTCAAAAATCCATTGGTGGCGCCTTATTTGGAAGCAAGACACAGCGCGATGTGGCTCCTTGATACCGGAGCACTGGCCCATGTTTCCCTGCTGACCGAAACTCTTTCGACTCCACTTCATGTGTTCTGGTGTCGAGCACAGCTTCGCATCATGACCAAGAACGAGTTCAAGCAGCTGGGGCTTACAGCCTCGCAGATCCAGACCATCCAGACCCGGCTGGACTCTGACCAAGGTGCGTCGAAAAGTATGGTGCAGGGCAGAAATCTGCCTGCCGCCCGGCATATCTCACCCTGACCCAGCCGACTGTCGTGGTATACTGACCCTCCTGTTGTTTCAGCCGCAACGGGCTCTCAGACTTTGCTTTCCAAAAGAGTCGCTCCGACCTCCATGGTGGTTCAGATCAGCAAAACACCGGACGACTATCTTCTGGCGGCGAAAAGCGCTCTGGACACCGTCGCTAGCCTTGAGAACAAGCTCGGCAACAACAAGTTCGGCGAAAGCCAGCCCGACGAAAACAAGTCCGAAGAACGCAAGCCAAGCTCGGAGGACATTTTCAAGCTTGCCCTGGATGAAAGCTGGAGATGCAATGACAGCTACAGCACCCACGACTTTTTCTTGAGGTGAGATGTCTGGGGATATTGGGAAACCAAAGGCTCTACCAACTGGATGATTTGATTGCAATGTCCGCCGGTTGATGGTCGTCCGTGTGGCGGCGGGCCATAGCTCGCGCTCCAAAATGTTCGCCGACCTCTGCAACATATTCCGTACCCGTTTGTCTCTGGATAATGCGATGCCTATCCGTGCCCCGTATCCATGCCACTAAAGACCTCAACCCATGATTAATCACAGCTACCGTGTCCTGAGCGAAGAAGTATCGACCTCCAGGCTCTTTGCCCAACTCAACAAGAACGGCTACCACGCCTACTGGGACAAGAACTGTTTGAGCGACGGCATCAACTGGGAAAGCGGCTTCATCAACGGCATTGTCCGCTCCAAGATCGTCGTTTTGATGTGCTCCGAGAAAGCCATGGAGCGGGTCATGACCGCGCACGTCACCCCCGACAACTATTTTCTCGAGGTGAGATGTCGACGCACCCTCAGCGGCGATCGAGACTGAATTTAAGCAAGATAGCGCGCCACGATTACATCGGAGCCATATCCGATTCATATCTGAGCGGTGCTCAGGCGCCCAGTATCGACCTAACTACCTCTCCGTTGCTGCGCTTGGCGACGCTCAGTGGGAGCTAGCGCTCGAGCACGTCGACGACCCCTCTGCCAAAGCAATGCTCCTCCCCATCCTCATTGCCAGCCAGGTCACAATCGATAGCGACGTATACTTTAAAAGATACTTCCCAAGCTTTGAATCGTTCCCAAACTCGTACGCAGCCCACGTCCAGAGCCCGAGACGCCGTACTATCCGCGGAACGATCGAGGAGGTCTTCAAGCTGCAAGCTCTGAGTGCAACCCCCGACTGGGTTGGGCTGAGGAGGTGAGATAGCCGCTGCTACTGTAGAAGGCGAGCCCACCTCTCCCCACGATCGGGCTGGCTTCTGTTCTCAGCTTCCCGTTGGTGGTTGCTATTCGCGGATGTCATGGAGTGTACAGCAAGTCTCACCCCTGCTTGGATTCTTTCCAATGTCGCTCTCCGACAGCTTGGCAAACGATATTATGCAAGTTCATTCCAAGTACCAAGAGCGCATGAACTCATCCACCGGCCCTTACAGCCCAACCCCCATCATCAAGTCTGCAAGCGAGGATCGCTTGCTGGCTTCTCTGCTGAGCCCAATCGACATGGAGCCCGATCTGCGGGAGCTGCGAAGTGCCTATGTCGAGGGAACCCGACTGTGGCTCCTCGACTCGGTCATGCTCTGGGCCGAAGCCACCGGACATGCAGACAGCCGCATCATGTGGCTCAAGGGCGATGCTGGAACCGGCAAATCGATTTCCGCGTCGCTTGTCGTCGACAGGCTCAAGTCCACCAACCAGCTGGTGGGCGTGTTTGTATGCAAGTACTACGACGAAGAGCGGAGCAGTCCTCGCCGGCTGATCCACACGCTGGCATATGGTCTTTCGAACTGGAGCGTCAAGTTTGCTCGACTGCTACTCGCCCAGAACCTCACCAAGGAACAGCTCGCCCAGAGGAGCCTCGTTGATCTATTCGACATCCTCATCGCTCAGCCGCTTCAGGCCCTCAGCGAAGAGAACCCGACTCAAGCAAACGTAGTGTTGGTCATCGATGCCATCGATGAGCTTGCTCAGCCCCGCGCCGACTTTCTCGACATCCTCGCCAACCATGTTACTGCCCTGCCTCGCTTCGTCAAGCTGTTCCTGACCGGCCGGCCAGACCCAGACATTGTCGGAGCCTTCACAGGAGTGCCCACAACGTCCTTGAATCCCTCCGACGATACATCTTGCCAGCAGCAGAATCACCAGGATTCGATCGTGTATGTCAAGTGGCTCCTTCGCGACGACATTTTCTCCAAATCCGAGCTGACCAAAGCCTCCGAGGTTCTTTTGGAGCGGTCTGGCGGAACCTTTGTGTGGATCAAGATGGCCGTTGCCGCCGTTCGCGAGAAAAAGGGCGGCGCCAAGCTCGTGCTCCAAGATATTCTCGCGCTCGCTGAGCAAGGGCTTGGCCTGTCAAGCATCTATCGCCAGATGTTTGACCGGTCGCTGGAGGAAACCTCGCAGGACTCTGATCTCGAGAGTACCCTCCTGTCGACCGTGTGGACAATGGTCTCGCTCGCAGAGCCGCTGAGCGCCGAGGCCATTGCGGAGCTGCTCGGAATCACTGCATCGGCAGTCAAGCGGGCTCTCGTCAAGCTATCGCTTCTGGTCGATCAGCCCTGCAGCGGATTCATGGGCCAGAGCCGCGTTGCCAAGTTCTGCCACAAGTCCGTGATGGATTATCTGACCAGCCCGGACTCGGCCATGCGTCCCTACCATACAACTGCCAGCCACCACTATGCTCTTGCCAAGCGGTGCTTTGCGCTGATTGATGAGCTGCCGAAAGGCGGCAATCTGTGCTCCATCAGCCAGCTCCACGAGAACATCCCGGACTTTCATCAGCTCGTCAATGCCCGGCTGTCTGCTGCCCAGCAATACAGCTGCGCGCATCTCTTTGATCATCTCTGCAAGATCCCGATGGACTCGGCCGAAATGCTGTCAAAGTGGGATGCCCGGCTCAGCCCTCTGTTGTCCGTTTTCCTGGAACGGAATTTGCTCGTGTGGATCGAGTCCCTGTCGCTCATCGAGAAGGTTCCGCTGGTGCTCGGACAGCTGATGAACCTCAAAAAGACCCTGGCCAGCTTCAAGCTCGAGCTTGCTCATCCGCATCTGACCACCATGATCGACGACGCCATCCGGTTCCTCCGAGAGTTTTCTATCCCGATCTCACAGAGCGCCGTGCACGTGTACCAGTCGGCACTAGCCTTCTGTCCAAAGGAGTCTAGGCTCTATCGGAACTACTACCCGCTCTACAGGCATCTGATTCCCATCGAAGTCTTGTACGGCCACGACTCGCTCTGGAGCCAATGTCTCGCTGTCTTGGAGGGCCACAGTGGCGAGGTGCGCTGCGTGCGCATTTCCGGCGACGGCTCGACAATCGTATCGGCCTCGGCCGACATGACGATCCGCGTCTGGAGCTCAGTCACAGGGTCGCTCGTGCGGACGCTGAAAGGCCATGACAGCCCTGTTTCGTGCATTGCTCTGTCGACAGACGGCAGCGTCTTGATCTCGGGCGGCGATGATTCCAAGCTAATCATCTGGGACGTGCCCATGGGATCGCTTCGGAGCAAGATCAGCGCCCACACTCATCCGCTGGTGGCGGTCGATCTCACCAAGGATGGCTCCACTGCTCTCTCGGCTTCGGGTGACCGAAGCATTGCCCTTTGGGATATATCCACTGGCACCTGCACCCTGAAGATTGTTCACACCATTCCGATCACATCCGCTCGCCTCTCGCCTGACAAATCCACGATTTACTCGGGCTGCTTAGATGGCAAGATTCGAATCTGGAGCGTCGAGTCGAGCCAGCTTATCGGCACTCTGCAGGGCCACTGTGCCGAAATCAATGGACTGACGGTGTCTTCAAGTGGCTCTCTGCTCATCTCGGCCTCGTGGGATAAGACCGTCCGCATCTGGGATCTCGAAAGCCGCACCATCCGACACACACTCCAGGGCCACACCGATGGCATCTACGACGTTGCTGTCACTCGCGACGATGCCTTCGTGGTCTCGGCGTCCGAGGACCAGTCACTCTGTGTCTGGGAAGTGGCATCTGGCTCGCTGAGGAGGAAGCTGAAGGGACACACCTGGACCGTGTACGCCGCGGACGTATCCGACGAAGCCTGCACCATCGTATCGGGCTCCCGCGACAAGACCGTCCGCATCTGGAACCTCTGGGGCGAAGACGACGGCAGCGAGTCCAGCACCACCGGCCACTCTCGCTTCGTCAGCGCTGTATGCTTTTCGCGCGATGGTCGAAGAATCGCCTCAGCCTCGGCGGACATGACCGTTTGCCTATGGAATGGCGTCACTGGCGAGCTCCTGGGACAACTCTGCGGACACACCGACGCAGTGCAGTGCGTGGCCATTTCAGGCGATGGCCGTATTGTTGTCTCGGGCGGCCTGGACAAGAGCGTTCGAGTATGGGATGCCCAGACCCTCAGCGTCATCCACATCTTTGAAGACCACGCCAATACCGTGCAGCAGGTGTTCATCTCAGACGATGCTCTGCGTGTCTCCAGCAAAGACACCTACGGACGAATCATTTCCTACGATCTGAGCGCCGAGCTACCCGAGCCCATCATGCGCGACGCTTTGGGCACCATACCTGACCCAGAGACCGAGAAGCATGCCGATACTGAATGGACCACTCTTGCCAACGGCTGGATCCGACACATGGCGGGACAGTTGATCTGGGTCCCCCAGACCTACCGTGTCGACAAGGGTTCCAGCTCCAGCTCGGCCGGGCCCGTGCGCTGCACTTTTGGTGGGAGTGGCAAGTGTCTAATCTTTCGCATTCACGACTCGGAGGCATAGCACTGAGGCGAGTGTCCGATACGGGCGCGACGATGGACGCCGTGCCGGTGGAACTCAAGCTGTCGCAGCACTGAATACATAAAGTCAATTCTCGCTGCGATAACAAACTCGCAAACCGACTGTGTCTATGGCTGTGCTGATGGTTCATTGAATCCTTGCATCTGTTGAGCGAGCGATCGTATTCTTGGGCGAACTGGAGTGGCCGTGTGTGTATTGGAGAGCGACAAGTATTGCGTTCAGATTCAGAGGGCAAGCAGCCCAACAGCCTCTGGGTCTCGTGGTGACCATCAAGCTTGGATACCAGTGGCCGGGCGACGCACCTCTCGGCCTCATGGTGGCTGTTGGCTTGGCCAGGAGGGAAACATCTGCCTGAAGAACTGCACGATGCTGAAGGAGTACTCGATCAAGCCTCCGATCCTGAGCGCCACCCAGTCGAAAGAGCAGGTTCAGCACACTCGCTCGCCCGAGAGCGGGAGCACCATCCGCATCACGATAGCCATTTCACTCAGAGACCCTACCGGCTGTGGATACCATAGTGACCTGCCTCAGCTCGGAGCTTCCAGAAGAGAGCCACAAATACAGCAACGCGGAGCATGCTTGGGATCTGCTTCTGCAGCTTATGCAATCTGCCGCTTCTGCCACTGCTTCTGCTCTTCAGTCCCAGCGCCGCCAGCTCCACTATATAGGACATGATGGGCTGTTTAATGAAGACCAGACACATTGCAAATATGCTGAACGGAGGCAATGGACCCGATGTCAGAGGCAGCGGACCGTCGGGGAACCAGCATGCACTGCGTCGAACAATACGCCGCAATCAAGAGCCCCAAACCAACCATGCGTCGACAACAAAGTCCCTTGAAAGCTTGCTGCTCGTCAGTTTCTGGTTCGTAGAGCGACCGGCCGTCAATGCATCCGAATGCAGCAGAGCTCGTCAGCCATCATACTCGAATGCAGCAGAATTCATCAGCTACAACATACAACCGTGCAAAGGCATGCTCAACAGGCCCTTACCGATACAAGTTGTCTTTGCTGCTCGATTATGGCTTGGTGGTGGTCGAGCTGGATTCGAAACTGTGCGGGTCCACATTGGCGGTCAGATCCATATCAGTTGCATGGGTGTCTGCTGGTGGATTCGAGCCCATACCTCGACGAGGGCCTTCTGCATCAGGCTCTTGTGCTGGACAATGGAATGCCGCATCCGGTTGATGTCCTGCGATTGCTTTTCGGTCTGCTGGGACAGCTCCGAGATCGAGGACTCGTGCTCGCGGATGGTAGAATGCAGCTTCATGATATGTCTGCGACCACGCTGAATGACTGCCTGTTGTCGCCAATGATACGGAGTATCAAAACATGAGAATGCTAGAGTTCAAAAACTTCTTCGCAACTAGGTCGAGGGGCAGGACAACGGCCATGCACAGCAAAACATCGAGGCGTGGACATCAAGTCTCGGGCCTGGGCACCAAATCAAGCGAGGAGCGGCCCCGGTGACCCTCATCAAAGAATGCATGCTGTCAGCCAGACCGGCTATGTGCATGTGGGCTGCTTTGTGCCGGACGGGATCAGCAAACCTCGAGATACCGCATCTTGCCAACAACGATCAAGTTCAGGACAAAGTTCGACGATCCTATCAACGAGTTGACCTGCCAAAGCGATTGCACCAGAGTCAGGACTCCTTCGCGAGCCGACCATTGCGGACACTCGCGTGTTCGAGCGAACAGCCGAGCGACTGCATGCGTGGGAAACAGGATCCGTACACTGTTGATTTGGCTCTGCTGATGGAGGACAGCCTCCAGGGTATCGACCAGAACCTCGTACGGCGGAAGCTCTCCGTCGACCCTGAGCCCTGTATCAGAGCCAGGAAGCACCAGTCAGAACGCCGTGGGGTTGTGCGCGAGCCTGGCCAAGGCCAAGCGTTATGGACAACAGCACGCGAAATCGTAGCCCCGACGGCCGCTGGATCGTCCTCGATGGCTTCAAAAGGTGACTGCGTGCCCTACCCACCTGTTACTTGAGTCGATACAAGCAGTCGCAGCCTCTCGACCAAGTTGCGGGTCCCCCAGAGCGCCGACTGAATCTGCTGCCCGGCACGACTGACTGCAGCACCGTCAGTAATCAGCACAGATTCGTCCGGGCTGGAAGTGTGCTTGGTATTAGCAGATCCACTGCCAGCAGCTTCGAGCTTGACGGGAGCGGGCAAAAGTCTTGGGTCGTCGACTGACGGGGCTTCTGCGGAATCGGGGGAGCTGCGGTCGCGCGTGGATGGCGATAGAGTATTAATAGTTCTTGCTTCCTTCCCCGTGGTCGCCGGATGGACATATTGCTTCACCCGCGCGCTGAGAAGGGCTGCGGGTCCAGCGACATAGTCGAGCTCGTTTTGGAGCGAGAGTGCCGTATCGGCCTCGCCCCTGGAGCGGAGAGCCGTGCCGCTGTGTTTCGTTGCCATCGAGCAGAGCCGGTTTGAGCAGCGCAATTGACGACGAGGGCATCATGGACCAGCGACGAAGACTCGGGCGATGGAGGCGAGCCTGTGTCTGTCCAATCAGGATATGATGGGTAGATTGCACACACCGTCTCGGGGCTGTCTGTCGAGCGGCCAAGCGCTCATAGAAACGAGCAAGTGTGTATTCAAGTCCAGGACATCTTCGATCGCGCATTCATCCTCCAAGGGACGCACCGACTTGTCAAAGCAGATCATGACAGCGGCCAAGCTAGTCCGCACAGACCACAAAACCCCCACAGAGACAAGCCAAGCGCACCGACACAGAGGCGGCAGAGATGCAATGGGATTGTACAGAGCAGCAAGTGCAGCCTTCATCGAACAAAAGCAGACGACGAAAGAAGAAGAAGAAAAAAAACAGTAATCCCCCCCCTCTCACTCCACTCTAGTGAGCCTTCGACGCCAGTCTCCAGTTGCCCTTTTTCTTCTCCAGGACAACCAGCACGCCCCGGTCCGACACCAGAGCAAGCAGATTGTTGAAGCAGGCGGCGATCCGGTATGGTTTTCGGAATCCCTCGGGCAACCAGAGCAGCCGCTCCCGGCCTTCCAGGAAGAGCCAGCCTTCATCGTCGAGCCAGACCATGACGCTGGTTTGCTCCTCGGGATAGAACTGGCCGCCGCCAATGAGACCCATCAAACCGCCCCAGGCCTTGCGCTTCCCCGTGCCCAAATCCCAGACGGTGGTGACGATGTTGAGGTTCTGCGTGGACTTGATCTCGAGCCGCTTCAGATCACGCGACATCTTGATGGACTTGATCTCAAAGTTATTGGGCGTCGAGACGTTCTGCTGAATGTGCGTCTGCGGGCTGATGTAGGCCTTGTTGGTGTACTTGATGTCCCAGATCCGGACGGTCTGGTCAACCGAGCCCGAGGCCAGGGTCGAGCCGTCGGGCGAAATGTCTAGCGACTTGATGCGACCGGGGTGCCCTTTGAGCGACGTCAGGAAGCCGGATGTTTCGACATCCCATAGCTTGATGGTACCGCCGTCGGAGCCCGAGGCCAGAATGTCGTTCTTGGTCGGCGAGAAGACCAGGGCGCGGATGGCGCTGTCGTGGCCGTGGAAGGAGTACTTGAGCTTTTGTTCGTCCAGGCTCCAGATGCGGATCATATTGTCGGCGGTGCTGGAGGCAAGCATCTTGTTGGAGGCCGAGAAGGCAATCGCGTGCACAGGACCGCTGGTCTTTGGGAAGCCCGTGATGATGTTGCCGTTGGCGGTGCTCCAGAAAATGACTCCATCCTCGCTGCTGTTTGTGCCGCAGGCTATCATGGTGCCGTCGCGGGAGTACTCCATGCAGTACACCTGGTCGACGTGGCTCTCGAGCGTCCGGATGCAGGTTCGGGTGACCATGTCCCAGATGCAGATGACGCCGTTGAGGGATCCTGTCGCCAAGGACCCGCCATCGGGCGCAAATCGGCAAAAGCGCAGATGGTGCTGCTCGCTAGCGAGAGTGGCGATGAGTTGGCCGGTAAGGACGTCCCAGAGCTTGATTTGCCCGTCGTCGCTGACAGAGCATGCCGTGCCGCCGTCGGGCGAAAGGTCGACGCACTGGATGCCGTGGCTGTGTCCCTTCAGATCCTTCTCGAGCGTCCAGGCCCTGACGCTCCAGATCTTGGCCGTGGCATCCAAGGCGCCCGACACCAGGCGCTGGCCGTCCTTGGAAAATCGCACGGAGGCGACGGGCTCGCTGTGGCTGGTCAGTGACGAGATCTCGGCGCTCCAGACCTCGTCATAACCAAGGACGATGCGGAAGCCCATCAAATCATTGTCGCGATAGGACTGATAGATCGAGGTCTTCTTGGGCAGGAACGGCAGGACGGTATAGTAGATCTGGAGGGGGTTCCACGAGATGGCGTTGCGGAACCGGCGGATCATGCGGTTGCAGTCGTCAAAGATGCTGTGAGTGAACTCATCGTCTTTGATGATCTCGGTCATCGCGACACAGGTCGATGGAACGGTATCGAGACTCTGCAGAATCACCATGGCCTCGATCCAGTGGAGCATGTGGGTGGATGCAAAGATCTCGATCGCTGGAGCCAGGGTCTTCTGGAAGCGCGAGTGGTTCTTGGCGGCGTCCACATGCTCGGCCCAGTATTTGCACGCATACACCAGCCCTTCGGGAAGCCCGGCGTCTTCGGGGTCAAAGGTGTTGAGGGGATCCTCAATACCCAGCAGGTCGGCTTTGAGGTTGTGAATCAGGATGGAAAGGGCGCCCTTGGCCATGTGGTACTCAACATCCTTAAGAGGGACGTGGAACTGAGGATTGTCGCAGCGCTCGGTGATGTAGTCTTTGAAGCTCTTGTGAATCAGGGACACAGTCTGGTTGCTGTAGTGGAGGATAGAGCGAATCTGCAAAGGCGTTGCAGAGACAGAGGACAGGCGCGGTGTCAGAGCAGCTGTGAACGGCACGACAGGGTCTTGCATTCGCTCTGAAGAAAGGCGCACGGTCGGCACAGACGGCGCAGTCACAGTCACAGCACAGACTTACCCGCATCAACACACTGCCAACGACGCTCTCAGACACATGCAGGAGCTCGGCGATTGTCTTTTGTGTGATGGGCTCCTTGGCGACCAAAATAATGCCCAGGACGAGCTTGAAGCGGTTAAAGACCGTGTTCCAGTCGGCGCTGTCGTCGTTGGCGTTTGGATACGCATTCAGCAGAAGCCGTTCGTAGACATCATCCATGTAAGGCTGCAGCGTATTGATGAGCTCCAGCATGGCTGCCGAGTCCTGAGGACGGCCCTTTTCAAGCTGGTCGCAGGCCAAGCGAGCGTACAGGAAGACACCGTCGGCCTTGGCCGTCAGGCGCGAGACGCAGGTCTCGAGCAATTCTGGGCTCTGAAACTCAGCAAAGACCTGCAGCCGGCTCTGGATATAGATCCGGATGTCGCCTTCGTTGAGCTGGCGCTGGAGCTCGAAGGTGTTCATCCCCTCGAGCGACTCCCAGATGTCTTTCTCTGGGCGGGACGTCACAAAGAGCTTGACCAGGGAGCCCGACTGGCGCTCGATCAAGTACTTGACGGCGCTGATGAGCTCGCGGCGCTCGGAGCTGCGCTGGGTGCCGCATTCGTCCAGTGCATCGATCATGATGATGGTGGGGAGCCCCTCGTCGCTGAGGCTTTTGACGCTGTCGAAGATGAGGGTCTCGAGGAGGACGTTGATGGGCTGGTGCAAGATGCTGGCACGGCCCTCGTCCTGGTCATGCTGGTCCAGCATCGCAAGCGACTCGAGATGGGTCTTGATCGAAGGGAAGCGCACAGCCAAGCCATAGGCAATCGACTTGATGATGCTCCGCACAGTGTTTTTGTTGGTATCGTTGTGTCGGCAGAAGGCAATGGTGCCAAACTGGATATCCTCGGGAACGTTCTGGGACAGGAACCAAGCAATCACCGACTTGCCGAGACCCGAGCCACCCTGCAGCCAAATGAATGGCTTTTGGGGATCGTGGAGCCAGTCGTGGAATACCGGGATAAGCCACTCGCGGGTTCCGGCGACGTAGCGCTTCTTGTAGCGGCTGATGTCGTTGGTGAAATCCGCTGGGCGCAGCCAGCGCTTGAGGAGGTCGGAGCTCGAGGAGGCGTTGGAGTGGTGCATCGAGGTTGGCTGCCGGTGGACCGAGTTGTGCAGTGTTCGCACATACTCTTCGACATAGGCCTGCGAGTCGCTGGCGGTTGTGCGAGGGGGCAGTGCCTCATCAGCGAGAGTGGAATGGCCGTCGTCCTCCTCGTTAGAGCCCTGGTCGGTGGCAGTAGCCGTGGTCGTGGTGGCGGCGCCTTCAAAGTGCTCCAGAACTGAGTTCAGCGACGGGCGGGGTGGCACCGAAGCACTTGTCTGCTGGGTCATGCTGTTAGCCTCGAGCCAGCTGTTGATAAAGTTTGGGCTGGTGAGCGAGTTGCCGAACTCTCGCTGGTAGCTTGAGTTTGTGCGGGCCGCCGAGCTGTTTGCAGGCAGACTCTCTCTTCTTGCCGAAAACTCGTCCATGGTGCTGGCCCGGACGACGCTCTTCAGGGTCTTGGACACGGCTTGGATCTGAGCCTCGTCAGTGGGGGTAAAGATGTTTTCGATCGGAGGACGGGGAGGGATCGAGGCGTCGGTTTGGCAGGTCAGGCTGTTGGCTTCCATCCAGTGGGTCATGGCTGCACTGTTGGAGAATGACCCTTGGAATCCTGGTCCCGTCGAGGCTGGAGGTGGGCGGAGGGAGTCGAGTGCATGGGGGTCGTGCAGCTGCGAGTCGTCGGCCACCAGGGACTCTGGAGGAGGGAGCGCCGCAAGCATGGGCGATTCGGCGTGGACGCCCATGTGAATATGGATTTCCTTCTCGAGCTGGTTGATCTTGTCGGTCCAGGCTTCGGTGTCGGGCTCAATGTCCGCCAGGTCGATGTAGAGCAAACCGGCAGTCGCCAGGAAGGTGGCGCCGAAGGCACGCTCGCCGCTCTTCAGGAGACGGACGGGGACGATGGGCTTTTGGAGATCCAGGGCATAGCGGAGCTCAAGTTGGCAGTTGCGGGACTCCTGGATGTCGCAGCAGGGTGAAATGGAATGGACGAAGGATCACACGAACGAATGAATGAGCAGGATGAAAATTCGGCGGATCAGGTCATGCGATGGACAGGCAACATGCATCACAAGCGCGCCGGCTGAGTCGATTCATGGACAGGTGCGAGAGCAGTCGATGAGGACGATACCACTGCGGCATGCCGAGACATCCCTGCTGGTGCGAATGCAAACAACAGCCCCGCAAAAGCCAACGCGGCATCGATCCTGACCTGGTACTTGTGCGAGATGCAGGGGGCAAAGACCTTGCTGTTGATGACGGCCTCAGCCATGCGCTCGTAGATGTTGCCCGTCATCTGGCTCTCGTCCATCCAGACCTTGATGTTGCGTGCACGGAGGTCCTGGCAGAGCTGTTTGACCTTGGGCTTGGTGTCCCATTGGTACGAGAGCATGACGTCGAATTGCTCGGGCGTATCGCTTATCGACAAGTACGAGACAGAGGGGCTGTTTGCGGATGGGAGCGACGACGAGATATTGAACGAGCTCGAGAGCAGACTGGTGGAGGGCATGGTGTTGAGTGAGTGGTGAGTCCGGAGGGTGACGACGAGAGATAGGCGGGCCGAGCCCAGGAGCAAGGAGGAGAAGACCGAGTCTTCGATCAGGATGTAGCTGCGGCTGTTCTCGGAGTAGCTGAGCTGGACCTCCTTTGGCGTGGCCACGGGCAAGTCGAGCTCCCTTATAATCTGGGAGACAGGAATTCGGATGAATTGCCGAGACACGGTAGCGTAGCGACGAATGGCGGGATATTGGCAAAGGCGGTGGATATTAGTCGTCCGTCAGAGGCCCCAAGCGGTGAAACTGCAACGCCGAAGCGCCCGGGTGAAGCCAGAGAGGGGAGGGATGGACGACAGCAACCCAAGGCCATTGCGAGACCCGGCAGAGCGGCCCTAGCGCTCCGACACACTTCCAGCAGCACCCAGCACCCAGTAACACCCGGCAGCACCCGGCAGCACCCAATAGTGTCCAGCAGCACCCAGAGGCAGCCGGCAGAGGCGACAAGCAGTAGCGGCAGACAGAGCAGCGCTTGCGGGCCAGGTCTTTCCCTCGGAGCAGCAGGCGGCCGTACCTTGCGCTTAAAGTCCACCACGGAGGGCGGCAGCGAGACCGACAGGACATAGACATGGTCGCTATACTCGATGTCGACGAAGCGGCAGCTGGCGTTGAGCTGGGTGGGACTGGCATGCGACGGCATGAAAGGCAGCCCGGCAAGATCAGAAGCGAAAGCCGACGACTGGACCGCCACCTGGGGCCCGCAGCCTGAAATAGTCTGCGAGCACGTTGCGGGCTGGTCGTCGGCTTGCAAGCGCCGGTGGCGAGTCGCCATGCTGGGCCTGTCCCACGGGGCCTGGCTGCTCGCTGTATCGCCGTGCAGAAGGGATTGGCCAGGCGCATTCCTCTTGGGACGCTGCGATCCGCACCAGCGCCGTGATCGACGCTGCCATCGACGCTGCCGTCCGCTGTCTGCTCCTGCACCCGGCCATTCCGCGGCGATGGCGGCCTTCCTCGCCGGCGACTTTATCCAGCTGCCCGACGGCCAGCGCTCCCCCGCCGAGTATCTCGCCACCCTCGCCGAGTTCATCGCCCAGCATTCATACCTGACCAGCTTCTACGGTCTGCATTTCATTACCCAGGACTACTGGCGCCGCTCGGCCTTTCCGCGCGAATGGGCTGTGCTTGCAGACGAGAGCTGGGAGAGCCTCGAGGCCGTCGCCTCGTCCGGACAGATCCAGGTGAGGCCGCGGCTTGCAAATCCTCCACCCTCGCATACAGAGTCAACAAGCCCGTTCGCCTTCCTCCCACGCGGACGACGGCTGGACGACGCTGGAATGCACGGGACGGCTCTCCGGGGCCATGTGGTCTGCCAGCGGACGGATCAGCCGGCTGCGAGTCGAGGTTTGGAGCACGCCGCGGCGAGACGACGGCCGGGCATGGGTATGGGCAAAGGGCAGGGATCGGCAAGCAAAGCTGAGCAGTCTCTGGACGCACTCATTCGGCAGGATCAATGGCCGGCCTCGCTCAAGACATTCATCCGGCAGGCGCACAGTATCGGACTGCCGCGAGATCCTGCCGCATGCCCGCTCTTTGGCGATGTGGAATGTCGGTATTTGTTGGAATCTCTCTGGGCCGCTGTTTGGCAGGGCACTGGATTTGTCAACCGCTTCTTTGGCCGCTCGATTCCGCTCGATTCCGGTTCGCATTCGCTGCTTGGCATTCGCTGCTTGGCATTCGCTGCTTGACATTCGCTGCTTGACATTCCTTTCTGTGTGTTGCCTTTTTTTTCTTGGCAGCCAAGGACTCGGAAGGAGACTTGGGATGGGTGACAGCGCTGTGGCGGGGGGGAGTGATCCCTCCTCTCCTTCGTGGCGAATCGCTTCACGACAGCATTTCTAACCCACAGCTCCCGGCACTCCAGTCCATGATCTGATTCCGGCAGTAGGTTCATCCAAGAGCCACCTGGCGCAGCCATCGGGTGCTCGGGTTTCAAACGTCTTGGCCGAGTCTCGTCTGGGGCTCGGTGCCGAGTGGAGCGAGCATGGAATGGAGCGATGCACCAATGGATATGGCTCATGAAGTGGGGGCATGGCTTGCTAGTGGCAATCTCATGCGAAGCAAGCATGGGTGGTGGGCAGGAGCATCGAGGGGGCTCGGCCTCTATCGAACCAAGCCGGGGGAACGTGCTCGCTGCCGAGAAGCCTCACCGAATGGTGTCGACCCTGGGGCAGATCACCAACGGCATGAACCGCAAGAAGCTCGAGGAGGTCACTTCCCTGGCCGCCATCATCGCTCACATCGCCAACACGAGCGGCTGCACCCACGTCCTCGATATCGGAGCCGGTCAGGGCTACTTGTCGTCGGCATTGGCATATCAGTACGGGCTCGACGTTGTGTGTCTGGACGGCTCAGGACTCCAGTTGCATGGCGGGCAGTCCCGCTCAGCACACATTGAGCGGCTGCTTGAGCATCACAAGATGCGCCAAGGTGGCCGGCTCAGGTTCGTGGAGATGGTTCTCAAGTTTGACAAAGTCGCGGGACAGCCAAGCGACGACGAGCCCCAGATCGTTCGGCAAATCCGTCAACTGATCCAAGACAGCGAAAGTACATCTGGTGCGGCTGGACAGGAATCGCCCAGCGCCGAGAGCCGCTGGCTGATCTGCGGACTGCGTAAGTGCGGAGGTACAGCGGCCCATACAGTGCCCTGCGCTGACCATCGCTGCGGTGGGTATTCTCTGCATGCAGCATCAGAGTGTTGGCAATGAATCTAAAGCCACCGACGCCCAGACACCTGCGGTGATTTGGCCCCCACGATGCTCAAGTCGATTGTCCCAGGCACATCCGATCGCAGCGGCATTCCTCAGGCCCGAGTCGTGGTCAATGTCGGGTGCTGCTACCACGTCCTGACCGAAAGGGATGTTGCCAACTCGGCAACCGAGTTCCATGCGCGACACCAGACTGATGACGGCCTGGAGCAAGTGGCCTGTGGGTTCCCGATGAGTAAGGTTCTCAAGGACCAAGGGCTGAAGCTGGGGCTGGAAGCACGGATGGTTGCCTGGTAGGTCACAAATGCTGGGGTGGTGTGTGTTTGCATACCAATGCTTTGTGCCGATTGTTTGACTGTTGCGTTTGAGTGCTCGGATGCTTGAATCACTGACCACTCGACCACTCGACCACTCGACCACTCGACCACTCGACCACTCGACCACTCGACCACTCGACCACTCGACCACTCGACCACTCGACCACTCGACCACTCGACCACTCGACCACTCGACCACTCGACCACTCGACCACTCGACCACTCGACCACTCGACCACTCGACCACCGGGCTCCAGCCAAGCCGCGCGACGATGGGCACCCAACCCCAAGCAAACTCGGCAGAGCTTTCGGCGGCTGTTTTACCGAGCCGTCCTTCAAGCCATCCTGAACGACCACCGCGAACAACTGCCAGCCGCAAGACAGCCCGAGGAAAGCACTGGAAGCGATGCCCGACCCCAAGACATCAGCAGCGACGACGTTCTCCAGCGGATGAGCGACTATGCCGTTCGCCGGTTACCGTCGGCGGCCTTCGAGTCGCCGCTCCAGTACATCAGCGCCGCCTTGGATCGACTCGGAGTTGCTCCGGACAGTCCGCTGCGTGATCCGGCCGTCACGACAGAGTACTTTGAGCGCCATGCTGCAGCGGAGAAGCAGATTGCCGTGGTGTGGACGCTGCGTGCGCTGATGGCCGATGCGATCGAGAGCCTGATCTTGGTTGATCGGTGGATGTACTTGGTGGAGCAAGCCAACGAGCGCCGAGCGGCGTTGGCAGCAAGTGTGGGACATGATTGCTGCAGCGGCAGCAGCGATGGCAGTGATCGCGAGCTTGGTCCCACATGTTGCGCTGGTACCGATCGCAGATGTTGTCAGCCAGTCCTCGCAACATGGCGCTAATAGTCGTTGGCTTGTAGTCCGTTGAGCAACAAATGCGACGCCCTCTCATGTTCCACGGGGGGATATGCACAATATACGATCCCGATGCAAACGAGCCAACTGAGAATGTGTATCCAGGAACCAGAAAGAGGGGACAGATACCGACCGAACGCCTGGAGTGACTTGTTTCACAAACTCTATTTTCAACAGACAGAGACTGACCGACGGAGAGAAAGGAGATGGAAAGAACACCGAGGACAGAACAGAGACCAAAAAGAAAGGAGGAAGAAACACAGATGACCACGTTGCTAAGGCTGCGGATAACAACAAGTCGTCTATCGGGCACCGGTGGCAGGGGCGGCAGAGCAGAGTGTATCTACAGGACAGAGTGGGCGAAGAGCAAGCCCTCTGTGAGAGCTGCGGGATTTGGATTTGGATTTGGAGCGGATGATCGCGTTCGAAGCAGACGACGCCGGGACAAATCGGGCACTATTGGAGCTGTTGGGACACGAGCGAGCTACCGGGCTTGCTAGATCATCAGCGGGCAGGACAGCTCGACGCCGAGGTCTCGGAGATCGCACCAGTCCAGGGTGCTGAGATCCAAGTGCTCGAACTCGTCCTCAGGAACTTCGGGCACAGGCACCGGCCGCGACTTGATGTAGGCATCTAACTCGTCCGGGGGCAGGTCGGGCAGACATCCCTCACCAAAGGAGTGGAAGGCCATATGCATGAGTTCGTCGCTGAACCCCATGTGCAAAAAGTCATACAGCTCGTGGTCGGCGGCATTGGGCTGGTGCGTCGGCGCAATGCGAGCGGCCCGCGACCAGTCCAGAGGCTGGGCAGGCCAGCAGCCGGGGTGGGAGGGTCGAGATTCATGCAATCTGGCAGATCCAGCATCGCGGCCGTGGACGTCGACACTGTCTCGGCTGTCGAGCGAATAGGTACAGCTTGGAGCGGTGGACGGCAGTGTCGCCGAGGCTATCGGGGACCTTGGCATCCAGGTCAAAGACAGCCTCGATCAGGTTGACAACGGCATCGTCGCAGTCGTTGTTGCAGGGCGTCCAGACGTCCGAGGCCACGCGAGCCGACTTTGGCTTGGATGGCCTTGCCCTGGTGGCTGCAAGCGCGGTTGAGATCGGGGGTAGCGATAACTGGGGCACCTCAGTTACGGCTTCATCTGATTCTCGGGTCGACAGACCGAGCTCAAGCTCGATTCGATGGAGAAGCGCGGGTGTGCAATCTTTGTAGCTCTGTAGGGCCGCGAAGAGCTTGGCTGGGTCCGGGCCGCACTCGAGCAAGCCCTGGAGACGGCGCAGGCTGAGATGCAACAGATCGCTGCGATCGAGGTCGGCGGCAGTTTGAGCGACTTGGAGAGCAACCCGCAGGCCATCTCCGTCGTAGTCGGGGCAATATGCACAAAGACTGGCAGCCATGGCTGTGACCAGGAACTCGCAGCCGAAATAGTCTGCGATGCGGATCAGGCGAAGTGGAAGCGATGTGTCGGAGTGGCCGAGATAGGCGTGCATGTGTTCGAGCTCGTTGAGGACGTCGGACTCGGCGGCAGACACAAAGTAGAAGAAAGCCAGCATGTCGTCGTCGCTGAAGCATGCAGGAACGACAACTGAGCCGCCTGCAGAAGGCGCCGAGCCGTAGCGAGGGGTGTGTGTTGAGACGGACGAGCCTAGAGCGGCAAAACAAGATGATAGGGAGGTGTGCAGATACTCGGGGAGACGATACAGCCGGAACTCTCCGTTGGCAAAAGGATGGTGCTTTTCAGCGCCGACATTGGCGTTGGAGTTGGCGCTGGCCTGGGCGACTCCGGAAGGCGATTGTGGGGGCGACAGCGTGGGAATATAGCTTGGGCTGGACCAAGCTGGGGTGACAGGTTGGAGACAGAGTTGGATCAGGATTGTGGCTTTGGGCGAGATTTCTTGCGAAGCTTGAGCAGTCAGATCGCCACACAATTTGATGTGGCTAAGATCGCTCCATTCGCTCAGTTCGGAGAGGAAAAACTGGTCGCGGGGTCTGAAGCAGAAACAGGCCGCCGGGATATGGTATGGGAAAGAGCAGATGGGTTAGTGCCGTGCGCGACGGTCGATGGTTGGAGTGATGGGTATGGTGCGTGCGGTGGCGGAAGCAGTGGCAATGCGGCACGGTGATGGATGAATGGAGGCCGCTTTGCATTTACCTTGGCTGGATTCGGAATGTGCAAGATTCGTCGGGCCCAAAGACGGCCAGGGCAAAGGCCAGGGCATGGTCGAGTGTGGATGAGCACGAATTGATGGGGTATAGACACTCGATCGAGACCTGGGGCTCGAGCCAGGGGTTGGCGGGATTGGGAGACAGATGGGCTCTCCAGGCTTGGTGGAAGGCATGGAAGATGGGCGAGGAGACTTTGTTGGTGCGATCGAAAGACTTGTAGTCAAACGTCCACCGGAAGGACCGGAAGTTGGCTCGGAGGTGGGCCTTTGGCAGAGGGTGCAGCTGCGAAAGTCGGGCCCACTCGAGACGCAGAGCGTCGACGGGATCGGCACGGACAAGCACGGAGCGCTGGTCGGGATCGCTGAGTTCGGAGACTGAGGGAGCGATGGAGCCAATGTCGGAGATGGCCGAGTCGGGGAGGGTGGTGACGGTGGACCGGCGCTGCAGGGATTTTTCGGGGAGAGCAAAGCCGGTGGACGTCTCGATGTGCAGAGCAGTGGACGGGCTGGTGCCCGAGACCGAGACGACGGTGTGATCGGCCATGACGGCGTGTGCGGGGGGTATAAGTGGCTGGGACGAGGGAGCAGCAGAGGGGCTGGAGGTCAGCTTGGACAACTCGTCGATCGGAGCTGGTGGTGGTCTGGACGGCAGCGATGCTGGTGGGTGGTGGTCTGGAGGACAGCGATGGCGAGCGATGGCGAGCGACGAGCGAACGAGGCCAAGCTGCGTCGTCGAAGGAATATATAGCAACGTGGGAGACAGACGGGCTCATGGACGATCGGGGCTGGCCAATGTGTGCCGCGACACGGGGACACAGGCGCGCTGCGACGCGGCGGGGACGGCAACGGCGCTGTGTCGGGCTGTGGTGATGGCGATGATGTTGATGTTGATGTTGTAATTGGTGTTAGTGATGGTGCTAGTGATGGTGTTAGTGATGGTGCTGATATTGGTGTTGGTGATGGTGCTGATATTGGTGTTGGTGCTGATGGTATTGAGAGACACGAATATCGATTCCAGGATCGACACTTGTGTCAGAGGCTCAAACGCCTGTCTCACTGGCTGGCTGGCTGGCGTCATCCGCGCCCGTGTCTGGTGCGAGCGAGAGCCACGGCTGTCCCCGACGAGCGAGGCGTGTCGCCAGAACTGCAATGCGAGCACCACGGGAGCCACATGGGCGATCAACTCTCGGGCATCATCAACGACCGTCAACGACACCAACTCCAACGACCATCAACGACACCATCACCAACATCAAACGCCAACATCAATCACCAGCGACTACTCCCACGGATCGCCGTCCAAAAACAGCAGCCGCAACTCTTTCCCGTTTGCCCTTTGCAAGGCCGAGCAGGGTCGAACAGGACCAGGCAGGACAAGGCCAGACAAAGCACAACAAAGCAAGGCTGTCGACCAGAAAGAAAGCCACGAGGAGGTCTCATTGCCCGTTGCCTTGCTGTTGCCTTGCTGTTGCCTTGCCGTTGCCTTGACTGTTGTCCTGCTGTTCCCTTGACTGTCTTTCCTCTTCCAGCAGCTACACTTGCCCTTTCCCACAGTGCCATCAGTTGCACTCTCATCAATTACACTTTCATCAGGCTTGCCCTTGCATCTTCTTTGCGCTCTCAGCCCGTCTCATCTCCAACCGTGAGCTTGTCCTCCCACTTGTCCTCCCGCTCTCCTCCCACTCTCCTCCCACGCGCTCCCTGTGCCCTCCTCAGCACCAGCCTCTGCCTTCTGCAGCAAGGCCGCCCCGCTGTTCTATTTGCGACACCGACACTCGAGCCGCCGGGGTCGCACGGCTCGTTGCATCGGGACACAGCCTTGTCTGTCGATCCAATCGGCTGCCGCCCTCAGGCCCGTCACCACCCGGCGTTGCCCGCCCCACATTGCTGTCGTCCCTCTCCTGTCTCCTCCCAAAGTGGCTCCAGGCTATATCTGCGCACCCCACCCGGCCCTAACCCTCTCCAAGCCCGGCTCCTCCTGCTCCCTCTTCGCCGTCCATCTGCAACGCAACGCAGCGCCCTCACCCGCCCCATCCGTGCAAATGTCTGGCTGCGTGGACCTGCAGAACACCTACTACTGCCCCGAGTTTGCCGGTAAGGAGGATGGAGTGGAATGGGATGGGATCAGCCGGCTCTGGATCGGCCCAAGGCCGCAGATGGTGGCAGGCAGCGGCAGGCAGCGGCATGCCCCCATGTCGGCAAACGTCCTGCATCCACCAGCCCCTCAGTCCCCTCCAGCCCCTCCAGTCCCTCCGTCACACACCTCCCCTCAATATGTCCTCTCGCTGATCGTCCGTCGCTTCCCTCTCATCGACAGGCAACTTTGTCCGTGCCAACTCGACGCAGGATGTTGACAACAACATCGCCCAGCTCATCGGCGGTTCCTGGCAGGGCTCCGTCCAGTCCCAGCTTTCGTGCCCCAACTTCAACGAGACCACCGTCCGCTACAGACTGGCCGTCGTCTGCGGTATCTACGCCGATGTGTACACCAACTCTGACCCCAACAGCGGTGTCAACTGCCCCGAGAACGCCCAGAAGTCTGCTGGCACCCGCCAGCTGTGCTCCTCGGCCCTGCAGGCATACATGAGCACACTCGCGGTCCAGTACAATACATGCGACCCCAACAACGGCGTCGATCTGCGAAACCAGGACTGGGGCACCCTGACCCATCTGCAGTCTGACCTGCCTGCCACCGACTCGGCCAACTGTGTCTCGACCATGGCGCTGGAGCGTGCTCTCGGTGCCGGATGCGGTAAGCGTTGCGCTCTCGTCTATGTCCAAGTGGCACCTATGCACCGGCGACATGCAATAGAACCGTTCACGCACATGGCGACATGTGTTGTCTGTCGCTGGTCCTAACAGCCTCCCCATTCTTTCCATCTTCCCAGGCTTCCACACCTCCGACGCTTTCCATGCCTATTGTGCCTCCAATAGCACCGACTCGTGCTGCACCACCGACGCCGCCAATGCCACCTCCGCCACCTCTGCTCTGCCCTCGACGACCTCATCCATCTCCATCGTTCCTCGGATCAGCCCCGACGCTCCCACCACCCGCTCCGCCCCGGTCCCTGTGACCACCCAGACCCCTGACTCGAGCAACAATGGGCCCAACATCCCGCTGATTGCCGGTGGAGCCGCTGGTGGACTGGTCCTGCTTGTCGCCCTCGTCTTGGGCTTTGTGCTCGTCCGTAGGAGAAAGGCCCGCCAGGTCGAGGAGCAGTACCCCCACAACCCCGACAACTCTGACGGCTACGGTGCCACCCAAACCTTCTACGGCGGCCCGGCTACCACCTACGGCGCTGCCACGACGTACGGCGGCGCCAGCTACTCGGGCCAGACCAACGCCGCCGTCTACAACTACATCCCCAACCTGTCGGACGAGATTGCCATTGGTACGGATAGCTAATTGTGCTTGAGTGCATTGGATTGCGTCGCACGTGCGCCGTGGGGACTCGATGCGCCTGTCCAACGAGCCAGCTCATGGCCGACCCCCCCTCATTCTCTGACACTTTCTGCGTGGCTTTTTCGTTGGCGCTGCAGAATCTGGCGATGTCATTGTGATCAAGGAAACCTATGACGATGGCTGGGCCTTTGGCTACAACACCCGAACAAAGAGCGAGGGCTGCTTCCCTCTGGCTTGCGTCGAGCCCAACACCGCTGGCGGTCCATCCGAAGGCGCTCCTCAAACCAAGCAGATCAAGCAGCGTGGGTCGTCGCTGTACACCCGCTACGTGCCCAAGTAGACCAGTCGGCGCGCAGCGATGATGGAACACATGCATCCCTCCAATACCCTCACTCCTGCAGCACCCCCGGGCTCAATTCAAAAATCAGACAGGACACACCACTCCCACCCCCCAGCTCCGGCTTCAGCCTCGGCCTCAGCCTCAATCCCTTTCCCCCTGCCTCCTCCCTGGCATCTTCAACGACGTGAGACTTTGGATTGCTCAACAACACAACACACGCCTGCAACAAGCCCTCACGAACTCCCCAGCCAGCTTTTCTCTGCATCTAAATTGTGCGTGGCTTCTCGTCCGGCTGCGCCGCGATGGGAAGCGACCCGACTTTCGTAATGATGGCTGCTGCGCGATGTTTGTTGTCCTATCTTCCCCTCTACTCTCCTGCTTTCTCCTGCTTTCTCTTTCGTCACCCCGCCACATCTTGCTTTGCTTTCTCTATCTCGATCTACCTGTCTTGCTCTCTTGCTCTTCTCTCTTGCCTTGCGCAGCTCCCCGGTAATTCGTTGTATGAGCCCGGGGCGCTGTGTTCTATGTTACTCTTGCCCTCTATGTTTCTATCGTTCCCCGCCTCCCCCCCTCCCTCCATCGTCCTTGACAGATGTGTACAGACCATTCTGCTAACAAACGGAAATCCCTGGAACCCATCTCGTGCCGGGCGAGGCGTGGGAAGCACGGCCAGGCTGGGTGCGTGGTGGGATTTCGGTGGTTTCTGATTGCTGCGGCCAGATCACAACAAGCCACACAAGCCACACCAGCCACGTGCGTCGCCAGGATGCAGAGTGGGTTTTCTGGCTGCCGCTCGCTGCTTCCTCCGCTTGGGCTCGCAAGCGCCCTGTCTCCTGCACGATCCTTGCCTGTCCGAGATGCTTGCCTCGCTTCCTCGGTGTTCGGGGGAGTTGCGGAATCGCCTCGTCTTTGCCGGGCGGGCAGGGCCAGGAGACGGCGCAACAGCGAACCAAAGAAATGGACCTTGTCAACGGAGCCGGAGGGAGTCCCCGTATTGGCAGAGACTCCAACCCATGCGGGCTTCTCGTCTAGAGGGACCAAAACATTCCATTCCATTCCATTCCATCGCTGCTCGAGGAGAGAGGGAGGAAGCAATACCGGGGCGCACAGAGGTTGCGTTCGTCTGCTACGGGCAAGCGACAGGGACATACAGCAGCAAAGTCCAAGTCCTGATGATCGGGGGTCGATTCTCCAGGGTCGGATCTGCGGTTATCCCATTCCTTCTCCCCTCCAGAGTGGGGTCTGCGGTTGTCCCATTCCTCCTTCTTCTCCTCTCGGGCAGAGCAGCAGTCACTAGTGTTTGCAACGAACAGAGATGGTCTTTGGAATTCTACAGACTTGCCTCCGACGAAACAAACCTGTGGCTGATCCCAATCTCTGCTGGACGATAGGGTCGTCTCTACTTCCGCAATACCTGCAATGTGTGCGATGGCGGCGGGGCTGTTGGGTCAAGCAATTTCCCTGCCACACTTGCAAGCCCAGCTCGATCGGCTGGCAAGTGATGCTTTTCCATCTGGCAAGTCCAAATTCTTGTCTTGACCGAATCAGCAAGCGCAACTCGCCAGCCAGCGACTATCCCAGCAGCTACAACTCGCCCCTCCTCCTCCGTTAACAACGCAGCAGCTATGCCGTTCTGCACCCGCTGCGGCGAAATCGTCCAGAATCCAAATGGACTTTGCACCGTATGCCAATCCAGATCTGCAGGTCTCTGTCGGTGCCGTTGCGAGCTTGGCAAGGCGAGAGGCAGAGATAGCATGGAAGAACGCCCTTGTCAACCGGGAGAGTGCAGCGAGGGGCAAATCGCAGTGGCATGGTACCAACCGATCCTCCCTCGTCTAAAACGGCTCGCAGTCGATGCCTCGGCCAGCGGCATGACATCCAAGGACAACAGAGGCGACATCTATGCCAACAGGTACCGTCCTCCACCCAGACTCGACAGTGTCTCCACTGCAAAATGCGGCCTGACTTGTCTCTGCAAATACGGATCCAGTCAGTCAACTCATCGGGCATTGTTGCTGGGATTCCCACCCACCTGCTTCATATCGTGCAGCTATCTCTCCGGCGGCTTCAATGCTGGGGTGGAGCACGGCCTCGGTCGCATGCTTGGCATCGAGAATCCAGTCCAGCAGACCTGCACCGACTGCAGCAAGACCCTGACCAAAGCCCAGGAGGTCTTCGTTGCTCCGACTGATGCCGGTGGGCAGGTCTACTGCGAAACATGCTATGCCGGCCATTTCAAGAAGGGCGATTGGTGAGGCCATCCTGCGGTGCCATCCCGTGGTACCATCCTGTGGTGCTGCTCCATTGCTTCATCCGATTGCTCCATCCGATTGTTTCATCCGATTGTTTCATGCATTATCGCCATGGCTTGGTTCGACTGCAGCCAGCCCTCCTTCCATAGCTGCCTGACACTCGCTCGGCATCTGCTGTTCTCACGCCATTCCTCATCCCTTGCTCCTCCGTCTCCGTCTCCGCTGTGTGGATCTGCGGAACCACTTTTACCGCAGCGTCAAATGCAAGCAGCCGGTCCTGGGACTTGGCCACCAATACGTCCAGCAAAACAACCAATACTGGCACCGCGAGTGCTTTGACGCCGGCACCGCCTGCCACGTTTGCTCCAAGGTGATCTTTGGGCAAGCCGTCATGGCCCTGTCGCACAATTATCACCCAGCCTGCTTCAAATGCGTCGGGTGCGGAAGTGCCTTTGCCGACGGCCGATTTGTCGACCGCAATGGCGAGCCGTGGTGCCGCCCCTGTGCAGAAAAAGCGACGCCGCAGGTTGCCCGAATCGCCCAGAAGGCCCCGGCTTCAAACGCCGCTGCGTCCAGCAGTACCCCAGCAGCAGCAGCAGCAGCAGCAGCAGCAGCAGCAGCAGCACCAACAACAGCAGCAGCGGGAGGGGCAGGGTCAAAGCCCAAACCAGACGACGCCGATGATCTCATCAACAAGTTCAAAGAGCGTGTCCGTGTCGACAATCTCGGGAGCCGCTGCGACAAGTGCCTCGAGCCCGTCCTCTCCAATGCCATCAAGATACCAAACTCTGGCGGACTGTACCACAGCGAATGCTTCACTTGCGAAAAGTGCCAGAAGCAGCTGGTTGGCAAGTTTACGGCTTACAACGGGCAGTACTACCATCCCGGGGTGAGCCACCTGCCTGAGATCTTGGTCAGAAGCGATATGCTGGGTGGGTGAGTGAGAGGCAGCGAAAGTGACCCTAACCCGGTGCTGCCGACGCACTCAGTGTTCTCCCATGAAAATGCCGACGGAGGACTCTGTCTGCGCGAAGTGCCACAAGCCAATCTCTGGTGCATTCGTGAAGCTCGAGGATCAGCTCATCCACAGCGACGTGAGTTTTCCACCAGCACATCCACAAACCCCCAGAGCCTCTCCCAGCTCGCATGTGTATGCTGTGGTGTTGTTGCTGTCGCTGCTGTTTCTGATCGGCTTGTCTTTGATGTCCCAGTGCTTCGTCTGTGTCAAGTGCCGGACCAAGCTCTCGGGCTGCCCGTTCGGAAACACCCCCGAGGGCCCCCAGTGCCAGGGCTGCATCAAGAACTCTGACCTTGGCAAGCCCAAGTTTACTCCCGGCTTCACGGTGAACCAATGCGGGCTCAAGGAGCTGCGCGGACCAGGCGGCGTCAAGATCGGGGACAACGAGGCTCTCCGAGCCCTCGGTGGCTCCAACATCTGTCCCAGGTGCCAGCAAAAGACATACATGTCTGACGAGGTACAAAGTGAATGGCAGTGTTAATGGGGAGACTCACTGGCAGAATCACAGCTGGAGACACACGGCGTGCAAAGACGTTGACATGCTGACTTTTGCGCAGGTTCCCGGGCCCTTGAGCACCAAGTGGCATCGGTAAGTGACATTGTCGTCGCGAGATGGACGCTGCCCGACCCTAGCCCGACTCTGCGCGATTCTGTCTAACGCTGTGATGGTTTGGATATCCCGATGCGGCCTGTGGACGATCAGCGCTTGTCTAAAGTGCGCCTCGTGCCGGACTCTGCTCGACAGCATGGCAAAGATCCGCCTAGACTCGACAGAGCCGTTTTGCTGGAAGTGCTTTGACAAGCAGCGCGCGGGCCAGCCCAACACAGCCGCCCCGAGCGGAGTGGCCGTCTAGATGGATGCCGATTTTTGGTGAAACAAAGATCATGGCTGCTTTTTGGTCTCATTGCCCACCATGAATGATGCGAGCGTGGGAATCCGCCCGGTGTGTGTGTGTGTGTGTGACCGCTATGGCAGCCCTTCCCCTTGACGCGCAGCGCCGTTTTCTTTCCTGTGCGATTTCCGCAGCCCTCCCCACTCAATCCCGTTTTCCAGCGATCCATCTTGCTCCCGTTCTCGCATCTACACAATCTCACCTCCCTCCTCCCCTGCACGAAACCATGAGCTCCCCCAGCAAGTCCATTGGCTCCAACTCGCATTGGTCCAGGTGAGGGATCCTCTGTCGATCGCGCACTGTCTTGCCTCTGCGTCCATGTCCCTCCCCCACAGATCAATCGGCATCTGCACGTCCAGCAAACTCACGCCTCCGTCTAATCGATCCCCTTTCCTTTGGGTTTCTCTCTCTCGATTGGTTCTGCACTGCTTCGATCCACGGCAAACCCAGCGAGCTGGTCAATGCCGGCAACCTGAAGATTGCCTTCCACGGCGGCATCTTCCTGGCCGCCTACTATTTCTTCTCCCAGCACGGAGACTGGTTCACCTTCTAGATCGCACCAAAGTCGTCGTTGGCCAAATCCGCCCCCTTCATTCACCCTCTCCCCCTCACCACCACCATCCTTCTCTTTTCGGGATCGAGTTGAATCGGGATCTCCCTCGGAAATCCAGTAAATCCAGTATTGGAGATCCTGATCGAGCCAGCGCCTCCGCTTCCACTTCCCCTCGCTTCTTTCACATCTTCGACGCACGCCACGCACCGCACGCACGGACCGAGCTCCCTTTTGTATCATAGCAACCCCGCTGGACGCCTCCCTCAATAAAGGATCGTCATGCTCTTCTGCCGTACTGGTCACTGTGGCAACACCCCTGCAACACTCGCTTGTACGCCGCAAGTCGGTCGTAGCCGATCCAGGAGAGTCGGTGTCGACGTCTGTGTCCAGCAGCCACCTTTCCGCACCAATCCCGCTCATCCACCAACACCCACCACAGGCCACAAGCCGAGGTCCATAGGGAAGTGTATAGTATTCTATCGGATCGACATTCAGGCATAGAAAAACAGTAAGCTAAGAAAACAAGAGAGAGAGAAACAAATGCATTCAGGGAACGGATGGCACTCGCCCCAAGGTTCTATGACCAAATGACTGGCACTCGCCCCAAGGTTCTATGACCAAACGACAGCAAGCCCATCCTTGCGGATGCCTGCTGGTCCACTCGCGATGTTGCTTGTGCGATGCTCGATCACCGGGCCTGTCGCTCAGAGCCGAATCCTCGACAGCAAGCTTGTAGAGTTGCGATTCTGACGGCTGGTTGATGTGCTCCGGCGCTTCTGGAGGGGGGAGAGTTCGTCGAGGCCAAACAATCGCTTGTTACAGTGTCTGGAGTCTGGTGATCTTGGTTTCCTGCGACCCAGTTTCCTGCGACCCAGTCTCCCGAGGCAGCTGTCCGTTTTGTGGGAGCGAGGACGGCCCGCTATGACCAATGTCGGTCCATTTGTCTGCAGCAGCAGTTGGCCAGATAAGATCGGTCAGCAACAGCGATGGTACAGCGAGACTCGAATCTGACTCCTGCAGACCCTGGTCGGCCAGTAGTCGCATCCAAATGCACCATGGCAGTTGCAGCCATTCTGCCGGTGGCATTCGCAGTCGGAGAGAGCACACTCACCAGGAACCATCAGGAAGTAGCTCTCGATGGACTCGCGGAAGCGGCGTGCATACTCGACCGGTGGGAGCACCGTAACGCTCTCCTTGTCGTTCGCCAGGGCCAATTTGCCACGGCTCTCGAGCTTCTTGTACCAGGTGTATGTGCCGATGATGTCAACGATGCCTCCGACGAGCTCCTTCTTCTCGTTGTCGACACCCAGCAGCAACGAGTAGTCCATGATATTGTTGTTGGACAGGAAGGCAACGTCGTTTTGGATAGCCTCCGTAATGATCAACTTGGAATAGGCATACAGCATGAATTGGTCCTTACAGCGACCTGATACGCCGCACCGAGAGCAACAGCTTTGGGTCAGTGCGCTGCACCACATTCGCTTTGATGTACCGGAACGAGGCACATGGCTGTGCATATCACTGTGCGTCTGTAGTCACAAACGGTGCATTTCGCTCTTTCACAGATCTCGGCTGCTCGGTCTTACCATCAACCCAGTCGCCGTCCCAGAGCACCTGGTCCTTCCGGTTCTCTTTCACCTCCTTGAGGTTGTGGCGAACCTGCACGCCCTTCAGGTCGAATTTCTGTTGGACCATGCAGTAGCAAAACCGTCAGCACGGCCACAGTAAGAGCAAGGGCACGGCCGTTCGCGACAGCGCCAGGCTCTGCAAGCACGCAGGCAAGCCAACAGGGGTCCTAGCGAAAGAAGCACTCACTCTGCTGATCTTGAACTGATAGAACACATTCTCCATGATCAGGACGTCGATCTCCATGATCTCCTTGGTCTGCAGGTTCTTTCGCTTGATCGTGTAGAAGCCAAAGATCTTGGCAATCAGGCTGACGCGCTTGTCGCCTCCTATCATGTAGTCGATGTAGTTGGTTGCGAAGCTGAGCAGGTCGTCCTTCTCGGTTCTGGTCCAATTGGAGGTGAGCTGCTTGACCACGAGGCGATCGTCTGTGGTGTCGAGAGCGTTAGAGAGGCTACGCGCTCGGGTCTCCTCGCCGGCCCAGAATTGGCAGAGCGAGGTGTTTGGGAGCATGGACCAGGATGCCAGTACAAGCGTGCAGCGCATCCCGGAGATCGTACCATGGGTTTTGAAGAAAGTTGCCTTGCTCTTGCCTCCGTTTGCGTTCCACGACGAGCACCGCATCAAGCTATGGATGTACGACTCGTGGATATTGTACTTTCGTCGCAGAGTGTCAAACCGCTCAGCATAATAGACCGTGCAGCTGAACTGGACGCTGTTCTCGGACCATTCTGGGCGGAAATGAACGCCGATGGTTAGACTGGATCGATTTGGCCACGAAATGCAATCCAGCGGCAGGAGTGGGGACGATGGCACACAGAGTCTGCAAAGAGGCACATGCTTACTGAGGGTGATGTGCTCTTCGGTCTGGGGAGCATTGGGCTGGGCAATGCCGTTGCTCGAGACATGGGCAAATGTTTTGACCTCGGATGTGAATGGCGACACCATGCTGGACTTTGTGCGCTTTGGGATACTCGCTGTGAACGTGGGCGACGCAGGAGAGGCCACGCCGTTGGTGGGCAGCGTGGGTGAGCCGATGCGGCGCAGGAACACGGCGGGGTTTTCGAAGAATTTCGGCGACTCGCCGCTCTTGGAGAAGATGGTCGGATCGCTGTTGGTGGAGGCAGTGCCAAGCAGCTCTTCGGAGCGAGTGCGCAGACGAATTTTATCGACCTCCATTAAATACAGCGTCGAGCTACTCGTGGATTGGTGCAAGGGAAGGCTCATTAGACAGTGCAAAGGCGGTCCACACTACTGAATCGGCTGCGGAAGCTATCCAGCCCGCATGCCTTCGCATCCTTCTGGTCGAGCAAGCCGGCAGTCAATACCTCAAGGTATATGCCAAAAGGCTTGTGGGCTCGTTTTCGTAGATCAAGACGAAGCTATCCGGCGGAAGGGTGATGTTGCTGGCGGGGCTGCGAACAGAAGTGGTCAGGGCAAATCGATGGCTGCAAGGCTGGGCAATTGACGGAGCCGCGGTGACGGCGACGGCGACGGCGACGGCGACGACACTAGATGAACCGGAGACCAGACGCGCAGTGGCGATACCTACTTTGCATATTCAGGGGACTTGATCTCCCAGGTTGGGGGCGACTTGAGGGCCAGCATCGCAGTGAGTTCGGTACCAAAGTCTGCAAGATCCGTCTGGATCTCGTCGATCTTGCGCCGCAACGCAATGCGGACATTGTTGATTTGCTCCGTGTTGGTCTTGCTCAGGAGTGCAAACAGCACCGAGTCTAGCATCTGGTATTTTTCGGAAAGCAGCTCGAGCTGGTTCTGGACAGAGTCCAGCGTATCCTTGGCGACGCCCTTGCGCAGCGCACGCAGACTGCTGCCGACCTTGGAAAGGCTCTTGCCCAGCGACTCGTGGAGATCGGCAATCTCATTGGAGACGCCGTCGACCAGTCGGGACTTTGTTTTCTCGTCGATCAATCTGTCCTTGAGGATCTGCGGCTGGGTGTCGACGGACGAGAGCGCATGAAGACACGGTGGTCGCAGCTCAAAGAGACCGATGTGCTCGAGCTCGAATGTCACGATGACATTGTTGCGTCGATAGTGGAAGTGGCAGTTGCTCGGACTCGGGCCCGTGGCTTTGTCGGCCGCACTGGCGATGTTGCACGCACACAGGTCCGCGGGAATGAATCTGGGGTTGTAGCAAAGCAGCTCCAGAAACTTGCCGAGTGAGTAGTTCCAACAGGCAGCCGACATGATGCTGGGTTTGGTTGACTTTTGGCAGACCGTACAGGTGCTCCAGATGTATATCGTGTCTTCCAGATACGGGGGCTCCCCTGAAACGGGGATCTGCTGCCACGACGTCACCAGCTCGCACTGGATGGTGATGCGGCTTTGGTCGTGTGTAAATGTGGTGATGTGCTTCCACTTGGGCTTGTCGCACGATGGCGCATCGCACTTTCCAAAGGCCTGTTGGGTGGCCTGCTCGACAAACTCACCAAGGCGGACGTCGTACGAGCCGCCTGCATTCTGGAAGAACTCAAAGGTGACAATGCTCGGGGGATAGCACGGAGTCGCCAGGGTCTCGGACCAAGTCCGCCATGTCGAGAACGAGATGGACTGGTGCTGCACGATGCTGGGGAGATTCGAGCCTCGCGATGCATCGGCTGGCGGGTTTCTGATGGAGCCCGTGAGGTGGTTCTTGGACACATCTTCGGGGATGAGCTTGCTGAGCGCCATTGTGGACTCTATCGCCAGCTTGGGGAGGTCTACCGTTGCTGATGTCGGCAGTGTCTGGCTTCTTCCGACGGTGTAAATCTGGGAATAGGGCTGTGACTTCTCGGGCGGCGCGACGGAGGCCGCCTGGTACTCGTTCTGGAGACGACGGAGGATATAGGGCAAGGAGATATTGACATCGGGCGTGGTACTGACGACGAGCCGCTCTCGGGCTGCTATGGCGTCCTGGAGCTCGGTGGGGAGCAGCGGGTTGGGAGCGACACGCGCGAACGAGGAGATATCCAGAGTCGAGCGGCGTTTGCCGAGACTGCGTTCTGCACATGCGGGGCGACGGAAGATGAGTCAGACGCAAGGTGCGGCAGCGGGCAAAGCGACGATGTTTGGCAAGTGGGGTGGGTGGGTGCCATGCACATCGGGGCGGGGTTGCGAGATGGCCGCGGCAATATCCTGGACAGAGGGTGATATGCCCGGCCAGAGACAAAATTGCGTACATGCTCATCCGGGCAGCTGTGGAGGCTCTCGATGGACGGCCCTGGGCTGGTCCAGCATCGACGAAGGGACACTCGGCAGCCACACACTCTCGACGGCACGTTCAGGACATCAATACGTTACCGCGGGCTGGTCCAGTTTCGTCGCCGTGGCCTGGTCTCGAGCGGCTCGCCCTTGGGAGGAACGGGCGGGGGCCGATCGCTCAGCTTCTTCTTCATCCAACTCCATATTTTGGAGCCAGACTGGAGCGAGTCAAACGGGGACTGGGGTGTAGCCGCGGGCTTTCGTATCTCGTTCTGGGCATGCATCGAGGGTGCCCGAGACAGACTCCTGCCGTTGCGATACCCCCGCATTGCTCGGCTTTGGTCTCGGTATGTGGTGGTCCGCCCGCAACGCCTCCTCAAGCTTCATGCTGAAGACAACGTAAATGGTCAGGCTCACCAGCTGCTCAACGAGCTCGAGCTTGGCTCTGTCGGCACCACAGAGGATGATGATACCGTCGCAAGCATCGGGCCGGAATGGAAGATTGAGTCGGAGGTGGCCGGAGAGCAGCTGCTGCCGCGAGTAGTAGGCCGAGTCCGAGGGATTGGAGAGGACAGGGCCGTACCGGCCAGCCGCCAGCTGCAACGGCTTTTCGACCGGCGACAGGAGAACGGGGACGGAGGGCGAGACGCCGTGGGAGAGGGCCGAGCCGGACTGGACGGGATCGCGGGAGGCTGTTTCGGTCGCGATAATCGTCGGGATATCCTTGGCAAACTCCTGGGCAAGCTTGAGCAGCACGGGACGCCATATGCGCACGTTATTGTGGTCGAGCCGGAGGCTTTGGAGGGACTGGGTGAGGATTTTGGTGAGATGCTCCTTCGCGGCGGGGTCGATGTTGTCGGCCCTGTGGCCGAATGTGCTCATTGGAGGCGACGATGACAGCTATGGGGAGCAGATGCAGTGGGCGTCGTCGAGGCAGCCGTTGCAGCCGTTGCACTCGACGCAGCAGACGCAGCAGACAGCAGCAGACGCAGCAGATGCGGGTATCAGGAGCGGGGTGGGAAGCCCGGCCCAGGCGACATCGAAGGGCGAATGCAAACGGTGGAGCGCCTGCCGACGGGCTGGTCTCCTGGGCATGTTTTTGGGGGGGAGAATCGCTCTCATAGCGGCCGCTGCCGATTGGCTGGCGGTGTCGCTTGTTCCTGTGCGGCCTGGCGCGGCGGCGGTCGCAAATGGGGCGCGGAGTGCGCGTCGGTGCGCACCCACGCGCCGCGTGCGCGCCTGGCGGATGGCTGCGCAGCGCCAGGCCCAGCCCGCCCATTCCCGCCGCTCCTACCCTTGCCCCTGCCCCTGCCCTTGCCCTTGCCCTCGCCCTCGCTTGCCTTTTTCGGCGGAAATGAAGCCGGATCGAGCCGCCAGCCGTCCCGGCTCTGGCCACACAAGGGCCGCGATGTCCTGGCCAGCCTCACTGTGGCGATCGTCTCCTGTCCATCGCCTCCACCAAGCCGGGCGTCTCCAGAGCAGAACCTCCCCGCCCCAGTCCCAGCCATGGATGTCCAGCACGACCCGTCGCCGCACCATGTCCTGGCCTCTGCGGCCGCAAAGTCCGTGTCGCTCTGGAAGCTCAAGACCGAGTATTCCGATGCCGAGGTCCCGTACTCGCGGATCCACCCGAATCTCTGCGGTAGCACCACCCCGGGGCAAATCAACGCCATGGCCTTCTCGAGCGATCGTAAGTGTCGACAGCCGCAGCCGTGCATGTACTATCAAAGAAAGCAAAGATGGATATCGCTGCGCATCACTCGCCGTCTCGATATGCGCAAAGGCCCTCGGTGTCCGCTCACCGTCCCCATCACTGGCTCTCCCACGCCATGGTCCTGCCATCTTGTGTCCGTCTGCCTTTGGCACCAGTCGGTCTTCTCGCAACCGCCTCCTCCAACAACACCATGTCGATCTACGATGTCACCCGCAGCCAGCTCTTGCGGGTGATCGAGGGCCCCACTCCCAGATCCAGCGTAAGGCCTCTTTCCCATTGCGAAGCACGAGCTCGACCCTTTGGCACTGGCGCTGGCACCACATACATCATCGTCTCGCCGCCTCCAACGACTCGGTACTGCCTTGGTATCGGCAGCGGATATTTACTCCGACTTCTCAGTCAGTCACACTTTCTCATCGTCTCCATCGCGCATCCAGACTCAAGTGCCAGAAATCAAGGCTCTCGCCTTTGCCTCGCAGCCCGAGCACTCCTCGCGGCTGCTCTTCTTTGGTGGCTCCACCCGGACCGTCCACTGCTACGATCTGAAGGAGAACCATGTGCTGAAACACTCGTTCTCGGGCACGATGAAGGGCTCTGTCGAGTGCATAGCCGTCAGTGCAGACGATACCAAGATCACCTGTGGTGGCGAACACGGCCAAGTCTGGATACACTCAACAAGGTCCATGAACGGCGCAGAGCTGGAGACCAAGTTCAAGCAGGTACTCGGGCCTGGCATGCAAGAACACGAGAGCACTCGTCTCCGTCTGCAATGCGACCATGGCCTTCAGCCGTGTGTCTTTGGTCGACAGGCGCTCGCTCGATCTCGCATCAAGCATCCGCCACTACTCCGCCATCATGTGCTCGCGGCTGATAGTCCCTCGTACATCTCGCTCATCTGGCCTAGACTGTCAACGACATTGCCTTCTATCCCTTCCGAAAATCCATCGTCACGGCAGCTGGTGACGACGGCATCGTGTCTGTCTGGGACATCAACCATTCCAAAGCCCCGCTCGATCGCAAGATTGATCCGCACAACGGTCCCATCCGGGCCATCGCCTTCTCTCCAGTCAACAAGATGATGTTTGTTACCGTAGGCATGGACAAGAAAATCAAGATGAGCGATTTCCTGGCAAAGAGGTAATTTGTGTCACTAGACATCCTGGGCATCCTGGGCATCCTGGGCATCCTGGATATGCTCGATATGCTGGACACGCTGGATATGCTGGGCTATTCGTACCGGCACGGAGATGGTTGAGCCCCCAGCTTCACCATTCCGACTTTATGGGGCGGCTCTCCATCGTCCGCGAGAGCCTGTCCTGCTTACTGACGACCACACATCCTGCCTCAGTGGCGCGCCTCCTGTTGTCGAGTATCAGGCAGAAAGTGGCCTGACCTCCGTAGCGATCTCGGGCGCAAACCAGGTTGCTGTCGGAACGACGCAAGGTTGGTTCACAAGTGTTCCCGGAGGCAGTCGTGCCACGCCCAGCTTTGGCGACCTGTTGTCGTCTCGAACCACATCGGCGGCCTGAGCTTTGGATCACGTTGCTTACATGCCACTGTCGTTGTAGGGCGAGTGTTGATCTACGACATCCGCTACAAGGGATTGCTTTGCAGCTTCACTCCCAACGATGGCGAACCTGTCCATCAGCTTGCCTTTTGCCCCAAGCCCGTGAGTAGCTGCACACCGAGAGAGAAAGCGCTTGCTTGACCATATCCTCCGCGCTGTCAAAACCAGTCTTTGCTCACCCATCGAGTGACTCCGCCAGAGCTCCAACAAGGACCTGCCCGCATATCTCCAGCCCATCCGAAGCAACAGCAGCCACGAGCTGTCGGAGCACCAGACCGCACAACCCTCGACGCTCCCACAAGCCGGCTTGAGTCCAGGCGTTGGCGGCGAAGTCGTCCGTAATGAGCCGTACACCCCCGTTACGAAGCAAAAGAACTTTATGGAAATGTTCAGTCCCGTCAACCCTAAAAGTAAGCACATACACAGCTGGGTCAGGATAGTGCACTATCCTGCGCCGAGAAGGCACGCTGCTGGGTCTTTCATCAGCACCATCACCATTTTTTGTTTTTGCGATCCATCGATCATGACGCTGAGCTGTCGCGATTGCCTTGGCCAACAGTCGACAAGTTCGAGCCTGGGAAGCAAACGGACCAAGTAGATGTTAGTCCCACACCAAAGCCCGCAGGAGTCGCTCTGTACGATGGCGACACCGATAGAGAGCAAGCCCCGCCTGCAGTCGCGGATCCCCGTGAGTGCTTGTGACTTTGAGATCTGCGTCGCTGAGGAGTGCGTATCCTGAGCATACCACAAGCGGCCTCACACTCTATATTACTCTGCGTTCATAACAACGGGCCATCAAACGAATGCGTATCTTGCAGTCAATGCCATGTTTTCGCCCGCCAACCCGCGCCGAGCCTCCAAAGCTGCCGAGCCGCGAAAGTCTCTCGTCCATTCTCATTCGGCACAAACTTTGGGCGAGCGTGGCCAGGGCTCGAGCTCGAACTCGGTGAGTGCACCTTCCCAGAGGCGACTCAGCACCGGCAATCGCCTCGAGGACGGACGGGACAACGGATTTGCACACGCGGACTCCGATATGCACCAACGGCTGCCCACGGACGAGGCCCAAGTCCCCCACGATCCTCGAGAGACAGACATGCAGTCGCTTGGCTCGAGGTTGTCGGCTTCTCGAGCGGTGAACGCCTCATCTCTCGGCGCCCTCAACGAAAGGGGCCCGCGAAAGGATGCAAATGCAGGGCTTCCTGTGTCGCTCCCCGCAGTGGCGTCGTCGCCTGCAGTCTCCACAGTCGATCCGATCTCAGAGTCTGGCACTCGATCGGCCGAACCTAGGACTCTGTCAAATCCTCTGCAATATACAGAGGCCAGGCCACGGGGCTCAGATGCCTCGCCAGCGGCAACTCTACGCGATCCAGTGCAACATCTCAAGTCTGACATCATGCAGAGGCTGGAAGAACGGGTCGCTGTCAACGACGGTCGGCAAGGGGACGAAAGGACTGCATCCCGCCAGCAAATCTCGGGCCCGCAGACAACCAAGGAAGGCACGGTGCTGTCCTTCAGCTCGCAGATCCTCGAGAACGTGATCGAGGACTGTCTCCAAAGCTTCCGGGTCCAGATCAAGCAGGACCTCCAGAACATGCATCTTGATATGCTGGATCAATTTCGAAGCCAGCAGGTGAGTCTAGGATTGGCGGGATGCAAGAGCGTGCAAGAAATGCTCTGGAGTCCGCGAAGTAGCTCGAAGGGGAGAGGGCATGTCATTGCATGGCATGGCATGGCATGGCATGGCATGGTATCATGACATCGCACTGGCCGTATTTACTGAGTTTGCGAATGTCGTCTTGATGGAACCACAGCGGGAGCTGGAGAAGATGATGATGAAGTACTCGGGTGTGCAGGCGTTGATTGCCGAGAATGAGCGGCTGCGACGGGAGAACGAGCGCCTTAAATGTGATTACTTGTAGCTTCTGCCTGGATTGTGTAATCAACCCGCTCCAGCCTGCGCTCGCTCTCATGCCAAGAACACCTGCGTACACAGTTGTGGTCCGTGTTCATATGGCATCTCACGACGAATGCCCGATGCAAATGCCCGATGCAAATGCCCGATGCAATTCGCATCCTTGCCAGCGGGGTTTTGGGCAGGGCGCCAGTCGCACAGGGCAAGGGTTGCGGGCGCGGGGTTGCAAGCTCCAGGGCCCTCGGCGCTGCTCCTTCGCCTCCATCGCCGAATCTGCTTGTTCACATCTCGCCGCAGCCAACAGCCAGAGCCAAACACATCAGCACCACGAACATCTGACGCAATGGGAAGGTGGGTTTGCTGTGCGCAGGGGAATGGCACCCGCAAGCGGCGCCATCCAGTTGATCTCGAGATGGCTGCTGTAGCTCTGTCAAGACGCAGGGCCCTGGATTATCGCACCAAGGACCGCCATAGCTCCCCACTCTCTCGCACACCCGCATACGAACCAGCACGGGTTGCTGACCGTCGGGGCCGGTCGCTCGGCCATGACACCATCCCGCCAATGTGTCCCTCTCATCCTCCAGCCTGGGACCGCTCTATTTCAACACCGAGAATGGATATCTCGAGGGCATTCTCCGGGGTTTCAAAGCTGGCGTGCTGACCCAGAGCAACTACCTCAACTTGACTCAGTGCGAGACTCTGGATGGTACCGTCGTCGCTTCGCTTGTGCCCCTCTCGGCTCGGCCGCTATCTGTCGATGCTGTGCTATGCGTTGCGCGTGCATCTGCTGCTCGCAATCTTGCCGTCCGCGGCTGGGCTGGACCAGGCTGCGGTTGGTCTGCGGCTTGACGACGCGCAAGATCGGAGGGCGCAAAGCGGTTTGCATCTCGGCTTGCCTATCCCACGCATCCGACTGGTCGCTGCCGTATGCCTCGCCGCTCACCTTACCGCTCTCGTTTCTGTTGTGGCCGAACCCGGGCTCCTCGTGTTTGGTTGCGCATCGTCTGTGTCGGGCCTCGCTGGGGTGACGGACGGAACAACATTGCCCCCAGATCTCAAGCTCCAGCTGGCATCCACCGACTATGGCAACTTTCTGCAAAACGAGCCTTCGCCCCTGGCCACTGCCACGATCGCCGAGAAGGCCCGCGACAAGCTGGTCCAGGAGTTTGAGTATCTGAGAAACAATGCCGTCAGCCCGCTTGCCGACTTCCTGGACTACATCACGTAAGGACGAGCGCCGCGTCCGCCATTTCCTTGCTTATTTCTTTTGCTCCCTCGCCGCCTGGTCGTATTCACCCTCGAGGGTCGCGTGGTGCGAATATCCTGGTCTCGTCCGCAAGACGGATGATCAGCCCAATGATTTTGTTCGCAGGAGGGTGGGTGCTCACGCGTTTGCGCCGACCGGATACGATGATGATAATCATATCTGCTCTCTTGCCCGCTCCTTGAACTCGAATTTACTCCTCCTGCGCTGCTTGCCGCCGACACGGGTATTCGGTCCGACTCCCTTCCGACTTGCATCCGACTCGGGACTCCAAGTTACGGCTACATGATCGACAATGTCATCCTCTTGATCACCGGCACGATCCACGAACGCGACACACAGGAGCTGCTTGAGCGATGCCACCCGCTCGGCATGTTTGACTCGATCGCGGCGCTGTGCGTCGCCACCAATGTCGCCGAGCTCTTCAACACCGTGTTGGTGGAGACGCCCATCGGTAAGGATTGGAGGGCTGCCCTCGGTAGAACACGCTTCCTGGAGGCCATGGACCATCCAGGAGTCATCAGCGCCGCCCTTCTGCTATCGACTCGCTCATGGTCTCACTCCCGCCTCGACTTCATCCACAAGCCCCTTACTTTGAAAAGTGCCTCTCGGCCGCGGATTTGGATGATATGAACATCGAGATCATCCGAAACACCCTCTACAAGGCGTACCTGGAGGACTTTTACGGATTCTGCCAGAGCCTTGGCGGAGCCACGGCGGATGTTATGAACGAGCTTTTGGAGGTGAGATGGAAGAGCATCATGGCTGTTGCGTCCGTCGGTGGATACCCAGACTTTAGCAGCCACTTCATGGCTGAGTCTACCCAGATGACATGCGATCCGCGTTGCCGTCACTGGAGGCGTAGGTGTGATGATTTGGGCATGCCCCATCTCACAAAGGTGCGCGTGGTGGATATGTCATCCATTCAGTTCGAGGCGGACCGCCGTGTCATCAACATCACCATCAACTCGTTCAATACCGAGCTGTCGAAAGATGACCGATCCAAGCTTTTCCCAAGCCTTGGCAAGCTCTATCCCGAGGGCCACACCAAGCTCGCTCGTGTCGACGACATCGACCAAGTCCGGATCATCGTCGAAGCACACATGGTAACTACGGCAAACTCTGCACCGCAACTGTAATCCGTTCTCGGAATCAGCATGACGATCATCGCCGTTTCTGATTCCACCACTGTGTCCCCCCCCCTAACACCTGCGCAGGAGTACCGCCCATTCTTTGACATCCCTGTGGGATCGGACAAGTCGCTGGAAGACAAATTTTTCGAGCACGAGGTTCATCTGAACAAGAAATCGTTCGTGCAGCAGTTCCACTACGGCGTGTTCTATTCGTACCTGAAGCTCAAGGAACAAGAGATCCGCAACATTGTCTGGATTGCCGAGTGCATCAGCCAGCACCAGAAGGAACGCATCGCCAACTACATCCCGCTATTTTAGTCAGCTCGGATCAAGGGAAGATCGAGGAAGGATCGAGAAAAGATCGAATGAGCAGGCTGAGCTGCCGTCGTTATTTTGCTTTCTGGTGGTATCAAGCCATGGATGTTGTTGTACAGGCTGTTCGGCACCAAACTGGACTGAGCCCCGTTTGCGTTTATTGCGTTTTTTGCAGCAATCATTGCGTTCAGTACAGTGATCTGCAGGCCCCGGTTGGCAGGCGTGTGATTGTTACTCGTCCTGGTTGGTTTCGGGGGGCACAGTCTTGAATACACCCGGTCGATCTCCTGTGACGACGATCGGCTGGCATTGATGTCTCGATGCGGGAGTGCGGTGCATTCATTCAACTATCTGTTCTGACTGCAGATCAAAGCCAGCCATTCGAAGAGCAGCCTCACCATCACTCGGGGCCGGGGCGTTTGGTGTCGGTGCTGGGACAACGAAATGCAACGTCCGCCATCGGACGAGCAGAGGGGCGGATCATGCATGACCCTGTGCGTCCTGGGCCGCTCTGCAAGGGCGGCCGTGAGTCACCGAATGAGTCAACGGTCATACGAAGTGGCTCGTGGCTGTCGGTTTTAGCGGTCGGGCCGTCCAGCAAGCGCGCCGAGGGACACCATGGACCCACGATGTTGCCGTTGTCCGCGCGATGCCTGCCCTGTGTCGAGGTGTGCAAATCCATGGGGGGTACCGCGCTGGGCCTGAACGTGCATGGCCACGATGTCTGTTTTCAGCGGCGGCCGACTTCACAGCGCCGCCGCTGGAGCCAAACGAGAAACGACACAAAACGACAGAGCGCCGGAGCCGAATGAGGCACGGTGCGAGGCGAGCGGATGTCGGACAAGCGGCACCCGGCGCAAAACAACCAAGTCCGATGCGGGTGGGTGAGACGAGGGATCAGAGGCCGTGCCACCAGGCGGTCACGGCGCCTTGCTGACGAGCACGGCCTTGTGAGGCCAGTCGGTGGTACACAGATCCCGTGAGAGAGAGGCCATTGCCAACTTCTTGTTTGAGAGCGCGCCGGATGAACCAGAGCCAAGAACACAGGCCGCGGCGATGTCGCCTCGCGTCGATCCATGGGGCCGGTGGCGGCACTTGGAAGCGGTTTCGGCAGAGGCAGCAAATTGCAGAGGGGCCCTGCTGGCAGGGAGCACTTGGCGGGAATCGCGGCGGAAGAGGCGGCGGCGGCGGTGGTGGTGGTGGTGGTGGAGCAGGAGCCAGAGGCGATGTGGTGGGATCACCGACCCGGCAGAGACATGGGTTTCAACCAAGTCCGAATGCCGACGGCGATTGTGCAGAGCCAGGCGAGCGAGCGGCAAGCAAGTCGCGATGTGGTGCATTCCCAGTAGTCAGGGTGATCTGTGCCGGGGCGTCGGCGAAGAGACAGCGGCCGAGAGATGGCGGGCGCTGGGTTGGACAACAGGGTGAACCGCCAGCGAGGGCCAGAGAAGCAGCGAGCCAAGATTCATCATTTGCGCATACGCGATGGCGTGAGAAGCAGGATGTTGCCAGCGGGTGTCGCCGATACATCAGTCGGCGATGGGGCAAGAGCCGGGAACGCAATCCGAATTGACTGAGAGATACATTTGCAATCCGGGCGATTACACGCCCTGGGCGCAAACGATCCGTCCATCCCGAGGATCGCGCGGCAAAGGGGGACAAGCAAGGGCTTTGCCACGGCACTTTGGGAGCCATCCGGTGGCAGCGGGTTGCTGGGAACCAGTACAGAGAGGCCTCGCGCGTGGCGCCAGCGGACGAACAGCGACCGTTTGCAACGACAACCAGTGACCTGCTGGGGGCAATCCCGATGGCACCGTGGCCTCGCTTTGGATTGCAGATCAAATCAACAGCCATGAAGGATGGAGCAACGAGGTAATGCGCTGACGCCGCCGCTTTTGCGACGGCTGTGGATGTGCCAATTGGCAACAGAGCCGAGGAAGCCAGAGCGATGGCAAATCGATGTTGGGCTTGCTGGAAGCGAGAATCTGGGACAGGAGGACGGGACCAAACCATCAAAGAGCTGCCCCCCGCCCTGCATACGCCGGACGGGGCGACGAGTTCGACGACGAGCCGCGAGCTAACGCGAAGGGTATATAGAGAATACATACTCAAGGTCGTCCAGCAACCCAAGAGGGCAAGATGCTGCGGCTGGGGACGAAACTCGGATCTGCGGCCGATAGATCCGCCAACGATTCTTCAACTCTTCGTCAGAACCCCTGACGGATCAATCTTGAAAAGGTCAAGACCATTTTGGTGCCTTCGGTGACGCTGCTGGTTGCCGGTGCTGGGCGTTGGTGTCTGCTCCCGCATGTGCGTTGCGTTGATACTTGGTTGGGGATATTGCAGTTGCCTCGCCGTCCGTCCTCGTCGTCCGTCTTCGCTGTTCGTTCCTGTGTGCTGCTGTTGCCGATCCATCTCGATCCCTCCGAGTCTTGTTGAGGGCAGCGGCGTGTGTCGAGTCCATCGAGGATTGTGATGGTTCTCCTTCCTGCTTGCAACTGTTCCTGCTTGCGATTGTTCCTGCTGTGTCCTGCGACTCTGGTGCTCACCTCCATGGCCCTTGCGGCCCAGTCCGTCGCCTGGCTTGGCTGAGAAAGCGGCTGCCGGCTGCCTGCGACCCTGGTCGTCTGGACGATTTGCATCTGCATGATTTGCGTCGGCATCTTCTGCGTTTGCATGATTTGCATCTTCTGCCTCGGACCGAGGCCATCCGACCACCCACCCTGGTCTCGACTGCGTGTGCCGCTCGACCACCTCGACCGAATGGCTTGGACTTGGCCTTCCTGCAGACGGACTGTCTGGCTCTCTTGCACCGTCGAACGCATCGTCGAGCGCGGCTTCATCAGCTGCGCGAACAACGATTCTTCGACCGCCTGGGTTCTCTTGGCTGTCGTGGTCGACGATCGACACGGCAGAATCGACACGGCAGAATCGACACCTTGCTGATGGCAAGGACAGATATCATCACAGTCAGCACGGAAATCATCGTCAACGGCACAGTCATGGCCAGGATCACCGACGCTGCAAGTGCATCCAAGTCACTTCCCTGTCTCATCGGCAAGGCTCGTTGCGAACCATAACCCCCGCCGACATTGCCTCGTCCCCGATTCGCTTGCATCTGCCGCACCGGCCACCGCACTTGCTGCTGGTCCTCGCCTCGTCTGCAACGACAGCTGCTCGCTGCTTGTTCGCTGCTTGCTCGCGATATGTGCCTTGCCGTTGGTCGTCGATGTGCCCTCCAGTCGCAGCATTCGAGCTGTGGCATCGAGCCGGGCCGCCAATGCAGCAAGCATCAATCCAAGCAAGCGCAACATCGGTGCATCGTCGGTGCATCGTCGGCATGGCATTGATGCGACCAGGAGCAGATGCCGGGGATCGGTGCACCACGAACTCGACACGGCGGGAACTCGATATCCCACCAACAGCTCGATATCCCACCAACAGTCGAATATGCCACCAACAGTCAAATATGCCCAACAGCAGCCAGAAGCGAGTGAGCAATCGGCTGGTCGCCACAGGATGCCCACAATATCCGGCACCAGCCACAATCCAAAGACAACATAGACAGCAATCGACAGACGGCCACTGTGCCGGCGACACACTGCCGAACAACAACAATAGCAGCAGCAGCAGCAGCAGCAGCAGCAGCAGCAGCAGCAGCAGCAGCAGCAGCAGCAGCAGCAGCATCCCCGGCACGCTTGATCAAAACGGAATCGGCAGCAACCACGACGATCCAGATGCCTCGACGCAACTTTCCTCCGCTTGACGATGCGTCTGTCGATGGGCCGGATGCTCCAATTCGAATGGCTGTTTCGGAGAACCTGGTCGCTGGATATCGGCGAGCAACGATGCCGTGATGAAGCCGTGACGATGCCGTGACGATGCCGTGACGATGCTGCGACAGACTCGCTGACACCTGTGACTGATCCGGCGATGCCCGAAACCGATCGGTTGACGATCAAGATCGAGCTACCGACATCCCAGCAGAGAACCAGGCCATCAAAGCAGCCGATCATTGTCCAAGAGAGTCGGGTGTCTGCCGTCCAAGGTGGTCGAGTCGAGGCAGGTCAAGCGGTCGAAGCTGGTTGGCACCAAGTGTCCATTCAATCGATCCCCTGCAAGCCAGGACGGCATCGGGAATCGAAGGGCCCAGGGCTGGCTGGCCGTGTGGGATCATCGAGCTCGGTCGCCTGTGGAAACAGCAGCACCGAGTTGATCGGCACGAGACAGGAGACATGCGACGAGGCCGCAAGGAACCGGGGGTGCGACGGACACCCAGGAGTCGGTGCTGATGCTGATACCGATGCCTGCCGATGCCTGCTGATGCCTGTTGATGCCTGTTGATGCCGTGGACGTTGGATCCGTTGTGCCGAGACCCGTTCGTCCCTCCATTCCTTCCACATTTCATTCATTCGTTTCTTCCTTCCACCCCCTCCATTTCTTCCATTTCTTCGATTCCATTCGTTCCTTCATTCCTTCCTTCCTTCCTTCCATTTCTTCTTCCTTCCGTGCTTCATTCTTTCGTCCTTGCCACATCGCCCGCACCAGTCGAGTCCCCACATCACCGCCGACACCATCGACACCCCATCGGCACCACCCACCACACCCACTGCGATATCCTGCCTCCTGCCTCGCTCCCAACGACCCTCCTCCTCGATTGCATTCACATACCTCGTCAATGTGGATTGCACATCGGGCCGGCTGCTTGCTGCATGCATTCCTGCCTGGCTCGTTCGGCCAACCAGCCGTCGTTCTTCGCCAGCAATCTTGGTCGTGTCGACCGGCCTGGTGCTGCATCGGCGATCATGGCATTCTGTTTGTCATCTCTGATGTCCCCTTGGCAATCCCCGATGCTCGTTTGTCGATCCCTGGTTCTCTGTCGGCGATCCTGGTGTCCCGTTGACCCACATCTGCTTCTCGGCCACGCTTGTTGATTTGCTCCCTCCATCGGCCCTCCCTTGATTTCGACGGGTCTCTGGTCTGCGCGCCAATGTCTTGATCCACCAGCTGGTCTCTGGTGGTCTCTGGTGGTCTCTGCGAGTCTGGCTGGATCAGCGGACCGACGGCTGGCGGACTCACAGCAGCATCTGAGCCTTGTGGTGGTGTGGACTGAGGCAGCCACGACAGCGGCGGCAACAGCAGCAAACAGGAGCGGGATGGGGCGGGGTGGTGGGTGATACGATGCGATACGATACGATGCGACGGATGCGACGGATGCGATGCGACGGATGCGATGCGAGATGAGGAGAGAGAGGATGCGGCTGAATGGGAGCAGACACCACGATGGGCGAGGCGACGGTGCCGTTTTGCTGACTGGCCGACTGACCCGATTCTGCTCTCTTGTTCCCGCGCACGGATGCTCTCACCACCGGCTGGTGCAATATGCAACAACGGTCTGGATCGATCATCCGCATCGTTCGTCTGGATCGTTCGTCTGGATCGATTGTCCATATCAACCCATCGGCGGCAACCGGAATATCAACCACAACAACCACAACCACAACAACCACAACAACCGCAACACTGCTCTGAACGGCACCATGCCTTTCTCGGACTGGCTCCTCATCTGCAACACTCGCACACCAACATCTGCACCGGATGAACTGCCTGGTCAATCCACCACGGACCCCGAATCGGCGTCTCCATCAACCACTTGTCGCATCGAACCACCCGGTTCTGATGATCCGACAACCGTCTGATACCGACACTGAATCACTAACTGCCTGATACCGACGCCACTTGCGGTTGTGTGGATCATTCGCTGCCATCTGGCATTCACCACTGGCATTCACCATCTGACATTCACCACTGACACTCACCATCTGACATTCACCACTGACACTCACCATCTGATGTTCACCATCTGATACTGGTCACATACCGTCGACCCTGTATCGCCGCGAATCGGGTGTGCTGGTCCAACAAACGTTGGATGCACATCCACATCGCGCTGCCGCCGACATTGCACTGATACTGGATTCATCCGACACTGGCTTGTTCTTGCGCTCATTCACTGATGTCGACAACTGGCAATGGCCAACACCTTCACGCGAATGCAACTGGGTGTCTGCTCATGCCGATGCCGACGTGCTTGCCGATGTGCTTGCCGATGTGCTTGCCGATGTGCTTGCCGATGTGCTTGCCGATGTGCTTGCCGATGTGCCTGTCGATGTGCTTGTCGATGTGCCTGTCGATGCCAACGAACCCCTGTTGTCTCTGGGCAACGCTCGACAACACTAACCACACCGTCATCGATGCCGGTGCTGGCCATCGCTATCACTTCCCGGCCTCGATTCGCCTTTGCACTGTCGCCGTGCGTCTGTCTGTCTGTCTGTTGGTCGATCGGTCGGTCGGTCGTCTGCAACTCATTCCTTCCCGACTGCTTGCCGTGTCTGGCCTCGATCTGTTTGCATGCCAACCATCTGGACTGTATGCTTCGATCTGCTCCGTCCGGGCCTCGCCGACTGCTGCGACGGCTGCCTCAACTCGCTGTTTCGGTGGTCCTCAACTCGGCATGCCTGGGTCGATTCAACTCATCGCTCCGGGCACCCTCGACCAATGCCACCACGGCTGGCTCGACCGATCTGTCCTTCGCAAACACCGCCCTGCTTGCTCGTCCACAGCCCGCACGATCTCGGCGAGTCCGTCAAGTTCATTGCACACGTCAAGCTGTGGTCGCTGGACGGCGACGTCGATCACAGCCTCGTTCCGAGACCAAAGTCAACCAAGCGAGGATCAGCCTCCGACACATCCTCGGGAATCCATCCAACATCGAGCTCAGTTGCGGTGACGATCGGTCCGCCGGCTGCACCGCCGGAAGCCGAGGGACACAGCTCGTCGTCGAGTCTGGCTCCAAGCACAGCATCGGGACTTGGGCCGGAGCGTCCGGCGCAGCCATCGACCACAGAGCCGAGCCAAGAGCAGCGAAGCGTCCCGCTGCATCTGGCCATGTTCGGCACGCTGGTGTCGCAGGCCTACTTCCTGTCGGACATGTCGGATGAGCAGGGAGTGTTCTTCATCTTTGACCAGGTGTGTGTCCGGATCGAAGGGCGGTTCCGGCTCAAGTTTGTCCTCAACGACCTCGATCAAAGGTGAGAAGCACGGGCGAGGGCGTCGGGTGGTATGCACGGGACTCGAAGGATGCTGGGCAGTGTGTGCCCTGTGACTCCACTTGGTTCGATTCCGTGTCAGTTTGACGATACTTGGCTTGATGAGCCGACATGAATCCCACCCACCCACTGTGGGCGTGACTTGTACTGTTTCCTGAGTGCATTTGAGAGATATCACAAGTCGTGCTCCATCCCATGGATGCAGGGTTGTAAGTTTGCAACCTGCTTTCACACCAACCGGCCCAATTTTGTCTTCATATCCGATATTCCGAGTAGCGAAATTGTTAATACAGGTGGCGCATACTCCTTGGCAAGCGTCAAAAGTGAGCCGTTCATTGCATACGGCTGGAAACAATTCCCAGGAATGCAGTGTAAGTCCTGGGTGGCAACAGGGGCATGGATTGATTTGGCAAGTTGCTGATATAGTCCGGTGCACCTGCCCGAATGGTGATCTATCAATCGTCGAGAAACTCATCCATTTATCCTGATGATCTTTCCCGTTACTTGACACCAAGTGACTACTCCCCTGACTCTTCGGTTCGCGAATCAAGGAACCGGGCTCCATGTTCGGCAAGTTATCCGACAGAGTGTTGTGTCGGATGTTCATGATGATAGCCCATCAGTCCAAGGAAAGGACGACGATGTCGACTAAACTCTCATGATTCCAAGGAAGGTTGCGCACAGAGAGGTTGTCGACAAAACCTTTCCTGACCAGCGAAGCGGGTATAATGGGCGCAGAGGAGTTGATTATGGAGACCGATGTTGTGGGCTTTCCGTCGGATGATCCTCCAAAATATTGGTTTTTGTGAACGCCATATATGAAGGGTTTCGGAAAGCGGCGTGACACCACTGAGTCGAAGCTGATACTCAGACAGGCACATCAATAGATTTTGATACCACTGCCTTGCCATCACGAGGCTGGCGAGTGAGTCGTGGAACTGGAAAGCTGCGATATCGGAATCGGTCTGGTGGCAGTCATTGCAAGGATTGCAAGGATTGTCCGCACCGCTGTTTAGTGGTTGCATGTGGCCAAGCCGGATCGAGTTCTGTCCCGTCATGGGGTCGCTCCGATGTCTGCTTTGCTGCAGCAATCCGATCCTGTGCCTGCCAGGCTGTGAGATGGCATCGATTCAGCAGGATCCCGCTGCCTTCGTTTGGGCCTGGACCACGTTTCAGCAGCCGAAATGTCGTGGTGGACAGGACATGGCATCGCCATCGCAGACCAGCATCCACTCCTGTTCGCCACGACGACCATACCGCCATACCGCCATATCGCCATGCCATGCCGACCCGCACGCTGCACCGATGGCACCGTCCATCTCGGCCACCGACCCTGCCACCGACCCTGCCACCGACCCTGGCACCTGCCGCCCGTGTGGCGGCGGGCTTGTTCCTTTGACATCCCCGACCAACCACACGGCTGTTGTCGCGTGTGGCGCATGGTGCCGTTGTCTCGTCGCCCCTTGCCATGTTTGCTCGGTCCTGTCCTGCTGCTGGCTGCGAGCCGAGACTGCCGCCAGAGCTCGCCCCGGGAGCAAGCAGGGCTTATTCTGAGGCGACAGGCACCAAGCACCGACGCTCATCGAAGGCTGTGGCTCTCGGAGCCTGTGGTTGCAGTTGCGACTGTGAACTCCAGTGCTGTCTGTCGGTGGTGGAAGCGAGCAGTGCCGATGCTCCAGCCGTGGAGTGGGTCTTGAGATGCGTCCAGCAGGACGGGCAGTCGAAAGGGCAGCCGAGAGGACAGTCGCCGTGAGGGAGACCGAGTGTCCAGAGCAGTCGTGAGGGAGCCAGGTGCTGAGAACGAGGCTTACCCTTGAATATGGCGGATCGTGCTCGGCCAAGAGACAAGTGAGTATCGACACTCCAAGGTCCACGCGGATAGAGAACTGCTCGCAACCAGGACTGGGCGGGTGTTGACGGGATGTTTGTAGTTGCTGATCGACATTGGACAGCCAACAGGTTGCTCGCTGCATGGCCGACAGGTTGTTGACTGTCCCAGCTGCCAGCCCGACCGGTGCCTGGTTGCATCGGCGTCTGCGCCGACGTTCGCTCCTCCAGCAGTCATCGGACGGATCTGCATCCACATCGCCGACGATTCTGTATCTTTGGATGGTCGGTCTGTCGCTGCAGCGAGTCGATATGACCACTGCTCCGTCGGTCGTGCTTGCGCTGCTGGCTGCTGGCTGCTGGCTGCTGTTGGCCTGTTGATCAGCCAGACTCGTTGGTGCGGTCCATCTCTCCGATGCGTCCATCTCTTCGATGCGATTCGTCTCGCCCGTCTCGCCCGTTTCATCTGTCGTGTCTGTTCCGCTCTCCAGAGATGCCGTCCGCCTGGGAAGCTGTCTCCGTCGCCTGATGTCTGGCCCACATCCCTGCTTTGTCGACAGTGGCTTTCTCCAGGTCTCGTCGCCACCAGTGCCGCATCGACGTCACCATCAGCGTCGCCGCTGGATGGATTGCCTCCGAGTCCTGACTTCATCGTCCCAGAACGCTCAGAGGGCGAGCAGGTCGACCCGACTGCCCTGGGTGCTTGGCGACACTGAAGATGCCTCCAGGCTGTGGCGACGGTGCTGTCCTGCGATGGTGTCGATGTCCTTCCACATCCAGAGCAGATGCTCCAAGCGGCAACTTGCCTCCGCTCTCGGTCGGTTCGTTGCCTGTGCCGACTTGTCACTGCCGATCCTCCATCGACATTGATCCATCGATTGTACCCATCGGTCGCTCTGGTTGTCGGTGGTCCGATCCATTCGCTCGGTCGATCCGTCTGCTCGTCCTGTTGATCCGTCTGCTCGTCCTGTTGATTGCCGTCTCCGTGAACAGGCTTGGCTGTTGTCGACGATCCACCGACCCAGCAGACACCCGGCCACCGCTCTTGCTCAGAACCCGTCCCGTCCCTGCACAACCGCCCTGTCGAATACAAACCCGCATCGACAGGCCGCTGATGGCCGTTCACGGACTCGCGGGTGTCGTCGATGATCGACCGCCGTTGAGGAACGAGGTGGGTGTTTATTGACCAGCACACTGGGCCTGTCCAAGCCGTGTCCGGGACTGCTTGGATCGTCCGAGGTCGTGGGTTGTCAGGGCCCGTGGATTGGCGAGCCTGTGGATTGGCAATCCGACTGCTCGCCCGGCGACGATCGGCTGGTTCCAAGCAGTGACCGTCGAGCCAGAGTGGCTTGTGCAGTCGACGAGCGACATCCGACAACAGACAATGTGCGATCCGCGATTGACGACGGCCGATCGATCAGGTGAGCGAGACAGAGGAGCAGGTCGGGATGGTTGGGTGCGAGTTGTGTCGTTGGGTTGGGACCGAGGCCGGGTGCAGGAGTTGCCGGTGATTGTCGGCCTGGCGATGATGCGAACAGAGACAGAGGTGGATGCGACGTCGCGGCCAGGGTGATCGGATGGCCGAGCTGTTTGCACGGATGGGTTGCAGTGGAGGATGTGGTTGCGACGGCGGATGTGGTTGCGACGGCCGGACGATCGCAGTCCAGCGAATAGCTGGTCGGGGTCGGCTGGCTGATCATGGCAGCACGAGTGGGTGATCATAGATGCAGAAAAGGTGAGTCTGGCATGATCAGTCGCTCCGAGCCAGCAGCCGCGGACTACTGGTCGTTCTCAGGATCGGCGGGATGCGACGATGTTGGAGGGTTGGCAAAGCGGGGGTTGAAGCGCCGCTGCACCTGGCGGATGAGCAGACCGGTTCCCTGGCTTGCAAACCGCAGGGTGATCGGCGAGGTCACTGCCAGGGTTGTGGTTGTGGTGATTGTGGTTGTGGTTGTGGTTGTGGTTGTGGTTGTGGTTGTGGTTGTGGTTGTGGTTGTGGTTGTGGTTGTGGTTGTGGTCAGTGCAAGGGGAAGCAGAGGAGACCGATTGTGTTAGTCAGCGGACCTGGCGCTTCTGCTGATGTGGCTGGCTGGTGCAGTGATGTGCAACTCGCTGGCCGAAACGAAAGTGCGGGAAAGGAGTGAGAGAGTGAAGAGGGGGAGGATGTGGCGCGTGGTGTGATATGTGGACTGTGGGTGCGCTGGGGCACTGATGTGCGGAATGTGGATGTGGTGTGGAATGTGTATCGTGGCGCCAGTGCAGAGGTGGCGTGTTGCAGGGGATGCAGAGATGCGGGGATGTGGGGATGGGGAATGGGGAATGCGAGGGTGGAGTGCTGTGGCGTCGATGGTGCTGAGCGGGTTTGATGTCGCCCAAGCCAATGTCCCGAGTCCCTGGGAGTCGAAGCATGGGCGGGGCCGAATCCAGGCAGCACGGGCGATGCTGCACAGGCGATGCTACAGCCACGGCCGAGAAGACCAGATGGCAGTGGAGCAGCCAGCCAGGCATTGTGTGCTTGTGGTTGCCTCTGATTGCTTGTTGTTGCCTCTGATTGCCTCTGGTTGCCTCTGGTTGCCTCTGGTTGCCTCTGGTTGTCTGGTTGTTGTCTCAGACACTTCCTCGACTCGTTCCGCTGCGACTTCCTCGTTCGTTCCAGTGCCTCGTTGCCAATTCCGCGACAGTGTTGTCACCAAGAAGGCATTGACATCCAATGCCACACAGCGACACCATCCGCAGTGTCCGTGCCATCCCGGCCCTGTTGTCGATGTTGGGGAGATGCCTCGACAGCCATCCCAGATCTGGTGCCTGCTGGAGCATGCTGCTCCGTGCGTCACTGCCGTTGCTCTGCCAGTCCATGTTGCTCTGCCAGTCCATGTTGCTGTCGATCCAGTGCCACGGCCGATCGAGTGACATGGGCGATTGAGTGACATGGGCGATGCCACAGATCGTATCCAAACTGATCCTCATCCCGAGATTGTCTCCGTGAGTGGATCGGTGTGGATCGGTGTGGATCGATGTGTCTCGATGTGTCTCGATGTGTCTCGATGTGTCTCGATGTGACAACAGCCGCAGCGACAGCCGCAACGATGGCGACAACAACGGCCACGGCTGCATCCACAATCACGGCGACGACGAGGATCGTGTTTTCGATCCACTGCGACGACCATCAGGTCCGTGACGGCAACCATCCGATCTGTGGCAACAATCACCATGTTCTCGAGCCACAGCCACAGCCACAGCCAACGCCAACGTCGGCAGGCTGGAACACCATGCGATGCAGTGTGGTGCGGTGCCGTGCAGTGCACCCGGCACCAATGTCCATTTGAATGAGGAGGGACGACGGCAATCCGACAGAGGGTAGTCGAGCGAGATGTGCGGTGGGATGTGGGATGTGGGATGTGGGATGTAAAGTGCCGAGGCAAGGACCAGACCAGACCAGACCAATGTCACCGACACCTTCGCAGTGCTCCTGCACCACAGCCAGTGCACAGTCTCAACCAAAACCATAGCCACAACCACAACCACAGCAACCAGCAGCCAGGCTGCAGACTCGCACCGAGAGACTCGTTTGGAGACACCAGACTGTTGAGCATCCATGGGTACTCACGCTGCATTCCGGGGAACTGCTTCCAGCCGTACGATGTGAATGGCTGGCTGATTGCCGTCGCCAGACACTGCCCACCGACACCGCTTTCCTCGCTGTCGGCCGCAGGATGTTGATTGCCGACCGCCGTTGCCGACCGCCGTTGCCGACGAGCCGCCACCAAGTCGATCCAGTCACAGACATCAGCCAGGTTCGGGTTCGGACGCCACAGCGCACCGTCGAGTGCCAGCATGTTGTTCCAGATCCAGCCCCGTCGATCGCGACCAAGATGCGAGGATTGGGCGGATGGAGATTGGATCCAGTTCGTCAAACGTGGCATGGTGTGAGATGTGATGTGGTGTGATGTGATTTGGTGTGTGGGAGATGTGTTGCGCGATGCGATGCGATGTGCCGCACGTTGCAGGGTTGAGTATGCATCAAGCACATGCGAGCGATATTGTGTTCGGTTGTGTCCATGTCGGCGGTGCGGTGGACAATCACAGCAGATAGAATTGGTTGCGCCGGCCATCGAGCCGAGCCGTCGCATTGAGAACATGGCCAGTGCGGCCAGAATCAGCACGGACGAGAAACAAGAACCGCAGTGGTTAGATTGGGTGCAAGATGCGACTGGGATGGATATGGGATGGACAAGCAGCCAAGCGACCAGCCAGGCGGCTCCTCGAAGCAGCAATTGACATTGAGCAGGATGACGGGATGTTATGGTGGCATGGTGACATGGTGGCAGGATGGCATGGATTCGATCAGAAGGGATGGACGGAGGATTAGCGGCACGGAGGAGTCCCGTCGGCAGCGTACCTTTGCTGCAGATCCGTCAGGAAGAACTTGAGTCGGAATCTTCCCTCCATCCTTATGCAAACCTCTCCAAAGGTGAAGAATATCCCCGGGTCCCCGTCCGTGTTTGTCAAGGAAAAGGACTGCGATACCAGGCCTCCAAATATCGCCATCGGATATTTATGCTCAGGCCGCGATGGTGCATTTGATGTCTGAGGCACTGGGCCATCGTGCTCGTCTATTGATACATCCGCACTGCTCCTGCGGATAAGTGCGCCGGTCGTCCTGGGCTGCGAGCTCGGCTGGGAGTCTGGTGATCGGGCTGTTCGGTTCGCATGAGACCTTCGCTTTGGTGCGAAACTCTGGTCAGTGTCGTCAATCGCCGACCATAGCTTTACATGTACTATGAATTTAACGGACTCTTGCAGATCAAGCGGGCTGTGCGTTGCATTTCGAAGGGAGACACGATTACGATTGAGCGAGCATGTCAGTATGTTGTCATGTCCACGATGTTGGGCATGCTAGTGCACGGAAGATATATGCTGCTTTCTCCTGCGAGTTGAGATTGTTTCTATCGCAAGGGCGCACAGCGGACATTCCTCTGCATATTGATTGCACCCGATACGTAAATGCAGTCCATCAAGCAGTCACAGCTTTGCCTGCCCAGCCCTCTGCTCGACCTTTGCAGTATATGCCCATCTGGGCTCTTGGCCTTAAGCTGCACAATTATCGGGGGATCAACCGGGCGAAAGTCCGAGTTTTGGCTCCAGCCGCAGCAGCGAGTCTGCGCCGGCTGCTGGATTATATCCAGGACATAGGTCCTGCAGAGAACGAGAGCGGTCAGTCCGTCAGAATCTGGTTGGGTGCAGCTGCACCGCCTGGGAACATCGGGCTCTCGGTCATGCATGCATGCAGGTTCCAGCACGACCGAGCTCCCCCGGCCCTCCAAGCAACGAGCCAGGGCTCCTTGACGCTCCCCCGTTGCCTCTGCTGTGCCGCAGATTTCGGTGGCTGCCCGACATATCGAGCTTACCTGCCACTTGTAACTCCTTCCATCGCGACAGAATGGGGCGACGCACTAGCAGGCAAGACGGGGGCGGACGTTGGGTAGATTTAACGACCGATCTTCGGGGGGTGAGTTTAGGTTTAGGGCACCCCCGGCCTCGGCGAGTGTGCTGCTGCCGGCGCTGGCCGCTGGCCGTCAAGGCGGGCAGATGGCGGTGTTTTGGTGACTCCCAAAAGGGCAGGTGGCCCGCTATTTGGCCGGCACGGCTGTCCGCCGAACACGCGGGGCTGCCTGCGTCGCGCTTTCGGTTGGGCTTGCCGGCTCCAGCGCGGCCCCCTTGCCGATTGCCTTCGATATTGTCCTCGCCCACCATCGATCCATCTCGTGCTGAGCCGGCTGATCGATGCCGCGGATCGGTCGGCAGGTTGTCTGCACCCAGCCGGTTTGTTTGTCGGTGCCACTTGGCGTGGAAATAGCTTGGCCGAGTACTGCAACCCAAACTGTGCGGAATGGCCTGGCGTCTCTCGTCATGGATGAGGACGTGCGAGTCCTGGTCGAGGATCAACGTCGGAAACTTAGCATAGTGTGCCTCAGCCCGGCTTGATGCTCAGAAGCAGTGTCGTCACTTGCCATACCCCAGCCCTCGGCCCGATTTGTCGCCATGTCATGCACCTCCCCACCACAATGCGACAGACTGATCAGGGCTTGCGTCGTTATCAGGACGAGCAACGGAGCCAGATAGGTCATCAGCGACGCTTTCGTCATCGTCGCACTGGCAAAAGGCGAGCGAATAGGCAACAGACGACGCACGAATAGGCAACAGGGATGGGGAGAATCGGCAACACCACGCACGCAGAAACCATCGCCAAGAAGGAACCTCGACAGGACCCCTGCCCGGTCTGTTTCCCCGGGCGGTCCGACTGGCTGTTGATCCACTGCGGGCCAATTGGATGTTGGTCATCCGCCCGCCAACTGAGTCATTTTGCTTCCGTCGAGGGTGCTCGATCCGAGAGGGAGGCGGCCGTGGCCCGATCGGAGCCGAGTCGCCCGACATCATTGGGCCCCACAAGATCATGTCGGCGGCATCGCAGCCCGTGTTGCAGCCATCGCAGAGCCAGCTGCATGCTTCTCGCTCTCGCGACCAAAGCATCCATCGCGGCGGTGCATTTCACAGCATTTGCATCGCCTTTTCGCAGTGCCAGGCGAGGGACGAAGGGGAAGGAAGCGAGTTGGGCAAATCTCCCACGGTACATCTGGAGAGCGTGAGCCCAACGCATCCCCACACTGCTCCTCTATCCGCGGCCTGTATCCATGCACGGCGACCTGGGTTGCAGTATCAGCTACCGTGGGCATTGTCGTGCTGGTGCCCGCTGGCTGGCTTGTCGCCGAGGCTGTCGTGGGCCGCAGGAAGCCTGCGGGTCTGTCTCGTTGCTCTCGCAGTCCGCGCAAGCACCGCCCCGATTTGCCTGCGATCGCCTATTGGCAAGCGCCGCGAAACAAATACAACCCGTCGCCCACAAGCCGTCAAGCAGACCCTACCCTGGATCTTCAGAGAACTGAAGGCCGCCTATGATCGACATGCTCGAGTCGCTCTCCACACCCACGCCGTCGTTTCTGTGGTCCTGCGCTGGCGTTGCTACTGCCCTCGGCGTCCTCTGGTACGTCGAGAGCAGACGCTCCGCTGTGCGCTCCGTCTCCCAGTTTCCATGCCCATCCAAGGTATGTCGTCTGCAAGTGCTGCCTCGGGCAGATGGACCAGAGGATCGACACGCATTATCGCTGCTGCCGTCCCCGTGCATGATGGCAATCTCGCTCGGTTGTAGAGCGCAAACCTCGCTCGGCCGCTGACCATGCAACCCGCATCCAGATGCATCCGCTTTACGGAAACCTCCTGGATCTTGTGCCCTGGGAGGACCTCGTCAACGCCGACGTTTCCCAGTTCAACTTTTGTCTCAATCGCCTCTCGCAAAAATGCGACGACAAGGATAGTTTCTTCCGTGTGCATGTCTACGCTCCCTGGTTCCCGCTGCATCGAGTGATGGTCATCCCCCGAAACGCCGATGTTGTGCAAGAGCTGCTCTCGGCAAAGCATGCTCCGTTCCTCAACAAGAGCAAATCATACGTTCCTATCAAGATGTACTTTGGGGACGGTCTGCTCACCAACATGGGCGATGTTTGGAAGCACAGTCGAAAGGAGGTCGAGAAGGGCTTCCGTCTGGAGAGCCTGCGCTACAGCGCCGTCGCAATCGGAACCCTGGCCGACCGCCTCATCGAAAGATGGCTGAGCAACCCGCTCGTCTATCAAGACAACTGGTTTGACGCCAAGACCGACATGCTCTCGTAAGTGCTGTTGAATGTCCGGCCGGATAGCATTCGATGGGCATGTCGCCCCGGATGGCATGGATAACGCTTCGCGCACCCCCGAGGCTCTGGAATTCTCACCCGCCTCCCTTTGGCATGCCTAGCTTCACGTTCGATGTCATTTGCGAGGTTGGATTCGGATATGACGAGAGTGTTCGCAAGGAACTCACGCTCGAAAGTCCGCATGAGCTTTTCAAAACCCTCAATACGGGCATCGGGCGAATCGGCCGGTATGAACCGTTGTCTCGATCTCTCATGTGCTGGGTATCAATGCGAGCTTGGGCACTGAATCTCGCTAGCAGCCAAAGTACTGACTCCAAAATGGATTTGCTCCTGGGATGATGCGAACTACCCGATACAAAATGCAACAGCCAAGGGACCGATCAGCTCCTCATGCATATCCCCTTCACCCCCTTGAATATGTCGCTGCGGCGAGCCCAACGCGTTCTCGACGGCTTCATCCAAAAGCTCATCGAACGACGTCTCGAGGCCCTCAAAGTGGATCGCACGGCCCACCACGGGACTCTTATCGACGCCATCGTCGATATCGATGCCGACGGCAACCCGGTTCTGCCAATGAAGCAAATGATTTCTGAGATCAAAGTAAGTCGACGCCACGCGGCAGCGAAGGACTTGAATGCTCCTCCCCATCTCAATGCCGTGGCTGCTGATCCTGTTGCTGCTGTTGCTGCTGTTGCTGCTGTTGCTGTGGTTATTTCATTCGTGCCCGTGGTCTGGTTGTCATTGGTGCTTCGCACACTGCCGACGCACAAGCAGCGCTCAGTACTGCTCCGTGTTCGCCTCGCCGTCGATAGCACGAACCCAATCTGACCATTTTCCCTGGGCTCGCGTGCCATACTGTAGATCCTAATGTTTGCTGGGCATGATACCACGTAAGTGGCACCGTCACGGGAGATGCATAGGCGACATTATTGCCCCGCTGACAGCAAGCCACGCAGCTGACAGTTTGATCCTTCATGCATCACACAGCGCCAACTCCCTCGGCTGGGCCATCTATCTGCTCACGCAGCATCCCGACTCTCATCGACGCCTGCTGGAGGAGATTGACCAATATTTGCCCAACAACAAGTATCCCACATTTGACGATGTCGAGAGTATGCCTTTCCTCAATGGCGTGATCCGCGAGGTATGGAACTGAGGTGCAATCTTATCAATCGGTCTGTGCTAACCAAGACAGCGTGTGCGTGCTCGCCCTTCAATGGCCTCGCTGAGTAACTGACAAGCACCTCTCCTCCCCTGATGCCGACAGACACTGCGCCTGTTCCCGCCCGCGAATGCTGGACGTATGCCCACACGAGATTTGAACATTGGCGGATATCAGGTCAAGAAAGGAACCGAATTGTTTGTGTTTACGGCTGTCCTCCAGCGAGACCCGCGTTATTTTGAGAATCCCGATAGCTTCCTCCCGGAGCGGTGGCTTCCTGACTCCACCTTGCACATGGAACGCAAAGCCTACCTGCCCTTCTCGCTTGGTAAGAGTGATACTATCGGCTGCAATGGGCTGGTTTCGCGGCCGGCCGAGCGACTCGGCAGCCATATGCGCATTTGCGTGCCATTTGCCAACCTGGATTGTTGTTGCTCGCGATGCCAACCGGTCACGCCTTGCATTTCCGACCCCTCATTTGCCTACAGGGCCTCGCAACTGTGTTGGCATGAAGCTTGCCCTTCTTGAAGAGCGGATCCTGCTCGTCCGGCTGATGCAGCGCCTCAACTTCACCTACAACTCCGAGCTCGGACAGCCCAAGTGGAGCTTTGGTGAGCACCAGAGATGCATTTGCTGGTGTGCTTGTGCTGACATGGCGCTCCTGTTCACTGACACGACTTTTGGCGAATCCAACCCCAGATCTCACCACCGGCCCCGAAGCCGTGATGGTCAAGGTGTCAGCCAAGTAGTGTGCTGTCTGCACAGATCAGCATCCGCTGTATCTGGATGATCTCCCCACAGGGACCACACACTCTCCGATTGCGACTCTTTTGCCTCATCCTCGATCTGGCTGGCTAGCGGTTGCTTGGCCCACCGGTGGTCTCTGCGATCTAGCCTCCCTTCTACTCCAACAAAAGTGCCTCCTTATCGTTTCTGTTCCCAGTTCCTCTATTTCACTCGATTGCAATGAACATATATTCTTCACATGTGGTGTTGGCTCCATTCACGCGCCATCGAATATATGCCGAGTATTCCGAGCCTTGTGTGTATATCTCGCGCAGGTCAGACACACGCTGTTATGGTTTGTGTGCTGGTGCTGGAGTCTCCATCGATCCGGCGGCGAGGGCCCTCAGAAGCACCGCTGGCCCCGGCTCGAATGTGATTTGGCGCTCCACGGGATGCACGGCGCTGAAATGCACATTCATTCATTGTTTCATTCACTCCGGAGTCTAGAAGCGAATGCCACGCTGGGAAAGTGTATGTGCTCGAGTGAGGACCATGGATACGAAGGCAGAGCTTTGTATATCGCGGAGGGGGGGGGAGGCCCACGATGGTCGACTGCAATACGAGTGTCGCTGGTCTTACCGAGGAGAGAATCCCGCAAATCGTCTTGGCACCAAAGTCAGCTATGTTCTTGATCTGCGGCAGCGAGGAAGAAACAGTGCTATGGTAAGTATATCAAGCTCAGGATGGTCGTCTTTGAAAGCTCACCGATAGGGGAGCAACGAACTGCGACAAGTAACAAGATGCTACCTCTGAAGCGCTTCGTCCTACAAATGCCGTGTCCTGCAGTCGTCGGTCGAGGAACTTCCACGTCTCCGCAAATTCGGGCGAGCGGTCCTGGGTCATGAAGAGCTCTGTGAACGATTGTGTTTGCTTTGGGGTCAGCACGCAGGCAGGCCTGTCCTTCTCAAGTCGAACCAAATGCATCCGGGGCTGCGGCTCCTGCTTCGAATATCCCGTTGTTGCGGTGCAGAGCACTCACCAGTGGAGGTATAGACAGCGGCAAGCAACGCGCGCTTAGTATACCAGTTCATCTGGAGCACATCGAGGGTATCGAACAAAGCCCGGGTGAGGATCAATGGGAGGCAACGTGAAAGCAAATCCGGAGCATTGCGGACGCAATGAACAATTAGCGACTCCAAAAAATCGATGGACAGGGAGACAGGGCATCTTTGCAGCAAAAACAGGAATACAAGTATTACATCGACAGAACGGTCCCCGGCAATGTACCACATCTCATCGACGAGCTCTCCAAGGTTGGCGACATTGTTGGCGGCGTTCTGGGGCAGGGCCAGGAGAGCAACGGCCTCGGGCCACTTGCGGATGTACGGGGCAGTCAGCTTCATACGGGTGATGCAGGCGGTTCTGATCTTGGCAGTGGTCTTCATGGCATTGAGATCCAGCTGGTTCATCTCGTCGCGCATGCGGACAGTCGAGTCCTTGATGAAGAACTCGACCAGCTCGATGGGGCCGCGGGGGAACAGGCCGTGGGCAACGTTGGAATAGCCCAGAGCCTTGGATCCCTCCATGATGGCGTCGGCCGTCCAGCCGTGGGTGGGCACAAAGTTGAGGGCGCTAACGAGGATCTTTTGGGTGGGATTATAGTGCCGCTGTTGCTGCGACTGTTGCGACTCGGCGTGCAGATGGATGTTGAAGTCAGGGGCCGAGGCTTCATGGCGGAGGGCCGACAGGGTCGAGAAATGCGTGCGCTTGAAATGCGACCAAGGATGCGACAGCGAGATGGCTGTCCTGAAGGCCTGCATGGTGGACGGTGGCTAAGGGGAGCTTCAAAGTCGAGGCGATGCCGGGCCAAGGCGTGTTCACGAGGACTGGATGGAGCAAGCAAGACCAAACGGAGTGTCAGAGTCGAAAACACACCAAGCTGCAGCGAGGCCGTGGCGGGCGAGGCGAGGCGAGGCGAGGCGACAACGCACCGACAAGCGGGTGGATCGGCTTCGAGAGGACCCCGAGATCGGCTTGGAGACGATGGACGAGCACGCAGCAAACTCTTGGCCAGATCGTACTATCAATTTTTTCCGGCCCCCTCGCGGCTGCTCATCTCGGTCACCTGAAAGTCACGTTGTATGTGGCGCAGCAAAAGTTGGAATCCGGCCGTGGTCGGTTGACGGCATTTGGTATCACCTTGAGCCGATTGACAGTGGTGGTGGGCGATTGGTGTGGAGGAATGACCAATTGTATCATTGTTGGAAGCTCCACTCCGATTGCGGACAAGAACCACCACCATCTGAATCTCTCTGGTTGGAAACCTAGTCAAGCGTGGCTGTGTGTCAGCGAGATGACATGATCGTTTGGCTATCGGGCAAGACTCACCTTGACAAGATGTCTTCCCACGACTGATTGAGCGAGCGATGCGTTTCTGGATCTGAATCAAGGACGCCACTGTGAGCATCACTCCCTGCCCAAAATGCGCTGGTTTTGAGGAGATTCTTTCTTCCCCAAGGGCAGAACCAGCCATCGTCGCTATTTTCTCGCCAGATGGCTCCCCTCAAGCGAAAGACACCAGCCAGGCGACCAAGTGGATCCAGAGCACCCACAAGATCCTTGGTCTGCAGCAATGGATGAGCACCACACCGAGCCCCAAGATCCCTGGGTTGGATCCCTTCCTGCAATACATTCGCCATGGGTTCGATGGAGACATGCTGGACAAACAGCTGTACTTCAGCCTGACCCGGCGTCGGCGATTCAAGCGACTCGATCTCCACAGCAAGCGACAGCGCACTGTTCACGAGATGTGCAAGCAGGTCATCGACCAGGCACCAAGGGAGACCGAAGTGGTGATTGCCTTTGGGAATGCCTCGTGGAAACAGGGGAAGGGATATGCATCCAGTCCCAGGAGACTCAGGTTCGCCAAGTACTTTGAGCAGTTCCACCATCACCAGAGACGACCACCAGACCGATCCGTCTCCAAGATCCATGTGTGCTCGGTGAACGAGTTCAACACATCCCAGGTGTGCTCACATTGTCGGGAAGCCAAGCGACTCGAGCCACCCGAGTATCTTGATATCGAGAAACCCCACTTTGTCCGGAGCTGTGCAAGCTGCCATACGCTGTGGGATCGAGACATCAATGCAGCCAGGAATATGATCTCGGTATGCCAGTCGATCATCGCCACAGGAGATCGACCGGGTGTATTCAAGACTGTGCTTCCCAAACCAACAAAACCACTCGATTGCCAACGAAGACAGGAGTGCAATGCCATGGCTTGCTCACTGGGCCTACAAGTCAGTCAGCGGGCTTCAGATATCTGAAGCCAGAAAGTGACTGTCCCGTTTCTTTCTGGATAGACTGTAAGTATCTTGCACTGTTCCTTGAGTATGTCGACAGTGGGTGCCGGGTCGCCCATATTCTGGGCAGTCCACTTCGGGGTTGCCATCCCTCTTGGGATGGTCGATGGGAGGTGGTTAACTCCCTTGTGCAATGTGTGTGTGTGCTGATGTGTGTGTGTGCAAAGTGTGTGTGTGTGCCGGCGAGAGGCTTCTCGCCTTCCCTCGGGGGTCTCTCGCCAGAGACTGCTCTTCTCGCCGACCGAGGTGGCTCCGAGAGCGCGTTTTTTTCGTTCTCGCTCATGTTTTTACAGGCAATCCAATATAAAACGGGACACCCAGGTTTTTGACCATTCATCGAATATTTTGTTACCCAATGTTATCGCGCGCTGGCCATGACCATTCGCCACACATCCGACTTTCGCACCGCCGCATTGCGATGCTACGCCCTCATCCATAGCCTGCGTAAGGTCGCCTCCATATTCAGTGTATCCAAGAGCACCATCCATCGATGGCACCGAGGATGCAAGCTGGATGACCCATCCCGGGTCCCAGCTCGCAGATCCACTTTCTTCGAGCAGGCATGTCCAGTCATTCGCACCCTGATTGAACAGGACCCGTTCCAGACTGGTCCTGTGCTGCGGTGCAAGCTCGAGTCCATCCTCCAGAGGAAAGTATCACTCTCACTCTGCCACACTGCCATCCACCGAGCAGGTCTCTCTCACAAGAGGGCAACACACCTCTACAAGTCCAAGCGACTGGATGAGCGAGTGGCACAGTTCAGGGACCAGGCCCGCTCCATTGACCCACGACGATTCGTTTTTGTCGATGAGACAGGGATCAGGAGATCCATTTTCCCTCTTTACGGATACTCGCCGAAGGGTGCTCCTCTTCGCCAGCGCAATCACATGAAACACAAGTCTGTCTCGGCTGCATTTGCAATCAACCACTCTGGTGTGCTGCATCGCATGTACATCCCCACATCATTCAAGACACACTCTATGGTCGAGTTCTTTGAGCGAGCGAGCTTCCCAGACGACTCTGTGATTGTGATGGACAATGTCAGCATGCACAAGACAATGGCTGTCCTGGACTGCATCGAGCGCCGAGGATGGTCAGTGATCTTCACCCCACCTGCCTCGCCCGACTTCAATCCCATCGAGAACTTCTTTGGGGTTGAGTCCCCACCGATTTGGGGTTGAGTTCCTCCAATTTGGAGTTGAGCTCCCCAATCACGCCGCCATTCTCACGCTCAAATCCCTGGCTTGAACCTCTCGGCGATTTTTGAACAGGTCGCTTCCCCAACCAGCCCGCGCAGTCGGGTTCCTGCTCTCGGGTATAAATGCCACACCTTCGTCCTGCTGCTTTCTTCCCTCATCTCGCCTTGATCGGATCATCGCGCTATTGTACGATAAAAAAAAAGTCTCTGCTCTGACCAGTACCACTGGCAGGCATCCAGCATCCTCTGCCCCCATGCCTCCGAAGCGTAAGGGTACCGGTGATGGCCAGCCTCGGCCACCCAGGCCCAAGAAAGCCAAGTCACAGTCGGAGCCTGTCTCTGGTTCGTATTCTGACCCCACGCATGCTTGGTCGTCTGTTGCTCCGTCGCTCACCACCACTGCTTCTGCAGATCCAATGGATGTCGATCCCACCGAGCCTGGTCCGTCTACTTCCTCGAGTACCGGCAAGCGATGTCGCCAGTGCGACGGTACCGATCACGAGCGAAGCAACACTAGCAAGTGTCCCAAATACCGGCCCCTCAAGAGTTCTGTCGTCCCACTCGTGGATGGAAGGTCATCCGCCCCTCAGTTCAGCTGCTTCAAGCAGACGATGGATGGCTGTTGTCTCAATCCCGCTCTCCGCGACAAGACCCAGGCCACCGTCGAGGCCATGACCCAGATCCAGTTCGAGGCATCCAGGCTGCTCAACCTGCACATCCTCCGGTGCATCGAGCAGGATATTCCCGTCCCCGTCATCTCCAAGTCCACACCTGTTTTCATCCGCCAATGCTTCAAGATCGTCCAGGCCGATGCCCTCTCGCCGACCGGGGACAATGAGAAATACAACGAGCATCTGGTCGCTTCCTTTCGCGACTACCAGACCACTCGGCACGCAGACCTGCCTCCGGCCCCTCGTCTGCCTGATGGTGCTCACAGTCAGCTTCTCACCCTGGCTGTCAATGCCTATGCCACCAACTGCACCACCCACCTCGACCTGGCCTACTGGCGACTCCTTCGCCGCTTCTGCGCTGCCGTCTTCCCAGCCAACAAGCATAAGCACGAAGCCATCGAGGCCTGTCTCGAGCTCTTCGAGAAACCAGGGCAGACTCCACCCAAGGCCGATCTCGAGTTCCTCTATCCCGAGTTTGGCCACGTCCTGGACGAGTTTCGGTACAGCAACGACCAGGACCGCTTCCGGGCCCTCCATCGCCTCTCACACCATGTGGGAATCCTCGCCCGAGACAAGATGGTCGACGATGTCCACAAGTGGATCGACTGTGACATGCCCGCCCTCCGAGTCACCGAGCTGCAGCGCCAGGCCAAGCTGGACGAGCTCACTACCCAAGGCATTCCCTCCGACGACAAGAGGTTCACCACGGCCAAGTCTGAGCTCGGCACCACCAAGGCCAAGATCAACAAGCTGGCCGCCAGGATCAACTGGGCCCTCAAGCAGCTCGCTCTCGACACTCCTCCGTCCGTGTGCACGATGGTCCCTCTGTGCACAGCCAAGGCCAAGTATGTCAAGATCGACACCGTCACTCTCTGGGAACTCCTGGGTCCAAAGAAGCGCCTTGGACTCACCTGGGACATGCTCAAGGAAGAAGGCGAGGACGGTGTCAACAACCAGGATCGTCTCTGGCGCAGTTGCTTCAAGCTGCGTAGTTCCCTCTTCCGTGACCGGGATATCAATCACAAGCTGTTCAACTACGATATCAGCACCGATGGCATTGGATGCACCATCGGTCTCGTCAAGTTTCTGCCTCGAACCGATCACACCGAGACCATCGAGCCTCCTCCGACCGCCGAGCAGCGTATCCAGGCCCACATCGGCGACCCAGACCCCGATCGCACCACTTGGATTGGCATCGATCCTGGAGTCAGCTCCATCTTCACGGCGGTCATCCAAGCACCGGGCCACCAAGACGAGATGGTCTCGTTCTCCAATGGCCACTACCAGCACATGTGTGGCCATACGTCCGATACTGAGTGGCACAACACCATGAAGTATCGACTCGATATCGAGACCTGGATGTCGTCCACCCCCTCGCCCAAGGTGTCATCCTCGGAGGCTTTCAAGGTCCATCTCACCCATGTCCTGCGACCGGAGCTGCGAGTGCAGCTCGACTTCCACCTTGGCAAGAAGGCCCGTCACCATCGATTCACGGGCCACAGGAGACGCCAAGTGGCCGTCGACAGGATGTGCAAGGCCGTCCTGAAGCACGCCCCGATACGGACCGATGTGGTGATCGCCTTTGGCAATGCGTCATGGCGACAAGGCAAGGGCTATGCATCCAGCCCTCGGAGGCAGCGGTTTGCTCAGTACTTTGAGCAATTCGAGCACCACCGCCGCCGTCCCAATCACCATTATGGAAGCGTCAAGGTGGCCTCGACGAACGAGTTCAACACCTCGCAAGTGTGCTCCAAGTGCCTGGAGCCAGTTCGGTTGGAAGGACTCGATGCGCCCAGTGTTGCGAATTCCCACTTTGTCAGGAGCTGCAAGAATCCCAGCTGCCGGACAGTGTGGAATCGCGACGTCAATGCGGCGCGCAACATGATCATAGTGTGCAGGTCGATTGTGGAGATCGGAGAGCGACCGGCGGTCTTCACTCGGAGGCTGCCAAAGTGATCGGTTTTATTTCTTGTGGCTTTGCTTGACGCAAGCACAGCACATACTACCTGTTCATGGAAACGGCTATATTGTCCCGTTTTTTTCTGAATAAAGTGTAACAAGAAATTATTCATAGTGTCCAGGACACGAAAATCGAGCTTTGGAGAAACAGCGACGCGCAGTCAGCGGCCCCTTGCCTCTTCGCCTTCCCTCTTGCCTCTTTCGCCTTTCCTTCTGTGCTGTCTTTTCTCTTGGCCGGCTGGCACGTGTCGTCACACAGACCCACCTATCCGCGCACAAAGACCACTTCCGACAAGCGCCTGCACTGGATCCGCAACAAAGGTGCCCTTCAGCATCAAGCCATATTTTTTGCCTGAGCGTGGGGAGCCGCAAAGGGCCGGCCTCAATCCAGGTCTGGGACCGCCAACGCCCCGCTGTTCTCGCTCCTCTCTCCATCCGCTGCATTCACCCCCCGTCCGTCTGCTGTACTTGCCGGCCGACGACACCGAACGAACACCGAACGGACACCGAACGAACATCCGGCCGCACAGCGACAGCATCCCCTTCGCCATGCATCCCGGACGCCACCCCCGATCTGCCTCCGAGATTTCCTTCGAAGTGCCCAAGAGGGACAGCTGTGTCCCAGCCGACGATCGCTCCGAGGTCTTTTCACCCATCCATACCTTTGGCATCGATTACGCCGCCATAGAGAAATGCATCCTCGATTACTGCCCGACGCCGCCTTGGACCCAGATGGACCACAAAGCGTCCGAGAGCACTTACTGCGTCCCCGTCGACGGCGATTTGGCTCTCAAGAAAAGCCCATCTTGGGCTGGCCTCAAGGTACGAGGGGACAGAGCCACGTCTCTGTTTGGCTGCTGCCAATGCCAGATCGAGAGCCTGTGATGCGCCTACGCTGGGCTCTGAGTCGATGGCTCGGTCGGGAGATGCACTGGCATTGGCGCTCATCCTCCCTCTGTACCGACAGAACCGAGCGAGCCGGACCTCAAATGCGCCAAAAAACAGATTCACCTTCTATTCCGAGACAACAAATATCCTCAAGGCCGGCTCGTTCGGCGCCCTGCCTCTCGGGCAGTTCGGCGGCTCCATCAAGGAGTTTCTGAGCACCAAGCCCTTCTGGTTGGATATCTGCGACGTCAGCGATGTTGAAATGGATCAGTTGAGCCAGGTAAGAGCACCGAGCAATAGCATCGATCATGGGCGTATGGTACTATCCTTACCAGCTGATACTGCGCCCCGGGATGCCAATCTGCCTCTGACTCGCTCCGCCCCACCACAGCTCTTTGGCATCCACCCCCTGACCGCTGAGGATATTCTTGCGCAAGAGACCCTCGAAAAATGCGACACCTTCCCGAACTACTACTTTGTGTGCATTCGGACATTTAGTGAGGACTACAGCAGCCCAAAGTTCTTCAAGGCATTGAATGTCTACATGGTCGTCTTCAAAAACTGTGTTCTTTCGGTACGAGTCGCATCGAGCCGTCCTCAGCATCCGTGTCGAGTGTCGAGAGGCCGACCCGGCGCAGGAGTTTGCCTGTGGGCCACTGGGTAGATACACGACTGTCTCTGACTGGCTGTTACCCCACCTTCGTTGCTGCAGTTTCATTCTCTGGAGACATCCCATCACAACAACGTGCTCCAGCGCATTGCTCATCTCAAAGCTCACCAAGTCACCGTCTCGCCGGGTGTGTTGTATAGCTGCTCTGGCAGATAGGGATCATGTCCTTGGATGGCATCGAACGCTCATGATTGATACGAGGCGCCAATCGGAGCCCAATGGTGCTCAATGGCTCTCGAGAGTGCTCAAGGGTGATGCTGATGCATAGCCATCGCCTTCTTCCAGATTGGATCAACTACGGCATCATCGACGACATCATCGACTCGTTCTCCCCCTTGATCGAAGGCATCGAGGACGAAACCGAAGCCATCGACGATCTCGTGCTGATATTGAAGGCGAGCGAGCAAAGCGACATGTTGCGGAGGTGAGTAGCTTGGGCCAAGGAGACGCTCGCATGTTGCTACGTGACGCCCATGTTTGCTTTCGGCGTACTTGGTGCCGTGCCATTCTGCCTTTGAGGCTTCAATCACCCACTGGTACATCGTTTCCTGATGAATCATACGACCCAGCCGAGCAACTCACGGTTTCATTTCTTGCCGCCTTGCTCGCCTTCCCATCCAGAATCGGGGAGGCCCGACGCAAAACCCTGCAGGTTGTGAAGTTGTTGCAGTCCAAGGCCGATTTGCTGAAAGCTCTCATCAAGCGGGCCTCAACAGTGATATCCGCGGACAGCAGCATTGTGCTCTATCTTGGTGATATTCACGGTAAGGGAGACAAGCGCTATCCAGAAGCGGCGTCTTTGCAATGTTGTTCACAGAGCCCCCTGGAGAACCGCCCTAATCAACCTTGCTCTATCCCGTTCGTCCCGGATACGCTGTAGATCACATTGCCGCTATGCAGCACAATCTGTCGTATCACGAAACCACCCTGTCAACCTGCCACTCGAACTATCTTGCTCAGATCAGTATCGAAATCACACAGTCGGCCAACCGAACAAATGACTCCACAATGAACCTCACCCTCCTGGCCAGTATTCTCGTTCCTCTGAACATTATCACAGGTAACTCGGCTGCAGTCGTGGTGTCACGCGCATGACACCCAGCAATCTGCTGCCGCCTTTCGTTCGCTGTTCCTTTGCGCAACGCAGTTGCTGACGACAAGATAAACGCTTTCTGTCGCAGGTCTTTGGGGCATGAATGTCAGGGTCCCGGGTGGCGAAGAAGAGGGCCTCACATGGTTCTACGGAATCGTCGGGAGCATGGTCGCGATTGTCCTTATCTGTTTCTTTGTCTTCCGGAAGCTAATATAGTCGGCTGTGCCCCAAGCAGTCCGTCCACTTCAGATGGCAACCGTGGCCGCTGGGACTGCCTGCGATGAACATCGGCTGGTCTGGCTGGCAGCAATCAGTGCAAAGTGAATGTTTATTCAGGAGCCTCGCGAGGCAGGCTGGCGTCCTCAAAACCCAGTGCTCCACTTCATTTGTATATGCTCTCTTTCTGGACAGGTTTGAACACCTGGCATGCGGTGCAGGGGAGTGATCTCGATGTGGGGCAGAACTGGATTTACAGCGCAGGCTTGCTAACGCGAGCGTGTGCTGCTTCCAAGATCATGCCCAAGACGTCCGTATAGCTCTTTCCTTCCAGTTTGCCCATGTAGGCAAACTTTCCATCCCAACACCATCCAGGGTTGGGATTAACCTCAAGAAGCTTGATCGTGCCCCTCCGTTTCTCGGCGCCATCGCTGCTCTCTGTATCTTCGGCGTCGTCAGCGTCGTCGTCGCCGCGACCGACATCGCATCTGAAATCGAAGCGAGCATAGTCGCGACAGCCGAACCGCTTCCACAAACGGATGCAATAATCCCTTAGCTTCTGCTTGGTTGCCTCTGAGAGGGTGGACTCTCGATATGAGATGTCTGTCCAATACGGGCTTGATGGGTCCCATTTCGATTCAAATCCTAGAATCGGCGGGAGGTTTTGACCAACGATCTTGGAGTAATCGACCTCCAGAATAGGGAAGAAGTGGAAGCCAGTGTCGAGATTTCCGACCATACCGACGCCATATTCGACACCAGCAAGGTACTCTTGTACAACGACGCTGTCGATGCCGAGGGACTCGAGTTCCTCGAGGTACGAGTCCACCTCGCCGGGCGACCGGACGATGGAGCGACTGGTGATTCCGAGAGAGTTGTCGCCTTTGGATGGCTTTATAAACGCCGGGTAGAGGATCTCTTTCTCGATGGCCTTGTGAAGCCGCTCAAGGCTGGTAGGGGTGTGGATGTCAAAGAAGAAGACCTCCTTGGGTGTGGGGACGCCGATTGCGTCTGCCGATCGGTTGACAAGCCCCTTGTCATAGCAGTACGAGAGGCAGTTGGGATCCGCCCCAGAGTACGTCAGACCCTGTATCTCTAGATAGGCTGGAACGTGGAGTTCCTTGGTGGCGTCGTTGTTGAATCCCTCGTCACAGAGGTTGAAAACGAAATGGTCTCGTCGGGAGGCCAGGAATTGCTCCATGGTGCCGTGAGACTCGAGCACACACATGGAGTCGTCTTCATAGCCAAGGGCTTTGAGCGCGTCCGTGAGCTTCTTCCGAGTTTCGATATCCTCGGGGTTCCAACTGTTGTTGAGCTTGCCAAAGCAGGGCTGAGAAGGGTCGCCCATCAGGACCACCATCTTTGAGAAGAGAGGCTTGCGGGGAAGTGCAGAGATATCCTGGATCGGCACAGCCGCCGTTGCTGAGGCACTGGCTGCCGGATCCTCCTCAGCATCGCTGAGAGTAGTGGTTGTATCTTCGCTGTCGGAGAAGCTGGTGGCGGAGACGGTGGAAGATCCAATCTTGACCCGCTTCACTCCATGAATCAAAAGTCGCTGTCCCATCATGCCCGAGTCTTCGTGGCGTTGGCTTAGGTTGTTTGCGATGCTGTGCAGTGCCGGAGCTGCGTTATCTCCGTCGATGGTAAAGCCCTCGGTCTTCAGGAGGGTCTCGATCTCTGCTTGGCTGTAGAGGCGTTCTTGATAGAACTGGTCGCGGATGACGCCTTTATGGACGTCGGTCACGACTTCGCGGCAGCAGAGACGGGTGCGGTCCTTGCTCAATTGCCGCTCGCGACAAACGAGCATCGAGTCGTCGATCCACTCCCAGCTGCGCTCGTCAAAGTTGGAGCGCCAGTACTCGCCATCGGTTACGTCGATGAGGAGCCGTCCTCCAGGTTTCAGAACGCGAAAGACCTCGGCCAGCACCATGCGGTCGGCGCTGTCGTGACTAAAGTAGCCGAACGAGTTGCCCATCAGCAGAACCAAATCAAAGTGCTGGTCGTCGTACGGGATTTGCCGCGAGTCGCCGACGGTGAAAGCCGTGCGGTGCTCCACGCCCTGTGCGGTAGATCGCTCATTGGCCAGGGAGATCAAGTATGCCGACTGATCGTGGCCACAGATTTCGAGGTGCGGATAGCTTGCCGCCAGCTGCAGCGAGTGACGGCCTTGGCCACAGCACAGGTCAAGGATGCGCGTGCAGGATCCTGAAAGATGCGATTCGACAAGGGCAACGAGGGGGCGAGGAGCGAGAATATGCGTGAGTTACATATCGGAACAGCTGTTTAGCAGTAATATAGGGCCAGTGGTGGATGCTGCATATATGCCACACGAACGCCATACCTGCTTTGGCGGCGCTGTGGGAGCCTTGCTCAAGGATAGCACGGATTCCGGCAATATCCTTGATCATCTCAAGCTCCTCGGCAGTGATGGCAGGATCCTCGACGACGTCGCCGTCGGTCTTGAGGTACATTGAATCGCTGAACAGGGTCCTCCACCACTGGGCGGGGACCATGGCCTCCATATCTGCGACCCTGCCATGGCAGATACTGTGGGGCTTCAAGTCCTTCTTGGCTTCATCCCGAGCCGCGGGCAAAGCCGCTTCAGCGAGCAGCTGGGCGGTAGGGACCTTGGGGCTCTTGGGTCCAGCCGTGCAAGTGAGATGCTGCCCGGGCTTTGGTGTGGCGGCTAAAGAGAGGTCTTGGGCGACATCAGGAGGGGTACTGCGAACCATAATTTTCAGACAAAACTACTCAAGGAGGGGAGCAGTGTACAGGCGCAAGGACCAAGACTCGGGGAGATACGAGTGTGTGTGCGTTTTCGATAGCAAAGTGACGAAAGAGCAGCAGGGCGGATACTTTTGTGGCCGAGATTTGGCAAGGACGGTCAACGGGGAGGGGATACACGTGCGAGAAAGCAGCAATGAAAGCAACCAGGGGTACGTGATCACGCAGTCGGGGTAGTGCCAGGAAAACAGCAGGCACTTTTCGCTGGTTGAATTGGTTGGGAGGTGCTTGGCGAGAGACCGGAAAGGATCGCTTATATGGGGACGGAGGAGCCAGCCGGCCAGGATTGCCAAGCGTGCCGGCGGGGGAATGTGACGGGCTCCGGCCTTGTCCAAAGGATAGCGTTATCCCGAGCGAATCTCAAGAAGAGGCAAGGCGAAACAAGGAACGACTGCTGAGAAAATCGACCTCGGAAAGCAGGGAAAGTCCATTGCGTGAGCGGCGAAGAATGGCCTCCCCCCGGATGGTGGCAGGCAGCGCGCGATGAGCCATTGGCACCATCGAGGAAATTCGGCAACGGACTTCCGGCTGATCGAGACGGCGGACCAAGCGAGGGAGCTGGCAGATCCACGCGAGGCAGCCACGCAGATTCCACCAGATAGTCAACAGAGGAGTAAGGCTGGCGAGCTGGCGGGACCAGATTTGCCCCAGTTGCGCAACCCGCGAGTGCATTGCCCCACAAGGACGCCGTTCCACAACAATCATATGGGAATGGGAATGGGACCAGCCTCCACCGACGAAGGACGGCCGTACGGGCGATCCTGTAACAGCCCCCGAGCTGCCAAAGCAGGGCGTGCGAGGCCACATGCACACTCTGGCTGAAGGCGGCCGCTGGCCGAGATTGTCGTCCGCGCACAAGCGATGGTGGGACGGTGCCTTGCCGGTGGAAGCCCATGTGTTTCTTACTGGCTCGTTCATTTGTCAGTGCCGGGGACATGTGGATCGGTGAAGGCGGGTGCTCTTGTGGCTCACAAGGGGGACTGGCTGGGCACAAGGAGCCGCCAAACCAGCACAGAGATCAAAGGCGCGATGCCATTGGGACAAATGAATGGTCAGGCGGGGGCCATGCGCAGGTCGGCGTGGGAATAGCGTTGGGCGTGTGGCGCTGGCTGGTGGCTTGCGCGGCTGGTGTGCCAGACAGGTTTGCCGAGCGGCAGCGCACGCAGAGGGCCAGCGGACGGCAGCGCAGGCCGAGGATTGTCGGGTGGTGGCGGCGACCTGGCACGAAGGGGGATCTCCCAACAGCCATCGCAGGCCAGGAGGCAGCGCACGAGCCAGAGGCATCTGCCGCTTCAAGCGACGCCCTTGGCGGTGGGCGTGCTGCTCTGTTGGCGGCTGAACGACCAGAGCGGGTCGGTAGCCTGCTGAGCAAACTGTATTCAAGGGCCGGTCCTGGCTCAAGGAGCGGCCACTTCAGAGGCTCCCAACAAGCATCGTGAGCAGAATGACGCGGTTTGCGGCAACACCTGCCCAGCCGGCGAGCGAAAAAAAGGCAAGACGGAAAAGCAAGCCCGCACGGCTTGACTACCAGGTCTGGATGGCGTCCCTCAGGGCGCGGGTGGGAGGAAGCGGGGTGTTGTGGCCCGATATTGACGGCAGCTGCCCCAGCATCTGGACGGTTTCTGTCGGCGGAGGCTCTGGTCCTGGAGAGACGATCCAGGGTTAGAAAGCGAGCAGCAATCTCCCGCATTCAATCGGATGCAGCAGCAGCAGAGCAGCCCCAGTAGCAGTAGAGTAGTCACAGCAAGGACGATAAACAACAACGCCACCGCATGCAATGCAGCAAAGGAAGGATTCAGTCGCAAGGCATCTCGTACGTGAGGAGCTGCTCTCCTGAGCGGGAGGACCGACATGGCTTCGCTTCTTCAGAGGTCGGGCCTTGACCTCTCTTCGTAGTTGGTTGATTTCCCTGTCGTTTCGCCAAGCCGCCATTGCCCAACCAGAAGAAACGTCAGGTACCGAGCAACTATAATATCAACCCCCAAACTGCAATGGCTGTAATAGCCAGCGCTCTACCAGCGAGCCCAACCTGATCAGCAATTGATTATCGGCCAGGGTATGGATTGTGTCGACACGGAAAACAACACTGTTGCGCTCTGCCTCTGCACGGAGCGACCGGATCCGATCCTTCAAAGCCTCGTGGTGTCGGAGGTACTCTTGCTTGACCCCGGGTTCTACGCCCAGGTCGCTTCCAGAATCCATGTTGGTGCAGTACTTTTTGCGGAGGTTCTCGACAAATTTCTGGAGGCGGGGTTTGGCCAGGACGCAATGAGGGCCATGACGGAAGCGATCCCATGCACATTGCACATTGCACATTGCACATTGCACATTGCACATTGCACATTGCACATTGCACGGGGCCGGATACGTACCTTGAGCACAGCCGGCTCCTGAATATACTGCACCACGTCGTGGAGCTGGTTCCGGAAGCCCTTGATGTAGTGTGCGATGTCCTGAGCTTTCTGGTGCTCCGTCGCATATATCTGCTTGCTGGTGTTGAGCTTGGTCCTCAGCGCCTCTATGTTCTCCTCGTAGGTCTGCTTCTGCTTGCTCAGTATCTCTAGCTCTTTGTTGATATCCTGCGTGGAGTGCACACAGGCTCGCAGGCTCAGCGCGGGGTCGTCGGCTGTCACGAAGCATCTCCCAGCGGCATCCAAGCTCACCAGAATGTGGCGCGACATCTCGGCAATGTCGTTTTCCCTTGGCTCGACTTGCTCCTTCAGCTCTTTGATGCGGAAGTCGAGGACAAATTTGAACTTCTCAAGCTCCTGGTTCTTTTTCTTGAGTTCGTACACTCGCCTTTCCTTGTTCTGAATGAGCTCGTCTCTCTCCGACATCTGGGTTGCCAAATTGCATCCAGCGTTGGAGTTTCGCGTCAGCAGCAATGCGAGAAACACCCAGCGTGGCACATGCGTTTGCAGCAGCCTTGGTATGATCTTCGTCGTGGCCACGGATGTGCGAAAGCAGTCTGTTTCCGTAGTACGGCCTCCTCACCTCCTTTTTCATCATGGCAATCTCCTTCTCGAGCACAGCAATGGCCCCGTTCAAACGCTTCTCCGTATCGGCGGCGGCCCTCAACTGCAGGCCCTGGTCCTCGAGATCCTTGTTGAAAGTATTGAACTTTTTGCGATAGAGCCCGTTTTCGCCCTTCAGTCGCGACCCCTCCTCTCGCTCGGCCTTTAGCCGCCGGTCAAACTTGTCGACGTACGACTGGATTTCAGAATCGGCGTCCTCGTCGTTTTGCCTAGCCATTTCTTCGCATTCTCGGATCTGAACCCGCAGCTCTTGCCTCAGCTGCATTGTGGAGTCAAAAGTTCACAGACAAGCTTTCAGCGCAACAACTCCTGCGATACGTCTTGGGTGGCGTGCGATGACCCAAGGCCTGTGTGGGGTACTATGGCGGCGCACGTGCGTTGCGAGACTGGTGCATACCTTGCCAATCTCATTGGTCTTCTGTCGCAGGCTCTCCTCGGCGTCGTATTCCATCTTTACGAAGGTCTTTTGCTTCTCGCGGTCAAACTCCTCCAGCCGCTTGGTCCAGTCCTCTTCCACCATAATCTTGTGATTCTGAAGCTCCTGAAGTCGCTCATACTCCCTCATCATCTCCTGGTTGTATCGACCCTCAACCTCCTGTGTACGATAAGAGTGCTGGATCTTCAGAGTGATTCGGATATGGCTATCTACGGACACTCAAGCGCAGATATGGCACCGCCACCTTATAGCCCGGTCGACCCCTTCACTCGTTGCGGTAAAGCAGTGCCTGGCTTTGATCTTACGTGCAGCTCGTTCATGTAGCGCGACTTTGTTCGCTGGATCTCCTCTTCATGCTTGACCTCCTCCTTATCCTTTTCGTTCCGCAAGACTGATGTAAGGATTTTGAGAGCCTCGATTTCCTGCGAGAACTTTTCGTTGGTTTCCTTGAGCTTCTCGTTGAAGTTCATGTCCTTCAGACGCAGCTGGTACTCGTGCTCCAGTTTGAGTTCATCCAAGTTCCGCTGAAGCTCGGCCATGGTCAGGGTCTTTTCCTCCAGGTCGGACTTGGTTATCAACATCTACATAGCGATGGAAACAGCCATGAACTTGAGTCGGTCATGTCTGACGGCTGCTTGGCTTTGTCTCCCTCTTCCAGACCAGAGTATCTGTGCATGGGAGGTGGAGGCAGAGCGTGCGCTCATGTTGTCAAGCACGGTTATAGTACCTCGTCTGCAAATTGAATCGACTTTTCTCGCTTCATCTGTCGGTCGTCCTTGTCGGAGATCTTGAACATGTATATGCAGCCGTCTTCTGAGGCTGAGAACAGAAACTGGTCGTCGAATGAGATCCGGAAGCGGGTGATCGCTGCGGAGTGGGCGTGATGCTCTTGAAAGTCAGATGGATCTCCGGTGAGAGGATACTTGAGCGATCGGATGGTGCCCGAGCCAGTTCCTTGTGTCGAAGAGTACGAGCGGTGTTAGAAAAGCTCAGGGCTGCAGTCATGCTCCGCCAATACATCGGTTGTGCTGAATCTGGCCAGGCTCCTTCGAGTCCAGAAATCCTGGAGATACACCGAGAGATCGCGACGATGGATCCATCACACTGGCACACCTGCAAACATCATACGCCCCGAGTGTGAGACGATGATTTGTGTCAGCACAACATTTGCCTCGACTTCCATGGTCACGATCGAGTCAGTGATGGCCTTGAGGAGTACAGAGGAAGAGTCACGATCAAACATGCATGAGTCTCAGGCTGACGTGCGACATTGCCGAGGCAATGATATACCGATGCAGAACGGGCCTGGTGGTCATTTGGGCAGACGCACATGGACCAAGATACACCATGCGGCCCAAGTAGCCCGCTGTTGCATTTTCATGGCTCAGACCGCGCATCATGGCCCCAGCAACTTGACAGTGTTTTCATATACACAAACCTTGAGGATCTTGTCCGAGCCCACAGTAAACAGAGTTTTTCCGTTGGATGTGCACAGAGCTGAAGTGTATGCGCAACTCTTCAGGATGTGCTCGTTTTCCCGCTTCATCTCAAGGATGTTCCAGGTATATACGGCGCCATCCGTGCCCGCCGATACCAATAGTGCGTCGTCTGGGGTCCAATAGAGCGATTTGATCTTGCCATTGTGCCCTTTGAGGTTGTAGAGATTGTCGAAGGTCCACGTGTTGTAGATTTGGATGACGTTTCCGTGAACGGCGGCAAAGATGTGGCCGCCGTTGGAAAAGCGGCACTATATCAAACCACCCATGATGGTGATGGTGATGGTGATCATGCCCAACAACCGACCGACGTAATATTGGTGCCGTGCGAAATCACACATATTGGGGCGACCATATGAATATCCAAACTCCAAATCAAACAAATCAACGATCTTGGCTCGGTGCGACAAAACCAAAGCGAAAGATTGGTCCACATGATGTGCCGCAGCTCATCATGGCAAGTCTGCTCTATCGGCGGATACAATACCTCTCGACAGCTCCGGATCGGGAACTCGCGAAAGAGCCGGAGATCATCCATGAGCACATTCATGAGCCGTAGCTTGTCACCAAATCCAACCAGCAGATAGAGGCCCGATGGGTGAAGGGCCACGGTGTAGGATTCTTCTGGAAAATACTTGACCAGTTCGCACGTTCGTTTGACATAGTTCCACACTCGGACGGACTTGTCGGTGCCGCAGGTGACAAGCAGGGGCTTTCGACAGCAAACGTCCAGGCCAAGGACAGCCCCGTGGTGGAAAGGCTGGGACAGACTTTCGAACTTGGACTCCTCGCTCTGACAGAGGCAGAATTAAAGAATAAAATCAGGACTGGCCATGTCGGAGACATATGTAGAACTAAATGACTCGTGCCGCTCAGACCTCGGCGCTGGCATCGGCAGAGTATGAGGCCTCGCTGCCAGCCCGGTGGAACGGTGTTTACCTGCAACTCGTCAGCAGCAAGCGATGTCTTCCAGATTTGGTTGTTACTTGTTCCAACAATGAGGTTGCCTTCGCTGCCGCTGACGGCCATGGTCTGCACCGACAGGGCTGTGTCTGTCGGAAAGGTGACCTTTCGGGCGATTCTGAATCCGTGCGGATCATCGAGCGAGGGCTCAAAGGCGACGACGAGGCCTGACGATCCACCTGCCACGAAACCACGCGGGCTGGAAGAGATGCTCTTGAGGATGGTGCCCTTGATGGGGAAGTAGACGGTTGTCAAGAGTGCGGACTGATCGGTGATGAAGATCGCGTCTTTGGTGGCCAGTGCCAGACGATTTCCACTGATCCAGGCTTGTGCTTGGTAGTCCTGCACAGAATGGACGGCCATGGCACAAGAGACGGTGTCGTTGAACCAAGGTATAGGTGAGCAGATGCAACGGTATCGCCGCCGGACTGTGGGGGGCTGTGGGGGCTTTGGAGGCTATGATGGCTCTATGGAGACAAGGACATGGGCGATGCACTCCCAGATGCTATCGCGAGTCAAGCATCTGAAAACCGAACAAAGGAAGCTGAATAGGTGCCTGGACGGCCGACTCACGTTGGGTGGTATGGTACTCGCCAATGGACTCAGTTCTCCTTCTGCATAGAGCAGTACCCGACAGAACCCGTCGCCGATGACGGAGCAGCGTGTACCGTCGTTGGGATTGATGCACACATGGCGAATGACCTTTTTGTCGCCCGGAATCAGTCCCTTGATCACGGTGCCGTTGGAGCCGGAAGTGGTCGAGTCGAAGATGGGCAGCGACGCCATCAGCTTGCCCTTTTCCCACCCAAAGTAGTTCAGGGTCCATTCCGGAGCGCCGAGTTGGGCGACAAGATATCGCGAGTCGCCCGAGAACGAAAGATCGGTAAACTCCTGAGGAAGGAAGGAGGGCAACATCAACATCAACATCAACATCAACATCAACATCAACATCAACATCAACATCAACATCAACATCAACAGCAGCAGTTGGTCAGACCGTGTGAGAAAGCCATCGAAATCGCACCAGAGCGTGCATTGGGACCGCAATGGCCGAAACGTGACAGCGCAGATGGCACTCGACGAAGGTAAAATGGCTTCGATTGCGACGAGCCACTGAGATGGTCGACTAAGCAGTCGGCTCATGCGATTGGGAAGCGTCACCACCATCGGATGCATTACCCTGGCCAGGATCTCGGTGTTGATCGTGACGCTGCGGCGCTTTCGAAAGCTGTGGGCATCGTAAATTTGAATGGTGGGCCTGCCGCCGAAGCGATCCAAGGCCATTTTCTCGGCCACAGCCAGGATATTCCGATCCGCCGAGACTGTCAGGGACGTGATGGCCTCGCCATACTCGGATATGGGGATGAAGCGTTGGGTGTTTTGGTCAGCGTTGTGGACTAGGCGTCGAGGAGCAGTCGGGAATGGAAGAGGAGTTCTCAGAATGACGTCCTAAGGCGAGTGCTAGGCAGAGCGATGGTTTGGAGTGGCCAACACCAACACCATTGTCAGAGCCAGTACGCCACGCGGCACGACGGTCCGTCTTACCGACGACATTGCATCCAGCCGGGAAGAGGATGGTGTTCTCATCGACAAAGAAGAGATTATCTTTGATGTCGCTCTTGAACCCAAAGACGAAGCTGCGGAGCGACAGTGGCAGTAGCGATGGTGCGGTTCAGTAATGTGGCAAGCGCGTGGCAGGGAGTAGCTCTGGGAGGAGCCGTCGTGACCGGCAACTTGGATTGTTGCTTGAGAGCAGCCACGGAAGCATCCGAGAGTGCGGCTGGGTGCAATGGGCGTGGGCGGCGTGCTATAGATCAACCTGTGGGCGGCCGAGGCGATTGACATTGTATCGACGCTATGGGAGTCCGGGAGATGGATGAGCTTTGCGGCCTTGCCACAATCGCACGAACGTCAGAGAATGCTCTTCCCGCTCGCCAAGGCGACGTCCGCCCAAAGCTGGGTCTCGCGGACAACCACGGCCCTCCATGAGCTGCGCGCCATTTTGCTGGGAGTGAATCAGAGGGTGTCTGTCGGAGGAATGTGGTGATTGCCGGTCGTGGGAAGGTACTGGGACTGAACAGAGCCTGGAATAATAGAGCAAGTCCAGGCTTCTCAAGGCAGCACACCAACTCGACACCCACTGAAGATCAACGAGTGCCAGACTCTGCCTGGTGCAGGATCCACTCGACGGCAGCAGGGCCAGCGGAGGTTCTGAAGCCAGCTGTATTCAGACACATGATAGGCAATGCAATATCAACATATGCTCGGCCGGTTGCCACCAGAGAGGCTGTATGGGTGCGCAGGAGGACAAAGCCACGGGACCAGGAAAATGAACGGATGATGGAGGGCTTCGCAAAGCAGGGGATGAAGAGCGATTTCTAGTCAAAGCCAACAAATAGAGCAGAGGGACAGAGGAGTCCTCTGGCGAGCAGGTACGGATGGCGCTTGACGGTCTCGAAAGGCTGGGCCGCGCCCAGTCACGCATTTGGAATCAGTAGAACAGCAGATCCTTGGGATTCGAGAACTTGAGCCAAAAGTTGAGCAGCACGGCGGTAAACAGAACCAGGACCAAGACGAGAGGGCCCCATCGATCCTCGTAGGGTCCAGGGTCTGCGGTTGGGCGGCCAGCGCGCGTTCAGATAACAGAGGGAGAGGGTGGTGGGCCGGAGTAACCAAAGAGGATCGTGGACAACGGGTTAGATACATGGAACCATGGACCGAAGCCGAGGCAGTCCCGGCGGCAGCAGGCGATCGTGGCACGCCATCGGCATTTGAGAGCCTCGGTACAATCACTTCAAGCGGTGAATCGGACTTCCCGGGGTGAAACATGAGAGTGGGTAGTCTGTCAGCCGTACCTCGAGTGCGGATCTTCTGGGATCTCAGCTGGTACATGTACAGACAGTAGGCCATGAAGAACATGGCAATGCCGGTGAAGGCCAGGCCAGTCAGCTGCCCGACACGATCGCCAAAGTTGAGGAGAGACAGGGCCAGGCCACCCAAGACCATGGTGACTAGCGATGCACGACCGGATTGAGTCATCGAGATGATCCGCAGCGGTGGGATATTGCAGGGCCAAAACCAGCGGATATCAGCAGAGATCGTGTCGGTCGAGATAGCAATCGCAAAAGCAAGAGTCAGTCAGGGCCGTATGTGCCGGATCAATCAGCAAGCCGACTTGCGGCACGTTCAGGTATAGCTCGGGCGGTATCGAGCAGCAGACAGACTGCAGCGGCCTGGACGACGACCCTGAGACTCGGGTCGAGTCCCGGGGAGGGGATACGCACAGTTGAGCCACGACAGGAAAGTGCGTTCGTTCGCAAAGAAGACCTTGGGCTCGACACGGACAGGGGTGACGACCCGCTTGGACAGGGTCTCCCGCAGACGATCGGGGATCGAGATGGGCACGTCGTTATTGAGGAGCGGCTGGGTTTCAGACATGGCTCAGAGATAGGATGTGCTGATGGATACGGCGGTGAGAGGAAATGTCCCGGGGACGTGAGTTTGGTTGCGCAGGGATGAGGGCCGACTGTAGCAGTCGGAGCAAAACACGGATGACAGGACGACGGACACCCGAATCTCGCACGCATTGATTGTGCTGTGATGGCGAATGGGGGAGGGGATGCCGACGACGGGGGGTATGATGGCGGAAGGATGCAAACAGCAGAGTCGATCGAGGAAGCGCCAGAATCGCGAGGTGTCCTCAATGGAATGAGGCAGGTTGGAGACGAGTGGATGGCGACCGAGGAAGGCACCAGACGGGAAGCACACGAGTGCATATGCTGCAGCTGAGCTGCTTCGAGACATCTCGAGTGCCAAAAGCACGATTGCATCGTCAAGTTGCGTCTTGGTTCACCCAGCGCTCCATCTGGCCAGCCATCCAAACGGGCCAAGGCAAGCCCAGAAGAACGCCAGATGCGGTGCAGGGTATGGGATGCGATAGTGCGATGAAATACCTGCAACGAGTAGAAGATGGACCTGGAGACCGAGGACGGGTGACCGAGGACGGGAGATCGAGGCCAAGCAGACAAACAGGCGAACAGGACGCTGGCAGACGAGACCGATGGGCGGAGACGGAAGGAACAGAAAAAAAAGGTTCAGGATTGCTCGCGGGCGACGAGAGGCGGGCTGGTTGGCTGGCTGGTTGGATTGTTGGTGCAGGGGAACGAGAAGCAGCGAGGAGTAGCGAGGAGCAGCGAGAAGGCCACAAGGCACAGGCGACGAGGGAGCGAGAGGAAACAAGGACGGCCATTGCTGACGAACCAGTTTCGAATTGGTTTTTGTGGCCGGGCACTCGCCAATCAGCGCGCGGAGCGCAAAGCTTCGAGCAGACAAGGCCGGCGGTCAACAGGGTGTGTGCTCGTGCATCGCTTGGCAGGGCAGTGCGGCAGATGCACGCGCCGCGCCAGGGAGCGCGTGCACTCGGGGCAAGCAAGGGACGCGGCTCGATCCTGCGGGGCAAGGGCGATGGACGGCTCGATCCAGGCAACAAGGACGGGGAGTGGCTTGACAAACACGATTCGTCCCCTCGCTCGATCAACAACCGTGATGGCGAATTGCATCCAGACAGTGTGGAATCGCGACGGCAATGCGGCGGGCAACAGGATCACAGTGTGCAGGTCGATTGTGGAGACCGGAGAATAACAGGTGGTGTTCACTCGGAGGCTGCCAAAGTGATCTGTTTTATTTCGTATAGCTTGGCTTGACGCGAGCTCATCACATACTACATGTTCATGGAGGCGGGTGTGGTGTCCCACAGAATAAAGTGTACGAAGATGGACGCACTCGTTCATGATGGGCGCTCTCTCGCGAGCAGCAAAGTGGGGGGGGGATTAGAAAGCAGACAATACACACAGCAAACAGCTGGAGAGAAGCAAAGGGAGCATGGGCGATCGAGCCAAGGCAAAACGAACACTAGTGGAGCACCAGAAGTGAACAGCGGGCCAAAGGGAGAAGAAGGCGGCTCGGACCGGACACGACACGGTCTCAGGCCATGTACATGATTCGGCCCTTCAAAAAATTAAATGGCTATCGCCTCCTCGCCTGCGAAACATGAATCCGAATCTTGGGTCTGGGCGGCGAGCAACCAGGGTGGTTGAAACATAACAACGATATACAATCGACATTTGTGGATCGGAAATGGGGTCCGATTATCTTTGTCGCGCGGATTTCGGCTCGCCATCACGGCCGCTTTAGGCAAACAGCAGGTCGCCCGGATTCGAGAACTTCATCCAAAAGTTGACAACAACGGCTGAAAACAGGACCAGGACCAGGACGGTTGGGCCCCAGCGATCGTCGAAGGGGCGAGGATCTGGTTGAGGGGGACCGGAGCAGTCGGACGGGTCAGTACAGCCGCTGCACCGAGGGAGAGGGGAAGTTTGGCTGCGAGAGACATGATCGGCTTACCTCTCTCGCGAATGCGGTGGACACGCCATTGATACAGATAGAGGGAATAGCCCATAAACAGCATCGCAATCACGGTGAAGATCAGGCCCGTCAGCTGGCCAATCCGGTCGCCAAAGTTCAGCAGCGACAGCGCCATACCACCGAGGACCATGGTGACTGGCATGCAACAGCCAAAGTGGGAGCAAAGGAAGGAGATCGAGAGCGCAGTAAAAGACACAGAATTAGCACAGCAGTCGCCTTTTTGGACTGATGGCGTACTGCCCAAAGACACCGGCCTTGCAGGATTATACAGATACGTACAGTTGAGCCACGACAGGAACGTGCGTTCATTCGCAAAGAAGACCTTGGGCTCGACGCGAACGGGAACGGCGATGCGCTTCTGCAGGTTCTCCTTGAGGCGCTCGGGGATGACCACGGGCGGGCTTGGGGGCTGCTGGTGGTGGCTCTTGAAGGTCTCGGCGAGGGTAGCCCAGCTCGTGCGCTTCTTCAGCGAGCCCGAGCCCGAACCAGTGCTCGAGTTACCGAGGAGGGGGGTGCTCTCGTTAGGGTCATCGACAACAATCTCGATCGCATCCGGCGAGGCCGAGCGGCTCTTGGTGGGCGACGGCGGCTTGGTGGTGATCGAGGAGCGCGAGCCGATAAGGCTGCGGTGATGATCGAGCACCGTCGGCGATCGGTAGTTGGACGGCTCGGGCTTGAGAATGTTGTCCATCTGGGGCAGCCAGAAGGGCAGGAGCGGGACGCGGTTCTCAAAAACACTCGCGGCACCATGGACAAACTTGGAAAAGTTCGAGACTTCCTGGACCTGACCATCGATAGCAGCAATGGAGCAGACAGCGGCAGATGAGTCGACGACTTATCGCACAGGGAATCGTGTCGGGGATCGTGCTTCCATCTTGCATTCTTTCCCTGGGAGGGGAGTGTAACCACCCACACGGAAACCTACCAAGTGGCTCGAGACAAGCTCCTCAACCCAGCTGGGGGCCTGGGCACCGAGATGAGTCTGGGTCTTGACTTCCAGAATGGCATAGGGGAAGCTGTAGACATCCTCGGGGAACTGGGTGAGGAACTCCGAAGCGGACGAGGCGTCGGTTCGGCGCCAGTGGTCGCCAGAGCGGGTCTTGCCCGTGTTGTCCTCACGGACAACAACCAGATCGGTATCGAGAGAAATGCGCACGCCAGAGTCCCCGGGCAGCTGGAAGGCCACACGGTTGTAAATAGTGCGAATCACGGGGTGGACCTTCTTTTCGACAATCGAGGCCTGGATCTCAGAGGCCAGCGTTTCCAGGTCCTTGATCTCCTGCTCCGACTTGGACTTGCGCTCGCGCAGCTTCTGAATCTGTCTCTCCATGACATTTTCGCCACGGAGGTAAGCGTCCAGGTACTTTTCCTTGATCTGGAAGCGTCGCTTGACACTCGACTCGCCCGAGTAGTCGTCCTTGTGCACCTTTTGCTCGACGTAGATTTCCTGGTCAGAGTTACCGTACCAGCGGAATCGGATGGCCTATCGATGGGTTGATGTGTGTGTGGGGAGAGCCGGGATCAGAAACAGCTGTTAACCAGAGTGGTCGTTCACACGGTGACAATACCACAGGCAACCTGATACAGCGCCAGCACAGCTACAGCACATACCTCAGCGTTGTTGCGGCTCTCCATGCGGCCAAGATACAGATCAAAGGACTCATTGTCGAGGTACACGGACGAGACCGAGGGCTGTGCGGCCTGGCCCTTGTTCTGGATGACGAGGACGGGCAGATACTTGAGGATGATGCACTTGACCTCGGTGACGTTGGCAATGTGGACCCAGTACTTCTTGGTGGTGCGCACAAAGCTCTGGGCCGGGGTGGTGTCGATGCCCAGCGCCTGAGACTTGACGCCACGGTTGCGGACGACGTCAAAGATCTTGGAGAGGCGGATGATCAGATCGTCGTTGTTTTCCTTGAAGAAGGGGCGGGAAGTGAGCCGGACCATAAACATGGGCTTGAGCATATACGCAGTGTGCTTGTCATGCTTCTTGAGGATCTGCGGGGCGGAGGGGTCCGAGAGTGAGTCGGTTTGTCCAGTTCAAAGGTTCAAAGATCTTGCGGCGACTCGATGTCCCATATTGCTACGCAGAGACACCATTCGATGGTGATCACAGTCACTGGCGATGGGCGGTGCACCCCCGGTAACGTCACGAGGCAACGCCACGAGGCATACTGGAGTGAGATACAGCTGCCGAGATACGCACCTTCAAGAAGCCAGTGTAGTTGAGGCGGATAAACTTTGAGAGCTCGCTGAGCTCGTTGGCGATGCGGGTGGTTTCTTCGTCGAGGCGGGTGAAGCGCTCTTCATCGGGATCTTCGGTGGCCAGGATCGACTTGACAACCGTCTCGCAGTGCTCGATGCGTCGCTTGAGCTCGTCGCCCTTGATGTCACGGAAGGCAGAGACCTGTGGACAGAGTGACGTCGGCAATTCGACAGCGATTGTTAGGAGACGGCCCCGCGACAGTATCGGAGAGAATTGAAACAGAATTGTAGGGTGCGATCACGATTCCCTCACAACAACAGCGCTGGTCGGGCGGGTTATGAAGAGGGTGGCGGTTGCGACGGAAGAGTGTGTCGATCCGACGCGGCAGAATAACGACATAGCGGGGAGACGGAGACGGAGAGCAGACCATGCGGTGACGGCATACGACAAATAGATCGATTGCCCAGGAAAGCAAGAGACAGACGGCAGACTGACGCAGAATCCACAGACCTTTTCAAGCTCACGCTCCATGAACTCGACAAAAGCAGCCTCATCTTGGTCGTTGAACGGCGTGGCAGGGCCGTCGACTCGGGTCTTGAGCTGACGCTTCAGCGAATCATAGTCGCTGAGATCGTAGAGCAGGATCGGAAGGGCAGTCAGGACAAGAGCGAGACGACGAGAAGGCGACCCAGGACGAGACGATTCGAAGACAAACAGCCCGAGGATGCTATACGAATACTGGGGTTGGGCCAAGAAGCACACCGTTGGGGCGACAGAGGGCAGGACGCCAGAGGAGCGGCTCAGGAGCGACCGTCGAGACGTGTGGATGCTGCTGCCGGTGTCGGCGCGGCTCATCGTTATCGGCCCCGATCGGTGACTCCTCCTCCAACAGCCACCATGCTGGGACTTGCCCGGAAGGCAGACTTACAGGTAGTAGAAGCGCCACTCGGGGAAAATAGACTGGGAGAGCTGGGAGCCAAACTTCATGTTTGCGGGTGCAAGGCGGGTGCAAAAAGCGGGAGCGGAACGGGGTTTGCGAGGCGAGGGTGCTTGGATGTGGGGGGGGGGCTGGAGAATGCCGAGGCTGGATCAGATCAGTGGCGGCAGAGACGAGGCTTGGGGCTCGCTGGGAGGTCTGGGCGCGGAGAGGATGTTTGCAGCGAGGGGATCAGGATGCGACGCAACCAGGACAGGCCGACGGAGACGAAGCGGTGCAAGAAGAGAATAGTCGTCTGGAGGAACACGGCAAGCTCCTGCGGAGGAGGAAAAAAGAAAAATAGGACAGGCCGCGGGACGAAGGAACGTGGGTCGGCGTGGGGGCTAAATAGCCAGGCAAACTCTCTTTCGCGCTGGGATGGGAGCGCTTGCAATCCCAAGCCGGAGCAAGAGCCCAGCAGCAGCAGCAGAGAAGCGGCGAGAAGGGCGAGGCGCACGCGGCGCTGCGATTGGCCCGCTCTGGCGCTCAAGGAGCCAAGACAAGCGGGGGAGAGAAGAGAGAAGAAAACAAGTTTCGGATGTGCAATCGCTGCATCACAAAACTACTTTGGAATCAATTTCGGGGCGGACAGAGAGGGCGGCCGCACGCCACGCCGCTTTGTCGGCGGACGCGGAGTCGGCTCTGTGTGGTGCGTGTGGCGCGGGTGGGGCGTGTCCTGCTGGGCCGGACGCCGCTGGTTGGCTGGCGCTGGCACAAGCCGGGCAACAAGCTGGGCAACAAGCTGGGCAACAAGCGGACAGCGGGTGCGTGCGCACACGCGCACGAGACACGCGGCGATTGGCTGGCGGCGGGACGCGTGCATGCGGGTGCTGCGCATGTCTAGGGCTGGGGCTCGGCGAGGGGAGGGGCTCTGCGCGCAGCAGCTGCGCATCTCGCGCAACCCACACGACAATGGCGAGCGCGCCGCGTGCACGGACTGCGCCGGGGTGCGGTGTCACATGTGTGCAGGCGCGTGCGTGGGCCGGGTGCCGTTGTCGAGTGCTGCTGTTGAGTGCTGCTGTCGAGTGTCATGGCGCCGTTGTCATTGGGCCAACACGCCAAACAGCGCGCGGCCACACAAGCAACAGCTGTGTCGCCAGCACGCCCCCCCCGTCGCACCGAGCGTGCCACCACCCCGCAAGCCTTTCGCCCACTGTCGCTGTGCCGCCCCTGTCCCGGCTGCTGCGGCCCCACTCAGATTGGATCTCCGGCCTTCCTCCGTTCGCAATCCACGCTCCTATCACTTCCGTCCCATCCCGCCCATCTCCTCGCCTTCCGACCACACCCGCTGCCCATCCGCAGACTTCCGAATCATTCCCGCAACACCGGTCTGGCCCTTCGCCGCATCTTGTTGTGGCAGCCGCCCGTCGACCCGCCGTCCTTTTCTCGCTGCAACCAACCCGCCCTTGGCTCTGTTAGCCCGCTCCACAAGCACCAACAATCACTGTCGGCCATTTCTTTTCGTCCGAGCCCACTGCTCAACAAACAATCCCCGGCCATCGTCCATCTCTCGCCTATCACCCGCATTGTCTCTTGCTCCTGCTGTTCAGCCAGTGCCGCTCCCGGTAATGCTTTGAACCCACAGCCTTCTGGCTTGCTTCCCCACAGCTGCCCCAGATCCGACCATCGTGCTGTCCGCCTGCCTTCCGCATCACAGAGCCGGGCTCTCATTCAGCTCCCGCTGTTCTCCTTCTGTCTTGGACACGCCCGCTCATTCGTCATTCATACTTCATCGTCGTGGTTAGCCCAAACCCCCCACCTCTTCTCCAGCCCAGCAGCACATCGAGTCGAATGGCAAACCCACAGCTCCCAACCCCGTATCCGCACCCGTTGGCCTCGCCCTTTCCCTCAGAGTCCCCCCGGTTGGATGCTCGGTCCGACTCTCTCAAACCCGCCAGCATCAAGACCGAGCCGTTGGCCGATCTCGGACCATCCAACCTTGCATCTTCGCTTCCGCCGAGCCGAACATTTGAGTACACATCCTCGTTTCTACCAGATGCAGCCAAAATGGACATTGACGACCTGATGCAGCTCGAGGTTGCCGCCACTCTCATTTTCAATCTCCATCATGGTGCTGCTCGGCCTTGGCCCCAGGATACGAGCCTGTCCTCGTCGCAGCCGCCGCCCCTCTCACCCTCGCTCTCAGTTTCCTCGCTCCAGCCGCCGCGGCCTGCCACGCGGTTCAGCGAGTCTATCGCCGCAGACTCCTTGCTGCTCTTTGCCATGGATGCCGATACTAATTCAATCGGGAAGCGCCTCCGGTACTGCAGTCCAACTGCTTCCGTCGCGATGCCCTCGGAGTACTGCATTGTCCACTAACCCACCACCTCTCGCCAGTCAAACCGATCCGCTGGAATATGGCTACTGTCCGGGCCAGTCGTCGCAGTCTCCAGGATCGTCTCCGTCCTCGGGCTCAACGACGCCATCGCCATCGCCACGCCCTGCCCACACTGCCCCATTCGGTTTGAGCGCGCCTTCGCTGAGCTCGTCGTATGAGGATTACCGCTTCCGCTTCCCTGAAATCAAGCCCGAGGGCAAGTCTTTTGATCCCTCGACAAGCGACAGCGAAGGCGAAGAAGCCGCCTTTGAATTCCGCGCCCCCAATCCTGGCTCTGCGCACTCGCGCTCTGCTCGGCCAAAGCCATCCTTGGGCCACCCCCACAGTCGCTCGGCATCCCATACTGGCAAAAAGCATCACCCGCACCCGTATCAAACGCCGAAGGTGTCCTCAAGCTGCACCGAGGAATCGGCCCCAAGCGACACCAATCTCTCGGTTTCTCCCCCAAAACACCCGAGCCTTTCCTCGTCCCCGAGGTTCCTGGGGGTTCCATCGTCCTCACCGGCCTCCATGTCCCCGACGCTATCGCAGTCGTCGCTGTCGTCCGCAAGCTCGCAACGGCGGTCGCGAAAGATGAGAACCTCCAAGAGCTCATCGTCGTCTCTTGACGAAGGGTCCAGACGAAAGGGCGCTGACTCGAGCCCGCCCAAGCCAGGTAACACATCCATCGATGGCTCCAGCTAGCCTTACCTTGCCGTCCTTTCTGGTGCTCGGTCACGAGAGCTTTGGTGGACGAGACGGTATAGTCGATTGGTATCTTGGGTCGCCCAAGTTCGGTCCCAGCGCGATCCGATACTGGATGGGACAGCACGACTCGTCCAGGAAATCGATTGTACCGAGTGATTGAAACCCCTCGGCTTTGTGGCGGGTGTCCACCTTGCGCTGACGTCATTCGTCCTTGACAACTTCCTCGCGCCATGCCCGGACCTGACTCTGTATCGGATGTGACTGCGTGTGAGCAGCACAAGCGCAACGGCACTGCCACTACTGCATGGCGACGCAGACGCCCATGTGGCGGCATGGCCCTCCCGAGTACCCTGATCTGTGCAATCGCTGTGGTGTCAAGTACATGCGCGGTCGGCTGATCTCCAAGAAAGAATCATAACTGCCGCCCCCCCTCACCCGCGGGGGTTGTCAATGTCATATGCAATCAGTCCCTACTTCCTCTCTCTCGGTACGTATCCGTCGTCGGTGCGTTCCCACGAGCCGCCAATCGGCTGCGATCCGGCGTCGTGCTCGCAACAACGCCTCGCTGTTATTCAATGGAGCTTCTTGACCTTCCAGCCGGTCGAATCTCGTTGATGTGTAGAATCAGGTAGGCCAGCACCCTTTTCCATCTTTCCCCCCCGTCTCCATCTGCCCTCCCCCTCATCTCAGGCGGACGCATTGGTTAACCTGTGCATCCCTCGGTTCTGCGGGGGGAAGATTGCAAGGACCAAGACGATTGATCCGATGCCATCGCCAAGTCGGCGGCATCGCTTCCTCGTGAACGGTTGCATTGTGGAACGGCGCTCTATAGCAAACATCGCTGGGCGACCAGCCCGTTGCTGCGGGGTGTCTTGCCCGCTTCGCCGTCGCATCTGGTTGGCCGACTGCCTTGTCCCTTCGCTTCTCGCTTCTCTTGCCCCTCCCCTGCACTCTGTCGTCTTACAGCGCACCCATTCAGTTTTGTCGGCCTCTGGCTCAGTTTTGGACCTGCTTCGTTTCTTCAATCGTGATGCTTCTTTGGGGGGAGGCCGGCTGCCGTCGTGGTTGGGTGCCCTGGGCCGACGCCACCCCAGATCGGCCATCGTGCCCGCAAATACACCGCACTCGCAGTTCTTTTCATGTGACGGCAGACCCTCGTCCCCACAACCTGTTCGAAGCAATGTGCTGCTGACGAATTGGCTGGCTGGTTCGCTGCGCATGCTGTCATGTGGCGTGGCCACCCCAGCATCTTGGCGCATATCCGCGAGGTGTTAAAACCGATCCGCCCAGACACGGCGGCTCTGCTCCTCTCCAGATCGAACCCAGCGCACCCCATGAGCACCACAGAAACCACCGATCCGTTCGACCGGGCGGCATATCTCGGCCGCATCAACCTGACCGAGGAGCAAATCCAGGCGTGCCCGCCCCAGTCCTTCGAGCTGCTCAATCTGCTCCTGTCGAGCCATCAATATGCGATCGCCTACGAGAATCTGGCGGCATGCGGGCATATCGAGCCGCAGACCTCGCATGTCCCCTTTCCCGGGATCCGAGTCTCGCTGAACCCGAACCACATCTTCAAAAAGCTTGTCCTGGACCATCGTGGCGGCTACTGTTTCGAACAAAACATCCTCTTTGCTCGAGCCTTGGCCGAGTTTGGCTTCACCAGCATCCAGACCGCCGCCGCCAGGGTCTCGATCACCACCCGCAACTATGTCGATTCATCCCAGGGCCTCGAGCCCGAGCCTGTGCCGCTCTTGAGCAAGACTCATATGATCCTGCTCGTCAAAGTCGCCGATGGCCGCACCTATCTCAGCGATGTCGGATTCTCGGGGGCTGGCCAGCCTCGTGGTCCGATCGAACTGGTCCCGGATGTCGAGACGTTCTACCCCGACAGCGGCGACCGGTACAAGTTGCGGAAGGCCAACCTGAAGAGCGCTAGCCAACAATCCCCTGACGACTGGATTGCTCCTAAATGGTAATGGATGGGCGAACCGACAGAGTGACGGCATTCGTGTGCAGGGAAGGAACAGGGTGGATTGCTTGGCTGGAGAAGACAACAGGAAGCTCGAATCAAATCAAATCAAATCGAATCAAAATCAAATCGGATATTGGCAACCTGTGCCAGATACCCCAGCTCGCCGCTCACATGTCTCTCTCTCCCGTCGCTCCCTCTTCACAGGCTGTCAGACCACCACTCTGTCCTTCCCGAGGACGATGCCAAGGAGTCGGTGTTCTGGTTCCTTCAATACAGCCCCTCGGTTGGCCGACCCTTCTACGAGATGTACCTGTTCTCGTCCGACTCTGTGATGACCCGAATGGACTATGAAACCTCCAACTGGTTCACGTCGACCTCACCCTACTCGCCCATCACCAATGGGGTCAAGTGCTCCATCAATACCCCTACAGGGCGTAACAGCATGGTGGACTCAGTCTGCAAGATCCGCGCAAAGGGCAAGGACGTCGTCGAGATCCAAATCGTCGATAATGCCCACAGAGCCCGAGTTCTGCGTGAATACTTCAACATCCATGTCTGAGCTGCAGATGGACGGAGCGACACAGCCGTCGGTGGAGAAATTGTACCGCGCCGACTTGCACCGTATTCTCTGCTTGAGCTGGATGAGTTATCAGAGTATCAATGAAGCACCCATTGAATGCACACACAACAGCATAACTTGACTCAAAGTACTGATCTCCAATCTCTGGCCCGAAGAGGCATGAATGCCTGTGCCCATCAATGACGGAGGGGTGGTAGCAAGAGTGGCGATGGTGGGTGTAGGGGTATATTTGGGTGCGCTTGGTCGCGGCTCATCGAGATGAAGATATCTTCGATCCTGGCACGCTGCTTGCAGAGTCTGAACATTCTCTGTGTGTGGCCGGGGAAGGTGCCCAGCCCCCATCCTGTGGTAATACCTGTCCAACTTCGATCTGCGCTTGGCCCTCAATACCATCGCCTGCTCCTTGCTGGGGTTCTCGAGGGTCGGCCCATCCTCCATCATCGGCTGAATGGACGTCTTGAAACCCTCGCCACCGTTTTGAGTATTCACCCACCCTCGTTCAATGCCTCACCAACCTTTCACAGCGCCTTTCGCACATGTCCAGAATGTTGCCGCCAAACTCCTCACACAATCTCTGGCGTGGGAACCATGACAACCAGACAACATGGCGACGGAGCTGTCGAGCGGAATGTCTGAACTGTTGCGCAGCAAGCGAAGCAGGGTATCCAGAGCGAAGCAGCATCTCGGACCAAGCACAAAACCGCCGTCCTCGTTCCCATCCCACGCACACCATCCGCCAAGCCAATCCAATCCAGCATGTCTCAAAAACGCACCCTCAGCTGTGATCTCACATACAGCAGTCCCGCCAAGATCGCCCGCCTCGATACGAGTCTACATGCTGTCGCCGAGACCGGTCCATCCAGCAACACCCATTCCGGCCATCCCAGCCACGTTTGTGCCTTACTCGCCTCCCACGACATCCTCACGATCTTGATCTGCAACGATGCCTTTGTCGCAACCATCGGCATCGCGACTCTGGCTCTCCTTCCCGGCCTGGCGCCACAGTACAAGGACATCCTCTTGCTCGTTTCCGAAGATGGGAGGCTCCGTGTTGTTCAGTCTCACATCGATGGCAGGGCATCTATTCCCAACTCCAAGAGAGCCAACTTCCGCGATGTTCTTAACAGGACCAAGGAATTCATCGATGCCAACGACTTCCTCCAGGGAGTTTTCTTCTTCCTCACACGCAGGAACGGATATCCAGCGAAGTTTGAGACATATCAGAAGGAACTGCCTCTCTGGTGGGCTTTCGCCAATTCAAGGTCGCTTCGGTGCATCATCAGCCACGAGTGGTGTGGTTTAGGTCTTCGGTATCCATTCACATTCAGTAATGACCCGAGCATATTTAGTGATGTTCATTCTATGTTCATTCTATATCATCCGTTCACTAAATCCACGAGATCAATTCAAAATACTGGACAGTTCACTTTTGTTGAACACAGAATATGCCCGCCGCTGCAGCCCAGAATATTGGTATTGTCGAACCGAAAGAACTGTGAACATTGTCCGATTCGATCATCACCCATATCACACCGACGAACAAGTGTCCAAGCTTCTCCCACACGAAGTGTATATTCTGCAAGATGCGAATCATCACCTACGCATCAGGTTGGTCAACTGTGGGGTCTCTGTGTTTTCTGACTGGCCAGAGATCCCTCGCCGCATCAGAACTCTCATCATTGATGACTCGCCGAACAGAGTCACGGACTTTGCTAGCTTCTCCGAGATGCAGCAACTCGATTACCTGAGGATTCGGTGCAACATTGTCACTCTCGAAGGAATGCCGAATACCTTGCCGAACTTGACTCGTCTCGATTTATCCGAGTGTGCGAACATCCAGAGCCTCAACGGACTCTCCCAGATACCAAGTATACTTGAAGTGAGCCTCCCTCCACTCATCGAGAACATCGAACCTCTCTATCAATACTTTGGCCAGCTTGAGATGTTGGATCTGAGCCGCTGCAGTCGAATCACATCTCTTGTTGGGTTTCCTCCGTTGCGAAAATTGAATGAGCTCAGACTTCCAAGATCCATCCAGGCTCTGGATGGATTTCCGAGCCAACTGGACTCGCTCATGGAACTGGATATATGGACATGCGATCGACTCGAGTCGCTCAAGCGATTGACGCCGATGCCGGGATTGAAGAACATCTGGCTTCCTCAATCGATCTGTCTGAAGAATGCTGTTGATATCATTCATTGGTTCCAACGATCGCCCCAATGGAGGAGTTGTTCTGTGAAGGATCGATCGCACAATGTCCGTCTAGCATTCAATCAATTCTGGACATTGCTGAGCCTGGTATTCATCGATGCATTATCGGAGGCGAACCTATCAAACCAGTGCCTCAATGTACTCATGGAGGAACCAAGCGAGCTACTAAATCGCTTCATGAGGACATCAGGGGTCGAGAACTTTAATGAACTAATATGTGACACTCGCATGGCAAGAGACATGTCAGCAGAATCGAATATTCAGTTGCTTAGCGTCGATCGAGGCAGAACATACATCGGATGCTACGCTCTGGATTATGACTCCATGCTGTCTGTGCTGGAGATTCCCACAGGGCTGGTGAACTGGAAATCTCCCTTGACAAAAGTCACAGTCCACCCTCAATCTTCTGAAAGTAGTCATCGTGATATCGACTATGTACTGCGCATCGACCAAACGGCAGAAACGATGGTCTGGAGGGATAGTAAAGTTGAGTGTCTTGTGGGAATGCCACCAAGATTCGATTATCTAAAGCACTTGGAGATCGGCTGGAATAGTCTCAAGTCTCTCAGAGGCATGCCCGAGATGCATTTACTCGAAAAGCTCACTCTCTGGGCAGATGTTGAGGATCTTCAAGGACTACCGCCAGTGCTTCCGTCCCTCATGCATTTGGATATAAGTGATTGCGCTCGACTAAGGTCGCTCAAGGGAATGCCCGAGATGCCCAAATTGACAACATTGATACTGCCTCCACTGATACGGAGCCTGCAAGGACTGCCCAGGATCCTCTACTCGCTTCAAAGCATTGATCTCTCAAGCTGTTCTGAGCTTGCGTCGCTCAAGGAGATTCCTTATCTCCCAAACTTGAGAAAACTAACAACTCCCGAGGGACTGAAGACCTTGGACATACCCCTGAATCACATCAGCTCGCTTGAAGAGCTCGATATGTCGCGCTCGTCAAGTCTCGAGTCACTTGATCGCTTTCCATACACACCCAAATTGAAGATTCTGTATCTGAATGGTTCATTTTGCAACCTCCGTGGACTGCCAAGATGCATGCCGTCGCTTCAGATCCTCTCTGCCTGGTGCACCTCGCTCACATCGCTGGAGGGGTTTCCTGAAACACCCAAACTTGAAGAGCTGGCTCTGACGTCCTCAATAACCAGCATGCGCGGTCTGCCGTCCGTATTTCCCACCTTAACGGTGTTTGCCGTTTGTGATCAAGGGAGTCCACCAAACAAAACAAGCCTCCAGGAATGCCACATCATGCCCAATCTTCAGCGTCTCAAGCTCTCTGGATCGATCCGATCATTCCGGGGGCTCCCTGAGTCCTTGATGAGGCTCCTGGAACCGGATCTATCTTCATGCTCCAATCTGCAATCGATCGAAGGACTCCCACGTATGCCTCTGCTCCAGAGGTTGAGACGCGGTGGCATGCGGAAGTCAATATTCGATGAGTTAGTGGCCCGACTGAGGACTGATTCACCGCAACTGAGCGTATCTGGATGAAATCCTCGCTTCATCACACTATCATCGATCAGCCTCAGTCCAGATGGTGACGAAAGTAAGGTCAGGTGAAGAAGAGAACAACCTGGGTGGTGATGAGTGATCATGGATTCATCGATAACCCTCTGTTGATGCATCGTGCTGCGGCTGCTTTCCCGGAGCAAATCTTGGGTTCGTTCATGTGGCAGCATGAAATGACCGACTAGTACAATGCCTCGGTGTATCGGATTGCTCTGGAACATCAATACATCAGTACATACAACCCGCCTCAGGGGATTGTCGGCGACTCAGTGATGAGGTCATGGTCTGGGGTGCAGCCAAAGAAAGCCACACCGACATCATACCGACAACTGGACCTGATCCTTTCGACCAAAATGTTGACGATGCTCCGGACACGGCTCCAGATGCCGCTCAAGATCTTGTGCCCGGTCGCTGCTTGCAGTTCGGTATCTCATGAATAGTTGAAAATAGAGCGAATGAAAAGAGAGCCGACAGCCATTTCTTTCTGTTTCTCGGTCGGAATCTCAACGTCCTGATTGAGCAAGGTGATGAGGCCGCATGCTAGATGCATCGCTCTGTAAGATATGTTCCGCACCACTCTGAAGAGTCGGGTCAGACAGTGCATCTGTGCTCGTCTGAGTGTCACGGCTTGCTGCTTCGTGAGCACTTCGAGGGTCAGTCCATACTCGAGCATGGGCCGAACGAAGGTCTTGAACACCCTCGTCACCGTCTTGGCCGAGTATCGTCCCAGGCTCATTCCGTGCTTCACCAGCTTGTCGGCGGCACCTCTAGCCTTGTGAGTGATGTTCTGGATCTGGTGATCCATCCTGAAGCCGTTGATGTCGACGATGGCTCCGAGGTGCCAGAACTCCTTGGCGACTGGCAGCTCCTTGCCGTACAGGTGCACCTTGGCATCCTTCTCTGGGTGCTGTTCGGTGAACATCACCTCGCACTTCGGGGGCGAGAACTGGTATCGATTCTCGATGCTGTGGGCCTCGCAGATGTCGAGGAGACGCTGGGTCTGGTTGGGGCGGCAGATGAGCCACCCCATCGTCGGCAAACCACAGTGAGCTGGTTTTGGACTTTTTCGGTCCTCACCCAGTCCGATGCGTGTCGCTTGAGCTGGCCGTTGAGGTTGCTCCGGCTCTCTGACAATTTGCGAATCTCTTGGCCTGCTCGTGAATCCTCCATATCATCTTGATGCGTGCTTGGCCAATGACTGTCTCGGCGACTGTGTTGATTGCGTTGGTGGCGATATTCCAGGCATGGCCGATCGCCTGCCGGGCCTCGACTTGGCTGGCGGGGACTTCGGTGCATCGGCCGATTACTTCCAGGACGACAGGATGTCGAGTGCCTTGTTGTATCGGTCCTCGATTTCTGGTCCTCCAGCTTTTTGAAGTTTCCCTGCCACGCGTCGACCTTGAGAATCGGGTCGTCTCTGGCTCCTATCTCGGAGGCAGTGATGTAGTCTATGGTGGACTTTCACTTCCATTGGATCCTGGACATTGTGACATTGTGTCTTGGCACTACACCTTGGGACATCCGGATGCCGGGAACCGAAAGGAGCAGGTGCCATGACCATTTTCTCTTCCAAATGAACTCCTTGCCCAACGGCTCGAGACCAAAACATCCACGCAGCCTTGAGCTTGGTTGCTGAGGGTCGCTCAGCCATCGGTGTAATTCTCGACTAGCTTTTGGCCATCGATGAGCAGGTTGTCAGTGGCACTTGGGGCACCGGTTCACCCACCACATCCATCGGCGCTCACTCAGCAAGATCGGGGCGATCGGCAGGATCGGCAAAATCAGCAAGCCGGTGCACTGAGGATGCAGCTTGAGCGTTTGGTTGATTGGCGTATTTGCGCGAACAATGCGACTGGGCCGCGGTATGAGATCCGTCGACATCCTCCAATCATACAGAGCGTGACCTGTTTCAGTCGGGGCGGGCTGCAAGCATGCGGACCGGGTTGCTTCCGCCTGTCCCCAGAGAAACTGTTGATGATCCAGCGTACCGGCTGCTGATTGGGAGCGCATGCATCGGCACTGCAATCATAGGACCTCGAACAGGACCTCCCTGGCCACAGGGCCAAAGCGGCAGCCCAATCCATTGGCGACGGCGGCGACCAAGAACGAGCACGTTGCTGGACACACCCAATAGGACAAGAGCAGATTAGCGTCAGCGGAATGCCAGGTCACCACGAGTCTCCCAGGTTCCAGAAATGTCTCAGAGCACACGCCGCTGGCCAGAACCCAAGTGCCATCTGTGCTGGACAAAGACAGCATCGCCGAGTCTCCCCAGCAGAGCGGGTGACCAGCCGCCGTGGGTCTTGGATAGTCAAGAGGCTGAGTCGGCCGCACAGCGAAATTCATCCGAGCGGCTTGTGCCAAAGCGAGATCCGGACCAAGCCAGGCGGCAACTGCCTCTTTTTGCGGGCCTGGGCTTGCAGCAGGAAGCGCTGGCGAGCTCCCTGCTTCCAATATTTGGCCGTTGTCGGCGAAAGCGACCCTTGCGAAGTGCCCGACACGAAAGGACACTACCAACTCACGGTGGACACCGAGATCCTGATCCAAAGCAGGACAGATGGGCTCATAGCCTGAGAGTGATTTAGACAACTGTATTCAAAGAGCACGCAAGGTAACAGAGAGCAGATCGGCACATTGGAGCACAGTTTGCCATCGATGAGAATGGGTCGTCACTAGAGTACAAACCTTCTCCCACCCCTTGACAGTCAGTTGGGATCGGCGCTAGGAGTTGCATGACATCTCAGAGTCAGTGGGCATGAGCAATGCAGCTGGAGGATAAGCGCAGACGGAATAGAGAAAGAACGACGATGGCACGCGAGGGGCAACCCCAAAGTAGACGACAGAACAAAGTGTGAGGCGAGCCCCAACGAGACAGCCAAAGATACTGCAGAGACAGAGTAGATGCGAGGATACCCTTGAGGGTGTCTGAAAACTGCTTCGACGACGGATCATCAGGGACAACAGCGTTTGGCATGCAGATGGGTGGCAGCAGGAGTGCCGCACCTTACGCATGCATCCTCTTTTCAGCCACGGGCAGGTGGCAGTTTCTGGGCCTGGGTCGGGTGAGTGCCAGGCACATCCCAACAAACTCTCTTGCGTCCATCTTTCTCGTCGAAGGCCAATCCGGCCGTCTGCCACACATAGAGGCGAGGATACCTATACCAAAACGTGAAACACGCCGAGTGAGCCGAAGCATGGGCAGGTAAGTCCCGCTGGGATGTCGTGGCGCGAGAACGAAAGCAAGGATCCCGAGGCAAATCGATGAATGGGCAGATGGACGATTCGCATTGGGCCGGCGCTTACCCCCCTCCAAGGAAGAAAGAAACGCTTCCGATTTGGGAGAGCGACGAGACTTGTTGAGAGAGTTCAGGAGATGTTGCAATCGGCCCAGCAATCGTTTGGGACGACATAAATCATCTGAGCAAGACTTTGCGATCTGCAGCAGGGAATATTTCCTGAATATCATCCAGCAGCCAAACAGTGTGCGATGCTGCGGCTGGGGCCGCACGACCGATATACGCCCTGTCGATCCTCCGCCAATTCTTCAACTCTTCGTCAGAACCCCTGACGGATCAATCTTGAAAAGGTCAAGACCATTTTGGTGCCTTCGGTGACGCTGCTGGTTGCCGGTGCTGGGCGTTGGTGTCTGCTCCCGCATGTGCGTTGCGTTGATACTTGGTTGGGGATATTGCAGTTGCCTCGCCGTCCGTCCTCGTCGTCCGTCTTCGCTGTTCGTTCCTGTGTGCTGCTGTTGCCGATCCATCTCGATCCCTCCGAGTCTTGTTGAGGGCAGCGGCGTGTGTCGAGTCCATCGAGGATTGTGATGGTTCTCCTTCCTGCTTGCAACTGTTCCTGCTTGCGATTGTTCCTGCTGTGTCCTGCGACTCTGGTGCTCACCTCCATGGCCCTTGCGGCCCAGTCCGTCGCCTGGCTTGGCTGAGAAAGCGGCTGCCGGCTGCCTGCGACCCTGGTCGTCTGGACGATTTGCATCTGCATGATTTGCGTCGGCATCTTCTGCGTTTGCATGATTTGCATCTTCTGCCTCGGACCGAGGCCATCCGACCACCCACCCTGGTCTCGACTGCGTGTGCCGCTCGACCACCTCGACCGAATGGCTTGGACTTGGCCTTCCTGCAGACGGACTGTCTGGCTCTCTTGCACCGTCGAACGCATCGTCGAGCGCGGCTTCATCAGCTGCGCGAACAACGATTCTTCGACCGCCTGGGTTCTCTTGGCTGTCGTGGTCGACGATCGACACGGCAGAATCGACACGGCAGAATCGACACCTTGCTGATGGCAAGGACAGATATCATCACAGTCAGCACGGAAATCATCGTCAACGGCACAGTCATGGCCAGGATCACCGACGCTGCAAGTGCATCCAAGTCACTTCCCTGTCTCATCGGCAAGGCTCGTTGCGAACCATAACCCCCGCCGACATTGCCTCGTCCCCGATTCGCTTGCATCTGCCGCACCGGCCACCGCACTTGCTGCTGGTCCTCGCCTCGTCTGCAACGACAGCTGCTCGCTGCTTGTTCGCTGCTTGCTCGCGATATGTGCCTTGCCGTTGGTCGTCGATGTGCCCTCCAGTCGCAGCATTCGAGCTGTGGCATCGAGCCGGGCCGCCAATGCAGCAAGCATCAATCCAAGCAAGCGCAACATCGGTGCATCGTCGGTGCATCGTCGGCATGGCATTGATGCGACCAGGAGCAGATGCCGGGGATCGGTGCACCACGAACTCGACACGGCGGGAACTCGATATCCCACCAACAGCTCGATATCCCACCAACAGTCGAATATGCCACCAACAGTCAAATATGCCCAACAGCAGCCAGAAGCGAGTGAGCAATCGGCTGGTCGCCACAGGATGCCCACAATATCCGGCACCAGCCACAATCCAAAGACAACATAGACAGCAATCGACAGACGGCCACTGTGCCGGCGACACACTGCCGAACAACAACAATAGCAGCAGCAGCAGCAGCAGCAGCAGCAGCAGCAGCAGCAGCAGCAGCAGCAGCAGCAGCAGCAGCAGCATCCCCGGCACGCTTGATCAAAACGGAATCGGCAGCAACCACGACGATCCAGATGCCTCGACGCAACTTTCCTCCGCTTGACGATGCGTCTGTCGATGGGCCGGATGCTCCAATTCGAATGGCTGTTTCGGAGAACCTGGTCGCTGGATATCGGCGAGCAACGATGCCGTGATGAAGCCGTGACGATGCCGTGACGATGCCGTGACGATGCTGCGACAGACTCGCTGACACCTGTGACTGATCCGGCGATGCCCGAAACCGATCGGTTGACGATCAAGATCGAGCTACCGACATCCCAGCAGAGAACCAGGCCATCAAAGCAGCCGATCATTGTCCAAGAGAGTCGGGTGTCTGCCGTCCAAGGTGGTCGAGTCGAGGCAGGTCAAGCGGTCGAAGCTGGTTGGCACCAAGTGTCCATTCAATCGATCCCCTGCAAGCCAGGACGGCATCGGGAATCGAAGGGCCCAGGGCTGGCTGGCCGTGTGGGATCATCGAGCTCGGTCGCCTGTGGAAACAGCAGCACCGAGTTGATCGGCACGAGACAGGAGACATGCGACGAGGCCGCAAGGAACCGGGGGTGCGACGGACACCCAGGAGTCGGTGCTGATGCTGATACCGATGCCTGCCGATGCCTGCTGATGCCTGTTGATGCCTGTTGATGCCGTGGACGTTGGATCCGTTGTGCCGAGACCCGTTCGTCCCTCCATTCCTTCCACATTTCATTCATTCGTTTCTTCCTTCCACCCCCTCCATTTCTTCCATTTCTTCGATTCCATTCGTTCCTTCATTCCTTCCTTCCTTCCTTCCATTTCTTCTTCCTTCCGTGCTTCATTCTTTCGTCCTTGCCACATCGCCCGCACCAGTCGAGTCCCCACATCACCGCCGACACCATCGACACCCCATCGGCACCACCCACCACACCCACTGCGATATCCTGCCTCCTGCCTCGCTCCCAACGACCCTCCTCCTCCTTGCATTCACATACCTCGTCAATGTGGATTGCACATCGGGCCGGCTGCTTGCTGCATGCATTCCTGCCTGGCTCGTTCGACCAACCAGCCGTCGTTCTTCGCCAGCAATCTTGGTCGTGTCGACCGGCCTGGTGCTGCATCGGCGATCATGGCATTCTGTTTGTCATCTCTGATATCCCCTTGGCAATCCCCGATGCTCGTTTGTCGATCCCTGGTTCTCTGTCGGCGATCCTGGTGTCCCGTTGACCCACATCTGCTTCTCGGCCACGCTTGTTGATTTGCTCCCTCCATCGGCCCTCCCTTGATTTCGACGGGTCTCTGGTCTGCGCGCCAATGTCTTGATCCACCAGCTGGTCTCTGGTGGTCTCTGGTGGTCTCTGCGAGTCTGGCTGGATCAGCGGACCGACGGCTGGCGGACTCACAGCAGCATCGGAGCCTTGTGGTGGTGTGGACTGAGGCAGCCACGACAGCGGCGGCAACAGCAGCAAACAGGAGCGGGATGGGGCGGGGTGGTGGGTGATACGATGCGATACGATACGATGCGACGGATGCGACGGATGCGATGCGACGGATGCGATGCGAGATGAGGAGAGAGAGGATGCGGCTGAATGGGAGCAGACACCACGATGGGCGAGGCGACGGTGCCGTTTTGCTGACTGGCCGACTGACCCGATTCTGCTCTCTTGTTCCCGCGCACGGATGCTCTCACCACCGGCTGGTGCAATATGCAACAACGGTCTGGATCGATCATCCGCATCGTTCGTCTGGATCGTTCGTCTGGATCGATTGTCCATATCAACCCATCGGCGGCAACGGGAATATCAACCACAACAACCACAACCACAACAACCACAACAACCGCAACACTGCTCTGAACGGCACCATGCCTTTCTCGGACTGGCTCCTCATCTGCAACACTCGCACACCAACATCTGCACCGGATGAACTGCCTGGTCAATCCACCACGGACCCCGAATCGGCGTCTCCATCAACCACTTGTCGCATCGAACCACCCGGTTCTGATGATCCGACAACCGTCTGATACCGACACTGAATCACTAACTGCCTGATACCGACGCCACTTGCGGTTGTGTGGATCATTCGCTGCCATCTGGCATTCACCACTGGCATTCACCATCTGACATTCACCACTGACACTCACCATCTGACATTCACCACTGACACTCACCATCTGATGTTCACCATCTGATACTGGTCACATACCGTCGACCCTGTATCGCCGCGAATCGGGTGTGCTGGTCCAACAAACGTTGGATGCACATCCACATCGCGCTGCCGCCGACATTGCACTGATACTGGATTCATCCGACACTGGCTTGTTCTTGCGCTCATTCACTGATGTCGACAACTGGCAATGGCCAACACCTTCACGCGAATGCAACTGGGTGTCTGCTCATGCCGATGCCGACGTGCTTGCCGATGTGCTTGCCGATGTGCTTGCCGATGTGCTTGCCGATGTGCTTGCCGATGTGCTTGCCGATGTGCTTGCCGATGTGCTTGTCGATGTGCTTGTCGATGTGCCTGTCGATGTGCCTGTCGATGTGCTTGTCGATGCCAACGAACCCCTGTTGTCTCTGGGCAACGCTCGACAACACTAACCACACCGTCATCGATGCCGGTGCTGGCCATCGCTATCACTTCCCGGCCATCGCTATCACTTCCCGGCCTCGATTCGCCTTTGCACTGTCGCCGTGCGTCTGTCTGTCTGTCTGTTGGTCGATCGGTCGGTCGGTCGTCTGCAACTCATTCCTTCCCGACTGCTTGCCGTGTCTGGCCTCGATCTGTTTGCATGCCAACCATCTGGACTGTATGCTTCGATCTGCTCCGTCCGGGCCTCGCCGACTGCTGCGACGGCTGCCTCAACTCGCTGTTTCGGTGGTCCTCAACTCGGCATGCCTGGGTCGATTCAACTCATCGCTCCGGGCACCCTCGACCAATGCCACCACGGCTGGCTCGACCGATCTGTCCTTCGCAAACACCGCCCTGCTCGTCCACAGCCCGCACGATCTCGGCGAGTCCGTCAAGTTCATTGCACACGTCAAGCTGTGGTCGCTGGACGGCGACGTCGATCACAGCCTCGTTCCGAGACCAAAGTCAACCAAGCGAGGATCAGCCTCCGACACATCCTCGGGAATCCATCCAACATCGAGCTCAGTTGCGGTGACGATCGGTCCGCCGGCTGCACCGCCGGAAGCCGAGGGACACAGCTCGTCGTCGAGCCTGGCTCCAAGCACAGCATCGGGACTTGGGCCGGAGCGTCCGGCGCAGCCATCGACCACAGAGCCGAGCCAAGAGCAGCGAAGCGTCCCGCTGCATCTGGCCATGTTCGGCACGCTGGTGTCGCAGGCCTACTTCCTGTCGGACATGTCGGATGAGCAGGGAGTGTTCTTCATCTTTGACCAGGTGTGTGTCCGGATCGAAGGGCGGTTCCGGCTCAAGTTTGTCCTCAACGACCTCGATCAAAGGTGAGAAGCACGGGCGAGGGCGTCGGGTGGTATGCACGGGACTCGAAGGACGATCAAGATAAAAGAAATGCGAGCGCTGATGGCAAATGCGAATGAGATCTGTAGCGGTACCGCAGGAGGCTGCGGATGCCCCGGACAACGGGTCAAAATACGAGGGTTGGAAACACATGAACCCATGCAGCAAATCGAGAGCATGCATCCAGTGATTCTGGATGAGGGCGGTTCGCCAGCGTAGCGAGATAAGGAACCGCTGGGGCCGATGCTTCCGGAGGCGAAAGTACCAAGACCGACATATCTACAAATGAAGGCTCACGGATATCGAGCGAAGAAGCCGAGGTGTGGCGCAATGGAGTCTGGTTCACTTCGAATAGCCACATAATGGCTACCCGTGGGAGGAAGATTCAAGCACAACTGCACAGCGGAACTTGTGGCGAATTGCAGAGCACGAAGTGATATCAGGGTATTCGAGATATCCACACGACCCGTGGATAGTATTCGGAACCGACCCGACTTAACTAACCATTTTGTGTAATCATACCAAAGTATAACCTCAGGAGGAAGGGTATCCCCAGCCCTCGCCACAACGATCAGCCAGCCATTCACATCGTACGGCTGGAAGCAGTTCCCCGGAATGCAGCGTGAGTACCCATGGATGCTCAACAGTCTGGTGTCTCCAAACGAGTCTCTCGGTGCGAGTCTGCAGCCTGGCTGCTGGTTGCTGTGGTTGTGGTTGTGGCTATGGTTTTGGTTGAGACTATGCACTGGCTGTGGTGCAGGAGCACTGCGAAGGTGTCGGTGACATTGGTCTGGTCTGGTCTGGTCCTTGCCTCGGCACTTTACATCCCACATCCCACATCCCACATCCCACCGCACATCTCGCTCGACTACCCTCTGTCGGATTGCCGTCGTCCCTCCTCATTCAAATGGACATTGGTGCCGGGTGCACTGCACGGCACCGCACCACACTGCATCGCATGGTGTTCCAGCCTGCCGACGTTGGCGTTGGCTGTGGCTGTGGCTGTGGCTCGAGAACATGGTGATTGTTGCCACAGATCGGATGGTTGCCGTCACGGACCTGATGGTCGTCGCAGTGGATCGAAAACACGATCCTCGTCGTCGCCGTGATTGTGGATGCAGCCGTGGCCGTTGTTGTCGCCATCGTTGCGGCTGTCGTTGCGGCTGTTGTCACATCGAGACACATCGAGACACATCGAGACACATCGAGACACATCGATCCACACCGATCCACACCGATCCACTCACGGAGACAATCTCGGGATGAGGATCAGTTTGGATACGATCTGTGGCATCGCCCATGTCACTCAATCGCCCATGTCACTCGATCGGCCGTGGCACTCAATCGACAGCAACATGGACTGGCAGAGCAACATGGACTGGCAGAGCAACGGCAGTGACGCACGGAGCAGCATGCTCCAGCAGGCACCAGATCTGGGATGGCTGTCGAGGCATCTCCCCAACATCGACAACAGGGCCGGGATGGCACGGACACTGCGGATGGTGTCGCTGTGTGGCATTGGATGTCAATGCCTTCTTGGTGACAACACTGTCGCGGAATTGGCAACGAGGCACTGGAACGAACGAGGAAGTCGCAGCGGAACGAGTCGAGGAAGTGTCTGAGACAACAACCAGACAACCAGAGGCAACCAGAGGCAACCAGAGGCAACCAGAGGCAACCAGAGGCAATCAGAGGCAATCAGAGGCAACAACAAGCAATCAGAGGCAACGACAAGCACACAATGCCTGGCTGGCTGCTCCACTGCCATCTGGTCTTCTCGGCCGTGGCTGTAGCATCGCCTGTGCAGCATCGCCCGTGCTGCCTGGATTCGGCCCCGCCCATGCTTCGACTCCCAGGGACTCGGGACATTGGCTTGGGCGACATCAAACCCGCTCAGCACCATCGACGCCACAGCACTCCACCCTCGCATTCCCCATTCCCCATCCCCACATCCCCGCATCTCTGCATCCCCTGCAACACGCCACCTCTGCACTGGCGCCACGATACACATTCCACACCACATCCACATTCCGCACATCAGTGCCCCAGCGCACCCACAGTCCACATATCACACCACGCGCCACATCCTCCCCCTCTTCACTCTCTCACTCCTTTCCCGCACTTTCGTTTCGGCCAGCGAGTTGCACATCACTGCACCAGCCAGCCACATCAGCAGAAGCGCCAGGTCCGCTGACTAACACAATCGGTCTCCTCTGCTTCCCCTTGCACTGACCACAACCACAACCACAACCACAACCACAACCACAACCACAACCACAACCACAACCACAACCACAACCACAATCACCACAACCACAACCCTGGCAGTGACCTCGCCGATCACCCTGCGGTTTGCAAGCCAGGGAACCGGTCTGCTCATCCGCCAGGTGCAGCGGCGCTTCAACCCCCGCTTTGCCAACCCTCCAACATCGTCGCATCCCGCCGATCCTGAGAACGACCAGTAGTCCGCGGCTGCTGGCTCGGAGCGACTGATCATGCCAGACTCACCTTTTCTGCATCTATGATCACCCACTCGTGCTGCCATGATCAGCCAGCCGACCCCGACCAGCTATTCGCTGGACTGCGATCGTCCGGCCGTCGCAACCACATCCGCCGTCGCAACCACATCCTCCACTGCAACCCATCCGTGCAAACAGCTCGGCCATCCGATCACCCTGGCCGCGACGTCGCATCCACCTCTGTCTCTGTTCGCATCATCGCCAGGCCGACAATCACCGGCAACTCCTGCACCCGGCCTCGGTCCCAACCCAACGACACAACTCGCACCCAACCATCCCGACCTGCTCCTCTGTCTCGCTCACCTGATCGATCGGCCGTCGTCAATCGCGGATCGCACATTGTCTGTTGTCGGATGTCGCTCGTCGACTGCACAAGCCACTCTGGCTCGACGGTCACTGCTTGGAATCAGTCGATCTTTGTCGGGCGAGCAGTCGGGTTGCCAATCCACAGGCTCGCCAATCCACGGGCCCTGACAACCCACGACCTCGGACGATCCAAGCAGTCCCGGACACGGCTTGGACAGGCCCAGTGTGCTGGTCAATAAACACCCACCTCGTTCCTCAACGGCGGTCGATCATCGACGACACCCGCGAGTCCGTGAACGGCCATCAGCGGCCTGTCGATGCGGGTTTGTATTCGACAGGGCGGTTGTGCAGGGACGGGACGGGTTCTGAGCAAGAGCGGTGGCCGGGTGTCTGCTGGGTCGGTGGATCGTCGACAACAGCCAAGCCTGTTCACGGAGACGGCAATCAACAGGACGAGCAGACGGATCAACAGGACGAGCAGACGGATCGACCGAGCGAATGGATCGGACCACCGACAACCAGAGCGACCGATGGGTACAATCGATGGATCAATGTCGATGGAGGATCGGCAGTGACAAGTCGGCACAGGCAACGAACCGACCGAGAGCGGAGGCAAGTTGCCGCTTGGAACATCTGCTCTGGATGTGGAAGGACATCGACACCATCGCAGGACATCGACACCATCGCAGGACAGCACCGTCGCCACAGCCTGGAGGCATCTTCAGTGTCGCCAAGCACCCAGGGCAGTCGGGTCGACCTGCTCGCCCTCTGAGCGTTCTGGGACGATGAAGTCAGGACTCGGAGGCAATCCATCCAGCGGCGACGCTGATGGTGACGTCGATGCGGCACTGGTGGCGACGAGACCTGGAGAAAGCCACTGTCGACAAAGCAGGGATGTGGGCCAGACATCAGGCGACGGAGACAGCTTCCCAGGCGGACGGCATCTCTGGAGAGCGGAACAGACACGACAGATGAAACGGGCGAGACGAATCGCATCGGAGAGATGGACGCATCGGAGAGATGGACCGCACCAACGAGTCTGGCTGATCAACAGGCCAACAGCAGCCAGCAGCCAGCAGCCAGCAGCCAGCAGCGCAAGCACGACCGACGGAGCAGTGGTCATATCGACTCGCTGCAGCGACAGACCGACCATCCAAAGATACAGAATCGTCGGCGATGTGGATGCAGATCCGTCCGATGACTGCTGGAGGAGCGAACGTCGGCGCAGACGCCGATGCAACCAGGCACCGGTCGGGCTGGCAGCTGGGACAGTCAACAACCTGTCGGCCATGCAGCGAGCAACCTGTTGGCTGTCCAATGTCGATCAGCAACTACAAACATCCCGTCAACACCCGCCCAGTCCTGGTTGCGAGCAGTTCTCTATCCGCGTGGACCTTGGAGTGTCGATACTCACTTGTCTCTTGGCCGAGCACGATCCGCCATATTCAAGGGTAAGCCTCGCTCTCAGCACCTGGCTCCCTCACGACTGCTCTGGACACTCGGTCTCCCTCACGGCGACTGTCCTCTCGGCTGCCCTTTCGACTGCCCGTCCTGCTGGACGCATCTCAAGACCCACTCCACGGCTGGAGCATCGGCACTGCTCGCTTCCACCACCGACAGACAGCACTGGAGTTCACAGTCGCAACTGCAACCACAGGCTCCGAGAGCCACAGCCTTCGATGAGCGTCGGTGCTTGGTGCCTGTCGCCTCAGTACAAGCCCTGCTTGCTCCCGGGGCGAGCTCTGGCGGCAGTCTCGGCTCGCAGCCAGCAGCAGGACAGGACCGAGCAAACATGGCAAGGGGCGACGAGACAACGGCACCATGCGCCACACGCGACAACAGCCGTGTGGTTGGTCGGGGATGTCAAAGGAACAAGCCCGCCGCCACACGGGCGGCAGGTGCCAGGGTCGGTGGCAGGGTCGGTGGCAGGGTCGGTGGCCGAGATGGACGGTGCCATCGGTGCAGCGTGCGGGTCGGCATGGCATGGCGATATGGCGGTATGGCGGTATGGTCGTCGTGGCGAACAGGAGTGGATGCTGGTCTGCGATGGCGATGCCATGTCCTGTCCACCACGACATTTCGGCTGCTGAAACGTGGTCCAGGCCCAAACGAAGGCAGCGGGATCCTGCTGAATCGATGCCATCTCACAGCCTGGCAGGCACAGGATCGGATTGCTGCAGCAAAGCAGACATCGGAGCGACCCCATGACGGGACAGAACTCGATCCGGCTTGGCCACATGCAACCACTAAACAGCGGTGCGGACAATCCTTGCAATCCTTGCAATGACTGCCACCAGACCGATTCCGATATCGCAGCTTTCCAGTTCCACGACTCACTCGCCAGCCTCGTGATGGCAAGGCAGTGGTATCAAAATCTATTGATTTGTCTGCATGGGCTCGACAATCTTCAATGAATACTTTGCCTCCAAAACAAGTCTGTCCTTTTCACCTTACAGCCGACCGACTCTCTCGGGGATAGTTTCCCACAATGATGATCCCGAATCGCCTGTACCATGTGGAATTCGGGTTCTGAGTAGTTATCAAGTTCGTATTGTTTTTGACACGTCATGTACCTGACACAACTCCATTGTCACCAGTGTAGGGATGGACTGCAGCTTCATAGCAAAGTGAGCTTGGTGTCGATGCCCAGCATCTCGCTGTGGCGCAAGATGGACGCTGTTGGTCCTCGATTTCCAGAGCCGCATCATCATAATTGCCAGTGCTATGGCCACATTTCAAGTCGATCGTTGCCGCCGAGCTTCACCTGTGGCATCCAGGACATGATTCTTTCAGAAAGCTCTCTGTTAGTGCTCAGCAGCAGCAGGCCACTTCTCAGCCCTCACTGATGTGCGCCATATGCGGTATGGGTGGTGTTCTCTCCAGTTGGCCACGCCCACTTCCCTCCTGGAACTGCCCGAGGTCTCCATCTCGGTGCCTCGATATTGGCTTTCATTTGGCAAAATACTCTGCTTCGATCCTCCTCCCCTCCCCTACTTTGCCTCTCAGCCAGCTCGTTGGCCTTGTTTCGACTTCAACCGAGACTCCATGAGCTGTATTCGACCAGCAGACTCATCCAGTCAAGTCGATAGATTTGGAGAGTTGTTGCCTTTGTCCTTGTGTTTCGGAAAGGTGGCCGTCTCAATGGCGCTGTTACCACTAAGATATGTGAACATCACAGCCTGGCTGTGAATTCTCGATTGACACGGCAATCGTGGCTCATTTCCTTCCTCCTGGGTCAATGCAAGCAGCATCATGACGAAAGAGGCGAGTACTAACCGGAGGGATCCTGGGCCCTCTCGCTGTATTGGATGCGGATCAGCTGGATCTGAGCAAATCAATGTCGGTCGGATGGAGACGGCCAAACAAGCTGTTTCCAAGCCGTTTCTTTGGCAAGGTTCAGCAATCTGCACATACGCCCTCCAACCCCTCTGAAAGCATCCCAGACCTGACAGACTCCGGGTTACTGGCGTCTCTATCGAGCCGAGCTTCATCATGAATGATGTGCCTATTGAGGCCTATCGATCGATTGCAACAAATAGGGAAGGGTCTCAACAGCGACATTAGCATCTCGGCTCGACACCCCGGGGTCCCCACGCTCCGAGGGGGAGAGGACGGTCAATCCGATCCCCGGTCCGGAGGGCAGATGGATGGATGATTGTTGAGTAGCGGTCCGAGGAAATGGATAGGCGATTCTTGGGCTGTATTGCGCTCGGCGACAGTGCAGCCATCGGCGGCATTGTCAAGTTGGAATATGCCCCCTATTGGGACGGAGCTCTCGATAGCCCTCTGCGCTGGCCTTGGCGGACGACGAGACTGACCCCTTGGTTGGCGAATCGGAGGGTGATTGGAGTTGTGACTTTTCAGGAACCCGAAAATGGATAGACCATTCCGTCGGTGAGCAAGTGGAAACGAGGGGGGAGCAGAATGATCGTCAGTCAACAGTCAACGCGGCTGCATCGGCTGACAGAAGCGGGCGGAGGAGGACGGGAGGAGTGGGGGAAGGGGGCAGAGGGCGGAATGGACTGCCGCTATCGAGTGGCAGCAAAAGTGCCGCTGGCGCATCGATTAATCGTCCTCGTGTGCGAGCTTTCGACTGCCAGGCAGTGAACACAGTTGCTGTCGCTTGACTAGATGCGAACAATGGCAAGGTACCGACACCTTGATGTCTTTGTTGAATCGTGATTGGAGCAACAGTATTCACGGCCGAGAAGACCAGATGGCAGTGGAGCAGCCAGCCAGGCATTGTGTGCTTGTCGTTGCCTCTGATTGCTTGTTGTTGCCTCTGATTGCCTCTGGTTGCCTCTGGTTGCCTCTGGTTGCCTCTGGTTGTCTGGTTGTTGTCTCAGACACTTCCTCGACTCGTTCCGCTGCGACTTCCTCGTTCGTTCCAGTGCCTCGTTGCCAATTCCGCGACAGTGTTGTCACCAAGAAGGCATTGACATCCAATGCCACACAGCGACACCATCCGCAGTGTCCGTGCCATCCCGGCCCTGTTGTCGATGTTGGGGAGATGCCTCGACAGCCATCCCAGATCTGGTGCCTGCTGGAGCATGCTGCTCCGTGCGTCACTGCCGTTGCTCTGCCAGTCCATGTTGCTCTGCCAGTCCATGTTGCTGTCGATCCAGTGCCACGGCCGATCGAGTGACATGGGCGATTGAGTGACATGGGCGATGCCACAGATCGTATCCAAACTGATCCTCATCCCGAGATTGTCTCCGTGAGTGGATCGGTGTGGATCGGTGTGGATCGATGTGTCTCGATGTGTCTCGATGTGTCTCGATGTGACAACAGCCGCAACGACAGCCGCAACGATGGCGACAACAACGGCCACGGCTGCATCCACAATCACGGCGACGACGAGGATCGTGTTTTCGATCCACTGCGACGACCATCAGGTCCGTGACGGCAACCATCCGATCTGTGGCAACAATCACCATGTTCTCGAGCCACAGCCACAGCCACAGCCAACGCCAACGTCGGCAGGCTGGAACACCATGCGATGCAGTGTGGTGCGGTGCCGTGCAGTGCACCCGGCACCAATGTCCATTTGAATGAGGAGGGACGACGGCAATCCGACAGAGGGTAGTCGAGCGAGATGTGCGGTGGGATGTGGGATGTGGGATGTGGGATGTAAAGTGCCGAGGCAAGGACCAGACCAGACCAGACCAATGTCACCGACACCTTCGCAGTGCTCCTGCACCACAGCCAGTGCACAGTCTCAACCAAAACCATAGCCACAACCACAACCACAGCAACCAGCAGCCAGGCTGCAGACTCGCACCGAGAGACTCGTTTGGAGACACCAGACTGTTGAGCATCCATGGGTACTCACGCTGCATTCCGGGGAACTGCTTCCAGCCGTACGATGTGAATGGCTGGCTGATTGCCGTCGCCAGACACTGCCCACCGACACCGCTTTCCTCGCTGTCGGCCGCAGGATGTTGATTGCCGACCGCCGTTGCCGACCGCCGTTGCCGACGAGCCGCCACCAAGTCGATCCAGTCACAGACATCAGCCAGGTTCGGGTTCGGACGCCACAGCGCACCGTCGAGTGCCAGCATGTTGTTCCAGATCCAGCCCCGTCGATCGCGACCAAGATGCGAGGATTGGGCGGATGGAGATTGGATCCAGTTCGTCAAACGTGGCATGGTGTGAGATGTGATGTGGTGTGATGTGATTTGGTGTGTGGGAGATGTGTTGCGCGATGCGATGCGATGTGCCGCACGTTGCAGGGTTGAGTATGCATCAAGCACATGCGAGCGATATTGTGTTCGGTTGTGTCCATGTCGGCGGTGCGGTGGACAATCACAGCAGATAGAATTGGTTGCGCCGGCCATCGAGCCGAGCCGTCGCATTGAGAACATGGCCAGTGCGGCCAGAATCAGCACGGACGAGAAACAAGAACCGCAGTGGTTAGATTGGGTGCAAGATGCGACTGGGATGGATATGGGATGGACAAGCAGCCAAGCGACCAGCCAGGCGGCTCCTCGAAGCAGCAATTGACATTGAGCAGGATGGCGGGATGGTATGGTGGCATGGTGACATGGTGGCAGGATGGCATGGATTCGATCAGAAGGGATGGACGGAGGATTAGCGGCACGGAGGAGTCCCGTCGGCAGCGTACCTTTGCTGCAGATCCGTCAGGAAGAACTTGAGTCGGAATCTTCCCTCCATGCGAACATACAAGTCGCTGAAGACAAAAAAGACACCGGGATCCCCTTCCATATCAGTGAGGAACAGCGAGTGCGAGACCAGGGTGCCAAACGCCAGAGTCGCAGGCAGGGCTTCGCTCGATTCATCTCCGGCTGGCTGTGCGAAAGATCGTGGTGTTTGCCGCTGGCTTTGGATCTGCCTTAATGCAAGGGCGTCTCGACTCGGCCGTCGGGAGCTTGCCGACGAAGAGGGAATCGTTTCCTCCCTGCGGAACTGTGGTTCTCCTTCCAGGCTCTCCTCGTCGCGGGTTTCGGCCCACAACTTGGCGTGAACAACAAAGGTTGCTGACTCTGGCATATCGACCGGACTGAGATCGGGAAAATAAATATTAATAACCTTGTTCAGAGACATCGGAGGATCGGCAACCAGTACTCCTTGCTGCCATGTCTGTGGGTCACGGAATGCGCTGTGATGTGGCTCTGTGGTCGTGGTGTTTGTGACATCGCTGTCAAGATCACCACCGTGCCGAAACCACCGTTGCCACTGCGGCTGCTCCTGGATCTCATGCTGTCATATGGAAGGAGCGAATGTAGCGGCAGAAGCCAGTCCTATGTCTCCGCTCGAACTGCTTTCGGCGGCGGCGAGTCTGTGACTCCTCAGACGAGGCGCCCCACAATCCCAGCGCATGTCAATTTCGCTGCTCTCCTGCATACCTGCGCAATACACGCTCCTCGGAGGCTCTTGTAGATAGCTGCAAGATCACCGGCGGATCGACAGGCTTGGGGTCTGTCAATGTGTCGAGGCTGCCACTCTTGGCTCTGTTTGGCTGCTGGATGACATTCAGCACATACGTCCTATTCGTAGCGAACAAAGGGTGCATGGAGATGTCAAACCCTACCGGATGGCTCCTGCAGATGCGAGCCTGCTCCGAACGACCGCCTGGCCTGAAACAAGTGGCCGACCCTGATGGATATGCATCCCCCTTGGCGCCTCCCCAAGCCCGCCCAGCTCTCGTTGCGCAGAGTCGATCGATTCCAAGCTGCCAGCCGCCGCTTGGGAATAACCGGTCGACTTTTGACCCGGCCTCAGGATCGCCACCCAACACTCTGCCCAACTCCTCCTGTCCGCTCGCCCAAACACCTTTGCCCTGTTGACCCAACGTCGGCACTGTCGACACAAGGCTACATTATCTCGCAGGCACTCACAAAGCCGACCAAAATGTGCTCTGACCGCTTGTGACGCCGGGCAAGACTCGGCTTACGACGGCGCACAAGTGTCGCTCTCTTTCAAGTGCAGCAGACCAACGCCGTCATCACAGCCGTGGCATTTTGCAGCTCGAGAGGCACCATAAAGCAAAGCGAGACCACTTGTACATGCACTTTCCCTCGTCCAGCCCGTTGTCGGTTGTGTTCTGGAGTGCTTACCTCTTGGACTGTTGGGATTTGGCGCTTCGTTCTCGCTGTTGTACTGTGGCGGACATCTTGGGACGGGCGATGGGAACGAAGTTACCGGCACACCTTTGCTGTCCCAAGAGGGCAATGTAATTTGGAGGGGAGGGGCCAGGCGAGATGCCCAAGTTTCTCCTTGGTGTTGTGACCCTGGGCGCCACTCGCGGAGAGTCCAGCGCCGGCTCACGACTATTGCCCCTCGAAACTGCCTCGATCGCCTCTGCGTCCGAGAGAGCAGAGATGCCGAGACGGTCGCTCGGACGGCATCCACAGCAACGTCGCCTGCCGATCCTGTCGCCGCCGTTTCTGCCTACTTGCAAAGGGCCGCCAATTGACGGCGGCAACGGATCCGTGGCCAGCGAGGCCATGCAGCGGCGAGACAGGAGATTGGTGCAAGCGGCGTCACTTGTTGCCAGACGGGCGTGCGGCGATCTGCTTGAGGCAAGTGGGTCGCTGCGATCGGCCATACTCTTGCATTTAGTCGGGCATACCAGCGCGGCTGATTGCACTCGCCGCCGGCCCACCATCGTTTTTGCGACCGGGCTACCGTCGACTGTAGCGGAAACAACCACAACCAAACAAGAGAAGAAGAAGAAAAACATGCAACGGCTTGGGTCTGCGAGTGAGAATCGGCCGACAGACTCACGCCCAATGCGTCGGGTACAAAGCAGCCGCCACGCATCGCTTGGTCGATCAATACGGCTGTCTGCCGCTCAACCAGCGCTTGCGGGTGTCTCTCTCGAGTGTTGAGTGTTGGACGACGCCGCAGGCCTCCGATCAGCAGGCGGATTGACCATTGCCTCGAGCAGGTCTTGCTGCTCAGCGAGCAGCCTCACAATCGGTGGTCTGATGGGCCTTGGTCGGACCCCTGTTGCGGTTGCTGCCAGACAGCCCTGGCAGGACAGCCTCGCTCGGCCAGACTCCCTGCTTCTGGCTGGACTGCGTGGCGCCTCTCCGATCCGAGTTCCCGTCGGATATGTGCCGAGAGACCGCCCCGCTCATGGTCTCCAGCAGCGCCTTCTCCTGGCCGACAACAGCCATTCCTGGATGCGCGAACAACACCTGCGTGGCAGAGATTGCGCCGAGCCACATGAGTGGGTTTGCTCAGGCCAGCGCCAGCCGTGGCCCCCCATGGTGGCAGAAGCGCGCCGTGGTGAGTCACAGGGCGGGCGGGCGGCGGATCCTGGCTCTGGCCAAAGCGGCGCCGCCAATCACACTGCAGCAGGCTCTGCGCTGTATGGCTGTGGTCTCTGTGGCCTCGGCGGCTGGCCGTGCACCAATCGCGGCCGGGCGGGGAATTGTGCGCTCGTGCGCTGGCGGTGGAGGGCCTGGCGCGACAAGGCAGCATCGGCGTTGCCAGCCAGGCCCAGCGAGCGACGCGGTGCAGCGCGTTGGTGAGGGGAGGACGTGGGGAGGAGGACGAACAGCACCAGAGAGCAGGACGAACAGCACCAGAGAGCAGGACGAACAGCACCAGAGAGCAGGACGAACAGCATCCAGAGCAGGAAGCAGTACACAGTCCACACGAGGAATCGGGATGTCGCAGCTCGTGGCAATCCTTTCGGTTGGGAATATACACACAATGCCCACCATCCTCTATCGCCATCGATCGCGCACCGCCGCGCTGTGATCCCCCGGCCTGATGCACCTATGGCGGTGTTGTGATGTCGCTTCATTGATTGATTGATTGATTGATTGATTGATTGATTTTTGAAACAAACGTTACTCCAGTGCAACCAGAGCAATGTGCCACACGATCCATGTGAGAGCAGGTGCAGCCGCAGCGGGAACGCCGAAGGCACAATCCACTGGGAGCGCGAATAGGAAGGATGGATGCAATGCCACACCGGTGTTGCAAGGTGAGCGAAATGGAGCAATAGCTGAGCCAAAGCGAGGTGATAGAGTGCAATAGGCCGCGCGGCTGGAGGTGATCCTGCCCTCAGCCGCTTTCAGGAGTTGCGAGAGGGTCGAGCGGCGACGATGGCAGCGGTGATAGGCATCGGCGCGATCAAGCGCCAGGCCCTTGGCATTTCAGCAGCCCCGGCTACTTGAAGCGGAACTCAAAGATGGTTGATCCATGCGGCCGCTGTCCCGAGGCGCTTGCGTCGCAGGAGGCCGGTGCAGGCGATCCTTGGAGGCGTGCCATGCGGATCCTTTTCTTCAACTCGCCGTACCCTACGGGCAGCCTTGATGATGTCACCAGCTCCTGCATCGAAGGCAGTCGGCGGCGTGGGGCGGACTTGCCAGCACGATATGCCGGCCCAGAACCCGAGGCCGCAGTCTGTGGTCGAAGAGGTCCAAAGGACGGCAAGTGAGCCGCCGATGCCCCGTTGCTGATGCCGGGGGTGGCTGGCCAAGGACTTGGATGTTGCTGGCCGCATGGTTCGCAAACTGCATTGCAGCAAGCCTGGTAGCTGTCAGGCCCCAGGTTCAGGGTTCGACTGGGCTCGGCAACACCCGGCCTGGACTCGGAGGCAGTATGGCTCGCCAACGCTGCCGGCGACGGTTTCTTGGGCGATTGCTCGGGGCTCGGTATGCAAGGATTACTTGGCTGTCGTAGCGGCTCGGCCAGGAGCAAGCAGGATGGGTTGATGGGCGGAGAGGCATATGGTGCGGGTGTCTCAGGGAGCGGGTCGGTTGGGCCGGAAGACTGTTCATCCCGCTTCGAGAGTAGCTGAGACAGATCCATGACGTCGATGATCAGGAAAGTGTGGAAGGTCAGGAAAGTGTGGAAGGTCAGGAGCGTATTCTAGGCCGTTCAGGAGCACGTCTCTCTGGGGGGGGGGACGCAGATCGGAGCGTTGTGAGCCGCCAGCAATCCTTTAACCAGAGAAGTATGTAGGCGACGACGAGGAAGAGCGATGCCGGGCCCCGGCGATGCACTCGCTCTCATATAGGCATACAGGCCAGGCCAGACGAGGCCGTTGGGGCCGGGCTCTGGGTCGGAAGGGAAAAGAGCCCTGGCATGTTGGGACCCCGCTGGCGGACGACCCTGGCGGCCGATACCTCCGCAGGGAGACACTGGGCAAAGACCCAAGCAAATCGCCGCTCGGCTCGTCTGTCTCCCGCCGCGGCGGTCTCCCGTTGTGCTGGCTGTCGTCGGGGCCAGTCGGGGCTGGTCAGGGCTGGCCAGGGCCGTCGGCGTCGACGCAACAGGGTTGGAGGTGGTGCTCTGCGGCGGCGGAGCCCTGGCTGGAGGACGATGCCCTGAACAGTCGACCCTCAGGCTGCCCCCCGGCTCGTTCGCTCTCGACTCCCTCCGAAAGCCGCCCGCAGCCAAGGCGACACTCCCAGCCTGCACCCTTTCTTCCATCCCAGGCCGCGAAGGATTGGTCCCATTCGGCATCGAGTTCCCAGGCTCAGTTTGTATTGGTCGGAGATAGAAGGGCTTCGGGAGCAGCAGTGCACATTTCGCTCCGCCCTACTCGGCGCTGTGATCAAAGGCCACATGCATGCGGCTCGCTCGGATCCGTCCAAGCAGCCTCCGGCGGATGAGCTGGGTGCGGAGACTTGGCGACTCGACGATGACCGACAGCCCCCAGACCGAGCGATTCGATGCCAGCCGAGCCTCGTTGGCAAGCTCGGCAGCATAGGCCTTGGCGATCGCGCGTCTGGTCCGGTCCATGCTCTCAACGAATCCCTCCGTGTCCCGAGCGCCCGATCGGAGTTCTTGGCTGGTGGCTTCGATCAGATGCCGGACGATCGGCAGCTGGCTCAGGAATCCATCTTTCTGCGACAGACTGGCCACGGTGAGTGTAAGCCGATGGAGGGCAAAGTGGGTACGAACCAGGCAGCGCAAGGCCTGGTCATAGTCGCCATCAAGGTGGGCAACGCCTTTGGCTTTGATCTGAGTCGTAGACAACAGACCCGAGTGGGTGCGTCGGCGAGAGGAACAGTTGGTTAGATCGGGCAGCTTCCGGCGGATGTTGCAGGGACGGTTCAGGTTGGTGCAAGACGTTGCTAACCCTACAGATGGCAACCATCGATATTGGGACCCACCTCGAGCTCGCGGAGTGACGACCGCCAGGAAGCTGAGCTGGCGATTTCCGCAAGTCCATCCCTTGTCAGACCGATGCCAGAGATCTTCCAGACTGCTAGACGAGGACAGGCGTTCGCCAGCTCCTTCACAAAGACGCCGTTGATCTGCGCCTCGGGTGGCAGAAGATCCACTCCAAGCTGGACGAGGGTCGTGATGTGGTCGAGGTTCTCTTCTTCATCCGTATCATCCAGTGCGACACCGTCTTGGGCTGGGTCGGTGCGTGCTGTTACCCCGAGTGCGGCTGTGACTGAGCGGGTTGCTTGGATATTCAGGATGGACAGACGGGATGAATGCTTGGCGATGAGAGTCGCCAGACGCTTCACAGCCTGCTCAGAGTCAGGGCCATGGGTGTGAAGAGTAAGCTCTTGCAAATCCGGCAGATGAATCTCGTTGCCAAGGTCGTGGCCAGCACAGGCGTCGCCAAGGTGGTCGTCAGGCGAGCCGCAAGTGTCTCGGCTTGGCACAGACAGATAGTTGAGCTTGAGTCGCTTCAGTCCACGATTAGACTGAAGGATATGCTGAGCGAACCCAACCGAGTGCGGAGCGTAGAGGGACAGCTCTTCAAGATACGTGAGCGTGGCTGGATGTTTGAGTGCGGATTCTTGGCCACCCGTTGCGTTTGGTATATGCTGTTGTCGAAAGCGGGTGAACCGAATATCCAGGGTCTGCAGCAAGGGACAGTGTTCGCAGAGCATGTTCCAGAGCCGTTCTTCTTCGCCAGCACCTCCGGAGGCCTCGTCAATTCTGAGCACGCTCAGATTCGGCAGGCCCCTGAAGACAGGCTCTTTGAGAGGCAAGCCTCGTCCGAGCCCCAGCAGTTGCAACGACTCCAGCTTCACGAGCCGGCAGTCGACTATCCCAGCATCGGCAGCTACGGCTTCGGCTTGAACCTCGATTTCGGCCTCAGTTCCGACCGACTCGATCAATCCTTGCCGGAAGCTGCAGTTGCGAAGCTCAATCGATGTGAGTGACGGAATGTTGGTGGTGAGCATCTCAACGACGGACGAGACCAAGTTCTGGCTCTTGGCTGCGATTTCGCCCATAGTCCAGGAGGTGAGCTCAAACAGTTCGTGCGAGGGCAGCTCGCAGCCGACGAGGGCTATCATCCGAAGGCCAGAGTGCCGGAAGCGTGTGAATAGATCCGCAATATCGTCGCGCTCAAGAGAAATGAACTCAAGACAGAGCGTTTCTAGTTGTGGGTAGGCCAGTCGAATCCACTTGATGGCGTGCCTGGGAAGTTCGGTGTGGTCATCGGCCGATAGCGACAGGGACCTGATGCTGGAGAGCCGTGTTCTTCGAAGCCAGCCAAACGAAAAGTCACGGAGGGACTGGCTATGGAGCCCGCGAATGACCAGCGATTGAAGAGATTCGAGATTCACGCTGGGATTGCAGGACATCGGAGAGCTGTTCCCGTCATCCGAGTCCAAATCAAGTTCGTCCCCCGCAACAGAATCGTCGTAGTCCTGGTCGTCCCAGTGGCTGAAGCCGTCGACAGCCCATAGAAGCGGGCTATTGAGTTCCAGGTGCCGGAGGCGTGGCACATGGCGAAAGACAGCCTCGAGTCCGTTCATTCGCAGCAGATGCGGCACCGGCATGACATAATCCTCGTTGATCTTGAGCGACACCAGCCCGGGACAGTTTCGGATGCCCAGCAGCACTGCCGAGGTGCAGCTGTCGATATGGGCCAGGGACGGATGACCACGGAAGGCTTGGGCAAAGCTTACGGCGTTTTCCATGTGAATCTCGGACAGATCTTGTAGTTTTATCTAGCAACGGGCATCGCCACAGACGGCAGGTGAGTGAGTGAGTGAGTGAGTGAGTGAGTGAGTGAGTGGCAATGTCAGGCTTGGTTCATGTTGTGTGGGCTTACCGAGATGCTTTGGAGGCGTGGGAACCGATTCGCAAACCGTTGCATTCCTACTCGAGCGAGAGTGGCGTTCGCGCTGACTTCAATGTCCTGAGCGACATGCGCAATGAGGTCCGACAGCTCAAATTCAGTAGGATGCACGGCAGGAGGATCAAATCGACGACTGTACCCAGCGAATCAGGCGCTCCAGCGGCCTTGGCTTTCACGCCCTGGAAGTGCTTACCCTGGTATCGGCCAAGCAATGCCAGAAGATTCGACATACTGCCGACAGTCGCAGGCGCTCGTCGACAGGAAACTCCGACAAAATGTGGCAGACGACTTCTCCCGGAAGCTGCTGCAGAGCTCCAGGTCGGCATGGTCGGGGTTGACTGTCGGCGATCATGGGGGAGGGCGCCGCTGATGAGGGTCCAGATCCCTCGCCGGCATCGGAGCCGCTCATATCTGTTATTCGGAGCAGGCTGGGGGAGGCAGAGTTGCAGGGATCGAGAAGCAAGTGGCGGGAAGACTGCCTCGTGGCAGTATATAGCCAGCGGGTCTATTTTTGACCTCCATGTATGGCACGATGATATTTTTAGATCGCATGGCCGAACGCAGCGAATGGTCATCGGCAAGCTGGAATGACCAAACAGCCAAACCTCATCGCTCACTGATGGGCGGGCTGGAGCGGGTGGACTGGTTCGCCTCCGTCTACTCCGCACGACCAAGGCCGCTGGATTCCGCCAGGAACGAGGAGAGGGAGACACACGTTTGGATCTTTGCTCTCGCTGGTGCTCGGTTTTGGGTTCAGTGCAGTTCCTTCCTGGCTTCAGATGTCTGAAACTCGCTGACTGACTGTAGGCCCCAGTGGGCAAGCCATGGGATTGCACTCCTGTCTTCGTTGGCAATCTCTTTGTTTTGGTTGGTTTGGGAAGCATGGTCTTGAATACACTCGGTCGATCTCCATGGGTGATGATCGACTGGCACCCAGGCCGCCTTCATCCACCCACGCCCAGGCTCGCAGGACAATCACCACGTTCGCCCAGGCCGGGTGGACCTCAGCTGGACGACCGCCGGAGAAATGCCTTGTCGTTGATTGGGCGGCGGGGCATCTCCCGGTCTCTCGCCTGCCGATTGGCTGCCCGTCGCCCCCCTGCATGTCCATCCTGGCCCAGCGCACATCATGTCTTGCATCATCTGATCGTGCAGCCCACATATCCAGTCTTGCTGTGGATCCCGTCTTCCAGCAAGAACGTCATACTGTATCCTGACCGGCCGTCCCGCCGAACGGCAAGCCATCTGAAACCCCCCCCCAAGCGACAAGTTCCCGCTCGCCCGATATCAACTCGCGAGCCAGCCGACACCGGGTTTTGCGATCTGCACCCACAAGTCCTCTGATGGTCCCTGACGGGTTTCCTGGATCTTCCCGGGCTTCCCGGGCATGCGACGGTGATCCTCCTCATCTGCAGCAACCGAGGCCTCGCTTGTGTCCGCTGTGGGCGGCCCCTGTACTGAACAGCAGGGCCATCGCCGCCACAAGCTCAGATACTGACTGTTCTCACCTCCCTGGCTGGCGCCTCTCTGGCTGCCTCTCCGGTTGCCTCGGTGCCTTGTCCTGCTCCAGCATGTCGCATCAAACGCATCAAATGCTCTGACCAACGACCCTGCCTGGCGTGTGCAAAGGCCAACCGAGAGTGCAGTAATCCGTCGTCCATCCCCGCTCGCCGCCCGCCTGGAGAGCCTCTGCACACTTTCATTTGATCGCCGGCTCATCCGACCGCACATGAATCCCATAGGCTAGATAGCTTACGTCCCGTGGTCCCTCCTCCTCCTCCTCCTCCTCCTCCTCCTCCTCCTCCTCCTCCTCCAGCATTCGATATCCCCGTTCGCCGCAGAGGCCCTCGTATGTACGAAGACAAGATACCGCTCGACCCCCTCGATTCGCTGCTTCTGGCGACGAATGCCGGATCCGAGCCCATGTCAGCGCCGGCGTTGCACACCGTCAGCCCAGTGCAATGTCCGCTGCCACACTCGATCCAAGAGAGCGTAAGTGCAGCCTGACTTTGAAGGGCAATGTCTCGATAAAGTCGCTGGGGTCTGGCCAATCTTCCAAGCGGGTGGCACTGTGGGTCTGCTCCTCTGACGGCATCCTGGGCTATAACCATGGCGATGGAGGCTCTGGCTGATGGATCGCGCCAATGCGATGGCAGGTGGTCCTCGTCATGACTCCCGGACGGCACCGGGGGTCTGCTCTGTGATCACCAATGCTGTCTCGCTGATTCCGCTCCTGCTCTGCTCATCGACAACGTTGTTCTTCTGCGCGACAATGCAACCAACCTCCCCTGCGCCGATGGCGACTCCAGCCACCGGGCTACGATCCAATGGCACAGAGAATCTGGTGTATGTGTCCGCCAATGCCGCCGTTGCTCGGCACATCCATTGGCGGGGACACGACTCGACCTGTCAAAATCGCGGCCAGCCATCTCACCGCTTTCTGTGTTTGCAGGGCGATCCGACCCAGAGCCGGTCCCGGGTGCCCTGGCGGGTCCAACGGCCGTTGGGATCCTTCCTATATCCGAGCTATACTCCCGGAACGCTGCAGGTGTCGTCGAGCTCGACGACGATGCAGACGCTCGCATTGCCGATCATATGGTTCTTCGCAGCGAATCGCTCCCGTTTCCAGATGCAGTAACATCCGGGCTGCTGGAGTCGTTTTTCAAGTGGCTCGGCCCAACCTCGGCCATGTTCCATATGCCCGAGTTTTTTGAAGAGTACCACAAGCCTTTCCACTCGGAGGTAAGCCCGGGCAGTCCCGGAGGTGCATAGTACGGATGTCCCCCATTCTGGCGTGTCTTGGCACAGCGCCTCCCTCTTGCCGTCGACGATGTAGGAGATTGTCCAGGGTCGAAGGCCGGATGGCCGCCATACGGCACCAAACTAACCGCTGGACACGCTTGATACCCAAACAGACCTTTAGCCTTCTCATCTGGACCGTGTGCATCATGTCTCTCTTCAGCGGCCAGAGCATGGCTGGCTTCGGGATCCAGAACCCCAACCAAGAACGAATCCGTCTGCAGACCCACTGCATGAAGGAGATAATTCGATTGAGTGGCCCTCCAGACCTATATCTTCTGCAAGCGCTTATTCTGTGGGCTGTGATCAGCACCGAGCGAGCGGATGTGGTCGTTTACCGGCCCGGATATTTCATCGGTCTGTGTCGGCATATGCCTGGGCCTTGAGCCTATTGACTGAACTACCCAGAGATCCTGGCTTGAACTGACTCTGATCGCTTGATTGACACGCAGATCTGGCCATGCCAATAGCCTTGCGATTATCACTTCATCTCAACGTCGATGACCTCCGCGATCCGCCCGTTGACGAAGCCCACAAGACGTCGCACCGATCGACCTTTCTGATGCTCTATGTCATGGACCGGTTCGATGCTATGATGGCGGGTAGAGTGGTTCGAATTCATGATCAAAGTAAGCTTCTGTTCCCGAAAGCTCCCGGCGGCTGCATGATCAGGGGGTGACAGATCGAGCATCTCTCCTTGAGCGCCCATCGGCATCTTGTCGCTGTCTCATCGCCCCACCTGGATGCTCGCTGATGGAGGAGGTTTGGTTTGTCGATTGTGCTTCATTCCGGCAGCGATGCTGTGGAGAGCTGGCGAAACATGTGCCCTAGCATGTTTCCACTCGCCTTGAGCTCTGGTTCACACTTTTGTTTGCACCTCTCTTCGCTGACACCAACTGGGCCCTGACTCAGTGTGGGATCCATCTCTGCTGGACCACGACTCTCCCGACCAAAGCTACCAAGGTCTCCACCATATCTTTCGGCTCAGTCAGATCGGCACTCCTGTCATCGATCTGCTCAATGGACCAAGCTCCAGACGGACTTTTAAGAACAAGCGGCAGGCTGGCTTGACATGCCTTGCCCAGCTCAACCAGTGGTGGAGCACCCTCCCATACTCCTATCGATATCCAAATGCCTCTCATATTTCTCGCCAGTTCATCCTGATCCGATACCACAGCCTTCGCATCTTTTCCAACCGACTTGTGTATCCTCGATTTCCGCCCGCCACGATCGAAAGTGCCCGCGCCATCAGCGGCTTTGTGCGAATGATGCCGCAATTTCAGGTCATCCAGCTCACCTTCCAGCAGTCCGTGACATCTTACTTTGCTCTGTGCGCCGCCATGGTCTTTCTCGACATCATCGTGGAGCCTCTGGCGACATCCTCGCTCAACCTTGACCCTGCCTTCATTGTCGGCGAGCTCAACGAGCTGCTGATATGCTTGGATCGCCTTCGCAGCTCCTCCGTACTGTTGATCAAGAACATAATCAACAAGGCCATGCAAGAGCGCGACGTTTTCCAGCGAACGATCGCCTCGAACATCAGCGCCGGCACCGGGGAACTCTCGCTGCTGTTACTTGAGGAGTCTGATCGGCAGTCGTCCGGGGGCTCCAGCCCCAGCTGTGGAGGAGGCACGGCCCCAACTGTATACTAGTATACTTGCGGCTAATAGATCGAATACGACTGTTAATTTGGAGTGATGGTGATGAGATACTCTGCAATTGCTCTGCCGCTGGCTTTTACAGCGCTTCCGAAATGAAATGGGACACCCAGTTCCGAGCCGGGACTGATGTTATTTGCTGAGAACTGAATATACGCACCCACCAATCGCTCCCATGGCCAAACGGTGTGCTCTGAGTGACTGGAAGCCAAGCGACTCGAGAAAGCCCGCTATCTTGATACCAAGAACCCATGGAGCTGCCCAGAGGGCCGAGTGAAAGCATCACACTCCCACATCGAGTGAATGCACTACACTCCCACATCGAGACACCAATACCAATCGATCATCGCCACAGGACATCGACCAAGTGTATTCAAGGCCATGCTTCCTAAACCAACCAGGGCGGGAAACAATCGCATGGCCTGTCCACCGGGGCATACGGATCAGCAGACTTGTATCGTTTCTTTCTGGATAGACTGTATCGTCATAAATCCAAAGCTTCGCGTGGTCGTTCATCGGCGATCAGGGTTTCCTGTATCAGCTGCACCAACATGAGCTGCCAAACTCCCGGCGACTGGCCATGTGTATTCGGGGCTGCGGTGTTCGTCATGGTCTGTTCTGTCGGCCATGTTCCAGGGCGGCTGGCTCGACCCGCGGTCATGTGACAGGTCGGCCTAGTATACAAATGCCCTTTTTCGCCCGCATTCGCTCTGGCGGACTCAGCTGCTTGCGGTCGCCAACAGACAGAACCCGCCTGCCCCCTCACCATCCGCATCCGCCGCTACGAGTCCAAGGCAGCGAGGCCGTACCTCTACCCAAGAAACCAGCGTGCGTGTCGAATCCGGCTCTCTACACCATGTCCGGCAGCCCCGCCAGCAATCCCGCTCCGGCATTGGCTCATCGCCCACTCCCTCACCACGAGGAAGAAGGTAAGGGCGCACCAGAACCATGGCCAGCAGCACCAGCATCGGCACCAGCACCAGCATCGACATCAGCGCCGGCATCAGTATCGCATGACGCAATGTGCCAGGGTTTACCTGTAGTGCACACGAAGCAGGGGCAATCGACCGGTGCTGTCGAGGCTGCACCATCATGGCCGATTCCAGGGGCTGGTGCTGGTGTTGCTGGACAAAGCTGTGGTGAGGGCGATCGTTGGCAACCATATCTTCACCCGCTCACCAACGGCCGCTCGCAACCAGATGTCTGTCGTGTGTGTCGCTCCCCAGCGACACCGACAGAGCCTCTCTTCCACCCTTGCAAGTGCTCCGGGTCGATGCGCTATGTCCATCAGAATTGGTTTGTGCTCTGCGCTTGCTGTCCTTATGGCAACGTTTGCTCCTGTCGCTTTCCGATAATTTCTATCGCCGCCTCTGCTTTTGCTTTGCTCTGATGACGGCCGCCTGTGCTTGGTCCCGATTTTGTGTCGCTGACAATGCCGTGGTTGATCTAACGCCCTATCGCGATCTGCGACAGCCTTGAAGAATGGCTTGCTGTAAACGGACGGAGGTGGGCAGTCCATCACGATGAGGCTCCTTCAGCGGCGAACGGTCTGCCATATAGCTACCAGGCCATTTCTTGCGTGTATATTGATGAGCGCCTCTGAGTCGAGGCATGCACGGCTGTGGACACGCATCGGCAAATCGACTGATCATCGAGCTCTTCATCATGCAGGAAACAATGCGAGATCTGTGGCCACTACTTTTCCTTTACCCCAAGTAAGAGTCTCCGCCAACAGGGGCTGTTGGGGCGAGGCTGTGGCCGTCTGCGATCAAGCAGCTAACCAAAATCTGGTTTGGCTCTTTCCTGAATCGGTCTCCAGTCTACTCCGATGATGGACCCGGCATCCTTTCGACCGGGTTTGTCATGAGCGCCATCGCCAGGAAGATATTTGCGTGGTCGTATTTCGTTGCCCGGACGATCATCGCTCTGGCGCTGTGGGTCGTGTTCGTCCCGTACTTCACCATCTGGGTGTGGCGGCTGTACTTCCAGCCATCGTCGCTGCTGGATGGCTATGCCGCTGCTACGACCAACGGCATCATTGCGTCGGTACGACTGTGGGCCAACGGCACATCGGATCTGACGGGATATGAAGCTGGTCGCCGGGACGTCTTCCGAATCCCCGTGTTTGGCTTTCCTCCCCACGATGATTCAAGCGTTCAGCATCCATACTTTTGGATGGAGTACATATGGTAGGATAACGCATGCTGTTCGTGTGTCTATACTCCTGCTGCAAGGCGTCTATCGCTGTCCTCGACATCGTGCTAACATTGCTCGCCTCTCTCCTTCCGGTCGCTCTGCCGGCACAGGAGCTTCCTTGTCGACGTCTTTGAAGGCCAGGTTCTGACAATGATCGCGATTCTGATCGGCGTCGCTCTTCTCTTTATCAAAGAGTATATTGCCCTGCACACCCACAACGAGCGCGTCAACGAGGCCAACCGAAACATCGAAAACCACCGAAGAGTGCAAATGGATCTTCCGGCCGAGGTGGATTTCCAACAGCCGGTGCGCGAAATCCCACCGCCGCCCAACCCGGCCGCTCCGCCCCGCCGATTCGGAGGACATTTTAGAGCAGCAACGGACCAGCATGGTCCGTTAGAGGTTGGCGACCAGGAGACGCAGGTGCGAGCCCACCGACCATCTTTGGATACGCTCCGCGTCGGTGATTCCGAGCCTGGGTCACCTCGATCCCCAACAGGCTTCCACCGCGATGGCTTGCTCGATCCAGTTCGTCTGCACAGTCTCCGGCAGGAGCTTGCTGATCTGCAAAACCAGTACGATGCAAGTGTCCAGGCCCCCAACGACAACGATGACGATGATGATGATGTGGCCGCCATCACACGCCAGCGCTTTGAGAATCGTATTGCTGAGATTAAGAGGCGGCTTCGCTCCCACGACCTGGCCTACGAGATCGAGAGACGCGCAATGCCCCGCGGACGAGTAAATCCGCCAGGCGACATCCGAGACGAAGCCTGGCCCCTCAAAAATGCCCAGCGCCAGCGACTGGAGCTGCAGGCCCATTACGAGCGGTATGGTCTCGACCTGAATGCCGATAATCTTGATGAATCCGGCCCAGGCTCAAGCTCGGGCGGGGGCTCTCGGTCGTGGCAAACGGCTCAATCGTCCTACTGGAGTCGAATCGTTGAGCCTCGCGGCTCGTCGTCGCAGTACGCTCCGCCTCAACTGCCTGCTGGCCGCGTGCCGCTCTCTCTTGGCTCGACGAAGGGCAAAGATCCCCTTGAGAAACACGGCTCACCCGACCCTAGCGCCGACCCACAGTCACAAACGGCCTCCATTCCCTCTGGAAGTACGGCAAGCAGCCAAGACCTTGCGATCGAAGGCGAGCCTCAGCCTGGCCTTGCCGCCGATGAGGCTGTTGAGGATCCCTATCATGGCCCTCCAGCCGACAAGGTCTTCTTGGAAGATTACTACGCGGATGGCCTGCTTCAAGACAACCCCACCAACAGCCATGTCAACATTGGTGGCCGGTCCGAGGGAGACGGTGGGCCCTCTGGCAGCAATGCTATTGCCGATAGCACTATTGACGACCAGGACGCAAGTGGCGAACCTGCCAAAGGCGATGCTGGAGATGATGCTGGAGATGATGCTGGAGATAATGCCGAAGACTCAAACGGAGGCCCCGAAGTCCCCAATGACGATGCCGAGCAGTCCGGACACGAGGATGATATGCCAACTGGCAGTCCAAACGGCGGTGATGATAAGGGCAATAGCGACGACAGAGGCGATGATGATGTGCATCAGAGTGACCATGAGGACAATGCCGATGATAACGACCGTGGCGCCAAAGAAGACGCAGATGACGATGCTGAAGACGATGTTAACGACGATGCAGATGGTGGTGCCGATGACGATGTTGACGATGATGTGGATGGTGACGAAGGTGCTCCCGACCGCAATAGTGAAGCCGACAATGACGAAGCTGGCGATGGAGAAGCCGACGACGACGACGATGACGTCGAGGAAAACGACTCCCAAGCTGACGGCGATGACGAAATAGATGGAGACGATGACGATGATGATGATGACGACGACGATCACGATGGCGATGATGATCAAGACGGTGTCGATGCAGACGATGAAGCTGGCAGTGCCGCCTATTCTCGGAGCAAAGGCAAACAGCCTGCGACCTCGGCCGCGCTTGAATCAAGCCTCGTCTCCAGCAAGCCGTCCTCCAGCGAAAGTGAGGATTCCGACGCCGAGGGCCGTCGCCCTGAGTTGCTTGACCACCGACTGCCGGCCGAGCGCGCCCATTTCCGTCGCCGTCGCGGCGCCCCTTTGTCCAGCCCTAGTGCCGATAGTGGCGCCGTGACCAGCACTTCTCGGGTCCATGCTTCCTCGCGGGATCGTCCCGAGCGAACTTTTTTTGGTAGGTGTGATGATCGCTTACGGCTCCAGCGGTTGTTCGTTTGTGATGGTCGGCTGATGTCTGGTTCCAATCCCCAGGCGACGACGATCGCGCCAGTTATCGTCGTGTCAACCGTGAGGCCATCCCAGATCGGCCACAGCCTCTGCCACCCAACATCCAGGCACTCGTGCATCCGGCGCCCCCTCGTATCCCGGGCGAGCCGCAGCGACCCATTCAGATCAACCGACCAGCGATTCTGCGACAAGAGCCACAGCCTGTCGATATCGATGGAGAAGCCGCAGCCAATGTCAACGTCAACCTGAACGTCAACATGGACGGCGGCAACATCGAGGCCGAGATCAATCTCAACGGCGACGTTGTAGCGGTGCTGGAGCTGATTGGTATCCAGGGACCCATCCGCCTGCTCTTCCAGAACGTTGTGATGGTCTTGTTCATTATCGTCATTGGCATGAGCATTGGCGCATGGATTCCCCATGTGGTCGGCTCGCTGAGCTACTACTTCTTCAAGGAGGTGTACACTCCAGCCGTTGGATACGCCGTTGCCACGGTCACCGAGGTGCTGCAGCTCTTAACCGACCCGATTCTGGACCCGACGCTGGACTTTTTGATCTCAACTGTGAATGCCACGGTCGAGAGCACCAAGCCGTTCCTGGAAAGCCAGCCGGTGCTGAGCTGGATGGAGTGGGTCCGCAACACCACGGGCTTTGTCGACGGACTGAACGTGACGCTGGCAAGCGAGACGAGCTTGGCGATCAACGCCACCGACAGCGGCCTCTTGGTCCTCCCGTGGAACTTGACCTCGCTACTTGCCCCTTTCACGGCGATGTTTGGAGACTCGCTGGCCAAGAATGCCACGCTGGCGCCCGCTTCTATCGCAGCGGCCGTAATCCCGCTACTTGTTCCAGCCGATCCGGCTCAGAATCCCCACAATGTCACCTACACTTCTCTCAAGTGGACCGGAGACCGGCGGGAAGATGCCTCGCCGCAGCTCAAGCGACTGCTCATGCTTGTATACAACGCTCGTGAAATCCTGGCGATCCGGCGCAAGGGCCAAGTCTCATACCGCAAGATGGTTCACGATTTGTTTACGACGGGCAAGATCCCGGACGGGTTATTCTACATCGGGTTGGGCTACTTTACGATCGTGATGGTCGTATTGCTCTATATCGTAAGCAGAGCTTGGTGATCTTGCCGTAGACTCCACAGCATGCGTATGCAGTGTCATGGATGGGAGAGAATGTTGTTGACCCCATGCGGCGTTGTGCGGTCCACCCAGCTGCCATAGCGGGTCATCAAAGTCGGACTGTTTCTCAAAGCTGCTGACGATTCTTTTCTCGGCGTTCTTAGCGCATTGCTGGCCTGAACAACCATCGATACTTCATCACCATCTCGACTCTGCTCCACAAAATATCAGTGACTGCGATAAGCAGTGTCAAAGTGAGTCAGACTGCCGATTGGACCTTGGCTGCTTGCCCTTGGCTTCTTGCCCTTGGCTGCTTGCCCTTGGCCGTGCCCGCATCTGTGTCGCGGACCTGGATGGAGTTGTTGGTTCGGTTCATTGCAGATGTGTTGAGAGGTCGCTCACCCCTTCGTCATCCACCAGTTTGCATTCTTCATCATCATGGAGCTGGCTATCTTCCCGTTTTTCTGCGGTTGCGTCATCGACCTGTGCACCCTGCCTATCTTTGGTCCGGCCGCGACGGTGGCTTCGCGCCTCATGTTCTTCCACAACTATCCCTGGACGTTCCGGTTTCTGCACTGTGAGTTGTACTCTCACTGCAATGCCACTGGGATCCTGCATCGACAGTCGCACGCAGCTGTCGAGATCACTGCTGGACACGCACCTTGTGCTCATCTCCTACAATCCGATCTACAGGGCTGGTCGGAACGACGTTCATGTTCCAGTTTGCGCTCTATGTGACCTCCGTCCGCGATATTGTGCGCCCCGGCGTCATGTGGTTCATCCGTGATCCAAACGACCCACAGTTCCACCCCATGGCAGACATCTGGGAGCGCCCGTTCCTGACACAGCTCCGGAAGCTGGCTGTCGGGACGCTCATGTACCTGGTCATCATGATCGGGGGCATTGGCGGCTTTGTTGGGCTGATCTTGGTCGCTCAGCCCAAGAAGGGCGTTGCCAGGCTGATCCCGGCCAAGCTGGATATGAAGTAAGTACCATAAGTCGCTTGGCCGTCCTTCTCGCCTGGCTTGCTGCGGCCGCATGGATAGAATTGATTGGTGCGGTGTTGCTGATACGTCCTCCACCTCTATCCCCACCTTTATCCCCACCTTTATCCTCACCTCTAGCGAGCCCCTTTCCGAGTTTCCATTTGACCTCTTGATTTTCCACTTTGTGGTGCCGTGGCTGATCTCGATGCTCAAGCCCAAGCAGAAGTTCCAGAAGCTTGTGAAGCTGCTCTACCGGAAAGGAGCGCGCATGTTGAGGCTGAGCAGTTTCATGTTTGGCGAGCGTTACCGCGACGAAGAGACCGACTACGAGGACAATGCCGAGGGACTCGACGAGGAGGAAGCGGACATGACCCAGACCCGATACGTCGATGACGAGGATGCACTGGAATTCGCCGAGGCCCAGGACGAGCGCAACGGTATTCCTCTGGCTCGCAAGCGCAGGGGCCGGAGAGCTGGCACTCGGCTACATCCCGGGCCAGTCCGCGAGCTTCGATACATGCGGGTGCCGAACCATGACCACAATGAGGTCCTGCCCAAGCAAAAGATGATGATACCACTGCGGGCAAGCGATCCCGTCATTGGCCGTGTCAACGAGTCGGACGACGAGCGGCGGGCGAACTGGACCAAGGTCTACGTGCCCGACATGTTCAAGTGGCGGCTGTCGATCTTCCTTGTCCTCCAATGGATCTGGGGCGAGGTCTTTGGGCTCCTGGTCGTCGGACTTCCATGTAAGCGCGATAGTGCCGTTGTGGCTGCCGATCAAGCCGGTGCCCGGTGCGCATGCACGCTGGCGCTCGGCATTCGAGCCCGTTGATGCAATTGCAGGTCGAACTGGATGCGCCCGCACTAGCCCGAGTGTGCGTATACTGATGCAACTGCACTTGTACTGACCCGAGGCTCTGCTATTTCCCCGCCTTCGATGCTGCAGTGATCGCCGGTCGTGCTTTCTTCATGATGATCCACACGTTTATGACATCGATCGATCCTGGAAGCACCATCACCCTCTCCGCATCACATTTTTCCTTCAACGCCACGCTCCCGTTTGCGAACCCGGCGGCTTTCGTGAGCGCCCCAAAGCCAGGCCACAAAGTTGCCCGACCCGATTTGCCTGTCCACGATCTGTATGCGTTTTGTGCTGGATGCTTCATCCTGAGTGCAATCTACCTGCCTTTGGCGGCCATCTGGCATCACGCTCGACGCCGTGGCCGACTGCAGCGACGGCCCTCCATTATCCGCCGAGCATCGGTGCACGGACACGGACATGGACATACCGATGAGCAAGCCGATGCAAGCACAAACTGGATGCAGGAAGCGTGGGCGAGTGCGACGCATTACCTCAAGACCGAGGTCGCGGCCGTTGTCATGACGGTGAGCGATCGATGCAGGTTTATCTTTCGTGCACCAGACATTGTGCACGGCCGTCCTAACTCCTCTGCATTTGTCTCAGATCGCCAAAGTGGTGTTCCTAGGAGTATCCGTGTGTGTTGTGCTGCCTCTGATGCTTGGCCTCCTGATGGAGCTGTACATCCTTCTCCCGCTCAAGCTCAGCCGCGCGGGGTCGCCCGTGATCTTCCTGTTCCAGAACTGGGCTCTGGGTGTCCTTCACCTCAAAATCCTCCACACCATTGTGTTGCTGGGGCCGGAAACGCAATACCAGCGTGCTCTGAACCAGGTATGATTTACTTGGCCGACTCGGCTCCCATGTGGACGACCAACCAGGTCCAGCGTTGCCCTGTATCTCGCAGCAATGCTCATATCGGCCACTGATTATCGTTATGACGGTGGCTATCTTTACAGGCCCAGCAGCAAGGCATCCGCCGAACCCCATTCGTGACATTTTTCGCGCTGGTGTCGATCGTCGCTGGAATCCTCGCGGTGATGACCGTCGGACCCGCAATCCTGGGCATTGTGATTGAAATAGCCTTTGGTAAGTGGTGGATTTGTAGGGTAACGGCAGCCGAGCGATGGGTGACCGTGGATGGTGGTGCGACTGAGATGTTGGCTCGCAGAGTGAGTGAAGAGCGTATCTGACCTCGCTGCCACCAACCACCAACCACCGGCCACCAAATATCGCAGGGCACATGCATGGGTCGGTACATCCAGTCTATCTGCGCATGACGTTCCCGGTCGTGTTCGCTGTGAAGGCAACCTTGGACACGGCCAAAGCGGTATACCAACGAGTGCAGCGCTGGATGGAGGAGATGCGCGATGAAGAGTTCCTCGTTGGACGGCAGCTCCACAATCTCGACGACGGCATTGCAGCGACCGAAACAAACCCACCCCAGTAACGGGCGGGATCGGTCCAGGATAAGCCGTCGGCACAGGAGCTGAGGCGGTGCGTTTTTGATGAGATCGGGATCGGACTCTGTCGTTCTCCTGGCAAACCATATCACCGTCGAAAGTCATCTATTGTTCACCCAGGTGGACTCACACCTTGGACTCACACCTTGGACTCGGATGAGCAAGCTCCACCAGGCGGGCTGCTCGTTTCAGGCATGTCATCTTCAAGTCAGGGCCGCTGCTCTTTCTGGATCCTGAATACACAATCTAGAATCGCAATGCCAATGCAGCGCGCAACACGATCATCACGGGCAGGGCGATTGCAGAGACCCGATGTCTTGTCCTCGCTCAGGCCGAGGTGATCGTGTGTTCCTGTGTATGGCCTGTCGGCCAGGCTTTCACAACTTCGCTTCCAATACGGAAATGGGGCGTTCCGTTTCTCCTTATTTCGGAATGGGAGTGCTCTCTCAACGCCTGAGGATCATGCCGTTCCAACTCGGACCGGCCCCACCCAACACCGGAGCTGTGGTGGACATCCATGCGTCAAGGCTCGATTGTGCTGAATGAGAATGTGTGTATTGCGGCGATGCAAAACTGCCTTACAGACCACTCTCGAATAGGGCGGGGTTCCCGTTTCGAGGTGCTGCTCTGGGAGTCCCTCAATGGGTCAGCTTCCAGCGGCCCTTGACCATACGACGCTTCAGAATCATGCGGCCACCATAGGTCCTTAGTCGCTTCAGGAAGCCATAGCGGCGCTTCTTTTTCAGGGTACTGGGCTGGAAGGTGTTGCCGTAGGTGATTGACCGAGTCTGGAGCGTCAGCGGCGACGCCACGGGCGCAAAGACACGAGAGAGGGCTGTTGACGGGGTTGGGACGAGTCCGATGCCAAGCGGGCTCTTCTGAGCAAGGGTTCTCGAGAATCTGATGGAGAGGGACAGAGCTGTGAGCTGGCGCCGGGGGAGCCATTCGAGTAACGCCGCCCATGCGTTGGCTAATCTGTAGGGCCGTTGCTGCGGTGACAGGACCCGGCAACCCTACCCGTTGGCGATGGACGGTGATCGCAGCGACGACAGGAGCGACGAGAAGATCATGTTGGGCGAGGCGGTGTGCTTGGTGGCCGAAACAGGCGATTGGGCTTCAGTAGTTCTGGTCCAGCACTCTACTGAGCAGGCGATATGCAGACAGGCCGTGCGGGTGGTGCTCCCTTGCTTGATTGCAGGCGTCGGGCGCACTTGCGGGCTCGGATGCTGAGATGATCGGCGATCGAGTATCGGCTGGTCGCGGTTGGGTGTTGGATCGCAGCCAGCACCAGAAAAAGAAAAACACATGCGCTGCATCGGCCGGATCCGGATCGCTCCGGATCGCTCCGGCTGGAGCCGTCCAAGCCGACACAGTCATGTGAGCAAGCGCGTCTCTGTGGAGCGTGCACAGAAGCGCCGTGCGCAGCGGGAGCGCATTTGGGCAAATGCGGGTGCTGCGCGCCTCCGCGCCGAGCCGGGTGCCAGCAAGGCACGGGGGCACAAGGCCGCGGGAGCGATGGCGAAACGGCCGTGGAATGGCGGTATTGGACAGAGCGAAGACCGCCCAAGTCGCGGATGAGATCTGTCGGGAATGCACGGCGGAGAGCAGCAGAGAGTGGCATGGTGCGCTATAGAATAGCATGGCATGGACTGGCGTGGCATGGACTGATATGGCGTGGCATGGACTGATATGGCATGGACTTGCATGCACGCCTGGGTGCCGGCGAGGCAACCGATGTGCTCGGTCCATCGGGTTCCTCGGATCGAGATTAAGGTTCGGGCAGCGGGCGATGCGCCGGAATGACCAGTGTCTCTGGTCGGCGACGCACTGCATCCGATGCGTCTGCAGTATCAGCAGCAGCAGCAGACAGCAGCAAGGGGTCGGCTGGCGGGTGGGTCGCCGGAAACAGGCGGCTCGCCCGTTTGCAAATCGCGAGCCCCCCATTCTCCTGGCAGGCGCATTTGGGCCCGGCTCGCTCCTGCTTCCTCTTCTGCTTCTTGCGCTTGATCTCAACGGCCGACCAGCCCGACTGCCCCTTCTTTTGCCAGCAGGCCCCACCACCCCCTGTCCCCAGCCTCAACCCCCCCGTCCTCGCCTTCCGCCATGGCTGCTGAGGTGTATCTGGCAAACAGCTTCCTCAAGTACATCCAACCGTACATTCCCGAGTCGTGGACCTTTGAGAATGCCTACAACCTGGCTGTTGCGATCACCCCCGAGCCCGTCAAGCACGGAATCGCAGACCTGCTGAGCCGGTACCTTCCCTTCTCTGACATTGTGATTGCTTCCCTGGCTGCGGCCTACTGTCTTTACAAGTAAGTTGCTCTCTGGCCTTGGCAGAGCCGAGCCTGTCCTGTCGTTTTGCTCGAGATATCCCCAGGCCTCGTCGAGTTCTCGCCCCCCTTCTTGCCCTTGCTTCCATCAAGCTGATCTTTAAATCCCTGTCTCTGCCCCTCCTCCGACAGTTTTGGATTCCCGTTGAGACGCCCCAATCGACAGTGGATCTATTTCGCCGCTGTCATGTGGGTGCTGGCCATCGCCGCCATGTTCTACCTACAGACGCTCATCTTTGGAATCCAAAAGTACAATTACGACAATGCGCTGAGGCAGCAGGGAGTCGAGCCCGATGACGATACCAACGCCCGGTTCGAGCCCCTTGTCGTCCCCGACCTGCGCTACCAGTTCAACGGAAAAGATCTGTTCGCCTTCCTCCAAAACTCGGGCGCCATCGGCCGTCGGCTCTACATCTCGTACCTCATCGTTGAAGTTGTCTACATCATGGCCTACGGTCTCATCAACCGCCACGTCCTCTCCTTCTTCTATCCGTACGGCGACTCCTCCTCGATCTACCCCGCCATGGCCAATGTCTGTCTGGTTCTTGCCGATTTCTATGAGAACAGCGGCCTGATCTACATGGCTGCCAGCTTCCCGGCGAACCTCCAAGGCAACGTGCACTACGCCGCCCGCATTTCCAGAGTGGGCGCCTCTAAATTCCCCCTCGCTGTCCTGGTTCTGGGTCTGATTGCCTCGGGCCTGATCCGCTACTGGCTCGGCATGATTGACTACGAGGCCTCCAAGAAGGCCATCGCCGAACGAGACGCGCATGATCTGCTTGAGCAGGAGCGAGAGTCGGAGCAGCAGCTGCAGAAGATCCGCAAGCAGGTCGAGAAGGAAACCAACCAGAGGTTGAAGGAGGTCGAGTCCAAGCGCAAGGCCGTCAAGGACACCAAGAAGGCCTCTGATGACAAGTAGCTTGATGGCTCGCCAAGCCGCTCTTCCTCTCGCTCTTCCTCTCTCTGCCGCCTTCCCGCACTTTGGCTGGATCACCAGCAGATCGACCGACTGGACAGAGCGGCGCTCTTGAATCTACTCCGACGCCTCCTGCTCGCTGCTGTTCACTGTTGTTCGCTGCTGCTCGCTACTCAGCCGATGCTACTGTTGAGAGGATAATGGCTCGAGTCTTGCTTTTACATTGTGCAGCTCTGTGACTGTCTGTTAAATACAATCCAATAAAGAACGGGACACCTTGGTTTTTGGTCGTTGACCGAATAATTTGTTTCCCAATACCATCGTGCTGGCCATGACCATTCTGTAATGCGGTGCTACGCCCTCATCCATAGCCTGAGAAACGTTGCCTCCATATTCAGTGTGTCCAAGAACACCATTCACCGCTGGCGCTCCGAGACCAGTGTGCATGTCGATGGTGGAGACCGCCAAAGTGGTGCCCCGTTGCACATGTGCCGCCCATACATGTGGCCTAGGTTGGCTCGTTGTCACTACAAATGCTGGGTCGCCGCCGATGCTGTGTCGCTCATCTGCGAAAGCCCTATTTGCACCGCGATGCCATCCTTAGCCCTGTTTCCCGCAAGGTGGATGGGCCCTACGTATATTCAGAATCGAGAAAGACAACCCTTGGCCACAAACACAGGAGCTTTGGTTTCACTTTGTGAACACTGCATGAAAGAGATGAAGAAACACACCGCAACATAACGGACGAGACGTATTGGATAGTAGAAAAGAGCGCGCTCGTTCGGCGAGCAACAGATTGGCTGATATCAAAGGATTCGGAAGTATCAAGCCAACAAGGGTGCGCACATCGCATGGTGGGAGCCGTGGCTGCGTGACTCTGATTCCACGTTAGTTGGCACGAGAACTGTCGGCGGTATGGCTTTCAGGTCCATGGTGCTGTGCCCACTCAAAGGCCTGATTCCATAGACCGCGGGACTTTTCGGCGCGGATCGAGTCGCCGAAGCGGGAGATCTTGATGGTGTTGCTGAGACCGGGCTGTGGAAGGGTAGGGATGAGATGGCATTCCTTTGGCTCTCGAGCACCGCCAGTATACCCTCCATCGTTCTACGCGATTCTGCCGGCACACTCCACCCACAGAAGCTTACCCAGGGGGCGTGGAAGCCTGCGACAAAGACCACAGTGTCTCCAATCGACAAGCCGACGCTGGAGGCAACCGTGGCCAGGATGTCTCGCTCGCTCTTGGCGTAGATGCTATCGGTGTTGTGGATCATGGTCTTGCGAGAGCCATGACTGACATGAGCCAAGGCGGCGGGGTTGGGTTCCGAGTGCGCATCCGAGGGATGGACACTTGTGTTCAAGTACTCGCTCACTTTGCCGCTGTGGTGGAAGCGCATGGCACTTGACAGAACCGGGTAGACTCCAAAGAGCATGGCAAGTCGGCGATGGATCGAGGCCGTTGGGGTGACGGCAACGATGCTCAGGTCCGGGCGACGCTTGGAGACTGGAGAGCGTGGTGTGTTGGTGTGTTAGACAGATAAATGGACCAGTAGGACGGCGAAGTGTCAGATACGATGGGGATAAGCTACCCGTGGACTCAGAGAGCCTAGAACGCCACTCCATTCCATTCCATTTCTCCAAGTGACATACCGAAGATCGCCATGTCGGCCCTCGTGGTGAAGACGATCATGGCCTTGGCTTCAGCCTAGAATTAGAACACGCAGCCAGTCAAAGTCAGCAATCGGCGCACGAGGAACTCAATGCAGCCAGATCACAGGCTCCACCCTCGTTGCTTCCAAACCGATGGCATACCTCAATAGCGGCTTCCACAGCCTGGAGCGCCATAAGCAGACACAAGGCGGCATGGGTGGTATTCGGAAGGTTGGGTCAGATCCACGGACGATTAACCAAGGTTGCGGATGCGGCGTCAGAAACCACATCGAGCATGGATGCAACTGTCGCCTCCAGCACGCTCAAACAGCCAGCCATGAGTCAAATGCTTCATTGTCCTTTGCACTGCAGAGAGCAAAACAGGCTCTGAGCCCATGGACTTACCGCATCGGCAATTGGGTGAGCAAACTCCGAGACGCCCTTGGTCTGGAGCTTCTTCTGGACCTTCTCGGCCTCGGTGGCGGCGGGAATCATGTAAAAGTGGCCAGACTCGGCGTTCTGGCAGATCGAACCCATCATGGTCACGGTCTCGACGGGGAACTGACCGGTGGCACACTCAGCCGAAAGCATGACGGCATCGGTTCCTGGATCGAAGGCAAATGGAGTCAGAGATTCGACTAGCTTTCTGATCCGGCTTCATAGAAACGAAAGGGTGGGGCTCGAGGAAGAGTGCCGCCGGGAGAGTGGTCGGCGGATCTCACCATCGAACACGGCGTTGGCGACATCGCTGACTTCAGCGCGCGTGGGAGTAGGAGACGAGATCATCGACTCGAGCATCTGCGTGGCGGTGATGACCGGCTTGCCTATGCACGCAGAGCGAGTGGGTCAGTACTAAGCAGAACAACTCTGAGACGCGGTGATCGACTGAAATGATCCTCCAAGAACAAGCGGGAGCGGCATGTTCTGCTCCAACGAGCAGTTCCTCCACCCTGCTTCAGAGTACAGTATCGTGTCCATGACGAAAGGCGCCGCCAGAAATATAACCCAAGCCTCCACCGAAACGAAGATGCTGGCACCACTTACCGAGAGCATTGGCCTTGCGAATCAGCGTCTTCTGGATGACAGGCACACGCTCGAGACTGACCTCAACGCCAAGATCACCGCGGGCAACCATGATTCCGTCGGTGACCCTGAGGATCTCGTCAATCGCTTCCAGGGCCTGGGATAAGTGTATTTGTGTCAATAGTGGGAACGAAGAAGGCGGTGTATAAGTGGGGGGGGGGAGCAAACCGGTGACAAAGCTCACCTGCGGCTTTTCAATCTTGCTGATGATGTGGGGTCTCCAGTTATCCTCGATTTCGTTTGTTTCGGTAGCCTGGATCAAAGAGTTGTTGCCGGCGGCTCGCTCCTCGGCCTCGCACTGGTGGAACCAGTCGATGAGATCTTGGACATCCTGCGACTTCTGGACAAAGCTAAGGGCGACATAGTCCAGTCTTTGCGAGAACATGTAGCGAGCATCCAATTTGTCCTGAGAGGGCAGAAGTTTGTGGGGCGGATGCGAGCGAAAGGTGGTGAACAGTGTCAAAGGCGGTACATAAGGTCAGTATGAGTTGGATAGGACGCCACGTTGACTGTTCGCAATTGCAAAAGTATGATCAAAGGAGCGACGAGGCATTGCGCCAAGCACTGCGCTTGCGCATATGATCTCGACTTGGCACACCAAGCAATTCTTCCTCCATAATGGGTCGATACCGCCCAGAGTGCAATATCGCCGACGATGCATCCCAGACTCATCGGTGCGTGTCGCTCACGGTCGCCGTCACCACCATGAGGAGGATGGCCTCGAGACGCGGAAGCTCAAGTCTGACGCTTTACAGCCGTCATGCTCCTCCCCCGCCCCCTGCCAGTGCATACCTTCTCGGTCAAGGCAGGAATGTCTACTTTCAAGTCAGGCACGTTGATGCCCTTTCTGGGCTTGAGCACACCACCGACGACAATGCGACACTCGAGCTCGGTGACAGAGATGCGCTTCTCGACCTTGAGCTGGATGAAACCGTCGTCGAGCAAGACGCGGTGGCCGATCTGGAGATCACGCACGATCTGCTGAATCTTGGTGGTGATGATGCCGGTGTCGCCGACGTCTTCGCTGTATCGGAGAATGACGGTTTCTCCGGTGGTAAGGTTGATGGAGGGCTTATCCTTGAAGGCATTGCAACGGATTTTAGGGCCGCAGAGGTCGCCTGGTGAGGCACGATAGGGACATGGGGGCGTGAGATGCGAGATTGTCTTGTGATGGCGACCCGCAGCAGATATTGACGAAACCAGCTGCCTCGATATTGACATGCTAATACGAGGAACGGCGGTGCAGACCAGGTCACATACCTAGAATGGCGACAGCAATGCCAAGGTCGGCGCTCTGCCTTCGGATCTCCTGGATGATGGGGCTCTGGAGAGTCGGGTCGGTGATGTGCGAGAAGTTCAGGCGGAAGACATTGATGCCTATGGTGGGCCGGTGGCGTAGAATGGACAAGGTCAGCGGGCGGAGATTCCTGCACGAGCGCGTTGCGCTGTGGGGGTTTCTCGTTCGACAGCGATGCGACAGGAGCAGACAGCGAGGAGACCCAGCTCGCCGGAGAATATTCAAGCCGAGAGTCTCCACCAGCCAGAGAGGAAGACGTCCACCGGGTGCAACACATGTATCCGCCCTGTGCACGCGAGCAATAGAGGAGCGAGGGGATGTCGACAGAAACCGATGAGATGCATCCAGCAACGCGAGCCAACCTGCGATGATAAGGTCGCGAATCTTTGGGATCGAAGCAGGGCCAAGGGTTCCAACAATCTTGGTTTGGCGCTTGGCAAGGTGCTGAGGCGACATAACCGGTACAAGAACTGAGGGCCGTCTGTTGAACATGGCGACAGGTCGGAGCTGGGTGTGAGGGGAGTATTGAGTGGGGAAGCTTGCCGAGAACTGAGCGTGCGGATGCTATTCTGATGGTGCCGGGTCGAAGGAGTCTTGTGGACGGGGCTTGGTGGAAAAGGGTAGGTTTGGTCAGTCTCGAGGTGATTCTTAGGGGGGTCTATGGGGGCTGTGGTCCCAAACAGCAGCAGCGTGGAGGGAACCCTGGATGGTGCGAAGAGTCTGATACAAGCGACTGCATGCGACGACGAGCCAGCCGTGCAGGCCAATAGGTACCGTGAGTCTGCGGGAGGCGGGAAGACCGAGGGATGCCGGACGAGGGCGATGAAAGAGAAAGCCGGCCCAGGCGGGCGCTGCCCGGGGTCGCTTGTCGCTTGCTTCCAGCCAGTCGCAGCGGATCAGGGTGGCGGCCGGACGACATTGCGCACCTCATCTGACATCAGCGCGCCCCTCCAAAATGCACCGAGCACGACGGCCAAGCCAACGAGGCGGCCGTGACGCATGGTGACGGCAGCACCAGTTGGGCCGGGCCCGGCTGGGCCCATTGTCTGCTGCTGCTGCTTTGCGACACCCACGGCCAGCGAGCACATAGGCATCAATCGCTGGCTGCTGGTCGGTGGCTTCCTGTTGCAGACAGGATTGTGCAGATGCAGATGCAGCGGTGCCTCCGTGGGTCGTCAGCATACGAGCACCCATGGTGTTGTGATCTGTCGTGTCGTCTCGTCAATCATGCCGCCTCCAGAGTTTGGCAGGGCAACTGAATCGCACCAATCCACGCCCTTTTGATACGGCTGGCTACCGGCGTCTCTGCCACTTGAGATGCATTCAGAGATTGGCTGGCGGCAAGCCGATTGCCCCCTATCTCTCGTCGACATCGGGCACGATCGGGCAACTCGCGCCATTGTCGTTCGTCGCTTGATCCTCACTGGGAATCTCTTATGGCCATGCTGACGCCGCTCTTGGAAACGCTGACTTTGGGAGGGAGCGATCCTGCACAGGCTGGACAGCAATATGCAGCATCCCGGTACAGCAACAGACGATCATCAGAGTGAAATGAATTATTCAGGATCCAGGAAAGGAGAGCGCCCCTTGGCTATTGAGCTATGCAGCCCCGACCTGCTTTGCCAGGTTGATTTGGACACCTCTGCCTGTGCGAGCTGGCTCTTCCACACGCGCGAGGCTCAAATCTGGGCATTGACCTGCAGGCCGCCTCCGCTGGTGAATTCAAAGGCCTGCTTCCAGCGAGCCATTTCTTCACCGTCTTTGATGGCATCACCAAAGTGGCTCAGGCGGATGCAGTTGGAGATTCCAGGCTTCAAAAGGCGCACATAGGGGGGCATGGAGCGGAGGTGTGGGATAGAACGACATGCGTGTGGGATAGAACGACATGCGTGCGAGGTAGAACATGCGCGAGTCAGTAGGAGCCCAGCCGACGATGATCTAGCTCTGACGAATCGATTTCGACCATGCACAATCTGCATGCTTGGCCATCCTTTGGCGGATTCAAACACAAATACGCCGACGCTGAACCTCCACGAGCACACGCATTCTTACCCATGGTCGGTGATAGCCGGCGCAAAAGAGAATCGGATCGCCGAGCTGCAGACCAAGCTCGTAAGCGACGGTATCCTGGATGTCGTGCTCGATCATGGGATAGATGGCATCGGTGTGGTTCATCACGGGAACCTCGGCGCCCATGACGCCCATGCCGCTACCGCCATTGCATGTGCTTGACATCATGGTGTTGTTGAGTGGGGCAATCGACACATTGCCGATGCCCTTGGTGAGCTCGTTGAGACTCGAAGACGAGGCCGTTCCAAAGTTCATCCAGCCATCCGAGCTGATGCCGACAGCATCGCTGCCCATCTTGCCAGAGCTGGTGCCGATACTGAACGAATTGCCGATCGCTGTTCCGGCGTCCGCAGCGAACCCAAACTCGCCTGGGAACTTGACAGATGGGGACGGTGTCATATCAGCGACGGCTGAGTCGCCAACGCTGGTGCGTGCACGGTCCTCGAGGACGGTAGCGTCCATGCCGGCACCCATGCCGAAATCCATAGTCCTCAACTTGTCCAGGCCGGGAAGCTTGACGGACGAGAAATAGTCATCAAATGCGGACAGCCGACTGTGAGCATGCTGGAATCGCATCGCAGACGAAAGTACGGGGTAGACTCCGTATGTCAGCGCTAGCCGGCGATAGATGGACACGGTCGGCGTCACGGCGATGACTGGGCAGTGGGCGCGCCGCTTCGAGGCTAAGGATAATGGTGGTTGGTAGACATGCAAATGGCATGGCGGAGAATGTGCAGTCGGTGGTCGGTGGTCGTTGGTCGTGGCGTTGATGGAGTACGGCGACGCAGAATCCGTTTGATGCAGTCGGCAACGAGACAGTGGATATGCGTAGCATCGATCAACACAGCGGACCTGGTCAGCATTCATGAGTAGGTTCGCGACACGAGGCCTGAGGCAGCCATGCGAAGGGGGGGATACGACCAGGTTGGCAGAGACGAGGGACGAAGTGGTGGCGTACCATAAACAGCCATATGGGCGCGAATCGTCATGATAATAATGGCTTTCGCGTGGCACTGGTGATAAGACGGCCACGTTAGCCGGCAGGATACATGACGTGAAGCATGGGCTCGGGAGATGACATATACGCAGAGCAGTGCGAGAGACGGGATCCTACCTCGGCCGCAACCATTACAGCCTGGATTAAATAGATGGCGCAAGCAACAAGAACATCGTGGAAGCAATCAAGCATCAGTAGCTGAGGTCCTGGCTGTATCCTTGATCCAGTGTGAGGGTTCCTTGAAATGTAGTGCCAGTCGAGCTCACATTCGCAGTGCAGTGGAACGTACCCCTTCGGCGATCGGATATGCGAACTCGGAGCCACGTGTACTTCTGCGGCGGCGGGTCGAATTGTTGCTCTTGAGGCTCATGACTGGCGCTAGCAGGTCGCCAGAGTACTGGCTTTCGATCTTGACGCAGTATTCGTTCAGCTACGAGGCGGGATGGCAGCGAGTGTGCGCCGTGGTGGTAGAAGCGGTATGAGAGCGCGATCGCTGAGAAGTATGCCGATGGTCAAGATATGCTGCTGTTGCTGCGATGCGACAGGCATACCTCAGATAGGGTAGCTACCGCTGCCGCGCTATGTGAGACTTCTTGTGGCAGTACCAATGCGTCGACATCTATGCAAGGGGCGACAGGAAGGGTTGGCTTGCAGTCCACGGGAAATATTGGGGATATGCAAGACATCATCAGGCATTCGCAGGCTGGCAGAGCAGCATGCTGGTGCGTTACCCATGAGCGGAGATGGCGGATAGTCTTCATCCTGGCTGATATCTGGCAGCGGATCGGGTTGCACGACAGGCAGGTGAGGCTCGGCGAGTGTCAGCTTGCCTGTTGGGGGGGGGCGTTATTGTCGAGTGATGTACATAGCGCGGTGGCGGGCTCGGTTAGGACGGGTCAGCCAGCGGCATACGGCAGCAGAAGCGCGATGAGCTGGCGATGCGGTAGGAAGAATACCTGCGTCGTTCGTTCGCCTGAGAACATCGCTCTCAGAGAGTGGTAGAGAGCCCGATCCCACGAGCAGCTCAAGTGTCGTGCGGGAAGTCACGACGCCTTCGCAAGCATAGAGGATCTTGTCCAGACAGGTGAGAGCCTGGAGCCGTGGCCGCAACGACAAGGGTGGCGGTGAGCTGCAGATCGGAGGCGTGGCCTTGTACTTATAGGATGCAGTACATAGATCCTCAACATCTGGGTCTCGGGGAATACTATGACAGTGCGCGCGACGCATGGAAAATGTACCTCGGTGTTATCGATTTTGGCAAGGACGTGTGGCCGCCAGCCCTTTTCAAACTCATGAGTCTCAACCCCGAACTTGTGCGAGTCGATGTCGAAGCTCTTGTCTTCGTCCGTGAGCGCCTTCAAAAAGTCCACAAGATCCTGGACATCCTGGGCACGACGGGCTTGCGGAAGCAGGATAAACTCGAATCGGTGCTTGTACATGAAGCGCACGAATTCCTTGTCCTGGGGGATGCGGCAGAATGGCGAACGGTCAATGAACGGTAGGCAGCCAGAGCGTGGGCTATGGGCGACATTCCTGGTCATTTTGCTGGGCCGAGGCTCTTCGAACCCCCCTGCAGCTTGTCTCCCACAGAGATATGCTGACAAGCCCGGGAGCCCGTATCCGCAACAGGTCGATGACACCGCCAAGCAACGAGAACTTCCGCACCCGGCTCGACACACCCAGCTGGACATTTCTCCGAACAACTCTCGCGTGTGCCCAATGATGCTGTCGACAACGTGCTTCACGGTAGGTACCTCTTCGGTCAGTGCTGGTGTGTCCAGCAGGGTATCAGGAACAAAGAAGCGGTGACCCTGCGAGAGGGTGCCGCCGACCACGACCCGGCATTGCACCGAGCGAGCATCGGTGCGGTCGAGCACAACGAGCTCGATACGCTTGTCGCGTTGGTACCGACCGAGGCTGTCCTTGGGAGGCTCAAAGACAATGCGGTGGGTGGGTTGGATGGAGCTTAGCAGCAGATTGTCTGACACGTAGGAGTTGAGGGCTGCCTCGGTCGAGGGTGCGTCGCAGTGGGCAAAGCTGACGGTCTGATCGGGGACAAGGGTGATGGAGGCAGCAGCGGATCTCGACGGGTCGGCTGGAGCGAGGAAAAACTGGATGCCGGGCAGTTCACCGATGAGGGAGACGGGATGCTTGAGCTCGGTGGAGACGTTTCGGATCTCGGTGATGAGGGCAAGCAGCCGTTTGGTGTGCGGGACGGACTCGCCACGGATCGAGTCGTGGGAGTTGGCCAGCAGGAAGGTGTTGCAGCCGGACTTGATGAGCGTCGCCACCGAAGCCAGCGGGAGCGAGGCGTCGACGGCAGAGACGAATTTGGTGCGTCGCATGGCGGCAGGGCAATATCAGTGAATTAACGGAGGGGACTGGAGCAGCAGTGCAGGACTGAAACAGCCGGGGCTCAAGCGGATAAGCCGGCGGGTGTGTGGATAATTGCGGATGCAAGCTTGCGAAACAAGCAACGCAGCGGCGGACGATGCTGAAGAAGGAGGGCGAGGGAGACGCAGTCTCGAAGAGAAGCAGATAGAGGGAGGAGGTGCAAGTGAGGAGACGAGGTAATCCGCTGGATAGAGATGATCGGAGAGTCTCAATCAAGAAGCGAGCAGTGCCCAACGACAGCTTCGAAGTTTGCTCGTGGGAGTTGGCGGATAAAAAGGGGGAGTGGAGGATGTTGCCGAGGATGTTGCCGAGGGAAGAATCTGCGGACAGCCCAAGCGACAGAATAGCCGGAGAGGAGAGCCAGCGCAAATCAGAGGCGGATGCAACGATGGACTTGTGGGAGGGGTCTGGAGCAGCAGATGGGTTATTGGCTGCAGGACACAGCGATGGACCAGAGTCCGAGGACTGGATCAGAGCAAGTGGTCGAGTTGGAAGAGACTGGGGGAGGGGTAGCCAGAGCGAGCCGATCCGAGAAAGGGAAGGCAGGGCTGGCCGTAGGCGTGGGCGACGGCGAGGCTATATACGGCCGCAACAACGGGGATGGGCGTTGATGTTGACGGCGGCAGAGAAGCAAACAGCGCCTCCCCAAGGAGAAGGACAGACCCAGAGGACGACTGGGGTGTGGCTGGGCGGCAGAATGGCGGGGGCAGTTGGCACGGGCCGAGAGCGGGGGCCGTCTCGGCAGAGCCAATGTGTGCGGCGAGAGAAAGCGAGAGGGAGAGCGAGAGCAGGTCTTTTTCCGCAGCACCAGCCCGAGTCGCGGTGACGCGGCGGCGGAAAATCCCGCGCGTCTGGCGCAGCCCCAGCCCCAGCCCCAGCCCCAGCCCTGATGCCAATCCGGCCCCTGCCCTTGCCCTGCCCGCCCAGAGCCCCTCCCCCAATGAATTTCATTCCGCCGCGACCGCGCACAAGCCCCACAGAACGATTTGGAGCCTTCTCCCCACAGCCCGCAAAAGGCAGGCGCCGCCACAGCCGCCCGCTCCCGAAAAAGGCAGGCGGCGACGCGACCCGCAGCTCATCCGCGGCCACTGTGGCTGTAGTCGGCCAGTGTCGCACACGCCCTCGCCCCCTCCCGCGATCAGCGCTCCTCTGCAATCCTCTGCGCTCCTCGTCTGCAGCCGCGTCGGGAGGTATAAATTGCGCCGAGATCGCTGCCCACCTCTTGCGCTTTTTTTCTTCTCCACCCACAGTTCATCTCCCAGCCCCGCCGGTCTTCCTGTCCTCGGTCATCCATCTGCCAATCATGTCCCGCGAACGTACCTACATCATGGTCAAGCCCGACGGTGTCGAGCGTGGTCTCGTTGGTGAGATCATCAAGCGCTTCGAGCAGAAGGGCTACAAGCTCCAGGCTCTCCAGCTCCTCAAGCCCACCGAGGAGCTCCTCCGCGAGCACTACTGCGACCTCACCTCCAAGTCCTTCTTCCCCAAGGTACGCTCTCATGATGCTGGGTGGTGCATTCGCTCGGTGGCGAGTCGGCCTGCTTGCGGCGCTCCTGCTTGCGGCTCTCCTGCGGTCGATCTCCCTCCACAGTGACCTGCTGAGCGCCAGCGCATCGCGCCGCCAATAGTCTGATCCTAGATCACAGAGCCACTGACGCTGTTTCCTCGTCTCCCCCGGCGTATCCTTGCATCGTACAGCTCCTGAACTACATGGTGAGTGACTGAAGCCCGCTCTGTCGATTTGTGTGGTCGGCGCAGCTCCCCAAGCCTCTAGATCTGCCTCCCAGATCAGATCCTCCTGCGCGATCCCACCGCACTTTCATCGGGTGACATTGTGCTGATTCCTCTGTCTCTCCCGCAACGCTGCAGCTCTCTGGCCCCGTTGTCGGCATGGTCTGGGAAGGCAAGGAGGCTGTCAAGACTGGCCGCAAGCTCCTTGGCGAGACCAACCCCCTCGCCTCGCTCCCCGGCACCATCCGTGGCGACTTCTGCATTGACGTCGGAAAGAACCTCTGCCACGGCTCTGACTCTGTCGAGAACGCCGAGAAGGAGATTGCTCTGTGGTTCCCCGCCGGCACCGTCGCCTGGACCAAGCAGACCGAGTCTCTCATCTACGAGTAAACGGTTGGCTCACCGAGCTTTTAGTGTCCGTCAGCACCTCTCCTCCATCCCACCGTATCCCCCATCCCGCATCTTGGACCGGTCTCCCTCGCCTGTACCTTTCCCTGAGCTAGTATATGCACCTAGCGACAATACAAGGCGTGCGTGCCCAGCAAAGACACGGAGGCTATGTTTGAGACAGAGGGCCGGATCTGCCGCGATCGAGCAGAGGGAAAGGGGGCATGTATTTGCGATGACCCTCATGGGCTGCCCTCTGGTCGATCTACAATTTTGATCGCCCTGTCGATCGAGATCCACGGAATGTTGTGGTGCACAGCGTGGCCCCCGTTGTGGACCGAAAACGAGATGTTCAGGACGTCGTAATCCACCTCGTAGAGCTGCTGGGCATCGTTCAGCGTCGTGCCCTTGAGTCGACCGCCGAGCATGTCGGTGCCGCCAACCCTCCCGAGCTCTTGTCGGTCGTCGTCGACGGGCCCATCCGAGCCGACCCTGACATCGGCCGTGCTGGCCCCTCCACCGCGGCCCTGGTGGACACTGCGAATGTCCAAGGCAAGCAGCTCGGTGATGGCTCGGAGCAGCACATGTCCCTCGTCTCGTCGGTAGAAGGTGCTTTCGCCGGCCTCGACCACAGTCATCACAGCCGCTTCGGCTTCGGGTCGCCACTCGATTGGCAGAGTGTACGGGTGAGCGAGCCCGGCTGCAACCCAGTGCGGGATCCGAGCGTCAAAGCATCGGCACCGGGGCAGGTCTCCGCCGCAGCCCTGGATGCCGGTATGGTCGACAACCGAGTGCAGACACGATGGGCAGTCGAACGGGCCCCACGGCTTGAGATCGACGATGGGAGTGCCGTTGACCAGATCAGCGCCGGCGACTGTGACGGTCCGATTTGCAGCATCGACCGAGACGACCTGGACGAGCGACAGGCCCAGGGCATTGGGTCGGTGCGGCGCCCGGGTCGCAAAGACACCAATGGAGCCTCCTGACAGCAGCGGCGGCAGAACCTTGGCTGCGAACGAATGTACCCTGCTCGTGAAGGTGCTCGACTTGGCGGCGCACGTTCGAGACTTGAGGACAGCAGAAGCGACAGACGAACTCGGCTGGGACGGCGACGGCATCGGCGACGGCATCGGCGGTTCTCCGGGCGATGGCAGGGCCTCCTTGCCCATCGCACCCGGGGCCAAGACGGTCTTGACCAGGTTGGTGTTTTCATGAAACAGGAATTGCACAAACAGATGCGAATAGCCTTCCAGGCCTTCGAGGGTTTCGGTCGGGATCTCGTTCGACAGCACGATCCGGGCTCGAGAGTCTGGGACGAGAAGGCCCTGTCGGGGTGTGCCTCGCCGGGCAAGATACGGCGACTGTGTGGTGCCGATCACCAACAGGGGATATCCCACCGACGGGTCCGAGATGTGCTCGACCACGCCTGCCCTGAGAGCCTTCTCGGCATTGATCCTGCCGATGCGCTCGGCAGCGATTCGTTGGTTGCAGTGCTCGTGAGGATCGCGGGCCGGTTTGGTCGGTTTCGCAGAGCCTGTTTCTTCGTCCTCGCCCATGCTGTTTTCCAAAGATCCAGCACAGTCTAGGTCATTCGGGCGATGCGACGGGTCTGTCGAGAGCTGCGACGACTGGCTCTTGGCAGCCTTCAATTCGAGACGCTTCTTCTTGTTGCTCTTGCGGGGCTCCCTGGCGGCGCCGTTCCTCGCTGGCTCGGCAATATCCAAGACGAGATCAATATCGAGCAGGCCGTCTGGACCTTGGTCTGGGTCTGGGTCTGGGTCTGGGTTGGGCGGATCGTTGCCGGCGACGTGAGGATCGGCGAGTCCCGGCTGACGAGGATCGGCCGGATGTGCATCCCGAATCGGAGTCGTTTGTGATCGACGGCCGGTTGTGTTGTGAAGCAGGAGAACAGTGAGTGTGGCCGAGACGGCAGCACCCACCGCAGCTGCGGCGAGCAAATCAAACGGTCCAGAGCCTGAAGGCGGGGCCATGGGAAGCTGCAATCCGATGGGAGTTGCGACGGTGCGAAGCGATCGGGGACGCTCCCGACACGGCCAGAACAAAGAAAGACGACAAAAATGAATGAATCAATGAATGAATCAATGAAAGAAAAATGACGATGGAGGGCAGATTGCCGCTCTCGCTGACGCCGAGAACGAGCCGATGTAATATCGTGAGTGATGGGCGAGCTGCGTGTTCGACTCCAGAGATGAAGGGGCGGATCCAACAACGCCTCGGTAAGCCACCCATGACCACGGCTCACTCATCACAGTTCACGTTCTCAAATATGATATCTGGGTGTCCCGTTTACTTTAGAAGGGGGGCTGTAGATGGATGGTTAGATAGAGATATAACAGGAAGGAAATAGTAGTAATAATAAAGAGAGCGAGAGAGAGCGAGCGAAAGGAGTCGGAAAAGTGAGCAAGGAAAGGAGAGAGAGAAAAAGAAAGATCAAGTTCGATGTGGGAGAATTGGAGGAAATGGTTCGCTGGTACGACAGGAGGAACTGCGGGGCTACGCTATCCATGTATGTAAGGTGCGGGAAAGGGGTGGGAGAAAAAAAGGCCGTGACGGAGTGAAAAATACAATTGCCTGAAGAAATGTCTGCAAGTATTATGAGCTGACGCAGGGCTTGGGAGGGGGGAGTACGTCCGGAGTAGCGAAGGTGGGTGAGAAAGTGCTAGACAGTAAATAATCAGTTGTCCCTCCTCAACACGCAACAGACCAAGGTCCTCCATTCATCTCCAAGGGAGCGTGCTAGTCTGGGTGTGAGGGGGAGGGAGAGGGGAGGCCGAGCTTCAAACCGTAGTCGACTTCATATTCGGGTCTCGATGGACACCGTTCCTCTACTCCTTGATGGTGGGTCCGGCGGCGGTGCTGGCGGCGACGCTGCTGTTGATCGAGGTCTGGATGTATCCATTCGAAGGAAGGCGCTTGCCGCCGGCCTTCTGGATGGTCTCATCGTCAGCATTGCGGAACACCTGCACATTCTGGAAGATCTCCAGGGCCGCCTTGAGCTCAGGGAGCACCGAGGCATCAACTTGGGGTCGCTTTTGCTTGTCCTTGCGGTAGAACAGATAGGCCCAGAACTTTTCAAGGCCGTAGAGCTCGCCCCAACAGCAAAAGTCTTCGCGAGTGAACTCCTGGAAGTCCTTGAACAGGTCGGTCTTGAAGCGCTTCTCGAGACCGTACGAGAAGAACCGGAACAGACATTCCAGACCATAGCGATGACCGGCCAGGGCATCCTCATAGGCAAGGCGCCGGAACTCATTGTACATCTTGCGGTTGAAGCGATCGCGGAGGAAGTGGCACCAGAACCGGAAGAGGGTGTTCATCTCGGGCGACAGTCCAGGGCCAACGCGCTTGCGCTCTGTGCCAGGATAGCGGAGGTGGCAAAGGGGTCGTGTGGGCAGGAAGAGGTTGGTTAGAGTCGGGGGGGGGGGGTTATGAAAGGCAGCCACGAAAACGCACCCATACGCAAGCGCCAGCACATATGTGGCTGACATGAGCCCGATGGCGAAAGGGTGGGGGCCACCGTCCAGAGATCCAACTCCCGAATGCGGCCTGACTGCGACACGACTTACCCTTGAGGGCCTTGGCGTGGTATTTGTGGTATTTGTGCTGGATGAAACCGCCGTCCTTGAGGAGCTCGTAGGAGGGGTGCTGGAAGGCCGAGAACTCCTTGTAGCTCATGTTGCGGCTGTCGCCAGTCCACGAGCCAACCTGGCTTCCATAGGACGAGCTCAAGCTGTGGCCGCCCAGGATCGGGTTGGCACCAGAAGGGCTCTGGCGATTGAGGGGAATGTCCAGGTGACGTGGGGACGAGGCGTGGGCATCTGGGGGGAGGGGCGGACGACCTTCGCCAATGTGCAGGTGCTCTCGCGATGGCGGGTGGTAGGGCTTGTCGCCCATCAACCAACCAACAGGAGGGGAGGCAGCAACATTGGCCGAGTTCCAGAAGCGGGTGGGGACGTTGACGGCCTTGCTCTTGGCGCTGGCAGCCTGACTCTGCGCGCCAGCCGAGGTGGGATGCTGGTTGGCAACGGCGGCAGCCTTGTGCCTCTCCAGAGACTTGCTGAGGTTCGAGAGCGGAGTGGTCGGGGTGGTGACGCTGGACCGGCCGGACATGAGAGCAAACTGCTCGTCATCGACGACGCCGATGTGGTTGGGGCCGTTTCTGGACCGACCACCATGTCCCTTGTACAGCTCACGCTCGTAGTGAAACAGTCCCTCGTTGATGATGTCGTGCATGTCTTCCTGGGTCTTGGGACGGTCATAGGCATGGGTGGCATGCTTGCGGGCAGGGGCATGGAGCGAAGTGTGGGTGCCGGCGGCCTGCTGCGTGATGCCACTTGTAGAGTGCTTCTGGGTCACAATCAGCAGCGAGGCCACCTCTTCATCGTCGATATCCGAGTGCCAGTCCTCGAACGACTCATAGCCGGCATCGATGCCGCGCTTCTCGCTGCCGCGGTGGGTGACGACGACAACATCATCTTCGTCATCAGTCTCGAGCAACTCCGCAGCGGCATCCTTGTTCCAGGGTTTATTGGTGTTGCGCTTGTCGCCGCTGCCGAGCTCTTCATCCTCGAAATCAAAGAGACCCTCCTCATCAGTGTGGCCGCTGCCACTGGTGGCTTTAGGGCGATGATCGCTCGGCTTGGCGCTTGTCGCACCAGCTTGCTTCGAGTGGCGGCGGTTAGAGGCAACTTCCCACTCGCCGGTGGGGCTGACCGTTTGGATGGTGGGGACCTGCTTTGTCTGGTTCGTGGCGGCCGGTCTCGAAGGTGAGGCAGCTCGCTCAGCCACAGGGGTCTCTGGGAGGGCGGGAGCCGTGGCTGTGGCCGGAGTGCCTGTGGGCGACGGTAGCAGCCAGTAGTGCCAGTCACTAGCACGTCGGATGTGTGACTCGTCATTTGCGTCCTTGATGACTTGGACGGTTTCACTGGGGGCAAGCGCCTGCAGGACCAGCTCGATCGCCCACGGCGGGAGGTCGCTGTCGCCAAGGCTCTCGGCACCAGCAATCTTGCTGCGAGCAATGTTGATCAAGAAGCGGATGCGATTGAAGGATGTGACAAGCTTAAGGGAGACCGTGCCGTCGGCTGGGTTCATCTGGCTGCGGAAGTACACGTCGCGGCAAAGGTTCTCGATCGAGAAGTAATACTCGATCTGGCTGCGGATCCACCACTTGACAGTCTCGATATCGACTTGTTCGTGGCTCTCGGGCGCCTGGAAGGCAACGGGGTTGAAGATTGGCATGCCGTTCGGGGCCAGCGGGACGCTGCCCTGCTGGTAGGCATAGGGATTCAGATAGCCGCTGTAGCCACCATAGGCACCACCGTGGCGCCCGCCGCGAGTGCTTCCTCCACGCCCACCTCGGACACCTCCACGGCCACCGCGATTGGGATGACCGCGGTTGCTATGGCGGTGGTTGGGCTGATGACCGCCGGCATGAGCAGCACCTTCGCCGGAGACGAAAGCGCCGGTGCCGGCCACGGGCGAGGTGGCTTCGGCATTAACAGGCGAGGTGATTTCATCCGGGTTGGATTCTCCCGTGGGGGTCTTGGGGGCTTGTGAGTCGGCGCCGCTTCGGCTCGATGCGGACTTGTTTCGGTTGCGCTGGGACGAGGCGGAGGGATTCCGTGATCCCTTCTGCGGCTTGGGAGAGGGTTGGCTCAGGGCATCGCCATTCGAACTCAGCGTATCCTCGCCATCCAGCTTTGCCGAGCCGTCACGCGAAGATCGGCCTCCCTTGCGAGCCGAGTTGCTGCGGGTCTTGGGAGGGGGATACCGGATGGGCACGTCGAGCTTGGCCCAGGCGTTCTTTTTGCCGCCACCGGCCACCTTGGCTTCGTCATACTGCTGTGTCGGGACCTGGGCGGGAGCACTGGTGCCCAAGACAGGCCACTTGTCCAGAGGGCCCAGTTGGGGGGTGCTCACAGGAGCGCTGTCTTTGATCAGGTTCTCACTCCGGGCATTGGTTTGGACGATCTGGCCAAGATAGTGGAGGCGATACTTGTCAGTGGCCGATGGGCTCAAGAGCGGTATCACAGTCACAGCGCTCGCTGTGCCGTCGACGACAGGAAACTGGCTACCGCGACGGCATCGGCGTTGGCCGAAACTCGCCCATGGCGCATGCGACGCTTCTGGCTACACAGTACATGGCTCGCTGCTCGCGCACGCCAGTTCCCACGCTTATCCAAAAGCACAAGCTGCAGATCCACATCACAACTTCCTATGCCATCCGACACAGCACCACGGAGATCGATCCAGGTGACGGCCGCATTCATGGTGTGGATCCAAGGCGGTACAGCAGGGCACACCAAAACTATATGACCACTCCTGAGCGCTGCAGTTACCTTGGCTGGTCCGCTGGTGACTTTGGAAGCCTCGGTCTTCTTGGGGGCTTCTGCCACAGGCTCAGCAGGTGTAGTAGCGGCGGCGGCGGCGGCGGCAACGGCGGTGGCAGCAGGCGCAGCCGGAGGCAGTACGGCGACCGTGGTATTGACGGCCGGGGGTGATCCGCCAGTAGCAGGCTTCTTCTCTGACGGTGTTTGGGGAGTACCCTTTGTGCTCTTCTTGCCGGCTGTGACGGCAGCGGTTGCCGGATCTGTGCGTCGTCTTCGGCCTTGGGACGAGACGGTCAATGTTCGAAACAGACGCACGATCCAGGCAATGCGGCGATAGGGAATCAAGTCGAGATACGATAGGACGTGGATGAGGGTTAGATAAGATGGGACGCGACAGTGTGTTGCAGACAGGCCCCGCGGACCGGTTGGTTCAGATGCAACTGATAATCGAAGGGAGCTTGACAGAAAATGCTGCACAGTAGCGTGGTACGCGATTGACGGAGCGAAAAGCCACCTTGAACTTTGACGAATCCCTCAAACTCGGTGTCATCCGAGGTGGACTCTAGGACAGGCTCGGCAACGGACGAGCTGGTGGCCTGCGGCGACTGAGGAGCAGTCTCAGAGGGGGAAGTGGGTTTCTGCTGTTTCTGTTGGCGGGCTTTCCAGACGTTGGTCGATGTGGAGGACTCATCGCGGTCCGGGATGGCCACAACGGGGACAGTGGGATCTTGCATTTGGGAAACGTAAAACTCAAGTGGTCTGGGAGCTGGTCGAGCACGCAGGCCAAAGCACCGAGTCGATATCGACAGAGGACGGCGGATGCGTGCAGGGAGTGGGGAGAGATGGGATACAGCGGAGAGTCCGGTAAGTAACGGCGGTTGAGAGGATCCCTCACTATCATGTGCCCCCCTCCATGCACCAGATGATGGCCAGACGAATCGCAGACTGCGGCGGGAGCTGGGCAAGCACACAGCAGTGTCTGATCGACAACGTCAGAGTTGCTGCGCCGTCGCAGGCAGCCGGGACGGGCCGTGATCTGGAAGGCCCAGCACGAGACCGGACGAGCACCAGGCATCGGCAGCGCCGGGATGCGAATGCTGGCCGACGAGCAGAGATCGGCAGGATGCCGAGGGACTGGTCGATGCTGTCGACTGAGGAATAGCAGGCCATGGTCGGGCGCAATGCCGGAATGCACGGGGCTACCGGCATCCATAGTGCCGGCGACGAGGGCACCGGCAGAGATTTGGCATGTGCGAATGGGGGCCGCAAAGCAGCCAGCGATCCAGATCGCCCATCGCCTGCGGGCTTGCTCGATGGCAGGGCAGCAGAGGACGGGAGAGGCGATGCATGGCGAGGCATCTGCCACCTACCTAGACGGGTTGGCTTGACGTTTGTTGAGGGGGGAGGGAGGAAATGCAAGAGGCGATCGCAAAAAGTTCAAGATTCAACTACAGGCGGTTGAATCTGCGGCGCTCTTGAACTTCCGGGCGGGACGGCTGGAGTAACCGGAGGAGGGGACAGATTCCAAAGTCGACACGGACGGACCGGGCTTTGGGATGCGCCAGAGAGCGGAAGAAGAGCAGATGGACGGGCAAGTGCTGTTCTTCCCAGAGGACGACGGCTATGGCAAGCGAGAAAACAGAGCTGAAAAACGTGAGCGGGCGCTGGAGAAAAAAAAAGGCAACAAATCCCCGTTGGGTAACAACGCTGCAGAACAACAGAGAAGCGTCGCCGGGCCGGTCTCGGTCGCCCTCTGTCTGCGTCTCGCCGCGGCCTCGCTGCGCCTGTCGCCTGCGCTCTCGGCACACAGACACCTGCAGGCACGGCCTCGGTCCTGCTGCCGGCATCCTCCATACGGCCATGGCTGCATCCGCGACTGCCCCGTTCGTTGCTGCCCGTCCCGCGGGCCAGGTGCATCGAACCGTCTCGCCCATGTCGCCGGCATCGACATCGGTCCTGCCTCGGCCTTTGGCGACGCACGCCCTGCTCTCCTCGGCGTCTCCTCGCTCCGCGTCTCCAATCCGCCCGCAGAGAACATTCGGGCTGCCGTTCTCTCCGTTCTCTCGGGCACACAAACAGCACCATGCTCCTCGGCGGAGGCCGTCTCGGCCGCCCTCGGCTGCTCTCGCTCCTCGCTCTCCAGGCACCAGCGTGCGCAGCATGTGTAACGACACGCCGGAGGCTTGTGCGACCTCGACCGGATCGATCCGCACTGGCTTGGCTGGCTGGATTGGCTCGGCGCCTGGCTCGAGCCGGTCGGCTTGGTTGGCTGAGTTGGTTCGGCGCCTGGCTTTTTCTGCTTCTCCTTTGGGCCGTCCAAACCCGGCTGTGGCTCAACAAAGCGCTCTCGGCCACCGCTCCCAATCAACCCGCCCCGATATCGCATCGCTGCTCGCCGTGCCTGCGACTCGATCAAGCCACCCCGCCGCACGACCATCTTCCCGCCGCATCCGCCGACACCCAACCAGCCATGGCCGGTCAGTTGTCGCCCAGGGTCTGCCCTGAATTGCACCTCGCGCCCTCCGTCGTCCCCGTCGGTCCTGCGTCCACGCAGACGAGGGTGCCGCCTCGTTGTCTCCCCTGACTCGCACTCACCAGCTGCTCTGCCTCGTCGGTCTGCTGCGGGGCATGCCGAACGCAGACCTCGGATTCGTCTTTGACGATTCTGGATACGATGACAGCGACCTCGATGACTGGGACGTCACCGGCAACTATGGCGCATACGACACTGCGGGCGATCCCTCGATGTCGCTGGACGACGACGACGGAGCTTTCCGAGACACCAGCGACTACGATCAGGTCGACTTGGAGCTTCTAGGTACTCCCCGAATACTCAGCATCGGCGCTCTACGGCCGACCATCCAGGAACCTGTCGCCATGCTGCTTCCCGGGTGAAGTTCGTCCGACGGAGCTCGCCTGACAGCTGCCCACTGCAATTGCGCAAGCACGCCCGTTCGCCACCCGCTGCTCTCCTCACATGTCGTCATTGCCGGATCACCACGCCCGTTCTCAGATGCGTCTCCGCTGGAAAAGTTTTCAGTCTTCACCGAGAGCGAAATCATCCAGCGAAGGTATTCTCGTCCAGCAAGCATTTGCAGACGGCGATGCTGCCAATCGATGCTCCGACATGCCAGTCGTCACCGGCATTCGATAACATTTGGTGGTTCAATCGTGGATGCGGTTGCGGTGTCGCTCTAGACTGTATATCTCCAGTGAAATGATGACGGTTCTGCAAGCGTGTTTCCATGAAGACGTCGTCCAACACCTCTTGCCCTTGATTGGAAGGCTGGCCAACGACCCTGGTAAGCCCTTTCCCCAGTCTGTTTCTCGGCTTCATGAATCAGCGCTGGCGTGCTGCGTGCTGCGAGCCACTTGCACGTAGATGCGCTCATGAATCGGGCTCGCTACGATGGCCAACCATTCGAAAGGATCCCTCGATGTCCTGGGATTGCTGTTGGCTCGCCGTGGCTGCTTGCCCTGCAAACGTCCCTTCGTTGCCATCCTTGGAATTATCGCACCAGCTTCTTCCCCAATCGCCTCGACAGCGCCACGATCGAGTATGTAACTGACCGGCCGATCGTCCCAGATTCTGCTGTTCGTCAAAATGTCGCACAAAGGCTCAGCCAGCTTGGGCAATACTTTATCAACGTAAGAGTTGCCGCCGTCCTCCCGGGTCGATATTTTTGCGCGTGAACCAAAAGTGTCGACCTGTCAGCCAGCCTCTCTGTCGGTGGCACCGATGCGCTGCCGGTACACCCCGTACTCATCAACCCCAATCTCAACTTGGCTGCGTCCCGCACACGGTCTTGTCGCACCCACCGCCATATCCCGACCACCCCATGGCGCAACGGCCTGCTCTGTCCTCCCGACACGACAGCGGATCTCCGAGTTCCCCTCCGAGCTCGACGACGTCCTCCATATCTTCCGGATCTTCATAGCACCCATTTTCGTCTTGCACCTGATCGACAGCGAGGTTCTCGTTGCCACAGCCGCGCACGAGAGCTTTATCGCACTCATCAAGCTCATATACGACTACAAGTCCGAGAACGAACGTGTGTTCAAGGCCCTGTCGTTCATGAAAGGTATGTGCACAGCCTTTTGCTCCAACAGCACCGTTCACCGGCCGTGCTGTGAATCTGGGGTGACTAACGCCCTCGGCACCACTGCAGACTCGACCGAGACCCTGCCCGTGTCTCCTCCGAAACCACAGGCCGAGTGGCAGCGGCGGTTGGTGCCGCTTCTACTCGAGTCGGTGGTTGTGCAGCTTGTCCAGTACGACTCGATAGAGCCCAACGGCGATATGGACTACGGCAAAAAGGACGAAGAATCAAAGTGCGCCTCGTTGGAGGTATGCCATCCTCGATGCAATTAGCTGAACGGCGGACTAGAATCTCTGAGCCGGAAGTGTTGCGGTTCTTTGCATCCTTCTGCGCGACTGCCTTGGCAGGGATGTGGCCAAACCCCTAAAGCTGTGTCCTCCGTGCCACCGTGACCATCTTGGAAATGTGATCCGTTTCGTTGACGCTGCTCAATCTCCCAGCTTATGAAGGACCTCTGTGCCACTCTGAGTGCCGAAATCTCCAAGATCACATTCCTGCCTTGGCTGGATGTGCTGTATACGTCTCCGCACTTCAATGTGCGCAAGGTGCGTACGTCAGCCTTTGCACCTATATCACCCTACCAAGGGGACATGGCTCGCTCTCCAAGTGTCGGCGTCAACAAACTCATCTCTGGCACGATTCTCATCATATGTCCCCTCCATCACCCGTAGCAATGCGCCACCTTGATAGGATCGCTGTCGCCTATTGTTGATGATTCCGAGCTTGATCATCTTGTGGGTATTTTGATATGGCGCACATTGAGGACGCCTCGTTGGCGAAGCATCGAGACTGAATTGTCGTTATCATCCGCTGCACCTCAGTAATCGCCCTCATCGCCCCCTCCCACTGACACCTTCTCTGCGTATCGTCCCTCGATTTCAGTTTGGCATCTTTGACTCGCTTGTCCAGGATGGCGTTTGGAATGTGCGCAAGGCTTGTGCAGAGGCACTTCCCGAGCTGGCTAGTCGCCTGTCTGGGGCAGATCGGTGTCAGAAGCTCCTTCCGATCTTCATTCGCTTGACTGAAGATGTCTCGCGATGGGTCGTGGCGGCAGCATACGATGGGATCGGCAAGTTTATCTTCTCATTCAAGGATGATGGCGTGCCAGACGAGCTCATGGGCCTCTATCTGAGCATGACTTCGATCAGCCAGAATCTGGCCAAAGCCAAGGAAGTCGACCGCAGCTTCAAATGTGCCTTTGCCTTCCCGGCGGTGCTCATTGCCATCGGCGGCGGCGACAAGTGGGACGATGTCAAGGACGCTTTCATGATCCTTACCTTTGACCCTTCGGTAAGTGCCTCTCTTGATCTTCCGGACAAGCACAAGTGATATCATCGCGACATGCATCGAAGCCGGGCAGAGAGCGTGGGTGGCCGAGTGCAGGCAAATGATTCCATCAAATGCCTTCGCGACGCGCACAGCCCTTTACCGCCTAGCAGCGATTCCTCCCCCGCTGGCATTCCTGGCTCAACGTGTGGCTACCCGACTAATTGAAACATCGTCTCTTATACGCATTGTCGTGCCAAAACGCAGCCGCAAGTGCGCCGTACCCTGGCTCACTCCCTCCACGAAGTTGCCCGCATCATCGGCTCCGAACGGACGATGAAGGACTTGGTCGGCGTCTTTGACCGCTTCATTTCAGACATTGACGAAGTCAAGCTTGGCGTCCTTGGTCACATCACGGACTTCCTCAGCTGCCTCAACGAAGATGTGCGCGAGCCATATCTGTTTACCCTGGACCGGCTACGCGAGGGCGTCGAGGGATGGCGATTGAACTGGAGGACTCGCAAAGCCATTGCATCGTATGTATCACGGCGTGTCCTTCCATCGGCTCTGCTGCTTGTCCTGTGGGCACCAATCGGCAAGAGCTCGGGTCTGTTATTTCCGCTCTCCCGCTGTTCCTGTGCGACCCCCCCCGTTTCCATATCCATGCCTGCCTCTCTGACTCCTGCCTGGTCGCTGTCCTGGAACAGTCAATTCGGAAGCATTGCCAAGCTGTACACGCCCTTCAGCATAGCGCAGTATATCGTTCCGATGGCCTTCAAGCTCGCCATGGACGACGTTGCGGATGTGCGAGAAGCATCGGTGTTGAATGTAGGAACTTGCGCTCGACCGACAGCTTAACCTTTATGGGCTTGGTTTGGATTAGTTTAGTTTGGATTGTTTCCCGGCACAATCAAGTGCCTTGCCTCTGATCCCTTTCAACAGCCACTGAGCTTCCTCTCTCCATCTCTGCTCTCTAGCTGGCCCAAGTTCTGATTCATATCAAGTCCCTAAATGCCGAGCCGTGGCTCGGCAACATTGTCAGCGGGGTCTCTGAGTTTGCCAGCAAGCCCAACTACCAGCTCCGCATTTTGTAAGCTCGCTCAGCCGCGCTATTACTGGCCGTGCGATGGGAAGCTCTTGATCCTGTTGCAGAACGGACCTCAGCCAATTTTCCTCTGACTCTGACCTTACCTCGCTCCGCTCAGCTTTGTCCAGTGTTGCGAGGTCCTGGTGACAGATCCGCTGGGCGCCGAATTGTTTGACGCGCATTTTATGAAGCTATTCATCCAGCTCGGCAGCGATCCCGTCCCCAACGTCCGTATCAATATCGCGCGAGCTCTGAGCCGGACCATAGTCAAGATCGGTACGTCCGACAGCATCGAGGCGATCAAGACAAGGCGCCGTCTCGCTCTTCCCTGGTGGTTGCTGCCATTGTGATATCCGTTAATCGACCCACAACGAATTCCGTGCGCTGATGATTCTACCTTTCCGTGCTGTTCATTGCTTCTACAGACCGATACAAGAGTCTCTGGCAGGCCAATTCGGAGCCAACTCCGTTGCACGAGCTGACCATCCGTCTCCGAACCGATACCGACCCCGATGTGTCGGCCCTGATTGCCTCGGCGGCACCGATTCGAGCCAAGCGACGCAGCAAAGCCAACCACGTCGGCTCCAAGTCCGGGAATGATGGCGACGGCAGCGACGAGGAGCGGCCCCGCACCATGTTTTGTCTCGACGACGTCGAATCCATTGCTGTCCTCGACAAGCCAAGCCCGAGCCCCAAACGCGAGCCCGTGCGGTCGCCCTTGAGCCCAAACGGCAAGTCGCCCGTGCGGCTGGAGATTCCGCCGCTTGCGTTGGAGCAGCCGTCCGCCTCTGTTCCCGAGCATGCCATTATCAAGGCCGAGGAGTCGCTGCAAGTCAAGATTGAGCGGGACCAGCCCAAATCGCCCATGATCAAGGTGCAGATGGATGGAGTCGTTGTCGTTCGCAAAGGCGATGTATCGCCCATAAGCCCCGTCTCGGCCGGCGCATTGCCGATGCCCGACCTCGACATTTCGAAATGAGCGCATCGCTGTCCCCGCCCCTGAGGCACGATGCAGTGCAAACTCAACGCGGCACCTGGGCTGCCCTTTTATATAATGCGCCGGCTGCATGTGGTCCTGAAAAACGCCCGCGTCGACGTCACCGGTTCCTGATAGAGGCTCCGCTTGTGTCCAATGTGCTGCCAAGCTGCATTTTCCTCTGCCACGCTTCCACGCTGGCGGTGCTGGTTGACGGCGTGATTCATGACCATCGGCGAATGCATTGAGATCCGCTGCTCTCGACGATGTAACTTTCTCGAACAGCTTGCAAAAACGAGACAAGCCAGCGTCGGCCCCATCCACAGTTCCGCTTCCTGAATAGAAATAGTCCCCCTCCCGCCATGTTTAACGGCAGCAATGCCTGTCGCAGCGGGCCGACGGAATCTATATTCGTACGCGACCAGTTGTTGTGGCTATAGATCGCTTTTCGCTGCCTGTGTGGCTCTGGAACTGCTATGCAAACCAGAGCGGGAACGACGGCCGCTCGACCAAAGCCATCCACAGAGCAGGTCATTGCCACGTCGCTTGACGAGCGACAACCAGGCGCCGGAGAGCCGAGGCTTGCCAACGAAGCAGTGAAAACGAAGTGCATCAGCAAGCCTGATCTCCGCCTTTGGCCGCTATTGATTCATCGAGGGTCACTAGTTCTTGCAGTGTCGTGTTGTCGCCAGTGCCGGGAGGTCAACAGACCATGCTTGAGAAGAGTGAGAATCACCACTAACGAAGATAAAGAGTACGGAAGAATAATCACTGCAAATCGAATCAAATCGAGTCGAGTTGGGTCGAAGGAAAAGCAAAAGCAAGGCGAAAGATGGAACTATCAAACAGGAAAGTCAAAGTATATGAATGAAATGCCAAGAGCCAGGTGGCGATGAGCGGCGAGCGTTTGTAAAGGCTTGAGGCGAAACAAACATCGTTATCATGCCACCATATCAAGTTGCCAGGGTCAAGTCACAATGATCAAAAACGGCAAAATGGACACAACAGGAGGGCGCGCGGATCAGCCGAGGCGGGTCGCAAGTGTTGGAAGGGAGGGGAGCAGGAGATTCCGGTAGTGTCGTCGAGCTGGGGTTTGTACATGATCGGTTGTTGGAGATGGCCCGCCGGTCGTTGCTTCGCATGGGGCCTGCCACCGTCGGTCGGCGAGGATATGGTGCCGAGCCAGGATCTGCTCACGAATGAACAGCCTGGTCGGATGCGGTTTCTTTCAGAAGTAGGAGCCGTTGCCTCCGGGCCGACTGTCGGAGCCGGTTGGCTTCTCGGTAGCGCTCGGTCTCTTCGGGGGTAAGCTCGGCTCTTCGACGGGCCTGGCGCAGGCGATTGGCCTCCCGTCTCTTCTCGGCCTCCTCTGGGGTCTGCTGGGCTCGGCGCAGTGCCTCGCGCAGACGGTTGGCCTCGCGGCGGGCTCGGAGCTTCTCGGATTCAGGGTCCGGCACTGGGGGCTGGAGCCCGACGGCGCTGAGCACCGACAAGTCCATGTTGGAAGCAAGGAGGAGAGCCTGCTCGGCAGGAAACAGATCGGGGTGGGTGATGATGCCGCCAGAGATCTGCCTGGAGCGGCCTTTGGTCTGGGTCTTGCCTCTACTGTCAAGGGATTTGGGGGAAGGTACAACCAGATTGAGGGCAGGAGCAACTTGGGCCATCTGGACGATCTGGGCGGCATGGGCGGCGTGAGCGGCTTGGGCCGCTTGAGCAGCTTGGGCAGCTTGGGCCGCCTGGGCCACGGCTTGGGCAGCCTGAGCAGCCTGGGCGGCTTGAGCGGCTTGAGCGGCCTGGGCAGCCTGGGCAGCAGCCTGAGCAGCCTTTTTGTTGTTGCGTCGGCGCTGCGAACCTTGGGTTTCGTTGGCCATGTTGATGTGACAACCAGACAGGCGGAGGCGTGCTGATACGGAGGAGAAGTATTGATGGAAAGCAAGAAGGCATCAGCCACAGCCCAGGAAGCTGGACGAAGCACAAGCGGAAGCGGAAGCAGGCACGAAGCGGCCGTTGTTGGTTGGTCACAGGACAGTGCTCGCCTCGTGGTGAGTTACCACCAGCACGCCCGTCACAGAGTATGCCTGGCCAGCAATAAGAGTAACATCGCGGCACCCGATATTGGCTCTCCTCACCAGACAGCAACACGAGAGTGAGATCGGAGCGGGTGGATAAGCCGGGCTTTGGGGGAATGCTGCCGTCAGCTGCAGAGGCGCTGGAGTAGAGGGAGAAGCCGGTGTCTCGATGCTGCCGCCAGAGGAGGAAGACTCGATGAGCTGGCTGGGGAGGGCTCGCGGGCCTGACCGAGGACAGCGAGATGCAAGGCAGGGCGATGCAAGACAGAGCGGACCGACCGGCGACGTTTCGCACCTTCGGCGCACACACACACGGGATTGGGCTGTGCTGCGCACGCGGTGTCAATAGCGGGCTGTGGAAATACGGGTGTCCTCGCTTCTCGGCGAGAGCCGTCTCGCTGCCGTGGCTCTCGCCGAGCTCGTCGCCAGTGCCCTGCATGCCAATGCAGGGCTCGGCATCGGCGAACAGCGTCCTTTGGTGTCGCCATGGGCAGCGATTCCCATTGCACACCGACGCTCAGCTCGCTTCACCGCCAGTTCCACAAACTGAGACGCCCAAACATAGCAGCCACATTGGACGCGGCGAGCGGCGTCTTGGTCAGGCTCAGGCTGTGTGCCTGGGCATCATATCGCTTGCATCGAGTCGCTTTTGCCGGGTCGCAGGCAGAGCAGCCACAAAGACAGATGAACCACAAAGACATATGAACCACGAAGACAGCAGCCAGATATCTCCGCATCCCCCGGCAGCCAAGCAGCACCAAACAGGGCGCCCAGGAGTGCAGCCATGCGAGTTGATTTGCGGGGGTTCGCGTCGCGTCGACAGGAAACGAGGGGAAAGCGGCGTGTGTACGAAAATCAGCAGACAGGAGATACACACTGCCGACTCGAACAGACTCAGCAGGCAAGGGACTCAGCTGAAACAAGATGCGTACTGGCACAGGAGATCAAACAAGGGGTGGCCCACTCCAAGTGATGGCCGATAAAAGCAGCCCCGTCGCCCCTCGTTTCTCCCGTCTGTCGATCGCCCTCCAAGATGGTCTTCAAGATGCTTTCGTGCTGCTTCGGGTCGTCCGACGACTCTCCCAGCGACAGGGGTATCCCTGGAACCGCCGCCCCTCCAGTCTCGGCTCCAGCCATGACAACCTTGCTCCTGCCCGATGGTGAGCCTGCTGCCGCTGCTGCCGCTGCCGTCGAGGCTGGCGCCGAAGCTGATGTGGATGCTGCAGCCGAGTCAGCCGCTTCTGCCCAGCAGCCCAAGCCAGCCATGGCTGCCTATGACCCCTGGATGCATCCTGTCGAAGCGATCATCAAGATGGCCCAGAACGAGCCCCATGTCCTCGCCGCCATCACACTCGAGAACGGCAAGGCTGAGCGCTATAGCTACCTCCAGCTCTGGGAGAAGGCTTACTCGATTGCCCAGGGGCTCAAGGCTCTCCCGGGCTGGAACGATGAGGGCCACGACGTCGTGGCGACGTTCTGCGAGCCCGAGGTGCACTGGATGTTCTATTCGGTTGCCCTGTGGATCCTCGGCAAGTGAGTGGCCGCGGCAATCGCTCGCCTCATGCTGTTGCCATGCTGCTGCCATGCTGTTGCCATGATGTTGCCATGATGTTGCCATGCCGGAGAACACTAACCCTGGCCCACTCCGACTTGCTGCTCCAGGAAAGTCATCAACTTTGCCCTCAACTGGCCCTCGTCCGTCCGCAAGGCCATCTGCGACAGGTTTGTTCTTTGACAGCATGGCTCGCCCGTTGGCAACTCAGCGATATCCAGGGCACGAGCGATACCAGCAACACCAGCAACATCAGGGACGCCCACACATCTGACAACCCACCCTCGACAGGCTCAAGATCCGATATGTGCTCTACCACCACACCAAGCCCGGACGAGTCGAAGGACTCGAGCCTATCGATGCTGGCGCCTTCCCTCTCCTGGACAGCGTCCCGGCTCCCTCGCTCGAAGCCTGCGAGCCCCTGAACGACTACATTGTCTATCTCAGCACATCCGGCACAACTGGTCAGTATGTCCATGGTCTGCGCCATGGGATACACCAATATGGCTTCTTGGGTTCCAACACGAGTGTCTGCTGCCATAGGACCAGCATGTCGCTTTGGCGAGCTTTGACTGACCACCGACCTCTCGCTTCACAGGAATCCCCAAGACGTGAGTTGTGTGGTCTCTTGTTGCTGCCACCAGCATGTTTTGCTCTAACGCCAGAATACTCGCCGAACAGGTATCCAGTGCCCCATCGGTTTGTTGAGCCGAGCCGCGGAGTCAATGGACTCGAGTACACCGGAAGCGGTGTGCTTCAGGTAATGGTGGTCTTGATGATGCTATTCATATGTATGCACGGCGGTGGATATGGCCGTTGGTGTGCCTGGCGATGGCCAAGGACTGAGCAGTTGCTCTCATGCGGCACCGCCCGCTATTTGGCGTGCTCTCTATGTGGATTGTAGTTGGGCCATCTGACGCTCTTTCTTTCATCCTTAGTCTCCCTCGTTCACCACATCGATGGGTCTTATTTTGGGAATGCTCAATACTCGAGGCTCCCTTTGGTTTACTCGGCCAACCCCAAACCCGCAAGAGAAGGCTCAGGGCATCATCGAGCTGCTGGACGAAGGCATGACGTCGATGTATACGGTAATGCTTGCCTCCCGCGTCGATATCATATTTCACATCTCAACGCCACCGTGACACATTTCCAATGCTCATCGCACTGTACTCCTCAGACCCCTTCACTCTGCAAGCTCATCTTCAAGACTGCTCAATCGAAGAAGAAAACCGTCCAATGGAACAACGTCCTCGTTGTGGGCCTCGGCTCAGAGCTTGTGTCTGCCTCCCTTGTCAGCCAGACGAAGACTCTCTGCCCCAATGCTTTCGTCCACCTCATGTATGGATCCAGCGAGGTCAGTTTCACCGCAAGTCATATCCTATAATTATGCGATTTACGCTCCAGATCGTTGCCCACCAAATCTAATCATTCCGATTCTCCTTCAGACTGGCGTTATCGGCGCCATGTCCGCTTGTATCCTTCCCTCGTCCGCCCCCAGCCCGTCCCAGGTGGTGTACAAACAGCCAAAGCCAAATGTGCGATGTCTCCTCTTTGACGAGGAGGGCAACACTGTTGACCAGAGCGTCTCCAAGAGCGGCATCCTCGTTCTGGCTGTCGACAAGGACGACCCTATCAAGGACCATCCCAACTTCACCACCGCCAATCCGAACGACAAGTTGGCTTCGTTTGGCTTCCTCAGCGACGGCTCGCCCCGTGTCTGCACCATGGACTGGGTCGAAATGACTGGCGAGAGCGAGTTCACTGTCATTGGGAGGTAAGGCCAATGGCTGGGTGCTGCATCTCTCATTGATGGCGAGTGCATATCTGGCATCCCGACGACACATCCCACTCCTGCATCCCGGGTACCCATGCCATCCATTCCCTCACTCCATACCATCACATCATATCATTGCCAACCACAGATTCGGCCAGAAGGTCAAGGTCAACGGCGTCTATGTCGACCTCAATGCCCTCGAGGAAATGGTCAACCAGGACCTCAGCGAGCACGTCGCCGACTGCATCTTCATCCAGACCTCCGAGCTCAAGATCGTGATGCTCTATGTCCCCCAGAAAGGCTCCACCTTCAACGCGACGCCGGGAGAGATCATCCAGATGACCGAAAACCTGTTTGCCCTCAAGAACGTTGCCAAAGTTCCCATTCGCAACTGCCTGGAGCTGGAGGCGTTCCCCTTCAACGACTCGGGCAAGCGCGATCTCAAGAAGCTCAGGCACATCGCCGAGAACATCGATAGCTATGGCAAGTCGGTCCAGTACCCATCTCTCATCATCGAGGACACTCCACTGTCCCGCACGGCCGCCAAGATATCTCAGATCGGCAGTCAGATCCTCGACAACCCCGCCCTCGACGGCCGCAACTACTACATCGGCGGCGTCGGCTTTGACTCGCTGAGTGTCGGCCGTCTGGCCCTCGCCATCAAGGACGAGTTTGATGTCGAGATCTCGCCTCTGATCTTGCTGTCGAACGGAATGACACCGACTGATGTCGCCCAGTTGGTTGTCGACATCCTCGACGACAAGCCCCTCATTCCTCCGACTGTTGATCTGGCTGCCGAGGCCGCCAAGCTCGACGATGCGAGTGTGACGGCCGAGGGTCTCCCTCCGTTTGTCTATCCCAAGGACCCTCGCGGCATCGTCCTGACCGGTGCCACTGGCTTCCTCGGTGCCTTCCTGATCTTTGAGCTGGCCCACAAGTTCCCCCGTGCCAAGATCTACTGTGTGGTGCGAGCCCAGAACGAACAGCTGGCATTTACCCGGATTTTCGCCAATGCCTCCAAATTGGTGATTGCATCGAGAAAGGCTGGTGATCCGCGGTACGATGTGCGCGACCGATTCATCGGACTGTGCGGCGATCTGTCGAAGGACAAGTGGGGACTCTCGGACGAGCGATGGAAGGAGATCAGCGAGGAGACCGACATGATTGTCCACAACGGCGCCGAGGTCCACTGGCTGTTTGACTATGACAGACTCAGGGGACCCAACGTCCTCAGTACGGCGACGGCCCTGAGACTGGCCACAACCCACCACCTGAAGCCGCTGCACTACATCTCGACCATCGGCACGATCCCGATGGCCAAGAAGGCAGACAAGCCGCTCGAGGAGAAGATCTACTCGGCCTGGAACATCTCTGGCGGCTATTCGCAGACCAAGTGGGTCTCTGAGCAACTGATCAACAAGGCACGATCAAGGGGAGTGCCGGTGACGATCATTCGCCCAGCCGTCATTGCTGGTGACAGCAAATACGGAGGTGAGTCGAGTGTGGTGTGGTGTGATGTGGTGTGGTGTGATGGAGATGTGGTGTGGTGGAGTTGTCTCATTTGTCCCATGGACTGGCCATGAATCGATGGTCTCGATTGTCAAGTGCCACTCACCCACCAACTGACACCAACTGACACCTTCACACCCTCCATCGCTCTAGTGTCCAACTCTGATGACTACATCTGGCGATATGTCAAGGGATGCATCCAGCTCGGCGTTGCTCCCTCGCACGCCACTCCTGTCACGATGACCATGGATCCCGTCGACCATGTCGCCAAGGTGGTTGCCGAGATTGCCGGCTCGGAGGAGTCCCTGTCCAAGTTTGTGTTCCACATCAGCGACTCGGAGCACAGGTGAGGAGTGTGATATGGTGTGCGATGTGTTGTGGTATGGATGGTGGATCCCGACTCTATGATTACTCACTCACTCACTCACCACAGTGCCCTCACTGAGACCAAGCTGTTCGAGATTGTCAAGGCTTTTGGCTGGACTGTGCTTTTCGAGTCCCGCGAGCAGTTCAAGTTCCTTCTCACCTCCAATCCCTCTGCCGCAAACAACTCGCTGTTCCCGCTCATGCACACCATGATGGACATGTCTGTCAAGCTCGACAACGCCAACACCCGCTCGATCTACCCGACGCCCGGTGTCTCCACCACGGTGCTCGCTAAGAAGTGCCTCAGCTACCTCTACCACGTCGGCTTCCTCCCCAAGCCCGAGAATCCGTCGAGCGAGCTCAAGGACGAAGAGTATCCCGAAGTCAGCATCTTTGGCCGCACCGGCCGCAACTGATATTCAGGATCCCACTCTGGCTTTGCTTGGGCGATCGTCCGAACATTGATGCAGTTCCCCTGGAATCGGTGTGCTCTTAAACAAAAATGAGGGTATTGTCTGCTTCTCCGGATCCTGAATACACGTAGCCGCCCATTATCCATAAGGACCGCCACTAAACTCCTGCTGCGGTGCTGCGTTTTGAACATGCTGTATTATGAATCAAAGGGCTGGCCCGAACACTATTGCTCAGGCGTCCCCGCCAACTTGTGGTGTCCCCCGCTGACATCAGTGTCCTGTGAGCCCGATGTACTCAGCCACAAAGACCCTGAAGATCCTGGCAAAGTCAAGGATCACATCGGCGTCGAGATGCTTTGCGTCATCGTGGACCGTGTGCCAGCCAGGCGGGAACGGCTGGGTGATCAGGTGGACGATGGATACGCCTCGGGTCTGAAATGGGAGGTGATCGTCCTGGATGGAGTTGCGGGACTGCCAGTGTTTCATGCCGCTCATAAAGTAGCCATGGCCGTTTCGCTTCGCCTGAGTTACGAGCTTGTTGGAGGCATGGCCCTCGGCAATGAGTCGCTTCTGGATGTCGACCAGCCGCTCAAAGGCCCAAGCCGTCTGGCCGTTGGTGTTGAAGATGGTCGGCTCGGGCGCTCCAAGCAGATCCAGTAGCACGAAGAGCTCGATGCGAGAGAGTGTGCTGTAGCTCGAGCCGCCTGCGCCGACAAAATACTCCTGTTCCCATTTACTGGCCAGGTGGCGAGATCCGTAGAGCGAGTCGGTCGCTGTCCAGTCCTTGAAGGCCTCCTCTCCATCGAAAAAGACAAACTGCAGGCTGGGCATGTCGTTCTGGGTCTCCTGGTCGGCGCGGCTGAGATGGTCGTCCAGTTCATGCAACAGCGGGTCCAGTGTCTTGGCAATGTCGACCAGGATGGCACACGGCACTGACGAGTCTGTCGCTCCGACAAAGTCAAAATCCTTGAAGTATTTGGAGTCAAAGTGGGCAGCCAGCACCAGCCGAGAGAGCGCCCGCGGGTTCTGGGTGACGACGATGTTGGTGAAGGATTTGTGTCCATACGGCGTCGATGCGTTGAAGGAGTCTGTTTCGACGTCCCAGCCAAGGCCCCGGAAGGTCTGAATGATGTACTCTTGCACCTTCTTGTTTTCCGGGGTGCCCGATACCCGCGGCGTCAGAAACGGAGCTAGGCTCGAATCCAGGTGGCTCTCGGCGGTGCCGCCGGCCTTGAGAAAGTCAAGCGACAGCGACGATTCGAGATGATAGTCGACAACGACCGCGGCAAGCTGCTTGGACGTCAGCCGAGACGAAAGCCGCGGCTGGAACTGAGAGCCCGCATGCGCTAGCGTCGGGATCGGGCTCAGCGTGATCAGGCCCAGCAACAGAAACCCGACAGTGCAGGCAAACAAGCAGGAGAGAGTCGCCCTGGGCTTCCACTGGCCAAGGCAGTAGCGCAGACGGCTCTGGCGATGGAGCACAGCGCTGGGTCCATCCATGGCGGTGCCGAGCTCGAGGTTCATACAGCAGGAGTGTGCTCGGCGGGATCGATCGGCTGCAGTGTCAGAGCAGCTGGAGGGAATATCGGTGTTGCTGCAGGAGGGAGGGCGGGCGGGAAGGCGAGATGGACGGGCAACCAACACTATGAAAAAAATTCTTGTTAATAAAATCAGCGAGAACGAAAAAACACGCTCTCGGAGCCACCTCGGTCGGCGAGAAGAGCAGTCTCTGGCGAGAGACCCCCGAGGGAAGGCGAGAAGCCTCTCGCCGTCACACACACACACACACACACACACACACACACACTTTGCAAGGGAGTCAACCACTTCCCATCAACCATCCCAAGAGGGATGGCAACCCCGAAGTGGACTGCCCAGAATATGGGCGACCCGGCATCCACTGTCGAAATGCACAAGGAACAGTGCGAGATACTTACAGTCTATCCAGAAAAAAAACGGGACACTTCCCCTTTCTGGCTTCTGAAGCCCGCTGACTGACTTGTAGGCCCAGCGGGCAGGCCATGGCATTGCACTCCTGTCTTCGTTGGCAATCGAGTGGTTTTGGTTGGTTTGGGAAGCATGGTCTTGAATGCACTCGGTCGATCTCCTGTGGCGATGATCGACTGGCATACCGAGATCATATTCCTCGAGGCATTGATGTCTCGATCCCACAGCGTATGGCAGCTTGCACAGCTCCGGACAAAGTGTGGTTTCTCGATATCAAGATGCTCGGGTGACTCGAGTCGCTTGGCTTCCCGACAATGTGAGCACACCTGGGATGTGTTGAACCCGTTCACAGAGCACACATGGATCTTGGAGATGGATCGGTCTGGTGGGCGTCTCTGGTGGTGGTGGAACTGCTCAAAGTATTTGGCGAACCTGAGTCTCCTGGGACTGGATGCGTATCCCTTCCCTTGCTTCCAGGAGGCATTCCCAAAGGCAATCACCACTTCGGTCTCCCTTGGTGCCTGGTCGATGACTCGCTTGCACATCTCGTGAACAGTGCGCTGTCGCTTGCTGTGGAGATCGAATCGCTTGAATCGCCGTCGCCGGGTCAGGCTGAAGTACAGCTGTTTGTCCAGCATGTCTCCATCGAACACATGGCGAATGTATTGCAGGAAGGAAGCCACTCCAGGGATCTTGGGACTTGGTGTGGTGCTCATCCACTGCTGCAGATCAAGGATCATGTGGGTGTTCTGGATCCACTTGGTCGCCTGGGTGGTGTCTTTCGCTTGCGGGGAGCCATCTGCGCGAGAAAATAGCGACGATGGCTGGTTCTGCCCTTGGGGAAGAAAGAATCTCCTCAAAACCAGCGCATTTTGGGCTGGCAGAGATACTGCGCAGTGGCGTCCTTGATTCAGATCCAGAAACGCATCGCTCGCTCAATCAGTCGTGGGAAGACATCTTGTCAAGGTGAGTCTTGCCTGATAGCCAAACGATCATGTCATCTCGCTGACACACAGCCACGCTTGACTAGGCTTCCAACCAGAGAGATTCAGATGGTGGTGGTTCTTGTCCGCAGTCGGAGTGGAGCTTCCAACAATGATACAATTGGTCATTCCTCAACACCAATTGCCCACTACCACCGTCAATTGGCTCAAGGTGATACCAAATGCCGTCAACCGACCATGGCCGGATTCCAACTTTTGCTGCGCTACATACAACGTGACTTTCGGGTGACCGAGATGAGCAGCCGCGAGGGGGCCGGAAAAAATTGATAGTGCAAGTCGTCGTCGGCCCGGCTCCAGCCAGACACTCGCTTCTTCTCCAACCCTGTTCTCTCGCGGAGCTTGCGATCGCCCGCCGTGACAACTTACTCCCCCGCTCGTTCCTGCCGCTTGCAGCGCACATGTGCGGCATCCTCTGTGGGCTTGCCCGGTCGACTGGCCCGGTCGACTTACGATCGTCCAAGGTTGGTCGTGCTGTCTGTCGTCCACAGCATGTCGCAACCACCCAGAAGCAGATCCAGTCGAGGCTCGTGAGTGTAACTTCCAGCATTTGCATCACCGATAGTGGGCCCCGATGTGGGAGGCACTGCTGCTGAAGAACAAGAACAGAGGTAGCTGTCGTGTGGAGGGCATTCACACCTGTGCGTGAAATGAACTTGGGCTTCGGATCGTACCCAAGGACTCCAGAGATTGCTGCAGCATACCACCGGCCACATGCCCTCAGCCATTCGAGTCCACAATTGGTCGACCGACACCGTCGATTGATCTATACCAACAGCTGCACAATGCCGATAGCTGCAAAATGTCGATAATCAAACTCTGCTCCTGCAGGCCCCGATCATCAAGGCTCTCTGGTGTTCACTGCCAACTCGCTCGCCCTAACGATGCATTCGACCGTCCTGCACCTGCGAGGGAGCCAGGTCACACCTCAGCCGTATCAACCCCACTCGGAGTGTCCCGCTCCTCTGCTCGACAGAGTCTCTGCGTGCTCCTCGCCCATAGCACTGTCCTTCAATGGCGAGATCTATGGCGGACTCGACGGGATTCTTGACGACAGCCATCTGGACACGAATGACACTGCGGCAGTGGCCGAATTTATCGCCCAGAACGTCGGCGATTCTCCAAGCCTGCTCAAAGGCATAGCAAAACTCAAGGGCGAATGGTCCATGTGCTTCTATCAACTCGATCGGCGGCGGCTGTGGTTTGGTCGCGACTGCCTCGGCCGGAGATCGCTTGTGGTTCACTACCCGAGTCTTGCTGGCTGGGTGGCGGGTTCGGATCTCTTCTTGATATCCTCGGTGACGGCCGGAACGGAGATGGACCCGCCGGGCTTTTGGACAGAGCTGCCTGCAGATGGGATGTACTGTCTGGACCTGCGCTCGCTGGATGAGGCGGCTCAGACCCTGAACCAGGCTCTGGAATCAACCCCACAAGGACCCGACGCCAGCAGCTTTTCAAGCCAAGTAAGCGCCGCAGATACAGATTCCAGCATCGGATGACGAAGCGTTGGTTATTGTGCAGTGGCATACCGACAGCATCTAACCGCGGCTGGATTGTCAGTTCAAGGAGCATATCCGCCACTTCCCATGGAGCTCAGCGGTATCCCAAGTTGGCTCTGAGGACTTTCTTGTAAGACCCAGCGGCTGATTGCATTCATTTGGAAGCTGCTGCCTCCGTCTTTATGGCACTGGGCTCGTTCGTGGATGGCGGCTGTCATGCGATGAGACGGTCCTTGATACCGGCGCTTTCTGCGACTTCCAGGCCCTCACGCCCATGGCCCTTGCATCCCCAGCCAAGCCCGCTGCAGGACATCAACAGTACCCTTCCCTCGGTCTCAGAATCGGATCAAGTTGTGGACTACTTGCTTGCGACAACTCTGCCAAACGAATTCCCGGTCTTGCCCGAGCACACAACGGCTGTGCTCAGGCGATTCGACGAAGCCTTGAGCAATGCAGTCCGGCGGCGAGTTCAGAGTATTCCAAAACTCATCCAAAGGTGGGAAGCCAGACACCCATCCTGCGCCGTGTGTTTGTTGATATCGTGCTTCTGCTTCGCTCGCCATCGATTGGTTTCCGTAGCGAATGGGCCACCTCTGTCGTTGCTCGATCCTTGGCGTACTCACCCGTGCCGATCGATGTATTGGTTGCCCAGCCCAAAGCCACATGCCGCCCGTCTTGGAGTTCTGTTCTCGGGTGGTCTGGATTGCATTGCCCTTGCTGCCCTGGCGCACCGCCACTTGCCGCTAGATGAACCCATCGATCTACTCAACGTTGGGTTTGAGAATCCTCGAGTTCAAAAGGCTCAGTCCGCCAAATCCAGCAGAGGCAAGAAGCGAGAGAGCGCTGCTCTCGACAGCGAGTGCGACAGCCTTTCGGGTGCTCCCATCAAGCCAGTTGATGCAGCCTCGGCCACTGTTGACGATGAGTCAGTGTACAACGTCCCTGACCGCTTGACCGGGCTCTCGGGGCTCGCAGAATTGAAGGAGAGCTGCCCCGGTCGGCAATGGAACTTTGTCAAGATCAACATCACTTACAAAGAGGCCATGGAGAAGAAGGACTACATCGCGTCGCTGATGATGCCGCTGTCGACTGTGATGGATCTGGTGCGTCCGCATCTCGGGCTGCCGCAGCACGCTGCTCCATCAGTGGCTTGATGCATTGACCATCTCTGTTTGGATCGGGACAATCGTGGTGACTTTGCAGAGTATTGCCATGGCATTTTGGTTTGCCTCTCGCGGAGAAGGTATGCATTGTGTTCTCCTTCCGAAGCATAGCTTCCGCAGCGCCGTATCTGTGGTGCCTATGCTGACCCAGATCTATCGATTCATCCCGACAATTGCTGGAGCTTAGGCGTGCTCCACGATGTAAGTAGGCAGCCCCAGCGTATGTGGCATGTTTGGAGCACCTTGTTGCAGGCGTCGCCGTTCTGATTTGTGCCAATGGATGGTTCCCTGCAGGACAATCGACCGTACAGCTCGCCGGCCAGAGTTCTGTTGAGCGGCCTTGGTGCGGATGAGCAGCTCGGAGGATATGGCCGCCATAAGGTCAGGTTCGATACGGCGGGGTGGGCCGGCCTCTACGAGGAAATCAAGATGGACCTGGGGCGCATCTCGGAGCGAAACATGGGTCGCGACGATCGCATCATAGCCGATCATGGCAAAGAGGTAGGCTCTGATGCTGTGGAAAACAGGCGACGCCCGATGCTTGGAGGGTATTCATAGCGATGGCGAGACGGCTCTTCAGCTTCCGCCGTGCACTGGATCGCATCCGCAACGCTCGAGCTGACTGACGTCCCGATCATCTGGCGCGGGCAGGTGCGATTCCCGTTCCTGGACGAGGGACTTTGTCAACGTTGCGTCGTCGTTGCCAGTGTACCACAAAGCCGATCTGCGCTTCCGCAAAGGCATTGGCGAGAAGCTGGTGCTGAGGATGTACGTCCAGCGCGAGCTGGGGCTCACAAAGGCGGCAACGGAGCCCAAGCGGGCGGTGCAGTTTGGTGCGCGGACAGCAAAGATGGAGCACGGACGCGAGGCAGGAACCGATCGGATCTGAAGCCGGCACGGCATTGACCGAGGCAAGAAAGCGAGAATACACCCAGAAAGGCCCGGCATGGACATGGGCCGCGCGCGCAACACATGGGAGATGATGCTGATTTGAAATGCAACCGGTGCGGGGTGGGCTGTGGCACGCAAGTCGCAAGAGAAGGCTGGTGGTGGCAAAACAAATTGCGACTCTGGCATGGGAAGCCACAGCAGTGACGATGGAAGTGAGAACGGACGGAGGTATACGGCAACCGCACCAGCAACCACGTCGGCAACTACACCAGCAACCACGTCGGCAACTACACCAGCAACCGCACCAGCAACCGCACGAGTAACTGCGCGGCAATACCCCTGTCGATCCCGCGCAGCCGGCCCATCGGAGCGACATCGTGCGCCACCCGACACGTGTCGTCTGTGCGACAAGGCGCGTGCCGTCATGGGAATTCCCCCCGGCGCAACGGCGCGGGAAGAACGACATAAATCCATCTCCCCTCTCCCATCGCCGGCCCGGCTCTCCATCCCTTTCTGTCGACACCCATCCCAGCAATGTCCTCCAGACGAGCCGAGCGCGTCCCGCTCCTCGACGACGACGAAGACGAGGACACCCGCTCTCCCTCCATTCGTCCCGCGACATCGCCCTTGGTACACCCAACGCCGATCCCAGCTTCTGCTGGCCTTCCTGGCTGCCCTGATCTTCCTCGCCATCACCCCATTTGTGCTCCATGCCCATCTCGACTCGATCGACCATCCTCCGACCCTGAGCTCGCTCGGTCTCCCCGAAGAGGCCTTCGAAGCCGGCCTGCGTCGCTGCCTTGCTCTTGATCCTGCCCAGAAGCAGATCCAGGACAGGCTCGCCGAGCCCCGTGCCTCCAACCCTCGCTTCCCGGCCGACAGCAAGCCCACCTCCCCCAAGGATGGTGGCGCCCTCGTCATCAAAAACGCCCTGATCTGGGATGGCGATGGCAACGTCATCCATAACGCCACCCTGGCTCTCTACCGTGGTCTGATCCAGGCCGTCAACCCCAGCACCGACGAGCTGCATCACTTTGTCCAGTCCCTGCAAGACGACGAACCCGTTGCTTATCTCGATGTCGAGGGTCGCTACGTCACCCCGGGTATCGTTGATCAGCATTCCCACATTGGCACAGACTCGTGGCCATCGCTCTGGGGTCATTCCGACACCAACGAAATGAGCGGACCCACGCTGCCGCAGATGCGCTCGCTTGACTCGTTCAACTCCTTTGACGACGCCATCGGCGTTGTTCATTCGGTAAGGCGTCCGGCTCCTGAAGGGGGCGACTCGTAAGGGTACATCTCTAGTCCGATCAGCAGGTGCCTAGCCACGAGCTGGTTTGATCAGATCGGTGCGAATACAGCCATCCAGATCGCATGCATGGGGAGGCGTTGCTTGGATTACCGCCACCGATCGGGCTGGCGCAGTATCGTCAGAGCGAGCGAGCGGCTGCCGAGACGTGGATCTAACGAGGCTTTGGAGTTCGGTATCGCAGCTGACGAGTTCCGGCCTGCTTCCAGGGCGGTGTCACCACCTCGCTTGTCCTTCCTGGCTCCGGAAACCTCATGGGCGGCGAGGCATACGTGTAAGTACGGAGCATCGGAGCCATAGCCATAGCCATAGCCATAGCCATAGCCATAGCCATAGCCATAGCCATAGCCATAGCCATAGCCATAGCCATAGCCATAGCCATAGCCATAGCCACCGAGACTGCTCCTGGACCAGACCCCAAATCCCAGGGCCCAGAAACTGTTCCGCTGACTTTGTGCAACTTTTCTGCCAGCTTCAAGCTCCGCCGCACTCCCAGCAACAACTCCGAGGAAATGCTCATCAACTACAATATGAAATCCGGCGACGGAAAGCAATGGCGATGGATGAAAATGGCTTGCGGCGAGAACCCCAAGCGCTCCTATGGCCCGCGCACCATGCCCTTCTCCCGTATGGGCGAGGCTTGGCTCTTCCGTGAAAAGTTCGAGGCCGCCCAAAAGCTCAAGGATGTCCAGGACGACTGGTGCGCTGTTGCCTCCGAGGCTCGCCGCCGCTTCGGACGATCGGCCCACCGCGTCGTCAGTTCGCGCTTCCCCGAGGACCTCAAGCTCGAGAGCTTGGTTGCTCTCCTTCGCGGCGATGTCGGCCTCAACGTCCACTGCTACGAGGTTGGTCTCCTTTCCCGATGCCTTGTGTGGTCGAGTTCGCAAACGCTTCAGACAACAAAGCTAATCTCCTGTGCTTGCTTGTTTGGGCGTTAGACTCATGACCTCCAAATGATGATTCGCAACTCGCACGAGTTTGGCTTCAAGATCCGCACGTTCCACCACGCAACCTCCGCCTGGCTCCTCGGCACTGAGCTGGCCAAGGAAAACATCTCCGTGGCTATCTTTGTGAGTCTTGAGGCTGCAATCGAGTAGCAGTGGAGAGGGGGGGGAGCAGGGACTTGCTAACCACTGTGGCCATCCCTGCCTGCGGTCGTTGCTTGCTGTTTTCTTACGTCGTCCTCTCTGGACCATGCTCGGTTCGTTGCTCTTTCTGTCTCGCTCGTGCTGTCACTGCCAGTCTGATCACTGGGCATACAAAACCGAGGCGTACCAAGGCTCGCTCCACGCCGGCAAGATCCTGGCTGACCACGGCGTCCAAGTCGCCTACAAGAGTGACCATCCCGTCCTCAACTCGCAGGTTCGATGCCGCCTGTTGCTTTGGTGTTGAGCTGGGTTCACCCCGGTCCCGCGCAGAGGCTTGCTTGCATCGTCAGCGTGCATCTCACCCCACCTGGCAAGGCAGTCCTCTAAACGGCCATCCCCCCCGGTCCTCTTCAGCACCTTCTCTATCAAGCTGCCAAGGGACACCACTTTGGCTTGCCCGCACACTTGGCCTTTGCGGCGGTCACTTCGGTGCCGGCCGATCGCCTGGGTCTTGGCTGGCGAATCGGTCGACTCAAGCCCGGATACGATGCCGATGTTGTTGTCTGGGACAGGTATGCCCTCTGCCGTGCGTTGCTGAAGGACCAAAATCTCGCTCGCTGAGCAAGCTGTCTGCTCCGCCGCTGCTTGCCTCCTCGTTCTGGCTCAGGACGCCCTTCACTGGCACTCTGCTCCCTCTCTACCGAGGCTTCTAATACCTCACCATTTCATTCCAGAAACCCCCTGGAGCTTGGCGCTCATCCTCTCAGGGTCTACACCGATGGCTTCGAGACTTTCTCGCTCGACTTTACTCCTCCTCCGAGCTCCCTCGAGGTGATCAAGCCCCAGATGACGGTCCGTCCGTCTAGCACCTCGTGCCAGCCCCAGTCCTCCCACTACAGCTTGGTCAACATTGGGCGCCTCTATGCCAACGAATCCACTGTCCTCCGGGATGCAGTTGTGGTGACTGTGGATGGAGTCATCACCTGCCTCGGCCGCAAGAACGACTGCAAGCTCGAAGGCGATGTCTACGATCTCAAGGGTGGCGTCGTGATCCCGGTGAGTAAGCTTGTTCGATGACGCAGCAGGCTCCGACGGCAAAAATCGAGCCTGAAGCGCAAGGGTTGGATGACGTTATTAGCTCAAGCACCTCGCGGCGATTGCCTCCCCCTCCCCGCTCGTGGCTTTGTCGTGTCCAAAGTGCTGCTTGTTTCTTACCATGTCGTTTCCATCGCAAACCAGGGCATCATTGCCGCAAACGTCCGAACTGGCTTGGAGGAGATTCCTTCTGAGAGCGATACCAAGGATGGCGAGTCGACGGGCTACCCCTTCGAAGAGCGATCTCAGTGGCTCCGCGCCGTTGACGGTCTCACACTCGGTGACTCCAAGGTTAGGACGGTCTTGCGGAACGCTGGTACGTGTGCAGATGACTCCATGTCCCAAATGCCATATACGCCAATCACCGACACTGATGGCAGCTGAGCAACCGAACAGTCGAGCGTCTCCTGCGATCCTGGCTAATGCAAGAAAACATTGTGACTGCCGCCAGGCATTTTGACTGCCGTTACTGCTCCGGAGGCTCCCGGTGTCTTCCAGGGCCTGAGCGTCGCCTATCGAACCACAACCGAGAGTAAGTTTACTGCTCGCGTAGCTGCTGCAGCTCCATGCCCACCCCGTTGCTGCATCGCATGCGCATCTGTACTCTCTGGATCCAGCTGCGGCGGTGTCGGGCCATCGAGCCATCGAGATTGAGTTGGGCGTTAACATGAACTGTTACTGACCAATCTGGGATCTCACATGTGCTTGGTTCTGATCGTGCAATAGACCTTGTTGGCTCTGTTGTTCAAGAGGAAGCTGCTGTCCACGCCCGCATCGGCAACGCAGCCAAGGTCGACGGGCCAGAGGGCTCTGTTACGGGACAGATTGCCAAGTTGCGTCGCGTTTTGGAGAAGGGCAACAACCCACTGGAGCGAGTCCAGAGCGGCCAGCTGCCGTTCCTCATCGAGGTGAGACTGATGCCGTCGTGCTCGCAGGAGACCAGTGCTCAAGAGGAGGGAATTGTGTGAGCGCGGTGCTGGATCTCAGGGAGTGCCAGTGACTGAAGCAGCCGGGGCAAGCCAGTATCAAGAAAGCAGTGCCCCGCAGGTAACTAACGGGTATCGCTGTGTCCCGTGGCCACAATCATGGCTTGGGGAAACAATTGTGCACCTGCTGTCTATGCGATCCATCTGGTCAGGCGCACTCCGCGAGCGACATTCTCCGCATCATTGCTCTCAAGAAGGCCGAGGAGACCAAGAAACCCGAAGCACCGGCGATCACAAACTGGGTCATCGTCGGCGGTGCTGAGGCCTGGTCTGTTGCCGCCGAGCTTGCCGAGGCCCAGGTCAGCGTGATCTTGCAGCCCGCCCGCTGCACACCCGGCCAGTGGGAGACTCGCAAGTGCCGCCCAACCGGCAGCCGCCCGACGGGGCCCGAGATCCTCAAGCAGCACCAGGTCAACTTTGTTCTCGCTAGCGTTGACATGGCGCACGAGCTCATCTGGGAAGCCGGCTGGGTCAAGGGCGACTCGACCCTGAACCTCTTTAGCGACATTGACGCCATCGGACTGGTCACTTGGAAGGTTGCCGATGTCTTTGGCCTCGGCAACGCCACAGCTCTCAACCAGAGCGTTGGCCGCATTGTCCCGGGCTTCCGCAACCAGCTCATTGCCTTCAACGGCGATCCTCTCCAACTCAAGAGCGAGATCCAGATCATTGCCGACGGCACCTCTCTGCAGTGCTTCCCCCAGCAAGTCTGAGGACTGACCCCCCCCCTCGGGCTTTGTCACAGGCAAAGACAAAGCAAGGGGAGAGAGCAGAGGAGAGCATTTCCGCTGGTTGTCGAGGCACTATCTTCCTGTGCTCCTCCTGGGTTCACTCTCTCTCTTTGCACGATTCAACGGCCTCGTAATTTGGGTACAATACTCCCTCGCCTACCGCCTGCACCCCCCCCCCTCTTTACACACAACGACAATACGAAATAAACCCCTGCAGACGGCAATTGAGACACATGAAGGAACTGGAATCTCTCAGACAGAGCGAGTGGAGGTGGGTGATGCGAATCACAACCGGGTCCCCCCTCGAGCTGGAGGTAGAGAATCCCTCGAGTCGGAAGCAAAGAATCCAGGCACGCCACCGGGCTTTCATTGGGTACCACCATAGGGCAGAACGCATATGGAGACTCACAGACTGACAGGAGGAATCCCTTCCTCCCGCCACCTCCAAAAAGCTGCATCCATAACACACAGGACGCACATACATACACATACATACATACATATAGACACATCGAAAAGTACATACAACAATTCAGGAATTGTGAGCAAAACACGATGCTGATGGACAACGAAGCGCTGCTGCTGTCCATCAGCGGACAAGGAAGTGCTGCTCACAGATTCCAATGAGCGCGGAGTAAAAAGAGAAACAACGAGATGAAAGAAAAAGCCAGCAAGATCAGAATAGCATCAAGAAAGAGAGAGAGAGAGAGAGAGCAATGTGAGCCATATCAGCAGAAAAGTAATAACAACAACGGAGAACAAAAACAGCAGAGCAGCGAAGAATGAAACTGAGACAAATCGTGCAAGAGTGCGAGTGCGAGGATACTGGGGGGGGGGTCATGCGTGTGCGTGTGCGTATGGGAAACGTGCAATCAGAGAAACCGAGATGACCAGATGGAGGAGACGATCGTGCAGGGCGGCACGGGTATGAGACATCCCAGGCCCATGCTCATTGCCCAGACCCAAGACCCAAGGACCCACGATCTGCACAGCCAGCTGAAGCAGAGACAAGGCCATCACCACCACCATCACCACCATCACCACCACCGACAGTTAGGGCAAGTGGGCAAGAGGGGAGGGAGAGAGCGGCCGTTGCCGCACGGACGGCCTTGCTTGGCTACCGTTGGTGCTTGTGCAAGAGTTGGGATATGGAGTGGTTGTTGACATGGCGGTTGAGGTCGGCCAGCCTGCAGACGGTATCGTTTCGTCGAAAGAACCGGCAACACGAGTCAGTATCCTTTGATTCGCATCAGCAGCAGCATGATGCACGAATGGAGGGGAGGGAGCAAACAGCAGCGCCATTGAATCGAGTTGAATACGGTCCAATTTCGTCCAAGATAGTGCATAGGCTCCTACCTGAAGAACGATGCGCCGCATGGCCGGCACCAGAACTGCTTCTCGCGGCCGGCATCGTGGATCTTCAAGTGCTGATCCCGGTTCCAGCGACGCGTGAACTGGCGGTTGCAAACGTGGCAGTTGAACTGGGGTGGCTCGGCTATCTTGGGCTTGCGGAGCGCTGCATCAAAGCCTCTGGCATGCAACAGATGTGGAGGCGGCGGCGGCGGCGGCGGCGGTGGAGGTGGCGGATACATCCGAGGGGCCCCGCCAGGGCCGACATCGAACGGCGTGCGAGAATCAGGGGACAGCAGCTGGGATTGGGGTCCAGGGCGATTGCGGTGTCCGTGGGAATAGGGCAGATCCAGTCGACGGCCATCGGCAAAGCCCGAGGCAGAGAGGGGCAGCTGGTTCGCATGGCCGCCCAAGAACGAAGCGCCAGGCATGCCGATGCCGGGTCTGGGTCTGGGCTCAGAAAGAGACATGGATCTGGATCGGATGGGCAGCGTCGGTGACGGCGAGAGCGGCAGCGAGCGAGACCCACCCGGTGGAGGCAAGATGGGCATCGACGGGCGCCGGCGTTCGATAGAGGCTTGTGGAGGCTGCGGATGAGAATGGCCCGGGTGGTCTATGGGGCGGCCGATTCCGGGCTGGCCAGGCGGTAGCTGCTTTGCGTGGACCGCGGAAGTAGATCCCGGATAGGCACCCGTAAAGTCTCGGTTGGAAACCGACGAGGGCTGCGGGGCGGGCTGGCGATTGCGTGGCGAAGGGGGTGACAGCCTCTGTGTCGATGGAGGGTGTGCAGGCACAGTGTGCTTGAAGCGTTTGGCAGAATCCCAGTGCGCCGGGAGATGCTGGGGGTCGCCATGCGGCGAGTCGAGCTCGTACTTTCGCTTGAGCAGGTCCTGTTGGGGGTGGTACTGCGACGAAGGGTACTCGGGCGATCGACGGGGGGGCTGAGGCGGCTGGAGATGGCCATGGCCGAGAGTGGTCAGCGGCCGGGACGCAGGGACAGGAGGGGAGACTTGCGAGGCAGGATGAGGAGGACGAGGGTGCTGAGACGGGTGCAAAGGCTGTGATTGCTGAGGCGGGTGCGACTGTTGAGATGGGGCCGGCAGAGCCTGGTCCCGACCAAAGATGGAGGGGAGCGATATCGAGCTGGGTTGGGCCTGGGGCGGGACCTGGGGATGGGTGGCAGGCGGCATACTGTGCCGGGCCGAATACGGCGGCGATGTCACCGACAGAGTTGCCGGTTGCCGGGGCAGACTGGGAACAATCGATGACAGGGGCGGGAGCGACTCCATCACGGCAGCATGGGCTGGTGGGGGAAGCAGGCGAAGCAAGCTGGTGTTGCGATCCAGCAGGAGGGAAGGGGGTGGGCAACGACCGGATTAGGGGCGGTGCAGCTGGATACAGGAAGCCGGCGATACGGAACCGAAGACACCAGCCAGGCGACGGTTGTTCTTGAGGAAGGCAAGCGCTATGGAGTTTGGCCGCGACGAGGGGGCAACGGCGGTGTGTCTGGGGAGGTTGTGGGAAGGGCGAGGGCTGGCCGAGGGCTGGCCCGTGAAGCAGGACACTGGCGGGTGGGTGAAGGACGGGAAGAAAGAGAGGGGCCAGGAGAAGGAGGCACAGACGAAGGAGGGGGAGAAGCGCCAGCGCCGGATGCTATATACTGGGAACGAAGGTGGGAATGGCCAGACCAGGGCCGAGCGGGATTTGGGGGAGCGAAAGGAAGGAGAAATCCGCGAGAAGATATGCGGGTCGGCGCGGGATGGGAAAGAGCCGACCAGGCAAGCAGAGCAGGGCAGAGCAGAGGGAAGAGCAGAGAGGGTAGAACAGAGGGGACGAGAGGAGAAAAAGAGAAAGGACACGGACGACGGATGGGTCGTCGCAGATATGGAGCCAGAGCAAAGGGGAGAAAGGCAGCAGGACGGCACAGGCGAGAGGGCAGCAGGGCGGTACAAGCGAGCAGCGCCGCCACAAAATAAGGAGGCCGATGAGAGGCCGATGGGAGGGGGAGAACAACAGAATCACGGCGGACGGACAAGCAATTTTCAGGCTGAGGGCACCGGGGCAGCCCAGCAGCAACACAACGGGAAAATCGGGAAAGGGCAGCGCAAATGGGAAAGGCAGTGGCCCAGGGAGACCCACCACCAAACCGGGCAGACGGAGAACGTGGGGGGGGGGAGGCGTTGTGCTGAGTGCGGCGGGAGCGATGTTGTATGTTGGGTGGGAATGGGCGACGCGGAGGGATTTGGGGCAGCAGACCCGAAGGCGAGCCCGAGAGGAGCGATGGCAAGAGGAGCGACGGCGGTGTGGGCAGTGGTGGTGTGGGCAGTGGTGTGGGATGGTGGTGTGGGATGGTGGTGTGGGCAGTGGTGGTGTGAGGAATGGCACCCTCGAGGGCGAGTTCAGGCGAATGGACAACATGGACAAGCAAATGGACAACATGGACAAGCATATGGACAACATGGACAAGCATATGGACAACATGGACAAGCATATGGACAACATGGACAAGCATATGGACAGGGCAGCGCTCCTGATGCAGACAAACAGAGCGACGAGCTTGGTCGCCGTTACGACAGAACACGACAACACGAGCCGGCCGAGCAAGGGAACGGGCAGGCCGCGTGCTGGATGGGTGCGGGTGGTGCTGGAGGAGGGCAGGCAGGGTCGAGTGGAGTGGAGTGGGTGATCCGGCCGAGGGACATGATATGATGTGATGTGATGTACTGATGTGATGTGATATGATATACTAATGTGATATACTGATGTGATGTAGTATTCAGATGTGGTATAATATGATGGCGCCTGGCGTCGATGGCAATACGAGTTGATTCGCACAGCGCGGCCCACAGAACAGAGCCAAGATGAAAATTTGCGACATGCGCTGTGCATGCCCGGCCAGGCGCACAGGCCGCGTGGTTGGTCCGGGTGGCTCTGCGGCCGCTGGGCAATTGGGGCTGGGCAGGGCCGGCGGCGCCACAAGGCAGCCATGTCGGCACCGGTCCAATCGCGGGGGCCGGGGGTCAGGAACGCGGCCAGGACAGGGGGACAAGGGGCCACATGACGGACGGCGCGGGCGAGTGGCGGCATGGGCGCCTGTACGCCCGTGCTGTGCGCTGTGTGAGCCGGGCGCTGCTGAGCTGAGCTGAGCTGTGCTGTGGTGCTTTGTGCTGCACTGTGTGGTGCTGCAATGTGTGGTGCGCTGTCTCGTGGTGTTGTGTCATATTGGGCCGTGGTGCTGCACTGTGTGGTGCTGCACTGTGATGTTGTCAGCATGCTGTTGCTTTCTGGCCGCATCACACCACTCCATGAAGCCCACACACTCCATGATGCCCACAGCTCCATGAGACCGCTGTGTATCGCTGTGGCAACCCGCCCGGTGCTGGGTCCTCGGCTGCTCGTGACTGCCTTGTCCCGCGACTCTGTCGGCGCCTGCACAGAGGTGCGCACCAAGTGCCCAGGCCGATGCAGCAGTTTTGTCGCCCGGATGTCCACTCCTCGACACGTTCGCATCCGCACCATCTCAATGCTCGCCCGTGTCCCTCGCGCCTCTGCCCTGCTGCTGCTGCTGCTGCTGCTGCTGCTGCTGCTGGCATCGCAGCGTCCCCCCAACCGCACAGCAGCGGCCACCCGAGTGCAAGCCGTCCCCAACGCGTCCGGCGGCTCTGCCCCCCCCCCAGCCCAGTTCCACAGCTCCCCTCCCCCATGCCGCAGTCCGCACCCGCCCCATCGCGCTTTGTTGCTTGTTGCTTGGCCGCGCCCGTGCGGGGTGCCCAAATTGTGGTGTCACGGCGTTATTTGCCGCCGTGTCACGCGCGCGTCCACCGCATGTCCAGTGACCCAACCCCGCCAGCGGCTCACCACCAACAGACAGCGGCGCCGGGTGCAGGCGGCTGTGTGACCCGTCACGCCGCGGCCGCTGACTGGCCGAGCGTCCCTGGTCGGCCGCCACGCGTGGTGGCTTGGTGGTGGCTTGGCAGTGGCTCGGTGTCGTGCTTGCTTGGATGGGTGTGATTGTGCCCAGCCGTGATGGGGTGGGATGGGTGTTGCCGCAGCAAGCTCGATCGTGATCGCCGCGTCCTCCATCCGTCTCTTGGCTGTTTCGCCATGAACGCGATCGCTTTCGGCTCCCTCTTTGCTCTGGATTCTTGCTTCGCTCTTGGATGGAAATTGCTCACACATTCCTCCAACATTGAACACCGCACAACATCGTCCGCCTGCGACAAACAGTGCCGCACCTCACACCCCGGGGGATCGATACGACCCGCCGCACCACCGGCCGCTCGGGCGCTCCGCATCCGCGACAAACCAGTGCCGCCGTGCCTCCTCCGCTCGCACCGCTCGCACCACTCGTCCCGGACTGGATGCTTGTCGCCCTGGGTCCACAAATCAGCTGCTCGTTTACGGCTCTGCGCGGCCAAGGCTTTGCTCCTCCGGAAGTTCATCCCATTCATTCCACCGCAGTCCACTCCAGCCCGAACCACATCTCCATTTCAATCTTGCCCGGCTCAGTTCGATTCAATTCAATCCATCCAACTCCATTCTGCCCTGCTCCACTCACCTCTGCTCAAATATACCCCCATTCCGAATCATATGTCCAGTCCAAACCGCATCTCCCATCCAAAACCACATCTCCGGTCCAAATGGCCTTGCACCGCTCGTCTCCCCGCCCGCTCCAGGACCCCATCATCCGCTCTTGCTGCATATTGGACATGAGGTCATGCCAGCGCTTTTCTTGTTGCCGGCCCGGTCTCGCCATCAACGGCCCGACAGACCCCCGGCAGAGGTGCTGCTCTCCGATCGTCAGTCCAAATGCCCTGCTCGCCCCGTGAGCACAAACTGCCCCGTGGACACAAGCCGCTGCCCATCGGACTCTCCGTCTGCCTGGACTTGGCCAATGCTGCTCGGATTCCGCCATGTGGGAACCTGCTGGGGGGACGAACAAGAAAGCATGAGCAGCCGGGTGGCATCGTGGAATGCCAGCATGGCCTTCCGCCATCCGGCACGGTCGTCCGCCATCCAATATCGTAGTCGCTTCCCACATGACAGCCGCACATGCTGGATGTGTCTCCAGCATCCGCCAGCTCCACATCCTGGTGTCCGCCAGGTCCACTTGGTCTTGGTCGCTCGCCCGACTTCCCACGCCACATCCGCTGCTTCGCTGATTGGGCCGCGCTCCGGTGGCGACGCATCACGTGTGACTTGCTTGGCTGGAGCCGGATGCATCCAGGGTCGACCCACCCAGCCCTAGCAAGCCCTAGCAACCCCTAGCAACCCCGCCCAGGCCCTAGTCTCCCCTGGCCAGCAGCCCTGGTCTGTTTGGCTCGGCCTCTGTTCGTCGTCTGCTTCTCCCAACCCAGCATCATACCGGCTCGACAACAGCACCAAATCAACCACAGCACCAAATCAACCCCCGCCACCAAAAGCATCGACCCCCAGGGCATTCCCCCACACCAACATGGACACCGGTAACGCCCAGAAGAGGTGGATCCTCGAAAACAACATCACCACCGTCGATGCCAACGACGCCATCTACCACTACGACCGTGCCGCCATCCAGGCCCAGCTCAACGCTCATCCCTGGACCAAAGAGTACGTCCATGTGCGCGGCAGTGGGGCGGCTGCTTGAACCATGAGGATTGACCAGCGAGGCTTTGTCCATCGCTGCTCCTCCCGGCCGGCCGTGGCTCTTGATCTGCTCCACACTCTTGCTTTCCGTCGCCCTGACCCGATCTCTCTTCGCATGTCCGCCAGCCCACATCACTTCAAAAAAGTGAAGATCTCGGCAGTGGCGCTCATCAAGATGGTAGGCATCTGTCGCTGCCTCTTTTCTCTCTGTCGTGGCCCGCAAAGCCGCTTGTGTGTCTGCTCGACCAGTTTGAACTGCGCCGGGAATCGCTGTTCTCGCTCCAGGAGGGAACTGCCTTGGCATCCACACCCTCGAGACTGCGCTGGGACTCACACACCGGGGTCTGTCCATGCGACCGCTTCTGATTGCCTGCTCCGTCTGCTGCTTCCCTGGATCCTCCTCGACTGGTCCCTGTCGTGAGCCAGGTCATGCACGCTCGATCCGGCGGCAACATCGAAGTCATGGGCTTGATGCAAGGCAAGATCCAGGACGACACCATGATTGTCATGGATGCATTTGCTCTCCCGGTCGAGGGCACCGAGACCCGAGTCAACGCTCAGGCCGAAGGATACGAGTACATGGTTGCCTACAACGAGACCATCAGCCAGGTGTGTGGATTGCTTCTCCTTCCCTTCCCAATATCGCCTCATCGCCATCCTTGACATCGACCCCTCTGTCTTGCCGTGACCTCCGGCCGTGACCTCCGGCCGGGTCCCTTGCCACCCGCATCCACTCCACAGTGTCATCACCATCATCATCGCCCTTGACCGCCACTCTGTCTCTGCTCGGACTGACATACCAATATTACTGTTCTTTGCTCGCCCGTCCCTCGTGATGAACCATTCTGCCTCGCCCGTGCTCTGTTGCTCGGACGGTCAGGTCGGCCGCCTGGAAAACATTCTTGGCTGGTACCACTCGCACCCGGGATACGGATGCTGGCTCTCGGGTATCGACGTTGGCACGCAGATGCTGAACCAGAAGCACACCGAGCCCTTCTTGGCTGTTGTCGTACGTTCCCGTGTCTATTCTAGCACCTTCAGATCCAACGCAGTATAGGCCCCTCCAGCCGAACGACACTCATTCTCCTGTCATTGGCCCTGCAGATCGATCCTACACGCACCATGTCTGCTGGCAAAGTCGAGCTGGGTGCCTTCCGAACGTATCCACAGGTATAGAGCAGCACTGTCGCAGCAAAGCGATCCCGCCGGTCATTTGGCTCATGCGGAGCTCCGCAGCAGCCACCGAGACGCAACAAATGCACCGGATGACGCTGTGGCTGACGCTTTCAATGCTTCGCGCTGGCTCCAGGGATACAAACCCCCGGATGAGGGCCCCTCTGAGTACCAGACCATCCCACTGAACAAAATCGAAGACTTTGGCGTCCACTGCAAGCAGTAAGAATCACCCGGCAGCATGCACACGCGGAGGCATGTGTGATCGTGCTCGCCGCTGCATTTGCACATCGTCTGCCGCCCACAGAGGCCTCATGCACCGCCACCCGTCGACAGGTACTATCAGCTGGAGGTGTCGTACTTCAAGTCGTCGCTGGACAGCCATCTGCTCGAGCTTCTGTGGAACAAGTACTGGGTCAACACGCTCTCATCGTCTTCGCTCCTTGCGGTAGGTCAATGAGCAGTGCATGCAGCGTTCTTGTCATCCAGTGTCTCTCAGGCGGCTTGGGCCATCCGTGATGTCGATCCAACCCGCTCACCTGTTCATGTCGTCTTTCAGAACCGCGAATACAATGCTCGCCAAATCTCGGATCTGGCCCAGAAGATCGAGCAGGCAGATTCGGCCCTGTCGCAGAAGCTGGGCGGCTCCTACTTTGGTGGTGAGCGCAAGAAGGGCCAATCGGACAATCCACTCACCAAGGCAACGAAGGACAGGTATGCTCCACATACACCTCTCAGCCTTTCGCGTCCGTCCGCACTGGTGGCATGCAGTACATTGCTGCAGATCAAGTTCTCTGACGCCCTCTCTCTCAACACATGCCCTTGTCACTCCGAATCGACCCTGCATCGTCTGGTTGACCTGACCCCCGCATCAACCCTTCGACCCCGGCTCGCTCTTCTGCCCTGCCAGCTCAACAATCTCTGTCGAGATCATCCATGGGCTGTTCTCGCACGTCCTTCGAGACGCGCTCTTCAACTGCAAGCACTCGGTGTGAACGAGGGGCGGGTGGAATTCGGATCGGATTGGATTGGATTGGATTGGATCGGCGAGGACCTGTTCTGTATCAGGAGCTTTATCGTTGAACAGCGGCCAGATCCTGCCACATGGCCATATCGATCATTCATTTCATAGCGAGAGCGACTGACGAGCGGGCAGACGGCCAGCGTGAGCCCGGCATGATGTGGTGGGATGTGGTGGGATGTGGTTTGGTGGGATGTGGTTTGGTGGGATGTGGTTTGGTGGGATGTGGAGGCGAGGTGCCCGTGATCCAGTCAACTCGCCCCATTGCCAGAACCGCATGCGACAGCCCTGTCCGCATCTGCCCTCTTCCCCCTCTGGCGGATTGCTGGTCTGTCGCTCCTCCAACCAGCTGCAAACGCTTCGCCATGGCCGGTAACCATCTCCCGCACCCTTCCTGTCTCGGTGGAATCGCCTGCCATTGAGTCCCGGCTGCTGCTGCTGCTGCTGCTGCCGGTCGACTGCATTCCTCGGCTCGTGCTGACGACCTCCTATCGCCTCGCTGCTCGATCCTTGCGTCGTCTCATCCTCTTCCCCGGCATCGGGCATACGCTCTCAGAGCGCCGTGCAACCAACAAATACTACCCCCCTGACTGGGACCCATCCAAGGGCTCGATCAACAAGTTTGTCGGGCAGCACCCGTTGCGGGACCGGGCTCGGAAGCTCGACCAGGGCATCCTCATCGTACGCTTTGAGCTGCCATACAACATCTGGTGCCTCGGCTGCAACAACCATGTTGGTATGGGCGTGCGCTACAATGCCGAGAAGAAAAAGATCGGCAGCTATTACTCGACGCCGATCTGGCAGTTCCGAATGAAGTGCCACCTCTGCAGCAACTGGATCGAGATTCACACGGATCCCAAGGTATGCTCGCTGTTCCCGGCTGGCCGCCACCGATCTCTCTCGATCGGTGTAGGGTGGAGGCTATTGCCGGTATATCCAGCTCGTGCCGATGATCCCTGCCTATTGCTCTCATACCGTCATCGGCCCATTAACTGTTGATGGAATCGATGCGTTGGCGCATTTGTGTTATGGTCAAACTGCCACGGACAGAACTCGGCCTATGTGATCGAGAGCGGAGCCAAAGCCCAAACGACGACCTGGGATCCTGCCGAGAACGGAACGGTGGTGTTGCAATGTAGGGGACCTACTGTTGATCGAGCAGCACTCATTGGTCATTTGCGATTCTGCCAGTGTCGGATGGAGTCATGGAGACCCCCCCTGCTGCCTCTGAGCTGAATGCATGCTTCTCAGCTGCGGTCGGTGCTCGCCTGCCATTCGAATGATTTGACCTGACCCGCTCCGATCCGACCCGATCCGATCTGACGACGCTTCATGTCTCTGCCTGCTTGTCGAATTGCTGGATTCGTCCATCCGCAGCCGAAGAGGTTTCCGAGAAGCTCAAGGCCAACCCGCTCTTCCGTCTGGAGCACCAAGCCGTCGACGAAGCCAAGGGTGCAAGCGCTAAAACGCAGCTAACGCAGCTGCAAGAGTCTCGCGACAAGTTCTGGAGGGACCCGTATACCATGTCGCAGCGGCTCCGCAAGATCTTTCGGGTATGTGGCCCTGGCCGGTGTGGCGAGCGGCAAGGGAGGCGATGGGACGATCGTGCGCTTTGACCATGAGCCGGGCCAAATACTCGCAGTGTCTCATGAGAGTGCGATTCCCTTTGGCCGGAACGCTGACCAAAGTGCGACTCGACCGATTTGCAGACAGAGAAGCGGGCCCGCGAGGCTGACGAGAAGGAAGGCCAGGACATCAAAGACAAAAACTCGCTCTCGATCGATATCCTGCCGTCGCGGCCTGAAGACTCGCTTGAGGCACAGCTGGTCGAGTTCCAGAATCCTGCCCTGCAAACGATGGAGCGCAAGCGCAAGGCCATCGAAACTCGCTCGATCTTCCAGGGGCAGAGTGCTCTGGGCTCGGCTTCCAAACCCGCCCCGGGGCAGACCTTCAAGGCATTCGAGAAGCTCAAGAAGCTCGGAGGCGATCCATTTTCGATCCGCGAGTCGGTCGGTGTCGTTGTGAAGAAGCCCAGGCTCACTGGTCGTGATGGCGAAGGCAGCGGTGATCATCCAGCGGAGACAACAGCAGAAACAGCGAACGGGCCAGCGACTGGAGCCATCTCCCAGACCGCGAGCCTGGCTCTCACAGGCCTGACAGCGTATGCTGAAAGCGACGAAGACTGAAGTTCGAAAGCCGTGCATATTCCCTGTGGACACTGACGTCCAAAATACTCCGACTTCAACGCGCTCTGGGCCCGATGAAGCCCAGGATGATATCTGCTCTCCCGCGATACTGCTGCTACCATTACTGCTGCACTAGCGAATGTCCAGCGATTTGTGCGCCAAAGCAGTGCACCACCAGATACAACACGACCGTGCAAATCGATGCCACGAGGCGATCGTCCGAGGGCATTCTGGCGCCCACGACACCATCGCAACTTCATGCACACGAGCCTCCAGCAATGCTGTTGTCGGCCGTATCCCGCCGCCTCCCGTGATTCACATGGTGTCTGCTGACGGCTTCTTTGGGGCGAGGGAGACAGGAGACATGATTGGGAAGCTCCCAGCCGCCTGAAAGTGCTGCTGTCGTCACTTGGCCGGCCTCGCTTCCAACCGACAGTTTATGAATACACTGTGCAGCTAGCCTAAAGAGCGCCGCCGCCGATGCCTATGACCGCTTGCCTCACGATTCAGCAGCAAGCGAGAAGACCCCGCAGCTGCAACGGTAACTGTGGCTGTCTGCAGTCCGGGCTTGATGCTCGCCACCGGGGATCGGAAGATAGGTTGCAGGCAAGCCGCTGAGACGGGGCTTTTCGTGTCTCGAGATCTTTCCCAAGAACGGCACCCACTACTGCAGCACCGGCATATCTCCCTATTCTCCTTTGTCGATTTGTAGGTGTACCCGCCCGGAGCGAGAGAGAAAGCAAGCACCCGCATCGCCCTTTGTCCCTGCCCGACTGCTCATCCGGCAGAAACATTCTTCGTGGCCAGTGTTCACAGCAGGCTCCACACTCCACTCGGCACACATTCCGCTTGTGCTTTGAGTTCTCTCTAGCATTGTTCTCGTCTTCCACACAGCCATTTATCCGCTTTATATTTTGTCGGCCTACCTCGACTCTCAGCACCGCCTCCAAAGCCTTCCAAATGATCTCCCGAGGACACCATAAGCATGTTTGTATTGGGCCGTGGGAAAGCAGTCTGGGGAGTCGTCGCAGCAGACTCTGGCCCGGCGCTACCGCACAAAGGCTGGCCGATTGCGATGTGATGTGCGGCTCTCCGTCTCGAGTCAATTAGCAGCAGTGTACGTGGGTGGCATAAACAGCAGAGGCTGGTGTCCGCACCGGTCATCGAGTCGCTCTGGATGTCCTCCAAGTCATTATTGGACGCGTTGGAAGGGAGCTAAAATGTCGTCAGTGTCGCCAACGGCCGCTCCCACCGAGCACAGCTTCTAACCAGCATGACCGTCTCTGACGTTGTCGGCTCAAGAACTCCAACGAGAAGATCAACCCCAACTTCTCGACGGCGACCGATTCGTACAAGGCGCCGGATGTAAAGGAGCTGGTAACGAGGCGTGCGACCCACTCCGTGCTTGTTCTCCTCTCCCCGATGAATCCGGGTGTCCTCTGCTCGCGTTAATGATCTTCTGGTCGTCTTGAGAAGGGCTGGTGGTGAAAAGGCCATCTATCGGCCGACAAACTCACGAGCTCGATCTGATACCACAGGTGATGAGCTACAATATCGAGCGGGTCCAGTACACCAAAAACAAAAACCGCTCGACCCAGAGCGGCGATTGGTGGGGCGAAAGCGCTCCGGTCGAGATGGCGGTAAATATCGGTTGGCGCAGCGAGGCGAAGAGGGATGGGAAGAAGGGGTGGGAGTGAATGCAGAGGCGAAGGACTTTGGCTCAACTACCAGCTCGCACATTTCGTGTTCGAGTGCTCTCCCGGATAGCGCATGCCACTCCTTCGATCTCTGCCGGACCCCTTCATGCCCCGCTAAACATTGCGCCATCGAACGGCTGCGACCTGCTTCCGCCTTGTGCATCGAAACCACTACCAGAGCATCGAGCCACAGCCCAATCGAAAAACTCCGCAAAAGGTCCTGAGCAATTACGGCATGAGCTTTGGCGAGGAGGGCCATGGCAAGATCGATATTGCAGGCCCAGAATGGTCGCTCCACCGCCGAAAGAAGAACATCCAGGGAGCGCAAGAAACTGGAAGGCACTTTAATATCCTCACGGGTATGTGGATGCATGACGATCTAATCGCGAGCGCGGGCAACAGGACGCCCCCAGATGAGAGGATTACTGACGCTTTGTATATCACTCCTTGTGTTTCACACAATCGCCCCCATCCGCCAGGCAACGAGAGCAGCGATTCCTCGTACGGACGATACGACCCGAACCGATCCGCCAGACGCATCTCGTTCGACAAACTGCAGCGACACCAGCTCCAGGAGGAACACGGCCGCTACAACATCATCTCAAACACGCAGTCTTAGTCGATGTGAACAAATCCGACAACGAGCCAGCCAAGTCCCTGGCGCACGCAAACCTGCAGTCCGCTTCTACAGTTGCCCGTTGTCACACTTGCTTCGCTTTCGCACTTGTCCGTCGTCGCATTCGCTGCTGTCTCATTCGCGCTCTCTCGCATGCACTCGCTTCAACCGCCGACCAGCACTAGCCCGCACCCTCGCAGTATCTCATGTTCACCGACGCTTCACAAACAACTGTCCATCTCGCCCGATTCCCACGCCCGTCCGTACCTGCATTCACTTGCTGTCGTGTCGATCCCTCTGTGCTTGCCATCTACGTTCGTCCGTGCATATTGCTCAACAGCACTGTTGTATAGAATGTGTGTCTGCCCGACCCAACCCCGGTTCTTGCGATCCATTGAGGGTCAAAGAGTCCCAGAGCAAGGACATTGCCGCTCTCAGTGAGTCAGTCGCTAGTACAGCTCGACCGGCGCAACTCGACTATGGGCGGACGCTCTTGCGCTGCTGTCTCGATCCAGCGGGCTAAATCGGGCTCGAAGCGAGCAAGCAGATCGATTGCGAGTTTCCCGCCCAAACGGCGTGGGTCTGGGCATGGCCGCATGCTCGATTTGCTTCCGCCCGCATCGCAAGGCGGGACGCTCCTTCTCAGCCTCTGGCAAGAGAGCGCCATTTGATCAGCGTTTACTCCTGCCAGAAAGTAAACACTTCTTTCGAGATTAGACTGCGGGGGGTTTCTCATAGCCATTCACTCAGCTAGCCGTCCAGTCGCCCCCTCCATATTTCTATCCATCCAGCAAGTATGTCGGACCCCCAAACCAGCGGATCGCAGACCATCGCGTCGAGCAAGCGCAAGGAGTCGGTCAAGTCCAGCCAAATATCGCTGAAGAAGGATCCTTCGCTGTCGGGGACGGCCGATCATCTTGACGCCAACCAAGCCGCCGATGGGAAGCCCAAGACACCATCCAGCGGGCTCGCCAAAGCCGAGTCTGTGAGTCTTGGCCAAAAGTCCGAGGCGAGCACGGTCCATCACGGCCTCGAGGAAGCCGCCTCCACCGATGTTCAGACGACCGCTGGCCAGCCAAGGCTGGTTGCAGGTGGAGAAATCCAGGTCGATGGCATCATGCCTCTGTTTTTGACGGGCACCACCCAGGAGATGTTTAAAATCAAGGGCGGCGAGGATCTCACCCTCGAGAACCCCATGCGGATGATTCCCAAGGCCGATCTGCTGGCCGATATCCACGCCCGTGCCGCCATCTCGGACTTTTCCCCGGCCAAGCAGATCATCAATGTGAGGATGCTTTGATTTGCTGCCCCCGCCCAACGAGCCTGGTCTTGCGCCGAACTAACCAGACGAGCTTGCTGTGGCTTTGGTCAGGAATATCCGCAAGAGGAGCTGCTCGTTCACTGGGATCCCGAGTTCAAGTATGGACAGAACTTTTTCCTCTTCATCAAGCCGGAGGCTGTGGAGATTCTGTTGAAGGTGGGTCATCGGAGAAGGAGCCTCGGGCCCAGAGGCTTGGGTCGGTCCTCTCATGGAACGCGTGCTTGATGCCAAATGACGGACCTTGGTTGGTCCTGGTGTCGATTGGTTCCTGGTGTCGATTGGTTCCTTGTGTCGATTGGTTCCTGGCTGTGGCTGACCGACCTTCACTGCAGCCGATTGTCGTCGAGGCCGCCCCGGAAGAACTTCAAGCCTCTGTTACGTCGGCAAAGAAGGAAAAAGAGCGACACAAATGGGAGTGTCTGGGGAGCGACAAGGAAATCGATGCCGAACGAATGGAGAACACCCGTCCGTTGGTATGTGGGAGCGCGACGGCGACCTCTGCCATCCACCTCGTCCGTATGCTGCGTTGGCTACGGTTTGGACTGGGCACTTTGTCTGCTGCTACTTGGGATCGTTGGCGAGTATTTTTCTATCTGACCCTATGGCTCTATCCAACACCTCGACCAGATCAACATCCGCATGTCCAGGAAGCGGAGGGACTTTCTTCTCTCGTGCAAATTTGGCGATCGCGATGCCAGCGACGGATTTCTGGAGTGCAAGCCGTTCCGAGACCCGACCTACGATATCACGCGCATGGAGCTGCCAAAGTGCATACAAGTAAGGGCTTTGTCGTCAGCGCTACTCGAATCGATGTTTGGCTACACCATGACTGGGCATGCATTCTCACGCTCGTACTGACGTTCTGATGGCGGCACCACAGGCCGTCGCCCAGCTGATTGACGCCACAATCCAGACTACGTGGTGAGTCTGGAAACTATGATCAAGAGCGATGGCAAATGGAAGCACGGATCAATGGCGCCCGTGTCTGGTGCCAGAGCCTTACCATGCCGCAACGAATGCCTTGCTGGATGTGCCGACTTCTGACCTTGCTCACTGCCCAAGGTCGCGAGCCACAAATGCATCTGTGCAATATGAGCCCGCGATGATGAACAGCGAAGAACAGGAGCTTCTGTTTGGATCCGAGTCGTTCTACCAGTTCATCCACGAGTCGTCTCCAATGTAAGTTGGCGCCCTTCATGGCTGTCTTTTGGCGCTGACGAGCCGCTCGATAGCTAACGGTGTCTGTTGGATAGGTTCGAGCACGCTATCCAGCAGAACGAGATCATGGATATATTTATCGATGAGTACAAGGAATTGGGTGAAGAGGACGCTACCATTGAGCAGGGTGCACACGCACAGCTCCAGGTATGTCGACGGGCCGACGCAGCCCCACCCAGCGACCAGCGATTGGGTGTGTAGAGCGAGGTTGGTGTCGACCGTACCGCTGCATTCTGTTTGGCTCGCTACTCGGTTTGCCAGCCGAAAGGTGCTCACCAACAATCGTTGTTGCATATGCGTGCTCCTCAGGAATACCAATCATTCACAGACCTGAAGCATAGCAAGGACAGATCCATTTCGTGTGTAGACTGGCACCCAATCCAAACAGGTACGGCAACTACCATTCATCGCTCTCGACTACGCCGGAGGCATATACAGATGAAACCCAAAGCTCAAACACCTCGGGTGCACTCGAAGTGAAGCTCATCGATGCGGAACCGGCTATTTAATCCATAATCACGTCAGGCGTTGTTGCTATTTCATGCGCGCATCGACTCACGTTTGACGATAGAGTTGAGTCTGGACTCATGTTCCGCGCACACAAGTCGCTGCTCTTAATCTGGAGCTTTCACGACCCTATCCACCCACAGGTAGATTTATGCTTGTGTCTGTGCTGCCCGCCAGAACGAGCGCTTGAGCAGCCATCGCAGCTGCAGCGAACGAGCCTTCGTGCTATGCTCGCTCATTCCATGGTTTGGATGGATCTGACACTCTCGATCACACAAAGCTTATCCTTGAGGCGCCGGACGATATAATGTGTTTCAAATTCAATCCTCGCGATACCAATATCATCGCTGGAGGGTGCATCAATGGGCAGGTGCGGTGCGGTGCGGTGCGGTGCATAGTGCCCCATGCAGACATGTCTTGCTACATGACATGCAACCAAGTCTGTGTCGCTTCGGACCATGTATCTCCGCTATTTGCTGCTCGGACTAATGCTTCTCAAATGATTGCCCAGATCATTCTGTGGGACATTGCTGAGTATGAAGATAAACTCAAAACAAACCGCAAAGCCAAAAGTGCCAACGAAGATACCTCTGGCAACAAAGTCATCAGCAACCGCCATGTCGAGATGGCCCCTATCAAATACTTTGCTGTTTCCTCGATTGAACTCAGTCACAAGGGTCCGATCTCGGACTTGCACTGGCTTCCCAAGAACATGGAGGTGAGTGAACTGCCGTTTTGGATGTTGCAGCAGCCAACGTGCTGGAAAGAATTTAAAGTCGCCGAGACTGAGTCGATTCTCCTGCCGCACTATCTTGAGTCGGGCCCTGCACGCTCCTAATTCCGTGCTCTCTCTATCCTCTGGTACCTGTGTTTCGCGCGTCGACTTTGACTCCCACGGCTGCGTGCAGCTCAACCACAGCGGCGAGTTTGCAGAGAGCGCCGAAAACGGACACAAGCAGCTCATCACTGCCTCGGTTGACGGACATGTTGCGTTCTGGGATACGCGCGCCAAGAAGGAGCTCAAGGCCCTTGATCTCGTGTGGAAGCCGTTTCTTCGGGTGCGTTAGTCTGACGGCGGGCATGAAAATCGACTGTGTAACGATATGCAAGAAACACCGCCGAGACACTCTGACCCTCGATCTATCCGTAGGTACCGTTGAGTGCCATGGACAACACCTATGACTATGGTTTGACAAAGATCAGCATCCGAACGCAAATCACGACTGAGAAGAGCGGATCAGGTGGGCGGACGTTCCCTGGAACTCTCTTCCTCTCTCAGCACCCCAGCGGAGAAGCGCACTCGGCTCGTGTGGGAATATCGGATACTCCCCCATTCAAACGACTCGTTGATGTGTGGCTTGCCGTTTCTGAGGGCTCGTGGAGGTGGATTAGCACTGGAGTGCGGCCTCATTACGACAGTCATAGAGCAAGCCTTACGCCTCTCGGTCCATCCCTTGATTACCGACAGAGGCGGATCTCACACAGGCATCCGAGTCCAAGGACGGAGATCAGGCGAGAGCCAAGAAGGCGACTCCAGGCAACGGGTTCAGCAGCAAATTTTACTGTGCCACTGAGGTGGGTGCGGCATTCGGAGCGATGCTGTCGTGGTGCTCTAGCTGTGCTGCAAGAATATTGACTTCTCCCGCTTATTCAGGAGGGTGATCTTATATACGCCGACTGGGTCGCCGAAAAGACAACCGAAGAAAAAGGTAGGGGACGACTTTGTGTGCTGGCACGAGAGCAGTAGTCAGCACGAATTACGAGGGACAGTGAGGTGTGGCAGGGTCGGATCGCTTCAGCATGCTGAGGCGCCACGGTTTGATGTTAAATGGTGACATGCATCGGGCTTAATGGAGCCCGGAAGACGATACTTACGATATGGGGTAATCGCAGCCTCTCGGGTGGAGCATGCATTCAACTGCCACTTTGGGCCGATGAGCGACGTGCAGCGCTCGCCGTTTTTCCCCGACGTTGTCCTCAGTGTTGGGGGGTGGTCTTTCCACATCTGGAAGGAAAAAATAGTGGTGAGTTCTGCAATGGACGCCGCCCGCTGCTTTCAGTCGGTGGCAAAATGCCTCAGAAAGCGGTGTGACGTACTGAGCACCCTGCGAATATCAGATCGGCCCTCTCCTCAGTTCACCGCCATCTCAAGCGTACATGATCTGCGGAAGATGGAGCCCGACAAGGCCCGGCGTGTTTTACATATCCAAGTCGGACGGCACGATCGAAATCTGGGACCTTCTCGACCAGTAAGCCGCTGTCCTGAATTGGCTGTGCTGATCAGCAGAGGGACAGATGTCATAAATTCAGTCGTGGATCAAGCGATGGACCGGTTCATGGTTCAAGTCGTAGATATAGCGACGCTGGGGCGCATCTCATTCCCGGGCTCTTTGCAACTCACGACCCGTTTACCTCCTGAATCAGGTCGCACTTGCCGATCACGGTCCAAAACGTCTCGTCGATTGCTATATCGTATATGACAATTCACCAGTACCCGAGTGAGTTGCAGCAGCCACTTCCTCAGCCCTTCAGCTGCAGAATTGGTGTTGAGTGCTACTGGAACGTTGAATCGGAGCTATTGACTGCTGGTCGGTGTTGTTTGCAACAGACAAATCGCAAATGAACTCGCAGTTCATTGCTGTCGGAGACGACGAAGGCACGCTTCACATTCTCGAGGTGCCGCGAAATCTGTCCAAGCCCGTCAAGAACGAAGTGAGTCTGGTCTCTGCGATTGGTGCATGTGATGCACTTCGGATCAACGATCGTCGGAGAGTTGGGGGTTGCTGGTCTCCTTTAGCTGACTGGCTTCGTATATCACACTTTCCAGCGATCCATCATCCAAACCTTCTTTGATCGGGAAGTGCGGCGTCTGTCGTACGTCAAGGGACGCAAGGAAATCCGTATAAGTGAAAAACCAAAATGGGAGCAAGCCGCAATCGAAGCCAGTTTGGTAAGCCGTAGTCGTCGAGAACACGAACGTGCTGGTGTAGTGCATGACCATACTGGAGATGGCTGGCTGTCGACATTCGGTTCGATGGCTTGGTTCATCCTTACACTGATGTTCCTTCGTATGGTGGTTGAACAGGCACAGAAGCGCAGCGAGGAGAAGAAAGTGGAGGAGAAGAATCCTGAGGAGGAGGAGGAGAAAGCGGAGAAGGAGTATCGTGCTATGGAGCGCAGGTAAATGCCTGATTTTTGCACGGGAACACATCAGTGCCGCCATCTTCGAGTGGGCCTGAAGTATGCCGGGACAGATTTATCTGACTGACGACCATGAATCAACCGCACTTTACTGCGGCACTCAGCTTCTTGGAAGCCGAGGGACTGCTGCCACCTGAGGAACCCGAAGCGCCTCCCGCATAAGCCTCGAGCGATTGCAATCTCCACAGCCTGAGTCGCATGCAATGAAATGGTTCGGTCGTGGTGCACGAATCGCGTTTGACAGTGTCGGCCAACATGAGACACATAAGATGAGGAGGGCTGATGCAACTAGTGAACGGCGCTCATCTATCGGGATCCATTCAAGATGCCGTGCTGTTGCCGCCAGTTGTTGCAGCCAATTTCATCTTGGCTGAAATGCCCATTACTCTGGTGGCGGTGGAGCTGCTCGAAATACATGGGGACTGCTCGAAATACATGGGGACTGCTCGAAATACATGAGGACCTGCTCGAGTCCATGATGCATCTCAAGCGACGGGAACTCGGCGCATATCCTTTGCACTGTGCTCACAGAGTTAGTGATGTGCACTCTATCCAAAGGAGCGGACAATCTGCATCAAGAGCGCGAGCAACTCTTCTAGAAGCTGGCGGCAGTCATGCTGCTTTTTGAATACACACGCGATAATCCGGTGGTTGCAGTGGTTCCTGTGCTTGCACCGTCCCCCGAAACAGCACTGTCATACAGTATGAAAGGGGTTATCGTGGGCGGGTCAATTATCGCCCATACAGAGCAGATGTGTCTATTCAAAACCACACTGGCACAGAGTTTGCCATCGAGGGCAGACCATCCAACAGTGGGGGCCTTTGGCGAACGCTGCTCAACATTATGGCGATAGCCAGCCGGTCCTGGGTGCCTTGCGACTCTCGGGAGAGTAAGGTACATGATGTGGGAGAGACTATGACTGTAACTATGACTATATCAACTGGAGTGCAAGTGGAGATATCATATGTATATCAAAATACATGGTCTGATGCAGTTGCTGTAACCGAGGGCGGCTATTAATTCAAAGGGCCCTCCATAGCGCATCGGTTCAACTGTACGATTCCTGCACCGACTTGGAGCGGAGAAGCACCTCGACGTCCAGCGAATAGCAGAACTCGCCAAAGTCGGCCGTTTCCTTGAGGCATTTGTAGTACACGAGATCGATCACTTGCAGACAGTTAAACTGTTCCTGGGACCTGAAGCCAAAGACAAAGCACTTTTCTCGCTTCAGGGTCGGCTGGACGAGCTCGCACTGCTCCGGAGACTTTGCCACTTTGGAAGATCGGATCGTGGGTCCAGGTGGAATCGGGCAGAGTCGAAGCGCGGAGGAATCGTGGTGGAGTTGTGTCCCGGGTGGTCAGGCCGAGCGGTGTTGGTTTTGGAGTGAGGGGCGTTGTTGAGATACCAAGCGATAGGCAGCGTTGCGGCATTGGAATCCAACAGCGGCGGTTTCGTCACGGCAACGAATACGGTCGTCGAACAGCGCAGCGTGACAATGGGAGACCAGCGATGGCGGATGGTTTTTGTCAACACGAAGCATGAAGTGTCAAAGTAAGGACACCGATGTCAGCCTTGATCAGTGAGCATACACTGATGCACATCGTTCAACTGAGAACTGAACTATCGGCGCAAATGCTGGTCCTGGACGGCTCGACGGGAGCAGACAGACAACGAGACCACAGTCATTTGATCTTACAGTAATGGCAGCCAATGTTGGGGCGGGCGGGAACACCCTGGACCAGGCCGAGCACCGCGAGCAGGCAGCTCAGGACGACAAGCCAATTTGAGTGCATTACGATGGTTTTGGCTTGCTTGCGTACTTGATATAGCGGCGGAGATGCGCTGTTATGTCGCAAAGATGGTGGGCCAAAATCGTTGCTTCAGCAGTCAGCGGAAGTGATCGCGGCGTCAGATAGTGAGGCTCTTGGCGAAATCAAGGGCCGGCATCGACAAGCCGTCTCAGGGCAGTGGAGGCTGGCTCGCTGACGAGCGACCGGTGCGGGCGAACCACCAGGGCATTTATACTCCACTCGGACTATCGATGCAAGCGCAGCAAAGAAAGTGTGTGTTGAGGAAGCGGACGCAACTGTAATCCCGGCGTAGAGCCCAGATGCGGTTCGGAATCCCGACATGGTCCCTCAGAGTGTAAACACTGGAATTCGACCAACATCGGAGCAGTCAGAGCACCAGTGCTGCTCTAGCGGAGGTCAGTGAACGTGGACAGCCAAGTGAGGATAGGTGCAATGACGGCGAAGCGGACGAGCGAGGTCTGTTCCAAGAAATCGCTGGCCGAAAGGTTCCACCGGGTCGATAGTTACTGTCGCCGCACCAACTCTATCACCACGCCGCCGTCAGCCCTGGAAGGCACCGTGGCTCGAGGACCATGTTGCGACGAGAGGGTTAGAGTTGCTTTGGAGAGAATTCGCGGAGGCTCTGACCCGAGTCTGACGCATGATCCAGTGGCGGATAGAGTTGTGATTCTGGAAGCATTGGCAGGATCTGGACCGCACCGACGAGAATATCGATGCCGCGCACGCATGAATGGCATCGCAAGCCTGGCCTGCGATAGATGAATAGCTCTCAGACATGCATGTGTGGCCGTGCTGAGGGAAACTCGCTGCCAGGAACGGGTCCGGTGTCGCCCACCATGAACCGGCCAGATGGAATACGAACAGGAGTGCTGTGCGGGGAGCTAGACCGATGCTCTGCTACGATGAGAACCACAGACTCGCCGCCACAGTTGCTGTCATTGACCATCCGTCTTGGCCGTAGTGCCCAATGGTGTCGCATTTCACAATTCCCATGGTTGATATACATGAACCATGACCGACCCGCAAATCGCGACGTGTCCCTGGCTGCATTGAGATGGGATGATGGACGGTGTGTATTCCCATCCAAAATGTGGACATTTGGAATTTTGAGGCAGTGCCAACTGATCTCTGCCTACGGTGGGTAGGCCACCGATAGTTTCCGATCAGCCGAGCCGCTCGTTTGGCCAGCATCGCCCTGACATAACTCCGACTTGTGCACGGCCGACAGCAAAGTGGAGATGAGAGGATGAGCGGGGTCGGTGCCGCAGAGAGGATGGGAGGCACTCTTGATCACACTTCGGGTGTCGGTCCAAGGAAATCCTCCTTGATGGTCCCGATGGCAAACTGAGACAACAATGCGGCAAGTGTTGGAACATGGTTAGCAACGCAGCGCGAGCATCTCTGCAATGCATATGCCCGAATCCCTCGTCCAGCCAACAGCATGGCCGATTTGTAGTGCCAGATCCTCTCGGTTGGTGCCGAAGAGCCTTGGTATATCCCACGCCCGTATCAGCCAGCTCGACGGCAACTCACAATATCAGCTGCATCTGTGCGGATGCCAACGATGCGCATTCGTACACCCTCGCCCTTTTCGATCCTCAAGTCTTGTGCATCCTATCAGAGCAAGCGCCGGCCAAGTTTGGGTTGGCGATATCGAGCTTTAGCTCAAGCAGACAGGATATTGCGTCGCATCGGCTCGGTAGAAACGACGCTGGTTTGGCTTTCAGAGGCGCTCTCGCCGTAATTGCCGAATCAGCTTCGGCCGCTCATTCAGGATCGAGCCTTGCAATCCAGGGCGCGGTGCATTCAACCCTCGGAAACGAGGCAAGCATACCTGTCCTTCGCCGATATACGCTGGCGGATTGGAAGTTGGGTCGAACTTGAGATACGAGGGGATCAACTGGCAGCCGGAGTGACAGCCGGAGTGACAGCCGGAGTGACAGCCGGAGTGGCAGCCGGAGTGGCAGATTGCGGAAATAAAGCTTCAGCAGCTTGCCTCTGGAGGAGAAGCGCATGTTCTGCCAAAGCACCGAGCCCTCTTTGACGACGGACGACAAGGACCGGCACTCGATCTATGGTATGCAATCGTCGCCGCGACAGGGACGGCCGACTTACATGGTTGGAGACGAACACTTGCAATGGTCCAACATCGGCAAAGAAGCCCATCTGTGTGCCATTGACGAGAAATTGAATCAGATGCGCTGATCGTTGCAATGGAACGCCGGACATACGGCGCTTGCCGGCCCAGCGGATGGCCATTGTGGCGAAGAGTCCGATGGTCATCAAATGCCAAATGTGCGCCTGGGAGTCTGGCGTGATGCGTTGGAGATCTTGCTTTCGGCCACGCAGGCTCAGAGGATCCATTATACATGAGCTTAATGCCATGACGTCGAAATACCTTGTTGACAGTGGTGACGATGCCGTCAAAAACTTGGTTCTTGAAGGGCTTGAAGACGATAGCTTTGTAGGTGATGTCGAACTCGGCGTATCCGGACGAGGCCTGCAGGACGCCCTTGCCGTAATCGTGCACATCGATGACCGAGATAATGTATCCATAGCGACCCGTGCACGTGCCCTCAACCTCTTCGTAGAGCCTCCGGGTCAGGAACTGCCGCATGTGTGGTCCAAAGTGCTGGGGGTGCAGCTGGATGGTGTGGTGCAGTACTTTTACAAAGAAGCCCATGATGCAGAGCGGCGCAGATGAGTGTGTCAGCGGAGCAGAATGGGCGAGCGAGGCTTGCGGAGGAGCAGGCGAGTCTGGCCGGGCTTGACGGATGTGCGGATGGACGGATGGATGATGGACGGACGGGCGGATGGGTGAGGAGATCGCGCAGGAGTCGGGTTGGGTTGATCGGGTTGGATCTGGGTTGGGTGAAAGGTCCTGGTTGAAGACCGCACAGCCCTTGGCCGCCCAACCCCAGCCCCAGCCCCAGCCCTGCGTCAATGCGGCGGTGTCGCACACACACGCCACTCGTCCCGGTAAAGGCTGCCGCCGCCTCGCCCCCATCCTGCTTCCCTCGCTCCTCATCAACTCCATCGCCTGCATCAACTCCATCGCCTGCATCAGCTCCGTCGCCTTTACCACCCAAGTTCCTATTCATCATCTGGTGCTGGATCACAGCCCCGCGCCCTGCATCAACACATGAGCCGGATGCCGCCTTCTCCGGACCATCCGGGCTGGTGCCGGACCCAATCTCGAGCCAGTTCGGCGTCGCAGCCAATCACATCGACACAACGCCCTGCCCTGATACTGTGCTGCCTGTTGTTGTTTCTGCTGGCTCCATCGCCGTCTTTCTCGCTCCCGGTGTCGACGGTGACTGGCTCGCCGCCGCCTTCGAACTCAACCAAACAAACCTCAAGCGTTGTGCCGTCGCCCGTTCCAACTGCTTCCCTCCAGAACTCGAGCCTGCCTTCTTTATCTTCGCCAACTCTCTACAGCCCGGTTGACTCGCTGCCATGGCGAGACTGCCACGCCTATGTGCAGACCAAAGACTCCTTTTTCATTATCGGAGGCCGTGCAGCAATCGGACCTGCACCCATCCCAGGCGGCGGCCCTATCATCCCGGTGCTTCCCGTGCTGGCCGCCACCCTGAACTCGACCTCGACCTCGACCTCGACCAGCCGACCAAATGCGAGCACCACGCAGCAACCAGCTGGCCCAAGCCCCATAACCAGACTGTCTGAATCGTCCAACACAAGCGCCCTGCCGGGTGATCTGGTTCCGGTTCAGTCTCCGTTCGCTGGCACCAACTCGATTTGGTCGGTGCGGTACATCGATCTCGATGTTTCGAGCATTTCCCACTCGGACGCCTTCCCGCCGCTCTTTGGGCTGTCTTGCGTCACTGACGACTCCAAGTTGAAGATTTATTGCACTGGCGGATTCCCGACCCCAAACTTGACGGCGGTTCCCCCTGGCCAGGCTGGTCCGACGTTGTATCCTTACGAAAGTCTGGTCATCGTCGATGTTCCCTCGGGCGTGGTATCAACCCACAACCTCACCTGGCCTGTGGACCAAGATGGTACCTCAGTATCCCGAGGCTTCCATGCATCGGTCTTCTACAACAACTCAATTTTCATGTTCGGTATGGCTTTGGCTTGATGCTGCTGCTGTTGATGTCTCAGCTGCTACCCAGCAGGCTCACCCCGACGAAGGACCGAGGGTATTGTGAGGGCTCTGGTTGGATCTACTTCGCTCGGTGCTCGGGCATGCGCTTTCGTTCTGTCGGCTGTTGAACTCACTTCCTGGTGTGGCTTGCATGGGCACCTGTGCCTTCGCTTCGCTTTACTCTTTCAGGCGGAATCCCTTGCTACCAGTGCCCCGTACCGACTCTGTCGTGGGGGAGGCAGCACATTGCCGTTCTGGATCTCGCCACATACAAAATCAAGACCATCAGCAGTGCGATCGGTCCAGCCGAGCTCTTTGGACCCTGCGCAGCGTTCATACCTCCAAGCAGCACCTCGAGTCTATTTCCCAGCACCAGTAATTTCGGAAGGAATGGCTCCATTCTCCTCATTGGCGGCGCTTCCACCAACATCAGCGCCGACGGCACGAGAGCTTACCCGGCCGCCAACCCGCAGCTCCTTTGGTCGTTTGACATTGCCACTCACAACATAACGCCAATTGCTGTTGGGAACGCGGATCCCGGGTCAGTGCCATCGCCACGATACGGGCACTCGTGTGCTGTCTCCAATGACGACAGCTCCACTATCTGGGTGCAAGGCGGAGGTGCACCGGGCTTTGATCCCGTGGACCGGAATCTGTGGCGTCTCAACATCAGCAACCCCGCCAACTACACCTGGCAGCTCATCGTCCCCAGCAAATCGGACCAGAACTCGCTCTTCTCCGCCAACGCCACATTGTTTGGCTCCTTGATCTCGTACTCGACTTTTGTCCTCGTCTTTGGCGGGCGCATCCCTGGCATGATCGGGGCAGACGGGCGCACGGGGTTCGTGAACGTCTCATCCGGAGCGACTCTGGCGTCCTTTGGCAACTCATCGGCCGTGCAATCGTCTGGGCCCTTTACAGTCTACTACGACGGCTCAGCGCTCGGAAGCTCTCTGGGATCGCTGTGGTCTCGAGCCAATCGGTTCGCTCGGCGCGTACTGGCGCAGCTTCCCACGCCCCGTTTGCTCCGTCGGTCGGCCGTACAGGAATCCGGCACAGACAGCGACCAAATCCAATCACCTCGACGTGTAGCCGGTCGTAAATCTGCTCTGAGCACGGCTGCAACGGCTACCGCCAGATGCGACTCCTCAATGAGGCACTTGTCGACCTTGACCGGCCTCACCTCGGTACCATCCGTATCTGCGCTATCGCCACCCTTGGCTGCGACACTGCCCTCGTCCCACCGACCCTCGAAGCCGCTGACCATAAGTACAAAAGCCGCCGTGCCTTTGGTACTTGCACAAGTGGCGCAAACCACACAGGCCCCACCGATCGTACAAACCACACCAGCCGCACAAACCGCAAAGATCAGCAACCCGCTCAAAGCAACTCCATTCGAGCTTGCGTCTGAGCCCTTGGCAAGCGCAAATCAACCGTCGGATACAAATGCAAGCACGGTACCTCCTGGACTGCCCCTGCGCTATACGTTTGTCTTTGACACTCGCTTCGACACTTGGTCTCCTCAGGCACGGACCTTGGTGGCTAACTCTCCGTATGACGTCGACAGCCAAACCAGCGCGAGTGACTCGGGTCCCCTAATCGCTGGCATTACCATCGGGCTGGTTGCCCTCTTGGTCGTTGCCGGCATTGCTGTGAACCGAATGAGGTATCAAGCCAAACCCGGTGCCAGCGAAGACGGCGCGACAGATATCAACAAGAGCACAGCGCGCTCTGCAATTGAGATTGCTCGTGGCGCGGATAGCCGCAGCAACGATAGTGCAGACAGTCTGCCGTTCATGCTCCTGTTGAAGAAGAAGCACCAGTCGCTACTGCAGCCACAGCAGAGTGCCAACCTCGAGATGAACCGCCTTGTGGGCCGACAGCTGGCAAACCGACCAAAGGCGCACTTTGCTCCTTCATCCACGCCCGGTCCATCGACGCACGTATCCGGTGCTGCTGGTTCCAGCGGCTCAGGTCTCCAGCTGCCCTCCTTGATCCCCAACAGCCGGCCGATGCATTCATCGCCGCTCGCGCCACCGCCCGTGGCTCTGTCGACCTTCATCCTGGATCCGCGATCAGGACTGCCGAAGCGCCTTGACTCGATTGTCAAGAAAGCCCCGGGCGCAAATTCAGTCGATTTCGACGACGACGAAGACTTTGGATTTGAGCCTGACGAGACCGATAGCTCCGGTGCCGATGAAGCCAGCGATCCGGCTGCCGTGTCCGACCATCAGACTCCCTCTCCGCGCGAGGCCCATAACAGGAGTCCGTCGTGGGCGACCTCTGCCGCGGTCGACGATTCCAGCGAGTACTCTGCTGCACGGTCTGATGACCCTTTGATCGTCGCTACCAGCTCCCTTGATCAGGCATCGGGCACCGCAACCCCGTGCTCGCATACGAGACCAACAAAGGTATCGGAATCAATGCAGTCGATCGAGCACTTCCAAGTCCACAACCGCCCAAGATTCATCATGTCCAAGACCACGCCGAACGCATCCACGGGTTTTACGGCCGGCGAGATGGACCGCAGCAGTCAAGTTTATTGTGGTTGCGGGTCACCAACCAAGCGAGGACCACGACGACGAAATTGACCTGCGGACAGGCGAGATTGTGACAATTGCGTAAGTTTGGCGAGCCGCAAGGCACTCCCCACAAGCACCAGCGCCACTGCATTTTCTGGCTGCTGGCCCCGGGCAGCCGATTCCGCTCAGCCCACCGAACCATGCCCTGAAATTCGTGCTCACATATGGCTTCTCGCAACAGATATCTCTACAACGATGGCTGGGCCAAGGGCTGGAACTTAACGTCGGGCCGCATCGGCGTGTTCCCGTTCCTGTGCGTCCAGCAGATGATGACGCGGTCCGGCAGCCGGCGCTCCAGCCGCACGGTGCATTCCGAGAAGCGTCTGAGCAAGCTCTCGATGGCCCGCATGTCCTCGTACAACAGTGAGCTGTCGACAGGCCAGCCAAGCTTGTACCAGACTCACATTCTCGAATTCGATGAGAACGCAGACGAAGAGGGAATTGATATGATGCCGCTTGCAAGCAGCTCCAACGACGCCACAACATTCATCTCTGGAGGCACGGACCTGGGATACGAAAGCCAGAAGAGCAGCTTTGTGGACGCTGACATCGAGACGGCTGCGAGTCCAGCGAGTCCACTCGGCTCTGTTCGTTCGCTAGCAACACACGATACCGTCTTGGATGAAAGTCGACCTGCCGACGCCGCTGGCATGGCTGATGAGCCCGTGGTCGCTGGTGCACCGCAAAGTGCCGCTGCTGCCGCCGTCGCGGGGCCCCCGCAATTGCCTGCGTCCCAGCCCACACCAATCCAAGCCGAACCTCTCGACGACGATTTCTCCGACATGGGTGACAGCATCGGCTCGAGCGAGCTCGGTGACTTTGATGACGACGAGGAGTAGAGCCCAAAGTCACCGAAAGAGCCGCTGAAAGCCGTCAGCCATTGACGCGCCGCACCTCGCCCAGCCCATCGCGTGTACTTTTTTTTTGGTAATTTCATGAAGCGATTTGCGGAGAAGGGTTGATACCCAACCCGTTATCGCCGCTCCCCACCCCATGGCGCATCTCCATCTCCTTGCATCCAGCACACGTTATACCGCTAGGGTGCGGATAGAAACCCCCTGAATATACGTTTGAGCCACCGGAAGAGTCGTTGCCGGCATTCGTGTCGGGTCGAACGTCGATACAGCCCTGCGGACAGCAGAGACACGCGGTACATCCTTGGCCCCAATCTCATGGAGCGAACGGCCATTGTGAATGACAGATGTGTTTTATTTCCACCCCTTCTCCTAAAAGGCCGAGTGTCCCGTTTCGTGAGCGCTATACACTTTATTCAGAAAAAAACGGGACAACATAGCCGTTTCCATGAACATGTAGTATGTGCTGTGCTTGCGTCAAGCAAAGCCACAAGAAATAAAACAGATCACTTTGGCAGCCTCCGAGTGAAGACCGCCGATCGCTCTCCGATCTCCACAATCGACCTGCATACTGTGATCATGTTGCGCGCCGCATTGACGTCGCGATTCCACACTGTCCGGCAGCTGGGATTCTTGCAGCTCCTGACAAAGTGGGAATTCGCAACACTGGGCGCTTTCAGATCCCCCAGCCGAGAGGGCTCCAGGCACTTGGAGCACACCTGCGAGGTGTTGAACTCGTTCGTCGAGGCCACCTTGACGCTTCCATGATGGTGATTGGGACGGCGACGGTGGTGCTCGAATTGCTCAAAGTACCGAGCGAACCGCTGCCTCCGAGGGCTGGATGCATAGCCCTTGCCCTGTCGCCATGACGCATTGCCAAAGGCGATCACCACATCGGTCCGTATCGGGGCGTGCTTCAGGACGGCCTTGCACATCCTGTCGACGGCCACTTGGCGCCTCTTGTGGCCCGTGAATCGATGGTGACGGGCCTTCTTGCCAAGGTGAAAATCGAGCTGCACTCGCAGCTCCGGTCGCAGGACATGGGTGAGATGGACCTTGAAGGCCTCCGAGGACGACACCTTGGGCGAGGGGGTGGTCGACATCCAGGTCTCGATGTCGAGGCGATACTTCATGATATTGTGCCACTTGGTGTTGGACGTATGGCCACACATTTGCTGGTAGTGGCCATTGGAGAATGAGACCACCTCGTCTTGGTGACCCGGTGCTTGGATGACCGCCGTGAAGATGGAGCCGACTCCAGGATCGATGCCAATCCAAGTGGTGCGGTTGGGGTCTGGGTCGCCGATGTGGGCCTGGATACGCTGCTCGGCAGTCGGAGGAGGCTCGATGGTCTCGGTGCGATCGGTTCGACGCACAAACTTGACGAGGCCGATGGTGCATCCAATGCCATCGGTGCTGATCTCGTAGTTGAACAGCTTCCTGTCCCTGACCCGCTCTTGGAAGAGGGAACTACGCAGCTTGAAGCAACTGCGCCAGAGACGATCCTGGTTGTTGACACCGTCCTCACCTTCTTCCTTGAGCATGTCCCTGGTGAGTCCAAGGCGCTTCTTTGGACCCAGGAGATTCCAAAGAGTGACCGTGTCAATCTTGACATACTTGGCCCTTGCAGTGCATAGAGGAACTATCGTGCACACGGCCGGAGGAGTGTCGACGGCGAGCTGCTTGAGTGCCCACTTGATCCTGGCGGCCAGCTTGTTGATCTTGGACTTGGTGGTGCCGAGCTCAGACTTGGCCGTGGTGAACCTCTTGTCGTCGGAGGGAATGCCTTGGGTAGTGAGCTTGTCCAGCTTGGCCTGGCGCTGCAGCTCGGTGACTCGGAGGGCGGGCATGTCACAGTCGATCCACTTGTGGACATCGTCGACCATCTTGTCCCGGGCGAGGATTCCCACATGGTGTGAGAGGCGATGGAGGGCCCGGAAGTGGTCCTGGTCGTTGCTGTACCGAAACTCGTCCAGGACGTGGCCAAAGTCTGGATAGAGGAACTCGAGATCGGCCTTGGGTGGTGTCTGCCCTGGTTTCTCGAAGAGCTCGAGACAGGCCTCGATGGTTTCGTGCTTATGCTTGTTGGCTGGGAAGACGGCAGCACAAAAGCGACGAAGGAGTCGCCAGTAGGCCAGGTTGAGGTGGGTGGTGCAGTTGGTGGCATAGGCATTGACAGCCAGGGTGAGAAGCTGACTGTGAGCGCCATCAGGCAGACGAGGGGCCGGAGGCAGGTCTGCGTGCCGAGTGGTCTGGTAGTCGCGAAAGGAAGCGACCAGATGCTCGTTGTATTTCTTGGTATCCCTGGTCGGCGAGAGGGCACCGTCCTGGACGATCTTGAAGCATTGGCGGATGAATGCAGGGGTGGCCCTGGAGATGACGGGGACGGGAAGATCCTGCTCGATGCACCGGAGGATGTGCAGGTTGAGCAGCCTGGATGCCTCGAACTGGATCTGGGTCATGGCCTCGACGGTGGCCTGGATCTTGTCGCGGAGAGCGGGATTGAGACAACAGCCATCCATCGTCTGCTTGAAGCAGCTGAACTGAGGGGCGGATGACCTTCCATCCACGAGAGGGACGACAGAACTCTTGAGGGGCCGGTATTTGGGACATTTGCTGGTGTTGCAACGTTCGTGATCGGTGCCATCGCACTTGGGACATCGCTTGCCAGTACTCGAGGAAGTAGATGGACCAGGCTCGGTGGGATCGACATCCATTGGATCTGCAGAAGCAGTGGTGGTGAGCGACGGAGCAACAGACGAACAAGCATGCGTGGGGTCAGAATACGAACCAGAGACAGGCTCCGACTGTGACTTGGCTTTCTTGGGCCTGGGTGGCCGAGGCTGGCCATCACCGGTACCCTTGCGCTTCGGAGGCATGGGAACAGAGGATGCTGGATGCCTGCCAGTGGTACTGGTCAGAGCAGAGACTTTTTTTATCGTACAATGGCGCGATGGTCAGATCAAGGCGAGATGAGGGAAGAAAGCAGCAGGACGAAGGTGTGGCATTTATACCCGAGAGCAGGAGCCCGTCTTTGCGGGCTGGTTGGGGAAGTGACCCTGTTCAAAAATCGCCGAGAGGTTGAAGCCAGGGATGTGAACGTGAGAACGGCGGCTTGATTGGAGGGAACTCAACCCCAGAAGCGCATCGCTCGCTCAATCAGCCGTGGGAAGACATCTGGAAGCACCCTCCGCACGACGGACTCAAACAGGGTCACCATCCCGACCCTGAACCCCTCGGACGCATTCAGCGCTGCTGCCTTCCTGTACTGATGCTTCACAACCCCAAAGAAGTTCTCGATGGGATTGAAGTCGGGTGAAGCAGGTGGGGTGAAGATCACTGACCATCCTCGGCGCTCGATGCAGTCCAGGACAGCCCGTGTCTTGTGCATGCTGACATTGTCCATCACAATCACAGAGTCGTCTGGGAAGCTCGCTCGCTCAAAGAACTCGACCATCGAGTGTGTCTTGAATGATGTGGGGATGTACATGCGATGCAGCACACCAGAGTGGTTGATGGCAAATGCAGCCGAGACAGACTTGTGCTTCATGTGATTGCGCTGGCGAAGCGGAGCACCCTTCGGTGAGTATCCGTAAAGAGGGAAAATGGATTTCCTGATCCCTGTCTCGTCGACAAAAACGAATCGTCGTGGGTCGATGGAACGGACCTGGTCCCTGAACTGTGCCACTCGCTCATCCAGTCGCTTGGACTTGTAGAGGTGTGTTGCCCTCTTGTGTGAGAGACCTGCTCGGTGGATGGCAGTGTGGCAGAGTGAGAGTGATACTTTCCTCTGGAGGATGGACTCGAGCTTGCATCGCAACACAGGACCAGTCTGGAACGGGTCCTGTTCAATCAGGGTGCGAATGACTGGACATGCCTGCTCGAAGAAAGTGGATCTGCGAGCTGGGACCCGGGATGGGTCATCCAGCTTGCATCCTCGGTGCCATCGATGGATGGTGCTCTTGGACACACTGAATATGGAGGCAACCTTACGCAGGCTATGGATGAGGGCGTAGCATCGCAATGCGGCGGTGCGAAAGTCGGATGTGTGGCGAATGGTCATGGCCAGCACGCGATAACATTGGGTAACAAAATATTCGATCAATGGTCAAAACCTGGGTGTCCCGTTTTTTATTGGATCGCCTGTAAAGTGATGGTGCCGAGCCGCTGGGCTCGCAAAAAGGAGGAATGGACAGGCAGCGCGTCGTCTCCTGCCCATTGCAGGCAAGCTGGCGATGATGCTCAGACGGCCAGGTGATCGAGGGACAGGCAATGGCTGTCCTTCAGAGTCAATTCCAATGTCGATTCCAATGTCGGTGTCGATATCAATGTCGATATCAATGTCAATGTCGGCAAGATGGGACAGTAGCCGGTTCCGGCAGTGGGGTTGGGTGGTGCACTATTGGTTGAGCAGACGTCCACGAACATCGAATCCCTCATGCTCCCTCACGATATCAAAGTAAGGATGCTGCATTGCCTCGACTGTCGTCAGCCGCTCGGCGTGGTCGTAGCGTAATAACTTGTCCAAAAAGTCCAGTGCCAAGTCGTTGACGTATTTTTCGTTCTCAGCAGTCTTGAATCGAATCCACGGCCTGGGGGCGTGTCTGCGAGGATTGGAGCGACATGTGAGCGGGGTGTCTGATTGCAAAGCAATAGGTCCAGCATGAAGCGGGTACTGAGCAGAGCCTGATCTGCCGACATGTACGCGCGCGGCAAAGCCCATCGAGTAAGAGCGTCTGGTGTTCCTACCTTCCGAGGATCTCATCATACACAGGATCCAGCTCAATGTCGTACTTTTCAATGTACTCAAAGAGACGATCTGTGCCCAAGACCTTGGCGATCTTCACCAGCTGGTCGTTGTTATCGTGTCCGTGGAAGAACGGCTCCTTACGGAAGATCTGTAGCAGCGTCGGATGTCACGGGCAAGGTCGAGTCTCTGGTTGGTAAAACCCAGCATCCATCAAGCTGTACTGCGACGACGCTGATCGCGCCGGCGGACTGTTGTTGACAAACACTACTGACCATGCTGGCGAACATGCATCCCAAGCTCCACATATCCAGAGAGTAGTCGTATTCCTGGAAATCAACGAGCAGTTCGGGTCCTTTGAAGTATCGTGAGGCAACGCGGACGTTGTACGAGATTCCGGGATGGTAAAACTCGGCCAGACCCCAGTCGATCAGGCGGAGCTTGCGTCTCTCGTGGTCGATCATGACATTCTGGATGGGACAAGCAGGCCGAAGTCAGTTGCTGCCTCGCAACTGGCGACCAAACCCTGTCGCGGAACCGGCAAAGAGGCAGGGGCTTGTGATACGGCGAGATGGAGTGGCAAGGCAACGCAATACGGAGCGCAGTTGCACGGCAAGCCGGGAGCTTACATGAGGCTTGACGTCCCGGTGCATAATGCCATGCGAATGGCAAAAGTCCAGAGCCCGGATCAGCTCAAAGATATAGAACCGGATGTCGTATTCGGTGAGTTTTGGATAGAGGACTTTGAAGTCGGTATTGTTGACATACTCAAAGATCAGGGCAGGGGTCTTGGACTAATCGATAAAGGATGGCAGCAGCATTGCAGAGCATGGGTGAGACAGCCAGAAGCACATGTGGATATCAGTAAATGCACAAACGAGCTACCAGTACGTCGCGGATATGGAGCGAGATGGGCGGATCAGGGACTGGACATTTGTCATCCCGCCGCGAGGCTTGTTCACATCCTCGGGAATCGGGCGCACCTGAGGATCTCTGACGACGTCCAGAAGGCTCACAACGTTGACGCCTCCGGACAGGTTCTGCAGAATCTTGATTTCTCTCTTGATCTTCTTCTTCTTCACGGGCTTCAGGACCTTGATGACGCACTTTTCGTTGTTTTCGATGTTGATTCCCTCAAAGACTTCACTGTACTTGCCTCGTCCGACCTTTCGAACGACTTCGTAGTTGTCCTGGCCTCTGTGAGCGACATCGGGCAGATGGCAAAGCAAAAAGGGTATCAGCATCAGCCGTCGGAAATCACAGGATAGGATCGCATCGATCCACGATGATCGGGATTTCAGAATTGTCGTGGGGCGAGGGCGTTTGCAGCATCGGAGACGATTTAAGGGGCAGCCGAGGGAGTTGGACAAGACAGAGGGGTATTTGATCGCCATCGCGTAGCATCGGCAGCGAACCGGCAGCGAACCGGCAGCCAACGCCGGCAGTGAACATCCGCTGCGGATATCGGCTCCCAGACATTGTCTCGACACGCACACGGATGCGTGGCGCCGGTGTCATTCGGGCCAAGTCAGCACGCTGCCGGCATCTAGCACTTGTTGATTCCGACAAACAGCAGCGAGCCACGGCTTTCTGCTTGGAGGAGCGCTGCGTTGGCCGGGCTGCGCTCGCTGCCGTCGCATACAGGGGAGTAAAAGGCGGTCGAGGGGAGCAGCACAAAGTGATCGGCAGGAGCCAGGCATACCCCCATTCGATAACCATGTTGTCGTAGTCCCAGTACTCCTGGGGCCGTTCTTGATTGGCGGTGGCATAGATGCGGGCGATCGATACGGGTGGGGCTGGTGCGGACATGATGGCAAGGGCTCTGTCTGGAGGCCGGATGGAGCGAAAGCCGTCTGCCAGCGAGATGGGAGCCAAGTGCGGCCGGCCTGAAAAACAGCAAATCGGATGGGCGACAGCGAGGACAGCGAGGCACGCCGAGACACGCCGAGACGCTCTCGCCCGGTCTCTCGCCAAGGGCGCAGAAAAAAAGTCACGTGGCGTGTATCACGCGACCGAGCCCTCCTGGCTTTGGACGGGCTGGCCAGGAAGTGGCCATGGCGCAACGCACACACACACACTGGCATGGGTTCGACCCCGGCATCATCGCCACCGCCATTGCATCATCGCCATTGCCATTGCCATCGCCATCGCCCCAGCCCAGCAATCACCGATTGTGCAAGCGGGTCCGTGGGAAGGCTCATCATACAGCGCAACAAGTGCATTGATTCAGACTGCCATCGTCACAGCTGTCGGCGGCCTCTTGTCTTCCAGCCCGCCATCCACGAAAGCCAGCCGCTGCCTCGCACCGCAATCAAGAGCACTGCGAGAATGGCCGGGATGAGCCAATGCGCCCGCCCCACGACGAGCCTGTATATGAACGCAGCAAGACTGCCTTTCCGTTCGATACGGCTCTCGGAAGCCTCGGCTGCCTCACAGGGAGACGTGCACGGCAAGACTGGTGCGGGTGCAGATGCATTCGAGAGCTGCTCTTGTGCGAGCGTACCCTGGACAAAGTCGAGAATGCCCTTGGCAAATTCGTTGTCTTGAGCAGAGCCAAGTTGTATTGACGGGGCGGTAGGGTCCGCTGCGTTGGCGTTGACCAGGGCGGTGCCGGTGGTTGAGGGGCCGGAGCTGGGCTGGGCCGTTGTGGATGTGTGCCTGGACGAGTCTGCAACTGGCGGACGGGTTGGATCTGACGAGGGCCCGCCAGTCCTGAAATTGTGTGAGGATGCTGATGCTTCGACCGCGGAGGTGGGCTTTGGCAGACCGTCCTCTGGGGGTGAGGCAATCGACCCAATAGCGGGCTCGACAGCGGGCTCGACAGTGGGCTCGACAGTGGGCTCGACGGTCGCCTCGGTCCAGGCCTCCTTGGCCAGCGACCGGGCCAGGTCAAAAAGACGGTCGTCCGTCAGGCTGGGCTGTTGGGTCTGGCTCTTGCGTGCAAGGAGGTCGAGGATGGCATCGTCTTCGTGCTCGTCGTCGAGGCTGCTGGGATGCCTGCTGAGGGTGTCGGTCATGGGCTTTGGCTGGCTGGTGGCTGCAGGCTTGCTTTCGCCTGTGGTCTTACTCTGGGTCTGTGAGGGCTCTGGGCTGTGTCGCGGGGCAGGACGAGATCCAAGTCGTCGCTGCCGGTTCGTGGTGTTGGTTCTGGCCATTTCACGCTCCATGGCCCGGAGCTGAGCGAGCGAGCCCCCACCAAGCCGAAGCTCGCCCGAGGTGAATCGCATCGGGGCGGATCTGGAGGCCAGCACGCATCACCACAATGTCAGCATCAGTGCGACTGGGCCACTCTGGGTGATAGCCGCAGCAATCCCTCATGTTGGAACGGATGCTCACCAGCAAACAACGGGGTTGCTGGGATGCCGGGTCCTGGTCGACAAATATCAAAGCCAGCAGCTACCAAACCTGCATCGGCCCGGAGACTTTTGAGGCGAGCATCGCACATGCCGAACGGACACAGGGAGTCCATCTGCAAGTGATTGGGGCGCAATGCGCTTCACAAATCTCGTCCTCGCAGCAGCCTCGGAACGACGACAGCACACCCCATTGGCCTCGATACTTGCGACACATTGGTCCCACGCATACTCCAGTGGTGCTCGGACGGAAGGATGCCATTATTTTTCCTATTTGCTTTGTTTGTTTGAACAGACTGTATAGGTGTACAGGCCTGAGACTGCTTGTCCGGAGCGCTTCCCTCCGTTATCGACGGTGCGTCCCTTGGCCATCTTCGACGATGGCGCCAATCACTCGTCGCTCGCACAAGTCCACGAATCGTTTACTTCTGGTTAATGAACTGGTAAGCCAGGTAGGCAACGACGACGACGATGGGGACCAGGGCAAAGAGGAGGCTTGAAAGCAATGGGTGAAAGTAGCGTCAGTACGTTCCTGATCACGACCGCGGCAGATTCAAGCTGCGAATGTGGCTATATTGCTCGCAGCGGGAACAACAGGCAAAGTAGTATAGATCCAGCGAGAAGCAGGCATCACTGATATCAGAAAATCGAGAAGAGGCTAGGAACGCAGCGCGGTGGGAGAAGGAAGAGGGGGACTGATGGGAAGGATAGCTCAAATCAAACCGCACGGACATAAAATAGAGGAAATCCAGGCAACGGCCAAGCGTGTCGGGACAAAAGGAAAGGAAGGGAATCCATCGCAGCCAAGGCTGGCTGGATAGGACGGCATCGCGATCGCAGGGGATTCGAACGCCGCCCGAGACCAAGCCGAGGGTGCCGGGCGGTGCAACAGGAGGAGTGTTTCCATGCAGGCTTATTTTTTCAACCAGCCAAACCATCTGGAACCAGAGATATGGGAGAGGAGAGGTTGGTGAAAAAAAGTACCAGCGGCGGCGAGCCTTCGCATGTGAGACACATCCTCCTGGAAAGGGGCGAGAGAAACAAAAGGGGTCAGAAGCAACAGGACAGAAGGGTGGCGAACTTACGAGTTGTTTCCAGCGGCCTTGGCGGCAGCATCACCGCCATGGGAGGCGGGAGTGGCAGCGGAAGCCTTGGAGGACTTGGTCTTGGCCTGGAAGAGTCAACACAGCGGCACCATCAGCACCAAGACCAGACAATTCCTCGCACAGGCGGTGGCTGGATCGAGGAGCCGATCGCCGCTTGCAAAGAGGGGCGCACACAGCTCGGTCTTACCGAAGCGGGGTTCAGGTCGCCGATGTACAGAGTCTTCAGGAGCTCGCGGGCATCGTCAGAGTGGCCGATCTCCTCAAAGGCATCGGTGGCATCCTGGCCTGTGCATTGCCCACACACACACTGGCGTCAGCGATCGAAGGAGGCGCACGATCATATTTGTTCTGCAACAGAGTCGCCGAGCGTGCGGGTACGTACCAGCGACCTCGAGGAGGACTTCCTCACCACCGGGATGCTGGTTGTCGGGGACGCCAGCAGGAGCACCAGTCGATATAAAATGGTTAGGATACGAATTGCCGCCCGAGCTCAAGCAGGCTGAAGGGCGGCTCTCTCCGGAGCTGGGCCAAGCGCAAAAGCAGCGCTGCGCCTACAGGGCAGACGTGCTCTGCAGAAACGCCCAGCAGCGACAACGTCCAGCACCCAGGACCGGCGAAACGAGCAGCAGGCGACGAGGACAGGGCCGTACTTCATCCAGGAACTTGGAGCAGTCGTAGACCTTGCCGTCGATGACCATCCAACAGTCATCGCGGGTGTTGTGCTTCTCGACCTCGGACCACTCAAAGATCTTGACAGACATGGCAGGCGGATTGCAAGCTGGGGGTGGTGTTTCTCGGGGGCGGTTGCAGGGAGGCGGGCGGGCCAGAAAAACGAAGAGGCAACCATTCTTTATATACTCGCGGTGCGAGGCGGCCTGCCCGATTTGGCAGCGCGCCCCTGTCTCGTTCTGGGAAATCGGCAAATCAGGGCTCGAATCCGCAGCCACAGTTCGAATGCGTCCGCGCGGATCCAGCCACGCACCCCTGAACGACATACACCGCGCACCATGCACCATTACCGCCATTCACACTGCGGGGCTAGGTCAAGGGACGGAGCTCGAGCTCCCTCTATATATTCTGACAGCACCCGTGATCGCGAGACAGGCTCCATCGCCGCTGGCTCACGATGAAGCAACGGCCTCCTGCGAGCGGGGCTGGCTGCTGGCCTTCTTGCCGTCGCCATAGAACGAGAGGCATTCGATGTAGTCCTTGATCAGCGATCCGATCTGGTGCGCCTCCGTTGTCTGGAATACATACTTTTCGCCTGCGTGGAGCAAGTTGCAAGTTCTCGTCAGTGCCCCGCTCAGCAGCGTCTCCTGATCATCATTCCATCGTCGCTGGGTGCTCACCTGCGCCAGACTTGTTGTCCATAACAAAGAGCATTCTGTCGTCCGATGGGCTGTAGCTCACGATCTTCTTGAACTCATATGTCGCCAAAGGAACCTGTTCAAGAGCACCATCAGTTGGACATAGAGTGCCATGTTCAGCAACGCCAGCCTGGGGCCATCGAGACTCCACGAGCGTACACCCGCCTCGACCCCGACCATTTTCGCTCCTGTACCGCCGGCAACCGACCTTTTCGTGCTTTGGAAGGATGTGCACACCTCCCTTGTTGACCGCTAGCCAGCATCCACTTGGCAATTGGTTGGTGTATGATTGCTGACGACAACGAGTGCATGCCCAAATGTTAGCTCTCCACATGGGTCCATGTCATCGTCCAAGCGCCCGTGTGCGCAATTGCTTACCGTGACATCAAAAACGGCACTGCCAAACAGTGCCCACGAGCGAACAAAGTCCATAAGCAGACCAAGTGCCTCGGTGCGAGATAGCCCCGCAAGAGCTGCATGTTTGAGAGCGATACGCTCGGTCATATCTTGCTCTCTGAGCCGAGCTGGGACGTGAGCTTCGATCAGCGGCCAGTAGCTGATGGCCTGCTGCGTGCTCTGGCTATCGCCGTAGAGGGCCTGAGCCTGCATGGCAACAACCTCGGCCGCCTCCTGGACGGTAATGGGGAACACATCCCGGCGAATGTCTTCGGATGCCTGAACCAGACACCAGCAGATGCCGTGTGCGAGGCCAAGGGTGACAACATCCCCGGTTGACAGCGTTAGCCACCGGAAGTGAGATCGAGTCGCACAGCCCTGTTTGAATGGTTACCTGGTACATGAGCAGCTGCTCCTCGAACTCTGTGACGACATGTCCGGGCGGGTCCACAAATACTCGTTTCTTGAAGATGAGACGGACGCGGTCCCGCTCCCCGCCGGCCTTGCGGCCCGTCTTCTCCCAATTATAGAGAATGTCGGCCATCTTCTCGTCTCCGCGCAAGCTGCGCTCTGTGAACATTGGTGCAGATCCATCGGATCGAAGCCGTGATGCGAATTTCACCAGCCGGGCTTGTCAGTACTCGCATCCAGTGACTCGGGGTGTCACTTTGGTTGGCTTACACTGACACGCATAATCATCAATGGCTGTCCAACGCAAAGCTCACCTGTTCCGGCATATTCTTCATAAATCGAGAAGCCAGTGGCATTCTTCAGCTTGATTTTTTCGACCAGTCCCGCTATTGTACGTGAATCTGGGTCAATGATGGCGCAGCAGATGATGCAACCGGTAGATCCACTGAGCCCGAACACCGCTAGAAGCCTGGATGCATATCACGCTCGGCCTATTGGGTTCGGCATATCGTCGTGCTCACCAAACATTTGCTGCATCGTGTCGACAGAGCCAACAGGAAGAGCGCGGAACTGTCCATCGAGGAAGTAGATGCGGATCCTCAGCGGGGCCATTCTCTAAGAAGCGGAATCGAAGCGCCGCGGTTCTGGGTAAGCAAGCGTGAAAGTGGACCCATGGAGCTTGGCCGTCAGAATCGAATGCAATGCAGGCAAAAGCTACGTGTACCTCCGACGACTGCATCTCTTCGAGTGACGGGGGGCATCTTCTTGGACCTTTGTGGGTTTCAGCCCAAAGTTTGATTGTCAGACGATCAAACCGTCATTTTACCAGTGCGGGCAATCATCGTGGTCGTCAATGCCCAGCAATTCCAGTCTCAATCCAGATTGGCTCACCGGCAGAGGCCGTCCTGAGCACCGTCTTGAGACAGTGCTTGGCATATTCAGACTCGTTGGACTTGGTGCCTTTGTCCTTGGACTCGGCAAACGAATACCGACGGAGATGTGCTTTCAGATACTCGAACACCTCGGGGACAGTTGGAGCGGCAACGCCTGTGACCACGGCCATCAGTTTCCAGAATGCCAAGGTGTGTTGCTGGTCGAGGTCGATATGGTTGGTGGTTTGCTTGATCAGCTGCAGATACAGCTCATTGATCAGGATGGGCGTATCCAGGCAGTTTTCGATAATCGACTGGATAGTTTCTGCCACGGGGGCGCGCTGGTTCTCGGATGGGTCTACGGCAACCTTTAGACCGCCATATTGCAAGATGGCTGGATATGAAGATGATTCCGCGACAGATCAGCGTGTGCGATCATCCTCGGACCGTTCCACGATACGAGTCCCTCCGTTGATAGACCAGCCAGCCTTCAGCTATCACCGCTCGATACTCGGTGTCCTGTTGCATGTCAACTCCAGCTCGAACATTCCGTGCACACAGTTACCTGTGTTGACCATGAGTGCCCATTCGTCATCAACCTCCTTGAAGGTACTCAAGGCCGAAATGATTTTGTGCTGTCCGATCGAAAGGATGTCGGTACATCAGAGTCGTAGTCAGGGTCAGTAGCGAATTGTGATGCATTCCAGACATATGCCCGGCGTAGTAGCACCGCATTCTCAGATGCTATCAGATCCCAAGGTCTTGATATCGAGCGCCCGTTGGCGCCAGCTCACCCACCTTGCTGCATTCCCATTCCTGAACAGCATACTCCGAGGTCTCGGCCGCATTTTTAGCTTGAATGCCCAGGTTCTCCATCGACTTTGTCACTCGTTTTTCTTCCGGCTTGGTGTTTGCCTGGCTCGGTTCGTCTCGCAGGGCATCCGAAGATGCAAATCGCACCAACCCTTCAGCACCGCCACATACGCTGCTAGAGCGAGAGTCAGATCGCATGTTGATCGACATGCGCGAGGACATGCGTTTCTCCTTCTTGAGCATCTTGGTGAGGTTCTTGAGGCTGGCCTTGCTTCCGTGGCGACTCAGGATGGACATGGTCTCCGATTTGTCCGTGCGCTTCATGATCTTTCGCGCCAGGAGGGTTGCGCGGGCCGCCTCGATGTCCTTGAGCAACGACTTGAGACTAAGCTCGACCTTGACCTCGATTTTCTGCAAAGCGATATAAACAAGCCATGGCACCAAACATAAGCCGCAGTGTTTGGCTTGCAGGATCTGGCTTGACGCAGTCGCTGGACACCACACGAGCAGTCTCGGCCTGAAGAGCCAGAAGAAGCATCGGCTGCGGCCATGGCTGAGTCGCCAGGTCAACAGAACTCACTCGACCGCCCGCTCGGCACTGCCTACCTTTTTGGCGATTGTCAGGAGGCTCGTTGGTGCGTACTCGCGAATGAGACCGACAATCTCCTCGCTCTGACTTGTGACAAACTTGTACACCTCCAGCGTCTCAGCATCGCCATCCTCCTTGACACGAGTCAGAGATAGTGTCAGCAGATCGCCTTCCTGGTCAAACCCTTTGATATGCTTGAAATCGAATTGCATCAGGGGCTGCTTGGTCTTGATGTGGATAAAGTCGATTCCCCTGAAAGAGACCGCCAGCTGGATGTTTTCGGCGAACGACCAGAATCCCTTGTACTGGGGGGATGTAAATCGCAGTTGGGGTCAGCTCTACTATAAAAGTGTCGGCTTCGAGGCACCATGAACGAGTCAAGTTGCTCATGAGTCAAGTTGCTCATGAGTCGAGACGCATGTCTTGCCAAACTTACCCTAACGTTGAAGAACGCTGTGGCAAACGCCCTGAAGGTCTTGCAGGTCTCCAAAAACAGGACCTTCGCTTGGATCGAGGATGTACCGCGAATCTTCTCATAGTTCGATACGATGCCGTCGATCCACTCGTCGCGCGGCAGGTTGGCGACCAGTCGCGGGACAATCCACGACTCCACATCGGTGCTGCGAAGGCCAATGTATCCATCCAAGCAGGAAGTCACCGTGAGCAAGCGCACACTTTTGGCACGCCCGTCTCCCACCTCCCGTCTCGCAGGCAACGACCACCCATCGCGGATGATGCTGTGTCTGGAGCGCACATGCACTTGATACCTACAACTTGTCTCGAGCGGTCTCTTTGTCGCAATCGCCCATCAGCGCCTGGGCACGACATGCAGCAAGTTGCATGGCCGTCTTTTCGTTGACTGGATACACATCCTTGGTGTAGTTATCCACGGCCTGACAGTACAGCAAATTATACTCGACCGGATCCAGGATCGGTTCGTTAATGTTCTTGAAGATGCGCTTCTTCAGAACAATGTTTGAATCGACATTGAACACTATGTGGCCGGTGAGGACACTGCGCATGAGTTGTGTGACTGCGTTGCTGCTGGAACTGATCGAGACAGCATCCACATCAGAGTGTAGAGAGGAGACCGACCCTACCTGGCTTCAAACCGGCATCCTCGGAGACCTTCATTTGGAAGACCTTCTTGCTGTCCTTGGACGCCGAGGTACCCGTCGGTGAAGTGCTCGATGAGCCACCATGTTCCCAGCCGGCCAGAATGTCCATGATATAATCACTGGTTCTGACAGCCCGCTCTGTTTTGGGATAAACAAACGCTGACCATCAATCAGAGCACACACGGCACTCCGGTTCTCGGCATGAGTCAGCGCGGTATGCAAGCGCTCGCAACAAACTCAAATCATTCGCGACTGACCGCTCTTCCAGGAGACTTCATAGAGCGACCATCCTGCAATCTCTTTCAGGTCTATTGTCTTGGCGATTTCCTTGATCACACCCGAGGCAATCTCGGTCAAAGCAATCTCAATGTTGTGAGACTGCCCGTCGATAAGCTGGATCGAACAGGGAACTGACGTGGCATTCTGTAGAAGTGAGACAGTCATATGGGGCATCCATTTGGATCAGAGCTGGGAAGTACTGGAGACGGATAACGTGGCCCAGTTTGGTTGGAACAACACGAAACTGCACTGTCCAGAGAAAGCAAGAGCGATTGATGACCAGACTTGCCTTGACGGCGTTGATTTCGATCGAGGAGGGCGAGTATCGGCGCGGTCCGTTCATGAGGCAGTTCTTGACCGATTCGCCGGCCATGATGCACAGCTTTCTGATAGTCTTGCTCTCTGTACCCATCGATAGCATATCAGCAACCAGGGGCCAAGGAGAAGGCTGAGCTGCAAAGTTACAGTATGCAGCAGTAACGACGGCCATGCTTGAGCCACAATCTTCAGCTCGCCTGCTTCGTCCGTGTCCAGACTTACCAGGACCCATGGGAATGTCCTCCAAGCTTCGTTGAAGAAATGAATTGAGATATTTTGCCAAAGCCTGCACATGGGGAAAGCTAATCAGCATTCCAATCTCCAGGTGCATCAAGAGTGAGCATCATCTCAGCGCGTGCAAATGTACCTTTGTGGGCGGAAGCGAGGCAGTGGCATGGACCATGGCTCGCCAGCCCAAAGTTTGGATCTGGTCCCAGCTATCCTCAAGAGGTTGGGCAAGAGAAGGACTGTCCATCAGCCGTGTCCAAAGGAGACATATACGATTCCCCAATGGCAGCAAGTCTGTCGCGGCTCCCCACATCATCCCAAGCATACCCGGACGGAACTTCCTTTGGCACGGAAACCTGCTTGCAGATCTGCACCAAGATTTCGTCGCGGAGCTCTGGGAACTTGATCCCGTATTCCATGATAGCCTGGATCGAGATGGAAAAGTCGTCTTGCTTCTTGCTGGACGGATCGAGGCATTTCAGGAGCACTGGATCAGACGAAGTGACGTGGACGAGGTCAGTCTCCAGAGTGAAATATGGGCTCATTGGCTCCCTGTTTGGCCAAGTGGATTTCGTTTCGTTTCGTTGGCACTATATAGTGCTACACTGCGCTGTACAGTGCTTCATTCCCTGGCTCGACTCCACATACGCTTGAAGCACTCGATCGCAGCATTGACGAGCAGATCGCTTCGCTCCGGCATTTTCGTGAGACTCATTTGGATGGGTGTCTGCAAGGAGAACGGTGGTCGCCATCGTATGAGTGGGCCTTGAGCGCCATAACGGGACGATGAAAAGATGTGCAACCAGCGATTGGGGGCTGTGTCCGAGCCCCATCCAACCCATGACGCCGATGCCATTCAGCCCATCATTGATCGGCCCCATCCAATCTGCATGGCATATGTGTTACGGTGGATGTCTCAACCAAACAAACCCACTTTGGAGTACTTGAGAAGTTCAGAGAGCTCGATTGGGACCATTTTGATCTTCTTGCTGATCGTCGCAAACGCACTGAGTGGCCTGTAGTGAGTCTGGAGGCAGGCGGTCATTCAGTGGCGGAATACATGTGGCACTATTCCGCTCAGAGCGTCGCTGTAGCATGCGACATCAACTTTTAGCGTCACGACATCACCACTCAGCATCAGACACGCACCTCAAAGTTTTTCTCGGCAAAGATTTCGAGCAGGTAGTCGTCCTGAACCTTTCCTTCGAGGCTGGTGAGCGATCCCTGGATAGCATTACACCGAGTCAGCATCCAAATTGCAGAGGGGAAGAGTACTGGCCATGTGCAATATGTCCTCGTTGGCGCCGGAAGCAGTACGTGATGTGCGAGCGCGGAGGGGGGGTACGTGTGCTCACCATTTCTTCGTTGGCTTTCTTGGCCAGGGGGTTGGACCTCATCTGCTTGGGAGGCGGCGGTGGCGGTGGAGCTAAAACAATATCAATGGGCTCGGCAGCCGGCGGAGCACCCGACTCGATAGTATCCGCAGCCTGGATGTTGGGCGCAACCTGACTGCCCTTGGACAAGTCCAGCTGGCTTCCGATCGACTTTGACGACGGTATGGCCTTGACCTGCGCTGGGGGTGGAGCGGGGCGCTTGGGAGGGCTGGTGAAGAGAGAGTCGATTTCCGAGCTCAGCTCGGCCGCCATCTGAGCCAAAATATCTGCCCCTTGGATCCGCGACTGGGCAAATGCATTGTCGTAGTCGCCAAGGAACGAGAACAAGTTGTCGAGAGGGGCAGCCTCCTCGGACACTGCTTGAGGTTCGGCTGTTCCAGCGACAGCAGAAGCGGCAGCACCCTCCTTGAGCGCTTCGGGTCGTCCGGCCTTGGCTATGTTGGGTGCTTGAGCAGGTTTGGGCGGCACTCCCTCCTTTGCAGCGGGTTGTTTGGAAGTAGCAGCAACTGCAGTCTGGTGCTCCTGAGAAATCAGCAGAATCAGCGGCCGATGCTGGAGTGCTCTGCATTCGCCTGTATCCTTGACCAAATCACAAGGCCTCTATGCAACGGAATCATCTTTCGCCCCAGCTACAACGAGAGAACTGAGTCTGGCGGCGCTGTAGCTGTAGCGTCGGCAGCTGGAGATGGCACGGGGCAGGACGACTCACCCTGGTCTTGGCTGCGATAGCAAACTGCTTGAGTTGCTGCATATGCAAACAGGCGAGCATGCGTGAAACGGGTGAGCGATCACAGATATCGGATGTCTCGAATCAACGAGTCGTACGCAAGCACCATGCCAGGTTGGTGCGTTCCGTGACAGGCTTCGGCGCTATCCACAAACAGAATCAATAGCGGGCCTAGGAACAAGCATGCGGCTTCGCGCACCTGCTCTTCCTCGGCGCTCTGGTTCTTCTTGTCCGATGCGGCTTTCTGCTTCTCAAAGGCAGCTTGAGTTGACTTTGCAAGCTCCTGTGCTTCTTTGTCTGCCTTGCGCTTCTCTTCAAGCAGAGTTCTGTAATAGTCGCGAGCAAACCACCCACGAACGACTGGATGTACATCAAGGTGAGCGATACATTACAGAGAGTTGGGTATCGGGACCGGAACGGTACCCACGCTGGACGTGCAAGATGCGCTGGGCATTGACATCAAAGCGACATTTCTGACTCAATACTCACCGCTCTGAATGAGAATGACAGCCTTTCGGATCTTGAGGTAGCGACGACGGAAGTAAAAGCCGACGCAGACTATGTAGATGTTTGTGATGAGCAGGAATCGACTTGGCCGAGCATAGAGAGCACTATGAACGCCCTCTCGCTCAGCCTTGCTATGGCGATCCCCTCTGCCACCCGCCGATCAGAAATCAATCGCACTTACATTTCTGGATAACCTTGATGCTGGCCCTCATTCTTGTGTACTTTTTCTTGCACACGTATCCACGCATTACTCTTTGAATCAGCAGGATCTTGACCTTCATGATCTTGTCGGCCTCGGCCTGAAGCGCCTCCATCTATACGAGCGAGGACCAGCATCAGGTCAAAGGATTGAGTGCGACTCGGCCCGCTCTTGGAAAGGATCAGGGACCGATACTCACAGCCTCCATGCGCATGAAGAGTTTAGTCTTGCCGCACTGCCACAGGTCCGAGGAAATATTGGCCCCAGACATGATGGCAACAGAGAGTTGCTGAGGGTTGTCCTTTGGAGACATGCCTGGCGGGATCAGGCACTTGTAGCTAGATTGCGATACGGACGACGGAGGTGTGGCACGCATGTCGTCATGAGTACGTGAGCGGGCCGGCTCGTCAGCACTGGCGTCGCCTGCAAAGTGACTCCTACCTCTTGGGAATCTGGTCAAACGGGAGACGCATGGGATATCCCGCCTTTCGGATGCGGATCGTATCGAGCATACCCGAGTATCGTAGCTGGGCTGGATCGAGAGATGAACATGCGATCGAATCAGCAATGGCGACCACGCGACAATCAATCTGCTACTGTACGGCATTCGCAGCATCCGCTATGAAAAGGACAGCGTTCTAACGACGCTGGGGGTCCACGAGGGAACCTACACAAAACCATCTGGTCGTCAAACACAAAGGCTTCCTTCTGCATGTTGGGCTTGATGCAGCGCACATAGTGCGGCATGGTCGATCCCAGGGTGGTGACAAGCGACACTAGCTGGTTGCGGAAGTATGCACCCGCCGTGATTTTGCCGCCTGCCTTGCCCGCAGGGGCCCCTTTTCCACCGCCGCTGGGCTCTTCTGCCTTCTGGGGGAAAATCCGGGCGACGAGCTTGTAGCTTGAGGTTCGCAATAGGTCGTATATCTCATCCTGGATCGCATCCTTGTTCTTCTCCAGGAAAGAAACGACGACGTAGGTCACCTAGACGATAAGTCATACAAGTCAGCGATGTAATCCCTCCCCCCTCCCTTGACAGGACTGCTTCGCACTCTGGTCCGTCATGCTGCAGCAGCCGCATGCGTCGGCTCGACGGTTACCGTTCCGGCATAATGCTTCACTCCAAACACGCCCTTTTGTGTTCGAGCCTTGACATAGTGCGGGTTCTTGATAAGGCCTTGGTCCATCTTCTGGAGCCAGCCATCATCAGATCCCTTTGGAAACTTTGTTTCTTCGTCGAGCAGCGCCAATACGCCTGCAGGCTTGGCCTGCAATGCAAGTGGCGTCGTTTGTCTGTGAGTTACAACGGCAGTCGAAAGTTTGTCGAGCCGACACTTGCAGACAGAACATTACCTCAATCAGATCAAGACACAGCTGGTTGTCGGTAAAGGTGATCTTGCTCCACTTGATGGCTTCTTTGTCGTACTATGTAGCGCAAGCGAGCAGGCGTTGCACATGCACAGTTCAATGGCATGTTTTGATTGGTTGGTTGTCCGTCTGTGTTTCTATCTGTCCGTCTGTGTTTCTGTCTGTCCGTCTGTGTTTCTGTCTGTCTGGGAAAGCTCCAGGGTTTCACCGTGTAAACGTGCCGCTCACCTCCTCCTGCTCCAGTTTGAATATGAACTGGTTGAAGAACTGCTGGAGCTTTTCATTGGTGTAGTTGATGCAGAACTGCTCAAAGCTGTTGATCTGGTCGAGGAGAAAAGCGATGCAGTATCGACGGGGATGGTATTAGCACAAAGCCCAGCTGGCACGCGATCCAATCTTGCTGAGCATGACCTACCGCAAAGTCTGTCAGAGGTTGCCGCATGGCGGTACAAAAGTCAGCAACGGGGCTGTGTCAGATCATTTGTGGAAACACTGTGATACACGAACAGCTGTGGTGGAGCTCAAAGCCGCACCTTCAAAGCCAAAAATATCGAGCACACCGACAAACTTGGCCGAGGCCTGCTTGGTCTTCAGGGCTTGATTGATGAACTCGACAATGCGCTGGAACAGATTGTCGTAGATGGCCTTGGCGATCGAGTCGCGGTTGTCGGTCGCCTGCAATTTGTAAGCAGCCATGTCCAGACGTGAGCCAAGGCGGGTTGCTGGATCCATCAGAGAGGCGCCGCGGTATCCTATCGGCAGAGTGTCCGCGGGCTCTCGTGTAGGGGGCAATAATGAGACGCCGACATGCTGTGCTCATACCTGGGATCCTTTCAGAGGAACCATGGTCACATCTCCGCGAACAACAAGGCGTCGGAAGCACAGCGCCTCGGCAAGCTTCTCAGCGTTCACGCCGAGAAGCTTCGCGACCAGATCGACGACCGATCGATCCTTGATGGAGACGGTATTGTCCTTGGCGGCGTCTTGGTCAAAGGCAATGTTGCCGACCCAAAGGATTGCGGAGAGCGTTCGCATGGTGCTCTCGATGTCCTCGGTCTCCATTTTAAGGACGGTGAAGGCAAGCTTGAGCTTTTCAAAGTTCTTTTCGTCGGACACGCCATGGAGATCGATGCATCCGCTCTGGCTCATGTAATAGTACGCCTCAGGGTCCTCGATACTGTACTTTGACCTTTCGTCCTCGTTGGAGCCACGCAGAAGCTCGTAAAAGACGTGGTAGTTCCTCTCTGTCTTGGCCTGCTTGACGACACGCGATTTCTCGAGAAGGTAGTTGATAATGCCGGCGCCGATGATGCGGGTATTTTTGTCAAAATGGATTTGAATGAACTTGCCAAAGCGCGAGGAGTTGTTGTTGCGGACAGTTTTGGCATTTCCTGGCGGGACATGCAGCGAGAGACATGAGTGCCGGGTGGGAGGGGTCAGCAAAATGGCGATGTGGGTGAGGGGCAAAGCAGGTGTTCAATGATCAGCCTCAACGCCGGTGACAATGAGATGAGCAGCGTTTGGCTCAGATAGCTGTTCATAACTGGGGGTTGTGTGGCACGATGTGATATCGAGACAGCTTTGACGGTGGGGTCGGTGTTAACACTCACCAAAGCTCTCAAGCACAGTGTTGGCTTCCAGGATTTGCTGCTCGACCCACGACTCTTGCGACTGCGTCGAAGTAACAAAGGTCAAGTACTGCAGAATCAGCTTGGTGCTCTCGCTCTTGCCAGCTCCAGATTCGCCGCTGATGATCACAGCTTGGTTGCCTTTCCCGTTCTTGACGTTTCCATAAGCTTGCTCAGCAATGGCAAAGATGTGTGGAGGCCGATCGAGCAGCCGCTTGGCCTGGTATGTCTTCATGTTGTTCTGGTTGGGAAGGGGCACGTTGCCGAGCAGGTGTCAGCGGATGCGGCATGGCAGTCTCGCTGACGGAGGATTTTTCTGAACGACCACATAAGCACACTAAGGGGCAGGCTGCCCTGTCAGAGGCATCTTACCAGACTGTAGATCTCGAGGTTCTCAAACGGATTCATGGCAACCAGAATCGATCCAGTGAACGTCTGTGCAGCGCGAGCAAGAGCTAAGTGATGGAGGCTCGTGTGGCCGTGCTGGCGGCTGTGACGGTCACGCCGTGAACGATGCTGAGTGGGCTGCGAGTGGCCAAGCCCATGCTATGCCATCAAGTAGCGAATGTGCATGTGGCAGATGTAGAATGGCTTGGCTGGCGCTGAGATTGAAACTGCGACTGCGATTGCAACTGCGAGTTTCGGCAGAGTTCCGGGCGGAGATGAATGGATTCCAGCGCCAGGGGGCGAGACTTACATAGATTCTCCGTTGATCGTAGCGGATTCTCAAGTTTTCCATAATCGCTTCCTCTGTCAGCTCCGTCAGGGTGGTCATGTCACCAACCCCGATTCCCTCTGAGCGTGTGCATCCGAGGCCACACAGCGTGATGCGTCGGCAGCGAGCGACACCGGAGCAGCGGCAGGAAGGGAATGAGTACCTGCAACGACATACTATGATGGGTATGCACCTGGACAAGGATGCCAGCAGGCGTGGGTGGTATTGACGACGTAGGGCAGTGTACACAGCGCGGGTAGTATAGCCAGAACACGACTCGTACCGCTGAATTCTGCGTCGGCCATTGCGTCGGTCTGGTCGTGGGAAATGCAGAGATGCTGTGGGCAACAAGGCGGGTCAGTGCTTTTGCGGGATCAGCTGGGACGGCGGCTTGTGGGATGACTCAAATCTCAGAGCCAGAGAAACAAATGGATGTTGTAGGGAGTCTGGGAACGGATGGAGTTTTGTTTTTATTTTATAGGATGCACTGAGTGAGCGACGGATCTGCTGCGGCTGGAGCCGTGGGAAGCCCAGAGTGATGTCATTGAACTCTGGTCGAATGATTGGGAGGAGCAGGGTGCGAAGGGCGGTGTGGCAATAGTGCGACGACGACGGCCGAGAGGGGAAGCCGCAGAGATGATGTGAGAAGCTGTGTGTGGTGTATGGTGGTGTATGGTGGTGTATGGTGGTGTATGGTGGTGTATGGTGGTGTATGGTGGTGTATGGTGGTGTATGGTGGTGTATGGTGGTGTATGGTGGTGTATGGTGGTGTATGGTGGTGTATGGTGGTGTATGGTGGTGTTGGGAGATGCAGAGAGATGCAGAGAGATGCAGGGAGATGCAAAGGAGGTTGGCAGCGCGCGGGTGGGGGCAGGGCTGTGTGTGTGTGGGCTGTGGAGTTGCTGGTGCCTGCGTGCACTGAACAGCGCGACGACACGGCACAGAACGCGGCACCGACACAGAACGCAGTCGCACACACACACGTGCGGGCCGCACAGCAACAACAGCGACAGCAACAACGGCAGCCATCCACAGCAGCGACACACACACACGCGCGCGGCACATGTCTCCTCCTCGCATGAGCGAGACGGCCAATCCTCTTCTCGCCGCGCCTCGCCTCGCCGCCTGCGGTCTTTGCATTTTTATGCCCGTTTTGCCCTCCGGCCCTGGTCGATCCTCGATCAACCTGCCCACTCCAGCGATCTGCTCGTCCTCTCCTTCCCCCCCGTCGTCCCTGCCGTCTGCCCAGTGCTCCGTCTCTGTTGCACCCCAGGGCCGACGAGTTCGATTCCTCCGCTTCGGGTTGTTCTCGCCGCCAAGCCCTCAGCGCCGTTTCTCCCCCTTCTGTCTCCCTCCGATTGTGGCCCTGCGGACATCATCCCGCCTTTTTTCCAGAGTCCTGTGTTCGATCGCCAGAGCCCAGAGCCCAGCACCCGCGCTCTCGCTGCTGTATATTGTCTCCTGTCGTTAGCGCTAGATCCCTTCTGTATTTATTAGGACTTTCTCGTCCACCCTTTGATCCATCGCATCTGCTCTTTGCCTCGTTCCCGTTGTGTCCCTGATTGTTCTCGGTTGTTGCCATGTTCGCCGCCATTCCAAACAGAGTCTCCCAGTCGGTCTGCAGGACCGTCAAGCCTCCAAAGGCCCACCCGACGCCCTCATCGTTCTCGTCGTCGTCGGGCTCGGTGGCCTCGATCTCGACCCCGTCCAACATCATCGGCGACCCCACCAAGCCGGCCTCGTCCAGATCCTCGGTTCGTTCCTCGACTCTGTCCCGTGCCGACGATGCCATCAAGCCATTCCCACCCAAGGTAATTGCTGCTTGCCGGCGGACCCCCACCCGGCTTGGTCGCTCTCGCCACAGGAGGGCTCTGACTCATCCCTCGGCCTGCGCCAGCCACCTGTTTCTTCCTCTCACCCCAACCATCCTGCTCGCCGTCTCGTTGCCTTGCATCAACTTCGCTGCCGACCCCACATCCCGCACCCGTCGCTCATGCACGCTATGCACGCCATACTCGCTCCGACGCAGTCCCGTCCGCCGCTGCTGCCATTTCCGCTTGCACTCATTCATATCATTGTGCTACAGGAACGGGATTCGTTGCTCATGAAGCGAACCATATCCTCTCCGCCGGCTCTCTTTGCTGCCCCTATTCCTGTCTCGGCCCCGGTGCCGACTCCAGCTCCGACCATCGCTGTCGTCGAGCCTACGCCTTCGCGTGCTCCCGTCCGACCCCAGCGACGTCCGTCGAACATCTCAAAGCTGGATTCCCATCATCGCTTTGCCTCAAAGTACCGACTGCACACTGCCAACGCCAACAACGTCCCGACGAAGCAGCAGCAGCGACATGCTTCCACTGCGTCGGCCTCGCCCGCGACCCCTCCCTCCTCGAAGAAAAAGTCGACTGGTCTGCTTTGCAGTGTCTGTGGTCTCACCGGCCACTCCCACCGATCGTGCCCCACCAAGCAGCGCCCTGCCGAGTCCCTGCGCACCCCAAAGGGCAAGGCCTTTGCGTCCTCCTCGGCAGCCAAAGTCGAGGCCAAGATTCGCTCTGTCCAGACGACGGCCCCAGTCAAGGACGCTCTCGCCAAAGGCAGCAGTGCCCCCAGCCCGCCAGCTGCTGCTGCTACTGCTGCCGTCGCGTCCTCAGATGCCGATTCCCAGTATCTCGCGGCCACATCTCTCTTTGTCACAAGACTCATCCACATGGAGCCGGAGACGCAGCTGTTTGCGTCTGTCATGGCCACCCCGGGCGCCGAGACCACTCCGGAGTCGCAGGCAGTCCCCAGCCCGGCGCCTGCAGCTGATCCCGCCCTGGACTCGCTCTCCTCCTCGACGGAAAGTGTGCCGCCTCCCGTGCCTGAGAAAGACACACCTCCCGCAAAGCAGGTTGTGTTTCCCACTCTCTCTTTCCTCAAGGCCGATATTGCGCTGCAGCACTCGCTTGGTGCCGTCCAAAAGGTCTACGGCGAGCCCTTGGAGTCGCCCGTAGCTACCAGCAGCCCCGCTACGGCCGCTTTGGCACACGGATCGACTATCGCAGAGACAACAGCACCCCGTCCCGAGGCCTCTGCCAAGGACCACCTCGACTCGTCCGCTACTGATCTCCGGCTCACCGATGCGACTCCCAGTAGCATCATCCCAACAGAAGTCGCTTCTGGAGCCCACTCGCTGATCAATGCTCCCCGCGTCGCCTCAGATATCATGGTGCCTCCCAAGGTCGAGACTGCCCTTGCCACCCCGACCCGCAGCGCCGCTAATCTTCCGGCAGTTCAGCGCACTTTCCCGGTGTCGCTCGAGTTGGGCAGCAGTATCCAGCACCGTGTCTCGCTTGTCCCACTCGTGCCCATGGCCAGCCATCTGGCTATCGTTGAGCCTGTCCCTACCGCTGTGGCTCTGCAGCCCACTGCCGAGGCATTCCTCACAGTCGAGCCAGCCCTGCCGCTTTCGCATGATTTGGTTGGCGCCGAGCCTGCTTCGGCAGCCGTCACTGCACCAGTGAGCATCCTGATCGAGCCCAAGGTCGACATGCCATCGCAGGCCCCGTCCATGCCATCGGCTGCAGCACTGGTCGAAGAGCCGTCCCGGATCTCTCCTCGGGCCTCTGTCGGCAAGCAACGCAGACGCCTCTTCCGTGATCAAAGTCACGTTCCTCTGCGCCGCCTCACCGTCGCGGATATTCAGCAACGCTTTGTGAACGATACAGTGTTCCATCGCATGATAGGCAAGGCTCTCAGCGTCGTCCATCGCCCATTCAACCGCAAGGATCGCGCACAACCGGCCGAAAAGGCCAGTGCAAGTGCCCCCATAGATTCGAAGCTTATATTCAAGCCCCTGCGCAAGCCCAAAGCTGTCCGGCCCAAGCCCAAGCAGCTGGCGCTCGACTTTTTGCCGCCCTCGATATTCCAAATCAAGCCCATCCGAACAGCGCCCATCGCTCAGCGCTTGCCCACTCCTCCCCTGGAGTTCCTCTCGCTGTCGCCCCTGTCGCTCCTTCCCAACAAGCCCTTCCGCAGTCCCCAGAAGGGCATTGCTCCTCGCCGACCCAATGCGTTGGCTCATCCGCTGCTCCGTGAAACCGGCGTTGGGCTTTTGCGGACCCCTTCGGCGACGAACTTGGCGTCCGTGCGACCCCCGAAATCCCTCGGGCTCTCGATCTTTGCCCAGGTCTCGAGCGAGTTCCTGATGTCGAACCATGACGGCCCCATCGGACCCAAGTCCTTCACCCTGCCCGGCTCACTGGACCCAGTCCAGCTGGGCTCTCGCAAGAAATCCAATCGCCCCAGCTTCGAAGCCCGTCCGTTCCTGCTGCCTGTCCATGAGCAGCTCAAGTATTTCCCCCACCAGTCCCGCGTATGTATTGCCAGCGCAGCGGATTGCGTGCCATACGATTTTATGTTTCCGGAGTCGCTGCATCTATCCGCCCTTTCTGCTTCAATCTGCTCGGCTCGCCCTGCGTGCCCAACTGGTTACCTCTGACAACAGCGCTTCCTGTTCTCACCCGTCTCTGTCGATGCTCGTTGGTTTAGGCCCCGTCCGTCCGAGTCCGATCGTTCCACTCTCAACCCGACTTTTTGCTTCCTCTCGCGCCCGTGCCGCCCTCGGTCGTGTGTCCCTACGTCGACCACAAGGAGGGCGAGGAGGAAGTGGAGCTGACTCCCGAGCCCCCAGCCTTCATCGAGACCACCAGCCCACAACGGCCAAAGATGATCATGGTCTCGCTCCGAAACCTCTTTACCTTCTACAGCATTTCGGATGAGCGATCCTGGATCGCCGAGTCTGAGCGCATCGCTGCCTGGATCACCACCAAGGCGCGCTCCTACGCCTGTCTCCTGCTGGCCCTGATGGCGCGCACGGCCGAGTCGGCGTTTGCCTGGATGGACCGACAAATCTCGAGTGACATCAAGGAGGAAATCAAGCTCATCCAAACCTACATCCACACATGCATTGAAATCCGCATCCGCCTCGATCTCCCCCTGCTCTTCCCCAACGAGTACATCACCGACTCGTCTGGTGCCATCGTCGGCCTGACCCGTCCGGTGCATCTGCTCGCCATCCGCTACCTGGGACGCATCGTGGCCCATGTCGTGCTGCGCCTCGCCCGCATCCAGCCGCTCAACCGCGACGACCAGATCAGCAGTGCCGAGAGCGTCCCCATGTCGCGATCCGCCTCGAACTCATCCTATAGCAGCTCCGCTGCTGCCATCCTGCCCCCAACCCTCGACCCCCCTGCCACCAGGAGCCTCGATTTGACCGCAACCCCTGCTGCGGGATGGACCCACGACTCTACCGACCGACCCCGCTTCGCCATCGAGCCTGACAACACACCCGACGCCGATTCTATGAACCCTCCTCTGCTGTCGCTCAAAACCGACCGTCTGCTTCTGCAGTACGAGTGCAGCATCTCGCCCTCATCCTCCCCCAACCTTTCCGACGAGCTCAGCAACGCTCTCCTTCGCGAGCACGAGCTCTATGCTCGCTCCGAATCGGTGCCTCATAGCCGCCCAGACACTCCCGATTCTGTGGCCCACTCTGCCCCTCACTGGCAGCACTCCCGCCGTACCTCGAGTACCTGGGATGTCGACAGCCCGTCGCTGTTTGCCTCTAGCCCCGCCACCTTTGCCTCCAGTCCCGCCGTCCATACCGCCAACCCCGCCGTCTTTACTTCCAGCCCAGCTACAAACACCTCGAGCCCAACGACTCTCACCTCCACGCCCACCGCTGCCAACCGAGTTCCCTCGCAGCCCGTGCACGTCGATATCATGCCGCTGCCCACCCAGATCTTTGTCAAGGAGGGCAACGCCGAGTGGGAGGCCTTCAGAGTCAAGGGCGCCGGCATCCCCGAAGAGGTCCTTTGGATCGAATATCAGTATCTGAAGACCACCGGTTGCCTGAGCGCTGCGTACGACCAGAGCCTGCGCGAAGTCGATGCCTGGTGAGGACGCCACGTCCCGAGACCAGCTGTTCTCGGCGACACAGGAACCAACCCACGCCAAACCACGCCTATCAAAGTCAACCAAAGCCAAACAAGCCAAACAAAACACCACTTTTGAAATGACAGCAACCCCATATACCGTACCAGTCCTATTCTGGCCTGCCAGCGCCAGTGGACGTGCTTCCGTCTCGGTGCCGAGTTGTCGCACAATACCGTTCTTGAACCACGTTTCTCTGCTCCCGCATCCTTCCCCTTTTGTTGTTTGCTTCCGCACTTTGGCCCCAAATTGCCTTATCTGCGGTCTGTCCGAGCCCCGTAACTCTGCTGAACTTTCCGTGCGCTCTCTATGCTCTGTCTCTTGGCTCTGCCTTGCATTTTTGATTCGGCGCTTACTTTAACGTGTTCCCCTCCCCCGCCCCTGCCCACAGCTGCGGGTTTCCCCCACTTGTCGTTGGTCCTTTTCTTCTCCGCCTCTCCTCTAGACTCTCATTTGGCACCTCTCCATTTTTTTTATTCCGCGGCGTTGGCCCTCTGCTTGAATTCCCCCCGTCGTATCCTGCGAGGCCGTCTCGCATTTCGTTGTATGTTTTTTCTCTTTCATTCGTTACCCAGCCATGACCCGCGTTGATTCTGGTGCCAGCTGGATACCGGCTTCCCCCCTCTCCCGGCCTGTTTCTGCAGCCAACTTTGCACTGCTTTGATCCCATGCACCGTTATGGGTCTGTCCCATGCGTCCGCCCCCTCTCGCTTCCCCGCCCAATATCCAAGATATCGCCCTGTCTTTTGTCACCCGTCAGTCATCAACCTCGCTCATACCTCGGGCTGAATCCCGCTTGCGTCGCTCCCCCGCCCCGTCCAACCCCCGCGCTGCGCTCTCCTTGTCTGTAACCCAAATGAGCAATACAACTTGAGTCTCCTCACAATCCCGGCTCTTGTCCATAGCATGCAAGAACGAGGGCATTCTTTGCAATATCCCCGAAAGTAGGGGGGAAGTGGTCTTGTTATTTCGATCATCCTCTCGAATCAAGCCAAACAGAACCGAGCGAAGCACACGGCTTCACCTCTATCTCCTCTTGACATCGGTTTGTCCTGTCATGGCTGCCTGCGATTCGTGGCTGATGCTCGTATCATCCTGGTCTAAGCAAGCCTGTGGCCAAGGCCATTTTGTACCTTCTGCAGAGGCGACACAGCCGCAACAGCAATGGCAACCGCAACAACACCCGGCTCTATTCAAAGCGGCCGTCGAAGCCGACGAATCCAGTCAGCAAGAAAACGTGAAAGTAGGGCTTCTTTTCCAACTTGGAGCACCAGTTCCCTGTGTTCGGTAGTTGAGGTTTTGATTGCACCGAGAGAGAGTGTGTGTTAACGGCATGGTCGTTGTCCGCGATTGCAATCCACGTTTTGGTTGTCGGCAAAGATCGTGTTGTACTTACATGCAGAGGTCAGTCGTCCGTCAATGCATGATCCAGCATCTGATAGACACAGAAAACGGGCAGCAGCGAGGCCGCATGGGGTTAATCTCCATCCCGAAGAATGAGTCCTCGCCGCTCTACCCTGTACATACCAAAGAAGTTGTCGGCACCAGAGCCATCAAAGGCATGGCGGAAAAAGTCGCTGCGAAGGCATGATGCAGGGCCTCAACTTGTCAGTTCGCAGCAGAGAAGGTAGAGTCCGCCAATCTGCGGATACCCACTTCCTGGCCAGTAACCAACGCACAGGATGGAAGAGAGCCCACCCTCAGCGCCTCCGAGCCCCAGCAGCCAGAATTACAACACCGCTGCAAAAACAGAAGCAAAGACCGCCGCACATACCACAGAATCTCCTTCTTGAGGCGCTCGGGGCCCTTGAATGTCTCCTGGATGTACTTGTCCAACCCACGGTGGCTAGCGACCTCATCGATGTGCTCCAGTGCGTTGACGATGGGCAGCAGGATGCGATAGACCTGCGTGTATTTGTCTGGCAATATGAAAAGGCACGGCATGCGTTTGATAATGTTTGTATCGTTTGGGGGACGGGGCTCTGTTTGCGCTCTGAGTACCATTGCCAAGTGCACCGCACAAAGGGCCATCAAGACCTACCGATAAACATCAAGGCATTGGGAACATTCTGTATTTTCGACAACGAGAGCCATGGCGGCGCATTAGCTCAGCAAGCAAGTGTGACTCGAGAGACTATCACTGTGGCCAGGGCACCACACATTCCCAAAGACATGGCAAGGGCCCGGCGCACTTACATGGTCACCAAGATGGATCACCGAGGAGCCGATCCAGCGCTCGACTCTTTGCTGTGCGCGATTGAGGATCATATGCATCGTCCTCGAGACGCGCGGAGCGGCTGATACCAGGAGCAAGAGAAGGGCGGATGGTTGGTCTGCGTGGAGATGGATCGAAGCAACCACACAGGACGACTCGCGACTGGATATGAGCTCGGCCGCTGCTTCCTCGCAGATGCATCCAAGCCATCGGCACCATACCTTGCACACGATTCAGGCCCTGTCCAGTGTCGCGGAGACGATACGGGTTCGACTCGCTAGAGAGCGAACAGACCGAATGAATACCTCGACTCCATCAGCAGAGTCGCAATCGCGCTGGCGGAGCAGGCGCCATGTGCAGCGCCGCTCGCGGGAATGTAAGCACGCTGATATCATGTCGCCTACCTCAGCAAATCATCTTCCGAAAGGCACCATAGCATGAACATGTCTGTGGATAGCAATCAGGAGGCGAACCGGGCAGTGAGCCGCAAATCGGAGCCAGCCAAACACATGCTCTCGTCCCCATGGCGTAGCACCAGCGAAGCTGCCGAAGTGATCGGTCGGCTGTGACAGCGATTGCGAGCAAATACCATGAAGGATTTCGCGCCAGAGGGTCAGGGACTGCAAAACATATTGATACTGCTTGCTGTGGTCGTGGGAAAGGCGGGCGCCGCCCCGACCGGACTGGATATAAACGAGGCATCGTGGAGTTGAAGCCGGGGTTTAGTGCTGTAGCTCAAAATGCAGCCGCAAAGATGCGGCGATCCTCCTGTGCATCTGTGGATCAATCGAGACCCATGTCGTACCGAAATGGCCAGGGACAGGCCGTTTTCCCAGTTCTCGGGGTCAAAGTATTCCTTGAGATAAGCTGGATCGATCGCCGACAAGCCAGTAATGAAGCAGAGAAGGGTGTGAGTTTCTTACGGCATCAACGGTGGCACGAGGTAGCTCCACAGATCCAGCGGCATTCGCTCCTTCCCTGCGCAAGCGCTGGCCCACAGTCGTCGTCCTACCAATCATCTTCTCGCACGGATCGCGGTTCGTTCGCAAAAAGGCGTGGTTGTCGCCAATGCTGTAGAGACACTGCTTGATTCCATCCGCCGTGAGGTCACCGCGGGCGTATTTCCTCGCCAGTACCTCGATGGCTCGCTCCTTCTGCTTGATCTCGTTCTGGATCTGGTGACGGAGCTTGCCCTCGGGAACGATTTCCATCGTGGCAATGTTGATCAAGTCGTCCTCCAGCAGCGCGAGTCCGTCGTGGGCCGAGAGATGGGCGTAGACAGACTTGATATCGGTGACGCAGTCAAACTGGAGTATCTCCTTGACTTCGGGGATCTGTGAATCTTGGAGCATGTACACGAGCTTGCCATAGGTGGCGCGCATCTTCTCGGGCTGTGGACAGTATCCCAAAGAGCGATCCGCGCAAGTGGCGTGTCAGTTTCCGGACACCAAAACCGTTTACCGATCAACACCAGCAACTCAACAGGCAAGGAAGCGGCGAGTTCGATTGCTGGCCTCACATTCATGATCTTGTGTCGTCGCCCGAGCTCGAATCTGGATCAAAGTGCATTCGTAATTCATGTCGCAATGCCGAGACGGTGAGCATCGAGTGCATTGTGATCAACCGGAATCACCATAGACAGCGCTACATCTACAAGCGTGTCTCTTGCTCCACCAGAGCGCCGCAGACATACATTTTCTGGTAGAACTCGGCATTTTCCTCGAATGCGCGGTTCTCGAACAGCTCCTGTCCGGTCTTGTAGTCGGCGGCCATGACGAGGCCGCTGAGGATCGAGCACAACTCCTTGATCTGGCCAACGATGCGCCTGCTCTTGTTGGAGTACGACAGAATGTCGATGCGGTCCGTGTACTCGCTGACGTTGAGGGCAGCTTCGAGCAGGCGCAAGTACTTGCGCTCCTCGTACGTCAAACGGAGAGGAATGTACTTGGATCGCTCCAAGAAGTAGCCCTTTGGAAGCTTGCGGTCCGATGTGTACACCGATACGCCCGAGTCGGCCATGACTTCATCCGATTCACTGTCGTCGTCGGCATTCTGAGAGGAATCGGCCTATGCAACATATTCGTTGTATCAATAAGGGATGGCCGTCAGAGCATAGGAGAGAGCAGATAAGTTGGCCTGAAAAGAGTTCCCCTGCCTTCTGTAACTCGACAACACAGCCGATCGAAAGGCCGAGGCTTGCCACTCGCAGACCAGCCGCGATCCCACCTTCTTGTCCCCCGAAGTCGAGCGCTTGGGCTCGGGTCCGAGACGCTTCGCCTTGTGCATCTTGCGGCTGCCCTTGCGATGCTGCGCCGTGTAGCAGACCTCGCAAAAGTCTTTGAACAACGAGCGGATTAGAGTCGTCAGGACCAGCTCAGAAAGCGCCATTCTTTCCTTTGGGACAAATCGCGAGACTGTGCCCGACAGAGCATGCGAAAAGCGGGGATCGGCGCAGTGCGCCGAGATGGTGGACTTACCGTCTGCACATTGCTCGCAGCTGAAGAAGGCCGGCTGGTCTGGATGCAGATGAATCGCGGCCGGCACGGAGGCGAGCAGGACGGTATCGAGGCCGGCGTCCAACGGCACAGATCAGGGCAGCCCGATTGCACCCGACAAAGAAGGACAGTTAGGGCAACGGATGTGCAGCGGGCCCCGTCTGCTGATCCGAATCGCACCACGGAGCATCTTTCCCACCTTCGCACTCGATACAGAAGCCCGTGGGTGGCCTTTTGGCGCTGCTGCCCATGTCGGCATCGTCGCTGTCGCTGTCGTTGCCGTCGTTCGAGTAGGCATTCGCAACCTGGTCGAGGGCATTCCCCAGGCTCTCGTCGCCGTGGCCGTCGAGGATGTCGCCAAGGGTCCTATGCAGACGATCCTTCTTTTGACTCATGATCCGGACAGACCCAGGGCGAGCGGTGCTGCGAGGCAGATGTGCACCGAGTGTCTGAAAAATCAAAATTCCAGCGGCAAAGCCAGCACAAGAGAACGGCCAGCGAGCGAGAAGCGAGAGCGGGCGGGGAGCACGGCGAGAGCGAGGCGGGCTGCTGTCGCTGCTTCCCACAGCTGTCTCACTCAGGATGCTGCAAGACGGAGGCTCTGCAGATGGCAGCTGGAGCGAATGGCAAATGATGTATTTGGAATTCAAGCTGCCTGCCGCTACTGCCGACCCAGAAACAGCCCTCCCACAGAGCGCTATGGGAGGACCGTGGCAGCGATCCGATGCAGCACAGGCAGGGACAAGTATCGTCCTGGACATGGGCACAGGCATGGACATGGCATAGGCATGGCATAGGCATGGTCATGGGTACAGGCATGGGGTGTTCGACAGAGACTACAGAAGCTCGGGGTAGACGCCGTCGATCTGCCGGTAGTCGTGGACGGCGTGGACGACGGTGGGCAGCTCTACGGGGCCGTAACAATGTGGATAGACTCGCGAGCCCGAGACAAGCTCAGGCCGATCCAGAGCAGGGTCGCCGCAGCTCTCGTGGCTGCAGCCCGAGTCGGGGCACTCCCATCGGGTCTGGTGCTGGATCTTGGTCCAGTCGATCTCGAGGACCTTGACGGAAGGGTGTGTCTTGAAGAACAGGTTCGCCGTGTTGCGGACCTGGGCAAGCGCCGAGAGGTGGATGAAGCCGTCGTGCAGATCGAAATCGGTGCCGGCCCAAGCGGAGGGCTCGGCGCGGCCCTCGGGGAAGAGCTGGCGGTACTCATCCAGCGTCAGGATTTTGAAGACGTTGCGGTTCATTGCGATGTGCGTGCAGACGAGGGAGATGCAGCCAAGGGGAGCTCGGCGCTGTGGCCGGCGTGCCTTGCTCTCTCATCAATCTCTGCGCCGTCGCTCGTCTCCATCGCCTTCCTCCATCGCTCACCCAGCTCCATCGCTCGTTTCCAGCGTCTGCCATGCCCTCGGGACTCCCGCCAACGATGCGGCTCTCGTACCGCAAGTACAAGCAGGAGACTGCCCAGCTCGTGCACTGGATCGAGGCGACGTCGGCAGCCCATTCTCCTCGATCCAAGCCAAGTCAACCCCGCGACCGCAGCTCCAGCACAGCTACAAACAGCCGTCGGAATGGCAAAATGAAGAATGAACCTCCTCCTCGTCCCGAAGCGCCAGCACCCAGCAGCCACTCGATCACCCTCGCCGCATTCTCGCAGATGATCGAGAGCATTTCCGGCAGGCTCGACGAGGGCATCCTGGCTATTCCCGACAACATATACGCCATTTTCCATAGCATCATCCAGAGCCGGCTCCAGTTTGTCGAGTTCTACTCGAGAATCGCTGAGCGATTGTCTGCCCAGGGCAAGCTCGCCGAAGTGGCTGAGATCAACCAGAGCACCCAATCCCACATGCACTTTCTGAGCGTCCTCCAAGTGTCTTTCTCGAAGCTCGGCGGCGACTCCTGGACTCTCCGCAACTCGCCCATGCTGCCCAATAGCCCTGGAATCGGCCGGAATCAACACGAGTCCAACGGATCCGTCTCGGCAGAGTGCCACTTTGAGAATCGATTCTCGGCGCTGCAGGTGGACGAAAGCGTCGTGCCCGCTGCTGATCCCCTTGAGGAGCCCGCTCCAAGTCCAAAAGTCTCCAGCGAGTGGAGCCCAGAACGGGTATCTGAATGGCACCCATCTCAGCTTGAAGAGGACGACGGCGACCCAGAATACGAGGACATCGAGGATGATGACCAAGCGAGTCGCATCAGTCGCGATGGCAAGTGCTTCGACGGCCGCAGCTCAAAGGAGCGCAAGGGTAGCCAACCGGATGCCTCGCTCGATGGACGGACCATGCCTGGCGCAGACGATTCGTCTGACATCGACCTTGACGGATACGGGCTCGCGGGCGACATGCACGAGTGGATGTTTGCGGCATGGTGTCTCTGGATCGACGTCCACCAAATCCGGCTCTACATTCACTCTGTCTGGGAGCACCACTCCCAGGGCAAGGTCAATCTGGTAACGGCCTCGCTCGTGACAACAGTCGCAGTTGCAGTCATCAGCCAGCTGGAAGACGAGCTGCGGCAGCAGTTTCCGCACTTTACGGGCTACCAGGATTTCGTCGATGTCTTTGCTGCGGCGCAGGAGCAAGACGAGGCCGGTCTTGTCGAAGAAGTCATCATGCTGCCGACCTTTACCATTCTCAAGAGCTTCTCGGCCGTTGTCCAGGAAGGAACTCTACCGGTGGCCAAGGCCGGCGTCTTTGGCCCCTTCAATCCACGGACCCGTCGCTCTCGCATGACATCGGCACAACGACGAGCCGAAGACAAGAGCGTCCTGTGCACTCAGCTGGCGGACTGGGCGATTCTGGCCCGAGCGACGACCGAGTTTTTCGGTGACGACGCCGTCGTCGGGCTCGTCCGGCCGTTCATCCAGTCCAAGGAAATTCCGCTGCGGCTTGTTTTCTCGGCCCAAGCCTACCTCACTTCGCTCTACACAAACCGCCGACAAGCGCATCAGTGCATGATGGCCCTGTATTCGTTTGTACGGTGCTGCCAGAGCGAGCTAGAGTGGCAGCTGGCGCACGGCGATACCTACATGGACAGCAGCAGCATCAACAAGGACATCAAGGCGATACTGGAGAGCCTCCGCCGCGGGCTCGCTGTCGACCTGGTCTTCGAGCACAAGCGCAAGCACATAGCCGAGCTTGGCGGCATTCCGATCCGAAGCCACGAGATCTTTGAGCGCAATCCGTGGCTCTGCGGGGCGTGTATGTACAAGGTGATGTTTTCGGTCCACCACATCGGCATTCAGATCATCAACCAAGCAGGGTTTTTTGTCGCCATCAGCCATATATACAATGCGCTGCGCCGCCGCGGGTACCTGAGTCTGGACTGGCCGTTGCTGGACTCGCTGATGGAGCTGCACTCGCGGCGCATCTTCAACGGCAAGGTGCCGACCACGGACTTTCTCAAGAGCTTTGCGCTGTCTCTTGGGGTGCGCATCGAAAGCTTTGCCCGAGACCCGGTCCGGAGGCGCAAGGATGGATCTGCAAAAGGGCCGCGACGAACGCTGGAGTTTCATCGACACGGCCGCGGTATTCAGGACGAGTCGCTCCTCCACACGGTGTTTGAAGAGAAAGACGGGCTCGCTCCCGCGACCATGGACCGCATCATGGAGTGGGCTCGGCTCGCCGACGCCCCACAGCCGCGAGCACCCGGACGAAGGAGCACCTCTATGAACAAAACCGAACGCACGCCTGTCGATCTCCTGAAGGGCGTAGCCAACCTCTCCTATCACGAGCAGCACGTCAGCCACGCCGTCGGACTGAATCTCCTGGGAATCCATCGAATCTTTATCGAAACAATGCAGACACTGAGAGACCGACTGAGCGAGCACTTGCCTGGTTTGGCGGATCTGAAACCTCAGCAGTGGCCGTTTATTGCAGGTCATCTCCTGTCCAGGCTCGACGAGGCGGCACAGCAAGGAGACGCCCACGATGGCACAATGCAGGCTGCGGCCCGAGTCTTTGCAGAGCGGATCGAGCGCACGCAGGCGGCGGACTACTGCCTCGTCCCCGGCGTGGTGCTCTGACGGGAAGCTGGGTGCGATGCGCACGATGTCGGGGAGTGGACATGAGAGAGCACAGAGCACCACTGTTTCCACTTTGGTCTTGCTATCGCAGCACCTCGTCGAGCCGGGCTGGACTCGACTGGGCTGTATTCATCCGGCTCAATATACCAAACTCCACCACAGAGCCGCGCATCATCATCGATAGCATGGCGAAGGGCGGCGTCGGTCATCGATTGCACTGGCCCCACAGGAGACCATGGCACTGGCATTGACGGCGTTGAGAGTCTCATGGACTCGCCGCGCCACCGCCGCTGACGTCATCGCCCAACCCGAATGCCGGGATGTTGGCGCCGCGCTGCTGCCCTCATCCTGTCTGCTTCCCCTGCCTCTGCATCTGCCCATCTGTCCATCTGTCCATCTGCCCATCGCATCTGCCCGTTTCCATCATGGCCGAGGAAAACATCGCCGTCACCCGCTTCAGGGAGTATCTCCGAGTCAACACCATGCAGCCCAAGCCGGACTATGCCGGCTGTGCCGCTTTCCTCAAGGGCTATGCCGAGGAGCTTGGCCTCGAGTATGCTGCGTACGAGCCCGTCGCTGGCAAGGTGGGATCAGTCTTCTCTGCTGCAGCCGGACTCGCTTCGGATGCTGCCGCCTCTGTTGTCATACCGCTGGCTGAACCGCTGGCTGTCTATTCCTGCTGTTTCTGGAGACTCACGCCCCGCCTGCCTCTTCCAGCCCGTTGTTGTCCTGACCTGGCGTGGCTCTGATCCTACCCTTGGAGCCATACTCCTCAACTCGCACACCGATGTAGTGCCTGTCAGCCGAGTATGTATATGCAACATATGTCTGCCATGTCTGGTCTCGCTGCTGCTGTTCTCCAACACAGCCTCTGCATGACCTTCCGCCTCTCGCCATCAATGGTCCTGATCCTGATCCTACTTTCCCGCGGCGTGCTCGTAAATAGGCCAGATGGACCCAGGATCCCTTTGCCGCCACCAAGCTCCCGAATGGCGATATCGTCGCTCGTGGTTCTCAAGACATGAAGTGTGTTGGCATTGGATACCTCGAAGCCATCCGCATCCTCAAGTCGCAGGGTGTCGTCCCAGTGAGAACAGGTAGCTCGATGGCAGCGCTTGCTGGCTATGAGATGATAGCGTACGAAATTGCATCTGCCTCGGCCGTCATCGTATATCGCCAAGAATCGATCTCGACACTCGAACAGAACATGGCGGCAGATCGTTGCGGATGCATCGGACTGAGCTCTCATATGCGGCCCATCGCACCCTCGCTTCTACTAGTACACTCGTCCTTCGTGCCTGACGAGGAGATCGGAGGCACCGACGGCATGAAGGCCTTTATCCAAACCGCCGACTTCAAGGCCCTCAATGTCGACTTTGCCCTGGATGAAGGTAAGACTCCCACCAGGCTCGGATATACATCTGAAGTGCATCCGCAACCCATCCGAGTCGGCGAGTACTCATCTGACACATGCCCTCGAACGGATCGTTGCCAGGCATCTCGCATCCTGATGATGCGTACAAGGTCTTCTACAGCGAGCGCACGCCCTGGTGGATCACGCTCACCGCCAAAGGCTCTGCCGGCCATGGTTCCCAGTTCATCGAGCCCAATGCCACCGCCCGCCTGGTATGATCGACTCGCAACCCAGAGTCATCGACGACATGCCGGGAGAAGGCATTCATGTGTCGTCGTCGTCGTCGTCCAACCACTCTGCACACCATCAGATCCGTGTCCTCAACAAGTTCCTTGCTCTCCGCGAGTCTGAGCAGCGCCGCCTGGCCCTTGGTCTCAAGCTCGATGGCAGCAAGTACACCCTCGGAGATGTGACCAGCGTGAACGTCACGATGCTCAATGTAAATATGCAATCGTATTACCGCATAGATCGGCGGCGAGAGTGTTCCGTCCATAAAGTCGGCTGGCACATTTGACAGTGGGGGCCGCGAGCGTTGTCGTCTGCTCAACGGCATGGCTGCCTCACTAACTCTGCGCCACATACACCCTCCCCCCATCACAACAGGCTGGCGTTCAAGTAAGACAAGAGACGGGCTTGTGGTGTTGCTGTGAATCAAGCCGGGAATGCAGCCACAGATCTCCTGCGAGGCTTCTAAGTCGCAGTTTGTCTGTTTGGTTGGACCGTGCTGCTCCTGAACTGCGTACTCACTTTGGTCATCACCCGCCAATGCGTATCTCAGGCCAATGTTGTGCCCGAGGTGGCCAAAGCATGTGAGTACCACTAGTTTGCGTTACTTGCTGCCATGCTGGACCGGCCAGGTCCTTGATATCTGTTGCGGGTCTGCCAGCCCAATCCGAGATTTACTGGGCAGTTGCGTCGATGCATCCACAAGAGAGACTGAGAGACTGTGGCGCCGCTCCGCGGACGGTGGTTCGCTGACACTTGCTCCCTCCCAGCCGTCGATGTGCGTGTCGCTCCCACAGTCAACCTTGTCGAGTTCAAGAAGCTCATCCGCGGCTGGTGCGACGAAGAAGAGTAAGCCAAACCTTCTGCGTCAGCCCGAATCCACGCTGTCCGTATCTCTCATCTCGGTCGGATCTGTGTCTCCAGGATCGAGCTTACAGGCATGATGCCAGATTTCTCAGGATCGACTGCTGCGGATTCCTCCAACAAGTGGTGGAATGTGCTGAGTGCCGTCGCGTCGCAGCGGTAGGTGGAGAGCATATCCGGTCACTACGCTCGGCTGCGATATGCAACATCAGGTAGTCAGGTGATTCCTCGTCGTCTAACCGGGCTGCCCACATTCAGGTCCGTCAAGCTTGAGCCCGAGGTGTTCCCGGCCGGCACAGGTGGGTGAGCAATGGTGTCTTGGTGGCGAAGTCGGTCTGTTTCTCACTCTCGATTCCCTTCCCCACGGACCAAAACCACTGGCTGCAAAAGACTCGCGGTTCCTCCGCGCAATCGGCCTGCCAGCTTTGGGTATCAGCCCCATCCGCAACACCCCGATTCTCCTCCACGACCACGATGAATTCCTCAACGAGAACACCTTCCTGGAGGGCGTCTCCTTCTATGTCGACTTGATCAAGCAGCTTGTGCGCACACAGTGAGCGGGTGTGGATGCGCTCCCAGCCCTGCGCTGTAGCACGGGCATTGATGATGTTTGCTGCGGCAACTCTACGAACACAATCCACCTGAACTATCGAAGCTCGTCTCGAAGAGCGGAGTGCTCCATTGAATTGTCTGATGGGGCAGCATGCTTGTCTCGTTGGCGAGGAGAAGAGCATCCGCTGGAGTGAGCCCCATCACCACCTCTGCGAACACCTCCGCGAACACCTCTGAAACCGCCCACGAGACTGCCACCTGGGCTGCACCTGGGCTGCTGCGGTGCCGCGGCGAATAACCAGAGGAGCTGCTGTCCCACCAGCAGGGAGCCAAGTGAATAGCCCGCACGACCGATCTGCCTCGCTGCCCCCCAGTCCAAAGGCCCCGTTCCCACACGCCTGTCCATCCGTCCATCTGCCCGCGCGGCTGTGTCGGACAAGCGCCCGCCCGCCCACCAATGGGGCCGCCGCCCTCCAGGCATATAAAAGCCACGGCGCCCGCCTCGGCCCCGAAACAGCGCTCGTCCCTCGTTCCCTTTTCGTTCTTCTTCGCCTGTTCCCTCCGCCTCTCTCCGGCTCTCCAACCGCGAATCATGTACGTTTTGAGTCTCGCCTGCCGTCTGCGGCGGATCTGCCCAAGAGACGCAGTGCTGCGGGGCGCCGTGTGCTGCACACCCTGCTGTCCCGGGCGGCGAATGGTCCCTGGGCTTCTTTCGTTGGCGTGGTTGAAATGGGGTGGGGGTTGGCAGAGCCGAGGACTGGCCCGCTGGCAGTGACCACCTCCGGCCCCAGACAGCGAACGCGAGGAGGCTGCGTGCGAAGGTGCCAGTGTGTTCAGATCGCCGTCGACGCTCGACCATCCGCAGAGCCCTGGTTGTGTGATCGGCCCGATAGTAACGTTGGTTTTGGGTCTTCCCGCTTCTGTTTCATTTTCGCCTTCGCTTTTTTTTGCGCCTTTCATCAACCTCCCGACTGCGACGCTTGCGTGAATGTCAATACAGGGCCCGTACCAAGCAAACCGCCCGCAAGTCCACCGGTGGCAAGGCTCCCCGCAAGCAGCTGGCCACCAAGGCCGCCCGCAAGTCTGCCCCCACCACTGGTGGAGTCAAGAAGCCCCATCGTTACCGCCCTGGTACCGTCGCTCTCCGTGAAATCCGAAGATTCCAGAAGGTACTGCCGTGTGCGGCCGGGGTGATTGAGCGGCAAAGCAGCCCCCCCCCTCTTGTCGTGGCTGTCCCTCTCGCCAGCGACTCTCATGTCCCGGATGCGTGGCAAGCGGCAAAGCCCGAGACGAGAGGCCCGATCGAGCAGAGCAAAGGGGCAGTCGTCTGTCAACCCGACTCCCCCCCCCCGCGACAGGCCGCTAACGCATTCTGTCCCCGTGATGCCGGATCCCCCCCTCTCTCACCCACACAGAGCACTGAGCTGCTGATCCGCAAGCTCCCCTTCCAGCGCCTCGTCCGTGAGATTGCCCAGGACTTCAAGACCGATCTGCGATTCCAGTCGTCCGCCATCGGCGCCCTGCAGGAAGCCGCCGAGGCCTACCTCGTCGGTCTCTTTGAAGACACCAACCTCGCCGCTATCCACGCCAAGCGTGTCACCATCCAGCCCAAGGATATGCAGCTCGGTAAGTGTGACAGCGCCTGGGCGCTCTGGCTCTGGCTCTGGCTCTGGCTCTGGCTCTGGCTCGTCTGCATCTGGCCGCCCTCCGCTCTGAATGTTGTAGTCTCGCCGTCTCATCCGTCTCATCTCGTTTGTCTATGCTCTGCACAGCTCGCCGCCTGCGTGGTGAACGATCCTAAAGCCCTCATCACCCCGGCAACTCACGCACGGCGGCATTCAATGGTTTGATCCCGTTGAGTTCCAATCAAGCACGCTGCATCCGCCTCCGGTTGCGGCCCTCATTCGCTTCGCATTCCACTTCAAGTCTTGTGTTGTTCCTTCTCAGCATGTTTTTCTTTCTTGGGCCTGTATTTGATCTTTGTTGTCTGTGTTGAGTACATGGATGGAAATGAGTCTGTGTCCAAGTGAGAGGAAGAGGAAGAGGGAGGGAGAGGGCCAAAGAACGTGCGTGTGCATATGCCAGCGACAAACACTGGGCCAACCAACCAACCAATCCGCCAGCAGCGACGTCGTTCACAAAATGGACCGGAAGACTGTCGGTTGGTTGGGAAATACACACAATAATCCATCGATCCTCCGACGACTACGCTTCTGCGCTGTGATGCTATTACGCACCGATATCCCCGGTTGGTGCAAGCGGGTGTGTCCAGGAGCGGTATCAATGGCATTCCGACTCCATGATCGCAAAGCCTGCATCACCCGCATCTCGAGGAACAGAGACAGCATATCAGCGAGGATGTGGATGTCTGCATTCTGGCCCACAGTGTTTCCCTATTGCCCTTTCCAATCCAGCACCGAGTCCTCCCATCCGATGACGTCGCCCAAGAACACATGAACCTCGATTGGCGACGGCTGCCTCTCGCCCCCTCGATCGCCTGCCTCGCCCCCTCGATCGACTGGGCGCTGTCCGGCATTCCTCGGAGGGGCGAATTTGCATCGGCCGATTCTGTCGTTCCTGCCCTTGCTGCTTGTCGCAGGAGGTTGCTCGAGCGACCGTCAACCCGCCCGCCCGCCTGCCCGTTGGCCACATGGTTATCCTCAGCTTCACCAAAGACACCGAGACCTCGACGGCGGTCACGGCCGGCAACCCGGCGCCTGCCGTCCAGCTGTGGGGCTTTGATCCGCTGGAGCTTCTGGAGCGGATCGAGTTTCCCAACGACAGAAATGAGCAGCTTCTCCGTGTCTCCAAGGCGTCCCGCATGGTACGCAAGCGAGGACGGGTGAGAGTGCAGCGAGTGCCATCCACGCCGAAGCGTTTCTCACGCTGCCGGGTCTTGCTCTATTCCTCTATTGCTCTGTTGCTCTATGCCGCTGCTCGCTGGCGACCAACCATACGCAACCGCAGCGTGCGGTCCGCCGCATGTCGCTCGAGCCCTCAGACGACCCAGCCAAGAATGTTCCCAGACCCATTCCGCCCGAAAACAGCCGCCGGCGAACCTGCCGCACTCCCGCTGAGGTCAAGGCACGAGAAGAGGAAGCCGTGTTTGAGCAACTCGCCCGCTCGGCCGCTGCGGTCATAATACAGAGCTGCTTCAAGGGCTGGCTGACCCGCCGCAAGTACCTGGCCGTCGTATGCTACCGCATGTCGCAGCGGTCTGTCGGCAGCGGCGGCTCGAATCTCCAGTGCATCACGCTCCCAAGCATATCCGATCTATCGGTTCAGGTCTGGTTCCCGTCTGTGCATGAGCGAGCATCAAGAGGGGGCCCAGGGTCAAAGATGATAGGGCAGCAGTGCTCATACGCACATTGCCGCCCGAAAGCCACCGTCCTTTGCACATTCCACTGCCAAACGGCATTTGCTTACCACAAGCGCTCTCTGCATCAACGGCCAACAGGAACGGCTGTTGGCCAAGTACAAACGATACTGCTCGTTCTTTGAAAAGCTGTGTCGGCCTCCGCCTACGTTTCCGTTCTTCTGTGCGGCATTCATCCAAGCATACTTTCGCATGTGGGTCACCCGCCGCACATGGATCCAGCTACGGCTCAAGGTGAGAGGAATAGACCAGCCCTGGAAGGTGTCCCCTATAGTCGCCTTCATAACCCTAGGCGACACCCTCCTCTCCCTCTTCCTGGATCTTATTCCTCTTCCTGGATCTGCCTCTGCTGAGCTGACATCCTGGCATCGATTCTGCTTTCGCAATGTGTTGATGTAACCACCTCGATACAATGACCTCAGACCCTGGAAGAGCAGCGCAAAGGGATGGAGGTCCTCTGGACCAATGCCAAGAAGAATGAGCGTCTCGCCGGTAGTTACAGTCTTTGGGACCAAGCGGCAAAGAAGATCCAGCAGCTATGGAAGAGTTACTATGTGCGTCCATCTCGTTGTTGCTCCGTATTCGGTCCAGAGTTCTGGACGGTGGTGCGGCTCGAATGTTGCTGCTGTTTGAACTGCGGACTGGCTCTTGGATTGAGCCGGTCGATGCTCTCTACGCTGTCGCCGCTACTCTTGGATTACATCCAGACTCGCTGACTCGTTTGGGTTGATGGGGGGGTGGGTCGCTGTCTTGCCACGGTGTGACTGCAGAACATCAAGATTTACCACTTTTACAGAGACTTGATCAAGTTCCGTGAGCGCGGGGATCCCCGAAAGCTGCTCAAGTTCATCAATCCAAAGGAAGCCGCTCTCATCGACGGAGCCTCGGGTATTCATGTGCGCTTTCGGCTCGGCGGGGTAAGGTCGCCCAGCACCACCATACTATCAGCCCTCGATCGAGATCAAAACGAGAGTGACACAGCGAAGGCCGGCGGCAGCTTCGAGATATCTCCGTCCCCCCCCCTTCTCTTTCCATCCTGGCCGGGACGGAGTGTGAGCAAGCCAGGATCCAAGTGGGCTTATTATAGCTGACGCCGCCGTTGTCCTCTCTCTTGGCGTTGAACTGGAGCAGAGCAGCTTCCCACCAAAGATATACTACAAGATATTCATCCACAACAACATGATCGACATGAATGCCTTCAGTCCCCGCGACTACACGCAACAGCGAAACAAACAGCCCCTTCCCAAAGACCTGTTTTGCAACAACAAAAAGATTGATCAGCCGCACACAGATGGTGAGTGTACTGTGCCGCCCTTGGGTTTAAGGAAGCTTGAGGAGTTGGCTGTTGAGGAAGTGGACTCGGCGTCCTGCGTGGCAGTTCGTTTCGTGTCTTGCACCGCATCAGAGGATCAATTGATGGCTATCGGGATATCAGTTGACACCTCAGCATCTGGGTTTCCCTAGGATGGTATGTGCGCCACGAAAACAATGGCTGGCGATGTGTCTCGGATGCAGTAAGTGCGATCTGGGCCGTCCTTGGGGATGCAACGTCTCATGTCTATGCAACGTATCGTTGTCCATGCTCCATCTGCACGCCGACTTACAAAGATGTGGGACGTTGTGATCATGGAAACAGACCTGGACAAATCCCTTCGATCCCATCACCATTACCACATCCGAAGTCAAGGTTCCGTTCCACCACCTGAAGCTCAAGCGCCGAGACGAGCTTGCCAAGGAAAAGAAGCTCAAGAGGCTCAAGTGGCTGCAAAAAATGTGAGTCAGAATACTATGTGCATTAGGCGCATTGAGTGCATTGGGGAAGGCAGAATGCAAGCGAGACCGTTCAGCGGTCGTGGGTAGTGCGCCGCCATCCATTCGACAGTTTCAAGGATGACAATGCGATGCGACTTTGCTTTGCTGAGCTTCAGGCCAGGCGATGGCATGTAATGACATCATTATCGTTTCGTTCCCACATTCGTTGCGACGACGATGTCGCTCGGCTAGGTACCAGGAGGGGCGACATATTGTGCTTGACCAAGCCGAGACAAACAAGGCACAGCCCCCTGCCGCCGTAGCTGCTGCAGCGCTGGCTGCTGCTGCAGAGGAGAAGAGAGATAGCCTGCAGACAGTCCCTGGAGTCTCTTACGAGCACGCTGAATCGACCGCATCACAGCCCCTCAAGCTGCCCCCAGGACGCAGCATGACTCCTGTGCGCGAGTTCAAGGACGAGTACGATGTGCTGAGCGCTATCGCCGAGCTCGAGACGGAAACTGACAACTGGGATGACATGCTCAAGTGGAGTCGGGCCCTGGACTTTGACGACTACTTTGGGCATTGGATGGGCCTGGCGACGACGGGCCGGTCGGATGGTATGTTTGCGGGACGATGGCCTGGCTTGTGCGCACGCGATGGAGGTGGTGGTGAAAATGCCATGGAGATGTACATGTGTTTGTGGAAAGGCGCCGTGTCCTGGATAGCCAAGCGATCCGCTACTCTGCGCTCGGATCGACAAACATCCCGAACAGTCATGTCCATTGAGCCGCCGTGTCCATTGAGCTGCCATGTCCGCCGCGCTGAACTGACTCGACTGTCTTTACTGGCTTCCACACAATCTGCTGTGCTGCTCGTCGATCCATCCTGCGATCCCAGACCCAAGCACCTTCGACATCGGCATCGATTCAGACAACGAGTCGCTGTTCAATGTCGGGCAGACCCATGCTCCCGCCGATGGCGCCACCGCCGTGGCTGACGGAGTCGTACCTGCGGTTGGTCCTGATGCGACCACACCAGTGCCGCCGGCTGATGCCATCATGGTCGAGATTGACCTCTTCCGATCCATCGCGAAGGAGCAGGCCGAGAGCGGCGACGGCGCCAAGAAAGCTCGGCCGTGGAGCGGACGGTCGGCTCGGAGTGCAAAGGACCTCTTTGTGTGAAGCCAGCAGAGTCGATCGTGGTGGTGGGAGAGGGGAGAGGCAACAGGGGCCCCAAGTTTGCTTCATATCATCTGATGTATCTGATGTATCTGATTGCATGTTGTGTATCTGATGTATCCGATGGCATGGATTGTTTGCGCTTGGTGCAGAGAGCTGCACCTCTCCCCTCCAACCATCCCCTCCATACCTTCGCCCAATTCTATGCCAAGGCGTCTCGTAACTACCCAGGAATGACAGAAACAAAAGATTACCAACAATCATCGCATCTCTGCTCTTGAAATAGTCCTAGCGCCAGTGTACAGTCGCGGATATCGGATGTCCAGGGATGCGGCGCATCAACCGATTCGGGACGTGCAAGCAGGCGATATTGCTATGGATGATGATGAAGCAGGCCACATCATGGGTGTTGCCTTTGGCTGTTTCTGCTTCCTCTATAGCTGCTATATATGTGTATATATTGTGCGGATGGTGGGCGAGGCGGAGTGAGCAGAGGGGAAGGACTTGTGGGTGTGGGGGGGGGTGGAGGAAGACGATTGTCGCTGATTTCAAAAGTCGGCCGTATCTAAATTATGAGTGCCTTTGTACGGCAGCCCGGAGCCAACGAAGTGGGGGTTGGAGCAAAGGAAAGAGAGGGAGCCAAGAGGAAGGCACTCTTGTGCAGTGTGGCAACGGAGAAGAGAGGCAGTATAACGATTGGAGGAAGGGTGAGGAAAGACAAGGAATGGGGATCTGGCCCGCCCGTGTCGTTGACTTTGGAAATACAAATGGCGACTCATTTGCCTGAGCGGATGGCTTTCAGGGCACCGTTCCAGGCTTTCAGGATCGACTGCCCGCTGCCTTTGGTGACAATCTCGACTCGGAAGTCGTAGAATCGGATCAGATCCTTGAAAAAGCCAATGTCCTGGATCGGATCGAGACCGATGATCACACCGATCTGCGAGACGTCCAGGTGGGGCGTGCTCGACTGGGATATTTCCTCGAGCGTTCCAAAGATGTGAGTGTTGAGATATTGAAAGTATCTTTGGGTCGACAGATGGGCCGTGTTGGATGATGATGGATTGTGTTGGCAACGCATGGTTGTTGTGCGAGTGAATTGAGAAGATTGAGGGCGGACGTGGCAGGAAGAGAACGGGAAGATATGTCGAGAAAGGCAGAGTTAGACACGACTTCAAGCTGGAGAATAGCAAAGCGGGTGATTGCGGTGGCGGCGTCGTGCATCGTCAACGTACTGCATCAGTTTGACAGCGGTTTTGATCTCCACGCTGTCGATTGAGTATGTTTCGTCATCGGAGACACGGCCCGCCAGTCGTTTCTCCGAGGCTTCGTACTCGGCTCGGGTATCCTGGATGATCTTTTCCAGATCTTCAAACCTTCGCTTGTCGTATTCGCTGGGCGAATACTTCCGCAGCTTTGGACTTGCGCGATTCAGGTTCGGAGATCCCGGAGGAGATGATGGATTCAGTGAACTGCTCGAGGGACCAAAGGCGGCCCCGCTGACAGCCAGTGCTGGCCCTGCTGCCGCCGTTGTCGCTGTTGCTGGTGCTCCTGGTGCTCCTGGTACTGTGGATGCATCTCGTGAAAGCTGCGACTGTGAGCTCGTGCGTGACAGGGTGTAATCCAGAGCTTGTTCCGATTTTGAGCCTTGCGACAGGGTGTTGGTCAGCTTTTCTTTGACACCGTTCGTCAGCGACCCGATCGAGCCGCTGAAGCGCAAAAACCGCGGTTTCGAGGAGCCTGAAATATTTCCAGATGCTGTCGCGGGCGAGATGTTCGCAGGCAGTGGCGTCGGTGACGGTGACGGCACCGGCGCAGGAATAACAATCGGGGCAGGAATGTTCGAGTAGACAAACTGCTGGCTATTGATGAAGACATCGTACAGGTGCGACTTTGTCTCCAAGATAGCGTCGGTTGTGCCTGGGAGAAGGACATTCGAGTGAGTCACACGAGAACTATGCTGCCAGGTGGCGCATGAGGACGCATGCCGTACAACTCACAGGCACAATACGAATTCGACTGGGCGAGCTTGTCCACATCGACGAGCGTAACGTAAAAAAGCGGATTCATTCGGATATCCAAGCTCGGTATGGAGTTGAGCGTCAGAAGTTTGGTGAACAAGACTGCATGGGCATATGTTGGCGAGTAGGAGTCAGTTACAGGCGAGGGAATGGGATGATCAGCGATCAGAGACGGTAACAGCTGCTGCGAGGATTTGCGGACCGCGGCCGATGCGGTAATACAAATGCACAACCGAGCCGACATCACAGGGCGACTGAAACAGCGGATGGAAACAAGCGTGGCTGATGGAGGTCGGCTCAGGAGCGCCTCAACATGCGGGTGCGCCCACACAAGCAAGGATACTGACCATGATTAACCAGGTGCTCGACAGGAGGCATAGAATGGAACAAGATACGCTTCTGTAGTAGAGCCTAACGGTGGAGTCAAAGCAAACAGCAATGAGTATGGCGTCAGTGAAAGCAAGATGCGAGCTGCATTCTAGCCAGGATATTCGTGCAAAGGGGACCTCCGCCAGGCGATGCACACGTACGTATTTCCAGATGACAAAGATGCTGCTGCCAAAGTACTGGACAAACTTGACAAAGTGAACGAGCGGATGGTTCGAGTTGAGGTAAGGGAGTCCGATCGAGTCAGCGAACGGGACAGTTGCCATTGATAGGCTCTGTCGCTGCTGCTCCTTCAAATAGGCTCTGAGATCGTCGACCGATCCCCGGTTTTGTACAAAGAGACTGCAGAGAACGCAAGTAGGTCAGCATCAGCGCAGGATTGTGTGCAGTAAAGACGCCAGCAGCCATCTCGACGGTGATGTGGGTGATGGCAGCAGTGGCAGCAATCGTAGAAACTCCAGCCATGGCAGTGATACGAGACAAGCCAGTACCGGCGACCCAGAGCTGACTCGATTGCACAGGTGGCAAGGAGTGTCAACTTACGAGACTTGAGCGGACAAAAAGGGAATGTGTCGATGCAGCGAGTCGTAGGATGAGCCGATGATGCCGATAGCCTTGGTTCTTGATCCTCGCTCACGCTCGCTCACTGGCGAATCCTCCTCGACGTCGAGCTTTTCGATAACAGCGATGCCAAAGTTGGTGCCATGGGCAAAGTACCTGGACACGAGGGTGAAGCAGTGAGCACTCGAAGGCGAGGTGTGCTGAAAGACGCTGCTCGGGCTGCCTCGAAGGAGGAAGGCGGCCGACGATGTTGAGGAAGGACAAGAGCGAATGCGACAAGCCCGACACTGGGTTGAGATGGCATGGGGCCTGAAGGTTGCATGCGAGCTTACACAACGTCTCGTCGGATCAGATGCGAGCCGCTCGGCAGACTCGAATACTCGACGTGATGAAAATCGTAGGTTTCAGGATAGCTGAACTCGATCAGGTTGCCCTTGATGGTGTGGAACCGGGTCTTTGAAGCAGGTGCCAAGAAAAACGAGAAAGTGCGTGTGAGACGGAGTGACGGCTGGGCCAGAGCGAGCGGCTCAGCCGGTTCGCAGGCCGCTGGAGCAGAGGCAAAGGCGTGCCGCTGGATCGTGGATGGGCCCGCTGCGATATGCCAAGAACGAATGGCGGCCTCGAAATGGGAGACTGGCCGGCAAGCTCGGTGGGCATGGACGACGCATCGTACCACAAATATGCCGAGAGTCAGGTCGTAGTCATCGGTTTGGCTGCAAAAGATGGGACGGGCGGAGATGTTGGGGGTGAGCGCCGATAGAGAAGCAGATTTAGGCGGTGGAATCGCCGATGGATGTGCGGCGATGATGGGGCCGCACCTGGGCCTCAGCAGAACAAGAGTCGAGTTCCGAGCGCTTTTGGTCATGGTTGAGACGAGCTGAGTGTTCAGGGCAAAAGCGGGTGCAGGATCCGGAACTGAGTCGACGAGAGTAGGAAAGTCGTCTCGGAGTTGCCTGGGGGTTGCCGAGGAGCTGCCGAGCCTGGGGAAACGCAGAAGCTAGATACAGGGACTGGACGAGACACAGACCAAGGGGTCAGGGTGAGATTGGGAGAGAGGAAAGGAAGACGAGGAGGCGAGGGGGACGGATGGATGGACAGTCGATGGACAGAGTTGGTGAACCAGTGCGAGAGGGGAGAGACGGGATGGGGACGCTGTGCAGGCAACGACGGTGCGCAGGTCCAGCAGCGGGATCTGCGGCACTCACACCTGGGTGGGGAAGGCCGCAGAGGAGATGCGATCGAGCAAGTCGAACGATAGGCAAGTCGCGAGGAGGAGGCCAGAACGAGGCAAGAACGAGGCAAGAACGAGGCAAGAAGGAGGCAAGAAGGAGCCATCCAAAGGAGACCGAAAAAAATTGGCGGTTTGGGTTTTGGCGACGCAAAGTCGGTTTGAACGGCGGTGCCGCTGTTTGAATAGCGGCGCGGCTGCAGCTGGCGAGCGGTACACTGCGTTGCCGTTGTCTCTGCTGCCATGCTGTGCGACATTTCCGTGCGACATTTGCCGCAGCATCGACGCGTCGCCAGAGACCGACGAGCGGCTCGGCAGGCCCACAGGCACAGTGGCGGACTGCAGCACAAGCAGACTCATACACAGCGCCCTTGTCCCGCCACCCCCCGGCTCCAGCGGTCCGCGGCCGTTTCCATGGCGGTGCGCATTCCTTGGGCACCGCCTTTCTTCTTCCCGCGCCCTCCCCTGTCGCACCCGGCCCTGCTGTGTCGGCATCGGCCCTGCCGTGCCCACAAATGGAAACGGGACACCCCGAATATGCTGTCGATTTGCGGCTGCTTTCTTTCTTTTGTCTTTCTTTTGCCCAGGAACGCGGTGGTTGTCGTTGATGAGCCACAGTCCGTCGGCTCGATGCACTCTCACCCCAACGTCGCGACATCAACGCAGCCAAGAACATGGCCGCGGCGTGCAGGTTGACCAGCAGAGCCATGCACGGTCTGTGGACCTGCGGAACTCACAGGCCCGTGAGATTCACAGACTCGCGAGGATCGTACATATACGGGATTCACAGGCCCGTGTGAAGCGTGGACACGCCGGCCGAGACAGCTTGGCAACAGCGACCAGCGGTGCGACAGTTCAACGAGACTGCGTCTCAATAGGACCCATGCTGATGGACACCATTCACGAATCGCAGCTCCCGACCAAAGTATGCGGGCTTGCCATCGGCCACCCAACCCCAGCCGACCACGCCTGCGGCGCATGTGTCGACGCATGCCGTCCTCGTCCGCTTCGATCGCCTGGCCTTGTGTGCTCGTCCTCGTTGTCGTTTGTGTGCCTGCTCGTTGCCCCTCGGCTGCCATTGGCCGCTCCTTGCTTCTCTTGGTTCTGATTCTGGCCAACTCCCAGCGCGCGCTGGCATCGGTTCCGCTCAAGCCCGGCCCACCACCGGCATCCATCTGCCCGGCAGGTGGATATCTCCCCATCCACCACCACCCGGCCTCCACCGCTCCCACAGGCGGGGTTGCATGTATTGCCAATTTCGGTCTCGCCGGCTGTCCCACGTAACGTCGCTGCCGCTGATTTGCGTTTGTGCTCCAGCGTGGCCGGATGATCCTGATCTTCCGAATTGTATCCCAAACATCCACGCCCTGTTTCAGGAAGTCGACCCCATGTGGGTCGCCCCATGGTCTGCTCCAGGACTCCTCGTCGTACCGCAGTCGTATCGAGCAGCACTCGCCTTCGGCGTTGGGCTGAACCGCCATTGCGATTGCTGTCGCTGCGGTCATCAGGTGTATTGAGCTGTCTGCTTGCTTGTCGGTCTTCGACATCCGCCCGCACGCAGGATTGCTTGGTCTTGAACCCGCTTTTTTACAGCCCTTCTGTGCCCACCTCGACCATCAGCACAACATCGTCCCACATCTCGCGGTAGATCGACACAAATCGGCCCACGCCCTGGTTTTGCGTCGGCTGCAGCATCCCGTTCCGCTCCAGCAGCTGATAGACGTTCAGGAACAGGGTCTTGTCCTTGCTTTCGTGCGCGGCTTCAAGATAGCGAACGCTGGGTACCTCGGGCAGAGCCCCATGGTCTTGAGCAAAAGCAACGGCCTCGTGGATCTGTCGGCATCGGTATCAGCAACAGCATCGGTCCCATGCATGCCAGCCATGTGAGTCTCCCCCCCTCCGGTCTCGCAAGTGCGACCAGACACTTACCTGGCCAAGACCCAGCAGGTGTTCGACTACTTCGTCGTAGCGTCCAAGTCTTGTCAGCATATCCAACCCTAGCTGCTGGCATTGCTCGCGCTGTGACAGCGGTCCGGCCCCGTTGAGCCGCCCCCCGCGCAGAAGCAGCAGCCGACCCAGCGCTGGCGACGGCTCGATAACGCCAAGCCGGATTTGCTCGACGAGCTCGTGGTCCAGATCGCTGCGACACAACAGACTCGCCCATAGCTCGTAAATGTACGGCTCCACCGGCTGTCCGTACGTCGTCAGCGATGTGACGTACTCCAGCAAGACGTGCGTCAAGTAGGGTGTTGGGACGCTCTGGATGGTTGGGCATTGTTGTTTGTGCATGCAAACGGGACGATGGAAATGAGTATCCTCAAACCAGTAAAAGGGTCGATGCCTCCGTGCGCCGATAGACGTTCTGGATGCCAGCCCATGCGATTGCTCTCACCTTGTCGTTGGCCAGGATGCCAAACACATGGGTATAGAGCTGCTCCTGGCTCAGAACAGGCGACGGATCGCCGCTGGCGTCTGTCTTGGCAAAGTAACCTGGTTTCCGTAGACCATTCATAGTCAGGCCATGGTGGCCACATTGCCGCCGTCAACATCAGCACATCGTCGGTATCAGTGTCGATAGCTGACATACCCTTGCCGATCGTGTTGCCAACCAACTTGGCCTTGGGGAACGCCTTGGTTTGACGGCTCGACGCCATCGAGTGGATCGAGTCGGTCGAGTCGGTCGAGTCGGAGGGACGCAGAGCCGCGTCATATCTAACGTACAAAATGCGTGAGGCGAGCGACTGCAGAGTCAAGCCACAGAAGACTGGTGGCATTGCTGTTACAAAATCGCCATGACCCTTGGATCTGCAAGGCCACTGTGGCAAGCCCTCCGTCCGTCTGGCCCAGCAGGCTTACCCGAGCTTGGCCTTGCTGCCCATTTTGGTGTAAGTGTCAAAGATGGTCCGCAGGGCCGATGGCTCGACGCCGTTCTCGATGTAGCCGCGAATCAGGGACAGGCAGACCAGCAAGGCTTCCTCCGTTCGGCGACGGATCAGAAAGTTGAGTGTTTCGGTCTGAAGACGTCTCTTGGTCTGAGCGACAGCCTTGGCATCATAGTGCAGCGCCATGGCCTCGACGTTGAGGCGGAGCTCGTAGACACACCCTCGGGATGGAGACAAAAGCCGGTTCGAGGAGTCGATCTGCCAGTCGCTCTGATGCCGAAGCTCTGCCGAGCCGGGAAGCCAAGCAAAGCCAAGCCGAGCCAAGCCAAGCCAAGCCAAGCCCGACGCCGCGACCGAGTCAGAATCATCGATGGTTCAGTTTAGCACTACGAACAGGCAGGACACACGCACAACTGGATCCGGCAGCTGGGCCTGGATGTCACCGCACATGATCTGCAACTCGAATATTCACTGAGCACTCCATACCTGACGGCGAGTGCTCGCCTGAATCAGTCTCGATCCATACGTTGGTCCGGAACCCAGCTGGATCGCCGAGCTTCAGGTCGAACATGTGTGCGCTCTGTTCCATCGCAAGGGTCGAGGCTGTCAGCCAGCAGGCATCACAGTTGGTGCTTACTTACAGAGACAGCACATATCCATCTGCCCGACACATACCTGTCTGTCCATGGATGCAACCACAAGTATATCGTTCACGGCCGCAATGTTTGGCCACCTCGAGTGCTCCGCGACGAACGAGTACGCCAGTCGGCACGCCGTCTTTGTGATTTCGTAGAGAAACAGGTTGCAGGGCGGAGGGCTTCCAGGAGTAGCTGCGCCAGGAGTGGTGTCGAGATAGACGCAATAGACAGTACCGTAGCTGTGGGGGGACGCCATAATAGCCATCAGAGACAACAAAATCGGCTGCGACAGTTGAATGCATTCCAGATACATCCGTCTCTTGACGCACTCATCGATCGGACACACTCGTTCATCGAGATGGCTTCATGGCGCATGTCCCGCTTTTCAGTAGCCCATAAATTGCCAGTCTCGTCTCCATGCGACTTTGACCTCATTCGTATTCAGCAGTCGCTCCTGCGATCGCATCGCCGGTTACTTACAGAGTTACAAACGAAACATTCCGGCGCCCAACGACGTTCAAGTTCGACCCAAGGACCTGTGTCCGGTGGGTGCTCTGGCCGTTTGCGAGTGCCACAACGGCATTCGTGGCCGGGTCGATTTTGAGATTATCCAGTCGCAGGATTGGTAGAGCCTTCAGCGTCGAGTCCGAGCCAACTCGATACAGCGTCAGCGTTCGCGGACCTGTCGACACAGCCAGAAGACGGTGCTCGGGCTGGGTGATGTCGTCGATCGAGGCGAAGCCAGAGGAGGAGGAGGAGGAGGAGGAGGAGGAGGAGGAGGAGGGAGGGTGAGAGGGTGGGATGATAGGGCGTTTGGAAGAGCGAAATCCAATAGATGACCACCATCGACTGCAGCCTGACGAATGGCGCCCATCGACTTACAGAGTACTGATACCAGTTCGAGCTGATTGTGTACGATCGCTTCTGGACAAAGGTCGACCGCCCGTCGGAATACTGCCATCATCGAAGCCAGTTAGACCCCCACCCGCTCAACATTGACGTCGACACTGAGAGCACCGTCGAGCATCCGTCATCCCAGGAAAGTGCCAACAGCAATGCGCCGCGTTCGATACGAGACTGCCCGGGCGATCTGCTTGATCCATCGGTTTCCGCCACACAGCCGCCGCCGCCGCATCGGTCCAACCTGATAAAAGTCGAGATTCTCATTCGTCACACAGACAAATGTGTTCTTCTCGGTCCACTCGACCCCCAGGATGACATCGCTCGGCTTGGTGTCTCTTGTGGTCGTGAACACAGGCGTGGTCGAATGTGTCGTGAAGACTTCCTATGGATTGAAATGGCGCCGGTTTCATCAGAGGGCCATGGACACTGTTGGTCGCTCCGAGTCGACCGCTTGGTCATATCCTTGGTCAGTGCTGGTGCCCGGCATTGAAAGGCGTTCAGGACTTACCAGTTGTTTGGCCGAGCGAACAGTTCCGAGAAAGGAGCCGTCAGGAGACAGGGCAAGGCGGCGAATCGACCCCTTGGTGCCAATCCTGAGAGGGAGAGGGAAACGTCATCAGCAAACGCAACCTATGCCATGCCACTCCATTCACGCCCTCAACCTCGTTCATATTTGCATCTGCTCTGGTGGCTGCTCGCCCATCGCCCCCGACTTGGACATACTGGAATGTGGCTTCGACCTCGGGGCTCTTCAGCAGGACGCACTGGATATGAGAGTCCGAGGCAGAGGCAATGGCAATGTAGGATGTTGACCGGGGCTGCTGCTCCGAGGAAAGATAGGGCGAGCTTCCTTCTGGGTCAGGCACAACGCAGTCCCAGTAGACCAGGAGCGGCGACGCATCCGATGGATAGGCCGGGGTGAAGGAGATGTGTGTTCGAGCCAGCGAGACTCCATCGGCAAAGGCGGCACCGGGATCGCTCATGGCTGCCAGCAATAGGAGTATCAGGGGGTCGGCTTCTGCTCGTTTGCTGCTCGTTTGCTGCTCGTTTGCTGCTCGGCTGGCGGATGTCGATGCGATGAGGACAGACCTGCGTGGATCGGCTGTGGCTGCAAGCCCCCCTTGACGCCAGCCGCGTTTGGCTGTTCGCCTTTGGGCCAGGGCTTCCCACACCCAGGCCGATCGCTGCAAGACGATGTGTCCGGCGTGCGCTCGGCCAGGGGCCACGGGCGTATCGGTCCAGCACAGCTGCAGCCGTATCTGCCGATACCGATCTGCAGCGCTGTCAGGGCATCACGGGCCCCCTCCGGCCGCCATCCAAAACAACATAGGTGTCGAAATCTAGACACTTGCCGGGCTCAGCACAGACATACAGAGCATCATCCTGACTCCATCCGCTCCAAAACAACATTGGCGTTGACTTGTCTCGCTGCTCTTCTCGATGGCGTGATCGGCTCCATATCAGAGGGCGATCGGCCGATTGGCGCGCCCACCAGAACCTTCTTGGCAGACTGGCTTCGTCATAGGACTGGTCCTATAAAGTCGCCCGCCCTTTTTTTTTCCTCCAGTACTATCGAGCCTGAAGCCCGTCACAAATCAACCAAGAGCTTGCCCCGGTTTGCCGAGCCCTACGACGAACCGCAGCTTCCCTTCCCCTCGGCATTTGCCATCCAGCCCTGGCTGTCCCGAAATACCACGACCACTAGTATGCTGTCCGATCCCCCCAATCTCGCTTCCCTTCCGACGATCACCCTTCCCTCGGAGCCACCCGACGATACTCTCTCAGGATCGGCCCGCTCTTCGGTCTCGTCGATAGCGCCGTCCTTCATCGCTCCATCACGCACCCGACATGGCCTTTTGCGCGAGGAGTCCCATCCTGGCTCGCCGCCATTCTCGAATCAACCTGTCAAGGACAGCCCCACGTCGTCGGGGAGCTCGGGCTCGAGTAGTCCGTCTCGCGAGCTATCGTCTTCCGAAGACCTCAACATCGCGGCGCAGCGACAGCCGCCTCTGAATCTACTCACGGCGACCCCATGGAACATTAGCCGACTGGTGCTGCGGCTGGGACCCGTTGTGGATGCCTTTGATATTGCGGTCGATGTGCTGCTCTGGACGTATCCCTTCCGAACCGGCATGATCTGTATTGGCTGGATTGTTCTCTGTGAGTAACATGGATGGGGCACGCAGTGGCTTCCTTGAAACTTCCCACGGCCCAGCCGCATTGGCTCGCTTTCGCTGTTTGGTGCCTTCGAGCCTCGTTTCTCCAGTCGATGCAATCGATGCAACGAGCACCACCGCACTCATTCGCATCCATTCTACAACTTTTACTCACTTTCATCTGCTCTAACAACGACTACGGCTCTCGTTCTCTCCCGGCACCCACCCAGGCACCTATCCCATCCTGGGCTTCATTATCCCACAAGCGTGCCTGATCCTCTATATGCTGAGCAGATACAAGACCTCCAGCCATCGTCGTCCGCTCCCAACGCCGCCCATCGAAGAGCTCGAAAGAGTAACCTCGAGCACTAGTCTCCTCAGCTCCATACCAACCGTCAATCACCAGCAGTACCAGAAAAACCTCAAATTCATGCAGAATCTCATGGTGATCTACTGCGACCTCTACGATCGGGCTGCGGCAGTCCACCAGACCCTGGACTGGCACGATTCGGAACTGACCACCCGATGGCTTCGAGTCATTGCCCTTGCCATTCCGATGGCTTACGCCGTCGTCCTGGTTGTGCCTGTGAGGACCATCGTGATGGTGGCCGGATTGATGGTCCTGATGATGCACACATCGCTCTTTAGGACACTGATGATGGTGCTGCCGTCGTTCATCTGGAAGCGTCTGGTCAACTGGACCAGCAGACTGATACGAACCTTCCCGGCCCCGGACTCTGCCGTGGACCTGGGTGTGGTCGATGACTTTGAGGGAGCAACCCCAGAAGAGGAGAAGGCCAAGTCCGAGACGATGGCCGTCGATGTCTATGAGAACCAACGCTGGTGGAATGGTATGAACTTCGAGATCGCCAGTGTTCATGTTGGGATGGCGTCGAGCGTCACCGAAGAGATGCGAGTGCGTCTGGCAAGGCCCATTGTGATTGACAAGGCCTGTTATGAGCACTCTGCCAATCCCTAGTGGTGATTCATCGTTTACCGACTCGTCTTTCTGCTTCTTCATCCGTCCATCTGTCCACCCCCCGCCAGAGTCTGGATGGGCCGCCCGGCTGCTCAAGTCCGAGCGCCCTTGTTGGAGCGATGTCACCGGCAAACTCACTCGCCATCCCAAGTCGCTGATTGAGCTTCCCTCCAAGGACTGGGTCTGGGCGACCGAGTGGGTCGTCGACCGCGAGTGGTACCCCTGCGATAATGATGGATGGGTCTACAGGTGAGCGAACCCGATTCCAGCAGCCGTTGGCGATGCAGAGGCACCTTCCTATCCGACACAGACACAGCCCAAACTGCATCCGCTGCGCCGACACTCACCTTGGCTCTGCCTTCTACTTATTTTCTTCCATGCACTCTCCAAACTCGCCGTCCGCCAGCGATCACAACTGGAAGAACGAAACTGAGGGCCAGTGCATCACTTCGCTGACCAGGAGGAGACGCTGGGTGCGTTCAATGAGGCCTGTCGATGGATCAAAAAAGACCACCCATCTTGACTAGACACTGCAGCAGCGAAAGTACTGCTTCTGGGCCTATCCCATCCCGTATGTGACGAAGCCGACCGGCAGCGCCGATGATACCGTGCATCCAAGAAATGCATCCCTCCCCCGGCTGTTGATCATTCCTTTTCTGTTCTTGGGTGAATACACTGCGTGCTGACCGTGGCTGTGACCATCCGCCGATATCCGATCGATTCGGTCCTGATAGCGAGGCTTGTGGGTGATATCGACATGCTCCTCCGCAACCGATACGCTGCTCTCTCGTTGAAGGCTTTCGCCTTTGCCCTGGGTGTATCAGCCTCCCCAGTCCCACCGCTGCTCCATGCCTCCCCTCCCCAAAACAGACAGATGGTACTGGGCCCACCGACAGACCCATCCGCACAAATCCATCCGCACAGACCCATCCGCACAGAGAGGATAGTCCGATACCCTGGACTCGGGGGCCGCCGACAGACTCCGACATCAACTCCGATCGTATCCGCCGCTCTCTTCGTCCCGCCAGTCCCTTGAATAAATAGCCATCCGCTGTCCAGACCCTCCTTCCATCGCTTCAGCTCGCTCCCCCTTCTTCCCGGCCCTAAGCACTCTCGCCGCCATGAGCTCTCTAAAGCACTCAGATCAATGTCTGCCTCCATTTGCCTCGGCTGTGGCCGGCCAGCATCCATCGGCTGACATCTTCAGCCGCGACGCTGATCTGAATCAGCCCCGATTCAACCCGACCAAGCCCACCCAGGTGCTCGCCATCAACACCTCGCATCTCTGCAACAGTCGGCTGCGAATGACGGCTCAATACTGGATCGACGTTTTGCAATGGAAGAATCCGCTCCGTAGCACGGCAATCTCACTCGCTTGGATGGTCCTCTGTAAGTGCGATCGCTTCCGCCATCGGGGCTGTTTCCGCTCTGAACCTCGGTCAAGCTGCATGCATTTCGGACAAACTTGCCCCTTAGCTACGCCACTGTACTTGTTTTTGGCAATGCCGTGCGAGTATCCTGCCATCCCCGAGAACGTCATCCGCGCGGCTCGATAACCCATCGATCTGTCTCCAGGCATATTCCCAAACCTGTGGTTCATCGCTCCACAGATCTTTGTCATATTTTGGATCGCTGTCAGGCGGCTCTCCATCAAATCCAACGCTGCACGCTCCGCGGACACTCCGGCCCAAGCCGGCGGGAAGCTCGGGGCCTCCAGGACTGCAAAGCGATCCATGCTCTCTGGCGCGATCGACGAGGCCGAAACGACAAGGAATATCGAAGGATACAACAATCTGGTGTTTGTGCAGGATTTGGTCGACAACCTCCTCGGCGGACTCGTGCGAGCTCACAACCTCCTGGATTCGATCGACTGGTCCAACAGCGAGCGCATGGGCCAGTGGATCCAGCTGTCGCTCCTCGGCATCCTCGCTGTCTATTTCATCAATCTGGCTGTCCCTGCAAGAGTGATCGTCATGGCTGCGGGGCTGCTCCCGCTCTGGTACCACACCACTCTGGTGCAGTTGCTGCTGGCACTGCTTCCCACCAAGACCTTCCAGGTAATGGCTATCACAGCCATCGGCCTTGACAACAACAAGAAGCCGTCTCATTCCGCTGTCGGCGATGTCGATACCGATGCCGACTCGGCCGTCGAGCTGTCACATAGCGACGATGACTCGGGTCCAACCCAGTCAAACCGCATCACCATCGACGTCTTTGAAAACCAGCGCTGGACAAGTAAGTCTATCGCTGGCACGAGTGCAGATCCAACAAGATACATGCAATGCTGCGTTGTCGAACATGCACTTTTGTGACAGCGGCTAGGGGACGAGATTTCGCCGCTCACTCGATACACGCCTGATACCTGTTTCAGATTTCAAGTGGACCTCTCGTCTTGGTCCGAACGAGCGAGCCAGCTGGAGTGACAGAACGGGCAAGATTCAGCAACCATCGAGATCCACGATCGAACTGCCATCGGATGAGTGGCGATGGGACGGCGAATGGGAGATGGATTGCAAGTGGGGCGAATGCGACCAGAACGGGTGGCAATACAGGTATGCGGATCAGTTACGCTGCCGAGCTTTGCAGAGACGCTGCAAAAACACAACGCCGCTTGGTTGACGATGATATTGGTGTTGTCTTGGCTTTGACTGACTGGCTGACTGACTGACTGAATGAATGAATGACTGGGCGCTGGTGCTGACGTCGCCTCGGCTCGCAATCTACCTTGCTTTGGCAATCTCGTCACCCAACCAAACCATAGTGATCACCACTGGCAGTGCCCAAGTCCCACCCAGCTGATTGTCTCGCTCACAAGACGGAAGAGATGGATTCGGTCCATGATCCGAGTCGACTGCCCCAGCAGCGACTTGTCGTTCAACTCAGGCTCGACCTCGGACGACAACAGCGACTAGATTTGCCAATCGTCCGGATATGCTTACTCTCCACATGTATTGCATCGTTTCGTATCCCTCATCCTCATGCCCATCCTGAATCTTTACCACTGGTGGCTGCCCCCATCAATCGATTCACATGCTGCACATTGGTCGTTGCACCGCGCAATCTTGATCGTTCAGACGGAGGTGTGGTGCCACAAATGCATTTGTATATTGCTGTTCAATATCAGTCAGCGACGACCGTCATCTAGCTCTACCCGCATCGATCAACGCAGTTGAGTAGTGTCAAGCCAAGGGCACCATCGCCGACAGGCACTCGCTCCCTTGTCGAACGTATACTGAGTCGACAGCACACGCCCGCGTTCTCAGAGGCCGTCCGTCAGACCTCGTTCCAGTTCCGGATAAGCTCATGGTAGAACAGGATGCCCTCGACGTGCCCCTCGACCGTCACAAACTCGTTGACGCTGTGCATTCCTCCGACCTGGCCCTCGCGACTGGGGCGGAAGCGATAGATTGCGCTGGGAGCAAGGGCAACGTAGTGGCGGGTGTCGGTGTTGCCTCGGTTTACGGTCGGGGCGATGATGAGCGACGAGTGGTTCGAGTCCGGGTTGGGATCAAAGACATGCCGCATGGTTCCGCCCAAGACGGAATAGCCGAGCGAGTGGGTCGAGGCGATCGGCGAGGGCTCAAAGTTGGCCTCGAGACGGATCTTCATCACGCGCTTGGCCTTGGCAATGTCATACCAGGACTTGTCTCGGCTGTTCTCGAGTGGGTATCGGAAGACGCCATTCTCGCGCTGGAACTCAAGCGTCAAGTTGTGGTGGGTCACAACGGGTCGAAGCACCTTGATGAGGTGTTCTTCGACGACCGAAACGCTATCGCTCATGGCAATGCGATAGTTGACCATCACCGTGGCTTCCTCAGGCAGGGCATTGACTGTGTGTGCAGCGACCATTCACGAGCAGCGGACCATGGATCGACCCGTTAGAGTGGCGGGGTGTTGCAAAGTGTGGTTGAAGCAGTCAGCGCACAGAAAGCAGCCCAGAGAAGAAACACCTCGGCGAGCGGCAGTCGTCCGATAGGCAACATGTACATGACGATGAGCATCCGGAGAAGATCTGTGAGTACCCCAAGCTTTACCTTTGGTACCACCGGAGATCACATCGGCAGCCTGGCTGGTCACCATTTTGTTCCTCCAGTCGACGCTCGTCTGGGCCAGTTGGTCAACGAGCTTGGCACGCACCCATGGGCGATCCATGTGGCGGATCAGAGCCGAGAGCCCGTGCTCCATCGTGCCATACTTTTCCCAGCAGCGCAGGCATTCCACGAAGGGGTTGCTGTCCTCGAGTCGAGGAGTGTACGGGTGCGCCTCGAGTCTCACAATGGCTTCGGAGAGGATACCGATTGAGGTGTGCGGTGGGGGCTGCGAAGAGTGTCCTCCCTCGGTGGCCACAGAGATGACGGCGTTCGAGTGGCCTCGCTCTGTCGTGGCGATCAAGCCAAAAGGCCGCGAGAATGCTTCGCCGATGGTTGTGCCTTCGTCGAGGACAAACTCGATCGAGTCGCGCCCGTACCGGCCCAGCAGTACATAGCCCATGTTCCGAGCACCCTGTGAGCGCCAGAGGGCCAGTGGAAGTATACAGCAGCAATAAGCCAACAGAAGCAGTCTGCATACATGCAGTGCTTGACCTCATCAACCGGCTCCATCGGCCGGTTGGCTCATGCTCGCAGAAGATACTTGCGTTATAGCCACTGATTTCTTCGTCGTATCCAAAGGCCATGATGATCGTGCGAGTCGGCTGAAAGTTGACCGCCAGCAGCGCCTCGACTAAGCAGTGGGAGCGATGACATCATGTTAGTTTGTTTGATCGTCGCAGACCCGTTTGCTCGACTCAGGGCACTTGGCCTATTCGTGTCGACCACAACGATATGCTCGCGTCGACCATAGTGCCATGCTCGTGTCGACCTCAGCGACATTGCTCACGCCGCCAGCTCCTCTCTCATTTACCAGCTTCCATGAGACACAGCAAGGCGTTCTTGTTGTCGTAGGATCCACGGCCCCAGACTTTGCCGCCCTGGATGACGCCCGCAAACGGGGGGTGGAGCCAGTCGCCGATCGAGGATTCGGCCACCGGCACAACGTCCATGTGGGCGGTGAGCATAATGGGCTTGAGGCTGGGGTTTGTTCCGTCCCAGGTATAGATCAGGGCATATCTGGTGGATACGGCCAAAGCAGAAGAAGGTGAGAGAGAGAAACGCAAAGGCAGAGCGACTGGTGTCCGAGAGCGTCCAGCTTCAATAGCCAACAGGGCGGCTCTTACTTGTTCACGACCTCGCGCTTCAGCGACTTGTGGCTGATTGGAAGGCACAGCAGATCCAGTGCCGTCATGCGACAGGACAGGAACGAGGATGTGAGCAACGAGATTCGATGCACATGGCACAGTCGGATCCGGACTGGATCTCAACACTACCTGATAGCAGTTGCTCGCTCCAGCAGCGTCTCCTCGCCCATCTCCCCCCTTCCAGATACACCATGACAGAAGGAAAGCAGCAGCGTGACTCACAGCAGGGGAAACTCTTGTTCCAGAAAGTCATGGAAGTCCAGAAAGGGCTTCCACTTGTTCTCGGGCTCCCCAGGAGCAGGCAGAGCTACCATGTCGTCGTACGAGACGGTCGGGATCTGGACGGCCCTGCTCAGCCGGAGAGCGGTCTCGTGCCAGTACGAAGTGTTTTTGAAGAGGCCCTCGACGTTGATTCGGGTGATGTCTGGGCCTTGGCTCGGAGCTCGGACGGGCGGCTGGGGACATGCCTTGGTGGCGCTCTTTGGGTCTGCTCCAAAGTTGACATAGGACATCATTGGCACGCAGATGAACCAGATGGTGAGGGCCAGCACAATGGTGGCAATGCCAAGCGAGCGCGAGGCGCTGGAGAAGTGCTTCTGCTGATGCTCGAGAAGCTCATCCTCCAGGAACTCGAGCTCTGGGTCGCTTGAGGAGCTGGTGCGGACGACATGGAAGCGGTATGCAGGCGGCGGCGAGAGCGGGGTGCTATTGTTGCGGCGGATCATCTTGCAGAGAGCGCCTGGTCAGGGAAGCTGGGCGGTCAGAGAGCAGATGGAGCTTTGCGGGAGCAGGGAGAAACGTGGAAGGGAAGCCGGGGTTCCAGATACAAGAGGGACTCTGGTCTGCTCGGGAGGAAGCGAGCCAGGAGAAAGAGCAGCGGATGGGATGTTCTCAAGTCGATGGCCGAGTCACGCGGAAGCCGGGATGGGGATGGGCCGGCGATCGGGTCTGGGACCGGAAGACAATGTCCCTCGAGCGATTGTCTGTATCGGCGCGGGCGCCTGCATTGGCATGCTGCTGCCGGCGGGGTGTCTGGGATTGTCGAAGGTCGATGGGTGGGTGGCTTCGATAGATGGGTGGATGGCTTCAATGGGTGGGTGGTCTGAATGGGCGTCTCAATGGTCTGAATGGTCGACATTGCATTCTTTGTTCTGCGCTCTGGCTGGCATCTCTGGGCTGTGATTGACCAGGGCATTGTGCCGGTCGGCCAAGAGACATGCATCGCCGAGCAGTCGAGCACCGAACGTCTCTGGCCGCATCTGCTTGCCGGAACATGTCTCTGGGGCTGCCGCTGCCGCAGCGCCTGGTCATGCAGCCGCAAATCGGCAGGGGCCAAGGCAACAGACATGCCCCTCCTCGCCCCAGCGATTTGCGGCTCTCTCTCGATCTGGCAAACTCGACGCAACCCAAGACCGCCCAAGGCAACCCGACCTAACCCAAGGCAGCCCAAGTCAGCTTCGTCGGGCTCTTCGGCTCGGTGATTCTTCGCCCAGCCCGTCGATCCGCTCGATCCGACATCCAAGTTCGCTGGGGGCAAGCCAACCAAACAACCCCGCTGGCCAACAACCGACCCGCCCTCACTCAGGCCAAATGGTCGACCAACCTCTTGCTGTGGGGCGTCAGGACAAGCTCTCGCTGAACCGGCGACTCGACCTCCTCTCAGCTAGGTCGCAGCTTCATCGGACGAGCCTACAACAAGTTGATACGTTTTCGTGGTTGGCGACTTCAAGAGCCGAGATCACCCGGTCGCTTGTGCGGCTGACCGGCCCCCAACCAGTGCTGAACAACCACAGGTGTGTCTCGCGCGACCAAGGTGTCGAATGGTTTTGCCATGTGTGCATGGTGCGATCAAGCTCGGAAGTTCCTGGATCGAGCCCAGTCCAGTGCGCTGACCACGAATGGCTGGGACTGCGATTTTGATGTTCTCGGCAGAATCATGAGGGGCCACTATGCCTGTGTCAACACCATCGCCCTGAGTCGACCTGCGGGCGAGTTCCTGGCTTCGGGAGGCGATGACAAGAGAGTGCTGGTATGTATCGTATCCTATGGTACTGTACGGCACATCACAGTGCATCGGAGGCAACTTGGCAGAGCAGCCGTGCCCGTGCTTGCTACTCGATGTCTCCCCTCGCCATCAATGGAGATCTAACCAGCCCACTCGCTCCGACACCGCAAAGATATGGAGGGTTGACGACAGCCCGGTCCCGGTCCCGGTGGCCTGTCTCGGCGGCCACACCAACACCATCCTACATGTCCAATTCGGCTCAACCGCACGAGTGCTGTACTCGTAAGTGCATGCAGGCCGGCACACTGTTGGCGACGGCAGCCGAGCGAATGGACCCGACCAAGTGAATGATGCACGATCCTGCAGTGGAAGGCCATGAATCACCCGTGACTGACTTTGAGGGCCCCGGCGGCAGCTGCGGAGCTGATGGGGCACTTTGTCGGTACGATGTCGAGCACGGCATCCACGTCTCGCCCGGCATCTCCAAGTTCGTTCAGATTCTGCCGTCGCACCAGGAAAGGGCCACCAAGCTCTCGGTGCAGCCCACCAACGACGACGTTGTACTCTCGTCAGGGTGAGTGTCCGTAGTTGACGAATCGGAGTCCAAGACGACATGTCAGTCGATATCCACCTTGATCGCTAACGCAGTCATGGTGAATCCGTTCGCCACCCCTCCCATCCCCTCCCCTCCCCTCCCCTTCACAAACCCCATCCCTTGCATGACGCTCCTCAACAAACCGCCTCAGCCACGACGGTAAGCTGGAGAAGGTTGCAAAGTGCCATACCACCGAGTCAAGCACATTTGTGTGATACTGCATCGCCCCTCAGGATTTGTCCGGCTGTGGGACATGCGGTGCTCGAAGCCACTTCAAGGAGAAATCAAAAGCTCCTTCCATCAAAATTCGGTCGAATTCCACCCTCGAAACGACGGGCAGTTTGTCACAGCCGACGCTGGCGGGAACGTCTTGTAAGCCGCCTGTGCGAGTATCCCCAGCCGGCGCGTATCAATGGCAATGCCGTCTGCCGCTCAAGGCGGGGCCTTCTGCCTTAGCGATGGGTAGAGCACTCGAGCACGTGCACAGCAAGTTTGCGTCGCTGTGCGGCCTAATCTGCTTCACTTTTCCATTTGTAGATTGAGAGACCTGCGTGCCATTTCGGGTCGAGCTTGGCCAAGGAAGCGCGGGCTTTTGATGGAGGTAGGATTCACGAATGCGGTCGACGGGGAGGGCGTAGGGGTATCCTCTGACTTGCTTCCGCTTTTACAATGACAGCGCACATCGTCGCCGACATTGCCTCACTTGTGGTACCGCCGCAGGAGGATGTGGTCGCCTCTCTGCACCGAACGTACCTTCCCCTCCCCTAACTCGGTGCGGCGCTTCAGTACACCACTCAGCTGTCAAAGTACAACAAGTCGGCACATGCCTTGGATGTGTCGTGCGCCACATGGAACGAAGACGGCAGCATTCTTGGAGTCGTCTTTCGGCACTACTATCCAACGCTCTACCGGGCAGAGCACAAGGATCCTGTGTGTGTGCTCAAGTCCAGGACGAAAGTGAAGGGCGACGGATTTCGGTGCTCAAACACGTATGTTCCAGCGGAGACGGCAGGATTCAGTATGGGGTACTGCGACGATACGGCATTCTCCGGTCAAACCACATACAACGCCGGCGTATGCGAGCGTATATGCATGCAAGGAGAGCGGGGCTGCCGCAGGTGGTGGCCGGAACCAACGTGGACCTCGGAGCGTCCGCTTACCCAGCCATCTCATCTGCCGCACTGTGGCCATACAGCATCAAGTCCGGCGCATTCGGAAGCTCGTTTGGCAACTATTTCGCATGCGGGAGCGAGGACTTCAAGATATACGGTTGGTCCATTCCGAAACCGATTCCAGCCCCGGACGTCTCGTGGGCGCGATCTGGATCGAGCCGCCAGTTTGCCGGCAGCGAGACAGGTGCGAGTGCCAGCTTTGGTCGCATTCAAGCAGCTTTCCGTCGTTGAGACTCACAGAGTTTACAGTGGACATGGACGCCGATGCTGACACTGTGGGGATCGGATCCGACAGTGTTTGCAAGAGAAAACTCCAAGATCAGGCCCGTGGTGTTGGAGGACTCATTCACAATATCAGGTGCGGATATTGACTTCCAGTCTGATGTCCGGGCTGTTTTCGTGTTTGCCGCTGGATACAGAGCCACTGACCAGACAGAGGACTCGTTCCGTGTGCGATTATCGCCTCAGAGCCCAGGAGCATCATCAATTCAGTCAAGTTTCATCCAGATCGGCCATACTTGTTTTCTTGTGGTATTGTATTCACAAGCACTGAAGGGTCGCCAAAGTTAGGCGAGCTGTGCGGCCATGATTACTGACAAAGTTCTGGGGGTGGGTGGGGATCTCTCTTCACGCTCCCAGGCATAGAGAAGGCGATTCGACTCCACTCGCCGTTTCCAATTTCGTCCGCGCCTGGCGCTGCTGATGCGAGCCTGCCGCACTTTTACGATATGCCGGATCAGAACCAGAACACCGAGTTGCCACAGGATCTGCATCCTGCCCGCGCAGTGTATGGAGATGTATCATCCATGGACGAGGACCCTGAAGTCCTGAGACTCTTTGAGGCACTGGTGAGAACCATGAGGGGGTCTGTGTGGGAATGCCGCGAGGGGGGCATGTTGGTTCGTGGAGTGCCTGCTTCGCCACTGTTGCAGCTGACTCTTATGTTGTTGCGATGTATTCTATGCTTCTGCCCTTCATGCTGCCCGGCGATATCATTCTCTGCTAATTCTATCTTTGACACACGCAGACAAACAGCAGCTATCCCAACTCGGACTGGGGCGAGTCGCTCGAATTCCCCGAGAGCCAAAGCAGCGACTCTGCAGATATGGAGAGCGTCGCCGACGACGAGTTCCAAGCCGAAATCATGGAAAGCGTCCAATCCTCAATCTCGTCTCCGTCCCAAATATCGAGTGCGAGCTCGGAAGGGCTGCCAGACGGCGACAGCGATGTTGGTGGGTTCTTGTGGGCCTGGAACGACGTCGAGGCCCAGTTCGAGCGCTGCTGTGTTTTTTTTTGGGGGGGGGCATTGTGAGAAGCACTGGGAGTCGCGGAGGTGCAAGTGTCCGTAGTCTATCGCAGAGATATGCTTCGTACCCGCCTTCTTTCTCACATTCAATCCATCTTTATTTCATCTGGATCTTCCCTTGTGCTCGCACCCCCGCACACCGCTTGCGCTCACCCAACCCGGTCCTCGACTAACACGACTGCCGATGGTGTTTGGCTGCAGAGTTCTCGGCACCGATTTTGTCGGCGTTCCGCACAACCGAGTCTGTGTTTGAGGAGCGCAAGCGCACAATGATGGCCATGATGGACAGCGTCGAGCCCTGCCACCCGTCCCGCAAGCGACACCGGGCTCGAGCGAGAAGTAGCCCAACCGCAAGCAACAATGACGGCGGCGGCGGGAATGATGCGGACGAACACGGCTCACCGCGACGGACATCATCAGGCTCGGACGACGAACTCGAGCAGATCTTCCGGCTGAACAGCGGCTGAGCTGCTCGGGCACAAGCGAAACTGGATGCGGCTGCGATGCTGTGTTGCAAAGAGCGGTACGCTCGGGCTTGGCCTGGCGAGTCTGCCCTGGAATACAACACATGTTCACTCGCCGCCTCGAGTCCACGGAGGACAGATGCCTGTCCCTCGTCTGGTGATGTGGGCGACGGTACTGTGGCTAGAGATTGATCCGGGTGCTGGCCGGCTGTTGTCCATGGGCGACCACAGGAAGTACTCATGAGACCGCTGCACATCGGGACCGACAACCGAGGCCACGGAGCCGACGAAAGCAAGCATATCTGCAGCAAGCACATCCTCCACTAGCGCATCTGTAGCAAGGCAGTGATGGAATATTTGTTCCCAGCGAGAGAAGCGGCTCCCCTCCCCAGTTCGTTCGTGAATGCCTTCCCAGGCACGCGGCCGACGGTGTGATTGGCCTGCTTTGGCCTGATGGGCAGGCGCAAAACCCCCCGGCTCTGCCTTCCCTCCCCAGGCGAAAGGGTGCTTGGCAGGCCCGCATCCAAGGCCGCCCACGGATCAGCTTACCGACTGTGCCCTCGCTCAATTCATATCCATATCCATATCTAGATCCATACCGCTCCTGCTGGTTCGGCCTTTCGCCTCCACCCTCCATCCCCCCCCGTGCGCCTGCTCCGGATCGCAGAACCCTGGCCAGTATGGAGAGCCCCAAGAAGCGACACCGGACCCACGGCAACGGCATTCGCGACGGCCTCGGCAACGACGACGATGCCGTCGGGCCGCAATTCCTCGACGACATCTGCACGCAGGACCATGCAGACTCCCTGATGCGACTCTCGACAAGCCTATCCAAGCCGGAGCGACTGGAGGTCCTGCGCGGAGCAGCGCTGGCCCAGGTTCACAATAGCCTGAGCTGTGTGCAGAACCTGATTCTGCATGCCCACTACATCCTCAACATCATCCACGACCCGCCAGACCCGCAGTTTGTTGCAGATGCCGTGGCCCTCATCCACATCCTCGAAGCCATCGAATATCAGCGCCGGTCCGCACAGCTGCCCAAGAGGGCCAAGAAAAAGGCCGCCATCGCCGTCGAGCGAAGCTTTGAAGCTGCCGTGCTGCTGATCAAGCGCCGGATCGTTGTCGGGGCCGTCGAGTGGATGCGGCCATTCAGTTTTGAGCAGCATTGCGACCTCGTCCATACCCTCTTTGGCCAGCAACCGCACACACCTGCTGCACCGATACCCACGGCACCGACATCGATACCCCCGACGCAGCTGGAAGAAAGGCCGCCGCATGACGATGATCCCGACCTTGCTGATCTCAGGACAACGGGCAGTTTCCTGCGACCGTTTCGGTTTGAACTGACCCATTTCAAGACCGAGCCAATCGCACAGCTTCTGATCGGACTCTTGAAGGATCTTCGCATGCAAATCGGATGGTATGCCCGCGATGATGTGTATGGGGCAGGAAAAGAAGAATGCAGGAGAGAGAGAGAGGGACGGAGGGGGAGGGTAATCTGGGCGACGATGAAAGTTTGACAAACCATGGGACTCCCTTCCTTCTGATGGGGTCATGTCGCCCCACTACCAGCGACGGTGACAAGCAGATCGAAGCCATCCGATGCTATCCGCCATTTGTACAATTCGCCAACGCTCTCACCTGGGATAAGGCCGAGGCACAGGTGCGGCAGCTGGCAACATGAATGCACCCCGCCTGGACCCATCCGTCGGTGGGGTTGTGTGGATGGCGAAGGCATGCTCGGAAGCGCATGAAGGGCACATGGATAGGCACTCCCCGCTCCCCCGCTGCGATCAGCAATAATCTCCGTTGCTGCACGCTGCTGCAGTTACGGCCACTTGTCGTTCGCCAAAGCACTCGGAATCGGGCTGGCTCCGTCCCTTGCTTTCTCCGCAAGGATCCACCCGCACCGATCGTCACCCCACAGGGATCCGTTCGGGGCATGGCTGATCCAAGTGCTCTAACAACATGATCCGCTTCTTCACCATGACCCCCCCTCTCTCCCTCTTGCCTCCCGCAGGTGACGGACTATCTTGGACGGGTGATGTAGAAGGCAGCTCCTCATCCCCTCTCGCCTCGGCAAGGCGAGCAGTCGATGCCTGGGGGCAGGCCACAAGAGCGCGCCCCAAGATCTCGCATCGATGGTCTCTGACTCAGCATCGGTAACAGCAGGCGTCGCTGGTTCTGGATCAAGCTTGGAGGCAGTTGTTGCACTGGCCCCGGTCACTGAGGCGAGATCGGTTGAGAGACGAGTGATGTGGGCATGTCGAGGGAACGCCTCCAATACAAGTATCCCCGCTTGGTTTGCAAAGACTACAAATATATTCCAGTGTAAACAGGCAGGCAGTAGAGAGAATGTGTAAGGGAGAACGAAGGAACGAGAAATCGATGGACGCAGGGGATGCGCCCGACGGTGGGCCGATTCGGAATCGCAGACCACGATGGCACAGAAATCGTCTCAGATGGCTATTGGACCCTCTAGTGGGACATTGATGTGGTGGATCGGAAAGGGCTTGTTCGGACGCATCTAATGCCGAACGGGCGGCTCGGGGTGTTTAGAAGAGGCAGTCCAGACAGCAGCAGAGAGCACAGCCGAGGCAAAGACCCTGTGTGGCGTCGATAGGAGACGGACGAGGCGTTGTTTTGTTATCAAAAGAGTGAGCAGCGGCTCTGTCGGTCGCAGGCAGGGGGGGGCTTCTGTACTGGCAGCCCTCGGGAACACGTTGTATGCCGGATTTCGCTGGATCTCGCTAGCTTACCTTGGCCAGGGCATCGTTGTTGTTCGTGGGCTGCTCCTGTTGGACGACAACAACCTGAGGCTGCGGCTGGACTGCAAGGCAGAGAAAAAAAGGATGTTAGTCCTGATCGGATGTGGGCCATGACAACGACGGTGGCGTTGAGATGATCGCCGGGAAGTTTGGTTGCGACAGCGACTTACACTGAGGCTGCTGAGGGGCCGAGTAGGGCTGGCCAGGAGGGGCTGTGATCGCAAATCCCAAGTACCGGGTGCGAGATAAGAACCGAAGGGTTGGATGTGTGCGTTCCACACGGGGCGGTGGACCGAAGGCGAATCGAGACCAGGACGGGTTGAAGCCACAGACGAAATGCCAAGGTCGTGTCGATTTGATCCAAGATAAACGGCAAGAGCGAGTCGACACCAGCCATTTTTCAAGCGGGACAGAAGTGATATGGGGTCAACAGCGGCCAGCGTGGGCAACAGAACGACTGGGAACCAATGCGGTGCAGGGAACGACGAACTTACGGGCGTACTGCTGGGGAGCACCGGGAGGAGGAGCGTACTGAGGAGCGCCCTGGGGAGGATAGTAAGGAGCGCTGGTGGTGGGAGGGGCGTACTGGGGGCCGCCGGGAGGAGCAGCATACTGCTGGGGAGCTCCGGGAGGGGGGGCGTACTGGGGAGCTCCGGGAGGAGGGGCATACTGGGGAGCGGAATAGGCGGGGTACTGGTTTCCTGCAGATGGAGGGAACGGGATGGTGTCAGCGAGAGCGGCGTGGGATGCAAAGGACAGAGCAAGCCCTCGTTTCCAGGCCGTTGCCAGCAGATGGATCGCACCACTCACCCTTCTCGGCCATGATGGTGGATGCAGCGGCGAGTGGATAGCAGGCAGAGATGGAGGCAGAGATGGAGACAGAGGAACAGGCGGCGAAACGAAGGGTATAAAAGGCCGGCGAGCCCAGAAGGCGGCGGACACGCGCGCGGTGGCCGTGTGGGTGGCTGCGCACAGACGCGCTATTGTGCGGCGTTGTTTCGAATGGGGCTTGATTGAGTGGGCGGCGATTTGCGGTTGCAGGACAGGACAGGACAGGACAGGACAGGACAGGACAGGACAGGACAGGACTGGACAGGACAGGACAGGACAGGACAGGACTGGACAGGACAGGACAGGACAAGATGCACTCTGACGAGGCTATTGCTCGGGGGGTGTCGCATGGGGGTCGCTGTCGCATGGGGCGTTGCTGCGATAGAAAGCGCTGTTGGAGATTGCTCGTCTGCTGCACTCTCGCTCAGGCCCATCCGCACTCTCGCTCAGGCCCGTCCGGCACTTGTTAAACGCAGACTCGGCCCTGAGCCGCACCACCAATCCCACTCTGTGCCCAGGGCCACTCGCACCACGCGGCACGTTGTGTGGCAGCCTCGCTCGCCCCACACCTTCTCCTCAACCAGCCCGCTCGGACTGCCGTGTTTGCCAAGAAGGTCGTGCTGGGACCGGCTCCCCTTGCCACACGGCCGTTTCCTTTTTCGGGCGCATGGTTGCCTCCCACAGACGCGCTCGCTCTTCTTGGCGGTCTCTGGGCATGAGAGCCATGGATGCGAGATAGAGGAGAGGCCCGGCTGCTCTGGATCCGACAGGCCTGGATGGACGGCGCGGGACGGTCTTGGGATGGCAGGACTGGGGCTGGATATGCGCCGAGCCCCTTGCTGCATCGACTGCGGCTGCCCGGAGAGGCGATGACTCAGCGGGATAATGAGCCGGATACATTGTGGGTTCGTTGTGGGTTCGGGATCATGTACATCGTGGATGGACGCTCCGCTTTCCGCTCCGCCGCCCAGGCGGCTTTGTCGGGCGCCGATCGTTCTGCCGCGCCGGCGATCAAGCACTCGGCAGCTTGCGTTCGACCGAATCGATCGTCAGCCGGAACGCCCCGATCATGGCCCCGAGCTGGATCTTCTCGCTGCAGCCCATCGACAGGTTGTGTCTGGGCCGAGGACATGGAGGACAAGAGCAAGCCATACACAGCGTCAACACCGGAGCAACAGAGTTCCTCGCAGCCGATCGATAGATCGATGTCCTCCACCAACCGAGTATCGCCGTGCAGGCGCTCTCCAGCATCAACTTACTCGATCGTTGCCATCGTGTCCAGCAGATACGCCAGCGCATACGACGGGATGTCGAGGAGCCGGATAAAGTCGTAGACGGCGGGGATCATGTCTGCCAGCGCCAGGCCCTTCTCGGTCTTGAGCTGATCGATATCTGCAACGGACAATCGTGATGAGCTGTCGAGCCACCATATGCACCACAGCAGCACTGCACGGGCAGAGTCGATGCGCCGGTTCTCACAGTTGTAAGCCGTCGTGATGTCGCTCTGGAAGATCCAGCCAATGACCTTCTTCATGTCACTTGGAAGTGGGGCGCCGGTGGTCAGGTAGATGGCATCTTCGGTGACGTGTTCGTACGCTGCATGGGTTGCCTGGACATCCAGCGGGACCGGCCAAATCGTCAGCGATGACCGTAGCGCTCTCGAGCCTTCGGAGACCCCCCTGTTGCGCTCTCGATGCATGCAGCATTGTCGGCAGGCTTGTACCTGCAGAATGTTGAGTGCCCGTCTCATGTCGCCCTTGGACATGCGCAACAGAGCCTTGACACCATCGTCGTCGATTTTGATGCTGTGAAGACACGGCCGCAGTTAGCGCGGCGCGGCTGTCAAATCCCCTGAGTCTTGCTCAAAGACATGAGCTCTCGCGAACATGCTCTCAGAAGCGCGGAGACCACGGACACCCACAGAAACGCCGCGGCACGGATGCCCACCGACATGCAGATCCACAAACACCTACCCCTCCGACTGAACCACATAATCGAGCCGAAGCTTGACTTGATCGTGCTGAAGAGGACCGAACCGAAAGCGCGTGCAGCGAGATTGCAGCGCCGGAATGATCTTGCTGACGTAGTTGCAAATGATGCAGAAGCGCACGTTCTTGGTGTATTTTTCGATCACTAAGGAGCCATATCGATGGTCAGTTGTTCTCCAGGTAAGCGTTGCCGCTCTAGCTTGCATGCCGGTGACTCATATGAAGCCCACACACACCAATGTAGCAAGCAAATCGTGCCGAACCAGACACACAGCCTGGCGCCTCGACGGCCCGAACCACCACTGACCTCGTCGCAGGGCGGCTTGGGCCACATTGGTCATCGCATCGGCTTCGTCCAGGATGATCATTTTGAATCCCGTGCTAACATGGCGCGGCATCCGTTTGACACAAGAGTCGAGTTCATTAGAGAGGGGAACACACCAGCGGAAGGTTGTAGCATATCTCAGGATCGTCGCCACGGAGCCTGGCAGCCTTACCGAGAGAGGAAAGGGAAGGGGAGAGAGAGAGAGGGATAGCAAGGAGCTCACCTGAAGATCTTCTTTGTGCTGGCAAAGTTTTTGATCTGCTCACGGACAACATCGATACCGCGGTCGTCGGAGGCGTTGAGCTACATTGCCCGATCCCGTTGGTTAGATCGCTTTCGAAAATCAAACGGACAAAGGAAAGAACAAGCCTATCCAAGAAGCGTGGGCCGTGGTTTCTCACCTCCAGAATCATGGATTTGTACTTGGGACCGAAGAGCTTCCTCGCGCAAGCCAGGATCAGTGACGTCTTGCCCGTTCCAGGAGGGCCGTAGAAGAGGAGGTGCGGCAGCCGGTTCTCGTCGATGAAGCGGGAAACTGCGTGCGGAGGCGAGAGAGGACACAACGACGTTTCGTGATCAGGATGGTGCAGAAGGAGAAATGAATGACCATGCCTGTGCCGTCAACATGCCACCGGGGGAGGGAAAATAGGTGCCCTGCCGCTCTGGACAGACAACGATCTTACTGGTAGCGATGATGTCCTTGTGGGCGATGAGATCGTCCATCGATTGCGGACGGTATTTCTCGACCCTGAAAGCAGCGCATCATATTCAGCACAGGACAGGCGGATCGACATCCTGGTCACAGACATCCTGATCACAGACATCCTGATCACGGACATCCTGGCCACAGACATCCTGGTCACAGACAGAGACCGGGAGCCATCGCTTTTGTATCGAGAGACGTGGAGAACCGTCGCCGTACCATGGCAGGTTGTTGGAGGCGGTCTCGTTGCCGGCAGGCTCGTCCACCAACTTGCCCTTTCCTTTGTCGCGCGAGGGACGAGTCTCGTTATCGCTGTCGACATCCATGATGTCGAGGTCTTCGGGTCCAGCCATGATCGATTTGTGGATGGGCTCAGCGGATCGGAGCACAGATGAGAGAGAACTCGATGTTGCTGGGTGAGGGATGAACAGGAGTGGCCCAGCCGCGGTTTGGGAGACGACCGGATTCGATTGTGCTTGTGGCACGGAATAGGCGGGTGTCCCTGGCTTGTCGGTAGCGATGATGTCCTGCTGATGCCCTGCTGATGCCCCGTTGGTGCCTGTTGGTGCCTGTTGGTGCCTGTTGCGATGGTCGCGATGGTGCTGAAGCGGACCTCGCAGATCAGGACGAAACTGCCGAATCAGGACATATCGTCCACGTGATAGACACGGGCTCGATCATGGGTTATCACGTGAGCTGGAGTGGCGTGACTGGGTGGTTCGAATGCTGCATGGGCAACGCGCGGACACAGACGGGCATCGAGAGCCACCAACAAGAATCGAACTTGGCGAACCGAGGGCCAAACGAGGTGTGCACCAAGCGCAAGACCGATGTCCAGCGAAGCCAGCGAGAACGACGCGGCTGACGACCAGGTGTGATCGAGGTGCGTGCGCAGGACAGGGCGTTTTTTGTTTTGGTCCAGGGCAGCGCAGCAATCCCCCACGAGAGGAGCATGGCCGTTGCGGCCTGCGGGCCTGTGGACACACGGATTTGCTGGTGTCGCGGGTGGAAACGCACCAGTTGCGCACGGGACGAAGGGAGTTGGCCATCAGCACCAACACAAGCAACACGAACAGTTGACATCATAAATAGCTGGCATCGCGAACAGTGAACACTACGATCAGCCACGCCGCCAGCGACAAGGCCTGTCCCACAGACACCGCTCCGACGCGCACACACAGACCACGGCGTGCTCCGTGACCTCTTTGTACCAAGTGATGCAGCCACAGCCGAGATTGGCCCTTGCCTTCTTTCGTGTCTGTACCAGAACTGTGCCGGGCTGTGGCTTCGTCTGCACAAGGCCCGCGAGCACGAGTCATCGGCTGCACCCCGTCCCACCCCTGGCTGCCGGTCCATGCGATGCCACCAGGAGAATCCAAGACAGATAAAGGCCCACCTGTGCCGCCCTCTGCTGGCCCATCGTCATCTGCGAGCCTCCATCGCCGATCTGCATTCAACCGCTGCCTCGCTCCACCATGTTCCGCTGCATCGACTGTTTCCTGGGCTCCGGGCGCGACTCGCCTGACCCCGACAACCCCGAAAGCAAATCCGTACCTGCCCAGGCCGACGACCTGTCTGACTCGCTGCCGCATCTCGAGAAGGCCAAGTTCCCAACTCCCATCTCGACCCAGCCTGTCGGGGATGCTGGCGCTGTTGAGTTACCCAGGGATCCGCCCACGCCCTCGACCGTCACCTTCGCCACCGCCCCGTCGGTCGCCGCAACCCCATCGGTCATGGCCTCCGTCTCGCCCGTCCCTGTGCAGAGCCCGACTCCCACCTTGCCCCTGACTCCCGCGACGGCCACACCGTCCGTATCGAGCCCCTTCAAGCTGTCCGCTGCGTCCCTCAGTCCGAATGCCCTCGCCAACCTGCATCCGCCCATCCCCGGCCCGCCGCCACCATGGACCCATCCCATCGAGATCTTCATCGGCATCACCCAGAGAGAACCCGAGTGTCTGTGTGTGTGGACCAACGAGAACGACGCCCAGGAGCGACACTCGTACCAGGACGTCTGGCAGCGTGCTTACTCGGTTCTCCAGGTCCTCAAGAGCCTGCCTGGCTGGGACGATCCCGCCAACGACGTCGTGGCGCTCCATGTCGAGCCTGAGCTGTACTGGGTCGTCTACACCTACGCCGTGTGGATGTCCGGCAAGTGAGTGCCGCCATCGCTTGCTCCGGCTTCCTCCTGTTGATCCTGCATCGCACACTTGCTGTCGTCCATGTGGTCCATGCGGTCCATGTGGTCCATGCGGTCCATGCGACCCGTATCCGTCGCTTGTGCATCTCACACTTCCTGGCTCTGTATCATCGCCGCACAGAAAAGTCGTCAATTTTGCCTTGGGATGGTCTGCTGCCATCCGCAACGCCATCGCGGAGAGGTGAGTGTCGGCGTCGGGTTGGGGAGCGGGAATCGATCGACAGTCCAGACTCGTGTTCATCGACAGAGTGGTCCAGTCGAGTTGGGAAGCCATCAAACAGAGACTGATTGCCATGCACTGTCGCCGCTCACTCACCCACTCACTCACTCACTCACTCACTCACTCACTCACTCACTCACTCACTCACTCACTCACTCACTCACTCACTCACTCACTCACTCACTCACTCACTCACTCACTCACTCACTCACTCACTCACATACCATCCCACCACCATCAACTCCCAGCCTCAACATCAAGTTCATCCTCTATTCCAAAGTGCGACCTGGGCCCATCGCCGGCGTCACGGCCCACTCCGTCGAGTCCTTCCCTGTCCTCGACGCTGCGTCCATTCCGGCTCCATCCATGGACTTGTTCGGCCCTCTGCCTGAGTTGGCGATGGTTGTTTGTACCTCTGGAACGACGGGTGAGTCTCTGTCGTGCTTGAGTGGAAGATGGCCATGAAACCGACCTCGGTGTTTTTGAGGCATCTGGGACAAACAGCAGGGTACTCATCTTCACTCTACGATCATATGCATATCAAACTGTGACCCGCAACAAGGCATACCCAAAATGTGAGTATTCCAGTGTTTTATGTGTGGACAGCCCGTTCTCGCTTCCCTGTGTACCAGCTTCGTGCTAACGATACCGATCCACTCCTCGCAGTATCAACATACCCCATCGTCTGGGTGCCTCTGCCGTCGGTTCGTGGAACTACCAATCCCGTGCCATTTTGCAGTCGCCATCGTTCATGGCCACGGTCATCCAGATTCTCGCCTTTGGCACGTACAATGGCTCCCTGTGGTTCCCCAAGTCGTCGCCCAGTATCATCGACAAGGCCAACGAGATTGTCAGAATGCTGGATGCTGGATGCTCCACCGTGACGCTGGTACGACTCGTTGTGGTATCTCTTGATGGACTCTGGGAGAGGAAGAGGGGGCGAATGTAATCCTGACGAGAAACTCGCTTTCATCTACAGTCGCCTTCCTTCATGAAAGCCATGATTCAGTATGCCCTGTCCAAGAACAAAGATGCATGTTGGCTGCAGGTCACCCTTGTTGCCCTTTCCGGTGAGATGGTTCCCGCTGACTTGGTTGCCCAGACCCGCAAGATCTTCCCCGCAGCTGTCTCGTTGAACATTTACGGCTCGAGCGAGGTAAGCGCCGGAATCGCTTGACGGCTTCCTTCTGGGCCTAAAACACCTGCACATGCGTGTGGACTCGTCAACAAACCCCCCCCCAAAATCTGGAGAAAACAAAGCAACCACATATCAGGACGCTAATGAACACTCGATTGATGAACACCACCGACCAGAGCGGCACGATCTCGGCAATCGCTCGATCTGAGATTCCTCCTGGACTCCCGGCTCCTCGCACCCTTGTTTACACCATGAACAAGCCCGGAGTCCGATGTACGGTTGTGGACGAAAACGGCGACGAGATCACCACGCCGTACCCGCGACGAGGAATCCTGTGCTATGTCATCAGCAAGGACGATCCGCTCGCCAAGCACCCCAACTTTGTGTATGCCCCGCGCGGCAACAAGCTTGCGTCGTTCGGACACTTCCCCGACGGCTCTCCTCGAGTCTGCACCATGGACGAGGCCGAGCTGCTGAACAGCAGCAACCAGTTTACCATCTTTGGCAGGTACGGCCAGTCGGGGTGTGGTGTGGTGTGGTGTGGTGTGGTGTGGTGTGGTGTGGTGTGGTGTGGTGTGGTGTGGTGTGGTGTGGTGTGGTGTGGTGTGGTGTGGTGTGGTGTGGTGTGGTGTGGTGTGGTGTGGTGTGGTGTGGTGTGGTGTGGTGTGGTGTGGTGTGGTGTGGTGTGGTGTGGTGTGTGCGAGGCGTTGACATGTCCTGTGCCCTCTGTCTCGAGCTGTCAATCTCACTCTCGCCTCTTGCACTGCACCCTGCACGGTCCAAATGCACAACCACCCCCATCGCCCCATCGCCCCATCGCCCCATCGCCCCATCGCCCGCCTCAGAACCGGCCGCAAGGTCAAGATCAACGGCGTCTACGCCGACCTCGAGGTCCTCGAGAACCTGCTGCTCACCCACCTCGACAAGGCCATCAAAGAGTGCTGCATCGTCCAGACCTCGGACGAAAAGATTGTGCTGCTGTACGTGCCTGTCCGCCGCTCGGCATCGGGCCCCGAGTTCGACTCGCGCCAGATCCTCGACATGGCCCAGCGGATCTTTGCCCTCGAGAACATTGTCAGCATCCCGATCAACAACTGCCTGGACCTGTACGAGATGCCGCTCAACGACTCGGCCAAGCGCGACCTCAAGCGGCTCAAGCGCATCGCCGAGCAGGCCGACTACTACGGCCTCGCCATCACATACCCGCCGATCCCGGCCAACGACTCGTCCGAGTCGCGCATCGCCATCAAGGTGTCGGCCCTCGGCGCCGAGATCCTCGAGATCGAGGCCTTCAACGGCCGCAACTACTACATCTCGGGTGCGGGCTTCAACTCGCTGTCGGTCGTGCAGCTGTCGATTGCGCTGCGGGCCGAGTTTGACATTGAGATCTCGCCGCTGATCCTGCTGTCGCACGGCATGAACCCCGTGGGCGTGGCCCGGATCATCACCGAGCACCGGCTCAAGCGGCCGTTCGACCCGCCCGTCGTCAACCTGGCCGAGGAGGCCGCCAAGCTCGACGACCCGACGGTGACGGCCGAGGGCCTGGCGCCGTTCGAGTTCCAGGCGGCGCCGCGGTCGGTGCTGCTGACGGGCGCAACGGGATTCCTCGGATCGTTCCTGCTGTTCGAGCTGGCCAACCAGTTCCCGTCGGCCACGATCGTGTGCCTGGTGCGAGCGGCCAGCGACGAGGAGGCGCTCAAGCGACTGAAGGACGCTGTGCACGACCGGGTGCTCGGCGCCCGACAGCAGCTCGGCAACGACCGATACCGCATCTGGGACCGGGTCCGAGTCTGCAGCGGCGACCTCGGACGCTCTCGCTGGGGCCTCAGCGACGAGGCCTGGGATCAACTGGCGCGCGACACTGATGTGATTGTGCACAACGGCAGCGAGGTGCACTGGATGTACTCGTACGAGCGGCTCCGCAACACCAACGTCCTCGGCACGGCGACGGCCCTCAAGCTGGCCACGACGCACCATCTCAAGCCGGTGCACTATGTGTCGACGGTCGGGGCGATCCCGCTGCAAGCATATCGTGGCGAGCGGCTCAAGGAGCGGATCTACGAGGAGTGGACGGTCTCTGGCGGCTACGGCCAGACCAAGTGGGTCGCCGAGCAGCTGATCGACAAGGCGCACGCCCGCGGAGTGCCGGCGACGATCCTGCGTCCGACAGTGATCATTGGCGACAGCATCTTTGGAGGTGAGTGAGCGCGGGTGGGTGAGTGACTTGGTCATGGAATGGTCATGGCTTGGTCATGAAATGGTCATGAAATGGTATTGGCAGTGCTGCGACTTGGTATTGGCAGTGCCGTGGAATGATCGCAGCGAGACAGCAACTCGGCCACGGCGATGCCCTGTCTCGACCTGGATGAGCGACGGTGATTTCGGTGCCCAACACTCACTCCCTCGCACTCCATCCACACTCACTCCCTCACACTCCATCCGCACTCCCACGCCGCCGATCCGCAGTCTCCAACACCGATGACTACATCTGGCGCTACGTCCGCGGATGCATCCAGGTCGGGGCCAACCCGTCCCACGCCAGCCATGTGCACATGAACCTGTGTCCTGTCGACTATGTGGCCAAAGCCATTGCGACGGTGGCGGCCTCGAAGGAGGCCCTCGACCTGTTTGTCTTCCACCTCGACGACATCAGCAAGTGAGTATCCGGCCAGGGTGCGAGTGCGGGTATGGGCTGGGACACTGTGCATCGGTCTGTTCCTGTGCATCGATTTGCTCTGGTTGTCCACTGGCCACTTGGTTGGTACTTGGTTGGTACTTGGCTGGTACTTGTGCACTCTCAGTGATTGTGATGCTCACTACCAACACCACATCACCACATCGCCACCACGCAGCTTTGCGGAGCACGATCTCTTTGACCTCGTGCAGAAGCTCGGCTGGAAGCTCTTCTTCCAGACGCGCGACCAGTTCCGCAACCAGATCGTCCAGCTCAACAACCCAAAGACCAACGTGCTCTATCCGCTGATGGACTTTATCACCAGCATGTCCTTCGACCTCGACAACGAGCACTTCCACACGCTTGTCCCGCAGGCGGCCCCGGACCCGACCAAGGTGGTGACAAAGTGCCTCGAGTATCTCGCGCTTGTGGGATACCTGCCCGAGCCCGAGGGCGGGCTGCCGACCCGCACCCGCAGCATCGAGTATCCCGAGATGGAGGCCTTTGGCCGCACCGACCGCGCCTGAGCGACTTTGCGGCTGTGCCGGGCGATGGTTGTTGTCAGTTTACATATGCTGTGACCAGCTCATCGACTCTTGTGTCCAAGTATTGCCTCGAGTTTCAGGCTTCTCTTCTCCGCGAATGTATGCTTTCGTGCCTTTAGCTTCATTCTGTCCGTTGTTTGTGTTTTCTTCCTCGCTCTATGATGTTTGCCGCTGTGCCTCTTTGAAGTTTGGTCGAGTTGTGCGTACGGAAATATATCGAGTTGGCCACCCTGCTTCACAGCTCCCCGATTCCGGTTGCGGCTCTGAAAGTGCGCCACATCTGATTGCCATGGCTGATTGGGCCTTGCCGAGTTCCATCGATCCCTTCCCTGTTGATCCGCTCCTCAGATCCATCTTCGATCGTTGGGGCGCCTGTCTCCGCCGCTGCTCTTCCTGCCTCGAGACATACTGGGTCCTATGCTGTCTTCAGTCGATTCCTTTGACTCTGTCGTTTTCCTGCCACCCGCCACCGCAACGCCGCATTCTCTCTCCAAGACATGAGCGCACATATCGACGTGAATCCAGGCAAGCAACCCGCTTCCGTCTCTTGCTGCCGCTATCTCGGACGAGCGACCTTCACGCTGAACTGACGAGTCTGGTTCCTAACCCAGCGCTGCCCTCCGGGGCTGAAGCGATTGATCTGGAAATGCTGCTTCAGTCAGGGGCCAGAGACTCTCTTGTCCAGCAACGTGAGCACGCCCTTCGTGTTCGAATCGACCTCGAGGAGCGCATCGCAGGTCTCTCTTGTCGGCTCTCTCAGGTTGTTTGGTATTTGAAAACCATCGAGGGCAAACTGGGTCTCTGCCAAGACGATGAAAGATCTCCGGATCCTTGCATCGCCTCGCCTCGGCCCCTAAAGCGTCGGCATGTTGGTGGCGAGCCAGCACATTCCCCACCAGCCTCGAATCATAATACCGGCGACAGACACTCTGAAGCCCGTGTGCTGCTTCCGCTGCCTCTGTCTGTCGGCTGCCATCGCACTCCTGCCCTCGACATGAAGCCTCCAGCTGTCTTTCGCATCTCGGGAGGCAAGGTGCGCATGTTGGAGGCGAATCCGCTTGCGTCACTCCCTCCAGAAACCAAGCCAGCCGCCGACTCCTCATCGAAGAAACTGCCGCAATCGTCGGTAGAAGCATATCCCGCAGATCCGACTGACAGCTCAATTTCCTCACAATCAAACGCTTCCTCTGAGCAGCCGTACCGACCCCACAACGCTCGGATGCTGGCTCTGCTGTCGGCGCATTCCATGGACTGCTCGAGCAGTTGTGTATCCGACGTCGACTCGAACAGCTCGATTGCAGGCACAAACGCTTCAGACCGATCGTTGATATCGTCCGTCGACCAATTTGAGCGGTATTCGGATCAAGTCCCTCCTCCCGAGGCAATCAAAGCACCTTCCCCATCGGATCGAGCGCCGGATCATGCTGTCGCCCCGAGCGATAGACCCAACTCATCGGACAGCAACCCCCGTGTCCGTGGTGGCAAAATCGTCCCTGGTGAGCCGCAAAGGATGTCGCCCAAGCCAACCCAGCCACCTGGCGGCCTCGATCTGGATACCCAGTCTCATCATCCCCCTATCGCCGCTCGCCATGCACTGGATACGATCGTGCGCGAGGACGAGGACGAGCTGACGTTTGAGTCGCAGCCCATCACCATCCCGCCGCAAAGGCCCTCTGGAGTCGATCCAGATGGGGGCCAGGTCTGCCAATCCAGTGCCCCGGTGAGCTCGAGTCAAGTTGGCGATACCACAACCACGATTGTCGACCATCGAGCTGACGATCTCGAAGAGGGCGAGCTTGAATGCGACGGCAGCAGTGACGTCGCTGCGGGCGCTGCTTCTTGTCAGGATACCAAGTCGGCACCGAATCGGGAGCGGTTGCAGTCGATAGCCAAGCCGGAGGCGAGCCCGGCGGCTCCAAGAACTCGACGGCAAAGCCAGATTCCAAGCAAGGACCTGCCCAAGAGTCCGTCGAAAGCCTCAAACAAGGGTCATCAGCAAGCTGTCAAAAGTCCCCATCATCCAAATTTGCCTGGAGGCAAGAAAGGAGACACGACCCGCATGTCACTGCGATCGCATGCCGGCCGCCCTTCAACTCCAGCTCGGTCGAGCAAAGCCAGTCCTGCAGAGTCACCCATGCCGACCAAAGAAAGCGCACTGGAACTGCAGCCTCAAATGCAGCTGGCCGTCAAGCGACGCTCAAAGCGCTCGTCTGCTGCCGCCACCGCTAACACGATCCAGGTGGATGCGATGGCAGGCACATCGTCTGCATCGTCTGCATCGTCACAGCTGACTGAGGCGAGGACTACTTCTTCATCTGCATCAAAGTTGTCTCCGGCAACAAGCACACTGAATCAAAATGCGCCGGATCAGACCGGGTTGCGAAGCGGCTCTTTATTGACGGCAGTCCCATCTGCATCGGGATCAGCGAACATGCCTTCCGTCCCGTCCACGCAGCCGCCAGGAACCCGGGCTGAAAAACAGAGACCTGGTGGTGTCAGCGAGCCTGATTTGAGTCGCAGCAACCATCCACCCCTGAATCTATCATCCTTGCTGGACCCTCAGATAATCCAGCGCGCGCAAATGATCCAGAGTCTGTTCCAACGATCGCCACAAAGCCTGCCATCTCAGTTTAGCTCACCGTCACTACCATCAACCATGCCATATGGGTCGCCTCACGGACACACTCCCGCTCAGCCCGCCAGTGCCATTCACAATCCTTTGATGTCTCAAACGATGGCACCTTGGTCAGGAAATCCCGCAGACACTGCCGCTCCGGCTGCCAGCGCCTTTGGTAGCCCTCAGACCTATGCGCCGAGCCTGTATTCCTTCCCGGTATTTCAGAGCCAGGTGCTACCGGGTAATTTCAGCTATCCTGGCCAAGGGGTAGATATTCATCGACATGGACTTTCGCCCTCGGTACCACACTTCCCATACTATGGTCCTGGTGCTGGCCCGTGGTTTGGCCAGTAGCTGGAGCCTATATATGGCGCCATTCTTCCACGGGGCGATGCATTGTGCTTCCCCACAGAAATACATGCATGGCATATACATCACGCTCGGAACGAAACAGAACAGCATCCATTTCCCGAATACACCCCGGTCAATCTCCTGTAACTATGATCGACTGACACTGATGCTGTGATGCAGGAGTGTGGTGCATGCATTCGACCATCCGGAGTGCATCCGTGGATCCTCGATATCAAGGGAGTCGGATGACTCGAGTCGCTTGGCTTCCAGGCACTGTGAGCACACTCTATGGTCATGATAGCGGCGAGCAAATGTGTATTCAGGGCCCAGAGCAAAAACTACGGTTCTGCCTCAAACAGGGCGCCCCGTTTCGCTTTGGGTACGCTGTAAGTGCTTAGATTACCCTGTAATAGACCATGGTGTAGCCTGGCCCACAAACGATTTCCTGGCGCACATTCCGCACATTGCGCTTTCCATCAACTTTGACTGAGCCCAATGGAGCCAACTGAAGGCGGCCCAAAGGCTCCGCATCCTTGTCGACAGCAACCTCGTGGAGCTTGCCGTAGTGGATGGGCTTGATCCACATTGGCGTTGGGGCATGGCCTTGTTTGCCGTCAATGCGCCGCAGCTGGTTCCAGTTATTGGCGCCCCACATAAGAACGTCGCGGCCAATGTCGGAGGTGTCGCTGGCGGTGCCCAAGACGGCGGCGTTGTGATCTCCACCACAGGCAATCTGAATCACACGAATGGGCTTGACGCACTGGTCCTTCTCAGAGTACTCCTTGAGATCGGAGAGCGCTCGGACAAGCACAGGGTAGAGTGAGACATGATTCAAGTTGCCGTTGCCAAGTTGACCAAGCTGGCCTGATCGTTGTGGGACAGGACACGGATCAACGGTCGAGTATAAACGGGGGGGGGCGAGAGCGATATTAGTTCTAATATCAGGGATATTCACGGACAGTGAACGAGGTAGGCTTGAGTCGTGTGTTCCCGCCTCGGTAAGTGGCGAACCAACGCATCAAACGCACTTCTAAGGATGCAGCCACTCTGGAGAGCACTACACCATCGCAGATATCTCAACGCCGACAGATTGCTTGTGGGACAAGAAACAGCAGTTACCTATGCCGCACACCATAACTTCCGACGACTCTGCCCGATCCACTACAAACACGCTTGACTGGCCAGCGGCGGCAACCTGGGTGCATTCAGCATCCAGAGGCTTAGCAGACGTGCGGGGCCCACGGTTCCAAATGGTTTCGATCTGGATAGGCTTCTCGACCTTGTCCTGCAGGGGGCCAGTTCCGAGTTGCTGACAGGGAAAGACACGAGACAATGTGCGTCAGCGCACCATTTAGATTATCCAGCTCCAGGAAACAGGGTACAGCTTGGTGGAAATGCATTCACTCGGTCGAGACACGGATGCAGTGGCTGGAGATGGGCACATACCCCGGACGAATTGGATCCGAATCCAAAGACTCGACCGTCTCGGCTCCTCAAGAGCGTGTGCTCGGCCCCACAAGCGGCCTGAACAAACTCTATCCCTGCGAGCGACTCAACCTTGGAGAAGACAGTGCAGCTGTCAGGTCGAAATGGCGAAGCATTGGTGCCTGAGGGGGCAAAGTTGGACGGCAGGAAGGTGTGGTTGAGGCCGAGCTGGCCCTTGGAGTTTCCGTATTGGTTTGTCGGCAGTACGAAGGCCTGGCCTCGCGATGAGATGGCGACGAGGTGGTTTTCACCAGCAGCAATCGTCACGACTCTATAAAACGCAGATCCAGATCAGGTGAGTGAGATGCTGGCTGCGTGTTTGATCCAGCGGAGCTCGAGCACACAGAAAATATGAAAGCGATTTGATGGCCCAACGGCAACTAGGGCGCTTACTTGTCCGAGATGCCGTTAGGAAGATTAACGGGCGTGCAACTCTGCTGCTGGCCGCCAAGCCAGCTCCAAAGCGACGGCGAAGCCTGGCTGGAAGCGCTGTCTTTCTGAGCTTGTCTGCGTGCGCTGACGGCATAGACCTGGCCAGACTTGGAAAGCGCATAAACGACGTTCGAGCTGCATGCCACTTGGACCAGATTCTTGCCCTTCAGAGTAATCTCGGGAGCCAGATCGGTCTCGGAGAGCGCACCGGGGTCGCTGCGGTTGCCTCTGGAAAGGTCCTGGCCATGATATCCGTCTCCCCACTGGAGCAGGTTGCCGTACTCATCAATCGCGGCTGCAAATGGGATGGCAGTGTGTTAGATGTTTCTGGGATGCCATATCTGCAAGGCATGACCTCGGACCGATCGAGCAGCGGCCCACACCGCAACCCAGGACGTCCCACGATATCGATTCTGCCTGCGCGTACCTGCATGCTTCTCGGTGACAGCCAGATGTCGCAGCACCTTTCCTTCAAAGGCCTGCAAGGTGTTCGGTCGGCGCCGTAGCACACCAGCAGAACAGAATCGCATAGAAGACTTAGTGGTCCAGCCGAGAATGAGGCCAGGTGCATAGTCGTATGCTCAATGCGTAGTGGGCGTGACGACTCGTTGATACCTTCAGAGCTGCTGGAACCTTCAAAACCGCCTGGTCCGATTCGGGAGCAACGATGCCAAAGTTGTTGTTTCCCCAGACGTAGACACCTGGATACTGTCGGCTCTCGGCAATACTGTGCCACTGATCCATCGAGACAGTTGAGGATTCCAGCAGCGCTGCCGAGGGCTGCTCCGCCTCCTCGTCGTTGCGGATGGCATAGAAGCAGGTCAAGCCCACGGCAGCGGCGCCAATCGCAAAGCTCAGCAGTCGATCCCTCGTGGAGTATTTTGGGAAGAACGGATGGGGGCTGGTGTAGTTTTTGGGATTAGGCGTCTCGCCGATGACTGGCTTGCGCACGGCTGCGGGATCAGGGCGATGGCTTGCGGCTTTGTCGGTTTCGGCGCTGAAGCAGCGGGATGCGAGCGATACGGGCGAGCGGCGCCTGGCGATCCGCCCCGAGAGCCGCACAGCAGGGTGGTTCAGTAGAGCCGAATTCATGCTCGATGGCTTTGGGGGATGGCGATCTGAGGGGACGGCGACGGTTTGTTGGCCAAACGATCAAGTGCAGACCGAACGATCCATGTTTTGTTGGAGATCAATCGGCGCGGGCTGGCTGCGCGTGACAGAGAGAGAGGGAGAGAGAGGGAGAGAGAGGGAGAGAGAGAGGGAGAGAAGATTCTCGGTCCGCTCATGTCCTCGGCGAGAGCACAGGGGGATGTCTTGCTCCGTCTCTCATTCGATCGTGTCTTCATCAGGATGGCCGTCGACATCACCCAGCTGGTGCTCCAGACAATACGGGAGCGATCGAGGACGCAGTCGGCCCTGGAAAATGGTGCAGGGCCTCTCGAGCATGGCCTCATATTCAGAAAACCGCTGGCTGCTCGAACCGATTTCATGAAAGAGGCCTACAAGCTGGTGAGGATTGCAGCCAGATGCGAACCCGGCCCAGCTGCGACCCCAGCGGTCCGGGGCAGCGGCTGGGCATGTACTGATGTGCATGTGAGCTGCCGATCGAGAGCTGCGATGTCGGTTGATGGTCGGTCCAACCCGATGACTGGGGCGTTTGCATGACTCATCCGGGTGATGTTACGCAGTCTCGACACATCGTCACTCTGCAGAGCTTCTTGGCCAAGATTCAACGGACCTATCTGGACATCCACCGCCACCTCCCCCGGGCAAGTGACGGCCTCGCACCATGTGAAAACGATCCTCTGTTCAACAGCGGCGACTCTGGATTGTTTCTGCAAACAATGCTTGGCCTGGAGTCGCTGACAGACCGACAGCGCGACGAGATTGATGCGTACTGCAAAGTGTTTATCCAAAGCACAATCAAGTCGATCGACCTGCTGAAGAGTGCTGCGGGTGAGGATCGCAGCGAGTCTTGATGCCATGGGGCACTTCCATACACTGTCCTAAATTTCCATCATCTTGACGGTCTACTTCCCGGTGATGATGATCCCGATGAGCAGAGCAGTTGTCCAAAGGCCCGTCAAGCTTGTCAGTCGCCAAGAGCACATCGTTATTTGGATCGCTTCTGTCCACCGAGGAAGAGAAAGCCGATGAATTGCGGCACCTCAACGAACACCGACAGGCCGTCATCTGGAGCTTGCAGAAGCGACTCCAGCGAGCGTCGCAGCTGCAAATGGAGATGCAGGAGGCTCGTCTGAAGAGAAAGTTGAATTCGTCGGCAAGGTATATCTGCGACTAGTGCCATTCACTCACTCACTCACTCACTCACTCACTCACTCACTCACTCACTCACTCACTCACTCACTCACTCACTCACTCACTCACTCACTCACTCACTCACTCACTCACTCACTCACTCCAATACTAGCTATGCCTCTCCTTTGCCCACTCCGACACAGACGTCTCAAGGCAATACCGCCTCTGAGCCGACCAAGACCTCGTCCTATGGAATCTCAAAGCTCGGTCAGACGCTCGAGGCGGCACTCGGATCCTTCAAGCCCCGGGATGAGACCCCGGTCAAGGGTTATCAAAATACCCCGGACATTCCAAGTTTTATCGAGAGTGATGCAAATATCGATGATGACGAAGACTTTGAAAGCACCCTCTCCGATGATCAGCGTCTCATGTTCGAAAGGGAGAACGAAGCGCTGCTCAGTCAGCTCGAGAACGAGACCGACCAAGTCAGGTACCCCAGGACGGGTCGATTGGGTGGAGGCTTTCAGCAATGCTGAGCACCGGCGCTTCGCTTCCGAAGCCAGAGTTTCATCGAAGGATGATCCGCAATCGCACGACCGATGCACTGACCCATCTGATGCAAACAGGACGGCAACCCGAACCATCCAGGAGATTGCCAGTCTCACCAACCAGCTGGGCCACCACCTGCAGGAGCAGCAGGAAATGATCGAGGGCATCTACGAAGAGGCCCAGGTTGCCACCAGCTACATCCAGCGTGGTAACGAGCACCTCGAAAAGGCACAGCGGCATTTTGGCGATGCCCGCATTTGGGTGCTGGTGTTCTTGCTTGTCGCCAGCGGCGTGCTGCTGTTTTTGGACTGGTACGATAGCTGAGGCACTCACAAAGCACGATAAGACCATGCTCAGTCGACTGGAGACATCTTGCTGGATCTTGAATACACGAACCCCTGTTCTCTGCGCTGTCCGCCGCACACGAACATGGACAAGAGCGATTGCTGTCGCGCTGATCCATGTGGAAGTCACGTGGACCGCACGCCATTTCAATCAAGCGCCAGCCAAGGCGCGGGGACACACGCTTTCCTGTTTTGGCAAGGCCGTGGCTGGTTGCGCGTTCGGCGGCGAGGACGCAGCGAGGAGCGAGGCTGCCTCGCGCACGCTTAACTTCTGACGAGAGCGCAGGCGAGGAGCCACGAGCGAGAGCCGCCACGCCCTCCTGGCACTTTTTGCCTGGGCCTCTGGCGATGCTGCTTGGCCCCTCCTCTGCCTCTTTCGGTGTCCCCACCATCGAGAGATCTGCGAAAGCCCCCCCCCCGACCCGACTTCCCTGTTTCCTCCCTCAAGTTTGCTTGTCATCGCGTGGTTCTCCCGCACCGACTCGCTCGCTCGCTGAACCAAGTCTGTTTTCCAAGGTATGTGGCAGCCGAGGGCTTGGTGGATTGTCTTCCTCTCCCTCGGCAACTGGAACCAAGCCAGGCCCCATGCCGTCGATTGTGCACTCCCTCCGCCGGCCAAGTGCCTGGCTCTCCTTGTGTCGTCACCATACCCTTTCGTAGTTTGCTTGATCTCTACTTTTGCGTTGCCTGCTGCTGTTGTCCGCCTGCATATGCTGTCTGTGCTGTTGTACGTACCCGCCTTTTGCGGCGCTCCTGCTCGGCCCTCCAGATCGGCCCAGATCTTCAGGCAGCAAACCTTGTCCGGCACATCGCCAGTCACTGAAACAGTCTGACACATCCAACTTCCCTGCGACGTGAAGCAGAAGACATGATGGACGAAGGTAAAGACGAGCTCGGACTGCCCCCAGCAACCGAGGCCTCGCTCGCCCAAGCCGTCGAAGTCTCAGCCCTCAAGACGCATATTGGCCGTCTGCTCTGGGTTGTTCTCGATGCCAACCCCCAGGACGTTGAATCTTCTCTGCTCAATCACGCCGATACCTGGGAGATCTGCCACAAATTCATCACCGATCCCCAGCAGCAAGTGCTCTTCATTGTCAAGGAGAAGGGAGAGGCCCGCACCAACGCCAATGCCGGCCTCGGCTCCTATTCGGACTACTCCTCGAACAGCTTCAGTACATTTTCGTACAACCTCGATTATGGCTCGCTGACCAGCCCCACGGGCTACAACTGGAGAAGCGGAGGTATGGGAGATGGTGCCATCGCAGCGCCACCTGCTGTCTGTCGGTGGAGCGGTGTTGCAGCTGACCGGGTTGGGTGTCTATCGGTCCTGTCTTGACGATATCTGCACCGTCATTGTCCGGTCTTGCCTACCGCCCAGTGGAAGACTCCAACAACCACAACTACAACTATGCGCTCCAACTCGAGCTGAGCTACTCTGATAGCCAGGTCGCCTCCATGGCCCTGATCAAGCGTTTCCCGATTGTCGAGGAGGGTCGCCCCCTGCAGAACCAGCTGCAGCTCATCAACTTGCCGGGTCCTGGCGATGGCGGAAACACATACGAGACGCTCCATTCGTACATCCACAACGCCGTGTCCCCTTTCTTCGATGCCTATGTGGCTTCCAAGGGTGGGCTCGTTCCCAGCACCGGTGGCCGCGACGACAAAGAAGCCAAGACAGGTAATGCCATCGGTCCTGGGTGATCTACATAACTCCGTCTGTCACCAACAAAAATGGCCTCGGTGTATTGTGAAGGATCGGCACCGGGCGAATATCTCGGGCCCGTCGGCGTTGAATGTCCATGTCTCCCGTGTCACTCTGCTCATGTACCAATTGCCTATCAAAACCCTTTCAGGTGTCCCCATGGCCAAGAAGAAGCTGGCTGAGCTTGAGCTGTCGCTGCTGCATCTCCAGCAGAACGTCGAGATCCCTGACATCACCCTGATGATCGACCCGGTCGTCAAGTCGGCCGTCACGACCTGCCGCGAGCAGAAGAAGAAGGTCACGGTCGACGCCGTCGGCAACATCGACGACTCGTCCTTCCTCAACAAGCTTCAGGGAGACGTCAACGGCTGGGTCCGTGAGATCCAGAAGGTGACCAAGCTTACCCGCGACCCTGCCTCCGGCACAGCCAGCCAGGAAATCAACTTTTGGCTCAGCATGGAGCGTGCGCTTGCCCAGATCGAGGAGCAGCTCAAGAGCGACCAGATCACCCTGACCCTCGACATTCTCAAGCACGCCAAGCGCTTCCATGCCACCGTTAGTTTCCTGGCCGACACCGGCATCAAGGAAGCCATGGACAATGTCGCCAAGTACAACCAGCTGATGCGCGACTTTCCCCTCAACGAGCTCCTGTCCGCCACCGACGTCGACAAGATCCGCGAGTCCATCCTCCAGATCTTTGGCCACCTCAACAAGAAACTCAGGCTCTCACCCTATCCGATCCGCCGCGCCCTGCCCTTGGTCGAAGCCATCTCGCGCGATCTCAACGAGCAGCTCCTCAAGGTTCTGGGCAATCGTCGCCTGATGTTCATGGACTACAACGAGTTCGAGAAGGCCATTGCCGGATGCGACAAGGTGTTTTCGGTCTGGGACGACCAGGTCAAGGAGTTTGTCAACGTTGCCCGTGAGGTCACGCGAAAGCGATCCGAAAAGTTCATTCCGCTCAGGGTCAACAATGCCCACGTAAAGCTCGAGGAGCGCGTCAACTTCCTCAAGACTTTCCGAAAGCAGCACGAGCAGCTTCACTCGACCATCCTCAAGGTCATGAAGCCCGAGAAGTCGTCGATCGAAGTCTCCACTACGATTGTCAGCATCGAGCGCGGCGTCCACATCTCGGACGCCTCTGCCATCGACGATGTCAATGCCGCGTTTGAGGGTGTCAAGAAGATCGATGTGCTCGACATCACTCTCGAAGGCACCGAGGTCTGGGTGGCTGCCGAGAATGCCTACAACGACCGCGTCTCTCGGGTCGAAAACCAGATCATTGCTCGCCTGCGCGATCGCCTGGGCACGGCCAAGAACGCCAACGAGATGTTCCGTGTCTTCTCCAAGTTCAACGCCCTCTTTGTGCGCCCCAAGATCCGCGGTGCCATCCAGGAGTACCAGACCCAGCTCATTGACAGTGTCAAGGATGACATCAAGCGCCTCCACGACAAGTTCAAGGCCGGCTTCCGCAACTCGGAGGTCTACCGCATGTCGCAGCTGCGTGACATTCCCGCCGTTGCCGGCACCATCATATGGGCTCGTCAAATCGAGCACCAGCTCGGGCTGTACATGAAGCGAGTCGAAGACGTGCTTGGCAAGGGCTGGGAGAACTATGCCGAAGGCACCAAGCTCTACGAGGAGTGCACCGCCTTCCGCAGAAAGCTCGACACCAAGCCGGTCTTTGACGCATGGCTGACCGAGATCCAGAAGCGCGACCTTAGTGTATCCGGACGCATCTTTGACATTGTCCGTGCCCGCGCCGCCGGCAACGCCCTGACCCTGAACGTCAGCTTTGACTCCCAGATCATCACCCTGTTCAAGGATGTTCGGAATCTGCTTTGGTTGAATTTTAGCATCCCACATGCGATCTCGAATGTCGGCAAGGATGCCAAGCGCGTCTACCAATACGCTGTCTCCCTGAGCGAGACCGTGCGCACCTACGGCCAGACCGTCAACAAGGTCACGCGCAACGCGGTCATTGCTCCTCTGATCGCCGTGTATCAGAAGGATGTGCAGACAGCCATCTCCAAGGGCATCATGTACCGATGGGAGATGTTTAGCGGCAGCGTGAGTATCCGTCGCCCGTGTTGTTTTTTTTTTTTTTTTTTTGCTTCGGGCGTGCACGTCTCGATGCTCGAGCGCATATATGCGGACATACAGCCATTATCCGCTCGCTCTGACGGCGAGTCCGGGCCCTGTACTCATCCCAGCCGCACACTCATTCATGCTAAGCTACATTTGCTCCTCGATTTTGCTAGTACGACACTCGTCCCCAGTTCACTGTCCACTACCGCGGAGCCGACAAGGCCGAGAATCGCCAGGTCATGTATGTGCGCGAGTTTGCTGCAATCGTTTCCGTCTTCCAGGAAAAAGTCAACACGGCCTTGTTGATTTACAACGAAATCAACCTGGCTGTCGAGGAGCTCAAGAGCTGCGTCTACCTCAAGTCCAAGCTGATGGAGATCCTGGATCGCATCCAGCGCGACATTGACCGTCTCAATCTCGAGGCATATTCCAACCTGGAGGAGTGGACCGAGCAGATCGACCAGCGCATTGAGGAGGTCCTGATCACGCGTCTTCAATCCGCCATCAAGGTAGAGACAACAGCATAATGCCGATGCCACTCTCGCAGGGCGATGCCCGTATCCAGCAGATGTTGTGCAAGGCGTCGTCGCCCCTGCGGTCGTATCTCTGCCAGCTCTGAGCTAACAGCTGTCGCCGTATTCGCACAGGCATGGACGGCCGAGTTCCTGCAAGAAGACGGATCAATCGACGCCCGTCGGCTGCACAATCGCCTCACCTCCGAGGGCAGCTTGATCCAGCAGCAGCTCGAGGAGTTTATGGAGCTGAGTACCCCTCGCAAGGACGAAAGCCGACCCCAGATGAAGTGTCTGGTTCACGAGCTCCGCCTCAAGGACCAAGTCATGTACCTCTATCCGCCCATCGAAAGTGCCCGCGCCCACTGGTACACCGAGCTTCATGACTGGCTGTTGGTTGTGTGTTCGCTCAGCCGTGTCCAGGGCTCTCGCTATGAGATGGGTCTCGCCGTTGATGTCGAGGAGTCCGAGAACACCTACAGCAACTTGGTGAGTGCCGTTTCTGCTCCTCTATTACCTCTGACAGCAAGTTGGATTGTCCGCACTTGCGGTATTGGTACTGGCATTGTGTTTGAGGTTTAACCGTGCATTTCGTGGTCTCTATCATTCCAATTCCTGCACCTTCGTGACCCCGTATCTCCCTGATCTCGAACTTCCATGGCCACCGTCCATCGTGTCTCAGCTCACCAAGCTGCCGCAGAACACGCTCGAAAGTGCCTACGGTATCTTGGAGATGAAACTCAAGCTCGTCTCAGATTACGTCGGCATCTGGCTGCAATACCAGTCCCTCTGGGATCTCGAGCCCCAGCTCGTGCACTCCAAGCTCGGCGATGACCTCAACAAGTGGCAGCAGCTTGTCCTGGAGATCAAAAAGGCCCGCGCCACGTTCGACAACTCCGAGACCAAGCGGTCGTTTGGTCCGATTGTGATCGACTACGAGCAGGTGCAGTCCAAGGTCAATGCCAAGTACGACCAATGGCAGCGCGAGGTGCTCAACCAGTTTGGCTCCAAGCTCGGCAACTCGATGCGCGAGTTCTACACGACTGTCTCGAAGGCTCGCTACGACCTGGAGCAGCAGTCGGTCGACAGCAGCTCCACTGCCGCTGCCGTGTCGTTTATTACGTTTGTGCAGGACCTCAAGCGCAAGCTGCCAAAGTGGAGCGTCCAGGTCGAAACCTTCCGCAACGGCCAAAAGGTGCTCGAGCGCCAGCGCTTCCAGTTCCCCAGCGACTGGCTCTACGTTGACAACGTTGATGGCGAATGGAGCGCCCTGAACGAGATCCTGACTCGCAAGAACAACGCCATCCAAGAGCAGATTGCTGGCCTGCAGAGCAAAATCGTCGCCGAAGACCGTATTGTCGAACAGAAGATCAAGGATATCCTCGCTGAGTGGGAGAAGAGCAAGCCTGTCCAGGGACAGATCGAGCCCGACATTGCCATGAACACCCTAAGCATCTTCGAAGGACGTGTTACTCGCCTCAAGGAAGAATATGACCAGGTCTGCCGCGCCAAGGAGGCCCTTGATCTCGAGCAGACAGTCAACAACCGCCTGGATCCTGTCCTGGAGGAACTCCGAGACCTCAAGGGTGTTTGGAGCTCGCTCTCGGCCATCTGGCAGAAGATCTCGGAGCTCAAGGATACTCTCTGGTCGTCTGTCATGCCACGCAAGCTGCGCCAGCAACTCGACCAGCTGCTGGCATCCACCAAGGAGATGCCCAGCCGCATGCGTCAGTACTCGGCTTTCGAGCACGTGCAGGAGACCATCAAGAGTCACATCAAGACCAACGCCCTCCTGACCGACCTCAAGTCCGAGGCTCTCCGCGAGCGCCACTGGAAGCAACTGTTCAAGTCACTCAAGTTCGACGGCAAGCTCATTCTCTCGGAGCTCACTGTCGGCCACCTCTGGGATGCAGACATGAAGCGCAACGAGACCGTCATTCGCGAGGTCATCACCACTGCCCAGGGCGAAATGGCTCTCGAAGAGTTCCTCAAGTTTGTCAAGGAAACCTGGACCTCGTACTCGCTTGAGCTGATCAACTACCAGAACAAGTGCAGACTGATCCGTGGATGGGACGACCTGTTTGCCAAGTGCTCCGAGAACCTCAACTCGCTCACGGCGATGAAGCACTCACCCTACTACAAGGTCTTTGAGGAGGAGGCCGCCACATGGGAGGACCGCCTCAACCGAATCCACGTCCTCTTCGATGTCTGGATTGATGTCCAGCGCCAGTGGGTCTATCTCGAGGGCATCTTCACCGGCAATGCCGACATCAAGCACCTGCTCCCTGTCGAGAGCTCGCGCTTCCAGAACATCAACGGCGAGTTCATGGCCGTCATGAAGAAGGTCTACAAGTCGCCCTTCATTCTCGATGTTTTGAACATCCAGAACATCCAAAAGTCGCTCGAGCGCCTGGCCGATCTGCTCTCCAAGATCCAGAAAGCGTTGGGCGAGTATCTCGAACGCGAGCGCTCGTCGTTCCCGCGCTTCTACTTTGTTGGTGACGAGGACCTGCTCGAGATCATTGGCAACAGCAAGGATGTGGTGCGCATCCAAAAGCACTTCAAGAAGATGTTTGCGGGCATCTCCAGCATCATCCTCGACGACGAGGCCACGACCATCCTCGGCATGGCCTCCAAGGAAGGCGAGACCGTCCAGTTCAAGTCTCCAGTGTCGATCAAGAGCAACCCCCGCATTAACGACTGGCTGACGCTCCTTGAGAAGGAAATGCGCGAGTCGCTCGCCCTCTGGACCTCGGACGCCCTCCAGGCCATGAATCAGTTCTACTACTCAGAGAACCTCGACGGCAGCGAACTCCTCTCCTGGATGGACACCCATCCCGCCCAGCTCGTTGTCCTGACCATGCAGATTGTCTGGACCCAGTCCGTCGAGAAGGCTCTTGCCGCAGCGTCCGAGACCCGCGACACCACCGGTCTGCAAACCTCGCTCAAGCTCACTGAGCGCAGCCTCAACGTCCTCGCCGACCTGGTCCTCACGGATCTACACCCTCTCAGACGCAAGAAATGCGAGCACCTGATCACCGAGCTCGTGCACCAGCGCGATCTGATCCGCAAGTTGATCCAGAACCAGGTGTCGTCGGCGTCCGACTTTGACTGGCTCTACCAGATGCGCTTCTACTGGAACTCGAGCGAGCCCGACCCGCTCAAGCGTCTCACCATCCGCATGGCCAACGCTTCCTTCCTGTATGGCTACGAGTACCTTGGCGTGCCCGACCGCCTGGTGCAAACGCCCCTGACGGATCGCTGCTACCTGACCCTGACCCAGGCCCTTGACAGCCGTCTTGGCGGCAGCCCCTTCGGACCCGCCGGCACTGGCAAGACCGAGAGTGTCAAGGCCCTGGGTGTGCAGCTCGGACGCTTCGTTCTGGTCTTTTGCTGCGATGAAAACTTTGACTTCCAGGCCATGGGACGAATCTTCCTGGGTCTCTGCCAAGTCGGCGCCTGGGGCTGCTTTGACGAGTTCAACCGCCTGGAGGAGAGAATTCTCTCGGCTGTCTCGCAGCAAATCCAGACCATCCAGATTGGCCTCAAGGAGGAGGGCGAGATCGAACTCCTCAGCAAGAATCTCAAGGTCAACCCCAACACCGGCATCTTCATCACCATGAACCCTGGCTATGCCGGCCGATCGAACCTCCCCGACAACCTCAAGAAGCTCTTCCGAAGCATTGCCATGACCAAGCCCGACCGCGAGCTCATTGCCCAGGTCATGCTGTACTCGCAGGGCTTCCGCACCGCCGAGCTCTTGGCCTCCAAAGTCGTACCGCTCTTCAATCTGTGCGACGAGCAGCTATCGCCTCAGAGCCACTACGACTTTGGTCTCCGTTCGCTCAAGAGTGTGCTCATCAGCGCCGGTAACTTGAAGCGTGATCGTTTGAACAGCCTGCGATCGCTGCAGATTGAAGCCGAGACGAGCGATGATGCGGTCCTGAAGGCCACTGCGGCCTCGTCGCTGGAGAGCATCTCCGATAGCGGTCGCGAACAAGAACTCCTGATCCAGAGTATTCGCGAAACTGTTGTGCCCAAGCTCGTTGCGGAAGACATCCCGCTCCTGCAGAGGTTTGTGGTGCACCTGCCTCTTGTTTGGCTCTTGTTTCGCTGCGAACTGACACGACACTAACACACCATTGCCACCATTTCTACCATTGCCATCATTGCCATCATCGCCATCATCGCCATCCCCATGTCCTTCTAGCTTGATGGCCGATGTCTTCCCCGGCATCGAGTACAAGCCCGTCGACCTTGGCAAGCTCCAGACCGAGATCCGCAGGATCTGCAAGGAGCGTCGTCTTGTGGATGGCGAGTTCTGGATGGAGAAAGTCATTCAGCTGTATCAGATTCAGAGCATCCACCACGGCCTGATGATGGTCGGCCCTTCGGGCTCTGGAAAGACCCTTGCTTGGCAGGTGCTGCTGGCTGCTCTCGAGAAGGTCGAGGGCGTCGAGGGTGTCTCGTACGTCATCGATCCCAAGGCCATGTCCAAGGAGGCTCTGTATGGCTCGATGGACGTCACAACGCGCGAGTGGACCGACGGTCTCTTCACGCACACCCTTCGCAAGATCGTCGACAATGTCCGTGGCGAACACAGCAAGCGCCACTGGATCATCTTTGATGGCGATGTCGATCCCGAATGGGTTGAAAACTTGAACTCGGTCCTCGACGACAACAAGCTTTTGACGCTGCCCAACGGTGAGCGCCTGTCGCTGCCTCCCAACGTCCGCATCATGTTCGAAGTCGAGACGCTCAAGTACGCCACCCTGGCAACGGTCAGTCGCTGTGGCATGGTCTGGTTCAGCGAAGACGTCATCACCTTCGACATGATCGCCACCAACTACCTCGAGACCCTTCGCCAGATCCCTCTGGATGACACCGAGGAGGAGTCTGTCAATCGGCGAACAGCCAACAACGAGGACGCTGCTGTGTCGCAGTCCCTGATCACCCAACGGCTGATTGCAGAAATCATCTCGCCCTACTTCCGGCCCGATGGCCTTGTCCAACGCGCCCTCGAGGCTGCAGAGTCCCTGGAGCACATCATGGACTTTACGCACATGCGCGTGCTCAACACTCTCTTCTCGCTCATCAACAAGACCGTGCGCAACGTGCTGGAGTACAATGCCGGCCATCCTGACTTCCCCCTGGGTCACGATCAGATGGAGGCCTACGTTCCAAAGCGCCTGGTGCTTTCGATCATTTGGAGTTTCTCTGGCGACTCCAAGCTCGAGACCCGCTCCAGACTCGGCGAGTTCATCCGCACCTCGACCACCATCGATCTGCCTCCCACGGGCTCTGGCGCCTCCGTCATTGACTACGACGTCAGCCTCACAACAGGTGAGTGGATTCCTTGGCAGACCAAGGTGCCCACCATCGAGATCGAGACCCACAATGTCTCTGCGGCCGACATTGTCATCCCCACGATCGACACCGTCCGTCACGAGGAAGTTCTGTACTCGTGGCTGTCGGAGCACAAGCCCGTTATCCTCTGCGGTCCGCCCGGCTCCGGCAAGACCATGACTCTGTTCTCTGCTTTGCGCAAGCTCAGCGAGATGGAGGTTGTCGGCCTCAACTTCTCCAGCGCCACCACACCTGAGCTGGTGCTCAAGACATTTGAGCAGTACTGCGAGTATCGCAAGACTCCCAACGGCGTGGTCCTGTCTCCCCTCATGTTGGGCCGATGGCTCGTCGTCTTTTGCGACGAGATCAACCTCCCTGCCACCGACAAATATGGCACCCAGCGCGTCATCTCGTTCCTGCGTCAGCTCGTTGAGCGCGGCGGATACTGGCGCTCGTCCGACAAGTCGTGGGTTCAGCTCGAGCGCATCCAGTTTGTCGGCGCCTGCAACCCCCCGACCGACCCTGGTCGTGTGCCGATGACTCACCGGTTCCTGCGCCACGCGCCGCTGGTGATGGTTGACTACCCTGGCGAGATCTCCTTGCTGCAGATCTACAACACCTTCAGCAGAGCCATGCTCAAGGTCACGCCGTCGCTGCGAGGCTATGCCGAGCCCCTCAGTCAGGCCATGGTCGAGTTCTATCTGATGTCGCAGAAGCGATTCACACCCGACATCCAAGCCCACTACATCTACTCGCCGCGTGAGCTTACCCGCTGGGTGCGCGGCATCTTTGAGGCCATCAAGCCCAGCGAGAGCCTCACCATCGAGGGCTTGGTCCGCATCTGGGCACACGAAGGCTTGCGGTTGTTCCAGGACCGCCTCGTCTCTGAAGACGAGCGCCAATGGACCGACGAAAACATCGATGTCGTTGCCCTGAAGCACTTCCCCAACATCAACCGCGAGCAGAGCTTGACCCGCCCGATTTTGTTCTCGGACTGGCTCACGAAGGACTACCTGCCGGTGGAGCGCGAGGAGCTGCGCGAGTTTGTCAAGGCCCGCCTCAAGACTTTCTACGAGGAGGAGCTTGACGTGCCACTTGTGCTGTTCAACGACGTCCTCGAGCACGTCTTGCGCATCGATCGTGTGTTCCGCCAGAAGCAGGGCCATCTGCTGCTCATCGGTGTCAGTGGCAGCGGCAAGACGACCCTGTCCCGCTTTGTGGCCTGGATCAAGGGCCTCAGCGTCTTCCAGATCAAGGTGCACAACAAGTACACTGCCGAAGACTTTGACGAAGACCTCCGCACGGTCCTGCGCCGCGCAGGCTGTAAGGGTGAAAAGATCTGCTTCATCATGGACGAGTCGAACGTCCTGGACTCGGGCTTCCTCGAGCGCATGAACACTCTCCTTGCCAATGCGGAAGTTCCCGGCCTCTTCGAGGGCGACGAGTACGCCTCGCTGATGACCCAGTGCAAGGAAGGCGCACAGAAGAACGGGCTGATGATCGACTCGGCCGAGGAGCTGTACAAATGGTTCACCAACCAAGTCATGGAGAACCTGCACGTCGTCTTCACCATGAACCCTCCCGAAGGCGGCCTCGCTTCCCGCGCCGCCACATCGCCTGCGCTCTTCAACCGCTGCGTTCTCGATTGGTTTGGCGACTGGTCCGACCAGGCCTTCTACCAAGTTGGCAAGGAGTTCACCGACACCCTCGACCTCGATGTCGGTGTGTACACTCCTCCGCTCAACTTCCCGATTGCCTACCGCGACCTGCCCATGCCTCCGTCCTACCGCAACGCCGTCGTCAACGCCTTTGTGTTTGTGCACCAGTCGCTCTACGAGATCAATCTGAAGCTGAGCAAACGACAGGGCCGCTACAACTACGTCACCCCGCGCCACTACCTCGACTTTATCAGCCACTACGTCCGCCTCTTCCATGAGAAGCGCGAGGATCTCGAGGAACAGCAGCGCCATCTGAACGTTGGTCTGGATAAGCTCCGCGATACCGTTATCAAGGTCGAGGAGCTTCGCAAGAGCTTGGCCGTCAAAAAGGCTGAGCTCGAGAACAAGAACAAGCTCGCCAACGAGAAGCTGCAGAAGATGGTTGCCGACCAACAGGAAGCTGAGCAGAAGAAGGCCGCTGGACTCAAGATCCAGGAGGACATTGAGCGCCAGAACATTGCGATCGAGGAGCGCCGCACGACCGTCCAGGGCGATCTGGAGAAGGCCGAGCCGGCTGTCATCGAGGCCCAAAAGAGTGTCAGCAACATCAAGAAGAACCACCTGACCGAAGTGCGCTCGATGGCCAATCCGCCCGAGTCCGTGCGAATTGCGGTCGAATCGGTCTGTGTGCTCCTGGGCCACAAGGTCGATTCGTGGAAGACGGTAAGCATCGCGAGCATCGCATGTTGTCCTGGCTGTCGGCGCCCGCTTCTTCCTTGGACTGACTCCAACTTTGCTGCTCCTGGCCGCAGGTCCAAGGTATCCTCCGCCGCGACGACTTTATCTCCAGCATCGTCAACTTTGACACCAACAAGATGAACACCAAAATCCGTGAGGACGTCAACTCAACCTACCTGTCCAACCCGAACTACAACTTTGAGTCGGTCAACCGCGCTTCCAAGGCCTGTGGTCCTCTTGTCCAGTGGGTGATTGCCCAGGTCACGTACTCCAAGATCCTGGAGCGCGTCGCCCCTCTCCGCAACGAGCTTGCCGACCTCGTCAAGGACGCCGAGAAGGCCAAGATCAGCGCCAAGACCATCCAGGACATGATCCAGGAGCTCGAGGAGAAGATCGCCCGTTACAAGGACGAGTACGCTGTTCTCATCAGCGAGACCCAGGCCCTCAAGACCGAGATGGAGAAGGTCAAGTCCCGCGTCGATCGCAGTTTGGCGCTGCTGGCCAACCTCTCCTCCGAGAAGGAGCGCTGGGAGTCGTCGAGTCAGTCATTCGAGGTGCAGATGGGCACCATTGTTGGCGATGTTCTGCTCTCTGCCGCCTTCCTCGCCTACGGCGGCTACTTTGATCAGCAGTACCGTGACGCGCTTCTGCAGTACTGGAAGATCCATCTCGTCCAAGCCGGTATCCGCTTCAAGCAGGACCTTTCTCTGCCCGAGTATCTCTGCACCGCCGACGAGCGTCTCGCTTGGCAGGCCAATGCTTTGCCTGCGGACGACCTGTGCACCGAAAATGCCATCATGATGAAGCGCTTCAACCGCTACCCGCTCATCATCGACCCCTCTGGACAAGCCACGGCCTTCCTGCTCAACGAGTACAAGGACAAGAAGATCACCGTCACCAGTTTCCTGGACGACTCCTTCCTCAAGGTTCTCGAGAGCGCCCTCCGCTTCGGCAACCCGCTCCTGGTCCAAGACGTGGAGAACCTCGATCCCATCCTGAACGCCGTCCTCAACAAGGAGCTGCGTCGCACTGGCGGCCGTGTCCTTATCCGTCTCGGTGGCCAGGACATTGACTTTTCGCCTGCGTTTACCCTGTTCCTGTCGACGCGCGATCCCTCTGTCAACTTCCCGCCGGACATTTGCTCCCGAGTCACCTTTGTCAACTTCACAGTGACTCGTAGCAGTCTCCAGAGCCAGTGCTTGCACCAGGTTCTCAAGGTCGAGCGCCCAGACACCGATCGCAAGCGCACCGATCTCATCAAGCTCCAGGGCGAGTTCCAGCTCAAGTTGCGCCATCTCGAAAAGTCGCTGCTGCAGGCCCTCAACAACTCCAAGGGCAACATCCTCGACGACGACAACATCATTTCCACCCTCGAGACCCTCAAGCAGGAGGCCGCCGAGGTCACCCGCAAGGTCGTCGAGACCGATGTGGTCATGAAGGAAGTCGAGTCGGTTACGTCCATGTACACTCCGCTGGCGCAGGCGTGCAGTTCCATCTTCTTCATCATGGAACAGCTGAGCCAGCTGCACCACTTCTATCAGTTCTCGCTTGATTTCTTCATGGAAATCTTCCAGCACATCATGCACAACAACCCCAACCTCAAGGGCCTCACCGACTACAACCAGCGCCTGTCGATCCTGCTCAGGGATCTCTTCAAGGTCTCATACACGCGCGCCTCCCAGGCTTTGCTGCACGACGATCACATCACCTTTGCTATCCTGCTTGCACACGTTATGCTGCGAGGTAGCAACGACCAGATCGACGACCTCGACTATGACTTTTTCCTCACGGGTGGCGAGCGCGTTGGAGCCGCCAAGCCTGCCAACGAAATTGTCGATGTTGTTGGCGAGGAAGCGGCCAATCGCCTGGCGGACCTGGCCAGAATCCCCGCGTTCAAGTCGGTTGCGGAGCACTTGGCAGCCAACGAGGCCGAGTGGCGCGCCTTTAGCGGTGACCTCACCCCCGAGACACGCATTCCACACTGCTGGGCGGATGCATCTTCCGAGCGATGTAAGTGCTGACCCGTATGCGGGGGGGGGGATGCAAATGGCAGCATCCCGCGGTTCTGTGGGAGTGGGATACGCATCGTTCATCTTAACGGGATATCCTGGAATTGCCATCTGACTGTGTCATTTCGCTCTCCATCGCCTTCTGCACGTTTACTAATCCTTGCCGAATGATCCCCTAATCGTCACCGTAGCCCCCGTGGTTGATGCTTTCAGGAAGCTGATTCTGATCAAGTGTGTCCGCCCCGATCGACTCACCTCGGCCGCGACGACCTTTGTGGACGCTGTCTTTGGCAGCACTTTCATGTCCGATCCGCTCAACCTCCGCAGCGTCGTCCTGGAGGAGCTCTCGAGCTCGACCCCGGTCGCTTTCTGCTCTGTGCCGGGCTTTGACGCCAGCTACAAGGTCGAGAACTTTGCCCACGATGTGTCGACCCGCATCACCTCGGTGGCCATGGGCTCGACGGAAGGTTTTGCCCTTGCCGATAACGCCATCTCGACCGCGGTCAAGTCTGGCAGCTGGGTCCTGCTCAAGAACGTTCACCTGGCCCCCTCGTGGCTCGGCCATCTGGAGAAGAAGCTCCACAGCTTGAAGCCCCACAAGGACTTCAGACTGTTCCTCACGATGGAGACCAACCCCAAGGTTCCGGTGAACCTTCTGCGCCTGTCGCGCGTGCTCATGTTCGAGCCTGCCCCTGGACTGAAGGCCAACCTCATCCAAAACCTGAACAGCATTCCGGCCGCCAAGCTGACCAAGGGCCCTGTCGAGCGCACCCGCCTCTACTTTGTTTTGGCCTGGCTCCATGCCGTCGTGCAAGAGCGCCTGCGCTACGCCCCGCTGGGCTGGACCAAGGTTTACGAGTTCAATGACTCTGAACACGACATGGCGCTGCTGATCATCGACAACTGGCTTGAGGCCACGAGCCAAGGCAGAAGCAACATCTCGCCGGATCGTATTCCCTGGGACGCCATCAAGACCCTGATCCGAGAAACGGTTTATGGAGGCAAGATCGACAACGAGTTTGACCAAACCCTCCTCGACTCGTTTGTAAACAAGCTCTTCCGACCCGAGAGCTACGATGTTGGATTCCCGTTGGTTGAAAGGTCTGAGGATGGCGAGGCCCTCATCATCCCCGAAGGCACCAAGCTCGAGCAGTTCGTGTCGTGGGCGCAGCAGCTCCCAGAGCAGCAGCCACCCTCGTGGCTCGGACTGCCCAACAATGCCGAGAAGGTTCTCATGGCTTCGAAGGGTAAGTTGGGTTGCTGTGGCCTCGCGGCGATGCCACAGCTTGCAGCCTATTCCCGCAGCTGCCAATCGAGGACATGGCTGCAATGGTTTTGCGGGCAGAGTCGCTCGAGCGCACACCGTCGCCGGAGGCGCCCACGCTCATGCTTGTATCCACCCCAGGTCTGTCCATGATCTCTAACGTTCGCAAGATGAGAAGTCTCAACGAAGAGGAGGATGTCGTTAACTCCTCGGGAGCCACGACCAAGGCCAGCTCCGCCGCCCAGCCCGCATGGATGCGCGTCATCATCTCGTCGGTCGACGAGTGGCTCGCCATGCTTCCGGAGGTTCGTTGTCTGATGTGCACGACATCGCCGTCTGTGCCTTGGCTGCTTCCACGTCGTGTCAGTTGGACTCATTGCGCAATGCGCCGCCTTTCTTGCAGAACCTCACCGCGATGATCAAAACGACCGAGAGCATCAAGGACCCGCTCTTCCGCTTCTTCGAGCGCGAGAACAAGATTGGCAAAAAGCTTCTATCGTCCGTTCGAAGCGATCTCACCGACCTGCGCAAGGTCTGCGAGGGCCAGCTGAAGCAGACAAACCATCTCCGAGCACTTATCGACTCGGTTACCAAGGGTAAGTCCGCACAGCCCTGCCGATTTTCATGCGTCTGGACTCGGGAGACCCACCCCAGTGATCGATGCCACTTGCAGCGTCCGCCACCCGGCACCCCACACCTGCCCAGCTCTGTGCTAACGGTGAGACCGATACCCTCCCCTCATTTAGGTGTCATTCCCCAGCACTGGATCAAGTTCAAGGTCAGCAAGGATCTCTCGCTGACCCAGTGGATGAGCGACTTCAATATGCGCCTTGCCCAACTGTCCCACGTTTCGTCCAAGACTTCATTCAGCGACCTCGATGTCTGGATCGGCGGACTCTTCATTCCCGAAGCCTTCATCACCGCCTCTCGTCAGTCTGTGGCCCAGCGCAACCAATGGTCGCTCGAGGAACTCGAACTCCAGTTCGAGTTCAACAGTAGCAGCAGCGACGGCTTGGGTTTCAACATCTCAGGTCAGCATTGCAGCTTGCGTGCGCCAATCGGTCGGCGTTACGCATTTCTGGCGTGTATCTGGATATGCGAGCCAAGCGCGCCCATATTGGCTTGGCCTTGCTGACAGAGCACTCCATGCCCACCGCTATTCCTTCCCACTTTCCACACAACTGCTGACCTTGCCTCGCTTCATTCTTATTTCTTCCATGGCTTCGCGCCTCCAGGTCTTCGTCTCCAGGGTGCCATCTGGAAGGACAATGCCCTTGTTCTCTCTTCCGACATTGCCACCAAGTTGTCGGGCACCCGCATCCGATGGGCCAAGACGTCCGAGGCGGCCTCGGCCAAGCGCCGCGCCCTCGGACTTCCTGTCTACCTCAACTCTGATCGTACCGAAGTTCTCTTTGTCGCGAACCTGCCTGCGGAAGCCCTCTCTGAGAACTCCAAGGTGATCCAGCGAAGCGTTGCGATCATCGCCGCCAACTTCTAGGGGGCGCCAGCCCTTGTCCTCGTCCGCTCCCCCGCAGCCAAACACAACTTTCTCTGGAATTCAAAGTTGTGACCTCTTGAGTGCCTTGTCTGGCCACATTGGATCCTTCCTCTGCGCCCTCCCCCAGTCGTTCCGAATTCGCTCAGTATCCCTTTTATTTGCGCTCATAAGCACCCAACAATCTGCTCAAAAATATATCTAAGCGCACAACAACTCGCACAGGCCGGATACATGGCAATCGATGTTTGACTGTGAGGGAGGGGAGGGGAACGATATTTGGGAAGGAAATGCACCACCCATCTGGAGAAAGGGCCACCTATTGACTCAGGTTGCTGGTCGACTGTGCGCGGTGGTGATTGGCAGCCGACAGACAGGCCGTCTCCTCAGGCAGCCTTAGTGGCATGTCCTCCTTGCCAACCAGCCAATATGTTGTCATGATACCCTTGCCCTATGCATCGGCATGGCCGTCGGCGCAACCCGTGAGCATTAGCTGCATGTTTTGGCTCATCGATTGATGCGACAGACCAACGTGGCTGGACCTGCTCGCCGAGCCGTCTCCCTCATACAACAGCGAGTCAAACCCTTGCATCCGACAGAGGCCGCAAAAATGCACATACCTTGACCTTGGTTTCACCTCGACACACCAGCTCGTATCCACCGTTCCTCTTGAGTGCCTGGTATGTCGCTTCGCTGATTTGAATGCGCATCGGATCGCCCGACGACATCATCCGGGAGGCAACATTCATGGTGTCTCCAAACAAACAGTATCTGTCGCGAATTGTAGCGATGAGAGGTCCGAATGGCGATAAGCGGTCCGAATGGCGATAAGCGGTCCGAATAACCATGAGAGGCCCGAGTGACGATGAGAGGCCCGAATGACGATGGGTCTCCATGCGCCCATGCCGCGTGGCAGATTTACGAGCCAAGAATGCGCTGTTGGTTCACGGCTGCACAAGCCCCTGATCGCCGTCAGCTTACCGAGGCATCTTGAGCCCGACCACTCCTGCCACCACTGGCCCCGTGTTGATGCCGATCTGGATCTTGAGCCGGAAATCAGGTCGGCCTGGCAGCGTGAAGTTGAGCGCTGCGGCGAGGAGATTCAGCGCCAGATTGGCGATTTCACACGGATGCATTTGCCCGTTGCGCATCGGCAGTCCCGAGGCAACGACGTAGCTGTCGTTGATGGTCTCGACTTTGTAGGCGTCATGCTGGCTGATAACCTGTGTCCAAAAGTTGTCAGTTGGGGCTGAGCCACAGTGCGGCGGCTGCATCTACTTCTGACAACGTTCGTATCTACTCTTGGCAGCGGTTCGCTCGATCGGCAGCGACGAAGCAGCAGCACTTACTCCATCAAACAACGTGTACAATCCGTTGAGCAGATCCACCATCTCCAGGGCCGTGCTCTGTGCGCAAACATCGGCGTACCCGACGATGTTCGAGAAGAGAATGGTGCACGAATCGAATGGCTCGGGTATAATCTGATTGCCCGCGACCAGCTGCTTCTGGATGTCGGCCGGGAGCATCTGCGACAACAGGGCGTCGGACTTGGCTTTGGAAATGTCAACCTGCTTGATCAGTTTCTCGATTTCAGCCTGCTTCTGCATGTCCGTGGCTTTTCTAAACTCTTCGAGACGGACTTCTTCAGTCAAGTCTCGGACAATGCCCGTAAATAGATGGGCTCCGTCCTGGCAACAACAAGCAGGAGCGCATGAGCATGGGAAGAGCGTGGGCGTGGGAGAAGCATGAGTGTGCGTCTCTCGATTTCAGCCTCGATACAGAGCCCGAAATGTCGTCGCACTCGTGACCTCAATCAATCGAGCACACGGGCACAGAGAAGATACAGGACCATGTTGCATCGGTGCAATTACCTCCAACACCTCCGAGACTGAAATATGGACTGGGAACATTGTACCGTCTTTCTTGAGGCCGAATGCCCTTCGTCCATAGCCGATGATTTTCTTGATGCCCGTGGTCAGGTAGTTTGTCAAGAAGGTGTCGTGGACAGCAGCGATCTCCGGTGACTGCAGGATCTTGACGTTAAGACCAATGACTTCATCGGCAGTATAGCCAAACATGCTCTCTGCCGCACTGTGGCGATGACATCCAGCATTGACCCTGTTAGAGATGCTTCCAGCGTCGCCCGTGCAACAATGCTCGCTTGGAAGCGCCGATGGCGAACGCCATCTCAATACAAGCACCGAGAGCCCGTATCACATGGCCAAACCCTATTTGGACCGCTCGATGGGTGTGGCCCACGCTTATTGCTGCATGATACCTTACCTGTTGAACCGCACGATGATTCCAGACGGATCAATGTTGATGATGCCGTTGATGACGGTGTCGAGCACAGAGTTGAGAACCCGTCTCTCAACAAGCATCTTGGCCTCGGCATCATGAACAGAGGCTTCCATCTGGATCTCCTTCTCCTGAAGGGAGTACAGGGCCTGCAGCTCGTTTTCGTGAGTCTCCAACAACTCCTTCATCTCGAGCTGCTGCGACGCCTCAAGCTGGAGAGTACGATCTTGGATGCTGCTCTCGAGTTTCTCGAGCTCCGCCTTGTGGATCTCCAAAGTAGAGTCACGGGCCTGTTCGTGTTTCTTGATGAGCCGAATTATGGTGGAGGCGCTCTTGTTGTCTGGGTCCGCCTCGATATCGTTGCGTTCATCGTCCGAGTCTTCTTCCTTTGTAGTGTTCTCGAGGGGACCAGCAACGCCAGCAACACCAGCGACACCAGCGACACCAGCGACACCGGCAGTACCGGCAGCACCGGTAGCCACAACCGGGGCCAAAACAGACTTGATCATTGTAGCAGAGGCCACGGACGAGACATCGCTCTTTCCTCCGTCGCTCTTGTTATCGGAATGTGCATCAATATCGCTCATGGAGGCATGCTGCGAGGCAGGTTGGGACACCGTCGTTCGAACGAGCTTCGGGGCAGGGAAACCCTTGATCGATTGCACTCTAAGCAAACGCGCAGAGGTTTGCAGCCAACGATTGTAGATGGTAGTAACAGGGACAGGAGAGAGGCAAAGTAAGCTACCAGACCGGTTCCAAGAGATAGGAGATTCGGACCGGCTATCACTCGCGAGTCGGGCGGCTCTGTGTGTGTGGGGGACAAACTCGAGTCGATATGAGACCACTTTGCACGCACTGCCTACCGGGCTTCCTGCTGGCCACGAAGGGCCTTGAGTTGGATCCTGTGTGATTTTGTCATTTTCTTGCATTCGGCGATGTGCTGGGCCTCGAGCAGGGCTAGTTTTGCCAACTCGCGCTGAGCGACCAGACGCTCCTTCTCGAAATGCAACTCGATCGTCTGTCCGGCGATGAGCTCAGACATGGCAAGTACTTGCTGAGCCTTGGTGGCCTGCAAATCTTCGTAAGACTGGAACTCGAGGTCGAAGCGTTCCTTGGCCTGGGACATTACGATGCAGAGCTTAGTATGTCAGGAAGATCAGCCTCTGGGCCCATGAAGACACCACAAGCAACTCACATGTTTCAGCTCAAGTTGCTGGATTTCTTGTAGCTGGTCTGAAACTCGCTTGTCTGCAGCGCTTTGATGGTTCATGCGCACGAGGAACTTTTTCTGCATCGTCCGCCGGACCTCGACCTGCACAGAGTGCGATTGTGTTAGAATGCAGCCAACATCGATCAGAGAAGAGGTGGGCAGGAGAAGAAAGGGCTCTCTATCGGAGGTTCAGCATTCGAAAACTAATATCTTGCCTTCCGGCCTCTCGACGACGGCTTGGGCGACACTTACTCGCTCATGTACATTCTGCATCTCATCAAGCACCCGCTCGTACTGGATCTTGCGCTCCTGTGCCATAGCGAGCTGGCGGCGCTGCTTGTCGTGCTTGTTCACCATGTGTGCTGTCATGGCATCGAACATGTTGCGCTTCTCGGTCAGGGTCCACTTGACCCGGGCGGCTTCCTTGGAGGCTGCGTCCTGGTCCATGATAGTCTTGTCTCTGCGCTTCATGTCGCGGACGGTCTGGCGCTGGATCTTCTTGGCTTTCTTCCGCGCATCGCGGGCGGCAATCAGCCGCTGGAAGGTATCTTTGAGCTGCTGGAACTCACCCTGCTGCAGCTTCTTGAGATGCACCAGCTCGGCGTCGTGGCGCTGGTTGAGATAGGCCTCGTCCTCCTTGCGGAGGACTTCCTTCTCAGAGTCCTTCATGCCCTCTTCGATGCGAATGCAGTCGTTGCGCAGACTCTCGAAAAAGTGCAGCGTCTGATTGGTCATAAAGCCTTTGAAGTGCGACTGCATCTCTTCGTTGGTGGAGTGTGTGCTGCCGCCAATATTGCCTTGGGCGTCTCGGCTGTCGCCGGCCCCTGCATGGGTCATGTCGTTGTAGGACAGCTCCATGTTGGTGTGGTTGTCAGCTGAAATTGCTAATGTCCTGCGGGTGCTGTTAGCGTCGCTGGCAGGATGTTGGGACGTTTGTCGATAACTGGGCTGGGATGTGCTCGCTCAAAGCGTGGAGAAGCAGAAAGAAGCCGTGGAGCGAAAATGCGGGGCCCATTTTGTAAGATTCACACCCCGGATGGCTGCTCGTCGCTCGCAGAGGCCGGCGCACTCATTTTTCGCCGTTGCCATTGATCAGCTTCTCCATCCCGGTCTCAATCAGCGCGACTGGAATTTCCACCCTGCCAGCCTCTGTCTTCGACTCGCGCTGCTATTGTCCCGGCCAATCCTGCGGCCACAATCGCGGCTGGTTCCAGATCGTGTTGAGACGGACCGAGGCCCACCACCAGCGAGCGCTGTCGAGGCCCTGGACAAACCCCACTGCGGAATCTGCCACATGGGCGATCGAGTGACCTTCTGAGCAGAGCCCGGCCGCCGACCAACCAGAAGCAAAGAGCGCTGAAGACGCCGATCGTGGCCCGAGGAGCCCTCTCCCACCACAACCAAGGTTTGAGTCCAGTGTGCTGCTTTCATCAAGGTCAAGTGCTGCGAGTTCCCACGATGTCAGGAGCTGCGGGGGCCCCCAGATGCCACACCGCATGGAATCGTGGTGTGCAACGTGATCACTGTGCATGGCGAAGGTGGAGACCGGAGAGGGATGAGCGGGCTTCGCTCGGAGGCGGTCGTTTATTGCATATGGCCTGCAGGCCATCAACAACTACACTGTGAAACGGGAGCATGCGCGCCCGTATTTCCTGAAAGCGTGCGGCTGGGAATGACGCGGACCAGGTTCTTGGCCAGCAGCCCGCCCTCCGAGCGACGGGGGGGGGGAGCTGACCAATGATCAGGTGTATTTGATGGTCGATGATGCCGCATCAGCAACAAATAAATGGCTAACGGACCCTTCCTTTCACCAGGATCCCCGGCAGCTATTCTAGTCTAGAAGCAGGCTGGGCTTGGGACGGTTGTCCGAGAACATGGTGGCCATTCCCATTTCCCACAGCCATGCACCACCAAAGTCAAAGACCATGGTCGCCAGCAGCTTGTAGCGGAACTAAGGGACAGGAGGCAAGTTGAGTGGTTGCGCAAGGTTTAGTAGCTACTCTAGGCGCTTGGGGCGCTGATGTGGGGCGCCTGCATAGCATACAGATCCAGATCAACACCTACATCGTCAGGGAAGGGAACCAGCTGCATCCAATCGTTCAGGACGCTGGAGAACTCCGTTGCTGCCGCAAAGGCAATGCAGGTGACCGAGAACAGGCTGTTGTAGAGTGGCTTGTTCTCAACAAGACTCTCCCGGAAGGGCCGTCCTTGGTAGTTGATCGCAAACGTCGAGATCTGCATGATCAGGGAGACGAGGTACACGGCGCTGTTGAGGAGATTGGGCTGGAACTCGGCATCAAGGTTGATGTTTTCGTCGCTGAGGAGGAAGGACATCGAGGGGGGGGGTGAGCATCAATGCGTTGTAGACCGGTCGATTTGGCCAAAGGCCGTCGCTGCCTCCACGACAAATATAGATCCAGCGCCACTCCGAGGCGGCGAGCAGCACGGGATGCTCGGTGAAAACCAGAACCAACACTTACAGGTCCTCAGAGTAGTCGATCGCAAGCTGGCGGATGTAGATCAGGGAGGTAACGTGGATGGCCGCCTGTCCCAAGACCGACAGTATGATATACAGATTGAAGATGTTGGCCTGGGGGCGCTTCTTGGACAGAGTTTCGACAGACTATTGGGCAGAATCGGATGAGGAGGTGCCCCAGTTAGTGCCGGTTGACAATTGCAAGGGCGGCGACAGACGATGGCGACGATCTCACAAGGACCGACCGCCAACGAGTGTGCTCGCATGCAAGCCAATAGCATGGTGGGCGATCGATGAGGGAAACAGTGCAGATAGCGGCAAAGAGGAAGCAAGATGCACCCGAAGCACGCTCCGCCTTGTTCGAAATCGCCAGTGGATAAATGGTCGACAACATACCGAAGACTTGGCGATGGCAAAGAAGCACACGGTCATCATCATTCCTCCGATCGTCGCCTGCCAATCGCCTTGCTTGATGCCAGCGAGATAAAGGACACTCATCGAGTATGCCGAGATCAGGCAGTTCAGGGCTAGGATCTTGTACATCTGCATCATCGCGACGAGTGTCGAGCGGCCCTGGCGAACAATGTTGACGACTGTCATCCGCGCCGCACCGATGGATGAGTACAAGGAGCAGTCGAACGGCACACAGTGGTTTGAGAGATAAGGACAGCGTCCAACTGCAAGTCGCACCTGACATCACGCTGGACAACTTCGAGGTGAACGGGGCGGCAACCGAGGCATCGCCAAACTTGATAGTCGGCACTTCGCCGTCCATGTCGTTCATCATGTTCTGGATCTGCTCCTCCAACTGCTTGGTCTTGGCCTGCAAATCGGCACCCCGGGCGTTCTGAATGGAGGGAAAGCGGCACCAGCAGTAGTCAGTACCGAGGACATGGCCAAGCCTGTGCATCATCGTCACCATTTGGATCGTAGCATCGGAGTCTACTTACCCTGTTTGGTTGGCCGACGACTTGTGTCTGGGGGGGTTGATCGGGCATGGCGGGCAGGCCCCACTTTTGCCGCATGGCTTCCTGCTGCTCCTTGATCGCTTTCAGACGTCGCTGCTTCATGATCTCGTTGAGCCTCTCGATATCCTCGGCCTTGCCGTCGAGCAGGGCAATGCCGACATGTGCCTGCTTCAGCGCACCCACATCGTTGGTTCCGTCGCCACACATCAGCGTCGTGTAGCCAGCCTTCTTCATGTCCGTCAAGATCGTCTCCTTCTGAGACGGTGAGACGCGGGCATACACCCACAGTCTCGGCAGGAGCTCGGCGTACATTGGCGTGTTTTGAATCACAGCGAGACCACGGCCCGTGATGCACAGATCGTACTGGGTCAGTCGCTTGGCAATCGAAGACTCCTGCAGGTCCACGGAAAACTCAATAGACTCGTCGATCGTCCTCCAGGTCAGGGCGTCGCCATCGCGCACATCGCCGATGAGGACGTCGCGGGTGGCAATCTGGACTTCGCTCGCAACGTGGCAGGCCGTCAGGGCGTTGTCGCCCGTGATCATGACGACGCGATGAGACGAGCTCGAAAGCATCTTGACGGCTTGGACAGCATCGGGCTTGAGCGGGCAGTGGAAGACAAGGAAGCCGGCAAAGTGCAGGTTGCTCTCGATTTCCTCACGCAGGAGATGGCGCGACTGCGCCGCCTTGGTGCCCTCCAAAAACTTGTAGCCCAGAGCCAGAACGCGGCTGCCTCGTCGAGCCCAGTACTTGTATATGTCGTCGTACGATTCGGGAACGGATGTGTACATTTCGCGCAGGGTTTCGGGGGCGCCTTTGACGGCAACAAAGGTTCGGGGTTGGGTGTGTTCGGCAGTCGCGAGCAGAGACACAGTCGACATGCGCTTCAGGCTGCTCGAGAAGGGGAAGCGTCTCAAAATGCGGATGCTGTCTTTGCTGGACCGTTTGGTCGCAGCATCGGCAGCTGGAATAACAAAGTCGCCGGGCTGCATGGCCCACTCGATCGACTCGAGGGTGTTCTTTTCCATGGGATCGCCAATGGTGCCGTCCTCAAGCTGAACGAGGGCATGGGCAGCCGCTAGCGTAAACGTGGTCTCACGAGGGAACCGATCCTTCTTCTTGATGGCAGCCTTGTCGGCAAGGGTGGCGTCCTTATCAAAGTCCAAGCCGGCAACGCCCTCGACGAGCAAATTTTCGACGGTAAGCGTGCCAGTCTTGTCGAAGCAGGCAATGTCGATCTTTCCGGCAAACGGAATGCGGAAGGGCTCGGTGCAGAAAATGTAGACCTTGGCCAGGGCGATGAGCGAGTTGTTGACGGCGAGAGAGAGCTCCATCGGGAGCTCGGGCGGAACGACAGATGTGATGATGAGGATGCAGTCCAGCAGCACTTTCGAGCGCTTTCGCTCCTCGTTCTGGCTTCCTTCGACCCAGACGTACCAAGAGGCAGCGATGGCAAAGATCAGCAGGAACAAGATAAAGAACAGAGACTCCAGGTTGTTGGCGGTGATGCGCTCGGTGCTATAGACGATGGTTCGAACGAGCTTGCCCTGTTCTGTGGCAAATCCAGTGCGCAGGACAAAGGCCAGACAGCCGTCGTCGGGGGTGTTGATGCTGGAGGTCGACTGCGGAGGGGTCACCTGCAGCACCTTGGTGCCGCCAAAGAGAACGTTGTTCTTGTCGCTGGAGATGTCGAAGAGATCGGTAGCATCGCGAGATGCGATGGACTCCTTGAGCTGAGGAGTCGACTCGCCCGAGAGCATCGCCTCGTTGGCGATGCAGGAGCCATCGATGATGAGCATGTCGGCCGGGACGGGGTTGTCGTCCACACATCGGCTCACGGAGCAAATGTCGCCGGGAACTAGATCGTCGGTCTGGATTTGGGTCCACTTGCCGTTGCGGTAGACTGGGATTGGGTAAGGCTTGATGGACATGGAGCGGAACTCCTGGAGGTTGCGGAGTCGCTGGAACACCACGGTCGACTCGAAGACAAAGAGCATGAAGAGCGTAAAGAGAGAATAGTACCACATGTCGTCGAGGAACCAGAGAGCGACACAAAAGAGCTGGAAGACGAAAAAGGGCGCGACCAGGTGCTCCTTGAAAAGTTCCTGGAAGCTTGGGATTGGGATATCGAATCTGCGGAGACAGCAAGAGCCCACCCCCAAAATAATAGACGTGTGTGTGTTGCGGCGTTAGTGTGAAGGAAGCCTCGTTCGGCACTGCGACTGGTTTTGGAAATCAGTGTCGCTACAGCAGAGGACAGGACGAAGCAAAACACATACTTGTTCTGCCCGTATTTGGCAGCGAGGGCATTTAGATCATCGTCGCTGATGACTCCGGTCTTGCGGCGGTACTCCTCAAAAGTATGGCTGGCCGAGTCGGGATAGTCAAGCTTGCAGAACTGTTGCTTCTGCTCATCGTACATGAACTTTTGCTTCTGGAAGAAGAAAAACAGCTCGCGCTTCTGCTTGGGCGGCCAGCGACGCCACAGCGGCAGAGGAGGATGTGAGCAACGGAACCATGGGCGCCGCCTCGGAACGGCGATCGATCGACCTCCAAAACGCTATCCCAGCTGAATATCTGAAACCCAATGTCCCCAGGCCAGTACCCACTGGGTTTCCGCATACCGCATACCGCACACCGCATACCGCATACCGCATACCGCATACCGCATACCGCATACCGCATACCGCGCCGTCCAACAACAGTCATCCAGGCCGAAGCATCACGGCTTACCGAGCCCTCTGCGGTCTTGATTACAGCCGACTCGATAGGACACATGGCAGACTGGCCGTTGTGGACAGTGGGGATGACACTGATGACCTTTGCCTTGAAGGGATCGGACTCACGGGTGCAGGTGAGGAAGGCCTTCAGCTCGACGCTCCACTGGCAAATCAGGAAGGCGAGCGCATGGAGCGCCAGACACAGCAGGAACGAGAGCAGAGTGAACTCTCGCGAGCCCATAAACTGCTCGTACTTGTAGAGGTACAGGTACAGCCACACGGCGTAGAGCACCAGCGATGGAGTCGTGTAGATGTGCTGCTCGATCGGACGGGGTGTGTGCAGTGTTGCGTGCTGGATTGTGGGTTCGTCCACCAAGGGGGTGGACGAAGCCGGTTGCTTTGGAGCCATGGAGAGGGGAAGCCTGGGGCGGGCCGAATTCCGAAGCGGGGGATCCTGGAGTGGCCTGGGTAGATTAGAGATGGGATCGTGTGAGTCGGGGAGGACAGATTGTGCACATTGGGCAGGTTGCGATCGCAGCTGCCGGCAGACAGGAGGAGCGGGTCCTGTCTCGATCGTCGCCGTGCCGACCAGTTGATCTGGATCGCTCCGGCTGTTACCGCGGAGCAGAGCAAACAGCAGCGCTTTGCAGTCTACCACGGTCAGTGCAAGCAGCCGTCGCCACCCTCTGTCCGCCGGCCGGTCGTCGGTCGGTCCGCCGTTCACAGCGGCCTCCTTACCTCGGGCTTGGTCCGAGATGGGCTGTTTTCCGAATCTCGGGACTTTTTCTGCCTTGGGGAGCCGCTGTGGCGGGCTGGCACTGGACGAGGGGCGTGATGGCCACGTGACGCGACTGCGGGTCTCGATCCGACAGCGAGACCGGGCGAGACCGGGCGAGGCTGCGCTCTCGGCCTCGCTGCGTGTCGCCAATCCGGCACGGCGATCTGGGGACACAAGCAAGATCCGCTGTCGACATTCCTGCGACTGCACATCACCCCATCGCTCTCGGCCCGATCGCAGGCGAGCATCCGACACACAGGCACCGGCATTCAGCCCCAGCGCATCCACAGCACCATGGCCGTCGCACCCGCACTGATCCCGCGCCTCGAGGTGCTCCAGCTCTACCGATCGCTGCTGAAAGCGTCCCGCACGCTCAAGTTCACATCGCGCGAATACTATGTTGCTCGCATGCGCCAAGAGTTTCGAAAGAACCAGAATGTCCAGGATCCGAGTCTCCAGTCCAAGCTATTCAAAGTAGGTGGACAAGGATGCCTGTTGGCAGACCGATATGCTTTTCCCAGCGTTTGGGGAACGCATTTGCTTCGGCTTTGCAAAGAGAGCAAAACCCGTCCTGCACCCGTTTTCGAATGGCCGACGGGATCGGATCGGATCGGATCGAGCTGGAAACAGGACGCAGTTTGGCTCGGCCAGTACACTGTGAGTTATATTACTTCGCGACAACGAGCGGGCTGCTCATTTGCTGACTGCTTTTTTTGGTGTTGGTTCGCAGAAAGGACGCTTCTTGCTGGAAAATGATCTGGGCGGACTGCTGTAGCAACATGCCACCCGCCCTCCGCGACTGCTCGCAAGCTGCCTGGACAGATATGGCCGATGGTCTTCTCGCCTGCGCACTGGTGTTTGTCATCAAACGCAGGTCGATATGTTTTTATGCACGGATCCAAAAGACTCGCCAGAAATTCAAAGCAGAAATCCAGACGAGACGGGGCGCATGGAAATCGGGGTAGGCGGCGCATGTCGACAGCGGTATCTGAAGCACTACCCCGTCAGGAGACAATGCACCCCCTGGAGCCATTCGACCGGCCCGAGCTGCGTGTGCTACTCGCTTGCTTGGCCTTCAAGAAAGGACTGGTATTCGCTGTAGGTGGCTCCGATTTCAGAGGACTGATATCGAGTCACCTCGAGAGACCCGAGGAGCTCCTCCGTGATGCTGCCGCGATAACCGGCTTTTCGGATGAGCGACTCGATAGCTTCGCGCTTGGTCCAGCCTGGGAGCCCCCGCACGCCGAAACCAGGACAGGAGGGAACTGTTAGAGAATCAGTCCCGTCTTGCTGCAGCCCAAGCTGTCGTAAACCCAGTGTCCGGGATGTGTAGCCTCAGCGACTCACGGCCTTGGCATACCTTGCTCGACCGCAACTTTCGGAAGATATGTGCCTGTGGACAAAGGCACGCACATCAGCAACCAGAAACAAGCAGTTGTGGGAGTTGCCGTTGAGTCAGATATGTGCCAAGCACATGGCAGGCGTTGTTGCTGGGGAGACAGCACTGTTCCAGGGTTCAGAGATACCCCCGACAGAGCGATATTGGGCAGAGTGCCTACCATGTCGTCGAGTCTTTTGGTCTGCAAAGGCGATTTGGATACCATGGGTGCCAATCTACCAGCATACGGCGACTCCGTCAGCGACGAGCCTGCCAACGGACTGCTCGTTTGGACATGGGCTGGTCAACTCCGTTCCGACAAATCCCACCGCACATACCTCCCAGTCCAAATAGTTGTCAGCTCCTTCGAAGCAGGTTAGCAAATTGACACTGCACTTGAGCAAGGGAACCTCCTTGAGGGTGATGGGCTCAAAGCGGCTGTCCCTGAATGCACTGGGGACCGCGCAATAAGCCGGATGCCCCGATGAGTATGGGTCTGTTGGAGCCAGGGCAAGCCAATCGGCGGATATGCAGATATGCAGACACGCAGATATGCAGAGGCCACCGTACCTCGTGGTGGCATACTCTCTCAGGCTCTGGTTCAGCGGCTTGGAGGCAAAAGTGCCGATGCAGCCTCGGAGCTGATACTGAGAGGAGCCCCAGCGACGTGTGCTGATGTCCCAGGTGACAAAGAGCGGACTGGCATGGATGACCGCGGAGGCAAATGCAGCGGTAGCCGGTGGACAAAGAAGGCATGTAGATAATGAGTATGCAGCATGAGCGAGTGGGCATGCAGGCATGTCGCTCCTCGGCGGTAGGTCTGAGGATCAGTTCCCCCCAGGTGGGTGCGCTGGCGAGAGGCCCGATGAACTGGCAAAATCGTTACCAAGAGTCCGATTCCGCTTCCCATATCTCTCTGCTCTTCTGCTGGGAGAGCTGCTGGACGATGGTCTCGAAGCAGATGTAGCAGTGCAGTTTGGTAGCCTTGATCGTCATGATCCGAGCAGAGAACGCAAGTGCAGCCCAGCGAGCGATGTTGGCGAAGAAGACCCGCAGCGACGGGGGGGGGTGGTTGCGGAGGCAGGGTTTGTTTGTCGGCTGAGGCAGCGCTGTCCGGGTGGGCAAGCCTGAGCGCCCCGGAGCAACATGACGAGAGCACCGGCTCCCGCAGCCCGAGTGTCTGTCGCCGGTCTCGATCGATCCGGCTGCATCGATTGCCGCTGGAATGGACCGCCCCAGAGCAAGCATCGTCCGCAGCGCCCGATTGATGCCATGCCCGCACCGAGCTCTTGGCTGGTCGTGCTCGCACCGTTGTCCAGGGAGCCTTGGTTGGGCTGCTTGCTCGGGGTTGGGCTTGCCCGCCTTTGTCCCTGATCTGCCTTGCGCTGCAGAAGCAACCGACTGCAAGCTTCCAAGGCCATCTGCGCACGCTGCAGCTCTCTGTCGCCATGGACATCGATAGCCTATTCAAGGTGAAGATCCACTCGGCCCGCTGTCCATGAGGCCCGCTGATCTGGCCCCGCCAGCCCGATGACAATGATCGCGATCGAACAGCAACGATGGTGTCATGTCGCCGAAACGATCGCGGCATCCACAATAGCCGCGACGACTGCGATAGCCCAAGCCAGAGATTGCGGCCGCTGGCGTACAGCTCGTCGATCCTGACCTTAGTGCTTGCTTCATGGCTCTGTGCTGTCGCTCTCGCAGGTCCCATCCGCACCCAGCAAGAAGCGCCCCTCGGAGGCAGGCGCTCTGGGTGCCTCGCAGTCCAACTCGGCCAAGAAAATGAAGATGCCCGTTCCACAAGACTTTGAGGCATCCGACGACAGCGATAGCTCGGTGCTGCCGCGGGGATGGACCAGGATGAAGAAGGAAGATCTGGACAAGGACGTCATCATAGCCCCGGACGAGGACGACGATCGATTCATGGGCGATGGCTTGAGCGACGAGCAACGACGCATCTTGGAGCTCGTTGACGCCGCCGAGGACGTAAGCTGCATCGGGGCATCGGGCCATCGGGGCATCGGGGCATCCCTCGGGCAACTGTGAGACGACGTGGTGGCATCGGGCCGATCGAAGCCGGCAGCCGTGCAGGAGGAGCACATAACGCAACTTGCGGCAGCCCTGGTCCGCCTGAGCCATACTCGACCAAGCTCGAGCAAACAATGCTGACCACACACTCATTATATCTCTGGTTGGTCGATCGATTGGAACGATGGTTTGGGCCATCAACTCGAACATCGAACATCGAACATCGAACATCGAACACCGCGGCGCCCACAGATCCCCGAAGCGATCGACTTGTCGACCCTCAAGAAAATGGTCCTCAAGTTCGAGAAAGCCGTCAACAAGAACCAGGAGCTCCGCATGAAACATGGCGACAGGCCACAGATGTACGAGGCCAATTGCACGCCTGATCGAGTTTTGCCAGAAGCACAGTCTATGGCAGTGCCGCATGGCTGCTTGAATGCCGGGCTTGACAACGATTTCTTTATCCCGCCAGGTTTATGGAGTCCGAGGCCGATCTGGACGAGGAAACCAAAGGGCTGACGGCAATTTCGTCCGTGCCGCATCACTACCCGGTGCTAGTGGAGCTGGGGACGCTCGGAACGTTGCTATCGCTCCTCTCGCATGAAAACACCGACGTCGCCATGACAGCGGTTGAGGTCCTGAACGAGCTCACGGATGAGGACGTCGTGGGCGAGATTGACGAGAACGAGGCCGCAGTCGAGGGCATGTCTGTGCTGGTGAAGGCACTGGTAGGAAGGAGTCGATCTTGGCGGAGGAGCGGCGGATGCAGGGGGGGGGATCGCTGCGCTTGTTCTCGGGAGCTTTGCTCGGCATGCCTTTGTGATGTTTGATGCCAGCGCTTGCAGATCGCCCGCATTGACTCTATCCGCTCTCAGGTTGAGAACCAAGCACTGGAGTTGCTGGTGCAAAACATGAGTCGCCTGAACGAAAACAATGCTGAAGACAAGCAAGGCATTTTCAACACACTGGGTATGCACTGTAAAGGCGGAGTGGGGGCATGCTTGCCACCGAGCGTTGCTGTATGAAACCACGCAAAAGCCAGGATTTGGAGACAGGGGTGACAGAACATCTCAATCCGACTCAGCCAAAACAGCACAACCCATCCCAGCACAACCCATCCCAGCACAACCCATCCTAACGCGACTGATCGATGGCTCTTGCTTCTGAATAGGCGTCGTCGAAAACATGATCTCGGTTGACCCCTCTGTCGCCGAAAAGGTCGTTGCCCAGACCCAGCTCATGCCCTTCCTCCTGGCCCGCATTGGTCAGCGCGGATTCGACAGCAATCGCCAATATGCAAGCGAGCTGCTCTCGATTCTGCTCTCGAGCTCGAGCTCGAACCGGCGCAAGCTCGGGGAGCTGAACGGCATCGATACGCTGCTGGTGGCTTGTGCCTACTACAAGAAGCGTGACCCCACCCAGCTCGACGAGGTTGAGCTGATGGAGAACATTTTCGACTGTCTATGCTCGGCCCTAAGTCTGGAAAGCAACAAGGCTCAGTTCTTGGAAAGCGACGGCATTGAGCTGATGCTAATTATGCTCAGGTGAGCACGGCAGCGAGTCTCTCTTCCTCCCTCCCCCCGCCAAGATCGCCTCGCAAAAATCTCGGCGACACCTGTATCGCCGATCGGATCAAGAACTTTTTATTTGGCAAACAGACCGGCAGGACTCGGCAGACTATGGCAGCGCTCGAGGCATCATCCCTTTGTTGCATGCTAAGCGTCCCTTGTGATGGCTCGACAGAGAGAAGAAAATGTCGAGAATGAAGGCCATCAAGGTCCTCGACCACGCCCTGATGCGAGCAGAGCAAGATCCAGGTGCAGACAGCGCCGATGCAGACGCAGTGGCTTCTCCCGAAAGCAGCGCCGTCCACCGGGGCTGCTACCGATTCATCGAGGCCCTGGGCCTCAAGACGCTCTTTGCCATTTTCATGAGAAAGGGTCTCAAGGCATACAAGAAAGAGTACAAGACCTTTTCCGAGCGCGAGGACGAAGGTATGGCAGCACGATGCCCTCTGGTGGTCACGGTGTATCCACCGAGTCTGGCCAGGAAGCGCCGTGGACCGCAGAGGTGTCCGAGCTTAACCTTTTCGTGTGTGCTCTCTGCATCCTATTGTGTCCCTGTAGAGCACGTCATGTCGATCATGGCATCGCTCCTCAAATACGCCTCGTCTGAGAGCACCCACCCAGGGCAGCGAATCCGCGTATTCAACAAGTTCACGGAGGGCGATGGCGAGAAGGTCGACCGCCTCATCGAGATGTATGGGTCCTACCAGGCCAAGATCTCGGCGCAGGACTCGCGCTCAGACGAGGACAAGAATGACGATGACAATGACGACGACGATGACGACGACGACGGTATCCAAAAGTACCTCGACCGCCTCGAAAACGGACTGTTTACGCTTCAGCTCGTCGCGTTGGTGGCTGCATTTGTGTGTTCTGGAGACGAAGGCGAGCAGGCAAGTAGTAGCCTGCGTTGTAGGGGGGAGGAGGAGGACACTGGGTTGCTGTCCGGCTGAGTACGAGTGTTTGTCCCTCTGATCACCTCGCATGAGACGGATCAGCTGATGTTTCGAGATGACGATGAGTCGGCTCGGGGCAAACGGGCTCAACTGACTTGGGACGAATGGGCTCAACTGACTTGGGACATCGTTCAAACACATACAGATCAAGGCACACATCCAGCTCCTGCTGGAGCGGCAAGACAAAAGCTTCGAAGACATCAAGGCGATTCTCAACGGTACGTGTACGATTCGTCAGAAGGCGGTGCCCACTTGAGACCTGCTTTGCGGCAGTGGGGGGAGGGCGAGGGGCCGGAAGGGCTCGCTGTTTCTGCGTCTGCTTGCGGGTCGATGGCTTACAATCGATGCTATCTCTCCGGTTGCGGGTTGGATGGGTTATTGAAACGACAGAGTACCGCGACAACATGGGTGGCGACGACAGCAATCCCGAGAAACAGTTGATTACCCAGCTGGTCAGCCAGCTGTGAGGCCGAGGATGTGTGATGCTGCTGGGTCATGCATCGTCGGTGCTGCTCGGGCATTCGCCGGTGGTGCTCGGGCATTCGGCGCTTATGGCGGAGCAGTGTTGCCATGACGGGCAAAATGGCGGGGATGTTTCCCAGGCCCAACCAAACACGAATCATTCGCTGGCCCCATCCGCCTATCGATCCGATCGTCGTGCATTCGCTCTTTGGCCTGGCCGGCAGCGGATTCCGCCCAAGGAGACTGCCGATCCTGCCCTCGGCGAGGATCGCCTGGCCCCATCGGTACCGTCCTTGCCTGCTGCACATCTTCCACGATCGCCTGTGTCGGCGCCCGCCTGCACTTCCTGGCGCCGTCTGCTCCGTCTCCAGCGGCGTCGGCTCGGTCGAGCCAGCATTTCGGACACTTGATCCTCGGGGTCGTTGCTGATCCCCCCCCCCAGCATCTCTCCCTTCTCTCTTGGCGGCCCTGCCTTTGCCTCTCAACACACACCAGTATCGTACGGGCCTCAAATCTCGAACCAGCGTCATTGAGTCCGTCCTTCCTCCGAATCTATCTAGCCGCTCGCTGCTGCTGCTGCTGCTGTTGTTGCTGCTGGTGTTGTTATTCCTGGACTTGGTACCCGATTGCTTTCCCAGTCGACCCCGCACCAGACTCGCCACCACCACCACCATCACCACCATCGTCGCTGTCGCTTCACTGGCCTACCAGCCGTTATCATCTTTTTTGGTCTCGCTCCAACTCGGGCATCGGAAGATTCGTTTGCACCACACTGGCGACCTTGACTTTTGATTCCCTCTTCGATGCTCGAGCTGTGCTTCCTGTTGCAGCGGCTGCCCCCCTGCTTCTCCCGCTGACTCGTTTGGGGCGGGGGACCACCGTCCCGATCCCATCCTCCTACTCTCCTACCCTCCATCCTTCCATCCTCCCAGCAATATAGAAAGAAAGAAAGAAAGAAACCGACAAGACAGAGAAGAGAAGAAGATGACGGCCTCGTCGACATCTCTGATCCTGCAGCTGCCTGTCGAGCTCATTATAGCGATTGCCGGCGCGATCCCATCGCCCATCGACGCCATGAACTATGCCAGCGCCATCCGCTTCACCGAGCTCCTCGGGAAGATCATGAAGCAGGCCCCCAGCCTGCAATATTACGTTGCAGTCACGAAATCGGCATCGCAGTACGAGCTGGCCCGCTGGCTGCCCATCCCGGACACGATCGAGGCCGTTTCGTATGTGCTTGAGGGTGTCAAGAACCACCACACGCTCACGCATATCGGGATCTCAGGTAAGGCAAGGCCGAGGGAGCGAGCGGGCGAAGAATCCATTGGGATTATTGGGATTCATTAGAATGGATATGCCGCTTCCCCAAGGAGGCGTGAGGGTAGCCGAAAAGTGTTGGCGATGGGTGCCATCCGAGCAGCGCTGGTGGAGACGTCCACTTGGCTAGATGGTTTTGCGACGAATAGACCATGGATGGGCCATGAACGGCCCATGAGCGGTACATTGATGATCGACAAATGCGTCGTGGATGGGTGAATGCCTGCTCATGAACTCACAAGACCGCCTCGTGCGCCGACTCAACCGCACTTGCAACCGACATGGGCCCTCCATGCTCCACAACTCGGTGCCGGCCATCGACACTGCTCCTTTTCGGCAGGACACAATATCGGCTCAAACCTCATCCAGCCGATATGCAGCGCTCTCAAGGCCAACCAGAAACTCAAGCATGTTAATCTGAGCTGTAAGTCGACCGTGGACAGCAGAAGAGAGCCGTATATGCAGAGATTGGTGGATCTTGGACTGACTGTCGCTGGACCGCCACCACTTGGCCAGATAATCGCCTGGGCGACGACGAGGTTATTGAGCTCTGCAAAGTACTTGAAACGCACCAAGGCATCGATACCCTCAATATGCAGTGTATGCATCCAGAGCACGCCGCGATCTATAAGGCGTGATAGGGACAGAGTGGATCTGGAGTCTGCGATGTTCACTTGGATACGGCTCTTTCCATGCGACAGACAACATGGTCAGCGACGAAGGAGCCGTGGCTCTGGCGGATGTTCTGAAAACCAACAAGTCCCTCCGACACATCGACTTGTTCTGTAAGTACGCCACCGGGGTCACCGGGCAACCATCCGGCCAAATGCCGGTGGCTGACTTGGGCGAGAGGGCCCAGGTGGACCAAATAGGCGATGTCCCTGGGATGTCCCTGTCCTCCTGAGTGCTTACATGCGTCGATTGCTTGCGAATGTCCATGCACCATGACGATGCTGCCATTTCTGCCGTGACTGACCTATCGATGGCGATCCGCTGTGGTCCAGTCAACCATATTGGAGACCGGGGTGCCATTGCGCTTGCAGAGTCGATGCACGATCAACCCAAGCTGTACAAGGTCAATCTTCGATGTGAGTGTCAAAATGTCTGCTGGTTGTGACTGGAGGGATGGCAAGCTGGGGCGGCGAGGCTTGCAGTTGACTCGTCCTTACGACAGAGCATATCTCTTACTTCTCGGCTCTGGTCCTCACGAACAGGCAACATGTTGGGTTACCAAGGAAATCGCGCCATCAGGATGATCGAGGATCAACTGGCTGTTCGAACATAGTCACCAAACGGAGCGACCGTGTGAGCCCGGAGCGGTGCAGCGGGGATGTCGGGACGACAGGAGAGAAGCGGCTGGCGGCGTTCCGAAGATACCACACTTGTCCGGAGCGACGCAGTCGATATTCCGCTGTGGTGGCCAGAGGGGCCCATTCGATTCCGTAATGAAGTCGTCGCACCGAGGTGCCTCCTTGGGCTTTGTCGTCGCCTTGTGATCTCCCCGGCCACGAGCGGTGCGATGGATGGGCGAGAGGGACTGGAAGCAAAAGGGTCCGTGGGCAGGAGCGTGGCGACCAAATGCGGGAGCCGGCGGCTGGCGCTGTTCCATGTCGATGTCGATGGACGGAGGCCGGATGGCGACAGCCGAGCCCACGGAGTTGAAGCGGGCTTCGAATGGGGCTCGTGCACGCACCAGATGGAGGTCGGGCACGATTGGATCGCGGGGGTAACCGACAGCGACGTCCCATGACCCTGCCGTGCCAGGCGCGGAGCTTTGGGGGGGGTGGACCGAGTCTGCGCAAATGCGAATATGAATGCGAATATGAATGCGAATGCGGCAGCCGGACGCTGGAGGCCGGACATGGCGGCTGAAGCCCTGTGCAGGGGCAGGGGCGCCCTTGCGTCTTGCGCTTGCACACACCCCCCCCATGTGCAGCAGCTGCCTCCACCAGCCTCGAAGAGCCCCGCTCGCAGGACATGGGCGAGGGACAAGCCCAGACGCACCAGCAAGACGGTCTTGCCTTTTCGCCTTCGCCGCGGGTCCACGCACCCCCACCCTGAGGCGCGCCTGCAGGCCGGTCACGCGTACGCGCAGCAGGCACGCGAGCGCCCCCGCACACTGTGCTGTCGGCCGTGTGCGGCCACAGGCGCCTGCTCAGCAAGGCCGCGTGCGCGTCGCCCTGGCGAGCACACGGCGCACAGGGAGTGTGGGATGGTCGCACACGGGTGCACAGGCGCCGCACACGCGGCCCCACATGACTGCTGCAGCGCTGCAGCTGTGCGACGCATTCAAATTCGCGTGGCCGAGTCGCGGCTTGGTGTCCAGCACACAGACAGCGGGCAGGGCGGCCGAGATCGCGCCACAGGCTCTGACGCACTCTGGCCCGCCACCCGGCCTTGCTCGGTCGCGGCGCGCCTTGTACAGCGCTCGCTGTCGGCATGGTGCAATCCCTCACACAGACAGCGCACAGGCGGGCGGCTACAGTTCTCAGTGCGGCACAGCGCTGTGCGACAAGGTCATGTGCACACGTGATGGCGATGGCGCCGTCCTTGTCGGCGACCCGACTTGGCAGCGAACGTGGGACGGCAATCGGCAGATGATCGACGATCGGGATGGCGGTCGAGAAGGACGGGTTGGGACGGCGGGTCGCTGGGCGGGATCGAGGTGGCAGACGAGGCAGACCGAGGCAGCCTTCCTGTTCCTGCTCAGCCACGTCCCTCCTGCCTTCCCCCTCCCGCCGTCGCCTTCATCCACCCACCCCTTTCGCTTCACACTGCGCCCAAGCCAGCTCTTGCTCTCGCCCTGCGCTCGTCTGCTTTCGCTTTCGCGTCGCCAGGCCCTTTCCCTCTTTTCGCGTCGCCCTTTCCTTTTCTCGCGCCGTCGCCCCGTTGTCGCTGTGCAAGCCCGGCGCGTCCCCGTGCGACCTGTCCTTGTGCCCGTGGCCTCGCCTTGCGTTTGCGCGTCGTCCCTGGCCGCCATCCCTCCGGTCTCGCGGTCCCCACCACGGCCGGACGTGCTATAAAGCGCCCCCCATTGCCCGGCCTCGTCGCTGTTTTCCACCACCACTGCCTGCCTCTGCTTGTCGCTCTCCCTCCCCCCCCCGTTCTCCAAAGTCCCAACCCTCTTGCCACCATGAAGCTGTCTGCTGCCATCATCCTTGCTGCCGTCGCCACCGCCGTCGTCGCCGCCCCCTTCCCCAACCAGGGCTACCGTGGTATTGCCGGCGCCAACATCGTCGCCGTCGGCACCACCGGCCACTCTGCCCACAAGGCCATCTCCACCTCCCAGCGTGCTGCCAAGGTCCCCCAGCCTGCTCCCACCGTCTCCAACGACGAGACCGAGGACGACGAGACTGAGGACGACGACGAGGAGGAGGAGACCGAAGAGCCCGAGGAGACCGAGGACGATGAAACCGAGGAGACTGAAGAGCCCGAGGAGACCGAGGACGATGAAACTGAGGAGACCGAAGAGCCCGAGGAGACCGAGGACGACGAGACTGAAGAGACTGAAGAGCCCGAGGAGACTGAGGATGATGAGACCGAGGAGACTGAAGAGCCCGAGGAGACCGAGGATGATGAGACCGAGGAGACTGAAGAGCCCGAGGAGACCGAGGATGATGAGACCGAAGAGCCCAAGACCCAGGCCTTTGTCGCTGTCTCTGGCGACTCGTCCGATGAGGTAGTCTCTGCCCCCGAGTCCACCGTTATCTATGCCAACCGGCTCTCGGCCCTCAGCCACGTCTAAAGACGTTCTTTAATTCGCGTCCATTCTTGCTCTCTGCTCTTTCTCCCCCGCTCTCTTACTCTCCTCTCCCCTTCCGTTCTTCCCACCACCACAGTAAAGCTCCCTGCCGAACACTAGCCGATACCGGCGTGCTAACTCGGCGGTCGCTTGTGTCCGCCCTCCTATACACCTACGTTGTTTTACCGCGCACACCCTTATCCTCCCTTTCCTCCTATGCCTGGCTTGTTTATACTGCGTTTTTAAATTATGATGCCCCCTCCCCCTTAATGCCTCGGTCTGATGGGGAGAGAGACCCCCTTTCTAGACTCGACCTTTCCCCCCCTCCCCGCTGCCTGTTTATTGCGCACTCCCCCGATCCCACGGCGTCATACTTTCGAATACAGGGTAAAATCGGCCTTTTTGTTGTCTTGGCCGGATCAACAACAATCATAGGCGTATCCTCATACTCTTGACCACCGTCCAAAAGCGCCGCGCTCGTGTGTATATGGCTCGGTGCAGTGCGGGGCGGTGGCTGTCCCAGGTCTCGATGTCGCCCACTCCAACGACGAACCACCAGACAAGCTCACGTGCGCCCAGATCCGACCGCGTGACTGCTGCGTGATCCCGCTCGTGTTGGGGCAGGCTTTCCGCCTCGCTGCTCTCTCCCCGCCCCGCTGTCAGTCCAGATCCGTGCAAACACCCTCCCGTCGCTATCCCCCTAATCATGCCTCTCGAGCCCGGAGTACAGTATGCCGTCGAGGTCCCCCAGGCAAGGGGACTGATCCCGGTCATGTCCATCCATCTCGGCAAAGAGATCATATCTGAAATCACCAACAACAAGAGCCTGCAAATGGCCATCACCTTCGGCAAGGGCGGCAGCAAAGATGTAATGTATCTGTCGATGCCTGATACCGTGGGCTCTGCAGGGGAGCACGTCTTCCATGGATGCCTAGTGAGCAGCCAGATCAACTCGCCATAGCAAGCGCTGTTCGGGTGTGCAATCGTTCCCGGCGTGCCAACATCTCGACGCACAAGATATCCAACCGGCGAGGGAGAGACGGCCATCATCATCCGTCCACCCCACCGATACAGCGTCCTGACGATTCTGGAGAAATCGTGCCGCTCCATTCACTCCCGGTGTCCGAGGCGTTCACTTCTGCTTATCGACAGCGACCACGGGCATATCCCTCCTGCCACGAATATCCCTTGTGTCTGAAACTCGCTGATCATGCCCTCGACTTTTTGTTGCACCCCTTCAACCCGCATGTATTCCCATCCCCCCCCCTGTCTTTTGATATCGCCCTCTCGTTACCATCACCACCCCCTCCGCCGCCATCAGATTCTGGTTGTAGAAGACAAGGTTTTCGAATGCACCCGATCGGTCGAAAGCGGCGATCTCTATCAGCACAGCATCAACTCGCCTCATGTGGAACTTGTCGGGGCATTCGTTCGCAAGTTGAGGACGCTTCCGAGCACACAGCGGATCGACAATATCGTTGACGCTGACCGCCTTTCGAAGCAGAACACGAGGTACGGCGGAGCAAGCGCGGACCGGCATATATGCATCGTGCTGATCGCTGTCCCGATGGTTGTCAGCACAATGGCCGTCCGCCGAGAGGATCGGGGATACCAGAGGGGAGCCAGAGGGGATACCAGAGGAGCCTCAGAACGTGGGGACATGGGGCCGTCCCCAAACTCACACGCACAGTTCCCTCTCGGTTCAATCTCAAACAGAAAAGCCGTCGTGATCGACATGAATACGAGTGTCATCTTGCAAAGTAAGTATGGCACACGACCGGATTCCCCTGGATGGGGCGGCTTCTGGGTCTGCCGGAGCACCTGCGCGGAAGCCGATGCTTCAACTTCCCACCCCCTCCCGCCTCGCACCAATCGCTGCAATTACGGACGCTGGATTTACTAACATGACCATCTGTCGACTCCTGGAGAGGGCGCCAAAAGCAGAAAGACCAGCGGATCAGTCATTCTCAAGCGAGGTCCAAAGTCGACGATCATCAAGCCTAACTTACCACTTCATCCTGCCCCTCTTGTCGCCGTAGAGCCTCTTGCCGATTTTTCACGCGATAAATATGTGCAACAGCCTGAGGCACGAAGAAACATCGACACGTCTGACCTGCGCAAGACGCTGATCCATGTCCTGGCACCAGGACCGGCAGATATCCAGACGCTCTGCGATCGGCTGAGGCTTCCAGAAAGCGCAATCAAGAAGGAGCTTGATAGCTCGCCGGAGGTAGGCTGAGCTGCATCCGGGAAGGGGACTGTGGCGTGGTGCGCGGCTGGGTTGTGAATCCAATCCAATCCAATCCAATCGCAACCAGGGATTTGTATCGCACAGCGCATCTTGGCCGAGGCAGCTCGAGAGGCAGGTCGAGAGACTGATATCGCCGTCCTGTCCGCCCCCCCCGTAATCTTGGACTGATTGACAGATTGCCAAGCTCCAAAGCGACAAGAAGACCTGGCAGCTGCGTAACGATGCCTACCGTGAACTCGATGCTAGAAGCTGGCCCTATTACACCCCCGAAGAGCGAGAGCTTGCTCTCAAGGTCGCACAGCAGGCTCTGGCGATTCGCCCGTCGCGGATGGCTCCGGCGCCAGTATCGGAGCCACCAGCCGTGGTACCGAAGCAGCCGGATACCACTACCCTCCCAGCCAGAGTCTCCACGACCACAGCAGCCACTGCACGTACCGAGCCGCCCTTGCGCCCATCGGCGCCGTCCTCTATGAGCTCGATTGCAACGAACAAATCGGGAGCAAAAGGACGCACTGGGGGCGAACGGATCAACAAAGACCCTAAGGGCAATCCCGACAGCTCATACTCGTCTCGCCTGGGGCCTCAAAGCGAGACCCAGCCGGGGCCAAGCAGTGGGTATCGTCGTCAACATCCAGCGCCGGTCGTGGGAGACAAGCCCCGTGAGAGCATGATCGGCCGATACGAGGACGACAACGAGACCGGCAAGGGCGAAGCTAGACATGTCAGACCAAACAGCCGACGGGCCACAACGACGACAGCAGCAACAGCAGCAACAACGGCGACAGCAACAACAGCAGCAACAACGGCAGCAGCAGCAACAACAACAGCTACAGCAGCAACAGCGACAGTTGCCTCGGTCACCAAACCCCCGTCTTCCGCTGGATTCGAGGAGATGTACCAGCAGCTCGAGGACCGGCAGCGCGAATGCGACAGGCTCTATTCTGTGTTTCAGAAGCTGCGACTGGTCGAGGCCACTGCCAGCGGATCGCAGGACGAAAGCCAGATACGCACGCGGCTGGTTGAGTTGGCCAGGGATATTGGCATCGCAGTGAGCGAGGGGGCTCTAATCCATAGTGAGACGCATCGCGAAGATTTCAAGAGCCAGCTGGTTGACGTGCTCCGCAAGCAAGTCGAGCAGTACAAGAAGGCTCGACAGGAGGCCACGGCTCTGTACCAAGCGATACAGGAGCGGTTTGCGACCGAGCCTTGCGGCGAGCCAGACCGGTCGTAGATCGACGGTACGAGGCGAATGCTGACCTACGATGGCCGATGGTGATGCACGATTGGTCGATCGACAAATTCATCAAGTCGCACTCAAGTTGGCCGGACTATGAATATATTGCCTCCTGTCGGAGATGACACGCACGACGACCTGGAATCCAGCGGCGCCATTGGTGGACCGACGGAAAGGCGTTAGCGAGAGCCCTTCGAGCGCGAGCGGGCGATTCCGAAACAATCTGGGACTCCTTTGTGCGTTTCTTGCGAGAGCCAAAGTCGCCTGAGCAGGAGCCGCAGCGACATGTCACAGCGTGACCTCTGCCATGTGATCGCAGGACCCGGCGCCGACAAGCACTGGCAGGCGCTGGCAAGCGCTGGCAAGTGCGGACATGGGCCTGATCGTGGCTGCCTTGGTCCGTGTCCCTGATTGCGGGAAGGCCGCGGGGTTTGCGCAAGCGCTTTCCTGAAACGACCTCGTCCACACGCTGAAACCATGCTCTTCACAAGCCACGGCCATGTCCTTGATGGGCCGGCCCATGACCGCACTTTGGGTTTGCTTGGTGCGGTCTCTGGCGACGACCCAAGCAGGCGGTGGCTCGGCCTGGCCTGATCCTGATTCTGATCCTGATTCTGATTCTGATTCTGGTCCGGCAGGGCCTGGCAGCCCGTTCGCCGCTCGCCGCCGACAAGCGGCCTCTGCCCGCCCCTGGCCCGTGCCATGGGCATCAGAAGCGCTATTTCAGGCGTGGCCAGGGGCACCCCGTTGCCGCCGTTGTTTGGAGGACAAGCGCCGCGTGCTGGGAGCAAGCCGGGGCGGCGGCGTCGCGTGCTCCCAACACAGCGCGCTGCAGCAGTGTGCCTGTGTGTTGTGCTGTGCTGTGCTGGGCACTGTGCGACGCCGCCTCTGTATTCGTGGGCGCCCCGCGCCGGTGAGTGTCGCACAGCGTGGCCGCCGTGTCACCGGACTGCCCCTGTGGCGGCGCAGCTGTCTCCCGCTTACGGCGCTGTGGCCGACCACGCGGCGGCAGCGGCCGCTCTGTGCGCGCCCGTCCAGCAAGGTGCGGCCGACCGCCCCGAAAACGGACTGCCTCCGACCCGCCAAGCGTCCGCCCTTCCGCCCACATAAATATCGCAACGGTGTCGCAGTTCACTTGCGTCTTTGCGTCCTCCAGGTGCTCTCGAACCCTTGGGCCCCTCTGCTGCTGCTCTCGGCTTCCGTTTGCCCCTTCCCCCCGCTCTTCGCTCTTCGCTCTTCGCTCTTCGCCTCTGCTCCCCTCGGCTGCCCAAAACCCCCTCCTCTTCGGCGCCCGACTCCCAATCCCCTCGGCACACGACTCCATATCCCTCCGTCCCCTTGCAACTGCCCAGGGACACTGTCCCCCACCGCCGACAGCCCACAGCCTCCATTGCAGCCGCTGTTCCAGCCAGCTGCACCCACGTCCGCTCGCTGACGCACTCGCCCGCCACCCACTGACTCACCCCGCTCTGATCGAGTCGGTTCCTCCGCCCGTCGTCTATAAATCCCTTCTCCCGTCCGGTCTCTGCCATGGCCAACCACATCAAGTCAAGACGCCCATCGCTGACCTGCCTGCCCTCGCCCTCCAAGGCCATCCATAAAGCCCTCACCGCGCCCTGTCCATCGTCGTCCATTTCCCCCCTGTCTGTTCTCTCGGCCATGGACGTCGCCAGCCATCCCACCGATACCGCCGGTGCCCAGCCCAAGTGCACACCTCCTTCGTTCTTTGATCGCAAATTCAAGCAGCTCCTCTCCAGGCTCAGAAAGAATCAGGATCCTCGCCATCCGCACCACGACCACACATTCGTCTCTCGCTCTCCCCAGTCGGCGACTGCTGCTCCCCGGCGGGAGCGGCGCAAGTCCGAGGTCTGGTCCATCAAGAAGGAGCTGATTGGCGCCAACCCGACCCGCAGAGCCTCGATCGGCACCAACGACACCTTGGTCGATCGCTTTGGCTTTATCGAAGATCCCCATCCTCGCTACCACCCGCCGCCCCACCCGCAGCTCGCCTCGCTGGTTTCGCCCATGCCCGGCCCCTTCCCCGATATGGACTCGACGTTTTGCTCGAGCCCCTCGGACTGCGTCTCGCCGGTGCCTGTCACCCTGTGGTCCCATAAGGACGGACTGGGCGTCCCCGTCAACGTCACCGAATCCAACTTCCCGACCTTTGAGGAGCTGCTCGTCAACGACCGCACCCTCAAAGTCTCGCTGACCCCCAAATTCGCCAAGACCGAGTCGGAGATCCAGCAACTGGCCTCGGCCACGCCCTCTCCGGTCATGTCTGTGACGGAGCTGCCGCCTTCCAAGCCCAGGTGGCGGAAACAGCCTTCCCAGCGAAATCTGCGCAGCCCAACGCCGTCGCTGCGATCCGTCAGCTCGACGCTGGAGGAAACCAGCATCAGCTTCAAGTACTGAGCCTGCCTTCAGCCCAGCCCAGCCCACCCCACTATCTCGCCTCGCCCCCACCTCGCCTCATCCTCCGCCGCGACATTGGACGAGCCGGGCCAAACTCATACAAGCCAACCTGATCGCGCCACATCGGATAGAGAGCCCATCTCACCGCCCCCTCCACGCCCAGGCACATGCTCCTTTGTCGCACTCATATGTGTATAGCCTCGCTTCTATCCCATCGCCACCAATTGCATTTTTAGACGCCCATCGGGACAGATCAAACGGGCTCATCTGCTCCCCCCGGGCCTGCGCATATTTAAAACGCTTTCCCACTTGCGGTCAAATTCGCCATCCAATCCAATCCAACCTACTTCAATCCCATCCGGGCTCCTGCTTTGACAGCGGGTTGCTCGTCATCGTCTGTTCTTCTGCACCAATACAATGCATCCCAAAAGTACATGTCTGGTCTCTGCAAACTGCCGTTACTTTGAGTGGCACCGGTCCACGGAGAACCAGCCTTCACCGATTCGAGTGGTCCGACCGTATTTGAGAGCTGGGGATTGTGAGCAGTGTTTGCTCATACTGGCTCTCTTATCGGGCCATCGCCAGTCGCGACTGCAAAGTTAGTCTTGGTTGGGATGTCTGTGGATCCAGCATATCAGCGCCTCTCGCAGCCATGGATCTGGCTGTATTGACCTGGATTATGAGCTGGCGAATCGTTTTGCACCAGCGACATCGACTGCAGCCTCAAGCGCACTTTGATGGATGTGTGCGTATATTTCGTTCAAAATGAAACCAGGGTGTCCTGCTGCTACATGTTTGCGGGTGGCGCTGTCATCAAAAAGGAGAACTTCATCATATGCGACTCATGTGTCCAAAAAACAGCAGATAGAAATGGCTGATATTCAACAAAAGAATAAAACAAACTAACAATAATAAACAAAAGTCTGGCTCCGGCGACAGCCGCAGCAGCCGCTAATGGTTCTCGCAGATACTCAAGATCTGCTTGGTTGAATCGACAAATGTCGGACCAGAGGCGATGGGCTTGGATTGCGTGGCTTTGGAGATTTGCACTTGCAATTTGCCCATGCTAACGTCGCCTTGCCGATCATTCGTTGGAGGGGGTGGTGGTGGCAGAGTCGCCTCGGGAGAATGAGAGGACGCCGGTGGTGGATTTCTTAGAAGGCACGCTTGAACCAGGCCTTGATCTTGTCCACGGAGCCCCGGCTGGAGGCAGAGTCCCTGGTGGCCGAGAGCGTCAGCGGCACTTGAGACGACGAGCTGTCGATACGATTCCAGTTCCGGGCATGGCCAAAAGAGCTGGCGGCCTTCTGGGCATGCTTGCCCTGGAGGAGCGAGTTCTTGGGAGCGACGGCGGCAAAATAGGCGGGCGAGCGGTAGTTGGTCATGGCTGCTTGGTGTGCTAGGCTTAGGGAGGGAGGATGTGTGCGGGTGCTGTTGCTGTTGCTGTTGCTGTTGTTGTTGCGTAGATTCAAGTGCTGGTGTGGAGGTGCTTTGATGCCGAGGCAAGCCGGGGAGGCCAGACCGACCTCCCTATTTATCCCTCTCGCGATCAGGAGAGCTCCCTCGTCGGTGGTGCTGGCCCACTCGGCGGGACAGCAGCGGCACTCACCAGTCCTGTGGGGAAGCAGCCCTTGGCGGCGACCAGGGGTGTTGTCTGCCAGCACCGTGGACTGGGATTGGCACAGCAATTGTACAGCGGGCCCCTGGTAGCCTGTGTCCGAAACTCAAATGTACCGCCACGTCGCCGCACCAATCGTTGGTGGACAGCACAGGGGCTGGCAAGCCTCACAAGGGCAGCGGGGCGGTGAGGCGTGACTGCCCGCTGCATCGCCCTCGACACCCAACACCACCCATCGCTGTACAGCCATGTCGCACGGACCTTCTTGGCAAACCCAGCCCTGGAACGAAGCCTCTGGAAGGTGCTGGAAAGCAGCGGTAACTCTCTGTGGTTCGCTTGCTGGCCCGCCAAGCATTTCCTTGGCAGACCGTGTGTTTGGGGTGGGACGATGAGGGCAAGCCGCAAGACCAGAGTCGGGCGTCGTCGGATGACTGGTCTGCTGTTGAATGTGGGGTGCGTGCTGTTGAATGTGGTGTGCCTGCTGATGTGTGCGTTGACCAACCCCCAAAGAGAAACGGTGTTGCCACTCTCTTGGCGGTGCCGTCTCTGTCTTGGTGTTGGTGTTGCTGCGGCAGGTCCCTTGCTCTGCGGCGTTATCCATGCCGCAGCCCGCCTTGATCGCGGGCCATGCTGCACACTTGGCCGAGAACAACCAAGTCGATCCAATCGCCCCACCGAGTCCACTCATGACTCCGATATCATTCAATCCACATGAATGCCGCGTCCCGTGTCAGCATGAGTGGGCTGCAAGCATCAGCCCACGCCCGCCAAGCTCCAGCCACCGTCGTCCACACACCTCGAATGGAGCGTTTGTGTCTGCGTCAGCAGCATTCGCTGGGTGGCGAGACGGGTTTGTTCACCCAACAAACGGACACATGGATATGAGTGTGTGAGGGTATGGTGATTTGCATTTGCGTCACGGATACAGCTGAGGGGCAGGGAGAAACGGACACGCTCCGCACCGAGCTATCGCGCATGAAGACTTGTGTGTAGGGACGGCAGAGAATCGTAGCGGCGGCAGGCCCCTCGCTGTCGTCATCCGTGGCGGTCATCCGTGGCGGTCATCCGCGGCGGTCCATCGCCTTCTTGACCTCAGCCATGCCGCACGCTTGGATCCCAGAGTCCAGAAAGGGCGTGGCCTTGAGCCGCAAGTTGACATCGTCCGTCACCAGCAGGACACACTTGCGCTGCTTGAACGGTAGCGGTGTCGTCGGCAAATGTGGTGGGAGCAAATGCTGTGCTGTTCTTTTGGCGACCTCCAGGATAGCATCGTCGTTGTTGCGGATGGTGGACGGCTGGAAACGAGAGCGACCAAGACTGGATCCGCTGCTGCTGCTGCTGCTGCTGCTGCCGCCGAGGTTCTCAGTGCGGATGCGGAGGTCCGGCAAGAAATTGCCCTGGCTTGTCTGAAGCCAGATGTTCTTTTTGAGGTGGCGATTGAGTGACTGGCGCCGACTATCGGCACTACTGGAACTGCCGAACGGCGGGAAGATGCTCTCCAGAAACTCGATGGCGAGCGTGGCTGCCAGCCGGACACGTTCAGAGCTGCTTGCCTTGAGCCCGTCCAGTTCGGCAACAACTGCATTGAGTGAGGCAACTGGTGTTAGCATATGCCTCGCGCCAAGTACTTGCGCACGACATACTGCCTGCTATGGCGGAAGCAGTCGTTGTACTCACCAATGAGCGGAACAATCATCACGCACTGATGTTGGGAAGCCATGCTGTCCACGAGGTCGAGGTTATCCACCAAGCAGTTGGTGTCCAGGACCAATATGCATTCGTGGCGGATGCTTGAGTAGCTTTGGTGCACATTCTGGGACACACGCTTGCCGCCTCGGTTGGTGCTTTCGTTCAGCCTGCCGTGCAGCTGCTGGTGTCGCGAGTGGAGGGCCTTGAGTTCCAAGTCATCTTCAACCGGATCATCGCCAGCGTCTACGACGGGCACAGAGAGCTCGAGCTCAGAGTCGCGGCTCTCGATCTCCAACATGAAGAGCCCTGTGGTCGGGTTCATTCGGTAGACATTGGAGTGCTGAGGAAGCAAAACCAAGCCGAGGGGGGGGGTCGCCCTCCAGATCAGCAACGTATACATGTGTCGAGGCTCCATCATGCTGTGCCCTGGTTCATGTCTCGCCAGTCTGCTCTGCACTTGCCTCAAGTATGGAAAGACTAAGTTTGGTGAATCGCATAGCCCGGAGTCCAGCCACAGCAGACGCCGATGCTCCGCGCTGGGTAGCTCCTTCGTGCAGACTCATGGAGGCCCGGATGTGCTGTCGAAGGTCGGACCAATCACTGTGCTTGGACGCTTCGGGGAATCCGAGGAAATCAAATGACTCGAGTTCGGAATCTTCGAGCAGCGCAACGGTCTTGTGCTCGGGTTGGGCCTTGGAGCTGTTGTCGAGCTCGATGGCCTGTATGTTGTAAATATCGACGACGGTCTTCCAGGCTTCAGAATCCATCTGAGCGGGTGCAGAGAAACAAACGTTCATCCCAGATTTAGAGCCTCTCGGGAATAAACTGACGCTCGGGAGCGGAGTCTCTGCAGCACACGAGCACAAAGACACAGGCAGAGGCAAAAGTTACCACAGCATCAAAGACGGTGCGATTGCTGGCGACGTGTTGGAGCAGCCAGCGGAAAATGAGGCTGCTGAGGATGATATCGGCCTTGATGAATCCAGAGTTGCTGTACCGCTTCATGGCATCAAGCTGTCGCTTCAGCGCCATAATAAGCAAGCGGTTGAGCAGCTTGGCAGTCACTTCCTCGGCTCGGCTTGCGCCAGCATATTTGATGAGGTGATGGTGGATGATATTGAGGATCGAGACCGTCAACTGGAGCCAAAATTCGGTGTTTGTGTGGGTAAAGTCGAGGTAGCGATGCTGGACAGCATAGATTTTCTGGATGAATAGCTCGACGGCCTTCAGGTTTGTTGGTCCGCTGGGTAGAGGATTGATGTGGAGTGAGGCGGAGCGTTGGTCACAGAGCGATGGTCACAGAGCGTTGGTCACAGAGCGTTGGTCACAGAGCGATGGCCAGATTCGCCTCGCTGATGCGCGATTGCCCTGAATTGTGTGCACCGTTGTCTCCAACTCCCTGCGAGCCCAGTTCAATACAGCCCCCTGTCGCTCTTTACACACAGAATGGCAAGAAACACAGGCTGGGCTTACGGTTTGTTGGTATACACTCCAAACAGAGCATGGACCAGCAACTGCTCCAGCGTTGCCTCGCTAGAAATCACCAGGTGCGATTGCCGCTCTGAAGCCGCGTTGACGACGATGCGCTTTTCGTTGGTTTGGAAAAGCATCAGGAGCGACTGCTTGGCGGGCAAGTATTGTTCTTTGGCGAGCAGGCTGAAGGTGTAGTGATACACGGCAGGGATGAGTCGGTTGGTGTAGAATGAGATGATGGCAAGTTGATTGTGATAGAGACCTGTGGGGCGCGCAGTACAGACAGATGAGGCAGAGGGTGCAAAGGCTCGGTCAGACCATCGACAGCCATCCTCGACAGATTGCACACAGCCATGCCAAGATGTGCATCGAGAGCACACCCGAACATTCTCGATGCAATCCGCTTCAGTAACCTAGGCACCATCACGCCTCCACCATATGCGAACCGAGCGACTTGTTGATGTCTCCCTGACAGCTAGCGGATATCCCAGAGCATTTGCGAGCCACAGCTATCGTATCAGGAGCAAGGCGATCGGCTCATACCGAGCTGGGGTGCAGAGAAGCGGGCTTCTAGATAGCGCTGATACGCAGCAGCCCAACATCGCTTGCTGACGGGCGTCGCTTGATCGCCAGTATACATTTCTTTGTATCTCAGTAGATCGCCGAGATAGTTGAGCGTCCGTCCCCACGACATCACGAACGAGCTCTGGATCGTGAGAGGCCCAAAGTGAGCATCCAGGCGATCGAGAAAAGTGGTGTAGACATCGATGGCGTCGTTGAGGAAGGCCTCCCAGCGCTTGATCCATGTTGCCCGCTGCGCCAAAGAGTAAGGGTCAACTTCGGCCTCGCCGCTCTTGCGCCTCTGCTCGATCTCGGGATAGACCCCGGTCATCCAGGCTTTTCTTTCCATGTCGCGCTGAACGCTGCCGTCAAAGTCCAGCAGCACATATGCGATCGACGCTCGAACGTATCTATGCCGCCACCATCGCGGACGAGCAGTTTGCGGTTGACAAGGGCGTCAGCGATTTGGTCGGTGTTCCGATCACGGTGATGAGTGTCCGCGGGAACAAGTTGACGGCAGGGGCCATGGAGGGCCGAAAAAGACGTTAAATCCAAGCTACAGAGGATGCTCGCCTTCAAAAGCGACACGATTCAGCAGCATCAAAGGGACGGTATCAGGTTGATACCCTCCGTTCGTCCGTCCCGTTCGCATCGAGCAGGCCGGTCGGGCAGGCCAAAGAACCTCCTTCCCGCTGGCCATTCGAAACAGCGTACACGAAGCGACTTACTTGAGGCGCATTTCAAAGACCCGAGGATGCTCCTCAGAGCCGTAGGTGGGGCTCTGGAACTCGGCCAACAACGTTTCCATCTTGTCGATCTGGGCGAGGAGGGTGGTTGCATCATGGCGTGCCCCACGGGCACTGCGGTCGCCAGCGCTGTCATGTTCCTCTGGATTGCTGTCGGTGGAGGCGCTGCGACGATAGCGCCTGGATCGCCGCTTGCTTTTCTTTTTGGACTCGGTGTCGATATCGGCATCGGCGGCGTTGGTGTCGGGATCGCTGGATTCCAGGTGGGCGGTGGCGGGCGCCAGGCACGTCCCAGCCGACCTTGAATTGGTGCTGTAGAAAATCGTCTTGGTCCCAGTTTCGTGATCAAAAAGAACACGCTGCGACGGCTCGTTCCTTCGATATTTGCCGTCATCGTCGGGCTCGTCCAGCGGGGCGGGCGACTCTCCTCGAGGCCTGTGCCGCGAGGAAGCAGACTTGGCGAAGCCTGGGTTCGATCCTCCTCGGCGACTTGCAGACGAATCGCCGCGGCGATTGGGCGTCGAGCCCGAAGAACGGAGAGTAGAGGAGGCACCGGCGGCGGGTGCGGCCTTGTTCTTTCGGGAAGACGGAGCCGAGAGCGACCGGGCTGGAGACGGGCCGCTGGGGGCCTTGGCCGATGCTGGCGCAGGGTTGCGCTTCCGCGATTTGCTGTCGGTCGTGTTGGTGCTTTTCGAGGGATCGGTGCTGGTTCTGTCCATGGGGGTAATAGTAGGGCAGTGGTGCGCAAGTGGGCTGGAGGGAATGGCGGTGCCTCGGCGACGGTGGGATGAGACGAAGGAGAGTCGGAATGAAGGATGCAGAAGAACAACCATGCGACGGGAGCATTTCCAATGCATGGTGGGCTGTGGCTGGATGACTAGGGCTAGGGCTGTGGCACAGTCGCACAGCCACAGGGCACTGCATCGCCACGAGTGGCGCTGAGGCGCGGCAGGTCTGCGGAACAGTGGTGGCGCCGATGAGAAGAGATCGTCGATGAGCGAATGCCGACGAGCGAATGCCGATGAGGTTGTCGGCGGGGAGTTGTGGCTATGGCGACTCTGCCTGGCGCATCCGTCGCAGATGCTGCATTGCCGTATGCACTGTGAGTGCGGCGTTGCTGCGGATGTATCAAACGGCGCAGACATTTCCTTCGATACCCGTTTCCCATGGGCCGTGTTTCAGAGACATGTCTATGCGTCGCCGGCTTGCAAGTCAAGTCCACTCTAATCCACCACCATCGCACCAATACCAGCGCCAGTCAACCATCCACCACAACCGCACCCCGTCCACCAGCGACGACACCAACCGCCTGCTGGGAGCAACATCAACCTCCCGCCACAACGAAGCGATTGTTGTGGAGACCCGCGGCGCCGTTGTGGCCGAAACGACAAGGCCGCAACAGGCCTTCGAAGCAGCACAAGCATCCCCTCGTGGCAAACAGGCTCAGCTCGGCGCCGCTGCTTTCCTGGTCTCGGCCCAGCACCGCCTTTCTTCTTTTCCCGTCATCGTCCTCGGCTGCCGAGTCTGCATCTGCCTGCTGCAAACCTTGCCGGTGCCTGCTTCGGCCCTCCGTCCCACATCTTCCTCCGGCCCGATGGACTCTCTGCTCCTCAGCGACAGTGCCCGTAAGTACCATCGGCATGACCAGAGCCGCAGCGGCATTTCATGTGCCCTCGGTAGCCGGCAGAATCTGGGCATATCGCCGTGGCCGTTACTGCATCGCACCCCTCAATCGTCTCGGGCTGTGCGGCTCTAACCCCACCCGCCATGTCTGCCTTTCCGCTCTTGCCTTTCCACCCTTTTGCTCTGTTCTGGCCGACTCTGTCCTGCCTCGCCCTGGTCCTGCTATTCCCACTCCAATCCAGTCCACCAGGCCGAAGCCGCCTGGGCTCTGAAAGACCTCGTCGAGATGGGCTTCCCCTATGCACAGGTCAAAAATGCGATGAACCAGACCAAGAACGACCCCGATAAGGCGCTGGACCTCCTTGTGCAAGTAAGCCCATGCTGCAAGCTGTTTGGCAAAATCTTGATATTGCTTGCTGCCGCCCTCGCCAAAGCTTCCACGCCGCTAATATCGGTTCCGTCGATGCCGCCTCTGGCTTTCCTCATGTCGGTGCTGTTGCCAACATCTCCGATGTGTCCGTGCAGTGGATGCCTCCTGGCTGGGAGCCTGGAGATCCAGATCCCGACGAGGCCCACTCGCTGACATCGCCGACAGGCCCTCCCGCTCCCGCTGTCCAGCGACCGGCCCTCAGTGCTCGCCTCGGCAGTCTCTTGGCCGGCAGTCTTCAGAGACGTCCTGGCTCGGCTGCTTCTCATCCTGTCCCTGCTAGTGCCCCTTTCCCTGACGGCGCACCTCATCCCACATCCGCTCCCGATGCCAGAGTCGCTGTCGGGTCCGGCCTGCGAGCTGGCGCGGCGATGGATTCCTCCGATGATGCTCTCTCGTCTGCATCGGTCGCGGACAGGTCCGGACCCAACTCGGCGTCTGCTGGCCATCCACTCCCCGTCTCTGTTGGTGCAGGCCCGCCATCGTCCTACCCACTTATCCCTTCAAGGTCGGCCAGCTCGCACTCGCACTCGCATACCGTGTCCGATCCAAATACCATTCAGGATCTTCTGCGGCAGTATCGCTCGATGGCACCTGCCGCACCAGCGTCTGCATCTCAGCCTCAAACTCTGCCCCAGGCCCAGCCTCAGCCATCCAGCAGCACCAGTGTGTCCGAGACCTCCAATCCACCCAAGCAAGACCTGGCTGCGACAACCGATATACCCGTGCCGCTGGTGCCGCCTGCTCGAGCATTGAGCTACAAGATCCCAGAAGAGCTGATGCGACAGATATCGGTTTCAAATCAGCTCATAGCGCCCCACTCCCTCCCAGATCACCACGCTGTGTCCGATCCATCCGCAAGCGCCGCTCTTGAGCCTACAGCCGGAGCCGGCAGCGTTCAGCACGCTGTGCATGGGAATGCGGATCAAGCACCACTTCCAACTTCTGGATCCTTGCCGCATCAGCCCGCAGGAGCAGCAGCGGCAGCATCCCAAGCGTCGTTGCTGGTTCCACCCCCGCGCACGGAGCGGTCCCGGGCGCCTGTAGGCTGGATCTCGGTTCAGGACAAGACCATGGGTGCTTGGACGGGGGACGCCGAGAGACCGCACACCCGGCCGCCTGTGGAGCCGATTCACACGCTCAATCTCTCGGCACCCGACTCCTCGATGGCATTTGCTCCTGAAACCATGTCTGCCTCTGCTCTCAGCGCTGCAGTTACTGCGAGCACATCGGCCACCACCCCGGGTGCCCCCTCCGTCGTCTCCCCAGACACATCCAATGCCGAGACTGCTCCAACGGCCGCCGGCAACACCGTGCCTGCAGGCGACACCAAGCTCAAGCCCAAAGTCAAAACCGTTACTTTCCAGAAGGTGGTCAGCCCCACCTCGACCAGCCTCCCACGGAGCAACAAGGACGAGGTGCCCTGCGCAGAATGCAGTCGACCGCCAAGCGATGACGAGGAGCGTTGGCGGTGCTCCACCTGTTCTCCCGGCACCATCTTGTGTTCCTCCTGCCATGCCCAGCAGCAGCAACAGCAGTCGCTGCCACATCACGGCCACCGCTTTATCCAATGCAAAAAGGTCACCGTGCTCCCGTCAAAGCGAAGCATGGTCAAGATCGAGAAACTCGTGTCGCCACGGAGCAGCAAGCCGCTGGCGGAAGGGTCCAAGCTCGAGCCTGTGTCGGTGCGCTCGGTGACATCCACACTCACGCCTCGCCAGGAACTCCTTCCGCACGCGCAGGTCGCTCCAGGACCGCTCTCGTCCCAGGCACAGACGGTTCTCCATTCTCAGCAGCCGCAGCCGTATCTACACTCACACTCACAACCGCAACTGCAGCCGCAACTGCAGCCGCATGGCTTCATGCACCCACAAGCCCACCAGCAGTCGCAGCCTTTCAACGCGCAAGCCCCAAGGCTGTTCCCTGCCCGGTCGCAGGCTTCGCTGGAATCGCAGGTGCACATTCCACAACACATGCTGGCGCAGCTGCCGCCACCGATGCAATCTCAGCAGCTATCCACGCCGATGCAGTCCCAGCTGCCAGCGTCGAGCAAGCTCGACGGCACCCCGACTCCAGCGACGCTCTCCGACATCCATGGGTTCTTGGCGCTTCCCGTGAGCATTCCCCCACGCCAAAGCTCCCGCACCATCGCGTTGTAGAAGCTTTGGATGGCGCTCTTGCTCTCAGCCGCCTCCCCCCCCTCTAACCACCTTTACCCTACTCTTCAATGACCTTGTCTACGAAACATTGAAATGAGTCGACCTCGTTACATTTCTATAGCTTTGCGCAAGAGTATCTTGCTCGATAACTCTGGCGACCGGTTCCTCCCCTCCTCTCTCGCCCTCCTCCCTCGCCTGTGTGTATCTCCTCATGAGCGTGTCTCGCTTCGACCGTTCTCCTAATATAGTCCTTTTAACCGGGACACCCGATAGTGTATTTGAGAAAGAAAGCCGAGATGTGGTTTCGTCGAGCCACTGCAGCGCCGCTGCTGGGATCAGCTATCATGGCTCAAGTGCATATCGCTTGTCTTGCTTCTGCGAAGCGGGTCTCTTGGCCGGTCGCCACAGTCTAGGCCAAACCCCACATGCATGATCCATCCGAGCGGCATCGGACGGACTCCATCGTTCACAGAGCATATCTATTCAGGCCGTTGGCAAGGGGTGTGAGGGGCAGATTTGTACGGGAGGTGAGAGGGAGATGTGGAGGAAGGAGTTGGGGAGGGGGACGGAAGGCCGGCTGCTGCAAGGCCCACTCGCTTTCTTTCCCACAGCATTCAAAAGCCCAGCCGCTTTGACCATGTCAGCCGGATGAATTGTTGCTCGCTGAATCTGTCTGCAGCACACACAAAATCAGTTCTTCATTGTTCTGACTGGAGAGTCGCCGCCGATCCGACAGGAATCGAGCAAAGCAAACGGGACCAAAGCACCGAGGGACTGTTCCTCCCCTTCTCTCGGTCTCTCCGCCATCGTGGTTCAGGCGTTGCGGACGACATAGTCGACGGCATCAGCAAATCTCTGGACATTCTTGGAGTTCAGGCCGGCCATCGAAATGCGTCCAGAGCTTGCGAGGTAGACGTGGAACTTGTCCGTGAGCAGCTTGCACTGGGTCGCTGGGTGGATCGAGAAAGCCGAGGGAAGGGGTCCAAGACAGGCCCGATGTCGGAGAGCGAGTTAGAGGCAAGCAGCTACTGGATACATAGGATCAGCCACCATGCATGCACATGTCGCTATCACCACACTTACGGTTAAGGCCGGTGAACGAAAACATGCCGATCTGATCGACAATGTGGTTCCAGGTGCCAGGAGTCTCGTGCTTGACAAGGGCGTCGTAGAGCTGCTCGCGCATCAAGATGATGCGATCAGCCATCGACTTGAGCTCGGTTTTCCTGCAAGAGAGCGGGGGGTCAGACCGCCATGCAGGGGGGACATGATAATGATTGTTTGGCCGGGCTCTATCTCTGGCGTGGTGCGGCCATGCAGCACTATAGGCATACGCACCACTGCTCGTACAGCTCGGGGTTGTTCAGGACAAGCGACACAATACGGGCGCCAAAGGTCGGGGGGTTCGAGATCAGCGATCGAGTGATGCGCTCGAGCTGGCTCGAGATGTTCTTGGCTTGCTCGGTGGATTGCGCGACCACAGTCAGGCAGCCAATGCGCTCGCCATAGAGACCAAAGTTCTTGGCGTACGACTGAGCCACAAACAGCTCATGGCCCTCTTCGACAAAGTAGCGAACGGCCTGGGCATCGCGGTCCAGGTCGCCACTGGCGAAGCCCTGGTAGGCACAGTCGAAGAAAACAAAGTGGTTCTTGGCCTGTGGGACGAGATCGTAAGGAACATTCCCAGTGAGTCGGAGGCCAGCTTGCATCCTGCGACCATGATACACAAAACTAGGTGGCGGCGGCGGCAGTGGTGGTGCAATCCAGTTCGCCACAGCGAATGAATCAAGGCAGGCAAGTCGATGGGCACTGCAAAGGCCACCAGAGATATTAGTCCCCTTACCTTGACGACGTCGGAAATCTGCTTCCACTGGTCAAGAGTGGGATCGACACCTGTGGGGTTGTGGGCGCAAGCGTGGAGGACCAGAATGGAGCCTTCGGGAGCAGACTGGACACGGCGACAGTGCATGAGCCCGATGCAGTTCAGGGATGTGGGGAACAACATCGTTCGGAGGTAACCGTAATGCCAAACACACAGCAGAGCTGGAAGAGATGGACAGCTGGGCGACACAAACCTGGAAGGTCGACAGCACGGACTCCAGATCCAGGCCACGAGTGGACTCGTTCCAGTACTTGTACTCTCGGACTTCGAAGCCACTGTCGCTGAAAATGTTGCGGTGGACAGCTGGGAGCAACAGACCATGCAAGTCAGCAAGTGCCTGCGAGCCAATGCGACACCTGCCGACGATCGCAGCCTGTCGATGTCGCTGTTGAGCAGCGCGATCCATCGTGAGATGCAACAGGGCGTGCATACTTACCCCAAGTGGGGTTGGAAATGTAGACGACAGATTTGTGGAAGCGCGCGAGGAACTCGGCGCCGAGACGGACGGCACCGGTTCCGGAGATGGTCTGGTTCGCGGCAAACTGAACAATGTACTCCCGGTCAGTGATGCAAACGTTGGACTGGCTGAGAGCAGAAATGATGGGGGGTCAGGAAGACGTACACGCTTCTCGAGAATGGCAGGGCTGGAGTCGCCCAGGATGAGCTTGACAGAGGCATCGGTGAAGGACTTGAGGCCTGCGATGGGGAGATACTCGTGATCAAGCGAGGAGTCCTCAAGGATCAGCTTCTCGGCCTGGATCAAGGGGCAGAGGAGCCATGAGGAGAAACCCTTAGCAGGTGGCGCAGGAACAGAGGACGGTGCAATGGTGGCGGGAGGCGGGGCAGAACGGGTGCGGTGATATCGCAGGGTGGCTGCGGAGGACACCGTGGAGAGATAAGGCCTGTGTCCACATGGGGACGGCGACGGCAGCTTGCGAGGGGCATGCACATCGGCTGGCTGGTGCTGATGCAAGGCCAGCCCAAGCAGCCAACGACATGGTGCGGATAACTGCCAGCGCTGCGGACTTCCCCCCCCCCGACAGATTCCCAGCAACAGATTGATCGATGGATCGATGGCTCACAGGACGCGTTGTCCGGACGACGTACCCTTCTGACAACGGGGAGAACCCAGGGGCTGCCGTTGTCGTCGCGGTAGGCGCCGATGCCGAGGTTGATTTTGCTGGGATCGGGATCGGCCCGGTGCGAGGCGGCGACATGGAAGATGGCATCCGGAGGAGCCAGAGGCACGTTTTCAAAGGCGGAGGTGGCTAATGAGGACGAAAGGGTAGCCGGTAAGCACGGACAGGCGGGCGACCAAGGGTTGCCGCAGAGGACGTTGGCCTGCGGCAGCTCAGTCTGGAGGCAAACGAAGCCTGCAGCGAGCACCACGGCGGACGGGCCCACGGGCAACTGCTGTCCGCAAGGCCGATCTTGGAGAATCCAGCAGCGAGGCCAAAGGAAGGCACGAGGAGAGAAGGAGCAGTCTGGCGGCTGCGGCAGGATATCGACCTGGGGCCATGGATGCGAGTGGACAGGCAGGGAGATTCGGTGGAAGAAGAGAGGTCGGGACGCTGGGCGAATGGACAGCAGGCCGAGCTATATGAGTTTCTGGGACGATGGCGCGAGCCAGGGCAACAAGACGGATGTGCAAGCCGGCCGAGGCCGACGACGACTTTTCACGCGGAAGCGCAGCAGCGCTGGCGGTTGCGCACGGCCAATCGCAGGGCCGCGGGGACGGCCCAATCACCAGCAGGACACAGCCACGCGCCTGCGCACGACACCCAGCGCTGTGCAAGTCGGTCTTCATTGGGGAGCAAAAACAGAGAACAGGGGGGACAGCGGCTGGGGAGCGGGAGTCAGAGCAGAGCGAAGCTGCGCGCACCGAGGTCGTTATGACACAGAGTCGATGGCTGGATAGGGAGATACGAGTGGGGGGGGGCAGGCATGCATGTTGATTCAAGGGCGGGGAGGGAGATGCAGCAGCAGATAACCGAGCCAGGCGCACGACACCATAGCCCGCACCGAGATATGTCCATCGCCGATATGTAAACTGACAACAACCATCGCCCGGCACAGCCACAAAGTCGCTCAGGCGCGGTCGGTGCGGCCAAAGGCCTCCATCTCGGGATACTCGATGCTGCGGGTGCGGGTCGGCAGCCCGCCCTCGGGCTCGGGCAGGTATCCCACAAGCGCGAGATACTCGAGGCACTTTGTCACCACCTTGGTCGGGTCCGGGGCCGCCTGCGGGACAAGTGTGTGGAAGTGCTCGTTGTCGAGGTCGAAGGACATGCTGGTGATAAAGTCCATCAGCGGATAGAGCACGTTGGTCTTTGGGTTGTTGAGTTGGACGATCTGGTTGCGGAACTGGTCGCGCGTCTGGAAGAAGAGCTTCCAGCCGAGCTTCTGCACGAGGTCAAAGAGATCGTGCTCCGCAAAGCTGCGTGGTGGTGATGTGGTGATGTGGTGTTGGTAGTGAGCATCACAATCACTGAGAGTGCACAAGTGCCAGCCAAGTACCAACCAAGTACCAGCCAAGTACCAACCAAGTACCAGCCAAGTACCAACCAAGTGGCCAGTGGACAACCAGAGCAAATCGATGCACAGGAACAGACCGATGCACAGTGTCCCAGCCCATACCCGCACTCGCACCCTGGCCGGATACTCACTTGCTGATGTCGTCGAGGTGGAAGACAAACAGGTCGAGGGCCTCCTTCGAGGCCGCCACCGTCGCAATGGCTTTGGCCACATAGTCGACAGGACACAGGTTCATGTGCACATGGCTGGCGTGGGACGGGTTGGCCCCGACCTGGATGCATCCGCGGACGTAGCGCCAGATGTAGTCATCGGTGTTGGAGACTGCGGATCGGCGGCGTGGGAGTGCGGATGGAGTGTGAGGGAGTGAGTGTGGATGGAGTGCGAGGGAGTGAGTGTTGGGCACCGAAATCACCGTCGCTCATCCAGGTCGAGACAGGGCATCGCCGTGGCCGAGTTGCTGTCTCGCTGCGATCATTCCACGGCACTGCCAATACCAAGTCGCAGCACTGCCAATACCATTTCATGACCATTTCATGACCAAGCCATGACCATTCCATGACCAAGTCACTCACCCACCCGCGCTCACTCACCTCCAAAGATGCTGTCGCCAATGATCACTGTCGGACGCAGGATCGTCGCCGGCACTCCGCGGGCGTGCGCCTTGTCGATCAGCTGCTCGGCGACCCACTTGGTCTGGCCGTAGCCGCCAGAGACCGTCCACTCCTCGTAGATCCGCTCCTTGAGCCGCTCGCCACGATATGCTTGCAGCGGGATCGCCCCGACCGTCGACACATAGTGCACCGGCTTGAGATGGTGCGTCGTGGCCAGCCTGAGGGCCGTCGCCGTGCCGAGGACGTTGGTGTTGCGGAGCCGCTCGTACGAGTACATCCAGTGCACCTCGCTGCCGTTGTGCACAATCACATCAGTGTCGCGCGCCAGTTGATCCCAGGCCTCGTCGCTGAGGCCCCAGCGAGAGCGTCCGAGGTCGCCGCTGCAGACTCGGACCCGGTCCCAGATGCGGTATCGGTCGTTGCCGAGCTGCTGTCGGGCGCCGAGCACCCGGTCGTGCACAGCGTCCTTCAGTCGCTTGAGCGCCTCCTCGTCGCTGGCCGCTCGCACCAGGCACACGATCGTGGCCGACGGGAACTGGTTGGCCAGCTCGAACAGCAGGAACGATCCGAGGAATCCCGTTGCGCCCGTCAGCAGCACCGACCGCGGCGCCGCCTGGAACTCGAACGGCGCCAGGCCCTCGGCCGTCACCGTCGGGTCGTCGAGCTTGGCGGCCTCCTCGGCCAGGTTGACGACGGGCGGGTCGAACGGCCGCTTGAGCCGGTGCTCGGTGATGATCCGGGCCACGCCCACGGGGTTCATGCCGTGCGACAGCAGGATCAGCGGCGAGATCTCAATGTCAAACTCGGCCCGCAGCGCAATCGACAGCTGCACGACCGACAGCGAGTTGAAGCCCGCACCCGAGATGTAGTAGTTGCGGCCGTTGAAGGCCTCGATCTCGAGGATCTCGGCGCCGAGGGCCGACACCTTGATGGCGATGCGCGACTCGGACGAGTCGTTGGCCGGGATCGGCGGGTATGTGATGGCGAGGCCGTAGTAGTCGGCCTGCTCGGCGATGCGCTTGAGCCGCTTGAGGTCGCGCTTGGCCGAGTCGTTGAGCGGCATCTCGTACAGGTCCAGGCAGTTGTTGATCGGGATGCTGACAATGTTCTCGAGGGCAAAGATCCGCTGGGCCATGTCGAGGATCTGGCGCGAGTCGAACTCGGGGCCCGATGCCGAGCGGCGGACAGGCACGTACAGCAGCACAATCTTTTCGTCCGAGGTCTGGACGATGCAGCACTCTTTGATGGCCTTGTCGAGGTGGGTGAGCAGCAGGTTCTCGAGGACCTCGAGGTCGGCGTAGACGCCGTTGATCTTGACCTTGCGGCCGGTTCTGAGGCGGGCGATGGGGCGATGGGGCGATGGGGCGATGGGGCGATGGGGGTGGTTGTGCATTTGGACCGTGCAGGGTGCAGTGCAAGAGGCGAGAGTGAGATTGACAGCTCGAGACAGAGGGCACAGGACATGTCAACGCCTCGCACACACCACACCACACCACACCACACCACACCACACCACACCACACCACACCACACCACACCACACCACACCCCGACTGGCCGTACCTGCCAAAGATGGTAAACTGGTTGCTGCTGTTCAGCAGCTCGGCCTCGTCCATGGTGCAGACTCGAGGAGAGCCGTCGGGGAAGTGTCCGAACGACGCAAGCTTGTTGCCGCGCGGGGCATACACAAAGTTGGGGTGCTTGGCGAGCGGATCGTCCTTGCTGATGACATAGCACAGGATTCCTCGTCGCGGGTACGGCGTGGTGATCTCGTCGCCGTTTTCGTCCACAACCGTACATCGGACTCCGGGCTTGTTCAGCAGGTAGACGAGCGATGGTGGACTGGGCACACGCGGCGGAATCGTGCAGTACGCCACCGCGGATATGGTCCCCGACTGTGGAGATGGTGCTGGTCAATTCACTGTCGAAGTGCTCATCCGCTGAAGTGCGGACATGACGAGAATCGTGTATCAAGTCGCGTCGCTGTTTATGCCACCAGGGCATGAGCGTCCAGGTTCCCGCCAGTATGAACGCACATGCGCTCGACCACTTTGACTTACTTCGCTGGACCCATAAACGGCAATGACGACAGCGTTCTGGAATGTCTTGCGTATATCGGTCACCAAGTTGGCGACGACTCTTTCTCCAGCCAAGACGACCATCCGAACAGTCGGCCAGTTGACGTTCGAGTCTCGTGACGTCGCTGACTGGAGAGTTGCCTTCAAAAAAGATGGAGACTACAAAGTGCTTCGTGTGAGCGCCTCGGGTTCAGATTCATCTCGACTGAAGCACCCGAAACGATCGCCCGTAACATACCATGGAAATGGTGTCCACTCCGGCATTCAGCATGAGTACTACTTGTCTTGACTTTTCGATCGCGTTGGGCGATGATTTGGGGAACCACAGCGAGCAGCCGCGCATGCAAAACGACAGAATCTGAATGACAGTAGCTGTGAACGAAGGCGACTGAAGAACGGCGCGAGATTGATGGTCCCACTTGCTCACGGTGGATGCACCCATTCGGTGGGAAACAGGCATGCTGCCAAGTCAACGGCAGAGGCAATCGTTAGTACGAAGCTGGTACACAGCGAAGCGAGAACGGGCTGTCCACACATAAAACACTGGAATACTCACGTTTTGGGTATGCCTTGTTGCAGGTCACAGTTTGATATGCATATGATCGTAGAGTGAAGATGAGTACTCTGCTGTTTGTCCCAGATGCCTCAAAAACACCGAGGTCGGTTTCATGGCCATCTTCCACTCAAGCACGACAGAGACTCACCCGTCGTCCCAGAGGTACAGATCACCGTTGTCAGTTCAGGCAAAGGGCCGAACAAGTCCATGGATGGAGCCGGAATGGACGCAGCGTCGAGGACAGGGAAGGACTCGACCGAGTGGGCCGTGACGCCGGCGATGGGCCCAGGCCGCACTTTGGAATAGAGGATGAACTTGATGTTGAGGCTGGGAGTTGATGGTGGTGGGATGGTATGTGAGCGAGTGAGTGAGTGAGTGAGTGAGTGAGTGAGTGAGTGAGTGAGTGAGTGAGTGAGTGAGTGAGTGAGTGAGTGAGTGAGTGAGTGAGTGAGTGAGTGAGTGGGTGAGTGAGCGGCGACAGTGCATGGCAATCAGTCTCTGTTTGATGGCTTCCCAACTCGACTGGACCACTCTGTCGATGAACATGAGTCTGGACTGTCGATCGATTCCCGCTCCCCAACCCGACGCCGACACTCACCTCTCCGCGATGGCGTTGCGGATGGCAGCAGACCATCCCAAGGCAAAATTGACGACTTTTCTGTGCGGCGATGATACAGAGCCAGGAAGTGTGAGATGCACAAGCGACGGATACGGGTCGCATGGACCGCATGGACCACATGGACCGCATGGACCACATGGACGACAGCAAGTGTGCGATGCAGGATCAACAGGAGGAAGCCGGAGCAAGCGATGGCGGCACTCACTTGCCGGACATCCACACGGCGTAGGTGTAGACGACCCAGTACAGCTCAGGCTCGACATGGAGCGCCACGACGTCGTTGGCGGGATCGTCCCAGCCAGGCAGGCTCTTGAGGACCTGGAGAACCGAGTAAGCACGCTGCCAGACGTCCTGGTACGAGTGTCGCTCCTGGGCGTCGTTCTCGTTGGTCCACACACACAGACACTCGGGCTGTCGAATCGTGATGTCAATGAAGGCTTCGACCGGATGCACCCAGAGCAGCGGCGGCTCCGAAGTGCCAGTATCCAGTGCCGACAACGGCGATGTGGCATGGGTTGGCGACGCGACGGACTGAGTCTGAGTCTGAGTCTGAGGCTGAGGCTGGATATGGGGGGAAGTGGCCACGACGGGGGTAATGGCAGTGACGGGCGCTGTCGTTGTGACCGGCGTCGTCGGGATCGAAGGAAGCGATGCAGTCGAGCCGACCGACGGAGTTGCCGTTGTGGCGATCTGGCCGAAGGCGGCCGGGGTGTTTGCGCTTGGCCCGGGCACGCTGATTGTCAGTGCTCGCTCGAGAGTTGCGAGCCGCCCGCCGTCCCCGATCCGCCCCAGCACAGGGGTTGGAATGCGGGGGCTTTCGAGCGGGACGATGCTGGTGGTCGCCCGCCGAGGCGGATCCTCAGACGGACGTGCGGCGAGGCCACCGAAGCAGCCGAAACAGTTGAGCATTGGCTTGTCGAGGATTGTTGCGGGCGAGGGTAATCTGCCATGCGAGAGACCGTTACGTTGCTGGGTTCAGTCGGGGCCATGTCGCCGCTTGCGATTCAGCATCGCTGCCCAACGCAGACCGGCGGCAGAGCACTTACCTTCTCGCACTGGGACAAGCCTGGGTCTGCCGCCCTCGCCCGCTCCCCCCCCCCAGCGATTTATACTCGTGCCGGTGCGTGCACACGCCTGCGGGACTGGCCGAGGCGGGTCTGTGTTGAGCAGTGCCGTGCGACATGTTGCGCGACGTGCATGGTGCCCATCGCATGTACGCCCCGGGTCCTTGGACGCCCGCTTGTCCAGCGAGGCGTCTGGTTTCACAGCCGGCCCTCAAGGACCTCTCTGATCGCCGATGTCGGCCGTGGTTGGCCGTGGATCGCTGTGGCCCTTGGGGCAGGCCCATTCAGGCCGCCCTGTGACCAAACCCGAGCAAGGCCGTCTCGCCAGCGCGCCCGGATCTGTCGTGTCTGTGCTTGGGATGGACGCCGCACGCGTGGGCTCGTCCCCCTGTCGCTTCTGTTCCAGTGGTCTCGAGCAGGCCAGCCTCCGCGATCGTCCTCCAGTTTCGTCAGCAAACCTTTGGCAGTCCTTCGTGGCAAGGGTGGGCTCCCCTGCGCCCATTGCCCCCAACCTTGCTCGCCTCCTGCCCAGTCGCGGCAGGTGTATGGATCAGGCGAGTGGCCCCACAAGCAGCGGATCCTCGACCACATCGCGGACGACGTCGGCTCAACGGAGGACCACCATGTCAGTACTGTATTCCGCTCGACCAAGGCATATTCCCAACCATCCGCGCTGCCCCGACTCACTCATCGAAGCCAACGAGCCGTCTGCCCTGTGTTGTGAGGCGTGGCTGCGGGACTGGATTCAAGCTCCTGTGGTTGGATGGGGCACCAAAGCTGCGAACAGGTACCGGATAGTGCGAGGTTGTCTGCAGATTCCTGAAAGCCTCGATGCGCTCCTGGAGATCCGTTTGCGAGGCCCGCTCGCGCGGCACCATGCAGACATAGAAGACCATGCGAGGGTTGCTGGGGATCGCTCGCAGGCTCTGGGGCAGCACCGAGCCGCCCTCGTGGACGAGCCTGGAATCCCACAGGACCAGCGAGCCGGCAGCGGCCTGGACAAAAGTCTCGCGGCAGCCGCGGTTGAAGAAGAACCTGGGGTGGCTGACGAAAACAAAGTCGTCGTCGCTGTCGAACGGGTACTGCTTGAAGTAGTCGTCGTAGTGGAGATGCGAGCTCTCGATGAGATGCAGCGACGAGTCGCCGTGGTGCACATCATACAGGGTGACCAGACCCTGGATGCACTGAAAGCCTGTTTTGGTGCGTCCCTGGTCGACATGGAGCCCATCAAGCCGCCCGGCCGAGGCCCGAGGACTCAACTCGCGGGCATCCGTCGGGAGCGGCAGGTGCACCGACAGTCCATCGAACGAACAGATGAGATCGGCCGGGGGCGTGGACCACAGGCGGGAGAAGGCCTGGACGACGTTGGGGTGCTGGCGGACGTCCCACAGCGACTGCAGGTGGCCGATATCGCCTCGATGCAGCAGCATGTCGTTGAGGGGCTCGAATTTGCTGCGATACTGCGGCCAAGTGCTGGCATTTTCATGGTCGAACTCGTCGCGAGTGATGTGCTTGAGTCCATCCCAGGTCTGGGCCCGCAGCGATTCGCATTCTTCGGGACTGAGGACGTTGGGGATGACGGCGATGCCAATGTCGGAGAGCTGCCTCATGGCGCCCTCGAGATCGACATCGTAATTCTGGTAGATGCGACCGCCAGGGCCGGGTGCGGTGGTGGTAGCTTTGGGCTGATCAGCAGCAGATGCGGAATCGGTGTCGAGAGAGATCATTTTGCAGGGCGGGCCGAGGGACAATGGCGAGTGAGCGGGCAAATGCTTGGCATCCCGGCAGCATCAGCAGACTCCAAGAGTCACGCGCTGGTGGAGATCGACTTGATGGGTTCAAGGCTCTGGTCTGGCCCAGCCAAAGACGCCTGGCTGCAATCTCTGGTGAGATGGAGCAGCATCCTGCTTGCGTTTGAATGGGATGTATTTGACTTGCATTACACACGCACACAGGTTATCGCTGTCCGGGCTCAAGCGGACATGGGTCAGCTAGCGACCAAGGGCCCTGAGCTTCGTCTTGGCGTCTGCGTCTCCCTGATCGGCTGCTTTGCGATACCAGAGCACAGCTGCCTCAATGCTCTGGGCAACCCCAACGCCATGCTTGTAGCAACTGCCAAGAGCATACTGGGCAGCCGAGTTGCCCTGCTCGGCCGATTTGGTGTACCATGCGGCTGCCTTGAAGTAGTCCCGGGACACCCCGTTTCCAGTGCAGTAGCATAGACCAAGGTTGTTTTGGCCAGAGGCATTGCCTTGCTCGGCCGATCTGCTATACCACTGGACCGCCGTAAGGCTGTCCTTTGGGACGCCGATGCCTTTCTCGTAGCAGTCGCCGAGGTTGTTTTGGCCAGAGGGGTTTCCTTGCTCGGCTGCTTTACGATACCACTCGACAGCCTTGCAGCGGTCGACAGTAACTCCCCAGCCTTCCTCGTAGCATCTCCCAACCATGTTTTGTGCATATGAATTGTCCTGGTTGGCTGCGCGGGTATACCATTTGATCGAGGAGGCGTGGTTGATCGGCCTTCCCCATCCGTTCTTGTGGCAGTGCCCAAGCCAGTGTTGGCTCGGGTCGTAGTCCTGGTTGGCGAGCTCCTCGAATATGGCTACGGCTTTGGTCTGATCCTTGGCAGTCCCCAGCCCACCGACAAAACATACAGCGGCGAGATGCTTACACAGCCAGTCCCGATCCGAGCCCAGCTGGCACAGCTCAAAGAATCGCCTCGCTGCAGGTGAATCAGATCCGACGGGGCTGCTTGTGTCCATGCACTCTTCGCCCAATGGAAACCCGTCCGCCTTGCTTTGGCGGATAAGCTCGATGCCGGCTTGCTTATCGAGTGATGTTCCGCGGCCGAGATAGCACAGCCAGCCCATCATGAAGGTGGCGATCGATTTGAGTATCGGATCAGCGGCCCTGCTCGTTTCTTGCCAGCAAACAAGGGCATCGATGTCATTTTGACCAAGCCCGATGCCGGCAAAGTAAAGCCAGCCGAGGTGAAAACAGGCCTCAGGATGCTTCTGGTTTGCAGCAGTCTGGAGGAATTGGGCGGCTTGGATCCAGAGAGGATCGGTGGCGAGCTTGTTGTTCGAGATGATTGTGGCAACATTCACGCAGGAATCCGGGTCGCCCTTTCGAGCCTGTTGCAGCAGACGACGAGAGACGTCAGGAAGCGACTCCACTTCTTTGGATGTTGGGGTCGATGGCGGTGGCGCGAACGAACTGACTCGTGGGATGTTTTGGGATGCTGGGTCTTTCCACCAAGATTGCAGCAGGACAGGACGAGAGACATCAGGGAGCGAATCTGCTTTGGATGTTGGAGACGGTGGTGGCGGCGCGAACGAACTGACTCGTGGGATGTTTTGGGATGATGGATCTGGCTCTGGCACTAGTTTTGAACTTGACACTGAGACCGGTGGGGAGGCTGATTCTGACACTGATTCGTTCGTCGATGCAGGAAGCGGGTCTGAGGGACCTGATGGGTATGATGGGCTTGGCAACTGGTACGGCTCCAGGAGGGCGAGGATCTTGGGGAAGGCTGGGCGTTGATCAGGCTCTTGGTGCCAGCAGCATTCGATAAGCGACCAAACATCATCGGGGATGCCGTCGAGTCGTTTCGGACGGTTTCCGATACGGACCTGTCTCTCGATGACTCGTTCGTGCATCGGCTGGTCGTTGTCTGTGACCCAGATCGGGTCAGCGTCGTTGAGGACCTCGTATACGGTGATGGCAAAGGCAAAGACGTCGGTCTTCATGGTGGTGCCGCTGGGTCGATCGTCATCAAGCATCTCGGGAGCCATGAATCCATCGGTCCCGACGACGAACGAATTGGCCTTGCTTCGATTCAGCGAAGCCGATGTGTTTTTGGTGCGGGAGAGGCCAAAGTCCGAAATCACGGCGCCATAGTGCTCGTCCAGGAGGACGTTGGCCGCCTTGAGATCGCCGTGGATGATGCCGCAGTCATGCAGATATGTCATTCCCGAGGCTATCTGGTGAAGCAGCCGGAGTTTCTCCTCGAGCGGGACAGGGCTGTCCGGGTCAGCGACGTAGTTGCGGAGAGTGCCGTTGGGCATGAACGGCGACACCATGAAAGGCACGATCGATTTGCCATCGACATCCCGGTCGCAAGCACCAACGAGGGGCAGGATGTGTGGGTGCTTGAGCTTCTGCCAGATTTCGATCTCGCGGTGATAATCGGCGAGCTCCTTCTTGGTGCAGGTGCCGAAGAGCTGCTTGATGGCGACTGGGGAGCCAAAATAGTCGCCGGTGAAGACCTCGCCAAAGCCACCGCGGCCGATGGGGTTGGCTGAGCGATCGGTGATATCACTGGGCGAGATGAACCACGAGGGCCTGTTGCTGGCTGCAGAGCTGGCGGGCGCTGGCACGGCCTGGTTGGCCATTCTCGACGGAGGGTTGGAGGAGGCGGGTGCTCGGATAAGATACCAAGAGAACGGAGGGAATGTGCGGCGGAGGCGGTTTGGAGCGGGGGATGCCATCCAGCCACAAAGCGGTCTCTTGCCTGAATGCGTGCTTGACGAGCACAGCCAACCCGGCTCGCCGTTTGGACAGAGGGGTGGTCGGTGAAAGAAAGGACACTGGCTGCCCCCGACTCTCCGTTGATCCGGCCGTGGTGACTTTGATTGTGGTTGGGATCGCGACGAACATGTGTATTCAAAGACAGAACAAAGTGGCGATTGGGCCCAAAAACGGAGGCCCCTGTTCGGTTTTTGCAAGAGAGAACTGGATATGGCGATGCAAAAGCAAGTACAATGCGAAGAGAAAGGGGGAAAAAGAGCAACAAAATGCGCTGAACAGGACAGAGCTGGACAGGACAGAAGAAGTATATACGAGAGTAGGGGCTGCAATGCAGAGAGATGCAAGACGGTCTATGTGCACGCAGAGATCCTGGCGGAAGTACCCAGGAGCGGGGGAGAAAGGGCCGGGGCCGACATTGGAGGGAATAGTACATGGCGCAGCATTTTCACAACGAAACGGGGGGAAGTGCATCCAGGACCCAGTTAACAGCGGGCCCTGGCTCGAACAGGAGATGTCCCATTTCGTTTCGGATGCGTTGTAAATGTGCTCATCGCAGCGGCGAAGGACCGGTAAACGACTAGAACGACTAGAACGACTAGAACGACTAGAACGACTAGAACGACTAGAACGACTAGAACGACGTGCAAGAATGATGTGGCAGCGTGGGGACAGCCTTGGAGGGCGGGCCGGGGTGATTAGGTGAGGTGGTCTATCGAACATGTGCAGCCACGGCTGGGAGAGCGCGGCAGAGAGCGAATGCAATGGGCAATATAGAGATTGAGTGGTGGCACGGCTGCGACAAGCGCAAGCAGGCATTTGCGGCGATAGCGAGAAGGGAGTCATAGAGGCATCGGCGTGAACAGAGAGAGGGCCTCAGTCGTCGCTTTGGTCATCGTCGGCATCGTCGTCGGCATCGTCGTCAGCATCGTCGTCGTCGGCATCATCTGACTGGGGATCAAGGTCGCTATCCTCAAACAGCTCCTCCAAGTCATCGTCACCTCGGAACGAGACTCGCTTTACGGTTGCTCGTGAGTTTGCTGACGCCTGGCGCTCACCGCCGGATGCAAGGGACTTGGAGCCGGCCTTGGATGCCGAGTTGGGCTGGGGGGGCTTGGTTCTTGGGGCGGGCACAAAGGCAACGTCATCGTCGTCCTCATCCTCGTCGTCGTCGTCGTCGTCATCGGCATCCTCTTCCTCTTCCTCAGCATCATCCTCGTCGTCGTCATCCTCATCGTCGTCATCATCGTGGTCATCGTCGTCAGCTCGCTCGGATTCAGAGTCGTCGTCGTCTGTCTCTTCATTTGCTTCGGAATTCTCCAAAATGTCCGACTCAGATTCGATCTCGATCTGTCCGATCAGCCACTCGCAGAACCGCCCGGCATTCTTGCGGAATCTGGAGGCTTCTTCCTGCGAGTGCTTCCAAAGCCAGGACCCGGCTTCATTGGCCGCGCTGTGTTGCTGCTCGCAGTACGCGGGGCTGTAAAGGCTCATCGACTCGGGATGCTCGAACCACTCGACAATACTGAGCGGCTGGACAAGATCGAGGTCGTACAGAATCTTGAGCAGCGAGTTCATTTTCTGGTCGCCGGCGATAACCTTGGTCTTGAAGCTCTGCAGGAACCTCTGTGGGGTTGATTGATACGAGATCGATGGCAGTGTTAGAGCCGCGGTTTGTTTGGCAAGGTGGTGTCTGGGGGGTGAGGCACAGCAGGCACACGAACCTCCACATCAAAGAGCAGCTGGACCTCGTCGCGCTCGGCTTCGACGTAGTGTTTGATAACGGCCTTGTAGTTTGAAAAGTACTGTGGCGGGGGAGCGATGGCGTGGTATCAAACAGCCGAATTAGTGCAAGAGAATCGGATTGCAGCCCAGGCGGAAACAGAGAAAGGGTGTAGAAGCTGTGGGCCAACTGTGCCAGCAAGGCTCCGTGGGCAACGAAGGACAATCAGAGTGTCGAAGCAATGGCGCCAGATGCCTGGTCGGGACCCAGAGCGAGCTGCAAAGCAGCAGACAGCTTACCGTGTAAGCCACGGACTCGAAGCACTTTCCGTTCGAGCTCTTGTTGTGCGGATTCGACAGGATCGAGACCACGCCGCAAGAGGTCTGCGGTGAGTAATTCGATTCGGTCAGATTGAGGAGCACCGACACAATCGCATCGACGCAGTCGGAGCGCGACACCGCACTGCGTTCGTGGAAGAGATCGTCCAGGGCGACAATCACATCGAGGTACTTGAGGCGCGAGATAATCAGCTGGGAGAGCATAACCGTGGCGTCCTCGTGGAACTCGAGTGACTTTTGTTGGAACGAGTCCGAGGGGTTCTCGAACGAGATGGAGACGTCGTTGTCCTGTTCACTGTCGCTGGCATCGTTTTCGTGGTCATCGTCTTTGTCGTCGTCATCGTCGTCGCGCGACTCGGTACGGCGGGTGACGGGACAGGGAGGAGCAATCAGGTACGAGTCGTCGTCCATGCAATACGTCGCGGTACGGTCAAGGCGGCGCTGCTGGTCCTTGAGCTTCTCAATCTCCTCGTCCTTGAGGTCGAGCTCGAGCTCCATGCGCTCGAGGTGCTCGCTGTGGCACTTTTCGACCATCATGCGAGCCTGACGCTCCTCCTGGATGTCGTTCTTGAGGGTGGAGACCAGGTCCTTGAGGATCTTGCGCTTTTCGCTGTTGACCTTGACGCAGTATTCGTACCGCTTGAGCTCGCGCTTGGCGATTTCGAGCTGCTGATGGAGGTACATATTCTCGGCCTCAAGCGACTCAAAGACACGCTGGGGGATACCTGATATGGGCGAGACTGGGCGGGGATAGTTGATGCTGTGGTGTTGGGGATTGGCCGACTCGATGAAACCAGCGTGCTGGCGGCACGACGAGGTCGAGGACACAAATGACGACGATAGCACTGAAGCATCAAGAACGGAAGGGCGGATGCAGCGCGGAACAGGCGCCTCGGGCTGGTCTTCCTCCGGAGAGGAGCCAACCGAGCCGTCTGACGAAAAGTCCAGAGAGGGCTCGGATTGCTGCGATGCCTGGTCAGCAGCGACAGCCAGCAACGGGTCAGGCATGTCGTCGGTCTGGGTGCCAGCGGAGATGACGGTAGGCGGCGTCCGCACGGACCCTGAGGCCGGCGGAAAGACAGGATCCCGAGGGTGCTCCAGGGACGAGTCGGCGTGCACAGCACGGGTGTGTGAGCGGGCCGGTCGATCCAGTTCCGCAGCGAATTCGACTGTCAAGGCGATCGGCGAGCCCGCAGACTTGATGTGCTTCATGGACTTTGATGCTTCGTTCATGGAAATGTAAAAGGCGACACAAGCAGCGGCCCCGAGAGCAGTAGCGGCCGTGGCAACCAGAGCGGGATTGGGCGAGCCCTTGTTTTTCGAGAACACGGTGACAGCCAGTCGAACGATGGAGTCGGTTGCTTGGAGATAGCCAGAGGACATAATTTGGCTGGTCTGGACGGGCAGCAGGGGGCGGGAGAAAGGAGAGCGAGCGAGATGTCGAGGGTGAGTGACATGAGAGTGACATGTCGAGAGTCACCCAGTGCAGACCAGCCGGTTTCACGGCGGCACAGAAAGCCAAGGCGAGAACCGAGGCATCCACCGCAATGCATCGATGGCGAGGGCACACTTACAGTTGGTGATCAGTGGATGACGGGAAGAAGACCAGACCCAGGGCAAGGCGGAAAGCAACGATGGCTGGGAGATGCGGGGGTGCTGATGGAGGCGATCGGGACGGAAGCGGTGCCGATGGGGCTGGGAGAAGCGGTGCAATAAATAGTGGTGACGGGGAGAAGCTGGAGACCCTGAACGAAAGCGACTTGAGTGGAAATAACAATCTTGCAGGCAATGGCTTTGTCGGCTTCGTCCAGCATAAACATAATGAAGGGAGGGTGCGATGAGAGTGCGTTTGTCGGAGCGCTTTAAAAGACCTTCGATAGGAGCGCCGTGTGGGAAGCAGGCGTGGAGGTCGACAAAAAAAGCAAGTAGGGCAGGAACGAGTGTGGAGGCAACGGATCCGACGGACTCTGAAGGTTATAGGGCTTGGGAAGCAGGAGATGGATGCAATTCGACCCGCGAGCGAGGAGGGGAGTGGGCGGCCGGACAGAATTAGAAATGCGACGGGGTCAATGAAACCAGAAGAGTCTCGGAGAACGCAGAAGAGCCAGGGAAGGGGCTGGTGTCGAAAAAGTCAGCAAGAGCAGACGGGGAGAGAGGGGGCGAAGGCTCAGCGAGAGGGCGGCGAGAGCGCGGCGAGACACAAGCGAGACGCCAGCGAGAAGGGCCTCTCCCTCGCTCTCGGCTGGCGCATCGCCGCCCTCTCGGACGAGATAGGGCGGCCTCGCTGCCCAGAGCAGCCAAGCCCCGCGTGACTCACGCCGGACGCATGCGCAGCAGCTTCCATCGAGCGCAGCCAGGTGGCCATGCTGCTCTGCCACCGTCCCATGAAGCGCCGTCGGCCAGATCAAATCACAATTACAATCACAATCACAATTACAATCACAATTACAATCACAATCGCAATCACAATCACAATCACAATCACAATCACAATCACAATCACAATCACAATCACAATCGTTCTATTCACATGCATGCTGCCGCCCGTAACAACCCTGCTCAGCGGTTCATGATCGCCATCTCGGCCAAGAGCACCCCGCATGCGCCCGCCAGCACAGGCGGCGTGATGCCTAGGCACCACAGCATGAACCGCCGGTGAGTGACCTCGCGAATCCCCGATTGGTCCAGAAGCTCGGACCACATCAGTCCCGCCAGGCTTCCGATAAACAGCAGGTTGGCACCGAGATTGCTGCCGATAATCAACGCAAAGAGGCTTCCGCGCTGGATCCACTGGGCGTCTTGCAGGGTCTTGTTCTGTCCCATCGTCAGCGACTGAAGAAAGAGCGGGTGCTGCAATGCCCGCGTGAACAGGATCGCCATCGGCAGATTGTTGAGCAGATTGCAGGCGATCGTCGTTACAAGCCCAATCGCAAACACGGCTGCGGCCAGGCTCGGGGCGAGCATCGCCAGGAACTGTGCCAGCAGCGGCGTAAACCCGCGGAACGAGAGCGCTTCCACCAGGACGAACATCCCGACCAGAAACGGGCCAAGCTTCCACGGCATCCGGGCTAGGATCTGCATCGTCACGAACCGATGTCGGCGAGCAGCGTCGCCAGAAAGCTCGTGCTGGTCGTCGGCGCCGCTATCAGTCTTGTCGTTGCCGTTGTCGTCGTCGTTGCCGTTGTCGTTGTCGTTGTCGAGCGAGTCCGTGCTGCCGACCTTTCGAGCCGGATCCGACGACGGATCGTGCTGCAGCCGCTTGTTCGCAGCAGCAGCATCTCCGGATACGGCTGCGGTTGGCAGATTGACGTCGGAGAGGTCCACCTCGGTACCCCGCTGAGTATCGACCTGCTGATAGACGGGCTCTGCCGTTGCGCTCGCTCGATTCCCGGCTTTGGCTCGTCGCCAGCCAAGCTCCAGGGGCCGCGTGTCGCCAGAGTGAGCCGAAGATGTCCCACGAGCCCACAAGTAGTCCGAGACAACATCCTTGATCAGCATCAACGCCGCAAACGGGAGCGTCAGGTACGCCACGTTGACGTTGGCAAACAGCGACGTCATCATCAAGGTCACCAGGCACACCAGCAAGACGGTCACTCCAAAAACAGCGCCGAACTTGTCGCGAATCGCATGATGTGTGCGCTCGTCCTCGGTCGTTTCAAACTGGCTCTCGGTCGGCGCCGGAAGCTCGGCCGGGATGAGCGATCGAAACCAGAAGAGCGAGAGACCATAGGCGATGGCAATCGACACCAGCGTCGGCAGCAGCATCCAGGCCGAGTACTGGAGAAAGTTGATTTGATAGGCCTGAGCGACGATGACGTTCGTGGGATTGCCGATGTAAAGTGCCATGCTGGCGATGTTGCACACAATGAAGGACGACATCAAAAACGACGACGGATTGACCTGGGTCGGAGGAGATGGCCGGTCGACAGGCCACACGCCGGTCGATGGGCCGCATATTAGACAGTGCAGGCAGGGTTTGCGCTTAGCCGACGGCAGTGGAGGACCAACGCTCACAGCCGCCGACAAAGTGGACAAAGGCTGTCGAACAGCCACCCGCCGCAGAATTCATAGGTCTCATACCTTGGACATCTTGGAAAAGTGGCACAGAATCGGGGTGACGGTGAGCACCACAACGTCGTTGGAAGTGAAGATGGTCATGAGGGTGCTGAGCACAAACATGTTTCGGAACAGCCCCATCCCAGAGCGGCCGCCTCGTCGGGTGACTTGATGAGCAATGAAGGCAAAGAGTCCGGACACATCAATCGAGATGCAAATATAGGCTGTGAGAGAGGACGAGAAGCAGCCGTCGACGTGTCAGCGGATCAGCAGCTGCAAACCAAGCACCTCTGAGAGCGTGCGAGTCTGCGGCCCCGGTCAAACCGACTTACCAAGAGCCAAGACCAGCAGGAGAATCGAATAGGGCTCGATGCCGTCTCCGCCGAGAAACCCATTCTTGAGCTGCTCGAGCCCGATGGTGCCGCATGCCAGCAGAACCACGATCGCCAGAATCGGGGTCGTGGCGAGATCAAAGTGGATGCGGATACGGGGCGGTACGAATCGGAGCCAGCTCAGTGCCGGCCGCCTGAACGAGCAGACGACGGGATGGACACAAAACACGATCACAGCTGCAAAGACGACCAGGACGAGGCTGAAGTGGCCCCAGGCGATGGTCTCGGGGGTGAAGCTGGCGCTCGTTGAGGGCGGGTCCATGACTGCTCCGTCGTTCCTGCGAGGCGCTGTGCCAGAAGTGAGGGCTGAAATGTGTTGGAGGGGGCAGGATGTTCGGGCGAACGCTGCTGCTCAAGCACGGTCGTTCAGGAACGACAGCAGACGAGCCGAATGGCGAGTGACAGAGCGGGCTTGCTGCTGGACAGGCGCTGCGGATGGTCTGGGCATGAGGGCGAAAGCTGATTTTGAACCGGTCCTCTGCGACAATGGCGAGGACCGAAAAAATCTCCGCGTGCGATCGGGCGACACCAATCATATTGCTGGGCTCGCAACAGAGTTTTTGGTCCAGCGAGAGACCGAGACAACCAAGACGGTGGGTCGATGTACAGGCAGGGCGGGCTTTGACCTGGGGCGCCGTTCGAGCCTGACTATTAGCAGAGTTGTAGTTGTCCGTGATGGACACTGGGGCGATAGAGCTGGGAGTGAGCATCGGCATCGGTTCGTGGATGGGTGGCACTTGACTATCGAGATCATCGACTTATGGTCAGTTCACGGGAGCGAATTCGAATGGCTCTCCACATCCCCACATCACCGCTGGGTCTGGCCATGTTCCCCAAGGCAGTGGATATTGCTTCCCCGAGTTGTTGGACGGGCTCTTGCCACTCGGGATGGCGCCAATGTTTGAGATGCAGCTCAACACCTCGAGGACATGCGATTCAGGGCCGTCAGCTCAACGCGATTCAGAGCCGTCAGACTCGCATCATCGGGCTTGCACCGGTCAGGAGAGCCTCGTCGAGTTCCGGGCTGCCGGGGAGCGGAAGCCCAGCCACGTTCTCGAGGGGCAAAGCGACTCCTGGCCATCCGGGACACAGCTCCTGGCGCGGGAATCCTTTTGCGGACAAATGCCACCCCCTCCGTCTTCTTCTTGGGAATCCGGGCGAGGGCTCAGCCGGGGGCGATGCCCATACTTTCGCTGGCCGTGAACGTCCATATCGACGCGGATGCGCAAATCAGGCTGCATCGGGCGATGGTATCAGGCTGTCTCGGGCGGCCACTCGTTCGCACAGGGCCAGGAGAGCCCGTCTCCGCCCGCTGCCTGGCCGTCCATCCTTGTGCCCGCCCCCTCTCCTGTCTGGCACGTTGTCCCTCAAATGCAGCCGAAAGCGGAAAGGACAGCCACCCGCGGTGTGTCGGTCGCACAGCAACAGCAAATTTGGCATGTGCCTGGGCCATGGGCAAAGCCCAAAGCGTTCGTGCCGTGCACGCATCTTGGGAAAGAGTGCTGAGCGGCTGCCTGTCGTGCGCCTGCAACCCGCTGGAGAGGGGGTTGGCTGCGGGCCGACAGCACAAACACCATTTGTCTCGGCGGCGGTGCTCGCTGGGACATTGGTCCAAGCAAGACAAGAGCCATCGCGGTGTCTGCATGAGCGGCCCCATGAGAGATTTGACGGATACCCTGGGGTATTTGACGGATACCCTGGGGTACTTGACGGATACCCAGCACAGGTTGGGAGCGATTGCATTGCATTGCATTGCATCGCACATGGCACTGCGCCATGGCTGTCCTTTGCGCCGGGGCGGCAAGCGACCAGGCACACTGTCCACAGAAGCCGTAACAGTCACGCATCTGTTCTCGTTTGCGCCGAGCGTGTTCCCCCTCTCGCAGTCCACCTGAGCTACCACCCGTCCTGCCACTGAGCACATTCGAGCCCAGCAGACCGGTTTACATTTCGGCAATTCCGTCCGCCACCCACCACCCCCTTCGCAATGGCGGCGGTCCACCCAGATCTGGTCGCGCCTGTGTTCTTGTCGGCGGCTTCCACGCCGGCCGCTCGGCAAGCTCAAAACCCCCCTGTTCGGCCTCGAGCCCCTCCTGTCATTTCCACATCACCGAACCTCATCGCCCATCACTCCCCCTGCCCCCCCGCCTCTGCCCACCTCTGTCCACCCCGTCCCCCTGGCTAACATGTCTCCGTCCTTGACCGATGTATTCCCCATCCTGATCTCCAGCGACGTCTTTATCGCTGCCCTGGATCTGCCGACCTTTGCCAGACTTGTCCGGCTCTCCAGATATGCCCGCGCCTTCCTGGACTGCGACTTTTACTGGAAGCGGATGCTGCTCCCGCATCTCGGAGCCAACGCCTCGGTCCTCGACAACCTCGACGGCAACCTGGACGTCAAGGCAGCCTTGCAGGGCCTCTTCTGTCTCGCGATGCGCCAGCGCCCCGACCAGCCCGACTCGCCGCCTTCCTTTCAGAAGGAGATTGGCTTCTGGTGGCAGGTCTATCACCACCAGGGACTGATGACCCGGCTGCAGCAGATTCCATGGCAGAAGCGGACCCCTCAGACCCCGCCGCTCTTCGCATCGCACCCGATGCACAACCCCATTGGGCAGCTGGGTGGGTCCGAGGACGAGGGCATGGCAAAGTTCCGATGGCTCGATGGCCGTCGGCTGATCGAGACCAACCCGAACTGGGACCAGAACCTGGTCGTGGGCCGGTACTCGACCCCGCCCATCTTCTCGGTCGTGCGGGTCGAGGCCCTGCGCTCGCTGCTGCCCCAGGAGCGGTTCATTCTCGAGCAGGCCGCCCACATCTCGACCCTGAGCCTCGTCAACTGCAGCTTCTCGACGCTCTCGGGCTGGCCAGACGAGCTGTCCAATGTCGAGGCGCTGGACATTGTCTTTTGTCTCTCGGCCTCGTTCGATCCGCTCTGTTTCTCGCCCTGGGTCACCGTCGACAACATGACCAGCTGTCGCGGACTCACGATACCCGCCCCCGATCTCCGTGGGATGCCCTCGACCATGGACATTCTCAAGGAGTTGGATCTGTCGCGCTGCGAACACATCCAGAGCCTCGCTGGACTGCCTGCCTCGCTGCCGTCCCTCGAGACGCTGATCCTGCCGCCGACCCTGACGACCCTCGAGGGCCTGCCGCCGGTCCTGGACTCGCTGCGGGAGCTGAACATGCTCCAGTGCGATCTCCTGGCCGACCTGCGGGGCATGCCGCAGCGACTGCCCGCGTTGACTGATCTCGATCTCCCGCCGGCCCTGCGATCCCTTGCCGGCATCTCGCAGCACCTCGACGCCTTCGACGACCCCAACATGCTGTTCAAGCTCGAGCAGCTGACGGACCTCAGCGGCTTCCCGAGCCGCATGCCCGCCATGAGGTCGCTTCTGATCCCCTTTCACGAGCGCTTCGACATTGGCTCGCTGCTCGTCCTGGCACAGACACACATCCCGTACCTGTCGAAGCTGCACGTTCCCGCCCGTTTCGCCAGCAACAGATCGTTCCAGTCGATCGCAACGACGCTCGGACGAGCACAGCCGCAGACAGCCATCATCCTGTACTAAGCTCGCCGTGTCCAGGGATGGGTGGCAGCGCGAGACCCGCCTGCTCTCTCCGGCGACGGACCTGAAAATATGCCCAACATCACTGCTCCGTATTGCTCGCGAATCTATACGCACGTGCTTAGGCCCTGACCACAGCCGCCATGCACGGCACTTCGAGTGTGTTGATGTTTATTTGTTTTTACAGTGTTTTTCTTGGATCTTTTTTTCTTTGCTCATCTGGCAAATCCCACCTCGCGGCCGTACCATCCTCATCGCCGAACTGCCGTCAAATACAGACAATTCAATAAATAGCAGGTTTTGGTCGTTGAACAAGTATTCTGTTGCCTCAAACATCGCGCGCTGGCCATGACCATTCAGTGATGCGTTTCTGGACCTGAATCAAGGACGCTTTCTCACTCAGATGGTTCCCCGCAAGCGAAAGACACCACCCAGGCGACGGCGATTCAAGCGGCTCGATCTCTAGGCGTGCTCGCAGTGCCGGGAAGCCAAGCGACTCGAGAACGCAGAGTATCTTGATATCTATACGCCATGGAACTGTCTAGAGGGTCGAGTGAGTGCACCACACTCACACATCGCCACAGGAGACCGACCGAGTGTAAGGACGGGGACAATCGCATGGCTTGCTCACTGGGGCCTACGGATCAGCAGTCCTGTGTCGCTGATGCCAGAAGTGACTGCCCCGTTTCTTTCTGGATCGACTATATTCGTGGCTTTCTCGCATGGCCACGCGATCCCCATCACTGGCCCAGAACCCTGGCACTCGGAATGCTCATTCAATCCGGCTGCAGCCAGGTCATCTTGCCTTTTTTGGGCAGGCGTGGCACTGCCCATAACAGGAAGGTGTGTGGGTTCGGGGTGTTGCCTTCTTGGGTCGCCGCTGCTTTGCGCCGCCAGCAGCATGTCCCGCAGCTTCTTGCTGGCCTTGATCCGCCTGGTTCCTGGCCTCGATCTTGCGCTCACTTCCATCGCTCATCATGCCAGGTTCGTGATCTGCGGTCGTTTGCCGTCTCTGTCCCGCAGCGATTTCGTCCAGGGCAGCCGGTGCTGGCTGCTTTCAGGATCCAGCCTACCGCCGCGGCGCTCTCTGGTCGCCGAGCCACTCAGATCTCTGCCACATTGCCCTCTGCAGGCTACAACGACTTTAGCTCCTTCAACAACAACAATGGCGGCTATGACGGAAACCAGATGCGTGGCGGCATGGGCAACTTTAACAATAATGACCGATTCGGCAGCATGAGCGGCGGCGGCTTTGGCGAGCCACATGCTCAGTTTGCTGGCGGCCATATGTCTCCGTCGCAGTCCCAGGGCCTCGGTTCTCCATCAAAGGGCAAGGTACACCACCACCACCTCCTCCACTGTCGTCAATGCTGGTGATCGGCTGCTTGCGCCTCCATCGTCGGTGTCTTCCAAGCTATCGCTGCATCTGGCATGCTGACTGATCATGCGTCGCTTTGCCTGTTCGTGTGTTTCGGTCCCCTGGCCTTCACAGATTCGCAACAACTCCCTGCGATCTGTTACGATCCGTCAGATGCTGAACAACATCCCTGGAATCGAACAGCCTCTCAGGATCGACGATACCGAGGCCGGCAGCGTGAGTGACACCGTGTGCTGCCGCCTGCCCAGCGATCGTCTTGGCGATGGCTTCGGTGGCCGCCTTCCCTCTTCGACTCGAGCTGCGATGTGAAGCAGGCTTCAACAGGCAGCGTACGCTCAACAATAGCGATTCTCCATTGCGCAGGTCACCTTTGTCGGACGCATCAATAGCATTTCCCCCATGTCAGCTTACACTGATATAGTCATCGGTGACGGCACCGGCACGATTGAAGTCAAGAAGTGGAACGACAAACCGGCCGGCGATCTGATGGATGGCTCCGACTTTGACGATGTAGATCCCGCTATCGCGTAAGCGTGCATGACAGCGCTTTGCTCTGCCCGGCTGTGAGCGATAGCGATAGAACGACTGTGGCCGCATCCATCGTGACCGTGGTACCATTGAACAACACTGCTCGGCGATCGAGGCTCTGACGATGGCATCTCGTAACGGCCGTTTTCTGTCAAATCCCGACACAGGGAGGGAGCATATGTCCGTGTCTATGGAGGACTGAAGGTCAGCGCCAAGGGCTACTTTGTCAACGTGTTCCAGATCCGAGCAATCACGGATTTCAACGAAGTGACCTTCCATATGCTGGATGTGATTTCCACACACCTCGCACTGACCAAGGCGCCCGCGGTAGGCCTGCCGATAGCGCGTCTTGCTCTGTGTGGAAGGGGAGATGCTCTGCGAGTTGACTTGCTGAGCTGTTGAGCACAGCTCCGCGGCGATGCGTGCCGTCGTATCAATCTGGTTTATCGCCTGTCTGATCACGGTTCGTCCTATGACTCTTAGAAAGCAATCGATGCGGCCAATGCAGCCGGTGCCATCGGTCACTCTGAAGCGCATGTTGGGAACTACGGGTTCGATAGCTATTCCGCCTCAAACATCGGGCCAGGCAATCCCGAATTTTCGAGGCTTCATTCGATGATCTTGAATGCCATGTCCACAACCTCCAGTCCTGCCGGAACTCATATACAGTCGATCATTCGGGCAATGCAAACGTATGCAAACGAAGCAACGGTCAGGTAAGAGCCTCAGCCAACAGGATCTATCCTTTGGGTGATGACGCATTCGGCTATGGGCAGTCCGGAGCCCCCGTCACGGCATCGGTCGTAGTTGTTCCGGCAAAATCTGGACCATCGCAACAGACTCTGACTCTCACTGCTCCTCGCAACAGAAACACGCTTATGCAGCTGGTTAATGAAGGATACGCCTACACCGGTGCTGACGACGAGCACTTCATAGCCTCCAACATATGAGCCTGGAGCGATGGTGCGACTACTGCCTTGCGACTGAGCCCAGCGAACTGCCCAATCGCTGCACAAGCATCTGTTCACAGCTGGCACCCGACGCCAGACGGTAGCCAGGCTACCGACTGTTCAACAGAACAGGACACCCTGCATAAATGCGCAATATGGCTATCTCTGGAATGAAATACACATGTGTCCAGTCGAAGTGTTACGTCGTTGTTGCGACCAGGCTCAGAGTCATTAGCGTCTGAGTCTCGCCATCCTGGGTGCAGAGATGATGATGCTGGAGCCCCAGAGCACCCCAGCACCCCGATCACGTCGAGGTTCGTTGATGCGTCGACCGCAGCCTCTGCATGTGTCTTTGCGAGGATGCATGTTCCTTGGAGCAGCGGACCGGCTCCGCCCGCGAGCATCCAGTCCGAACATTGCCGGACAGCTGCTCGGACCAGTCCGGAGTTTGGACAGAGCAGGGATGCATGATCGTGAGTGCAAGCCGGTGCACTCAATCCAGACAGAGATATCCCTCGATCGGCGTGATGGCTGCCTGGTGGTCGCCTGGATGGTCGCCTGCTGATCCTCTGTCGTCTGGACGGGCAGTTCCCTGAGCGCCAGCAGCAGTAGCAGCAGTAGCAGCAGCAGCAAGCTTGTCACCAGACACTGCAATCACCGTCGCAATCACCCGGCTGCTGCTTTCCCAAGCCCCTCCCGCTGGCGGTCGCTTCATTCGGACATCCTGCGCCGTCCGCCCTCTTGATTCCTCTTGATTCCTCTCAGCCGCCCAGCTTGTCTGCCCTCCTCCGGGTGCTGGCTCGGTCCGTTGCCCCAGTCCACCGACTCGGTCTACTGACTCATCGTCCCGACTCTGGCCATTACCGTCCCTCGCTTTCGTCGTCTTGATCTCCGCCCGTCCACCCGAGCCGATAAAACCCCGCTCGCGCCTTGCCCTCGGCCCTCCGATTCCCCTTTGGCTTTGCTCTGCTCTGATTTGATCTGGTCTGATCTGATCTCGCCATCCAGTCGTCCCAAAGCCTCCGGAGTGCTACTTGGCGGGTCGCACACTTCTCAACTCGACCCAATCCAAACGTCTCGACAGCCGCTCTCTGATCCCACGCGTTCGAATGCTCCTCTGATCGACCCAACAACGCCTCGACAACGTCCTGCTCGGCCTACAATCACCATAGTCACATCTATGCCGTCCAACCAGGTTGCCAGCCACTGCCCCGACATGGATAGCACTCCCTCTCGGGCCTCGTCCTCTGGTACCGCGGCCGACGATGATCAACCCGCGCATCGACACACTCCATTTTTCATGACCGGCCGTTTTGCAGACGCCAGCCTCTTTGTCCAGTCCACAAGCACCAGCGGTTCTGCCCATGCCGCATCCCGCGGCTTCCATGTCCCTGTCCACCGGGTTCTGCTGGCCGCCCAGTCGCCATACTTTGACCGCCTTTTCGACACTCCTCCCGTCGCAACCGACGCATCCCCATCGGCGTCATCCAACTCCTCCGCCAAACCCTTGGACTCCCTTCCCGAGTCTCCGCACGGCCTCCCCACCTGGACTCTGGCCCTGGACGACCACAGCGGTCTGCGCCATGTCCTCGAGTTCATCTACTTTGACAAGCTGTCCTTTGCCAGCCCGCTGAAGGAGGCATGGTCGGTCCTGCACCTGGCGCGCCTGTTCGAGTGCCCGCCCCTTTATGAATCGGCCCAGGATCTCGTGCACTCGGCCCTCAACAACTTTGCTCGCCCATCCGCTCAAGATCTGCGTGACGCTTTGGTGGGAGCCCTTCGATCCGAGATCCACAAAAAGATCATCGAGCAGATTCTGGTCATCATGGTCAGTTTGGATCCACCAGCCTTGTCGGCGCGGCTGCCATTCCGCAAGTACTTTTATCTGCGAGAGGCCCTTCGCACCCTCGAGGCCACGATCGAGGAGCGCACCCGCTGGTTCGTGGAGCTGGTTGCCTTTGACAAGTTCTCGGAGGACGAGCTCGAACAAGCTTGTGATGATGAGTACCTCCCGCGCGAGCTGATCGCCAATGCTCTCCGAGAATATTGGAGAAAGTCTGACTCGGGCTTCCGCAGCAGCCGAGCGCTGCTCCACAAGCCACCATCAGTCCCCGAGGATTCAGGCTGCGATATCCTGGGCGACCATGAATGGACTCAGTGGTCGCAGCCCGCCAGGCAAGGCTGGTCGTCGCCTCCCAACGCCCAGCCCAATGGTCTGTCGTCGTCCCAGCAACCCGTCCGTCCTGACGAGACTCTTTCGGCGCTGCCCGGTCGTCTTGCCCAACCGGAGCTTACCACCAGCCGAGACACCTTCGTGACGGCCTCGGAAGAGCCCGCTCGGGCAGACGAGGACTACATCCTGCCAGAGCCCAAGCGTATCGTCGACAGCGTTCGGATCGTCAAGGCCAGAAAGGGCGTGCTCGTGCCGAGTACCGGCCGCCGCAAGGGCACGGCCAACCGGGTGACTTGGGCCAAGTCGCCCACAAGAACCAAGCGGCGCGACGTCCGAGAGGCATTTGCATCGCTGGAGGACGAACAGGGTCACAGCGCCGATAAGCAGAAGCAGAAGCAGACTTTCGTCCAAGGCCGAGACTCTAATAAGGAGCTGGAGCACCGCCGCCGCGACAGCAGCGACGACGAGCACCTGGTCCCTGACGAGCACATCGCGCATGATGATGATGACGATGACGACGACGACGAAAGCGACCATGAGGAGCATGGCAGCGGCGCCAACGATGATCATAGCCTCAGTCAGCACGAAGAGCATCCAGATGATCGATATGGATTTGGCTCTCGCCATGCCAGAGTCCAAAGCAGCTTCAACCCGAATGGAGACTACCAAGCAAAGCAAGACCGCATGCAGGCAAATGATGATGACGCCGGCGATGACGATGACGATGAAGCCAACTCTGTTCATATCGCTATCAACTCTCGATCCAGCCCGCGCGTTGGGCGAGGGCCCAAGGCCAGCTTGCACCTTGTGGCAGCTCCCAAGGACGCTGAGCAGAGTGAGGAGGCCCAAGAAGACGTTATCTTTCATGTTCGCAGCAAGAGCGATCCACTCTTCCGGTCGGCAACAGGTCGTCAAGCGATTCGACAACGAGGTCGTCTGAATAATCTCGGGGAAGAGTTGAGGGAAACCAGAACAACGCATGGTGCCGGCAGCGACAGCGACGATTACAAAGTTGTCTCCATCAAGCACAGGTATATGGGCATTGACGACAACATTCATGACAACGACGACAATGACGACAACGGCGACATGCAGACCGAGCTTTATCACCCGTCGTCCAAGCTGCCCATCCGAGGCGTCGATATGTATTTGGACGACACACCTATTAAGGAACCGCTGAGCTTTGTCGAGGCCCAAGTCCTCCGGATCGAGGGCCGCGCGATCCCAACACGCAAGATTCCAACACCGGAGCTCATGCTGAATGTTGCCCGGCGTCTATCGATTGTCCAACAGGAGGCCACAGACACCAGCGAAGTAAGTAGCGGCTGCAGTCTTGGGGCCTGAGGGGTGAGATTACTGATATCGATTGAGGTTGTGCACGCCCTTGCTTTGCTAACCAGCCAGACTGGCCGACTCCACAGACACCAAGTTTCTCGGATGCCGAGGGAACGACAAACTCTGTGTTTGCCCCAGGATACACTCTGGTCAGGCCTGGAGCTAATGCAACCTCGTTAGAAAAGCTATCGGCCTCCCAGACTGCGACACCCACGAGCAAACTCGGACACAACTACATCGTTGGCGAGGACGGAGTGACTGTCCATAGAGTCGACTCTGTGGTCGCCAAGGGCCATGTGGGCAGCAAGGGATCCAAGGCCTCGTCGCAAACGACTCGCTCGTCGCTGGCCGAACAGGAAGGATCGGCAACCGGCAGCGCAAGTCCCGGGCAGAACACTAGCCACACACCCGAGAAGCAGACCTACAGCCTGCTGGAGCGGATTCAGTTGGCCATGGCCGAGGACTCTGCTGGATCGTCCGGCAGCTCTGCTGTCCTTCAAGCGCCTTCGAGCCAGGCACAGAGCCACGGCGCTCGGGTGCGTCAGAACTTGTCTGGTACCGGAAGCCGCCCCAGCGACAGCTCCGAAACCCACCCGACAAGCACCGCCGAGAGTGAGAATCTGCCGAGCCGGACCCGCGGCGTTGAGACCACCGCTCTTGGGGCCAGCAGATTCACCCGATACACCGACACACCCGAGGGAATGAAGTCCATGGGCCCGCGGTCTGCTCCCTTCCTGCAGTACTCTCCACAAGGGTCGGACACTCGTCTGGGCTCTCGAGGTCGGAGCGACGCCGAGGTCGGAGCGACTGTCCCAACCACAGGGCTTCCTGACCCAAACCGGTCTCTGCGGAGGCCGCGCAGCGGCACAGGCTCCATCCGACCGTTTTCAATCGCCGAGGACCTGACCGATGTGCGTCTCTGGCAGAACGTTGGCAGTTCGATTGCAACTTCGACCGTTCGCGGCGCCCAGCGGCTCCGAAAGGGCACCAAGAGGATGGAGAAGTGGGTCAAGTCACTGATCGAGCCAGACCAAGAGAATGATGCGGGAAGGTGAAAACTCGGCCCCGCGAGGCCCGCCGGCCCAGAACTCCCCTCCCTCTCCAAGACACACGATCCGGCGTATCCATGACGTTTTCTCTGCCTTCCAAACATATCCGACCATGGCGCCCGATTCTGCCGCCAAATGCACCTCGGCTTGCTGCTGCCCTGCGCAATCGAGTGCACCTCCTCTATCAAGTCCCATCCACCATGTCAGGTTTACCAAGCCCAATATCCTGGGCACAGATTACTGCGTTCAATATATCTTGTTTGTTTTACTGGACGGAAGCAGGCTCGCCTGGTTCATCGCAGGCCATGTGTGGGATTGGGCTCCAGTCTTGGTTGGCAATCGGGGTAATTATGGCTGCTTTCGGAGCGCAATCTTGAAGACATCTGGACAATCTCCTTGGACAGGTAGTTTGATTATGGTGGATTGCTGTGTTTCCAGGACACGGAAAACATCGACCGCCCGCCGCGCTCTCACGGCATGACGGTAATCAACAATCACAGCTTTACATGTGGTCCCGATCGACCGTCGATTTCTATGGGCACGAGTTCATATTGATATCTGATGTAAGCCACAACACAAACATGGGCTGTCCCTCAAGCGCAGTGCTGAGGGAGTGTGGGGCCGGGGGGCGATATAGTACAAGGGGGGGGGTGACGGAGGGCGAGAGTTGGGGGCGGGGCGATTGCGGCCCTTGGGTGGCCGCAGCCTCAACTTGTAGCGAATTACACATATGGGCTCTGTGAAATAGGACAGGGATTTTGGGTGAAGGACGAAATAGAAAAGGGACGTAAAGACAGCTCTGATGTAGAATCAATAATTGGACAATGGAGAGATCGAGGGTCGCATGCAACAAACACAGCAGGAAGGCGTCCTGGCAAGGAAGAGGAGGAGGAGGAGAAGGGAAGGGCTGAGGGACAGGCGGCGTTTCGGTGGCAGCAAGGACTATAGCTCAAGCTGGTACTTCATCCACTCGTACACCAAGAAGGAGACTGCGTGCATCGGAGCCACCTTGACAAAGCCAATGCTGAGGCCGACAAAGAAGCCGCGAATGCCGCGCTTGCGGTAGATCTCGCGAGCGGTATCGAGCGTGGTGCTGAATCGCTTGCTGCGGTGTTTGACCGTGGTCTCTTCGACCTTGGGATCTGGGACAGGGACACCCACCACGGGAGCGAGACCGCCGCCGAGGCTGCTGGTCAAGGTGCCGGCCACTTGCATGTGCCTCCGAATGACTTCGAACGGGTAGCTGGCAGCCTGGCCGATGCCACCCGAGATGGCGCCACAGCACAGGTACACCCACGACTGAAGCTTGGGCTTGAAGGACGCATCAAAGCCTGTTGCTTCCCACTCGTGGTAATTCTTGATCGTCCAGGGCGACCGGTGCCCCTGGACAAAGAACCGCTTGATGTTCTCGTACACCGCAAAGGACACGCCGGCGTACGGAATCATGCCCCAGAGTGTTGGGAAGAAGCCTCGATAAAAGTTGGTGATGCCGGCGATGGGTTTTAGAGCGCCGTGCGGGTTGTATATGAATACGCTGGGCTCGCGGTAAATATCGCGACAGATCGACAGAATGCCCCACGACTTTTTCTGTGTAGTTGTCCGGACTTCGTATGCCAGACGGACTCGGATCAGATCGAGGGGATAGGTGAACAGGACGGTGGTGATGCCTGGAGTGGGGGGGGGGTGGAATATCAGACCAACAGAGTCAATGCGGGGTTAGGGGGAGGGAAGCACAGGAGCGGGAACGAATGTGGCTGTTGTGGTTGCGTACCTGCCGCCGATCCAGCCAGCGTGTGCTTCCACCAAACCTCGTCGGCCTTGGATGGCATCAGCAGATGCTTGTACTGCTCATACGACATGAACTTGATGGCCGCATACGGGAAGATCCGCAGGACCGTGGCCGAATGCCCTTGAAACAGCCCTCGGATACCGTCCGTGGCCAGGATGTCGCGCGTGGCTGTGAACATCCCCAGAAACGAGCCTGGATGGCGAGGGCGACACCAAATGCATGTGCACAGGCAGAAAGGACGAGAGGGTGTGAGATGGGGTTGCAGCGATCGGCATCAGGTCGCCAGACCGAGGTTCGATGCCATTCTCGAGCAAGGCGCAGGTGATGGCAGGATCGAATCGAGCCAGTCGACGAGCGGGTATAGAGGATGTTGGTCCTCGATGCGGGACAGATAGACAAACTGGCTTGGTGGCAGGAGTAGAGCACATCTGTGCTTCCGCGACATGAGCCAGACGAATTGACCCTGGAACGGACCTGCATGGCGAGCATAGTGCGGATTCGAAGTCTGGAAGAGGATCTTGACACGATCCAGCGGCGCAATGACTGATTTTGCGGCTGCACCGGCCACACCGCCGGCGATCAGTGACTTGACGATGTAGTCCAGAGTCTGCTTGTCGCGCGAGGCAGGGCTGGATCCATCAGAGGACGGATGCGGCGGGTGGGTAGAGGTGCCGCCTTCAGCGGGTTGCGGTGGGCTCATTGCTGGCCGAGGAGCTGAGATGGCGGAAAAGAATGCGGGGATCGATATGCTGAGCGACCTGGGCTGGGATGGAGAAGTTGTTGCGAAAGCCATGAAGCGTCAGTGATGGCAGCGGCAGCCGCAGGCGTCGGACAGGCAGCGGCATTAGATCGCAGCCTAGTTTGCCCAGTTTGCCCAGTTTGCCCAGTTTGCCCAGTTGACTCAGTTTGTTCGGTCGAGACGATGGGGACATTGCGACGAATCGCAGCGAGGTGCACTCGCTCACCTTGGGATGCTGCGACGGTCGAGCGGAGAGCAACGCCGTTGGAAATCGGGTATCTTGGAGAGACCGAGAATAGGAGCCAAACAGAGGCGGCGGCGTTGGGCTGGGCCGGGCAGAGATCCGAAGGCAGGAAAGCGCAGGCTTGCCGGAGCACGGGGTCGGCGAGAGACAGACAGACAGAGACGCAGCAGCCGAGGGTGTGCCCGCAGGAACAGTCGCAGGAACGGTCGCAGGAACGGTCGCAGGAACGGTCGCGGATGAAGGCGACACTGACTTGGCCGGTCTGTCGGTCGGAGCGTCGGTTTTCTCCAACGAAACTTTTTCGGGATCGGCTGTGGCGACGCAGGCGTGTGTGTGTGGCCGCGGGTGTGTGCGACGCTGTCCGCGCTGCGCACACACAGAGTGTGGCCGTGGCTCGCGCGCGCCGCTTGGCCGCCTGCGCCGCCCGGAAGCGATCCCGGCGCTGCTGATTGGGCGGCGGCCGCTCTCCGATCGAGCGAGACGCGGCGAGACGCGGGCGAGAGCCCTCCCCCACACACAGCCGCCACTGTCGCTGCTGCTGCTGCTGGCGCGCCTCGCTCCTCGCCCGGCGGGTCGTTCACGTGCCAATTCCGCTCGCGTGTCAAATTTGTCCTTGTTGCGCGTCAAGTCAACACACGTGACCGTCGCCGTCGCGATTCTCCGCTCGTCCTCCGCCCGCCCACCCGCCGTTGCCTCACATGAAGTCGGCAGCCGAGGGCCGGTTCACCCGCGCATACTTTGGCGTCGGGGCCGCTTCGGATTGCGGTCGGTCCGCCTCGCGCTCCCGCTTGCTGCTCTGCGAGCTCTCTGGGGCGACTGTGCGTCCCAGCGACTCGGCAAACCGGCGATAATCTTCCTCCTCGCTCTCGTCGTTGCTGTCGGCGTGTCGGCCATATCGCTGCGATCGGTGCTTGCTTTTCTTTGAGCTGCTGTCGCGCTCCCGGTCGCGGTCACGGTGTCGGCTTTTACTGGGTGACCTCTTCTCGTCCTTCTTCTTATCCTTCTTATCCTTCTTCTTCTTGCTCTTCTCTTTCTTGGACGATGATCGCTTCCGTTTCTTTGCATCGCCGTCATTCCGGCCACCGCTCTCGGATTCGCTCGACCCCGAGTCGTCGCTTGCGCCATCAGACGCGACCTTGCCGTGTCGAGCTCTGCTGCCAGCGGAGGCTTCGTCGGGCTGTGTCTGAGTCGCGGCCTGTTCTCCGGACAGACTATGTGGCTTGTCGGGCACATCGCCGGGCGCCCGTCGGGAGGCAGCGTGGGGTACAACCTGGGGCTTTCCGGACGTTTCCTGGATCGTCTCGACTGCCTGGTGGGCTGCTGCAGTGGTTTGTGGCATGGTTGGGATCGACTGAACCGTCGGTGGCTCTGGGGTGGTATCGGGTGCGGGGGCACTTGCCGACGATCCTGAGGCGTGCCCAGAGCCGGAGAAATGGAGCTTGAGCTTCTTCTTGTCGACAACGGGCTCCTCATCCCACTCGGCAATCGAGGCGATCCTGAGCGATCCCTTGGCCGTGCTCGACAGCCTCTTCTTGGCATCGGCGGATTTGCCCAGGGCAGGCTCGCCTCCACTATCCGTTTTTTTCTTTGTAAACAGAGGGCGGAATGTCGGAGGGGGGAGAGGCACGGTCTCCTCCTCTCTTGCTTTGTCGGCCGTGGTGGATTGTACAGACGGTCGAGGAGCAGGCAATTGCAGTTCTGCTGAACGGGTAGTCTGGAGATGTTGGTTGAGTTTGGATAGGGAGTCGCAGGTGTTGTGCGGAGTTGTGGTGCCAATGCAAATGGATAAAAAAGCAACTGCATTAGCGAGATGTGAATGCAGCGCCTCGGCATGCTCATCTGTCTTCCAGGTGCAAACATGGCCGTCGAGTAAGCAGTGCTCTGCATCCAAGCAGACGAGCGCTTGTACGGTGCTCATCGGTCGGTGCGGAGTCGACGCAGAATATCCACACTCACCGGTCCTGTTTCGTCGTCCGAGTTATCGCTGTCGCTATCGTCAAATATGGCCTTGAAAATGTCCATCGGCGGCCGCTCCACATTCAGGTCGTTCATGACACCCTGTTCCGGAGTGACAGCCTCTGCTGGCGGACTCGAGAGCGATGGACGGGCGGTGTCTGTGTGCGACTCGAGCTTGCTGATGCGGGCTTCGGATCGGCTCTTGTCCGCGGCCTGGAGCAGCTTCTCCATTGTCTTTTTGTTGAGGATGCTCTTGTCCTCGTCGGGTCTGCCCGATTCGTCCTGATCAGCCCGATCCGGGTGGGGCGCTGCAACATTGAACCGTTTGCACAGCAGCCGCTTTGGATACCAGGTGGCTTTGCTGCGGGTTTCGGCACCGTAGTTGCGAGTTTTCGTTGGCTGCATAGATCCAGTGTCGCCCAAACGAGTAGCCATGGTGTTCGCACAGAGGTTTGGCTCAGTGGCTGATGATGCAGAGTCATGATGCTTGTGCTCATGTGCCAACCCTCCGACGCAAGCAACGACATACCTTCGAGTCGCTTGCACCAGAACCCAGTCCTCCGTCGCTGCTCGAGACAAACCTCGAGGACATCATTGACGACATGGGCTTGTAAATCAACGCCGCCTTGCTGAACTCTCGAATCTCGTGCTCAGCTTCGTTTCGGGTAAAGCTCTGTGGAACCAACAGCCATCGCACGAGTTAGGTGCTGGGTCAAGAGTGCTGGGTCAAGAGTGCTGGGTCAAGAGTGCTGGGTCAAGAGTGCTGGGTCAAGAGTGCTGGGTCAAGAGTGCTGGGTCAAGAGTGCTGGGTCAAGAGTGCTGGGTCAAGAGTGCTGGGTCAAGAGTGTTGGAGGATCCGAGGGCTCTCTCCTCTGTGCTCGATATGACTATCTCGGCATTCGCCACGAGCTTCACGGCCGACGTTTGGATACCGCCGACTCGGGAGCAGCCCAAGATGGGCTCATCCAGATACCCACCGCGGGACAGGGTATGATCTCTGTCTGCAGTCCAGCCTTGAATTCCAGGAAGCGCTTGTACCGTGCCTGCTTTTCCGGCTCGTTTGCAAAGGGAATGAACCCCTTCAGCGCCATCAGCGCCACATCCTTTTCGACCTTGGGGGCTCCAGAAACCTCCTCGACCGACCCATCCTTTGTCCGGGAGACTTGGCTGAGGAAGTCTGTCAGCTTGTCCTGCTGCTGGATGGACATGTACGAGAATACGGACCGCGATGGACCCTTGAGGGCTTCTTCACCGAGAATGTCCCGCCGATCATCGGCTGAGAGCTGCTTGGGCCTGCGATCGTCGTCAGGAACCCGCGGTCGGTCCGAGTCTTTGTCTGCAGCAAAGATATGCTGTTCGTTGAAGTCGTCTGGCACCGACGGCGGTGAGAACCTGAGAGTTTGATGGTCGAAGGGAACCATACCATACCGTCAGGGTGGATGTGAATACGACGTACGGTCCGTCCAGACAGTCTCGGAGGGACATGCTGCCAACAGAAACGACTGGCTATCGATCGTCGCTGTGCACTCACCACTCCTCGTCCAGGTCACCATCGGCTCCAAGGACGAAGCCGTCGGGTGGAACGCGGCCGTCTCGGCAATGCGTGCGTCCAAACGCACCTCCAATCTTGGCAGATACATGCTGCGTTATCCTGGTCCGTGGCTGAGGCACCTCAGTCGTCTCTTGGTCGTGAAACCTTGCCACAAGGTCATGGTCCCCCAAGTCGGCATGGTATTCGCTTTTGGATCGCACTCCATAGACGTCTTCATCATCGCCATCGTCGTCAAGGACACCGACTCCCATACTTCCTGTGTCCGGCGGAGCGGTGCCGATAGATAGGGCCGATACCCATGGTCAATCGGGCATCAAGCAAGTGTTGATATTCGTGCATCGTGTCCCCTCCTCCATTCCACCCGATTCCGCCCCCTGTGGTAAGGACAGCGCCTACCTTTGATTCCCATGAATCGCTTCCCGTCGTCTTGAGGCCCTGATGCGCCTGGGCGTCCTGAGCCATGTGAACGACTGAACTCGGGAGCATTTTTGAGAGGATCAAACCCGATTCCAAACACATCCGTTTTCTGCTTCACGACAAGCAATGCTGTGTCGGTTGGCGCGAACGAATGCCCCGTCGCATGGATGTCGTCCTCATATGTGTCTGTGAAAGTGGCAGCGCCGGCGGATCAGCAATCCCAGATACCATCGGCAACCTCAGACACCATCGGCAACCTCAGACACCATCGGCAACCTCAGACATCACCACAACCTCAGACACAGCTGGGCTTCCAATGTCTCTGCCATCCATTGGGTCGGCCGGGCCTACAGAGCAGACGAGCACTCACCTCGGCTTCCATGGGCCTTGCGCTTGAACGAAACCCGTGCTCCGATACCCTGGCCTTCGCGCCAGCCCATTTGTCGCAGTAACTTGATGCCGATCGGGTCTGCCGTTGGCCCGATGAGATCCTCGACCACGCTCGACGACAGAGCTAGAGTGCCGCCCTCGCTCTCGGACACAATCCCGGCTGTTATGGCCTTTCGTTTGAGGGCCTCGCGTTCTGCTGATCCGTACTGTTCTGACAGGGCCAGGTTGCCTCTGCCGCCAGTGAACTCCTATTGTTCCAAGGGCAAAGAGACATGGAGTGGGGGTGAGGGGGAGGGATTCTCCCGGCGATTGCCCAGCGGCATTCAAAAACCAACCTCCAGATCTTCCTCGTCCATAAAGTCCTCCTTCGACTGACGGCCGACATTCGTGCGGCTGCTTCGCGAGGTCACGAACTGTTTGGGCTGCCATCCTTCCTTGGATCCAACGGTATTGAAGTGGCCGGCAGAGAATCCGCCAGTGAAGGCTCCATGAAATCTCTTGCGGCCCTGTTCGTCTCGTACCTGGATATGGTAGGTTGCGAGAGCGATTGCGGGTCAGATCCGGTGTCGCCGCTCGACGGATCCTTGAGCGGCCGCAGTGCCATCCAAGTCAACGTGAACTCGGTTTCATTATCCTGCACCCATGGCAACGCTCGCCCGAGCCCAATATGGAACCAGTGTCGCTGGGTACCTCCTGCTTCCACAGAGGCTGGTATGAATTGCGATCTTTTGCGCGGACTTGCGAGAGATCCTGAGGCTGTGGCGTGCCGATGGAGACATATGAGGGCTGCTCCAGGACGGAGGACGGCGCTGGAGTGCGTTCTGAGCGGCGGGACATGCTGGACAGCGACGCTTCTTGCGGTGTGCGGGTTGTGATGGTGTCTGAGCAGACAGGCGGCGGTCGAGAGGGAAAGGGACGCATGGATGATCCCACACGCGACTCTCGCCGAGAACGCTCTCGCTCCGATGACCAACTCGATGCTGGTGGTATATCTGGGGAGCCAGTCGATCGATGACAACGGATGTCGACGGGGCGTGCTCGAGAATGCATTCCCGAGACGGGAAACGATCGCATGGCCGGTGCTGCCGATTATCGGGGCATCAGGGCTGGTTTGCTTTCCGCTGTGGCTGTATTCATGGCGATTTCCCAAAGAGCACCAAGCACCGTCGCCAAGAATGGCCTCGAATGCACATCGCCGATTCAAACGAAGCGCACCGCACGATCATCTGTCTCTGCTTCAGATGCGCTTGCGCACCCAGGCCTCCAGACCGCCCTCGACGACGAGCTCCTGGGCAGCCTTGCCCACGGCAGGAGCTTGGTACACTCGTTTGCTGTCGGCAACCTTGACCTCGCCGCCGACAAGATCCCAGTCGACCTTCCAACCGGTTCGGCGAGTCAGCACGGCTGACTGCCCGCTGAAGGTCTTTCGCAAGTCCCCGACCAACACGGGGTGCTCCAGCACTGCCAGGCCGTTGTTGATGGCGTTGCGCTTGAAGGTCTCGCTGAAGGATCCAGCAACAACCAACTTGATGCCCGCAGCGAGGAGCGCCGTGGCGGCCTGCTCACGAGAGGAGCCCGTGCCAAAGTTGAATCCGGCAACGAGGATATCGTTCTATCGAGCAGATCAGATGCCCGGGTATGAGCCTCCGCGGCAACGACGACCGCAGCCAAGAGAGGGCGAGCAGCGCATCCGACAGGGCAACACTCACCTGCTTCACCAGCCCAGAGAAGGCGGGATCGTAGTTCTCCATCACCACCTTCTTCATCGTGTCGAGCGTAATGTCGTCCTGGTAAGTGTACTTGCCAGGGTAGATTCCGTCGGTGTTGAGGTTGTCGGCATCGACAAAGATCAACTCGCCCTTGAGATGGCGCTCGAATCCGGCCACAGTCTCGGGCTCAGCAGCGCTGGCACCGCTGGCGGCAGCCTGGGTCGGGGGCTTGTTGACTGTGATGGTTGACACAGGCTTGCTCCAGTACTTGATCGGGATATCCGTAATGGTCGAGACAGGGTTCAGAGGCGGCAGAGATTGCGGCGATGCGATTCTGCCGAGGACAGCCGAGGCGGCCACAACGGCTGTGGGAAAGGCAAGGCGAAATGAACGATTAGCCCCACCATCTTGGCCGTGCGACTGCGTGGTCCTCTCTGGATCCTGGCGGTTGCCATCCCGATTCGTGGCTTACCTGGCGACGAGAGGTAGGCTTGTGCCAGCGGTGATCCCATGCGGCCCTTGAAATTGCGGTTGGTGGCCGAGATGCCAACTTCGTTGTCCTTCAGCAAACCCGTACCAAGACCTGTATGGCAAAGTCATTAGCACAGCGCATTGCCGCCGCATGCGTCCTCGCTTCCCCGTCCAACAAGCCCCAGGAGAATCGAACATACCGATGCAGGGACCACAGCCCGCCGGCAGAGGCCGTGCCCCGGCCTCCAGCAGAATGTGCCAGTCGCCAGATGCCTCGACTTCAGCCTGCACCTCCGTGCTCGCCGCCGCGATATAGAACTCGACGCCTTCGGCAATCTTTCTGCCCTTGAGGATCTTGGCGGCCGCGCGCAAGTCGCTGGCGCGCGAGTTGGTGCACGAGACGAGATAGGCTTTGTGGATGCGAATGCTTTGCTTCTCGAGGTCGGCCAGGGACTGGGAGGCCTTGACCGAGTTGGGCCCCGAGATCCAAGGCGAGACGGTCGAAAGATCGAGCGAAAGCTCCTTTGCGTAGTAGGCATCGCGGTGGGCCTCGACGGGGTTCTGCTCGAGATGCTGGATGCGCTCGGGGTTGATGCGAGGGTGGGGCTTGCCGCCGAGGCGCTGCGAGAGCTGGGTGGCTCGGAACTTGTACCAGTCGAGCAGGCGCTTGTCGATCGGGAAGACACCGGCAAGGGCACCCCACTCGGTTGTCATGTTCGCGATGGTGAGGCGCTCGTCGACCGAGATGTTGGCGACACCAGGCCCGGTGAACTCGATGGCCGAGTTCAGGACCTCATCCTTGTTGAAGGTGCCGCAGAGGGTGGTGATGACGTCCTTGCCGGTGACGCCTTCGGGCAGCGAGTTGAGCAGATTGACTTTGACGACAGGCGGGATCTGCCACCAAGTGCGTCCCGTCGCCCAAATGGCGGCAGCATCCGTCCGGACGATGGGCGTGCCGAGGGCGCCGATACCGCCGTACATGTTGGAGTGTGAGTCCGAGGCAACGACCATGGTGCTTGGGAAAGCATAGCCCTCCTCGATCATGATTTGGTGGCCGATGCCACGGCCTGCGGGATAAAAGTCGACGCCGTGCTGAGCGGCAAATGCTTCAATCGAGGCATACTTGGCCAGGTTCTGTTTGGAGAAACAAAGTCCAGGCATTAGAATGAGCAGCACAGTTGCGATTTTGTCCTCTGCCCCGGCCGATACAGCACCTTTTCGGTTTTGTTCTGGACATCGTGGTCCAGTGTGAACACGGGCTGTCGCGGGTTGTTGAACTTGCCCGCACCGATACTCTTGAACCTAGACAGACAGTCAGGGCAGGTCAGGTTAGGGCAGGGCAGGGCAGGGAAGAAAAGCCTGAAAGGAACCAGCGGACGTGCAGTTCGATTTCAAAAGCACCATTGGATTGAAGCCGCTGACCATCCGGGGCATGATTTCTGTGCGAGACAACCGTGGTGCGGATGCGACCCGAAGGTACTCAGGGTACTTGCTTCGAGACGGTGACTGGGAACTCACTTGCTCATCACGGCACCGGTATTATCGTGGGTCATGACGTGCTCGGGCTGGATCGAAACAAAATCGCCCTGCTTGACAGATCCCTGAGCATCGACCGTGTAGGTCTGGACGATCTTCTCGACGAGGGTCTGAGGATGGGCGGCGCCATATCGCTGGGAGGTCGAGAAGCGTGCGAGACGCAGGCTGCGGGGATGCGGCTGGCGACGGGCGAGCACTGTTTGGATCTGGACAGAGACGAGCGACATTGTTCTTGCGGCGGGGACGGGAATGCTGGACCAGCAGGCAAAGAGCAGGACGGGCGGAGGAAGAGGGATCGCGGCAGACGATCTGGCGGAGACAAACGAGATGAGATAGCGATACGATGCGCAGCACCAGCCAAATCGGAAACATCAGCCGACCGGCCTTGGCCGGGTCTGCATGTCGTGGTTGTGCGGTCGGCAGGGGCAGCAGCCAAGTGGAACTCTGCAGATCAGCTGGACGACGGCAAAGGACCTGTGTGCTGATCTGGAACAGATGGTGCGGGACTCGATGTGGATTCTCGCTGGATGGAGACCAGACCTGGCGACTCGAGTACGATGTATGAGGCACTCGAGTATCTCGACAGAGAGAGCGAGGTGCCAGGGTCCCTGGGGTTTTGATGGCCAGTGTCTGGCCGTGAAGACGAACGCACAATTGAACAGGAGCCGGGCATCGGAAGCAGCAATCAGGCCACTGGTTCGGGAGCGCCGAGGCACTCAGCATCCGCATCAACAATTGTCAACAGCGGAGCCAGATGGACTGGCAAGGCTGGAGACCGATCAGGGCTTGACCAGCAGAACGAGGCCAGAGCACGAGGAGGCGGTCGACTTGTGGGATGGCGTGCATATCTGCAGCCAGACACAAACAAAGATATAAGAGTGTCGAACTTGCACATGTGTTCCCACTGAGTGAGCTGATCGCTGAACGAACAGTGGATTTGCAAGCAGCTTGCTGGGCGAGGCAACAGCACAGCATCGAGGGCAGCCGAGAGGAAGCAAGAGCACTCATTCAATGCAATTTGGCAAGCAGCCAGGCCAAAGGCGCTTTCCCTGGCTGCCCAGACGACAAAAGGCACTCCCTCACCCTTTCCCCTCGTCGTCGTTGTCTCGTTTTGCCCTTTCGGCTCCCTCCTCGCTCTCCTGCCCTCATCTGGCTTTGGCATCAACACCTTCGTCGCCCTCACCCCGCCTCTCCGCCATGCTCAGGGCCATCTCCTGTTGTTTTGGAGGGTTCACAGACCCGGTCGACGACCGAGATGTCTCCCAGCAGACCCCTATCTCCCTCTACCAGCAGACCCACCCACCAGCAGCCCAACAGAGCCAGCCTCCTGTCTCCGAGCAGACCCAGGATGTCGTCGCCCAATCTGCTGACACTCAAACCCAGACCCAGACCCCTGTTTCCCAGCAGCCAAAGTTCCCTCCTCCGCCCGATCCGTTTGGCCCTTGGCTCCATCCCGTCGAGTGTCTCATCAACACTGCTCGCGACGAGCCCGATGCCCTCTTGATCAACACTTACGAGAACGGTACCTCGGAGCGACTCAGCTATCTCCAGGTGTGGAAGCAAGCCTATTCCATCGCCCAGGCCCTCAAGGCTCTCCCTGGCTGGAACGATGACGGCCACGAGGCCATCGGCACCTTCTGTGAGGCCGAATCCAGCTGGGCGATTGGCTCGCTCGCTGTGTGGATGCTTGGCAAGTGAGTATCTCTGGTCTGTTGCAGCGATGTGATGTTGGGATGTGGAGCTATGAACATCGATTCAAGCAAGGGACATGTTCAACCCTTGTTCCGCGCCATGTCAAGGGTCGAGTCTCACCTGTCCTTTGAACTCCATCCAGGAAAACACTCAACCTTGCCCTCAACCTGCCACCTGCAGCCCGCGGGGCCCTGTGCGAGAGGTTTGTGCTGGTTGCTATCGTTAGGATGAGCAGGCTGGTCCGGGGGGTTGAATCGAGCCAGCTATGTCCGATCCCGATCTGGCACTCACATCACCAACCGACAGACATGCAATCAAGTACATCCTCCACCACTACACCAAGCCCGGCCGCACCGAAGGCGTGACTCTGATCGATGCTGCCACCTTCCCGGTGTTGGACAGCATTCCATCCCCGTCTCTCGATGTCTGTGAGCCGCTTGATGAGTTTGTTGCCTATTTGGGAACATCTGGAACAACTGGTATGTGAGTGGAGTATGAGAGTGCCTGGGATTGCTGACAAAGTAAGCCCCAGCCACAAAGGTCGAGCATGGGCAGTCGAGCGCGGGATGGTGGCTGCGATAGTTACGGTAGATAGCGAATTACCTGTTAGAAATGTGTTTGACCTGTGCCTCAATCCTCGATGCTGCTCCCTGATCAACCAAAACAGGCATTCCGAAGACGTAGGTGGCCTCGCCTTGATATCATTTCACTATGCACAGTATCAGCCCAATACTAACCCTGATGGCATGTCCATGATGAACATAGGTATGCCTATTCTCATAAGAGCACGAGAATGGCACGAACACTCATCGGAATACCGTGCTGTAGTAGTGCAATCTGTCAGGTATGGTTGATATATGACGTCGATCGGGATGAACGAAGGATGGCCGATCGCTTAACAGTATATTTTGCCAGTCGCCATCGTTTTCAGCCACTCTTGGAAGTCTGCTGTGCAATTTAAATCTCAAAGGATCCGTTTGGTTTCCCGAGCCCATACCCAACACTGTCGACAAAGTCAAGAGTATTATCAAAATGTTCGATGATGGTGTATGGAACGTATATATGGTAGGTTATAAACACTATCGTATAGATTCCTTTATTCCCGGGCTGACAGATTGTACTTTGATACACTCTTCATAGACGCCATCGTTCATGAAGATGGTCATCAGTGTCGCTCAGACTCAGAACCCGAAAGTCAAGTGGAATGAGATGAGAAAAATAGGTTTGGGGTCAGAGCTCGTTCCGCCGAGTATCGTCCAAAACGTGAGGCGAGTGTTTCCAAAGGCCGATATCCAGATCTTCTACGCATCCAGTGAGGTAAGAAGCCACAAATGGAGAATGCAGTCGACAATAGTAGGATGCACCTGTGTCACATTCTCACACTTCTCCTTCCAATGCCAGTCCGTTCTCCTTGGAGCAGCTTCTTTTCTCAACTATCCGGCCAGCGTCACCATGATTCCAGACAAGCTGGTTTACAGACTCGCGAAACCCGGTGTGCGCTGTATTCTCTTTGACGAGGAAGGTAACATTGTCGACCAGAAGGTCTCCAAGAGCGGTGTGCTTGGCTTTGCCGTCGACAAGGACCATCCCATCAAGGATCACCCGAGCTTTGTCAGTGCAAATCCGAATGACAAGCTCGCCTCGTTCGGCTTCCTCGAGGATGGCTCGCCCCGTGTCTGCACCATGGACTGGGTCGAGATGGTTGGCGAGAAAGAGTTTACCGTCGTTGGAAGGTGAGGTCAATGGCTGGGTGTTGCATCTCTTATCGATGGCGAGTGTATATCTGGTATGCTGAGGACCTCACGCCATCCTGTATCTGGGTATCTGGAGTACTCATGTCGTCCCGTATATGGGTATCTGGAGTACTCATGCCATCCATTCCCTCACTCCCTCGCTCTACACCATCACTCCAGATTCGACCAGAAGATCAAGGTCAACGGCGTCTATGTCGACCTCAACGCCCTCGAGGAGCTGGTTTACAAGCACATGCCTGATACCATCAAAGACTGCACCTTTGTCCAAACCTCCGAGAAGGAGATCGTGATGCTCTACGTCGTTCGAAAGGGATCGGGCTTCAAAGTAACCCCCAGCGAGATGATCCGCCGCACCGAGGAGCTATTTACCCTCGAGAACGTCGCCAAGTTCCCGATCCACAACGTCTTCGAACTTTACCAGTTCCCCTTCAATGACTCGGGCAAGCGCGACCTCAAGAAGCTCAGGCGTTTCGCCGAGCATGCCAAGTACTTTGGCGAGTCGGTTATCTATCCAACCCTTGACATCGTCAACACTCCCCTGTCCCGCACTGCCGCCAAGATCTCCACACTTGGCAGCCAGATCATCGACAATCCCGCCCTCGACGGCCGCAACTACTACATCGGCGGTGTCGGCTTTGACTCGCTGAGTGTCGGCCGTCTGGCTCTCGCCATCAAGGACGAGCTGGATGTTGAGATCTCACCGATGATCTTGCTGTCGAACGGAATGACGCCGCTCGATGTCGCCCAGTTGGTCGTCGACATCCTCGACGACAAACCGATGATTCCCCCGACCGTCCATCTGGCTGCCGAGGCCGCCAAGCTCGACGATGCGAGTGTGACGACCGAGGGTCTTCCTCCGTTTGTCTATCCCAAGGACCCTCGCGGCATCGTCCTGACCGGTGCCACTGGCTTCCTCGGTGCCTTCCTGGTCTTTGAGCTGGCCCACAAGTTCCCTCGGGCCAAGATCTACTGCCTGGTCCGAGCCAAGGACGAGCAGGAGGCTGTCGAGCGCATCATCAGCACGGCTCAGAAGCTGGTCCTCGATCCGAGCCAGAGAGCCTTCCTTGACCACAACCTCAAGTCTCGACTCGTTGGACTGTGCGGCAACCTGTCGAAGAACAAGTGGGGACTCTCGGACGAGCGATGGAAGGAGATCAGCGAGGAGACCGACATGATTGTCCACAACGGCGCCGAGGTCCACTGGCTGTTTGACTATGACAGACTCAAGGGACCCAATGTCCTCGGCACTGCGACGGCCCTGAGACTGGCCACAACCCACCACCTGAAGCCGCTGCACTACATCTCGACCATCGGCACGATCCCGATGGCCAAGAAGGCAGACAAGCCGCTCGAGGAGAAGATCTACTCGGCCTGGAACATCTCTGGCGGGTATGGCCAGACCAAGTGGGTCTCTGAGCAGCTGGTCAACAAGGCACGATCCAGGGGAGTGCCGGTGACGATCATCCGCCCGGCCGTCATTGCCGGCGACAGCCAGTACGGAGGTGAGTCGAATGTGGTGTGGTGTGGTGGAGATGTGATGTGGTGGAGATGTCTCATTCATTCCCACGGACTGGCCATGAATCGATGGTCTCGATTGTCAAGTGGCACTCATCCACCAACTGACACCAACTGACACCTTCACACCTCCATTGCTCCAGTGTCCAACTCTGATGACTACATCTGGCGATATGTCAAGGGATGCATCCAGCTTGGTGTTGCTCCGTCGTATGCCACTCTCGTCACGATGACCATGGATCCCGTCGACCATGTTGCCAAGGTGGTTGCCGAGATTGCCGGCTCGGAGGAGTCCTTGTCCAAGTTTGTGTTCCACATCAGCGACTCGGAGCACAGGTGAGGAGTGTGTGATGTGGTGTGCGATGTGGTGTGATATGGTGTGGATGGTGTATTCTGACTCTGACGACTGACTCACTCACTCACTCACTCACTCACTCACCCAACCACTCAACCACCCAACCACAAAGTGTCCTCTCCGAGACCAAGCTGTTTGAGATTGTCAATGCCTTTGGCTGGCCCGTCCTCTTTGAAACTCGTGAAAAGTTCAAGTATATTCTTTCCACCAACCCCTTGTTTGACCAAAATGCCCTGTCCCCGCTCATGCACATGATGATGGACATGTCCTTCAAGCTCGACAACGCCAACACCCGCTCGATCTACCCGACTCCCTGTCCCTCGACTGTGCTGATCGCCAAGAAGTGTCTCAGCTACTTGAACCACGCCCACTTCCTTCCCAACCCCATCCAGCCGTCGAGCGAGCTGAAGGACGACGAGTATCCCGAAGTCAGCATCTTCACCCGCACCGGCCGCAACTGATCAGCGGAGGTGATTCAGCAATAGATTGATCAGGTTGTTTCGTTCCTCTTGTGCTCCGTACGAGTCTCTTCTTTCATTTCCTTTCTTTTCATCTATAAACGGCGGATCACTCGATTGATCCGCTCCCTTCGCTTCCATGATGTTGGTCTTTGGTCAAGTCCTGTCTAAGTCTTGTGATGTGAACACGATTGATATGGTGAGACTGACCGTGACAGGACAGCGAACTTCCCGGACCGCACTGGTATTGCCTTCTGCAGCCCATTGTGGTCATATCGACGATGGGACTCGATCCTCGGATGATGGTTGTCGCATCTGTGGTTCGGGCACACCTATCCATTCCAGTGACTGTCATCTTCCCAGACGATTTGGAAAGTGATCGCCACAGGTCGTCACGGACGGCGCACAGACACGAGTGAGTGAACGATCAGGAGAGAAGCAAGGACACAATGCAGGCCGAGAGGGAGAGCGACAGAGATGAGTGGGAGTGCCCGTTCTCATGTCTCTCCTGTTGCTTGATCAAGGATTGATTCCTTTGTCGTCCATTGGCAGCCAGGGTATCCATCATCTGGCGACAGGATCCCAATCCACGGGTGCTGTTCGGTGAACATCATCTCGCACTTCGGGGGCGAGAACTGGTATCGGTTCTCGATGCTGCGGGCCTCGCAGATGTCGAGGAGGCGCTGGGTCTGGTTGGGGCGGCAGATGAGCACCCCATCGTCGGCAAACCACAGCGAGTTGACCTGGACGGGTCGTCCTCGGGTGGTGGTTAGGGTCGTTCCACCGTCTGCCCGGAGTTTCCCAGGGAGGTCGTCGATGAACACGCTGAACATCAGCGGGCTCAGGACCGATCCTTGGATCAGTCCCTTCTGCAGCCAGACCGGATTGGACCGACGACTCTTGCTAACGACTTGAATCTTCACATCGTCGAACATGGCCTTCAAGAGCCTGAGGGTGATCGTACACGGGGTGCGCTCTTCAATCTTGTCCCAGAACTTCTCCCTCCAGACAGTGTCGTAGGCGCCTTGATGTCGAGGGGATGAGTGTAACCGAGGGGTCAAGAATGGACAAAGATTGGATCGCCTATAGTGAGGTGCGTCTGGCCTTGGACGACGAGAATGGAGAATCTGATTCCATGTTCAATATCTGTGGCAGTGCGTGTGGCAGTGCAGGAGCAACAACGAGTCCAGCCATCAAACCATCGGATCGAGCCAGGCTTGTGTGTGTGTGTTCGATGGCCAGTGTTTGGTTTGCTTCGACACAAATTCCCTCACTGTCTCCTGTCCAGCTCCGTCACCACTTGTCTCCATCCAGTCTCCGTCAACATGGCCAGCATGAACGAGCCTGCTTCAACTACAGCATCTACCACCCACCAAAGCCAAACTGAAGCCAGAACAACCTCGTCGATGCCCAATATCACCCAGCACTCGCTCGACCACAACCCAGACATCTTCACCATCATATGCTGCAACGACAGCTTCCAGATCGCCCTCGATCACAGCACCATCGCAACCCTCCTTCGAGTGTGCAAACGAGTCCGCCCTCTCCTGAGCTCCAAGGTGCCTCGCTTCCACAGCTGGTGGCGGAATGTGGGGCTGTGGCGTCCAAATGGATCGCTGCGGTTCGCACTCACACCGAGCGAGCAGATTGCCCTCTCGCTGCATTGCGAATATGAAGGCATAGCCGACCGATCCTGGCTTGATAATCAAGCCGATCAGGGAAATGCAACTGCATTGTTCTTCTTGGCATGGATCCACCAAATCGATCTCGACAGCCAGCAGTCTGTGAACAAGCCCAAGCGGGAGGCCATCTGCCAGCAAATCATCTTCTATCTGGAGAAGGCAGCCCAAGCTGATCATCCAATGGCCCAGTACGACCTAGCTGGGTGTTATCGCAACGGACTCGGTGTCGATCAAGATCCCACCAAGGCTGTCGATATGTTTCGCAGTCTTGCAGAATGTGGAATCCCACAAGCTCAAGTCGCCCTCGGCGGTTGCTATGAGAATGGTGAAGGTGTCGATCAAGACTACGACACAGCCATCGAGTGGTATTCCAAGGCTGCCGACCAGGGAAGCGAAGACGGCCGTCTACATATTGTGTTTCTCCGTGGCTGGTTCTCGTTCATCGGCCACGGTGTCGAACAGAGCGATGCTGATGCCTTCAACCGCTGGCATGAAGTCAGCACCAACTCCACCAACCCAGTTCTCAAGCCCATCGCCACTCACATGGTTGGATGGATGCACTATCTTGGCCGGGGCACCGTCCAGGACAAGCCGAAGGGTGTCAATATCATCCGAGAGAATCGATCGGATGAGTTCCCACTCGGGGAGTCCGAAAGTCTGGCAGCGAATTGGGCCGATATCAACTCTGACTCGCCCGCACTACGCAAGTTCCTCGGCATGTGTCAGTTTGGATCGGATCATGAATGGTTGTGCAAGCACCTGGTCGCTGTGTGTCTCATCCATGGATTTGGAACCAGACAGGACCAGGAGAAGGCCGCAGGTATCTTTGAACAGCTCGCCAACGAAGGCCATAGCGTTAGCCAGCTTTGGATCGGAAGGTGTTACAGCTTTGGTAAAGGAGTCTCGAAGAACGACGAGAAGGCATTCGAGTGGTGGAGCAAGTCGGCCAACCAAGGCAATTCGTATGGACAGTGGATGGTTGGCTGTTGCTACTACAGTGAATACGGAGTTACCCGGGACCACACAGAAGCAACCGAGTGGTTCCGCAAGTCGGCCGAGCTGGGAAATCGGTACGGGCAGAATATGCTCGGCGACTGCTACAAAAATGGCTGTGGTGTGACCAAGGACATCGACACTGCCGTTTTCTGGCTTCGCAAGGCCGCCGAACAAGGTTTCGAAAATGCCATCTACAAACTCAGGCAACTCGACCAGTGGCTCTGATTCTCGAGTTCCTTTGGGCTCCCCCTCCAGTCATCCTTGTCGCGACACTGAACATCCAACCAGAGCAACCAAGAAACCTGTCCTGGCGCGATGATGCCAAACAGGGGTCTTGCGATGTAGCACGGATGAAGCGCCAGTGGCATGGTTGCGTTGTATTTGACATTCTACGAGTTCAATACATCCAATTTTCATAGCAGCGCTGCCTCAAAACAGTCGCTGGTGTCGATCGACCGAGTTAATCATCGCATGACTTGTCAATGACAGCAACCTAGATACTCTCCAACACAGGGCCCAAAGGGTCGGGCAAAGCCAAAAACAGGGGTGGGCACCCATTGCAGAGAACTTGGTGGAGTTGATATCTGCTTGTCTTGAATTCGTTAAAGTTGGCCGAGTACCACTTGACGGAGTCGCCGATACGTCGGCGGGAATTTGTACTGGATCCAGTGTCTTCTCCTTCAGCGATTTCTCAATAAAGCCAGTTGTTTTATTGAGTTTGGATCCCCTTGAGCAGCTGCTTGTTCATGCCAGTAGATTGCTGTATTGATATTTTTGGCCACCCCATAGCCATACTCGTAGCACCAGCCGAGGTAACACTGAGAATATATGTGACCTTGATTCGCGGCCTTCGTGTACAACTCTACCGCCTTGGAGTAATCTTGGGGAACACCTCGTCCACCGTAATACATGTTTCCTAGGCAACATAGGGCATCAATATCCCCGAGATCAATCGATTTGGTAAACCACTCGACAGCTTTCTCATAGCTCCGGGGGACTCCTTCAGCATTGTGGTATCGTTGACCGAGTTGATTCTGAGCATAGGCATTTCCCTGAGTCGCGGCCTTGGAGTACCACTGGGCAGCCTGAGTGTAGTCTTTCGCTATACCGTTGCCGTCACGAAAACAGTCTCCGAGAATATACTGAGCTTCCGCCATTCCCCTCTCGGCAGCCCGGCGATACCACTCGACAGCCTGGGTCATGTCCTTCGGAACGCCTTGACTGTTCGCATAGCGGAGCCCGACATTCAGAATCGACCACAAGTGGCCTTGAGCTGCACCTCGGCGGTATAGCTGGAGGCATTTCCCATAATCCAGGGGAACGCCAAGACCCCCCAGGTAGCAATCAGCAAGTGCATACTGGCTGATGGCATGACCTTGGTCCGCGAGCTCTTGCAGCAACCGCACGGCGAGTTGCGGGTCTTTGTCGGCTCCAAAGCCGCCGATCAAGCAACGTGCAACCAGATGCTTGCAGAACCAGTCGTGCTCCGTTCCGAGTTGGCACAAGCCGAAGAATCGAGCGGCAGTCGAGGAGGAACATTGCGTTTCCAGTCCATGGATTGAGCTCTCGCCATATGGAAACTCGGCAGTCTTGCTCTCGCGCAGGAGTTGGTTGGCCCTGGGTTCGTCTTGGCGAGTTCCACGGCCCAGGTAGCAGCACCAGCCCATCATGAACGAGGAGATGGGTTTCATGGTGGCGTCCTTCGTCTTGTCATGAACAACTTGCCAGTAGGCGAAGGCCTCAGTGTCGCTCTTGGTGATGCCGATGCCCGTGAAATGCAGCCATGCAAGCTTGGAGGCGGCCTCGACACTCCCCTTGTCGGCGGCTGCCTGATACAGCTCGGCGGCAGTTGTCCAGGCAGGGTCATTGGCCGGCTTGCCGTCCGACATCGTGTGGGCGGCAGTGATATGGGCGTCGGCGTCACCACGCTGGATACCCATGATCACTGCCCGGGGGAGGCCATAGCCGGTGGTGAGTCTCTGGGCCAGAGTCGGGAACTCGAGTCGACGTGGCGACGAAGAACCGGAGGAGGGAAAACCTGGGCGGTCCATATTTAAACCCCGCATCTGTTGGGAGAGGTCAGATACAGCGCGGGGGCTGTCGATTGAATCTTGTGGATGATTTATACCCCTGAGAGCAGCGAGAAACAAAACTATGTCCTCGAAGGCGGGACGTATGGCGGGGTCTTGGTGCCAGCACTGCTCAATGAGTGACCAGATCTGGTCGGGGATGCCATCGAATCGGGCAGGTCGACGGCCATTGCAGACTATTCGTTCGATTGTTCGGCTCCTCAGCGCTTGACCATCGGCAGAAACCCAGACAGGATCGGCGTTATTCAGGACCTCGTACATGGTGATGGCGAAGGCATAGACATCCGTCTTGATCGTGGTGCCAGTCGGATTCTCATCGTCGAGCATCTCGGGAGCCATATATCCCTCGGTTCCTCCGGTGGGGCCGTTGCTTCGATTGGGGTTCATCGAGGCCGAGGTGTGCTTGGTTCTGGACAAGCCAAAGTCAGTGACGATGGCCTGGAAGGATCTGTCCAAGAGGACGTTCGCTGCCTTGAGGTCGCCGTGGATGATTCTTCTGGCGTGCAGATAGGCCAGGGCCGACGCAACCTGGTACAGAAGACTGAGTTTCTCCTCGAGGGTGACGTTGTTGTTGGCCACATAGTCACGAAGCGTGCCGTTTGGCATGAACGGAGAGACCATGAAAGGAACGATCTTTTCGCCGGCATCGCCCTTGTTGCAGGCTCCGAGGAGGGGGAGGACGTGTGGGTGGCTGAGATTCTGCCAAACCCCAATCTCATGGTGGTAGCTGGCCAGTTCGCGGTCGTTTGGAGCGCCGAGGAGTTGCTTGATGGCGACTTGGGTGCCAAAGTAGCTGCCAGTGAATACCTCACCAAACCCGCCACGGCCGATGGGGCTGGCTGAGCGGTCGGTGATGTCGCTGGGCGAGATGTACCAGGACGGTCTGTCCTGGGGCTGGTGGACAAAGGGTTTGCTGGTCATCTGGAAGGAGATGGGTGGATGTGGAGTGCAGGGAGGAGCGGTAGAAGGCGGGCATTTTCGGCTTCTTGGTCAGGAAACCCTTGTCAGAGTGACTCCTGCGGCACAGGCAGCACGGCCAGGACACAAGCGCGCACAAGAGCGTGTGGTTTGTGCTGCGCAATTAACACGTGAACATTGCGCAGCAGCTCGATCGGGACAGCACTTGAACCATCCCGAATGACAGGCGGGGGGAAACAGTGCTTGATAGACACTCGGGGATATCATATCTCCCGGACATAGTCCATGATGCCAGTTCATATCAAACACTCGGCTAACAACGGCTGAGTGGATCAGATCATCCCCTTGGGTATCCGCCCTCTGAAGTCAGTCGAAGATTCCATTACCTTTGCGGCTGGGTCCAACGCTGGATCCAGCCAAGTTCCTGGTTTGGTGACTGTGCCACTCCCATTCCATTCCACCCATCCCGCCTCCTGGACATCATCACTGCACTCTCCTCACATCCTAGTCTGTTGCATCATTCAGCCAACATGGCTCGATTGGCCATAGACGACTACAATCCTGACATCGTCACCATCATATGTTGCAACGACAGCTTCCAGCGTGCCCTCGACCACAACACCATCAAGATCCTGCTCAGAGTATGCAAACGAGCCCGACCCCTCCTGAGCTCCAAGGTGCCTCGCTTCCACCGTTGGTATCAGAGCATGGAGCTACTCAATCCAGATGGACAGATGCGGGTCGGACTCACACCAAGCGACGAGATTGCCATTTCACTTCACTGCGACGATCCAGTCACCGCCGACCGATCCTGGCTTGAAGATAATGCCACAGACGACCGATCCTGGCTCGTTGCCCAAGCAGACCATGGCAATACTGCCGCGTCGTATTTCCTGGCTCGGGTGTTGCAATCTGAGATCGGTGTACAGCGATATCTGACTTGGTTTGAGCTGAATCCCACCCCGCCGCGAATCTTTTACCATCTGAAGAATGCAGCTGAGGGCCAACATTCAATGGCGCAGTTCCACCTCGCCCAGTGTTATCGCAACGGAATTGGAGTCGAACAATCCCCGGCCAAGGCTGTCGAGCTGTATCGCAGTCTTGCAGATCGCGGAATGGCCCAGGCCCAAGTTGCCCTCGGCGGTTGCTTTGAGGGCGGCGAAGGTGTCGAACAAGATTACACTACGGCCATCGGGTGGTATTCCAAGGCTGCCGACCAGGGCAACGAAGACGGCCGTCTCCACATCATGTTTCTCCGTGGATGGCTCTCGTTCATCGGCCACGGTGTCGAACAGAGCGACAAAGATGCTTTCCAAAGCTGGCAGGAAACTAGCACCCAATCCACCAACCCAGTTGTCAAGCCCATCGCCACTCACATGGTCGGATGGATGCACTACCTTGGCCGGGGCACCATGCGAGACGAAAAGAAGGGAATCAAGATGATCCGAGAGAACAGGTCGAATGAATTCCCGCTAGGGGAGGGCGAGTGCCTTACACCCTCTTACTGGGGTGCTATGTCTAACTCACCCGCACCCCGCAAGTTCTTCAATCTCTGCCAGCTGGGATCGGACCGTGACTGGCTGTGCAGGCATCTCATGGCTTTGTGTATGTTATTTGGATTTGGAACCACCCCGGAAGTGGAGAAAGCCGCTGGCATCTTTGAGCACCTTGCCAACCAAGGTCACAGCGACAGCCAGTTGTGGATTGGAGATTGCTACTATCATGGTCTGGGAGTAACGCATGACAAAGAGAGGGGCTTCCAGTGGTACAGCAACTCTGCCAACCAAGGAAACTCGTATGGACAGTGGATGGTCGGTCATTGTTACTATCACGGATCCGGAGTTCCTAAAGACTACGCCAAGGCAGTCGAGTGGTTTCGCAAGTCGGCCGAACAGGATAATCGATACGCACAAGGTGATCTGGGCGAATGCTACAAACATGGCCGTGGTGTCCCACAGAACATCGACAGTGCCGTCTTCTGGTATCGCAAGTCCGCCGACCAGGGTTTCGATTTTGCCATCGCCAAACTCAATGAACTCGGACTGTGACCCTGATCCCCGAGTCCCACTCCCAAACAACCAAGTCGCGACACTAAACATGCAAGCAACCAAGCAACCCACCAACAACCATCCCGGACACCGTGATACCGAAGAGTGGATTATCAAGGTGTACTTGATGAAGCGGCAATGGCCGAGTGATGTTGTATTTGACATTCAATACATTCAATACATCCAATAAATCCAATATACAAGAGTGCTGTCCCATGACAATCGCTGATGTTGATCGACCGAGAGAACCATCTGATGACTCGATAATTACAATTCGACATTCGAAATCGATACCCGTTCTGCAACCATAGATGGCGAGCACGATCCAGACCATCCCTCGCCACAGGATACCGAAGAAAGAGGCAGCAAGCCTCCAGCCTTCCCCGGCACCAAGACCATCCTCCCTCGATCCGACACCAGGCAGCGTGCCCTGATCAGCATCGATGAACCGACAAAAGAGTGGCAAAGGCGACTAATGGCCTGTATCCAAACGGGCAGAGGCTCGCCTCTCCAGCCGCCAAAAGAAAGAAAATGGCTACACTGCAGCTTTCTGGTCACCCTCGATCCGACCCAGGGACGCCAGGGCACGCCGGCGTATGTGGTAGGACCATGCGAGGATGAAACCAGTCCACTGCAGTAAAGCCTGGACTCATGGGGGCAATATCCGTTGACACGAGCGGCCTCTTCCGACGCAGCTCTGGGTGTGGGTCCGGCACATCGCGACGAACTCTCCTCGGCTCTTCGTGCAGGAGACACACAGCCGATAGTGGCCATACGGGTGTCCGGGGAAGGCACCGAGGGTCCATCTTACCATCATGTTGTGATAGTATCGATCTCTCTTGGGCCCTCGCTCGGCCCACAGTCCCGACATGGTCGTCATCATGGTGCGGGCCGAAGTCAGTTCCTTTGACCTGTCGAAGCCTTGCGCGTCATCGATGTGAATCTGCAGCTTGACTGGTGGCCCTGGGAGCTGGTAGTAGCCGTTCCTGAACAGCTCCTTCATCGGGTAGTCCGGCTGGCACTGCTCTTTCAGCACGATCAGCTGCCGCCAGTACTCGTCGAGGTAGAACTGGGAGCCGAGGGATGCATCCATCAGGCTGGGCTGGATGCGGGAATATCTCAACACCATCGAGACCATCTTGTCGTTGTGGTCCAGACGGTCTTCCCAGACGGCTCGGTTCTGGAGGGCCAGCTGCTTGAGGCGGTTGGGCAGGGTGATGAGTCCGCATCCGAGGTGCATCGCTCCGTAGGATGTGTTCCGCACCACTCTGAAGAGTCGGGTCGGACAGTGCATCTGTGCTCGTCTGAGTATCACGGCTTGCTGCTTCGTGAGCACTTCGAGGGTCAGTCCATACTCGAGCATGGGCCGAACGAAGGTCTTGAACACCCTCGTCACTGTCTTGGCCGAGTATCGACCCAGACTCATTCCGTGCTTCACCAGCTTGTCGGCGGCGCCTTGGGCCTTGTGGGTGAGGTTCTGGATCTGGCGATCCATCCTGAAGCCGTTGGTGTCGACGATGGCTCCGAGGTACCGGAACTCCTTGGCGACTGGCAGCTCCTTGCCGTACAGGTACACCTTGGCATCCTTCTCTGGGTGCTGTTCGGTGAACATCACCTCGCACTTTGGGGGCGAGAACTGGTATCGATTCTCGATGCTGTGGGCCTCGCAGATGTCGAGGAGGCGCTGGGTCTGGTTGGGGCGGCAGATGAGCACCCCATCGTCGGCAAACCACAGTGAGTTGACCTGGACGGCTCGTCCTCGGGTGGTGGTTAGGGTCGTTCCACCGTCTGCCCGGAGTTTCCCAGGGAGGTCGTCGATGAACACGCTGAACATCAGCGGGCTCAGCACCGATCCTTGGATCAGTCCCTTCTGCAGCCAGACCGGATTGGACCGACGGCTCTTGCTAACGACTTGAATCTTCACATCGTCGAACATGGCCTTCAAGAGCCTGAGGGTGATCGTACATGGGGTGCGCTCTTCAATCTTGTCCCAGAGCTTCTCCCTCCAGACAGTGTCGTAGGCCGCCTTGATGTCGAGGAACACCAGGGAGTACTCCTCGCCCGCCAGCTGGCGGTCCTTGATGAGCGTGTCCAGGCCAAAGATCTGGTCGAGGGTGCCTCGCTCGGCCCGGAATCCACCTTGGGCAATGTCCATCAGTCCGAGCTTTCGGTTGAGCAACGGCAGCAGTGCTCGCTCGACAACCTTTCGGCAGACCTGGGTCAGTCCAATCGGCCTGTACATTGCGGGGTCGAGGGGCGATCCCTTGTTCTTGTAGACGGGATGGATTAGCACTGTACTCCACTCAGTTGGGACCACGGACGCCTTGATGGCTGCTCCCATGAGGAAGTAGAGCCATATCGAGACTCTATATGCGTTGGGCTGGAGCAGTTCGATCTTGATCCTGTCCGACCCTGGGGCCTTCCTTCGTGGTGTTGTAATGATCGCCTCCTTGATTGCCCGTGGGCTGATTATGGGGAGCTCGTAGCTGGGGGGGAGTCGTCTACGCTCTTGGCTCGGTGTAGGGGGCTCGAGTGTTCGATCGAACCCGTTCGCCGTGGCCGTTGAGTCCGCCGAGACTCTGCCGAAGTGGCAGACGAGTCTCTCCAGCGCTTCGTCAGAGTTGTCGAATCGGTGGGCACCTTCCCGGGCCTTTCGCTTCTGCATGGCCCCGAGCGTCTTGGAGAGCTCAGTGCTGTTCATGCGGTTGATTTTCTCGGCCAGTTTCTCGTTGCTCGCTTTTCGGCACTTTCGGATGGCCCGGTTGAGGTTTCGTCTGACCACCCTGATTTTGTCTCGAAGGTTCTCCTTCATGACAGGGTCCGTGTGGTGCCTCTTGAGCTGCTTCTGGAGCTTCTTCCTCTCCTTGGTCAGATGACGGATCTCGACGGTGAGCTCCGGGGTCTTCCAGATCAATTTGACCTGTGTTTTGCCCAGGACGCTATCTGCCACCGTGTTGATTGCATTCTTGATGACTTCCCATGCTTGGTCCATGGTCAGCTGTGCGTCTGCCTGGCTGATGGGTATCTCGGTGCCGTCGTGGATGGGCTGGAGGAGCCTCTCTATCTCGTTTAAGACTAGGCCGCTGACTCGCTCAATGGCGCACTTGTACGTTTCCCAGACCTCCGGGTTCTCGAGGAGTCTGAGGTTCCACTGCCAGTTGTCGGCTTTTGGGTACACACTCCTCGTGAGTTTCACAGTGGTCCAGATCAGGCGGTGGTCGGATATGAGGTATTGTCCCTCCATGTCCACCTTGAGGAGCGGGTCGTTGTTGGCTTCCGCTTCCGACACAAAGATATAGTCGATGGTCGATCTTCGGTTACCCCGGATCCGAGTTGGGGTCGGGATCGCTGCCGGTGGGATGATTTTCATCCTGGCTCTCCGCAGGGTGGTCGTGAGGGCGGTCTCCTTGGCTCTGTTTATCACCCTTCCGCCGTTGAGGTCGCTCAGCGACAGGTTGAAGTCTCCCATCACGATGACTTGGGCATTGGGCATCCGCGCATACTTTTCAATCGACTGTACCGCTTGCGCAAACTCTTCGGTCTTCACCGGGTGGGGGATATAAAAGTTTCCGATGTATGTTCTGGTGCCGTACCTGGTCCACGTGTACAGCTTTCCCTCGTCGGTCTCTTCGATGTTCAGGTCGTCGGGATCGATTGTCTCGGGGTTGAACACCAGCGCCAGTCCACCGCCCAGGCTGTCTGTTCGACGGGCCTCATGGGCTGTGACTCCAGACAGTGGATTTGTTGCCTCTGGTTTCAGTATAGTTTCCTGGAGGACGATTATATCGATGCTTTCCTTCGCCAATACCTTTAGGATATTACGATAAGCTGGGTCAGCCTTATCGCCTCTCGCTGACGATATTTCATCGCCCAACCACATGTCTGCTTCAATATTCAGCCTTATCTCGACCATTCGCTTCATCTCTTAGGTTGCTCAATAAATTATTCCATTTCGCTATGGATCAACCCCAAATATTGATGGGAATTTGGCTGGGGTAATACGACCGATTTATTCTCCTCAAGCGAGCCAAGTAAAACAGCAGAAGGTAGTTTGCATTCTGGGACACTGCGTTGGGAGAATGTGATTTGGAGGTAAAAGTAAGGGAAGTTCAAACAGATAATATAAGAGACAAATCTGACTTCAGCGCATCGTGGAGAAGGCTGCTCTGCTTCCATTGATGACGCTTCGTTGAATCGGGCTTTCGTTTGTGAATTCAGAATCCATGTCACGACTATTATCCCAGGAAGAGCCAAAGTTGTGGGCTTGACGCTTTGACTCAAACTCAGAGATGAGTGAGACAGCTTCATTGAGTGTCAAATGGCTGTATGCCCTGCCTTGGACCTTCATCAGATTCTTCTCGTATTCATACGAGCGCTTCAAGGCCTCGAGTTTTCTGAGTTTGGCTTCGTTCGGAATGCCGTCCGTGAATGCCTGTTGCTGAATGACCTGAAAATCGTTTTCGTCGAGGAATGTCTCGTTGCGATGAACGACGCTGTGCTTGCGAATTTGCTGGTTGCAAATGGCGACAAGGCGAAGGAGTTCCCTCTGTTGTATTTTGAGATTGCGTTCCTGCATCTCAAGTTCTGCAAGCCTATCTTGAGATAAGTCCAAGCTTCTTTTGTTATCATGGATTTGGGAAAGTATTTCAGGAGGCAACCTTTGTTCAAACTTGGGAATACATTGAAAAATTGTTCTCTGGTGATACTTAGACTCATGATTATATCCAGACTTGCAGGGAGAATTCTTGTTGGATTGGAATGGAATATATGCACTACGGGCAGGTTTTGGTGGAAATTTATGATATCCGGTCCTGTTTAGGAAGTAATCGGCACATTCAGGATGTTGACAGACCTCGACTGGGCTTGATAAAATTTCGGGTGAAAGGGTGATGACTTCTTCTTTCATTTCTTCCAAATGATTAATCTGGGCAGTAAGGGTCGAAAGAACAGATCGAATCTTGTCCATTTTGACGCTTGTTTGCTCAAGCTCTGATTCCATATTCATCAATTCTTCCGAATGATTATCGAGGAAAGATCGCAGGACCTCGAGCTGTCCAGTTTTCTCGAAGCTTTTTGGACTCCCTCGACTTGCTAATTCGACAAGCTTTTGACAGGCCTGAGCTGACTTATTCCACGAGTCTTTGAACTGCTTGACTTCGCTTTCATCGAAATGGAACATCTCTTTTGGAGTCATCAAGTATCGGTACGCTTCATTGTCGATCAGGAAGGTGTTGCTTTCACTGAGAGGAATCTCAATTCCTGACTGATCTTTGATCTCACCAAAGAGTCTCTTGAGCACATGAATCGTATCGCCCATACGGAAAGAGGTAGCTTGGGCTTTGGTGAACAAGAATATGATGTTTTGAATGACTTCGCGATCAAGGTACTTGAACAACTCCATGATGCAGAAGCGGAACCAAACCGTCAACTTGCTCTGGTTGGTGGGAAGGGCGATTACGACGGCGTTGAGCGAGCCCATTTCGGTCACATATTTAATAATGTTGGACATGTTCTGTTTGTCTTGTTCAATGCCTCGGGAGTCACCCATTCCAGGGGTGTCGATTACGTTAACCATGATCGGGGTGTCTTCTCCTCGAGCAAACTCGAATGGATAGGACTGGGGGCGCTGTGTAGTCGATTGACCTGTGACGTACTTCTCGTTGTCATTGATTTGTTCCATTTTTCGAGCTGTGTTCACAATAGGAGAGATGAATTATTTAGTGTTGGTGTAGTAGACCCTGGATCGATTAGTCAACTCTGTATTCGACCTAAATACAAACTCACCATTGGTAGGGTTAACGTTCCAAATTTCTTTAGTCTTGATCAATACTTCCTCGTACGTGTCGGGATCACAGAGAATGAACTGAGAAGGGATCAAAGTCTTGGGGTTGTTTGTCTGTGCGTCGTCAAGGCTCGAATAACTCAAGTAGTTGGCAAGAGCATTAATTAGCGTTGACTTGCCGACACCAGTCTCGCCCAGAATGAGCAAGTTCACAGCGCCGCTCCTGGGCTCTGTTGCGTCTGCTGATGCGGAGGGAGGGATTCCGTTATGTTGGAGCGATTTTGCACTGTCGAGGTCCTCGAACATGGCATCGCGATTATTAACATCGACGTTCATCGTGATGTCGCCGTTCGGCTTGCGTCCAGTTCGGGGTGACTGGCCATTTGCAACAGGTAGTTTCGATGAATCTTTGGTCTTCGTTGCAATTTTTGTGACTCCATCGTCCATTCTGGTAATTGGAATAGTAACTGCTTCAGTGGCGGTTGTTCCCGAAATTGATGCTTTGGACGACTTCCTTTGATTGAACTGTGGTCTAGTTGGTGAATGCGGGACCATAGTAGAATCCGGCATTTCAAATTCACTGTGACCAAGTATATGACTTGGGATCGAGATGACTTTGATTTCAGACGTGTCCAAGGCAAGGGTATCAATACTTTGCCCTTCAACCGCATAATGGAAAAGTAGCTGACCGATCTCAGTGCTTTGGCCTGACTACGAATACGAGGTCAGAAACCCACCAGTATCAATGCGGCCAGCATATCCTCCAACAATCTGGCTGGAATTATTTAGACGCCGTAAGTGATCCAGGCACTCTAGATAAGTTGTTTGATTCCTTTCCAAATCAGGGCGATTTGTGGCGGAAAGAAGGAAGCCCGCTTGGAGGGTCCTTTCGACTTCCAGAAGAGCGTTCAATTGATCAAGTTTATCTTGATAGTCATTTTTATTAGCTTGCCCCGAGGCTCGGAGTTGGAGAATGCGTTGCTCAAGGAACTTGAAATAATCTGGACTGAAATCTAGAATTGATTGATCAGAAATATGATTCAAAACCTTGAAGAGACTTGCTTTTATTCCCTTCTCAAGAAAGGTGTGGAAGGATCCTGCGCCGAAATCGGATAACCGGTTGACGCTGTTCCAATAATAGAGTTTCACTTCTTCGGTGTCCGTAGCGAGTTCCTTGAAGTCGCTAGCAATCTTGTAGGGGTTTTCTTGAACATTCCTCGAACTTGATTGGGGTGGTTTGGATTTTTTTCCATATATTCCATTCTCAGTCGTCCCTGAGGTCGGGCTCAATCTCACCCAGTAGGACCAACTCGATGGGAGCATACGCGATGCGCCTTTCACTGGAATGACGTTGAATGCTTGGTTTGTTGAGCTAGGGAACAGAGTTTTGAGATCTCTGATAATTGCTTGTTCGTATTGAGATGAATACTGCGCTCTCATGACGCAGATAAACACGCTATGGGCCAACGTTCGGGGAACGGCGGTCAGTAGGAGACCCATCCACGCTTTTGTGTGTGTATCCAAGGAATCATCAATGATGAAAAGCATAGCCTTGATATCCATGAAAGTTTCAACGTGCTTCTGAAAGCAATGCCAAAGCCGTTCATATTCGGTGATATCGATATCTGCAGGATAAAAGATGTCTCCATCTAAAGCCACACAGGTATAACAATAATTCCAAATACAACCCATTAGGTGGTAATCATGTGAGGAGGATGAGCGAAGATCGAGTTCATCGCAAGAGTTTCACATCGGGATGTCGAGTCCTCGATCAAGCTATGAGAGCTGGAAGCACCAAACCTGAAAGTGGAGAGGATCTTGGGAGCCCAAGGTAATTGAGGAAGTCTGGAATTGCCGTCTTCGTCAGGGCGACTCTGAGTTTGCTCACGATGATGACAGGGTTGACCATGATGGCAGTCTCTCGACTCACAGAGTCGGTAGATATCTGAGCCCGAGTTGATTGAGAGCTTCAGTGCGGCCAGATCGCCTGCTATTTAAGTGGTTGACCAACGACACGATTCGCAAATTCAAATCCAGCGCACACGTTCTTTGGAAACCACGCCCCAGCCGCTGTCAGTGCGATCACCCTCGCTGTCAGGTCGCCACGAAGAAAGCCGGGTCTCGATCTTTGTTTCCGGATATGGGAACATACTGGAACGCCAACAGAGGTTGTTTTGGGCCCTCCTAACATTGAAATGAATGTCAGTACCTGTGCGACAAATATCATGAAACAAAGGCGAATTTTCCAGTCAGCCAGCGCCTTCATCCCGGGTTTGGGGCGTGTCTTTGGTGAGACAATGACTGGATATGGTAAGCTGGTCAGGTAGTAAGGTTGAGTCATATATCACATGACTGTGTGTGTGTGCGCCGTGTATCCACTTTTGGACATTTGAAACTCCCGGTTCCAAATCGGGAACGAGTTATCTGCTCAGCCGCGTTCTTCGAGCGAATCAGGTGGTCTCCCCGTCCCGTCGCCTTCAGGACAAATCGAGTCATGGGGTGTGGCCAGATTGGAAATGACGCGCAAATTTGACTGTCAGAAGGTCGGCCCCGATCCTGGCTGATACCGTGACCACGTCAAGGAAGGCTCGTGCATCTCTGGGCTCGGATTTTAACGGTTCGCAAACTCGAAAGGACCGAATCGGTTCTATAAACAGACGAGATCTTCTCCGCATGAAACACTCTCGTCCCATCTGCTCGTGACGCTCTACCAATATGCCTGGAAAGGGAAACTTCAGTAGCTCACCTGATTGGGCTTCACCTCCACCATACTCCCCTGTGGGAAGGGGGATCTCACAGACTTACACCGTCCTCATCCTTGGCGAAACCGGCGTCGGAAAGTCGACCCTCATCAATGCGCTTGCTAACTACCTCTCTTTCGACGATCTTGATCAAATCGATTCAAACGGTGTGCTGTCCTTGATTCCAACCAAGTTTTTCCTTTATGATTCGGAGTCACTTGAAGAAATTATCATCCGATCGGAGCGACTCACTCTCGATGACAATCATAATGGTCTGTATTACTCAAGAGGAGCTGGGCGGTAACTTGAGGTGGCTATTGAACAGAGAGTCAAGCTAGGTGTCGATGTGTTTGCTAACTTTGCATGTTCAGCTGCTCGTCGTAATGAGGAGAACACGACCGGAAACTCTTCCACACAGCATCCCAGAACATACGAGTTCTTCCCTCATCTTGGAAATGGTGACCAAGTCAGATGCCGAATCATCGACACTCCTGGAATGGGCGACACTCGTGGTATCGATCAAGACAAGAAGAATATGGATCTCATCATCAAGTACATCGCAGACTATCCCGAGATCAACGGCATCCTCATGCTGTTGAAGCCAAACAACAGTCGGCTCACTACCTGGTTCCGCTTCTGCATCAAAGAGCTTCTCAAGAGTTTGCACAAGGACTGTGTCAAGAACATCATTTTCATGTTCACCAATGCCAGAAGCACCCTCTATCGACCCGGCGACACCATGCCTGCTTTGAAGAAGCTACTTGGAGAGGTGAAGCGTGACTCGGGCGTCGATATCCCTGTCAACAAGAGTAATCTTTTCATGGTCGACAACGAGGCCTATCGATACCTCCTTGCGAGAGGCAAGGTTCACTTCACTGAGGATGAGGAGAGCGACTTTCACAACTCATGGAAGAAGTCATCCGAAACTTGTCGTCAGATGCTGGACACCATCGCTGGTATTGAAAGCTTCGAAACCGAAAAGACCGTTGTCCTGTACGAAGTTCGGAGCCAGGTTCTCGAGCTCTGCAAGCCACTTGCTGACGTCGCCGCATCGATCATGGCGAGCAAGAAGTCTTTGGATGATCAAATCAAGGCTCTGAGCTCAACTGAAGCATCTGTTGTCGATCTTCAGAAGGCCCTAAACGTCAAAGTTGACATCCCAATTCCAGAGGAGCTTCCCCACCCTGTCACCGTATGCTCACACCAAGATTGTGTAAAGCACTTGAAGAACGAAAGTGGTGTTGCGATTACCGACTATGTGACCAAATGTCACGAGCACTGTTACCTAAGCAACGTCCCTAGTGAAGTTATTGGCGATACTGCGCTTCTGAGTTGCTGGGCCATGGTAAAGGAAATCTGTAGAGTCTGCTCACACTCCTACAGATTCCATCTCCATATATGGTGGAAAATGACCTACGAAAAGCGCGATGCCCTTAACGACCAAGCCCGCAAGCAGATTGAAAGCGAGCATGACAATGGAAGACGAATCCAAATGACCATCGACAAGCTCGAGAAGAAAATCAGGGATCTTGAGAAGGAAGAGCGGACGATCATGGCCATCAGTGCCAAATTTGCGGTCTTTGTCAAGTCAAACGGGATTGTTCTATACAACGATGCCCTGCTGGATTACTTGGATCATCTCATCAAGGAGGCTCGCGACTCCTCCTCTCATGTTTCGAGCGTTGGATCTCAGCAAAAGTCAAAGATTGATGGCCTCAACAAGCTCAAGCAAATCTATGAGAGCGAGCGAAAGCTTCTTACCGAGGGAATTGCTAACTATCGCCAAGCACCTCCATCAGCTAGTGAGGTGAAGAGGCTTTTGAGGGATCTTACACAGCTGGAGTACTCAGGAAAGTTTTTCAAGAACTTCCGCTCCGCACCACTCGAACACAATCGATCCCGACAAAGCGGCCCGTCGTCATCGGCCTCTGGTAGAAACGCAGGCACTCCATCCGCCAACGGCTTGTTCTCGTCATTTTCATCTTGGTCGCCATTTACGAATTGATCACCTTGTTCGTCCGACTTAAGCCTCCCTTGACCAAGCGACTGAGAAACATGAGTCACGACCAAAGATGGCTCCCCAAACCAAATGTTTGGCCTTTCCAGATTAAATTCATATCTTCCCTTTGGAAAAAAGCTTATAAGCAAAAGTTGCTGTGAAGGTATATTTGACTTTATCACGGGTAACGACTGAAATAAATCTTGACTTTGAACCCACTCTCGCAATCGTCTGCCCCACATTTCCACAATGTCCCGAAAGCCTTCGTGTCTCAAGAAGATCATTGCACTTGATCTCATCATCCTTCGGAGCTGTGTGGTCACGGACAGCCTTGAATCCCCAGGCTTCTGAACAGTGAAATCTGGCAATACCTTCCAGCGATTCTCGGCCATCCGACTGGCGTCACCACCTACAAAATGTCAGATTCATCGAGTCGATGAAATAATGGGACATTTCTTCTCATTCGGACAAACACAGCAAAGTCAAATCATATCACAGGCGTGTTCAAGTGGGTCAAATCATTTCTCTGAGTGAGGTAGATGCATGGAGTGGGTGGACACAATAGTGGCAGCGAGCCGCTACAGTTGCAGGCACTACAGATCAGAGCCAGATATACCTGGTATGAGGGCGGAAGACGCAGGGCAAAGAGGAATCTCAAATGAACTGATCAGTATCGGTTTTCACCGCAGTTCGAGCATATATCTTGGCCTCTCCTCCGGATCGAGAAGACATTTTCCATCGACAATCCACCATCCCTCCCGTTGGAGTGACCAGTTCCAAAAATGGGACACGCTCATTCAGCTCGACCCCGATTCGACAGAAAGATTCCGATCCCGCCACGTGGATGCCAGCGGGTGGACAACGATGCTGATCTGACCGAGGCCGTGTTTTGGGGCAGTTTTCCCACGTGGGACTGCCACGGCTTTCTTTGGCTCCCAGGCAAATCCGATGACCTTCTCTTGTCCGCCTTGCGTCCTTGTGTTTCACTGTAGTCGCTTACTTTGTTTCATTTCCAACCACTCAGTGAAGCCCTCCCGTGTTTGGGTGTTACAACGATGGAGTTGCGGGAGTCATATGGCTACACACACCGCTCCGTTCGAATTGGCAAGGAGCTGGACACACGCAAATTTGCTCCTTTGTTTCTGAAACAGTGTTGCCATCTGCCAAATAGGGAAGTGTGTCTGAAACAGAGGTGGGACAATCTCTTTCCGACGCGCGTGGCCTCTGGCCATCCTTGTCACGAGTCGTTTTGTTCCTCCGATTCCTCATCAGCATACCTCGTTTAGGAGAAAGAGACATGCGCTGCAAGGAAATCTGCGACCCGAACAGGTCGTTTCACACCTTATAATCAGCAATTGATTTCCAGGCCGAATCATCCACTTCCAACATCCAAGTTTTTCTATCTCGTCCCCATCTCTTTCCCATCTACTCGCCCTCTGCTGCGGCCTTCTGTTCACTCAAATTCGAGTAGATTCTTGAGGTCTTCGCCAATTATGAACACGTTTCTGAGCCACCCAAGTCTGGACAAATCACTCCCCCGCGTCCCAGCCGATGCAGATGCTTATCATATTGAGCTCGTCAGTACCGAAAACTTACATTCGGTTGGCAGTGGAAGTTGGAATAAAGGAATTCCAGCTCCTGGAAATGCACCGCATTTGCCTTCGGACTCCCAGGAAATTTCCATTGACATCGACAGCGTGACCCATGACCAAGACTTTTATGAGGAAGTTGCCGATAAGATATTGCCAGCGGAGCCACCTCTACAGCATACAATCCTCGTCCTTGGGGAAACTGGCGTTGGCAAATCGACCCTGATCAACGCGCTTGCCAATTACCTCACTTTCGACAAGATCACCGAAATCGTACAAAGTGAGGTGTTAACCTTGATTCCGACGTGCTTCTTCCTCTATGACGTCGATACTGATCAAGAAATTGAGATTACCTCAAATAGGCTTGCTGTGACTGGTTTCGATCCAGGTGAGTTAAAGCTGCGAAGGAAAGTTGGCAAATTGAGCATTCCACGAGATTGAACACGTGAGAGTATGAGGTGACTTTGATCCGACGCTCGAATTTGGCGAACTTACAAAGAGTTCGATCATTGATTTCATTTAATCTGGCTCCAGTCGAAGATGATCGCCACATGAATGCGGCGAACAACGAGAAACATACTATCGGTACCTCTTCCACACAGCATCCCAGAACATATGGGTTCAGTTCATCCCTCTCGTCGGGCCGCCGAGTGATATGCCGAATCATCGACACTCCTGGAATGGGCGACACTCGTGGTATCGATCAAGACAAGAAGAATATGGATCTCATCATCAAGTACATCGCAGACTATCCCGAGATCAACGGCATCCTCATGCTGTTGAAGCCAAACAACAGTCGGCTCACTACCTGGTTCCGCTTCTGCATCAAAGAGCTTCTCAAGAGTTTGCACAAGGACTGTGTCAAGAACATCATTTTCATGTTCACCAATGCCAGAAGCACCCTCTATCGACCCGGCGACACCATGCCTGCTTTGAAGAAGCTACTTGGAGAGGTGAAGCGTGACTCGGGCGTCGATATCCCTGTCAACAAGAGTAATCTTTTCATGGTCGACAACGAGGCCTATCGATACCTCCTTGCGAGAGGCAAGGTTCACTTCACTGAGGATGAGGAGAGCGACTTTCACAACTCATGGAAGAAGTCATCCGAAACATGCCAAAGGCTTTTAGACACCATTGCCGATATCGAGAGCCACAATCCTGAGAAAACCATCGTCCTGTACAAGGCACGGGAAAAAGTCTTGGAACTTTGCAAACCCATCGTCGATGTTGGTTCGTCCATCACCAAAAATACCAGAGCCCTGTCGAGCCAAGTTGAGGCACTAGGTTCAAGCGAAAGCACAGCAGAAAATCTCCGCAGTACTCTCAAAGTCAACTATACTTACGCCGACAAGGAGTACCTTTCCCACAATGTTTTAGTTTGCTCGCATCAAGACTGCAGCAAGCACACCAAAGATGAGAATGGACGAAATGTGACCGACCATGTAACCAAGTGTTCCGAGCCTCATTACTTAGCAAACTCTCGCATCGGGATGGTTGGCGATCCGTTGCTTCAGAATTCATCAATGTTCTATGAGCGAAACTGCAGGTATTGCGGCCACAGCTTCACCTACCACCTTCAAATCAACTGGAGGATAGTGTATAGAACGAAGCAAATCATGAACAGACACGCAACAAGCCAAATCAACAACGAGACCGAAGTCGGTCGCAAGCTACAAATCTCCATACAGGCTCTCAAGTACAACATCTCCCGCCTCAATCGTGAAGAAGAGCGCTTGATAGGAAGTGCCTCCATATATGCCTCCTTTGTCAAAGAAAATGGCATCATACTCTTCAATGATGCGATTGTTGAATACCTCAACCATCTTATTGACGAGGCGAAGAGCTCAAGCGCAGAGGTCTCTCATGCATCATACGGAGGGACGAGTCCCCTTCAAAGACTGAGCGATCTCAAGCAGATATATGAAAGCGAGAAAAAGGTCATCCTTGGTGCACTTGCCAAGCACACCGGCCCCATTCCAACACAAGAGGAGATGAAGAAGGCCTTAGGCTTGATTCCACCCGAACCCCCGCGAATCGACATATCCCCACCAACTACTTTCACGTCAAGCAACAAATTTGAAGTCACTACTCCTTGTCTAAGGGTATTCTTTATCTTTTTTGCGGGTATGATTTTTTTGATCGTCTTCTCCGCGAGTCGCTAGACAAATCCCCGATTCAGCTGGCATCAACTTCTTCCATTCAGTTTGCCATTTCTTGGTTGTCCAGTTCAAGTTTCTTCCCTGGTCGATATTGCAACCAACCTGGCTCAACTTCAAGCATTTGATACATCGTCACCATATGGTTCTTGAGATCGAAGGGTACATTTCGGATAATCCTTCCTTCATATCCCAGTTTCCAATCGCTCATGCATTATTTCCACAATTCATCAAAGCATGGCCAAACTTGAATCAGCAATATGATACTCTACCAAGTCATCCCCCTCGATGCCGAGCAAGGTTGCAAGCGCCCTCATATTGTTTACGATCAAATTTCACTGAAAGACATTCTCATTCTCTTGCCGCTACGGTTTGGGCTTGGCAAACTGGTGGCAGTGTTGAGTAAACGCTTCCAAAAACAAAATCAATAAAATAGAGTCGGGAACCTGGCCGAGCGGGTCGTTGCTTTCCTGTTGGGTGAGAGGTATTGACAAATGATGGATTGGCACGGGCAGCTGGTGGATGTATGGTATTAGATTGCTCTCTCCACCTCACCTTGAATAATCGATATGTAGGCCAGCGAATTGTGCACCTAAGGAGGATACTGGACCGTCAAGTTTGTTGTGCGGTCAGAGGATGGCACCCAATAAGGCGTGGGCCACGTGCACCTTGGTTTCAGTGCGGTCGCCCATGGCGCCAAATTTGGAACTGCGTGCCGCAGTCGGTGATACACATCACAAGGTCAATGAGTCAGTTTTTCCTGTTGTCAGACCCTTTCGAGTTGCACGGGTGACCAAGCCCGATTGGTTCGGATGCACGTGGGGACTGCCAGGCCAACGTGTCTTGCCCACCCTTCCCCCCCCCAGGTCCGAGGCTGCGGTCGAGCTCTGGCCCTTCCAACGATCCGAACTAGTCAAACTCGATCCACCCCATATACCGCCAGCGGATCCATCCAATTAATCAATCCATTGCTCAAGTCAGAGTGCACCAGAGTTTCATAAACATCTCGGAAGCCCCAGTGGCACCATCGATATATATTCCTCTCGTTCTTCTTGTGTACCGAACTGGATCTCTTCATTATTCCTCCATTGACTATCTCCGTGATGAAAAAAGCGGATGGGCATAAGCCTTCATCTGTTGATATTATTGAAAATTACGTAGCTGCTGGTCGGGGAGACGTCCCAAACCATGATGGCAACGTGAAGCAGCTCACCATCCTGCTTCTGGGCGAAACGGGAGTTGGCAAATCAGCTCTGATCAACTCCTTGGCTAACTATTTGACATACGAAGATCTTGAAGCAGCCGAACGAAGCGGCGCCCTGACACTCATTCCTACCAAGTTTACCCAATTCGACAACGAGATGGGAGAGGAGGTCAAGATTCAATCGAAGCAGCTTGCACTTTACAACGGAGGCACTGGTATGTATTGAACAGCTAAAGACGGTCGCGCCGGTGGAATCCCGCCACCGAGGCGGCTAACTTTTTATGTTACTTGAATCCCAAGGCAAGGTTCATGATAATGAGAAAATAGTGCCTGGCCAATCTTCGACCCAGAGTTCGCGGACTTATGTTTTCCAGGCGAAATTACTTGGCGAACAGCCTATCCAGGTCAAGATTATCGACACTCCGGGCTTTGCGGATATCCGTGGAATGCAAAAGGACAAATCAAACATGGATTTCATTACCTCATATCTGTCAAACTACCCTGTGATAGACGGCGTTGTGTTCCTGATGAAATCAAACACCAATCGTCTCAATGTCTGGTTTCGTCCTTGCATCAAAGTTCTCTTTTCGAAGTTCCCAACATTGAGCACCAAGTGTATCATGTTCATGTTCACACATGCTCGAAGTACACTTTTTCGACCTGGCGAATCCTTACAGACATTAAAATTGCTAATTGACCGGATTCGGGAAGATAATATTGCAGATATGGCAATTACGAATGAGAACTTGTTCATGGTGGACAATGAGGCACATCGCTATCTCCTCGCCCGAGAGCAGGTTCGGTTTTTTGAAGATGAAGAGAATCACTTTGCAAATTCATGGGACCGTTCTGCTGAAAATTGCCAGAGACTTATCCGCAAGCTTGCCGGTGTGCCTTGGGACAGCCGACACCAGTCTCCACCGAGGTACAAGATTCGACGTGTCCTCGAAGAACTCCACAGGGCTATGGTTGATGTTGCAATATCAACAGTGACCGATGCTCGCTTAATTCAGCACCATATGTCAGCTTTGGCGTCCAAACAAGTGGATGTTGGTGAGCTGAAAAATTCTCTCCATATAACAAGCTTGAAGACAGTTCGAAGAAAGCTCCCATACCCGATCTTGGTCTGCACCCATGAAAATTGCATCGAAAGCATACAATGTGAAGACGGACGATCAATTACTGATTACGTGACTCGATGTCAAGTTCCGTGCTACATCAAAGAACAGCCGAGTCATCTGTCGACAACTCCTTCCCTTCGAAACTGTCCCTCGATGCGGCTGGGAACCTGCCGAAAGTGCTCTCATGACCACACTCATCATTTGCCTATTGATTGGGAAATTGGATACCAACACTGCGAGATGGTAGACAATCGGGTTCAGCAGCAGATAGTAGCGGCTGAAGAAACAAATGCCACCATTCAAATGCAGATCCAATCACAACGCGACACACTCGAACAACTTGAATTCGAGCAGCTTGATATCGTGAAGATATTTGCATCCTTCGCCGCCTTTTTGCAAGTCTGCAGTCCTCAGCCTTCAACAGATGTATTCCGAAACCTCCTCGATAGTCGCCTCAAAACGGAGAGAGAATCCACGGCGATAGAATATCGTCAGCTGAAAACTGATGAGTCCAGAGTCGCGATACTTGACAAATGGATAGAAAATTATGATGATCAGAAGAATATCATTCTTGAAGGTATGTCCAGCCAGCCTGCTTGGAAAACGAAGTCGGAGAATGTCGTGATCCAGATGGGCAAGCTTTACAAACTCAAACACAGCGGATCTCAGTTCAAGGCGCTTGCGTATAATCCAATGTTCGATGTTGTGTGAACTGGGAATACGACGTAAATGAATCCGGTTGGGGTTTGGATTTTCAGGAAAGTAGGTCTAGAACGACCCTGTATCTGGCCTTTTTTTTTTTGTCAATAACGAAGAGTTTGAGTGTTCTCGCCACCAGCATCACTGATGCTCAAATAACAAAGGTTACAGAGAGTACATCCAGGCCTCGTATAGACATATCAACAGAGGGCAAGGCTATCCACATAGCAAGGGCAGTGCATTATGACGCTGATTTGGGCATGTGGCTTCCGTGCGTACCTCTCGATTGACTTTACTGCGGTGGTGAACTCCTGCACCGTCGTAGAATGCGGTATGTAGAAGTTACCAATGTAGACGTTCGCCTTGTACCTCGTCCAGGTGTAGAGCCCGTTTTCATCCGTCTCGACAGCGTCGAGGTGATCCTCGTCGATCGTTGCACTGTTGAACACGAGTGCGATGCCGCCTCCGTGTCGGTCGGTTCGTCTCGACTCGTGGCATGTGATTCGCTCCAGTGGGTTTTGGCTGACAGGTTGCAGCTTGGTTTCCTGGATAGCGATGTAGTCGATGTTTAGGTCTTGCATGACTTCTTCGATGAGGTACTGTTTCTTGATTAGGCCATCGATGTTGAAGGATGCTACTGTGAGCGTGGCCAGTTCGCTCACTCCTTCTGCTGCGTCGGAACCATTCATTGGGAACCGACGATGGCTCCTCTGAGGACGGGGTCCCCTGCCACTCCTTCATGGTTTGGTTGGGAGTCCGGCACAAACTTCTCCAGTTCACTGGGGTTTGCCTGACGGCTGGCCCCCGGTGCTCGCTCCACTGCGGCGTCCAGGTCAATGGGCTGTTCCTGGATGGGGGGTGTGGGTTGGGGCTCCTGGGGTTCAACGTTAACCAGTTCCCAGGAGATCGGCTTTCCCCTGAGGACTTCTCCAACGAGCCTGTCGAACTCCAGCCGGTGTACCCTCGGTACCCTCATCTGGACCATTCGGGCGGCCGCCGAGTCTCTGGCTCGTGCCGCTTGGATAGCCGATCGCTTGAGGAATCTTTGGAGGTGGGCCTTCTTCTCCTCCGCGGTCTTCCTGCTGGGGCCAGGCTGTGCCGGCTCGTACTGGTGAAGCTGGACGCACTTGAGCGGACGTCCAGCCATCTTCTTGGCGATCTCCGCCTCGTCCTTCTTGTCCCAGAGAAGGATCTCCATGATGCGGTTTTCGCCGAAGTGAATATCGGCCATTTTGCGATCGTCGATGCCGCCCTTCCTGAGTGCCTTGCGTATGGTTGTCAGGGAGTTGGGCTCGATTCCCTTGAAGTACACAAACTTGGCGTTTGTCAGCTTCTTCTTGAGGTGGGGGTTGGTGAGGTCTTCGTTCTCGACCAGGCCGCTCACCATCTTGACCTTCTTGGGGTCCGGCTTGGCCGCGATCGAGGCAAGCCACAGTCTGGGTTGTTCTTGCTCAGGTTGGCGATCGATGAAGGCGCACTTCGCTCTGGCTTCCTTCTGGGTCTCTTTCTGGGCCTGTTTCTGGCTCCGTGCGGCCATTGCGTAGGACATCTTGCCCTCTGGTGCACCTCTGGCTGTCTGGGCTGGGGTTGCTTTGTTGCTGGAGGCTGCCGCCTTTTCGGTCCTCTCGCGAGCCATCAGGGTTTTGACTCCGTCGGTGAGGCTCTTCGTCTCTCGGGCGACGAGGTTGAGGACCGAGGTCGCCTTCTCATTCATACCCTCCCTCGCTTTGTCGTCCGTGATGAGGTCGATGATCTTCTCGCGGAGGACGTTCAGCTGGCCGAGGATCTGTCTGAGGGAGAGGGGGCTCTCCTCGGGCAGGGTGGGTGTCTTGCCGACAGCCGTTCGTTCCGACGGTGTGTTGGGCTGTTGCTGGGGCTGTCCCTGGGGCTGTTCCTGCGGTTTGGCGGCGGATTCTATCTCCTGGGTGGGCTGCTTCTGTTCCTCGGTGGGTTTGGCCTGTACTGAGTTGATCAGCCCAGCCGCTCGTGCAAAATCTCGTCGCTCCTTGGCGGTGTGGGCCTTCACGAAGTCTTCTGCCAACTTTTCGTTTCTGGTCATTTTGGCCCAGAAGCTCATAGCTGCTATTGCTTCGCCGCAATGCGGCTGTGCACATACGAGGTGGAAGCCTTGGCGGTCCAGCTTCCACTCTTCCTTGGGCGGGGTCTTGCATTTGGGGCAGGATACCGTCTTCTGGCAGGTTTCAAAGACAGCCTTCCAGATGGCCGGGGTGACGTCCTTGGTCTGGACATACTGGGCGGCCTGTTTACGCTTCTGAAGGTCGTCGCCTGCGGTTCTCCATCGGTCTTCAAAGGAGGGATGGGTTGAGGCTTTTCCCCTCTTGCCGGAAGCCCGGGCCGTTCTTGCTTGGCGGCCTGGGTTGCCGCTGGTCGCTGCGGGTGCTTCTGCGTCTTGGGTGTCCTGCGCAGGAGGGAGGCTGTGGAGACCCAGTCCAGCTGCTTGCTCGGTGGTCGTTTCTTCGCTGGGGCCTTGGAGAGGGAGGTGAGGGGGCTGCTCCTCACCTCTGGGTCTGTTGGGGGTTGGGGTGGGAGATCTTGGGTCCTCGGCCTCCTCGTCCGAGCCGTCTGCGTCAGACGTGGGGTCTTGACCAGCCTGGATGTGTTGCCACCACTGCCTGAGGCGATCGATGAGGACGGCTCTGGTTCCTGTTTGCTCGAGGCCTCGCTCAAGGCATGCGCTTCCTGGAGTGGTTCTAGCTTCAGACCCTTGAGGCCTTTGGGGAGGGTGGTTGGACGCTCCGTGGGCGGTGCGTCGTTCCTGGAGGAGGATGCCACTGGTGGATCTACAGCTGGCATGGCTCCGTCGGGTTGAGGGGACAGTTGGTCTATGACCAGTCCCTTCTAGCGGGGAGGGGTCGTTGGAAGGTGTGTGGTTTACTGTCCGCTTCTGGCTCTCTCGAGATTCCCGAAAAACGAGATCAGGCGAAAGCTCTTCATGGCTGATGGGTATGGTGTTGAATGGATGGGCTGTTGGATGGATGGGCTGTTGGATGGATGAATGGATGAGGGGATGGAGCGCAAGGGCGATTGTCGATGGCTTGGCGGATCTGCTCATCCATTTCATTCATCCAATCCACTCGCACATCGATCCACTCGCCCGTCGATCCACTCGCATCGATCCATCCAGCACCACTCTCCCCTCGTCTGCTGCCCATCCGCTCCGTCCCTGCTCGCAGCCGCTGCGACCGCTCGGCCACAATGCGCATCATCGTTGTGCCCATCACCAAGACCGCCCGGGTCTACTCGGCCCACTTCCACCCCGCCTCCAATCTCAAGGAGGCCACCCGGCTGCCCGTCTCTCGGCTGCCGCCTCGGGTCGTCGACCTCTCCCACCGGGCCGTCGACTTCACCATCCGGCAGTGGGACGAGCTGGGCTCGGCTCGGGAGGGAACCTGGGCCCGGCGCTTCTACGACTTTGGCAACTCGGTCCTGGACCGGATCCATGCCGAGGAGTGGTTCCTGAAGGAGCTGCCGATTCTGCCGACCCCTCCGACTCCTTCGTCACCGTCGTCGTTGCCGTCGTCGTCGCCATCATCGGCTGCAGCAGCGGCCCCGCAGGACACTCGCCCTGCATCCCATTCTCATGCAGACCCAGCCCAGCAGCGCCTCTGGGAAGCATTCCATGTAGGTCCATCTGCATATTCGTCTCGCCAAGGCAAACATGCGATATTGACGAATGAAAGACATCTGCTCGGAGGGACGGAATACAGTCGGGGCGAATGGAGACTGCAGACCCATGTTTCTGGACGAATGCCTCTCCATGGCTCCTCACACTGTCTGTGACCTTCCTGGATGACAATGTCGGTGGCCATCCAGGAGCCTTTGACGGTCTTCCATCCAGCCCGACTGTCGACGAGCCAGATCCAACACGAGCTCGAGACCCTGGCAAACCGACGCACACCTTACCACCAGCGGCTCTTTATCCTCTCGACGCTGCTCGTTCCGGTCTCATGCCTCGCCACGATCTTGCCTGGCCCGAACGTCTTTCTGGCCTACAATCTCTTCCGGGTCTACTCACACTGGCGGGCCTACCAGGGCGCCCGGACCCTCCAACACTGGACTCGGAACGGGCTGATCCGCCCCAAAGTCGACCCACGCCTGGACGAGGCCATGGCCAGCTGGAACTGGGATCGGGTCGAGGTCGTCGAGCCGCAGGTGATCGATCGGATCGTTCGTGCGGAGCTCGGCGGCCTGACCCTGGACCGAGAGCTCGAGCGAGGCCGGCACCAGGTCCTGCGAGCAATCGAAGCAGGGCCTCGAGGGCCGCAGTCCGAGCCGGGCGGTTCAGGCAAATCGCCGCAACAGCATGACCACGGCGGTACCAAGCCGGAATAAAGCGATGATGAACTGCGATGCGTTGCGGTGCGGCATCGCTTTCTCTGCCAGAACAAGATCCGAGAAAGCCATCACCCACCGTATTGTCAAGCGATATAGATGCGTGTATTCTTTCCAAGCTCGAAGGGCTGCTGGATCTGAACATGGTCTTGGTCTTGGTCTTGGTCTTGGTATTGCCGATCACTCAGTCGAGCGATAGCTGGGCGGGCGAGCCGACGCAGGACGACCCTGGCTGGATTCACTTCGGCCACCGCTGTGGGCTGTGTCTGCATTGGAAGGAGCACCGAGAAGGCTCGGGTCGCTGTGGGAGTTGCTGGCTGGGTGTGTTGGCGACTGATAGTCTGGGATATCGGCACCGGCACCGGCAGCAGCAACAGCAACAGCAACAGCAACACCGCCCTCGGCTTCGTCCAAGTGAGCTTTGTACTCTGGCAGGGTCGAGACCCGGGACACCATGCTCTCGCTGTCGATATCGTACATGGACAGGCTCTCTTGCTGGGCCTGGAGCTGCTTGATTCGTTTCCAGTGAAAGTAGCTGGTCAGGCCCATGATGATGGCCCACAGCAGCAGACAGACCAGGGCAGCAATCATTATGGCCTTCTGGGGATCGATGACCGGGCTTGCAGCAGGAGCCTGGGGCTGCAGGCCCAGTCCAGCCACTGGTGTGCAGAAGCCGTTGCCGCTCGGGGCAGTCATGCACTGATACCCGGGCAAGCAATCTGCGGGCCAGCGATTCGGCCGCAAGGACAAAGCAGTCGTCAGCAGAGCACAGACAAGGGTATTCCTGTTCGACGACATTGTTCTCTGTCTGTGGGAACAGATGTGCCGGGGTCGCTGTGAGACGAGGGCCACCCACCGCTATTCTTGGTGCATCTGCTCATTTGTCAAGGCAATAAACTGCGTTCAGGAGGGCGGTTGAGATGGAATGGGATGGATATCACTTTGTTGCAATATCGATTCGGCGTTGTGGTGTGGGTTCGGGTCCGAGAACTGGATCGTTGGCTCGTCGACTTGCTGGCTTCGTATTCGTATGCACTGGCCGTGCTCGGATCGGTTGCTGTCGTCCTTGTCCTGACGATTCAAAAGTCTACCCAGTGCTCTCGACGCCCGATGTGGATCGGTCGAGCATCCAGGCCTCCAGCGATGCCGTCGTTCCCGTGAACATTCCACTGCAGCACCCGGGCTATCCACAGATCGTCCTCGCAAGCAAATAGTCCACCAATCGCCCTCCCCCGTCAACAAACCCTCTGCGCGGCCCAGCATGTCATCGTGGCGGTGTTAGTGTTGGTGTCGGTGTTAGTGTCGGTGTTGGTATTGGTGAGAAAGCGACGGCAATCGAGCAGGGGCGCAGACCCGCTCCTGCTCTTTGATGCTGGTTCACCAACCGGCTGCCTCGCTGCAGGCTTCTGCTTCATCAGCTTGCCCTGCACCACTCCGAATCCTCCACTCTGGTCGCAGCTGCACATCCATGAGCTCATCCTCGACTCGCCCCGGCCGAGGCTCTCTCATCCAGCCCACGCTCCAGTCGTTTGCCCCTTCCTGGGGCTCCCGATCGTCCCAGACCGCCAGCACCCGACCCTCCACGAACCAGGCGCCGACGGCCCCAACCTTCCGCCCAGACTCGGACGACAGCGGCATCGCCCGGTCGATGAGAGAAGACTGGGAGACGAGAGACGTTAAGGAGTCGGCCGTGCGCATCCTCGAGTCCGAGAGCCTGTTGTTTCTCCGGACAATCGATCATTTGAATGTAGGTTTACGATGGGCGGTTGACACCCAAACCCACTTCCAGGACTTGCTATCGCCAGCGTCGTCGAGCCAGTGCCATCGAGCCGGACGATTCTTAGCTCCCACCCGGGGAATACCGCTCCTGCTGATATAATTGCCGGCCGCAATAGCTCGCTGGATCGGTATCCTTTGCTCGCGCGGCCTGTCCCTGGCTGCGACTAATGCATTTCGCTTGGCTCTCTCCATGCTTCTCCTGTGCGGGGCGATCTGATCTGCTTTCCCAACCAGACATCGGTGGTCGCCACCCGTCTTGCTCTCACCAAAAGGCTGTGCGGTCTCCCTCAAGCCCGGACCGACTGATTGTTTCCAGTTGCAATGTATTCGCCTGTTCCTCCGCGCATCGCTGGTCGGCTTGCTCGGCAGACTCTAATACACACTCGCAGGTGCCCCAATCTTTTCCAGATCCGACTCGACGATCGCAATGTCCTTGACAACCTGAGCATACTGCAGAACAATGTTCTGGTACTCTGGGCCTGTATCAAAGTCCCTAAGTTGCTGCAGCACTTCCCGGAGCCGCTCTTGGATGATGCTCTTGACCCGCTGCAGGTTCGATCTGCAGGCGGCATTTGCATATCAGCACATGGTCTGGATACCCGAGGCGCTCGGCCGTCAGCTCCTGCGCTGTCGGCTGCTTGGATGCTATCCGGAAGCTACCTACCGAATGCTCTTGAGCGAGTCGCTGTGCTTGCCCTTGGCGAAATTGAGCAGCATCTCCGTCTTGAGACACCTGTATGCAGGGAGAGATGCATCCCGATATGAGCCGAGAGTCGGGCAACGCAGACTGCCTTGGGAGGTTCCATCAGCACCAACCTCAGCTTCAGGAAGATGGTATCATTGAGCCGGCCAAAGTATCCATTGAAGATGCTGCTCTTCTCGCTGCCGAGCGTCTGGATGTGTCGCTCGATCAAGGTGCCCATCGCCTGAAGAGTCCCGAGGCATTCCTAGAGCGGTGTTGGTGTTGGTGAAGCGGTAAAAGGGTTGAGGATCGGCGAGTGGAAATGAATGCTCTGTCCGGCTCGTCCTGGGTGACGGCGGCTGTTCCAACCTGCTGATATTGCAGCGCCTGCTGGACGATCGCTGCTCGGAGCTCATCTGCCTTTCGCTCCATGCCTTGGACCGCTTGGATCTTATCGACGATCGTGGCCACAGACTCCTCCAGCTGATCCTCGAGCGATGCTGAGGCGACGGCCGAGCCCCCGACTTCGGGTTGTCCATGCAGTGCCCGAAGCACCAGAGCAGCCTTTTCCGATAGGCGGGCTTCGATCTCTTGCGAAAGCAGCACCAGCAGCTCAGGAGGGACCTATGGCAGAGCCGGGAACAGAATCATGGGCCGCGCCGAGACTCTGTCAGCTCTCGCAACTTTGTTCAGGCAACGCTGGGTGGACCCGCAGCAATCCAGCGGATGCGGATGCATACCTCGGCGTCGATCGGATCGGACACGAACGAAGTCCAGGAGGCCAGGTCGATGCCATATTGACATCGAGCGGGATCCGAGCTTTGCCCCAGCTTCAGCTGGGTCTTGTGCTCGAGCGACAGGAACTTTTGGAGCGCCGGTTCCCATTTCTATCCATGATGGAGGGGGTGGAGGATATGTCGGGGGTGACGACGCTATCAGCCGTCGGTGTGAATGCGAGCCCAGAGACCTTGCTCGTCAGGGCGACCCACGGCGAATCAGGTCGATTCGATAGCATCGCATCGCCCGCTGGTGGTGGGGGGAGGAGGAGACTCACGCTTGTCTCGGACAGGAGCAGAATGTCTACAATCTCGCCGTAGAGCAGCGAGAGCACGAGATACTGTAGGCGGGCAGGCGAGGATGTCGATTCGGGTGACTGGGAGAGCATGTTGGCGATGGGCGGATGGGCTGACGGCGACGAAGCAGCTTCTCGCTGGGACCGCGCGCTTTGTTGGATCAGAGCAAGTTGGAGTGAACAGCAAATAATGCGACCCGCCGCAATGTCGCCGAGGTTGACTCGGGCGAGCTGGATGAGCCGCTCAAGCCCTCCCGATGCTACCGAAATCGTCGTGGGTCGCCTCTCTCCCATCTGCGAGTCTGTGACCAATCGCTCCCATGCCGGGCAGACGATCAGCTTATCACCTGGATGATACCCCCAACTCCCTCGTCGCATTGCTTGCGCTTGCCTTTCGTCATTGCCATCCCACGACGAGCGTCGCCGCTCTCGCGCATCACGCTGGCCGCCCGCAGCCAGCATGACCGATGCCCCTGGTCTTTCTCGATGCACACAAATGCTTCGCTGCCCGTCTGTTCCAGGCCATCTGCGTCGCCGCTCCCGCAAATCTCGGTATATCAGCTTGTCCCCTGTGATCAGCCCGCTTGCTCTGCCACTGTCGCGCATGTGATCTGTCCTCTGGTCATTCCCCTGCTCGCCTGCGATTGGCCACAAACGGCCATCGACGACGCGTCTGTGCCAACGATCTGTGTCGGCCGGCACTCCTCATGTTCGGTTTCCGTCCGTCACCACACGGCACCGCCGCCGGACGCCGGCTATATATTCCCCCCCCCGCTCGTCCCTGGTCGTATCCATCTCCATCTTCATCTCCATCCGGGGCATCCGGCGCATCCGGCGCATCCGGTCCGCCTCCGCCCTGCCAACTCGTCCACGCCATGTCACACTCATCGCAACTCACAGTGCCCGCTACGAGAAAAAGCAAGTGCAATCTGAAACTCAAAGAGGTAAGTGTGCTGATTGGCGGTCCCATGAGACATGTCCCTGCAGTGAAGGGACCATGTGCGGGCTGGACCGGGGCTGCATCTGAGGTGCTTTGTACCCGCTCTGCCACAGCACTGTCTGCATCGAGACAGCTCCTGACTCTGGCCACTCTCTGCTCCCGTCCTGCAGTATCATCGACTTCTCTTCAAGAAGCCGTACAACTCCTTCATGATTTGCCTGCTGAGCGAGTACGATGACTGCCTGAAGAACTGTCCTACTCTTCCCCAGGAGGCATATGGCTTCTCCTGGACCATATGCCACAAGGGCAGGGCCAAGTCTGCCAACTGGACCATCTGGGTCTCGCGCCCGATCCTGGACAAGTTTCTCTATTTCAAGAAGATCTCGCTCGCCACCAGCCATGCCGAGTTTGTCGATATGCTCCTGTATGTGCATATAAAGCGCCCAGTCGAAATCACATCCACGCTTCCCTATCCTTGCCCCAACGGCCAGAACTCTGAACAGAACAGTGTGATACCCTTGGAGGAGAACGAACGTACCCCTGATCTGGGCGACATCAGGGAAATGGAACAATACCTCAACCCTGAAGGAGTTCTTGCTGATACTCATACTATGAGCGATCTAGCCGAAGCCCATGTGCCGCCGTACCCCTGTCACTTTGGACTGCCTGCACCCGTCACCCCAACCGATTCCTCCACAAGCTTTGTCACAACGAATGCAAATGGTTTCAACCTCACCAAGGAGCAGTATGAATACCCTCTGCAATATTTCAATGATCAACTATTGGAACCATTCAATCTTGACTGCACCGTGTCATCGAAACAAACCATCCAGACCCTCCCGACCCCGAGCGACTTGCCCGTTGACGCTGTTCAGTACATCGAGCCTATGTGCACCTACGACCACCTGGCCACGCTCGAAAGTATGTTCTTTTCTCTGAACCAGTACGGCCTCCAGAGCGAGTCCGATTCCGCCGACCTGCAGCCCCAAGTCCAGGAATGCGCGGCCACGCTGTGGTCTATCGACTCGTGAACAATGATGCCTTCCAGTGTCGCCTCTCCCCATTTGTTTGCTTCCAATTGCATTTCCTCATTCTGCATCGAATACCTTGGCCCCTGGGCCAAGTCTTTACATTTGTATATATGTGTATCTACCTCAATCAACACGCTGTGATATAACACTCAACTCTTACAGCTTACCCATTTGAAACGGGACACTTTGTTTGAGTCGAGGTTGTCATTGATTTCCAGGTCCTGAATCACACTCGCCCAGATCTGCCACCCGATAACCCTGGACTACACTTCAAATCCAGTTTTGTATATTCAAATTTCAAAAGCAAGCACAGACACGCGGGAAGTATTCAAGACAGAACTTTTTGTTGGAGATTGTGAGGTTTCTGGATGCGCCACCATCGATGCGCCCAGAGGCCTTTCATGAGCGACAGTCCACCGATGGGCCGGCATCAAGGATACTGACATCACGGACACTTGTTGGCGATCGTGGTTCCGAGACCATTACCAAGAGCAGGGGTAGTTGACGCCAGAGACACAGCGGGTGCCAGCAGGGCAGTCGTAGGCGTAGCCGTTGCCGCCAACGCACCACAAGTAGCTAGTGGAGCTCTGGCAGACATAGCTGTAGGGAGTAGCACCCGAGCAGCTGCCTCCGGGAGAGGGAGGGTTGACGGTGGGCGAAGGACCGGTGGTGGTCTTGACGGCGGTGGTGGTCTTGACAGGAGCAGTGGTGGTGGTGGGGGCAGTGCCGCTGACCTTGAAGCCAAAGGTCTCACTGGTCGAGCCGATACCAGCCTGGCCATAGCCGATCCAGAAGAAACCGTTGGTACCCCAGGAGGCCGTCCACGAGTTCTTGCAGAGCCAGGCCTGCTTCGCATCGTCCCAGCCGACAATGGAAACCGCATGGCCGCCGAGCTGCTGGCTTGAGGTCTGGCGGTAGACAGCATTGTTCTTGCAGCAGTTGTTGAAGTCGCTGTAGACGGTGAAGCCAGTGAAGACGGCGCCGTAGGTCATGATGTGCTGCTTGATCTGGTCGACGCTGCCAAAGGAGGCCTGCGAGATGCCACCGGTGCGGGCGCATCCGGACTTGCAGGTCTGGTCCATGCCGTTGCCAGCACCATAGGGAAAGCACGACTCCATAGCAACACCACGGCTCGAGATGGTGCTGGCGGCGGAACTGGGGTACCAGCCATAGTTACAGCGGGCCTGGCCGGAGCCGAGACAGAAGAAAATGTCGGCCTCGGAGACGTCGAGGTTCAGACGCTGCTGGCTCAGGAAGGTGCTCTCGACGGTTGTGGCCGAAGAGAAGGCAACGCAGCTGCCGCACTGGCCCTGGTCTTTGATGGACGAGACCCAGCCCTGGGTGCGAGAGTCCCACGACGAGGGCAGCAGGGCCGCAAGAACAGCCTCTCCTTGTGTCTTGGCGTCGCCGGCCGAGATGCTCGAGCCCTGTGTGTGTGGAAGGGTGGTGGTAAGTTGGTTGCATGGCGGATGGTGAGTGAGTGAATCGAGCAAGTGGGTCGTGGGAATATGGACAGAACAGCATGCCATATGAAGATCGACAAGCACCACGATGATCGAGTCTGCCAGTTCAACGAGATCGATTGCCAAACTTCACACGGCGAAGGCAGGGGGTTACTTACAAAGACTTGCTGGCGAATAGCCTCGATCTCATCGTCAGAAACAGAGGGCGCCGCGGCTTCAACAAGACCGTCGCTGTCTTGGACATGGTCGTGGACCTGCTTGACAAGAGCCTGGAAATCCGAGTCGTTCTGACGGGCAACCAGCTGGGCGTGGAGCTTGGTGGACTCGGCAGCCATGACCACAGTGGTCTCCTTGGAGCCGATGGCCTTGTCGAGCGAGGTGATGTACTTGTCCCACTTGCCTGAGAACGACAGAAAGCCCATGGCGTTAGCTCGCAAAGAACGTGGGAGACGGCTGGATTCCGAGTAGTCCCCGGGTGGTTTGATTCAGCCGCCGGATGCCAAGAGTACCAAAGGTACCATGGAGAGCGGATACGGACCCTTCTTGACAGAGGCAGCCTGGGCAGAGGCAGAGACACCGAGGATCACAGTCAGGGCGACGGCGGTGTTGACGAGCATTATTGGCAACTGGTTTGTGTTGGGAGAGACTGTTGAGGAATTCTGCTTGAGCTCTGGGCCGGGTCGGTGTCGAGTGCAGGTGATGACGGCGACCAGCGGGTATTTATGCTCGTCCCTCTCGATAGTGGGCTGGTGCTGGGCTCGATCCTCCTCCGAGCCGTTGAGCCAGCAGTACGAGCCACCCGCTCCATCTCGCCTTGACAACCGCCGGTGCCGTGCCGTCCCAAACTCTATCCTGGCCGCATGATCTTTCCACTTTTCGCTTTCTCTCTCTCTCTCTCTCCGGCTTCTGCACACGCAGATGCTGCGATTCAGATCCGAGTGGCAGCCGAGGTCTCTGGCCCCGATGTCGTCAAGATGGCCGCATCTGCCTCCTCTTTCCCCACGATTGCCATCGGTGACTGTCCAACGCACAACGTCCCGGCGGCGCTGCGGCCTGCTGAGCAAACGGCAGCATACAGCGCTGTACTGGCGCCTCTTTTCATCTCGTTCGGCTTGCGCACCGAGCATCGCAGCCGATTCCCAGCCGCCTTCACGCGAACAGGCACATGGTCCGTTTCCACCAGCACCCCCACCAAAACCTTGGGCTGGGTCAGGTCACCTGCCGGTACGAGCCACCCTGGTCTCTGCACACAGCGAACCATCCCAAGTATACCAGCCGACCGGCGCTAAGGTTTCTGGTGGCTGGCCTTGCGTTTTTCCTCCTCCCCCAGAAGGTCATGCGCCCGTGCCCAGCAAGCCCCATCCCGACACAGGTATACAGGGTGCACGGGCTTCGCCGATCCACCATCGAGGACGCGGATGGCTCCGGGAAAGGGCTCGGTCGTCTGCAAGGGCCAGAACGGGCGCCGCATGGTCATGCCTGGACAACCTTACGAGGGTCAGCGGATACGGACCCCACAGCGGGTGGTGGTGGTGGTTGGTGAGCACCATGGAGCGAGCAAGCCACTGAAAGGTGGTCCGTCGAGGGATATGGGAGTGAGGTGCTGGGAGCAAGTGCGATGGCTGTTCATGCTGCAGCGAGATGATGCGTGGTTGCTGTCGGCAGATCGACATGGGGCGTCCAAAGGTTTGCTCGCCAGCAGGACACATGGGCATAGAGTTGGGTCCGCTCGCCGACAAGTTCCCAAGACACATTACTGCCTTCCGGCGGCCGGAACTTCTCTGCCCACTTTCGTCTCGAGGTCGTACCTCCCACCGACCAGGGTCTATCCAACATCATATGACCATAGTCGGAGCAAGTGTTATTTGAACAAATCAAATCAAATCAGATCAAATCAAATCAAATCAAATCGGATCAAAGGCACAATCAAAATGAAAATCAAAAGCAAAATCAAAAGCAAAAGCAAATAAAGATCGAAAGCGAGAGCGATCAAACGAATGGACACTTATCGCCGCAGAGCGGCGGTAACAAAGAGCGAGCGTTATGGATACAGATCAGCGGATAGACGAGAGAGGATCATCTAAACGTCCGCCGCTTGGGCTCAGTGAGGATCAGAAGCGAGGGTGATGGGGGGAGCAGACGAACAGGCAAGCAAACAGACAGACAGGCAAGCAAACAGGCAGACAGGAGATGAGATGGAGAGTGGAGAGTGATAGAGAGAACAAGTGCGTATATGCATGGGTGGAATCTACTCTGCCTTGGTATCCGCAGATCCCGGCAGGAGCGAGAACGGCGATTCGTACACTCCGATCTGGCTGTTGGGCCGGATGTGGAGCTCGATAGCCGCTGTTGAGCCAGAGCGAACAACTTCGGTGTGCTCGTCGTCCTTGACTTGCACACGCTCAGGCTGGGTGATTTGGGGCTCGAAAATGTTCGAGGGCGATTCGAGCAGGCGAGGGGCAGCTGACTGGCTGTTATCAAGGGCTTGATGAGGCTCTGCCGTGCGGGCAGCTTCCTGGTCATAGCTACATTCTTGGCTATAGCTGCGAGGAGCCAGAGCGTGGCCGACGTCAGGAGTGGGGGAGACGATGAGCGAAGCGTTAGAGCAAGTGCGGGAAACAGGAGAAAGCTCACATCATGTTGTAAGGCAGTGTGGGAAAAGAGCCATTCAGAAGACGCTCTGACCAAGCCAGATGATCTGCTGCTGCAAAATTTGCAATCGTGAGGTGCATTCGATGGTCGTGCACACGACAACAAGACTCACGCAGGCGGCTGGGGACGGAACAGCGCAAATGTCACGTTTTTCCATATGCTGCCGTGGTGGAACGGATGAGGCAGCTGACTGTTGTTGAAGGGCCGGTCCTCTTGGGATGCCCACTGTCGAGCTTTGAGCTAGAAGGCAAGTGCGGAATGGTGTGGTCAGTCGGGCGGCTCCTTCAGACGTGGGCTGGATAGAACGGAGTAATCGCAGCACTCGATATGGTTGAAAGTGCCCGTGGATGGCACAACCCATCCTGTTGGTGTACTCGGAGGTTCTGTTTCGACATGGCAGGCTGCATGTAGCCATGGTCCGTGGATCCTGCATGCCCAGTGAAGCCTACCTGCTCGTGGGTGGTTTGGTTCTCAGCAACAAGCTTGGTATGATACAGAAACATGCCCGTGAGCGACAGGGCAACAAAGAAGGTCAGGACTGCTTCGACAAACGTATTGGGTGAGTTAAGGATGAGTGATGTGATTTGGTTGAACGGCGCCAAGTCAGTCATGACAGCGCTAGAGCAGCGATAGACACAAACGTCTCTCTCACAACCTGCATTCTCCCTAGCAATTCGGCAGCACACCGAACGACAGCCACCGCAGACTCCCTGATGCGCCACAAAAAGATATATGATGATGCTGGTTGATGACTCGTGGTCTATGGGTCGATCGTAGGCGATGCTTGCGACCGTGAATCCAAATACGTAGAGCGCCAGGGCCATGGTCGCGAACAGAAAGACGTAAAAGTATCTGTAGTTGCGTTTGCCAATGCAGTTGCCGGTCCAGGGACAGTGATGGTCGTGCACTTGCACACACCGGTTGCAGGAGCTACAGTGCGAGCACCGCGGGGGCCGCCAGATGTTGCAACTTGGACAGAACTTGATCTTGACAGGCATCCCGTTGACGGTGATCTGCCTCGACTCGATGTAGGGGACCTGGGTCGCCGGACCAGGAACGCTGATAAACGGATAGCCTTGGGGAAGAGTCGAGGGGTCGGCCAGGCCAGCCGCGATGCCGGGATCGGCCGTGGTTTCCGGCATGACGTAGTAGGCCATCTCCGGATGTGGGTGGATGTTCTTGGGCAGATACTGTCGTTTGGTTGAAGGTTCGATTCAAGCGAGGCAGCGGTCCGGGCACAACATTGATTTGGGACGGCGGCCGAGGAGGTGGGGGTTGTCCAAATGAGCGATGGATCGTCAGCACAGGGTGGACGAGCCAGACCAAACGGTGGGTCCGGGCCAAGACAGCGAAGGCTGGAGGCTCTGATGGAGAATGTCGGCTGGACACCAGCCAGGACAACAACCGCCTGGATCGATCCCAGAAAGCAACCCATGGCCTGCTTGACCGATGGATTGTGGATTTGGACGACAGCGCTTACCCCCGGATCCGTCAGGAATGTCTTGATATAGCTGGCCAGTGCAAATACCCACAGGATGGCGAATGCGGTGGGCATGGTCCAGATTCCGGTCTGGACATAGTAGGGACAGCTGTTGAGAGAGACGGTGCGGGAAGACGGGGCTCAGCGACCTGCTCGATACAACGACGACCGGCTGGGCAGGTGGATGGTATCGGGGCCGAGAAGCGCCATTCCCAGACGGAGACAGCAGATGACAGCACCTTCAGCATCACCGATACCCTCAGCATCACCGATACCATCAGCATCACCGATACCCTCAGCATCACCGATACCCTCAGCACCATCAGCACCCTCAGCAGCGCCAGCAAAAGCATCCAGCAAAAGCATCCAGCAAAAGCATCCAGCAAAAGCACCACCAACGAAACGACAGCCGACATGTAGAAAGTAAACAGAGCACACAGCAGCTGCTCGAGGATGATCCCGGCCAGAAAGATCTTAAAGTCCTTCCTTTTTGTGCCCTCCGGCAGGTAGTCGCGCCAAGAAGTCGTCATCGGGGGCAGGGGAGGGGGAGGAGCGACAGACGGGCGATGTGGGCAGAGATCGCAGCGGCTTTGACCATCGGGAAGCGGCAGACGAGGCGCGGCGAGCGCGGACTGCACAACGCCGATCCGCCGTCGGTATCCGAGCGCTGTGGAATTCGGCCAGACGGAACAGCACAGGAGTGCTCACGCCGGCGAGGACAGGCCCGTTTGATGTCTCTTTGGTAGATTCAACGGCATATCTTGCAGGTCCACAGCACATCTTGCAAGTTCACAGCACATCTTGCAGGTTTACAACACTTCCGCGCAGAACTGACAGTGCTCCGAGCAGAATTGACAGCAACTGCGCCAGATTCCAACTGGCCACTGAGGGCTGCGGGCGGATATGAACTTGCCACCCGAAATGGCAGATTCCAACTATCAAACCGATATGCTCTGTGGATGTCAACTCAAAATGTACATTCCGGCCTGGCACACAACACTGCCTGCGGCCTGTCCCCGTGGCCCGCGGTTTTTGCTTTGCGGTCCGCTTCTCCCCCCCCCCGGACCAAGGTGCCATTGCTCCTCCAGAGCTTCTTTCCCACCACGTCCGGTGGTGCCGTTGTCATGAATCCCGATCCCCGTACACCCCTGAATTCCGTCCCAGGCCCTTCGCCATCGGCCAGCGAGACGCCCCCGGCCTCGCGGTCCCCGCAGTCCTCCTCGGCGCCCCGTCCACCGTCCAGCGTCTCGGCGCTGTTTGCATCTTCGAGCAAGCGGGCCAGCGATGCATCGTCCAAGAGCAGCTCCGAGAGAAAGCCCGGGGAGGACTCGAAAAAGAGAGTCTCTGTCTCGGCCGCGGCCTCCAGCAAGCAGTCGACCTTGCGGGCCAACCACTACCACCACCATCGCAAGATGAAGAACCGCGGCCGGGTCTCGGTCATGAAGCCTGCTGTCGCTCTGATTCTCCTGGACACGGCAAAGGTCAGCGATGCCGCTGCCAGCATGGCTGCCAAGCGCCAGGACGCCGTCCTCATCGTCAACTCGACCGGCCAGCTCGTTGGCATCCTCACCGACAAGGATCTGGCCTATCGTCTGGTGGCGGAGGGCCTGGATCCGCGCGAAACACCCATATCCCGGATTATGACGGCCAACCCCATCTCGGTCTCGTCCCAGAGCAGCGCAACCGATGCCCTCAACAAGATGGTCGCCGGCCACTTTCGCCATCTCCCCGTCGTCGAGGACGACGACGAGCTCAACGACACCGAAAGCGTCGGCTCGCTCCGGCGGTCCTCCATCTCGTCCTATCCGGAATCCGTGGGCGGCTCGTCCTATGCAGGCTCTTCCAACGGCGACGCGGACGATTCCGCCCCAAGCAACATTGTCGGTGTCCTCGACATCACAAAGTGTCTCTACGACGGCCTCGAGCGATTCGAAAAGATCTACGAGCTGTCGCAGAAGCTTGGCGAAGACGCTGCTCCGTCGCTGCCATCGGACCAGACATCGGCCCTTTCTGGCGACCGAGCATCCCGCGGCGCCGTCGAGGCCGGAATAGCATCTCCCAGCCCGCTGTCGGATCTACGGTATGCCAGGGCCATCAGAAGCCAGCTCTCCTTCCCGACGCTGTCGTCGGTCCTCAAGAACGTGGATATCCCGCCCCCGGTCCTGAGCTTGCGCTCGACCGTTGCCGAGGCAGCCAAGAAGATGCGCTCCACGCGAGAGACGGCCGTGCTGGTCTTTGACTCGGATCCAAAGAACATGTCACCGACTCTGGCTGCGAGCGGGGCTGGCGGCAGCCTTGCAGGCATCTTCACCAGCAAGGATATTGTGCTGCGAGTTCTGGCCGCCGGGCTCGACCCAGCCACCACGACTCTGATCCGGTAGGTGGTCGGCAGCGTCTGGTGCCTTGCCTGGATATGCCGTTGCGATTGCGATGGTCCCTGCCTCTGTACATCTCGCTCCTGTTGCTCTTCAACCATCACCTTTGCAACTATCATCTCTGCATCGATTTCCTTTACAACCATCATCTTTGCATTTATCACCCGCATATCTTCCCGCTCGCCGTATCATCTTGCTGCGATATCTGCTGAGCGGGCTGTGCAGGGCTGTGTCTCCGAGCCCAGCGGCATTGCTGATCCCGCAAGACTCACCGGCTGTTGTCCTTGCCCGATCTGGGCACTGTTCTGACTCCCACAGCGTCATGACGCCGCATCCGGACTGTGTCACGCCCAACACCACGATCCTGGGTGCCCTGCAGAAGATGCATGGTGAGCCGCGACCGCGGGACGGCAGCAGCCTCGAGGGGCCCTTGATGTCGATGTGCTCGATGTCCTCGATGTGCTCGATAATCTCGATGTCAATGTCCTCGATGGCCTCGATGTCCTTCCAGCCACCGACTGTTTGTTGTGTTTGTGGACTAATGCCGATCTGCTCACTCCCGTCCCTCCGACCCGGATGTGCGGTGTACTTTGTCTTCGCTTCTCCCCTCACCATTTGCAGCTGGACGATATCTCCACCTGCCCGTCGTGGATGACGACGGCTTTGTCGAGGGCCTCGTCGACGTGCTCAAGCTGACTTACACGATCTTGTCGCAGGTATGGTGTCCATGTGCAACTTTATGATTTGCATTTGCACCTTCCCTGTCCGCCAATCCATCGATATGCCATCATCCATCCATGTTTCGCGATCCATCTGGACTCGATCATTCATACGCCACAGTCGGACTCACTGGTGTGCTCTTCTCTCACTCTTGGCCGGCCCACAACTGCTTGTACATCGGTCCTCGCCATCCCTCGACTTCAACGCTCCTCCCGAACCCATTGGCAATCCGGCACCGTCCAGCTCACCACGTCCCCTCCCGACAGCCGCGACGGCCCCATGTGGAACAGCTTCTGGGATGCGATTCTGGTGCAGGCCGAGACAGCCCGGAGCACCTCTATCCCAACAGTCCCGTCTCGGCTCTCGGCTCCCGAGCGACCGCCCCTCGACGGTGCAGCCCAGAATGGTTACCAGCGACCCCGCTCGGCATCGACGTCATCCAACACCCGTCCCAACGGCGTGCCTTCGAACTTGAGCTCGAGCCCGGCCCCGGTTGGCTCAGCCTCGTGGGCGGCTCCACCAAGCACCACCCGTGTCAACGCCACGGACACCTCGAGCCTCCTCGACGGAGACTCGGAGCTTGGTCTGGCCCCGAGCGACTCGGCCTCGATAACTGGGAGCCAGGTCCTGTCGAGCCTGGGCCGCCTGGGACCCGATCGCTTTGTGTACAAGTTCAAGGATCCCGCCACCGGCAGAGTGCACCGCCTCACGTCCAGCAGCAGCAATCTGCAAGCCGTCAAGGACGAGGTCATCGTGCGTCTGGCCAACAAGCGTGTCGACAAAGCGCCCGTCTCGGACTCTGTGTCGGTGATCTCGACCATGAGCTACTCTGCCGAGGTCACCGACCAGGAGCGGGCACAGCATGCTTTTACCATGAGCTACGTCGACGACGAAGGCGACCGCGTGTCTCTGTTTGTCAATCGGGATCTCGAGGACGCCATTCAGACGGCCCGGCGGCTGGGCTGGTCGCGCTTGCTCGTTACCATCACACGAGCTGCCTCTGCAGGCCAGCCCGACAGTGCCCTCCTTGCCGACTCTCAAGAGGCTCTCAAGTCCAATGAGCCTTCTCTTGCCAAGCAATCCGTGTCTGTGCCTGCGGCATCGTCATCGTCATCACCGCCGGCGTCATCATCGTCCCGCCAAACCAGCCGGGACTCGCGAGACAAGTCCAAATCCAAGCACAGCGACAGTGGACACATCAGCGCCACCACATCGGGTCTTGTCGTGGTTTCTGGAATTGTCCTGCTCGGTGCAGTCTTGTTCGGCCGCAATCTACTGCGATGAATCAGCCAGTGACGACGGTGTGCGAATGAACATGCGCCCGTGCGGCTTGGACTGAGCAGAGGAGCCGCACAACTTCCGGTGGCTTCGATGATCGCAATCTTGCCTCATAATCATGACCACCTCCCCCCCCTCAACTCGGGAGAAAAGAAAAGGATGAAAAAACACAAACAGAATGGCCTCTTTTGCTCGTGCCTGAATATGGCTATGCGTGCCTGAATATGGCTATGTTGCCCACCTCCAGGACCAGGCTTTTGGACTTGCTCTTCGAGTTCAAGGTCCAAAGCCCAAAGTCTTCTGAACCGTCCTCCTTCGACTTCTGACTTTTTCAGATGAACGCTGTATATTGGTCTTTTTGTTTTTCCTTCTTCTTCTTCTTCTTCTTGTAGCTGATTGCCCGCTCTTTTGAATGGAATATACACTTCCATTGTTCACAAAGACTATCGGCGATGTGGGAGCATGGCAGGAGATATGTCTCGAGCCCCTCGTCTGAAGCACTCTCGCTATTTCGAGCGATTCCGCCACCGCCAGACGAAATTGACAGCCGCGACTGGAGGTGACAACGGCGGCCTGGTAATACAACCGGGCGACATCTCAAAGTGACCCGCGTCGATGAGTACTGCTCGACGCTCTTCCTCCGAGTGATCTGAGCTCGTCCCACGAGTCTTGTGATATCATGGGAGCTGGAGAGTGTATTCAAGTGTTGTGCAGGTTGGCAGATGCCCGAGGCATCGCCGGCGGTGCGTGGGCCATGACAGCGATGGGGACCAGTGCGTCCAATCATAGTCCAGAAACCATCGGGGAGGGGCCGAGCCGAGGGAGACGTTTCAGGTCGATTCACTGCGATTGAAGCGGCGTCGGATAGCCGTGTCGCTGCCTTACGGGAGATGCGCCGCAACTTGGGCCAGGGGTCCTTTGAGCTCGGTTCCAGCCTGGATCAAAAGACCTGCTCCGAGAAGCACAGATCACCACGAGATGTGAGCAACGCAATGCGAAAACATAGGTGCGGTCGGCATGGACACACGTATGTTCATGGCCGATCAACCTTGTCCCGAGCATCATGAATCGCCCAGGTTCGGGAGGCTGCTTGTTCACGGCGAGCTCATGTCGCCCAGCCCGACCGTTGAAAGCCAGAGTGGCAAGATGGCCGAACAAAGCCCAAGCAATACTTGCCCACTTTGCACTCAGTATTCGAGATCAGCGTCAGTATCAGCTTGGGGTTTTTGAACTGGACGATTTGGCGGTTGTCTGTGATGGTGGTGATCATGCTGTTCTCGCCAAGACCAAGTTTATCGGCCTGAATGGTGTTGATGGTGTTCGCGGAGGGGGAGTCCCAGTGGTTGTTGTGCACGGATGATGAGCCGCGCCAATAGAGATCGGGTATCAGATCGGGATGGAAAGGCACATATGATTGACGCCTCCGGGGGTAGCCACTTGGAGAGATAGCCACTGGGGAGTGATGGCCCTCCTTTCACTCAGCTATAAAACACCAGGGATGTGCGTCGATCGTCGAACCTGTCCCGAGCACGAGCTGAACGTGACAGCGTAGATTCCGTCGGCAACAGTTTCAACAAAGTCTGCGCTGGTTGCTGGAAAGTCGAATGGGCAGTCGGCGAGGATGAGAATCGAGCGCCACGGATGGCTTGGAGGAGCTGGATCGTTTCTGAGGAGCGGACGCTCTGCGCGAGCGAGATCACACGGTCGTCTGCACAGACAATGGCCGGCATGGGACGTACCTTTGGCTACCGGAACGCCCTGGTAGTCCGAGATGATGACGGCTTGCAGCCCAGGTGTTCTGGTCGGGCGAGGGATGGATAAGGATCAGTCCGGGGAAGAAGGGTTGATGGGAAGGCACCAGCGCCTCGAACGAGACAACACGAGCAAGGAGGCCGATGAGGCTCTATGGCGTGTCGGGTACATCTGATGCCATGGGCGAGCTGTTGCTTCTGTCGACGGATCGGTTGCCTGGCAACAGGCCAGCTGAATCTGCGGATTTGTACCTTTCGAGGTGCCTGTTCAGCAGGGCTTGGAGCTATCGCATGACGAGCGGTTGGACGGAGGCCAGATAGAGACACACATGTCATGATGAGGGGCGGCATGGGCATTCAACGCAGATACAGGCCGCAGCGGCAAAGAATGGAGGGATTCGTGCCAGAGATGGTCGGGAGTGGAGGATCGAGGAGGCGATGGGATGACCTGCCGAGAGGATTGGCCAGCAGCGGCGACAAAGGAAGACATCACATGAAGAAGAGACATGGACAGGAGTGCCAGGACCTGGCACTGCCATAGGGAAAGACATGGACCGCCGAGTGGCCATGGTGGCCGTGGCAGCCAGGGGGTGGACATACCTGGTTCATGGCGATGGATCACAGAGGCGACGGACAGCGGGCTGGGACGAGGAGGATTTGGGGCAGAAAAGGCAGCGCAACCGGGAGGGCTGGCAGGATGGATCGAGGGCGGGTCGAGGGCGGGTCGAGGGTGGGTCGAGGGCGGATCGAGGGCGGATCGAGGGCGGGTCGAGTGAGTGGGTCGTGACGGCAACGTGGCCAATCCTGAGCCAGTCGCGGTCGCGGTCAGCCGAATTCGCTGCGGACAAGGCGCGGGGCGAATCGCTGCGCCGTCCAGGACATGGGCGATGCAGCAGGCCGGCAAGGAGGCCAGGACGCACGGCGGTGCAATCGACAGCGCATCCCAGAGCCGCAACGAGGATGGAGGCACGGGGGGGGGGTGGATGCGGAGATGTCGTTGCTCGAACGGCCGGGGAGAAATGGCAGCACTGGCAGAATCAGCAGCACTGGCAGAATCAGCAGAACCGGCAGAATCAGCAGAACTGGCAGAATCAGCACCGAAAGAGACCCAATGCACATCACACTTCCAAGAAGCGCTGCATTTCCGCATCGGCCATGATAGAGCCCTGCATCGAGCCATATCCACTTCGATGCCCCTCATGCTGTCGCCGAATGCCGACAGCCGATGTCGCCCTCTGCCGAGCGCAGGGCCGTGGGCCGCTCTTGTCGTTGATCCGACGCACACACACACACGTCTTGGCGTCCGTTATGAATCGGCGCCGTCGCCGTTCTGCGCTTGCGCTCCTCTGCGCATCTCATTGCCGTTTCCGCCCATCTCATCCCGTCGCCAGCTCACCGCCAGCTCATATCCAGCTCACTGCCAGCTCATCGCCAGCTCACACTTGCTTGCTCGCTCCATTGCTTTTAACCCCCCCCCTCGCTTCGATCAAAGTCCAGATCTGTCCTCTGCCTCGTCCCAAGTCTCGAGATCAACACGCTCGACTTCCGTCAACCCCCCCGGATCCCTCCATCCAGTGCCGGCTTGTCCATCGACAAAGCCAATCTGCCACCGCCATCGTCGTCGCCATCGCCACCGCTGCCCTGTGTTATCCCAACTCCAGCGACCTCGTCGTGACCATCCGCTTCACCGCCAAGCTCTCTCGTTTGTCCTGCAAAGCCTCAGCCCTGTCTCAGCCAGTCGACTCTGCGTCGTCCTCAATCCAGCCACTTCCTCCTACCACTTAGCCAGTCCCGGCCAAACCTGTCCAGCGCTCTCCCGAATCGTCCATGTTCAACGACTCTTCCTTCTCGTTCTCCTTCATCCCGTCCTTCTCGTCAGTGCCCTCTGCGGCCGATGAGGAGATCCAGAAGCTGGCCGAGTTCCTGCTAGCTTCGAATCCCTCGCTGTTGTCGTCGGTGCCGCTCCAGACCATCGATTCTACGCCGCCCGTCAACCCAGACTACAGCCTGGAAGCGCTACTCTCGCCCCCGATCAGTGTCTATCCCATGATCAGCAACCTTCCCGTCACCTCTGTCGGTGGCACTGGCCCCGGCCTCGATCCCAGCTTCGATATCTTTGGCACTCTGCCTCCCTCGCCACCGTCCTCGTTGTCGACGGCGTCCCCGCCATCGCAGAGCGCCGCATCGCTGCCGTCGTCCTCGCCCGATCTGCCGATGGGCGACATCGGTGCTGACCAGGGTCAGTCGGGATCTCCACGAGCGGCCGAGTCAAGCACCTCCGGATCCCCTCCCCCCTCCTCGGCGGGCCCAAGCGCCGGCGCAACCAGTCGTAAGCGCAAGCTCACGGTCGAGGAGAAAGAGGAGAAATCCAAGCAACGGTAGGCGCCTTTGGGTCTCGAGAACACTCTCCTCGGCAGTCGGCCAGTGGCTTGCAAATGCCGATGTCATCCACTCACATGCATCCTCCATTGCCCCCCCCTTCTCTGCTTCCAGAGCCCTGAAGAACCGACTCGCAGCCCAGGAATCTCGCGATAAAAAGAAACAATACATCCAGGATCTCGAAGACGACAATGCCTCGCTCAAGCAGCAGAAGGATCAGCTCCTCGAGAGAGTCCAGACCCTCGAGGAGCTGAACCAGTCGCTCACCCACAAGATGGACACCCTGATCCAGCACTTCTCGGTCTTCCAAAAGGCCATGATTCTGCCTGCGCCGACGCCCGATCCTTCGCCTGCTCCTTCGTTTTTCCCCGACTTTGACTTTTCTGCCATCCTCAAGTCCACGCCATCGTCCTATCCTGCGTCGACCACCACCAGTCTCTCCAAGGGCCTCCTCAGTCGTGCATCGTCAACCACCGCCTCTGCTATTCTCGAGCCCATCTCTCGTGGACCTCATCCTCTGGTATCGCTTCTGGCCGTCTCGTGGGTCAACTCTTTTGTCTATCACAAGTTTGCACCAAACAAGCCTGCGACCATCCTCCAAGCGGCAGCACGACAGCTGCCCAGCCCACGGAGCTTTTACACCCTGCCTGCTTCGCGCGGCTCTGTGGGTCTGGCTGGCCTCTTCCCGAATCTGAAATGTGAGTAGTAACCACCAGCCCATTCGGCTGTCGGTCTAGGGTGTGCGTATGGAGAGGAGGAGACCATCGACAAATTTGTTGGCATACTATTCGATCCACACCTGCTCGCATTCCACATCCACTCGCATTCCACGCCTGCTCTGGATATGCATCCGTTGGCCGATTCCCGCACATGTATCGTGGCACTGCGGCCCTACATGTCCCAACTCACCACGACCCTCTACCACATCCATCCAGCGTTCTTCGACCTGTCGCTGAATCAAAAGAAGTCGAGCTACCCGATCCAACGGCTGTTTTCATGAGCGAGTCCTTGGTTGTTGGATCTGCATCGCTCATCCCCTCTGTCCCATCCTGTACACGCTTCTTTGTTTCTGCTTTGATATTTTAGATTTTTTCGTTCGTCCATCCCGTCCGCCCGCTGTTTTTCGATATGCCGGCGGCGGCGGCGGTCATCTCGCACGTCCCCTTCTCGCTATATGTGTTCAAAAGCTCGAGCCCTATATCTGCATGAACCTTTCAGCCACTGTATCACCCCTCTGCTCCTCCTTCAGGCCAGCTCCTGGTACTGGGGTTCGAGAGTGTTCTTGCTCCACCGGTGATATCTATTTGAATGGAATGAGCAAACCTCTTTCAGGAAACCTCATAAACTCCTCTCTCTCATCATTAACCATCGAAGGGACGAGGTCGATGGCTGGTGGTTGAAGTGGCGAGACAAACCAGTTGATGGCGGCCATGCTTTGGGAAATGTAGTCTTGGATACACTCGGTCGATCCCCTGTGTCGATGTGGGAGTGTGTGCATTCACTCGAGGTGGTGGATGCATTCAGCCCTCTGGACCAAGTGTGGTGTATCGATATCAAGATGCTCGACCTTCTCAAGTCGCATGGCTTCCCGGCACTGTGAGCACACTCTTTTGGCCATGATTGCAATGAGTGGGTGCGTACCCAGGTTCCAGAACAAACCAACTGCCCTGGCTCAAAACGGGGTGCCCCATTTCGTTTCGGGAACACTGTAAACATATGTATATTCACGATCCAGAATGAAAGCCGTCGTTGGCTGTTGAAGCAATCCGCTCTGCTTCGCTTCGTCCACCTTGATAATTCCAAGCCCCTGGCTCAGAAATGCCGGCACATGCCCATGCTTCCACCACCCCTTCCATCCTTGCTTGCTTGCTTGCTTGCATCCTTCCTTCTTGCCTCTACTCGTAAAAAAACGCAGGCTGTGACAGAACGTCAGCCACAAACCGGCCCATCACATTTGGGTTCTTGACCAGGCTGTCCAGCAGAGAGCCCTCGCAGCTGAGGCCCGTGAACAGGCCGTGGCATGCGGGCTCGCGCGCAATGTTGCGGAGAACCAGAAGGGCAGTTAGCGGGATACCGACGAGCTCCACGGCGTAACCGCTTCCATCGCTAGCCTGTCGGCCGACAGCTCCACCTCCGGCATTGACGTTGCCATTGGCGCTGGCGTTCGGGCCGTGCTGTGGCACATGGGCATAGAGAGGCGCCCCATGTGTCTGTGGCGAGTGGTGATAGGAAGACTGTGCCATCGTTCCGTGAGCAGCGCTGAGCGGCTTTCTGGAGGGCTGCGCCTGGGTCGTTGCGATGCTAGGTTGTCCCCGCGACGGCTCAGACTTGTCCGTGCCCGAATCGTCCTTGCCTTGAGACTCTTTTGCTTCCGCCGACTTGGATGCAACCAGATGCGTTGTCAGGTGTGCCTTGAGCGCCTGTAGCGTGCGCTTGGACACGGTGCAGTGCTTCCACCGGCAAGCATGCTCTGCTGAGCTTCCATCCACATCCATATCGCTGCCAATGTGCTCGTCGCGGATGTGTTTGATAAGCTCCTCGAGACTGGCGTAGTTTGCTGGACATTGGGGTTGTGGTGCACCCGAAGCGCCCCACCAGCACACATGCTCGGCGGTTGTCGAGGATGGCACCGACAAGGGCTGGGCATCATCCATCTGTTCGTCCGAGTCTTTCTGTTCGTCCGAGTCCTCCTGTTCGTTGACTGCTCCCTGGGCTGGATCTGAGGACACTGCTGTTGCTTTCGATCCAGAATCAGTGACAATGGATGTTGAATGGGTTGTCGGCGCAGCAATCGCCGCTGTAGGATCAGAGGCGTTGTCGGTATCGATAGCAGGACCGGCCGATGCTGGGGTCGGCGATTCGGTCGTGGCAGCAGAGGTAGCGCTTTGATGCATCTGAGCCGACAGGTGCTGCGTGTAGTTGAGCATCGCTGCTGATCCCAGAGTCGACATCGATGTCGATGCCAACACCGCCGCCGCCGCCGCTGCTGCCGCAGCTGATAGCGGTGCTGGCACTGGCACTGGTGCACCTCCGGCGCTAGGAATAAGCGATGCCAGGTTGGACAGCGAAGCGCCGACAGTCGAGGTCACCGGACCAACTATGGCGGACCGAAGATCTCTGCTTGGGGTCTTGGTCAGCGCCGGCTTCATGTGGTGAGGACGTGCCCGCTTGGCCATCGATTCATCCTGGCCATCGATGTAGTCATCATCGTCGTCGTCATCTTCGTCGTCCTCATCGTCTTCATAACCATCCTCACCATCGCCTTCGTCGTCGTCGTCTTCAAAGTTCTCGTTTTCGTGATGAGGGTCGGTCCCCGATCGCCCCGCATGGGGTTGGAGGGACATTTCGGGGGCAAACGGTTCCTTTCTTGGTCGACCGCGGGAGCGCTTTATGGACATCGGCGTTGTCGTAGCAGAAGCAGTAGAAGAGGCAGCGGCGGCAGCGGCGGCGGCGGCGGCGGCGGCGGCGGCGACGGCAGCTGATGTGTCCATCGGCAACGACTTGATCTGGATCCCGCGAATCTGCATATCGTTGAGACCCACTCCGAGGGTGGAAGTAAACTCGGACTGGGGAAAGACGACCTTGATATGCTTGAGAAGCTCGTCGATGGGATGCTGGGGCAGCTGGTAGTGGTGGCAATCGAGGGCATAGGCGTGGTGGAGGGCTGCCACCGACACGAGTCGGCCAGGCTTGGGCTCGCAGCGCAGTTGGAGCCTGGTAAAATATGGTTGTCGATGGAGTAAACATGGCACGATGCCAGATGGAGAAGCCATATTGTCAGCTGGTTGTCCATCGCAGTGGTGCAAACTGATGAAAGGCATTGCTTGAAGCAAACTGTCGACTCAGCTGTGTTGCAAGCACAACCAGTCATTACGGACGGATTCAGATGCAGATAGAAGCTTACCAGGCCGCAACGGGATCGACCGCCGCCCGAATCAGCAGCGGCAGTGCATGCTGTCCCGCAGGATTCAAGCGGCCAGGCTGAGCACCGGGCGGCACAGCATGGCCAATGTCGCCGACCGGATAGCCATTCGAGGCTGACGCAACAGCGTTCATCGCAGCGGCGCCCGCTGAGTGGTAGTGGGGATACGCTGCATTCGCACCGACTGCTGCCAAGGCAGTCGCGGCCAGAGTCGGCAGCGTGGATCCAGTCGATGCAGCAGCAAACTTGGGAGCCTTCCACTCAATCAGCCGGATGAGGCTCTTGACCAGACCCGTGCCGCCACAGTTGGCGATGCGAATGCACGATTGCGCGCTGCGGTTCGTCAGCTGGTACATGTACTCCAGGATCGACTCGATCAGCTCGTCCTCGTCTCGGAGCAGCAGGAGCGTAATCATGCGCGTTGTCACAGTCTCGTCGATCTGGTTGATGACGGCGACGTTGGCCTCCTGCATCGAGAGGCTCGTCAGCGACCGAATCGCACCCAAGACAAAGCATCGGTCGTTGTCAAAGATCATCTTGCGGAGGCATGCCAGATAGAAATCGTGCTTGCCCCGGAGCATATAGTGCGGTGCGATGCACTCGAATATCTCGAGTCCGTACGCCTTGATCTGCACAAAGACACTGACGGACGACAGCGCGAGGATCTTGGCAATCATGGTCAGGACCGTGTGATGGGTTGAGAAGAAGCGGCCGTTTTGATCGAGGCAGCCAAAGTTGCGGATGATGTGGAGGACCTGCAGAAAACGCTCGGTGTTGAGACTGATCTCCTCGGTTTCAAACAGGGTGATGTCGGTCAGCATCGGAAACTTGCCCAGTAGCGAGACGGATCGGCCGCCTTCGCCGTAGACAGGAAACAGATCCTTCTGAGTCGTCTCAAAGTTATCGGCCACTGTGTTGAGCACCAAAGTCTCCAGGAACGGCAGCGAAAAGCCAAGGACAGCATCGAGAATATGATGGATCGACGCAACATGGAAAGCTGGATTGCAGTGGCTTGAGGCTCGTATCAGGATGTTGAAGGCCCAGTCGACTTCGTTGGGCAGCCCCGACTCGAGCGCCAGCAACACTCTGTTCTGGGGGCTGCCGTTGAGATACTTTTCTGGTGCCCGAGAATCCAACACAACAGAACAGAGCACCGTCGCGCATGCAGCGATGGATATGAGTGATGCGAGACATACGGTCGACGCAAGGCGAGCTTCCCAGGCGCAAGGCGACAGTCGCCAGATGCTCACCGTCGCTGGTCTCGAGGATCGAGGGCTTGTATCGGCTCATGCTAGCGCCCATGTTGAGGGCAATCTTGCTAGGTGGCACGGCAACGGGCACCATGACCACCCGAGTTGGCGGGGTCCGTTGCAGAGCATCGATGGCTCGATTCCGCTTGAGCATCTCGTTCCGGAGCACTTCGCCTGGTGACAGACCCGCGACGGGACACAGCAGCTATGAGCATTGTGTGATCCAACCAGAGCGACAGATGCAAGGGCTGCCAAGCAGAAGACTGGACAAGGATGGAGTGAAGACACTCCCGACCAGCGGGCGGAGCCCAAGCGCACCTCGTTGCTTCTTTGTGAGAACGACGGGTTCGGGGCTGGCGGTCGGGTCCGCAGCGGCATGGCTGTCGTCGACAGACGGCTCCGGTCGCTTCTGTTCGTATTCCCGGAGGTATTTTTGGTATATCTGCTTTACAGCATGAGTCCAATTGATGCTGCTCTGCGAGAGATCGAGAGAGTCGACGATCTTGGACCACGACCGGTCTGCCACGACCTGCAAAGCGAGCAATGGGAGTTGTTTCCGCAGTGGCCGAAGGGGGGGGAATCAGCCATATCAGCAAAGTCTTGGATCGCCACAGGATAAGGCTCAAAACGTCGGAGCCAGCAAAAGGATATCCAAATGCAGGTGTGGAACAAACACAGATGCGTTGGGATCGCATACCTTCTCATAACCGCCGAGAGCAACGACCGAGTTGAAGAGATGCTCCAGATCGAGAGGCTTGCCGCCCAATGTCGGTGTTGCTGAGAGTGGGGCGCTGGTTTCGGACCAGACATTGAGGGGAGAGAACACGGAGCAAAGAGAACCCCAAATGTCCAGAGGAGACGGCAATGAGACCGACATAGACGATCAGATCAGGGTTGGTCGACGTAGATACGGCTGCAAACTCCAGTCCGAGCCACACAACCCGGCCGGGAACGACCGCACCAAGATCCATTGGCGAGTGAGATCGGGAACGGTCGCGATCCACGGACGAGCCCGCCCCGGTATCGAGGAGCGAGAGACAGTGACACAATGGAGCGACATGTACCCGTTGCGCTTGTGGAATGCCTCGAGATCTCGAAGGAAGGTTGTCTTGGCCATGCTGAATTGTCTCTGGGCAAGCGGGCTGGGTGACTATCAGGACGGCAGGGTCGGCCTGGTTGGAATGACGAGACAGGGCGCGGAAACAGATCCACTCGATCGATGCGGCTGGGCGAATAAACAAGCGGGACTGCAGGGCCGAGAGACGCTTGGCCGATCGCCACGGTATGCCGCGAGGATGCTATTCGTCTGTGATCAGGAAGATCGGCGGGATGACGGGTCGCTCTGGCCCAACCCAGATCGACAGAACGGAACTGGGCTGTCGCTTGGCCAGGGCGAGAAGGCGCTCTCGGTCATGTGAGTGTCACACGCCTGCGCCACAGCGAGTCCAACGCCCCTGTCTTGGTCCGGCTGGGATGCGCCGAAAGCAGCGCAGGAGTGAGATGCTGGGCGTCTGCAACAGGGCGAGCAGATTTCGCAGCTGCAGAACTCGCCGATGAGACACTGCTTTTGCATTCCGCCATTGCCGTGCGCTTCATGCACTCTGGACAGTGCCGGGGGTGTCCGATGCGCACGCATGGCCGCGTCTCCCTGAATCAGACCAGCCCCCCCCCCTCGATCAGCTTAGCGGAAATGCGGATGTGATTGACCTGCCATGGCTCGATCGGCTGCCCATCGAGCTCTGCACTCGCACCCTCATCCAGGCTCACGCCGTTGGCTGTCTTGCTTTGTCTGGGTTGGCGCTGCTCACCAGTTGCTTCGCGGCAACTTTTGAATCATACGGTAACCACCGCGACGAGCCCCCTTCTAACGACGCTCGATCGAGAGAAATCAGCAGGTTGGAGGCTGAGAGCCCGCCCGGACTGCCTTACACCACCACAAGTCGAAGCGATCGGTTAGAAACACCGCCAGCACACCAACGCCAGAAAACACCGGGCTCACCGCGACGGATCGTCTCAGCGCCGCAGATATCCTTCGGCGGCCGCGACCTCCCCTCTCCACTGTGGCCTTCCGACGGCTCGGGATCGGTATTCTGGCCAGCGCCATCCTCCCGCCACCTCGACCTCACTCGGCTTTAGCACTGCGAGTTCCCACGCCCGCCGTGCTTCGTGGCTCAAGCCAGGATGCCGAAACGAATCTCGTTCTCAAAGGAAGCCGGAACCCCGACCGTTCCCACAGTCAACTCCAAAGTGCGCCACATCACCGACGCCGAAATCGCGCAGCTGTACCGACGAAGATGGTGGAGACCGCTGCTGTTTGAGTTTTGCAGCTCGGATCTCGAGATCGAGTACCAGACCTGGATCTTCCAGCAGAGCAGCCCCCAGATCGTGCGCTCGGTGGTGCTTTGGTTCATCATGGCGACGTTCTTTTACGTCCAGTTTTTCGCGCTCAGCTCCTCCCGCGTCGCCAATTTCTCGCCTTCCATCGCCAACGCAGGTACGGTGCTCGGTGACAGACACGGCTTGGGGGCGCTGCATCGCACCATCGATCAAGCAGCCCTCTGACAACACGCAAGCTGTGCAGCGTAGGCGCTCTGTCGTAGCTTGGCGACGAGATAGGAGTCCGCCAGTTCGTTCGTTTCGGTAACGGTCAGCTAACCCTTCTCCCGGCTGCTTTCATTCAATCTCCTTGCCGCGGACACCAACCTTGGCCGATGCCCACTCGGCGGGCCTGCGCAGTGCTCCTGTGCTCCTGCAACGACTCTTGTCTGATCGCATACGCATGGACAACCGACCTGTTCTTATTGATCTTTGCCAACTATGTTCCGATGCTGCTGCTTGGCTACCCGATATACAAGTACCCTGAGTTTTCGTCCAGGTTCCGGATCCGTCCGATCTTTGACCTGGTCATGTACCTGGTGATGGTCGATCTGAATTCAGGTGAGCACCAAGTCCGTTGGTATGGATGAGCTATCCGTTGGGTACAGAGAGGACGCCGATGCGGATAACTGGTTGCAGAATGGAAGGTTGTCATAGCTCGGCGGCCAGTGGACGATCATGGGTCGAGAAGCTGTGTGTCAGAGGCATGACTCATGGATCGATTTCAGCGGGACAAGCTGCTTTGCAACAGCCCACATAACCTGCCACATCCCACCGTCGCTCAATCTTACGCCGCGAGCCAGGGTTGCGAATGTATATTCAGGACCCCTACGGCAACATGTGGTTCCGCAACATGATGGTCTTCATCTATCTCATCGTCATCCCGATGCTGATCACCGTGTCATCCGAGAACACACTGATATTGGGAGCCATCTCAATCGCCATCCACGCCGGACTTTTCTATGTCCAGGGAACCGAGGGCTTGCTCCGTCCGATCCTGGGAACGCTCTTGGTGTATATGAGCGTGTGCATGCTTGTGGGAACGGGGATTCGCTGGGCATCAGAGCAAGTCAAGCGCCGCGAGTTCCTCGTCAATATTGGCCTGATCCGCTCCAACAACAAGCTGCGCAACAAGCTGACGGACCTGCAGCAGACCTTTGCACATCGGGTCGCCGATTTCGACTCGCCGCTCGAGAAGGTGATGCTGACGCTCAAGTCGCTCATGGCCAACCCAAACATGGACGGCGATGTGCACCAGCAGATCGAAGTGATCATGAAGTGGCTCTCGGCATCCGAATCCATTTTTATGCCCGATTTCGAGGGCGCACTCGCACCCAGCATCAAGCTTGAGGATGAGCAAGAGGTTCGCACATACCAATGCACCAGAGCCGCGGGTCTGTGGTTGGAGCGGATCCGGAGGCTATGTTTTCGGGGTGATTCTCGCGGGCGGCGGCGCCCTCGCACACACCAAGGCAGCGCTTGGACTCTATAGTGTATACTGTACGAGTAGACGAAGCTCTGGGTGAATGGAAGGATCTCTGTGTGGGCGAAATATGGCTTTGAGGAGGTCTTGGGCCAAGCCAACCGCTCATCGGCATGACCGGCGTTGAATGAAACTGATCACGAGCCGCTGGATTTGGACTCGACAGGCGTGGCTGCAGGAAGTCCTTCCGGTGCAGCGACGGTCCGAGATGCTCCTAAAGAAGCGACAGTCGGAAGACATCCTCCGGGTAACATCAATAAGGCGGCAATATGAAGAGCACGGACAAACCGAGCACCCCGAAAGCTCGATTTCTAACGAGCCTGATGCCGAGAGCCCGTCGCTGACGACACCCAAGCGCTCCAACAACCCCAACGACGAGTTTCTGGCCAGCTCGATGGACACGCTCGACTACGAGGGCGTCATTGCCGATCGAGACAAGGTGGTCGAGCTCCTGGGCCAGATTTCGACCTGGAACTGGCCCATCTTTGAGTTTGAGGCCCTGACCCACAGCCGCCCTCTCTATGCGCTGTCGATGCACCTGCTGTTCGTCTCTGGCCTGACAGACCGCCTCATGATCCCAAAGAGCGCGATCTCCAAATTCTTGTTCACGATCGAGTGCAAGTACCGGAATGTGACGTGTGAGTACTGATTGGATATGAATGAGCTGGGTTGCTCCAAGCATGTCTTCTGCGGCGATGCCACTGTGATTTCTGGCCATTGCACTTCCAAGAGCTCGCAGTGCCACGGGAGTAGGACGGACTCGGGACACTGGCTGGTCGTCTAACAACAATGCACTCCGGCGCACCCCGACTTGCCCAGACCACAACTCGACGCACGCTGCGGACGTGCTGCACGCGGTCAATTTCTTCCTCAACCTGCCGTACGTGAAGAACAAGTTGACGGATATTGAGCTGCTTGGAAGCTTCCTGGCGGCAATCATTCACGGTATGGGGCCAGTGGGTCAGCTGGAGAGCTGGGGTCGAGCAGAGATGCAGCTCTGGCGATGCCACACTCGCTGCGTTGGTGTAGAAAGGTGACCAATGTGTCAACGACGGAACCTGGGATTGGGAACTGGGGCGATCGAGACCCAGCCTTGTGACGCCGCCAAATGCTGAGAAAGAATCGATACAGGGCGAGTCGGATGCGGGGCTCGCTTGCCAGCCATGCATAGGGAGTGCGGTACTCAGACTCAAGTTACCGCATCTTACACAACCGGATGATAGACGTCGACCATCCTGGCGTCAACAGCAACTTTTTGATAGCCACCAACAGCCATCTGGCAATGCTGTACAATGACCGGTCAGTCCTGGAGAACCACCATGTGTCCATGGGTCTCTCGGTCCTGAAACTGCCGGGCTGCGACATTTTCGAGGGCTTCAGCGATATCGAGTACCGGCTGATACGCGAGCAGATCATCGACATGGTGCTGGCCACGGATCTGGCGGGGCACTTTGCGATGGTCTCGGCATTCAAAAACAAGGTAGGAGCAGGGCAGAGCGGCGGGTCCTCTGATCTGCGATGTCGATACATCCGTGCTCCACGGCACCGATCCCACGGCACTGATATGGCTCTGTCCACACAGGTCTGTGCGGCCGAAAACTTCTCGCTGGACAACAAGGACGACAAGAGCCTGTTTCTGCGGATGACGATCAAGTGCAGCGATGTCTGCAATCTCACAAAGACGTGGGGACTCTATGCCACATGGACGTCGCGGCTGATGGTCGAGTTTTACAAGCAGGGCGACGAGGAGCGCCGACTGAACCTGCCGGTGAGCCCGTTCATGGACCGCGAAGGCGGCAATATGTGGGTCGGGCAGCTCAGCTTCCTGGACTTTTTGTGCATGCCAAGTAAGTCGCTGGGGGAGTGGAGATGCGCGGTGTAAGGTCGATGTCGCTGTCGATGTCGGTCGCCCAGACCGAACCACGGCAATCACAGAGATGCAGCCTTGCCAAGCCGAGCCAGGCCAGGCCAGGCCAATCCAAGGCGGAAGCGTGGCAAAACAGCACCGTTGACTCTGGATTTGTAATGCCTGCTACTGGGAAACAGTGTACGAGACCTTTGGGTCGCTTCTGCAGATCCCTGAGGTTATTCAGCACGCCAAGGACAACCGTGCGCGAATGCTGCAGAACAAGGATCGAGAGCAGGGCCCACGCCAACGGAAAGCGTCGGTGGCCTTCATGCGCTGAGAACGAAATAGCCGGCGTTTGTGGGGTCGCAGACGAGGAGCACGCACTCCAGCCGGGCGGCCGCAACCGGATCGCTTGGCAGACGCCGGGAGAATGCCTCCGCATTCTGGTCGACGCAGGAGCCGGCCAGGGCGAGAGGGGATGCAGTCGAACGCAGCGATCGTGCAAAGCGATGGTGCGAGCGATGGTGCGAGCGATAGACACAGCAAAGACTGCAATAGACTTCAAGGCGGATGGACATGCTTCCTGGCACTCATGATACACGGCCGTGGTTTTGGGACGCTTCGACCATCCAGCAGCCGCAAGGGAGGGGGCAGAGCCGAATTGTTCTGTTCTTGCAACGTGGACGGCCTTGGCTTGGCACCCATGGCTGGGACGGGAGGGACAGCCGGTCCAAGCGAGAGCCTCCAGCCATGAAGGCGATCGAGGCAGCCAAGCGATTCGAAGCAATCAAGGCTGAACATTTGGCTGGGCATTTGGCTGAACAATCGACACCAACAGAACAGCATCGGCAGCAAAGCCGGAGAAAGCCCACGACCGGATTCTCCGCGGACAAAGCGAGCCCGTGGGGTCGACGGCGCCTTGGAGGCCAGTGGGGAGGGATCGCCCGCTCTGCTCCCCAGCCCGCTCTGCCCGCCATGCTCATGCAGATTCATTACAGTTCATCTGCAGCCCATCTGCTGCTCATCTGCTGCTCATCTGCCCGCTCTGCTCGCAGCCGGCACATGGCCATCTCGCTGCAGCCGCCACGGCCTGGCTGCTCCGTTCGGATGTGTCGGCGATCGTGGCTCGTCGCTCCCCACAGACTTCTCGGCAACACAAACATTGTTTCCGTGGAAGCCATTACAAATGCTGCGTTCCTTGCCGCGCGGCCGATCGTTCTTGGCCCCACGATTTGAAAGCCTGGGTCGCCGTCGGCCTGCCGTGGCTCCGAGGACCGCATTTATATCCCCTCTGCACCTCGCTCCGTTTCGCCCGCTGTGGGATTCCGCCTCCAGTCCGAATCGTGCGCTCGGTCGGTCGTTCGCTCGCTCGCTCATTCGCTTGAGCACCATTTCCCAAGTCTCTGCCATTCGGGATCTGCACAAAGGCAATCCCTCAGTTTCGCTGTCGGCGTTGCCCGCTCGACTGAATTGCTCAACGAGCATCGCAGCTCCCTTTCTCTCATCATCCATCGCTTGCATTCTTGCAGCCTCTCTCCTCGCCAGCCATCACGGCAAGCAGCTCAGAAACCAACCAAACAAAGCAACTTGAAATTCAACCCGAGCAGCAATGTCCTCTGCACCCAAGGCCGACGACAAGCCGAACGAGGTTCTTGGCCCTCGCGGCAACAAGCAAAAGTTTGTCACCAAGACCCCTCTGGGCCGCCCCATCCCCTCGAGCGAGCGCGAGATGGCCGAGGAAAAGGCAAACATCTGGTCCAGAGTCACCTACGCCTGGATGGACCCGGTCTTTTTCCTTGGCTGGAATCGCATCATCGTCGAGTCGGATCTGTGGCAGATCGGCACCCGCTTCAAGGCCGACTCGCTCTACGACGCCTTCATGAAGCACTGGAACGCCGAGGTCCATCATGCTGACCCCAATCACAAGCCCTCGCTGGTCAATGCCCTCTACAACTACCTGTTCTGGCGAACCGCCCCCGCCGGCCTCCTCAAGGTCTGGTCGGACATGGCAACCATCGTTTCGCCCTACGTCCTCAAGCTTCTGGTGACCTACATGTTCGAATACCAGAATGCCGCTGCAGGGGGTGTCCCGCCGCCACCGCTCTCCCAAGGGTATGTTGTCAATCTGGTCCAGCCAGCCAGTGCCAGAGCCGCACTCGGGTGCATCGCTTCGGCGGGGATCTTGGCCTGCTCGGTTGCCACGAGGCGGACGAGCAAGGGTCGCATCTCGAGTGCTCTTGCCGTTCCTGCGATCTCTATTGCTGCGCTAACGCCTGTATCTGCTGTTCTGTGTCCGCCCTGTCTCTGCCTGCAGTCTTGTGTATGCCTTCATCATCCTGGTCCTTCAGGTATACCTCTCATTCCGGCTGTTTATCGCTACTCAGTCCCGCTCTGTATTGCTCTATAGCCAGGCGGCTCGCTGTCAGATCCCTCATGCGCGATACTGATTTGTCTTTCTGCTCCCGCTCTCTCCAGATCACCTCATCCTTCTTCCTCGGCTACTACTTCCAACTCACTACCACCAGCGGCATGAGCCTGCGTGCCACCGTTACGACTGCCGTATACCGCAAGGCCATGCAGCTCTCTGCTGCCGCTCGCCAGGACTTTAACACCGGCAAGGTCGTCAACGTTATCTCCACCGATGCCAACCGCATGGAGATCTTCATTACCTATATGCACGTCCTGTGGACCTCGCCTCTTCAAATCGTCGCCATCTCGATCTTCCTGATTGTCTTCCTGGGCCCTGCTGCCATTGCCGGTATCGCCCTGCTCTTCTTGCTGCTCCCGATCCAGTACCTCCTCACCAAGCGCCTGGGCGCCATCCGCAACTCGGTCGTTCCCCTGACCGACCAGCGTGTGCGTCTCACCCAAGAGGTCCTTTCCGGCATCCGCGTCATCAAGCTCTTCACCTGGGAGACGCCCTTCCTCAAGAAGATCGCCGACATCCGAAACAAGGAAGTCCACCAGAACCTGCGCCGCAGCATCATGCAGTCCATCTCGACCACCCTGGCCTTTTCGATTCCCGTCCTCTCTGCCCTGATCTCCATCTCGGCATACGCCGCTCTCAACACACTGACTCCCCAGAGCGCCGGCATCCTGTTCTCGTCCCTGACCTGGTTTTCGATCCTGCGTTTCCCGCTGATGTTCATCCCGGCCGTCCTGGCCGGTGTCGCCGATTTCCGTGTTGCCATCACTCGTGTCCAGGCGCTCTTGCTTGCTCCCGAGCTCGATCCGCCTTATCCCATCGAAAAGGAGGCCCCTTACTCGATCAGCATCGAGAACGGTACCTTTATCTGGGAATCGGCCCCCCCTGCCCCCAAGGACGAAGGCAAGAAGGACAAGAAGGACAAGAAGGACAAGAAGGACAAGAAAGACTCCAAGAAGAACGGCGGCAAGACCCAGCCCGAAGCCGAGTCTCAAAAGACCATTGCCGAGTCGGACACCAGCAAGGCTACCCCCGGCTCCACCGTTGATCTCGCTGGTGTCACTGCCGCCAAGTCCCAGTTCTCGATCAACAACATCACCATCAACATCCCCCGCGGCCAGCTCGTGGCTGTTGTTGGAAGCGTCGGCGCCGGCAAATCGTCTCTGCTGAACGCCTTGGTCGGTGAGATGCGCAAGGTGGAGGGCACGGTCACCTTCTCGGGCAACGTCGGCTATTGCCCGCAGCAAGCTTGGATCCAGAACGCAACCGTGGAGAAGAACATTACCTTTGGCCTGGAATACAACCGCGAGCGCTACCTCCAAGTCATCAAGGCGTGTGCCCTCGAGAAGGATCTCGAAATCCTGCCCGACGGCGATCAGACCGAGATCGGCGAGCGCGGCATCAACCTCTCCGGCGGCCAGAAGCAGCGCATCAACATTGCCCGCTGCCTGTACTTTGACAGCGAGATCTGTCTGATGGATGATCCCCTGAGTGCCGTCGACGCCCACGTCGGCAAGTACCTGTTTGAAAAGTGCATCATGGACGCCATGAAGGGCAAGACCCGCATCCTGGTCACCCACCAGCTGCACTTCCTTCCCCAAGTCGACTACATCATCGTCCTCAAGAACGGAAACATTGCCGAGCGTGGCACCTACTCCGAGCTGATGCGCGCCGGAAGCGAGTTTTCTCTTTTGATGCAGACCTACGGAGGCGCCGATGAGAACAGCGAAGAAGGCTCCTCTACCGACGGCGCCGAGGCCGACGACAGCATCCAGGTCGACGCCAAGAGCACCACCGAAACCAAGAAGAAGGACGAGATCGCCCAGGATGCCCCCAAGAAGGCCCGCGATCTGATGAGCGCTGAGGAGCGTGCCACCGGCGGTGTCAACCGCGGCGTCTGGTCTGCCTATGCTCGCGCCGGAGGTGGCTCCTTTTTCTTTGCCGGCCTGGTGCTCTCGCTGCTGCTCCTGCAGGCGGCCAGTGTCGGCACCAACTACTGGCTCGTCGTCTGGTCCAACAACGAGATCCCCAGCTTCGGCATGGGCGGATACCTTGGCATCTACTGGGGCCTGGGCATCGTTCAAACCATCTCGGTCTTTGCGTTCTCGGTCTTTTTCGCATTCACCGGCAATCGTGCGGCCCGTGTCCTGCACGAAGCCGCCTTGGCCCGCATCCTGCGTGCACCCACGTCCTTCTTTGACACCACGCCCCTTGGCCGCATCATCAACCGCTTCTCCAAGGACCAGGACGGCCTCGATATCACCATTGCCGACTCGTTTCGCATGTTTGCCAACACCCTGGGCAGCTCCATCGCCATCTTCACCATGATTATCATCGCCACGCCCTTCTTTGCCATCCCGATGCTGCCGCTCCTCGGAGTGTACTACCTGATGCAGGTCATTTACCGCTCAACCTCGCGCGAGCTCAAGCGCATGGAGTCCATCACCCGCTCGCCCCTCTATGCCCAGTTCGGAGAGACCCTGACGGGCCTGCCCACGATCCGTGCCTACCGCGAGCAGCAGCGCTTTGTGGAGCGCAACTCAGCCACCATCGACAAGAACAACGCGCCGTACTTTATGCTCCTGGGCTCGCAGCGCTGGATCGGCCTCCGTCTCGAGTCCATCGGCGGCTTCCTGGTCTTCCTCGCCGCGCTCTTTGGCATCCTCGCCCGCGACTCGAGCTACTTGACTCCGTCGCTCTTTGGTCTGTCGCTCTCCTATGCCCTCCAAATCACCGGAACCCTCAACTGGTGTGTCCGCCAGTTCACCGAGACCGAGATTGCCATGAACGCTGTGGAGCGCGTCGAGCACTATGCCTATCGAACCGAGGTCGAGGCCGAGGCCATCGTCGAGCACAACCGCCCGCCCAAGAACTGGCCCGCACGCGGCGACATCAAGATCGAGAACCTGCGCCTGCGCTACCAGCCCGAGCTCCCCGAGGTGCTGCACGGCGTCTCGTTCGCGATCCAGGACCGCCAAAAGATCGGCATTGTCGGCCGCACGGGCAGCGGCAAGTCGTCGCTGATGGTGGCTCTCTTCCGTATGGCCGAGCCTTCTGCGGGCTCCAAGATCGAGATCGACGGCGTCGACGTCCTCAACATTGGCTTGACCGATCTCCGCAGCAAGCTCGCTATCATCCCGCAGGACCCCACGCTGTTCTCGGGCACCATCCGCACCAACCTCGATCCCTTCAACGAGCACACTGACGACGAGATCTGGGACGCCATCGCCCGCAGCAACCTCAAGAACAAGGTCGTGGAGATGGAGGGCAAGCTCGACGGCGCGGTGAGCGAAGGCGGCGAGAACCTGTCGGTCGGCCAGCGCCAGCTCCTGTGTCTGGCCCGTGCCATGCTCAAGAAGCCCAAGGTCCTGATCATGGACGAAGGTGAGTCTCGGGCGCACTGTGGGGCTGCAACTCGCTCTCATTCTATCGAGGACCACATCATATGCCGGTCGGACAGACCTTGCGCGATAGCTGGGCTCGACTGCGTCTAACCCCGGTTTTCTGCTTCTCTGTTTCTCTGCTTCTGTCTCAGCCACCGCGAACGTCGACTACGAGACCGACGCCATCATCCAGCAGTGTCTGCGCGATGACTTTTCCGAGGCTACGATCCTCACGATCGCCCATCGCCTGAACACCATCATCGACTACGACCGCGTCCTGGTCATGGACCACGGCAACATTGCCGAGTACGGCCACCCCTCGGAGCTGCTGTCGAACGAGAATGGTGTTCTGTACAGCATGGTGCAGGAGACCGGCCCGTCGAACGCCGAGCTGCTGATTGGCCAAGCCAAGGCGGCGTATGATGCCACCCACGGCACCAACTCGAACTAGACCAGACCCCCATACTCGAACCATCTGAACGTGTGCAAATCAATGAAAGCCGCCGGATCATATTAACTCCAGGGAGGGGGGAGTGCTCCACAACACATCATCATCCTGGCACCCATCCGCCTGTTTTCCGATCCTGGCTGTGAGAAATGGAAGAGGCCTCAACCCACAAACCTGTATCGAGCAATACCTAGCAACAATATCAAATCACTCCCTGCTCCTCAACTGAGGTTGTCTGGGCCCGTGCAGGAGTGAGGGGCGGGAGATTGGAGCGTGTGGCTGCTGGCCAGAACACAGCCAGAGACAGCCAGTATGCAGGCCCGCAAAGCGGAAAGGCTGCACCGGGAGGCGAGCGAAAAGCGCAAGAAGCGCCTGTGCACAAGGAGCGAAAAAAGGCAAGGAACAGGACCGGGTCTGGGGACATGGCGGACGGCGTGTGTCCGAAGACATGCCCCATGTGATGGCGCTGGGTCCTGCGCTCTGCAAACCGTGCGCTGCAGTGCGATTCAACTGGGACGGAATGCCATCTGCTGCAATGCAATCGAATGCAAGCAACAGGTTGACCCCCTCGTGGGCCGTGGCCCGTGGGCAGAGCGGGAATGCAGCTTGCTGGCGGGGAGGGGATCGGCGTCTCCGTCCCAGGTCGATTATCCAGGATCAAACATCAAGAGCCAGATACCCACCGAGAACGACATCCACCAAGAGCGATATCCATCCAACCACAACTACTCAAGAACGACATCCACCGAGGGACGCATCGGTTATCACGGGTTCATTGAACTTCCACTGCGCCCCCACCCTCGTCCAGCCCGCAAACCTCGAGTCCAAAGCAGCCTCTTTCCCACCCGGCTTGGTCTTTCCATCTCTCGGCGGTCTTCCTCGATCAATCCCTTGGTCTGCTTGTCTGGGCTCACGGCCGAAGCGCATCAACCTCTGCCGAGCTGAGCCGAGCCGAGCCGAACCAAGCTTTGCCTGACCCCGATCGGCAAGACCACCGTCCAACCTCTTTCGACCACCCCAGCAAACCTTCATGGACGAAGCCCAGCCACCACCACCGCTTCCTCCGAGGGCAAGGATACGCCAGGGCCGCCCCGACAGCTCCAGTCTCCCTCGGCGATCCCTGGGCCGGGACGAAGAGACGCCCTGGAACCGCAAGTCGCCTCAACCCCGGACGATGGATATCTTTGGCCACATCAACAGCCCGCGGGATCTGCCCGAGAACTCGCTCTCGTCCATGTTTGGGCAGAAGCCTCGGGCGGTTCGGCCACCCGGCCTGCAGCAGCCGGCACATGGATCAGTGATTTCGCAGTCTGGGCCAAGCTCGCCGGCGTCACCTTCATCTCCTGGACAGCCTGTCCGGCGGTCGTCTGGCACATCGAATGCGACCCGGCCTGGCGGCAGCAGCAGCTTGCAGGACGAAAAGAGCAATCAGATCATGATCTTCTCGACCATGATATGGCTGCTGCTCGAGCAAAACGTCCGTGAGCTCGAGGACACCACGCAAAGCCCCCGTGGCTCGACTGCGTCTTCCCGCCCGTCGTCTCGGCCGTCGTCTCGACCGGCATCGCTGCATGCACTCTCGGGCGAGGGCCAGGATGACGTCGTGGAGCCGGTTGGCTGCCAGCTCGATGGGCGCATCGACGTGGGGTTTTGCGTCCTGAACTTGCATCTGCTCAAGGACACCTTGCACCCAGCCATGTTCCATTACGTTTCATGGCTGCGGGGTCTGTGCCATGGGTTCTTTGAATCGAATGGACTGACGCCGGACGGTAAGGGCAGCATTCCTTTCTTTGGTCAGCACTCTCGGTCCCTGATCTTTGTGACGTGGTCATATCCAAGGCTGACGACCCTCGGCGCGTTCTAATCCCGGCCCAGAGGTGAAGATGACCATGCGTCTGTCGCAGGGCCAGTCCGGGGTCGCACTGGAAAGCATCCTCGAGAGCTTCTTTGTTCACTACTGGCAATCCAACGCCGGAGCCAGCGTCAGCGGCGAGCTCGAGGGTGTCTCGTCGGGCCCGCCGCAGATCCGCCACGAAGATGCCCGGCTGCAAGAAATCGTCGGCGACCTCGTCCTGAACCTGATTTGCTCCGACCTCCACTTCCATGCCCAGGAGCAGCACGAACTTCGATATGACGCCCGGCTCAGGGCTTTCATCCGCCAACTCATTGGCACAATGCTGAGGCCCAGGGTCTTTCGCGACGACGGGCTGGTGGTGAGTCCTCCGAGTCCTCCGCTGCCGCCTCACAACAGCGTCATCGACGACGGCGACGACCCGTTCCACACAATGGTCCTGAGCCAGGTGGCCGTTCGAGACCGACAGGACGGCAGCAGCAATGACGAAGCAATCGACACGGGTAGCACAAGCAATGGCGTTGATTCTTCCGAGAACAACGAAGGCGCCTACCCCGCTGCTAAGAACGAAACCACTGGCATTGTTGATGCCAGCTGGACCGGCGATGCCAGCGGCACGTTCGATAAAGGAAGGTCATTCGAATCGAGCCCAGCACATCCTGAGAATCGGTCGCGGCAGCGGGATGACCAGATCTCGGAGCCCGACAACAGCGGCGGCCGGTCCCGCCAGTCCAGCGCCGCCAGCTCATTCCAGGACTCGCATCGGCGACTGGGCAAGATCGAGGGGTTCCTGCTGTCCCAGGTCGAGCATCAAGCTGCCGACCAGGTGTGGTCGGAAGTGCAAGCATCCCAACACAAGCGCGACGAGGACGGCGATGCCCTGTTTGCCGGGCAGGCCAGCGCCAAAGAAAGCTCCTCGCAGCGGGTGCGCAAGTGGCTTACGATTGGCCTGGCGACCGTTGGCGGAGGTGTTGCTGTCGGGCTGACAGGAGGCCTGGCGGCACCACTACTGGGGGCTGGACTTGGATCGCTGTTTGCGGGCATGGGCATCGGCGGTGCAGCCGCGATTGCTACGGGCCTGGGAACGACGGCCGGTGCAGCAATCGTCGGGACACTCTTTGGCGTCACTGGAGGCGGTGTTGCCGGTAAGTCGCTCCGTCATGCATGTGCATGTGCGCTGGTCTTTGTTCCAACACCATCCTCCTCCTGGGAGCGGCGCACTTATCCATGAAAGCTAGACTGTCGGGCGGGTGCAGCCCGCGCTCGAGGTCTGGAGATCGATGAACGAAATTGATCGTCATGGAGGACTGTGACACGCACCGATTCGCATGGCTGGACTCTGACTGACCGAGCTCTCTGGCACTGTTGTGCGCCTGGCGACATACCCAATCCGAATCCACGATCTCGGGACGACCATTGGAACATGCGAAAACTGGGAAACTGGGAAACTGGGAAACTGGGAAATGGAATCCATAGCCTACAAGTTTAATCGGCGGCTCAAGGGCATCGAAGAGTTCCGATTCGTGTCGATGGCGGCGCCGGAACGCAGCATGCACGTCATCATTGCAATCTCTGGATGGCTCAACACCATGGACGATGCTCACGAGCCGTGGGCGATGCTGCCGAGCTACTGTCCCCTATCCGAGATCGACTGTCTGGTCTACGACTCGAAGCACATGCTTGCGCTCGGCGGGGCGTTCTCGAGCTTCCTGACGACAGGCGCCGTGACGGTCGCGGCAACCGAGATCCTGAAGCAAACTGTCCTGGCAACGCTGGTGTCAGCCATCATCTGGCCCGTGGGCTTGCTGCAGTGGAGCTACGTGATTGACAACCCGTGGTCGGTTGGGCTGGACCGATCGATCAAGGCCGGCCGACTGCTGGCAACCGAGGTACTGCTGCAGAACATCCACGGCAAACGACCGGTGACGCTCGTAGGCTGGGGCCTGGGTGCTCGCGTCATCTACCAGTGCCTGCTGGAGCTGGCTGCAGAAGGAGCAGCTGGCCAACGCGACGTCTGGGGCATTGTCGACAGCGTCTATCTGTTTGGGACGCCCATATACGTGATCCCGGAGGAGCTGCAGCGATGCGTATCGGTGGTGGCCGGCCGGTTTGTGAACGGATACAGCAGCCGCGACTGGTTCCTGCGGTTTCTGTTCCGGTCGATTGCGCCGACGGCCCGATACCACTACGGCGTCCTTGGTCTGAATCCGATCGGGCTCGATGGCGTTGGGCCGGTCGACCTCATTGGCGAGGGCAACCGGTTCCGGATGGGGCGGATCGAGAACTACGAGCTCGGGGATCTCGTTGGCGGTGACCACATCCAGTACAAGGACCACATGAACGAAATCCTGGACCGGGTGGGGTTCGAGCGCGGGACGAACGAAAAGGAAGGCGGAGTGATGGTGGTGTGACGAGACAGGGGTAATGGCCAGGGGTGGTTTCAAAATCTAGCACAACCGTCAATCCCCGTAGTCTTGAATACACTCGGTCGATCCCCTGTAGCGATTGGTGTTGATGACTCGATGTGGGAACACTGTATATCATCCGCTCGCCGAGGTCTTGCAGCGATGTTGCTCTTTGCCCTGCGTCTTTCTGCCTCATCCCAGGTATGTCTTGTTGCTCTGACCAGCAGTGGCTGCATCTGCAGCGGCTCGCTGGTTCGGTCGTGCCCACTCACTCCATGCAGCTCCCTCGCACAGGGAAATGACTTGACCCACTTGGCCGGGTGTGATATGATCCGAATACGCCGTGTTTGTCCGAATGAGACAACGTGTCCATTGTCTATTCACCATGATGCGATTCCACGCCCAATGACGAGACGGTGCTGTCGCTGCTGGGAGTAGCACCCCTTTGGCAGCCGACAGGCAAGCCCGCACTGGCAGGTCAAGCCAAGAAGCGCCCGGCCACCACGAACCTTCGGTCGTGCGGGAGTTTGCGCCATTTCTCCGGTGGGAACTCTGCCGGGTTTGGGGTCCGTCTGGCAGGAAGCCGAGACATGCGGGACGCAACACTTTGTCAACAGAAGGGCGGGGGCTTGGCGGTCAACAGGCAAGCCACCTCGAACACAACAACTCTCCCGGAACAATCAAGGTGGCGGGCAGTCGTTCCTCGACAGACCCGAACAACCGAAAGCGCAACCGCGAAACGGCCACGGAACGGCCACCGAACAGCCACCGCCAACTCTGGGCGATTGCGCCTTCGGGCTGGAGTGCGGATACACGTGATATGCTGCGCGTGTGTGCGACATCCGCCTGCCGAATCCGGCAGCAGCCAATCGGCGCGCGCCGCGGGTGCGACAGAAAAAAAGCGCAGCGCGCGACGCCGGTTTGCGCGGCGCACTGTGACTGTGCGGGTGTGCCACGCCATTTTTGGCGTTTCCGACATTGGCCGACATCGGCCGACAGACCCCACCCCGGGGTATAAAACCCGGCCGCCGCGGCCAGCCCTCTCCGCCCCTCCTCCATCTCATCTCGCCGTCTGCATCTCTTTTTTCTTCTTCGCTCTCGACCTCGAAATGGCTGGCTACACCCTTACCCGTGTCCCCGCTGGTGTCTACCCCCTCTTCGCCATCATGGGCATTGCCACTGTTGGTGCTGGCTGGTGGCTCACGTAAGTATCCGCTGCGGGATCTGCTGCTGCCTGCCTCGTCGATCCGGCTGTGTCCAAAGTGCCTGCGGTCCGCCCGGTTCTCCGCCCTTACCCTCATGCATTCTTGGTTGCTGCAGCTACCTGGCCCGTCACCAGGACATCGTCTGGAACCGCAAGTAAGTAGCCTTCTCCATTCGTCCAGCCGTGCGAGTCCCGATTGACAAGAGGATGAATAGCAAAACACAATGGGAATCTCTCTGAAACAACACCTGTAGAGAGCGTTTTGGAAACCTGATCACTTCAGTCGTGCGATGCCGGTTGCGTGCCCGGAATCTGCCCGGCTTCTGTCCAGACACAATCCGACCAGTCGAGCTGACCCACATTTGCTGTGCTGTTGATACAGGAGCAACCCCCAGCCCTGGCAGGCCGTCCAGCAGAACCAGACCACCAAGCTCTATGACCCCAACGCCCGCTTCGATTCCAAGTGGCGCCGCACCGAGTTCTAAGCGCTCCATCAACGCAACTACCTCTCTCTGTCCGCATGTTCATTGATCCCATCGTTTACCCCCGGCTCGGGTTGTCTCCAGTCTAGAAGTTGTGTGCAGTGCGATCGTTTGCCCGAAACCGACCTGTAGATTCGGACGGCAGTATCTTTTTCTTCCCCCAAAGACTCCGTTGCTCTCGTGGTCTCTTCTCCCCTTTGCTCTCGTGCAGCTGCACAAGCTCCGTATAAATACAGCGTAGCCAGATTTTGGTCTGTTTTGGACACGATGCGCGATCTTCGCCGAGGTATTGCCTGGGTTGGTTCGGTGGGGTTTGCGTGCTGGCAAATCCACATTGCCTGCGGTGCTGGGGCGGGCGGGGTCCTGCCATCGATCCATTGCGGGATCTGTCTGTGGCGCATGACACGGAGGAGGGATGCAATCGTATCGACATTCGGGGCCTTCGGGATACAGCGCTTCCAAAATGAAATGAGACACCCTCGTTTTGCTCTATGACTGTGTTTTTTTCTGGAACCTGAATGCACCCACCCACTCATCGCATTCACGGCCAGGCACAGCACCATCTTGATATCGAGAAACCACACTTTGTCCGGAGTTGTGCAAGCTGCCATACGCTGTGGGATCGAGACATCAATGCCTCACGGAACATGATCTCGGTATGCCAGTCGATCATTGCCCATGGAGATCGACCGAGTGTATTCAAGACCATGCTTCCCAAACCAACCAAAACAAAGAGATTGCCAACGAAGACAGGAGTGCAGTGCCATGGCCTGCCCGCTGGGCCTACAGTCAGTCAGCGGGGTTCAGACATCTGAAGCCAGAAAGAGCTGTCCCGTTTGAACTCTTGGATGAGCTCGCCGGCGCGCTCGTGGATCTCTCTGGCCTTTGGAAGTGTTTGATCTGGATGTGAAACGAGGTCGTTTCAATGCCGATTAACAACCACCATCACCACCATCACCACCATCACTGCATCACTGCATCGCCATCGCCGTCGCCCGCTCGTTCCTTGGCACTCTTGGTTGCATCCGCGCATCACCATCCTGCGCATTGCCGCTCCTCGCACAGCCCGGCGCCGCTTCCTGATCGGGCAGGCACCCGCCGCTGGCCTTGTCGTTTCGCTTCCGCCCTGTTCCTCGTCCTCGCTTCTCTGTTTCATCTCCACCCAACCCAGACCCGCCGCCGAATACCTTCCGTCCTCCGGCCGTTACCCACCACTCCCCGACTAGCCATGGGTCTGCTCTCTCGAATCTCGACAACCAAGAAGGACGGCGCTGCTGCCGACCACGCCGCGCCTGGCATGACCCGCACCTTCTCCACCGGCTTGGGCCGGCTCTTCAGTGTCTCCACTCCCGTGCCTCCCAGACGCACTCAGGAGCCGGTTCCCTTCGACGAGGAGCTGGTGCATGTATCCGGGCCGAGCCCGCTGCAGAACCTCCTGGACGTGAACAAGCAGTGGGCCGAGCAAATCTCCACCGAGAGCCCTGACTTTTTCCCGCAGCTGGAAAAGAGCCAGCACCCCACTATTTTGTGGATTGGTTGCAGCGACTCCCGAGTGCCCCCGACCGAGATTGGTGAGTCCCGCAGCGTCTGTCCATGGAACCCGTTGCTGGCTGGCGAGGGAGAAAGTATCAGGCGGTGCTTGGTACCCAGAGCCTGCTTCGTATTCGTGTGGTCACCGCGATATATGCAGGCCCTGATTTCCCTCGCCATTCACGAGCGTCTCCCGCAGCCGCGGATATGTCTCCCGCATTCGTGCCAAACGATGTCGCTTGATGTCAATCCGCATTCTCGGATTACTCACCGATGTTCATGTCGCCCCTCTGTTTCCCAACTGCCTCCTCAAACTCCTCGATCTCCCCTCAATCTCACCCTCAATCTCCCCTCAATCCAGTCCAACTTGGATGTGGTGACATTTTCGTCCACCGCAACATCGCCAACGTCGTCAGCCACACCGACATCAACTTCCTCTCGGTGCTGCAGTACGCCGTCCAGGTTCTCAAGGTCAAACAGATCATCGTCTGCGGTAAGCCTCCCCCTCGCTTGCGGCAGGCGCCCTCGACACAGCACACGTTTGCTGTTCCCGCCAACCGCCATGCTGTGTCTGTCTATTCCGCGAGCGCATATCGGTAATCCGTCCCAGCCGATTCTCATCCTTTTCTGCCCATATCTGTATCTGGCAATGCCTCCAGGTCACTATGGATGCGGTGGCGTCAAAGGCGCCATGACCGCCTCGGAGCATGGCCTGATTGACCACTGGCTTACCCACATCCGAGACGTTTACGAGCACAACCAAACGGAGGTCTCGGAGCTCTTCAAGCAGGACCCCAAGGAGGCCTGGAAGCGCCTCGTTGAGCTCAATGCCGTCCGAAGTGCCCGCAACGTCGCCAACTCGGCCATCGTCCAAAATGCCTGGCGCGGAGGCCAGGAGCTCGAGGTCATCTCCCTTGTCTACAACCTCGAGAACGGTCTACTCAGGTAAGCCCGCCACATGGCAGCTGCCGATCCGCCTGCAGCGGCAAAGGCCTCTGTCTGACTTTTCGGTGCTGCTTGCCGCCACTATCTCCACAGCCCTCTCGGCCAGTTCCGCGGCATGTCAGATATCGCCGAGGTTTACAAGCTCGAGGGCTGATCGTCCAGCTCGCAGTCCCTCAGCGCAAAAGTCGCCCACACCTCGCTGTCTGCCGAGCCACATGCAGTTGCCCGATATCCCCTCGACGAGCTTGTGGCTGCATCTGTCAAATATACTCCCGTCTTTTCTTTTCTCCACTATCATATGTATCGAGCATGGCGCCAAAAGCCCCGTCGTCTTCAAGTAACAGGAAGGGTCCCCTGCAACGACCAGCAGCGATTTTGCATGAACATATAGATTATTCGGATGAGTCATGAGACCTGAAAATGCCGTCGGGAAGGGCCAGGTGGAGCACACAGCGGGCTGGGCGCCCGAGTTCCAAGCGGAGCCGAGCAGAGCCAGGCGATCCAGGCGATCCAGGCGATGCAACTAGCATCGCCCTCTGTAGAGAGTGACAACTGGCCGCCACCAATACGATTGGCTTGTTACGCGGACCGCAGAGCTTTGCCGGCCTTCTGGTTGAGGACATTTGTGCGATCCAGCTGGCCGTCTACCCGCGAGTTCATCGATGACAACAGCTGGTTCTGCTTCCGGAGCTCCTCGCCCTGGTCTGAGGCAATCTGGTGCAGCGACGCCGTAATATCCGCCAGCCCGTCCAGATGCCCGTCGATGCGCGACTCGATCATGGCGCTTTCCTGCTGTTGCTCCTCGGATGCCCAGGCGCCGACGTACTTTCTCATCGCCTCGAGGTCCTCGGCCCGGTATCGTTCCGGAAGCGAGCGCGCGGTTCGGGGGCCATACAGCGGCTGGCCGTTCACCACGGGCGGTTTTTGGATCTCGATGGCGTCCTTGGCGAGCTTGAGCGTTTCGGGTGCCGGCGGCCGCTTGCCGATGACGGGAAGCAGGAAGCTGCGGCTAACTTTCTGAAAGTATGACATTTGTTTCTCGGCAGAGTCGAGTTCGTTGTCGAGGACATCGAGCTTCTTGTCGATACGCTTGAGTTGCTCTGGCAACGGTGGAGGGAGGGGGGGGAAGAAATGATGGGTTTCATCAGCGACGGCGGACGGCGCATTCGATCAGCATTTGCCCATATGAGGCCAGCCGGGCCGCTTGATACACGCATGGAGATCCAAGCGACCGTCGAGAACGGGCTCAACTCACCTCCTTGTGCGTGCAGCAGCCTGGAGTTGTCGATGCCCGTCTCCAGGGCCGAGTGGGCGGTGGCGACAGCGCTGCCGAGAACCTTCTCAGACTCGCGCTGGACATCCAGGGTCTGCTCGACCAAACCGCTGAGCTGTGCCTGGGAGTCGCTTGACGGGGTGGAGCCGGGACGTCGAAGACCGTGTGCTCTTGCGGTGGCCATGGCGGTGGGTTGGGTGTGGAGAGATGGAAGAAACGCAGACAGAAGGGAAGTGCAGGGACGAAGGCGGGAGGCAAAGCCGCAGCATTTTGGGCATTTGGGCGGACGGTGGCGGGCCGGGGGGCGAGGCGGTGGCGGTGGACTGTCTGTGCGACGGCAATGCCATGCTGTGCGACGCAGTGTCTTTGGCTGGGGATGGACATTTCGTTTGCGGGCGGGAGGGAAGTGTATTGGTTGCGATCAATGCTCCAATGCAGCGGCTCGCTGCATCGCTCACGCCGCTGCGACAGAGTGTCTATGGAGCCTCGCTACGGTCCGCCTTCATGCCGTCCCCCTCGGTCGTGCTGTTCGCGCATCGGGTATTGGTACTACTTTCCGAATCGACCCGTTGTGTTTGCGAACCGGTGCAGCCCTGCAAGAATGTCTGAGTACTTGATGCGGCGAGATCGTGTGTTGACTTGCCTGCCAGGCGAGCGGTCGCAGCAGCACCGACCGTTGCAATCAAGCCCAATCGGGTCCGGTGCCGGGCATTGGCCAGTCGAATCGGGTCGTTAGAGGCGCTGAATATCGACGCACGGGCCAGAATGCCATCCATCGCGGTGTTTCCTGGAGCTCCTGTCAGAGGCCGCCGCGAGGGCACCCATGCCACCGCTCTTGGCAAGACGGCTGCACCTACCAAATTTCCGTCAGGCGGATCTCCCAGGGCGGGAACCCGTCCAGCTGGAGGGGCGAGCCAATCTTTCCAAAGACGTACATGAGCTGCGGATCTGGAACATCCGTTTCGTCTACGAAGAGACTGCCGATGTTAGTTTGATGCTTTGATCTCGAACCGATGTGTTCCATGGTAGTCGTCTTGTCTGCCAACACTCTCGCTGATCTTACATGAGCATTTGCGGATCTCTTCGGCCAGCCAGGCAGCATCCGTTGTCTGACCTGACTGCTGTCGGGTATTAGCCAGCTGCGAGGCAATCTGGGCAATGCGTTGTTTGCCGTTCTTTTTCGAGAGGAAGACTAGCCTGAAGGGCTCGACCACTGCCGAGCCATTCATTGCCAAAGCATTGCAAGTCACTTCTTGGTTAGCCACCGCCGCCGGGTTCGGGTCGGTTTGCCTTGGGTCCCATCAATCGGTAGCCCCGCGATGCCATAGGCTGGTCCGTGCAAGATGCAAGACGTCCACCACTTGCCTATGTCGGCATGTTGCTGGGTATGCGGCATGATGTGGCAGACCACTTTTGGCCCGTTCGAAACAGCCACATGGAAGGTTGACTTGAATTTGGCCAGGTTCTGGGCAATTAGCGGTTCGCACTTTCCGGCCGAGTCTTGCAAGATGCCTGACAGCAGAGCCACGAGCAACAGCAATGCTCAGCATCGTTCCGGCGAGGAGCCGATATTGTGACCGAATGTGTATCGGCCGGTCTTTTGACCGAAGCTTCCAAAATCGACTCCCCATCCCCGAAAGGGTTGCGGCCAGAGCACGCATGAGAATGGCACCCCGAGTATCGGCCTACCTTCTTCATCGAAAACCGTGACGACGCTGGTGCCGATCGACCATATCCAGACACAAGCCCTGCAAACTTCTTGCAGCTGGGCAGCCACGTCGCCGCTCGGGCGAACGACGAGGGCAACGTGGTCGGGGATCTTGGGCATCTCCTCAGAGTCCTTCTGGATGCGTTCCAGATCGAGCGATTCGTCCGTGTTGTCGGCGCTATCGAACAGGTCCATCAGCGACGACACCCATCCGAGCGCTGACGTATAGGCAACTGTCCCAAGCGATAGCAGCAGCGTATAGATCCATCTGGCTGGGCTGGTTTTTACGATATCGGTCATGGCGGGGCTCGGAAGACGCCGTGTCGAGGGAGGCCGTTGGGCGATGGAGGTCAAGCGAAACAGAGCTGGGCTGAGTGGGTTTGATGACGAGCAGGAGCCTGTGATGCCATGCGACGAGCGGTTGAGTGCGCCATTCGGGGCCTGTTGCTGCTTCGGGAATGCCGCAGATCGGCCGGTTGCTTGCGAAGGACTCCCCACTCCAGTCGACACCAGCGAACCAGAATGGCTGAAGGTGCCCTGGGCTCACCTTGTCTGAGGCGATGAAGCGATGAAGCGTCGGATCACCAAGTCGGCAGGGCGAGTCCAGGATCGCTAGTTGTGATGCAGTCCGGGCTGGTTTGATGAGGGAGGGGAAGAAAGTGGGCCGAGTGCGTCACAGCAGCCAGAGCCTTTGCTTGGAAGAACCTCTTGATTGAGTTCGGCCGGCATTTGCTCACCAATCCGATGCCGAAACCCCCCCTCTCAGACGCCGCCGGCCCGACCGCTGCGTGTTTGCAGGATAGTCGACGAGATCTTTCGGTGCCTCGCCAGCGACTGCTCTCGCTTTCGTCGTTGGAGTCCTCGTTAGTTGCCCGGGCCGCCTTTGGAGGAGATCCGGAGCGGAGATGTTTCGTTTGGTTCGACAACATGACTGACCGGTCCACATCTCGACTTGATCTCGGAGCCGAGAGGGCCTGACAAACGTTACTTTCAAGTGCTCTTTGTCTATCGGGCAGTGGCCTGCAGATCCCTCAGGTTTGTCCGGGATGCCTGGCACTGCGACCAAGGCCAGGCGACAGACCAGTTCTCACAATGCATCTGCTGTTGCTGGCCGGGAATGCGAGCGATTGGCAGTAATTGTGCGTCGGACGAGTGGTGGGACCGATCATATTGATGGTGCTGTGGAGAGGCGTCCGAGAGAAGCTCCTGCCACGGCTCACTCTCGATTTCCAGAGTGCGACCATGCAAACCTTCTGTCGCTGCATTGTTGTTACGCCTGGCTGTATTGTTGAATCGGCGGGAAGTACTGGCGGAAACGGCCGCATTTCCTTTGCAGACCGATTGGTCTGCCTTCCTTGCGCATCTCGATGAGGAGGGCTCGTCTGTCGGGGACGCTCTACTTTTTTTCCCATCGCCTCTCAGCCGTCTCGACTTGGCCTGCAGATACTCCCCCGCGCATTTGGTCATCTGCGAGTTGTCAGTCGACTGTCAGTCGAGTGCTTTTGCCGATCGAACACAGGTCCTTCCCCACGCTGTCTCCTCCCTTACATCGTAGCGCAAAGCAAACATGCAGAGATTCGACAGCCGGAGCTCTGTCGTGACGACAGACTCCCAGTTAGATGACCGGCAGATGATGCGAAAGCCCACGGACTACAAGCGGGTTGGAAGCGACGAGTCCTTGCGCTCGCTCGATGGCCCCGGTCGGTTCAACAAGCATATCCCCAAGATTGAAAAGCCCTTCGAGGACCCGTCCATCAAGCAGGCCCGCGAGGACCGAGAGCTGCTCGACAAACAGGGCCGGCTCGATATCATGCGCGGCCTGTTCAAGAAGGAAAACTCGACCACCCCTGGCACCCCTGGCGAGCAGCGCAACGACCCCACCCGGTTCTTTGGCATCACGGGGATCACCGAGCGGGACATTGTGTCGTCAAAGTCGGTCGAGGATCTCCATGCAAACAACAGCAACAGCATGACCGTGCCCAGCGGTCCCGGAAAGAGTGCCTCGATCCGGAAAAAGTCCATGAAGCACCTGCCCTCGCTGAAAAGCGCCATGGTCCGATGCGGTGCTCGTATTCCCACCACCAAGAGAAACCTGAAGGATGTCACCAACCAAAGCGGGCTCCCCAGCAAGGACGACCCTGCATCGACCTCCGATCCGAATCTGCCCTACGCTCGGCATGACTATGATCTCTACGACTTCAAGATCAAAGAGCAGATCGGGCGCGGCGCCTTTGCCACAGTTCATCTGGTCAAGTTTGCACCGCGGAATCTCCAGGATGTCAGCCAACCGGCTGTGTCGGAAAAGTCGTACGCCATGAAGGCCCTCCGCAAGAAGGATATCATCGCTACCAAGCAAATCAAGCATGTCATGAACGAAAAGACCATCCTCGAGAATGTACGCTTCCCATTCATTGTCGAGCTCCTGGCCACGTTCCAAGACATCAAGCACCTGTATCTGGTTATGGAATACATCCCTGGTGGCGATATGTTTACCTTGCTACGCAAACGCAGACGGTTTCCCGAGTCGGTCGCTCGCTTCTACTCCAGCGAGCTTGTGCTGGCCCTGGAGTATCTCCACTCCAAGAAGATCATCTATCGCGACCTGAAGCCCGAGGTGGGTGACTTTACCTGGCTGCCCGTTTCCAATGATGGGTCTTTCAAGATCCAACTGTAGCATCTTGTTTCCAGCAACACAAGTGCGAGCGGCGATGGGTGCTTGGCAGTGCACAGATGTCCTGAAATTGCCACCGGGGTACTGAATGCTGATCTCGGCCTGCAGCACTGATAAACTATGGCTCCTCACCGATAGAACATCCTTATCGACGTCGAGGGGCACATCAAGATTGCCGATTTTGGCTTCGCCAAAACCGTTTCCGAAACTGCTCAGACCTTCTGCGGCACCCCAGCATATATGGCGCCAGAGATCATTCTCAAGACCGGCTACAACAAGACCGTGGACTGGTGGTCTCTCGGAACCCTCATATATGAGATGCTCGCCGGCTACTCGCCCTTTATTGCTGCCACTCCTCTGGAGATTTATGAGAACGTCTTGGATGGAAAAATCTCGTGGTCGTCTCAGATCGGGTCGACGTCCAAGGACCTCCTAAAGCATCTCATCGAAATGATCCCTCGAAAGCGCTTCGGCGCGGGGCATTGGCCCAACGAAACAAAGGAAATCAAGGGACATCCTTGGTTTGCGGGTGTCAACTGGAGATCCATCGAGGACAAGAAAATCGCCCCGCCTTTTACCCCCAAGGTGACCGGAACGGAGGACATTAGCAACTTTGACAAGTACAACGAGCCCAGTTCTGTCTTGGAAGCGGCCAAGGGCAACGTTGGCAAATCAGAGGATGGCCTCTATGACGAGGTTTTCAAGGACTTTTAGACTCTATCCACGATTTACATCATCCTTTGATTATGCCGTCGCCACAACAGCACGAGGTGCCGAGTTCGGTCCGGCCTGGTGATGGCATCAGCGGGCCTTTTCCGTGCCTTGCTCGACTGATTCGTTTTCGAGTATGATAGAAGATGGGATGGATACGGGCTGTGTGTCAAGCCCGTCCGACTCGGCGCTGCCTGGGTTGATTAATTTTGCTGTTGCCGAATACCATCACGCGCTGGCGATGGCCATTATGTGATGCCGTGATACGGCCTCATCCATTGCCTGAGAAAGCTGCCTCCATATTCAGTGTGTCCAAGAGCACCATTCACCGTTGGTACTCCGAGACCAGTGTGCATGTCGATTGTGGAGACCGGAGAGCGACCAGTGGGGTTCACTCGGAGGCTGCCAAAGTGATCTGTTGGACGCAAGCTATCTCATACTACACTGGCATATGGGATCGTGGGGTGTCCCGTTCGCTCATGTGTAAAGTGTACATTTACTTGTGACAGCTCTCCAGCGCGGCACAGGTCAAGACATAAGATACGGAGCGAGTTTGGGCTGGGGATGAAGCCCTCGCCAGATTGAATTCAAGCACAGAAATGTGCCCCGCAATCTGAGGAGCGGTCGGGGAACGACAAGCGACACGCCCTTGCGGACTTGAACATCAGTCGTCTGGGGTTGCTCTGGGGGCGCGAGTCCCACATCAAACTAGTTGTGGGGAAGGACCCGCATCTTGGTCAGCTCCTCTTGCTTGCGCAGCTTTTCCTCGTTTTCCTTTTTGATCTTGAGCATTCTCTCTTGGTACACCTGTTTGATCCGCAGAGCCATGTCCTCAAAGTCGGCCAAGATCGGATCGAAATCGGCTCGGTCGAAGCAGTATAGGGTGGCGTTGGTCTTGGCTCGAATCGTGGCTGTCCGAGGCACTTGGCCGAGCAGAGCTACCTCGCCAAAGAAAGCGCCGTCTCCGAGTGATCCGACGGGGTTTCCGTTTACCACGATATCAACGTTTCCGCTCAGGATAAAGTACATTTCGTTTCCAACCTGGTGTCATGAGCAATACCGGAGACGCCTGAGCTCGAGAAACTATGCGGCGCTCAGTGAACAACGGCAACAAGTACTGGACATCAAGGTCGCTATCGCTCTGATAGCTGTCTGCCATCTGCATGCGCTGCTCCACGCTATCCTTACCCTTCCCTGTTCAAAGATGGTGTCCCCTTGGATAAAGTACATTGCTCTGAGAGCATTGGCAATGCGTCCGAGGAACATTTCATCCCGTCCGTCCTTTTCGTTGCGGTTGAGGAACGGCACTTTCTTGATGAGGTCGCGACAGTTGTGAATCGATATTTCCTGTATGGAATCAACGGATCGCCCGGCGGATTGGCGTCAGAAAGGTCGCATGATGCACTTGAGCTACCAAGCGCGGCTATCGATCTGACACCTGGTCTCGACACTGACCTGCCGCAGCGACTCGTTCAAGTCGTCCATGATCGACACCTCATCGAAGAACTTGCCGCGGTACTTGAGCTCGTAATACTGCTTGACTTTGGACTTGAGCGTGTCCGTGAGCTTTTTGTACGTCATGTACTCGTTGACCTCATCCATTTTTTGCTTAAACATTCTCCCTGACGAGTCCAGTCCGAAGCTGAAGGACGAAATCGTGCCCACAAGCGATGCGTATAGAATAGCTCCGATCAAGACTGAAAATATCGTCACCCACTGCTCAACTGGGTCGAATGGCCTGCGTATGGGGGGGGCATTTGATGAGCAGTCAATACAACGTTGGTATTCTCCATAGTACAGCGTCCTCAGCACAAAGCCAAAGGTCGACAAAAGTCGGTATCCAGGGCTGTCACCGGTGTATCCGGCGGCAGCGTAGTGGATGGCTACCCAAATGCATGGATCCGAGAATTCGCCTCTGTGAATCGAGATACCCACCGATACCCAGTCACCGGAAATGTGTTGCTGATGGCAGTGAACACGGCCCAGGTATACTGGCTTCCGACGTCTTTGTTCAATATCGGGACAAAGTTGTTCCAGGTTGGTGTGCTGTAGTTCATGAGCCGCCCCATCAGGAAGATGGAGCAGGCATGCAGGTGGATGAATACCAAGAGCAGTCCGCCGAAGAGGAAGATGCTCATAAACGACACACCAACACCGGTGATTCGCTGAAATCCCTTCGAGAGAGCGTGATAGATCGGATTCTGGCTCACGATCTTGGAAAACGGGAAGATCTTGAGGAGTTTGAGGAGCAGCAGCGTGTCTGCGTTCTGGATCGTGTTTTCTAGGATGATGTCAAATGGGAGCATCGTCACAAGACTCAACACCAGGTTGTGCTTGATGAACATGGTCCGCGATTCGGCCAGGCTGACCGCTACTCCGTCCACAAGCTGAACGGTGTAAAAGTCGAGTAGCAGATCGACAAAGTACATGGCCGTCAGCACAAAGCTGAGATATTCGGTATCGGCGGCAAGTTTCTCAAACGAAACTAGCACCGGGATGATCATGACCATCAGAATGTGGGTCACTGTCAAGGCACAGATTCGTCCGTTAGTGGTCCTGTCCGATGCGAGTTCTGCACCCACGCCTGTCAACGGAGCGGCAAGGCATGCACTTACATGACAAGAAAAAGTCCCAGCACACGCGGAAAAATGACATGCAGTGAATATAGGGAAATCTCGGGGCTGCTTGGATGGCGCTTTCAACCTTGGACTTGAGCTCGGTCGCCGTATATGGGACCGCAAACTCCGAGTAGTGCGGCACCACGAACTCCTTGTAGATAAAGGTCTTGAGTGGGTGCTTTTGACGGGTCTTGGTCTCTTTCAGTGGCGGAGGCGTTGGCTGTGCCGGAGGAGCATCCAGTGGCTTTGGTGGTGATGTTGGCACGGGCACAAGTGCTCCAGAGAGCGCATGGCTGGATAGTCCTGACTTGGATCGCAGATCTGGCTTGCTTTGCCGCTCGAGGGACACATCACTTTGGTTGTTGCTTCCGGCTTGACTCTCCGACTTGGTATCGGTATTCTCGCCATCGTCTTCTGGATAGGCGATGGATCCACAGCCGATCAGTTTGTCATTTTCAGTAAATTCTTTCGGGATCATGCGTATCGTGCAGCGAGAGCGACTCAACACTAACCTTCATCATCATCATCATCGGGGAACGGCTCATCCGAGCGATGGTCTGCAGACGGTGCCCGCAACGAACGGGCGCGCGAACGGCAATTAGTCTCGAAAACATGCTCTCCCACGGCTCTCGCACTCAGCGAACGGCCGGCTTGCTGGCGTTGGGGATCTCCACTCGATCAAAGTAACGCGATCGAACTCGGTATCGATGCCAGCGACATCGGCAAGTCCGTGTCTCAACCACATGCCAGGACGCCAGGCGTTCATACCCGCGGTGTTGGAGAGCCCTTCGCTTGTGGGGTCGAGCTCCTCCACGGATGCCTCATGATCGACATCCTGTATGGTTTTGGTCGGAGCGAGGGCCTCAAACAAATTCCGGCGTCTTGGCTGGACTTGATCCTCGTGCGGTTTACTCGGAACGAAGGTGCCCTGTTCGAGATCGCGATCTTCCAGGACGGTTGCGTATCGCACTCCAGCCTCGCCTTGTCCCGTCGCCGACACCGATGTGCTGGTCAGCGATCCCCGTGTCTGCCCTATCGATGCCCGAGATCCTAACAGCGCCGAGCTTCCTCCGAAGGGTTTATCGTCCTTGGCGGGTGTGCTTTTCGGGTGCGTGCTGAGGATGCTGGCGGCCAAGCTACTCCTGCGCGTGCGCCATTCGGAGCCTTCTGCGTGCTCCGATCCTTTTGGCTCACGCCCAACAGAGGACTCGACCTGCAGCGATGTCCTCCGGGTCCAGCCGCGACTTTGTCGCGGGCCCTCGATCTCTGGAGGAGCGACATCGCTGAGTTGCGGCTGATTTTCGGAATCGATTTGGGCACTGTCGCATGGGCTGCCAGTCTCCTTGATGGCGGATGATATGGAGTCCTCAAAGCTATTCAATTCCTTTGCCGTCAGTAGCGTCGGTCGGCGCTCGATATGAAATCCATCTTCCTTGACACAGAGATTGATGTTTTTTGCCAACGCATCGATATCGGACTGGAGCCGCTGCAGCGACGCCTGTTGCAACCGAAGTTGCGATCCAAAGTCGGTGATTTGCCTCAGGTAGTCGTCGACCGGGGTGCCGTCGGACATTATAATCGACTGGCAGAGCGGACAAAGGCGGGCTATCTAGGTTGCAGCGGCGGCGAAAAATGCGGAATCAATATCGACAGTCGATGGGTATCGTCTGCGGCTCGGATCTGAATTCTCCAGCTCGAATGAGGGGGCGGGAGTGGGCTGGCCACGTCGAACGATAGAGTGAGATTGAGAGGTAGCGTGCAGTATCGAGCGGTATCGAGCGGTATCGAGCAATATCGAGCGGTATCGAGCCGTCGAGCCGTGGGAACGCTGCGCTGGTCGCTGAGAGGAGTCAGCGCGGCCGCCTGGCGTCGAAAAGTTCCTGAGGTGGATAAAGGAGAGGTGGTTGAGGTGCACCGGAAATTTCTCAACGATCACCCAGTTAGTGTTCTTGTCGAGAGCAATGCATCCGGGCCGAGTACTGCTTGGCGGGGGTGGCAAAATATCACTGCTGTTGTTGGTCACTGTATGTGACGTTTTCACAGAACCCAACGTCATCCAATCCAGGCCGGTCCTAGTCCTGAATCAGCGTATCGCAACATACGGCGCTCAAGCCAACCGCCAGTCCGGCCTCTCTTTATTTCCCGAAAGCCCTGGCTACCCTCGTCCACCGCAACGCCGGTTTTCATCAACAGCGCGCAACGCAGAGCGTAAGTGCAGGGCTGTGGCAGACGCATTATGATCGTTTGGGACAATGGCCATTCGACGGGGCCGTCGTTGCTGTATTGGTGGATTTCCGCCAAGCGGGTGTCTCATGAAGAAATGATGCGAGTCGTTATTCCCCATCGGCTCATGCTTCGCATGGGCCCATTTTCTTCTTGCTACCGCGCTCGACAGAAGCTTGGGCGTTTTTACCGGGTGCCTCTGACACAACCCAGCCATGGACTACGACCTTGAGAAGAACCCATTTGAAGCAGCGCATGAGTCCGGCGGCAGTGACTATCCTCCTCCGGCCAGAAAAGCTGCCCAAAAGGAAAACCTGAGCGTCGGCCAGAGTCACTCGCGAGTTACCTCGGCTACTTCGGCAGCTTCAGCAACCTCGAATGGAAGCGAGGCATTCAGCGACCAGCCTCTGAACGATCCACCGCCTTATGGTAGCGCGGAGCCCAAGGCGACGACATGGACCATATGGGGGAGCTCCACAAACAAGATAGTCCCTGGGAACAAAAGTGCTCAGGCCGAGATGACTCCCGAGCAGCGAAATGTGAGCCACGCCTCGCCTGCGGTACAGGGACGATTGCCCACGGTCCTGTCTCATATTCGTGGCGGTTTGTTACTTTGCAGTTGCTGTCAAAAGAAGCAGAGCTCCGACGAAAGGAAGACGAGCTGAAGGCACGCGAAGCCAGACTTGCTCAGACTACTGCTCAGCTGCAGGCTGGGATCTCGGCCGTCAGCCGCCAACCCAACTTCCCGCCGTGCTGGCCGATGATGTACCACAACATCCAGGTGTGATATCAAGACAGGCACAGCTTTGGTGGGACACAGGGCGCGGCACCGGCTCACTGTTTCGCCTGACAATGGTCCTGCCATCCTTCAGATCGATATCCCTGCTGGGAAGGCTCGCGGCATCATGATCTGGCTGTATCGCTCGTGGCTCTCGCTCTTTGGCGTCCTCGTCGTCAACTCGATTGCATGCTTCTCGATCCTGGTCTCCCATCCGACCGGCGTCACCACCGGAGCGACCGACTTTGGTGTGAGCTTGATGTACCTCTTCACCATCAGCATTGGCTCGTTCTTCTTCTGGTACAAGCCGGGTATGTGGGTCCATTTCATCTTGCGCCACCGCTGGGGCTGGGGCTGCAGATTGCATTTGCCTCTCTAACTGGCTCTTTCCTTCGTTTGTGACGGCTTCCACGACGGCCGCAACGACCATCTCGATCGCCGGCAGTGTATCGTGCCTACGAGAGGAGCAGCTCGTTTTCGTTCTGTGAGTTTGTTACGCCCTATTACGCCCTGTTATGCCCTGTTACGCCATTTTGATTGTGGCGGATTTCAAGAATACTAACCGGATGCCGACACAACCTACAAATCGGTACTTTCCCAGATTTGTACTTTGCCTTCAACGGTCTGCACATCATCTACTGCTTTTACATGGCGGTCGGAATGCCTGGTATGCCTTCAATCCCTCTTGGTTACATCTCGAGTATCTCTCGGCGGTGCATACACATCCGGGACAGCCTCATCACCACTCCCCTGCCTTTTTCAAATGCGGCTCGGCCCAGAACTGGTTTGGTCGTGCACTGCAGCAGTATGATCATGGCTCACTCTGCTCTTGATAGACTTGTATTCGAGCGGCTGATCCTGTATCCGTCTGACTTGGTGCTCTGCAGGATCCGGGTCGGGCGGACTCATCAACATGATCTCAATGTATACGGACGACAAAATCGCCAGCGGCGTCCTGTGCAGCATCAACTCGGCCCTCTGGCTCGCCTCTGGTTTATTTTCGGTATATCTCTATCGCCTCAGCCATCTATTTTATCGAACAGCTGGTCTCACAGCCGATGATGCCCGCAACGAGGCCGTTCAGCGTGTCGCTGCCAGCGGCGCCGTCAAGCAGGGTGTCGCCGCATACATGAAATCGCAGACTGGCAGCTTTGCTTGAGACATTCGGCTCCACACGACCTGACGGAGGAGCCCGCAGACTTGATAGCGCCGTTGGGACTTGGGATTTGAACAAATTTTGTGATACGCTGAAGTGCAGTGCTTTGAATATTCGTCTTGAAATGTCATGCCGCTAGAGTGTGGATGTGGAGAGCAATGCTCAAGCCAGCTGTTGCATTGCGGCTGCCGTTAGAATGGAAATAACAGTCACGACAAAAAGTCGATATCCACCGACGTGCAGAGCCGGGTTCATGGATGGACGGTGAATAGTGTATTTAGCTCCTTGGATCAGCAGCAGTCTTCCGAGCAAGCCCAGAGGGTGCTGTACATTGAAGCCCGGCAACGCGCCACGACACAAGATGTAGTGCAGCTCGACGGAGACGTGGTCCTTCAAATGGTCTTCTTGTTGAGATTGACATGCCCGATTCCGACGCAGGTCAGCAGCACCGTGTGTGTCTCAGGGTCCGGCTTGATCTTGAAAGTGACTCCGAGTATAGTCTTGATGTCACGGAGATATTGGATGCTGGTCAGATAGGAGAATATCGTGTCAGTTCGTCATTCGTCGTTGGTGTTGGGTGCCTCGACCCAGGCACTGGGTGTATACCATGCGCTTGTCGAGACAGTCGATGGATGGGCACTTACGTGAATGGAGTGAGCGGTCCGGTGCGGATCTTGCTCACGTCTTCAGGTCCAAGTGCCAGCATGAGTAGCCAGAGCCACTGCGTTACCGAATCGACACAGCCTCTCTTTCTGATCTCTTGCAGCAGCAAGCGAGCAGTGCGGACCCCGAGATCTTCAGGAGTCGGGAACGTGTAGTCGTTGGCCAGGTGCGTGGACAGATTGGGGCCGGCCTCGTCCTCTGTGTCCGAGGAAGCGAGCGTGCGTTTTCGGGGCTGGAAGGCGCATTCCGATGACAGCAGAACGTCGGTCGTGGACTCGGCGACAAGGGTAAGAGCGTATCCAGGAGAACTGAGAAACAGAAGCGCCATTGCCGCGTCAGTATCGATAAGCACACACATCAGGCATCAGCATTTACTCGCTCAAGACACAAACGGAGACGATGCTGCATGCTGCAAGACCTACAGTCCGCTCTCGGCGCCTTTGTAGATATCGGTGTAGACGTAGACGTCGGGGATGTATCGAGTGAGCAGGCTGCGCGCGGCATCGACCACACGGTTGGCCATTTGTGGCGAAATGCGGGTGGCATATGCGATGCCTCGAATGCGCTTGATCTGGCCTTCGTCAACAAACTGGACGGGCTTGAGCTGACGAACGATCGGGCACCGGAAGGTGACTTCGCCGCCTCCCAAAGGAGGGGCACCGCGCTTGGAAATCTTCAACTCAACGCCATCTTCAATTCCGAAATGCTTAAGCTGGGGGAGGGTGACGGTCCGGAGGGTATCGACCTTGGGAAGCGGGGAGAACGGTTTGGCCGTCTTAGTCGCTGTGGACAGGATATTGGACTTGCGCACATACACGCAACGACAGCCACAGCGCCACACACAGGCTGTCCTGACAGGAGACAGGCTCGCGAAGCGATTCGACTCGATTCCATTCGATGGCTTACCGAGATGTCAACGTTATCGTTTGTGATGCCGGTGAGCGTGACGCTGAAGGGCGACTTTGCGAATGGAGCAAGAGCGATGAGGGGCTCGAGAAAGTAGCCGATTGCTCGGGACTTTGGGCACTCGTGCTTGACCGAGCCGCCGGTGATCACTCCTGGACGGAAAATCAGGGCAGTGCCTATCGTTCGAACGAGGATCCAGCGAGTCGGGACAGAGAACGAGTCAGTGCAAAGGCATCCAGAGCAAGAGCCGCGCGCAATGGAGAAGATGAAGGGCAGCCATCTAAAGGGCATGCGGCCAGGAATTGTCGATCAGCGGTTGGACTACGATCGACTCGCGGCTAAGCCACGTCCAGTACGGTCATCCATGGTCAAGAAGGTTGGATATAGGCCACCGATTGCTTGCTCGGCGAGACCAGCCCCAGGTCTCGTCCGTTCACCGATCGGCACAGACAGCATGATGCCGCTGTGGTCCTTTTCTCACTAAGCCCACCGGACGCACTGAAGACTCGAGATGGCCCATACCTGTGTATGAAATCTCGATTTGAGAGCCGTTGGTCAACTTCTCGAGGAGTCGCAGGAACGATATTTCGTAGTCATGCAACCCGGGCATGTCCTCGTCTTCGGATCGGATCTTGTCGATTCGGACGGGCTTTCCGGCTATGGTTGCGAGCAGCAATCGCTGGCGCAGGTGATTATGGCCTTGGAAACGAAGCATTGTGTGTTTCTGCGTATTCTGATGACGGCGAAAGTCTCAAGGGAACGGTGATGCTGGAGGATGGTGCAAAGTTGGAGGGAGCTTGTCGCGGATCGATGCTGCTGTTGGGCGAATAGATCCGACACGGAGAGAGCAGGCTGGGAATTGCGCTGGAATGGTACTATAGACAATCGGTCCGCTGTGGCGTGGGCATCGAATTGGGGGGGGGCTGCTGCAGGGATGCGCTGGTGTGTGGGATTCGACGAACGGCGGTGATGCAGGCGCGGATCGGAGGGTTGATATCCAAGCAGCCAAGAAAAAAACGGCGTTGTTCTATTTGCGGGCAAATGAAAAGACAATACCGCATGGCTGCGCACCCAGTGGCTCTGCCACAGAGCATCCGCTGTGTCACGTCGGGCGGCCAAGCTGGGCCACGTGTCGCGATGGAGCCAATGCAGCCAGAAGACCCGCACTCGAGCCAGGGATCCGCACTCGAGCCAGGAATCCGCACTCGAATCAGAGATCCGCACTCGAGCCACAGGCCTGGCTGTTTTGGCTCGCCCATTCGTTCTCCCTTCCCTGTCCTGATCGCTCCCCCCCCCGCAAGAGGCGAAATCTCGGCAAGCCCGCACATCCAGCCCGTCTCGGCCGCACACCGCTCTCCGCACCCCCTCGCCCACCGACCAGCGATCCACAGCCATGCAGGCACCCGTCATCGTCATCAGTAAGGATCGCTTCTGACCTCTGCTGCCAGCGATTCGCCCAGCCGATCGAGATCGTGCCGCTCTATTGGCTGGCCCCGTCGCTGAAAAGATCGCTGTCGAAGGTGCATTGCGCAAGGCCGAGGCCTCCGGGGCTGCTGATAGTCTCAGCTGGGCACTCGTTTCTCGCGCAGCGGCTCTTGAGCTGCAGATGCTGGCTCGCATCACAAGTGCCCTCTGGCTGGGCACACTGGCTCGATCTCGTGGTTGCTTGCCAAGACTTCGTTGACACTTGCCATCACTTGCGTATCTACAGACACCAACACCGAGAGAGAGACTGGCCGAAAGGCCCAGCTCTCCAACATCACTGCCGCCAAGGTGGGCTTCTGGATCTGCAGCAGTTCCCGTGATTGTGCTGCTCTGGTCAAACAGGCTCCACGCTGCCCGATCCGATCTGAGCTGATCTGAGCTGATCTGATCTGATCTGATCTGATCTGATCTGATCTGATCTGGTCTGGTCTGGTCTGGTCTGGTCTGGTCTGGTCTGGCCTGGTCTGATTTGATTTGATTCGATCTGATCTCGTCTGGTCTGAACTGATCTAGCCGCGCTGGATACCATGAGCCCCAGCAGCACCGTCATACTCACCTGCACACCTGGTTGCTGTCTAATCCAAATGTCCACCAACCTACCTACCTACCACCGCAGACCATCTCTGATATCATCCGAACCTGTCTTGGCCCACGCGCAATGCTCAAGATGCTCCTGGATCCCATGGGCGGCATTGTTCTCACAAACGACGGCAATGCGATCCTTCGCGAGTGTGAGGTCGCTCATCCCGCCGCCAAGAGCATGATCGAGCTGTCCAGAACCCAGGACGAGGAAGTCGGCGACGGAACTACCTCGGTCATTATTCTCGGTAGGGGCTGCCTTTGAATTGCAGCTTTGTTGGCGAATTGCTTTTCCAGCACTGCAGCGGCTATGTGGGGTGCTTCTCTGTCGATGTGTCGGCAAAGCGCTGACAAGAGCTCTGCGCCATTCTTGTTTGCTGCAGCCGGCGAGGTTCTCTCGGCTGCCCAGCCCTTCCTCGAGCGATCCATCCACCCCATCACCATCATTTCTGCCTACAAACGCGCTCTGGAAGATGCTCTGAAGATCATGTCGCAGATTTCTGTCAACATCGACATCACCCAGCGAAACGAGGTCGTCCGTCTGATCCGCTCGACCATCGGCACCAAGTTTGTCTCCCAGTGGAGTGACCTGATGTGCTCCCTTGCCTACGATGCCGTTAAGACGGTTTCGCTTGAGGTTAACGGAAAGAAGGAGGTCGATATCAAGCGATATGCTCGTGTGGAGAAGGTCCCTGGCGGCGAAATCGACGAGTCCTGCGTCTTGAACGGCATCATGGTCAACAAGGACGTCACCCATCCCAAGATGCGTCGTCGTATCGAAAAGCCCCGAATCGTTCTCCTGGACTGCCCGCTTGAGTACAAGAAGGGCGAATCCCAGACCAACGTGGAGGTCACGGACGAGGCTCACTGGGCCCGCCTGCTTGAGATCGAAGAAGAGCAGATCAAGGAGATGTGCGATCACATCATCCGCCTGAAGCCTGATCTCGTCTTTACCGAGAAGGGTGTCAGTGGTAAGACTTTCTCTGCACTGCGATGGCTGTGGTAGGGCGAGGGGGGAGGCGGCGCCTTCATTATTGCAGATGCTCACTGTTTGTTCTTTTTGCTTGGGTTGCTGCATCATCCATCGAACGCAGATCTTGCCCAGCACTACTTTGTCAAGGCCAACATCACGGCCATCCGTCGTGTCAAGAAAACCGACAACAACAGAATTGCCCGCGCTACGGGCGCAACCATCGTCAACCGTGTCGAGGATCTGAAGGAAGATGATGTCGGAACCCAGTGCGGTCTGTTTGAGGTTCGCAAGATCGGCGACGAGTACTTTACGTACTTGGTGGAGTGCGAGGACCCCAAAGCCTGCACCATCCTTCTTCGTGGCCCCTCCAAGGACGTCCTGAACGAGATCGAGCGTAACCTGCAAGACGCCATGTGCGTTGCCCGCAACGTCATGTTCGAGCCCAAGCTGTGCCCTGGCGGTGGTGCCACCGAGATGGCCGTCGCTGTGCAGCTGGCCGAGAAGGCCAAGGCCATCTCTGGCGTTGAGCAGTGGCCGTACAAGGCCGTGGCCGAGGCCATGGAGGTCATTCCAAGAACCCTGGTTCAGAACTGCGGCGGAAACGCCATCAAGGTTCTGACCCAGCTCCGAGTAAGTTTCGACGCTTTGTCGGATATTGAACTTCTGCCATGACCAAATAGCTTGGCTCTTGCGGAGCGGAGCCGTTTGACCCGTCCGAGGATCACCACTGGGATCGCGCAGACGGACAAGCCCTCTGGCTTGACCATTATTACGGCAGCTCGAGTCCCTTAGATGGACAGCACTCCGAGGATGGCGTCTATGCTGCGTGCCTCGCGTGGAGATGCATTTGATCGTGCTGACGCCTTACTCTGGTCCCGCATCGCATGACACCCGACCCTGCTTGAAGGCCAAGCACGCAGTTGGCGAGTATTCGTGGGGCATCGATGGCATCTCCGGAAAAATCGTCGACATGAAAGAGTACGGCGTCTGGGAGCCCTATACAGTCAAGTCCCAGACCATCAAGACCGCCGTCGAATCCGCCTGCCTGCTGCTGCGCGTTGATGACATCGTTTCCGGTGTCTCCAGACGCCAGGCTGAGGGTGCCGGACCGGCTCCTGCCGGAGGCGAAGAGATTCCCGAGGCAAGTGACCGCGTGTGTGAGAAGTGACTGTGCCGGGACCGCGGATGCTGTGCCTTGCCATGACACAGTGGGTTGTTTGATCGTATTTTCGGTGTCTTGACCGTTTGTCCTTTCCCATCCACAGGAGGCTGAGCGATAAATGGCTGCCGTCCAACCGACAGCCAAGCACCCATGCAAATATGGACCCAGCACACGGAATGGCAGCAGCACTTTGTTATGTTTGCTCAATACAGACTGTGATTGAATGTAGCCCTTCGAGGGAACCCCTGGTCACTCTACTGGCTTTTGGAATGCATTTTGACGCACCGGGATGACGCTCATCACTGAGAGACCTGGGATCGACGCACCTCTGTTTCGGTTGTTGACAGCAAAGGTAGTGGCTTTGGTCTGCAGACTTGCGATGCCAGAATGCGGCAGTGTCAGCGTCCTTGTCGACACCGATGCCGCTGTTGGATCCGCTGGATCGGGTGCATCACGCAATCTCTTCCCTCGTCCATGTTCCCACATCCAGAGCTCCGTCGTTCCATCCCCCAAGCCCCTACCATCCATCATCCATCCTTCGCCAGCACATCGGCACTTTCATCCGTCACTAGTTGGTCAGTCTCATAAAGCCATCCCGATGCATCTCTCCAACGCAACCACCGGCGTGGAAATTGAGGGTGTGACGGATGTTCACTGGGAATGATGGGCGAATCTATATTTCCACACAATAGGGGGGATGTCTGGCTGCATTTTTGAAAACACTGTATCTCCGTGGCGAGGCTCCATATGATTGAGAGTGGATTTTGTTTGATGTCAATTCACTCGGTGGTCTCGCTCGGCTTGAAATCAAACTTGACGCGGCTGCTTCCTTCCTTGGCAATTTTCAGATCAGACGATGTGACATCCCTCGACATGAACGTCGAGCTGGTCACGCTCCTATTTTTCAGCGCTGACTTTCCAGGCAACTTCACAGAGGTTGGCGGGTGGTGGTGCGTTGGGCTCGACACGACTTCGCTGTTTCTCGTTTGTTCCACGTCAGGCTTCGGCGCTCCAAGCATCTCCATGGAACGAACGCGGGGGAACTGGTACTGGTTTCCAAAGGGCTCATTTGGGTGAGATTTCTCCTCAAAATCGTGCATATCGTTGGGATCGGCTTCGGCTTGATTATCGTGAGCATCAGCTGCCGTGAGCACAGCGTCATATTTGATCAGGCTCGGTGCGGATGCGGATGCGCTGGATGTTGCCGGTGACGGTGAGCGATGTGAGCCCGGGGAGAGACATTGGGAGTCATTGTGCAAGCCCTGCAGCGATTCCTCGCTGATCTGGGTATCGGAGTGAGACCGAGACTCTTGTTCGATCGGCTGGAGGATTTGGAGAACCGCTTCGTTTGGCCGACTGCCGGCCTGGGACATACGGGACAGCCTCTCAGCATATTCTGCAGTTTGCTCAAGTTCATCCTCAAACGGGTTGCGATTAGCTTCTGGCTCCTCGGCAGGCGGCCGTGGGCTTCGGAGAGTGACAGAGTTACGGAGCTTCTTCAACCACACAGCACTCGCTGCCCGAATCACCGAATCGCGACCCAGAACTGAATCGGAATCTCTTGCCGAGTCCCGTATAGAGGTGCGAAGCGACCCCCGCAGCGAGTCTCCGGGCGATCCCTTTGATACCCCCGCGCTTTCAGCTTGGTAAGACTTCATTATAACGCTGCGTCTGCTGGCATTGGGGTTGGTTGGCGGTTCAGTCCTTGGTTCTGCCCGCAGCTCCGGCTCCTCATCGTCATTGGCGATAGCGAGTTTGAGAGATTGGTTTGGTTCTTGGTCCAGAGCAGAAGAACTGGTTCTGACAGCAGTTTCGGGATGACTGGAGTTTGCGGACGCACTTGTGCCGGTAAAGTTACTCTTTCTCCTCCAGCCTGTGACTCCAGCGACTGATCCGCGTATCCGGTTTACCCACGTCATAACCTGAGCATTATTTGGCTCCGACTGGACTTTTGGTTGTTCAGGTGTGATCAGGGTTGGCGGAAGTGCTCCTGAGCGACACTCGCCGGGATTCTGTGCGTCGTCCAAACGGTTGAGGTCCATGAAATACGCATCGACCTTGGATTTGCCCTGATTAGCGATGCACCAAAGTAAAATTACGTCGAGAGATCTCATTAGGCGAGACATGGTTGATTGAAAATCCAAAGGCCACTTCCTCAAACGATCCATGTTAATGCGTTACAATATCTATGGCCATGCAGCGTTGAGTCCACATTGCTGAACCCACCAAAAGCAACGTCTGCAATGCTCGATTGCGTGTCGCGGAGGTTGGCGGAATCATGAGCAGCAACCGCCGGCACTTGGCCTCGCCCTCCTCGGCGATCTTTTGGAGTTTCCGAAAGCTGTAGTAGTAGTTGACGATGAGGAAGAAAATCACCATGCAGCACAGTATGGTGGACTGTCTTTGTAGGTCGGTGATGCTTTGTTCAAAAAGTGCCTGGGTAACGCTGACTTGCTATTGTTCCAATTACCAGGAATTGATCGAATTGATATAGTGGGTTGTAGTCACAGCGTCAGTAAAGCTGTATCATAGATCAATGGCATATTGGCTTTGCTACACCACGATTTCGACAGGCCTGCATCCTGCGCAACATACATGCATGAATCCATCAACAATGTTCGGAACGAGCTCGACGACTCGCTGAGCCGACGGGTTGTTTGGTCCCACCATAACCGTTTCCTGCCATTGCACCAACGTGGGTTGTGCGTGCATGCGAGTCACCGCAATTTACTCGAGTCAGCGACGGTTGAGTGCAGTGCGTGTCAGACTCCGACTTTGCACGATATTCGTACAGCTCTGAGCTCATGATATGATCTTGGAGGCCCGTAGTGCCGTCGCGACTTTGGCCCAACTATGACCTTCTGCTGGCGCAAACCGATGCATCAATCCAAATATCTCGCTCACCCACCTGAAGTATAGTGACTTCGTTCAGTACTATATTGACCATTTCGTCCACGGAGGCGCTGTTGTTGAGGAAGCAATACATCAGCTTCCGCATAGAATGAGCGGTCGCGTCTCGGACGCCAGCGAGCGATATTCTTCATCCCAGATCATTACAACCGATTGGCAGTGCATCGAGCTCTGCGGATTGGCGGCCAATGACATCCAACAATGAACTCCAATTCCAGGGATACAGTACTTTTCGTATCCGCCGTTGACACTGCTAATCGTGTAGGTTGGAGTGAACATGACATCGCCAACAGCTTGGGGAAGCCTTCCTTGACTGATCCCAAGATTCGGGTCGCCAAACAAGAGGGCAAACTGCATTTGGTTGAAAGTGGCCAGATCATTTTGTATGTATCCTTGTAGTATGCTTTGTCGGGGATACAGGTAAAAGTCGTTGAGTTGAAGCTCGTTGACAAAAAATGCCACTCGATAACTGATGTATCGAATGGCCATGCCGACGTTGACGCGATTTCCAGCTTCTCGAACGCTCATTGAGCCAAGCGCAGTCACAACGACGTAAATCGTTAGGGCGATGAACGTAAGCACTAACGACGCCGCGTAGAGACATGTGAGCTTGATATAAACCACTCTCCGGGCTTCAGTCACTTTTGAAGACGATTCGTTGCCCTTGTCGTCGGCATCGTCACCACTGAGTTCTTCATCTGAGAGCTGATCTACCTCATGCTCGGAGCTACAGGCGTTGCGCATGTTTTTCATTTCGAGGGCCTTGCTGTAGCAATATTCCATGTTGGCCTTGGGTATCGTCAAAACAGCTTGCAGAGACAGCTCCGTCTCCTCAAAGGTAGTGTCGAGAACCGGTCGGAACACAAACACACCCACGAGCAGCAGGATCGCCCCAACCGCCCCGAGGGCAATCCACTCAGCCAATATCACCGTTTGAACGCCGTTTTGCATGTCAGAAACCATCATCGTGGTGCATTTGTCGTACGCATTGGCGTAGGTGTATGGGAAATTGCTCATGACGAATCTGTTTGACCGGAACAGTGCCCAGCCACGCGGGATCCTGTGGTTCAGAAAACGGAGTGCTACACCGCAGCATATTTCCCAAGCTTTGAACATGCAACTCACCTCCAAGACGGATTCGAGTAGTGTGCTGATGATAGAAATGAACTCGCAGAGATGCCTACTGCCTCGCGGCCCATGCGCCAGAACTCGCTCGAGGCATCCTGTGGCCGGACCAGCGGGATTAGTCGCGATCATCCTCGACAATGACATCTCACGGCAGCAAAGCTCAAACGTACCCAGGTACTGAGGTAGTTTATCCATGTGGAATTGGTCACATTTCCGTTCATGAAGTACACGAGACGGATCCAGGGTGTCAGCCAGAAGGAATACGAAGGAGTGCTCATGTCCGATCCGAAGAACAGCGCTTCTTGAGTGTTGAAGAACGTAGTAAAGTTGGCCATGGATTCATTGACGTAGTATTGAGCTGTTGCAATATCGCCAGTCAGATAGGCTTCTTGTATGAGACGGAGTCTTATCGGAACTAGAGTTGCAATTTCCCGTCTGTAGCAAGAGCATGAGCGAAAACAAGGAATGTGTCAGCGATCGTCCATACTGAAAGCCTGTGTAGTTTGAATATTGAATGCTACTGATGTGACAGCTTGCTATTCAGGATGCTATCAAGCCACCGAAAGCAACAGCAGCGGTTTATGAACCACACTTGGATCACTTGACTCTGAGTCGTGAATCCGAGGCATCCACAGCAGTCAAATCGCTCACCTCCAGCCGCTTTCTTCAATGACTGAAATTGAGCTTGACAGCATTGCCGTTGTAACATTAAACCACACCTGTTCAGCGTCGGGAGGAAGCGCCATTTTAGACCACTGACCATGCGTTTTGAACCTCTGGATGCGATCACGGTCCGAATACTTACAAACTGTCCCAAGGCGATGGCGCTGAGTATAGCGGACAGCCCGATGGTGATGACTTTGAGCAGCCTGATGCCCCTTGACTTCATGGAGAAGATTTCACTTCGAAACTTCTTGACGGCTCTATGAAGTCATCACACCGGCCACAGATAAGCGCTTTAATCGAGCCGCCAGGGACACAGGCTCTCATCTCTGAAACCAAGCTGTGGCATGTATCCGGACCTCATTTCCTTCTTTGTAATCGTTCTCCTCGGTGGCAAGAATACCTTCTTGGGCTTCTTCACCTGAGTGTTGAGCTGGTCTTCCGAGTGAACCTTATTAACGTAGTCGTTGTTGGCTTCGAGCTGCTCCTGCTTAGCCGCTATAAACTTGAAGATTTGGTCGACGCGGTCGTACTCCATCTGCACTCGCTCTAGAAAGTCGGCGTAGTAGTATAGCACTTCAATGTCCTGCGAGTGCTTGTCCAAAAGCTTCTCAAAGTTCTTTTGGGCTTTGATCTCCTTGTTGCTGATTCGAGTTGCCATCTTCTGCAGGCCGTCCGAATCGAGCTTGTCAAGCATCAAGCTTCTCCACAGGGCGACAATCAAGTCCACCGCTTCGCTGGTACAGCGCCTGGCGACACGAAGCTTGTTTCGGCGATCGATCTGGTCCAGAACATCGACCTCTTCTCCAGCCATCTGGCTTTGCTGCACAGTATGTCTCTTTCGCTCCATGCTACTCTGGGCAATCATCAGCTGGATGTCGATCGAACACGGGATCTTTTCGGCCTTTTGAATATACAGCCGCCAGGCGCGCACGTCCTTCATGTAGATCCCAAAGAATATGGATGCGAAAATCAGCATCACCGGATCTGTGTCGGAGAATTGTTGAAGTCCACGGCAGTACACCAGCTCGGCGTACTTGAGCTGTAGTTGTGTGGGATTGGCGTGGCCGTAGAGAAATCGCGTGGCAATTTCGACCTCGTAAGGACTCCAGAAGTTGACCGAGGCCAAGGACGCGCCGATTTGCTCGGCCAGATCGGTGTTGATATTGGCGATCCTCTGGTCTTCGGGATCGCTTTCAAACCTTTTCAAAATATAGTGGGTCCGACGCTCGTAGTACCAACTGAAGGGGAAATAGCAGAGCACGGCGCTGACTATGGTCGCCGAGAGCCATACAAAGTACACAATGTCTGCGCCGGTGACCGATGAGTCTGTAGTAGCGTGAAAGACAGTGTGGCCATACTGTAGGAGCTGGAACATGCCAAAGCCACTGACGATGATAAATTCCATGCTCATGATCATCCGGAGAATGTTCATGATCCGGGAGTAATACGGTAAATAGCAGAAGAGATAAAGCGATATGATGACGCCGTTGAGCAGCAAGATGGCGCATCGAACGATAGCGTATTCTTCCAAAAGGACAGTCAAAAACACAAGAAGGGTTTTTAGGAACCTGGTAAATATGCAGACACAAGGTCAGCTCGGAGTGTATAGGCAGAGCCTGGGAGGTAGCATCGGCATCGACGATACTGTGGGGGGAACTTCCCCTGGGTGCCGTGCAGTCTATGAATGCGCTATTCACGACTGTGAATTGCCGATATCATAGGGCCCGGGGTGGAGACAGCTTACGATTCAATGACCTCCAGTCTGCCACTGGGCTTGGCGAGAATGGATTTGTTTTGTGGATTTGGGTTCAGAAAGATGAGTGCTGTGAGCGAATGAGGAAGCGAGTGAGTGAGTGAGTGAGTGAATGGATGGCGAGGCAATTTGGCTGGTGCAAAGTTCCACGACTCGTTGCTGGCCATCGGTGGTTCGATACGTACACATCACAAGCGAAAATGGGACCAGTATCACCAGGGATATGCACGTGAGGACGATGAACACATATCCAAGGATATTTGAGCTGGAGCTCCGTATCATCGCTTGGCCTTGTACATGAGTCCGAAGCAGAATGTCCAGTAAAGGGACATCTGTTGAAGGGGGGCATAGGATGTTGATCAGCGCAAAACCCACCGCGCCAGAGTGGCGACCGTTGCTCTATACATGAATGCACAACATGCTGGCAGAGCCATCTCAGCCTCTATGCCATTGATGCTTACAGACAATCCGTGGCAGGATAGAAACTGTGCAAGGGCAAGCAGTTAGTGTCCAGATAGCTCCACAAAGACTGTCCGTGAATCACTCTCAGACTATATCGATCGACTTGCAGCTAACAGCGTGGCCATCCACAAGCGGGCTTACCGCAGGTCCGCAGAACACGAATGGGCCAGATTCCGATGAAGAATTTGCCTGTTTTGAAAGCAAATATGACATATACAGAGAGGAACAGGAGCAGTACCACAAACAGGAACGCCACGACGAGAGAGCTGATGGCGAACGTCTGCGACGTGAATCTCGAGAATAGGTATTCAAACTGCAGCGATTCCAAAAAGTCGCCAAAGCTGTCGCCGTAGTTGCCCCTGCATAATGGCGGGAGAGCACCCAGCCAAATGATGGTACCGGTTAGTGCCCACATCGATCGGTCAGCGATCACCTTGGAGCAGCACCTCACGCCAGTCGATATCCATGGGTCGCCCCAAACCCAATTCGATTCGACAGCACCCAAAGCATCGATATCCACGCTTTCCTGCCCCCAGTGCCGCGGATGCAGCTACCGGTCATGCTCGTCTGAGCCGCTGCGTGCTGTGAGCGCGAATCCTCACCATTCGATATCGATGAACGCGTAAGCGGCCATCTGGAGAAACTCGAGCCCAACGACGATGATGGCCACAAAGTTACTGCCCTCCTCCTTGTTGAGAGCGACGCAGGAGTCGATAAAGGGCTGCTTCAGCCAGTAGTCCCAGTACTTTTCCTTCCAGGAGTGGTTTTTGGCTCTCGCGCGAAGGCTGCCCTTCTTGGCTCCAGACAACCCCGAGCTACTGTGGGTGCTCTTGGAGGCTGCAAAGGCCGAGCTGCTTTGCGAGAGCGACGATTTGGATGGCTGGCTCGACGAATGAACCGACATGACGGCGCTGGATTTGAGGCCGCGCTGGCTGAGACAAAATCCTGTTGGGCGAGGTCCTGGCGAGGGGACCGAATCTTATCTGCGCTGGGCAGCTGGGGTCGTGTCCCGGCTCGGCAGAAATGTGCCGATGAAAGTAGGACCTGCCAGATGGACTTCCCCCTTTGCCAATCACAGCACGGAGGCTCTTTGCCGGGCGCCAGATTGACTTGGTGAGCGAGCTGTCGCCGAGACAACCCGGGCCTGGACAGCCAAGAGGATCCCTACCCAGACCAAGGACTGAGTGCCAATCTTCCCAGCCGGACCGGCCCTGCCCTGCTGGCCTGTGGTTCTACCCTTGTCGATGGAGGTCTCAGCCGGTGGAGAGCCATGGCCTATCGGTCCCGGTGACGGACTTGACGAAGCTAAAGGCTTGAGCGACAGCGCGGACAGTCCAATGCAGCGATGGCGATGTATTGCGGGAAAGCCAGCCGACCCAATCTCGGCCGCGCGCTGTCCCAACCGGAGCCAACCTTTGGCGGGCTTCAGGGCCACGGGCCATTCGCAACAGGGGGAGACGGATCACACACAAACGAAACAAGTCCGCAGATCAGTCCGCCGGCAGCCGTGAGCGGGGCAGAGCAGAGTGCCCCTGGGTCCTCGCGGGAATGGACCGTCTTGGGCTGCAGCTTGACAGCCGACATCATCGCTGCTCATGCAGCCAGCCATCTGCATTATCCTGAGCCCGGACGAGGGCGATTGGCCCGGTCAAGAGGGAGTGGCTGATCAAAGCCCGGCTGCTTCTCATTGCGATTCCTGCTCGCCCATGCGGGTCCACAGCAGGTCCACAAGCATCGACTTGAGCTTGCGAGCAAAGACGTCGTCGGCTAGCACCACCTTTTCGTCAGGCGCAAACGGCGAGAGCACATATTGGGCCACATCCTGGTCTTTGTTCGCTGGCCGTCCGATGCCGATACGAATGCGCTTGAATTCCTGTCGATGGGTTTCAGTCAGCGGATGGCCCAAGTATCGGCCGTCGAGATTCATGTGTAGATATCGAGCACACTCACAAGGCTCCTGGCTGTATCTGCGATCGACCGGATTCCATTATGTCCGCTGTGCAATCAGGATGATGGCCAAGGTATGATGTGCAAGGTTAGTCCGGGCCAAACAGCAACAAGCCCAGGCCAGCGACGATTACGGACAGAGCTAGCCTGTTCTGCACCGAGAAGCCATACTTGGCGCTGCCCGAGAGTTTGGTCGATAGCTGGCCGAGCTTCCGCTCGAGGTCGTCGTGGACAACAATCATGTCTGAAAGAGGAACCGATAGGCTTCGGGCTACACAGCGATTCAAAGCGAGGTGTAAGTAGCGAGTTGGACGGCTGTTCCATGAGTACGGTCAGCCGGAATATCCTGCAACGATCCGATATTCCCAAAATCAATCGAGGCAATCGAGGCAATCGAGGCGAATGAATCCAGGACCAAGCAAACGAACGCCAGGCAGCCACCCACCCACCGGCTTTCATCACCGAGGGACCGGAGATGTTCATCAGCGTCTTGGCCTTGTAGAAAACAACATTGGCCTCTCCTATCGAAGCCGGCTCCAAGCGCAGTGCTTCCAGAAACGATGGCCCCGACAGCAGCTTCTTGAAGCTTTCGGTCTGCGGTCCATTGAGTTGGCCGTGGGCAATCCATCCGTTGAGCCGTCCGTCAAAGGTCCAAGCCCCCGGCCCGATCATGGTTTCGACCAAATAATCGAGGGCCATGCTGCCGACGCTGTGCCTGGTGTTGGGGAAGGTGTAGTTTCCGAGGCCGACGACCTGAGGACCAGAGAGCCATGGAGGAGAGGGTAGCGATGGTCAGCTCGCAGAGCCAGTATGGAGGACGACGATCGGGCCGTTCTCCAATTCCAAGCCCAGCGAGACAATGCTGGCAGCAGATAACTGAAGCAACCGACGAGTTTCCTTCGAGATCCAGTGTATATCGACGGGTTGCAAAAGCGGACGGTGGCCGAAAAGCGACAGCAGTTTCGGATCTCGGCGAAAGACGGGGTCTGTCGACCATACCAGTTGTCTCCGCATGGTAGCGATTGATGGAGCGAAACGAAGCCAGCAGACCCAACAGGCGGATGGACAGCGATGAGTCTCCACGACCAATCAGTATACCCAACGACAAACAACGGGCGACGAGACAGAGGAAGAAGCTCTGGATCAGGCCGGCGACAGAGGATGTGTTGGGGCCAACAAGGCCGCAGCAGGATGTGCAAGCAGTCGATTTTCAACACTTGCACGGAGACACTGCTTGAGACCAACAGTCCGGCTCTTGCGTCTTTGAAAACCTCATACGTCCGAGAGCATCGCTGTGGGCTGTTCCCTCGGTTATCATGCGATGCTGTCGCTCGATATATCTGGTCTCATTATGCCACTCAGTCGTCCCCACGGATGTATTCACGCGATTCAGACAAGAGGCAAGAACCAGATGCAGAGCCACTGCGATGCAAGGAACGGAGCGCTATGCATCTCTGGCTGTATCCCGGACAACAGAGAATCGGAGCGACTTTGGTGCATCGGACTCGGCGGCCGTGTCGGGGTCAGGATTGCATGCGTCGCCCATCAGGCTGGAGCCATGCTGCGATCCAGTGAGTGACTTGGACTGCTCGCTCATGTCTGAGTAGGCGCCCAGTTCCGCATTGATCTCGAGCTCCTTCTCCAGATCCTTGAAATGTTCTTCGGCTCCGGCCTTGCCCTGATCGAGCCAAAGGCGAGCGTGCAATGGTTAGCAAAGCCAGCCGATTGGGTTCAGGCTGTGGACAACTGACCTTTAGGAGGATCTGGAACGGTTTGTTGAAATTGGCGTTGTTGTGGGGCACCAGCAGGAGCAGCCGCTGGCAATTCTCATGTCCCTCCTGAGTGATTCGCTGTAGTCTGCGGAACACAAACAAGTAGTTGGCGGCCAAAAATACCAAGATGAGCACAAAGACAGCTATTGAGATGCGGCTGTATGTTTGGACATTGTTGTAAAAGATTCCGGTTGTCGTCACGGTTTGCTGCAAATCAGTCGAAACAGGGAGGGTCAGGAGCGCACTTCCGCAACAGCGCTGGCAGCCGAGCACGAATGGCCTTTGTTCCTCACGGACCAAGAATGCATGCACCCGCAAATCATCCAGCGCCCCCGCACGGAGCCCGAGAGACCCGACAATCAAGCACCCGTTTCAATTGTGCTCACGTTGTTGAAGCCAGATACAATCCACGGCATCAGTTCCATCACCCGCAGAGCCGACGGATTTGTAGGCAGGATTGTGTTTGTGGTCTTGATGCGGAATGTCGTGGAAGTATAGTAAAAATCTGCACAGTCAGTCTCTGCTGAGCACCTGGCCTCTGTTGATTCTGCCCAGCAGTCCCTTACCAAAAGTTTCTGGAGTTCGTTCATGGCGATGTTGACCATTTCGTCCACAGATGCACTAATACCAAGAAGGACTCGTGAGAATCATATCTGTTGGAATACAGAGCTGTTCAACCCCTCCCTTTGGAACAGCAAGGAGTCGACTTACGTCTGCCATCCGCCATTCGGGCTTGAGATATTGTAGTGCTGTGTGAACATGACCTGGGCCAAGACCTCTGGAAGGGGTCCGGGGCTCAGGCCGTACTGAAGATCGCCAAAGAGCAGGGCAAACTGAATACCGTTGAAGGTTCCCAAATCGCTGGAGAGGTTGCCTTTGACGTCGCTGGTTGTTAAAAAGGCAACCCCGTCGAATGCCATCAGCTCCTTCACTTCAAATGCGATTCTCCATCCGACGTATTGAATCTCCATGCCCAAGTTCATCCGCTGCCCTGCTTCAAGAACCTGGTTGGAGCCCAGTGCAGTCACCGATGCGTATATCGCAAATGCCACCAGGATGGCAAAGAGCGAGCTGGAGTAGAGCATCGTCAGCCTTCTGTAGCGGCTTTGATGTGACTCGGAGATGATATCGTCCTTGGTAAGAGAATCAGAGATGACGTCATCATCATCGTCGTCATCGTCGTCACTCTCGCCCCCATCACTTTCGTTTTCGTTGGTGTTTGCTTGGTCGGCGTCTGTCTTGAGGTTTTCCTTGCTTGCCTCCGGCTCGTCCTTGAGGTTATCCTTGGAATTGCCTGAAGATGGATCTTTTGCCTTTTGCGATGCATCTTTTTTTGTCGCCTTGATACGATGCAGCTTTGCTCTCTGTATAGCTAGAGAATGGCTATAGCACTCCTCGACGTTCGCTTTCGGCAGAGCCAGAACGGCTTTGACGGCAGTGTTTGTGTTTTGAAAGCTAGCATTCATGGCCGGTCGAAAGACAAAGATTCCGATCAGGAGGAGTATCCCGGCCATGATACCGAGGGCAACAAACTCGGTTATAACTCCTGCTGAAATGCTAGCGGCGTTCTCCGTAGTTATCAGCTTGGTCAGCATGTCGTATGAGTCCGTGTAGATCAGCGGATAGTTTTCCATGACATATCTTTGTGGAACACAAACACATGCATACCGCAGAAATTGACGGGGATAGAGCGGTGAGTATTTTATGCAGTCGAGGGCGGAAGCGGTAGATGGTGTCTTGGCAAAATGGATATGGTCCGTCGCCGGGAGACTCCCATGCGGATGGCAGTGCCACCACGGGGGTGTGCAAGCATATTGCCGCCAGCATACCTCCATGCCGGGTTGATGAGGTAGCTGCTGTTGCGATATATTTCGGGGTTGATTCCGTTGGCTTCTCGCCCCTTTCTCCAAAACTCACTCGAGGCATCCTGTTTGCAGAAAATGCATAAGACATTTTGTTGCTGAGATGCTTCGTGATATACTTCGCGGCGTCTCGCTGGAAAAACGACATACCCAGGTACTCAGTGGATTGTACCAATAGCGCTGTGTGACATTTCCGGGAAGATAAAACTTCAGCGGGATCCATGGGGTCAGCCAATATTTGTACGAGGGCTTTGTCTGATCGGAGGAGAAGAATAGCGTTTCTTGGACGCCAAAGAAGGTGGTAAACGCATCTTCGTTGGACTGCTGGTAGAGCTGAAGAGTGACCAAGTCATTGTTTCGAGCGGCATCGGCCATTTGCAAGATGCGAAGCGGGATGAGCGACGACGTCAATCGTCTGAACGTGGTCAGAGTGTCGTGGCAGTTTGGTGAGTGGCAGTCCAGTATGAACAGATTGTGCTGAAAGCTGGCTGCGACAAAGACCCAAATACAAACCGAATCGAACTCATGGAAATGCTGTTGATACTCGCACTGACACTGTCCATTGTACTGCGGAACCAAATCTGGAATAGTGGCGCAGTGGACATGGTCAACTTTCGACGCTGTCGGCGACGTTGCACTGTCTCAGGTCATCGATTCAACGCAAAGATCATAGAACTGCTGTGGTTTGAATTGGCAAGCAGAGTAAAATATGATGCGACACAACATATGGGACCCACCAATTGGCCGACAGCAACACCCATGAGAAGAATGGTCACTGAGATGGTGATGATGCTGAGGGCTTGGATGGCGTTGGATTTGATCGATAGAACTTCAGAGCGTAGTTTCAGCATTGCCCTGTTTGCCGTGAGTTTAAATATCCATCCTCCAAGGAAAAAAAGTGGTACCACAGCCGCCCCAATCACAGCAGCGGAAACCTGCCTCATCTCCTTCTTGTTTACTGTTCTCTTCGGGGACCGAAACTTCCTGGTTTTCTTCTTGCTTGCCTGATTTTTTTCTTCCTTGAGCATACGGTCGTGATTGAGCGAGAGACCCAGGGCAGATTGTGATCCATCTGCCTCTGTTTGCGCACTATGGCGAAGGTAGGCGCAAAGTTCATCGACTTCGTCAAACTGTCTTTGAACTCGCTCCATGAAATCCGCATAGTAGGTGAGTACTTCGTTGTCGTCTGGATACATTTGAATCAGCAAATTAAAGTCGTATTCACACTTCTGCTCCTTCTTTCCGATTTTGATGGTCATGTCTTGCAACGAGTCACGGTCCAGCTTGTGGAGCATCAAGCTCTTCCACAGCAGCACACGCATATCGACGATCTCGGACGTCAGCTTCTTGCAGCGCTTTATGAGTCGCTTTCGCTCGATTTGCTGGTGCTCGTCGACTTCCTCGGTTCCCGAGATGCTTCGTTGGATGATAGCATAGCGTTTTCTCTCGGCATCTGACTGGGCTATGAGAATCGAGACGTCCAACGACGGCGACGTACCCTGGGCCTTGTCAAGGTAGAGCTTCCAGACCTGGTGATCTGAAAGATACGTTCCGAAAAACATCGAAGCCGTCGCCAACATTGCCGGAGACCCATCATTGAACTGTCGCAGTCCGCGGATGTAGATGTCCCGGACGATGCAGAGGCTTTCTTCATCGGGACGCCCAATGTGGTGAATGAAGCGCGTGGCGATCTCAACCGAAGAATGATTGGGGAAGGTGTGCGAGAACAACGGTCCATTGAACTGCTCGTCGGTGGCTTCACTCAACTGTTTTCTCGACGGCGTCTTTTGGAGGGTGCGCCGCAATAGCTGTACACGCCGCTCAAAGTACCGATCGATCGCAAAGTATGACCCAGTCGCGCTAAGCACGGCAATAGCAATCCAAACAAAGAATCCGACATCGGGCGGCGAGATACCCGAGGGCTGGCTCGCCACTGATCCGTTCAGCCCGAACTTCACAAACATGGCTATTGAAAAGAGCGAGGTAATGATGTATGTGATTCCCATGGTCACTTGGATGCAGTTCATGGCTTTGGAGTAGTACGGCATGAAGTGGAAGACGTAAAATGCTATACAGAAGGCGTTGGCGATCACAAATCCATTTTTCATCGCTGGCTGGGACTCGAGCGATAGCTGCAAGATGATCATGATTGTTTTGGAGATCCTGGCAAGAGCGTTGGTGTGAGGACGGGAGGCCGACATGGTTGTAGAGTGTCTGCGACTGGTCGCAGATATGCGGAGCCAAACAAAGTGCTTGCGGACGACCAAGCGCTGCTGGTATAGCGGAATCTAAACGGAATGTACTTACGTTTTGATTGTGTCCACGGTGCTGCCCACACGCTGGAACATCCAATTGGGGCGAGGATCGGGCGATAACGACGTAATCCCTATTGCGTTGCGCGGAGACATGGTTGAGCATTCCATTCCCAGAGATCGAGCAGGGGGCAGTATGGCACTGCGCGCAGTATATTAGGAGATTCTGTATCCTGGAAGCTGCGAGCACGGACAGGGTCATCGAGAACTTACCGCAGAGCAGCGTGAATGGGACCAGGAGGACGAGGAGTACAACGATCACCAAGAGGAGAATATACGAGGCGGCTTCGATGCTCAGATCAATGTTTACGACAGTCGAGAACATGATCACCGCGACGAGATACAGGGCGCAGTTGAGGAAGATAAACAAAATCGGCACGTCTGGGAAAGTGTCAGTTCAGATGTTTGGGGGCTCTGAAACGAACCCAGCGCTTTCAGGAGCAAAGCGATGTGCATCGGCCGCGCCTTACAGAGAACGTGCTGGAGGATGCGGCCTTTAAGTTTGGGGGGGGGTTCCGGATTGGAAACACGATATACGCGATTGCAGTAGGGATATTCCACTCTTGTTAGAACAGGCTCAGGTGGCGATTTGACCATCTTCCTAGATATGGCTCTGGCTCTGGACAGCTTCACGGATATTGGAGGGTAGATTTTGCCCCTCACCCCATCGCGTGCGCCGAGTGATGCGAGATGGAAAGATTGCACCGACCGGGAACTCACCGCCCCATTTGAGAACGCGAATCGGGACCGTGCCAAAGATAAACTTTCGTGTCGAATAGGTGTAGACGGCCGCTGCGAGATCGGCAAACAGGACCACCACGACCAAGAATGCCGCGATGAGGAGCGCCGCGGACGTGTCGATGCCTTGACCGAAGAAGTTGGGACTTGACACGTAGGGCGAGAGCTGGAATACGGTCAAGAAGTGCGAAAATGTTCCTCCGTACACGCCCCTGGCCAAAGAATCGAGACAGAAGCCCGTCAGGCGCGCCGGGTTGCATCATGCGATCATGGTTGTTCGGTCTTGAGCTTCCCGGATCCCGATGTTCACCCAGCTGCCGGCCGCAGGGAGTTGGAGGGACGTACATGCATGCATCTTGGCCCTCCAGCTTACCATTGCACCCCCTCAAACGAAAACGCGAGGGTTTGGATGAACTCGATAACCAGAATCGCGGCCGAGACGACGTTGTTGTCTGGCTCGCGATTCACGGCCGTAAAGATCTCCACGAGCAGCGGCCGGAGCCACTTTCGCCAATATATCTTTTTCCATGTTTCTTTTTTCGTGCCGCCGATGGCCTCGACGGCCAGGGCCTCGACCACGCTCGTCGCAGTACTGCCGCCCGAGACGCTGGACCATCCCGAGTTGGTCGTGGCGTGGGAGTGCACTGATGCAGTGTCGGCCATTTGCGGTGCCTTCTCTTGGTTCAGGGTAAGTGCGCTGTTCTCCAGATGGCCAGCCGAGGCAGATGGATCTCTTGCTGCGGGTTGACTAGTGGGAGCGGAAAGCCCCGATTGAGAGTCTATGCGAGTGGACCGCCCGGCCGGCAGAGGCAAAAACGGGCTTGGTTGGAGCGCGCTCAGTTTGGCTCTCGACGCACCCTCGCTTGGTGACTGCTTGGAGTCGACCGATTCTGGCGCCCGTGCTGCCCAAGATTCGTCTGGTGTGGGTGGATAATATACTGGGAGATGCTCCAATCACATTGCGATTCGATTGGCTGCGATGCGCCGATTGGGTTCGGCATGCAGCTCGTTGCCAGAGTGGGCGAGCGGCTCAGGGCAGGTTGCGCCAACTCCGGGCCTGGGCCAGCCCGGCCCTATCGACGCCCTTGGCCCGACCCTGCCAATACCCTTGGCCCGGCCCTGTCAATGTGCCTTTTCGGGCGGGATCAGTGTCCCTGTTCGGAGTGCATCAGTGTCCCGACCTGGTTGGTTCGTCATGGCCCAGACAGCGGCTGGACCCAGGCGCTGTGGCGCGGCAGGGCCTTCACAAGCCCGCCTCTCAGCCAGACCTTGCCTGCATCTTTGCTCTTGGTCTCGCCGGGCGAAGCGGTCGAGAACACTGCTCCGTATCGGATCAGCACATCAAGCACAGGCAACGCCAGCAATTGCCCGCCAGTGCCCATACACACAGCCATGTCGCTGCAGATTGTAACAAAGCGACTCGACGATCTCAAGGACGATCTTAATGGCGTGCTCCAGAACACCGACAACACAATCGCAAGCCTGTTCGAGTCGGCCATCGAGCTCGAGTCGGTCGCTGTCGACCAGGAGGTGGACGCCAGCGATCTGGTCCAGGACCTTGAAGCGGCCCTCAAGAGCTTGATCGGTTGGTTTCTGTTCCAGAACCTCTGTGTTCGACGCTTTGCAGTCGATGTCGCCCATGACTGGTCCCTGCTGCCTGAGCGATCTCTGATGGGGGATGCTGCGCCTGTTTCAAAGTTGGGTCGGTTCGGATCCGGCATTTCGTAGTCTCTTGAGTGGCACTGCGCTGTGCAGCACCCATCGGGTCCTGAGGATATCGGCCAGCGACTCTCTCCACGATCTGTCTGCTTACCACCCACTCCATTTGCTTTACCTCTGCTCTTCCTCTGGCCCAGATGCCAAGAACATTACAAAGATCGAGCTCGAGATTCTCGACAACCTGCGGGCCCGGGCCGGTTCGGGAGAGTCCCTCGAGTTGTTTTTGGAAATCTTCCGGCGCGAACGCAGCGAAAAAGTGGATGCCTACACGGGTGCCTCTGGCCGGTTGGAGAGCTCCGAAGATTTGCTGAATTTTCACAAGATGCTTTGGGAGATTCGCAACCCCGGACAGCCTTATCGGCCGGGCCAGGCAGCCGGCAACGCCGCCTCTGCGGATTTGGAGGAAGACGACCTCGCTGTTGTGGGCGGCACCGAAACGTTCCTGTGCCCGATTACGGTAGGCTCCATAGATTGGAATCCTTGGCGAGCCGGCTGTCAGCTTCCAGGACTTGGCCGCCTGCCATTGAGCTCGATACAGTCTGTGCGGCCCACAGATTTCGCTCACTCAGCCGTGTCTCGATCGCATGTCCTTTCGTATGCAGAAACGCACTCTGGTGGATCCCCACACGTCCCAGAGCTGCCGGCATAGTTACAGCGGCGCCGCAATCCTGGAGCTCCTCAAAAGTTCTCGGAATGGCCAGATGGAGTGTCCCGTTGCGGGGTGCGAGTACTACGTTACCCGGGGATCGCTCAAGCAGGACCAATATCTGACTATGCGCATCAAGCTGGAGCTCGAGCGGCGGGCACGGGCCAAGGAGCAGGAGAGCGAAAGCGATGTCGAAGCCATCGACTGATGCTGCGGCGGCTTCCGGACAACGAGTGTTGGCGGAAGGCTATCCAAGACGACGCACATTTGTTGTAACTCCTGTGGAAACGATAGCCAGTCACCCGAAATCGAGGTCGTTTTGGTCAAGTCGCAGAACGCTAAGGCGGCGCAGACTCGCGGTGACCATCCGGGCTCCTTGCAGAAACTACGGTTGCATGATCGCTCCGGACGACTGTGTTATGTATTGATTAATGAGCACTGCATGTGTTTGTTCGGCTGCTGCCGTGCGAGCCGCCTGAAGAGCGTCCCGCAATTGAATGCATTCCCGTTTGAGCTAGCCGGCTCCGTAGCCGACAAACAGCACTTTCACCGATTACACATTCAGCATCCCGGCGATGGACACCCATCGTACTTCTGATAATCCGCCGGGGAGAGAGGCAGCGCAGTCCGGGCTGGAAATGCCGTTTGTTCGGGCATTGGCACCAAGCTAATGTCGCCATACCCCTTCACATGCAAGCGTTATGCGATGCCGATTCCCGGTGCGTCCACTATTTCGGTCAAAATGAATGAGTGGTCGTTGGATTGAGAGCGAAGGAGCGAAATTGCCGAGAGCCAGGGGTTTGGATGAGCTGGAGGCGACAGTGCCAGACACATCAGCGCTGCAGAGGGCACATTCGACCATACTGGACGGCTGCTGCTACGCGAAGCGGTGTTTCATGACGGGCATGGATTTTGACGGACCGAGCTTGGGTTTGCCGCCGAGCCTGGTGGTTGCCTCGGGTTGCTTTGGGATGACGGTGCGGCCCTCGTAGCCGCTCCATGTGCCAACGGCTCCGTGAATCAAGTCTCCGTAAGAGGGGTCTCGCCCAGTGTTTTCCTTCTCTGCTGTCGATGCGCTTGTCCCAGCCGCGGTCACATCGATGGCTTCATCGGTGTCGCTCCGACGAACAAACACCTTGGGTTTTGAGAACGTATCGATGGCATGGTCGGTCTCCTCCAGCTCCGTCTCAATCTCCTGCTTCTTCTTCTTCATCCGAAGCGTCTCGAGAATCACGGGCAAGTTATTGAGCTCGGCGACCAGGGATTGTTTGCCTGCGAAGGTGTGCGTCAGCGGTTGCTTAACCGAACAATGGCGCCGCGCATGTGGGCATTGCTGTAGATACAGACACAAGCACAGACACGGTGATAGACATGACTTACGGCGCTGAAGATGTCTGAGGGTCTCTGTTCTTTGGAAGTCGCTAATTTCTGTGATTTGACATTGACTGTGAGCAAGCAGCGGACGAAGAGGGAGGGAAGGCGTGTTGCAGCTTCTACTCCGCGAAACACACTGTGGCGGTCATGGTGGACTTACGAATCATCCCTTCAGGAACCCTATGAAATCGCACGAATGGTGAGTTGCACTGCCAGGGCATTAAGCAGAAGATATCGGCTACACAGCGATCCTTTCCGATCTCTGCAGTCCAGGAATCGACGGCCAAACTCGTGCCGGGCATCTGGGACTGGCTGATCCAACAACGAGTGCATTGGCGCAAAACCACACTGACAAACCAGCGGCAACATGGATGCAAGAGCACCCGGATACATACTCCTCCTTCTTCAGACTCTCGAGGCGCTGCAGCTCTTGATCCGCCCACACCATCTTCCGCTCGATCAAGCTATAGGATGAGATCGAGCCGTGGCAGCAAACATCAGGAGCTGGGCGAACACTTAGATAGACGAGGCATATCAAGAGAGGGGGCTCGGGCGCGCGCGACAACCGAAGTGGCATCGGAGATACGACCGGAATACTCACTACTTTGGCACCTGTCCGAGACGAAGCTTTCGATCGGGAGCAACAGGCTCGACAGTTGGACTGGGGGACTGAATGTGAGTTCGTGGCCGTTCCATACGGAAATGTAGGTGGGTGAGCAGCGTACGCAAGACTCGGGTATTGGGGATGCCCCGGCTCAAGCAGCCCGCTCCAGTGGATGGCTTACCGGAGTCATGTTCTTTGCTCGGAGCGAGTTGATTCGAATAAAGTTCTTTTGCGAGGCCTGTGAACAGGGAGGAGGTTTGTGTTGGAGGGTCAGGGAACCACAGAGTCGGGCCGCTGGAAGAAGTCCCTGTTAATTCGGGACTGCGCTGCATCGTGAGAGATCCAATCCCAAATGTGCAGTATTGAAATGCCCACCGTCGTCGAGGATGATGCCGCCGTGGATGGTCGTGACGATTCAGGCGTTCCGCTTGCTGTCGGCGAGCCGGGGGCCTGAGCATGGTTGAGATAAAACGAGGCATTGACGATGGTGAGCAGAGCATCCGGCGGAGAAATGCGTATGGTCAGCCCCACAGACCATTCGCAGACTAGATGGGTGGCCGGATCGGTGGCCGGATCGGTGGCCGGATCGGTGGCCGGATCGGTGGCGAGCGAGTCGTCGAAGCACATGGTGAGGTGGTTCTGTCGCTGCTGCCGTGCGTTGCAACTTCTTACCGAGCTGCGGCGGGTGTCCAGCTTGGCCTTGACGGCGTCGAACTTTTTGAGCTTGAAGGGCTGGGGTGGCGGTACCTGCTCTTGCTGCATATGAAAGGTACATTGAGAGTGGTCAAAGGCGAATCCCCTCCGTCCGGTGAGCACCCCAGCAACATTCAATCGGCCAATCTTCATCCGAAAGCGATGGATGAGGGCAGTACGTACCTGCTTTTTCTCATGATTGGCCCTCTCCATCTCCTTGATACGATGGTAGTTGATCCTTCCGTGATCCTTGGGCGTCTCTCCGCGGCGGATGAGCTCGTCCCGCAGGCCGTGGGTAGGATGCAGGAGCGATGACATCTGGTGGCCCGACATTTGCCGGCGCTTGATCTGCTTGGCGTCCATTGTTTGTGGGATCGAGTGCCTTGGGTCCGTGCCTGAGCAGAGTTCCGTTCGGTGCGTCTTCGGTGGTGGAGGAGGATCAGAGGAGCTGCCGTTGCTCGTGGTCTGGGGCACCAATATGCACTGGTCGAGGCGGAGGCAAGCGATGACGACGAACAACCCAGAGAGTCGACCAGAGGCGGGGCCAGAAACGCATGACCAGAAACCGGGAGGGCCGCCTGGTCGCGTGACTGTTCCCGCCAACCTGCGATTTGGCGGGGAGAGCGGCCTGTGCCGAGGAGCCGCCAGGACAGAGGGCCAAGGACGACGATGCCGCCGCGATGCCTGGGATGCTGAGGATGATCTACCGACTCGTTTTCGATACGATGCTTTCCGGCAGCGCCGATTGCAATCCCATGGGTCCTGCGAAGACCAAGAGCGCCGCAGGCTCGCTGGCGCTCCTCTGGCTTTGGCTTCTGCTGACCCTTTCCCTGACCAAATCAGCATCAGGCAAGTACTCGCAAGTGCCGATGATGCTGCTGCAATCGATGCTACCGACGAAGGCATAATTCGGCAAGAGTCGCGGTCGCTCATTTCGCTCGCCTTTACCTGTGCCGATGCCCAGGCCAGGCTGTCCTGAACGCCAATCTGAGCAACAGTTTTCCTGCATCGGACAGCCTGCTGCTCATCGCCAGTCAGCCGGTGCCGAACCTGGCAACGATACCGCTCGGCAGCACCTACTATGGTCCGTTGGCTCCACTGGCGATCAACTGGTCGGCCGTTTCTGCAGCCCAGACGACCCTGAACTATCAGAGCAGTAAGTCTGGTCATGGCCCATGAGCACCGAGAGGAGACGCGTGCGATGGGGTCTTCCACAATGCTGAGATGCCAGCGCACCGACTTCCTGGGTCTAACTTGGTTTACGAACTTGGCGGCACGCCATCCGCTCTTGGGGTTTGACAACTGCAGATCTTGCAACATGCACCTGCGACCTGACCGCAGGGGTATGCGACGTCAATTGTTGCTGCGACCCTGACTGCTCCATGGGTGAACAGAACGCAACCTTCTCGGGCTGCCGTAACTCCAATGCCTCTCAGTCTCAAGGCTCCATTGAGTTTTGCTCGTCTTCCTTCTTCAGAATCAACAATGGATATGGAGCCGTTGCCGGAGGAGCGGCAGACTCAGCTGGGGCCCTCTGCGTGGTATTCAGTAACAGTAAGAGCGGCTGTTCGGTTTGAGCCTCGGGTCATTTGATGATCGATTCATGTGATAGCGGCATCAGCTCGGGTCATAGAGGCAAAAGATTGTGACAAGAGCAAACTGCAATGGCCTAATCGAACCTCGGGGACGGGGCTTCATCGCGACGGCTCCACCGCACAGGCCCAATCCAGGGATTCTACTACAACAACCCTGGCACCATCGTGAGCGACGCTGACTTCAATGCCCAGACGGCCTCTCTGGAGTTCCCAATCGCCCTGGAGAGCTACGACATTGACAACTCGTACCTGAACTCGACCCCATACAAGGTAGAGCATAGGATTCGGTCGTCGCATACCTGCATGGCGTGGTCGACGGTTGTGATTGATGTGAGCGCCTACTGGATGATGCCGCATTCATCGCCTTTGTTTGCATCAACATCCAAAATACAGTACGGGGATACTATCCAGGTTTCATTTGCGGCAACGGGGTCGCCAACTGGAGTACTTACTCTGCCCGCGGCAGACTCGTCTGGCGGATGCAACGAATGGAATCGAGTTGGTGAGTGGTTGGCGGACGGGAGCAGCAGAGCGATGGTGGCTGTTGATCGGCATCGCCAAGCTCAAACGATTAGTCTGCTTTTTTTTCGTAAATCGGGTGCACTTTTCTTTGGCTTGTGCTATTCAACTTTAACCCCTCGGACCAACACCGAATATCAACGGACACACGGTGCAAATCAGGCTTCCTGGAACCGTACTCAAGCAAATGTACCCGTTCTGTCAACACACCCTCGGTGGCATGTGCGGCTATGACATTTTTGGATGCAAATTATTACTTGACAGGGTATTCGGTGGTTCCGGTAAGTGTTTTGAAGAGCCAGCGGGAGCCCCGGCGCTGCTCGTAATGGCATATCGTATCAGTTGGGGCTATGTTGGAGGGGGCAAATTCAATGCGTCGATGACCACAACGACGTACTCAACGGGGCGGGTCGAGATGCTTTGCGAAGGAAGAATGGCGGATGCAATCAGATCGGAACGACAGTCTGGTCGCTTGCGCTGTGAGAGGCGACCCACGATGATGGATATGGCATGCTAACAGCATAACCGACAGCAACCCTCGAACTCTAGCCTGGCCGCCCTGACGGTTGGAATCAACAGCATCAGCTGCGTCGATCTTGCGAGCGGGATTCAAAGCAATTGCTCGAGCGCGACGCTGGCACCTCCCAGCTGGAATGCCGCGGCGTCGGTTTGTGTCGGGGCAGTCGTGAAGGTACGAGGATGGTGCCCGCTGGTAGCCATGCGATTTCGCTTGACTTGGTGGCTCGCTTCTGGGCCGTCGTGAGGGAGATGCGTCAGGAGTGCTGTCTATGCATAAGACGCCGAGCCTCAATCAAAGTACTCACTCATCACACGCCTCGTAGACCAACATCAACATCCAGTATGGGTACTACACCCTCAACGTGAGCTCTGTCATCAACAACGTGACCACCTTTAGCAATCAGTCGTTTTCGTTCGTCCAGCGCGTCAGCGCCGATATCGTCATCGCCAACATTACCTTGGCGATTGGAGGGCGGATCGAGCAGAGCTTCTCGACCACATTCAGCTCGGTATGTGGAGCGACATTATACGGATAATCTGTGACATCGCTGGTGGCATCGCTGGTTACCTCACTTCAGCGAAGCTGTCCATTGCTTTGCTTGGAAGCGTCGGGATTCTTGCAAGAGTCCAGGGGAAGGCTGCATGGGGCGACTACATTGCAAATGTTGGGGAACGGGAGCGTGGGTTTGGGAGATGAATTGGCCACAACAGCACCAGCTCTGGTTCTATATGCCGATCAACTCAACTGCTGTTTTGTCGGTGGCCAGGTCAACAACACAGCAAGCGCCATTGGCCGCTCAGGAAGCCCCGGATACCGCTGGGGATCGGAGATCTTGGTTGGGTCCTTGACAACCAATAGCTCATATCCTTTCATGATTGCAGTCAGCGCGCCTTGGCCTCGGTTCAGCCGTTCGTCTGTCATGGTTGTTTGCGTGATGCTCGAGCGTGGGAGGTGGCCATGGGTCTCGCAGCTCTTTCTGGCTGGCTGGCTGGCTGGCTGGCTGTCTGGCTGGCTGGCTCTCGGTGTATCTGCCCACAAGCCATCTGCGGACGACACCCTCGCACACATCGATGCGTACACATGGTCGATTGGTTTGATTTTCTGCATCTGGTATTTGTTGTTCGTCCTTGACTCTCTCCAATGCGCCTCTGTCACGCAGCAGGCCATCGTATACAACCCCAACCCCATTTACGGAATCACCTTGGCTTCCGAGCAATACTATAGCAGCACGCAGGACCTCCAGTGCCCGGACTCACAGAACTACCTGTCTCGGACCCAAGTCACCTTTGGCGACAACGTCGTTGCGGGCTGCACGCTTTACTACAGCTTTGCGGATCTCAACACCACGAGCTCGTGTGCCACGATTCGGTCGCGACTCTTCCAGCTCCAGACGCTGACCGTTGCGGCGATCACCCATGTAGGCAAGTTTGGTAATGCGAGCTATCTGAACGTGAACGACTGGGTGCCGATCCTCAACAATCCGCCAAGCGCCTTGACAGGCAATTCTGTGAGTAGCATGGAATCCGTAGCCGCTCTCGCCCTTGACACATAGCATGTTGGCACTGTGCCGATCACACGACCGGCCCAGCTACCTATGTTCACGCCTATGCAATCATCACCCTGGGTGGGATGGCTTGGTCAACCGCAGCCTGTTGTCGACACACTCCCAGGAACATGCTCGAGCCTTCTGACAGAGCTGGACGTGCAAGTCGTCTACAGCGACGCCGGGTCCAAATACGAGCCCCAGAACACGATCGTTGGGGTGCGGGTACAGTATGTCTCGGGGCGGTTCCAGTATCGCTGTCTCAAGGTCCAGGATTGTCTGAACTTGGGTCAGGTGCAGCCGTTCCGGATCCGCAATACCGTGACATTCGTGCCGCTCTCGAATGCCGAGCCCCTCATGTTCGTGCCTCCTCCACCAAACCTGTTCCCGCCGATCCCGGACGATCTGTTTTATCCATTTCAGCTCGGAGCTGGGCAAAGATCGGGAATGACAGCTGCAGGGCCGTGGTGGATAGGGTCGGTGGCCTTGTTGGTGCTCTATTTTGTGTAGACTGAATACATATGTGCGGATGCGGGGCAAGGCGGCGCCGACAGACCCTGATTGCCAACACGCATGCACCAAATGCTTCTCGGATGCGAGGAAATAGCGATGTGTATGTAGTTTAAGGATCGCATCAAATCGTTACATCATAGAATCAGGCGCCAGTGCGCGACAGGCGGGACGAGAGGAAGAAAGCGAGGGCGACCAGGCCGAGAACGAACGGCCTTGGGCGAAGCTAGTACAGCAGAGAAGGAACAGTCGTATACCGACAGTAAGAGGGTTCAAGAATGAAACATCTGCAGCATCGGCGTGCTGGCAGGCGCTGGATCAAACCCAAGCGCCAACCATGAGAAACGCCGAGCCGAATTCCAGCGTGGATTCGAAGCGCTGGTTGCTTAGGCGGTCATAGAGGGTCGCACCCGAACTCTTTGAGTGCGATCGGCGGGACAATTCGATCCCATGGGGATCATAGGCCCCACACAGGATCGCCGCTGTACCGGTACGAGCCAGCCACAAACATAGGAGTACTGGTCCAAAAAATAGAATGGTCCGGGTGATATCAAGGCGCGCCAATGCTGAGGACACATGCCCTGGAGTGGCTGTCTCGTTATCGGCTCGCTTGCGAGGAGGGCGGTTTTCGAGGGGCTCCGCTAGTATCCTGGGGCGAGCGACGGGTGCTCATTGCCGGAGAGGCCGAATATACACTCGAGGGAGCACGGTTTCGGCGGACGTCGCTGTAGGACCGTGGGTTCGAGGAGCTTGGGAGAGATGGAGTAGGCGCCTGGGGACTCGGGGTGTTGCTCTGGACTTGGACGGGACGCAGGGTGGTTGGGGAAAGCAGTATCGGATCGGAAGGTTCAGAGAGGTCGCCCCGGAGGGCCCCTGTACGCTGTGAGCTTGGCTGCCCATATCGGACCGTGGTGCTGGACTTTACTGAGGCTGAGGACGAGGCAGGGGCCGGCCCCGAAGTCGGGGTCCGATAAGGGACGGCCGGGGCCATGTCGGCGACGGGGTATTCGAGGCGAGTGGACTCGCGGTTGGCAGAGCTGCTGGATCGATAGCGCTTGAGGGGAATCACATCATCGCTGCCCTTGCGGAAGTAGATGAATCCGGCGATGCCTAGGGCCACCGCGACGCAGGAAGCGAAGATGATGGCGATCATCGTTCCAGAGAGGCCGCCACCCGAGGGCACACTGGCGGGGCTACCGATGCTGCTCTGGGGATCGGGAGTCGGCGACGGAGGCTTGTACGTGTACTGGAAGTCGTCGGTGTTGACGCATGTCTTGTCCTGGCAGAACTGCAGGTAAATTGGGCCAGCGGTGAGCTGGGTATCCGGTAGGCTGTTGTATTGAAACGACCGAACGCCGGGCGAGAGGGTGTTGCCGGTGACATAGCTTGAGCCGCCGCCGCGGGCCTTTGAAGAGGAGAGGATGCATGTGAGTCGGAGCAGCGGAGGAGTGGCAGACGCAGATGGGTGATGGAGGGAGCGGAGGGCCCTCGGAAAGACAACTTACATATGCCCTGATGTCGAACCAGTTGGTGTTGTTGAAAGGGCCATCGGAAGTGACGTTGATGGTGACGGTGTTGTTGGTGGTGCTCCAGACGCTGCTGGCATTGGGAGACTGGAATGCGAGAGGTATGAGAGTCGCTGTTAGATAAAGGACAGGCAGACACGCAGACCCGACTGGATGACTGGATATCTGGGCTGGCGAGTGCACACGATGCGGGTCCACACGATGCGGGTGCAATCCATCGATGCATCAATCGATGTGCTGGCCGAGCCGAGCCGAGCCGAGCCGGTTGACACACGGTTGGCGACTCACAATGAACGAGACGCCGAGGGCATGGACGCCGGAACCGAGGAGCAGCGGCAGAAGTGCCTGGGAGAGCGAGCGGTGCAGCATCGTCCTGGACAGGGGAGAGGGACCGAGGATGGATCGAGGGGAAGATCGAGGGAGAGATCGAAGGAGGGATCGAGGGAGGGATCGAGGCGAAATGCAGGGACGAGGAAGACCGAGGCGAAGCAGCGGATGGAGCAATGGACAGAGCAATGGACAGAGCAATGGACGGGGCAATGGACGAACAAAACGCGACACGGACAAGGCCGACGTTTCGGAAGTGTTGCGGCACAAGGGCGCTGTTTTTGTCTGTTCTGTTGCGCGGTGGGGATCTGTACCACATTGGGTGGCGTGACGTGGCACAGACGCGCGGCCACTGTGTGGCGGTGGCGGCGCGGCAACATGCCTGTGCGACCTGGATCCAGCCGTGGATCCGCACTCGATCCGCTCCCACGTGTCCCGCTCGACCCGCACTCGACCCGCACTCGACCCGCACTCGGCCCGCACTCGAGCCGGCTCCCTTGGCCCTGGCGCTTTCTGGCCTGGGCTGTTCCCCCCTTTTGCCCCACATCGCCATCGCCCTTCGCCGTTGCATCGTCACCGCCTTCGTCACCGGATCGCTATCGCCTTCTCTCGCCCATCCACAGCCGCAGCCATGTCCAGCAAGAAAACAGACATCGACGTCGAAGACGACGACCAGGCTTTCCAGGAAGACGCCGGGCTGGAGCAAGGATACGCCGAAGTCGAGCAGCTGGTCAATGCCCGCGCCCATCACGTCCAGGGCCTTTTGTCGAGGTGAGCGCCGGCCCGGCTTTGCACAGCCAGCCCTGTTCTGTCTGGCTGGATCATCATGGCTTGCATATCTCTGCAGCCCGGATTACTAGTTCTTGGAATGGTCTTGTCGCCTGGCCCCGAGCGGAGCTCTCTGGCAATCAGGCGCCGCTAGCTCGGCTGCACCCTCCGGAAGCCCTCCCAGTCGTGGCCGCAGCCAAGATTGTTCATCTCCGCAGAGCCTGCATCCTATAATACCATCAACGCGCTGTCGATATCGACCCATTGCCACCTGTCGAGTGTGACTTCAAATGTGCATCTCTGCCTCTCGCCAACGCCAACACCAACGCCTTCGCGCTTTGTGATGTCTACAGATCCGATTTCCTCGGCGCCATCCGAGCTTCGCTTGATAGCCCTCCTACTGGCCGCGCTCCGGCAGAGCTCAAGGTGCGTTGTGCAAGGCTCGACACTCATGAAGGCGCCTGCAGCGGCCGATCATGCATGAAACGGTCTCTATTGGTCGTTGGCCCCCAAGCCGCAGCGCCGCTCTCTGCCCTTCTCCCTGATCTCACCAACCGCGCTCTCGCTCTCGGCATTCCAGGATTTGAACACAAAAACAGTCATGGCGGCTCTCTCAACTCTCCGGCCCAACGACATTCCCGAAGTCATCAAGTCCCTGAGCCCTGCCGAAGTTGACTCCCTGGTGAAGTACATCTACAAGGGCATGGCCTCGCCCGAGCAGTACAACTCTGGTCTGCTCCTGGCTTGGCACGAGCAGGTGAGTGGTCGCTGGCGACTTTGCTGCCGCTTTCCTCGATCGTTCGACGAGTCTGAGGCCTGACGTTGCGCTAGAGATGACATGCGATGTGTGGATTCCTCTGCGTCTCATGTGCTTGCTGTGCACCACCAAACTCACCTTGGCTCTGCATCGACAGGCGGTCAAGACCGCGGGACTGGGATCGATCGTGCGCGTGCTGACGGATCGCCGCACTGTATAGAGGCGCACTTTCTGTTCCCGACTTGGATGGCGGGATGCGCATGTACATTTCAGTGCTATGCTTGGCAGGTCCCGCCCAACACGAACTCGCATATCCACGCTGCTGGCAATGAACATGGGCAATGTCGCCGATACCCAGCACGCGCAAGCGCTGTCCCCTACACATTGGCGAGCATCCGCCCGAATCCCAATGCGGAGACGGTTCGCATGAGATCGGCCATGCTGATTGAGCATCTCGAGTCCAGCACGTACTATCGCCGCATATCCCGGCGACTCATGTGCCGCAATTGAGTGACAGACTCTCGGTTTGCGAGCATTGTTGGAGCATTCGAGCATTGTCCACTTGTCTTTAGTCTTGGATTCCATGCTGTGATGCCCCCTCTTGGTTGCTGATTTTGATACCCGTGATTGGCCGACATATGTCTTGAACTGTGCGCCTATCCATAGCGGAACCATTGTCTCGGAGTCGCCTCAGGTCGGCGTGCATGTGCGTGAAAGATAATGAGGCCGTTCTCGTGCTCGAAAAAACAATCGGATAGAGCCCGGCCGGGATTCGGCATCGGCACAGAGCGTCTTCGGGCTCTTGAACTCCAGAGCCTCTGTCCATTCATTCCGGCGGATCCAATCGCTTTGTTCAAGGCAGACCAGGCGCTCCTTCACGACGAGATATCTTTCGTAAATGCCCTCCTTTCCTCGATGGTAGCTCGTCGCGAACACAGAAGCAAGCACCGCACCGTATCTGTCCTGCCATCTGATTTCTCTCCCACTATCGCAAACCGTTGCGTCTCGCAAGTCACCGCCAGTATTCATGGGTGTCCCATCCCCACCCACGCAATGGGCTCTATCGCTCGGCATCAGCTTCATGATCCTTGGTCTTTGCCTCACCGCCGCCAGCCAGATGCTTGCTTTCAAGCTGCATCGACGATTCATTTTCAAAATCGTGTGGTTTGACGTTGGCATGCTCATCATTGCCGGGATCTTGGTGATAATCACGATATCGGGGCTTCTAAACTCAAACGACATGAGCCAGTACGAATATGTGATTGCGGTTTATGCTGGCCTGGAGAACATATCCATATTTCTGGGAATCATTGGTAAGTTTCGCGCGGATGGGGGCGACCGGGGCGGGCACAGCTGGAAAGTCTCAGGTGCTACTCGATATTGTGCTTGATGAAGTCGATAAATATGCTGAGGACGCCTTCAGAGGAGCCATGTGCATAACTCCATATCGATTCCTTCATCGGATGTTTGGATTGCACATGCCTTGATGTCGTTCCTGGCAAATTGCGGCCCTCACCAACCCGATCACTTGGAGCTGACTTGACCCCATATGCACCAAAACCTTGCTTCGATCGAACGACAGAATCGACGGACCGGTAGGTGTGATGCTGCATGTCGATCTTGTCGGGAACTACGAACTGCAGCGCCGGCAAGGAAACGCGGACATCGATTGAGGGATGGACAATGCCCCGGGGACTGACTTGGCGTTATTTTGGTCAGGTTTTGCGCCTTCGTTCAGAGCAGCAGGAATCGCATGATCATCAAGACGGTTGTGTGGGCGATCTTTGCCCTCTCGATGCTCTTCATCATTGGGTCTGGATTCATAGGCATCCTGATCATCTATCCAGGATTCTTTGCCTTTGCAGCAACGTCATACTATGCCAACGTCTTGAATCCATTTCTGACGTTCTACTGTGAGTTCGCGATGGATCGTGCGCCACAGTCGGCCTCGCTGCCCTTCCGGTTCCGGACTTGATTCTCGCAGAAACTAAGCCGGACCCATCGCCACGCAGATAATGCCTATCTTGTGACAACGTCGTTCATGGACTTTCATTTTCTGTACAAGCTCGTCCAGGCCATGGGCCTCCAGCTCGACAAGATGCCCGACAGCAAGGAAAAGTACATTGTCCACAACCACGTCCTCTGGGTCTTGATGTGCCTGGTCGCCAGCATCGTCGCCTTTTGCGTCAACATTGCCGCAGCCGCCACAAACACCTATACGTTCAGCAACCACCTCAACTGCCTTGCGCATTCCTATCGTCTTTGCGTCTTTGTTGACTTTGGTATTCAGATCCACGAGCTCTTGGGCAGCGAGTATGTCAAAAGTGCCAGTGCCAACCTGGATGTTGACAAAATCGCCTCGACCATCCCTAACCCAACCACAACGAACGTCACCAAGACTCGGGCGGCAACGGAGTATCCGAGCGTGATATGAGAGTCGGGCGCTCTGGTGGACGCCTTGCCAAGGCTCAACATTTGGCGGGCAGGGTGGATATCTGCGGAATGAATATAGGGGCTCTATGACGACCACAACGGAGGATGTTCTCGTCAATCGAGGGTCATCGAGAGTGGCGATGCTGAACCGAATCGCAGCCCCGAACCAGCCCATCACATGGTTGTGGCACGCGCTGTGGCTTGGGAATGGCTTCGCTGGCTTTGCCTCTTGCCCCATATCTTCTCGCCATTCGCCTCACCGCCCCCCTCTTCCCCATCACCAGTCGCCTGTTCTCCCATCTCCTGCAGTATGGCCAACAACCCCGTCGATCAGTCCGCCTCGGGTGCTGCTCTTGAGCAGCACGGTGTCGGCTTGCGTCCTGCACCAGACATCTTCACCATTGTGTGTTCCAACGACAGCTTCCAACTGGCCCTCGACCACACCACAACCAAGACCATGCTCCGAGTGTGCAAGCAGGTCCAGCCACTCCTGAGCTCCAAAGTAGCTGGCTTCCACGACTGGTGCCAGAAGGCAGGACTGTGCCGTCCGGACGGCCAGTTGATGATCCGCCTCACCATCAGCGACCAGATTGCCCTCTCGCTGCACAGCAAGGGCCAAGACACAGCCGGTATATCATGGGTTGTAGCTCTGGCCGACCAAGGCCATGCCGCTGCCTCGTATCTCCTGGCCTGGGTTCTCCTTCTCGCGTCCATCGTCAAGCTGCCTTTGCCCGAGGTCGACTTCATTTCCAGACAGAAAGAATGCGCCCGCCATTTGGAAACGGCCGCCAACGCCGGCCATTCCATGGCACAACTCCAGTTGGCCGACTGCTATTATAATGGCATCGGGGTCGACCGAGACCGTGCCAAAGCCTTTGAAAGCTACCGCAAGCTCGCAAACGACGGGATCCACCGGGCCCAAGTTGCCGTTGGTCGATACTATGCAGATGGCGAAGGTATCGATCAAGACTTCAACACAGCCATCGAGTGGTATTCCAAGGCTGCCGCCCAAGGAAGCGAAGATGGCCGGCTTCATGTCGTGTTCCTCCAAGGATGGTTCTCGCTCATCGGCCATGATGGTGTCGAACAGAACGATGTCGATGCCTTCAACCGCTGGCTGGAGGTCAGCAGCAAGTCCACTGACTCAGCTATCAGGTCCATTGCCACGCACATGGTCGGATGGATGCACTACCTTGGCAGGGGTACCGTGCGAGACGAACAGAAGGGCGTCAAAATGATCCGAGACAGCAAGTCGATTGAGTTCCTTCTCGGAGAAGGGGACGGCCTGACCGGCGGAGGTGACGGAGCGTTTATGTCGTTGGCCACCTCGGACTCGGCCATATCACGCAAGTTCTTTGGGCTGTGCCGACTGGGGTCCGACCACGACTGGTTGTGCCAGCATCTGATGGCGCTGTGCCTGGTGCATGGATTTGGAACGACGAAGGACCAGGAAAAGGCCGTGGCCATCTTTGAGCAGCTCGCCAACGACGGCCGCAGCAGCAGCCAGTACTGGGTCGGCAAATGCTGGTGGGAGGGCTGGGGAGTGTCGGGAAGCTACTCGACGGCGTTTGAGTGGTTCAGCAAGTCGGCCGAGCAGGGCAGCTCGTACGGACAGTTCATGGCTGGTGTGTGCTACAAGATAGGACTCGGTGTCGATAAGGACAATGCTCGTGCTTTTGAGTGGCTCCGCGAGTCGGCCGAGCAGGGCAATCGATACGGACAATACTACCTCGGCAGCTGCTACAACAACGGCATCGGCATCGACAAGGACACTGACACGGCCGTGTTCTGGTATCGCAAGTCCGCAGACCAAAGCCACTACCTCGCTGTCAACGAGCTCAAGTCATTCGGCTTGTGGTCCTGGGCCTCGAGCAGGCAATCAGAAGCGCCTTGAAGCTGCGACAAACCCCGCGGAACAGCAAATGTATCGATGAAGCGACAAGGGTCGAGGAGTGCTGCGTGTTATCCAATCTGTCCATGGCACCCATCACATTCCAATGGATCCGAATACATCTGAATACATCTGAATACATCTGAATACATCTGAATACATCTGAGTACATCTGAATATATCCAGCATATCCCAGTGTGAATGACTGCGCTGTCCCACAACAATCCAGGACAACTTTTTACCCTGTTGGCGTGAGGGTGCATTGCTGCTGATCAAGTCTTTCAATCTTCCGAGTCCGGTCTGTATCGATAGCTCAATCGCGCCGGCTTCTCCGGTTGGCCCCCTTCCCACCCGGCATGCGCCAACGACTTTGCCATCCTGGATTGATCCATTGATTGCTTCAAGGCATCCGCCTAGCTTTGCCTCGTGCAACCCGTCCACCGCCGTCTCAGTCGTCGCCGTGGCTGCCTCTCATTCGCCCATTCACCCAACAACTCCAGGGCCGTTGTGCGATGGACCAACGCCCTGTGATCGGCTCGGTTGGTTTTTGTTTGTGGCGGCGCTGGGGCTGAGCGGCCCACTTACTGGATGCTTGCTTTGGCTGCTTGCTTTGGATGCATCGTCCGTTGGGTGGCCGGGCTATCTGTCCCCCCCCCCGCTTTGCCATTTTTCCGAGCTGCTCCTATGGTTTCGTTTCGACTTGGGCGGCGGCTCGGTTCCGGCATGCCCACACAACGACACCTCCAACAGCGCTCCATCGCAACATCCACGCGATTCCCCCGAGGTGATGTTTGCGCATGGCCTCCTTGCGGCAGAGCTTTTCCGTCAACCCATCCATCAATCCGTCAACCCATCCATCAATCTACCGATTCGCACCAGACAGCACCGCCCCCAGCAGAATCAGTCTGTGTCCGCCCGGCACCGGCTCCCGCCATCGCTTTCGCTGCACCCGTTCTTGTTGTCATGAACATGGCGCCACAAGCCGGCCCTGGAACGGCTATATATGTCCCTCGGCTGTTCCCACCCATTCGCTCTCACCTCCAGCCCAGCTCCGCGACAGCAGCCCGACGGCCATCTTGGCAGCGAGTTCGTCTTCTTACTCTTTCACCTCATCCATCGTGCTCGTTTTGTCGGACCTTTCCCTGTCCGCTTGATCCCGGCCCATCTCGAGTCCACTGCCTCTACTTCCTCTACTGCCTCTACTGCCTCTACTGCAATGGAAGCCGCGACTCCAGCCCACCCCGACAAGCTCGTTCACTCCGAGTCGGCCGACACCACTGTCGAGCTCGACAACCAGAACGACTATATCGACCGGGACGAGGATATTTCCAGCTACTCCTTGGAGGAGCGCCATCTCTTTCTGAAGCTGACCCGATATCTTGTCCCGTGGATGTTCGTCATGTACTTTTTCTGCTACATTGATCGCGCAAATCTGTGTAAGTGCTGCTGGTTCTCGCGGCAGGACGATTGGTGGATGGGAGGATTAGCTTTGCTTGATCGCTGTCGTTGCCAGAAGCGGATCGCGCAGCTTTCGGCAGCGATCAAATCCGCTGCTTGCTGGCGGATCGTGCTCTGATCATGGTCTCCCCATCTCCTCCTCGGCATAGCGAGCGCGCTGGTAATGAACAAGGAGACCGGTCACTCCCTCAAACAGATGGTCCTCTCCGACCAGGATGTCTCGATCGGTCTCGGACTCTTTTACCTGGGTATGTTATCCCGCATCTGTGAGCATGGGGGCATATGGTCTGAGGAAACAGGCCGGGTGCTGTCATGATGACGGCGGCCGAGGTTTCGATTGGCATACCGGCTGTCCGAAGCCGCTGGCGGGTGCTGGGGTGATCTTTCTCTGTGGCTCACTCTCCCACCGCACATCCAACCAACCGCACATCCAACCGCACACAGGCTACGTCATCTTTGAGATCCCCTCGAACTGGGTCCTCACCAAGGTCCGCCCCAGTCTCTGGTTCGCGCGGATCATGGTCAGCTGGGGCATTGTCCTTGGCTGCTTTGCCCTGATCTCCAAGAGTTGGCACTTTTTCCTCCTGCGGTTTCTGCTTGGGGCCACTGAAGCTGGGTAGGTGTACCTGCAGCGACGCAATGCGATGGCCGCCAATGCCTCTGCTGCATCGTGGCGACTGCATCCGAGTCTAACTGCTGGCCCTCGCAGTCTCTTCCCTGGCATGTCATACTACATGACCCTCTGGTTCAAGCGGCGCGAGACGTCCACCGCCTATTCGGGCTGGTACATTGGCCTCCCGCTCGCCGGAATGGTCTCGGGCATCCTGGGCGCCGTGATCGGCAATATGGATGGGATCGGCAATCTGCGCGGATGGCAGTGGAACTTTCTTCTGCCGGCTATCCCGACCATTCTCATCGGCATTGCTGCGTACTTTATCTTGGTGAGTTTTCGCAGTCGCTAGCTTGTTGCGATATATCGAGCGAGCAGCCTAGACTTGATAGGTGGCCTGTTCGTTATCAAGCACATCGACTACTGTCTTTGGTTTGGCATTCACTGGCGGGTGGGTGCTGTTTGACGGCAGCCTCGGAGAAGGTCGCATGGACCGCTCGGAACGATGCAGACCCACACTCGGATCTTGTTTGGCTGACGCTTCGCTCTCGTTTACCAGCCCGACGAGCCCAGTCCAACATCAAGCAGCCTGCGCTACCGATTTTTGTCGACGGAGGAGCACAAGATGGCCGAGTCCCGGATGGCTACCCGCAAGGCCCAGCTGCTGTCGGCGACCCACAATGCGCACAGTCTCAGGACGCTGTGGAGATCGATCTCGGATTGGAAGGTGAGCCCTCAGCTCGATTCCTGACAGATCTGTTGCCAGTCTCGCCGGGCCAGCATGGCAAGGAACATGATTGTCTGATATGTCGATGGTGGTTCACTCGGCAGGTGATTTTCTTTGCGATTGTCTATCTCCCTGGGCTCGTCGCATCGACAAGCCTGGCGTACTACCTGCCTCTGTTTGTCAGCGGCCTCGGCTTCAGCTCTGTGTTAAGCCAGATCATGGCAGCGGCCGGCTGGATCTACGCTGCCATCCACATGGTCATCGCCGGTCGCATATCCGACAAGTTTGGTAGCCGCAGTCTACCCCTGGTCGTGAACATGATCCTGGCCAGCATTGGCTTTCTCGGAATGGGGCTTGGCGGCAATCTGTGGGTTCTGCGCTATGTGGCAGCATTCCTGGCCCTTGGCGGCACCAAGAGCGTCACGGCGATCTGCATGCCGGTAAGCACCGACATCTTGATGTGCACGTCAAAAGGCCGATGGCCGCTGTCTTGAGAGACGTTGCAAACCTGCTCTCAGCAGGTTCCGACCGAGTGGCCTCGACTGACTCTCTCCATGTTCCTCCCATGTTCTCTCGCGACTCAGTGGACAAGCAACAATTTTGTCGCCCAGTTCGCTCCCGGTGCGATCGCAGCAGTCACCACGCTGGGCAACATCGGCAACATCGTGACGAGCTTTACGATCTTTTCGGCCTGGGCAGCCGATGCACAGAGGAACTATGAGTATTCGTGTGTGGTCGTCGCAGGGCTGATGTGGCTCTCTATCCTATCGACGGTATTCTTGCGTGTGTTCTTTATCCGCGAGAACGGCAAGCCCAAGGGAGCCAAGACAGCCGAAGCGGTCGAGCGATACATTATATGATTTGAATCAGAGCAGCGCAAGGGAGGGATCAGAGCCCAGAATGAGTCAGCGAGAGTTGCTTGGCAATAGTGCCGCCCATGGATGTAATGGATATGGATTGGAAGCATAATACAGCTTGTTGTGCACAAGCCCGTGTGCCCAAGATGTGGTCCTCCTAAGGTGGTCCTCCTGATCCCGTCTTGCTAATGCCGTCCTCAAGACGCAGTCTCCACGATGGCATCTCCAGAGACACCGCTATCACGGCTCCAACACAAGCGATCTGTTCAGGATCCGGGGAAAGGTCCTCTTGTCGATCCAGTCGCCGGCCAGGACTCGTTCCAAGGAGGATCTGTCTGCTCTTTCAGCGTTGCGGCGGACAACCAGCACTGAGCAGCGGACAGGCCGAGCGGCGTGCCGGAGCATCGAGCTGCGATGGCAGGATCCAAGCTGGGCCCTTGTCTGGCGATAATCGCCGCCGTTGCTGAGCGGGCGGCGCTGGACGGAGGGAAGAGCAGAGGAAAAAGCCAAGGGTGCGGAGACAGCCCAGTTCTGGTGTGCGTTGTTGCCGCGGAAGAGAGTAAGCTTATCCACGACCTCAGCCCGAATCTGCCGCCCAAGAGGCGGTTCGCAAGACACCTCCGAAACCGCCGCTCCATATCTCCGCCGTTGATGCCGCCGTTGATGCCGCCGCTGATGCCGCTGCCGCTTGGATAATACCGCCAAATCGACTCCAATACGACTGTCAGGCTTCTTTAATGAAGCGATGCCACGGCAGTTATAAGTTATGTTATCGTTATTCCGTAGCGACTAAATGCCTCTTATTCAGCCCTCACAGCTCTCGCTGCTCGGATCCCCCGTCTCCGATACCACCGCAGCGCACATCTTGTCTCTTGCCTTGCTCCGACCCACTGACTGGTTGGTCAGCTGGGAGTGCTGGGACATCCCCAATGCTGTCCCTTGCGTGCTTGGTCCTCCTGCGTGCGTGCTCTTCCGGGTGCCCTGGGCACGATCGCGCGGCGCAAACGGACAGCTTGCCGTGCCGCTCAGACGAGCGCAGAGGAATGCACCATTGGAATGGAAACGAAGGCGACCGCAGACGGTGTCTGTCCCATGCCGGCCGCTGGCGACGCTGGTCCGACTGGCCGCGCTGGCAAACCCGCTGGTTGGCCTCGCTGGTTGGCCAGCAATGCTCCGTCACCCCGAGCCGCAAGCCCGATGCCTGCCCAGGCCAAGAGCCCCCGGCCAGCGCCCGCGGCTGGCGGCCCGGGGTCCGATCTCGAGCGGCAGCGGCCGTGGTCGGATCATTCCACAACCGCACGGCACAAAGGGAAATACATTGACAGCTGCAACGGCCGCCGCGCTGACAGTGGTTTGTGCCACCATCATGGCCATCCCGCTGTGATCTGCTGTGCACTGCTGTGATATGCTGTGCACTGCTGTGATCTGCTGTGATCTGCTGTGCGGTGCGGGCGCTGCTGTGCCATGGGCACACTCCGCTGTTCGTTCCGTCCGTGTCGACGCTCTCCCGGTTGTCCCGCCGCTCCGACGTCCACCACCCTCGCTCCTGCCCACCAACGGCCTCCTCCTCGAGCTATAAATCGGTTCCTCCCCGAAGACCACCATGTCATCCCGTCCCTCGCCGAAGCTGCCAGTCTCCAGCAGCATTGCCATTTTCCCGTCCACGCTCTGGCTTCCGGCATCCCCTCGCTTCTTTACACCCCCATCGACGTTCCCACGGCTCTGTCCCCGTCGACCCTTGCTCCACCCTTCCCTCACTAGAGAGAATGCTCTCAAAAAAGACCCTCGAGGCCGTCTCGGCCGTCACCGAGGACCTCAAGCGCCACGACTATGCCGCCTTCATCACCGTCGGCTTTGTCGCCGTCCTGGCCCGGTACTCCGACTCCATCGAGAACTACGACCTGCACTTCAGAATCGACAGCCGCCTCGCGAGCGCGCCCGTTGGCTCCAAGTGCACCGTCAATGTCACTCAGTCCTTCAGTCATATCCACCGCATGATTCTCGGCGTCCTGTTCACCAGCCATCCCTTGGACGAGAATGAAAGCTGCAAGATCACCGTCGCCTGGTCCGAGACCGGCGACTTCCAGTCCAGGTTTGTGTCGCTCACCTTCTCCTCTGGAGACTTTGGATCAGGTATGTGGCCGTATTTATAACAGGCTTGTCGCTGGTGCCTTCCCACTATCTACCATCAATCCCACGCCACTGCTTGCCCCCCGTTACCACCGCCTACCACGACTATCCGTCCCACACATCCTCCGGGCTGTACAACGCCACAAATGCATTCCTGACGCACTCGTCGCCCTTGTCTGTCGCCTCATGTCGAATCTGCATCTCCTTCATCGACTGACCGGCTGCACTATCATCCTCTGTTCCTTCCAGGTTCCTCCGACTTTGTCGAGGAGATGATTGGTCTCGACTGTCAAATGGCTGGCTTTGCCGGCCTCTCCCCCGCCGAGATGGCGCTGGTCAACATCGAGGGCTCCGTCACGGCCTTCCTCGAGTCGCTGGCACAGCACCCCAACTTCCGCAAGATGCCCCTCGACAGCTTCAACGTCATCTGCCCCGAGGACTACCAGCGTCTGCTCGTTCTCAGCAACGCCAACAACCTCTCTCCTCAGCCGCCTCGCAAGAGCGACCAGTACCTGGCCAACATCTTTGTCCGCACCGTCCAGAAGCACCCGCGCATGCTGGCCCTGATCCACGAGACAAAGTCCATCACCTACGAGAAACTCTTCCATCTGTCCAAGCTGATCGCCCAGCATCTCATCGAAAAGTGCGGCGTTCAGGCCAACGACCGCGTCGCCCTGATGTTCCCAAAGTCCATCGAGGGCTTTGCCATCATGCTCGGTGTGATCCTCGCCGGCGCTGCCTATGTCCCCATCGACAACGAAAAGACCCCGCCCGAGCGTGCCGCCTACATCATCATGGACTCGGCCTCCAAGGTCTCTGTCATCGTCGACGACGCCCTCTGCGACAAGGTCTCGGCCGAACTCGACAAGCTCGGCGTCTCCGGCAGCACCATCCTCCTGACCGTGCCGGTTCTGTACTCTGCCGCCCGCGATCTCTTCATCTCCTCTGGCTCACAGAGCATCTCCATCACCATCGACGACCTCCCTGTCGACCGCAAGCCCTCCGATGGTGCCTACATCATCTACACCAGTGGAACGACGGGCAAGCCCAAGGGCGTGCTCATCAGCCAGGGCGCCATCGCCAACCTGGTGGTGGTCGAGCGCGATCTCTTCCAGCTGTCGCCCGGCGATCGTGTCTTCCAGAACTTTTCCCACAGCTTTGACTTTTCGATCGAGGAGATCTGGATGGCGTACTCGACAGGCGCCTCGCTGGTCATCCCGACCAAGGACATGATCTACGCCGGCCCCGATCTGCCCAAGCACATCCAAAAGTACAGCGTCACCGTGTTCTGCTGCGTCCCGAGCCAACTCGGCATCCTCGTCGGCGAGATGCCCTCGGTCAAGATGATTGTGCTGGGCGGCGAGGCTGCCCAAGAAAATATTGTGCAGCGCTACCGAATGAGGGGCCGCAAGATCTTCAACACCTGTAAGTGCTGTTGTTGTGTGGAGTGGTGTGTGGAATGGTGCGGTGAACCTGGGGGCAACCAGAGTCCCGGTGAGACAGACGATGCTCGATCTTCCACACATTCATCACATACTCATCACACACTCATCACACACTCATCACACACTCACCACACTTATCCCACTTGCGCTGCCCCAGACGGCCCCACCGAGACCACCTGCAGCTCCACCTACCTCGACATCTCCGAGCCTGTTGAGAAGATGACCATCGGCCGGCCCTTCATCAACTACACGTCGTACGTCGTCGACTCCAAGAACCGCCTGGTTCCCATCGGCGCCATGGGCGAGCTCGTCATCGGAGGCAAGAGTGTCGCCGAGGGCTACATCAACAGGTGCGTCCGACTACTCGCCCCACGAACTGCTCTCGATTCTGCCCCTCGGCTCGCTGCTGCTTCCGTGGCGCTGACGCTGCATTCTCTCCCCATACAGAGACGACCTCACTGCCGAAAAGTTCATCCACAACCCCTTCGATCCCAGCGGACGCATGTACAAGACCAGCGATCTCGTCAGGTATGCTGTCGGTCTCGATCGTGTGCACCATCATTGCTCCAGCAAATGTGCCTGTCCCACTTGGCCCTGTCGAGGGTGGTACGCCTTGGCCATGACCGACACATCGCTATGAGCTCCGTGTCTCATCGACATGCCATGATGTGTGCTCTGGTCCACAGATACACTCCCGAGGGCAACATCGAGTACTTTGGCCGCATCGACTGCCAGGTCAAGATCCGCGGCTTCCGCGTCGAGGTGAGCATCGCACGCTGTCCTGTCCATCCTGCCCGCACTGCTCGTCGATGATCGTCGATGATCGAGCCATGCCCATGCCGCGGTTGGCATGTCGATCCATCAACTTTGCATCACGGCACCGCACTCTGCGATTTCATCTTACTGACCCACTCTGGGGTTTCTCTCCCCTCGCTCCCCCCAGCTCGGTGAGATCGAGTCCAATCTCTCGGATTGTGACGGAATCCAGAGCGCCATCGCTCACGTCTGGACCGCCCCGAACCCAGACACCGGCAGCACCGAGCAGACCCTCGTTGCCTATCTGGTGCTCGAGACCTGGTGCCACGAGATCGACGACCGCAAGATCCGCGAGAAGCTCCGTGCCACTCTGCCGCCGTACATGATCCCCTCGGTCTTCCAGCGCATGCTCCCAGAGGACGTGCCGCGCCTGACCAGCGGCAAGATTGACCGCAAGAAGCTGCCTCCCATCATTGCTCCCGTGAGCACCGATAGAGGCATTGGTTCCGGCTCTGGCGCTGGCTCTGGCTCTGGCTCTGGCTCTGGCTCTGGCTCCAGCCCGACCGCCGCTTCTGGCTCCGAGAAGCCTCGCCCCAAAAAGTCAGTCGATGGCCCAGAGCCCATGAATGGCTCGATGGAGGATGTCATCACTGCCGTCTGGAAGGACCTGCTGGGCAGCGATCGTATCGCCAAGACCGACAACTTTTTCCACGACCTTGGCGGACGTAAGTGCCCCACTCGGCTCGCTGTGACCGCCTTGCAATCATGTATGAGCGACGAGCAGAGTCTAATCATGGATCTCGTTCTACTCCCCAGACTCGTTCCTTGCGGCCAAGACCATCGGTGCCCTGCGCAAGCATCCTCGACTGGCCGGACTCAGCGTCCGCGACCTCTACGAGAACCCCACCATCGCCCAACTCGCCACTCTGGCCGCCCCCGCCCAGGCCGAGAACCGCACCGAGGAGCGCAAGAGCAGGCGCTTCAGCAGCATCAAGCGCACCGCCAAGGTCCACCGCCCTTCGCTTCCGGCCAAGGCATTCTGCGGCCTGATTCAAGCGTCGTTCTTGTATCTCTCGACCTTCTTCGGTGGCCTTCCTCTCTACCTGGGCATGTTCTATCTCTACAACTTCCAAACTACTATGGAGCTCTGGACTTGGCACTATGTGCTGATCACAGCCATTCTCTTCCTCCTCGTCACCTCGGTGGGTCGCATCTTTGCGATCATGTTTGTGGTTGTCCTCAAATGGCTCCTCCTCGGCCAGATGCGCGAGCGTTCCGTCCCCGTATACTCCTTCTTCTATCTCCGATGGTGGATCGTCAAGACACTTTCTGGTAGCCTTGGTCTGACGGATCTTCAAGGCTCGTTCCTGCTCCCGTTCATCCTTCGTCTGCTGGGATGCAAGATTGGCCGTGACTGCAACATCTTCAGCATTAGCGTTGATGGATTTGATCTGATCGAGATTGGCCACGGATCCACCATCGGCAACAATGCCACGATCATCGCTTACGAGTTTGCCAACGGATACGTGCACTTTAAGAAAATCAAGATTGGTGAGTGTCGCTGATGGAGGTTGTCAGTAGTGTGGTTGTTCTTGCCGTTGTTGGATCTTTCAGCCGCACTCGGCCTGGGCGATGAAAGTGGTCTGCCAATGAGTCTGTGTTGGAGTCATCCCCGCATACGACCCAAACTATCACACTGACATCACTGCTCTCCCGTCTCAGGCGAAAACTGTGTCGTCGGAGCCAGCTCCGTTGTCGAGGCCGGCGGAATCATGAACGACGGCTCCGAGCTCATGGATTCGTCGCTCCTGTCGTGCAATGACGTTCTCGAGGCCAACCACTACTGGGGCGGCTGCCCCGGCCGCGACCGCGGCAAGAAGCAGCCCTCCGCCAAAGCCCGCTCGCTCTCCGACGGCAACTTCATCTATGTCTTCACCTACTCGATCTTGATGATCCTCGCGTGGTTTATGGCCCAGGTTTTCAAGGGCCTCACCTTCTACCCCGGCTTTACTCTGTACCTGTACGCCAGCTCGGTGTTTGGAACCAAGAACCTGATCTGGGCCTTTGCCCCTGCTGCGGCTCTGGTGTAAGTCGACAACGGCGATGCAGGTTTCTACTTTGGTCTGCAGCTGGTGTGAACCAGCGGCTGGCCCAGCATGCCACGTACATTCAAGCATGCGTTTCCATCACCGACATTGTCGCTGACTCTGTTTCCTCTGGACTTCCAGCAACATTCTGTTCTCGCTCTTCCTGGCCATCGTTCTCAAGTGGATCCTCCTCGGAAAGGTCAAGGCCGAGCGTATCCCGGTGGTGTCGTTCACCTACATCAAATACTATCTCTTTGATGCCTTTGTGAGTAGCTTGCATCGCCGTCGAGGATTCGGACTGCATCAGAAGGCTTGCTGTGTCCAGTGTCTTGTCTGCGATGCGATGCGATGCGATGCGATTTGCTCACATTCCTCTTGTCGATGGCCACTTTCTTCAAACGTAGTACCATGATATGCTGACCTCCTTCAAGACCGTCTTCAACACCCAATATGTGGTTCCCTGGCTCCGCATGATGGGCTGCCGCTTGGGCAAGTTTTCCGAAGTGGCATTCTTCAGCCCGTTCCCTGGCGAGCTGCTGACGGTACGTTGTCCTTGACATGCAATCTTCTGCCACTCCGAGCCTGTTTGGCCATGCTCAGGACACTCACTGTGCGCTCTGATGATTGTAGACCGGACAAGGATCCTTCATTGCCGATGCCGCCGTGATTGCTCCGCCCTACGTCTCGAACGGCTGGTACAGCACCGGACCCGTGCACATTGGCGACAAGAGCTTCGTTGGCAATGCGGCTGTTGCTCCCGCATACACACACATTGCCAGCGACTCGCTTCTGGGTATGTTTGTGGAAAGAATGGACAGACGCATGCTGCACACTCCTGCTCGCTTTCGAGGCAAACGACATGATACTGCGTCGTATGGCTGCGTATCCTCCAGTCCTGCCTCGAAGCCTTCCTCGTGGCTCGTCGCTCTCGTACGGTGCAGCTCCGTGACTGACATAACCCCACCTGCATTGATCCGTGGCTCCAGGCGTCGCCTCCCTGCCGCCGAGATGCCCTCGTAACCCTGAGGCTGGCGGATACTGCATCAATCAAGGCGAGACCTGGCTGGGCAACGAGGCTGTCCGCATCCCCTTCCGCAACAAGGACGGCAACGACCGCTTTGGCGATTCGTCGACCTACCAACCCTCATTTGCGATGAGACTGCATCGCTACATCTGGGGTGAGTGACAGTCTCAGTGCTGTATGATGATGATGAGTGTGTGTCGGTCTCGGTGGAGAACGTACTCGAGGCAGTGAGAGTTACTGCTTGCTGACTGGATCCTCCACGTATCCTGCAGAGGCCTTCCGTATCCTCGTTCCCTCTGCGATCTCGGCCGCCTTTGTTCTCTTCCAGCTTGAGTACTTTGCGCAAGGTTTCCTTGACAACTACCTGGACCATGTCCAGAAGATGGTTTTGTTCCCTGCCCTCGTCTGCTTGCTCGGTGTCTTTGAGCTCTTGCTGCTGATCGTGCTCAAGTGGATCTTGATTGGCCGCTACAAGAAGACGGAGCAGCCCATGTACTCGACCTTTGTCCGCCGCACCGAGTTCCTCACGGGCATGCAGGAGCAGAATGTTGCGCCCTTCCTCGGGGCACTCATAGGTGAGTGCAGCAGACCGCACGACTTGCATGCTTGATGTGCAGGCGGGGTTCAGAGGCAGGCGGGCGATGCGGTGGCCATGGCGCATCTTGGTGGCTTGAACTGCATGGATGTCAATGTCGGCCTGTTTCATTTGCTGACCTGTTGGTGATATACTCGGTTCCATCACGCAGGCACACCCTTCATGTCGATCGTCTTCCGCATGCTCGGCGCCCGGGTCGGCAAGAATGTCTTCTGGGCCACCGTTGACTTGACCGAGCACGACCTGCTGACGATTGGCGACAACTGCACCGTCGGCTCCTATGCAGTCTTCCAGACACATCTGTTCGAGGACCGCGTGATGAAGCTCGGCCCGATCGAGATCGGCAAGAACTGCAACATCCGCACCCGCACGATCGTGCTCTACGACGTGGCCATCGGCAACGAAGTCGACGTCAACCCGCTCTCGCTCGTGGTCAAGGGCGAGAGTCTCCCCGACAAGACCACCTGGGAAGGCCTGCCGGTCCGCCACACCGACCGCCGTCTCCTATGCTAGAAGGCTTTGGCCACACCATTATCTACACTATTCCAATCGTTCACCCCCTCCCGTGAAAGATTTATAGACACCCATCGCGTGTAGTGCTCTGTTGTGCCAACTCTCCGTTATCAAGATACTCCTTGGTCGTCACACACACCATCATTATCATCATTATCATCACAATCCTCATTATCATCATTATCATCATTATCATCATTATCATCATTATCATCATTATCATCACAATCCTCATTATCACAATTATCACCACCATCATTATGATCATCTCCGATAACGATCAGCCCAAAGTTCCCATTGTATCCAATCTTGCATTTTCCACCATATTTCGCATCCACATTCATGATTGCATTCGTCTATCTATCTCACTTCTTCATTTTACAATCTCTTCAAACATTTTTAGCCCCTCGTTCGGTCATTTGTTGGCTATTTTGCGAAGGTGGGTGTTGACCATCCCAAGCAACGAGGGCACAGCCCATTTGCATGTTTCTCTCACAATGGCTCTTGGCTTACAGCCCGGGCTACTCGCTAAATCTTGAATATAGCAGTGGAATGATAGCTCGTTGCTTGCATTCTCTGGTAAAATGTGGTCAAGGAGGATCTGGATGGTGCTGAGTCCTTCCACAATCTACTATTGTGAAGCTGGAATCGACGGACGAAAGTTGCATATGCCATTGTTGCTTCACGGAGTCATTCGATGTTTCTCTCGATCAGTCAAGATCAGCGAGTGTTTCGAGACAGCATTGCTGTGATCAGTTGCCGAGATTCTTGAGGAGACGGATGGAACCTACGTGACCCTGGTTGGCGGACTTGCGGTACCAGAAGATGGCGGCGTTGATGGTCCTCGGGGACACCACTGCCACCGTGGTAACAGAAGCTGAGCCACCATTGTCCGATCCGATTGCCCTGCTCGGCAGATTTGCGATGCCACTCCACTGCCTTGGTGTGGTCCTCAGTGGTTCCGTATCCATGCTAGCCTGAACACCAACCAACCATCCACTGCCCATATAAGTTGCCTAGGTCGGCCGACTTGCTGAACCACTCGAATGCCTTCTCGCATTCCTCTGATACTCCAAAGCCACTCAAGTAGCACACTCCGATCCAAAACTGACTGTCACTGTGGCCTTCGTTGGCGAGCTGCTCGAAGATGGCCGCTGCCATCGTACGGTCCACGGTAGTTCCAAATCCAAAGTACACACACACAGCGATGAGATGCTCGCACAACCAGTCACGGTCCGATCCCAGCTGGCACAACTGGAAGAACTTGCGGGCGACAAGCGAGTGTGATGTGGCAGCCCAGTGGGAGGATGCCAGACACTCGGCTTCCCCAAGCGGGAATGCATTTGATCGATTATCGCGAATGATCTTGACACCTTTCTGCATGTCCTGGACAGTGCCGCGGCCAAGGTAGTGCATCCAGCCAACCATGTGGGTGGCGATGGGCTTGATGACTGGATCGTCGGATTGGGTGCTGACTTCCTGCCAGCGGTGGAACCATCGACATCGCTCTATTCGACACCATGGACGATGAACGAGAGCCAGCCACGGAGAAACACGATATGGAGTCGACCACCTTCGTTGCCCTGGTCGGCAGCCTTTGAGTACCACTCGATGGCTGTGTAATAATCTTGTTCGACACCTTCGCCATTCTCATAGCAGCATCAGAGAGCCGCTTGTGCCTGAGGGAGTTCAAGCTCTGTAAGCTCATGGTACAGCTCGAAGGCCGTGGTGTGGTCATGATCGATTCCAATTTTGTTGAGATAACACTAGGCCAGGTGGAACTGAGCCATTGCGTGGTTTGTGTTGGCCGATGTTTCCAGATGGCGGAAGATTCGCTGACGAATGGCTCGCTGCTCGTACCATTTCATTCCTCCTTGGTCGAGATCGACTTGGAGGATCCTTGAGAGGAAGTATGAAGCATAGGTGTTTCCTTGGTCCGCCTGAGCGACGAGCCAGGATCGGTCGGCTGAGCTTGGATTCGCGCAGTGCGGCGATAGGGCAATCTTGTCGCAGGGCGCAAGCCCGAACCAAAGGGACCCATCTGGATTGCACAGCTCTTCCTTCTGGCACCAGGTGTTGAATCGAGGCAGCTTGGAGCTCAGGAGAGGACGGGCTCGCTTGCACACTCGAAGGAGGGTCTTGATGGTGTTGTGATCGAGGGCAAGTTGGAAGCTGTCGTTGCAGCAGATGATGGTGAAGATGTCTGGGTTGTGTTCGAGTGAGAGCTGGTTGATATTGGGCATTGACGAGGTCGATCTGGCCACAGCTTGGGTTTGGTGGGTGGCAGATGCTGTAGTTGAAGCAGGCTCGTTCATGCTGGCCATGTTGACGGAGACTGGATGGAGACAAGTGGTGACGGAGCTGGACAGGAGACAGTGAGGGAATTTGTGTCGAAGCAAACCAAACACTGGCCATCGAACACACACACACAAACCTGGCTCGATCCGATGGTTTGCTGGCTGGACTCGCTGTTGTATAAGTACTGCCACATACACTGCCACAGATATTGAACATGGAATCAGATTCTCCATTCTCGTCGTCCAAGGCCAGACGCACCTCACTATAGGCGATCCAATCTTTGTCCATTCTTGACCCCTCGGTTACACTCATCCCCTCGACATCAAGGCGCCTACGACACTGTCTGGAGGGAGAAGTTCTGGGACAAGATTGAAGAGCGCACCCCGTGCACGGTCACCCTCAGGCTCTTGAAGGCCATGTTCGACGATGTGAAGATTCAAGTCGTCAGCAAGAGTCGTCGGTCCAATCCGGTCTGGCTGCAGAAGGGACTGATCCAAGGATCGGTGCAGATCCCACTCATGTTCAGCGTGTTCATCGACGACCTCCCTGGGAAACTCCGGGCAGACGGTGGAACGACCCTAACCACCACCCGAGGACGACCCGTCCAGGTCAACTCGCTGTGGTTTGCCGACGATGGGGTGCTCATCTGCCGCCCCAACCAGACCCAGCGCCTCCTCGACATCTGCGAGGCCCGCAGCATCGAGAACCGATACCAGTTCTCGCCCCCGAAGTGCGAGATGATGTTCACCGAACAGCACCCGTGGATTGGGATCCTGTCGCCAGATGATGGATACCCTGGCTGCCAATGGACGACAAAGGAATCAATCCTTGATCAAGCAACAGGAGAGACATGAGAACGGGCACTCCCACTCATCTCTGTCGCTCTCCCTCTCGGCCTGCATTGTGTCCTTGCTTCTCTCCTGATCGTTCACTCACTCGTGTCTGTGCGCCGTCCGTGACGACCTGTGGCGATCACTTTCCAAATCGTCTGGGAAGATGACAGTCACTGGAATGGATAGGTGTGCCCGAACCACAGATGCGACAACCATCATCCGAGGATCGAGTCCCATCGTCGATATGACCACAATGGGCTGCAGAAGGCAATACCAGTGCGGTCCGGGAAGTTCGCTGTCCTGTCACGGTCAGTCTCACCATATCAATCGTGTTCACATCACAAGACTTAGACAGGACTTGACCAAAGACCAACATCATGGAAGCGAAGGGAGCGGATCAATCGAGTGATCCGCCGTTTATAGATGAAAAGAAAGAAAATGAAAGAAGAGACTCAAGCAGAAAGGAAGAGGAAAGAAACGACCTGATCAATCTATTGCTGAATCACCGTCCGCTGATCAGTTGCGGCCGGTGCGGGTGAAGATGCTGACTTCGGGATACTCGTCGTCCTTCAGCTCGCTCGACGGCTGGATGGGGTTGGGAAGGAAGTGGGCGTGGTTCAAGTAGCTGAGACACTTCTTGGCGATCAGTACAGTCGAGGGACAGGGTGTTGGGTAGATCGAGCGGGTGTTGGCGTTGTCGAGCTTGAAGGACATGTCCATCATCATGTGCATGAGCGGGGACAGGGCATTTTGGTCAAACAAGGGGTTGGTGGAAAGAATGTACTTGAACTTTTCACGAGTTTCAAAGAGGACGGGCCAGCCAAAGGAGTTGACGATCTCGAACAGCTTGGTCTCGGAGAGGACACTGCGGTGAGTGAGTGAGTGAGTGAGTGAGTGAGTGAGTGAGTGAGTGAGTGAGTGAGTGAGTGAGTGAGTGAGTAATCAGAGTCAGAATACACCATCCACACCACACCACATCGCACTTCACACCACATCACACACTCCTCACCTGTGCTCCGAGTCGCTGATGTGGAACACAAACTTAGACAGGGACTCCTCCGAGCCGGCAATCTCGGCAACCACCTTGGCGACATGGTCGACGGGATCCATGGTCAGGGTGACGGGAGTGGCATACGACGGAGCAACACCAAGTTGGATGCATCCCTTGACATATCGCCAGATGTAGTCATCAGAGTTGGACACTGGAGCAATGGAGGGTGTGAAGGTGTCAGTTGGTGTCAGTTGGTGGATGAGTGCCACTTGACAATCGAGACCATCGATTCATGGCCAGTCCGTGGGAATGAATGAGACATCTCCACCACATCACATCTCCACCACACCACACCACATTCGACTCACCTCCGTACTGGCTGTCGCCGGCAATGACGGCCGGGCGGATGATCGTCACCGGCACTCCCCTCGATCGTGCCTTGTTGATCAGCTGCTCAGAGACCCACTTGGTCTGGCCATACCCGCCAGAGATGTTCCAGGCCGAGTAGATCTTCTCCTCGAGCGGCTTGTCTGCCTTCTTGGCCATCGGGATCGTGCCGATGGTCGAGATGTAGTGCAGCGGCTTCAGGTGGTGGGTTGTGGCCAGTCTCAGGGCCGTCGCCGTGCCGAGGACATTGGGTCCCTTGAGTCTGTCATAGTCAAACAGCCAGTGGACCTCGGCGCCGTTGTGGACAATCATGTCGGTCTCCTCGCTGATCTCCTTCCATCGCTCGTCCGAGAGTCCCCACTTGTCCTGCGACAGGTTGCCGCACAGTCCAACGAGTCGAGACTTGAGGCTGTGCTCAAGAAAGGCTCTCTGGTCCGGATCGAGGACCAACTTCTGAGCCGTGCTGATGATGCGCTCGACAGCCTCCTGATCGTCCTTGGCTCGGACCAGGCAGTAGATCTTGGCCCGAGGGAACTTGTGGGCCAGCTCAAAGACCAGGAAGGCACCAAGGAAGCCAGTGGCACCGGTCAGGACGATGCCGCGAGGGTCCTTGGGATAGACAAACGGAGGAAGACCCTCGGTCGTCACACTCGCATCGTCGAGCTTGGCGGCCTCGGCAGCCAGATGGACGGTCGGGGGAATCATCGGTTTGTCGTCGAGGATGTCGACGACCAACTGGGCGACATCGAGCGGCGTCATTCCGTTCGACAGCAAGATCATCGGTGAGATCTCAACATCCAGCTCGTCCTTGATGGCGAGAGCCAGACGGCCGACACTCAGCGAGTCAAAGCCGACACCGCCGATGTAGTAGTTGCGGCCGTCGAGGGCGGGGTTGTCGATGATCTGGCTGCCAAGTGTGGAGATCTTGGCGGCAGTGCGGGACAGGGGAGTGTTGACGATGTCAAGGGTTGGATAGATAACCGACTCGCCAAAGTACTTGGCATGCTCGGCGAAACGCCTGAGCTTCTTGAGGTCGCGCTTGCCCGAGTCATTGAAGGGGAACTGGTAAAGTTCGAAGACGTTGTGGATCGGGAACTTGGCGACGTTCTCGAGGGTAAATAGCTCCTCGGTGCGGCGGATCATCTCGCTGGGGGTTACTTTGAAGCCCGATCCCTTTCGAACGACGTAGAGCATCACGATCTCCTTCTCGGAGGTTTGGACAAAGGTGCAGTCTTTGATGGTATCAGGCATGTGCTTGTAAACCAGCTCCTCGAGGGCGTTGAGGTCGACATAGACGCCGTTGACCTTGATCTTCTGGTCGAATCTGGAGTGATGGTGTGGAGCGAGGGAGTGAGGGAATGGATGACGTGAGTACTCGGGATGCAGGAGTTGGATGTGTCCCCAGGATGTCAGATGTGCAGTCGCCATCAACGAGAGATGCAACGCCCGGCCGTCGACCTCACCTTCCAACCACAGTGAACTGCTTCTCGTCAACCATCTCGACCCAGTCCATGGTGCAGACACGGGGCGAGCCATCCTCGAGGAAGCCAAATGTAGCAAGCTTGTTGTTCGGATCGATGTTGGCAAAGCTCGGGTGGTGCTTTGCAAGATGATCCTTGTCGACGGCAAAGCCAAGCACGCCGCTCTTCGAGACCTTCTGGTCGACGATATTCCCCTCTTCGTCAAAGAGGATACAGCGCACACCGGGCTTCGCAAGTTTGTAAACCACTTTGTCTGGAACGAGTCCGTTACTGGCTGGCAAGAAGAACACCGAGACAGCACCAATCGTTCCCAACTGTCGGTAAAGCCGTGGTCAATGACAATCCAGGGTGACTAGCTGACAAGATGTTTATGTTAATCCTACCTCACTTGCTCCATATATAATCTGAATATCGGCCTTTGGACAAACGTCTCTGGCCATTTTGACAACGTTTGCAGGAACAAGCTCGGAGCCCATAACGATTTTTCTCATCTCATTCCACTTGACTTTCGGGTTCTGAGTTCGAGCCACGCTGATGATCATCTTCATGAATGAGGGCGTCTGGGAAGAGTGTATCAAAGAGGAATAATCCATCAGCACTGGGATGAAGGGCGGTTTGTCATCAATGCATATTCCCTACCATATACAGGTTCCAGACACCATCGTCGAGCATTTTGATAATACTCTTGACTTTGTCGACAGTGTTGGGTGTGGGCTCGGGAAACCAAACGGATCCCTTGAGATTCATAATACACAAAAAACTTCCAAGAGTGGCTGAAAACGATGGCGACTGGCAAAATATACTGTTAAGCGATCGGCCATCCTTCGTTCATCCCGATCGACGTCATATATCAACCATACCTGACAGATTGCACTACTACAGTATAGAATTCCGATGAGTGCTCGGGCCACTATCGTGCTCTTATGAGAATAAACAAATCTTTGTTCATCATGGACATGCCATCAGGGTTAGTATTGGGCTGATACTGTGCATAGTGAAATGATATCAAGGCGAGGCCACCTACGTCTTCGGAATGCCTGTTTTGGTTGATCAGGGAGCAGCATCGAGGATTGAGGCACAGGTCAAACACATTTCTAACAGGTAATTCGCTATCTACCGTAACTATCGCAGCCACCATCCCGCGCTCGACTGCCCATGCTCGACCTTTGTGGCTGGGGCTTACTTTGTCAGCAATCCCAGGCACTCTCATACTCCACTCACATACCAGTTGTTCCAGAGGTTCCCAAATAGGCAACAAACTCATCAAGCGGCTCACAGACATCGAGAGACGGGGATGGAATGTTGTCCAACACCGGGAAGGTGGCAGCATCGATCAGAGTCACGCCTTCGGTGCGGCCGGGCTTGGTGTAGTGGTGGAGGATGTACTTGATTGCATGTCTGTCGGTTGGTGATGTGAGTGCCAGATCGGGATCGGACATAGCTGGCTCGATTCAACCCCCCGGACCAGCCTGCTCATCCTAACGATAGCAACCAGCACAAACCTCTCGCACAGGGCCCCGCGGGCTGCAGGTGGCAGGTTGAGGGCAAGGTTGAGTGTTTTCCTGGATGGAGTTCAAAGGGCAGGTGAGACTCGACCCTTGACATGGCGCGGAACAAGGGTTGAACATGTCCCTTGCTTGAATCGATGTTCATAGCTCCACATCCCAACATCACATCGCTGCAACAGACCAGAGATACTCACTTGCCAAGCATCCACACAGCGAGCGAGCCAATCGCCCAGCTGGATTCGGCCTCACAGAAGGTGCCGATGGCCTCGTGGCCGTCATCGTTCCAGCCAGGGAGAGCCTTGAGAGCCTGGGCGATGGAGTAGGCTTGCTTCCACACACGGAGATAGCTGAAGCGCTCCGAGGCACCGTTCTCGTAAGTGTTGATCAGGAGAGTATCAGGTTCGTCGCGGGCGCCGTTGATGAGACACTCGACGGGATGGAACCAGGGACCAAACGGATCGGGCGGAGGAGGGAAAGTTGGCTGCTGGGAAACAGGGGTCTGGGTTTGGGTTTGAGTGTCAGCAGATTGGGCGACGACATCCTGGGTCTGCTCGGAGACAGGAGGCTGGCTCTGTTGGGCTGCTGGTGGGTGGGTCTGCTGGTAGAGGTAGATAGGGGTCTGCTGGGAGACATCTCGGCCGTCGACCGGGTCTGAAGACCCTCCAAAACAACAGGAGATGGCCCTGAGCATGGCGGAGAGGCGGGGTGAGGGCGACGAAGGTGTTGATGCCAAAGCCAGATGGGGGCAGGAGAGCGAGGAGGGAGCCGAAAGGGCAAAACGAGACAACGACGACGAGGGGAAAGGGTGAGGGAGTGCCTTTTGTCCGTCTGGGCAGCCAGGGGAAAGCGCCTTTGGCCTGGCTGCTTGCCATATTGCATTGAATGGGTGCCCTTGCTTCCTCTCGGCTGCCCTCGATGCTGTGCTGTTGCCTCGCCCAGCAAGCTGCTTGCAAATCCACTGTTCGTTCAGCGATCAGCTCACTCAGTGGGAACACATGTGCAAGTTCGACACTCTTATATCTTTGTTTGTGTCTGGCTGCAGATATGCACGCCATCCCACAAGTCGACCACCTCCTCGTGCTCTGGCCTCGTTCTGCTGGTCAAGCCCTGATCGGTCTCCAGCCTTGCCAGTCCATCTGGCTCCGCTGTTGACGATTGTTGATGCGGATGCTGAGTGCCTCGGCGCTCCCGAACCAGTGGCTGGATTACTGCTTCCGATGCCCGGCTCCTGTTCAATTGTGCGTTCGTCTTCACGGCCAGACACTGGCCATCAAAACCCCAGGGTCCCTGGCACCTCGCTCTCTCTGTCGAGATACTCGAGTGCCCATACATCGCACTCGAGTCGCCAGGTCTGGTCTCCATCCAGCGAGAATCCACATCGAGTCCCGCACCATCTGTTCCAACCCAGCTCACAGGCCCTTTGCCGTCGTCCAGCTGATCTGCAGAGTTCCACTTGGCTGCTGCCCCTGCCGACCGCACAACCACGACATGCAGACCCGGCCAAGGCCGGTCGGCTGATGTTTCCGATTTGGCTGGTGCTGCGCATCGTATCGCTATCTCATCTCGTTTGTCTCCGCCAGATCGTCTGCCGCGATCCCTCTTCCTCCGCCCGTCCTGCTCTTTGCCTGCTGGTCCAGCATTCCCGTCCCCGCCGCAAGAACAATGTCGCTCGTCTCTGTCCAGATCCAAACAGTGCTCGCCCGTCGCCAGCCGCATCCCCGCAGCCTGCGTCTCGCACGCTTCTCGACCTCCCAGCGATATGGCGCCGCCCATCCTCAGACCCTCGTCGAGAAGATCGTCCAGACCTACACGGTCGATGCTTTTTTTTTTTTTGTTTTGATAGTTGTATATTCAGGAATATTCAACATGCCATCAGTATCGCAGGATACCCGGCAGTGGGTGACCAAGCTCGCTCATACACCCCTGTTGCGGCCTTCGCCGACTCTCCAGCCCACACGGCGAGCCATGCGGGTGAACACTAATTCTAGTAACTCCCACAGGGAGTCGCACGTTTCCAGGTCCCTCTCAGGGATGTCGGGGGTTGGTTTATCCAAGTCTCCCTCTAGTATCAACTCGAACCCACTCCAGGGTTTGCTGTGCGGTGTTGGGTCTTGACTTGCCCTCAAGGGAGTGTGAGTTTGTCTGTGGGAGGGGTACTCGGGATTTATCTCGTATCCTGGGGTCTGACCTAGTCCCAAGTCATCGTCGGACTCTGGGATCGGGTCAGTACTTCGTCCTTGGGAGGGCGTGGGAACCTCTATGGTTTCGAGGCCAGAGACTATGTTTCTATTCGTCTCCCTGGCCCGGTTTCTGTTAGGGATAGCTCCTGCTTGTTCTCCACTTTGACTGCACACTTGGCTGTTCCTTTGCGCTTTGCTTGTTTGTGTGTAGCTTTGCAGTTCCCCTCCAATTTTCCGCCTTTTGCCTGTCTTTTCCGCTCCTTCCGCACTTCCGTTTTCCCGCGCTGCTCCGCTTCCTTTGTCTTCTTCGCACGCGCCGGTTTGTTTGTGCACGCGCCTTGCTGCGATTGGTTGCAATTCGGCTGCCGGTCATGTGTCCCCCCACCGGTGACTCATGACCTGCCTGACCGCCCCGATCTCTTGTTCATCTCGCATGCATTTGCCCCAACCTTATACTTGACCAATCCGCTTCTTGGACGTTGAGTCACATTGCTTCGCCTTTGCACGTTTCTCCTGCCAGGTGCTTCGCTTTTGCTTGCGCCTCTCTCGCTTTGGTTCTCTGCCTGTGTAACGTCCACTACTGGGACGTTGGGGCAAGACGGGGAGGGAGGGGGTACAAGACAAGACAGGACAGGGCAGAACAGGGCGGTGCTAGGCTACTCTAGCGGACGGGTGAGCTCGGGGAAGCACTTACGTTTATTCACGATAAAACCGAACTCCAGACAAACGGGGGGAACGGGGGCAACCCGCAGGTATACCCTGCGGTGGCCTGCCTGCGGTGCGTGAAAACGCAAAGCGCAGCACAGGTCACGACCCACTGCGCCGCGCAGTACGCGCAGTACGCGCAGCACAGCGTCGGAGATACCATCTCCTACACTCCCACACTTAAGAAGGCTTCCTGCGAGGAGCCCTGCGTGTGCTCTTTATGTAACGTCCACTACTGGGACGTTGGGGCAAGACGGGGAGGGAGGGGGTACAAGACAAGACAGGACGGGGCAGAACAGGGCGGTGCTAGGCTACTCTAGCGGACGGGTGAGCTCGGGGAGCACTTACGTTTATTCACGATAAAACCGAACTCCAGACAAACGGGGGGAACGGGGGCAACCCGCAGGTATACCCTGCGGTGGCCTGCCTGCGGTGCGTGAAAACGCAAAGCGCAGCACAGGTCACGACCCACTGCGCCGCGCAGTACGCGCAGTACGCGCAGCACAGCGTCGGAGATACCATCTCCTACACTCCCACACTTAAGAAGGCTTCCTGCGAGGAGCCCTGCGTGTGCTCTTTATTTGGGGCTCCTCGAGGTGTTTACCGTATTTACTCAGCTCCTCGGGTGCATGGGACAAGTCCTCCAGTGTTTGCCATGTGTTGCCCGAGTGTGGGTAACCAACCCACTTGACATAAAACCGAAGTGACCCATCAGCCACTTTCTTGTGCCTCACGATCCTTTCGACTTCATATTCTTGAGTATAGTATTGTCCGAGGTCGTCTTCCAGTGGTGCGTCGTCCGGGACACCTTCGTCGGCGTCGGGGAACTGTGCTGGACTGCGGGTCGTGTGGCGACGCAGCTTGGACACATGGAAGACAGGATGGAGCTTGCTTCCAGGTGGCAAGTCCAACAGGTAGTTGAGGGGACTGGGTCGGGCCGCTATCTTGAACGGTCCTCGGTACTTGGGCAACAACTTCTTTGACTGGGCTTCGGGGACCTTGATGTTGTCGGCGTCCAGGTAGACAAGGTCTCCAACTTCAAAGGAGACATCCTGGTGTCGGCGGTCGTAGTACTTCGCCATCACTTGTTGCGCATCCGTGAGCGCGTCGGCGATCATCTTGTGTCGGACTTGATGATCTTTGACAAAGGCACTTGGTTTGGGAGGCAATCCAGCCGTGGACTCGGTCAGTGTCAAGGAGGTGGGAACATCAGGCTGGAATCCGTAGAGCGCCTCAAAGGGGCTCAAGCCAGTTGTGCTCGACTTGGCGGTGTTGTATGCAAACTCTGCATGACTCAGCTGTATGTCCCAGTCGTCTTGGCTGGTCGAGGCGTATGTCCTCAGGTATTGCTCGAGGGTGCGGATCGTCCGCTCGGACTGTCCATCCGTTTGTTGGTGGTGCGAGGTTGACATGTTCAGCTTGGTGCCGAGATGGTCGAACAGACTTGTCCAAAACAAGGAGGTGAATCGGGGGTCTCGATCACTGACGATGGACTTTGGGAGGCCGTGGTGCTTGAACACATGCTTGAAGAACAGCAGTGCAAGGTCAGGCGCGGAGCATGTCGTCTGGCACGGCACAAAGTGTGCCATCTTGCTGAACCTGTCGACAAAGACAGCGATTGCATCGTGGTCCAACTTGGTCGTCGGTAGATGCGTGATGAGATCCATGGACATGCTGGTCCAGGGGCGGTCGGGAACAGGCAGGGGTTGCAGCAATCCTTGCTCTCGGGTCGTGCGTGACTTGACCATCTTGCAGGTATGGCAGGACTCGATGTACTTCTCGACGGTGCGCTTCATTCCAGGCCAGTATGCGACTTTGGCCAGTCGGTCGTATGTCTTCTCGACTCCAAAGTGTCCAGCGAGGGGCGAGTCGTGGACCTCTTGGAGCAACTTGGTCTTCAACGACGGAATGTCCGGCACACAGACACGGCTGTCCTTCTTCAGGAGGAGCAGGCCATCACGCACTGTGTACTCGGATGATTCGTCGTCCTTGGGGAGCTTAGACACCTTTCGGAACAGTTCTCCGAACTGTTTGTCGTTGGCGATGTTGTCTCGGACAACATCCAGCATCGTGTTGTCGACACTGACAGTCGACTCGTACAGTGACGCCAATTGGTAGTCGGGGCGTCGGGACAGTGCGTCAGGCACCACATTGAGTTTGCCTTTCTGGTATACAACCTCGTAGTTGTACTCGGCGAGGAACTCCATCCATCGCGCTTGGCGTCGGCTCAGGTTCTTCTTGGTGTCGAGGTAACGCAGTGACTGGTGGTCCGTCACAATCTTGAAGGGCTTGGCGGTACCGTGGAGGTACACTCGGAACTTCTGCAGCGCGTAGATGATCGCAAGCTGCTCCTTCTCGTGCACGGGATAGTTGATCTCGTGTTGGGACAGTTTGCGCGACTCGAAGGCAACGGGCCTTCCCTCCTGCATCAAAACAGCTCCCACCGCAAAGTCGGAGGCGTCGGTGTGCACGGAGACATCCGTGTTCGGGTCGAACACAGCGAGGACAGGAGCGTTCGTCAAGGCGTGCTTGAGGGTCTCGAACGCTTGGCGTTGTGGGTGGTCCCACACGAAGGGGCACTCTTTGCGGAGTAGGTCTGTGAGTGGACCGGCAGTGCGCGCCAGATCGGGGATGAATCGGCGGTAGTAGTTGACGAGACCGAGAAACGACTGCACGTCAGAGACGCATGCGAGCGGCGGCCACTCGACCACAGACTTGACCTTGGCGGGGTCGACTTCGATTCCTCTTCCTGAGACAACGTGTCCCAGGAACGGGACTTGATTCTTGAAGAACTCACACTTGGACAGTTTGGCATACAACTTGTGCTCGCGTAGCTTGGCCAGCACGCGGGCGACATGACCTTCATGGGTCGCTTCATCCTTGCTGTACACAAGGATATCATCCAGGTACACGATGACAGAGTTGTCGAGCTCTTGGCGGAACACATCGTTCATCAGCTGCATGAACGTGGCAGGTGCGTTCGTCAATCCGAACGGCAGCACTAGGAACTCGTACAGTCCGTAGCGAGTCCTGAAGGCGGTCTTGTGGACATCATCCTCGTGGATGCGGATCTGATGGTAGCCTGAGCGGAGGTCTATCTTGCTAAAGACCTTTGCTCCACTCAGACGATCCATCAACTCGTCGATCCTGGGCAACGGGTAGGTGTTCTTGATGGTCTGTTTGTTTAGTGCGCGATAGTCGACGCACATCCTGAGATCACCTTCTTTCTTCTTGACAAAGAGCACTGGTGCACCATACGGTGACTGGCTCGGGCGGATGAACCCATGGGCGAGGAGGTCATCCAACTGGCGCTTGAGTTCGTCCATCTCCGTCAGCGACAGTTGGTACGTCGGTCTTGACGGAGGCGACGAGCCTGGTTCGATGTCGATGCGATGATCGACGGTGCGTTGGGGTGGCAGGCATTGTGGCAACTGGTCGGGGAATACGTCCTTGTACTCGTCGAGCAGCTTGGTCACCACAGGCGGGGGACCGGGACCGGCTTGGTCGGTGTCGTCGACCTCACGCACGACACAGAGGAACGACGTGTCCTTCTTGATCAGCCTCTTGAATTGCATGGCTGAGAGGAGAGGTGGCATGTTGGGTGAGGCCATGCCCTGCAGGACAATGTCAGGGCCAACACGGACAGTGCGGCCTTTCCAGTCGACGACTGGAGTCGGCTCGGCACGAGCAAGCCAGCTCATGCCGAGGATGGCATCGAACTTGGTGTCGATCACTTGGAACAACAGGACAGGATGGTACTTGGGATGGAGGGCCACTCGCAGGACCACTTGGTGTGTGCACTGCTGCACACGATCGTCTGCAAGCGCCACACTCATCGGCGACTTCTTCTTGGTTGCATGTATGTTGAGCTCCTGGAGCAAGCGTCTGCTGACAAAGTTGCAGCTTGCTCCAGAGTCCACCATCATTCGGACGGTGTGACCTTGGACGGTGGCAGGGAGGTACAGCAGGGACTCTTCATGGTCCTCCTGCACAGCCTCCTGCACCATGACTTGACTTGGGGGAACGGGCGACACTTGGTCTTGGTTGGCTTCATCACGGCCACTCGGACATTTTGGATAGGGTTCGGCCATTGCGGGGGCCTGCGGCGTCAGCACGCCATTGCACACGACGTCCACGGCTTGCGGACACATGTCGGAAGCATCCGACACACACGACTTGACAGGGGTGAGGGCACAGGCGGTCCTGTCCCTCAAGGGTTCTTGATTTTCTTTTTTGTTTTGGTTTTCAATTTTGGTTTTCTCTTCACG